ATCATGGTCTCCGAACACCTTCTGGATTTCCTGTTCAAATTTGTCGTATGATTTGAAAATTTCAATGGTGAAATCGTCCTGAGCGTCCGCACTGTTGGTTAGCCAATCCTTAAGGGTGGGTTCAAACCATCGAAGTGCCTTCCCCTCGAGCCGCGAGGAGATGAACATGACTTTGGCGGATTCGTCCGCAAACTTGTCCGGGTAGTACTTGAGGTAGGCCCTCATGGATGTAAGGAATCCAGCGAGTCCTTCTTTGTCGCCTCCGTACTTGGGGGGTGCTTCGAGTTTGGCTTTGTCCTTGGGCTTGCCGTTGTAGGCCTCGTTGACGAGCTGTTGCATATGGCCGTTTTCGGCCTCAAGCTGGGCGATTTTGGCGTTGAGAGTCTCGAGAGCCTGCTGCATCTGTCGCATGGTTGCGGCCTGGCTCTGGGATTCCGGGGTGCTAGGTGTCTGGGGCGCCATGATGGTCGGTGGTACCTTCGATCTGAACCGTGACAGAGTCAAAGGGAGTGAGCAACGTGTGACGAAACCACAGGCAGTCCTGCCTCTGAAAGGGTTCGCCGGTCGAAGGTACTGCTGGTCGGACTGTAGGTCTCGGTGAAGCCAAAAGGTTCACAACAATGCAAGTCGCAATGTCTGCACAGTAATGTAGGGCTACCTTACTGCTTGTATTGCTCACTGGAGAACTCCCAGAGTCCTCCAGAATGAATGACTATACTAGCTGGTTTTGGTCCGCTCACCATGGCTCACCAGTGAGCCTAGGTGATTCTGCTCGTCCGCTCACCTGGTGAGCGGGCGCTCTTACATATGCTCATCAGCGCTGCGAGCGCTCTTGCATGTCCCTGTGTACAATGATTGGCTGCGGATACACCCTTGTCCGCCCCACCGGGTCACTGCATGTGGTCAAATCGTGACAGGCTGCTTTGGCCTTTATCTTCTTTTTATCCATCTTTTTCTAGGACCAACCAGGAGAGGTTGGGGCTATAGGGGGTGTTCGAGGTGGACCTCTACTACTTAGGGGTAGTGGTCAGAATCTCCCCTTTCTTTAATGCCATAGTAGGAGCAGGCAAGGTCTGTAGAGGCCCAAATTAGGTCGATGGTTGATGGGTGTCCTTATTACCTACCTTGTAGTTCCCTAGTTATAGTACTCTTTAGGGTTACTAGCCTAAGGTCCCAAGAGGTAGCTAACTGGAGCAGGTTATTAGCTTCGTTGTCATAGCGTTCGTAGTAGTCCTAGGCTGGGTGTTGAAGATTAAAGTCCCCCGTAAGTATTACTTAGCTAGAAGATCAGGGGTATTATTGTAAAAGAGTGGCCGGTATTGTCTTGATTGCCGGAGGGTTATAGACTGACCAGACCTTAACCCTCTAGCTATCTTCGTAGCCTGCAAATCGAACCTAGCACCAATGTTCAGCTGCCCCATAGTCCTACTGGCTAAGGTCAATCGTCTTTTTAACTAGTATAGCTACCCGGCCACTAGGTTGATGGACTAGATGGTACTGGCTGCGTCGGGGGCAGTAAGTAGACTTGGTTTGGTAGTTGATCCATAGGTCTTGTATGGCTAAGACATTGAACTTAGCCTCCTCCACTAAGATTTCTAGTGGTTATTTGATGCTTCTAGTATTCTATTGTAGTATGGTAACTACTATATAGTACTAGAGAGTTGGCTAGCTAGGTGGTCAGTTGGCTGGCTGGCTAAGTGGTTAGTTGGCTAGCTGGCTAAGTGGTTAGTTGGCTGGCTGGCTAAGTGGTTAGTTGGCTGGCTAGTTGAGTTGTTCTGGTTTATAGCTTGGTCTTTAGCTTGGCTTGTAGCTTGGCTGGTAGGTTGAGAGATGGATAGTCGGAGCTGCTTAGGGTCTTGTTGGGTCTTTGTTAGTCTGCCGCGTCGTTGCTTTCTAGAAGGGCCTGTATCTTGGTCATCGTAGCTTAGGGAGAGAGAGCCAAAGATAGGGGTTGTGGTTACGGTTGTAGGGTAGGTCGTTCAGGTAAAGTTGAGGTCGAAGGTTGGTTGTTGTGGCTTAGAAGTGGTTAATTCGAAGGTTCTAGGCCTATGTTGGTAGGCCTCCTTAGCTATAGCCCGTACTCGGAGCTGTTCTGAGCACTGCTTGTCTCTAGCTGAGTGGCGACCCCCACAGGCTGAGCATCTAAACTGGCTTGTAGTATGGGTAGGGCATTGCTCTTCGCCTTCCTTACTACCAGGCTTATGGGTTCCAGTACTATAATGGGGGCAGAGGAGGTCCTTCCTATAGTAGCGGGCTATATAGCCCCACTTCCAGCACTTAAAGTACTGCGCTGGCCGTAGCGGAGCCCAGTATGGCTCGCAGTTAAAGAGCTGGGCCCGGTATAGGACCCCTAGGTCGCAAGCCTTTTTAGCCTCCTTCTGGCTAGTGAAGGCTATAACCATAGGGACCCTGGTAAAGTCTGGGTTGTGGGGGTACTGGAAGATGATCTTTTCTACGGCTTGTAGCCTGGCCTCTTCTTGAAAACTAGCCTCTATAGCCCCCTGGAGGTCAGCTTTCCTTAGGCCCTTAACTACTACTCTGTAGGTCCGTCGAGCTTCCTTTACCTGGCTTCCAAAGGCCTGTTGAATCCAGTCGTGGTTAGTAGAGTGCCATTGCTTGGTATCCGGGTTGTTAAAGGTGACTACTATATCTCCGCTAGGCAGTTTCCGGGCTGCAATAGCCCCTTGTCGGCTAGAGGCCCCATTGACGACTTGGATAATTTCTAGAGGAGTTCTCTTAGCTAGATCAGATGATAGATGGCCCCCCCGAACAAGGATCTCGCAGTTCTGCTTAGCTGGGATAACCTTAGCTGGCTGGGCTATAGTGGCTTGTAGTAGTTCTCGGGCTATATTAGCCCAAGTTCGGGTAGCTTGGGCCTGCCCTAGTTTGGTTTCCCTTAGTACCGCTCGCACTTCTTCGGCTACTACCTTGCGTAGAGTAGGTAGGTTCAATGCTGTAGCCGTAGCCATGGCTTTAGCTTGGAGAGGAGTTGTAGTGGCTTGCTGGTAGGCTTGTTGGTAGGCTTGTTGGATTTCCATTGCAAGTGCCTGAGCCTTGCCTTTATTTTTGGGGACTAGGGCAAGTAGGTCGTTAACAAGCCTAGTGATGTATTCGTATGTATGTAGGTGGCTAGTAGACTTGGTTGTTTTGACCAGCTTGGGTATAGTAGGTGAGGTCCTCTGACTTGCATGCTGGCTTGTATATAGCCCTGGTTGGCTGCTATTGCCCTGGGAGGGAGGGGGGAGGTTTTCTCCCATCTCAATATCGGGTGCCGGATCCGGAACGTCGTTCATTTTCGGCTCCTTCTGGTAGGGGATAGGGCCTGTAGGGGCCTATAGGGTAGGTTGCGTGGGGAGTGTGGGGGATCGTTGGTAGAGTGGGCCGTTCGGGAGTAGCCGGGTCCGGTAGGGTAGGTGGCCCGGGAATAACCGGTTGGTCCGTGCGCAGGGAAAAATTTGACTGACGGTCGGGTGTCTGCAACACAACGCCTGCTTCAACGGCCTGTTGCGGCCGCGCGAGGACGGCCGCGCGGGTGCGACCAGTGCCGTTAGATAGGGCTCGTCGAGGCGGTTAGAATGACGTATATTTCGAGGGGTTTGCCGCCCTTTTGCACGTAATATTAAGGTTTAGGGTTGATAGAGGAAGAATAAAGCTGGGCCGCCCCATACAGCCCCACCAGAGCCCTAGTTATGTGAAAACAGGATCATGACTTTTCTACCAGGTATGGTCGTATGTACTGAGCAGAGTCGAACATGGTCACCATATGCTGACTGCGCCATGGCATGGCGCTGCCCATATCGAAGACGATGTGAAGATAACTTTAGAATCTGTATCAGTCAACGGAAACGCACTTCAAAACCTTACTTCTTCCCTCTCCATTCATTGTCATCTACGAAGACAGCGTATACAAGTGGATCATCGAACGAACAAACTTGTTTCAACAATCGCCGGTCCACTGAGGACGCTGTGCTGTATTGAACACGCGTGCCATGTGATGACTGAGTCGTGTCAGGCCCGCCTAATGGCTTGGAAAACTTCAAGCTGCAAATGTTTGTTGTCATTGAGGGGCAAAGCTAGTTGGACAACAGACAGCGTCTCGAGATCCAGGGGCGGCTTTTAAGTTCGTATCCTCTCCATTTCCCTTGATCTCGCCGCTTCCACCGTCTTCTCTGCAACAGTTCGGCAGGAAGCGCCGATGTGGAAGTGCTTTGTACATCTTGAAGGGATGTTGTCTGCCAGATGGGGCGAATAAGTTAGGGCTGGCGGTGGCCACCCGGCCGGCTGTTTATCGACACTACAGCCTGTTTAAGCTAGATGGGGCCCGAGTCATGCCTTGACTGGTAGCCTGTTTTCAAGTAGTGTTGTTTCGAGGGCGTCGACTCAGTCGACCGACCCCTACATCGGATACTTACCAAGTTTGTTGCGATACGTTCAGTTCGGAAATCGATTGGTCGGAAAGAGAGTCGACAATGCTTGGTTCATCTGGTCTGGTCTAGCAACTCGTTTTCCTGACAAGCTGTTCAACTTTCATCGACGATATCCCTGGCGATCTCACTTGTTCAACTACCCGCAGCCGCCCAGTAGTTTGCCCCTTTGCTTGTCGAGAGGCAGGCGGTTCGGGGGGGTGGGGAGAACAGGGGTCTCGTATGTGGAAATCATTTCTTCAACGACGCTCAACAAGTCTGATCTGCCTCCTTGCCAAGCGTTCCCATGACAGGACGCACGGCTGCCCGGAGAAGACACGGAAGTAAGAGCGGCACGACCGACACCCACACACATATTTCTGTAATGGCTCTTCTAGGATGGAGCTGGGAAAGATTCATCAGTCTCCCTCGGCCACTACTAGAACCTGCTGTTCGGCCGTGTGGCCGGGACAGTCTAACAGAGAGTACTGTAGACTCGCCCTGCATCCTTTGATACTATGCCCCATCTCTCTCACGAAAGTTGGTGGCATCTTGGGGGACTTGCGAGCTCGCACTACAGCCATCGCACCTTCAGCATCCGCCACGCTACTCGCTATTAGCTTCGGCGGTTAGAGGACTTCTGCCGTTGAGACTTCAGGAGCGAGCAACTTCACATCCCGTAAGTCAATCTCCTACTCATCTGGTGGGCAATAGTGTGTTCACTTACGGTACACTCATCTAATCCCGAGGTGCAGGTTCAGATATGAAGATGGGCAAGCATATATCCACACACATATTTGTCATCGCCATTTTCATCTCCAACATCGGGTCAGCTGTGATTTCCATGCTTGGGGTCTACCTGTTCATGCGCCAGCGCCACAAGGCACAACGACAATGGCAAGATCATGAGACCGTGGCCAACGCTGCCCTCGACCGAGCAATCGTCAGTTACATCGCCAAGGGACACCCCGGCGGGCCTGAGGCGACGGCTGATAAGGCGCCGGAAGAACGTGAACGGGACGTGATTACCGAAGGGGACGTGCATCGGAAGTATATGGAGGTCGACGGGGCCATCAATGTGCATACACCACCACCAGCGTTACCGACCTCTGACGTTGAGCGAACACCATCTGTTAGGAAATCGGGGACCTCTGTGGCAGACACGGCGAGCTCGTTGCCGAAGTTGATGTTCTCGCGGTTCATGGATAGCGCCGAGCAGGTGTATAGTGATATCCTGGCAAGACCACTCCAACGGGCCAGCATCCGTACCTCACCATCACTTCCAGAATTCGTTCCGCCGGCTAGGAAGGATGATGTAGGCTGGCCCTTGACGAAGGAGATCTAGCCATAACTCGGGATCTGCGTCAGCCATAAGGGAATTGTGGCGTTTAAACTTCGGAACTCCAAGTATAAGATATAATCTGAGGCCGAGAGAGTTAGACACAGACTTCTGACCTTGTGAGGACAATGAACATGTTGTATTGCACCTACGATTTTGTACAACTGAATACCTTAGTGAAGCGGCAAATTTGGCGCTGGATGTGCTCCGAACCAAGCATGCGGCCCATTGTCCTGCCCAGCTGCCAAGCGCCTTGAATCTCGATGGGCCCCACAAAAGTGTGGCGGAGGCCTGCCTGGGCTGATGACGACAACTCGTGGAAGATGTGACGACTTGCACATGATAAGCTGTCGAAAGGAAACTTGTCAGATTCCAACCAGTTTATTTTCGCAGCTCGATTGTCTCTTCTTCCATCGAACATCAACAATTGCTTTTGCTGTACTTAGGCTTGCCAACATTCTCCCCCTGCGCTGACCGCCAAACAACGACACACCCCTGCACGACCTCGCCGAGTTGGCAGTGACGCACCGGCCATCGACAAATCCCGACGACAAGGCGCCACCTTTCCCAACTCCACCACGAAACCATACAAAGCCGGCGACCTTGGCCAGCTTCATCCAATTCTCAAGCGCTGCGATTAGAGCCTTAATCGACGTACTTACACTCTGTCCGCTTGCTAGCATCGCATTCGCACATCATCGGAACGCACAATGGCTCCGCCGCCGTCCGCCGACCTGCCGCTGGTACAGAGGTTTCAGCGGATTGCTACGACGCTGCAGTGTACGTGTGCATCCCCGATACCGAATATAGCTACCATAATAGCTAAATTGAAGGTTCTTGATGGCTAATGCTTTTGCGCTACAGTTTCCTGGTTCATGGGGTACGTTGACCCTTCCCCGACGCTACAGCGGCAGCTTCATTCGCCGCTCGCTTGAAGAGATTGGGCAGGGAGCACAAAGCACCAGCAATTGGCAACCCCACCATCCATGGTATCCTTAGCTGACATTGCAATCGCGCAGACATGCCGCCCTCCTCCTTTGCGTCTTCCGGTATTCGTTCTCATGGCTTCGTATGAACTACTACGGGGGCATGGCCCAGTTCTGTTACCGCTTCGCCTTCATCTCGGCCGCCGCAACCTACGCGATAGTGGTATACAAAACCTGGCGGGCCCGCCAGAAGACGGGAGCTAAGCAACCGGGCGGTGTTGTTGGATATCTCGCCGACGAGAACGTTCAGTACCTCGGTAGGTGTTCTCTGCTGTTGACCGCAGTGGCGCAGCCCCGCTGACATGATCAATCGTCAGCGATGGCCCTTATTTGGCTCTTTATGCCGCAGTATCCCCTTGCGCTCGTCCCGTACGCCATATACTCGACCTTCCACGTGGCCACTTATATCCGCGCGACCCTGATCCCGACCATCATTCCCCCGCAGAAGATCAATCCTCCCGAGGGAGCCTCTCCCAATGCCAAGCCGCAGTACGCCGCGCACCCGGGCTCGGAGGCCATTGGAGCATTCGTCAAGCGATACTACGACTCGTCAATGTCGGTGGTCGCGAGCCTCGAGATTCTGCTGTGGATCCGCCTGCTGTTGAGTGCTGTTCTGTTCCAGCGCCGGTCATGGATTCTGCTCGGCATCTACACTGCGTTCCTTCGCGCTCGCTTCGCCCAGAGCAGCCACGTGCAGAGCTCCTTTGGCCAGCTCGAGGCTCGCATTGACAATTTGATTGGTGCCCAGGGCACTCCGCCTGTAGCTCGCCAGGTCTGGGACGGCGTGAAGGGCACCGCGAGACAGTTTCACACCGCGACAGACGTCAACAAGTACGTCAATGGTGCTGCTGCTCCCAAGAAGACGTCCTAAGCTCTTGCTCGTCAAACGATATCGGTAAACGACAACGACGCTTTCTGCATGGTCATGCAGCTCTAAGCAAGGTTTCTCAACTCGACGACGACCAGCTCGACATCAAGAAATTCTTCCAGACGGGAGAGGGCATAAGAATGGACTATCCTCGGACAGGGACAGCAGTGGCCGGGTATCGATAAAAGGGGTGGTGGAATGGGGATGGTGTCGGACGTGGCATGGCGGTTCGATGGGCAATGTTTGGGATTGGGCCTACGGTCCTTTACTCGCTAGCTTTCCTGGCGGGACGGTACCGGCTTGGGGAGTTATGGCAATCCGCGAGGCAGAGCGCATGGGCTTTTCCGGTATTGATCGTACTAACATCGTATTCTTCCTAAATTGTATCATGGAACCTGTTGCAGTGTCAGTGGGCGATCCTGGCGCAGCACAATTCGTTCGCAATGTCAAAGCCAGCCCTAAGATTCTGTGAATGGCACATGGCAAGCTGTAGGCCCATTTCTATCCTGGGTGATATCAGGCCATATGCGCAGCAAATCGCATAAAGTACCTTGGCTATTCCGCCAAGTCCTGGACCCCACCTCCTGCCGATGACGTCGCAAGGGAAGCTTGATCCGTACCTGAGCCGAACACTCGGTTTCCATCAGATCTCCCGATCCACGTTTCCCAAGCCATCTTAGGCCTCAGCTCCATACAGTCTTCCCATACCGCCATACGCTCGACATCCAATGCACCCGACAACTCCGCGATGACCTCCATCCTCCGCCAAATCGTCGCCGGACCCCGCGCCAAACACGAAGAGACAGGCCTCGACCTGTGCTATGTAACATCCAACATCATCGCAACGTTCGTCCCCTGTCCCACGCATTTCCCTTTTCCCTCCCTACCTACCACCTATCACCCCCTTTGGGATCGCTTGTCCCACCGCCCGTCTAGCCGCCTCTGCTCACTCTCCTACGTCTCCTCTTGAAAAACAGGTCCGGCCCGTCCCAAACATACCCGCAACGCGCCTACCGCAACCCGCTCGACCGCCTCGTCTCCTTTCTCGACGCCAAACATGGCGACGGCTGGGCGATATGGGAGTTCAGGGCCGAGGGCACGGGGTACCCCGACGAAGCTGTCTACGGCCGGATCAGCCATTACCCGTGGCCGGACCACCACCCGCCGCCGTTTCGCGTCGTGCCGGTTGTGATGGGTGGTATGCGGAATTGGTTGAGGGGTGGGGAGCTTCTTAAGGTGTCTCCTGGGCAGGATAGTACTAGCAGGGGTGGCGATGCCGGCGGTAAGACAGAGGGTATTGATGGGAAGAAGGAGGAGGGGACGGACGAAAAAGAGGCAGCAGAGAGGAAGAAGGGTGACAGAGTCGTGGTCGTGCACTGCAAAGCCGGGAAGGGCAGGTCGGGCACCATGGCGTGCAGCTACCTCATTTCGGAATGCGGGTGGACGGCCGAAGACGCGCTGGCGCGGTTTACCGAGAGGAGGATGAGGCCCGGCTTTGGAGCGGGAGTCTCCATCCCGAGCCAGTTGAGGTGGATCAGTTACGTGGATCGGTGGACGAAGGGTGGGAAGAAGTACGTCGATCGGCCTGTCGAGATTGTCGAAGTCCATGTCTGGGGTTTGAGGCACGGTGTCAAGCTCTCTGTGGAGGGGTTTGTGGACGAGGGAAAGAAGATTCGGCCGTTCCATACGTTCCAAGGGGAAGAGAGGATCGTGGTCGAAGGCGATGCGCCTGGCGGCGCAGGGGTGCTGGATATGGTGCAGGACATGGCTGGGTACGGGGCGAAGACGAAAGTGGACGACAAGGGAGAGGTAGTGGAGGAGGCCGATTACGAGGGGATCAAGAAGGGAGCTGACAGCAATGCTGAAGACAACAGCAATGATGGCGGTAACGACAAGGACGAGAAGATGCCCCCGAAGCACCCCAAAAAGTCTCGAACAGCAGACCTAATGAGGAAACTGTCCACCCGCAAACGTAGCCCCTCGCCAAGCCTCAGCAAATTGGGTAAGGACGGGCCCAGGAGCAAGACTATCGCGATGCCGGAGCCGTCGCAGGCCTCTTCCGGCGCCTCAGCGATTCCGGGGCAAGACGAGCGTCGCACTCAGTCAACGGCCAGTCTACAGCCTAGCACCACCTTTGCTAGCCCGTCCGAGCCTGGCGGACAGGCGGTCATCTTCAAACCGGCCAAGCCAATTCATATCCCGAACAGCGACGTTTGCATCTCGGTGGAGAGGAGAAACCGCGCACCCGCCAACTTGGGCTTGACCATGGTAACAGCCGTCGCGCACGTGTGGTTTAACGTCTTCTTCGAAGGGCAAGGACCCGAGCAGGACGGAGAGGCAGATGAAAGCGGCGTGTTTGAGATGGAATGGGACAAGATGGATGGCCTCAAGGGCTCCAGTCAAAAGGGCACCCGCGCGCTCGAAAGGCTGTCGGTTGTCTGGCGCATCCCAGGCACGGGTGCAGCGGGGCGCGAGGAAGAAGAGGCTACGCTACCCGGGGTGACGGTCAAGGAACCAGGGGTGGACAGCCCAGTGCCGCAGATGGAACCTGCCGACTGGAGGGGCGGGTCAGCGGAGGATTCAACGGCGGACAAACATCTCGGCCTGAGAGTGGAAGATCCCGACAGTCGTAATGTGAGTAAGGCGAGCAGCGTGAAGAGCCAGGAGATCGGAGAAGGGAGCGCTACAGCTAAGGAAGAGACCGAGGTGGAGGACGCGGCTTCTCTGGAGGGGGTCAAGGTCAGCGGCCCGACCGGAGAGGAGACGCTGGATGATACGCCAGTTGAGCAGGTCTCGAGTCCGCCGCCAGTCACGGGAGGGAATGACGATGCGGTTGCCAAGGGGCCTTGATGATCGATAATGATGGATTAATACTTCTACATCTTTTGCCAGACTAGGCCAGCCGGATTTTCTGTTAAGATGAAGCGCTACCCTAGTGTATACAAGAAGCATGTGCGCAAATAATTGAACCAACTGTCAAGCGTCATCGCCAATGTTCGGGTTCCTACCGGACCACATGCCGGACTCGCTGCACCGCGGCGCAAAGAAGTCTGGTAGTTGCCGGCACAATGCTCGGCACGCACCTAGGCCGACTCTCAATCCTTGCAAAACATAAGTACCTTCCACGTTGAGGAAATCGTCATGCCGGATTCAATAAATCAACGGAGATCTAGACCCTTACTGAAGACCTCAAACTTAACATCTTGGCGACGGTAACGCGGAGGACAACCCGCAGCTAACCAGGCGCACGAGCAACTGTGGAGAGATACCTGATGACGACACCACTGCCTATGCTGCGCTGCGGGACACCTATCGATAACGCGTATCGATAATGCGTTCTGGGTCTCGGCTAACGGGAGGGTACACTGACCAGGGACCTGGGGAATCTGGCCCATTGATGAATCTCCACATCGGCTTTCTTTCAACTTTTTCTGCCGCCATGGAGGAGTCAGCGTGGGAGATCGCCGCTAGTGCGGGTTATTAACCGCGAATTGAACTTCCAGCGGCCTCATTGTTTCCAGAACTGCGATCTTGATCCAGCTTACCGCGCGAGCATCTCCTGAACGACGTTGAATCCCTGTACAGAACCTAAAGTACGCGCCACGCGATGTCACTGCCCCGCAGTCGTCCGGTTCCCCGCTAAACAGCTGCAGGAGGAAGCCCAAAAAACTTGTGGTCCTGTCGGCCGGCCCGCGCCCGGAATCCTCTTCAACATGTCTGCCGAAATGGCGAACGAGATCAAGTTGATCAGTGGCCGCAGCCACCCCGAGCTGAGCGAAAAGATTGCGAAGCGGTACGTCGAGCAGTTCGAGCAATTTTACGTCCTTACGCCGAGACTTTGCGATCCACTGACACCCGTTTGGCCGCAGACTGGGTATCAAAGTTGCAAGAACGATCTCGCTCAACTACTCGAACCAAGAGACCTCCTTCACAGTCGGCGAATCGGTCCGCGACGAGGATGTCTTCATCGTGCAATCCACCTCCACGGGCGATGTCAACGAAGGTCTGATGGAGTTGTTAATCATGATATCGGCATGCCGGACTGCTAGGTGAGGGACACACGGCAAAGCTGGCTTGGTCTGGTCGCTGACATTGGCCATGTAGTGCCAGGAGGATAACAGCCGTTATGTAAGATCGATCAACTTTACCCTCCGGCAACGGCACTCCAGCCTTGCAACCCTTCTCTAGAGTTGATGCTGACCCAGGCAGCCCGAATTTTCCCTATGCTCGACAGGACAAGAAGGACAAGGTTGGACGAGGCGATTCCACAAGTTGTTAAGAGGGTGATGCTAACAGGCCCAGTCACGAGCCCCCATCAGTGCCAGATTGGTCGCGAACATGCTGCAGACCGCCGGTGCCAACCGTAGGTTCCTGGTTGGTTCTTGTGCTTGTCCGTCGTGCTAAGCTTTGACACAGACATCGTGACCGTGGATCTCCATGCTTCTCAGGTGAGTTCCAAGGGCGTATGAATTTTGTCATTCATGATGCTGACTGAGAATGACAGATCCAAGGTATGCATCCGCTGTCCCCTACTTCGGGGCTATCGAACACGTTCGCATGGCATGCTGATTCGTGATCGCTATCACTCCAGGCTTCTTCAGTGTTCCAGGTACGGCTCCTGTAGCTTCTTTTCGAGACCATTGCGCTCACTCTACCCAGTGGACAACTTGTATGCCGAGCCGTCCTTCCTCCGCTACATACGGGAGAATTTCAAGACGGAAGATTGCGTTATTGTCTCTCCTGACGCCGGTGGTGCAAAGCGGTTGGTATACCGCCGCCCCATGACAGCACGCTGTCGCTGACTTTTTTGAAGTGCAACATCCATTGCCGACCACCTCAACACGGCGTTTGCCTTGATCCATAAGGAGCGTCCCAGGCCGAACGTTGTCGGTCGCATGGTGAGAATCTCATCGGAATAGTGAAGTTGAGGGACTGGAACTGACAAACCCCTTTTAGGTTCTTGTTGGTAACGTTGAAGACAAGATAGCCATCCTTGTTGGTAAGCGTCAGATTTAAGCTTACGTGTAAAAGTGCATTTCGCTGACGAATGGGTTAGACGACATGGCCGACACATGTGGCACCCTGGTGAAGGCGGCAGCAGTGCTCAAGGAGAATGGCGCCAAGTCTGTCCTTGCCCTGGTTACTCACGGAATCCTGTCGGGCAACGCCATCGAAACGTTGAACAGTAGCGTGCTTCAAGCCTTAGTCGTCACAAATACCGTGCCGCTGGGCGACAAGGTAGAGCGGGTAAGCCCACATGACGCCACTCGCTTCAATTTGCAGGCTGTTGGCTGACCTCGCCCCAGTGCCCCAAGCTCCGCGTTATTGATATCAGCCCGACGCTTGCAGAGGTTCGTTCTAGAATAGCGTTTTGATTCATTTCGCCTCGCTTGCTAATTCATGGACCAGGCCATCCGTCGTACACATAACGGTAACGAGCAACGAGGGTTGTATGATTCTGTAGACTTCTCGGTACTGACTTTGACACAGGTGAATCGGTGTCGTATTTGTTCAATCACGCCCCCGTATAAAGTCGGCCCACAGTGGCGGCATCCCCTGGTCAAACCCAGGTAGCGACGAAGAGACATATTTGAGAGAGTATGGTAAAGAGCAACGACTACTTGGTACTGAGGATTACACAATGTTTGGGGTGTTCCAAGCAAGCAGACCTATGGAGTATAGCGGTGTACAAAGGATATCAAGGCTTGGCTGGAGACTGGAGTTTAGTGTCGCAAAAGAATGGAATTCAATCAAAGTTCTGCAGCCTTCGTATACCGCGAGATCGCACAGTGCTCTGTGCTTCCTATTAGACTATGGGTACTGCTTCCAGGTATACCCAAAGAACATCATGGACTAGTAGAACACTGGCCCAGATTTCTGAAATGCCTTTGGAATTAGGAATAATAAGTATCCCTTGTTACTACAACTTGGTTGTTGGCCATCAATTTGAGGTCTGACTTGGGTTGTCGGCGACTGTCAATTCAGCCAATCTTGACTTCATCCATAAAGCCGTAGATAATCCATAAGTCTATAACGCCATCTGTCTATGCGGTTCGGAATATTTTCGATGATCAAGCAACAAGGCAGCAGGCTTCCTCTTGCTTCTCGTTTCCTTTTGCCTGATGTAGTCATTGCAGGCTGCGGTAATGTCTCGGAATGCCAGCAACAAGGGATGAAGGGAATCAGGCTGCAGCTACGCGGCTTACTAAAAAGATCCAAATCGTCTGAGCTTCCCCGCAATCTCCGAAGCCGACGTGTTAGTAATAAGGAACCGTTTGTCATCGGGGAGGACCAACGGACGCGCTCGCTCAAAGCCCGAGCTATAGATAGCCCGTCGGATGGGTATAACTACTATTACTACCACCTCAGGTACCTAACGTTGACATCGGCGCTTGATACCAGAAGAACTCGTGTTACCCATTGGGCGATTGTTCTCAACTTCTTCGTCCATCCACAACACTTATTATACAGTCACCAACCACAACCGCAACAAATATGGAGTGGGAGGCACCTCCCCCAGTAGCCAGCGACAGAGTCACCGTGGATCTGCAAGCCAAGTTCGAGCGCGTTGATGTCGCGTATAAGACTGTGAACCAGACGCCAATCGAGACGGCAATATTTATCCCCAAAGACCTCGCTGCCGGGCCCGAAGCGCAAACCGCGCCCGTACTCGTGAACTTCCATGGAGGTGCCTTGGTTACGGGCGCGAACCCGGAGCCGTTCTTCATGGCTGACTGGTGCGTTCCTAATAACTTCCTTATTAACCTTACCTCCCCCGGCCAAGCCAACAAGTATCCCGGGACCCGGGTTCAGAACTTCAGACCCTTCAATCCGTCCATGTATTCATTTTATACTCACACTCACACAGGGTCCGCAACCTCGCCCACACAACCAAGTCCATCTTCCTGTGTCCGGCCTACCGCCTCATTCCGGAGTCTCGCGCCGTCGAGATCCTCGACGACGTCGGCGATTTCTGGACCTGGCTGCACGCCCACCTCCCCGCCGAGATCGCCGCCCGCTACCCGCACCTGACACCGGATCTCACGCGCGTCGTCGCCAGCGGCGAGAGCGCGGGCGGCTACCTCGCGCTGCAGTCCGCGCTGCAGTTCAACGGCACCGCCAAGCTGCGCGCCGTCATGACCCAGTACCCGGCGCTGTTCCCCGACGTGCCCGGGTTCCGCGCCCGTCCGGCCGGCGTTCCGGAGCAGTCCCCGCTGGATGTCGTCGTGGACGATGCGATCAAGAGCGCCAGGGCTGCTCGGGGGACCGTCGTCATCCGCACGTCGTCGCCCTGGCCTGCGAAGGCGGACCTGATCCGCGCTGTATTTGCGACGGGGCGGCTGGCGGATCTGTACGGCGAGGATCCCGAGGGGAGGTTGACGTTGCGGTATGCGCTGGCTCGGGCTGAGGAGGCGCCGCCGCCTCTTTGGTTGATTCAGGGAGACGAGGACGCCATGGTGCAGAAGGATTGGACGGATGAGGTCGTTGCCGGGCTGCGCAGGGAGAGGCCGAAGGCGGTGGTCAAGTATACCGTCAGACCGGGGTCGCACGGGTTTGATCAAGGTAATCAGCTCGAGGATGACTGGGTGAAGGAGGGCGTCGAGTTTATCAAGGGTTACTGGCTCCAAGTCTAGAGTGTTGATTGAGGAAAGGTGGATAGCGAGTGGCGGCCTCATGGGATGATGTGACTTCGGATTGTGGATTGTGATTGTCAAGCGGGCAGGGCAAAAAGGAACGTGAGCCCATAAGCCTACAGTTTCGATCTCGACTCCTCGGGGGGATTCGGCTACCATCAGAACTCTATCCTGTTATTTGAGGCCTTCGTCTTGACTTTGTTGAGGGAAGCCTCATATACACAGCTTAGATTAACCAAGACCAGCTCCAGTTAGACCACCTGCTTCTTCCATTCACATTCTCCTGTCATCAAGCGTGCGGATGTCACGCCTTGCGCGGATAGTTACAACGCTCCTCATCCGACGCTCCCGGAGTCCGGGATGGAGTTGCCGACCCTGCACGAGTGCTCCTTGTTGATGTGGTTGCCTAAAGTGAACGGGGTCGCCGGCTTTAGAACGCAGGCATGACTACACTGGTCTTTGCTAGAGGACTGAGGCTGGGCTCTTGGGATTATCTCGTGGATATTCACGTAGCACGCCGAATGCAACACCGCAACGGGGACCTCTGGTTTTCCTGGGTTCATTGACACGACTCAGGGCCGAAGGATCCTGCATATTTAGGCTGCCCTTGTCCAGTTGAAACATCAGGTACTTCACTCTGCTGTTGGCTGTTGCTTTCTCAACATCATCAAGCGCGCGTGTATTGAATCGAACTAAACTCAAAGCTTCTCGAATCTCTCACAATACACTCATTTGCAATCCTCCTCGGCGCCCTCCCTGCGCTGTGCGCGGCTCAGGCCGTAGTTCTCTGTTCGACCGCCGCTCCACCGGCCAACTGGACCGGCTACGCCTTGACATTCAAGCAGCCACTAGACTACAGCTCTGTCACGAACAACATCGAATACGATTCCAAGATCCGCCAACACGCAGGCGCCATCGTCAGCAATGCACTTGGCTTCGACGGCTCAGCTGCGGTGAGGATCGAACCGGTCAACGTGCCTCCGGGCTTCGGTTACCAGCCAGCCGTCGTGGTCGTGACGGGACCAAGTGGCGAGGTGGACAAACTCAATGCCATGCTCCGCAACCCGTCCTCCAAACTGTACAATCCTGTGGACCAATATGCCCGGCAACTCGCGCAGCAACTCGATGGGAGCTTCAACGTTGTCGGAAGTAAGTTTTTTTGACTTTGCTCCACGATAACCAATGTTATGCATACACTCACACAGATTCCTATGCCAGAAAATGTCTAATCACAGCTTCTACTTGGAGAGATTCGATCGACCGGAGGTGGCGGCGTATCCCGCCGGATTCTGAGCGAGGACTAGGATGGGCCAACTATGAGCCCTAGTAATAGCGACATATCGAAATATAGTAGTACCCAAAAGTCAACCTTGGCCATCGTTGTCAAGTATGAGATCAAGGTAGCTCTCAGATTTCAATGTTGAAGGATTAGAATCAGGCAGTAAGGTAGCAGAAGCGCAGGAATGGCGACACACGGCAGGAGTGTACAGATCACGGTCACTACTAGTAGTACTATTCACTCGTACCTATGATTGACGTTGGAGGTTATTCCGTTGGCTGGTCTTTCTTAGTACCCCAGGTTGTTTTCCGCGTTAACTGATAAGGTTCTTGTTCCTCATGTCGTCGCTTCCTCCCCAGTTCTCAACAACTCCGGCTTTCCTGCCGGATAGCTACACATGACATCATTTCAGATGATCTCTGGCCTCACTTGCAGTCGACTGCATCCAACATTTGCAGCTACAACATGGTGCTGCGAAAGCTGTGGTTGGAGCACATCAGTGGGCTCAGTTCCGCGCCAATTGGGCAGTGGCCAACGTGCTTTGTGCTGCATTATGCATCGCGGGGACGCGCAGAGTAACCCGGTCTTCGATCGCTAATCCCTCCTAAAGGCGGAGGACTAGATTCCGTTTTCTGGTTCGGACGACTTGCAGGTGCCCATATAGGGCCATCCACTCATCAGTGTTTGCGAAGTGTACATACAATACCATCTGCGAAGTGGTAAGTGCACATAAGAGCGGCCCTGTCCCCAAGCAAGTATGGGGAGAGAAGGGGACTTGGAAGAGAAGTCCCTGGTACGCCAGCCAAAACGAACATCCGTTGGCAGGCGGTCCCCCGAACCAACGTTATAGCCTGCGCTCCACGCACTTCCATCCCGTTTCTCACAGTACTGATGGCGGCGCTTCTCCTCGGCTTGCTTTGCGTCTACGGCACCGGCGTCACCGGCGTCACGGCCCTCGACAACGGCGTTGGCAAGTTCCCTGCGCTTGGGTTCAACAGTAAGTTATCCCCCAGACCCGAGGCTGTCACAGTGAAAGGATGCTGAGTGTTTGCCCATAGCATGGAACTTATACCAATGCGACTACACTGCCGATGCGTTGCTGGCGCAGGCGCAAGCCATGGTTGACAAGGGGCTTGTCAAGGCCGGATACCGGACTTTCATGCTGGATGATTGCTACAGCTTGAAGAAACGAGATTCGAATGGGAGAATCGTGGCAGGTAAGAACTTGAAGTCGACGAAACACGACAGCCTCCCATGTTATGCTAACGACGCATGGTGAACAGATCCCGCAAAGTTTCCCAAGGGCATGCGGGACTTCACCACGTCGCTCTCCAAGCTTGGCTTTAAGGCGGGCATCTACAGCGATGCAGGATATTACACGTGTGCTGGATATCCCGGTTCATACGGAAACGAGGCGCTGGACCTTGAGACGTTCGCGGAATGGGGGTTCAGCTATCTCAAGTACGACAACTGCTACATTCCCTTCGACAACGTGACCCAGCAGAACGTGTACGGCCGCTACGAGCGCATGAGCAACGCGATCCAAGCTCAAGCCCGGAAAACCAGCTCGGCACCGGTGCAGCTCGCCCTCTGCGAATGGGGCTGGCAGCAACCGTGGATCTGGGCGCGGCGCCTGGGCCAGTCATGGCGTGTCACCGGCGACATCCGGCCGTGGTGGTCTTCGCTGGCCAGCATCATCAACCAGGCCAGCTTCATCGCCTCGGCCAGTAACTTCTATGGCCACAACGACATGGACATCCTCGAGGTCGGCAATACAGGGCGCGGGACGCCGCCGGGCAACCTGACAGTCGACGAGGCAAAGAGCCACTTCACCGCCTGGGCCCTCCTCAAGTCGCCTCTGCTGATCAGCTCCGACATGGAAGCAGCGTCGCAGGAGACCATTGATATCCTCGCCAACCAGGACATCCTCAAGATCAGCCAGGATCCCAATGTCGGCGAATCGATAACCCCCTTCCGCTGGGGCTCCAACGCCGACTTCACCTGGGACCCAGCCCACCCCGCCGAGTACTGGACCGGCAACTCGTCGTACGGCGTCGTCTTCATGGTACTGAACACGCACGACGCGGAGCGGCACATGTCGTTCAACTTGACCGAGAGCTGGGCGATCCGGGCCGGCCGCGTCTACTCGGTCTACGACATGTGGTCGCACACGCACAACGGGACGGCGCGGCGGAGCATCGAACTCACCCTGCCGCCGCATGGCGTCGCTGCACTGTTGCTCAACGACGCCGGCCCCGAGCCATCCGGTACGGAGCCGCACTGCGCTCTGTGGTGGCAGTGCAGCTACCCAAATGGCACATATTATAGCAACTGATTTCACGATGAGACAATGACCAGATGTGCAATATTCAACACGGCTCCTGCTTTACAGATTCCGTACCCCTGTTACATGCTGATGACCATTGCTGATAGCTACCCATACACAGTAAATCAAAAGCAAGGCCCCCCTATCCATCCCTCTTTAGTTGTTATGGGGCACATCTGCAGCGTGTGTCTTGCGAGGCACGTAGTCCATGCCCTGTTTCTCGCCTGTGTTGGCACCACTTTTCGAATGCTCCTTCCTCGCTTCCTTCTCCTCTTGCTTCATCTGCTGCTTGGCCTCACTCCTGCTTGACGGATCCTCTGCTCCAATGTTAGAAAGCTCATGTAGTTCGAAACTGTTCTGGGAGTAAATAGGAAGACGGTACTTGTTCCCTCGGGCATTGGATTACTCGGCATGTTGGAAGAGTCGATGATATACTATATGAGATGAACTCTGAGATAGGTAACTAAGTCGTGTGACTAAACCTGGTGGACTGTGTCGATGTGAAGTGAGGTTTGATTACTCCTCGATGGTGACGGGTTGTTCGCCCGAATAAGGTCCTATTTATCCCCCGGATGGTCTCAATGACGATGTCTGCGGCGTTGGGGAGGATGATGTCATGACATGAGGATTGCTCCATCCCAGCGTGACGATCCCTCTTCATGCATGAGTCCACCTTACCCCAACATCCTGTGGGCAAACGGGGTGATTTTGACATTCCAGGCATTCTTGTGGCTATAAATCAATGGGATAACAGTCAATCCCAGGAATTGGCATGCACCCTCGTCAGCTGTCAGCTGCCAGTCACGATGACAATGGCCCTGCAGGCTGCAGCAAATTACTACCTAGGTGAACTTGTTTTGATTTACGTGTTCTGCTCTCGAGTACATATTCCTATTCGCTACGAGGCTGCCCCTCCATCATCGTGGACCGTCTCAACAGGAACGACATTGCGACATACGTAGGGCAAAGGTTCCGGCTGAGGATGGCAGGTGCGGAGGCACAATCGCCGCGACTGCGGGATGCCGTCGTGCATAAAGCGCGGCGGAGTGTTCTTATGGGTGCATCTTGTGGTGGAAGAGCTGCTCGAAAAAATGGGAAGAGGGAGCAAACCTGACATCCTGGATCGAGAGGGTCGACCTCCTGCCCCAGGAGCTTAGCGATCTCTTTGCGCAGATGCTCGAAGCTCAATCCCAGGAGTCGAAGGGACTGACGTTGCGGCTCTTTCAATGGGCCACCCTCGCTGTCAGGCCTCTTGCGTCTCCACGAGTGGCACCACATCCTGGCCTTCATCAGGCGGCCGACACCGTCATCGCTACAACAATGGCGGCTTTCGGAACATTTCCACCGAGAACGACGATCAGCTCGAGAGACAAATCAGGCGCCTGTCAAGGGGGCTGTTGGAGGTGACCAACATGGCAGCGGACGCAGAGGAAGAGCTGCTTGAGTCCTCCCCCAACATCAGACACACCTCCTGTGTCGCCCGTGTCCGATGCCTCCTCAGTGGAGACACGAGTTCTGGAAGACTATCCAGCACTTCTCTTCTATGCCTGTCGTGAGCTGTTCACTCACGTCACGATGGCCCAATCCTCAACGGTCGATGTCCGACCTGTCCTTGCACGACTTGGCGAGAAAGAAACCTGGACCCGTTGGATGGCTCTCAGCGAGCTGGACCTGCTAGGGGACACAACGATGGAGAACTATCTTTGCGAGCTGGGGCTGAGTAATAGCTTCGCTTTGGAGTCGCCGGGGAAGCGAAAGAGCGAAGAGAACTGGGTCGACATTGTCGACGCGGAAGAAAGAAGACGTATCCCAAACAGAATCCCGGAGCGGAGATTCGGTGAGTGGCATCCCATGGCCAACTCGCGGCGGCACTTGAATCTAATCAGCAAACTCCTATCAGGGACGAGACATCAACTAAGAGAGCAGGCTCAGTCAGGTATTGTCCCGTCGGATGACAACGGTCAGGTAGCTCACGCCACTGCCCGCATTGCCAATAGCTACCCTTTTCCTGTCACCTCAGGTCGGCCCGTGCCGTCCGAGTCTAGCACAGGTGAGGGCGCGCCCTTGCGGAGACAGGGCAGCGTTGCGAGTTTCGGTTCGCGTTATGGGAGCGTCGCAAGTTTCTCTCTTCTGCTGGAAGCTACAACAAATAAGTCGACTGACTGTAACCGACATCATGACATGCCATCTAAATCCTAGCCTCCCCGGCCCCGGCACTGAATCTCCCACTCATCACGCGATCAACGCTGCCCCAAGACGCACCCGCGGCGCCGGCCCGCCCTTGCGCGGACCACCATCACCCCTCCTCTCTGGGCCGTACACACCGCCAGGGGAGCCGGCCGCAATGGACCGCACCTCGTCAAACCCCTGCGTTCCCATGTCCAGCCCGACAAGGACACTCTGGGCCGAGGCGAAGGTGGCACGCGCCGTCTGCACCGCCATGGGGTCCTCATCCTTGCTAGCAGTAGTACCTACGTCGCTCGCCGTCGCCGTGACCAAGACCACCGTGTCGTCCTCAGCAGATCGCGAGTCCATCACAACAAAGAACCTGTTCCGGGGCACGCCCAGCTGCTCCGCCACCTCGGGCACGGACATGCCGATGAAGGGCGAGGGCGCCAGGTCCGCGGCGGAACTGGGCGTCGTCGTCCTGGTCGTTGTTGTTGTTGTTGTTGTTGTTGTCATACTTCCCACGTTGTCGCTGCTTCCACTGTCATCATTCTTCCCGCCTGGGAGGACGATAAGGCACGGCCCAAGACCCGGGGCGAGCTTCTCGCTCTCGGCGTAGGTGACGGAGAGGAAGCGGTCGATTACCTGTTGTGGCGGGGGTGATTTTGGGGTTTTTCCCTTCTGTTAGCGAATTCGAGGCAGAAGAAGAAAAAGGTGGGGGGGGTGTTTGGTTGCCAGAAGTTCAATCTACAGGGGAGGAACGCACAGCGGACGGGATTTCAGCTGTGCGGCACACTGCGAAGGTAGTCATTATTCCACGTTTTGCCGAGCCGCGTTGGGCTGTTCGCTTAGGTTACTGCAAGTTGGGGGCCTCTGTCGGATGGGATGGGTAACGTGTCCTGGAGAGCGGTGTAAAAAGTACCGTAAGTACGTGCTGTCGAGTGAAGCGCTTCAATTTTGGAGCAGTTGGCTGCGTTGGCTGGCGCGAGATATGCGTTAGGATCTCGCGCACGTGATGTCACTCCACAGCCTAAGGTATGCTCACCGAAGGAGCTGCGGGCCGTTTTGCGAGGTAGCTAACGGGTGAGGAGCCATCATGTATCAGGACTAGTAGAAGAAGTACTGGTGTACCTCACATGCCGCATATACAAGTAGAACCACGGTCCCGCTCTTTCTAGAGTTGGGTCAGTATTCGGCTCAATTACTGTGCTATGATGAAGAACGACATCTGATCCTCTCCACCGCATTTGGCTCTCGAGATGTCTAAGTCAAGCGTGCTGTCGCTGACGAGCTTATCTCACCATTCCACCCCTCGACGAGCTCTCACTATTACGTGACTGGGGCAGCAGTTCAAATCTGACTACAAAGCAAGTTACAGAGACGCTGGCAGATAGATGACCATGCCGTTAACCCAATCTACAATATCCAAATCAACATTCACTTTCACTCCGCCCGCTGAATGCCACGCACAACGATACTCGCCCTAACCGTCGCCCCGCCACCGACCTCGAAGGTGTCCGCAACGCACATGCCCTCGGCGCCCACCACGTAGTGGAAGGGCACTTCGGCGTGGCCAACCTCCTGCGCGCCGTTCACGAGCGAGATCCGGAAGGTGCCCGGGTTGGCCAGCATGTCGGCCGTCAGCGGGATGCGGAAGGCCTGGTCGAACGAAGGGTTGAAGATGTCGGTGCCGGGCGTGTACGTCTTGACGGCCGTCTGGAAGGTCTTGTCGCCAAGCGCCACCTTGACGCTGGGCTGGAGCTCGTCGCGGTTGCCCTGCAGTCCGAGCGCGCTGGCGATGAGAACCGTGGCCAGACCGCAGATCAGGCCTTGACCTTGGCCCTCGCCTTGGCTGGCCGCGGCAGAGAGGGCGTTCGCGTCCGACACGAGGTGGTAGAACTGCGCGTGCACGGTCAGGCTGGCGCCCGTGGGCTGTCCCTGGTGGCTGAGCGGCAGCTCGTGCGAGCCGCCGTTCAGCAGGATCTCCTTGACCGTGGTCGAGCCGAGCCCGATGTCGTCGTCGTCCGTGGTGTCGTCGTCTTGCACATCGCAGAAGATCTGCTGCTCGAAGTCGGCGACCAGGAAGTCGTGTGTTTCGTTCCACTCCGGATTGTGGTTGTTGTCCACGACCGACGTCCTCCACTCCCCCTCGGCCCCGACTTTGACTTTGACGTAGCAGTCCGGCGTGTCCTCCAGCTTGACCTTGGCCATGAGCCGGGACATGCCGCCCTTGATGCCTCCCTTCTTCTTGTCGGGCGTGGAGATGTTGGTTGCCCTGCCGACAGTGAGCCGCAGAACGCCCTGGTGCGGCTGGTACGTCTTGAAGTAGTCGTTGTTGTTGTCCATCTTGACGAGGAAGCGGTTGGGGAGCACGGCCATGCCCTCGATGATACCGATCATGGTGCGGCGGATCGTGCCGGACAGCAGCGCCGAGTCGAGAACGTTGGCCGCGTCGGTGAAATCAAGTTCCAGGCTGGGCGGGTTGATGAATGCCACCTGGGCTGCGCCGACCTGGGGAGCCGTGTGTCAGAGTGCGATGGGTGAGTACAATACCTGCTGGTAAGTGAGAGCGCGGGGACACGCACCAGGGGAACGACGTTGATCAGGGGACAGAGCAGGACGCTGATTCTGCCCTTCATTCGGACTTTCTCGATGCCCTGCATGTGTTCCACTCCGGTTAGCCACGCTTTGGGCCTTTCAGTAGTAAACGTAGTAAGTAAACTATTATGATCAGTGTGCAATGAACGTACAACTTTGGGAACCATGCTCCCGTCCAGCTCGATATCGCACACCCCATCCCAGTTCAAGTCCATGTCGAGCTTGATGCCCTGCGTCGTCGTCTTGTGCACGTCGACATTGGAAAAGCGAATGGGCACGTGCCCGAGATCGATCTTGACGAATTTGAGGTTGGAAAGGGGGCTGGGGAGTGACGATGTGAGGATGGGCTCGACAGTTTCCTTCACCATGTTACCAGCGTAGACACAGATGTTAGGCCATAGCTGTTCGACAATGTCATTGAGGAAGCCTGTTCCGTGAGCATTCATTCCAATCGATACTAGTACGCAGCAAGGATGGCATGGCGTTGAGTGTGCCATATCTCACCTGCTGGTTCCGCGCCTCCAGAGGCGGTCAAGGTATCGATAAGTGACTGGGGCGCTGCCATAATTTCGACGTAGGTAGTATCCGTGTGTCAGATGGCTTCCAGGGTAAGTAGGCAATACTGTCAAAGGAGTACTAGTAGTAAGCGGGATAAGAATAGGGAGGTGAACGACGGGAGTAGTGATGTGAGGAGGCAGGTGAGCAGAACCCGACTACCCAAGTAACCCAGCTGCCAAGTGCCCAAGCTGCCCAACATCCGCTGGTTAGGTGTCTAGTGTAAACGAGGGTCTGGTTGTACTCCGGGGAATGACGTAAATGCGGGATTTGACCCCGCGTGAAACCCACATGTTGTGAAGCCACAGACACGAGCCAAGCATTTGAAACAAGGGACAAAGTTGGCGGATTTTCAGTACTGAGGTAGTATACTAGTACGTGTCACGGTATCATACATGCTGTGAGGGTTAGGGCTTCCCTGGCCTGCAGACGATTAAAGGTGGTAATGATGAGGTCGTCAGTTCGATCCTGGCTGTCGGCAGCGGATTGTTGGAAGTGCATCGGATCCCTCTGAATGACTTTGAATTGGTTGATGATGCCCAGGATCAAACCCACGATGGGTGTCTACATAAGCTAGCGAATAATGTGCCACGCGCTTATGTAATGCATGTCCTCTCACCCCTGCCGTAGCCATATTGAGCAACAAGCTACACAGTACTAGCCACTAGCCAGCCACGGTGGCCTGGGGTGGAGCCTTCTGTTCTTACAAACAATGCCCAGTGGACTCGGAAGTTTCACAACACCACGACATGCATCACCAATCCATTCATCCCACATACATAGGCGATAGGTAAAACTACCAACCACGGGACCCACATATAGGATAGCTAAACCAAATATATTGATGTTTTCTTCATTCAAGCTTCTTACGACGAGTGTTAGCAGCTGAGTCACTGAGTGTAACTTGCCAGTGCCTGCAGCCTAGGTAGTAAGGTCCTCATACCTGAACTTCAACCGTGGATCTTCCGCGCTAGAAGACAGACACCCACGATTCCACAGTCACCACGCAATGACAGCCTAGAAGATTAAAGAGTTTTAGATTGCCCGAGGCGCAGCCCAGAGTAAAACGATGAGACTAAGGACCCATCGATCATGATTGATTGCAAGAACATTACTCTCCAATAACAGCGGCAGCATCAATTGTCGGAAAACGAAAGAAGGGTTACGGGTGCCGCCTCGGAGCAGGAGAGGACCGGCAAGCGAGGAACGGCAAGATCACAAGGAGCACGCCACGACAGCAACAACTTGGAAATGAATTGGAGACTGGAGGGTATCATGTTTGAATTCGCTAGAGGGAACCGAGGGAAGCATCGCCCCAGCAACAGCTTGGGAACAAACTGAGTAGTATCGTGGTTGGATTTACTACCTCATTGAATAACTAGCCCCAATAAAAGATGAACCAAAACCGACCAAAACCAGATCCAAACCAAACCAGAAGTAAACCAGACCGGACCCGACCAATCCAACAGGAACCAAGACCAGAACCAACCAAGACCACCATCAACCAGGACCCGGAAGAGAGAGGCGGCCAAGAGACAAGGCCGAGAGAGGAGCATGCCGGGGCGAGGGAAAAGAACACTCAGGCCACGAATCGCTTGCCGACTTTGGCGGACAGCGGAGCGGGCACGGCGAGCGGGCGGCAGACAGTCTCCACCTTGCCGTAGGCGACCGTCTTCATCATGCCGTGCACGGCAGTCGTCGACGTGCGGCCTTCGGCGATGATGGTCTGACGCCCAGTCCAGCGGACGTTCAGGCGCCCCTCCCAGACGCGAGCCGTGCAGAATACGCCCGGGTTGGACTCGGACAGCGCGATGGTCGTTGACCATCCCAGCGACTCGGTGCGTTTGACCGTCTCGCCCCAGGACTGGGTGGTCCCGCCAGTCCAGCCGACCAAGATGCCCGACTCCAGGAAGGGGACAGTGGCCTTGAACGTCGTCCCGATGTTGAGGGACATGGACGTCCCGAGCACGAACGACGTCTCCCGCTCTACTCCCTGGGAGCCCGAGAAGGTCCAGGAGTAATCGCTCCCGTTCCATATGGCCGAGCCCTCCCGCAGGGTCACGAGCTGGAGCCCGTCCTGCCGCCCAAAGTCCTCGAACACGATGTCGTCGACGTATGACGACGACATGCGCTTGAGGAAGATGGGGGCGATCTGGTCGAGATCGTCCCCCGCGCGGCCCTGGAAGCCGACCAAGACGCCCGAACCGACATCCACAGCGGTCGCCGACAACGAGGCCGTGTTGTCGACCCCGAAGCCCCACGAGCGGAGCGTCGTGGTGATGTCGAGGCGGGCGACGCGAACCGAAGACGAGTTCCCGACCTTCCACAGGGTTGCCCCCGTGATGGTCTCGCCCTCGGCAAAGACCAAGTCCAAAAACTGGTCCTTCCGGACCCCAGCGCGGACCTCCAGACCGTCCGAGAAACCGACGACGAGTCCCCGAAGGTACCCGACCCGCCCATTGTTGCGGTAGACCCGCAACATGGACACGGTCGCGCCCTCTTCACCGAGGATGGTGAAGGGGCGGCCCCCGGAAGACGAACCGACGCCTTTGGGAGGGACGCAGAGGTCCGGGCTCCACTGGGCGGCGAGGGCGGCCGGGGGGAAGACGGCGGCGACGGAGAGACAGACCACGACGACACGGGTCCGAACCAACGAGGCGGCACGAGAGAAGACCGGCCCCGCGGCAGCGACAGAGGCGACAGCAGCGCGCGAAAGCGCGAGGAGAGCGAAGGCCACCAAGGCCGCAAAAACCGAGAAGGTCGTCATGACTTTTCTTTTTTCTTTTTTTCGTCTGCTTCATGTTAGCAACACTGTCGGACATATGCGAAGGGTAGCCGGGCTGGGGGTGGGCGGATGGGCAGAGGGGAAGACGGCGATGAGGGAGAGGAAGAGTAAGGCCGGGAAGAGAGTCGCGGGGAGAAAACCGACGACGACCGCCGCGAAGGCGAGGCAGGGGAGGCCTGAGGCGGCAGACAAGGCTACCAGGGGAACAAAAGAGAGGGAGGCGAGTGCAGACTTACGAAAACCCAAGAATCTGTCTATGGTGAGGAAAGGGAAGAGAAGAGGTCTGGGGGGTCTGGGGAGGGAATGCCTCAATATATACTCTTGGACAGAGCATGTCATCGGCCAGAGCCCATCCCACGACACCGAACGATTACGCTTGACCACGCGGCGCTTTACCATTTTCGAATGTTTACATCGCAACATTTGCCTCCCAAGCCCGCCGCACCAACACCCTCTGATGCATGTCAAAGTCTTGTGACCATACCCAGGTACGCTGTTTACACGGCGCTTTACCTCTTTGAGCGCGCAGGCTCGTAATATTTCCTTCAACCACCCACACCACCAATCACCGCCGGAACTGTATCAAGGTCTCTAAGCATGGTTTTGCTGTGAGTAAACTTTTTGCGTGCTGCGGATTCGCAAGATGCCTCGCAGTAACTGCTCGCCACTCCGCACCATCAACGACCGTGTGGCCCGTCTCATTGAGGTCGTGTGACCATGTATGTACTTACTCCGACCAATCCACTTGCATGAAGGTTTGGACATGTTCCCCAAGAGGAAACCTTCATTAGACGTCATCCCAGTTGGACTCTCGTCGAACACCATCTTCTGGCCTATCAGAGATGTGCGTCTATACCCGAAGCAAGGCACTCATTCCCCCCTTTCCCATGCCCCCTTTTCCATCCCCCCTTTTCAGTGTTTACTTTTGATCAGACGGTGGGTTTTCAAACCAAAACGTCGCCGGACACTATTTTCAGTCTCTCAAACTTCTGTGTCTGCACCCACGGAGAGACGTCCGTCCTCTTTCGTTGTTTCCTTTTGCGGAGCACACATTCAACTGCCACTTAATATTAGAAGGACAAAGGCAAAAATGGATGCACCCGGGATCGAACCGGGGACCGCTCACGTGCGAGGCGAGAATCATACCACTAGACCATGCACCCAACTTGAACTTGGGGTTACATATAGTACTCTTCCCTCTTCAATGGACGTGGAAGATACAGCTAATCCTCCTCCGTGGACTTCCATCGGGGTATATGTGAGACCGTTGGCGGGAATTTCATCAGACGGTAGTTGCCTGGCCATAATTAACGTGAAAACCGTTGTCACGATTTTCTAGCCCGTCAAAACAAAAATGTGTGTCTACCCACAGTGGTATGTCCATCCGTACCCCTTTCGTTAGGTTGTTGACTTTCTGTGTTGACAAACATGTATTGCCACACGACCACTGACGTAGAGGGCCTTAGGCGTATACGACAACATTAATTGATCAATTGGAACCAGAACATCATTCGTAGGTACGGAATACGTACCGTACTTCTCAGCCAATCAGAAATCTACGAGTATATCCCAAAGATTGGCGGATTCGCTGCAGTTTGGTTGTTTTGGTTTATGCTCGGTCTTCTGTTGCCGGGTCTTGCGCTAAAGCAAAAATGCGGTCAACCACCTCATCGGCTTCATTTGCTTCCCCAAGCATGGTATGCCTCGAGGTATTTGAGCCATAACGCTGAAAACTGCCGGTGCTGCTACGATTAGGAAAGGCTACCTACCCCTTTTCGTATGTATTTCTGACATTCTGTAGGGTGGATACCTGTTGCCATGGCAACACAGAATAGGGGGATCGATGAATGGCAATACGGATACCTCGTGTTGCTAAGGTATCTAGCCATCTCGGCGAACAACCTGGTAACAAACAATGGTGATAGATAGAAGAGAGCGAGGACAATTCGAAGTATGCCAACCGGGTTCGCGAACCGGAGATCGAGATGGCTTCGCCGTTCTAGAACTGGCCCCTCGCACCTCAGTCCAACTCGACCGCCAAGAAATATTTCAAGCCCTAGAACATCCATTGATTGTACAATACGAAGTAAACATACCTTCAAGTTGGATCGCGCGCAAACAAAACAAGCATGAAGAAGGAACGACGGAATCTGACAAACTGCTAATAGGGACCCAGTCACAGATGCTCGGCCCGGGTTACTGGTCCTCGGCGCCATCGAGTCTTACGGAAAATGACAGCAGAGAGCATGGCCCATCCGGCGAGAGAATGAGATTAAGGGCTTTCGTGGTCCTATCCTCCGGTGCTACGCCCGGCCGGCCGGCAGGTCCAGGGTCCAACGGCTCTGCTCGCTCCGGGCCGGCGATGAACATCTACACTGTGTCTCGGCTGTGGAGCCCGCACGGGAATTAAGGAATAACCCGATATCCGGAAGGAACATCGGGGACCTGGAGCAGCTACCGTCTGCACAAATCGGAATACGGTATCTGCCGGGGGTCTGTATGGACTGGACGGATTCTGCTAGGCCCAGACAGGGCTTGGACCTCCGTCATGGCTGTACTGCATTTTTGAGACATCCATTATCTCGTAGACTCGTACCTTGGCAGATTGTGCGACCTCAAGGTGGTAGCAGGCTAGCAGCCAAGGGGTTCTTTATATTTGCAGGACTGGTGACTCGAGGACAGTGCTAAGGCGGAGCAACAGGACAGGAGAGTGCTGGATACTATGCCATGTTGTCCTAGGTAAGGTAGCTCGCGAAAGCTTGCGGAATGCATAGAGGATTATTCGCGCGTAACTCGGGATCTCGTTACCGTGCTGCGTCGTGCTGCACGACCAGGCTGGAGGCCACCTTCCGCGGCCAGGGCGACACCAATGGCAAGAGAGCATCGAGACGAGGCCGAAGCTCATTGGCAGGTACCCCGCTCAGTCGGCATTCCGATAAGAAAAAGAATTCAAAGTGCGTGCAGGAACCCCCAAACCAAGTGGATAAAATTGGCCAAACCTTAGACGAAAAAGAGGGCATTTTTTTTCGAGGAGCTGTGCGTTTATCGATCCAGCCGCAAGAACCATGCGATGCCGGCTGTCGTTCCCCAGTCCCGCGCTCCATTCAGAAGGACGGAAAAGAGTGGGCATCAGGATGGCTTGCTAAATCTTTGAGCCAAAACTGACTACTCCGGTATCCGTGGACCGTACATACACCCCTAGGCTAAAGAAGAGCACATTGTCACACCCTCGAGACCGAAGCCTAAGGTAGGTAATAAGACTGACATCAGCGTACTAAACGCATTGCAGATCCCAGAAGCCCATTGCAGCAAAGTCAGAAGTTTGTCTGACTGTCTAGCCTAGCTCAGTGCTCAACCTTGAGGCTTGATCTCGTACAGTGACGTGTTCCCCCACACAAGCCACCTGCTGTTGTGCTTCCCCAGTCAGCCTAGTCGCGCCACGGCACGATTCCACCAGCTTAGCGGTGCAGAAATGGCTCGGAATGAGCGCTGCAATTCTCGTGCGACTATTGTAACGCAGGCCTGCAGGACCGGTTGAGCGGCATGCCAGAGGAGGCCGGAAGCTGCCCGACCTCCCTGTTCTCCCACCCCACGCGGCCTCGCCCAAACACACCCCCCCGCCCTTCTTGTTTTACATAGCAAGGGATTAGCCGCCATCCACTCACCTGGCACGCGCCGGGCACGCCTACCTTAAGTTATTCTCTTGCTTGACTATCAGATGACAACCGGCGACGTCACGGCTCCGGCGACACCAGTCAATCCGAGCTCGCGCGCCTCGACATGGCTGCCGCCCACCCGCAACAACCCTCACTAGTTCCATTACAGACTCTTACCTCGGAAGAAGGCTGCTTCGCGACGACACCGGACAGGAAGTACTACCGCCGCGGCAATGCCTTCATTAAGCGCTGCCTGCGGCCGCGCGAGTTCCTGCCCGGCCCCCAAGGGATCCACATACCGCGGTTCCGCAAGGAGTCGCTCAAGAACGAGGCCGACACGCTGCGCTTCATCCGCCGGTACACCGAGATCCCCGTGCCCATGCTGTTCGCCGACTTCGAGGACGACGACGCCTACTACCTCATCACCGAGTACGTCGAGGGCGTCAACATGGCCGACCTGCCCGAGCACCAGAAGGACGTGGTCATCGCCGAGCTCGAGGGCCATCTCGCCAAGCTGAAGGAGCTCCGGTCACATCGCATGGGCGGGCCCTCGGGCATCGTCATCCCCCCGTACCGCGTGCTGTGCGAGACCGAGAGGGAGGACTGGTCCCAGCTGCGGCCCGCCGAGAGCAGGGTCTATGTCTTCTGCCACAACGACTGCTCGCAGCACAACATCATTGTCAACCCGACCACGCTCAAGATCGCCGCAATCGTCGACTGGGAGTATGCCGGCTTCTACCCGCCCTACTTTGAGTTCCCCTTCTACAAGCGCAACGGGCCCTCGGTGGCCCTGGGAGAGGAGGAAGACGATACCTTTGAACTGCTCAACTTCCTGAATTCGCAGCTGGTGTGGGAGGTGAGAACGAGTCGAGGCAACCCGCTCCGTGCGATTCGAGCGTTCCTGTTACTAACCACGACACGGCCCAGGACCAAAGCCGGTCTCCTGTTTCAAGATGAACGAGCAAAGATGCCTTGTGTCCCAGTCAACATCTCTCCTCTCAGTTGTCAGACATCGCGGTCGCGTGTTGTTACAGTGTGCAGAGGTCAGAGGCAGAGGCAGAAAAAAAAGTGTAATAGTGAGTAATGAAGGTGATGTGCCCAGCTAAGCCAGGGAAGGTTTATATGTTGGGAGGGCTGGAAAGCCATACTGAATATAAAGACAACAAAGATCTTTAGCAGTTCGACACGTCTTGATGTGGGACAGCCATCGGATGACAAGAGTTTCCCTCTTGCGCCTTAGGAGATCTCCAATCTGTGGCGCCGGTTATGTCCATCAGTGGTTTCTCGTGCCCGGGCCTTGATGCCCCAGTCTACTTACGCCTTGTATAGATATAAGTTTCTCGGAACTGGAGAGCATTTGACGTCGCATACGGCCACTTACACCACTGAAATCCACCTAAATATACGGGTCCGTACCTCCTATGGTATGAACGGAGATGCATAAAGTCGTAGCACGTGGCGGACAGTAGGGCCCAAAGAATGACGGCCATTCATTTATTTCTTGTGTCTCGCCTTTCATTTTTGCTCGCTGTGCCGACGTGATATATGAAGGACAGATCTATTTGAAGATATAGTAGACTAGGTACCTACTAGATAGGTAGGTGAGTGGCAAGACAGTACCATTTTAAACTCTGTAGAAATGGTCACTACCCTCTGCAATAGTGACATGACTACGTCCAGAACCAGACCATAATTCAAGGGGCATTCTTAATCTCAAGGTAGGTAGTGAACCAAAGGATCCTGTTTCCAGACGCCGACGCTTTATCAGATCCAAAATCTAGCAGCCGGCCAGAACAGTGCTAATTAGGACCAGCCAGCCTCGGACGAATTGGGCGCCGGGATGCAGGCGCCTGCTTCCCCATATGAGGCTTTTGTCCCACCACAAGCAGAAAGGAAGAGGCTGTCACGGTTATCGCAGCAGGGTTCTTTCTATATCCACAGCTCCCATGCAGAAGTCTATGTTCATGCAGGCCCGATAAGGAACCGTCAACCTTGCAGCCTCGTCCCGTATGCTCTGTACCAGACGGGAAAGCATTTCTGTAATCACTGACATAGACATTGGTATGTACCTACCAGGTACTTACGTATGTGTGATGGAAAGAATATATGTTGTTGACGGAGAGGATGTTCGTACAGACCGTATGGCATACGGACAACGTCAGTACTGACCGAGGGAGCGGTCGTACTGACTGTAGAGACTTTCCGCATTCGTACAACTGGAAACATGCCTTATTATCTGTCATGGCTGTGACATTATTACCTATCTCCTCGCAATTCATAGCGTACCAAATATTTTTCTCTGGGAATGGTCTCTATGCACGGAAGAGTCCGCCTTCTATAGCCCGAAGCAGATGTTGTCGACGGCTGCGGCGCGGGGAATAAGAAGCACTGTGTTGTATTGTACCTAGCAACTCCGGTTCCCACGAGGTGTCAAAGCATCCCAACTCGTCAATTCAACTACCGTGATGAGGGGTACACACCACACTCGAAAGCAGTTTAGTGGTCAAGCGTGCTGCACGGTTCTAGTGCGATGGGCACCTTCATAGTAAAGAGCGTCGTTACACAACGCGTTACACTTACACAACGCGTATTGTAGCTACTATAGCTGGGTTGGAATGACCTTGCAGGTATTGCCCCCCTCTGATCCTTTCCCCCTTCCATCATGCGTCGATTGGATATGAGTTTCGCAACGTGCACCAGACACGGGCTGGATGGCACCTCGCCCACCACGGGCCGCGCATGGTAGGAAACTCTCGGGGAGTCGGGGGGAAGGGGGTGCAGGCCCACGGAGGTGTTGAAGACATTAAATAGTATGCCGTCGAGAGCTCGCTCGCCCGGATGACGCGACTCGAGATGCTCACACGGGCTCGCTTCACTTGCCGAGTGACATCTGCTGTATCTACTACTACATACTTGCCAGGAACCACGGTTGTGATGGCATCTTCTGCAGAAGCCGTCGACCATCTGGTCGCCTTCAGATACGGGCTCTGGATACTCACCCGGTCGCATTGGTCGTGGCTGGCCGCAGCTCTTGTTTTCCCTCTCTCCCTCTTCGCATGGTTTACCATCTCATGGGCGACCTCTCCGTTGCGGAGGTACCCCGGTCCACTGCTTGCTGGTACTGCCCCGAAGTCTCGTCGCGTGTCATTGTCCGTCAGACGTTCTACTAACCGCCCCCTTAAATCAGGATACAGCAACTTGTGGCGCCTGGCTCAAGTCTTCAGTGGCCGCTATCACTTGACCATCAAAGAGCTGCACGACAAATACGGCCCCGTCGTTCGCATCGGGCCCAACACGCTGGATCTCGACTACCCGGAACTGATCAAGACCATCTACGGCACCGATGGTAGATGGCGAAAGGTAGGGAGGGGACGGGACTCGAAGACGACGCCGGCGGTCAGCTAACACGTAGCACTCAGACTGAGTTTTATCACAATAATTCCACCATAGTCAATGGCAAGACAACCTTCACCGTCTTCAGCATGACCGACCAGGCCGAGCATGCGCGCATGAAGCGGCCCGTCGTCAAGTACTACAGCCTAAGCCATGTGCTGGGCATCGAGCCGCACATGGACACCGTCATCAGCGACCTGCTGGGTCACCTCGACAGGCGGTTCGCCAACACCAACAAGGAATGTGATCTCGGCGAGTGGATCGCCTTCTGTAAGGACTCCAAATAAACATAACTCCCCAGCCCGCAGCGCAACCCTTTCCAACACACTCGCTAATTCCGAATGTTCGGAAACCCCACCCCCCAAAAGTCGCCTGGGACTTTATCAGCAGCGCCAGCTTCTCCCGACGCTACGGGTACATGGATGCAGGGCACGACTTCGACGGCACCATCGCCGCTGCCGACAAGACGCTGAACTACTTCTCGGCCGTCAGCCAGATCCCCTGGCTGGACTACCTGCTCGACAAGAACCCGGTTCTGCGCATCGGCCCGCCCAACCTGGCCAACGCTACGCGGATCGCCCTCGAAGCCCTCACCTCCCGCATAGCGGCGACGACGCAGACGCAAGGAAGAGGCAAAGACATGTCAGAGTGCGAGTCCGAGTCAAAGTCCGAGTCAGGGTCAAAGTCGGACTACCTGCAGCACTTCCTCGCCTGCAAGACGACCTACCCGGACCTGGTCGACGACAACGCCGTGCTGGGGTACCTGCTCATCAACGTGCTCGCGGGCGCCGACACGACGGCCATCACGCTGCGCGCCGTCCTGTACTTCACGCTCAAGCACCGCGAGACCGTGTACCGCCGACTGGCGGCCGAGGTGCGCGCTGCTGCTGCTGCCGCCGCCACGGCCCGGTTCGACTCGGCTCGGCCGGCGCCCTACGCCGCCGCGCGGCAGATGCCGTATCTGGAGGCGGTGGTGCGCGAGGCCATGCGCTGCCACCCGGCCGTGGCCATGCTGCTGGAGCGGTATGTGCCCGAGGGCGGGCTGGCGCTGCCGGACGGGTCGTCGTGCGTCCCTGCCGGCACGGCCGTGGGCATGAATGCCTACGTCGTGCAGCGGAACAGGGCCGTGTGGGGCCCGGACGCGGACGACTTTCACCCGGAGCGGTGGTTGAGGGCTGATGATGGGGAGACCGAGGCGCAGTATAGGGTCCGTCTGCAGAAGATGAACGCGGCCGATCTGACGTTTGGCGGCGGGTCGAGGGTCTGCATCGGCAGGCACCTGGCCTTGGTCGAGGTGTACAAGCTTGTGGCGACGTTGCTGAATCGCTACGACATGGAGCTGGCGCACCCCGAGAGGGAGTGGACGGTGACGAACCGTTGGTTTGCGAGGCAGACCGGGCTGATTGTGAAGCTGCGGCTGCGGGAGTGAGGGAGGGCAGGGGACCGGAGTGGCTGGGAGATTGATGAAGGACCAAAGTTGTTGTGTAGAGGGAGCCTGGAGGGGAACCCTGGAATCCTTGATCATCGAAACACAGAAGTGGTATCGACGTTATGCTAACTGGAATGCAACATCTCATTGTATGTACGATATGCAATTTGGATTGCCAGCGAAGTATGTACCTACGTGAATCAAACTGTCCCGACTATGCAATAGCGGAGGGGAGAAGGCACCAACCTCGCAGCTGAGCTGCAGCCTACAGGTCGATAACTTCAACCGCCACTTGCAATTGCCCACCTCTCACATCCTAAATTCCAGATCGAAACCAGCCAACCCAGAAAATGTGAGAATCTTTCTTCTCCGCAATTAGAAAGTCAGCTTAGCGCCAGCCTCCGCCGGAACCGTCGAGGCCACCTTGGACGATCCAAGCAGCGTGTACTTGTAGCCGAGCGAGTTGGCCGAGAAGCTGCCGGCCGGCGCGTCGTTGGTGCCGCCGCCGAGGTCGTTGTCGTTGAGGGTCGCGTAGCCAACCTCCTTCGAGTCGCGGCTGGTGACAGGGAAGTCGACGTTCTTGAAGACGTTGCTCTCGACCAGCGCGTTGGCGCCCATGCGCGTGTTGATGGCCGTGCTGCCGTTCTCAAAGTACGAGTTGAAGATGTGCGCGGTGCCGAAGCGCAGCAGGGGCGCGCGCGAGTTGATGTTCTTCCACACGTTGTTGGCGTAGGTGATGTGGAGCTTGCCCTTGTCGTCGGCCGCGTTGTTGTCGCTGTGCCCGACCAGGGACGCCTTGAAATGGTCGTGGAAGTAGGTGCTGCAGGCGGGGGGGGAGTGTGCGTGTGAGTAGAGGGTGCCAAATTTGCAAGGGGCAGGATTCAGGAATTGACTAATGGGCAAGGTAAGGAAAGGTACTAAAGCTCACTTGGAGATGGTGATGAAGTCGGATCCGTGCGAGGAATCAACCAGGCCGTCGTAGAAATCCTTGTCGTGCGTCGTGTCCGAGAAGAACTCGCAGTGGTCGACCCAGACGTTGGTGCTCTCCTGGTACGATGTCAGTCGGTCGTGGTCCTCTCAGTCTCAAGCAGCAAAAACATGGCAGCATCGCCATTCATCGCACCTCGATCTTCAGCCCGTCGCCATTCTTAGCCACCACGAACGAGCTGACAATGTTCCGCACAATCAGATTGCTTTGGCGCCGGAAGTGAAGGCCGATCCCCTTGAATCCCGACCCAGGGCTGGCCCCAATGATGGACTTGTTGCTGCCGACGCGAACCTTGGTGTTCCCCTCGATAACGCCCTTCACCACAACAACGGCCGGGTCGCTGTTCTTCTCGTTGACCGCGGCCGTGAACTGGGCAAGAGTCGAAACCGTGGTGGTCGTGCCGCCTGCACCGCCCTTTGTGCTGCACCCGACGCCGACACGAGTCAGCAAAAGCCATGTCTGTAGCGACTCGCCATTCTCTCGTATCTTACCCTCCATTGAGACTGGCATATCCAATGTTGGCCGCATCCGTGATGCTTGCCCTCTTGGCCACTCGGGGCGATCCTGCCTCTGGCAGAGTCGGGGTGGGTGAGGCCGCCGCGAGGGCGAGAAGAGAAGTGAAGGCAAAGAATTTCATAGTGAGTGTTTGGAGTTGGAGGCTACTACTAGTAAGTACGAATATAATGATGGTGAAGAAGAAGTGAAGTCAGCGGTTGGGCAGGGTTAAGGGACGGGGAAGTCGTGAACTAGTGTCTAGTTAAATAGAATTCTATAACCGTGTTTCCGCAACGGCATCTTCTTCTTCTGTCCCTTACTCCGGTTGCTCCGGCGGAGAATCCCTGAGCGCCATTCGGCTGTCTCCCTCCGCGTTCGCCTACAAGACCAGGTGATCGCCAGTGTCAAAGGGTGCATTGCGCATCCGTACTGACCGGCGTATCCGTATAGCGGTACACTATGTAATCTGTGCAGCGGCGATGATCGCCCTCCGATCCACAGTGGAAAGTATCCGATACCGCCAAGCTCGCGTACCGCTCGTCTGTTTGATGTTTCAAGTTCTTTCCCCACAACTCTCGCGATACATTCCACCATGTACGGAGTATTGTACACGCCATCTGATGCTACCCCCATGCCGAGATCCTAGCGCCTCCTTTAATGTTTATACGTCAGGGGATCCGGATTGGCACTCCCCATCTCCAATTCCCCACCAATCCTGTATTTCTCCGCCCATTCTGCCAACACGAACGCACTAACTGTAGTAGTACATATTCCTGCGATCTCGTCGCTCCGTTCTAACTTCTCCTTGCTCGTCAGGCCTCAGAAGACACCTACTAGTTGAATAGTAGAAGGACGGAACCAGTATCCGCCGTGGTTACGTCGAGATGACGCAGCGCTCTCGTAGTGTTGGTGCGATCAATGCTCCCATCGACTCCAGATGAACTAGGCCCAAGGTGGCCGCGGCGCCACAGGATGAGTCGTGGGTATATTCAGAGAGGTGTCATACTATCATATATGATATAGGGGTCGTCGGTCCTCAGTTTGTGACGTTTTGGAATAGAGCAAGAACATCCAAGACCCATCACGCAGTCCCCAGAGGAACGGTGTGTTGGGTGGGAATATTCTGCGAGGCAAGAAGAATCCGTGCCTTGATGATAGGAATAGCGGATGATAAAATCACGGACCCTGATTGCCTGTTGCAACCGGAGTGTGGTCAGTTAGTAGCCTTATATTTCACCAGCGGAGATGCAGTGTCGGTCTCATTTGGAAAGGGAACCAATTCATCATTCGCAAACGATCTCCTCGTGCCTTTCCCGAATGATGAGCGTACATACCTGGTAGGTACTATCAGCCCATTTCTCGCGCTGCCGAACTGACTCTGCGCCCGGTTTACTAGAAGATCATGCGTACCAGGATGTTGTTATGAAATAGTAGGTCAAGGTTCAATGGTCTGCTTAATACGTATCTGGTAGTTAGTAAAAATACATGTTTATGTGTTCTTTGATGTCTTAGTGCTCCTTCCTGGAATCTGAGCACGTGAATGGGTGCTAATGCACCTGCCTGCTTCTCCATATCTTGCATATAGCGATTAATCAAGATATACGGCACTATCTTCACATTTATCTCCCTGTCCCCATCTTTTCCATCTTCTCTATCTTGGTTTCTATTGACTTTTACTTCCCTTCTTTCTCACCTCATTCCCCTCATTAGTCACCCGTTTCCTTGAGAGTCATACATACACCGAAGATACCTTAGGTAAAGTTACTAGTATATTGAACCTCGCAGAAACAAATCTTCTCAGACTCCCGCGGATTGGGGGCTGTGCGACGACAGAACTGGCAGGCGCGTCTTGGGTCGCACCAACATCTGATTTGCCCATATTGAACCGCTTCTTTCGTTGGTCGGATGGGAGGCAGACACGATTCCCCACCTCTGTAGGCCTCCATGCATGAAGAGGCAGACAGAGTTTCTTATTCGGCCGGGTTTCGGGAGATGGCTTTTGAACAAGTACATACCTCTGGCATAACTCATAAAGCTGCCAGTGTTTCTCATGAGCCAAGTCTTCCTCTTTGCCATTTTTGCGTCCTCGTCGAGCTTGAACACATTCCATCATCAACACGGTCGACGGACCAAGAATGGCGGCGACCTCCAATCCTCAGTACCAACATTTCGTTCCTCAATTTCTGCTGAACAACTTCTCTCACCCGTACAAGCCCGATGGCGAAGGCTCCAGAAGGCGGCGGGGAACCGGGAAGCGCAAGTACGAGAAGGGCATGTTCCCCAAGGATCCCGTCGTCCGCAACCTCGACCTTCTCGCGGACCCGCCGACGATCTGCGAGAAGCCTGTCAAGCGCATTCTGGGCCAGATGAACATGTACCAGGACACCAGCAAGCCGGCGGACCAACAACAGCATGTCGAGAAGCTGCTCTCCCAGCTGGAGATGCGTGCTAGCGAGATATTCCGGAAGATCACCAAGGCATTCGAGCAGAAGGAACCTGGCTTGTGGCTCACGCGCACCGAGCGAAACCTACTCCGCAAGTTTCTTTTCCTGCTCAAGTACCGTGGCGACGGCTTCCGCCGCCGCTTCTTCCATCAAAACCCCGAGGACTACAGCGAGAATGACAGAGAGCTGCTGCGCGAGTACATGGCCAAGCACGGCTTCAAGCGGCCCGTGGATGTTTGGTTCCACAACATCAAGACCATCATCGAGCTGGACATGGACCCCGAAGGAAGGTGGCCCATGGACCTTCCCAAGCGCATGTATCCCGACGATGCTATGTGGTTCTTCTGCTACGAGGCCTTCTCCTACATGGCCATCTGCACCCCTTCCGAGGCCAAGGACGAGTTCATCCTCACCGACAACAGCTACAACGTTTTTGAAGGGCCTAATCACCTCGTCAAGGACGCAAACTCTGGCGAGCTGGGTGCCTCTGCCTACACACCCCTCCACGAATTTGCCCCAATATCCCCCAAGCTCATGATCGTTCTCCGAAGCACCGTGTTGCCCAACCCTCTGGAGGATGCAGACCCCGGGGTCAAGGAGCACCGGGCGTTTCAGCGGTTCCTCACCATCGGCATGGTCTACGACTACGAGGTCAGCTCATTGTTAGCCGACTTGCCCATTGAGAAGGCGGAAAACAACTACACGGAGGTCGTTGATGGTCGGATACGTCTGATCGGCGGCGAAGATGGCGTGCGCCGGAAGGACCACAAATTCTGCTTCAGGTTCTTTCCCATCGGCTCCAAACACGTGCACACCATCAATGGCATTCTGCTCGACAATGCCAGTCCTTGCACCAGCGTGGTATTCGAGTCGCAAGAGAGCTTTGCGAGGACGCTGGAATGGTACCTCACAGCCCCGTGCACCATCGGAAAGAACATTGTCCCTGGGGATGTCGACGGCCGTGGGGCGACCCTGAAGAAGCTGGAAAGCGTGTCGCGCGCCCTTGGATCCGACAAGGAAACAGTCTGGATGGACCTGGAAGGCGTTCCAACCATCGACTACGAGGATTTCCGCGCGAGAAAGCTCGCACAGAAGCGCAAACTCAACCGAATGTTCGATGGAGACGGGAGATCCTTTTTTGAAGAGATGGCGGGGGAGGAATCCCCGGAGCCTGAACCCAACATTCCCGTTGCTGAGCTCTATTCACTACTCGGTGAGTTGTGGGTCAAATATCTCAGAAAAGGCCGCTTTGGCTCTGACAGTCCATTCAGGGGGTTCGATAGTGACGTTCATGGAGGACTTGACACAAGCTCAGCGGATGTGGACGCTTCGAGTCAAAATCGACGCTTGGTCAAGCGGAAAGGTCGACGAGGCAATCCGGCACCGCAACCGTGAGCTGCTCCTTGATGCGTATCTCCGGCTCCCACCACGAAGAATATGGCAGTACATCAGACTCGTCCGCGTCAATGTTCTCAAGATCCACTACAGCATGCCGATGGACGACGGTGAGGGGTTTTCTGGGCCGGAAGACGCTGTGGTGAGAGGTAGGTTCAAGCCATCGAGAAGGGGAGTACTCGGGCAAAAACTCGATTGGTTACTAACACTGACTCTCAATTCCGGCACGTAGCTCACCAGCTCGTCATGCCGGACCGCCTGGCAAGGCTCATTTACATCGCCGGCATGAACAGCATCGACATGCGGACCCGGCCGTGGCTCAATCTATGGCATCCTCTCGCGACGGATGCCTTGCAAACGGTGGGACCGAAGAAGGTCTTCAACGCAACTTGGACGATCCTCTTCTATACCCCAGGTACGGTCCCCATCAACCCCTTGATAGATGCCTTAGATGGTCCTCCACTGACACCGCATTACCGTGTCACTACAGGATACATCAGAGATTGCGGTAAGCTATACATACCCCTTTTTAGAGCGCACTACCCGAACTAACATCCGCATAAGGCATCCCTGAGGTGCAGAGCCTGGCTCGTCAGGCGCAGCTTGAGGTCTTGAGAGCGGGTCTACAGCACAGGGTTGGAAAGGAGATGGCGCTTTTCGATGAAGGGGAACGGGTCGAGCTTCTAACTCGCAGGCGGGTCAGAGGAAGATTCATGGATGCTGTCAAGGGAAGACTGGAGGCCCCGGTGTTGATGGAGCTAAAGACGGTACTTTTCGAAGTAGCCTACCCAACTCCGCCGGAGGGTTAGTCGTGATTTAGAGGGAAGAAGAACGAGTGGGCTCTTCAATTGCCTTACTTTCATCATAGCAGCTTTAGGACAAGCGCTTTGTGTCGAAGAGGGGAAACCCCTATTCCACAGCGGCTGTAACAATCAGTAACAATGTCTTTGTCCAAATCAACCACCACCATGTTCCACCCAACTACCCGCCCTTTCAAGCATCACTTCATCCAGCTACCCCTATAGAACACAGAGCTCAACCCCTTCTTCCCCTTGAAACTTAACAACCACATCAGAGTGCATTACGCTAACCCAACACGGGACGACTCCCATTCGAGATGTGCAACTACACGCTAACAAACCCAGCCGCAGCAGCACACAATTCGGTCAAGGCGCCGTTTCTGTACACTGGAAGCAAAATGGTCAAAGCAAAAAATAGGCAAAAACATACAACACCGAGGATTCCCCAGTGGTCACCCACCTGAGTACTGGTTCGGCCCTTGGTAGCTTGACTAAGGGAGAGCGGACGGGATCCCGTATTTTCTACCAGGTATGGTCGTATGTGCTGGGTTGACGAAGAAAGCAGCATTATATTCCGGAAATGGAAGAGGGAGGAGATACAAGGTTCACTTAATCCACCAATGCCACATCCACGACACCACCTCACCCAGCACCCCTTTCCAGCCCTGCAGCAGCACGAGTGACGCGTCCCGCTCTACCGGTTGCTTGACGGCAACACCGTCGGCCGAGAGAAGGTTTGACGTCCCGTGTTTCCGGTGCATGAGGTCGATGTCGGAAATGCTAATAACGGGGGATTCAAGTGGTCATGGACTCGACGATCCAGAGAGCAAAAGCAAGGTGCAGAGAGGCATGGTTTGGCAGGAGGTGGACGAGAGGGGACGGAATGAGCGGTGCGCAGACGGGGCGAGAGAGGAGAGGAGAGTGCAGCTACGCGAATGGTGGCTTGCGTGTATGAGGGAATGGGAGACGCGCTGGGGGGCGGAGGGGGGATAATAAGCGGCAGCGTGCGGTGGATAGTTATGTGAGTGACGTGAGTGAATCGGAAGAGGAGAGCTGAATAAGTGATGTACGTAGAGGCAAAAGCGTCAGGCGTTCATAAAATATACATCATTGAAGGGTGATAAGCGCAGGCCTCTTCAGGAAGGCCCAACAAGAGCAAGTTGAAAAGAATTTTCAAGCGCCAATAATACCCCAGGAACGCAGATGATGATCTACGAGTAACTATGTATTAAATAACCACACCACACCCATCAAAACCAATCCAACACCACCGCGGTGGATTACTAGTTCTACAAAGCAACGGCACCGACGAGGGTGAAGAGGACAACAAGGCCGGAGACGACGATGGGAGCCTTGGACATGGCTGGAACGGTGGCCCGCACGGCGGCGCTGCTCGGGTTGGATGAGCCGCTGCTGCCGCTGCCACCAGAGGTGCTGCTGCCGGCGGATGGGCCCTCGCTCGTCGAGGCCTGATCAACGGCCCACTGCGAGCCGGGGCCGTTCAGGCCGGGGCCCTTGCCGGCGCCTTCCTCGAAGAACTGTGCGCCAGGGAGTCAGCCATCGTCATGCCATACGAAACTAGAAAGTGGAAAGAACGGAGAGGGAGAGGATTTACCTTCTTGGCACCCTCGGGGATGGCCGGAAGGGCCGTCGAGCTGACACTCCAGTTCTCATCCTGGGTGGGGCACGCAGCGGCCTTGGTGGACGAGGTGAAGCCGCCGTCGCCGCTCGGGGCGGGGAACTTCTTCAGAGCGCTCTGGTAGGCAGCAAACTCGGGGAGCTCCTTCCGCTTGCCTGTCTGGTCCTTGCCGCCGTTCTCCTGGCCACCCTCGATCTCGACGATGCCGAACTTGTTGGCCTCCATGGTGTACTCGTACATGAGGCCGCCCGAGTAGACGCCCGTCATGTTGGAGTGCATGAGCGACTCCACCTCGCCGAAGTCGCGCGTGTTGTGGTTGCAGCCGTACTCGGACAGGAAGATGGGAAGGCCGTAGCCGGTGAAGTTCTGCACCTTCTTGTCCCAGCCAGCCGTGATGAAGTCGCTGCTGCACCACGAGTAGTCATTCTGTGCGTGAGGTTAGGTGGCTAGGCTTTCATAAACCCTCAATTTTCCACCAGAGAGGACTCACGAAAGCAAAGAAGTCGCTGCGCTCGTCGTCCGAGCCGCAGTTGAAGTAGTCGGCAGTCTGTCGCCGGTTGGTGCTGACATCGGCAGCAGAGTAGCCCACCAGGATCTTGCGGTAGCCCCGGGCCTTGATGTAGGCACGCATGTCCCGGTCCGTCGCCTTCACGTACGGTGCAGCGAGGGTGGTGTTAGCAAGGTCGTGGATGACCTCGTTGCCCGAGAAGAAGGCCATGGTGTTGGGGTACTTGGCGAAGGCATCGATCGTGGCGAACACGCTCTGCAGATAGGGCGTATTATATGACCCGTGCGGGTCTTCGCGGTTGATCGAGTACTTGGGGTTGTTGGCGTCGAGCACGACGTAGATGCCGGCCTCGGCGAGAGCGTTCATGCACTCGTCGTGGTCCACCGAGTTGTCGGTCGAGTAGACGCGGATGGTGTTGATGCCCAGCTTCTTGAACTTCTCAATATCCGGCATGCAGACCTCGGTGTCGGCCAGGGGGTCGATGTTAGCGCTGGCGCCGCCGGGCTGGTAATCGATACCGCGGACGTAGAACCGCTGCTTGCCCTTGAAAAAGGCATTGCCAGTGGCCGTGATGGGCTCAAGTTCGACTTGACGCGGCTTGACCGGCAAGGTCGCTGTCGGACCGCCGTGGACGGTGACTGCGGCCGTCAAAGCCGAAACCAGCACTGCAGACTTCATTGTCGGATGTCGTGTGTGTTTATTCAGTCGTGGGGCTAGGGATGCAGAACTCAAGAATGCGTGATAGCAAAACCACAAGACGGGAAAATTAGAACAAGCAGTAGCCAGAGATGCAAACAGCCATCAAACGAGCGAAATGGCTTTGTAGGAGAAGAGTAAGAACGGTCTGGATGAGCGAGCGACCGAAAGAAGAAGCGACGTCTGTTCGCGTGTCTCGGGAAGTTGGACAGAGCAAGAAACAGTCAGATGCCAACTTCAGGAGAGCCAACACTTAAAACACGCCCGCCCCGCCGATCGGGAACGGCGAGAAAGGGGGTTGGTGCATAGCCGCTTTCCAAGAGGTCTTGGAAGTCTCAGAAACCACGACTCAGCAGTGCAGTTACATCTGCCAAGAGAATACCAAGAGAATGCCATCCCTTCCATGGAAATGGATTGCCAAGGGCCAGTAATGCCGTGGCTTGACCTGGTGGTGCAAAAGGCGTTTTATGCCCCGGATCTTGCTATTGCTTTTTTGTGTTGGTTGTTGGCAACGATGGCGGCACAGTAGCAACATTCATCGACCGGCAAAAACTCGTTGAAGAGCCATGGACAAGAAGGGCGACTTTCCAGTATCTACGTTGACAGTATCATAGCCAAGAATTGGCGGAGCAACCGAAATATATCCCAAGAACAGCCAAGGAGATGTGCCCCACAAATTAGCAGGTTTGCGGCGAGCCAATCTGCAGCAGACAAGACGGATGCCACAGAAGAGCGACTTATACACAACCCCTAATAACTATTCACCGCAAGAGCGATATGGCCCAAGCTCAGGACAGCGTCATGTATGTTTCCTCAAATTTCAGTTGATGCGGACGGCTCAGACCGTGATTAAATATGTTACCTCATACGCGAGGCGTAGGTTGCACAATCTCTACCTAACCAGCGGTTGACTGGGCTTGTGCCCCCATGTCGACGGTAGATGCCGGCTTATAGCTACCTCACCTACGGTATTCCGTACATTCTGCTCTACAACTTCAAGTCCCGAGTCGTAGCTTAGGAATCAGGAGGCATGATTCGTTCCGCAGCGGACGATGGTTCTCTGACACAATGAGTGTCTCGCAGCCTGGTAGTAGAACTCGGTTTTTCAAGTCTCCGGAGCAAAGGTGCCTACCAGGTACCTACCTATGTACTTACTACTTAGTAAGGCTTGATCTTAGAGCTTGGAAGTTCGGAGGTCGAAAGTGCAACTCCACAACCAATTCCAGCGAAGAGTATAACCCTAACCCTTTTGACTGGGCTTGCCCCACCTACGGTACTACGTGTCCGGTCGCATTGTTTATGTCCGACAGCTGCAAGGCTGAGAAGCCGGAGCTTGAGCGACGTCGCAGACTGCAGCTGCACGTGTGCATAGAGTTGAGCTCGCTCTTGACCGCCTACAGTTGGTGCATACCTGTGTAGCCAATTCCGATCGGGCAGTGCTTTTGTCGACGGCAAAGTCGTCAGAACTCAACCATTGCTATAACTTCATCGCAACTTACCGTCCGTCAACTCGGACTCGACGATGTTCAGATGGCGCACCTTAACGGAACCTCGTCGCTCAGCCGCGCAAGATCAACACGGGACCCAGCAAATGCCGGGAAGCCGCCGGTCCAGAACTCCTCACGCGGAGGTACACCAGGCGTGATATCCTCCACGACCACTGCTTCTCCGACCGCCCCATCCAACATCTCCCTTTTCTTGACCAACCTGCGCCTGCTCGATCTCGACTTGCGTCCCGACTGGCCAGACATCAACGCGCTCACCTTCAGCACCAAGGATGCGGCGCAGGGTCAGAAGAAGCGCATACAGTCCGTCGAGTGGGCCTTGTATCACCTGTTCGTGCTGTGGGATCCAGACGAAGCCCGCAATAAGCTGAAACCTTTCTTCCCGCCGCTCGATCAGGTCCAGTCGCTGAACCTGCGCGCTGCGCTCCTCCGGGCGCTGGAACAGGCGAAGAAGAGTGGCGTCCTCGGTCGCGATGCAGTTGTGCGGAAGACGATGCTCGACGAGTGCAAGGGGGAGAGGCTGGAGGAGGTGCTGGCCGTTTTCTCGTCCGCTGTGCTGAAGAAGCTGGTGGCGGAACAGCGGTTAAATGGAGGGGGATATCCTGCCCTGGCCCAGGCGCTGGCTCTCGAGAATCGAGGATATTCTGCCGAGCGGTCGGAACTGGCAGCGCTGGTTCTGGCTCACAGGGTGTCGTTGCGGCGTGTGCTAGACGGGAAGAATGCGGCGCGGACGCGGTTCAGCAGCTTCTCTGGCGTGTTGGATGCGAAAGAAAAGATACTCGCTCGGAGACGGGAGCTGGCAGAGGCAGCTAAACAAAGCAAGCGGGCAAATGTGATCTCTGACAACCAGAAGAGTACGGTCTCGCGCGCAGTGCGGAATAACTGGACCGGGAACGAGCGCTGGATGGAGGCGTTGCTTTATGGCGACAGCAAATCACGCAAAGATGGAATCCTCTCAGCCCCTTTTGACAGAGTCTGGAGGCGGGTGCAGTCTGGCCGGCTCGCCGAGCTCGAAGATACCTCTGTGGGGCTCTTGGAACAGTTGGACAGCCGAGTCCGAGGTCAGCAGGAGAGGTTAGAGAAGTGGCAGGGCTTCCGCCAGAGAATGTTTGGAAAGTTTGGATCTGCACCGGCAACCCAGGAACCGCAGACGCAGCATACGCGGAAGGGCATCGACCTTGGGTTCAGGGCCCACGAAAATCTTCATCTCGGCCGAATGGATCGCAGGAAGCTGCCGCGAGCCCAGCATAACCTGCTAGACAGTCACTACCAGTCGCTCATCGACGGTCTCAAGTCGGATCTTGCCGGCAACGGCCAGGCTGCCTCACGCATCCCTTCATTCTTCCGAAGGCCGCGGCAAACAGAGGGATTCGCGTCGCGAACGGCGGAGGGTGCCGAGGCTGAGTCGGAAGAGATCTCCGATATCAGCGAACTTGAAGATGCGCCGCCACTGCTACGCCCATCCCCATCGCGCCGCCAGACGATTCGTGTCTCGGAAGAGCCAGCGTTTGAGCCAGTGCTGCGAAAGGCCAAGACCTTTGACGACGAACACGGAGCCTGGGAAGATGAATCGGTCAGCCCTTCGCGGCCCCGGAGATCCGCGACGATCCAATCTCATTCTACTTCTGCTGCCATGCGGCCCGCACAACCTTCGCTCATAAGAGACCGGGCACCTAAACCGAATTCACCACCTTCATCTCCGAAAGCTCGATCTCCCCCTCGACTGGCAGCTGCCTCTCTTGAACCTCCCTCCTCTCCCGAACCCCCACCGTCTCCAACGCAGGAATTAGCGGACCAGATTCTCGCCTCCGTCAGTGCCGCGTCGCCGTCCCCCGTCAAGAAACCACGGCGCGCCCTCTCGCTGGCCGAACGCACCCGCCTCTCCATGGCGCGTCGCACATCCCACGCCAATCTCCGTGTCCCTGCTGACGAGGACGGGATGGACGAAGAGCCAGAGGCCGACCCTCTGCCCCTCAAGCGCTCGTCCGTCACTGTCCCAATCATTGCCGAACCACCGGAAGCAGCACAAGACGGCACCGATGGTGGAGAAGGGTACGAGGACCTTGCCTCCCGCACAAGGCGAAGCATGGCCGGCTATGAGGCGGCACGACAGAAGGCGCAGCTGGAGAGGCGCAGATCGCTGAGAAAATCCAAACTGCCACCACCGACGACGCCGGGGACGGGCAGGAGTAGCTACTTCCCTACTGTGGACGAAGAGGAGGGGAACAGCACGTTGCTCCTGGCCGAGAAGCTGATGAGCGGAGAGGCTCAAGATGACTATGAAGCTGTTTTTATGAGTCGGCCGAAACTTAAGAGTAGTCCGGTGGGAACGCCGGTCAGGGAGCTTTGGGGGGAATGAAGAAATGAGCCTATCATATGGATAATGAAACGTAATGCCTCGGTAGGGAAGACACGGAGAAGGCAAATAACGGCGGAATGATGAATGCCCGTGGTAATGCGCAAGACAGAACCTATGCAATTTTTGTTCCACATACGAGTATAGATACAATTACCATGCGAACCATATCCCAGGACCGCGCATGATATTTTACACGTCTGCCGTGTCCACCCGTCCCACCTCTATCCCGCAAACCGCTCTATATTCACAGGACTAGACTATGCCCCCAGCCAACAATCTACCACCCCTGCGCCTTCAACTCAAACACCCTGTTCATGGTGGCGCGGAACGAGGACTGGAACCGCTGCTGCCACCGCTCCCGCTTCTGCCGCTTGCGCTTCAGCGCGGGGCGCTCGTGCGCCCGCTGCATGATCAGGTCCCGCTTGATGCCGTTCTGGTTGACCGCCTTCTGCAGCAGCCGGAAGCCGCGCGCCAGGTCCACGCTGCCCTTGTTGATGTTGATGGTGCGGCCCGTCGACGGCCGCAGCCGCAGCTCGGGCTCGGTCGTGTAGTGGTGATTCTTGAGGAAGATGTCTTCGTCCCAGTTGGTCAGGCTGTTGCCGGCGGTGCCTGCGGTGGCGGCTTCCATGTCGGCTTGGATCTGCCCGGGAATGCTGAACACGTCTTCGATGCTCAGCGTCGAGGATGGCGCTGTGCCTGTGAGCGTGGTGGCTTGGCTTTGAGGTTGCGTCTGCGCGTTGTCGGTTTGGGTTTGGTTGGCTGCCGCCTGGGTCGCCCAGGGCGATCGTGCCTTCTTTGCGGTCACTGGGTCCATGTAGAAATTGCTCTTGCGGATCGGGGCCGGTCGTGGAGGGAGGGAACGATGGCGCGAGGCGCTGCTCGGCGTGTGTCGTATAGGCAGCGGGTCTTGCGACTGTGGCGGGGCCATTGCCAGCGCTTCTAGCCGCTGCTTGTTATTTGCGGTGAACTGGCGGTGCTGGACAAGAATGCCCTGGGGCAGCCGTGGGCTGGCGAGAGACGGCCTCGATGCTCCCGCTGCCGAGCGGCAGACGGAGTGGACGACTTGGCGGAACTCCATGATGCTGTGGCAGAAAGTGATTGAGGTCAGCAATTGTATCGAAAGCGGATGAACAGAGCAAACAAGGTTATGACATACCTAACCGTTCATGGATGTGCCCACCTTCCCCTTGATTCCCCGCGAACTTCTTTAAACGAGGTTTCTTCGGTTCTTGAATTTCTGAAGTCGCGCTTTACTGCGCTTGATTGAAAGGCAAGGGCACCTGGCTTGGCGTCCGAGAATTCCCCGGCCAAATCATTGGTTTGCTGGCCCGCCTCCGGCTTGCCCCGTCACGCCCATCCCCAAGTCTTTTTCCTCGTCGATAGGTACCTACTTGGCGAAAGCAAAAGTCAATTCTCTGGACATGGCCCAAGTACGATACCTCCACTCATCATGGACTACGAGATTCCTGCTTAACTACTCCGTACCATTCGAACTATGCAGGTCTCGACCCAGGTCGACCGATATGAAGCAGAACGTAGGGTAATGCAACTTTGAACTCTGAGCCTACCTAGTCACGTGCCGATAAGCGCCGCGGTCCTCCGAGGCTTAACTGGGCTAGCGCTCGCTTTCGCAAGTCGCAATGGCAAGGCGGACCGTGCGTCGCAGGCTCTCCAATACAATCTTTGGTGAACTTTTCCTCGTCGCGATCGCGACTGTTCGACCATCATCTTCGGGATCCAAGCTAGAGCCCAATTCAACCAATTCAACAGTGATACAATCAGACCATAGACTGACCTCCGTCGTCGATCCCCGGAGTCTTATCGGAAGGACCTAGTTGTCGCGTCGTCACATACCCGCTCGCCATCATGGCGTACAATCCTTATGGAGGTCAGTCCAGCCCTGCGTTTCCCCGTCGCGCATTACGGCCCTGTTGATCTAATATGCTCGTATCTAGTTCCCCCATACGGAGCTCCTCCGAGTTACCCACTGTACCCCGGGGTCGCATCGCATGCTCCGGGGATGGCACCGCCGCCGGGCCTAGGTATGTTTTCGCCTGGGCTTCCTGCTCTCGCGCCCTGCGCTCCGACCCTAAGAAGTCTGTGTTTAGGTCCTCCTCCAGGCATGTCTTCTGCCCCTGGAATGGCACCACCTCCCGGTGTCCAGCCGCCCAGTAGTGCCACGCAAGCTAATCGACCAAGCGGCCTTCCTCCGTCCTTCCAACCGCCGCCGAATCTTCCCAACATCAACTTCAACGCCCCTGTGATCCGCCTCGGCGCCACCATGGGCGCTGCGAAGCCCGGCTCATCTCTGACAGTCGATCGGAAAGACTCACACACTCCCGCCTCCGGCCGACCCGGGCTAGGCTCAGACCGTAGCGTAGAGCACTCTCGCTCCCAGATGAGGGAGAATATGCAGTCACTAGTGCCGCCTACGACAGAGGAGCGACTACGGACAATATTCGTTCACAAGATCCCCGAGGGAGTCGGCGGTGAAGAGGGCATCCAGAAGCTGCTCAACACAGTTGGCAGGCTACGGCGGTGGGATTCGGGACAGTCACATCTGTCAGAGCACAAAGGGGCTTTGTTTGGGTTCGCACAGTACGAAGACCCCGAATCGCTAGTTGCTGCAGTCGAGTTACTCAAAGACGTCGAGGTGCCCGTGAAAAAGCAGCCGCCTACCGAAAGTCCGCCCGCAGACGAGGACGACAAGTTCGAAGGCATCGAAAAGGAAACGTTGAAGGTTGTGGTCGACCAGAGCACAGAAAAGTACATAGAGTCATGGAAGGAAAGCAGAGGCGATGACCCGGCGGTCGAGGCGAGACTGGCCGAAGCGAGGTTGGCGCTGAAGCAGCTTGTTCGCAACCTATTCTACCCGCGTCTCCCTGGCGGTCGGGATACCGATGGTGACACCACTATGGGAGCGAATGGTCTGGGCGACAACGTTGAGGTCATCAACATCCCCCTGGCCGCCGAGGATGAGTTGGCAGACATTCCAGCCGAGATGCGGGCGACCGTGGCGGCAGAGATCGCGGCTTTCCGGGAGCGGAGCAACCGGAGAGATCTTGAGCGCCTGAGGAAGGAGGAAGAGTTTGAAGAGATGGAACGCCAGCGGAACGGAGCACCCCGCAAGTCACGGCTGGACTCCCCGCCTCCGAGCAACTCTAACATGGTTCCTCTGGGGCCTCGCGGTGTTCCGAATGCCCCTTCAGGGCCGAGGGGCCAAAACCGCGGTGTCGAATTCGTCAATGGAGGCGTCACAAATGGCCATCAATTCCGCGATGAAGATGATACGGATGCAGACGACGAGGAGCTGCACGAGAGGGAGCTAGCGAAACAAAGGGCGGAAGACGAGAAGTTGTACTTGGAGGCCGAGCGCAAGTGGGTCAACCGCGAGCGGCAGCGCACGGCTGCCCTGGATAGAGAACGCGAACGCGAGAAGGCGGAAACGGAGGGCTTCGCGCGGAGGAGGGAGGAGCAGCTTGAGAGGGACAAGAACTGGGACGACGACCGCGAGGCATCACGCAAGGGCCACCTCTACTACCGTGACCACGGGCAGTGGATCCGGGAGCGGACAGCGTTCCGGGCCGCAGAGGCCGCCCGAGACGAGATGGATCGGCGGGCCGAGGAGGACGAACTCCGCCGGGCTGAGGCGGAGATGGAGCATGCCAGAGACATGGCTGACTCGTTCCTGGAGCGGCAGGCCGAGGAGATGGAGAGGCGGCCGGCGGCCCCAGCGGCTCCGCAGAAGGTTACCATCTCGTTTGGTGCAGCAGCTCAGAAGGCAGCTCAACGCTCTCACGCGGCACGACGGACTGTGGCCGAGGTCGAAGGGCTGCTGGACGACGAGGAGCAGGACCAGACCACCAAGCGACAGCTTGTGCCCATCAAGTTCGAGCCCATCACGGACACCAAAGCCATGTCCGAGGAGGACATCCAAAACGCTGTGCGCGCGCTCGCTCACGAGATCCCGGTTGACCGGGAAGGCCTGTGGGCGTGGGATGTCAAGTGGGACTACCTGGAGGAGTCGGTCATCCGGGAGAAGCTGCGGCCGTTCGTGGAGAAGAAGGTGGTCGAATACCTGGGCGTGCAGGAACAGTTCCTGGTGGACGTGGTGGAGGAGCACCTGCGCAAGCACCAGAAGCCGGCCGAGCTGGTGGAGACGTTGAGCGAGGCACTTGATGAGGATGCCGAAGACATGGTCAAGAAGCTCTGGCGCATGGTTATTTTCTTCACCGAAAGCGAGAAGCGCGGACTTCCGGCATGAGAAGGGCGGGATCAAGGTCAGATTGGTTGCCCTGCCACGCTCACTTACGGTTTTGGATCAAGCCTCCGCAATCTTCTTTTTGATGATGGGCGGGCCGATGAGTTGCGCGCAGATTCCAATCCGGGTCACCAGCGGTTCCGCTGGGGTGCCTTCTGTATGTATAAGCTCGCAACTGGTATAGCTATGGGCTCACTGTTGGCGTAATAGGGAACTAATCGAACATTGTCACAATTATTCCCGGTCTGCGTGTCTACCTAGCTAACGTGAGGTGAGCAGCCAAAACCGAACTCCCTTCCCAATTACGAGCCGGCCTATAATATGCATGTTGATCGCTACTACTGCGTACTCGCTTACCCCAGCTGTAAGCCGTTGAAGAACGAATGGCGCCAAGGTAAGTCGTTGGCGTGAATGTCATGTCATCTTGACGCTCCCGCTCCTAGTACCTCCGTAGAGCAGTGAATTTGAGCTCTGATACTCGAGCGCTACTAGTAGTAAGGATGTCTAAGCTACAGTCGTTTAGTGGTCTTGCAAGCTGTTGAAGTCATCTTGTCTGTCGAGGTTCCCATTTCGGGGCTTGAGCTTCCCTGTGTGCCTCGGCTGAACTGAAGATCCTTGCTCCTTTCCAGGTTATTATTACACTACCCCAACAAACTGACGACAGGGCCGCGGCTCGTTCAGTGAGGGGAACATCTCCGCATTGCCGGGTATCACTTAGAACCTATAACTCATAACTGAATGAATTCTACTAGTACACACTTTCTTCGCTCTTCTTCACGAAACACCGAGACATCAGACAATCAATTGCATGGATCTGTTTCGATTTGAATAATAATCAAACTAGCTCCGACAAGTCGCATCCCCAAATCAACGCCACCCATCCATCCATCCACGCTTCTTTCTAACTTGCCACCTCATCATCATCAAACCTACCGTACCTTCGGTTACTCAACTCAAAAAGAAAAATGACACTCTCCCCAACCCTCTCTCCGCCGCCAGAGGTGCCCAACGTGCTCCTATCGCTGCCGCACCCCAACGTCCTGCTCGTGACGCTCAACCGGCCGCGCGCCCTCAACGCCATCCCTTCCTTCCAGCACGTGGCCATGGCCTCGCTCTGGGCGTGGTACGACGCCCAACCGCAGCTGCGGTGCGCCGTTCTCACCGGCGGCGCGGACGCGCGGGCCTTTTGCGCCGGGGCCGATCTGCGCGAGTGGGACGCCACGCACGCCTCCTCCAACAATGGCACTAGTAGTAGTAGTACCCAACGAGGCGGCGGCGGCGGCGGCGGCGACGGGGATGCCCGGCATCAGGAGAAGGAGGCGGCGAGGTATAGAGAGCGCTGGTCGCAGGAAGGATTCGGCGGGTTGTCGAACCGAACCGGCAAGAAGCCCGTGATTGCGGCAGTCAATGGGCTCTGTTTTGGCGGGGGCATGGAGATGGTCATCAACTGTGATCTGGTTGTTGCCGATGGGAAAAGGGCGCGGTTTGGGCTTCCCGAGGTGAAGAGGGGCGTTGTGGCGGTGGCCGGGGCGCTGCCCAGGTTGGTGAGGACGGTGGGCAGGCAGCGGGCGGCCGAGATGGCACTGCTTGGCCGCACGGGCTACACGGCCGAGCAGATGAGGGAGTGGGGGATTGTGAACTTCGTGGTCGCGGAGGGACAGGCCGTGGCTGAGGCCATTAAGCTCGCCGAGGAGATTGCGGCGAACTCGCCCGATTCCGTGATTACGTCGAGGGAGGGGCTGAGACTGGGGTGGGAGGGAATTGGGCCGCAGATGGGGACGGAGGTGCTGGAGAGGGGGATGTATGGGCGGATCGATGGCGGGGAGAACATGAAGGAGGGCGTAAAGAGCTTTGTGGAGAGGAGGGAACCGGTCTGGAAGGATAGCAAGCTGTGAGTGGAGAGAGAAAGCAAGCGTTGATGCGCTTGTCAAGTGAGATGTGTGTCCCGGACCCTGCGCGACCCCGTCACCTCGTTCTATATATGATATGCCCTACAAGTACCTAGGTAGGTAGGTAGGTAAGCCACATCATACATGGAATTCACATGCCACCAACAACAGCTCAAGCATCTCCAAACCTAGCCGCAGCAGCGCACACAACTAGGTATTGGACCTGATAGGTCAAGGCGCCGTTTCTGCTCATTGGAAACGAAAAAGGTCAAAGCAAAAAAAATAGGCAAAAACATACAACACCGAGGATTCCCCAGTGGTCACCCACCTGAGTACTGGTTCGGCCCTTGGTAGCTTGACTAAGGGAGAGCGGACGGGATCCCGTATTTTCTACCAGGTATGGTCGTATGTGCTGGCTCACTCGGCAAAAATGCATCATATTGGGGCTTACTACCACTTACCCGGGTACCTAGTTCATTTGCTAGTAAAACTCAACAGCGTCTTTCGGAGGCAAGATCATCCCAAGCTCAACCGATCCCTAATCATTCCTGTCCCGGCGAATCCCGATAAGCGGGCGGCAGTATGCCCTCCTTTTCAGCCTTGATCTGCAACGCCAATATCCGCGAGTACCAGCGGTGCTGCTGCGTGTGGCCGCCCATAATCCAGTAGTTGTCCACGCGCAACTGACGCTTCCACATGCCACGGATCTCGCCCTCGGCGTCGACGCCCCACGTGGCATCTAGCCGGGCCGCGATCTCTACCGGCCCAAGCACGTTGGGGCCAACTTCATCCCGCGTCCCAGCGCTTCCGCCACCCAGAATCTCGGCCGCAGTGCGTCTGGCGTCTTTGTCCGCAAAGCCGGTGCACCACACCACCACATCCGCGTCCGCAGTGCTGCCGTCCGAGAAACGCAGCCCCGTCTCCGTGTAGGCCACAGGCTCGACGCCAGCCTTCAGTCCCACGCGGCGCTCCGCTATCAGCTTGGTACCGCCGATGTCGATGTAGTGCCCGCCAGCTCGCTCCACCAAATGATGGGCGAGCACGGCCTCCGGGTGACGGCTGTCAATGAAGGGGAAGCCGGCAGCGGCGAGGGCTGAATACCGATCTGGTTCCTCCGCCGCCAATTGTGCAAACAAGCCGCAGGCGAGATGCGCGTCAACCCACGTCGGCATTGCCATAAAGAGCTTGTCGCAAAGCTCCGCTCCGCGCTCATACGCTCCGAGGCCGCGCTTGTCGCAGACGTACTCCAGCGGGAGGATATAGGTGCGGGACCGGACGACCATGGTGGTCTGGAGGCCCGCGGCATGGCAGTCCTGGATAACGTCGAAAGCTGTGCTCGCTGAACCGACTACGAGGACGGACTTAAGGGGTTGGGAAGGGGTTAGCGGTCATGAGCCCAAGGTAAGGGGCAAAGTTGCATTTGCCACTGGGATAGAACCCACCTTGGCCCCTTGTTTCTGTAGCTCGGCTGCTCTCCGGTACTGGGCTGAGTGAAGAACGATGCCTCTGAACAAGTCTTCATTCGCCATAGGCGGGATATAGGGCTTCCGGGACCCGATTCCTGTGGCCTGAACAAGATGTCTCGAGACGGCGGTGTGCTGGCCCGTCGGTGTCTGGAACTTGATGAGCCACTGCTTGGCCGCCTGGTCGAACGCTGTCGACAGAATCTTGGCAGAAGTAATCATATTGAGATTGAAAGTCTTCACATATCGTCGGACCTGCTCCGCAAGCTCGTCCCGGGAGAGAAGGTGCGGACTTCGGAGCTCGTTGTCGTATGCTGGAGATTGCAAGTCAGGTACCACATACCAGCCGATGAGGGCACGGTATCATCTGGCTAGACTGGCTTACGCATGTAAGGTAGGTCGGCATACTCTGTCGGGACGTGAAACCTCAGACATTCATAGCGGAGCGCCCAGTTATCTCCCGGCTGAGGATTCCGCTCTGCCATGACGCTCTCAACGCCCATGGCTTTCAGGCGTGCAGCTAGAGCAACGGCGCTACGGACACGGTGTCAGTGAGACAATCATACCCGTTGAATCATTTCAGGCTGAACCCTGGCGACCTACGCATTTCCGCCTCCGATGATGAACACGTCTGTTGTGAAGTCCTCGAGGCCGTTCAGCTCTCTGCCCGGGAGATGGAGTAATGTCTCGTCTTCCGGATGTCCGTCTAGAGTATCGAGCCAGGTACTGAGGATCCAGATCTTCCACTCCGTCGTCCCAGCTTGTTTGACGGGCAACAAAAGCATCCTGCCGCTGCATCTCGCTGCTGGCGACTTGGTCTCGAAGAGGAGGCTGAAGTCAATGAATTGCTGTTGCACAGGACAACGCGAGTAGTCAGCTATGGATACAGATCGTCTAATATCGCCTGTCTCACACCCCCGACTGACTTACAAGAACAGGTGTAGCCGGTATGAATTGAGCGTCTCCCTCAAGTTTGATGTCTCCGACCAGAGCTCTCAACGTCTTGGTTTGCAGCAAGCTGGCAGCGATGACGCCAGGCGAGGTAAAGGTGCGCAAGTGCCATGTGAGCGCCAGGGTATCCTTCCAGTAGGCCTGGCCCGGAAGGAAGCAGTTCTCGAGGGCTTTGGCATCATCCGAGGCCAGAGCCGCGTTCAGCTTTCTCAACATAACGAGTGCCTGCCTGGTTGGCCCGTTGCCGGTTCTGGCCTCCTCCGGAACACTTCCGTCAAGCACAATAGGCAGGGGATGTCTCGCCATCATCTTCCGCACGTCGGCAGCGGACGGGTATTCATCTTGGTTCGAGCGCGTGATCCCGTCTTAGATAAGGCATCGGTCAGGACTCAGCACGTGAACTCGGTCGTGAGGTAGACATGCTTAGGACGAGAGAAGTGAGGGAAAAGAATACAGCGTCTCACCAATGGCAGCCATGTTGCATCGTCCGTACGAGATAATGGTCAGTCGCGGCTTAGGAGTTGGTCAGTTTCAAGTCGCGCCCCGGCTTCTGTTAAAGGAAAGGTGGAAGAGCAAACGCGGAAGGAGCCATCCACAACGCAGCTACTGAGGAGCCTGGTCTTATCCAATTGTGCCTTCAACTCTTGTTGGACGCCGTCACGCGATCCAAGTGCGGGGAACATCCATAGTAAGTGAAGTGGTTGCACGCTGCATCTCGCTGCGATGATTCTTGTAATTGGAGGACGGGGACCCGGACTTGCGAAGTTGACACACCGTCACACGCACATATGGTATCACGACTTTTACATCAATCGATTTGCTAGGTAATTCCACAAAGACTATCACCACTCGGACGGTAGAACTTCCAGAATCTCAAGACCGGTCCCAGGTAGTCCCAGGTTCCGTCTAAGCCAAACACGCGTACCCTACAACGTTCAACTGTTCAAAAGGACCTTTATTCCATTTCTTTCCTTTCTTTTGGTTCTTCCTTATGTTGATGTTCCGGATTTGTTTTTTTCTTCTTTTGGCCATGGAGGTGTTCAAGAAGGAACGTTGGAAGACAGGATTCGGGTTAGAATTAAGCGTGCGCCATACCTCCAAGGCAACTCCTATTATCCCAGATTCCGCGAAAGGTTATGTACAAGTACGTTCGGTCCCAGGTAAGCAACCATCTATGCATCCATCCTCCCACAATATTCAAAGCAGCTCCCTTAGAGGGCAGCGACGACAACGAGGAAGGCGGCGGCAGCAATGGAAGTCCCAATGAGGCCGGTCTCACGGTGAGCGGCGTTCTTCTTAGTGGGGCCGTTGCCGTTGCCGTTGCCGTTGCCGTTGCCGTTGCCGTTATTGTTTCCGTTGCTGTTTTCGTTGCTGTTGCCATTGCTGTTGCCGCTGGAAGACCCCTTGTCCGAGCCCGAGCCCGAGCCCGAGCCAGAACCAGAACCGGAACCGGAGCCGGAGCCTGAACCTGACCCGCCAGTCTGCTCACTGTCGTCCGCACCGCTCGTGCCCGTTCCCTCGCTGTCATCGGCATCGCTGGTGCCGGTCCCTGTCTCGGAGCCGCTGTCGGCCGAGTCGGTGCAGGACCCGATGTCGACGTTGTCCGCCGCGCTGGCGTACTCGGGGCACTCGGCGATGGCGGAGCTCCACGCCGCCTCGTTCTCCGAGAACCACGACACGATCTCGGCCTCGTAGCTCGAGAAGGCCGGCGGCAGCGTGGTCTGGCAGGGGTCGGCGGTCGCGACGAAGTCGGTGTACTCGGGCGGCGGCGTCGGCATGGCCGAGTAGATGGACATGATGGCGTCGGCGCATTCCGACCCGTACTCGTACTCGGCATTGTCCGTCTGGCGCGCTTGCACCTCGCGCTTCATCGCCAGGTGGCCGCCGGGGGCAAGGTTGGCGGCCGCTACGCCCGCGAGGGTCAGGAGCACCGTCTGAGAGAGCATCTTGGCTGGCTTCGTGTTTGGGAGGAAAGGTCGGATGGGAAAGAAGTGGCTTGAAGACTTGTTCCAGGAGTTGGGCCTCGGGAGCTTGGGGGATTCTATGGGAAAAGGAGCAGAAGAACGACGAAATCAGTCCACGAAAGTTCGATGGGTTTTATATGAACCGTCTGCAGAGTCTGGACCGTCCAAGCCCGTCACGTTCGCCTTTTCCCGGGCGAGATTGGGCATCCAGCCCGTCACCGCGCCCTGGTCCCGGCCTGGTTTCCATCTCCGGGGCTTGATGCGGACTCCGCGATGCACACTGCCAGCATCTAGTTTGAGATAGTGCAAGGGGAGGCGGATCCGCCTCATCTGAGCCTTGGTTCTGGGCGTGCACACTTGCCCATATCCGGCCTGATGCTCTCATCTGATACGTCGAGAGACCTGACGGGGCTCGCGAGCGCTAAGACGACTCGGTCTTAGCCTGTAAAGCTTGACAACTCACCCTGGCCCTTTTCGCAGTCGTGGCTGTTTCGGGCAGGCAGTGGGCTGCAGCTGAACTGCGGCTCAGTAATTAACTACGGCACACAAAGCGAGAGCTTTCTCACAAGCTGACAGCTTTGCTCCGTCTCATCATTTAGGCTCCAGACTCCGAAATTCATCGTGCAGTGGAGTCAGGAAAGAAGAACAGAGCTGCCCGTTGAAGTCTTGATTTACACCTACATAAGCTTAAATTTTTAATTCCCTCGCGCTGTTACTAGGTACGGCTGAGCCTCTGATCTCCGCCTGGTGACAAGATTACACTACACTACTTCCGTACAACTCCACACTGTCTATTTCTTTCCAAGCCAATGCCAAGGGTGGCTTTCCCTCCTCCAACAAACACTAACGAGGGAGTCATGCGCGCAGAGACAATCACAATTTCGTGGAAAATGCCAACTGATGGGGAAGCTGGGAGAAGCATGCTACAAGTCAAGCAATTTCGGAAGATCCGATCTGTCACACCCTGTGTTGCGAGATAGCTGGAGACCCTTGCACTTACATAACCCCAAGGTCCAACCATGACTTGTGGAAATACGGAGCCGTGCCTGGGTTCCAAAGGCCCTTATTAACGACCCCTGTTCAGCCCTGTGGTCTACCGACGTCATGAATGCAGAACAAGAAAGGGCCGGGCTCAAGGACCTCATCGAGCTAACCATGACGTTGTAGTTTGTACTGCTTGTAAGCTGTTCTGAGGATGGTCTGGTGTCGTCAGAACATTCTCCATTCATTCCCTTGGAGTCCTGGACAAGTATTTAGCTGTTTAATCACACTCATGGTCATCGTGAGATTAGCGCAAAGTGTGACTATAGTACCTAGTTGGATAGATAGGACTACCCGGCGCCCCGGGTTATGTGAAGCGGTCATCAGGATGGTTTTATTGTTTTGACGTGCTCTCGAAATAACGGCCCCAAACACTATCGATACAGGTCTGACTTGTCAGGTGGAACAGGGGAACCTTTCCAATGACGAGCACCTTTGCACCTTGCGCGTTCTATGTTACAGATATACTCGGAAGGGAAAGAGGTTCAAAGAACGTGTTGATACCGACTAGGCCGTATACGGTGTACTGAACCGACTACCTCACCTTTCGTAGGGTTATCCTCCTCCTAGAGCGAGCCAAGTATAGGGTCGTTTACGATTCTGGCACCGACGATATAGAACTAGGGGAGTTCTTTCCTTCAATCAGGTAGTTCCTCCCGGTGACCATCTCTCCGGATCCGACGGTGCCTATGATATGGTGAGTTCCCAACCAGCAAAGGGACAATAGGTACATGATGCATCTGCCTTGTAGTGCGTACGCATCGAACTTCAGTACTGGCAACTACTTGGTTGTGGATCAGTTACTAGTACTTACATACCTGGTAGTTAGTCATATAGTCAGCTGGAACATCCCGTTCTTCCCTTCACCCATCCGGGCATCACATGCAAATCTCCAAAGCGCTGCGGGGGTCTTGGCGTGTAGTTACATGTTATTTTATAGGTAAGCACCGTTACGTGGAGTCGTCAGTCGTGGACCGGGCAGCACTTGAACGGCCCTGAATCGCAGTAGCGGGATCAGTCAGTCGCACATGCATTGGCTGGGTGACTCCAACGCCTGGTTGACGTTGTATGTGATCTCGTGAGCCATCACCCGTCTCTCCGATGCAGATGCACTAATATGGTGGTCTAGTGTAGTGTATTCATGTACTGTACGGATTACTCCACTGTGGCCGCCTTGCCTCTCCAGCATGGAAATCGCCGAGGCGTGCCTCTGAGCTGCCCCACGCGAAGAGACAATCCGAGACGACTGAGATGCGGGGCAGTCATTCCACTGGGATCAAATCAGGGAGCCGACGGTTGCGACCAGAAATCGGATCGAATTAAACGCGACGAGATGTTACACGATATCGGAGCGGGATTGTCAAGATCCAAAAACGGTTCGCTGAGGCTGAAAACAGCTACCATGTCACGTCGACGTGAGGCCTGGATTCTCGGCCCAAGCGCAAGCGCAGGTCCGGCACGGAATTCTATCCCCCATGCCAAGGTGGGGCTGCGGTTTCCTTTATGCCGAGGTTGCAACTCCAGGCGGGTTGACGTCCGTGGCTAAACCCACGCGACGAACCGTGAGATATCAAAATCCCACCAACACCCTTCCAGAACCCAGAAGCCAAGGGACGCAACACTGTAGCTTCAAGCCCGAACCACCACTTGCTCATCCGTCTTTGAAACAACGCGATACAGAGCACAGTGGGCTTTCGAGTCACTTGAACTGACACCGCGCGCCGGGAAACACTGTGCTTGCGCAAGATAGCGCAAGCTTCTTGAACCACCCAATTCTACTCTCCTCCAGACAGTCAGACACTCGCGATGGCGCCAACACAACCACAACCAGAGACCGCCGGCGCGGCGGTCAACCAAAAGCTGCAGTCCCACCTCCCGTCCGCCGTCGCTGAGAAGCTGCCGCATATCCCAGAAACGAAGGAGGAATTGACAGCCGAGATCAAGGCCGAGGCCAAGGCAGCAGCATCGTCGGGCCTGTCGCAGCTAAGGTCGTTTGTCGCGGGCGGCTTCGGTGGCATATGCGCCGTCGTCGTCGGCCATCCCTTCGACCTGGTCAAGGTGCGGCTGCAAACGGCTGAGAAGGGCGTCTACTCCAGCGCGCTCGACGTGGTCCGCAAGAGCGTGGCCAAGGACGGGTTGCGGCAGGGTCTCTACGCGGGCGTGAGCGCGCCGCTGGTGGGTGTCACCCCCATGTGTAAGCCCCCTTTTCTTTCTTTTTTCTCCCCTCTGGCCCCCTTAACCTCGCCATGACCCAAACTAAATCAAGCGCCTGAATTCCAGTCGCGGTCTCCTTCTGGGGCTACGACCTAGGCAAGTCGATCGTCCGCGCGACAAGCACCGTTGCGCCCGACGGGTCCCTCTCGATCGCGCAGATCTCGGCCGCGGGCTTCTTCTCCGCCATCCCCATGACCGCCATCACGGCGCCCTTCGAGCGCGTCAAGGTGATCCTGCAGGTGCAGGGCCAAAGGCAGCTCGCCCCCGGGGAAAAGCCGAAATACTCGGGCGGCATGGACGTGGTGCGCCAGCTGTACAAGGAGGGCGGGGTGCGGTCCGTGTTCCGCGGATCGGCGGCCACGCTGGCGCGCGACGGACCCGGCTCGGCCGCCTACTTCGCCGCGTACGAGTACATCAAGCGGAAGCTGACGCCGCGCGACCCCGTCACGGGTGAGGCGAGCGGCAAGCTGAGCCTGACGGCCGTGACGTGCGCCGGCGCGGCCGCCGGCGTGGCCATGTGGATCCCCGTGTTCCCCGTCGACACCGTCAAGAGCAGGCTGCAGACCGCCGAGGGGAACGTCACGATTGGCGGTGTCGTCAGGGGCTTGTATGCGCAGGGCGGGTTCAAGGCCTTCTTCCCTGGCTTCGGCCCGGCGTTGGCGAGAGCGGTGCCGGCGAATGCGGCGACCTTCTTGGGCGTGGAGCTGGCGCACCAGGCGATGAACAAGGTATTCAACTAATAACGGCATGGAGGTACTGGTGGCGTGCTTGTGTTTCCTTTATTAGAATATAGACCTGCATGCATGCTGCCTGCCGCTTGGTACCTGGACATCTTTCCTCCCGCTTGTCTTCTCTGGTGTTGTGGGTTGGCCTCACCATCCTGATGCTTTGTTCTTCGCAGGTCCTCATGAAATGTTGCGCTCTAGAATGCGAGGAGTCTAGCGCTTTGCATATGAGCATTTGACTTTGGACATTGTTCTGCGCTTGCGTTCCTCGTGTGGTTGTTGGGATCAAATGGTCCATTCCTTTCTATTCATCATAGATCTCTTCCTCCTAGACTCTAGAGGGGGCTATTGGGGAAGATTTTCTGGAGCATAACCAGTTTAGCAGCTTGATCAGCTCAGAAACTTCCCCCCACAAGCACCACACAACCCATCACCAACCAGCCTCCTGACCTCCTCCTTGCTCTCGTCCGGCATCTTCGCCACCAGCACCTCCGCCCTCATCGTCCGGAGCCCGCACGCGCCGCAGCTGCGCGTCGCGCCGGGCGTCTGCACCGCCAGCCCCGACGTGGCGCATGTTCCGAAGAAATGCCCGTTTACGCATCCGCAGAGCGCTGCCTTGCGGATGTTCATCGGGTGCCCGCACAAGTCGCAGGTCTGGCTCGCCAGGGCGGGCGCGAAGAGGTTTCGGATCTCGTTGGAGTTGGTCGTGTCTGTGCTGGCTGGGTAATGCACACCCGGCACCTGGGGACCACCGCCGTACAGGCTCTCAAAAAGCTTTGCTTCGGTTGTTAAGCGGGCGTAGCGTGTGCTGGCTCCGGTGGATGTGTTGTTCCCCGCAATGGCCATGAACTCCGGGGCGATTGGGACGCCGTGGTCGGGCTGTGGGGAGCGGGCATGTTGCGGCGGCTGCCGCTGTCGCCGAGGTTGGTACCCGAACAGCACGCTCGAGCGCACCGTGTGCCAGCCGCCGCGCTCCGGGTGCTGCGTGCTGTGGTTGCTCGCGAGGACTGCGGCAACACCGCCTCCCGGGGACAGAGTGAGGCCGTGGAGGCGGACGCGGTGAGGGTGGATCTCGGGGACTTCGAGGGCTGCAGCGTCGTCATCGCCATTGGCGTCCTCGTCCACATACGAGTCGAGATTTCCGCCTATGTCCAGGTCGCTTTCCTCGTCTTCGGACTCGGCAGCGGAGGCATCCGAACCGCTCTCATCATCATCGTACCCGTGCGTCAAGTGCAGGTCGACAGGGACCTGGACTTCGAGCTTTTGTGCGATGGTGCGGACCCACTGTGGCCGCGGGTCTTCTGCAGGACCACTTGGGGCAGGGACGTTTGTCTGGTACCAGTCTTTCGTCGTGGTAGTGGCCGACATACGAATTAGAGTGTAGAGCGGCGTCGGCGTTGGGCGAGTAGGGTCAGGAGGGTGGACGACAAGGTCTGAGACGGTTAGTCTATGTAAGAGAGAAACCGCTATACGGAAAGGCATACCAACTATGGGGTTTCCTGAAAGTTGGCCTGTGTCTTTACGGTACAGAGTCCCGCAATCCAAAGTAGTATGCTTCTCGAGCCGGCCCGTCGCCCCTTCAGAGAGCGCGACGTCGAACTGTTTCAGCTCAAAGCCGGTCGCAATCAGGCCGCGACAGGAGCTGAACTGGCCATGGGTCCAGATCTTGGGCCTGTTAGTATGACAATTATGTTCAACCGAAAGGCGTTGAAGGCTCAAGCCTGTTAACATACCATGTCCTCAAATTCGACAAACGCATCGACTGATAAGTGTAGGCAAATCCCATAGGTGTCCTGGGGCTCAACCTCAACACTGGGCATCTCGCCTCTTATCCAAGAATCCCTGATCGTGACTTTTCGGAAGCCGACGTAATTGTGGTCGACAAAGGAGAGAACGCAAGTGCGGGCGTTGCCAGTCTCTAACCACGGACCCCATCTCAGACCGTAGGAGGTGCCGTGAGGGATCCAGTCCAAATCCGTCGGCTAGCGGTAGTGTGAGTAGCATGAAGTTGTCTCAGCTTCCAGGCGGATAGCTTACCTCGACGGCATCATGGGGTCCTTCCGCCTTGAAGCGTAAGACCTCTCGCACCATCCAGCCCGTGTTCTCGCTGCCCTCGATTCGGAAGGCCATGTCTTCCATGGACTTGCCCTTATCGGCTCCCGAGACTAGTTGCACGCTGATGATGGCCACCTCCTTCACGTCGTTTACGGTCGCAAGCAGCGCCTGGCCCGGTGCAATTTCGTTGGCCCATGCAAAGCCTCGAACGTATTCGCTTACTTCGGTCTGCTGTCCCGGCACCACCAGCCGCTCGCCCACGCCCCAGAGGAAAATCCAGGAATTGAGCTCGCGGCGCTGCAGCATGCCCTCGTTGGCGCGTGGTAAGATATTGGCAGACTTGCTGCCATCTCCATACATGCCCAGTGTCCCAGAGCCCGTCAAAATGGCCAGAATGGGCCGGCGATTGACGCCTAATCCGGACGGAGACCACCCAATGCACACAACATGGTTCATGCTGCTGCCAACGCCGGTGATGGGACCATAGCCGGCACCGAAAGGTCGGTTAGATCCCAACCCGGCGCCCTCGCCATCCTCGTCCTCCGAACTGTACGCGTCCGAGTCCACAGACCCTTCGCTGGCGCTGCCGGGACTCCGGGCGTCAGCGTCGGCAGCACTCTCGTATGGAAACGGTAGTTCTTGGATGATGAACAGCTCTCTGTTGACGCGGGGATCTATGGGCGGAAATGACACAGGCATGTGCTTGCTGCCCTCCGAGTACTGTGCGCGAAGGCTATGGCGATTGTAACCCCCCGGCCCCCCATTTTCGTCGTCCTCCTCATCGTCCGAGATTTCGTCCTTGCGGAATCGATAGCCGTCTGCGCGGGCTTTGATCTTTTCTCTGCGCTGGGAGAGATCTGGGAACTCCGGGACGAAGACATGGACCGAGTCGTCGGCAGCGACGGCCAGGTCACCGTCGCAGGAGAACTGTATGGTACGCTTGACCAGCGGGCGTGAATTGAGAGTAATCTCTCGAAGAGGGAGAACCTTCAGGTCTTCCGTTAGAAAATCTTCCATAAAGAAGCCAGCGGCTACTAGACCCGTGAGTGATGCCGAAGTTCATGCTTCATCGCTTTCGATGCAGGAAATAATGGAACTCACTTTGGGCCTCTTCTGCTTGTTGACTGCGCTATTCATCGTAAGGGACTTTTAAAAACTATGGGTGGTAATATAGGGTTATATGAAAGATATAAGGCTTGCATTATCGTCACATAGACTTTCAGCTATCATCCCTTCAAAATCTCGTTGTTGATGTTGTTGGGAACGTGTGAAAGACTCGTGCAATCTAACTTGAACGCTCCACTGGTGTCGTTGAACGCTCAGAACCCTAACCCCCTTCGCTAAATCATCATATTTCAGCTGATAGTTGCACTTGCACCTCATCAACTTGCACGACTCCTAGAGTATCAACACCCTGCTTCATCCTCTGGATCAATTAAATAACAAAGTGGTAATGGTATATTGCCTACAGAGAGCTCTCCGCGTCCTTTGCGCTTCATAGCGCTTTCAATACGATTTCGCATACCGCTCGACCTCACCTCCCAGGGCCTTCTAGGTATGAGCTTAGTCCCCATAATAGCGTACACCCCGCGACAGCCGCAGCCCCATACATCTTCTTGGTCCACCAATTCTCATCCGTCAGCGGCTTCGCAACCTGCACCTTCCTCTGCCGAACCACCTCTTTCTTGTCCTCTCCCGTCGCATTGGTCTTCAACGCAGCGTCCTGCTCATCTGCCTTCCGATGAAGCGCGGCAATCGTCTTGCTTAAGGATAGCAGGTCCTCCTCCAAAGCGGTCGTGTTTTGGACCCCGTCAACCTCGACGTTTTGGACGTTGCCGAAGAAGTCTGTGACCAACCGCCTGCGCGCGGCCTCTGCCCCGCCGCGGAACAGATCGTAGCGGACGCCTGCATTGGAGTGGATCTTTTCGTACGTGTAGCTGTCGAACAAGTCGCCGAGCGTCTTCTTGCTGCTCGTGTCGCGTACCTCTGTTTCCAGGAATTCGAGGTTGTAGTATGTGTATCGGTCGATGACGGCCACGCCGATGTCATTGTCGGCGTGGTGCGAGTACGAGGATTGATCCAACTCGGAGGAACCGGTCGCGATGATGTTGGGAGAGTAGAGTTTGCTGTACATGGTGTTGGCCTGGCACGTGTCAATCATGAAGAGGATCTCGTTGTATCTAGAGACGGTCAGCATTCAAGCCCTGCACGGTATAGGGGTAGTTGTTGGTTCTCAGCGCACCTCTTCTTTTCCCACATCTGCTCGAACGCGTCGGCCAGATCGAAGGCGCCAATCTCCTCGGCATCCTGAAACTTGAGAAACTCGTTCCCGCCATGCCCTGTCATGTACACCAATATGTTGCTCCGGTCGTCCGTCAACAATCTCTTGCTCCGCGGCATCTCCTCTCCGACGCGATCGGTAAGCAACCGGATGAAGTTCTCCACCGTCACCTCGTAGCCCCTGTAGTCCACCTCGATGTTATCCCCATAGAGATCGACAGCGCGGTCGGCATTAGAGTAGACGGTCCCGGGGAAGGCGTTGCGCGGGTTGCAAGCCATGTCGTCGGGGAGCATGAGGATAATCTGCGAGTCGGGGATGCCGAGTCTCTTGACGGTGCGGTAGATGGACAGCACGTTCGCCAAGTGGCGATAGTTGAACCAGAAGCGGGATGTGCAGACAAGCACCGCCCAGTTGCTGGTGTGCTCGGCTCCGAGGGGCGTCGCGAGCGCCAGCAGCGCAGCCGTAATAAGCGCTGGAAGGCCGAACGGCTTCATCTTGGCTATCGCGACGGTGTAAGAGAATGGTGGCCCGTTCGAGGTAAATTCAGACGCTGTCACCTGTTGTTATCAGCGTCCATCGGTGCCGCCGGGACGATTCGCTACCTAGGCTTCTGGAATGTCGTGGGTAGGTAATCAGCACATGTGTATGAGGAAGTCGTTATTGAGGGTAGGAACGGATAATTCCGGGGTGTTGCAATATAGTAATCCACAACAGTATCATGCTTCGCTCTTACATAAGCCAGCACAAGCTGAAACTGGGCCCTGACTGCTTGGCGACCCGCAGCAGCGAGTGGAACACATTAGCGGCCCGGGCCCATGATGCCAAGTGGGAGTAACTTCTCGACTGAAGAGCATGTGACATTGAGGATACCTTACCTAGTTACCGACCACTTCGCGTAAAAGGATCGGGCTGTTTTGTTGTTACTCTTCCATACACTACAATTCCGGCGTTGGATACCGGTTCATTCAGAAGATACCTAGATTATGAAACTCGGTAACAGTTAGCAGGCACCGGTATACGTTGAGGCACAATAATTACATGAAGCCGTAACTTACCCCACGAATATTCAATGTGGACCCACCTCTTGCATCCCGGCTTGCCAACCGCGAATCCCCTGCAGAACCTGTCAGCTCGTCCCCGCCGCCCCCGTGCGTTGCAAACGCCCAACGCAACCACGGTTAACAACGGCCAACGACCACAGCTCAACTGACGGTTTTCTTGCGCATTGGGGCCACCAGACCATCTGAAGCACGACTTCGGATGGAAAGGAACTGGACAAGCACCATTGTGACCGTACGATCTTGCCATACCGTGATCCCTCGGTCGTAACGTCATAACCGACTGCGCGTGGAAAAACCGGGGTCTCAATCTCCCATTTAAAGTTCACAGTTCCCCGCGATTCTCGAGGCCCGGGTCTTTGTCCCGGTCACCCCACTCACAGAAGAACAGCTTCAACAACTGCGTACCGAGGCTTCGTCACTTCCTTCACCGTCGAACTTCAAGCACATAAGACAGATATATCGAGCAGCAATGGGCCGCCCTCCGGCCTACCTTTTCGTGGTCAGGTGAGCAACTATCTGCGTAGCATGGACTGCCATGAGCTTTCAGTCGACGTCATGTTCTATGTACCGATTCTGACGAAACTTCCAGGCATGGCTATCGACTCGACGCTGCCGACAAGCAGTGGCATCTCTCATCGCCAACACCTTACGACCCTCCACTGACATACAGCGGCTGGCAGCAAGCAAAGAGCTTGGGTGTGCGAATCGCGTCCATAATACGGGAGAGAATCCAGGAGGAGGAACGCGTCTCCAGCCAATGTGCAGATCCATCTATGAAACCGAAGCGCAAGAGATACGAAGTGGTACTCCACAGCTCGCCATTCCTGCGATGCATTCAAACGTCTATCGCCATCAGTGCAGGTCTTGCTCAGGACTCCACTCCTTTCGAAACAAAGAGCCCCGAGCTCGCTTCATCTTCACCAGCACCTACCTCCGGTGCCCCATCTAGACCAACTCTCGTCACGAATCTGCGCGATAGGGGCACAACCGATCCCTCCGTGAAGATCCGGAAATCCGTACTGCGCCTGGACGCCTTCCTCGGAGAGTGGCTATCGCCAAGTTACTTTGAGTTGATCACCCCGCCGCCTGAGTCTGTCATGATGCTTGCTAGCGCCAAGGCAGACCTCCTCCGGCGAGAAGACTACACCCATTATCCCAGTTTCGTATCGCACACACACTCTAACTCTCAGGGACAGCTTTGGAGCCCCACAGTCCGGACAAGCTCACCTTCCCCGCGCAAAGAGAGCCAGTTCAATGGGTCGGGGCTCATGGGAGGTTTTAGCGGGGATGGACAGGCTGTCCAGAACCCGCCCGCGTCACCAGCGACGCCTGGTTACGTATCACCTGTTCCTCACTATGCCATTGGCAACAACAACACCATCCCGCCGGGGTATGTTTCGCACGCTCGAGACGCCTGTGTCGCGGTCGACTATCAGTGGGACTCCACACGAAGCTCGCTGGACTGGGGGGACGGTGGTACATTCCCCGAGGAATGGCCAGCCATGCACAAGCGGTTCCGCGCTGGTGTGCAGAGTCTAGTGGACTGGTATTCAACGGCAGAGAATCCAACGCGACCGGTTACCAAGACTGTTACGAGGGAGCCCGCAGATAGCGCCACGGATGGCGATGATGATGTGGAGGTCGAAGCTGTCGTCATCCTCGTCTCCCATGGAGCTGGTTGCAACGCTTTGATCGGAGCCATTACCCATCAACCCGTCCTCATGGACGTGGGCATGGCTTCTCTGACAATGGCTGTGCACAAACCGAGCAAAGATACCTCGGGCATCGGCAGGTGGCCCGATCCACGTTCCTCAGACAAGTTGAGGGATACGCCGCCTATTCACGAGCTCTACGATCTTGAGCTGTTCGCTAACACAGATCACCTCCGGTCTCCCACAGAGACTCCAACTTCGTCGCGGCCTCCATCCTTATCAGGCGCATTGCATGCTGCCCGCAGCCGTCACTCATCATTCTCCACTTCGATGGACAGCTTTTCGTGGAATGACGGCCCCGGGAGCAGGACCTCGTCGGCAAATATCGCGCTGAGCAATCTTAGGAAGAGCTCCAATAATGGTGCGACAGTCCCTCGTCTCTCGTTTGCGGTCAGCACCGGCGGTATCACGGTTGGAAGTGGGGTGACATCGTTTACGTCGACAAGACCTTCGAACCTTGGGCGCACTGGGCTTTGGTCACCGATCTCGAAGCAATTGGAAGATGAGGAGGACGATATGATGCTCTTAAACTTTGGTAACGACTCCAAGGCGGCTTCGACGAGTGGTCCAAAGGCCTCTTTGGTCCAGAATCCTCCTGCCAGCGCCAATGGTGATGGCGCGCTCGACGGCGCGGCGGATTCGAAAGAGCGGTCTCCGAGGCCTGACTCGGAACGGCTTGGCTCTGGGTCCAGCGGTCTCTGGGGCACTCCCAGACCGCCTGACGAGGCGGATCGTCTTCGAGATTTGAGCAGCCACAAGCGGCGGTGGACCGTCACCGAGCGGAGCTAGGAGCATTCTCTCCTTGATAATCCGCCGCCGCCGTCTTCGGCTGTGTCGCGACGACCTTTTTATTGGCTTGATTCAAGCATCGTGGATAATGACATTTTGCAAACAGATTAAACATGTCTGTCTTTTTGTTGTGATACTAAGCGAAGGCGCTTGATCTGGATCACTGTATTTGTCGGAATCTATTGAAGGGTTACACTCGGTCTCTCTTGTTGTCATTAAGGGTAAGGCGTACCATGGGTTGTTACGGTAGTATGTAAAAAGCGTGATAGCATCAAAAAAGCGACTCTATATGAGGATCAGCCTCCTTCAGAGTTAAGATGTGAAATTACTTCCCGTGCGGTCCCGACTCCTCGTATTTCGTAGCGTGCTACCCCTTGACGGCGAACAGGATTATCCGGTGAGAGTTGCATCTGATCTTTTCAGACGGTCATATGCACTATCGTCCCATCCCCCCTTACCATGTCAGCGCAAGTCCATCCGATATTTTTCCCCGTGTTTGATTGACACGGCCCAACAGCCAACGTCATGCCAATATTTCCAGAAGGCTCGACACAATTGCATTTTGCCTACAGGCAGTAACATTAGGCTCAATGACAGAGTCGTTGGGTATCCATAGCAGTGGGTGGTCCCTCGGTGCTTGATTCTACGGGAAGTTAGGTAGAAGTGCCTATATAGATGAGCTGCGGACAGTCCACGAAAGTAGCTCGACGTTTAAGATTGAGTGTGTCCTCCGCCAAAAAAGGGTGCAAAACGAATGTTCATGGTCATGATACCAGAGGCCTCGCCTATCACGCCGTATAAGCAAGAAAACAAACGACTTCCATATCCTAGTGCGATACCAATCTAGCCAGGCCTCCTAGGTCCGCTGCCACATGATCCATCTCGTCATCTCATCCAACACGGGTCAGGTCCCACCGAGAAGCTCTTCATCTTCATAAGACATCACTTTCATCAACATCCCTACAGAAATAACCACGCCAAAAAAAAACCTTGCTAATCCACGTCAAAGAAACTGCCCGTCCTCTTCAGTCTCTCCAGGTCAAGCAGCCCCATAACCCGCCCATCCCACCTCCGGATCTGCTCCCCGCAAAACCACCACACCGCCCCAGCAAGCGCCACAACCACGACCTGTGCAACCCCAATCCCGATACAGAACGCCTTGAGCCCGTCCCACCACCACACGGCGTTCGGCACGGCCATTATAAACACACCCGCCATCAGGGTCCGCCAGCACGCCACGCCCGCCGTCATGTCTGCCGTGTTCCGCGTCGACACGGCAAGGTTCGACCCGGTAAAGGCCGTACTCTGCGCAATGAGCGGGGCGGCAGTGGCCGCGAGGACGTGGGCGCCGGCCCCAAGCAGGCCGAGCACGAAGCTCATGGCCGGAAGGTTAACGCGAGGAGCTAAGTAGTCGAGCGCGAAGATGGAAGGGCCTGTCGTTGTCGTGCTGTCGTCGGGCCGCGGTGGTGGCGTCATGGCCTTGTCGAGGTGTAGGCCAAAGGTGAGAATGCCGATGAAGACTAGGGAGGAGCCGCACGCTAGAGCTAGCATGTGGCTTTTCGGGGTGAACTTTGTGTGCTGCTGCCAGCGCGGGAGGAAGGCAGGGACTGCGACGACGGCGGTGGCCAGGAGGAAGGGGCCGGTGAAGAGTGAGCCGACGGCTGCTGAGGAGAGAATGAAAGGGAGGGGTTGGAAGAAAAGGGAGAGGGACGAGGCGAGGCCCCAGAGGGAGGAGGTGGGCAGTAAGGAGGCGATGGCGAGAAGGGCTGTTGTGGGCGTGATGAAGGCGCGCGGCACTTGGAGGAGGATGGTTGAGTCTGCCGGCCCGCGGTAGGCATAGGGTTTGAGTTTGACAATGTAGTCCGTGAAGGTTTCGATGGAAAGTCGGCGGCGCGGGAGAAGTGGAAAGGAGGTCTTGAGTTGGCTACCCGCCGTGACGGGAGTTTCGGCGGCTACGGAAGTCCGATCAAAGGTCGTTTCCGGCGCCCCGAGGACCATGGCGGGGACGGCGACCACGAAGAAAGCGCTGAGGATCACGAACTGCAGGCTGACACCAGCCGGACTTTGGGAGGCGATCCCACCGAGTAAGGGAGGTCCCCAGGTTGTCGTGACGGACACGACGGAGTGCATGGCAACGCGAAGACCGCGCTCGTGTTCCTGGAAAGGTCAGCAACTGGGTGCAAATCCGGGCCATGACGATATCCTGGACTCACAAAGTAAGTGTCCTGGATCGACCCCAAAACAAGCGTGTCGAAAGCGCCCCAACCAAGCCCCTGGAATATTCTGGCGGCCATGGACTGGGCATAGCTGCTTCCAACATTGGTGTTCCATACGGTACCAATAAGCACCAACAGCAGCGAGGCCAGGTAGAGCGGCCTCTTGCCGCATATCCTCGAGGCAGTGAGGCAGATGCATCCGGTTACGGCCGAGATGATCAGTGGAACACCGGTCAAGGCAACGGCTGCTGTGTAGGAAACCTTGAGGTTCTCGGCAAGCTGGGCATTCACGGTCAAAAATATCGTTTTCAACACACCAGTCATGGCAACCATGAGCAGGATGCACCAGAAGTTGAGTTCCTTTCTCCATACAGGCCAGTTCTGCAGTACTTTGTTAGTCACGGCTCTCATCAAAATGTAGACCAAAACTTGCCAAGGGATCATCGGGATCATCACTAGGCTGCGGCACCAGCTCAACCCGGCCGTACTTCCCCTGCCCGTACTTGATTCGTCTCTTTGAGGCAATTGTCGTCCAGGAAAGCCGCTTCGTCGACCCAGGAAACGTTCGTGAAGCTGGAGTGCGTGACGTCTGGGTTGCCGCCGTGCCCGGTCTTGTTGGAGGATTCATTGCTAAAGGTGCTTGCGGCCATAGCAAGCGAGCCCGCGACGGTGGTGATCTGTTTGAGATTGGTGCTGACTTTGCCACGGGCCTCGGCGGAAGTGGCCTGTTCGGCGGCTGAGATGGGCTTCCGCCTCGACTTGGGATTTCCAGCTTCAAAGGCCCCGGCCTCTGCGGCAACTCCTTTGCTGGAGGCCCCGGGGCGCTTGTTAATGGATCCTTCCCATCCTGCCGCCTCATGTCTTCATACCAGTTGCTTCGAGACATGTCCACCCCCGATTCTTTCACCAATTCCCGGTCCAGCCCCATTGGTCCAGGGTAACAATCAAGGGCACTTCAAGTCGGGGCAAGTCGATATTGGAAACGGAAGCGGTCCCTCGGTGCTGTCCAGCAGATCAGAAGACGGTTGTTGAGGCCGCAATGAAGTATAAAATGGGCTAATAACGACAACTGTATTAAATCTAACATTAAGACAACGACTACTCTGCAGCTGGGTGAGGGAACGAGCGTCGTCAGGCGGGCATGGACCCCACACGCCAGAGTTCTTGTGGGTTGGTTGATACAAGGGTTGACTGCGGTGAAGACACTTCTTGCGTCCACGGAAACCATTGAGAAGGGGAAGAGGAGAAGTTTGTTCTCGACAGGGAAGCCACAGGGCAATCAGATGTACGATGAGGGGTTCCTTGGCGGTGACGAAGGTTGGTGCCGCAGGTGACTGCATCCTGGAAGAGGAACGTGACTGCCGACTTGCGTGATGTCCCTTCCCAAGCTCCAAGCATGACGCAGGAGGATCGGTAGCTGTGAGCCCGGTAGACAACTGCACCCCTCGTTCATGCGGCCCAGGGTGGACCGGGGCACATGGGAGTCTCCCCGGGGACCTGGCAGGGCTCGACGTCGGCATCGGGGTCGCATCGGAGATCCACACGTGCGCCGATGGCACGGTGATGATGGTGAACAGGCCCGCTCTGACCATGCACACTCGATCTTCACCCACCTGGTCTAAGCGGGCGCAGGGGCCAGCGAGAGACTGAAACTCTAAGTGACGCAGGTCGGATGTGTTGCTTGACAATTGACATGCTGGCGAGGAGATGTTGCATGTCACCAAGTCTAGGTATCTGCGGTTCTTGTCGCTGGACAAAGACTTGTACGTGCCTGGACTGCAAAGGAATTCGAACAAACCGACAATTTCTTCAACGCATGCAGTTCGCAGCAAGCAATAGCCTCCCGGCTCTTGGCTAGGGCTGACGATGAAGGAGAGGAGTTGGGGGAAGAGTGGGGGTGACATGGGTGGCGAAACGGCATTTTCCGGACGATGTCACTTCGCAGTTCGGGACGGCACCTGCCAGTTTGGGCCGAGTTTCCCAGCTACAAGCTCCTTCTTTCCTTCTGCATCGAGCAACTGCATTTGCCGCTCTCAGCACTCCAAGCATTTCACAGGGCCGTATCCTCACCGCTAGACTCGGATCCTCGCCAGCCAGTCACCGTTGTATATTTCTTGGGACGCTCCGCGTAAACAACAGGGGGTACCGTACCTAATCCCCAACTACACGGCATCTGCAGCTTAAAAAGCCTTAAAGTAATCCATTTGGGGCGTCGCTGCACCAAAAGAGGAATCAAGGAGTCAACCTGCAGCATCCGTCTTCTCGATCTGTCAAGCACTGCTACAGTTTGCCAAAAACGAGTTCACTCATCCTTGGTGCAGTGGAGGTGGTTGGTTGCAACACTACCGCTACTCCGTCTTCTAAAGACGCCCGCTCGAGACGAGTTTGACTAGAAGATGTTGATCAATCCAGTGTTTGAAGGATGTTTTCTCTTGGGAGTTACACAGTACCTAGGTATGTAAAGGCATTATCAGTCAGTGGCTCGGGCCATCGCTTTACCCGGTTCCAGCCCCAAGATCCCCCGATCAGAAACGCATAAATGTGATGAAGCTCGGTCGCGCCAGTTACAAGGACGAGCAAGCATCACTGCAGCCGGGGAAGGCGCAATGCTTTCAATTGAACCCAAAATTAGGAGACGGCCATCATGAGTCCACTTATTCAAGCTTTTCGCTGCACCTATCTTGAAGCCCTCCTCGGATCACCAAACAACCCACCCCTCGTAACGCCGATCTCGTCTATCTGCTCATCCCGTACCGTTACCAGTTCCTTTTTTTAGGTCTTTCTGCGAACCCGGCGCCCAAGGCTCTATGTTTATGAACAGTCTATCGTCACCAGCAATGCTCGAGTCACCTGTCGTCGCATGAACAAGCCATCCCTGATGAAGCGCAGCTGGGCTTGTTCCCCGTCTCAGACTGAGCCGATGTGGTCGAGCGGCACATCCACCAGTCATGTTCGTTAGGCGCCACCAACAAGTTCGAGCGCAGGTGCCCAGTGGGAACCTAAGATGTTGGTAGGGGAGTTCGAATGGTAGAGATATAGAGGCGGATATGAGATGAGCTCCCGGGGGTCAAAGAAATAACTGTAACCTAAACGTGGGGCGACTGTCAGTGAAATCTTCTACCCAAGAGGAAGTGAGTGCATGTTGTAGTCCCGCCTGGTTATACGCTAGGGCATCTTTCGACCATCACTCCTTTCGATCGATGAGCTAAAGGGATGTGCGAGAGAGCCTCCGCCGCCAACACTCGGAATCCCAGAAAACTGCAACGGTTAGATGGCATACAGCTAGAACGGAACAGCACCGAAACGCTATGTTTCAGTCCCGCTAGCAAATGAACCATCTCAGCCGTGGCACTCACGGCGTGAACAGGCAACCCATGTGTCGTTTTTCATGCTTGACCAAATTTGCATCATGGAAGGGGCTTGGGGGCTTTCTGATCTTACCTTCCGTTTGCGCTTCCCGCGCCTCTGACTTCTCCACCATCTCGAGCAGCTTACTGCTCCGCACCAGCAGCTCCTCAAATTCGAGCCGGTACGCGACCGGTAGCTCGTCGTCACGTGCTACAAGCACGTCCTGCTCGCCACGGACATCCTTCTCTGTGACGCGGAAGCGCAGTCCCACGTCTCGGTCCGAGTCGGCCCACAGCACCGGCGCCTCGCAAGCATCTCCTGCTGCCGGCGTCTCTCGGCTCGCCTGCGCGGCCAACCAATCACGCCACACGCGGATTAGCCCATCGACCACGTTGACGTGGCTCCCGAACAGTCCGGGCTTGGGGCCCATCTGGACCAACTTCGGGACGGTGCACAGCTGCGAGAAGAGCTCATCCGGGTCTAGGTAGACATCAACCGTCGGTCGTGGCCCGTCCTTCTCGGGGTGCCGAATGCTTTCCCGCCGTTGGTATTGCGCGTCCGAAGGCCGGTTCTCGTCCTCCACTACCGGCCGAAAGTGCGAGTAAATCCCCCTGAGGCCGGTTGAGCGGCCTGACCCTGGTAGGGCCCTTCGTGGGTCGACACCAACTGCCTCTGCTTCCACGCCATCAAAGCTATCGGTGAAGAGATAGTTGCAGTAGAAGTGAGGCGCCCGGAACTCATCGGCTGGATGGAAGCACTTGAGCACTAGGCGGTGATCCCGCTGAGAGGTGGCGTGCTTCAGGCGGTGCTTGAGGACGCGAAGCGTCGCCGAGTAGAAGCGGTGGCTGACCACGATGAGTGGTAAGAGGGAGGGAGTTGGGAGCTCGGAGAGGATCGAGATCAGGAGCTGTGGTGATTGTCAGCGAAATCCAACCTCAAGAGATGGGACCAGGGGAGCGGACCTCGTTGGGTAATGAGCTAAGACTGGGTGGAGGATACATTGTTGAAGTATGTTAGGGGCCTTGTGGGGAAATGATGTCTGAGAGCAACTTGAACGCTAATGTATGCGAGTCATGAATGGGCCACGTCCAGACTCTCTGCTGGCAAGCTCGGGTACCAAGAGAAAACTGCCTGGTTCATCTTGACGAACGATCCATGATAGATATAGCTGTATCAAAGGCCCACAGGGCCAAATGATGGGACGTACTCAGGGGTGGGTCGAGTAGGGACTTTTCGGAGCTGCGACTCAAACGTGGTCGCGAGAGCCCGGAAATGGCCGCCGGCATGTATGTGTCGTGAAAGTTGCCCTGAACAGAAACGTGCCTCCATGTGTGGTAGACGTGGGAGGAAAGCTCAGGCCCGGCTAGAGTTACCCCTGGGCCCTGGCCACGAGAAACATGTGATTGAGCCGGTTGCTGTAGGAAATTTAGGCGCCTTCGGCGGTATCTCGATGCTGTCTCGTCTCTCATATGATCCCGTATCCTTGAAAGCACACCACCGTTTTCTTCCCAGTTTCGGATATGGTGCCCGATGGACATGAGGGTACCTTATCATCCCCGGGAACAGATTTGTTTGGTTTCTGGCGGACAGTTCGGTTCGATGATGATGCAGCATCAGCAGAGGAACCGCTTGGGCCCACTTTTATCCGTCGGTACCTTTCTGCAGGCCCCACTTCCCGCTCCGGTCCACCGCCGGACAAAGCCGGAATCGCGTGTTTTCCAAAGAATTTTTATCTATTAGCATGAAACCTATGACACGGGCCTCTCAGCTCTAAAGATCTGAAAGCCTCCAAGTCAATCATTAGTTTGGCACAATAGCTAAGTGAATCTGGAGCTATGGTGATCGTCAGTGCAGTAACCTTTAATACCGGTCTCGAGTTGGTTGTCGAGGAGGACACCCTAACGTACGGATAGAGGTAGCGTTGTAACCCACCTAGTCCTCAAATCGGGGCCTAACGCACCACAACGGGCCCGCTCAACTAAGCCCAGACTCGAAACGAACGAAGTCAATACATATCTATCTAAAGTGGAGAGTGTGAGAAGAACACATCTCGACGATGGATCGGACGATTAACTTGCCGATTGATGCTAAATTTCTACGCGGCTCGGACGTCTAGGTAACATCTTTCCTTGTGCTGTGCCAACCCCTCGTTCCATGCCTAAACGAGTGGACGCCAACACGCCGCTCAGCCTCTGCTGAAGGGGACCAACGCCCAACAGGAGCTTTCAGGAGGTAGTTATCACGCCACCGGCAAGTTCCTTCGAATCATTTCCCTCAGCATCCTGTCGAGCCACGTTTGGGATGCTTGGTTTGGATGCTCGATTTCACCATGCTGCGCTTCGAGACAAGGGATTATCCTGTAGTTTATTGCAGGTCAAGACAACACAACACAACCCAGGGCTCTTTATCCAATTGGCAATTCGAACGAAGATGAGCCGGCACCTAGTATTTACTGTTGATTTATACTACCCAAGTCAAGCGGAAATCGTGACAGCTGCACCACCCAATGAAGTTCACAGACTGCCGGCCAATTGTGTGGCATGATGCCAAAAACGTCAACAAACAACAGCAATATCATCAAACAGCCTGGGTCAATAGTGATGGAGCTACTCCTCAACAATCTTTGCATGGTACTGCCGAGGCCGAGCTGAGCCCCAGCCACCCGTTTCACGCCAATCCGAGAAACCTTACAACACCCATCTGCGATCTGCATCATCAAGAGATGGTTCCCTCCACCGCTTCCGCGGCCTATAGAGCATGGCCTGTAGCACCAACCTTTCCGTTTCACCGCGTACCTGGATAGTAAACGTTCCGACCTTAACCAGCTGTACAGCTCATATCCCATTGGATTGGCCATCACCGAGATGTGATTAAGCAGATCCCTGCGGACCACTTCCATCCCCCACCGACACGGCGAAGACGCGTGGCCTCGCCGCTGGAAGCCAGGCAAGGTGGCTAAGATCTGAAGGTCGGGCCCGATGCAGCCAGAGAACTTCTTGTGCGCCCTGATTTGGCTCCTTCAGAATAGGGCGGGTCATCCGGAGGGAAGAGTCGTGCGGCCTTTCGGGTGGAGCACTTGGAGTCTCTCGACCCGCTCTTTGAATGTCTTGAGAACGAAGGGATCCATTCGATGTCTGGTCTGACAACCTCGTCCGCTGCCTCTTTGGCAGTACGGAAGGCAGCTGGTTCCTGGGAGGTAAGAGGGCAGGCCATTGCGAGATGTATTGCCGTGGTGGGTTAGGGTTCGATGTGTGTTTTTCCGCGTGTAAGTCAGGGCCGCGAATGTTCCAAGTTCGGATCAGGTTCTCGTTAAGAAAGATGAACGGACGGCCTTCTTATAAACAACACCCCCTTCCTCTCAGGTCAATGCCAACTAAATACCCGTTTGACCGCAGAGCCTCACCTCCCACAACCCTCAACTCCCTTGCTCAAAGCGCGTAACCATCGGTTTCGGCATCGCTTCGTGCCGCAGAACCTCAGCAAACCCGTCTTGGCCGAGAGAAACCCCAAGAGACTCACCTACAAAGTGCAGTTCGCGGGGTCAGTCTACGGATAATGAGGAGGGGCCCGATAGGGGATTTCGAAGTCATCTGGTTCGTTGCATCTGGGCCTGGGCCAATCCCCGCGTCTGTGAGAAGCCCACTATCTCACTTGGATGCTAATGGAGTGTAAGTCAACCGGACTAGAAGGCCCGTATGCAGTTCTAGTGCGGCTCTGTCCGGACAGTCAAACACCCAATACCAGACACCCCCCGTGCCGGACGCCGGAGGTTTGAGACCCGGCCGTGGGGAAGAGAGACTTGGGGAGGTCTGAGAGACCCAATCGACAAAGGGCTGCTACTAACGCAATGGCGAGACTGCCGCCGGGTGCACCATGGAGTGGCTTCGCTCGGTGTACCGAAGCTTCGGTATGTGGCGGGAACTGGGGAGTCGGCCCTGACGATGGTCTAGCGTGCCGAGTACCCGGTCCGACCGAACTCCTCCAGGAGAACTCAACCTGAGTCCTCCCAACACACGGAAGGTCAGCTGCTCTGACGCCGCGCCGAGATCTGCTGCCGTGCCGCCCAGCTTGAAAGCAGTGTACGTATCCATGTATGACCCTCTTTTCCGCAACCGCGATACACTCTGCATATAGCACAGCAGGACCAAGCTGCCTCCGCGGATCACCACGATCACGACTGAGCTGCGGCAAACTGAGCCGGGGGTATGACAAATCTTCAGCTGTGGTTGACAAACGTTCCCCCCTTTTTCCGGTGGTGATGGATGGCCTTTGGCTCAGGCGTAGGGACCGTGGTCACTGATCACTCCTCCCTGGTCCGGGCTTGTCGCAAATCCTTCCCATGTACAGCACTATTCGAGGACAGTTCATCCATGCCGAGCCTAGTATCCGACCAGCCGACCGCCTCCATCCATTGTCCGTTCTCAGCCTCGAACTTCGTCGGACGGCAGATTCGTCCCCCCTCTCCCTCGGCGTCAGCGGTTAGCGAGACAAGGGCTTGGTGCGTGTCAACGTCCCGCAAGAAACAAAGGGCGGTTTCGCGGCGTATCTTCATCCTCCATCCGATCGTCCTCGTCCTTTCAGTTGCGCAACTGTCTCTTCGCCCTGGGGAGCGTCCCAAAGGCCCCCTTCTTGCTGGCCTCTCGCTCGAAATCCGCTGCACGAACGGGTTTGCGCCACATGGACTGGGGTACTTGTTCCCGCGGAAATGGTGTACTTTCCCCTATGTCTCAGCATCATCGTCCTTCGCATCCGAGCTGGCAATAAATACAACAATAAGCGAAAAGGATCCTGGTATATCTCTCCTGATCGATGGCAACGAACTGTGACCCCCGTATCACCCCCGGAAAATGCAAGTCGGAAAATGGATCTCCAAGCCCACACAGATAACCCAATTTCGACGGCATGAATGTACTGTCCTGTGTACATACCAACCTCATCTAAACGAACCATGGCGGGAAATTTGCCAACCGGTATTACCCACAGACAAAACCAACCGACATCCAAGATCGCCGAATCCGTATCCTGACCAGCTCCGCGCCGACGCACCACCCACGCCCTCTAGAAGATGCCGACACTCTTACTCGACCTATGCGACTGCGCCAGCGGGCTCCGACCCACTCCACACCAGCAGCTCGTATCGCCTTCCCGCTCCACTTGAAGGGTGATGTCGATGCCGTGCTCGAGGAGATAATTCCGCACCCGGTCACGCACGTCCTCCATATCTGCGCCCCTCGCCGCCACGACGTGCATCACCCCCAACAGCCGATTCTGCTGTGACCCTTTCCCGGTGTTCCGGTCGTCGATCCAGAACTTGGGCGCCGCATAGCCGACGACGCCTCGCAGGCTCGTGATGCCGGAGAGCGTGTCGCGCAGGTTGTACTCGACCTCGGGCGGGATCGTGAGGAGCAGCCTCCGCGCGGACGACTTCACCAGCGGCAGGGCTGAGAGCAGAATCAGGACCGCGATGAGGAAGGATGCGAGCGGGTCCCAGCCCGACCACTTCCAAAAGCGGGTGAGAATTGTCGACACGATGACGGCGGCGCTTCCTAACGTGTCGGCTAGCACGTGGAGGTAGATGCCGTACATGTTTTCGTTGTCGTGCGAGTGCGAGTGCGAGTGCGAGTGCGAGTGCGAGTGCGAGTGCGAGTGGGAATGGGCGTGCCCGTGCTTCTCGCTGGAAGGCCCATGGCTGTGCGAGTGACTGTGGTCATGATCGTGGTCGTGAGGATGCTGGTGACCATGAGCATGCCCATTGCAGCCATGTGAATGGCCGTGGCCATGGTCGTGCCCGTGGTGGTGGTGGCCAAATGCCATCATGCCCACCAAGTTGACCACCAGGCCGAGGGTACTGACCACAAACAGCTCTCCGAGCCTCTTTGTCTCTCTGCCCTCGATTATCCGCTCGCAAGCCTCGGACATGATTTCCACACTGATCAGTATCAGGAAAACCCCATTGCCGAAACCGCTCAGGGTCTCAATCTTCCCAAAGCCATACGGGAATCTTTCACTGGGAGGCCATTTGCTTGCCACAGCGGCAAAGAGCCCAATTGCCAGGGCGACACAGTCGAAGAACATGTGGACGCTATCACTGAGAAGGCCAAGCGAATCCGTCACGTACCCGTAGAAAGCCTGTACCATCATAAAGGCTAGGTTCAAGCTGTGAGTCTCGCAGTTAACCAAATCTGCCTCCTCCCGCTTCCAAAACTGGGACTCCCACAAACCTCATGAAGTAGAATATCCGTCTGGAGTCCTTTTCTAGCAACACCGTGTGGAACAATGGCCACCCGGAGGTATATGAACACAAGAGCTCCGTAAACCTCGAGCGCGGTGCGTGGTGATTGTTGTGGGGGTCGTGGTGCGAATGTGGATGCGAATGTGAATGTGAATGTGAATGCGAACGCGACCCCGAGTCGACCGGCGGCTCATACACACCAGCGGCATCGAAGCTGGCAGCGGTTGGTGATACCAGTGTCTTCCCCCCGGGAGTTGATTCTATTTTCCATTGCGCGCTGGGCGCTAATGGAGGGGGGACGTTTATTTGCATGGGAAGGTTCGTGTTTGCTCGATAGTGGGAATGGTTGTGGTCATGATGATGGTTCCGAGCATGAGAGTGGGCGCCGGCCGGCCGCGGCTCTTTGCGATTCCGCGAGGGACTCAAGGAGTTCAAAGACGAGGAGTGCGAGTGGGAGCAGGCATTGTCCGACCCATGGTGGTGATGGTGGGAAATCGTTGAAGCGGGCAAGGCGAAGGAGGACGCCATCGTGTCTTCCCGCAACTTCGTTCAAAGCTGCAGATTTGCTTGACCCCCAGACCAAGGAAGAGCGTCGGCGCTCTTGGTATCACCTGTTGTTGGGCATGGGAAACATTGGCGGAGGCCAAGAGGGAGTGACTGGTCGGGTTGTCTCTCCGCGGCGATCGCTCGAATGTGGGCCGAGTTCGATGTGCTGGATCGAGGACCGCGAAGCTAGTTAAAGTTAGCACTATCGGCGAGGGCAACAACAGCCAGGTTCACTTCACCAGGCCCAATCACTACGTAAGCACTGAACCGCCGCTCCCGTCTTGAGCGTTGGATTGCTGGAGGTGAGATTACCAACACCGCCCGCCGCACGTCTCGGTCTTGATTGTTCTCCGTTGTCCCTCCATGACGCCCCTGTCGAGTTACACCGTCGCCGCCTTCCTTACCTGCGATCTTAGCCTAGCCCCTGAGATGTGGGGAAGGCTGGTTCCTGGCGGGTCCATATCTTGAGCTCTGATTGGCGGTATGCATGCGATCTGCGCCATCCCATGCAACTGGGCCAAGTGCATGAAAGGCTGGCCAAGACCACGCCGCCAATTGGACCTCCAAGTTCTCCAACAGCCTCGAGCCGGGGACACGGTTCACTGAACCTCTGGAACCGGGCTGACGGGAGGCTGAAGAGATGCGAGTACGGATACACGACAGGTCTTGAATGTTTCTCTTTTGGGATGTTGCACACCCAGCCATTCGTTAGGTAACCAGGTCTTCACGAAATACCGTGAGCCCGACCTCGCCCAACTCCCGCGGCCCGGCGGTCTGCAACTCAAAACCGAGACTGCTCGCGGGGCGCGTTGTGGGCATGCCAAGATGATCACGTTGCTGATCTATTCGGCTCTCTTTTGCATATTCACCTTGGCAGCTCTTGCGGCCTACCTAACGCTCACACTTACCAAGTACAATCGACCTCCAGCGGGCTCGAGGGAAGGACCCGTATCCGTCCATGTTCTAGTCCTAGGCGACATTGGACGCAGCCCCCGCATGACATATCATGCCTTGAGCGTAGCCAAACATGGGGGAAAGGTGAACTTGATCGGGTATCTCGGTAAGCTTCTAGGCTCACGGGAGTCTCCAGATAAATGAGAGTTCTAACATGCGACTCAGAAACCTCACCCCATCCGGACGTTGTGGGTAATCCCAACATCACAATCAACCCCCTTCCCACGCCTCCGTGCAGACCGGCGGCCATTCCGTTCATATTATTTGCCCCGTGGAAGGTCCTCTATCAAGTCTCCCACCTCGCCGGCCTCCTCAGCCACGTGCCACCAGCCCAATGGATCCTGGTCCAGAACCCGCCATCCATCCCGACCCTCGCCGTGGCCGGTTTGATCTGCTTCCTGCGCAATAGCAAGCTGATAATCGACTGGCACAACTACGGCTGGTCCATCCTGGCGGGAACTCGAGGCCCCAAGCACCCGCTCGTTGCGCTCTCCAAACTCTACGAATGCTACTTCGGCCGGCTGGGCTCTCTCCACCTCACAGTAACTCAGGCAATGGCGCGCCAGCTGCGTAGCCCGCCGTATTCTATCGCTCAACCCATGTTGGCCGTGCACGACCGACCCGCGGCGCTTTTCCAGCCGCTCCCGTCGCCTTCGGCGAGAGAGGAGATTCTGAAGCGGGTCCTCCCCGACCCAGAGAAGGAGCTGATCCCCAATCTCCTGGATGGCACCATGCGCCTCGTGGTGAGCAGCACAAGCTGGACCCCCGACGAGGACTTCTCCCTCCTGCTAGATGCGCTGGAGCAGTACGCGCACGCTCCTGCCTCCTCCACACCGATGGCAGTGCCGATCCTGGCCGTGATAACAGGCAAGGGCCCGCAAAAAGAACTCTACCTGCGAAAGATCGCCGAGCTCACCGCGGCCGGGAAGCTGCCCAACGTGAGGGTCGTGGCGGCCTTCCTGCCATTTGGCGACTACGCCGGTCTGCTGGCGTGTGCGGATCTGGGGATCTGTCTGCACATGAGCAGCTCGGGCGTCGATCTACCGATGAAGGTTGTGGACATGTTTGGCGCGGGCCTGCCGGTGGTGGCGTACTCTGGTTACGAGAGTTTTGGGGAGTTGGTCAGGGAAGGAGAGAATGGAAGGGGATTTGAAACAGCCGAGGAACTGGCCGAGATCCTTCTACATCTGCTCAGCGACGGCGGGGGCGCGGAGTTGGAGAGGTTGCGAAGAGGAGCTGTGAAGGAGGGGAGTAGGCGGTGGGACGAGGAGTGGGATTCAAAGGTGGGCACGGTCCTGGGACTAGTGTCATGAGGACGCCTCAACGCTTCTCGTGCGGGCGAGACGATGGCGCCGAAGCTACGGCTTATGTTTGGCTTTTCTTTTAGCGGAGTACAGGAGAGTCGCGTTGTTTGCCGCTGTTCCTCCAGCCCCACCCCGAAGCAGATACGCAATAAGCACCCTGGCGGATATCCGGTCTGTTCTCCGCTAAGCCCAGGTTTGACTACACGCCTTCCTTCCGACAGCCTCTCAGTCCTCGCCCAAGCTTTCCCTCACACATTTCCGACACCGCCTCCTGAACTCCTTGCTCTTGCCTTCCCTCTCCTCGCGAAGCAACCTAGCTGCTTCGACATTCGCGGGACTCTCGTCGTTCGGGTCCTCAAACAAGCTAATGACGCTCAGGAGGATCGTCTCGGGCGTCTGCACAGGACTCCACCGCTCGCTAGCCGCCTCATAGCCGAACTTGTCCTCCTCAGGCGGGTGCAATATGCTGATGCAGAGCTCCCCATTCGCGTAGATGTTGGGGTGGAAGGGTATGGGCTTCTGAAAGACCATCTTTGGGGGCATGTGCGGGTACGTCGGGGGGAAGGTGAGGTGTGCGCGGAAGTTGCCGCCTGTTCGGCCGTAGAAGTGGTTAGTCAAAGGGGCTTGACGAGGATGATTGATGGAGGGTGGGTAGTGAGCGGTATGGTATGCAGAGCAAAGGATAAAAAAGCTCACCGCCGTAGTATTTGCAGTCGTCATTGATCATCAACATGACCTCCCACACAAATATGTTGCTGTCGTTTACCAAGCCACACGAGATGCCGGGGATGTCCTTGGCTGATTGCATCTCCTTCAGTTGCCGCTTGAGGAGGGAAGCCGCCGCGGCCGAGATACCGGATGAACTGGCCATGGTTGCAGAATCGTCCTCCGCGCCTCGTAAGGGATTATATCCTCCTCTCTTCCTCTCAGTCCCCGTAAAGACGTGGCGTATAAGCCTGCCAGCGCCTGTCCGTGTCTTGGAGATCGGGTGCGGGGCAGCGAACCGCTCGCGTGTCAAATCTTGGGCTTCTAAGAGAATACTGGGAAATCTCGCCAAACGGTCAGGTGTAGATTCGTATGTACAAGAAAGGTGCAGAATGACGAATATCCAGTTGTAGTGCCTAGCTAGGTGAAGATGACACTCTGAGAAGGTGGCCCGGTCATGGCGAGTTTTCTGGAACTAGACATCCCTTGCCGGCCGGAATGGCGGGGTCCTATCCGTACCGGGACTGGAAGGCCGTAGTACAGTACAAAGAATAAAATACACACCGACTCGACAGCATACGATACTTCCGCCCTGTACGCAGGCCCAGAGGGACAAACACAAGCATCAAACAAGTCGGTAGGTACTCCTTATGTGCACACAAACCTACTAAATAGATTAGGCTCCGTAGCCGTCTTTCAGCACAGCCCAATGTAAAGTATTGCCACGGTGCACACAATTCCTCATCGTAAATTCCATCCAACCCCAACCCCTAACGCCGACCTATGCTTGGTATCTTTCGTAATTTCACATGGAATACAATCTTCTGTCCTGATGGCCATGGTGGTATGAATATCACTTCTTTGCAGTGGTCCCAAACCCTGTGAATCCAAGAGCAGCCATCATGTCGTCCTCGTCGTGCTCGCCCTCGATTCGTACATCCTCGCCGTACTCAGTTTTGATCTTGAGCGCAGCTTCCTTTTCCAGCCTCCTCCGCTCCTCCACCTCCTTACGTTTCCGCCTCTTCTCTTCCCTCTCCTTCTCTTCCTCCTCCTTCCTCACCTCTAACCTCTCCTTCAGCGAGATAACCTGTTCCCGCTTGCGCTCCTGTTCCCGCTCCCACAGAGCCTCGATGCGCGCGTGCACCTCCTCCGCGGTCGCCTTGCGCACCTCGCCCGTCGCGCCAATGTTCCGCTGGTGCTGCATGCTGTTGGTATGTTCTATCCATTGCAGGTTGTCCTTGAACGTCAGGTCGCACGCCTCGCAGTAGAAGCCGGCGCCGCGCCCACGCTTGCCCACTCCCGCCCCTGCGGGCACCAGCGTCGATGTGCCGACGAGCTTGCTGAAGTCCTGGGTGGCGTTACGCGCCGTCGTGAGCGTCTCGGTCCCGTCCATGGGCTTGTAGTATTTCTTGCCCGCCATCTTGGCTTCCCAGCGTGCTTTGCGCTCCTCCTTCTCGGCGGCTTCGCGCTCCTTGGCTTTGGCGGCATACTCGTCGAGATCGTACTTTTTCCTAAAATCCGTGTCGCCGGCCGCTTGGCCGTATGCGGAGCCTTTATTAGACATGACGGGCAGCTGTATTTGTGTTGTTTCTCTGGTGAAAGATCCCGTCGTGTTTCTCTGGAGCTTCGGCAAGGGCAACGGGCCTATTAATCAGTGATAAGATAACGAATGACCAGGAAGCCCACAATAAAAGCTTCGGCGGGGTAAATGTTTTATCTTGACATTCGAGTCGCATGTGAGACTTACCTATTGCAATTGGGCTCGGAGCACTATTCAAAGGAGCTTGATTGTTGCGCGTCGAATACCACACAAGATGCTCTACCTTGTCGGTCTCGGGCTCTCAGACGAGACGGATATCACCGTCAAGGGCCTCGAGATAGTGAAGAAGGCTTCCCGGGTGTACCTCGAGGCTTATACCAGCATCCTACTCGTGGATCAGTCTGTTCTTGTCCGTCACATGCTTCTGCTGTCCTGCCCCTCCAGGCCACGGCTAACTCCAATTCGCAGTAGGAATCCTACTATGGGCGCTCCATCGTAGTTGCCGACCGTGAAATGGTCGAGTCGAACAGCGACGAGATCCTTCGCGATGCCGCAAATGTCGACGTGGCTTTTCTGGTCGTCGGTGACCCATTTGGTGCGACAACACACACTGATTTGGTTCTTCGCGCGCGCGAACTCGGCGTCCCGGTTCGGACTGTCCCGAACGCCTCCATCTTGTCCGGGATTGGCGCAACGGGTCTCCAGCTGTACAGTTTCGGCCAGACGGTCAGCATGGTCTTCTTCACTGATAACTGGCGGCCAGCCAGCTTCTACGATCGCATCAAAGAGAACAGGGACATAGGCCTGCACACCCTCATTCTCCTCGACATCAAGGTCAAGGAGCAGAGCCTGGAAAACCTGGCCCGTGGCAGGAAGATCTACGAGCCGCCACGCTACATGACGGTGGGCACCTGCGCGAGGCAGATGCTCGAAATTGAGGAGGAGAAGGGCCAAGGCGTCTATGGGCCAAACAGTCTAGCCATCGGTGCTGCTCGCGTGGGTGGCAAGACAGAGAAGTTTGTTGCCGGTACGCTGCAGGAGCTCGGTGACGTAGACGATATGCTTGGCCCACCGCTGCACAGCTTGGTTCTCCTGGGAAGGAGAACTCATGAGCTGGAACATGAATTTGTCCGCGAATTCGCTGTCAACAAGGAGAACTGGGACAGAATATGGAAGTCAGATTACGCCGGCAAGCAGTAAGTGAATTCAAGTCAAATCCAAGCCACTATGCCATTCTAGTTGGAACAACTGAATCTTTGAAGCTAGGACTAGCTTGGGTGTTACCTCCACGTGTTCATGTCCGGATTCCAACGACCCTCCGTGCAAGTGTCCAAACGAACGTACTACTACTTAACCGTACAGGATGGAAACCGGAGCAATTCTTAATGGGACGATCTCCACTGCTTGACCTCTTCCTCGCTGATCTCTCGCAATTTATTGACCGCGGCTGGCTTCCCCGTGATGACACCCTGGGCGACTTGTGCCATCTGCCCAAGCATGGTCTTGCCAGAGATGGCGTAATGGGCCGTGGATGTCTTGACGCGGATGATGCCGATGCGCGGGTCATTCGGGCCTCCGTCATGGGTACCATCTCCCAGGTCTCCCAACCAGGCCTTGAGATGCTGACTATAGTGCTGCTGGACGAGAGACCGATCCGTTACCACATTGGCCGTGCCGCTGATGCTCGCCCAATCTCCCGAGTTGTTCAGGAAGCTGATGTTGATGTGCGAGTCGCTGGCGAGATCGTCCGTCTTGCCAGACTCGATATTTGTGTGGAAGAGCAGGTCGATCCCACCAGTTTCCTGAAAAACACGATGAGTACATGTCGTCATCGTCGTTACTCAGGCATCGCCTCCTGGCGAGGACCTACCTGGGCTGCAAGTGCCATACACCTCGACACCAAGTTCCCGGACTTGGCATCGCGGGTGGTCATCATCGCGAACCTGCAGGCGTTCATGAAGGCACTGAGGTCCTGGATCTTCTGCTCCAGGGACACCGTCGTGTCAAGGTTGGCCTCCTTGTACGGATCGGCATGCTTCATGGAGTACTCGGTCTTCTGTTCAGCCATCTTGGTGTTTCAGTTGTGTTCTTCTACTAAAATGCGTTCTTTGCTGGGTGTAGGATGTGTCTGAACCTTGAGCAAGAGTTGCTCCTAATTTTTATAGTTTCTTGGTCATTAATACCGGGGAGGCGAAGTTGCGGGTGCTTGACAATGATGTAACCATTTCTTTCTATGGAAGTTATGCCATCATCGTTTCCAAACCCCACCGAGACCTCTGCAGTGTCCTACTATATCACGTCAGGCACCGCGCATCATATCAATTACAATACCTGCTTCATCTACCACAGTACAGCTTTCAAGGCCTGCGGAGAAACCACCTGATCAAAGGGAAGGCTCATAGAGGCATCTACATTAGATTTCTTGGCCACAACACTCAAACCACTGTAACGTTAGTGTACTTAACTTGGTGATGAGTACGGTCGTGTAAGCGTTGCCGTCTGCGTATGGTATGTAAGGTATGTATTGAGTGTAGGTAACTATTCTACAGGACTACATCCAGAATCCGGCAATCATGTTCTACCGCATCGGCGGCCATTGAGACATTCACAGTGTCAATGAGATACAGGCAGTTTCCATAGCTTCCCGAAATATGTCTCAGATCTCATCAATCTTCTTTTTTAGGTGGTCTTTCAGGCGTTTCTTTATTACTTCCAGGTTTGCCAGGCAATGAGCCCCTCGTGTGTTGCCAAACCTGGATGTCCAAATTAGGCAAGTGAGTCTGACTGGTCGCCGGGGAACTTGCAGTTGCAGAATGAACTTAGCAATCGCATCACCCGCACCCGCCTCCCGCTGCAGTCACTCCTGCTTGGCCCATCAAGTCTCTGATCTCTCGGGGTTGCGTGGGCTCAGCATTGTGAAAAACTTCAAGTTCCCTCTGCTTCATGTTGTTTGGCGCCACCTTTACATCCCGCGTCGCCCAGCGTCCTAGAAGCGGGGATAAGACGGCGCCCGCCGATTTTCTGGTTCGAGCGAGCAACCGTTCACATTCGCGGATCAGCTTTCATCGCAGCCAACAAACGACCCTGGCATCCAAGCGGCAGTCTCGGGAGGATAAAGACGCTTTCCTTCATCCTTTTCACAGCTGCTTCATTTCACCCACCGCAACTGCAACACTGGACAACCAACTCATCTGTCATCTGATTGCGCCATTGTTACCGACTGCTACGCCGGTCAGTTGGCGGTTTGTTGGGCCGGCAAGCGACCTGTGACGCTCGAAACTCGGGTCTCGCTTGCACCTTGTGCTTGTTGAGGCTTCATAGCCCGTTACATAGTCGACATGGATTGGGATGATTCTGATGATGATGTAAGTAGCGGCCTGCAACCCTCGCGTACGCCCGTAACTAGAGCATCGTCAGAGCGAAACGGTCAGTCCTGAAGCCATGCTAATGATATCTTACAGCTCGTTCGGCCGTTTGAGTACCGTGACCAAGAAGAGCAGGCCGAGGCCTGGTGTAATCATCCCGCTCAAGTCCAGAACAAGCAGCTCTTGGCTGAGAATCTGCGCCTTAAGAAGCTTCTCCGTGAGAACGGCATCTCCTGGGATCCTCGGCTGACTCTGGACCCGAACGACCGGACCCGAGGCACATGGTCCTCACCATCTCCGCCTTCCAAGAGGATGCGGACCCGCTCGTCCACGGGCCCGGGGCGGCTTGCCCATGAGGGTCGGCGACTGCCGACACTGCCCATGGAGATCCAACTGTTCATCCTGGAATACGCCATGACCAGCAGATTCCCCATCATCGACCCCCTCTGCACGTTGAGCAAAGACAACATTACTGCTGAGGAGAGAAGACGGGGAACGCAACTTGCCATTGGTTTCTTGGCCACCTGCAGAGCCCATTTTGTCGAAGGGACTCGCTTCTTATGGCGCAACAACACGTTCATCTTCACCAGCCACATCGCTCTACGCAACTTCGCCAACCTCAGTCTCAAACATCGCATGGCGATAAAGCAGATCACTCTTCGCATCATCGCCCGCTACTACGACGATGAGGAACGGAAACATTTTGCCCCTTTCCCCTCACCCGGGTATGCATACGACAGTCCAATCACCCTCAAGGTCATTAAGCGGACTAGGGAAAAGAACCTAGCACGCAAGGGCTTTCGCAGCTACACGTGGGATCAGGTCGTCGACTTCCTCGATGCTTTGCGTCCGCCATTTGACCCCAATCATCCTAAGGGACAGCCACGCCCCCGGCTATTGCCGAATCTGGAGCGGCTGCGGATGGATTTTGTTAACTTCCCCGATGAGTTTCTCACTCCTCCAAGAGGCACGGCCCTACATGATCTCGCTGCTCACGACCTCGGGTGTACGCTGAATGAAATCCAACTCACAGGCCTTCCGGAGTGCCACTGGGGCCAGGAAATGGGCTCGCACCTCTGCGGAATGGTCAAGGACGATGGGGTCCGCCTAGACTCTGATCCCGTCTTCGTCTACTGCCGAAACCAGCTCCGTCCATTGGCAGGCCGGAAGAGGTGGGATTCTTTGTGGTATCCCAGGGTGATCCGCGCATGGAAATTCCTCGCCGATGAACATGCTCGCACTAAAGACAAGCCAGCAAGTCCACAGCGCCCCCGTGGCCATCGCGATGGACACGCAGGGTCGTACAGAATGCCGCCGGCTCCAGCAGAAGAAGGGCATCCCGTGTCTCAGTGGAAGCGACGCCGGACCATCTGGAAGCGTGTGCCTATGTCGCAGGAGAGCGGAGAGCGCATCTGGAACGAGTTTGACCGGCTTACCGGCCTCCCAATTGACAACGACAACTATGACTCCGATGAAGACGAGTATGATATATCGGAGTTTATCTGCCCCGGTTGTGGTATTATGCATGGGCCTCCTGGGGATCACTGATGCTGTTCTCTCCCCTCATCTGCTTATGTCTGTTGGAATGATATAGGCAATTGGTGCATCCAGGTGCTTAATTGCAGCCTTGAGTTGGACCTTTGGTGCCGCGGAACTTATTGCCTACGACAGAGCTTAGTCTGTGCTGTTTACAAAATCATGTATTGCTTTTAGTGCCCGATGGCTTTGCAGCATAGGGAAGATACAGGAGGTATGCTATGGGATTAGCGCGGCGTTTAGACCGGGAACTAACTGGCGATGGCGGAAAGGAGAGAAAAAGGCCTAACATGCGGTGTATTTGGACTCTCCGGTCGATGTTAAGATACCCGTAGGTCGGCTTCAGTGTCGCTCTAATGATGGCTTCGAACATGGCCTCGAGTTCTGATGAGATCATGTTGCAGAGGAACTCACATGAAGTCTCAATTGTGTTGTCATGAGCCCAGCGAAGTCGCTTGGTGGATGTGATGTTTTAACTTGGTAAAGTAAGTTCTAGTTAAGTCAAACTCAGGTAATTATGAGAATAAATACCAAGCTTGCTGGCCGAGGAGCCGGCGATTGCTGAGCTGACCAACAGCTACCTACTGATGTCTACTATTAACGACGAGTCAGTCTCACGTCCCATATCTGTTTCTCATCTCAAAATCCCCTTTATACCCCCTCTTCCCCCAGAGAGCCGACGCCCTCGCCAACACCGTGCTATTAGCACCACCGCCAAACCCTTCATAGTTGCCCAGGCTGGGCGGCAGGTCCTCGGTCCTGGTGCCCCACGCGCTCTCGTTGCGGCCCAGCGTCAGGACAAGTTCCTTCCCCTCGGTGAAGAATGAGTGGTCCACCCAGTTCTTGGTGTAGGCCTCCCCGTTGAGCGTGGCGCTCTGTATGTAAACCTTCTGCGCGTCGGACGGGTCGAAGCCGACGTTGCGCACCCGCGCCGTCTTGCGCGTTAGCGGGTGCGTAATGTTCACCTCCTCGAAGAAGGGCGGCGTGATCAGGTACACGTCCTGGCCCGGGTTCGGGAACAGGCCCATCATGGCAAAGGCCACGAACGAGCCCATCGCGCCGCTGTCGTCGTTGCCCGGGAGACCGGCCGGGGTGGGTTGAAAGAAGGAGGGGATGTAGAACCGCGCGCGGAGGGCGGAGAGGGCCGGGCGGCCTGCGTAGTGGTATTGGAAGACGGTCAGGAAGGAGGGCTCGTTGCCGATGTAGGTTATCTCGCTGTCGTGCAGGTAGTTGAGGCGGGCTACGAATGCGTCAGGCCCGCCGTAGAGCGTTATGAGGGTTGCTTGGTCGTGCGGGACATAGCTGTCAGCATAGGTGAGGTATGTTAGCTCCGAAGGATGATGGATTGGGCATAGTGTGAGGGCCGTTACGTACAATCCATATTCCCAGATGCTGCTTTCAAAGGTCTCGCGTCCCGTGTTCTGCAGGGAGCAGACGCTAAAGGAGTCGAGGTTACTGCAGTTTAGGGGATCTTGAAAGCCCCATGTCTTGTTCAGGTACCGAGGCTGGAAGAAACCGGTGAAGCCGGTGTCGGTGCCGTTCCACCAGACTGAGGGCTGGTCGGCTTTGAAGAGGTTTTGCCAGTTGTCGCTTGACTCCAGGTACTTTTCCGTGTCACTACTCTTTCCCAGACCAGCGGACATCTGAGCGATGCAAAAGTCGTTGTACGCGTACTCCAGCGTCCGCGAGATGCTTCTGGTCATAGTACCAAAGCCCTTGTAGTCGAAGTCCTGAACTGGGATGTAGCCAAGAGCCTTCCAAGAGTCCAACCCTCCTCGACCATTGCAACACCAGTCGTACGGCTCGACCTCGGCGTCTTTCACCACGGCAGCGTAGCCATCATCCCACTGCTACCGAGTCAGCATCTTCGGCATGGGGTGGGATTCAGTGCCTCACATCAATACCGCCTTTGAGTCCCTTGACGAATGCATCGGCCAGCACGACATCAGCGTTGGACCCGCCCTGGCAAGGTCAGCAGCCGTGGGGCGGAGAGACGTCCTGGTGGGTGCTGGTCACCTGGGTGTAGCCCTTGTTGAGGCTCATCCGACAGTCTGGGAGCCATCCCAAGTGGCGGTAGGTGTCGATCAGCGAGCGAACCATCTCTGTCACGGCTGTTGGGTCCATGATTGTCAAGAATGGAAGCTGGGATCTGAACTGGTCCCAGATGCTGACGAGCTCAGGTTAGCGCCAGCGTCAGAACTTAGTTATGTCGCCCATGCTTGCTCACCAGTAAAAGGAGTCGAAATACGGCTCGTTGCTGGACCAGAGCGGGTTCTCACCCGTGTAATTCTGCGGGTTGATCATGGTTCGGTAGATGCCACTGTAGAAGTTCGTCAACATCGAGCCGTTGACCTTGCTGGTCGATACCTTGATCGGGCTCATCTTCTTCCTCCACGCCTTTGTCGCCGCTTCGGAGACAGCGGTGAAGTCGAAGTGGGGGATTTCCTTCTCGGCATGCTGGCAAGCTTGGGAAGCGCTGATGAAGCTGGTAGCAGTACGGACCAAGATCGGCTCTGCTCCCGAGTTGAACCGTACAAAAGCACCCCCTGGGAGCGGATACCCATTGATCGATCGCGAGATCGTCAGCGTCTGAACCTCGGTGCTGGCACGGCTGTTCACAAAGATGCCACTGTCCAGTATCTTCGCCCCGGAGAAGTCGGTGCAAAAGTGCAGCTCGAAACTCCCAGCACCAAAACTCGGCAGGAAGCGGGCGCTGCCGGTGATGCGTCCTGTTGCAGGATCGACCGTCACCGTACCGTTATCCTGCCTGGAGTCGGCCAGGTCCGTGAGATCCTGCAGGATGAGAGGCTTGGCTGGCTCGCCGTCAGGACCGTCCGTCGGGAAAGAGAACTTGAAGAGGGAGGCGTGGTGGGTTGTGGTCATCTCGGCTCGAATCCCGCTGTTCAGAGTGATGCCAAAGGTGCCGGGCTTTGCGGATACGTCCCTGTTGCGGAAGCCCCCAAAGGCAGCGCGGGTCTTCTTGGGAAAGGCACACCGGTTGATGTCGCCGCCAGGGCAATTGGCATAGGCGAACAAGGCAAAGTTGCCCAGGCTCGGGTTGCCTCCGGTCCCGCTGTCGTGCATCATGCTGAAGCCTGTCACGGCGGACCCATCCATAGTGAACCCGCCCTGTCTGCTTCCGCTATTCGTATCAGCCACTGCCTTTGCCATGCCGTAGGGCAGAGAGGCCCCAGGGAACACATTGCCGCCATTGCTGGCGCCGATCAACGGGTCGACGTAGCTAAGAGGGTCGAAGACGTCCCGCGTGAGCGCTGTGCCCGCGAGGGCTAACCAGCAGGAGACGAGGCGGGGGATCATGTTCATGGCGTCTGTGTGTCCGGCGGCGATGGTAGCTGACGGTCGCCGTGGGTCAGGCCGGTCCTGGCTGTTCGCGGGATGCGCCTGTATTTAACGTCATGATGGAGACAGCCACGGACGGCAACAGCGACCTGGGACATAGTTACTGCCAGCTGCTTCCCATGAGCACCTACCCGCCTGCAACGGTTACAGAGACGCGAAGTACAAGATAGGAAGCTGCCGACCGAGATTCACTTGCGTCTCGCGTTGCATTGCACAATGGGCATGTGCAATACAATACATGTCTTACACTGGCATACCTAAGGCAGGTACCGTACCTACCTGCTGCAGGTACCGTAGCTTTGGAGACCACAAAGGGGCAGCGACTCACATACATACAGGGCAGTTATGTCTGCGCTTGCCGTGTCACTTCCCCATGACGATCGTTGCTGAAACGTTCAACAACCAATCTGGTATGACAGCAGCACCGTATTTTAGAGCTTCATCCTACCTCACTATTTAAAATCAGAAGCCCCTTTCGCGAGACAGGAGGGAGCAGGTGTGCGAAGTACGGTTGAATAGTGTAGAGTGTGAACGGGGATCAACAGGGCTCGCAGGGGTTCAATTCATGTGGGCCGTTGCAGAAGGAACGGTGACATCGGCTGCAATCATATCACCCAATCAAATCAGTAGCAGTGCTGGACGCCACCTTCCCCGTTGCGCTAAGATCAACAACCCGTTGATGCGGAACCTGCCAAAAGTGGACCCCCAGATCGACGAGCCCTTCCAAGTCCACAGCCAAATCGCCGACAGCCACCATTTTTGATCTACAACAAGACTTCGGTCTACTCCATACTACGTACAACTATGCCAGTTGTAGTGCATCCGGAAATTGTGCGTGTCTTGCCATGCCCACACAATTCACAACATTGGCTTTGCCATGTCGCAAAGTCCAAAGCGTCCGCCTTCTCCTGCCGCCAGCTCGCAAAGATCTAAACACCACGGATGGCAATCGGCCTTGCACCGGCCACGGTTGCACGGCAGACGCAGTTACCCGATCGATTGTCTAGATACCATAACAAATACTGTGGAAGGAAGGGGCGTACAAGCTGAAGAGCACATGTCCGGCAGAGCATCTCACCTTCCTGCGAGAGACGAAACCCAGCGTTCAGGCCCCATCGTTTCCTGGAGACCAAGTGTTCGATGGACTCGGACCATGAGATGATCGTCCCGACTGTTGGCGTGCGCCGAGGAACGAATGAACTTCTCCAGCTCCAACTGCTCCGCGTTGAAAGACGCCATTGTCTCGGGAGGCATTCATACTCGGCGTCTAGGAGGTGACGAAGTCGATCCCGCAGGTACAGACTGCTCCGTCGGCGCCGTGGGAAGGCGCGTTATGTGTTGGTGCAGTATCAAACCGGGTCTCGTGGGATTCTCCGGCGCTAGGCAATTCTTCCTCTTCAAGGCACTTATAGCACATCACAGTTTTTACTTTAGGGCCTGGAGCCTAGTTACATCAATCCATCAATCCATTCTGGTGGTCATTACCGGTTCCAGTCATTCTCCTTCTCAGACCAAAGGCTTCGCGTTTGCTACGGGGCGTCGTAGGCCCCCTAGGTAGCGTGATTGCGATCCCCCCGGTCCACACGGGAGGTCTCGGATCCCGTCGCCTTCTCCACCCGGTCGGGTTCGCGACCGGCCGATCCCAAACGGAACTGGCCGCTGGATCGTGACATCCTGACTCAGTGTCATTGCCTCCCCAGGGCATCGGCTAGCGTGCATCTCCGTTAACTGCCCACACCAGACCCTTACACTATGCGTGCCTCCGCCTAGCATCCGAAACTCGACAAACGCTTCAACCGCCTCAACATGGCCCTCGCATTTCTGGCCCTCTTTGACTGTTCGAGCTCTGGTGCATAACCCAGCAGCTGTCTTACGAATCTCTAACGCATTGCTCGTTTTCCACCCTGAAATCATGATGATGGCGTCCGCCGAGTCGGAAGGCGAAGAGTCTTTACCAACAACGCCAACGCCCAAGGGCGAATCCAGCAAGGCTGAGGGCAAGAGACCTAAGGTTGTCCTAGCTCCGGTTGAGCGATTCGACCGTCAGTCGAACCCAATCGTAACGGCATTGTCACCGCCTCCGTCCGCCCAAGCTGTCCAGCAGCCGCACCTTCATCGCATGAAGTCACATAGTCGGTTAAGAAGCGATTCCGGCTTAGCACTTCATGGGAATCAGGCCGTCTTTCGTCAACACGCCAGCTACAAACCTGAGGGCTCGTTTCCGAGTCGACCCGGTCCAGCCGCGGTGAACCTTGACGATAATGACAGCGTCGAAGACTTCAGATTCTGCTTGGGTCACAAACCCAGTACAGAACTTCAGGGATTTGTGGCCCAAGGCAAGGTTATCCCAGACTTCTTTGCAAACTCCTGGGTTAAAATGGCGTTTTCGAGCACGGAGACGGGGCAGCGAATTCGCAGGTTCGCGGAAACCAGACACTCAGGGGCGGACATGGACTTCGTGCTAAAGGTTAGCTCCGATCTCATGGCTGCGTGATCTACTCACACGACGGACTCAGATTTTGATGATATTGCCACAGGTGGAAGAGTACACACGTGAGCTCGGGAATATGATGTCTTCGATGAGCTACATCTCGTCTCATTTCACCAGCACGACAGCGACATCACCGCTTGAGCTTCCGCCGGAAGTCTCAAACACGCTAAGGTCAAATACGAAGTACTGCGTTAGATCAGCGCTGCCGGCTCTCGACAAGCTCTATCAGGATGCGAAGTCGACGGTAGAGGAGCGGTTGTCCCGGGACCTCTATCCGGAGTTTGTCAAGTACCAGTTCTCGCAGTGCTTGACAGCCTCGCTAGCGGCGGACCGCTCCTTGACTGGGGAATTCAAAACCCGCTACCCCGGGCTGGGCGAGGCCTTTTGTCTCACTGACCCGCTTATGCCCGATAACCCCATCGTCTATGCTTCTGACGGCCTTTTGGAGATGTGTGGGTTTCAACGGAAAGAGCTCGTGGGCAAAAACAGCCGGGTCCTGCAGGGCGTGGCTACAGATCCTGGGGCGGCTCGCCGGCTCAGCCAGGCCGTCGCGGCGGGACGAGAATTCACCGAGTTACTACTTAATTACACTCCAGACCAGACTCCCTACTGGAACTTCTTGTTCATCTGTCCGTTGATGGAGCATGGGAGCGTCCGCTATTTCCTCGGCGCGCAGGTAAACGTGTCGGAGAACATGGGCCCCGAGTACAAGGACATGGAGGACGTGATGAAGTTTGGCCCGCCTCCCGCCAGCTTCCACCAGGCCCGGGTGCCAGCATCGCCCACGTCTCCCAGTCAGCCGCCGCGGCGTGCCTCCAGCACCTCCGAGTCTGCGCAGTCCACAGAACAGCCGACCGAGAGCCCAACCTCCCGTCGCTTTCCTTTCTTCAGACGCTTCCGCCGCAAACCATCCTCTGCCCGCACATCGTCCCCCTCGCCTACCGCGCCGTCCGAGGTATCTACTCCATCGCAGCTCCCTGGTTACTTTTCGCCACACATCCCCATCCTCCGCCCGGAAGATCAATCCCAGCGGGTAGACGAGTACAGCACCCCTTACTCCCGCCACTTCGTCATGCCCTTCTCGCCGACCGTCCCCAGCCGGCGCGGACCTCGACTTACGCGCGACCGCGATCCGCCGCGCCTGCCCATAGCCTTCTGCTCCACCTTCGCGCTCTCTTTGCTCGGTCTCCGGCAGGACGCGTCCCACGTCGTGCTCAACCGCGACATCTTTGAGGTCCTGTCGACTCAGCTTGGTTCGCCTAGCGTGAACCGTTCGTTTAGGAAGAGTGTGATGGCCAAGCTGGCAGCGGGAGAAAGTGTGCATGTGGATGTGATGGTGCCCGCGGAGACGGCAAGCGGAGCTGGTGGTGGTGGTGGTGGCAGTGGTGGGAGGGCGGCGTCGAGGAGGCCTTCGAGGACTGCTCCTCCGCCACCTCCTGCTCCACCCCCTTCTATTTCAAATCCTTCCAAGGCTGGGCCGAGTAAACCGTCCGAGACTCCTCCTCCCCCTTCGCCCAAGACCGAAACACGACGGCCGTCGGAGACTCCTACTCTTCCTAGGGGTCGTGGTGGCAGTGGCGGTAGTGAAACTGGGGAGGGCAAGCCAAGGCCAAGTGGTACATTCGAACGCGGGGCGGAGCTGTTCAGTCAGGTCTTGCACGGTGGTCAGGGGAAGAAGCTAAGGCGGTTTGTGAGCAGCTGGGTGCCGTTGAAGGATGCGGAGGGGGAAATTGGATTTGTGGTTCTGGTGCTCACGCCGGGGGATGTGGCCGCTGCATTGGGCTGAAGACTTGGAAGCTGAAAGGATCCCGGGATGCCGCTGGGTACGGCTTACGGCCTGGGAGTTCGGCTACCCGGGAAGGTTCTATGGACGTTTAACGGGGCTACGAGCCTACGACGGCATGTCCTCACGATGTTAAGATCATGACCAAGTAAACCAAGCAAACTCAGCGTTAACAGATCAGCGACCTTTTACAGCTCCATTGTACACTCTGCTACATATGCCTCTGTTCAACTTATTGTTCCATTCCGTCAAGTCCTGGAGGCTTGGGAGGATCTGCTCCGGAGTGGGTCATGAGAGACAGGCACATGTGGGACGGGGTGGAGCTGGCCAAGCGGGAGCTGCCGGGAGATCGACGGGGGCCCGCCCTCGGAGCCGCCGGTCCGGCTTCAGGAGAGTGGGGTGCCTGGTGCCGACTCTACTGTAAGGTCTAGGGCTTGGCGATGATATGATCAACCGAACGGAACATGGATAACCTGATCCAATGTGGCGGATACGCCATTGCTTGCGGTCGAGCAGCGAGTAGAAACCAGTCCCCACCCCCGCTAGTCCGGACTCCGGAGTAAATGCCGGCTACTGCGGCTGTAAGGCAAAGGTAATGTGCAGAAGAACCGAGAGCGGAGCGCCAACGGGGATCGGCGAGTTCCGGACTACCATGAATCTGGAAATATTCCCTGTAGCTTAAGGGCCAGACTGGCTGTTATGTTCATAACAATAGCCGATCTCTGGACCTCTATAAGGAGTTTCCTCGTCGCCACTCATCCGGTCTCGTTGTGACTATCCCCTGGCTCCGTTGTCGAGGGAGTCCGTCGTCCATCTTAAACAAGATGCCAGAATACAACGTACCTAGGAGGTGGTGAGCCACAGTCACTCATGCCCAATGCTTGTACTTATCCACACACAGCGCTGGCCGAAGAGTACCGACTTGCGGTACGGAGGATATCCAGGGAAGCGGAACTCGAATATCAAACCTCCTAAGGCCACATGTAGTGAGCAGTCGTGAACCGATGATCTCCAGCCAAACTGTAATCCGTAGGTATGTATTGTACTTGTACATAAATCGAGCGGACGGTTGGCCTCTATCTACAATTGTATGGTATGTACATATGTCTAAGAAAAACATTGCTGGGATTACAAGGTTAACTGCAACCCATCACATCAAAACTCAGAATTCGCGCGTCTCCCCTATGGCGCAGACGTCAAACACGCCCGTCTCGGGGAGACCGCTCGTCTTCAGCGCCTCCTTGAGCAGCTTGGGCGGTTCTTCCACGTCCTCGCTCGTCAACACCCACGTCCCCCAATGCATAGCAAGGGCATGCTTGCACCGCGTCTCCTTGAAGATCTCGACGGCGTCGTACGGGTTTGCGTGCATGAAGCTGAACAGCCAGCGCGGCTTGTACGCGCCGATAGGGATCAGGCCCAGGTCGAACGGCCCACGCAGCTCGCCGATCTGCCGGAACTGCGGGCACCGCGGCAGGGAGTCGTACTCGGGCCCGTAGTCGTCCACGTGCGGCGGGATCTTGGGCACCCTGCGATACCCCGTGTCGCCGCCGAACCACACCGACTTGTCGCCCGACTTGACCGCCCACGACGCCCACAGCGTGCTGTCCTGGTCCCGGATCCCCCGCCCGGACGAATGCTGACACGGCAGGCAAGTGATGCGCGCCGAGATGGTGCCGGGTGCGTCCTCGCCAGCCTCGTCGGCCTCATCACGGCCCGCCGCCTTGTCCTTCCGTAGAACCAACTCGGCCTCCTGCCACCAGTCCATCTCGGTCACCTTGCTGATGCCGCTGGCGCGGAACCACTTCTCCAGACCCAGGCCGACGAAGAACTGAACCTCCGGGTTCCGCCTCGCCAGCTCCTGCACGCTGGTGTGCGAGAGGTGGTCATAATGCGAATGAGAGATCACCACGGCGTCGACGGCCGGTAGTTCAGAGAGGCTGCATGCCGGTGCCGTGTACCGCTTGGGGCCGAGCCACTGCACGGGCGCGCAGCGGTCCTCGAATACCGGGTCGAACAGGACGCGCAGGCCGCTGGGGAATTCGACAAAGTAGCAGGCGTGACCCAGCCAAGTCGCCCGCAATGCCGTCGAGCCCGACCGCGCCGCCAGGAAGCTGGGCTTGACAGCGGGGATCTTGACGGTCTCGTCAGGCGTGGGCATGGACATCTCGCCCGTGATGAACGACCTGGTGTGGTGGTGTGGTATGTTAGTTGGTGTTGGGGCTTTGGCATCTGGGAAATGGGATGAAGCCGATGCAGCAAAGCTCAACAACTTCTGACTTACCAGAATACCCTGCCCGTCATGGCGAGCGAGCCCCCTCCTCCGCCGGCGGAAGGATGGGGGTTCCGGAATTTGACGGTTTTCCCGTTGCTCCCTTTGACATGATGGGCGGCTTGGTGAGCGTCTTCGGGAACGTTTGCAGCCTCCAGTCGGGAGACGACGCTGGAGTACGCGGCCATGGATGCGGCGGCGGCAGTAGCAGCGCTAGAAACAGAGATAGAAGCCCGCAGAACGGTAGCAGTTGGTAACGGTTTGGGTCTGGAGGTAAATAACCGGCCCAATCTCGTTGCAAGCCGCTCCATTATACGAGGAGAGTAAACTTAAAGCCGCCTGCGCGCAGTCTGAGGGGGGGCGCGCCTGGTAAAGTCCTCGAGAGTGAATGCAGCTACAGGTACGGACTAAGGAGTAGTTACCGCCCCGTGTCGCAAGAACTCGGACTCGGCTCGGACGAATCCCGCAGCTTGCTTTAACCCTGCAGACAAGGCTATCAATAGTTAAGCCACGTACTGCATCACATTCATAGGCACGTACGTACGTGTCCGCTGCCTCAGCCAACAAAGGCACGATCACACCGATGTTAGTGCTGACATTCCACGGATCTAACCCTTATTTCCGATACTGTCTGGTTGTGAAAAGTCCGGAGGTCTACCCGTGGGCCGATTTGTTCCCCCGAAACTAAGGGTTAGGGCGGGAGCAGCCGCCGCGGGAGGGATTCCACGCATATACGGTGAATTACCAGGAGGAATGGTAAGTTACATGCATGAAAACTGCAGTTGGCCGACGATTACTATCATATCCGCGCTGTCCGAGTGCCATTTCCAAACAACATACCGGTATTTCACCGTTACGATGCTCTATCTTAGCGCTATAGCTAGGTACTTCCCGGGAATTCTGGTCATAGCGAAAGTATTGCGCTCACTTTACAGTCATTCTGTTTTGTAACTATGTCACAGTACGATATCATTCTTACTGACATTCAGTATTTCCCCCCACAAAACCCATTTAACTGTTGCCCCTGAGAATTTGTTGCCAATCATCTTTGCCTAATCAATGTTGCCCAGGATACACTTGAGGAAGGTAACTGCCCCGTACAACGCGCTTTGCAATCGGCAGATGGGAGCTTAAGGAAAACGACTGTCTGCGACATACGGCAATGTACCAGTCAAGAGTCGACTCGATCCATTCCTCGACAGGCTGCCTTCTCGGCGGAACGGCGGTAAACCGTAAGACCAACTAAAACCTGAGTTGTGCAACTTCAAGCCTCGAGTAAAACGGATCGACCCAGGGCGTTGTCTTAGCTACGTGTTCGAGCCTGCTGGCGAGATGAATCGGACGAGTGGCCTTCTGCCTGGCTCGATCCTCAGTCCTCATCCGGGATACTACCTACGGGATACAAATTATACGGGCGATGGTATGTCCGACTCAAGACAACCTCACCACAATAACGTACATGATAAGCGAGCGACGCAGATAAGCGAGCGACGCACTTTCAGTGCGACGCGCCTCCTCTAAACTTTTCCACCAAATACCACCGCAACAAGCCATGCGTAGCCCCTCAAAAGAAGCCAGGCTTCTTTTAGCCCTCGAAGCTATCAAACAGAGCGAGAATCTCAGTATCCGGGCGGTAGCCAAGCTATACAACGTTCCAGAAGCAACGATTCGCCACCGGCGCAAGGGACGTGCTGCAAGACGCGATGTTCTAGCCAACTCGCGTAAGCTCACGGATCTAGAAGAGAAGTCAATAGTTCAGTATATAACTGAGCTATCTACACGCGCATTCCCACCTAGATTAAGTGGTGTGGAAGATATGGCCAACCACCTACTACGCGAACGCGACGCGCCCCCTGTCGGCAAACGCTGGGCTCACAACTTTGTCAAACGCCAGCCAGAGCTCCGTACGCGGTATACACGCAAGTACGACTACCAGAGGGCTAAATGCGAGGATCCACAGGTCATCAGCGAGTGGTTTGCACTTGTGTGGAATACTAGGGCTAAATATGGGATTGTCGATGACGATGTCTACAACTTTGATGAGACTGGGTTTATAATGGGTGTTATCTTCGCGGGTATGGTGGTTACAACCTCGGATGGGCGTGGCAAGGCAAAACTAGCTCAGCCTAGTAATCGGGAGTGGGCGACTGTGATCCAGGGAGTCAACGCCCTTGGCTGGGTTATCCCTCCGTTCATCATCCTAGCCGCACAGTACCACCAGAGTAACTGGTACCGGGAGTGCAACCTACCACTTACCTGGCGTATTGCAACCACCGATAATAGCTGGACTACCAATGCAGTAGGTCTGGATTGGATCAAGCACTTCGATTACCATACGGCACCTCGAACAAAAGGCACATACCGGTTGTTGATCCTCGACGGCCACGAGAGCCACCACTCAACCGAATTCGAGCTCTACTGCAAGGAGAACAACATCGTCACACTCTGCATGCCTCCACACTCTTCCCATAGGCTCCAGCCTCTCGATATTGGCTGCTTTAGGCCACTTAAGCAGGCATACAGTCGCCAGATCGAGGGCTTAATGCGCATGCATATCAACCACATCAGCAAGCTTGAGTTCCTCTGTGCCTTCCGAGAAGCCTTCTTTGCTTCTATGACAGAGAAGAACGTACAGGGTGGCTTTGCAGGGACTGGCCTTATGCCATACGACCCAGAGCGGGTGCTTTCTAAGCTAGATATAAAGCTTCGTACGCCAACACCCCCAACCTCACGGCCCAGCACTGCGCAACCCTGGGTCTTCCAGACACCACATAACCCACAAGAAGCCGACGCACAGTCAACGCTCATCAAGACTCGCATTGCGAACCATCAAAATAGCTCCCCAACTTCAATGTTGGATGCTGTAGACCAGCTTGCCAAGGGTACAATAGCTGTAATGCACCAGGTGGCCCTCCTTCGGTCAGAGGTCTCTTCGCTTCGCAAGGCCAATAAGGCACTAAGCAAGCGCCGGCGTGCCAAGAAAACACGTGTGCAGCTTGGAGGTTCACTTACTGTGCAAGATGCAAAGGATCTACTAGATCAGAACGCCGTAGGTGGGGAGGCAGTGCAGGAAACGCAGCCGGATGGTAGCGGTTCAGGGGGGGCTCGTACGAAGGTTCGATGCTGTGGGGTATGCGGCAGGCCTGGCCATAATGCTCGCACTTGCCAGGAGGCTGTAGAATCATCTGATTCATCTATTTCTGATGTAATTGTAGTTGGTTGCTAGCGTTGTTGTATTATAATTGAGGATAGTTGCTGTAGGGTGGTAGAAAGTGCGTCGCTCGCTTATCTGCGTCGCTCGCTTATCATGTACGTTACCGGTTTGTGATAGGTGCGAAATCATCAGGTCGAATTTAGAACAAAGGGGCGGCCGTAGAGCAGAGAATATATGAACGTGACATCGTGCTTCTCACAGCCCTCTCCTATACTACTGCAACCCGTGCCGATCCCTGAGCTGCAGATTCGGACAATTTAGCCGCTGTCCGCTACCCATATTCTGGGACAAATCGTGGGGAATCCCTGTATGTGACTGCAGGGCCGGCTTCTACGAATTTGGTCCAGTCACATCGATACAGACACTACGGAGACTCAGATTGTTGCCGGGCTGGGCACCTTGCGGCACAATTTCAATGAGTTCCCACAAAGAGGGGATACCTTATGGGACGAGAGGTGGAGGGGGCTTCTTCGGAACTCGGAGACTACCTACCTTAGGTATATGACTACCAGGTAGCATATGTATTCTGACGCGCTTCCCTGACAGCGACACTCGGTTGTCAACCTGTCAGTAATGCTCCGATCAAGAGACGCCCTGAGTCGACTGTCTCCCGCAGACCTGTAAGACTTTGATCTATTGTCTGCCACGCAAACACTGGTACTGCAGCAGAAGGGTCGGCTTTAGGCAATCCGCGATGCTGCCCTCATTCCTCATCACACTTCTCTGTGCGGCGGCGGCTGTTCATGCCGCTGTACGACGACCGATCTTCCCTCGCCGTCGGCACTCACGGGCGACTAACGGGGCAGCGCGGGCCATACAGTATCGCCAGTCCGGGACGACCATCACAGTGGACCTCTCCAAGACGTACCAGACCATCGATGGGTTCGGAACCTCGGAGGCCTTCCAGCGCGCAGTACAGATTAGCAAGCTCCCGGAGACGGAACAGCGGCGCGCCTTAGACCTTCTGTTCAGCACGACCAACGGGGCCGGCCTCTCCATCCTACGCAATGGCATCGGGTCGTCCCCGGATATGAGCTCCGACCACATGGTCTCCATTGCTCCCAAGAGTCCCGGGTCGCCCAACAACCCCCTGATCTACGCATGGGACGGCTCAGACAACAAGCAGCTATGGGTGTCGCAGGAGGCTCAGCACACGTATGGCGTGAAGGCTATCTATGCGGATGCCTGGAGTGCGCCGGGATACATGAAGACGAATGGGAACGATGCCAATGGCGGGACGCTGTGCGGGCTCAGCGGCGCGAGGTGCTCAAGCGGAGACTGGAGGCAGGCCTACGCGGACTACCTGGTCAGGTATGTTCCCAAAGGGAGAACCTGCTTCAGCGATGCCAGAAAGCTGAGTAACGCCCTCCCTACAGATATGTGCAGTTCTATCAGGAGGCCAACGTGTCGATCACTCACCTAGGCTTCATCAACGAGCCCGAGCTCACGTACGCCCACCCCGTTTGATAATCCGGGATCTATTCTCACTTCCCTCACTAACTGTGGTAAACTCCCATGGATCCAGAACGAGCTACGCCTCCATGCGCTTCTCGGCCTCGCAAGCCGCCGAATTCATCCGCATCCTGCACCCGACCCTCGCCAAGTCCAACCTATCGACGATCCCCGCCATCGCCTGCTGCGACGCCGAAGGTTGGTCCAGCCAGGCCTCGATGCTTCCGGCCCTCCGCAGCGTCGACGACATGCTAGGCATAGTCACAGCACACAGCTGTAAGTCGCGTGGTTATACAATCCATACAACTCTTACTACTAATAGTAGTACCACTACTAAACAAACACACCCACCCCCTTCACTTTGGCAGACACCTCCTCGCCAACCAGCCCAATGCAAACCCCACATCGCGTGTGGCAGACCGAGGCGGCCGACCTGAACGGCGCCTGGACATCTTCATGGTACTCGCGGGGCGGCGCGGGCGAAGGCTGGACCTGGGCCAACAACGTGTACACGGCCATCGTCAACGCCAACGCGAGCGCCTACCTGTACTGGATCGGCGTACAGGCCGGAAACACCAACAGCCACATGGTGCATATCAGCAGCGGGAACAAGGTCGAGGCGAGCAAGCGGCTGTGGGCGCTGGGCCAGTGGAGCCGCTTTGTGCGGCCCGGCGCCGTCCGAGTCGCTACTACTACTAGTACCTCGGGGGGTGCAGGTGGCAATTTGCGGATTGCGGGGTTCAGGAATGTGGACGGGTCGATTGTCGTTGTGGTCATCAGCTCGAATGCCGCGGCTGTGAATGTGAGAGTTGGGACCGGCGGTGGCGGTGTTGGCTCAGCGAAGGCGTGGGTGACGGATAATGCGAGGGAGATTGGCGAGCTGGCGGCGTCGTTTGCGAACGGCGCGGCGAGTGTGGATGTGCCGTCCAGGTCGATGGTCACGATAATGTTGTACCCCGGGGAGTGAGGACCGTCAGACTGCGGAGCGAAGTGTTCCATGTTATGTAGGTGTTCCGGTATACGACGGACAGACATCCTTGGATAGGGAGAAAGAAGAGAGGCTACCGCTAATCGAACATATGGTCCTACGAAATCCGCAGAAGGGTTGCGCATGTGGAGAGTATTGGACAATCTCTCGCAGCTGGACCACTACACAACGAAGGATTTCGTGCTGATGTGTGTGCGGTTCCAGTGCTGGTTGGAGCCAGAGCCCATCGTGCTGCCTTTGATCTTTATTTACCTTACTATATATTATCTTCTCTCACTTTCAAACGGAAAATTGGGGCAGAGCCATGGCAGACCGTTTAATTTCACGCATTTTGTCCTCATCCTGGCCAGTCCGTTATGCCAGCCTAAGAAGGTCGTCCGCTAGGTAGGTACGCAAGTGAAGTCGGCTGGACCTTTTGTGGTGGGATAGCGGAGAGGACGAGTCTTACATACCTTCCTCAAACAAGTGGACGGAAGCCCCCTTGACCTGGAACCACATTAGAACCGCCCGAAGCCATTCAAGCCCAGGGCCGGATACCCGAAAACCGCTGGAAACGCTTTAGGTCTCACCAGCCCATCGGATCACAGAATCTGGCGTGGTACGGCAATTGCATTGGAAAGAGCCAGAGTGGGAAGGACCTGCCCACTCCAGCCGTGTCCTTGCATTTAAACCAACTCTCTCTCTACAAACTAGCAAGGCGGATGACATATCCCTTCATGGACTATGCTGAGCCGTGGTAGAAGCAAACTGCCCAGCTCTCACCGTTCTTGTCACATGGCTTTCAAAAGCTGTGGATGTCCGGCGACCAGCTGCTTTGCGGACCGAGAGCCCTGAATGAAGGAGAGCGCCGAGGCACAGCTTCAGATCCCATCGCCCAGCGCCCGCGAACTCCAGGAGATCTCAGATCGCTGAGATTCGGGAAGTCGAAACCCAGACGTGAGACCGCAAGCGGACGAACGACACCAATCTCTTCATGCTGGGCGCAGTCCTGCGAATCTGAGGTGAAACGACATGGACACGGCATAGCCAAGATACATGCCGGCCGGCAGAAGCGTCTTTCTTGTTCCGACTGAGACAACAGACACCACGCAGGTGGTGTGGATCTCCTCAACAAGTGACCTAGTCAGGTATAGAAGAAGAGTCACTCAACCATTTCGAGGGTCTGCAGGGCAAGAGCAGACAGGCTGTGAAGGACATTGTTTACATTCGACAAAAACCATACAACGCCTCTTCGTCCGTGCAGGACGCCGCGCTCTTGTCATCCGACCACGATACGGGGACCACACTTGTACCACCCACCTTCTCTTGTAGCGAAGGTTAGCAGTCTCTTGACCCCTGCCCTCCTTGAGGTCGTTCCACTGCTGGTGACTTGTCGACGCATATCAGAAAGTATAAACGCAAGAAGTTGTTGGAGCAGGCACGCGCAGAATGCAGTGATATCGTTAGAGCAATTTCGGGGTAGTTCTTTCTTTGAATTCCGGGAATGCCGTGGCTGTGAATGTGAGAGTTCTGGGGTCGAAACGCGATGCTGCAGAATGCCATGGCATCAACGCTGGGTTACCTCAAATCTGCGAGGACTGTGCAATAATAAAGCCAGTGGTCCCGTTATACGTCTACCCTCCCTATGAAACCACCGCCTAGCGTACCTATCCATCTCCCGCATTGCCAAAAGAAAACGCGAAGAAGAAATCGACGCCGCAACCGTTCCCGAGGCAGCAACGCCTGACACATAAATCAAAACTAAGTCAGTAAGGTATCCTCCTCTCCCAAGTCCCCGATCAATCTGAAAATACCTCTTCCCATTCCATCCTGCACTGCGTGCATCCGATTGTCTTGAGAGGACTCAAGGCGCAAGCCGAAGCGGCACGCTCAGCACGCCATACCCGACAACACCCACCGGCATGGGCTGGCCGATCATGATGATGTTTCCACCACCGGGGCCAGGATTGGGCACCGTACTCGTGAGCCCAGGCGGAGGAGGAGGCGGCGGCGGCGGCCCGGGCGGGCCAGGAGGCGGATAGACAGCCGTGTAGTAGCAGTCGCCGGGAACAGTCGTCGTGGTCGTCGTAACGGTCTGCACCGCCGAGCTGGGGTACTGGGCAGGATATCCGAAACAGACGGCGGCGGGAACTGGGGCCGGGCATTGAGCCAGTGTGTCGGCGTAGTAAAACATGTTGCTCGTCGGGAGGACGATGGGAGCCGGAGGAGGGGCTTGCGAACTTGAGGTTTGGACGAGGAAGTTAGTCACCAAGTCGGTTTGGTCGTCCTTCATCGGTCGGTGGAATGAGCGCAGAGTAGGCGGAGAGAGGGAAGAGACGAAGGGGCATGAATGGTGGCTGGGACCTTGATTAATTATACTTACCCGGTGTAAGTTGTGACTTGGGGTACCACGAATGCCATTTCCACGGTATTTTCTCAAACTTGTCGGTCGAATTGGTGGTCAATGACTGGCAGCAACAATGCTGAGAAGGTTGAGGAAGTTTGGCTAGCAAGTCTGGGAACGTGGAAACCGTGAGAATGCGTGGTGACCTTGGCGGGAGGTAGGCTAGGTTTGAATGCTTCAGTGCTTCCCTTGCACTGACGGGGCACTTCTTAAAACACCGAGATCGAAGTACTTTGAAAGTGAACTCGTGGAGAAATCAGTTGAGTAGGTGTGCCCCCGCAAGCGCAGCATGGACGTGAGAATCGTGGAAACGCTGATCAAATTCGCTCATGACCCCGGTGCCAGTAATTCATCCCGACTACCCTTTTTTTATTTCATACTGTACCAATAACAACAAACTCCTGTGTGACACGAGGTGCATAAATCCGATCTGTCTAGCCCGACTTTCTTGGTCCAGGGCACAAACCAGCGCGAGCTCTACTTCTGATGATGCTCCTGAACCATCCTGCCCGCAGCCACCGCGAGGTCTTTCAACGCATCGCGGCGTTTGTACTTGGCATCCTCGAGAACGCCTTGGCATGTCAGTTGAGCTATCCAACGGGACACCACACACATTCACATGAGTACTTACCCAGGTCGGCATCACTTGAGAACTTCGAAGTCCAGCGAACAAAGGTGCAATCCTCAAACTCCCCCGACGTAACGGCCCAACACCGGATGGTGCTAGTAACGCTCGAGTATGTCAGCTCGGGCTCGGTGTTGATGACGCTGTACGTGATGAAGTGGTCGAGGTTCTGGTAACTCGGATCAGTATCCCGGATCTGATCCACCGATCACATGGTGCTTCCATGAGGCACTTACGCTGTGTTCATCCTGCTTGACCTCGACAACGCTGCCGTCCTTGAAGGTCCACTTCACTACATCTGTCTCGTTGCTGGTGCCCTTGACATGCTCGGCTTTCTCAATGGCGGTCCAGAATCTGTGGAACTCGGGCAGCTTGATGAAATGCCAGACATGGGAAAGAGGCGCCTTGATGACAGCACTCTCGATGACCTCGTTGGTCGTAGCGACGGGCTTTCCACCGGCGGTAGCCATTTTCGGATTGATGGTTCTCAAGTAGGTAGGGTTGGCCTGCTCTTTTCGTTGACACTGATGGTTCCGAGTCTCGTGTCACAAGTGGGAGTTGGAGTGCAGTGAGCTCCAACCTTGAGAGCCAAATCGTTCGAGATCGTTTGTCAATGGGGATCGCTGCTTCCGCGAATGGCATGCCTGCGTCTTCAACGACGTCATATGGCAGCCACGACGTAGGTGTGACGCCGCCCGCACAAAATAACTCGTACGCCACCAACATCGTTGTCAGCCGGATAAAATGCGACTAACCTGTTTTTAAGGCAGTTAGTTGTCTTATTATTCTTACCTCTTTCTCTTCCTCTCTTCCTCTCTTCCCTTTTCCCTTTCCCTTCTCTGTTTCTTATTGATTAGGTTCTACCTACGTGCTTGGCTTCTTATGCTTCAAACTACTATCTCAGTAAAACGTCGGGGTGCAACTTTTCCTGACCTGGAGGAGGTGGGTACGCTTTCCCAACTCAAGGAGCAGGCTCGGGGATCAACTGATGAAAGGCACCGTGACAACTGTGCCAATGAATAAAATCTCCTTTACACAATACGGGGACGGCCCACGATTCTCCGCCGAAGCCCGAACTCATTGAAGGTTGCTGTTTTGACATTTAGGTTCTGGACGCTCATATCTCAGGGTTTTCTAAATAACACGACATCCTGTTATTCGCCAACTTGTCAATATCACGACACTTTAGGCATGTCCCTAGTTACTCCTGGTCAGATGAACGGGCACATTGCTTTAGTGTTGTGTTCTAACGGCAGCGCCATGGCGTTGGTCGAATTACGAGCGAGGGTCGGTAACTTACCGGAACTGAGGAGTTTCCGCCTTTGAGAACCCCCCCGCCCCGTCGGATATATTCAATTGGCAGCATCCAGTATCAGGGCTTCCCAAAAATAGGTGAAGCTAAACCGACTGCATCCGGAGTCGTTGACAGCTTGACATCCAAGAGGTGGCTTGCAAATGGCAAACACGGTGGCTTGGGTAGGTGCTAAAACTAGAGTATTTCGTACACTACCACTCGTCTTTGCAACCGATAAAGGACGCCCGCAATCATTAGGTGGGAACAGCTGTATTTACAGATACCTATTTTAACAGTGACCAATTTGAAATGATAATAGACTTGGCCTACTGTACGGCCATACATATTTCGTAATACACAACCTGTCTACCGGTGAAAGTAAATCGATCACCGATCACTGTGTCAGTGCATTGTGCCTTGGGTATATGCATTGAACCTTTTGCAGAGTCCAGTTCTGGCCGAACCGTTAGGAACGCATTTGTCTTCCGCGGGACAAAAAGGCTTGACCCAGAAAACACCCGTTATACCGGAACACAGTCAATTTACTAACCCTGGCATGTTTGCATCTGCAACCCACAGTCGGGTCAAAGTGGGGACCAAAATAACGTTGGCGGGGCTCCAGGCACCCGACGCCAGGACAGCCATGATCAGACGAGACCCTGTTGAAATCCTGCCTGGAGCAAAGATTGGATGAGATGAACGCAGGCTGCTACCATTCTTCTCGCAAAGAGTACCAACATTTGTGGCGCCATTTTCCCTAGAGGTAGTATCCATTGCTTCCACATGGTATTTCGACATTATTACGATTGGAATGGAAAGCGATGCTCTGCCTGTCGGTCCGAAATGGACACATTTTGCGGGGTGTTCTTGCGCTAGTTAGTGTACTGCGCTGTGAGGGTGACCGGGACATCGCCAACAGACAGGATTGGCCCGCACACCGGGCTCAGCCTCCAGCCTCAGAGCACCAGGGAGGACAGGCATGTCGCGGATCCTGTCTGACATTTTACCCTGCCTTCGTGGCAAGGCTTTTTTTTTCCTTTGTTGACTTTCGTCGTTTGTTGTTCTGCTGCTTCCACTGTTATATTCTCGAGAAGGAATCGCGACACTCACCAGCGCTCACCTGAAGCCGAAGCGATCGTCAGCCAGGCCCAGGAGAACGTGCGAGACCGCGCCGTACTTTACAGTCACAACGGTGATACCCGCGGAAGCTTCGATTGATTCCCATACCAAAACAACGAGGTCCGGATTTCCTGGTTGCGGTGCCATTGACCAGCGGACGGTTGATCACCGTACTCTCACACAATGGTTGGCCCTAGGGGAATGCGGGTCCTCCCGGCAATGCTCGTCGCGCTGATTCTCGTCTCGGCATCCCGAGCCCAAGACACGATCGACTTCGGTTTCTACCCCAAGGGAGCGCAAGAGTGCATGTACAAGGCGGCCGATGACTCAAAGTGCCAGTCAAAAACTGTGGCTGCGACGAACTCATGTCTCTGTCGAAACGGGGGCAATTTCATCACAAATGCGGCTGCCTGCATCGGCCAATCGTCTGCCGGCGACCTGGAAACGGTCTACAAGACCATGAGAGATGCATGCGGGAATTCGGATACGCCCATCAGCATCACAGAGGACGAGTTCATGGCAGCTGCGAACGCTGTGACATCGACCACCTCGACGGCTGGGCCAACCACAACCAGCACATCAAGCCAAAGCAGTACCACCACAGGCACAAATGCTTCAACCACCTCGAACGCCAGCACCGGCACGGCCACCAGCACAGCAGCACCAGCTGACGGCCAGAAAGAGGGGGAGGAGGAAGAAGGCGGCGGCGGCCTTAAAACGGGCGTCATGGCGGGGATCATCGTCGGCGGGGTCGGGGCAGCGGTGCTGCTCGGCGCGCTCGCCTTCTTCCTCTTCCGGCGGCGGAGGAAGCTGGGCGAGGAGTCGCACCCGATGCTGCCACAACAGGGACAGCCGTCGGTCGCGGCGGGACATGAGTCGACGGCAATGCATAATAGCGCATACTACAGCAGCCCTCCCAGCACGGCAGGCTGGCCAAAAAAGGACTGGCAGGGACCATCACCCGATCTCCGCAGCAGCGGCTTCAATTGGGAATCGCCAGCGCACCTGTCGTACCCAAGCGGTGGTGGATCGCTGGCCCCGTCGCCGCCGCTGCCGCCACAGGAATTGGACGGTGCTCAGTACGTTGCGCCTACGGGGTCGACGCAGGCGCCCGCTGAGATGCCGGGAGAGACAGCCGCCGTGGCGACGGCGCCGGGGAGTGCGCAGTACCGGCCATACAACCCTGGCCAGCGATATCCTGCGTCTGGATAAGACTCAGCCGCAGAGGTAGCGCGGGGGTGAGTTCGTGGGGTGGTACGAAGCGGCGGTGAAACCGGAGAGGATTCACCGGGCAGCGAGAAGGACGCATACCTTAATGAATGTAATCATGATAAATGTACATCGGTATGGTATGTACAATACAGTACGTAGGCTTGGATCTGGGCGGTCAAACACACGGCGGCGTTGGCTTCTTTTTTTTCTTTTCCTGCAGCGCGGGGGTTCGGATGGCGGTCACAAGGACCAATGCTTGGAACTTCTGGAAGTGGGCGCGGCGCTTGGTCGGATGGCCTACTGGCGATGGAGGGACGGATGAGTGCGTGCAGCAAAGCTTCTGCCGGTTTAGTTAGATGGTTTTGAATTCGATGATACCCTGATCCGACTATCGCAGGTGCGGGGTCCTTTCCACAAACCTGCCGTGCACCATGCAATCTGGAGTTCCATTGATGATATCGGATCGCAGATACACACACTTCCCTGATGAGGGGCTCCATTTCATTGCGATGCAGTGCCGGGGCTTCTGCAGGCTGCAGCACGCAATCAGCTTGGCCCATCAACGGAGACTCCACGCTGTGTTACTCTGTGGTGTGACTATGTCCTGAGCTTCACTGCTGGTTAATAAGGTGGTCTTTCTGACGAAGCTGCAACGAGCAGCCCGGGTAGCTGTCCCGAGACACAGCAGCCCATCTCATCCATCTCATCATCCCTCACACGCCTCCTCGATATCGACGATTGCCCAACTCAACCCCGCGCCGGAGATCGACATTATCCCGCACCTAGTGCTACATTCATTGCTTTGTGGGTGGGTATGCACAGTATCCGCTGTCTTTTTTCCTCTCTTTCTCTGCCTCCGTATCCAACTGTCGGTGAAGGCAAAGGAAGGGCTAGTTAGATGCCGCGTTAGGCAGCTGTCCGACCCCTGTTCCCGGACAGCTGCATTCGGGCTTTTTGTACTCCGTAGTACGTACTACTGTCCACCTGCACCACCATGCGGATCTCTTATAACCCTCGTCGGGTCTTTTGGATAGAGTTTGCTGTTTTCTCCATGTTCTGCGTCTCGGTCTGATCCTCCGTCTTCTGGAAGAACCATCGGCAAATCCTGTCATGGCTACCACTTCCGTTCTGGAGCTGGGATGGCGGGGCAGTCTGTGGCCCTGTTACAGCTGCTGCCGAGAGATCTGGGTAAGGGCCGAGTTCAAGTTACACGAGATCTCTCTCACTCTCAACCTTTCCAAACGCGAACCCCTCTCAGCTGACACACATTGACACACCACTTGGGACCACAGATACCTTCACTGGGACAATTTGGCCCTCAATGCCTCGGCGTCATCCTGCACATTCCCCTATGGATCGCTATCTTGACGCTCACACTTCGTTACCTTGTTGCCCCGGTTTGGAACGCCCACCGTCCCATCTGGCTACGCAGGTTCGCTGCCGAAGAAGATGCCCTCCCACCCCGTGCCCTCGACCAGGAATCTGCCGCGGGTCCCGTGTCCCGTAGGAGATACTGGACTCCCTGGACCGTGGCTCTGTTGTGCCTGAGTGTCGCTTCTCTAGCTCTGAGTGCCGTCGGGGCCGGGGTTTACCCCCAGGACGCCCAACTGCTCCTGTCCTCTCTTTTTCCAAATGTAAGTAAGACCCGCTTCAGCACCAGGATTCTCCTTTGAGCTTGCTAATCGACCGTTCAAAGATGGCGTCTTGTCTTATCCTCGCTGTCGAGCGCCCCATGACCGTTCCGGGAGCTGTCTTCGTCATCAACGGCGTCCTGGTTCTTGTGCATGCGACTGTGCTGACACTTAATCCCCAAGTGATGCCGGTCGGCTTGGGATCGCTGCTTGCTTGGTGTCCCGGCGTTGGCTTGCCCCTCGTGTGCATCGTCCTGATGTTGAACATGCCGATGCGGGACCCCTTACTGGACGCCAGCGGGATCGGAAAGCCGTTCACGGAGCCGAGCTACAATGTCCGCAGCCCCGAGGATATCATCACGCTTTGGCAATGGATGAGCGTCTCGTGGATGGCGCCTCTCGTCCGAATTGGCTACCAGAGACAGCTCCACAACGAAGACGTGTGGTTCTTGGCCTACGAATTCCAACACAGCCGACTGCACGTGCTGTTCCGCGAGATATCGGGCACCGTGTTCGTCAGGCTGCTGAAGGCCAATGGCCTCGACCTCCTCATCACGACAGGCCTCGGTGTTTTTGAGACCTCAGTCGACCTCGCAGAGCCCGTCTTGCTCAAGCAGCTGCTTGGGGCACTGACCTCGGACCGACCAAACCTCAGAACGGCGATTGTTTATGCTGCGGTTACTCTCCTCTTGCGGCTTGCCAAAGCGCAATCCAGCGTGTTCAGTGTGTGGTTCACCCGGCGCGCCTATGAGCGGTCCCGGGGAGAGATGATCACCATGATCCATGAGAAGACGCTGAGGAGAAAGGCGTTTACGTTTCCCAGCAGCCACGAGCTACTCCCTCATGAGCAGACAGAGCAAACAGAGCAAACCGAGCAACCTGCGCAGGAGTCTCACGACGAAGGCACCTCCACGGCCACGACGCTCGCGGACGCGGACAGCGAGTCTCAAGGAGGCAGCAGCAATGACGCCGACTCCAGCAACAGCAGCAGCCCCTCCACCTTCGAGAAGTTCAAGTCCCTGCTCCGTCGCGGCTACACCCGAATCGAGTCGTCATCACCACCACCACCGGCGCCAGCGCCAGCGCCTCCCGCTCCTTCCGCCTCCGCCCAGGACACGACGGCGACGTCCCCGGCCTCCACCGGCAAGATCCTCAACCTCATCCGCAGCGACGCGTACGAAGTGGCCCAGCGCTTCTGGGAGTTCCCCAGCCTGACCACGAAGCCGCTCAACTTCGTCCTGTCGCTCCTCCTGATCTGGCGCATCCTGGGCCCGGCTTCGCTGGCCGGTATCCTGGTGCTGCTCGGCGGGATGGCCGTCAACGTGCTCTTCATGCGCCTGCTGCTGCGCATCGAGCGCGTGCGCCGGGACCTGACCGACGCCAAGCTGCAGCGCACGAGCCAGTTCGTCGAGGCCATCCGCCATCTGCGCTGGTATGCCTGGCAGGACGCCTGGCTGGAGAGGATCATGGACAGCCGCGCGGCCGAGCTGCGGAAGCGCGTCGAGAGCAACGTCGTCATGAAGGGCATCGCCACGGTGAATGCGCTCGCGGCCTACCTGTTCCCCGTCGTCGGCTTCTGGGCGTACACCGTGGTGAGCGGCAACAAGCTGACGGTCGATGTGGCCTTTCCGGCGCTGGATCTGTTTGGGATGCTGCAGAATAGCCTGCGGGAGCTGCCGGACTTGGTGACCGTCCTGCTGAATGCGAGGGTTGCGATGGGCAGGATCGAGAAGTTCATGCTGGAGCCGGAGAAGGAGGATTCGGAGGAGGGCGATCTGCTGGGCGGTAATGCCGAGGTTGGCCCGCCGGGGGAGTTGGAGATTGTGGTCAAGGAGGCGTCCTTCTCGTGGCCGGCATCTGCGAAGAGAGTCCTGTCGGATGTGTCGGTCGTGTGCAGGCCCGGGTTGACGCTGGTGTGCGGCAAGGTGGGCGCCGGCAAGACGGCTCTGCTGCAGGCTATTATGGGCGAGCTGGACCAGCACGGCGGTGAGAGGGCGATGCCGCGCGAGATGATCGGCTACTGCGCTCAGACGCCCTGGCTCGAGAGCATGAGCATCCGAGAGAACATACTGTTTTCCGCCGTCTACGACAGGGCCCGATTCGAGCAGGTTATTGACGCCTGCTGTCTCCGAGACGACCTCGACAGGTTCAAATCCAAGGACCTGACGCTGATAGGAGAGAACGGCGTGGGCCTGTCGGGCGGCCAGCGGGCACGTGTGGCTCTGGCGAGGGCCATCTACAGCCAAGCACGCATCCTGCTTCTCGATGACCCCATCGCGGCGCTGGATCACCATACGGCCACCAGCATCCTCCAGAATCTCTTTGGCGACAAGAGCTCGCCGCTGACCGCCGGCCGACTTGTCATCTTCGTTACCCATCGCGTCGATATTGCCACGCCCTATGCGTACCAAGTTGTCGAGGTTTTGGATGGCGGCCGGGTAGAGACTTTCGACAGGAAGGAGCTCGAAAACAACGAGGAGGAGCTGGTGCACCTGGCCGAGATTGCTGGCCAGGCCGTCTCGCAGCCCGACGTGACGGCAGACAACGACGGGGGCTCTGCAGAAGAAGAAGAAGGAGAAGATGATGAGCCGGATCCAGACAACTTCATCGAGGAAGAGCGCCGGGCTCATGGAGGAGTCTTGGCTTCCGTGTATTGGCAATACGTCAAGGCTGGTCACCTGGGCTGGTGGGCCACCATGGTTGCCTTCTTCATCCTCTTCCGTGTTGTCAAGCTCGGGTACTTCTGGTTCCTGAAAGAATGGGGCGAGCAGTACAAACACGCGTCGGATGGCATTCACAATGCTTCCTTCGTTGGCCAAGGGAGGGACTGGAGAGACTGGGAAGGCCTGCAGTACGCGATTGCCTCGCAGAGCGTCTTCCAGGGGTATCCTCAAACATCCGACAACAAGAGTTGGCTCGACCTGGGCCGGTACCTCCCTTCGCCGGCCACTGATGTGCGGCCGTGGCTCTGGGGGTTTCTGGCACTGTCGCTGGGCCAGGTGCTCGCCCAGGCGCTCGCCGATGCCGCGCTTGTGGTCATCATCTATAAGGCGGGCAAGAACCTCTTCGAGAGGGCAATGCAGCGGGTGGCCAACGCCACGTTCCGCTTCTACGACGTCACGCCCGTCGGCCGGCTGATGAACCGGCTGACGTCGGATATGGGCACCATCGACGGCCAGATCGCCGGCCAGCTCATGTCGGTGGCATGGTGGGTGCTAGCCTGGCTGTCGTCGGTCGTTGTGATCTCGGCGGCCACGCCGTCCTTCTTGCTCATCAGCATCACCATGACCAGCCTCTTCGTCTTCATCTTCAACCGCTTCCTGCCCTCGTCGCAGTCCCTGCGCCGCCTCGAGACGGTGTCCCTCTCGCCCCTGATGTCCAACTTCGGCACGCTCGTCGAAGGGCTGACCACCGTGCGAGCCTTCCGCGCCGAGCCGCACTTCCAGAGCCGCGTCGTCGCAAGCACCGACGCCTTCCAGAAGATGGACCACATCTACTGGTCTCTGCAGGCCTGGCTGCAGTACCGCTTTGACGTGCTCTCGGCGCTGAGCACCTTCGCCTTGGCGCTCACGGCCATCCTCTCGGGGCTGTCGAGCGGCACCGTCGGCTTCGTGATGGCCTCGGCGTCCGGCTTCGTGCAGGCCACGCACAGCCTCTGCCGCCGCTACGGCGAGATGCAGATGCAGTTCGTCAGCGTCGAGCGCGTCATCGAGCTGCTCGGCCTCGAGGAAGAGCCCCGCGGCACCGTCCGCCCGCCCGCCGCCTGGCCCCTCCACGGCGACGACATCGTCTTCGAGAACGTCACGCTGCGCTACGCCCCCGCCCTCGACCCAGTCCTGACCGACATCAACCTCGTCATCCCCGGCGGCGCCAACGTCGCCGTCACGGGCCGCACCGGCTCGGGCAAGAGCACGCTCGCCCTGAGCCTGCTGGGCACGCTGCACCCGGACCGGGACCGGGACGGGGGCCCAACATTGGACCGAGGAGGAGGACGCATCCGCATCGGCCCCGTCGACCTCGCCGACGTGGACAAGCACGCGCTCCGGCGGAACATCACGTTCGTCGCGCAGGACCCGGTCCTGTTCCCCGGCACGCTGCGCGACAACCTCGACCCGCTGGACGAGCGCGACGAGTCGGAGCGCGCCGACGTGCTGGCGCGCGTCCTGGGCGGGTCGGGCGGCGGCTTCACGCTCGACAGCCGCGTCGACGGCGGCGGCAAGAACCTGTCGCAGGGCCAGCGGCAGCTGGTCGGGCTGGGCCGCGCCATTCTCAGGAGGAGCCCCGTGGTCATCCTGGACGAGGCGACGGCGTCCATCGACGCCGAGACCGCGGCCTATATCCAGCGCCTGTTGAGGGAGGAGCTGCGGTATAGTACCGTCATCACCATCGCGCACAAGGCGGAGGCCGTCGAGGATGCCGATTACGAGGTGGTGCTGGACCGCGGGAGGGTGGTCAGGGCGGGGCCAAGGGGCGCTCGGCTGGAGCGAGAGCGGGAGCGGGAGCGGGAGCGAGAGCGGGAGCGGGAGCGGGAGCGAGAGCGGGAGCGGGAGCGGGAGCGGTCATGATATGGGGTGGATATAAGGGTGTTCATCGGGTGAGGAAAATTGTTATAGCGGGGAGAACTGCGCTGATGAGTAAACGACTACGAAAAAGGAGTTGTAACTTTGGGAGGCAGAGGATGTGTGGTTTTGGTTAAGGTACTTGGGTCGGCGTTTACAATTTTGCAATTCAAAACACGTTTTTGGGACAATCCAGACCGTTTTGCCCAAGTAGGTACCTATGAGCGAGACCCTCCCAACGTCAGCTACGCAACATCAGCTGAGATGGGAGAGTGGGAAGAAAGGTGCTATTCAGTTGAAGGTTTGGGACACATTTCCTACGAGCTCCTTTTGCTTGCGCCTTTGTTCCCCCTTCCGTGACTCCTTCAATTTCTCCCTGCTCGAACCGGTTTGCCTGACAGGAGGTAGGTGCCTTGCTTCGGGACCTCCTTAGCAAACATCCCAGACTGAAATCAATTGCAGATGTGCCCTCGCAGACAGCTTACGGTCATGAGGCATGAGTCGTAACGAAGTTAGTTCGTATCCAACGGACGAAATAGCAGGGCACCGCCACGGATCTTGGAGAACCCAAGCCTCCTCGGCAGCCTCTGATGGCTATCTCTGCGTCAAAGGAGGGGCTTTAGCTGCTTCCACGGCCGCGAATGGACTTGTTGCGGGTTAGGACTACGGATTGCAATGGTATAATCCAATGTCTTTTGATTTCCTGAGCCGACACCCGAACGCGAGGCCGACCACGATCTCACGATTCCTCGTAAGAGGACAGGAGGCTTTTGGTTCATTTATTAGCAAGGATGAGCATGTAGACCTTTCGCATCTCTTCTCCCACGGCCCCCGTGACACTCCATTGATGAGTTGGCGTCGCCTTGCCGTTGGCAAGCAGCGTTGCCGCTTCCCAACTGCCAACTGCTACAGCCGTTGGTCCACAGATGCTGACGTTCCCCATAATAAGGGGACTAGCACATCTGTGTAGGTATGGTTAAGTGAATAGCGTACATGCTAGTTACTCGCTGGACCTCCTCAGGCGGCCGGACCCAGGTCCCGAGTAAGTGGGCGAAGCTTGCCAACCGAACTCAGCACGGGTGGCTCACTCCGAGCCAGCACTGGATGTTGGAAGACGAGTGTGGGGTCGAGTAATCAATACGAGCAGCGGGTTGTGACGGAGCAGACTGCATCGCTGTAGATGTGTGTACTAAATCAGTCTACAGACTACACCAGACTCGTTCTATCCGTAGCATCCGAATTTTGCTAGGATAAAAGGCTCAGTCGCAGAGCCGATGGTTTGGTAGGGAGGTCACGACCTACACACCCTGTCATACGCGCTTCTATACCTATACCTAGGTACCTATGTAAGGTATGTTCGGACAATGGACAGTGCGTACGGGTGTTGTGTAGCGGAATCTGTATGCCAGGTTCTTGTTCTCCCTACCTTGGCTCAGTGCCAAGAGAGACTCGTGATAATCAGGAAGCTTCCAGGTTGGGCGTATTTCAAGTTTGTTGTGAGTCCCTCGTCTTCTCGTGCCACATACACTACCTCCTAGGGAGTCATTAACGTTATCACTAAACAGGACCAAGCCAGCTGAGTTAGCGCCGTGGCGCTCGCGAAGTCATTTCTTCTTTGGGGGCTAGAAGGCGGCACGCACACGAACCATCCTTAGCTGAGAGCTCCCGCGTATGTAAGCCAAGCTGCGCCGGTCTCGCCTTTTCATTTCGTTCTATGTTGCACCGCATGTGATATCACAAACCCAATCTCCGTAGCTGACAGGCGCATTTCCACATTTCGCTGATTCCAACAAGCGAAGCATCAATAACTCTTTGGGCTGGTGTGCCAAGCTGGAATCGAGCTGGACCGCTCGAAGCTCATGACAATCTCGTGTTGCTGCAGGATTTTTCAGGAATATCCAGTATCCATCGGGTAGATTTTCCATGGCAATGTAGGAAGCTGCAGGGATCCAATTGAGGCAGCAGTTTCGGGCCAATCATGCTCCGGCGCCGCACACCATCGCGACGGTGGATGCATGTGGTCCAATTTGACTGGTTGCCGCCTGCTGTAGAGAGCGCCTTCCCATCTGAGAGTTTGGCCTTCAGAGAACTTCATTAGGTCTGCGCTTGACCACTGGAGCTGCAACTGGAGCGTTTGCTACACACATTGGAGTGCGGGAAGGTTCGAATGACGCCCAGCGGGTCCAACTTCTGCAGCTGCGCTCGCCATTCGGTACTTTCGCTGAGAAATGCAGACATCTCGTCATACTTATACGAGTGGAAGGCATCGCATGTCCACCCCGCCACTCAGTCCCACACCGACCGGCCCGGTGCCTGTTGTCCTCTCGTTCTGTTCCTGTCGGGTTCTTCGCGCTGCGGGGCCCTTTCGCGGATCGGTCGGCCTGTTTGCACTCTGCAGTTGCTGCACCCCCCGCGCCACCTTGTCCAGGTGTTTGTGCTCAACAAGTGTAGAGATGAGACCGATGTCACGGTGCTGCTGCCATTCAATATCCACGATTCGCTTCTAGTGCGTGCATCGTCTCATCGCCTCCATGCTAGCGCCCGTTCTAATGGCCTTCCCTTCCCGAGCACACCGGGAACCGTGCTGGCCTACTAGGGCTCCCTCGGAAGTTGGGACTGGTTGCCCCGAGCTGCCGTCATTGTGGAGTTTGTCGACGCTGGCCCGTTGCCGGGTGCCCGAAAGGCGGCCCAGCGCAGCGCAGCGCCGCCAAAAAAAAGTTGGATCTCGTATTCCCGCCGCATCGGGCATGGCGTAGCGATCATTGGGCTCGGCGTCTTTCCAACTTTGCTTATCTGGGATTCGGCATCGACCCATCGACTAGTGCCGGCGACCGCCAGCCACCCGCGGGACGCCAACAAGCGGCGGGATGCAGTGAATAAAAGCCTCGAGGTGCCTCGCGCTCTCCCCTTCCGCTCTGTTTTCCTCTTGTACCACCACGTAAAAGAATACTTCTTAATACGCCTTCGGGTCTCGCAGTCGCTCGCTTTCGTCTGCATTTTGTAATACCTGTCACTCGCTAAGCAAACAAGCCAAGTCGTTGAGCAAAGATGCGCGCCTTCGCTCTGTCTCTTGGCGCCCTCGCCGTGAGGGTAGCCAGTGCTCACGAGTATCCTAATTGCGTAAGTGAAGTCGTCTGAACCGGCATTGTGGGAGACCAGGGACTGACTGCGAAACCAGGAATCGGACAACTGCTACCGCAACCTGATCGACCCGCGGTTTTATGAGAAGGCTGTGTCCTGGTGCCCCGAGTTCCTGTCTGGCACGACCACGGCCCCTGCGGCCATCCCGACGGAGTTTGGCAACTGTGACGGTGTTGTCAAGGCTGTCAGCTCGGCCTGCTCGTGTATCACCTACAGCGCCTCCACCACCACCACTTCGGTGCCCCAGACGACCACCAGCACGACCAGCACCACCTCGACTCCGGAGACGACCACCACGTCTGAGGTCCCCGAGACCACCACCACCACCAGCTCCACCTCGTCATCCTCCACTACGTCTGAGGTGCCGGAGACCACCACCTCCACCAGCACTACCAGCACCGAGACCGAGACCGAGTCTTGTGAGCCTGAGACCTCGACGTCGGAGGTCCCTGAGACGACGACCACCACCAAAGCCCCCGAGACTACCACCTCCACCACCGAGGTTCCGGAGACGACCACCAGCACCGAAACTGAGACGGAGTCTTGCGAGCCTGAGACCTCCACCTCGGAGGTTCCCGAGACCACCACCACCACCACCACCAAGGCCCCCGAGACCACTACTAGCACCACCGAGGTCCCGGAGACGACCACTAGCACCGAGACCGAGACTGAGTCCTGCGAGCCTGAGACCTCGACGTCGGAGGTTCCTGAGACGACCACCACCGAGGCTCCTGAGACCACAACCACCGAGGCTCCGGTGACGACTACTAGCACTGAGACCGAGACCGAGGCGCCCAGCAGCAGCATCTCTACCAGCTCTACCACCGAGTTGACCACCAGCACCATCACCACGACCACGACCAGGACCATCACCTCCTGCCCGCCCAGCGTGACCAAGTGCCCGCACACGGTCACGACCGAGACCATCATCACCACGACTGTCTGCCCCGTGACGGAGACACCCAGCACCACGCCTAGCGCTGCGCCCAGCACCACAACCGATACCACCAAGTACACCACCAGCACCCTCACCAGGACCGCCACCAGGACCATCACCTCGTGCGCGCCCACGGTGACCAACTGCCCGCCCCACAGCACCACGGTCACGACCGAGACATTTGAGACCACCACTGTCTGCCCCGTGACCGAGACGCCCAGCGCCAGCCAGCCTCCTGTCGTGTCGCAGCCTCCTGTCGTCTCTCAGCCGCCTGTCGTGTCGCAGCCGCCTGTCTCGCAGCCGCCTGTCGTGTCGCAGCCTCCTGTCGTGTCGCAGCCCCCGGTCCCGAGCACGACCTCGTTCGGCACCATCACGCTCTCTTCCAGCACCCGCGTCGGCCCTAAGCCCACTACATCGCTGCCGGTCACAGCCGGTGCTGGCCGCGCCGTCGGCGCCATTGAGGGCGTTGCCGCGCTTGCTGGTATCTTCGCTGCCCTCTTTTAAGGGAGTCAGCTGAACGCGACTGGGATTGTTGGGTTTTTTTGGGCCCTCTTGCCTCTCGGGAAGTCGAGGCGCCACGTTGAGAGGGCAACCATTTGGAATGTGATGAAATGACGGACAATGAGGGAACGGTTTAGGCTAATGTTTGGCGGATGTTTCTTGGCTTGGGCGTCAACCTGAGCCAAGGGGTTGTTACATATGATACATACCAGACATCTATTTCTTGTACATACATTCATAGATTTAGTCATACTGTTTAATGGATGCCGGCTGTCGTGCTTGTGTGACAGGGCGACAAAGCCGCGAGTGTCCATTCATACATACTGAACGAACTATCATGTGTGCTCATCCGATGGAATGCTGTGTTCAGCCTCGTGCTGCTGGCCAAAAGTGTCTTACTGGGCCCAACCCCCTGCCACAGCATAGGTATGCGCGTCCTGAGTTCAAGCGAATCAGCTCTTATTAAGGTTCCCTTCTGCAACTCCCAAGGCTGCGGTAACATTTGCTTCATGCAGCATATGTACCTGCTGTCCTAGGTTAATTTTTTCCCCAACCGTATTTTCTCTCTCTCCTTTTTTGAATGCGGCACAACAGCTCAGGCCTCACCATCATGATGACGGCAACATCTTCGTTTCCCGACCCAAAAGTCATCGGCACCAAGAAGCCCGGCGTATCATACACCGACCGCCACTCGGCGCGCGTGGTGGCATTCAACGCCGGAGGCGAAGTAGCCATCCTTTACGCCAAGCGAGAGAATTACTACAAGCTTCCTGGCGGCGGCATCGAACCGGGCGAGGACCATGAGACGGCGGCCAAGCGCGAGTTCCAGGAGGAAACCGGCGGGCTGATCAGGCTGCGAGGCAACGGCTGCGTGGCCGCGACGGAAGAGTTCCGCTTTCAGCAGCGGCAGGTGTCGTATTGCTACTGTGCCGACCTAGTGGACGATAGCGGGGAGCCTGCTCTGATTGAGGAGGAGCGGGAGGACGGCCTCGGCCATTTGTGGATGTCGGTAGACGAGGCGAAGAAGGCGATGGCCGCGGCGGAGCCGTCTTCGGAGTTTGGAAGGTCCGTCAAGGAGCGAGACATGTATCTGCTGGATCAGGCGAGCAAGTACTACTGTACTAGTAAGAATGAGACATCGCACGAGCGGAGGGTCCAATGTGTACGAATCTTTTAAATACTTTTGAGAATGGCGCCTGCCCTGGTGATCACGTCACGTATGAGGCCAACATCGTACGTCTCAGGCTTCCGACAATGAGTTCGGGTACCCGGATGGCCAATCGATTACTGTTACCTGCCCGGCTTTTTGTCAATCACAGATACATCGCCATCCAACTCCCGTTTACCAGAGGCAACCCAGACGATCAGCAAGCTCCCTGATATCCGACACATATGAATTGATGCACATGATACACGTAACATCCTCCCAACGCGGCAGTGTTCCCTGGCTATAACTGGTTGTTGCTAATCGATATCTCCAATGGCCACCTTATTTGAATAGATTGTCCATTTCGGAGATCTCCCGGGAACGGTAAAATCGGAACGTTGATTAGGAGCCAAGATTGGGGAAGCTCAGCCGGATAATCAGACTTATGCATGCGGCAGCAGCATGCCATATGTGAGGCGTCGTCATCGCGTATGTTATTGATAAGGGCCCTACTATATTCGTGGGACGTTGCTCAGCCCAACACCGTACATACCTCTCTCACAGTCTCACTTCGCTCTCAGATGGCCCCGGCACGAAGTGTAGGTTAGGGAAGCGAGTGTGAAGATGGTCTTCCTCGCTCCATTCCTGCTCTTCTGGAGCCTCACAAGCGCGGCCAACGTCATCCCCGTCAAGGAATTCAGAACCCTCGAACAACTCGTCGCCAAAGCCGACGCGGAAGCCCCGAGAGCCGCAGCCTACACTCCGCTCCCCCCCTCGCTCGACCCCTGGTACCGCGCCCCGTCGACGTACGACTGGACGCTGGCGGACCCCGGCACGGTGCTCAAGATGCGGCGGGCGCCGCTGCTCAACGTAACGGTCGGCAACGCGCTGCTGGCCTACCAGCTGCTCTACCGGTCGACCGACAGCCGCTACAACCCGGCCTGGGACGTCACCACGCTGTTCATCCCGCGGTGGCAGGCGCGGTGCTCGCCCTCCACGCCGGCGCTTTGCGCGCACGCGCTGCTGTCGTACCAGCTGCCGTACGACACGTGCAATGTGGACGCCAGCCCCTCCTTCGGCCTGCACCTGGGCGAGCCGTACGGCGAGATCGCCGACGCGCTGGCGCTCGGCTGGTTCGTGGCCGTGCCGGACTACGAGGGCCCCCTGGCGAGCTATGCCGCGGGCGTGCAGGCGGGCCACGCGACGCTGGACGGCGTGCGCGCCGTGCTGCAGGTCGCGGGTCTTTTTGGCCTGCGCCTGGACAGGGCCAAGGTCGCGCTCTGGGGGTACAGCGGCGGTGCGCTGGCGAGTGAATGGGCCGCCGAGCTGTCGGTGCAGTACGCGCCCCAGATGAAGCTCGCGGGTGTTGCGCTGGGCGGGCTGACGCCGAATGTGACGAGCGTGACCGAGTATCTGAACCGGAGGGAGGGCGCGGGCCTGATCCCGCAGGGCCTGATGGGCATTGCGACGCAGCATCCCGAGGCGTACCGCTGGATCGTGAGCCGGCTGAGGCCCGCGTTCAGGGCCAGGTTTCTGAGCGTGAGGCGCATGACGGCTGCGCAGGCGATCAGGACCTTCAAGTACCAGGATATCTACGACTACTTCGTCGGCGGCTATCGGGACCTGCATACGAGGGTCATGCAGATGATGTACAACGTGGACGGGTACATGGGCTACCACGGGGTGCCGACGAAGATGCCGCTGTTCATCTACAACGCCATCCACGACGAGCTGAGCGATATCCGGGATGTCGATGAGCTGGTCGGCAGGTTCTGCGAAGTTGGCGCCAACATCCTGTACCACCGAAACACGGTGGGCACCCACACGCAAGAGCTCGTCAACGGGAGGGGGAGAGCCTTTGCCTGGCTGCGGAGCGTGCTGGACGGGAGCTACGACAGCATCTACTCGTCGATGGGGTGCACCATTCAGAATGTCACGTACAACCTGGCGCCCTGGGTGGGCTGGGGCTGATGATATATCTAGATGGCTGGCAGCATTTCAGTAGATATCCATGGTACGTTCTACTGTTGCTCCCCTCTCCCGAATGGCACTTACCGAAGGCATTCATTCACATCACCCTTTTGACTTTGTCCTCGATAAAGCCTTGCCCACCTCCTTCTCCTTCTTCACCCCAACACCAGCCCACAACCAACACCCTCACCAACAATGGCCCAACCGCACTGGCAGACAACACAGCCCCATTAAACGCGTGTCCCACTGCCCCAGCTCACAGAACCTCGCCCACGCGGCCACCGAGCTGACGTGGTAGCACAGGTCACTGACCAACATCCCCCCTCCCCCGTCCCCCCACCCCTAAGCACAGCAGCAGCCGCCACACGCGCAGGTCGTCGACCAGCCGCATCACCACCGCCTCGTTGAAGGCGAACAAGCAGCCACGCACCGCCGAGCTGCGCGTACAGTCAGGAACTGGTTGCCCGGGGCTGTAGAGCGCGGACGTAGGCTTGCGGTGTGCGGAAGGTCATGATTGGCGCCGCTGAGCGCGAAAGAGCGGTTCCAGCACGAGCAGGGTGGGCGGGTAGCTGAGAGGGAGGGCGGTCGAGGCTTTGATGGGGTTCGTCGGCATTGCGGGAACTTGGACTTTTATGATGCGGGTGTGCTGCTTTTTTTTTCTAGGTTTGTGCTTGGTGGTGTTGGATAAGGTATTGTACCTTAATCAGAAGGTTGAGATGAGCTGGTTAATGAATGGGTTAAGAGAGAAAACCTGGGAAGGTGAGCTGACAGCCTTATTTTAACATTGAGTGCCAATGCGGTCATTAGATCGTCAGATGCTGCTGTTGCATTGGTCATGATCACCCAACCTGAAGCTGCGGCAAGTCATCAAGAAGCAGGAGCTGCATTTACCTATATTTCGTTCCTTCCTTCAATGCCAACTTATATATGTCTGGTACTTGTGGCGGGAATCAAGGCTGCATTAGGTATTCGGACCGTTCGTTGCGTATCCTCAAAAACAAACCTATAAAGTACCTACCTGGTAAGTTCAGAATTGGCTGTTCAAGTCTTGCGCATATTGGATTGCTTTGGGTAACTATCCTGAGACCTGTTTCATGGCATCCCCTCACTTGCACGGTTTGGGAGACCATGACATGTCTCAATGAGCATGCCACGTAGCAAGCTTCGAGTTCAAGGTTCAGGAGAAGATGGCGATCGACTTCATTCATTCGCTCTGGTCACTCAGCTCAGGGACCGACTCCACGTGCCGGCCCGAACAATCGAGGGAAGTTCGAATAGGGCCCGCCTTCCGGAACCCCCCTTTTCATGCCCATGTTAGTAACGTTAGTCTGGTACCCCAAGCGAGCCAAGCCTCCTGGCGTCGATATGAAAGGGGGCTCAACAAGTTTGCCATCGCCGAGGCTGTGCTTCGATGGTCTGTCTGTGTGGCTGGGGTTGGCAGCGACTCTTGGAATGCATGTAACGTTGAGGGCCCAGCCAGGATCGGGCAAAGGAAACCAAGACGAAGCACTTGTGTAAGCCGTGACACCACAAGCAGATTGTTTTCTGACGCAGTCTCGCATAGTTCAGGACGATTCGTTGTGTCTCTCCCTGTCTCTCCGTCGGAACGCGGGCATTGCTAATTTTGGCTGCAGATAAACCAGTAGCTTTGCTTCTTGCAGCCTGCGCTCACCCATCAACAAGTCCTAGTGTACGGATAAGTTCCCAGGTAACTGTCCAACGCTGGCGCTTGCAGGGAAATGGAACGCTGTTTCCAGCTTCCGCAGGGCTTTTAGGTTGGTTGCTAGGCTGAGGCTCCACTGCGACCATTGTTATCCACTGCGACTGTTTCGGGCCTGGGGTTACCCCCTCTAGCGGATCCAGTGTCCGCACCACACAACCTATCTCACCTCCAGACTCGATCCGCGAGCCAACTCGGGTGGCAATTGCGCCGGGAACACTAACCATCATCCTTAACTTTCGCCCGTCTTTGCATCCGTGCACCTCACCCTCCTCATATATCCGGATCGCCCTTCGTCTGCAACATCTTGCAGGCGCGACGAGACTGACCTTCTTTGCCGACGGCACACCCTCATTCGCATGATGTCGTGGAAACTGACCAAGAGTACGTTTGAACAGTCGCTGCTTCGCGCTTGAAGCGACGGCTGCCACTTTCCACTTGACGCTGTTGCTTCGGTTTCGTGCCGCCGTGCATTGCTAACGAGCCTGCCACCTTAGAACTAAAGGAGACCCATCTGGGTCCCCTGACCAGCACATTCTCTCGATCCCCCTCCACGTCGACCATCACAGACAAGGACGACAAGAGCCAGGGTGCCATCTCCGGGACGGCGACACCTACAAATGAGAGCACTATCGGTATGTTGCGATGGACTAGGACTTGGGCGTTCCCGCGTGTTCCGACTTGATCTGACTGTTTCCCACAGCGGCCTCGGAAGCCCTCTCCCAGACACCCCCTGTCAAGGCCCCGAAACCCGGCATCCTCGTCGTTACCCTTCACGAAGGCCAAGGGTTCTCCCTCCCGGAACAACACAGAAATGTCTTTAACTCGTCCCATGGCGGCAGCTCCCTGTCAACAGGGAACGCCCTTAGCATGGCAGGATCTGCCCGTCCCGGATCCGCTAAGTCGTCGGGTTTCGCTGGCGCCCGGCCACAGACCGCCGGCGGATTCAGCGGCATTCCGACCAACCACGGCCGAATCTCCACGAAGTACATGCCCTACGCGCTGATCGACTTCGACAAGGTTCAGGTTTTTGTCAACTCGGTCGAGGGCACCCCCGAGAACCCACTCTGGGCCGGGTCCAACACACAGTACAAGTTCGACGTTTCCCGGGTAACCGAATTAGTGGTACACCTCTACATCCGGAATCCCAATGCTCCACCGGGATCCGGTCGGAGCCAGGACATCTTCCTTGGCGTGGTACGCATCAATCCCAGATTCGAGGAGAGGCAGCCATACGTCGAGGACCCGAAGGCCAGCAAAAAGGACCGGGAGAAGGCAGCGACCGAGCATGCCAACCGTGAGCGCGCCTTGGGGCTCAGCGGCGTCGAGTGGGTCGACGTGCAATACGGCACGGGCAAGCTCAAGATCGGCGTCGAGTATGTCGAAAACCGGGCTGGCAAGCTCAAGATCGAGGACTTCGAGCTGCTCAAGGTGGTCGGAAAGGGCAGCTTCGGAAAGGTCATGCAGGTGCGCAAGAAGGACACGAACCGAATCTACGCGCTTAAGACGATTCGAAAAGCGCACATCATCTCGAGATCGGAAGTGGCCCACACCCTGGCCGAGCGGTCGGTCCTAGCGCAGATCAACAACCCTTTCATCGTGCCGCTCAAGTTCACATTCCAAAGTCCCGAGAAACTCTACTTCGTCCTCGCCTTCGTCAACGGTGGCGAGCTTTTCCACCACCTCCAGAAGGAGCAGCGCTTCGATGTCAACCGCAGTCGATTCTATACGGCCGAATTGCTCTGCGCCCTCGAGTGCCTCCACGGTTTCAACGTCATTTATCGCGATCTGAAGCCCGAGAACATTCTTCTCGACTACCAGGGTCATATTGCCCTGTGTGACTTCGGGCTCTGCAAGCTCGACATGAAGGACGAAGACCGCACCAACACATTCTGCGGAACGCCCGAGTATCTGGCGCCAGAGCTTCTGATGGGCAACGGATACAACAAGACGGTTGACTGGTGGACGCTGGGTGTCTTGCTCTACGAGATGTTGACGGGTCTCCCACCCTTCTACGACGAGAACACCAACGAGATGTACCGCAAAATCCTCAGCGAGCCACTGCACTTCCCAGGTCATGACATCGTGCCGCCAGCGGCCAAAGATCTCTTGACCAAGCTGTTGAACCGCGACCCCCAGCAGCGGCTTGGGGCCAACGGGTCAGCCGAGATCAAAGCACACCCCTTCTTCCACGCCATTGATTGGCGTAAGCTCTTGCAGCGCAAGTATGAGCCTGCATTCAAGCCGAGCGTGGTATGTAACAGACAGCTCTATCCCCCGGAAATCACGTGGGAAAGCGAACAGATCATACTAACAGGCATAATCCTCAGGCCGATGCCCTGGACACAGACCAGTTCGACCCCGAGTTCACGTCGGAACCGGCTCACGATTCGTACGTCGAGGGTCCTGTGCTTTCCGAGACGCTGCAGAACCAGTTCACTGGTTTCAGCTACAACCGCCCGATTGCCGGACTTGGAGATGCTGGTGGCAGTATCAAGGACCCGTCATTCGTGGGTAGCATTCAGGGCAGCTTGAGATGAGGCGACAGTGCTTTGAAGACCATTGCGGAAATTCGAGAGTGCGAGGACGTCTGTGGTGTGGTGCTGCACGCCCTTTCAAGCTGAGTTGGGCCCACCGACAGGTACTAGTAGTGTCCAGCACCTTGGCTTGACGACACTTCGACACGAACCGCAGGTGAGACACCCGGATAGCGCAGGGCGTAACCATGCATTTTCCTTGGTTGAGCGATTGGGTTTGCAATCTCCCTGAAGCGGAGAGAGTGTGCCTACCTACCTTACATTTTCAGATTTTGGGATCGGGCATGGTCACTGGGTTTCATTTTCCTTTCGGTTGTTTCTGTTGGTTCGGTGTCTGGGGCTGGAGAGAGTGTGTAGAGTAAGGCTCAACAAAAAGTCACCACCGCAAAACTCAGCTTCTGTGATGGCTTGGCAGCGGTTCACCGGTTCATCGCCTCGTCCCGTCTCGAGCGTGTTCGTCGTCCGAAGTCGGTTGAAATGGGGTTCCAAGTGCTTCGTCTTATCCACTCAATACTCGGCATCCGATCTGGTCACATCTTTCCGGTACCAATCATCCCGTCCACTATCCCCCCGCGCTAGCGAACTGAGGCTCTTATTCAGCGCACGCTCAAAAGAATTGGCTAAATCCGCGGCGGGGAGAAGTGGATGACGAGCGCTCAGAGGCGCTTGACATTCACTACCAAGGTGGGGCTAGATCGGAGATGTGTACCGTGTAAGGTGCGTTACCCCCAACTCCCAGCTCTGCTTGATAAGTCCTGGAATGGCAATTCCTCTAAAACAACTCTAACTCGCAGTGAGTGAGAGGACGACTCTCAGCCCGTGTCTACTGCAAGTTGCGTATTTCAAGAGTTTTAGTACGTGCGTGCCCCTTTCTTTGAAACCAACAAGATCCGTTCAGTGCCCCTTGCGGCACCGACTCCGTAGCTGCCGTCCGGTCCCGCATGCGGGGCACCAAGCTCTCTCAGCATATCAATCACCCCACCTTCATGCCTCCTGATGTCAACATTCCACTCATTCTCACATAAATCCGGCCCCAGCAGACAGACCTGAACTCGTCACACGCCCACCCGCTCAGAAAACGATACATTGAGGAAGAGAAACAGCCAGAGATCAGCCAGTCTAGAGAGCAAAAGGACCTCGTCGATATGGCCCCCGCAAACACCCTCCCCGCATGGGCCGACCTGCAGGCTCACCACGACAAGGTCGGCAAGTCGTTCGTGCTCAAGGATGCCTTCAAGGCGGACCCGAAGCGCTTCCAGACCTTCTCTACCAAGATCACCCTCCCTGCCGGCATCTCGACCGAGCCCAACGGCACCGAGATCCTGTTCGATTTCAGCAAGAACCTCGTCACTGAGGAGACCCTGAGCCTCCTGGTCAAGCTTGCCGAGCAGGCCGCCGTCGAGAAGAAGCGGGATGCCATGTTCGCCGGTGAAAAGATCAACTTCACCGAGAACCGCGCTGTCTACCACGCCGCCTTGCGGAATGTCACCAACCAAGAGATGAAGGTCGACGGCGTCGACGTGATGAACACCAAAGGCGGCGTCAACGAGGTGCTGGAGCACATGCGCGTTTTCTCTGAGCAGATCCGCAGCGGCGAGTGGAAGGGGTACACTGGCAAGAAGCTCACCAACATCATCAATGTTGGCATCGGAGGTTCTGATCTGTAAGATGTCCGATGTTTTGTTCTCGGTGTTTGTTGTCACGAACGACGAACGAGACTGACCCTGGTTCGTGTGGCAGCGGCCCGGTTATGGTCACGGAGGCCCTCAAGCACTACGGTGCCAAGGACATGACGCTGCACTTTGTCTCGAACATCGACGGCACCCACATCGCCGAGGCCCTCGCAAACTCGGATCCCGAGACCACTCTCTTCCTGATCGCCTCCAAGACCTTTACCACCGCCGAGACGACGACCAACGCCAACACGGCCAAAACGTGGTTCCTCGAGAAGACGGGCGGCAAGGGAGACATTGCGAAGCACTTCGTCGCTCTCTCCACCAACGAGGCCGAGGTGACCAAGTTCGGCATCGACGCCAAGAACATGTTCGGCTTCGAGAGCTGGGTCGGCGGGCGCTACTCGGTCTGGAGCGCCATCGGCCTGAGCGTCGCTCTGTACATCGGCTTCGAGAACTTCCGCAAGTTCCTGTCGGGCGCCCACGCGATGGACCAGCACTTCCGCACCGCGCCTCTCCGCGAGAACGTCCCCGTGCTTGGCGGCCTCCTCTCGGTCTGGTACTCCAACTTCTTCAACGCGCAAACCCACCTCGTCGCCCCCTTCGACCAGTACCTGCACCGCTTCCCGGCGTACCTGCAGCAGCTGTCTATGGAGTCCAACGGCAAGACCATCACCTCGGACGGGTCGCCCGCCAAGTACACGACGGGCCCGATCCTGTTCGGCGAGCCGTGCACCAACGCGCAGCACTCCTTCTTCCAGCTCGTGCACCAGGGTACCAAGCTGATCCCGGCCGACTTCATCCTCGCGGCCAAGTCGCACAACCCGGTCTCGGACAACCTGCACCAGAAGATGCTCGCGTCCAACTACCTCGCCCAGGCCGAGGCCCTCATGGTGGGCAAGACGGCCGACGAGGTCCGCGCCGAGGGCAACGTGCCCGATAACCTGGTCCCGCACAAGGTGTTCCTCGGCAACCGGCCCACGACAAGCATCCTCGTGGGCGGCGCCATCGGTCCCGCCGAGCTGGGCGCGCTGATTGTCTACTACGAGCACCTCACCTTTACCGAGGGCGCCGTGTGGGACATTAACTCGTTCGACCAGTGGGGCGTGGAGCTGGGTAAGGTGCTGGCGAAGAAGATTCTCAAGGAGATCGACGAGCCTGGCGCGGGACAGGGCCACGACGCCTCGACTGGTGGGCTGCTGGGGGCTTTCAAGAGGTATGCAAACCTTTGAGGAGGCCAGAGGGGTCTGAGCTGGAAAAGGAAACATGAACAGCATATTTCGTCAGGAAACCATCTTATTGTAGCTTGAGAGCGGGTCCGCGAGAACCAGGTTAAACTTCCTGCTTAGATAGAAGGAGGGCAACAGGCTCTCATTACACAAGCGTGCCGCGTACCGAGGACGGTGTCATATCTGTTGGCTCTTGCCTCCTATTAATGCTCAGCCTTTGTCAACATTAGCTGGTGAACCGCCTGGCTTTACGATCCAGGCAAGAATGAGCTTACTCCCATTAACAGCGTAGCACGGGTGACCTCCGCCGAAGCAAGCAGCAACAAGCAATCAAAGCCAAGGACGGTGGATGTTGACGGCATGCAGGACCCAAGAACAGAGGGCCCGGACAGAACCTTTTCTTGTTTCATTTCCCATCCCCAAAGGACGGGAATGATCTGTGTAGAAGAAAGCTACGGTTGCCTTTCTCTTCTTTCCTCGGTTCTCTCCATGGATCATCCCTTTTCCCAATCTGTGTGTGTGTGCCTTTGCCTGCCCCCCAATTCCCTGAACAAACAAAGAACCGATTATGAGCAAAACCACAAAACCACAAAACCGACCCGGTCCCCTATTTCCCCGTCCATGAACCAGTAGTTACTTAGTCCCAGCCGCCGCCCCGAGTTTGCTTTGCTAAAGCCGAGTCCAAGAAACAGAAAGATGAAGAAGAGAAAAAGGGTTAAACAACAATCTTCCCTTCCTTTTAGTCAGAGACAACATCACAAATCACAAGACCCCAATGTGCAATGTAACGCCGCCGAATCAAAACCAGAAATCGTCCATGAATACAGCTGAGAGGGGTGATGGTAGAGGGTGGGAGTGGAGCGCTTGTTCGGTCAGAGCTCATCGACTCGCATTGTTCGCCTATGGAAAAGCTGTTTTGGTTTTCGCATAGGGCGACTGTTGGCACGGGTGCCGGTTCCCGTCTCCGAAGAATTTCTCATTGTAAAGCTTCTTCCCACTTTCCTCCTCCAATTCAAGATACCTCCCCACTTAGCACGGCGGCCGATTTACGGGGCGGGGCCCTTCTTTTCCATCCTCCTAGTGATAGTTGTTGCCCCACCCCGAGGCGCGTTGGCATAGTAACTACCGCCAAACCCCTGGGCGCCATAGCCAGCCCCATAAGTGTTCTGGTGGCTCTGCGCGCCGCCTGCACCCATGCCGTACCCACCGGCACCAGACTGGCTGCCGTGGAGACCGTGGCCCTGCATATGACTTGGGTAGCCGTAGGCGCCCATGCCGAGACCGCTCTGCTGGCTCGACTGCGGAGGCGGGAGACCGGCCTGCCCAGGGCCGTTATTTGCCGCTGAGCCGGGTCGAGCAGCCGCACCGAGTGAGGGGCTCGGGCCGCCGGCGGCCTTAGAATCACCGAAGGGCTTCAGCTCATCGGCAGATGGGCCAGCACCAGACTGAGAGCCAGGAGCATTGAAGGACTGCCCGCCCTGCGACTGGTAAGCTGAGCCGCTACGACCGAACGTGTCATGCACGCCACCGAAACCACTGCCAAGACCCTGCTGGGCCGACTGAGTTGAGCCAGCGCGTCCGTAATCGCCCAGGCCAGCACCTACACCGCTATCCCGATGCAGGGCGGACTGGCCGAACGCTCCGGCAGGGGATGAGTAGCTATGCGGGCCCTGGGGTGTGATACCGTACTGGCTAGGCTGGTAGCCTAGGCCACCCTTGCCATACGGCGCGCCATAAGCACCTTGGTTGTACCCCTGGTAACCACCCATATAGGCCGAATAGTAAGGGTTTGAGTAGTAGGGATGCCCGCTGTACGGGTAATCATGCGGCTGTTGGCCGTGCGCTTGAGCTTGTGTGCTGGGGCCGCTGGGGGCCTGACTGGCGGTCTGAGTGGGGGTAGGGGCGCCTCCGACCTGTGACTCGGTGCCGGCGTTGCTGCCGAAACGCGGCTGTCCATGCTGGGCACCGCTCTGTGGGTATTGACCCAAGCTATCGTTCTGCGGCGCGTTATAGCCGCTGAAAGAGCGCTGCGGCTGCGACGACAGGGCATCCTGGCCTTGCGCGCCTTGCTGCTGGCCATAGTTTTGGTTGTAGTAGTTGAAGCGGTTCTGATGGTCCGCGGTATAGTAGGACGAGAGATCGTTGGAAGCGGAGCTGAAGGGACCACCGGGCTGCTGCTGGTTAGGTGCTTGCGCCGCTTGTCCCTGGGCTTGGAAGCCGCCTTCGAACTGGTTCTGTGCCGCCGAAGCGACGGCAGGCTGTTGGCCGAACGGCTCAAATGGCTTCGTTGTTGGGAAAGAAGACTGCTCCTGAGGAGCGGATTGGCCGAAACGGCCAAACGGCTGGTTGCTTTCAGAGACAACAGGTTGTGCGGATACTGATAGTGAGTTGGTTAGGATATGAAGAGCAAATAGTACGGTTGGAGAGGGACACTGGATACAACATACCCTGTGAAGTCGATGTAGTCTGATTCGGCGGTGCAGAAGCTGCAGCTAAATAAGGGTTAGCGGGGAGAAGAGCCATCGGAGGCGGCAGATAATCCATACCAGCAGGCCCTGTGGGAACCTGGGTGGCGACGGGTGTCTGAGCGGCAAACGCATCAGGAACGGTCGTAGGCTGTACTGGAGGGAGTGACGTCCTGGGGTGGGTAACGGGCGAATCCTCCGGAGGCTGAGGGCGAGTCTCGGGCGGTTCCTCGGCATTGTCGACGTCTTCATCGTCATTCAGGCTGAAAGCCCCGAATTGCACTGAAGCGCGATCAACGTGATCAAGACTACCAGGCATGCGGACAGGCTCAGCCTGGTCAAGCATGCGCCGAGAATGGTGAAGCGGCGTGCGAGCAGCCGGCTTTGTCGTAGCGCCGGTCCGCGCAGCCAGGTGTTGCTGCTGCGAAGCCGAGAGAGGGGTGGCTGTTGCGCTAGCTGCCGCACCACGCGGATCCCAAGAATCGGCCGCTTCGCTTGCGGCGGTCTCCGTTTCGGGGGGGTGGGACACATCGGTGACCCGGTCAAGGTTCTTTTCGGTAAGTTGGTCCTTCGAAGGTTGCAATGCGACTTCGGGAACGACGACGTTCGGCACAGCCGGCACCGCAGGGACGACTGGAATGGCCGGGGCGATCGGCTGGGTAACAGCGGCAGTATCTGCAGCCGGGGCTGGCTCGTTCGTCGGGACCATAGCTGGCTCGTCACCGGAGGTAGGGAATTGAGGCCCAGTATTAACTGCTTCTGCAGCGGACGAAGGTTGGACAACAGGTTCGGAGGATTTCGTAGCGGGCTCCCTCGGCTTCTGAACCGGCTTGGGGGTGGCTGATTGCCTCAACATGCTCGCCCAGGTAGTCTTACCCCCCGCGGCAATCGTCGCCGGCTTGGGGGTTTCGATTGTGGCACTGGGGGCATTCACAGTTGCGGTAAGCGACTCTGTCAGGGCAGCCTCACTTGAGACAGCCGACTCTTCAGTTTGCTTAGCGTTCCATTCTGTTGACTCCGCAGTCGGGACCGAGAGAGGCTGGTTTTCCTTCATGCGCGTCCCATTCGTTGTTCCAGGGGTGGACTTGCCACGAGCAGCGCCGCGACCGCCTCTCTCAGTGGCTCTGCCACGGCCACGACCGCTGTCGGCACCGCGGCCGCCTCTGGCATTTCGTGAGGTACCCGTAGCAGCGGGTTCGCCGGTTGTAGTCGTGAAGGTGTCTGCTTTGCCCTTCCGCTCCTTCTTTGGTTTGGAGACCTGGCCCCACTGCGAGATCGTGCCTACCGCGACCCGATCACGTTAGCCCATCATAACATCTGACGTAGAGCACCGTGTACCTCAACGGGTCAAAGGTAAAATTGCAGCGACGTGGAAATTGGAGTGGGAAGATACGGCATGAACACTGGGTTCATGCACGAGACAAGCAGCGAGGTCAGTTTACCTTCAGCAATCCGGGTAACAGTCAGGTTTTCGTCCCCGTCGGTCTCGCGCAAAGCAAACAAAATGTCGACGTCAGACCAATCAGGAAACATCTCTTTGATGATCTGGACCTTGTCGCCGTAGTCCTTCCTCAGTTGGCCGACCTCGCCCTCATCCTCGAACGTGGGCAGAGAGGATTGTGTGTTCTTGGAGTCGCCGTTGGTGGCAGCGGGCCGAGAACCGGCGGCGCGACCCCCTCCCCGAGTCGCAAAGTTGCCGCCTCGACCGCCGCGACCAGAGCCTCTGCCCCGCGGGGCGGCTGGTCTGGGCTGTACCTCAGTCATGCTGAGATGTGAAGTGTGTTATTCGAATCGGACGCGGCGATCGAATCGCGTTGGGATGGCAAACCACGAACTGACGGCGGTGAGGAAAGAAAGGAAATAGAGCGGATACCCGATTGCGAAGAAATGTGGTTTCGCGCAGGGCAAATCGAATCGTGTGGTGGTGCGATCCGTGGATGGACGGATCAGGTGTTGACTAAAGGGAAGGAGAACAGAGTGTGCAAGTGCGGAAAGATGAGGCGAGGAGGCGTCGAGTTTTTTGCCCTGGCCGAAAAGGGTAGTAGAGGTAGGTTTCAGTGCCAGCTGTAAGAGGGCGCAGGTGTTTCCAGCCTCGAATGTGGATCTGATCAGTGCGCTTGCACGAGCGTCCTATACAGGCAGCACCTCACCTTCCAGGCTGTATGTACGTCACTTATTATACTACCTCCAGCTCATGTACATTATGTCGCGACGTCATGACTACCTTAGGTCGTGATTCATCAGGCCGAATTGCAACAGTGCCACCGGTTGCAAGGCGAATTAGCTATTGGAATCCGCATCAAAGTGGTGACATTGCCTGGGGGTCCGAGCGTTTCCATCTGATCCCATGGCCCTCTCAACCCCAAAGTATCGGCCGGTGATGAACATTGTTACGATTGGCCATGGTCAAGAGCTTTGGCTGGCCAGCTGCCTCGGGCAATGCCAATGAGCTCATGTGGTCCCAGCATGCCCGCGGCAACCTTAAAAAGCATAGGGAGGTAGGTACTCCGTAGCAGTACTGTATTCCGTACTTACGACCTACCTTAGGTATCTCGTGACCTCTCTGTGATCTAGGGATTAGACCAGGGTTGCTTCACATAACTCCAAGAGTTCTTGATGGCGCCGCAGCTAGAATGAATGAATTCAATGACAATACGGAAGGTGTTTAATACCACTGGACTCTGTTGTTACTCGCGGTTGTTCAACTGTCTACCTTAGTGAGTTTGATGATGCTTCTCCGCCAGATGTCTACAGTAAGGTAGTACGGAGCATGGGGCCAGAAGTGTCTACCATGTTTCGTTAAGGAGGATAACGAGAAAACGTGCGAATTCTTGATTCCCAGCTACTTTGCACTGTACTTTGTACGTGCACGAGCTCCAAGTCCATTTCTGTATTCTCTCTCCATGTTCTCCATAAACTTGAAAGACCATAGATCAGTCGCTCTATACAATGGCAACTCCAACGATGTAAGCCCTGACTGTTTTCCATATATATGTGGTCTGGAAGATGGGTCTAAACATAGCGAAGTTGTTGATGCGGGCGGGCTATTGCATTTCGGTTCGGTCCCAGATTCGCAGCTCAAAATGAGAGGTTCAGATAGTTACATGCAACTAGGCCAATTTCCACACTTTTGAAACATACTAAAATGCTATAGATTAGTAGCTCTGTCAATGGCGATTCCAGCGATATGGAAAATAACTGTTTTCTATATATATATATATGAGCTAGAAAATAGGGCGATACCTCACTATATACGTGTATAACCCTAACCCTTATTACAACTGGCCAGCCGTGCACACTTACTGTGCAGGTGGGCTTGGCACTACGGGTGCTAACAGGTATAGTAAACACCTTTTGGCCCCATGCTCCGTACTGGAAGGTCAGATCTTCCGAGTCAAAGACCCACTTCTCCGGCATCTCAACTGTCAGTGGCGGCCTGGCGGGGCGTGGGGTCCGCCAAGCGAAACGTGACCTAAGTCCTCAACTCCACAATCAGCCCGCTTCGTCACGATCCTCAAGAGCTCACATGCATTTGGTCAGTCGCTGATGGGTATCAACCCAATTGATCGCCTCTCCTGTCCAGCTCACGACGAAAATGCAGAAAAGCAAAGCGCTCGGCGCGTTGCTACGAATTGACCAACTGCGTGCGCGGCAAACTCGACAGTTGTTGAGTGCCGTCAACTCATCAATCCGCGCACGGCCAAACCAAGAACGCGGCTTCGCTACCGGTTCTACAACGTCCCCGCCGGGGAAGAATCCCGCAAGAACTGACTCACGCTCCAATGACACGGCGTCTCCAGCCCACCGAGAGCAAGGCTCGGCCCGAAGAGTTGACCGGCACCTGCACGACATCCTCAACCACCCGCTCTTCAGCCCGGATGAGAGGACAATACAAGCAAACGAAGATCCCTCCGGCTACAATGCATGGAGTGCGCAGAAGACCGTCTTTCTGAAGGCTGTCTCGAGAGGCCTCATGACTGTACAGAGAGCGCATGGTTTCCTGATCTTGGTCAAGCATCAAGTATGGAGTGAGACGGCAAGGGCCGGGGTGCCGACTCCGGGTGCAAGCGGTGCACCGCCGATCCACAACGCCAAAGACACTGCAAGCGATGCGCGCCCGTCCCTCAAAGACACCGGCGCCGGCGGACTCGTACTACAATGGCTACGGTCTGCCGGCTTGGAGGGCGATCTCCTTTTCCTCGACAATACGAAATTTCGGGGACTCCTCCTGGAGTTCATCGTCGACGAAGGTCTGGACCACGCGGTCTGGGCCTGGATCGAGAATCTGATGGGGAGAGTGTTGAGCTCGAAAGAGGACGCCGCATACCGCTTTGAGCCCTTGCTGGTGAACTATGTGGAGATCAAATCTCGCGCTGCCGAACTGGAAGAGGCTTATTCTGCCGTCCTAAAGGGGGAGGCAATGCTCCAAGGGACAGGGTTACCGAACAACATTCTAGCGAAGCCCTGGTCTACAGTGACATATCACACCACAGTGAATGCGTGGGAGCACGAAAAACCGCCAGTCCGACTGTTCGACCCATTTGTCGCTTTGGGACTCGTAATACCAGCGCCAATAGTGCATAGGGCACATCTCGACCTGTACCACCCAGTCAACCCGTCCCCCAACCTGGCTATTGAAGTGCTTTCAGGCAAGTCAGTTTGGGAGAATATCCCGACTGATACACACAGAGTCCGGACATCGCAGTGGGCTCAGCGCATCAACCTGCTTGGCGTGGACACGATACAGCACCTCATGCGGACCGATAGGGGTAGCGAAGCATCCCGAATTTCCGATATCCTGTTGAGACATCTTGCTCCGATCTTTGGATCGTCCCACAAGGCTGCCGTCTGATGCGGAAGCCGACGCCCCTTGTGTTATGACTCAAAGCGCTCAGGAGCTTGGTTCCCCTTGTCAGCTGCTTCAGCTAAAGCTGCCGGCTGCCTTGCTGAGGTTGGTCGCGCCGTCGTGGGAACGGCGTGTCTATTCTTTTGATACCCGGCCGGGTACAGCCGATTGTCCAGCAGAGGGTGCACCCCGTCACAGCCCCAAGCACGTAATGTGTATGAGGAGGGACGGGAGCCGTCTACCTTCAGTGTTCTGCCAAACCCGGAGCGACACTGCGGGATGAAAAGGGGACGGCGACAGTGGTTGGTGGGGGCATCGTCAGATGATCGCTATTTGCCTCTGCGGTCTGTTTTGTAACCACTGACAAGTATGTATGCTTTATGTATATATTGCACATGCCCTACAGAGGCCGCCAATGATATTGGAAGATCTGTATTAGTATCTGATTGCCTGTCTACTTGGTCAAACTCTCCAAAGCCGCAATAGCTTGTGGCGCAGGTGCTTGCGAAACCCGGCGCTCGATGAGCGACGGGAACACTGACGGCTTACTCCTCCTCTACGTGCTGAGCTGCCCCGCACATACAGCCATCAGCCTACCACAAACATCCAGAAGGATGCAGAAACATCTGGAAGCATCTAGGTGCCTCATAATTGCTGACAAGTCTTTTCATTCAGCTTGAACCAGGTCGCACTACGGCGGCACGGAAAGCTGCTAAGAACCGCGGGACCTGAGATGAAACTCCCACCTATAAAGATACCCCTTCCCCGCCGTATTCTGTGCATTCCTGTCCCAGATTAGCTGAGAGAGGAGGCGGTCTATTCTCTGCTCTCCTCGTCATAAATACCGCCATGACTCGGGAGTTCGACATCGTTATTGTCGGCGGCGGCACTGCCGGCCTGGTGCTGGCTGCGCGCCTCTCCGAAGACGCCAGCATGCAGGTCCTGGTCCTTGAGGCTGGCGAAAATCTCTCGGACGACGCTCGAGTCCAGATCCCGGCCATGTGGCCCCAGCTGCAGGGCACCGGGGCCGATTGGCAGCTCAGGACCGTCCCCCAGGTGAGTTTCTCCCATCATCAATAAGCCACGGCGAGGCTATGGGCTAACCAAGCAACATTGCTCTTCTGCAGAAAGCCCTGGGCGGCAGGGTGCTCGACATTGCGCAGGGCCGTCTCCTCGGGGGCTCCAGTGCTCTCAACGCCATGAACTTCGTTGTCGGCGCCAAGGAAGACCTGGACGCGTGGGCTGAACTCGGCAACCCGGGCTGGGACTGGGAGAGCTTTTCCGAATATCTGAAGAAAACATACACCGTTACCCACGGGTCCAAAACCGACAACAACGGCGCCATCCAGACCAACATCCCCGATGAAGAGACCAAGTGGCCCAGGGTCTGGCGGGAGACGATGGCCAATCTCGGATACCCAGCGCGCAATGACCCCTTCTCGGGCGACATCTGTGGCGCCGTCATGTACCCTGACGCAATCCATCCGCAGACCAAGACGAGAAGCTTCGCGGGCAATGCATACCTCGCCCCTGTACAGGACCGCCCCAATCTGACTGTCTGGACCGGCGTCACGGTCGAGAAAATCGTCTTCGACCAGGCGACCGACAGCGCTGCGGCAACCGGTGTGCAGTACAGCAAGGAAGGTGAGTCTGCCATCGTCAGCGCCCGCAAAGAAGTCGTCCTCTCTGCGGGCGTCTTCCACTCGCCCAAAATCCTGGAGATGTCGGGTATCGGAGATGCAAAGCTGCTGGGGTCCCTGGGCATCGACACTGTGGTCGACAACCCATACGTAGGCGAGAACCTGCAGCACCATCCCCTGAGTCTCTTCTCGTTCGAGACTGTCGATGATGGGGACGAGGGATTCGACACCATCGACGCAATCGCCCGCCAAGAGCCCACAGCTATCAGCACCGCCTTGGAGGTGTACACTACCAAGCAGCGTGGCCCCTTCTCCACAACCAACTGCAACGCCATGGCACACATCCCGTTCCCCGGCATCGACACGGACAGCGGGAGGCGCGAGGTAGAGGAGCTCCTGCAGAAGACCCTGTCGTCGCCGCCCACAGCCACAACAGAACCAGAACCCAAGACCACCCAAGCCTACACCAAGGCTGCCGAATCCCTCGTCCGCTCCGTCCTCATGTCGCCGACCAAGGCATCAGGCTACTACGTCGCCATCCCAGTGTATGCCCACGCCGGCCCAACAGGTCGTCTCGTTCCCGTCGCCAGCGGCAGTTCGGAGAAGTACTTCGGAATCGCGCTGCTGCTCACTCGACCCCTCTCCCGCGGCTCGGTACACCTCAGCCGGGCCGGGCCAGACAAACCACTACCACTAGCCATCAACCCCAACTACCTCACCCACCCCCTCGACATCGAGATCCTGGCCCGGCACGTCCGCTTCCTCGAGTCCACCCTAGCCCGGACGGAGCCGCTGGCAAGTCGGCTCAAAGGTGAGGGCGGCAGGACGGCGCCGCCGGGCTGGCCGCGCGGGTTCTCGGCAGACCTGGAGCAGGTGCGGCAGTTCCTGCGGGAGACGGCGGTCGCGTCGACGCTGTACACGAGCACGTGCTCCATGATGCCGCGTGAGATGGGCGGCGTGGTAGACGAGCGGCTGCGGGTGTATGGCACGCGCAACGTGCGGGTCGTGGATGCCAGCGTCATGCCGTTCATCACGCGGGGGGATACCATGGCGACCGTGTATGCGATTGCCGAGAAGGCGGCCGATATGATTAAGCAGGGCTTGTGAGAGAGTTTGGGGGTGTCGGTGGCTGGTTATGAGTCGGTGGGAGCGCACTGCTTTGGGAAAGGAAGTTGTGAAAAATACTAGTAATAATCGGTCTATTTGCGTGACGTACCAGAAACCGGGCTACCATTGCCTTCCAGCAAAGAAAAAATAGGGGGGGGGGGATACCCTAAACCGCTGGGGACTCCAAGGGGAAATGCCTGCTACTAAAGCCGTGGTCAATCTCACCACCGGCGGGCCCAACCTGGCCCACCACCGCTTCAAACACGCGGCGAAAATAACCCCTGGGGTCTTCCAAACCACCAGGCCCGTTTCACACAAACACACCCACACTTTCCACATTTCACTTCTCCCCCTGCGTCGTCCCCTCCTCTCCCACAGCCACCAGCCTCCCCACCACAAGATACTTCTCCTCAAACCGCTCCTCCCACCCCCGCAGGGCCTCCATCTCCTCCCGGCCAAGGTCACTCAGCGTATCCAGCGGGCCATCCAAGTCCTTGGTCAGCATGGCCTCGTCAAAGCTGCCGCACGCCAGGCCGCGGCTGGCGTCGCGGCCCGCAAAGTTGGCGTAGGGTCCCCCCGGCCCGTAGAAGTTGCGTCCGCGGGTGACGTCGAACACGCGGCCGCGCACGGCCAGGTACACGGGCATGTCGTTCTCGCCGTTGTAGGGCAGGAGGGTGCGCGGTGTGAAGGTGCGGAAGACCACGGCGGGCTCTTCCTTGGGGATCTGCGGCGGCGGGGACGACGGGCGGAACAGGAAGGCGTAGGCTGTGTAGAGCAGCACCGAGAGGAGGAGGGCGTTGAGCGGGGTGAAGAGCGCGGTGCTGGGAAAAAAAAAGAGGGGAGGGAAGGTCAGTTCAAGGCTTGTATTCAAGGGGGGTGGAAGGAGGGGGTTTAGTTAGGTAGGTACTTAGGTAATACTAACCTCGAGGTCGTGTCTGGGTTCGAGGCCGCTTGCGCCATGCGCTCCTGGACGTAATCCATCTTGAGCAAAAGCGTTGCTGCTGTCTGGGTTTGCTGAAGAGATAGCCGCCTGGCACACCTTCGACAATATGGGGTTTCAGTGACGCCTTGGCTTGCGATCCGCGCCCGGATAACGTTGACAAACAACTGCCGGATTCTCCGGAGAGCTTCGATCAGCTCCGGGAAGAGGTGGGAAACCGGCCTCCGAAGATCCCCATTGAACCTCTGAGCACGGGCCACCTCGCCCCATTTCGTGATTTCAATTGCATGTCCCTGGACACATTTCCCCGCGATAAATCTCTGTCGACTGCTACGGTATTACATACATCGTAATTCCATCTCGAGCTCGAATCAGAACAATCCGGTCCGGATACCCTCTCACTCTGCAGAAAGGGGTTGTCTGCCGATTCTCGGCTCCTGTGCTTGGCACTTGTCCTGTAACGGCCCTCCCGAGGTGGGCTGCACAGCTCGAAAGGTTCCCTGACGAGCTGAGGTCATTTCTAGGTTGACGGGAGAATCCCTGCCTCCCGCAGTAGCCCGCAAGCAGCGCGTAACCGACTTTGGACATCGAAGCCACAGCTGTCACTACCTGTACCTAGTATGCAACCGTCTGTCTCTATGACGCTTGCACTGGCACAAAAACCGCCCAAACAAGCCAAGGCCTGATTGACGAGCTGTGCCAAGCTAGAACTGCAGTTCCATTGGCTTGCGTCACCACTAGGGAGCAGTTGTTTGTCCAACCCAGCTGAAAGCTGGACACAGCCCCTCTCCTCTTGACTTCATCCCTAGCTTGCGGTATCATTATATAGTAGCTCCAACCCGTCTCATCTCCTCCTTCTGGAATTCAAGCGACTTCAACACCAAAAACTGCACATACTAGTAGTCTTTAACACACAGCCTCATCCCACCCGGCCCAGACATCGCAATGGACTTCATCAACAAGCTCTCCGGCAGCCAGCAGGGCAACAAGCCCCAGGATCAACCCCAAGAGCAACCAAACCAGGCATCGGGCCCCAGCAGCGTCTTGGACAAGCTTCACGGGATGGCAGGCGGCGGCCCAGAGAGCGAGAAGAAGGAGGACGCGTTGGACAAAGGTGCGTTTAACTCAGTCCGGCCCTGGTGAATTATGGAATAACAAAGGCTGACCAATTGAGTTAATGTTATATATCCAGGCATCGACTGGGTGCAGGAGAATATGCTCGGGCAGGGCCCGCAGGACAACGAGAATGCGGCTGAGCAGGCCAAGGATAGGATGATCGCAGAAGCCATCCGCAATCAGTACCGGGGCGCCAGCGGCGGGGAGAAGCAGTGAGAGAGAACAAATCAGAGTCGTCGGTCGGCGGGTGTAGCCGGCCCGCGGGTAGGAAGCATTGGGGTCGTTTCAGGACGCAAGTTTCAGAAGTTCAGACTGCAGACGTTCAAACGTTTCACCAAAAGTGCTAACCGGTGGACCCTGGCCGTGGAATTCAAAAGCTTATTTCACTTAATGTTATCCTACTTCGACCTCAGGAAGGAAGTGATACGAATCGTCTGCTTCGCTCGCTACCTCTCGCTCTGTGTTCTGTTTGATTTTGAGGTTTGCCGCTTGTTGAAGCCGCTCGATCAGTAAGACTCGAAGGCTACAACTACTGTGGTAATCCAACGCTCGGCAAAGTAACCGATCATGAGACCTCAGAAGAGTTCTGTTTAGTAATAGACAGGAGCTAAGAATTTCAAATAACAGTCACCAGACTGAGGGCAGAGAAGCAGGTATAACTCCCGACAAAGTCCGGCAGCTGCTAACAGAATCCAATTCACTTCCCAAGACACGATGCTTTTGATCAGTGGTACTCTATTTAGATGTTCAGCAACGCCAGCACCGCACCATCGCACCATCGGATGCCAACTTGTCTACCTGACGGACATACTCGAGGTGGGTAAGGTACCAGTAGGTAAAGCAAAGGTCAAAAGGTTGGGTCACACTTCCCAATCCTCACCAAAAGCTCACTATGTTCAACGCAGTACAAAATGGTAACGTTATAGATGATTTCTATATATATATATATATATATAACTATGTAAAAGGGAAATTATTCATGACGTATTTCAATTTGGTAAGTAGAGATTGGCTCTGGTTTTTGCTAAGCGCATCAAGCGTCCTCACACAAATTGCCATACCTATACTAAATCCAGGTTTTACAGTGAGGTGTGACCCAACTTTTTGACTGTGATTGTAGGGGTATCTGAACTGTCACTTTAGCGTTTCAGGTTACTTCGCACATCACCCGCAACCCAGCCTGCATTGGCCCACGCTATTTTCTCTCTCCAACCGGTGCCAAATTCATTGCTGGCTATTCTTCCCTTGCTGCTTTGCTCCCGCAGCTGCCGGCGCGGCCGCTGCCACGTTCCTCGATGCACCGGCACCATCCTTGGCCGCGCCCGGGATGAAGGCGGTGCGCTTGTGGTTCCCCGGCAGCATGACGGAGATCCGGGTGCAGTGAAACTGCTCCCTCAGCGCCACGAAGATCTCGGCGCTGACCATCGAGATCTGGACTTGGCCGAGGTCGGTGGCCGTATCCGTCAGGTCCGGAAGGCGCTTCACGGGCGACAGCTTGGGAGGACGGCCCAGCATACGGTGGACCGCGTCCGTGGCGGCGGCGCTAGTCCCGGCCTGCTTGTCAAAGACGACCGCGTACGAGCGTTCCTTGTCGGCATCGGCGGCCCATCGCTCCCAGTGCGCCTGCCTGCGTGCCTCCCGGTCCCGGTCCTTTTCTGCCGCGGTTGGTGGTGCCACTACCGTCTGTGCGGCCGGTGCAGCCGGGCGTGCCGATGAGCCGTGGGTGGCCATGGTATGTGTCACTATGTGATTTGTTTCGGTCTCTCACGGGAGACGGAGCTGGCTAGGAACGGGTCGGAGGGAACTTAAAAGGGAGGGACTTGGAGCGTACAAAAGAGGAAAATTGGAGTGATGCAGGCTGTAAGTGGAAAGGGAGATACGTCGGATGTTCTCTTCTTATACTAGTAGTAGCATCGTAGATGAAACATGGTCCAACAGTAGCTTCGTATGTACGATACCTCGTGCTCGCTGCGCCTCTGGGTTTGGTGTTTTAGGAGGCACAGCGAGTAGCAAGCTGTTACGTGACACGGATTCAGCGGCGCAGTCGCCGAAGGACTAGGGCGTATGTTAACGAAATGCAATAAATAGATCGTGCACTCAAGTGTCTTATTCCATGTCCTCTAGTGTAATAGGGCAAGGCGTTCGTCGCCCACCCAGGGCAAGTTAGCTAACACATAACTGGGCAGCAGGTCCATAGTTACGGGGTAGCTACTAGGTCGCCCCAGAAAAAGAAAAGCAACGGGCGGAAATCAACCTTAGTCCTAATCAACCTTAATTCCACTTCCGCAGAGAGGCCCGAGATAGTTACCTTGTAGGTACCTTAAGCTAAGGTAGTGAAACTGCGCAGCCCTCGATTCCCTGAGTAGATCCTTTCGATCGTGACCCACCTTAAGGATCTAAGACTCTAAACTCTATTTTGAAGTGTGGACGGCGACCTGTATTCTAGCCATGCGGAGTCGAGGGCATCCTGTGGGATCTGATCCGCGGCAAGAACAGGCTACCGGCCGGCGGAGTCTCCTGTGTAGTCAGTTTGGGTCTCGTCCGTCCGTCGTAGTCCTTTTACCTTTGCTCATGAACGGCCCAAATGTCTGGCCATCTGGCGGGAACCGCTCCCTATGTCACAGGCCTGGGACAGCTCAAGCCTGGTGTTGGCGGCCGGTTGCGTCTCGATATTGTTCGGCCATCATCCAAAGTAGATGGCGGCACTGTGCAGGCCAACACTAGTATAAAGGAGCCCTTCTCCATCGTGCGAGGAGGGCTTCAAGTGAGTAAGGTGCCCTAAGCAGCCAGACACAATCGACAACTCCCGTCTCGCAGGACCGAGACGTCCGTTCTGATTGTTGCTCGCTCTGCTTCGACACTGGTTGTTGAAGGAGACTCGGGGCTCCCGCTGGCTGCTCGAACGCGCGATAATAACCTGAGATCAACAATCAAACCCCCGTTGCCCCGTTGGTACCCATCCAAGACTATCCGCGACCATGAGCCGCAACAACAGAGCTGCTCCTCCGCCTCCGGAGTCTCCGGTGCCCATGTTTGGAATCGAGATTGAGATCTTCGTCAAACTCAAGCCTGATGTCGAACAAATGGTTCGGTCCAAACAATACAACGGGGAGTACCTACCGGCGTACTTCCAGCGATGGCGGCTTGATCTGCTCAACGATTCGAGAGATAAAGATAAGATGAACGAGCAGCGATCATGTGCGGCCTACTGCATCGAGGCACTTATAGCGCAGGAATTTGGCGACAGAGTTGTGCGTTGGAACTGCGAACTCGACGAGAGCCTGGTTGAATCGGAACTAAAAGAACCCCGTGATCCACGCAAATGGTGTACGTATGAGACAATGAGCCTCTTATCTTCGCGAACAATCCGGCTAATGGACCGCGCAGGGGGCGTCGAAATCGTCTCGCCGCCCTTATCTGTCAAAACGTATTGGCAACAGGAAATTGAACAGGTGTTCGAGGCCGTCGGCCAGTATTTCGAATTCTGGACCACCAACCACACCTCCTGCCACGTCCATGTCTCGCCCGGACCGGTCAAGGGGATCGAGTACACGCGGCGCGATGTTGTCAACGTTGCAAGAGGCGCCTACTTTTGGGAAAATGCGCTAGTGGACCTCATGCCGGCCGACCGCAAGACTCCCGCATACGCAGTGCCGAACTGGATGATGTATGCGACTTCGGAGTACAACCAGGTCACCTCGAAAAGTTGGGAGCCCCTCTTCAAGAAGCTCAAGGACGCAAGAGGCGAGGACCGCGCGGGGCTGGCAAACTTTGTGAGAAAGATGTCGGGAGCGGACAGAGACCCGCCACGCGACACCAAGTTCATTTCGCACAATTTCAAACCCTTGCTTATGCAAAAGGGCACAATCGAATTCCGTCGCCAGGCCGGCGTTGCCTCGGCGGAAACCGCCATCAACCGCGCACTCCTCGCAGTCACGCTCCATATCAGCGCTCGAACCTACGACTTCAAGAAAGCCCAATCGCGGAAATCACACCCGTCTAGCATGGAACTGATCGCCGAGCTCGCTCGCTGTGAGCAGCTCCTCCCTCCGACTTGCAAGACCCCCAAAGGCTTCGTAAACTGGCTTGTGCAGTGCAAAGAGGACTACAGCGATAAAAATAAAGCGTTCACCGAGAAGCAGACCAACTATCGCGAGGCCATGTTGCACCAGTCATCCGGACGATCCGCGCCAGCTCCGACAGCACAGAGCACTGCCACGACATCTTCCGGGCGCGCCAACACCAGCACCCTCGAAGTTAGGCCCAGTAGACGCGTCGGAGACAACGTCTCGTTCTCGTACGACCCGTCCAATGTAACATACAGTTCGCTCCCAAGGTAGGTTCATACGCCGCACCCACAACTGTGCCGACAACTCAATCGCTGACCCGCCTGGCCGGTAGAACGGCGGTCCCAAGCTCTAATCCTCCTCGCTCGCAGCAGGTTGCTGTTGACGGACGGGGATATGCCGCGGCCGAAGCCGCCTACGGGACACCAGAATCCTCACGGGCAGGCGGAAGGGACGGGCACAGGGACCGGGACAGGGAACGGGACCGGGACAGGGAACGGGACAGGGACAGGGACCGCGGGCACGGGGAACGGGACAGGGACCGGAACAGGGAACGGGACAGGGACAGGGACCGCGGGCACGGGGAACGGGACAGGGAACGGGACCGGGACCGGAACAGGGAACGGGACAGGGACAGGGACCGCGGGCACGGGGAACGGGACAGGGAACGGGACCGGGACCGGAACAGGGAACGGGACAGGGACAGGGACCGCGGGCACGGGGACCGGGACAGGCGCCGGGAGAGAAGAAGATAAGGGTAAGTTGCAAGACTCCGTTGCTTGCTCTGGCTGAAAAACAAACGTGTTTCAGGGTCTTCGGAGTTTCTCCCAAGTCGGGTGCGGCCAGGCACAGCAGGCAGATGCGCGAGCGGTACAAGTACAGTAGGTAGTAGTCTGGCAGCGCTACCTGCTGCGTGATCTGCAGGGCCAGATGAGCGCTTGCCTTCTCGCCCAGTGTAACGTTATATAAAAAAGTCGTGTCCGGACAAGGGAGCGCACAAAAACGAGGTTCGAAAAGGATGCCCGACTGCCGAGAGCACTCGGCTGCAGGTCTGCGCTCGGTTTGGAGTTACGTTTTCTGAGTAAAACCAGCATAAGTAGCAGAATCATTGTTGAGCCCCGTTATCTTGACCTCTTGGCCGGAAACCGGAGGTTTTGCTTTCGCAGCTCAGTGGGCGCGCAGTTTTCGCTTGAAGCATGCTCTTGCCTTAGGTAGTACTAAGTACTAGTAGTAAGTGGACGGGAAGCTGAAACAGACGGACATGAAGTTACTGTATTAATGAGCGTGACGGACCCACTTAGTATATAGAGTTACATTACCTAACCTATCACCTAGAATCGAAAATTACCGTACCGAAATCTCCGTCATCCACCCTGTTTAGTTACAAATCCGGGGAATGAGATCAGACCGAAATGAAAAGAGAGAGAATTGAAAGAGAAAGAAATCAAAAGAGAAGAGTACGAGAAAATAGAACGTAAAAGGAAGGAAGAGTATTACCTGGAGAAACGACTAGCAGCTGAATGACCTCGGTTCTATTCCCTAAGTGCAAGTCCAGTTATTATTGTAGTAGTGTGTGGTGTATTGTGCAATAAGTACATTACAGTCTTTTTCGTTGTGTTTGACGCATACGACTCGTCGCAAAGAGCCGTGCAACGTTCAGGCCGCCGCATCACCTAGGTACAAGTACAGTACTAATTGTACATACCGACTTCTCGGCAACTCAAACAACAGACTTGCACGCCTGGGACAGATCCGTTAGCCGTACTGCAGCCACAGTCATCGAAGCCGGATCCGAAGTGGCGTGTTATTCCCATCAGTTCGGGGTTTCGACGATCTGGTTCCTTCGTCCACGCTCGATTGCGATACAGCGCCTAGGGACTGCCTGGACTGAGCTGCAGACTCAACCCTTGGTGTTCACGGCCCCAGTTGCATTATCATCGACCAGCGCCCAGCCGAGTTTCTTGCATGTCTCCCCACGACCAGGAAGCCATTCCCCCGGGCCAACCAGGCATCCAAAAACAGGTGATACCACCAAATGATGGCGAACTAGCTTCTTCCCCGGAAGGAGTGTTCGCCGGACGGCCTTCCGATCAAGTTCCTACCATGGCGCAACAAGAAGAGGAGGGCGTCTTGCAGAACCTGCACGATGGAAAGCAGACCGACCGAAATGAGGATGATTTAACACCTCGTCGAGATCCTGGCGAGACTGTGAGACGCGAAGGGATATCGGAGGAGCTTAACGACCTGATGTCCTCCTCGGTTGCGACTCTGAGGCCGACAACTGTACCGACGACCACAACGGCCACACAACACTTGACGGTTGAATCGAGAACCTATGTCGACCCCACCCCGCCCACTCCGACCGTCTCTCGGCCCCCTTCACGAGCCCCCTCTTCGGCTCATCGGTCGAGGCCTGGCTCCTCAAATCCATCCCCGACACGGTCCGATGCTGCCTATGACGAAAGGAGGTACACGAGCGAGGATGAACAGGAAGGCGGGTCCAGGTCAGAAATTCAGAGTATCATGGAGCAATTCAGCGAGGAAGGAGGCGGCCCAGGTGCCGACGAGGTTATGAGTCCGAGGCTGGAGATGGCGTCACCCTTGTTGGGCGGCCCCGTCCAGCATCCTCCTCGGAAGTCGAGCCTGGAGCCCCTCGCGCCCAATATTGCTCAGCAACTCCATGAGGTTCAGGGCCTCCGCCTGTCGACTTCGTCGCCAGCGAGCATGAGATCGAAGAGGGAGCACGACGACCAGGGTCCGCCCGTCCCACCGAAGGACGACTCTCTATATGCCCCTGGGCGTTCTCGGGAGGACTTACACGGGGCTATTGATTCACCTGTGACACCTATTGCCTCGCTGCACCGCCCGCCCCCCCCGGAGCCCGAACCCGAGCCGGCGTTGCCGTTCGACTTTCACAGGTTCCTGGAGCAGCTACGTAACAAGAAGGCCGATCCTGTCGCAAGGTACCTGAAGTCGTTCCTCTCAGAGTTTGGGAAGCGGCAGTGGATGGTACACGAGCAGGTCAAGATCATCAGTGACTTTCTTGCTTTCATCGCGAACAAGATGGCCCAGTGCGAGGTATGGAGGGATGTGTCCGATGCAGAGTTCGACAATGCCCGAGAGGGCATGGAGAAGCTTGTCATGAATCGCCTCTACACTCAGACATTCTCGCCCGCGATACCACCGCCACAGCCCATACCCGGGGCAAAACCCAAGAAGAACGGCGAGCGTCCGATGGGCCCGGGAAGACGGGGTCAACATCAGGAAGACGTTGAGCGGGACGAGGTCCTTGCCCAGAAGATCAGCATCTACGGCTGGGTGAGAGAGGAGCATCTTGACATTCCGCCGGTGAGCGAGAGTGGGAAGCGATTCCTGAAGCTTGCGCAACAGGGTTGGTGGGCCCGACTCCTGGTCAGGTCGACACGGCTGACACGGCTTAGAACTCCTTAAGATCAAGTCCTACCGTGCTCCTCGAGACAAGATCATCTGCGTCTTGAATTGCTGCAAAGTCATCTTCGGTGGGGTGGCCCTGTTTCTGCGGTGGGTGTCCTGCTGTCACTAACAGCCCGCAGGTCTCCTCAAGCACACCAAGTCGGACTCGTCTGCCGACTCGTTCATGCCGATGCTCATCTACGTTGTTCTCCAGGCAAACCCTGAGCATCTGGTTTCGAACGTCCAGTACATCCTAAGGTTCCGGAACCAGGAGAAACTGGGCGGAGAAGCCGGCTATTATCTCTCTTCACTGGTGCGTTCACGACCGTCCATTGCCGGCACCTCGGCCTCGCTAACAAACATCCTCGCAGATGGGCGCTATCCAATTCATCGAGAACATGGATCGGACAACATTAACCATCACAGACGAAGAGTTTGAACACAACGTCGAAGCAGCCGTCTCGGCTATTGCAGAGAAACACCGGGCTGAAGAATCCTTACCACCTCCTCCCCAAGCCGAAAGGTCGGCTTCCTTGAGACCACCGGGCCCGGGAGGATCAAGGGCGTCATCGACTCGGCCCTCCCTCGATGCCGATCGCCCAACAAGCCCGCGGCACTCGACCTCGTCAAACGAGGATCGCGAGAGTGGCGAGTACAGCGGTAGCGACGAGAAGGCTGCCATCACCGGCTTGCTACGGTCCATCCAGAAGCCGCTGAGCACCATCGGCAGGATCTTTTCAGACGAACCGTCGTCGTCGTCGTCAGCCGCAGCGGCTAGCGCGAGCGTTGCCAGGCCGGTCCGCACGCCGCAGCCGGAGCGGAGCGATGGGGACTTGCGTACGCGGCAGCGATTGTCGGCCGAAGAAGCGGCGGCGCGGCAGGCGAGCGCCGAGGCTGCCGAGGCACAACGACTGCACCGCGCGGAGCATGCCAATATCGTGGAGACGCTTGCGGGCATGTTCCCGGATCTGGATCGGGAGGTCATCAGTGATGTCGTGTACCAGAAAGAGGGGAGGTAAGAGAGCCGCCAGTCGTCTGCTGCATAACTCGCAAGCTACTAGTACTTGTGCTGACTGACTGGTATCACAGGGTGGGACAGGCTGTTGACGCCTGCCTTGCGCTGTCTGCTTGAAGGCAAGCATTCTCGATTCCAATCCGAGGGAGGATCACCATTGCAGCGAAATAATAATACGGTGTGACTGCGCGAGCGAATTTGTTTCTTATGCGTCCCCCCCACCCTCCCCTTCTTTCCTCAGCAAGCATTGAGTGGGATGGCAGTTATATATCTATACCTGTATCTTTGCAGTTTTTCTTGGTGTATCCGCATAGCTTGGCCAGGTGGAGCGGAGCTGATGGTTGGTCATCCCTGGGTTAAGAGATTCGATACATGCCGGCGTGCTGCCACTGTGGCAGATGTTTACGTTCCCGTGGTGTATCTGCATACATCTGCTGCCTCAACTGCGGTGATTTGTCTCCATTGAAGCGGAAGTATGGATAGGTTGGCTAATGGAAGATCCTCTATATCTACATAGACCTCCCTATAAAGGTTGTCATGGAAATTCAATGGGTCTCTTGGAATTGTCAGATTTCCAAAGTTGGCTGTATTTCTCAATTTGTCAGTGACATTTTTACAATTCCGAATCCTAGTGGTGCTGCCTTCCAAGGGGCTCCCACTAGACGCACACTGCTGTGCGCCTTAGTCAGCCCAAATTGATTAGTCAACACAAAAAATGCATCAAACGCAGCATCAACCCCGCGCCCCTGAGCCCCTGAATGCCACCTCCATTTCCATTACTCTAGCTAACTACAATACATCTGAATACCGCAAAGGGCATGCCCTTGAGGACCTTGTATGGCCAACTATGTAGCATCTTGAACAGGTGCTTGGGGCCTGGGGCTGGGCCTGGGCCTCAACTGCTTCAAACTGGCTCGGCTCTCGCTGAGTGCTTGATGTTGGAAGTGTACTTCAGGCCCAGATTGGCTCAATACGCTGGCGAGGCTCTAGAATGTAAAGTGGAGCCCCGTCACGTATTAAGTGCCAGTGCGAGTGAAAGTCTTCAACAAGAAAAGGCTTGCCTTAGCGTACAGTTAGTATGTGTACGCATGAGAGCCCATAAACACGTGTAAAGGTGCCTATACAAGTAGGCGATAGAGGGGAGTCTTTCTACTGCAACTGCCTTTGCTCTTCAACCTTCTGTAGCGCTTCGTACAAGACCTAGCCTTGTATTGCCCTATATAGAGCCTTGTCAAGCTCAAGAGGCATACGAATCTACTGCTTAGCTTAATTAGACTGCAACTTAGAGAGCTAGTTATTTAACGCAAGCCGAACCGCCTTCCACACTTCGAAGAGGTTAAAAGTCGACCTCTTAAGGTACGACTTCAGGAGCATATAAATCCCTTCAATATAAGAAGTAGCTAAATTCCCAAAATAAGCCTATTGGTCAACCTATATGGTAATAAGCTTCTTCTTATATAGCAGAAGCTATATCTCTTTAATATAACTGACCTGCTTAAGATTGTCAAGGTATACTTCTTCTCAAACTCCTTTAGATACTCCTCATATATCTCTTCAGTTGGCGAGCCAAGAATCGAGAACCAAAAAGCGTAGAACTCTCTCTATTCCTTAGCTATCTAGAAAATAGGCTGGTACTATATAAGGACTACCTTATTTATATGCTAAATATAAAGAGACCTTGTCGATAGAAAGAGAGTCGATGCCATATTTATAACTATAAGGTACTGGTCTATTAAAATAACTGACGAAAAGACTCTATTATATTACTTATATAAGGTCTTTAACTGCTCGAGAGCCTATATATAGTCTTCTTTAGTCTCGCTGCTCAAAAATGCAAAGACAATATAGAAGGAGCGCCCAGTTGTATTAATGCCAATTATATCGAGGAGCAGCATACTATATTTGTTTATCTTATATATATAATCAAGAAGGAGGACTTTAGGGTATGCTTGAAAGTAGACAAAAGAGTTAGAGTATACGAAAAGAACTGCTATTATATGCCTATCTGGCCTATACTATATACGGCTCTAGAAGCCTTCTTGCTTAAGCTGATTTGCAAGTGCATAAATAGGGCTTGTACCTTGACGAAAGTCTCGGCGGGCTTTAGCGATACAGTTATAGATATCTTAATATATCACTAAAGAGCCATTTTGCCATATAACTATCTAGATCTTCTTTAGTGCAAGGCCAGCCTCTAAGAGTGCTATTAATTATAATATACCATCAGAGAGCTATCAGTAGATAGGGTGCACAGATGGGTATAGGCTTGGCTTATAATTGTAGATAGCAAAGCGTACTTCAGGACAGTGTTTCAGAGTCCAGCCTTCGCTAGACTCCTTGACAAGGATCGAAAAAGGGCAATTCATCATACGAGTAGTCGTTTTTCTCTTTCCCTTACGTAAGTCGTTTAGAGAATGTCACGAGGGCTGTTGTTCAAGGCTAGGGTCAAGCCTCTAGTGGTAAACTGACTGCATTGCAAGAATATTGAACTTGTAGGAGGAAAGAAATCCTTGAGACTGCAAAGTAGGCTTTAAATATAGGATGCGAGTAGGTCTGAGCTTGCATGCATGATGTAATAGAACATGCATAATGAATCATCACTTAGTATGATGAATCATTATACATGCAAATGATATCATCATCATGGTTAGTGCGTTCCACCGTCACAGAAAAGGTGGTCGGCGGCTACAATCGCATGCGTAGTAGACTTTTAGAAAGCCATTTGCCTCGCGAATTAACCTCTAGATTATAAAGGTATAGCCTTGAGGCTTCGCATACAAATTAATTGACTCAAATAACGCATTGCGTAACTCGAAAAAGCCTTCGGGAGGGAGGCAGTCGTCTGGGAAGGTGACCATAGTGGTGGTGGTGGTGGTGGCATTCAGGTGCTCAGGGGCGCGGGGTTGATGCTGCGTTTGATGCATTTTTGTGCTGACTAATCAATTTGGGCTGACTAAGGCACACAGCAGTGTGCGGCTCCCACTAGAGAGACGGGTCCGTCTCGATTAGTCATCCCAATTGATTATGTCAGCCCCAAAAATTACCCCGCGCTCGCCCCCCTGAACTGCGTGCCCTTGAACTGCATTGCGCGCCCCTAAATGCCATCACCACTGCTACCAACGCTACTGCAATGGCTACCTTTCCAGACGACTGCCTGCCCCCCAAAGGCCATTTCGCGTCTCGACAGGCCTTATTCGAAGCCATCAATCTATGGGCCAAGCCAAGAGGCTAAGTACGGTATGCCTCTCCTCGATATGATTGGCGTTGATGTAGCGCAACGATCTTTTTATATTGCATTTACATTCTTAAGTGGCGAGATAGAGGAAGACTATCTCTAGGTACTTAAGCGGTTGAAGGCACTATACGAGCAATGTAATGTATCTCTCTCATCTGTTATTCTTATAGACCGCTGCCTTACAATGATAAATGTAGCCTCAGCCTTCTTCCCTTCAGCTATAATACTTATCTGTATTTAGTATACGAATAAGGCAGTCCTTATACGATACTAGCTAGCATTTCTAGAGGCCAAGGCATAGAAGGAGTTCTATAGCTTCTGGCACTCGATCATCAACTTGTCAACTCAAGAGGCCTATGCTAAACAGCTTGCCAAGATGTAGAAGAAATATATTCCCCAGCATCTTAAGGAGGTTAGATATATCAAGACTACTTGGCTTATTCCATTTAAGGAGAAGCTTATCAGGGCTTGGGTTGACCAGTCAACTTATTTTAGCAATATAGCTACCTCACGAGTTGAAGGGATTCATGCGCTCCTTAAGTCGTATTTAAAGAGGTCGACATTTAATCTTTTTAAGGCCTGGAAGGCTATCCAACTTGCTCTCCAAAACCAACTCTCTGAGTTACAAGCACGCCAGGCGAAGCAACAAACCCGAACTCCTCTTGAGCTTTCAAGGGCTTTATTTGGAGCTGTTCGAGGCTAGGTATCATACGAGGCAATAAGGAAGGTAGAGGAACAACGGAAGTTGCTTGCAAGGACCGACCCTCCCCCCTCTCCTATTTGTACAGGCACCTTCTCTCGAGTGTATGGGCTACCATGCTTACATGTGCTTGAGAGTCTGCAAGGCGAAGCTCTTCTTCTTGACCACTTCCACCCGCGCTGGCATTTGACGCGCGAGGGAGCCCCGCAACTACTCCTTGAGCCTCGCCAGCTTATTGAGCCAGTTCGGGCTCGAAGCTCACTCCCACAGTCAAGTACTAAACGGGAGCCCAGTCAATTTGAAGTGGTTGAGGCGGCCCAGGCCCAGTCTCGTCGGGCCCCAACCACGTGTTCGAAGTGCCACGCAGTTGGCCATATAAGGTCCTTGAGGGCATGCCCTTTGTGGTATTCAAATGTACTGTAGTTAGGTAGCCAGAGTAGTGCTTGGTGGTGTAATTCAGGGGCGCGCAACGCAGTTCAGGGGCACGCAGTTCAGGGGCACGCAGTTTAGGGGGGCGAGCGCGGGGTAATTTTTGGGGCTGACATAATCAATTGTGATGACTAATCGAGACGGACCCGTCTCTCTAGTGGGAGCCCAGTGTGCGTCTAGTGGTAGCCCTTCCAAGGGGAGTGCTGACTCATCAGAACCCACTGTCATTCGTCACGTCACGTACGGACGTACCCAGTCATACCTTCCTAAGCACCTCACATTTCAGCACATCAAAATACTCCCGCGCAACACGGAAGGCATCACACGATGTGCGGCATCCACTTCGTCCTCTGCCCCTCCACTGCACAGCAAGCCGACCTCCCGCCAGAACTGAAATGCCGCCTGCTCGCTCGCGGACCAGATCACTTCGGCCAGGTTCACCGCCGCGTCTGCCCCCTGCAGCATGCGAATGCCGCCGGCTGGTCGCTGCGCTTCACCTCCACCGTCCTCGCCCTGCGCGGCAGCGACAGCGGGGACGGTGTCACGCGCCAACCGCTCGCCGATGAAGCCACGGGCTCTGTTCTGTGTTGGAACGGCGAGGCGTGGAGGGTTGGCGGGGCGCGGGTTGGCGCCGGCGAGAATGATGCACGTGTCGTCTTTGCTCGGTTGCTTGCGGCCTCTACCTCCGGGCCTGCCTCGGCAGAGAGGGTGCTAGATGCCCTGAGGCGCATCGAGGGGCCGTTTGCGTTTGTCTATTACGACGCGGTCGCCGGGAGCGTGTTCTTTGGGAGGGACAGGCTTGGGCGCAGATCGCTCTTGCTGACGCAGCGGCCTGGCGTGGAAGGACAGGAGGCGCTGGAGCTGTGCAGTGTGGCGGGCGAGGCGGGGGACGGGTGGAGGGAGGTCGAGGCGGATGGGATTTATGCCGTCAGGCTGGGCGAGGAGGGGATAAGTCTGATGCGGCATGACTGGGTTGCAAGGGAGGACGCTGCTGATTTCGTGAGTACACTTGGCCGCCAGTCGTGGGGATCCTCGGCGTATGGCCGTGGTGGGCTGTCCTGTCAGACTTACTCTACTTCTCGCAGGTCTCCGGCATTGGCAAGTTCAACATGGCGCTCCCGCATGGCAGTTGTGCGTTGACGCCAGATTCACCTTCGGTGATGGCGCTCAGGGACAAGCTGCTGGAATCCTTAAGGTTGAGGGTTCTGAACATTCCGCTGCCGCCAGCCTCTGACGCCGATGGCAAGACACGAGTTGCCATCCTGTTCTCGGGAGGGCTCGACTGTACCGTGCTGGCCAGATTGGGCCACGAAGTACTCGATGCGGACCAGGGGATGGACCTGCTTAATGTGGCATTCGAGAACCCGCGAGTAGTTGCGCAACTCCACAAGCAGACTGGCCATCTGACCGATTATTACGAGGCTTGCCCGGACAGGATCACAGGGAGAAGATCCTTTGCAGAGTTGCAAAGGGTTTGTCCAGGACGAGCCTTTCGGTTTGTGGCTGTAAGTCTCTCTGTCGTTGACCCTGCCATGCCATTCTCGATGCTGACCTGTCAGGTGAACGTCCCATACACGGAGACACAAGCGCATCGCCAGCAGGTCATCGCCTTGATCCGCCCGCACAATACTGAAATGGACCTTTCTATTGCACATGCTCTCTATTTTGCTGCCCGCGGCCAGGGATTCTGCACGGTAAGCTCCAGTGCAGACTCGCCGCCGGTGTTTTACACGTCTCCCGCAAGGGTTCTTCTCTCTGGCCTAGGTGCCGACGAGCTCTTTGGCGGGTACTCCCGCCACCCCTCGGCCTTTCAACAACGAGGTTACGCCGGACTCATCGACGAGCTTTTGCTTGATGTCGGCCGGTTGGGCAAGCGGAACCTCGGCCGCGACGATCGAGTGATGGCGCACTGGGGTAAAGAGGTGAGGTTTCCGTTTCTGGATGAGTGTCTCGTGGGGTGGGCCATAGCGACACCGGCATGGGAGAAGTGCGATTTCGAGAACGGGGAGGAGGCCTCTGCTGTCGAGCCCGGTAAAAGGATACTCCGGCTTCTGGCTCTGACGCTAGGTATGGAGGGCGTGGCCAAGGAGAAGAAGCGTGCTGTAGGGTTTCCCAAGTCTCATATTGTTGTGTGGACTAACGCAGCTGCAGATCCAATTTGGCTCGAGGACGGCCAAGATGGAAAGTGGCCGCGTCAAGGGTACCACCGTCATCTCATAGGATCGCGGCCTCCAGACGCCCGGCGGTGATGATACATTACAGATACTTCTGAGTCACGGTCGCGATGCAAGACGCAGATTGGTTACGCATTGTGGTTTCTCCTCGAAGCCCTTGTGTCAGCCGCGGTCTTCATCGTTCAATTTGACCATGAAGTTAAAAGGCAAATCTGAGCCGGCGTGTCTCTCCCCAGATGCTGTGGTGCGATTCGGGGCCCGAATATTCGACGCAGCACTGGGAGCGGCATGTGTGTTGTGTCTTCGGCTATCGGTGCCGCGAGGTGGGTATTTTTCCGTGAGGACCTGGAGAGTCAACAAGCATGCCACTCTCATTGAAAAGCTGCGCCGTCGCTAGCTGTCTGAGATCAACTCAGATCGGCTGCTTGACTTCGACAGTACAACACTAGTATATATGCCGTTCAATGGGCAGTAGGGCCACGTGACGGTTGAATGTTTCTTGTCTTCTACACTACTATCGCGCTCCGGTTATGATCGGCAAAGGCCAGTCTGGAAGCCAAAAGACTCCTGTTAAGTTCATGGGTGAGGATGCTTGTCATGGTTCTGCCCTGGTTCCCCAGGAAATTTCCCCGGGTTTCTTCACACAGCACAGCGGGTCCGTCCCTGAATGCACCCCTCTCAGCTGCCTCATGCAGCCGTTGTTTGAAAGGCCCCCCCGGTTTGCATTTTACCCCTGAAGCCTCGGTTGTCAACCCCATCAATGGATCGATCCGAATGCAACGCGGCGAGCCTTATGGTCATGTTATTCGTGACTGATTTTCTTTCCTCGTGCCATTCGACATTTTCGCCCGCAAAGTCTTGATTTCTCCTGATTGGCTTCGACTTCAAAGATCCCATTTGTGCTTTCCCGCCCTCCTCTTCCCTCCACTCGCCAGCCAAGAGCCGATAGGCGGCAGAATCCTGAATGGAGGCCCAGTCGCCGCCGTCCAGCCCAAGACCCCCATCGTTTGTTGGTCCAAAGTTCTGCAGCGCCGCATTTTGAGGTGGAAGAGATCAGTTGGATTTTGTGCCACTTGTTTGCGCCGCACTGAGCTTCCCAACACCAACGCCCTCGCTTGCATGATAGCCTCCTGGGCAAGGGAAAGGGGAGCCTGTGTCCGGTTGTGATGTTAGTGAGAGGATCCTTAGACATCCTTCCGGCTTGGGCTTGTCTCTCCAGGAACTGCACCAACAAAGCCCGCGGCCCTGACGCCTACTCTCAACTCGGTCTTCTCGCCATCGGACTCGGCCGGATCGAGCCATTGAGTTAGCCTAAGATGCGTTGTGCGTCTTGGTGCTAGGCTCGGCCCGTTCTTCAACTTGCATTGCTTCCCAGATTCCGAAAGGTCATATTCCAATAGCTTTCTTCCGCTCACCTACAGCCTACCATCGCTACACGGCAGCCACCATGGCCGAGCCCCTGAGCAAGGCCCATCTGCCAGGCCCGATCCTCCCGCCGGCGACTCCTTCCTCCGCCTACACGCCATCGCCCTCGACCCCGACCGGAAGACCGCGGCTTAGCTCGCGACGGACGTCGCGGTTCACGGAAGAGGTCATGACGGAACGCACGCCAGCGGCCTCTGTCTCGGAGCGGTCCATGGACTACTATATCTATGGACCGTCGGCGGAGGACCTGAATGCCAACGTGGGCAATTTCCATCGGTGTTCGGTCCCGAACACCAGCACCACCCACATAGAGACAGAGCCGGCGAGGACGAATTGGGAGACCTGGCTGCGGTTCCTCAACTCCAGTGGACATGCCATCCCGTGCTTAGTGTTGCTGGCCTTTGTAAGCTGTGCTATGCGCGTTTTGCGGGAGCATATGGGGAGTTACATGAGGTGAGCACACCACGGGGGACAGGCAGCCGGGGGTGTAAGGGGAAGATGGCTCTAACACAACCTCTCGTCACTTCAGCATCAATGCCGTCTTTGCAATCTGTTTCTTGTCCTTCGATATTGCCCTCGACGTCGTCACGCTCTCTCGAGTTTCCAGGCCGTGGCCCACTTGGGGACTGGTCTTGAGACTTGGCTGCGGAATTGTGTACATTGTCATCTTTTTGGTCTACGTTGGCTTGGGCGGCGTATTTCCAGGACGGTATACATATTGGGGCCTCTCTGCCGACAACGCTGGGATTATGGTTTATGTCCTTCTATGTGTGGAGGGGTAAGCCCATTCCCCGGTCTCTCTCGAGAGCAACGGGCATGCTAACACTTTTGCACAGCATATGGAACCTCCTCCATGTTCCCGTGTGTCGATACCGGCTCGGTGCCCCTCTCCTGAGACACGCCTCTCCCGAGAAAGTGTGCCAGCCGCCGCCGACGGACAACAGAGTCAGCTTCAACCAGAGGTTCTCGATGGCGGGAACCGAGCAGACCGAGCACTCGTCAATAAGCCTGACTTGGAGACGCTGGGTCCGCACACGGAGCACGCACTACAGCCGCGAAGATCTCGGCTGCGGGATGCAAAGGATGGGGACGCGGGAGCCGTCCGTCGACCTGACGCTGCGGGAACAGCCCGGAGAGGAGGAAGACGAGCCGGGCAGCTCGCGAACCACGAGCAGCCACGAGGGTACGGCTCAAAGACGCAGTGGCTTGAAGGGGAACGAAGGACGGCGGGAGGACAAATCGGAGGGGAAGGTTTATCCGGACAGGTCTGTGGATATTGGGCAGTGATTGCATAGCGTGGCGTATGGAGTGGACGCGGTACGGAGCATTTGGATACCCCAGATATGGCTTTACGTACGATAGATAGTCCGTAATGTCTTTGTTTTTAGTCGTCGAGCGGTTTATCCCATGAGGGAACTGCTGCGAGCACACTCATGCTCCTTTGGATGATGACCTATTCCGGAATGAATGGATTTCTGTCCTGGGCTGCCGTCCAGTCGGGACCGAACACCACGGTGGGATATGTCTCAGTGAACGGGGATGTCTCAGACGTTGTTTGGATTGCTCCGACAATCTGATGGATACGAGAAGACCGCACCTGCAAGTCCTCGGAGCCAGCAGTTGCGTGGCCATCGACAAGGTGATCTTGGCGGGCTAGCATCGCCACAGAAGAGAACTGTGATAGCCAATCGAACCAGCTTTCCAAGGCAGACGGATCGTCGTTGTCTTAGCAACTCACAAAGCAAGCAAGTTCGTGATCAGCGATGTTGCTGAAACCGTATCATCTATTTTTTGCTGTTCAGGACACCAACGAGCCTTGGTTGCGGAAGACCTTAAGGTAATAAGGTAATAAGTTAAGGCAGGTATCACAGCACGCACAGTCAGCTTGTAAGCAACCGGCCAATTCGAAGCCCGCCTTACTTTTGTGGAGGAGCCAGATGGGAGATCCGTACGAATAAAGGCTCGGCGGATAAAATAAGCTTGTCATTCCTTCTCCGCGAGCCGAAAGCTGTCGCTCAGCTGGAGAATAAGGCGTGCTGCACCTCGGGCGCTGCGCCCCACTCGCACCGGAAGGGCTACCCATTCAGGGAGCTGAGAGAGCTATGTTATACAAGGAAGCAGGGCACATCGCCGGTGGCAGAGATTCGAAGAGGGATTGCCGTGGTTCTCCATCGAACCTCCATTAATAGAACTCTTTACACGTCGTCCGTCATCGCTGTCCCACCTGCCGTCGTGGGTTGCTTAGTGTCAACTGGCGGGGCTGAACATGGGATACGGTCATAGTATAATAGTGGGCGATGTCCCTGGCGGGTGAAGCTCAAGGCCGAAGCAGAGAGGCATGCGTTCACTACACTCCTCGGGTTCCCCTAGTGGGCGTCAGACACTCCTTGTGCCTCACCTGGGACCTAGTGCCCAGGCCCCCTTCTCAATATGACCACTATCCTCCGCACCTTCGGTGTTCGGAACACCGCTCCGCAGACGCAATACCCCAACAACACCGTATCTCCCTCAACAAGCAATACCGCAGGGTGGATGGTGGCGGCTATTGTGGGCAGCATCATCTTATTCGGGGCTGCGCTCACCTACGTCATCGTCCAGATAGCCAGGCATCGCCAGTATCGAAGACAACGACGGCTCTACCCGCACCTGACACAAGACGATATCCTCCGAAGGCGGAAGTTGAGCGCAGCGGAACTGTTTCGCGAGGAGGAGGCGCGCAGAATACGCATGATCCGCAAGTCTCTGGCCACTCGGTCGACGGACTCTGCGGGGAGCAAGTACTCGGCGATGATGGCCCGCGTCGACGAGGAGCTGATGGAGATCGAACGGCAAGAGTCGCTGAGACTCAAGGATGACTGGAAGAGGTGGGAGGCCCGGGTGCGGCAGGAACGGTCATTGACGGCGGATCAACATCCAGCTGCCAGCGCGGCGAGCCCAGTACCCATTCTCACGATCCCGTCGCCGGCGAAGCATCGATCCCAGAGTCGAAGACCGCCTCTGAACCCAAATACCGCCCCGGCAGCACTGCCGAGTAACCCAAACCGTGCTGGGAACTGAGAACAAGTCCCAGCTGGCTGCTATCAGCGAAACACGTAGCTTCAGGTTGCCTCTCCCGTCGCATGCGGCGGCCAGGGATGAGAGAGAATTATGACGTTGAGATCAGGGCGGGCTCGACGTCGTTTGGTGATGCCCAAGCGAGGCCCTTTTCAGGTGACGTCCAGGACCAGGACGGCGAGGGGGAACGAAGCGCAGTGGCATCCAAAGGACACGGGTACTAATTAATGGTTGATGCCAAGCAGACCGAAGGAAGTTATTGTCCAAAGTAGGGTCGGCTCATGTCCGATACCCATGATGATGAGTCTGTTTGTTGTTGGAATGATAGCGGTGATTGTTATCGACACTGCTTAAGCGCACTCTGTCATCTGGATCTTGAAACCTTCAGAAGTGCTTTGGGGAATTCACATCTGCCGTTGGCGTCTTTTGGCTCAAATCAGAAATCCACCTCCCGACAATGTGACATGTGACAAGCGGCTGGGGCTTCCACACGCACCAGGCCGTGATTGGACGTTGAAGCCAGCACTGAAGCGAGGGCACGTGATGAGGCGAGCCGCAGCTGGCGTTGGATCCAGGTAAGGCTGGGGATAACATTAACTAACGTTAATAAGTGGGGCAATGTCAATGTCGGACCTCATATCTGATGGAACGAACAACCACAGCATGCGGAGGACCTGCAGTCCGTGGAACTGGAAGCAACTTCCCACTGCACGCTCCATCCACTCTTCAATCTTCTGTAGTCTGAGTCCTTCCCCCCTGCCTACCGCTCGCTGCTCGTCACTCGTTAAAAAGATAGACAAAGAAACGGCAACTTGCAGATTCAAGGGTCGCCGTCGTTTTAACTTTCTTACCGTCGCTCCGCGCTGCTTGGCAAGATGGCGAACCCATTCGCTGCCTTCGAGAAAGACACCAAAAGCGCCAAAGAGGCCAAGGGCGGCGATTTCAAAGAGGATCTCAACATTATCCTGATGTGTCCGGACTGCAAGGAAAATCCGCCTAACCTTGTCGAAGAGACGTCCTCGGGCGACATGGTCTGCGGGTCATGCGGCGTCGTTCTCGGCGAGCGTATCATAGACACTCGTTCGGAATGGCGCACTTTCTCCAACGATGACCAGGGGAATGATGATCCCTCGCGTGTCGGCGAAGGCCCTAACCTCATGATTGACGGGGACCAGCTCCAGACGCAGATCGCGTTCGATGGGAAGAACGCCAGAAACTTGGCACATCTCCAGAACAAGATCAACCAAGACAAAGGATCCAAGGCGCTCATGCAGGCCTACCGCGATATCCAAGGGTTGACGGATAGCATCAACGCAGGCGCCCAGGTGGCCAACGCAGCCAAGCACATCTTCAAGCAGGTAGACGACAACAAGGCCTTGAAGGGCAAGTCTCAGGAGGCCATCATCGCCGGCTGTATCTTCATCGCCTGCCGGCAGACAGGCAACCCGCGGACCTTTCGTGAAATCTACGGGCTGACGAAAGTTTCGAAGAAGGAGATTGGTCGTGTCTTCAAGCAGCTCGAGGCCTTTCTACAAAAAATGGGCGGCGAAGACGCGGTTGCGCAGAACGCGCTCTTCAACCAGACGTACCAGGCCAAGGGATCTACCAGTGCCGTGGAGCTGTGTGCACGGTACTGCAGCAATCTGCGTTTTCGCAACCCCGTCCGCGTCGAGAACGTTGCTCGCCGTCTTGCGGATAGATCGACCCAGGTATCTGATCTGGCCGGCCGATCCCCGCTCTCGGTCGCTGCCGCTTGTATCTACATGGCGTCTCACATAGTGGGAGAACCCCGGAACACTAAGCAGATCTCCGAAGTCTCGGGCGTGAGCGACGGCACAGTCAAGACGGCTTACCGGTTCCTCTACGCAGCGAGGGAGTCATTCCTGACCGACGAGGTTTTCCCGGAGGGTATTCCGAACACCGACAAGCTGCCGATCAACTAGAAGGCGAAACCGCCCGCGGCCCAAACATGGTCAGCCGCCCGAGTAGACTGATCGGCTGTGTCCTTCATCTGGCGTGTTAGGGCTAGACCGGGGGCGTAGGGCAGAATGTATTACTGGAACGTGCTATTGACAGCGACTGCTCCTTTTGGCCGCAGCGTCTCCATCCATACGTTTGGAGGTCTTTGAGGGGCAAGGGACCACTGCGTGGGTTTTGGCGTTATTGGGGGGATAATCGAGACTCGAGAGCATGCATCGGAATGTGGAATGGCACCAAGATGGGTCATGGACAAAGGAATACCAGTTATGCCGTATCAAGTACCGGCTGTATACCACCTTGTTTTGCATCTCAGCCCATATCCCGGTTTGATGATATCCGAAACATTCTTTCCAGTGATGAGACAGCCTGAGGCAGGGGACTTATTGTTTTCGTAGATGAATGATGGCCGTTTGAGTGCCGAGCTCTAGCCAAAGTCACGGTGCGTCAAGCACAGTGTGAGCTACAGTGTGAGGCTGCAAGTCGGCCCTTTGCATACTGTATTTCCCAAGGTGCCACTTCCGTGACTGCTCTGCTCGAGCGTCCCACTTTCAAATCGCCAAATCCATCACGCTTGCATCAATCGCGTCGCAAGTCCCAGACAGACGTTAGTTTAAGCAGACGGATATCGACGAGTGCGCCAGTCCACACAGCTCTTTCATCGAACTGATGAAAAGTCTCTGTCATACCACCACACCACAAAGCTCTAAAACATGCCATCGCGACGGTCTGGTCGCGCAGCTGCAAAGCGAGCTCAGCAAGCGCTCGGTAAGCCTTCTTTCTGCGTCGCATACCCTGCCCCTCGGACCAAGGTTTATGTCCATACTCTGGGCCGCATCTTGCAAAATACCCCTTTGCGATTGGGACAGGGCCTTGGGTCTGGTGCGACCAGCGAGCATCTAGACGTAGACCGCGAAGACTGGAGTCCTTGCCCGAGTTCCACAGCGTGTCCCAGTCGAATCGATGGCGGCAATTGCAGTTGCGAGAATGTGCATGCAACGTCCCGCAGCTTCCTGTTCAAACGCATCTCCACGCCAGCAGGGTGTCCCCGAACTGCAGCTTTAGCTGGCGCATCGAGCGATGACCGGGGTCCTGAAATGTGACTTTTGACGAAGCTGCTTCGCGCGCGATGGGCCGGCCATTACCAAAGTCGCCATGACTATCTCATCTCTCATGATCGCTGACCGCATACTTGCGCCTGCAGAGAGCACGCCCGGAACCTTCGACGGTATCAATGACGAAGACGAGCCCATGCCCGACGCAGCTGAGCCTGTGGACGAAGAGCCCAAGCAGGAAGCAGAAGAGGAGGCCGAGAAGGACGAGGAATCTGCCGCCGAAGAAGCACAGGAGGAAGACGAAGAGTCCGCCAAATCACCGACACCTCCGCCTGAGCCCGTCATCCGGCGCCGACGTCTAGGGAGGCCCCCAAAGAATCGCCCACCGGACTGGGACACACTACCAATCGAGCCGCCGAATCCGGATGCTACACCTCGCCGTCGTGGTCGCGGAGGCTGGCGTGGTCGGGGCGGCCGCAAAGGCCAGCACTACCAGCCAACGCAACAGTCGATTGACAAGGATGGCACCGTCCTGGATATCGTAGACGACGAGGTCGCCCTGCCAGAAGATCCCGAGGGCGAAAAGAAGGTTGATAAGTTGGGAAACCTCCAGGATGGTCGCGAGTACCGGTGCCGGACATTCAAAGTGGCCGGCCGTGGCGACCGTCTGTACATGCTTTCCACCGAGCCCGCCCGCTGTGTCGGCTTCCGCGACTCGTACCTCTTCTTCACCAAGCACAAAAAGCTGTATAAAATCATCGTCAACGACGAGGAAAAGCGCGACATGATCGAGCGTGACATCATCCCGCATAGCTACAAAGGCCGCTCTATAGGAATCGTGACGGCTCGATCTGTCTTCCGGGAGTTCGGTGCCTTGATAATTGTCGGTGGGCGCCGCATCATCGACGACTATGAAGTCGCGAAGGCCCGCGAGGAAGGTGTCGTGGAGGGCGAGCTGGCCGACCCAACCGATGTATACGACCCCGACAAGCCCTATAACAAGAACCAGTATGTCGCTTGGCATGGTGCCAGTGCGGTATATCATTCAGGCGGCCCGTCCGTCCCTCAGCAGAATATCAAAGTGGACACCAAGAAACGGCGGGTTGCTGTTAACGACGTCAATTGGCAGCTGGAGCACGCTCGTGAGGCTGTGTAAGTTCCTAAACCTTCGCGCTTTCCTCCCTGTCTCTGTTACTGACCGATTCCGCAGTCAATTTAATAGCATGCTCTCAGCTGTCCGGCGCGCCAACTTGAATGGGGTCTACGACATTCACACAAACCAGATGCACTATCCGCGCATTATGCAGCCGACACACGTGCGCATCGAGCAAGTTGTAGGCCGCGAAGAGCCCGACCAGCCCAATACCTCGACACTCTTCCGGCCGGTCAAGTCCTCCATCTCCCGCAACTTCCTCATTATGGACACTCACCTCGAAACACCACCAGCCGGCGTTTCGGCGGCAGCATACGACGTGCCCTTCCGCACGTCGCCAGCGGACTACGACGCCTCGGCAGCGGCTGATTTCTTGTCCCCGTTTAAGGGCTTGCGGGCCGTGCCCGACGACGTTCGCGATCTACTACCAGAAGAGTGCCGGAAGGCGTTCGATGACGCGAAGGACAAGGAGGAGAGCTGGTTTGCGAGATGGGGCAACGAGGCTGATGTCACCTCGAGACGTGAGCCAGTCATCGACAAGGCTATTGTACCCTATTCCATGTTGGTTCCTTAGCTTGGACCATAAGGGGAAAGGGGATGAGGTGCTTGGGGGAAAGCTAGGGCAGGAAAGCCGAACGGAGATGGAAACGAGGCATCAACCATCCGTCCTTTCCCGGCTAGGTGTTTCTGTATCGTCTTGTACAATACTACCTTGATCCGCGTGACATTAGCGGGAACTGCCCCGTTCAAGTGGCATCAAGTCGGTCTCCCTGGGTGAGGGTAGGATGGCGGCGTTGGTGGACCTTTGATTGACGGGGGACTAATTTCCTTCGAGGAAGTTCGAGGCTCAGGGGCCCGAGGTGCCGAATTTTGGGTTGATGTATGGGATAGAGTGTCTTTGTGTGCTTGTAGACCCTCAACAACGACATGTAATGGGAACGATCCAAGGCTAAGTCATCCGTTGATAGGCTGCTAAGATACCTGATAATTTGCCCGCCATTGTCGTATCTCGCAAAGCTATTCTGATCTTCAAGAATGGGCGGTGTGGTGCCAGCCCCAAGGTGCTCGTAAACAGGAGACAGTAATCTCTCACCCTTGGGCTAGTCCTTCACGTTCAGATTTCACGTTTTTAAGACGGTGTTCGAGGAGTGACACACGTTAAAGAGTAGCATATGAACGCTAAAGCATAGGTCTGAATGGCCGATAGTCCCCTGTCCGCCACACGGTTGGCATTTTGAGGTAGGGGTATATGTTTTCGAGATGCCTTCTGTCATTCCGCACTCGCTTTGGTGTTGACCTGCGTAAATACAGTCTGAGGCCTGACACGATGGACAAGGGTTAAGAGACTTGTAGTAGGTGTGATATGGGCTTCAAGTTGTATATACAAATCTCGCTCACACCACTCATCCCAGAGCTCCTGTACTCACGTATCTCCGCTCCTCCGTCGAGATGTAAAGCGTATTTCGAGATATGTGGGAAGAACCCCAGCACCCATCACCGCGCCGATTGTCGAAGAGCGGCCGCTTCTTCGCATCTGAACTGCGAGGGTCTAGCTTTGCTCTTGCTTTGTGTATCACATGCTGCATGTACAATGACAGATAGGAAGTTTACGGAGTGTTCTCGGATCTAGCGTCCGGGGGAGGGGGCGAGGTGAGAGGTATGCCATGCATCCGTACCCAAGGCCTCCATCTTTAAACGCGCCGCGGCAAGCGTACGCTGCATTGCCAAATGCGTCGTTGACTCGTCTGTATTGGTTGAGCTGCTGCTGCCAGAACGAAACGTCTTGGATGCAAGATTTCCATTCCGTCCCAAATCGTTTACTGGCTGCTGCATCAGGGCAATTGCAGGAGACTTATCTCAAAAGTAGTAACCTGCTAAACTCCTCCTCTGCGTCCCGAGTCCCGACGCTTTCGTTCTATCTTCTGGCTCCTTGCTTGCAGAGATGACGGCAGTCCCGGTGTTCGGGCTATGACATACCGACCCCAGCGGGAGTGCCCCCTGGATGTCTGGTGATGTGGATGTTGGTGAGGCCTCTGGAACTCTATTTCCAATGTCGAGGAAGAAGGGGTTATGCACAACCCAAAAACATTGGTTATTGAACCGCCACGGCAGTCATAAGTTGCTGCCTTGGTACTCGGCTCCTCTCATGATTCGAAGCAGGCACACGGCTTCAGACTCAGCTGCACTGACCCTGTGTTTGAGTCACATGTATTGGCAAGTGTAGCGGTCGTCATCAATGTGGACTTGAGTGTTACAGACTTCGAGGCAACAATGTGTCTAAACCTTCAAGAAGTTTAGTGAAGAAACCCCGGATGGAATTAGAGCGTTGATGCCGTGCAACATACAGTTTATCCATGAGCTATGGGTACCTACTATACCGGCGCAGCATCCGGGGGAAGCTCGGGATACAGTCCAGACGTCACTTTGCGCAGGAGGGCTTGCGCTCCATGATGAAAGGTGTGGACATGTAGCGGATGAGTGCCTCGATGATGTTGCCGATGGTTGGTCGAAAGCGGACCCCTTGTGTCATACTGTATCATTGGTCTCGCCGCCGGTGCCGTCTCTTCAATAGCATGTGATTGCGTAACACACAAGATTTTTGCAGTGGCACAGAGTGGCAACTGACAGAATCACGATGATGGGAGGTTGATCGTCGTAACGTTATCGATAATTCGATCACCGAGCTCAGCCGAAATCACAAGAAGCCAGGCGGGCATGACGGAGAACGCCGTTTGACCGGCGCACTCAGGATCCACTCTCTGCCGTAGATCTCAGAGTGAGATGGATGGTACAAGTAACACGCCCCAAAGATGTCTTGAAAACAGCCTCGCTTGGAAGCCAAAGGGCAACTTTGCTCACTTGGTACGATATGCGTTCGCTGATCTACATAGTATACACTGGCGAGACTGGCGAGGACTTACATGTGTGTAGCTCTATGATGCAAAGACGAGGTGAGTACCTACTCCGTAACCCCCAAGCCAAGACATAGAGATGCATCTTGCCGCTTTCGCTCGGTCCTCTGCTCATGACCGTTTGTTTGAATGTAAGGTAGTAAACGACCGAAGCGCCGATACAACCCGAAGAATATGGGGCCAATGTATACGGAATACCGAGTTGCATCCCATCCCGTACTGTGTAATCCGTATCGGTCCAGGGTAGGCGTTGCCTTTGACACAAGATGCGATGCGACATGACTCGGACCAGGTTCCTCAAGCCCCCTTCATGTTCCGTTCCGGGCTCTGACCAAGAGAGGAGCTACTGCAGTCTGCAGTGCCTGGGCCCGTCTCGTGTGATGATTCGCAGCGGAGCAGCAGGTGAGCTAGAAAAAAATGGTCCCCTGAATGGTAATGACCCCCTCATTGTCGGACCGACCGGCCAAAGAAAAATCGTGCAGCGCAGAATATGGCTAGAGGGCCACTTTCTGCTGCAGTCTACAAACACTAGTGCCGTTATGGTCAACCGCCGTTGGGATTGCAGCGAGGGGTGGATTCGCCGGGCAGAGTCTGATGAATGCGACTGCGGTATATTTCTGCTTCCCACGTTTGAGCTTCATGGAACGTCATGGATGGAGAACCCCGCCGCTACCTACGCGGGTTGCAGATGGCGCGCGGGGTCTGCTTGCTGTGTTCCTGCCCAACTCAACGATTCTATCCAGGATTCCAGATCCTGCTGGGACGAGAAGACGAAAAGTAGCGCCAGCCGCCGAAGAATCTCGAACGCGGCAGCGGAGCGAACGGAGCGCCTCCCAACTCATTGGCTCTGGGAACTCGGCCATTCGGCGACGACGGCTGCGGCAGGCACCGTCCCTTCCAGTTATATGTACTTGTACATATTCCGGTAACGTAATAGGTAAATAACAGGCCGGAGCATTTGTATCATGATATGTGCCTGCAAGGAAGTATCGACGCAGTCGATGATGTTCTGTCTGGGGCACTGGAACTGCTGATGCCTCCGGTACTGCCGGATGACGACGCCGCGTAGGCAGGAGTTGTTGGAGTTGTTTGCCGTGTATTATTCCGTACAGTGTTGGTCATGATCTCCCGAGGGCCGATTCTAGGCACACAGTAAACGACTGCAGGGCTAGGATGGCCCGGCATCAGCGTCATGCAGGGCAAAACACCTGGGAAGGATGATGACCGAATATAGCGATGGCATGTGGCAAGTAGCCGGAGGAGGATGAGCCAAGGACGGGCAGAGTTTGGCTCCTTTGAGTCCTTTCGACCTTTCCAGGTTGCCGCCTCTACATTGTGGTGTGCGAAAACCACTAATAAGGTACAATACAAGTACAATACCTACTCACGCTACCATATTACCTACCTATTTACAGTGCGTACTCCGTATGCTACAGAACAATATCTAGCGCTCGGGATGCCGAAGGAAGAAGCCTCTGTCCTGACTCCTTTTAGTGTACCGATTACTGGTAGTACCCTTGGTTAAGATTTGACAGACCCCTAGCCCAGTGTAGTGACACCCGTACCTTATTAACACGGACGCGAGATTTTTTACCTACTGGTCGGCCCGTCACACCGCCTGCGTTGCAACAAGCGGGTCGTGAAGGCCCTTTTTTGGGACTGGACAGCTCACTTTCCACGCAATCTCGAGACGAGCATTTATTAATCAGCGTTAGAAGCCGGCGAAAGGGTCGTGAGGTCACGGGCCACGGCTAACTCACTTTATTGAAGCCGCTGATATTAGCCACCCGATGGACGAAAGATGAGCACGGCCGGCATCCAACTGGCCAACGCGTAAGCTCTCGTTGGCCGCCTCCGCGGACTCTCCCCTGCCATCTTGGGTGAGCGAAGGTGAGTCGCCTGACGAGCCTGAGCCGACAGCCATGTGCCACGTACAATACGTACCATCTTGCGCTATTGTAGGTAGACTGACTGTGAGAGACTCTCCAATGTGGGTATCTGGGCCTGTGAGATGGCGGTGCTGAAGAAAGGCAGAGTCAGCTGTCCCCGCTTATTTTTGACTCTGTAAACTCGTACAGAATACACGATAGGAGAATCGCTATGCACTGTGGTATTGTGTAAGGCCGTGTCACTCATCCTGCCAGTCTCGATTGCAACTCTGAAGCTTCTTAATAATAAATCTTTTCAATGGTCCCTCTGAAATGGTACAGAAATGCGTTGTATGTGTACGGTACGGTACGTGAGTCTTGGTCCCAGGTTTTGGCCCTAATATGGAAACACAAAAAAGGAAAACAGATTCTGTGTCTACTGTCTACTGTATCAGCTGTAATGTTGCCGACGAGCGCTGCAGAGGTTGCTGCTTGTCACTGACTCGATCCAGGAGTGTCTTGGGTGTCTTGATGTCTTTGGACCGCAGGCCCTGTTGATACCTAGTTCTTGCGAGGGTCTCCCAGCACCACGGTTCTGTCATCAAGTTGGCCTTGACCGCTTCCCGTCGAGGATGAATATCTTACCCCTGCCGTATCTCTAATAGAACTCGTGTCTCGACGCTCGGATAGGTTCCATGCTTCAAACCGACCTGTTATACTGTGAATGACAGGACTTATTTACACAGTACGTAGCTAGTAGCAAACACCACAATACCTAGGAAGAAACGCGGTTGAATTCTCGAAGGTAATGGGTATGATCGCCTTCTTGCTGTCACTTCTACGGTTCTACTGTGTCTGGGCGCGTGTTCTGGTCCGATGGATTGCGCTTTAGTGAAAACTGGCCGTAATGGGCCCCCATAGCGAAGATGTGGATCTCTGTCCGCCCCCCTCGTTTTCTGCTTCCCCCATCTCTCAAAGCTGCTCAGCCTGAGATATTATCTGTACGGCGTACCGCTGTATAAGATGCCTAGTGCGAGGTATTCACAGCATTTTGTCTTAGAAATGGAGATATTGACACTGAATACTACTGTATGTGGTACACAGTATATCCACGTGCTGGTGACCCTGGCCTGGCTTGTGTTTGGTTGACGTGGAACGCCAATGAGGACACCACCAGGTGGCTGCGACAGGACGTCTTCCTTTTTGGCCAACTGTCTGCCTGTTGCAGTGGCCGCGCATGCTTAGGTAACCATGTACGTACAGATGAGCGCGCAGCCTCTCGCCTTGTCCTTTCGGCCAGAACATAGGTAGTCTGTGGCGGTGCGAAAAATCTTCCAAGTATCGAATCAAATTGCCGATGCTGTTATTGTTATTGGCCCATTCTGACCGGCAATATCATCATCTTCCCAGGCGCTCCCTGCGTTGTCAAAATGTGAAGACGAGCCAAATCATCTCTCCTCTACTGTAAACCGCGCTAAAAGCCAGCCAGACCCTAACCCTACAATATCTCTTCCAGCTTCCGTTGGTCATGTCCGAGACATGAGGCTTCCATGAACAAGCCTCCAATTATAATTATCGTTGACGTTACGAAGTACTGTAGTTAACTAATTCTTACAACTCACAGATGTATTGACCATTCGGCCGCCGAAAAGATGGCTCTCCTCCGTTCATTCTTCCGTGTGAATGTCGGCTTGTTCTCGGAATACGAAAACTGACGTCCTGCATGTAGAGACACAACCGTGGGGTGCGAGAGAAAGCCGCTCATCCTTGTTTCTGGTTAACGGTGAGTTTAGGTGGGTCATCTTGGCGCTCTCATTTGACCGCTTGGCACAAATTGGCCACCCTCGAGAGTTTTGGAAGGCGTCGACCGGCGTCGACGGCCCTGTCATTTCCGTCATCATATCCCCCAATTTGGCGCAGTGTCCCTGCCGTTTGTGAGAGCCTGGGGGCTGAGCAGGACATTTGCCAAGCGCGGTTTGACTGGCTGGCTGAATTGGAAAAAGCGTTGATTTTCTCGGGCTTGAATCGGTGTGAAATCACGGAGGACCCATCCTTTCGAAGAAAATGTCGGGCGAGTCGAAGGCCTTTGAAGTTTGAAGAGTGGAGGGCTGTGACTGCTCGACTCCGGCGCCTCCTCGCCCGCTCGTGCCGGGCCATCCAATTTGTGGGCCCTCCCCGTCATGTCCGCGCCGTCTCCACTCGAGGAAACCTGTCCAGGCCTGTCGCCCACCCAACAGCCACTAACGTTACAGTTACCCACCCTGGCTCGTTAGATGCTGGGCCCTTTTGATCACTGCTCCGCAACCTTCCCTCCATCCTTTTTTTCCTTTTTCTCTTTTCGCCTCCCTCGCCCCAACGCCGTGCTACCTCCTCCCTCCTCGACCTTTGCAGAATCCGCCAAGGAACCGAGCGATCGACGAGCGGCCAAATTCAGTTTTGGGTCGTTCACGAAAGGATCGGGTGACTGTCGACCGTCGTTAATTCGAACGGAGACGGAAAATAGCACCTGCTCGCCAGCGGTTTTCTCGGCTTGGGTACAGTTGTGTCTCTGCGTCTCGCGTTGACACAACCTGGAGGACGCCCATCGTCTCCGGACAAGGAACTACTTGGACAGGTAGACTCCAAAGTATTAGGTACGAGTTCTCTTCATCCCGCGGTCAAACTCCCTCTCGCTCTTTCGTGAATTCGGCGGCGGAATGGTACGACTCGAGCTGGTATGCGACTATACGGTGTGGTGGGAGCTAAGGTCATCAAACTTTGCATCACGATACGTCGGCATCTGACCTCAGCGGAACGTGCAACTGGTGGGTGGACGCGTCACGTTGATGCTCGCCGAGCTTCTCCCGACTCGCCAAACTTACAATTGCACGACGCTGATCATTGCCACTTGACTTGATCAACAACACGCTCCTTCGGCACGGCTGTCCGAGCCCTTCCGCGTCGCCAGTCTCGAATCGTGCGCTCCGCTGCTCTCCCCATTTCCCGGTCCTATGCTCAGCAGATTCAGGCATAACGCGAGAATGACACCCGCTAATAAGAGGATAACAGAGTCTCTGACATTCCCTTCTAATCTCCGGTGCTGCACGATCCAGTCATCCAATCTACTTTACGTTGAGTCTAAGCAGCACGAGGCTTCCTGCTCGCATCGCTTTATCCACCAACGGAGGAACCAGCCACTCGGGTTCTGTTGGTCCCAACGATTTCAGCGCCCCTTCTGTCGGCTCTATTAAACAAGAAGAATCCCTGTGTAGACGGCAAAACCTACACTCTATGGCTCAGCCATCCCAGTAGATCTCGATCCCCCTCGACATTCGAGATCTCCGACTCTTCGGCTCTGGGAATTGGTGGCACGGCGTGGCCTGACCCTCGCTAGCCCGTTCTTTTCCAGCTGCTAGAAGCAGTTCGATCCTCATCTCCATCATCTTGCGGCAGCCAATTTCTAGACACGAGTTCACAGCAGTCAACATGCCTGGCGGCGTTTGTGCTGTCCTCGACTACGAGGTCGAGCTGATGGCTGACTACGTTTCCGAGATGGCCACTCGAGTGGTTATGCCTCATCGCCAAGTCAACCCAGCATTTCGCAAGTTCGTCTCCCAAATACTGACGTCGACGCGGCTTCCCAGCACTACGATTCTGTTGGCTATGAACTATTTGGCGAAGCGCATCAACATGATGCATGCTGCTGGCCAGACTAATCACACCGAGGGTCAAATATGGCGCATGCTTACGATCGCGTTGCTTCTCGGCAGCAAGTTTTTGGACGACAATACGTTCCAGAACAAGTCTTGGTCGGAAGTCAGCGGTATCCCAGTCCAGGAGCTCAATACTCTGGAATACGAGTGGCTCGGCGCGATTCGCTGGTGTCTTTACGTCAACCTGGATGCGAGTAAGGACTATCAGGCCTGGTTGTCGAATTGGAAACAGTGGCAAGAGGCGAAGAAGAGGCAGCAGCAGGAAGCAAGCCGCGACCGCCTTGCGGGTCTTGTGTCTCCCATCGAGCCCGACACGCGCTCTCGTGCCCAGCAGCTGTATTCGGCGTGGCATCAGCAACAAGTGGCAGAGTACGAACGCCTTTCCAGCATGAAGCGCAACCAAGCGCCCATGGGTGCTTCATTCCGCCACGAGCCGTCGTCGTGGGCCTATCCTCCACCCTCATGGTCGCAGACGGCCCCGTTGACCCCTCCGGATTCTGGATACGGCACCCCGGAATATACGAACTCAACAACTTTGGCGACTTCAAACTACACCGAGTGGCTTGATGGGGCTCTTCTCGGGGCCAACGCCACTTCAAGGCACTACCAGCAACCTGCTCCCTACAGCGGCTTCCGTCATAACGGACACGGTTCTCGCCATGCTGTTGGTTATGGCCACTACTATGGCTACGGTCACAACATCTGGGAGCAGCCGAGCGTAGCTGACTGCAACTGTGGCCTCTGCGCCGGTGTGCACAACAAAGTTCCCGCATACTTCGGTGGTCACCACTACAGCCAAGCCGTTGTTGGCTGACAGGGAGATCTTCTCGCTTCTTCGTCATGGTTCTGACCTCTACTCTACCGGCGCATTTTGACATTTCTTTGTCCGAGCGTCGACACATTTCTCCTATTCCCTTGCATCGTCCGACCGGACGCGGTTACATCCAAGGCACAACGGAAAATTTGATACACTTCGCATTCAGATACCCAATCGACCAACCGGAGGAGAGCAGTGCCGCCATCAATCACGCGGCGTTGATATGCACGACATCGCCAATACCGCGGGATCGTCGCGTGCCGCCCAGGTTGCTGCGGTGAACTTGATACCAATGAACAACTGGCAGGCTCTTCAACACCGACGGTTCTCCGCATGAGACAACGGTGCTCGAACATTTGGCGACTCATTCGGTGCGGGTCATTTTCGGCTAATGACTTTCTTTCGGTATACGGCTCAATTCCCATTACACCGGCGTTTTTGGATTTCTATACCATCATGTTTGCCCTTTGCGGATTCTATCATAGATTGGGGAAAACGGCTTCTTTCTCCGGCGATCTTCGACTTTTCCAATCTATTACAGCTTCTTGACTCCCATTGCTTGGGATTCCGGCGTCGCCCAGCGAGATCTGATGGCTGTTACCAGGCAACTCTGGTGTTGCTTGGACGCGTCCTTGTGGCTCGTTGTTACTGAGTCTGTCTCCGCGTGCTCCGCCGTTGTACGGATTGGAGCACTGGGGTTGTTCAATTGGCAGAAGACTGGTAAACCGGATGTCTCTGTCGTTGAATACCCAACGCAGCGACTTGCCTGCTGTGGCATGTTGATATCGCCGTTTCGGGACGTCGTGCGGCCGCGGTCCTCGGCGCCACTCGCTTGCCGCCCTCATCAAAAGTTATACTGGGTTCTCGAAGTACTTCTGGTGTGCTATTTCATGGGTCTTGATCATTTTCTGTGGGATCGGGTCATGAGGTTAAAAGTTGTACTCGCGGTTACCCCCAGCGTTTTCATTCTGGTTTTACTTTGGAGGGTTTGTTCTGAATTGTGTCTAATTCCCCCCGCATTTATCTTGTTTCTGCAACCGGCTGAGCTTGCCCGGTCCCAGTGTTCCACTGTGGATACCGGCGACTACAAGTCCTGGTCACGGCGCGTAGTTCGCGACCATGCCAGCTTGGTCGACTTATATCCCGGTCGGGGTGTGGCTTGCGCAGGCTTTCCTTGCATTATGGTCTTGGATTAGACGGGGGTTTCAGCGGGGTTGACAGCAGCCGGCATTTTCTTATTTCCCCGGTGCCGCTGTTTCGGATTCTCAGGGCCATTGCTTAGAGGCATGTGGCTCTCTATTTGTTTCTTATTATACCTAAGATGACGACTTGACGAGTTCTGTGGGTTCAAGGGAAATCGGGAAGGATGAATCAAAGATGAGGAAGCTCTGGAAAAGGATGGACAAGAGTGGACAAAGGTAGCGTGAAGAACACGAAGCAACCAAGCGGAGGTACGGCAAACCGTGGCGCACACTGATCTCAGGGTCTCAGCTTGATCAGATTACGAACACGCTCCATCAGTACCAAGCGCTGGTTCCAGCCCACGATCGGCTACCAGCGTTGCCACTTGTGGGTGCAACAGGAGACGGGGCATAAAAGGAACACGAGGAGTCAGGTGTCGGAGTCCCGTCATGTGTGCTCCCCGGAACAAACAGGCTCCCCGGAACAAACGGAGCTCGGTGCGGTACCCCGTACTGCGTCGAGTCACAAGGGACCAACCCTTAAACTAAAACAATGAAATGTCAAAACTAATGGCCAAATATGCTGCTTCTGTACCTGATCGTTCCCACGTGAAAGAGCTTTGGACTTCTGTAGGTTGCGCGCCAGTAGCAGCGCCATCGAGAGACAGTGAGTTTAGCTGATAGACAGCTCTTTCCGGCTGCCAGTATCCATGGAAGCTCTTTTCGCTGTTACGCTTGAACCGCGTGGGTTATCTTAGTTCACTTCTTATTAGTTCCGTCTCGGAAGTCCTCTGTGATTGTGAGGAGACTGTCTGTTCGAGAATCGGCAGCGCGGGATACTGCTTGCAATTCCTAACCACAGGTCCCGCTTTTCTTGTCTGTGCTCGAAACAATACAGGAACCTAACATAGGTAGCGGGTCTCGAGTTCATCCTTCCATCTTACAACCTTTCTTTCTTTCTCCCTTTTTTTTTAAAAAAAAATCAACGCGAAACGCACATCATTCCACTCCCCGGTCTGTGCGCTGCAAGGGACGGGGATGTCATCCCGCTTCGTCTCAGCAGGTGCCATCGACGCCGCCACAGGCGAGGCGGCTTCTGCTTCTTCTTCTTCTTCTTCTCCCCTCCGCTCCTCAGCAGCAGCTCCGCCTAAACCACCACCCAGTAAGAGACAGCAGGAATGGGCCGAAGTCACAGCCCAGCTCGAAGCCGATCGCCGGCGCAGGGAAGAGGCCCGTCACGCCCAGCAGGCGGGCACGGCCCAGCAGGCGGAGAAGTCGCTATACGAGGTGCTGCAGGCCAACAAGGCCGCGAAGCAGGCTGCCTTTGAGGAGGCGCATCGCCTACGCAACCAGTTCCGGGCGCTGGACGACGACGAGGTTGAGTTCCTAGACGAGGTGAGGATGCGGAAGCGGAGGGAGGAGGAGGAGGCGCGGAGGGAGGTGGAGAGGGGGTTGGCCGAGTTCAGGCGGAAGGCGCAGAGTGCTGCGAAGGCGGAGGCGGAGGGGGCTGATGATCAGTTAGACGATGGGGAGGGGTTGGGTTTGGACGTGGATTTTGCGGGCCGGAGGAAGAGGAGGAAGGGGGAGCATGGGAGGGATAAGAAGAGGGTCAAGGGTGTTGGGATCGTCAAGAGGAGGGAGTCTGGGGAGGAGGGCGGGACGGGGAAAGACGGGGAGGGTAATGAGGATGATACGGTGAAAGGAGAGGAGACCGGTACGGGTGGAGGAGTGAGGACGGGAGCACACGCTCCTGGGAACGAGGATCCGAAATCCGCGACATCAAACCCATCTCCAGCTCCAGCACCGGTTACAAGTACGGCAAAGTCTGCGGGCTTGCTTGTAGATTATGGTTCCGATGACGATGACTGAGGCACGCCACCACTCGCTGTCGCACGTATGTAGGGCCACAGCTTTGCTGCCACTGTTTTCGGGAGGTGGACGACTCAACTTGAATTCTATCCCACATTCCGCCCCACCTTCAAGGGTTGTGGACGGTTGCACGATAGGAGACAGGGAATCTGCATGAAAATACCCACGACCAAGCAGCTGGTGAGATTCATTGAGGAGTTTCATTACACGGACACAGGGCTGACACTGCCCCTTGTCTTCTCATCAAAACCCCCTGAAATCTATCATGCATGTCCCACGATATACAGGCCGCTGTAAGTCCGGACGGCTACCACCACCGTGATACTCCAACATGAACCAACGCACTCAAGTCAGCTGTTGTACACATACACCTTGTATAATTCATACAACCGTTTCCTCCCATCTCCGATCCATTACTCAACGTACTTGTCCTCCAAAGGCGTGAGCTTCTTCTTCTCGAACGCCTTCTTCGTGCCCCACCGATAGAGCTGGCGGAGATGGCCCTTGATCCAGCCCTCGATCTCCTCCTCGGCCACCACAATCCTGCTCGCCCGCTCCGCGTCCTCGGGGAGCAGCTGGAAGCGGCGCATACGCTCGGCAATGCGCGGATCCATGACGACGGGCTTTGCGCGCACCCTTTCGGGGATCTCGGCCGCTTGGGCGTCCTTGGGGTTATCCTCCTTCCAGACTGACTTGACCCAGTCCTTCTCTTCCCACTCCAGCTCTTTCTGCTGCTCATACTGTGACGGGTGGTCGCCACTTGACATCGGGCTCGCGGACTCGGAGTCAGCGGCAAGCTGTCGGTACTCGCGGTAAGTGCAGAGGCACACGGCGGCGACCTCGCGGCCGATGTCGTCGGCAAGCTTGCGGCGGTTGAAGAAGCGGTACATGCGGGTCGGGGTGTTGAGGAAGCCAAGGAGGTGAGGCTCGCGGATGGGGGCCGACGGAGCGAATTCGTTGGGGGTGTACGACGGGAGGGTTGATGTGTCGTAGTCGGCGACGGTGTTGTGGGGTCTTGGCTGAGGCGGCCGCTTGGGCTTCTTTTCTTCCTCTTCTGCGGGCTTTTCTTCCACAGATTTGTCTTGCTCTGGAGTGGCGGCTGCCAGAAGTGGCTCCGGCTCCGGCGGCGGCGCAAGGGGTCCGAGCCAACCCTCGTGCAAGCCCCTGAGATATTCCTTCCATGTGTGCCGGCCGATGACCACGTCGCCCCGCACGCCCTGGTAATCCTCGATGCCCCGCGCCTTGCGGAATGCCTCGATAAGCTCCTCCTTGGTCGGCTGCTTCTCCGGGTCGGGCTCGCCGTGGCTCTCCAGGTCGCGGCGAAACCTGCGCACCCGCTCAGCGACGTAGGCCCGCACGTCACCCTCCCGCCGTCCTTGCACAAACTCCCAGTCCAGGCCGCTGGCAGCCAGAATCGGCTTGACATATTCGGTGTAGTGGTCCTGGGCAACACGCAGCCCATCGCCAGGCGGACTTGAGAGGTAAATCGTCAACTTGCGCGGTTGTGCCAGACCGAGCGGGTCAGCCAGCGGCTCCTTTGCCAGATGCTCGACGGCATGCGACCATTTTGCGATTGCCCTCTTCTTCTCGCGCTTGTCGTAGATTATCGCCCCTGCTATGACGCTCGACACCGTCCAGAATATCATCCAGTTCCGTGAAGGGAGTTTGCGCGGGAGGGCAGGGAGCCCGAGCATGCGCAGGGCATTATTTCGATGGGCTACCTTGGGGGGCTACATGTGGGACGCGGTCAGAACATAATGCTACGCAGAGGACGTGGAAGCTTACGGCATTGGTCGGCGGTGGCGGAGATGGTGCGGACGTCGGGTCGGCCATGGTGGCTCGCATGGAATTCTCAAGCTTCCGTCGTGGGAGATCTAAGAGCACTACAAGCACATTGGACTTGCCGCGGCCCCGCGGGAGGCTTTGGGACTTGACAGGGAGATCGATGGGTTTCGCCAGTTTCCGGAAACCGAGACTAGAAACGGGTGCTTGCGTATGATTCCTGAATCTACTCTTTTCATGTCTCGAACTGAACTCATAAGGTAGAGAAACTTACCAAGTTCAAAATTCCAGCCGTCGTTATCGCGATAAGCGGTCATGCACGGACCTTGCATGTGAGTTAAGTGATTAAGTACCTTAGTACTGCAGCTCGGATATTCCCGACACAGAGCATTACCAAGAGTTCTCGCACCTTTGGCAGTTGTGATCTTATTCTTATGCAGATTACTTTGTAACGTAGGCGCATTGCTTCTGAGGGCTTTTGTAGAAGCCCTTCACTGTCCGGTCAGACTTTGGTGACTCGAAGGCTTTCGGATGCTATCGATTTCTCTGAGGATGTGCGGTCACAGATCACTCGGTGAACGCACTTCTCAAGGGCGACAAGCCTGCGGACCTACAGCACAGCCAAGCACTGCAAGCACTCCTCATCCAAGCTTCTGGTTTTGCGAACTTTGAATATCTTGTACAGTCTGTTATCGATCGAGCGAGTGGTTTACAGTACTCCACGGGACTGGAAAACAGCAGCGGTTGAACACAGAGCGGGGCTCTTCCGCTATTCTCCACACTTGGGGTGCGGCTGCCGTTTTAGAAACTCTCCTGGAGTGACACCACAGCAATCGTGAACCAAAACCTCCAGGGGTTCATCGCACAGCTGCTTTTCTCCTTTCTGGCTCCTCCCACACATCTCTTCACACATTCACCTTCCTTGCCGTCACTTCGGATCCTACAGGTTGAACAGTCTCGCCAACTCATTATTTAGATAGCTTTGGTTGTTTGTTTCGGGTCCCGGCGTGCTACTCGTCCGGACTCCGGAGACGTCCCCCTTGCCCCACATCTCCTCCAAACAGGCGGGGCGGTGATCCGAGTGTTGACTTGCCAGCCGGCACCAAACCTAGACCTCCCTTGAACCCTTGTCAGAAAAGTAGGCTGTCTTTCGTCCTTGGCCCCTTTCTGCGCAACACCGGCTTGACAGTCGTCCGTTGACGCTTGCAGTCTGCTCGCGCGATCCTGACAAAGAGTGAATTGAATCCTGCATTTCAGCCCTTGGGCCGCACTGCAGCAAGCCGTCAAGATGGACAATCAGGGCAATCGCTTGTACCTCAACTTTGGGAATAATAACGACCGACTTGCCCCCAATAACGACCGCACCTATCCCACCACACCCTCAACCTTCCCGCAGCCCATTTTCCAAGGTCAAACGCCGGGTCAGGGCGGTTCCCAGCAGCCTCAGGCCTACCAGCAGCAGGGCTATGCGGGGGGATACTTCCCGCCGCCTAACCAGTACGGCGCCCAGTACTCTTCACAGCTGGGCGCTCAGGCTGCCGACTACAATTCCCGGGGCTATGGACAGCCTCGGCCGGCTCCCGGCGCCAACAATGATCCCAACACAGGGCTCGCCCACCAATTTTCGCACCAGAACCTAGGCGGCGCTGGCGGATCGTCTCCGTATGGCGCCCGTGGCGCATCCCAAGGTCAGCGCCCCAGGACGGCTGGCGCGCAGGGCCAGCAGCCCGGTTATGGGAGTTATCTGAACGCACCGCCGATGCCTAGTCAGACACCCCAGTCAGGGGACTATTTTGCTGTCGCCCCGGAGAGGAACCCGGACAAGTACGGTCTGAATGCGAACAACAACCAGAAGAAATGCTCCCAGTTGGCCTCGGATTTCTTTAAGGACAGTGTCAAGAGGGCACGGGAGCGCAACCAGCGGTGAGTCTTCGCCCTTCCCGGCCTCTGCTGTGTTATGTGTATTGTGACCGGTCGCTGACAGAGCGGACAATGCAGACAAAGCGAGATGGAGCAGAAGCTGGCCGAGACCACCGATCCTCGGCGCCGGGAATCAATCTGGGCTACGGCAGGACGTAGGGAAGGCTCCTACCTCCGTTTCCTACGCACCAAGGATAAGCCGGAGAACTACAACACCATTAAGATCATCGGCAAGGGCGCCTTTGGCGAGGTCAAACTGGTGCAGAAAAAGACGGATGGCAAGGTCTACGCTATGAAGTCCCTGATCAAGGCGGAAATGTTCAAGAAGGACCAGCTCGCCCACGTTCGTGCGGAGCGCGATATTCTTGCCGAGTCGGACAGCCCCTGGGTCGTCAAACTGTATACGACCTTCCAGGACGCCAACTTCCTGTACATGCTCATGGAGTTCTTACCCGGCGGCGACCTCATGACCATGCTGATCAAGTATGAGATCTTTTCGGAGGATATCACGCGGTTTTATATCGCCGAGATTGTCCTGGCCATCGAGTCCGTCCACAAGCTGGGCTTCATTCACAGAGATATCAAACCGGACAATATCCTCCTCGACCGGGGTGGCCATGTCAAGCTGACGGATTTCGGTCTGTCGACCGGCTTCCATAAGCTGCACGACAACAACTACTACCAGCAGCTTCTTCAGGGCAAGTCGAGCAAGCCGCGCGATAACAACCGCAACTCGATTGCCATCGACCAAATCAACTTGACGGTCAGCAATCGGTCGCAGATCAATGACTGGAGGCGATCGAGGAGATTGATGGCCTACTCCACTGTCGGCACTCCCGACTACATCGCGCCCGAGATCTTCACCGGGCACGGCTACTCATTTGACTGCGATTGGTGGTCATTGGGCACTATCATGTTCGAATGCCTAGTTGGCTGGCCGCCTTTCTGCGCCGAAGATAGCCACGACACGTATCGCAAGATCGTCAACTGGAGACAATCCCTGTACTTCCCCGACGACATCCAACTGGGCGTCGAAGCGGAGAACTTGATCCGGAGGTGAGATTCTCCACTGAATCCTCTACCCTCCTTTGCTTTCTTCCTCTTCTTTCTCGTTATCGTCTGCTGACCATTTTGCCAGTCTTATTTGCAACTCGGAGAACCGTCTTGGCCGTGGCGGTGCGCACGAGATCAAAAACCACGCCTTCTTCCGGGGCGTTGAGTTCGACAGCCTGCGGCGGATCCGAGCGCCTTTCGAGCCGCGCCTGACGTCCAACATCGACACGACCTACTTCCCCACTGACGAGATCGACCAGACGGACAACGCCACCTTGCTCAAGGCTGCGCAGGCTAGGAACAACGCGCAGCAGGTGGAGGAGAGTCCCGAAATGAGCTTGCCGTTTATAGGATACACCTTTAAGCGCTTTGACAACAACTTCCGGTGATTCGGATCCGTTTGGGCTTTGTTGTAGTGTCTCTCGGTTCGGTTGGGTTTGGATGGAGGGCGCGAGCGCAAATGGTTCTAGCTGGCCGACGTTTCGTAGCGAATAACCTTGGCTGCTTCTCGTCTGATTATTCCAAAATACTGAATGCAGTGATTGTGCAGAGGAATACCGACACCGCATCGTTCACATACTGATTCGAGAAAGTTCAATGAGGAATAGAAGGAACGGTAGCATAGAGTACATAGTATGCACGGTATACATCACCCCACCGGGCATGTGGGAATAAGTGTGTTGTCCCTCTACAGTGTCGAGAGTGGTGAATAAGGGTCCAACATCGCTTGATGATCGCAGATCGTGCGGCATGATGACCCCTGCTGAAACCAAGAGACGGTGAAAAGCAGACACAACATGGCTCAAGCATGGAAGCCTGTGACATTCTCCTTCTTCACTACCGCGAACAGCCTATATACAATATGCGACGAAGCATGGCTCTCATATATCTTGAATATTAATAGTAATAGTATTCAGTCAGGGTGTAACTTGGAAAGGACATCTGTCACCATAGTGCCAGATGCCGGAACGTCCATAACTGCATGTTCCGCTATCCGACCGTTAGCTATAAACCCAGCTGACAGGCGATCTTGTATCCTTACAGCAATCTTCCAGTTTGCCATGCCTCAGAATTGCTAGCGCCTTGTCATTTCTTCGGCTCTATTTGTCCTGCCAATTTCAATTCGTGGGCCATGTGCGAGCGAGAGCTGCGGTTGCAGGAGACGGCCTGGCGACGTGGCGACGGGACTTGAACTCGTATCGTCTCGACCTTGGTTCCTTCGTGCATCACGTTTTGACGATCAACCCGTCGAAGTTTCTCTTGAGGCTTCCCGGTGACCGTCGGTACGGGTGAAGTTTGTCTCCATTTACCGCCGCCCAGTCAACCCCGGCGCGGCATTGAACCGCTCCTCGCGCTCGGTCATAAACATAATCTGAATCCAGTACTCCTTGGCGTCCGGATCCCAGAACTCAAACTGCCGATCCTCCCTCTTATCCAGCTCGCGCGCGGGGATCTTGAACCCGCAGGTCTCGTACGGCTCGGCCGCAACCAGCAGGTACTGAAAATTCCGGTCCGGCTCCTCGACGCGTTGCGAGAAGGCGCTCATGACTTGCCACTTGGGCGTCACCCCCGTGCCAATGTCCGGGTACTGCAGCTGGAACAGCAGGCCCTGCTGCCGCGTGATCGGGTCCCGCACCTTGGTGATCTTGTAGCCCGGCCGCCCGATCTTGACCACGTTCTTCCGGGGCCCGCCGGTGCCCAGGCCGAGCGCGGCAAACCCGGCGCCGACCACGCCGACGGGGAGTCCCGTGTGCGGGTCGACCTCGCCCTTGCCCTCCTTCTGCTCGCGCGCGGCGCGGCGCGCGAGGTTGGTCTGGTGCTTCTTGCCCTGGGTGTGGGACAGGTAGGAGCCGTCGTTCTGGTGGACGGTTAGGCAGAGGCGGCACTCGAAGGAGCCGAGGTGGTTCCTGAAGATGTACGGGTCTTTGTCGAGGTCGATCTGCTCGAGGGCGAGCTTGCGCAGGCGCTCGCGGCGGTCGGCGTTGGTGGCGCTGTGGGAGGCGACGCCGCCGCCGCCGAATTTGGAGCCGGCGCGGTTCTGATAATCCATTGAAATGGCGATGGAGGCCGGTGCAAAGGTGTTGTTGCTGAGTAGGTTATGGGATGCGAATCGTAATGGTGAAGTGACGGGGGATGCTGGGTCGTGGTGTCGCCGCGGATTTGTTTGGAGGTTGCAACTTGCAAGCGTCGTTGTTCCACTCAGTGTAACGCCACGCAGCTACCTATGTAAGTATAATACAGTACGTCAATACGTAATGTTCGAGCGTTACGTGTGTTACAACCATAGATTCGGCGTAAATTACCAGATTGTATATGGTACTTTCAGTAACCCGGGGGGCTCTCTACGCCGACCTATCAGCGTAACCCCCTTGGTCATCGCCACAGCAATAAATTCCTTTGCTTTATGTTCCTATCCTTCCTTACTACTTCTTGCAGTTTGGCCGCTTGCTTGTCCAAATGGATTGGGCTGATTCGGCTGGGGTCGATTCCCGTCGATCTCGGCTCCCCTTCCCTCGCTCTTCCCTCGGCTTGCGATGCGCTAAGCCGGCTTTGAGCCGGCGGTAACACACTCAGGTGCAGCCAGGACGCTCAACTCCTGTCATCGGGACAAGGCAGCTGGTTCCGTCAGCGGTACATACTGTTGTTCCACGGACTACCTTAGTGGCCGGCTTCAGTCCGTATTAGTGTCATAATGAGCCGCATCTTCAATGCTTCGCGCTGCGTAGCTCGGCTCAGGGCCACAGAGCGGATCCGGGGACCTAACGCGGCCGGATACCGGCGGTTCTCCGTCTCGGCATCGACCTCCGCACCCGGGTCGCTTCCGCTCGAGGGGTACCGCGTGCTGGACATGACAAGAGTCCTTGCCGGAGTAAGAACATTGCGCTCAGGTCTTGGTTTCGATTCAGAGAATTGACAAAAGCGCCGCGCAGCCTTACTGTACCCAGATTCTGGGCGATCTTGGGTAAGCGGTGCAGACCCCCAGATACAGAAACCGCTATGACTGACAGCCTCCGAGCGCTGAAGTGATCAAGGTCGAGCACCCGGTCAGGGGCGACGACACCCGGGCGTGGGGCCCACCGTATGCCTCTTACAAGCCTGGCTCGTCGCAGGACGGCCCGGGCGAATCGGCGTACTTCCTAGGGGTATGTGTCTCGGCGAGCGGAGGGGATGAGCTAGAAACACTTGCTCACTGGTGTTCCAGGTGAATCGTAACAAGAAGTCGTTGGCGCTCTCATTCCAGGATCCGGCGGGAGTCGAGATCCTCCACCGGTTGGCGGCCAAGTGCGACATCCTAGTCGAGAACTACATCCCCGGCTCCCTTAAGAAGTACGGCCTCGATTACGAAACAATCCACAAGATCAACCCCGCGCTTATCTACGCCTCCATCACCGGGTATGGACAGACAGGGCCGTATTCGCAGCGTGCGGGCTACGACGTGATGGTGGAGGCCGAGTTCGGTCTGATGCACATTACCGGCACCAGGGACGGACCACCGGTCAAGGTTGGCGTTGCGGTAACCGACCTGACCACCGGTCTGTATACAAGCAATAGCATCATGGCTGCGCTCCTTAGCCGCGCGAAGACGGGCAAAGGGCAGCACATTGACGCTGCGCTGAGCGACTGCCAGACTGTCACGCTGGCCAACATCGCGAGCAGCTGCCTGATCAGCGGGGAGAAGGACACTGGCCGGTGGGGGACAGCTCATCGTAAGTGCTTGACCCTATCTTGAAGGCATTAGTCCTGATGGTTATAGCCTCCATTGTTCCGTACAGGTCTTTCAAAACCAAGGACGGTGACATTCTCTTTGGCGGAGGTAACGACCGCCTCTTCGGCATCCTCTGCGATGGCCTGGGGCGGCCCGAATGGAAGGAGGACCCGAAGTTCAAGGTCAACGCATCTCGTGTAGCGAACCGCGACGAGCTGGAGGCCGAGATCGAGAAGATCTCGGTGACCAAAACCACTCAGGAGTGGCTTGATGTGTTTGAGGGCAGAGGCATGCCGTATGCTGCCGTCAACGATGTCCTAGGGACGCTGATGCATGAGCACACCAAGGCCAGGAACATGGTAGTTGAGGTGGACCACGGCGAATGCGGGCCTATCAAGCTTGTGAACACGCCGATCAAGTACTCGGAGAGCGAGCCGAGCATTCGTAGCCCGCCTCCGACGCTCGGGCAACACACGGACGAAATCCTGCGAGAGCATTTGGGCATGGATGGTGCGCAAATACGGGAGCTGAGGGACAAGCGCATAATCAGATAGCAGCAGCAAATAATTGCTGTAAATGTCCAGTGGCGCCGACAGACTTTAAGTCAGACAATCAAGATTCAAGTGAAATGCCTGCTTGTTGCGTAGTTCGAGAAAGTGGGCTAATTAACACGGGTTAACTACATTAAACACGTGACTTCCACGTGAAAGTGGGCAGACAATACTCCTAACTCAAGCTCGCTCTTCGACAACGAAGGAGACAAAGTACTTGCGCAATGTGGCCGTAAGAGGCAAGAAAAAACCCCCATCGCTTGTAAACAGACTTATCTGAAACTGTATCACTGCTCGAACGGCGAGACTGGCCGCAGACAACCCGCCTTACGAACACTGTTCGACCGCAAGTTGTTAAGTTCAACTTACTTGGGAGTCTCTTCACTCTTCACTCTATGTTTTACTACATCTCAACTTCTTAAGACCTGCTGCTGTTAGTCAGTGCTATTATTAGCACCAAGCTTCGACATGGCAGACGTAGAAGCCACGGGCGATGCGAAAATCGGACCTCCGCCAGACGATGTTCCCAACAAGCCGCAACAAGACTCGGCACCCGCTCCCGGACCTGGCTCGGAAACCGCCTCGACACCGGCCCGTCCTTCGTTCCCTCCCCCTCGGGCCCCATACATACCGCAGTTTACCGCAGCCACACAAATGATTCTTCAAAGACTGAAGGGCGAGCAGAGCAGTCTCAGTGCTGCACTTGCACAAGCATCCCGATCTGCTTCCGTCTCGCCAGCGATCGCGTCCCCGACCTACGAAGATGTGAAGAGACGGCTGGTCATGGGCATGAACACGTCGACGCAGATAACGACGCAGATGACGATGCAGATGCCCACTCCGGCTCCGGCCCGGTCTGCACCGTCCACTTTTCCGCAGTCCGCGACAGCGCCACCGAAGCCGGTCTATTCCACGGCCGGCATGAGCGCTATTAGAAAGGTCACGGCCGGACTAACAGCATCATCGAGACCAACGCTCGCCAAAGCCGTAACCGTCAAGACAGCCTCATCATCCGAGACCAAGATCACAAAACTGAAGACATCTGCAGGACCCCGCGGGCCTGTCGCCAAGCGCAGACGCACGAAAACCCAAGACGACGATGACGACAACGTGAGCCGCATATACAGCGTCTCGTCGATCACTTCGCCCGAACCTACGCCCCCGGAGAGCACTAGTACTACTAGTAGTACTACTACTACTACTATTACTGCTAGCACAACCACACCCCCTGTACCTCTAACCATGACCAAGTCAGGCCGCCAAGTCCTCAAGCCAGCGGCGTACAACCCGGCAGCCATGGACGCAGCCAGCAAGAAGGCACGCGCACACCACCACCACCATCACCACCACCACAACCACAACAACAACAACCACCACCACGCACACTACAGCAAGCGCACCGCCGAGCAGACGGCGCTCTGCAAGAAGTGCAGCCGCATGCACAGCCCGGCCAGCAACCAGATGGTCTTCTGCGACGGGTGCAACGACGGGTGGCACCAGCTGTGCCACGAGCCGTGGATCGCCGACGAGGTTGTCAAGGACCAGACCAAGGGCTGGTTCTGCGCCGGGTGCGTGGCGAAGAGGGAGAGACATGCCGCCAAGAGGCAGAAGCTTGACCACCAACACCAGCACCAGCACCAGCATGGTCAGGGCCAGGGTCAGGGTCAGGGTCAGGGGAGGTCGTCGTCGTCGTCGTCGTCCTCGAAGGACAGGGACGGGGGAAGGGAGAGCTGGGCCGGCAGGCCGCCGCAGCAGAAGCGGGCCTACCTCCTGACGCTGTCGCAGCAGGAGCTTGTCGGGCTGTTGATGAAGTGTCTGGAGCTGCATCCGGAGCTGCCCATCTTCCCGTCTACCACTACTTTGCCGGCGTCGGACCAGCATCACGGGACGCCGCGGTCGCTGTTTGGGGGCGCCACGACGACCGAGGGGCTGTTCCCGCGCGCCGACTTTGTGAGGAAGGTCGTCAACGGGGGCAGCAAATCTGCTGCTTCGGGTAAAGGGGCGAGGTCTGCTGCTGCTGCTGGTGGTGGTGGTGCCGCTGGGAACGGTGGAGGAGGAGGGGCCAAGGGGAGTCAGAAGGAGGACAGCCAGGAGAGGGTGAATGCGGGCGAGGACGACGAGTTTGATCCGCTTGCTGCGCTGTGGCCGAAGCCGGGCATGGGCCTGTATATTCGGCTGCCGCCGGATACGGAGGATGACGCGCGGTTGAAGGACGACGATGATTATGAGGCCTTTAGTGTCATTGTGTACGATGACCGGGGGAGGAAGGTGGAGGAGAATGGGATGAAGGTGTGACTTGGCCCCTGGGGACGGCCTCACAAAGCATCAGGAGGTGGCTACCATATACTTTTGGAACTCTCGGGCTTCCGCATTGCTCTCGCGTGGTTCTTGCTTCTCCTCGAGTCGCAAAGCACTATTCACTGCAGCGACACCCCGACGCGGGTCGAGAACAGTTGTATTGAAGATGTCTGGTATTATTATTTTTACCGGAGTCCTCCATCAGCAAGGACGCTCGCCTACATTTACAGCTAGCCTACATTCAACACAACCTTCCCCTCCCCCTGTTACCCCTTCATCGGTGGTATGGACCGGGAGACCGTCCGTGATGGCCCGATGGGCTCGGTGATCCCTTTCGCGAACCGGCCACGCTGAGCTGCTCGCTCTCGGGCGGGTGGGTATAATTCTCCGGGAGGTTGCTCTCGACGCACTGCATGGCGGCGTTGTACTTCTTGAAGGCCGTCTGCACCAGCACCCCCACCTCCTTCCGGTCCCGGCCAATGATGCCGACTGCCAGCAGCGCTTCGGTCTGCTCGATCCTGTTCCGTCCCCATGCTTTTGTCAATCATCATCCCATTACCGTACCAACCACACAGGTGGGACATTCCGAAGGGCAAGTTTGGGGGGGGGGGGGTGGGGGGGAGGGGGGAGGGGGGTGGAAGGGGCGGAGAACTAGACCTACCAGTCCTGGAGCCTCCGGTACTCGGCCCGGTCATGATACAGGCGGTCTGGCAAACCCTGACCCTTAATCAGGGCCAGCACACCGGCAATGACGGTGTTGATGGCGCCTAGGAGGGTGATGACGACCACATGGGAACCGGCACTCGGACCCCTGGTATTTTATGCCACGTTTAGAAATAGAAACTCATCTCACCAAGCGCTTTCTGTTCCAGTTAAAAGAAAAGAAAAAGAGAACGAAAAAGAGAACGAAAGAAAAAAAAAAATATAAATACTCACAGAGCAGTCAAGCTCGCGCCGATGATGATCTGCACAAAGTGACAGGCATTGATCAACCACGAGAGGAAGTGGTAGCTCCAGGTCTTGCGGCGCACGGCGCTGAGCGCGGCGGCGTATATGCCCTCCGCCCGCCGCCGGCCTTCCTCCAGCGACGCCGGGTCGGTCGACGACGACCCCGGCCCCGGCCCGGCCACCAGCGTGCTGTTGATGCCCACGGCCCGCCGGAAGATGACCAGGTTCTCGTCGTTGAGGCCGCGGATGTGCAGGCCCGCCGGCGCGCCCCACGACAGCTCGGTGTCGGCCCGCGGGAGCACGCTTCCGCCGCCTCCTGCTCCTACTCCTACTCCTACTACTCCTAGGCTGCCGAGTCCGACGTCACTCTGGCTGGGATTGTTGCTGGGAGGGTTGGGGTTGGGCTGCTTGAAGTCGCGGTCGTAGGCATGGTCCAGGATTGCTGCGGTGGGCTTGAGGTGGGTGGTGGTGGTGGTTGTGGTGTTGGTGGTGGGTTCAGGGGCCACGGCTGGCGGGACTTCGGTCACGGTGGTGTGGACTTGGGGTGGTAGCGGTTGTACTTTTGAATCGGGAGATGCTGGCATTGTTGCTGGTTGGTTCAGGACTGTCGAGACGGAAGAGTAGGCTGAAATAGGCCGTGTACCTGTAGCAAAGGGCGGTGAGTTCTCGTCGTGGGTCGCTGATGCTGATCTTCCCCGAGCGTCTGGCAATGGCATCATGGCATTCTCCGCAGCACCAGGGGCTGGTCGGGTCTCAAGGCCGACACGGGGGAGAGACGAATTTTATGTGCTTTATCCATTGTCATTTTGATATGTTTCTCTCTCACACACTCTCTCTGCTTGCTCCAACCGGGCCGCAACCATGCAGTGGGGATTGGGGAAGCGCTGAGTGAGTGTCGAGGCTGCAGCGTAGCAGTGACGGGTTGGGCTGAGCCACAGCTGCACGAAGTCCTCAGTATCACCAACAAGCCTGCCCATGTATCCCCCAGCTTGTTGGTGTTGGCTGTTGAATTCCTGAGGACAGGAACCACACGCTGGCACACACACCCCCGCATGCAATCAATCAATGATTTGACATGCCGGCCAATCCCGTCCATTTCAGGCTTCAGCGCAAGACGGGAGATTCTCGTTCTTGCAAACCCGACAGACTGGCCAGAATGTCAAAGCGGCATGTTTAGCAAAACCATTTCAGGAAGTCACGGCGAAAGGAGTCGTGAGCTTCGGCGGCTACCTATCTGAGTCAGCTGATAGTGGCTGACTGCGAGCCCGACGAGCCTTCCCTCCTCTTCGGGGCACTAAATGCTTCATGGTGCTCAGGGGCTATTACGCATGAGAATTTTAGTGCTGAGAAGAGAGGACTAAAAGCCATGATGAGCGCTTCGATTGTGTTTCTCTCGTATCTCATTCCACCTCATTCCAGTCCAGCTGACGTCCCAGAACCTCGGCCGGGTCGGCCCCCGGGCGTTGCTGATTAAGGGGCAATTGCCAATAGGTGATGTAGGTGCACACTATTGAGATGCAAAATCTTGCCTTTCGCACAACTGCAATTGATGACTCAGCGAGCACGGACCAGCGCCTCGCCCGAAGCTTTGCCGGCCAAAAACCCGTTCGCGTTCCCAGAGTGGGGCCGGCTTCCATAACAACTCCAAACGGCGCCGGCGACGGAGGCCGGAAGGCGTCGCCCAATCTACTTGGTTCACACCCCATCCGGTCCCTCAGCTCGCACCCCACACAATCGCGATGGCGGTGTATTTTAGGCGCTAGGATCCCGTTCCCGGTTCGGGGACGCGAACCAACTGCACCCAACCCCCGAGCCTCGATATGCTGGCCTGGCTCGCTTATACTATTGTTGCCTCTCTTCTCTCCCCTCTAACCATAGAACTCTCTTCCTCCCTTACCTTTTCCTTGTTCTTCCTACTCCTAACGCACTTCTTAACTCACCCCCTAGAGAACTCCCTTCCTCTCTCACCTTTTCATCATTCTTCCTACTCCCAACGCACTTCTCACCTTACTATAAGGGTGCAACGACAGTGTGACGGGCACCGGTCAGGTCAGCTCGCACATACAAGATTGATATTGCGACAGAGAGAGAGCAAGATCTAGATGACAGCAGTGTGTGTGCGACCAGACCTTAAATACTAGAGCAGAGGCACATGACCAGAGGTCAGGTGATCCCGTGACAGGGAGGCATAGCAGGCTTGGAGAACGGCTTCTTCGGCGAGCCGCTGGAGTAGATAGTTCTATTTTTTGCCAAGCTATATATAGCAATTTTTAAAGCGTAGGAAGACAGTGATAGGGGCGATAGCAAGCCGACCTATATTGAGTGAATATTGTTAATAGTCGGGATTGATATTACAGACCAGCGAGAGCTCTAGGCGCCTGACACTAACATAAGACGAAAGATAAGTTGTAGTCTTATACCACTCGCTTAATATTGGTTGAGTTGCTCGCTTAGCTAATGCTAAGTCTAGCCTGTCCAGGTCTATAGCCAGGTTGAGCAAAGGACGGTGATATATAGTATAGTAGTACTTGCTAGCGCAATAGAAGGTATCGGCCCATTTGCTTTTACGCCTGGGATAGAGATAACTATAGCAACTAGGGGGGTAGTTATATAAGTCGGTAGGCTAGTGGTAGAAGGACTCGTTAAGAACAACCTTCAAACTAGTCAAGGAGGCAAGAATAATTGGCGATAGGGCCTGGAGAGGCTTAAGGGAGCTGTAGTATAAGTAGAAAATGACAAATCGGTTGGCCGAATATAGTAGGGCGGCGACTTCGGTGTATAGAGTGTGGCAGGATAGCAATAAGCCGGCGAAGTTATACGTTGGCGGCGGGTCGAAATCCAACCTTACCTTGCGTAATTCCTTGCGGCCGTCCAAGTAATAGATGTATGTATACCTGTCAAACTGCGCTACGCCCGTATGGAGGTATATGCGATGGCAGATGTAGGCGGGGAGGTATATAAGAGTAAGACTTGGGGGCTAGGACAGCTGCTCCTCGACCTTGCCATCGAGTGACATTATTAGTAGTAGCAGTTGTGGTAGCAGTTGTTGGTAGGCTAGTTGTTAGTAGTAGTTATTATTGTTGGCGGTGCGGTAGGTCTTGGTTTGTTTCTTTTTTGGGGGACAACCGACAAGCGGGGGAGGTGGTGATTTTTGATTTTTGGTCTTTCAACTATCTATGCCACTACGTTAAAGCAGGTGCAAACTGTGCAGACCGTATAGGCCAATCAGCCAGTGCTAGGCTAGGAGTTTGGGGCCTATATATAGCCCGTGCAAGACATGCCAATAGTCCTAGGATGCCACCTGATCCGGGCTATATAGTGGTATAGAAGATAAGGACAACCCGAGAGTGGCCGCCCTAGGCTAGAGATTGGTTGAGGCATGAGACGGAGACAAGACGGTCGAGCGCAGTATGCCCGGTGGGTGGAGCGGCCTTGGCTAAGTACAGTGGGCGTCCAAAAATCTGGGGCACCACGCACCAACCATCCCCTGCAACGCGATTTTTGACATCACAACTAAGATACTTATCCTGCAATAACAATCTACCAGCCTAATCTTTAGCAATATAGATACATATAGTTTGAAGCTCTGGTTCCTACCATCGATATCGTATATACCAGCTCCTAGCTTTCTTGACTGCAGCCAATCGCCGGGGCATTAATTGATATAGGGTGCCCCAGACTTTTAGACCCTCACTGTACCTACCTAGGTACCTTAGTCCTTATATCTATTATTGCAGCCTTAGGTTAGGTACCTAGTAGGCTGGCCCTCTATTGGTACCTACTCTACTAACTAGTACTACCTCCCTACCAATGTTTCTAGATAATAAGGCAAGTATGCACTATATAGGAGAAGTAGCGGAGACGGCCTGTTCTAGTACCGTATAACCGCCCGTACTATCCCTAAGTCCTGACTCCCGACTCCCTAAGCAGTAGGCTAGTGACCGTTGTCTCGACTCTCGAGTTCTCTCTAAAATAGCCTATAGGCCCTAGTCTTTGATCATGCCTACAACTGTCGAATGGATAGCCAACGACTAGAGGACCAGCAGGCTATAGGCGTAAGAATCGTAGTATCTCAAATTCTCAAGCAAACCATTATAGTCGGTACATAGCCTATAGCCTATAGCCCATATAAAGTCGGAGCATTCGCTTACCTCTGATGGTAAAGAAATCTCTTATGCTAATACTATCAATACCTACAAACAAACGCATTGCCTTCCTTCTTCTCTCTTTGCTCTCTAACGCCCTCGCTGGTCGAGGCCTAGTATATGTTGCTTTACTCACCTACCCACATACACACATATATATATATACTATGACTCTCGCTGGACGAGCAGTCTTGTTCTTATCAATATTATTAACCTTATGTTCTTGACATTAAATTAGCAACTTATATTACCTATCTAAGTTGTTATAATATCAGTTCCCTATAACGCCAAAATAAGCTTATCCCTATCCGAGTTCGTCAGCTGGTTGGATATTGACGTAAAAGGTTCCGGTAGCTTTGCTACTTGGAGAAAATAGGGCTAGATCGAAGTACGGGTGGGCTAGGAGTATGTACTCTCCTATGTAAGGGATTACTACCTTTATATGTCGGCACTTCCAGGCGAAGTTAGCCGAACCTAGAACGGTACCTGCCTGGCTGCTGCTCTGATAGTTATATATCGCAAGCCTAATAAGGACTGGACCATTTAGTCAGGCAACAAGAGCATAATCTTTATCTCTACTATTCCCTAGGGGCATCTATAGGATGGCACTAGCATATATATCTATATAAAGGAGCATAGGCACTATAACTGGAAGTTGGCCTCCTAGTATAATATAGTGGTCTATAATAAAAAGGGAAAGGGGTAGGATATACTTAGGACAATCGAAGGTCCTATGGCAATCTACGCCGAAGACTTGGCCATCGATATATAGTTGATATACCAGGATACCTATATAGCGAATTAGGAGATCCAGGACATAAGCATGCTTGTCTATAGCATTAAGGGCTTTAAGATTAAAAGACTCGACAAGCGTAGTAGTCCTACCAAGCACTAGGCTATTATAGCAGAGGGCCAGGTATAGCTATATAGACCTTGCGAAACAGACTTTTATAATAAGAAGCGGCCTTCTTGCCAAGAGGTTCTAGATAAAATGAATATCTACTGGTGCTTTGGTAATATTCCCGCTAAGGAGCCTATACCCAAGCCTCAGTTGCTGCCACTGCCACCCGGATACTATAGAGGAGGAGGCAGCGGCAGTAGCGGTAGCAGTGGTGGCGGCGCCGGCGCCGGCGCCGGCGGCTCCGGTTATCATCCGGGCTATGCTAGTGGGCCCGTTCAGCCCACAAGCTACGGGTCCAACCCCTTTACATCGGACGCTATAGCCGGCTTGGACCTGGCCTATGCCCGAAAGGGTATCGCTTATAATGCGGCCAAGCGTAGGAAAACTCCTGTTCCTCTCAACCGTACTAGCAGTAGCAAGCCAAGCACCAAGGCCGACCCCCCCGGGAGTCGTAATGCCCGCCCTCCCAATACCAATCCTGCCTCCTCCCTAAGCGACTCGCTTAGGAGACTGTCCCTCAAGGACAAGGGTCACAAGGGTGCCGGTGCCCCCGTCCAATAGCCAAGGGACTATGCCGTTCGCGCCTACAGCTACTACGCCCAGCCCCAGGGCACCACCGGGCCCGGCATTGGCGGTAGGGATATTATGAAAGTCAAGCCCCCGGGCAGCGTCTCGTCAACTGCCACCGGGACCAGGACTCCTGGCGCGGACAAGAAGCCACCCCGCGCGGGTTCGGGTTCGCAGGCCGCCCCGGCTGGCCAGGAAGTGGCCGCTTGTCACAGCAGAAATGATGGGACTTATGGAAGTCTCAGAACCGTCCGGGTCGGCGGCAAAAGGCGCAGGTAGGACGTGGAGTCGTGTATGTATATGTATGTATGCGTGCTAGGAAGTCCACCCGCAGGTCGGAACTCGCTGGACGAACCCCCGGTCAGGTTTGACAGAAAACATGGAAGAAGAATGTATTCCCCGGTTCTAGTTGCATCATATGGGGCTGGATTTCATAGTGTTGCCTCTAGGACATTGAGCAGGCCTCGGGGGGATTGTACGCTCATTATTTCCTGCCTAGGGTAGCCCTAGCTGCTAAGTAGGTAGTTGTAGTAGGTAGGTAGGTAGATAGATAGGTAGGTACCCAACTATGAGCTATGAGCTGGTCTCGGAAGTTTATCACTGCCACTGCCTACCAGGTATGCAAAGCAAAATCGGTTAACAAAGGGCTGCGCTTCAGCATCGAGGTGCGGACGTACACCGGCGTGCTCCCCGGCAGTGCCTTGCAACTCCGTCTTCAACAGCACCGCATTCCTCTCTATCATCGGTGATTACCGTAACGTCGAGGAAAACAAATGCTCTCCCATGGTCGTCATTGCTCTCATTGTCCGATAATCTTCGGGATGCAGGCATTCCACGCTCTCTTGGTTCCGGTGCGGCGCGCCTGAATGCTTTGTGGGGCGACATTGACAGCGAATCAGAGGAGGAGCTGGGACTGATTCAATCTGAATCAGTCTCGGCACATCCTCGGGAATAGCGCCCTAGTGCCTTCAGGTCTTCCATGCCTGTGACCAATCTACTATGTTAGGATGGATCGTTTGCCTCTCTAAGAAGTCGATGACGAACAGCTCCTACTATATTGTCACTTTCCAGGGTGGATTTTCATGACGACGGCGGGCGGTAGTGCTGCGCTTACCCTGGCGCTTCGGGCGCCGGGACGATTCCCGAGCCTCTCTCGATGAAGAGTCGCTGCGATCCGGACGGGTATGCCATTGATGAGGTCGTTTTGTCGATTGCTTCTCACCCGCATGTCCCGCATCCGGGAGGCGTTCCATGCCAGCCAGTAAAAACGTTACACGTATTCTATTATCCGCTAGTGTGATGTGTATTGATGTCCCCGGCAAGGCTGCCCGATTTATTTACAGCAAGCCCCGGAATGGTTGGCTCGGTCTGGTGTAACTACACGGATTATGAATGCCCCAAACATGCGTGACCAACTCGGCCGATTGTCGCTGACCCGTTTACATAGACGCCCAAAATCTGACTCGTTCTTGTTTGCGCTCTGAAACCATCCGCCTCTTATCCCCTGTCCTCTAGGAGGCCTTGGAACGACCTCCCAAGGCTCTCCGTCGCGGTTACCTCCAACAACTTACTTTACCCATGCCTACTCACATACACGTCTCCGTAATCTCATCCCCACCGAGGGAGTCTCTGGCCATCCAAAGATGCTAGTCTTAGCAACTCGAGCAAGGAAGATCTCTAGTGTAGCTAATTTTGGGATGATTGGCGATCAAGACCCGTTACCGGCCTGGTTGACCCGACCCAGAGCCACCCCTGCGTGGCCCATGGAGCCGTGGGATGACTGCTATCAATACCAGCTGTCTCGCCAGCCGTCTAGCGACGCGCTTAAGAGCCAGTCTACAGACACTCATAGCAGCATCCGGAATAAGCGCGAAAAGGACTGCAACTCGTCCCTGTCTCCTCCGTCCAAGTCCCAAACTATGGCGCGCTGCACAAGAGCCTTCAGTTTACCCTCGCATCTCTCAGTCACCCATACCTTGCCAACCAAGGGGGCGTTGTAAAGTAAAGGCAAGAAACAAGCTGCGTAAAGCATCGGCCGTATAGCGGGCTCAGCAGCCACTGAAGTAGCTCTAGGTGGTGGGAAAAGTGTAAACAGTGGGTAATGTAAACACATCCGCAGCTGTCGCGGAATGATCCCAAATCCCATAGCGAGAGGTGGAAGTGGCTCACATGACGGATATAGAGGCGACCAAGCCTGAGGACCTTAGTGATCTCGCGAGAGATTTCCTTGCCCTCGTCTTCTTGGCCCGTAGTTCCTCGAGCAAGATATTCGACCGTGCAATAAAACGGTCCCGGACTGCGATCAAGCACCAAAAGTCAAGTGTAGGCGCGTTGGGTCCACTCTCGGGTACTTCTGTTGAGACCTGGCATGTTAGAGAAACCAGAGCTCCAGCGCCAGCGCCAGCACCGTCGAGAAGGTCAGACACGAGTCTACTTACCTAGCCCGGCAAGAAGGCCTTTTGGCTCCATGCCAGTACTGCGGACCCTGACGACATACTTCAGGTACTGCTCCATCTGAAACTCCAAAGACCGGCGGCAAGCTTCCAGATGCGCCGCACGGTTCCTTGAGTCGGTGTCGGCCTCGTCCGGGTTTGCATTGCCTTCAAAAAGCTCATTCGGAATAAGCGCCCCGCTCTGAGAGCCGTGTCGCGGCCGTGCGTGGTACCCCACCGGCAAAAGCTGCTCGCGCTCAGCGTCCATCCGCTCACGGTCCGGGCTCCCTTTTGTTGAAATATCGGTGGTCTTCCTATGATTGCGTTTCGTCCAAATGCACCGTTAGCAGCGGAATTTGACGGGCATGAGAACATTAACACTGATTGTTGCGGGATTCGATGTGGTGGCTCGAGGGTGCCAATCGGAGGTGAACTGGCAGGCGAGCCAGGACAGAGAAACAAAAAATGAAAGCAGGCGGTGCGGACCCCGCAGCGAGGCTGTGCGACGCCAACTCTCGTTCTCGCGGCATGTGCGGACGTATTATATCCAATATCCTGCGACCTCCTTGGATATTGTTTCCATGTGGCTGCATGCGCAGGCCTCACCGCTCTAAGTATGATAACTATGGGCGAGCTGATTGGCTTCACTTCCCACCATCTCGTCTCGACAACGACCACCAACGGTGCCTGAGACGCCCAACCATGCGTTGCCTTAAAGACGTACCCGATGCCTCGTTGATGGGCCTACGAGAAGCTCAGCAATGGCAAGCCTTCGGACCCGGCAGCTAGTTGTGTCGGAGCCGGCTGGGAGCTCCGTCGTTCGTGTTTGCGTGGTCTCTATCCAAGCCATAAGGCCTTGCGCCCGCTATTGGAACCGGACAAGACTCTACCTCGAACTGCCACAAGCCCACAGCCCATCGTATTTGCCCCTGGGAGTCTATGGCGACAGAACGCTTTTCATCTTCTGGCGGCGGTGATGCGACCGAACTTCTCGGCGCCCAAGTCGCCACATCCCCTGTCACTAGCCTCCCTATGCCTACTAACGCACGCCCGGAAGCCCGGCGTTTCTGCATACAGTTGTACGCAAAGGGCCGGTCTGACACAGCACAAGACCATAACCGATTTGCAGACTTTGTCACCGAGAACCTTGGGCATCTCGGACCCAGCTGGGCCATTACTGCGGAGCCGCCTCCCGCCTGTCGGAGGGCTCCTCAAGAGATTCTCCTGGTGCAGGTACGTCTTGTTCTGGTCGTGGCCCTACTGCCCTGACCTACCACCCATGGTGAACATCACCGGGGCATGGGCCTCTGATAGGATACTTGCCGCAGGCTCGGGCCGAATTCAGGGGCAGCGACGGATGTACGAACGACGATGTCGAGAATCTCGCGGCCATACTCCGGGAGGCGGAAATACACTCGTTTCCTCAAAACCGCCGGACGACGTGCCTTTTTTTGCGCTTGCTTGAAATAGACCAGCTTGGAGAGCACCACGACAAAGTCATCGCGGCAAGGCTCCTCGATGGTCTTGTAGCCCACGAAAGGCTCGAGGATGATATCATTGCAAGGGGAAAGCGCAGCACGGTGGACATCGCTAAAGAAGTGTCAGTCCAGTCTTTAAAAGGCTTTTTCTATATCGCTTTCTGCCGGTACTCTGACCGACTACGGAAAGAAAGAAGAAGAAAAAAGAAAGGAGAAGAAAAAAATCTTTTCAAGTTGCTGTCGGTTTGCTAACAGATGAGGTCGGTACTCAACTAGTTAAGTGCCTTCACAGTCACCGGCATCTCCATAGCCGTTTATGGTGCTGTCGAAACATTCCAAGCATTGCAGAAGTACCGCCAGCGTCAACAGGCTGGGAGTAACCAGACCAATGCAGCTATGAGATCATGGCCGGCGCCAGCGGATACCACCTGGTCAAGGACTGTTTGGAAAGACCTGGAGAATCTCGTAAGACGACTCTTTTACATCCGCTCTGTAACTCCCTGGTATACCTAGTAATAAACCATAGCCCTACAGATGGACTGATTTGCTGGCTTCCCCGGCTAGGCCAATGCCTTTACAAACGCAGCCTCGACTCCGCCGTGGGTACGAGGTCAACTACGGACGATTGCCCAGGCGAGACGTGCTCTACTCGCGTCCCTTAGACCACTCGATGCCGCGTTCAATGAGGCCAAAGGCTGGGTGCAGGCTTGGTCTACTAGGGGCAAGGGTAAGTGGGACTGTTATTGACCGAGGGGTCCATTTGCTCATCTGGGTACAACCCAGTTACGGATACCGGAGAACAGCTATCCTCTGAGGAAGTAATCCAGTTCGCTCAGCTCATCGGAAGCTTGTCCCGCAGCGCAGACGATACAGCCGCTGTCCTGGACGTTCTCTCACCGTTACTCGACGAAAGATACATCCTGCCCGAAGCAGCCAATACTTTCTCGGCCGTCACTGGCGCTGTAGTTGCCCTGGCCGTGGCTTTCTTCTGGTGGAACCCTGTGGGTTGGACTGCGGGCGCTTTAGGGACTGCCGCATCGTTCGTCGCTGCGCACGGCACGGCATCGGCCGTGACGATCGGTGCCGGCGGTGTCACGGCGGCCGTATGTGGTCTCAAGGCCAAGATTGGCCATGATCAACGCAGGCTAATGGACGAAGGTACGTTAATACCCCGGGAGTAATACCCCGTCTCGCTGGCAGCCGGGCGGCAGCATGATCTTTGTGGGCTAGGCTGACCGCGCTCGCGTGTACTTCGAGGTGCTTAGTTCGCAATGCCAAAGCGACATACCAAGATCAGAAGAACTACGTTCTGCGCACTCTCGTCCTTATCCTTGTTGGGGAAGAACAGTTTCAGCATCTTGGGCACCAGGATCAGAAAAATATTTGCGACAGAATGGGCATCCAGATTAGCCTTTTGGGAGAGAACGGATTCAAAGCCGGGGCGCTCAAGACGATGTGGGAGGAGCTGGAGAAGGCTTACAATAGCTACTGCAGTAGCCTTCGCGCAGCGGCAGTCGTTATTGAGTCGAGTCAAGGCGGGGAGTAGTGTCATGTTTGGTAATATACTATAGCTACGAGGTGTTTCAAGAGACTGAATGTCAGCTTCCACGTTGCTCTTCTTCCCCCAGCCTCCTAAGAAACATCCGAGATCAAACCCCTGGCCAAAACAACCTCTCCACCTCTAGAAGCGACTTCTATTCCCCTCCACCCTCCCAAAATCTCCCCCTTCACCCGATTCTTCTACTCCTCTTCCTCCGCCACAGCCTCATCAAACCAAACCAAGTCTCGACATATCCAATCCAATGACCGACGGGAGACAACTTATATGGTTACATTTCATTACATTATATAAAATTATATCGGACGTGGGGGCGAGCAAGTAGACGTTCATACGCTTCTACCAAATCGCTCACTGGGACATCCAAGGGTATTCTAGTGATAATAGCAACTCTCCACAAATTTCCAAATTAGCGTCTGGTTTCTTGGTTTATACAAATTTGTTGGCTAGACACTGCGGCATATAAACCGCCGGACGAGAAGGGGACTAATTAACGTATACGAAGACCATAGTCGAGAGATTCGAGCTGGCCAGCCAAGAGAGATGGAACCGCAACTATCCATTACGGTGGATAGAGGCGATATGTTGTGATAAGCGGGACCACCCGTGGAATCCTAATCTTATTCAAGCTAGAGACCATGTGAAAGACGAAAAAGAATAGAAGATAAATACGGGATCAAGGGCATTACCCAGCCACAGTTAAATCTCGGACAATATTGCACTAACCTGACCATGAAGATGTTCATACTTGTCAAGCGCCTCCGTCTCGGCCACGTTTTCGTAAGGCTCCCATGTCTCCTCCCCACCCTTCCACTTCACAAGCAGTTCCACACTCCCGTCGTCCAGATCTCCTCTACCTCCCACTCTTCCTCCCCATCGGCATTGTCAGTCACCGGGGAGGGCGCCGGAGAGTAGCCACGCAACTGCCGAGCCCCGTTTTGAGTGGCGTCAGCGGTCTTGAGCTTGGTGTAATATATCGTCTCAATGGCGCCGGCGGTACGCCCCGGGAGTTGCTTGGCGATCGCGAGCCAAGACAGTCTCTGCTCCTTCAGCTGTCGGATCTTGGCATCGTCCTCTGGCGTGTATCTCGCCCTCCCCGAGGTTGAAGTCGGCTTCGAGTCGGCCGGTGGGTTCTCGGGCGTCTTGGACCGCATGCTCCTCTCTCTCGTCGGGCGTTGTTTCTGGGCTGAGAAAACGGAGCTTCGATTCTCCGCAATCCCGTGCCCCCTTCCATGAGTTGCACATGGGTCCTAGGTGAACTGCACCACAAAGGTGGGCGACGAACCGTCCATCGTAACGCGTTTGAGGACTGCGTTTCCAAGCGGCCATTCCTCGAACATCGCGATAGCGTTTCTGTCCGTCTCAGGGTCCCTTTCTAGGGTAGATTCCAGGGCGGCTTCTCGTGACGACGGCGGGCGGGTACTGCCGCGCTTATCCTGGCGCTTCGGGCGCCGGGACAACCCCCTAGCCTCTCTCCATGAAAATTCGCCACGATTTGGACGGGTCCGCCGCTGAGAGGCCGTTCCCCGGGTCGCGGGGGTCACAGCGCTCACCTTACGGCGCTTGCGGTGCGGCGGCCGGACGACATCATCCTTCTCGCTGTGCTCGGCGTCGCTGTCTACCGTAGGACAGACGCCCCCCCTCCTCATCGGCATTGCAACGACTAGCAACAGCTCTACTATTACGCCAAGTCGCTCTGTGTGGAACGGGGCATAGTTAACCAGCATTTGCCTCCTCAATTCCTTTTGGCTGGCACGTATGCCTTCATGCTTGTATGAGTGTCAGGAAACAAGGGCAAGGCGCCACGTGACCCTAGCGCAACCAAGCTCTATATAGTTGACCAAGAGTTCTGCCCTGGGCGGTCTGTCTTGAGCCTAGCGGTATTTTCCAGATGGGTGCCTCGTCACTAGGGAGCGGAGTGAACGACTTCGAGGTGTCCTTATAATGAAGGAGCAATGGGAGCAGATGCACTGGCTTGGGTTCTACGTTGCAAGGAGGGCCATGCGTTCGGCGTAGCGGCCAGTCCTAGAATTCCATTGTTTTGTACAAATGGGCATTGATGTAACGTGGACAGCGCATTAGAGAACCAACGAGTTCGACGACGTGATGTAGCTATATCGCGAGCTTCATTATAAGCACCCCGCCTATTAGTGCTGTTGCTGTTGGATGGACTGCCTAGATTCTCTAATCCGGCGTCTATAAGATCTCAGAGGTAGTAAGCAAACCAGGTTACCTAGGAAAATATGTGAGCTATGTATATGCTTCCGTACTATAGTATCCAATCAGGTCTCAATGCGCGACTATGGTCATCACTGGTTCTAAATAATCACAGTACGCATTACGCCAAGCTCCATCCCCCTCGGCCTTGCGCTCCCTTCCCTCCTTTTCCTTTTCCATATCTACTATACTGCCACTTGTCTCGCCACGCTATATACGTTTCTCATCTTTATCGCTTGTCTTCCCCTCTCTCGATATTTTTATACTATATATGCTCTCACCTAGCAGCTTACCTACCAAGCCCTACGTCCTTATAGCATAGCCGTCTTAAGACCTTCTAGATTCGCCTCTTTGTCGGCTATAGCTCTTGCTAATAACCGCTTGTCTTTGAGACTCGTCAACGTAGGAGTTCTCATAGTCTCGCTATACTCTCGCCCTATATATAGCAGCACCTTATATCGCAGGGTTTCATATAATGTATAGCCAATGCTATGTCTGCCTGGCGGCTTCTAGGCGTGATTGCGAGACTATGTCCCCGCTCTGACTATTAGTAGCAATGCCGCAAGAATTAACCGCGTCGAGACACGGAGGCGCGGAGAAGGCTACCCCTCCTCCCCTCTATTTGTCGTATTTAGAATATTGCCGTCTATAGAATACCTACGTTGTTGGCCGCAATCGGGCTGGATTTGAGCGCGGCTGTGGCAAAAAACGCAGGCCGCTGGTTGCGAGAAAGGCAGCTTGGTGTCTTGGATTAGATCGGATCACATGCTACGACTCTAGCGGCTATAGATAGATTTAGGTGGGCGGGGGCTAGCGTCGACGACCCTAAGTGCTCGGCTTAGCTAGGTGATCTAATTGGCAAGGGTCCTTAGGGCAGGTCGTAGCAGAACTAGGCCGAGGCGGACTCGACATAACGTGATCCCTCTGGTGCTATAGGCGGCTCGCGGGGGCTGAACCAACACGACGATGAGGCCTTGGTTAGGGACGATCTACCCAAGAGAGCCCTTTAAGGGAAAGGCGCGGCGTGGGCCTAACTATAGAGGTAACGAGGCGAACTCAATATAACATGACCTCTGAGGTTCTATAGGCAGCTCGCGGGATTGAGCTAACACGGCGATAAGGGGTTGGTTAGAGGAGATCCAACCGAGAAGATCCCTTAAAGGGAGGCTGCAACGCTAGCCTAACTATAGAGGTGACGAGGCGGACTTGATATGATATAGCCTCTTAGCTATATAGACGGCTCGCGAGTCACGCTATATAATGAAGGGGCTGACAACGGGCCTAGGAACCTATATTATAATAGGTGATTTGTTGTTATCGCTTCCACTAGAGTGAGATGGTAAAGGGACAAGACCATCGCATATATTAAGCAGCTTGTGACGAATCTCTTGCCCCAATCCTCTGAGAGGGACAATATGAAGGTATCTTGACAACGGGGTGAGGTTCGGTGAAGCCAAAAGGTTCACAACAATGCTTGCCGCAATGTCTGCACAATAGGTAAGGACTATTGCTTGAATTGCTCACTGAGAAAGCTAGCTATTTGAATGAGTGACAGAATGGTGGAACTATATATAGCTTCCTCCCCTAGGTATCCCCGTACCTAGATCTTTGGAACATTTGGAACAATTGTTGTTCTTATTGTTCCATCTGGAACACGTTCCTTGGCGTTGTTCCTTGGGAACAATTGCTCTTGGCATTGTTCCCAATCTTCCCAATCCTTATTGGTCCTTCCTGGCCCATAATGATTGGACGCAGGCGCTACCCGCTAGCCATATAGGTCGGCCCCTACTGGCCTCTGTAGGTTAATTCATATCACGAATTAACCAACGGCAGGCTGCAGGGTAGACGGCCGTATATAGGGACGCGGGGGCGTTCCGAGCCAGTCATTTGGGATAATCAGGCGGACCAGTCAGAACTAGGCGCAGGTGCTAAGGTGCCAATGCCATTGAGCACTCTGCAGGATGTAAGTGATCAGAATGATCAGGGGCATATTACGATGAGCACCTGGGTGCTCATCCAGATCGAAGCACTGAGCACCCAAGAGGATAGCTAGTATATAGTCACTCGTTCTGGAGGACTCTGGGAGTTCTCCAGTGAGCAATTCAAGCAATAGTCCTTACCTATTGTGCAGACATTGCGGCAAGTATTGTTGTGAACCTTTTGGCTTCACCGAACCTCACCCCGTTGTCAAGATACCTTTATATTGTCCCTCTCAGAGGATTGGGGCAAGAGATTCGTCACATGCGTTCTATACGATTTAGACCCCCTACCGACCTACTCGACTCGGAAACGGGCATTCTAGCAAGCTATAGTCTACCTTGCTACTGCTCTATCGCTACGCTAATGCAAGTAAACCTTAGGATCAGCGCGTATACTCATTGCCAGTTCTGCTCCTAGCTCGCATTATAGTCGAGGCTTTCCCTCTATTATAAGCAGCAGGGTAAGCTAGCCCCTAGGTCAGGCTATATAGGCAACGGGCGCGTCCAATTCGGTATTGATCAGCTCGGTCAGGTTGACGAACGTTGGGGCAAGTACGCCAGGTCATTGAATCCACATTGTGACGTTGTCGCATCTTCTATAGTAGCCCCACCATTGGCTTTTAGTATACTATAGAATGGCTCGCTCCTAGGCCGATATGGCCGGTAGATCGCCCGCTAGTGCAGCTAGTCGAGTGGGGCTAGTCGAGGGCATGAACACGAAAGCGGCTGCTAGACGAGTAGGAGGGTCGCAAACGCGTTTGGTTGGCTAGAAGCACGATCTATAACGCGTTGTATAAGCTCTATCACCAAAGGCGATAGTAGGTTCACACCCGAGTATAGCTAGAAAACGGCGTTGATAAACGGAGCTATGAAACTAAGCACGAACACGTTCCCTACCGTTTTAATCATCAAAAACGGTTCCGGCACGTGATCTAGGTTCTGCTGAGTCAGCAAGCCGACCTAGATTGAAAGTGAATTAACGTTACTCGGTTTAGATTCGCGTTTTTGGTTTCCCCACAATAGCGACATCTTCTTGTCCTTGTTGTTGTTCAAAGGGGGCGGTTTCTTGTCCTTAGAGCGACCAGTTCTGGACCCTTTTGAGCAGACAGGGAAGATTTATATGCAAAATCATCCTGCACCGTGGCTTTGAACTTACAAGCCACCAAATGCGGATTCAAGGCACGGGCATTGGAGGCCGTGAAAGCATAACAGACAGACGTCTCCAGGTATTTTCTCTCCTTCCCTCTCTAACGTAGCACGAACCTATGGCCAGTGGACGGCGTTATCAACAGCGGCAGTGCCTAGAGCGCCCATCTTGACGGTTGAGCATGGCGAGTCGTAGACGGAGGGGTGGATGAGCCGGGCTTCGGGAACGTTGTCCAAACCGAGCTGGATAAGGGTGTTTCCGTTTGGATCATATAGCGGCCCTGCAGAAACTGTCAGGACACGGCACGGCGACTAGAGAAGATGGCATGAAAAGTACTACGCTTACGTCCACCGTAGAAAAAGACGAGCACCGGCTTGTTCGCCTTCCCGGCATTGGCGGGTTGTGGCCTGGTCCAGATATTCAGGGTCAGGCAGTCCTCACTCTGTGGCGTACCCGCGGCAGAGGCAAAGTAGTTGACTATCCTCTGTGCCTCGGGCGTGAAACCCGGGTAATTGACTGGCTTCGATGCGGTCAAGGGGCAGTCGTATCCGAAGGCGGCGGCCTCGTACGCATCTGTTGCAACAAACGTCTGCGTCGGAGCAAACCTCAAGTCGCCCACCGGCGGCTTCGCGTACGGAATACCCAGGTACTCTAGGACACAACCGGTGCTGTTGCTATGTGTCCTGTGATGGGCCCATTGGAGGTCTCAACCGTCAGGTATTGGGCCGCGTCCAACTCGCAGCTTGACGGTGCGCGAGTCGCGGATGTCAAGTTTGCATACAGGGAGAGGCCTCTAAGCAGTGCAGTCGACAGCATGGCAGAAACGACGAGAATGACGAGAATAACGGTGAGATGGAAGACCCAGCAGAGGGGGTTGGCAAGGTAGTACCGCGCCGTGTTCGAAGCTGCATTAGCAGCATATGCACGCCCGGGTCGGCCGGCTGATATATTATGGGTCCTCATTAAGGTATCGCCAATAACGCTCCGCTGTCCGCGTTCATGATGATATCAACATTGGAAATACCCTAGTATATCCAAGGTAGTCAGGTTGTAGTTTGGTTACTGCAAAGCTACTTTCAGGGGTACCTCTTTGCAATACGATTTTGGTTTCGCTATAGTAGAGTGGGCATCGCCCCCTGCCCTGAAAATGCACCAATATTCCCGTGGATCCTGTTTGGATTAAGAAGTGGATGGCGAGGCACCGTGCCGATATGGAATCCTCCCCCCGGATGAGTGGCTATAGCTGCTGTGTAGCCGCCGTGGATGGAACGTTCCGCCCTCTTCCGTGACTTCGAGTCCTCTTTTGATCACCGCTAGATCAGACTTCCGAGCAAGAAGGATCTCGCCTCCCCTGCCAATGCCAAAAATCATCCTACTCACCACCACGGAGCCGATCCAATCGTTAGGCAAGAAGAAGTGCCGAGTGAAAGAACCGTCGACGACAGCGCTGGACCCATCGCCGGGAGAAACGGGTGGCTGGAGCTCGACGGAGGCAATCCAATGGTCTGCCGTGTAGAGCACTAGGCGAGCGCCAAAAACACCAATGATGTGCGCTACTTTGGAGGGAAGCGCGTCGAGTTTGCTTCGTGGCACATGAACCTTTGCGCCATCTTCAACGTCGTTATAGTCCCAAAGCAGAATTGAGTCCCCCTGCGCAGCATTGCTAGCAGTTGTCATAGCCTTATCCTGTGCTTTCGATATCTTTGTGTACGTCGCGAAATATTGGTGGTGAGCCAAGGGAGCAAAGCGGTCAAGGCGTATGTCTTCATCCAGTGATAGAGAAACTTTCTGGACGAGCGTCAGGTTTGCCCAGTCGTAGACCAGGAATTCTCGTCTTGTATCGCTGACGAGAAGCAGCCGGTCTGACTGAGAGCCCGGACGGCTTATCCAGCGGGAACCGGCGCTCTGACCCTGGGAAGTGTGTTGGCAAATCCAAACCCCTTCGCCTCGTTTTGGTACCGGCCATAGCGTATCGTGCTTCTCAGTGCTCACGAGCAACCTATGATGCGTCGAGGATAGTAGGATCTGCCTCAACATGCCTGTGTGTTGACCTGGTGTCTGGCCTTCAAACAACAGCGCACCTACTTCCCAGTCTTTTTGAGCTCGTCGGCTGTCCGGTCGCGAGACATTCCTCACTGTGAATGCCCCTGAGCGGTCACCGCAAGCTAGGAGTGAGTCTCGGTCGTCAAAATGGAGCAGATGGGCGCCCCATTGCGCGCTTTGGATGAACAGAAGCTGCTTTTGTGGTTCCGGTCCGGACACGTCGTAGGCGAAGACGGAGCCGTCCTCCATTCCACAGAACACCGCGCTGGACTTATAGGAACAAGCGATGCTGCATATCTCGGGGACCGCGGCGGCCGTTATTTGATGGTCGACCTCCTGGGGTCCAGTGGATACGGAGACGGTGTCACTACTAGTCTCATCATCTTGCATATCCGTGCGTAAAAGGACGGTTGGCTCCCAAACACGACATTGCCTGCCACGGATTTCGATGAACCGAAGACTGTCCGCGGTAAAGCAGAGGGCAGTAGGAAGAATCTGCGTGTCAAACCGGACGCGGTACAGCGGACGGAGTGTTTCAAATTCGAAGAGCGTAAAGTTCCCCATGGAGTCGGCTCCGGCGAGGGTCCGGCCGTCGCGGGAAGCGGCCAGCACCATCGTGTTGGCGTCCTCGGTGAAGGCAATGGCCTGCCCTCTATCGATATCATATACAACAAGATCGCCATCCGTGTACGTGGCTGCGAAAAGATTGGTGTCGAGGGCGTGGCCAAACGCGGCAGCACGGACGGTCGTAGACCCCTCGGCCACCTTGTGACTGCCGAAGACATGTATCGACCCCGTGTTCTTTTCGTAGGTGTCATAGATCCCGTTATCGATGCAGTCCCAAAAGACGACGTTCTCGCCTCTGTATATCACAGCGAGAAGGTGGGTAGCTAAGCCGAGCTCGGCTAGCATAGGGGTCCTACCTTGCATCGTCTCGGGAAGATCTGCGGTCCATGTCACGGCTTCTTGGTGAGCAGAGACATTAGAGTCGACGTCCCACTCGATCAGCCGGTTTTGCTTTGTCACCACCCGCAGGACGGTATCCTCATCCACGAATCCTAGGTTGAGACATAAGGAGGTGATCTTGAAGGATAACAGCTCCGATCCGTCAATCAGAGACCAGACCCGGACTGCTCTCGCGCCGGCAGAGGCGAGAAGTCGACCGCTTTCTGCAAAAGCCAATCGCCAAACTGGCTCGCGGTGAAAGAGTGTATGTATCTCCTGGAATATGGTGTCGTCGTAGACAAGAACTTGCCCGGCCATGTTCATTATTCCGACTGCAAAATACCCCGGCCCTGCAGCCACTGCATTTGGTTTCATTCCTTCAGCGTAGGTAATTGTCGTGAGGCAGTCATCCCAACCGCGGGAAGACAGACCTTGCACACTGAGGCCTCGAACCGGGTTTGTGAACTGCCGGCATATGGCCGAGTCCGGAGGGCAGAAGGGAGGGATGAGATGATGGATTGCTCTGGGGGAATGCCTAAGCCATCCAGAGAAATTGGTCACCAGATGGATCAAGTCGTCTCCCCATTTCTCCAAGAGTGCGAACTTCCCCTGCCTCCGCGCAAGACCCACGGGCGGTGAGTGCTGCGCCCTGCGATGCAGGAGTGTGTTCAGGGTCTTGCCCGCCTGATAAACGGTGCGCAGGTCTCCATTAGTGGCGATGAACTCAATCCAACGGAGGAGATTGTTGCTCGCTAGGAAGTTGGAAAGCATGACGAGTAGTTCTTCGTCATTTGAGCGAACATGGTTCAGGTGCTGGAAGAGGAAGTTGGATGCGTAGTCCGTAAAGGGATCCGGATTTTCTGGCGGCGGCTGGGGTGACGGCGCGCGGCCATGGCCAACCTGGCCTGTCTCGTTTTCAGACCCGAGTCTCCTCGACCTGATGGGTGTCCTCTGGGAGTCCTGTAGTAAGAACCTGAGACACACAATGGCTAACCTGCGATGGCCTTCTGCTTTGGTGAGGATGAAGTCTGACTCGGCGCCCTTGCGTGTGAAGTATTCTCGAGCTGTCGAATGCACGAGTTGGACCTTTTCGTACTGATCCACATACACGAGGCTTCCGCAGCACCTCGATATGGCTCGCTGGACATCGTCGATCTTGTCGTTAATGTCCATCTCAATAGGCGTTTGTATTTCGGCTACGCTGAGCGGCCGAAACGCGTAAGTCGTCCATGCAATGATTGCCTTTGCGGTCGCTCTGCCGAAACGTGCGGTCTCCATCTTGGCCAGGATTTCGCTGTACACAGCGTCCATGTTGGATGGTGTACTCTCGATGACTTTTGTGATCTCTCTCTCACTGGTCACCTGACGGAGCTCAGAGCATATTATGGACGCCCACAGAAAACAGCCCCGAGACCTGTCGAGAATCGCCGAAGCTATCTGCTCTGGGGTGCGCCATTTGTCCGAACCAGGGCATGGCAGGGACGGGAGGTTTGCTTTGAGCAGGAGCGAGATGTCTTGCAAACTATCCTGCTCCAAGATTGTATAGCTCCGTATATCGATTTTGGGGTTGGCTCCCTTCTGGTGTGCATCCATCGTGTCTCTCGACGTGACAAGAACCGATAGAGGCCAGTGTTCCTGAATGCGGGTGAGGAACGTAAGCATGTCAGCGGCGTTCCTGCATTCGTCCATCGCGTCGATGACCCAAAACTGGGGTCTGTTCAGCTTGACTTTGAGAATCCCCGAGAGAAACACCTTCCGCCACACGGAATGCGGGTCGACTTTGTCGATCGGACTATCTCTCCAGTCTGACATGACGGCCTTCAACCTGTCATGGATACCGGGGTGTAACTTCGCCATTTGCCATGCCATCGATCGCAAGCAGCCATTTGCCGTTGACTTGACATTATCCCGCGCCTGGAAAAAGAAGAAGCAGCAGTCTAGGCCTTGGATGCGCAAGTCGCCGATGATGTGGCTGGACAGGACACTTTTCCCGGCTCCAGGGCGTCCACGAAGCCAGAGGAAAGACGAATCCATGGAGCCTTTCCAGGACTGGTAGTAACTCTTGCTGGTGAGCCATTCACACGACCCGGGAAGTTTGATAGACTCTTGTATCATCATGTCGTCTTCCGGGCCGTCGGAGACGCCCAGAAAACGGTCGAGAGCGTCTTGGTCCTCCTGCGCCGCGGTTCGGATTTGGAGTCGAGAAGTATCCCTTTGAAACGAAATGACAGTTGCCAGAGCATTTCTGACCGACACGTACGAGGGGTCGTCCGGTGTTGAGTACATAGCCACGTTGCGGTGGTCTGCATCAAGAAATGTCCTCCTCTCATTGGCGAGATTCATCACAGAGCTGGACTTTTCGACGATGAGCATCTTGTTGACCCCGACGTTCATGGGACGCGTCTCGTAGAAGGAAAACAGCTGGATGTTGCTGCAAACTCGCGGGAAGTCCTCGCTAATACTCTGGATTAGCGGCGACTGTGGAAAGAGATCCTCAACAAATGGGCGGTGCCCAATCATAGCCGTCAGGCGCGAAAGAGTTTGTGCGATGGCAGCGCCCTGGTGGGGGGTTGCTAAGAAGAAGATCGAGCAGACACGGTCGACAACCGGTTTGAATTCAGGCTCACGGGATCCGAGAATGTAAGCCTTTTTGACAACGAGTCCTCCCATACTGTGGGCGACAAAGATTAGGGGCGGCTAGAGTACCGATTTGGGTGCGAGTCAACGGAGCTGCTCAGCACAGATGGTTGCTGACAGCCTGACAGCCTTTGGATGGGGCAGCATACCTGTTTTGACTTCAAATTCATAGAGGGTGAATCCTTGACAGAAGCGAGAAGGGATCGAGCAATGTCGGAAATGTTGATGATTGACTCTCTTGTAACCCCGGATGGGTAACCAAAGGTATGAATGCGCACGTCCCTGAAGGCGTCGTCTTCAGGAAGCCACGCCCGTGGCCAGAAGCACTCGGCGCTGTTGCCCCTCCTCCAAGTGCTGTGTGAGCCGCCATTCAGACCGTGGACAAAGATCAGGTCAGCCACAGGTGGATTCTCTGAGGCCGGGATGTAGAGTGTCGTGAGGCCCAAGGGACCCTTGGGTTCCCGCTCCGCGCCATCGCCACCCCCTTTCTTGCTTAGGCTGAACGAGGAGCGCGAGATGAAGGACCTCGTAGAGAAAGTCGTATTGGTGTGCGTGATACCACCGGTAGGGGGTTCCATAGCGCGAGTATCTGCGCCCACAGCATCGCCTGGGACCCGAAGACAGTGAACGCTAATACTGTGGAACAGTCAGGTTGCGGCGGTTACGGAGGAGGGCTCGGGTCGAGTCGGGAGTCTATGTTCAGCAAGTACGCCGTATAGGAGCCGCATCCATAGAAAACTCGTTGGTGAGGCCCGTGAGGGGCTATGTGACACTGCGGCTGGCTCGGAGGCCAATTTGGCCGAATGTGCGCATACGGCAGGGCCGAGGGACTCGTCGGAAGGGCACAGTGCAGATTTGGGTGGCATTTGAGGTGCTTGAAACCAGTGCGTCAAAGTGCAGAACGCATCACAGAGACAGCACAGGGGTTGGAGTGTGGCACTGGCCAATGAAAACGGGCTGGTAGCCGCGGTCATGCATGCACACAGCTTCAACAAGGCAACAGACGAGGGGCTCTGAGACAGTGAGGACTGAGTTGCGTCGTACAGTACAGTACAAGGCGCGCTTCTGCATACTGATCTGCACTGCCCGGCCAAGTAGCCGACCGCACTCAGAGGGTTGAGACGGGAATTGAAAAAGGCTGGGGTTGCCCGTCCATCTCATTTGATTTGGAACAGCACTCCCCAATTCCCATCGTATGTGTTGTATTGAATAGGTACGGTATCCCATGCCGTTCACACTCCTGATCCATATCAAGCCTCAACTTCCAACCGGATAAAACGCTCCAATCGAGCAAAGATGACGGACAGGGCCTTTTGGATCCGGAACAACCCCATTCCTGTGGAAGTGATCAGCTATGTGGACCAGGGGGTTCGTGACAGTAAGCATCACCCCGTGTCTTCCGTTAATCAGTATGACGGCGCCCTGTTCAGATTTCGGTTCGCTTAACAAATCATGCATCGGAAGAGCTACCACCGGGAACCCAAATCGAGGGAATCAGTCCTCACGGAGTCTCATACTGGTCACGGACGGCCATGATAGAGGCCACAGACGAAGAAGGGAATCCCACCCCATTCTTCATCAAGGTGATTGCTCCAGGGCCAGTCCTCATTATTGCAAGCCGCTCACCCGCCGAACAGGTCAACAAGTTTGAACTTGGCAAGGACATGGTCTCGTCCGAATACTTTGCCATGACGTTGCTTCATAGTGTGGCGCCGGAGATGTCTGCTGAGCCCCTGGCCTGGGGCGCTTACACCGAGACAGCAGACACCTACTTCCTCCTGGCACGATTCCATGAGTTTTCGGACGACATCCCAGACCAGCAAAGCTTCCCAAAGCTGGTCGCTGAGTTCCACCAGCGCGGCGCGTCGAAGACAGGGGAGTTCGGGTTCCCCATCACCATGTATGGCGGTCGGAACCCCCAGACGTTCCCTTTGTGTAAGAGCTGGGAGCAGTGCTTTTCGAAAGGCCTAGAGAAAATCTTCGACATGGAAGAACAGACACACGGGCCAGACGAAGAGATGCGGCGCCTTCGAGAGGGTCTCATGACCAAGGTCATCCCCCGACTGCTACGGCCCCTGGAGACGGAGGGCAGAACCTTGACTCCGACGCTGGTCCATGGGAACTTGTGGGATGGCAATGCTTCAGTTGACGTGACCACTGGGCATCCGATGTTTTATGACTCCACCCCTCTCTATGCCCACAATGAGTGTACGCAGCACCCACCAGACGATGATGATGGATCATGGGATGTGAGATTGCTGACAGCGCACAACAGATGAACTAGGCCCATGGTGGCCGCGGCGCCACAGGATGAGTCGTGGGTATATTCAGGAATACAGGAAATACCTCAAGCCGTCTCAGCCAATTCAGGACTTCGACGATAGGGTAGCGCTCTACGCACTGTAGTACATCCAGGCTCGTCTTGTCGGGGCATGGCTAATGGCATGATATAGTCGTTTCGACCTTCACGCATCCTCGCTGTACCCCGGGAACCTTCGGCACAGGCATTTGTAGGTGATATTCTAGACTAAGGCCCTCTCCAGAAAGAGGACACCATCTAACCTCACGGGAACCTCAGAGTGTTGGAGACGATGAGGGAGTTGCTTGGCAAGTACCCCCTCGGATATGATGGGTATCTGTTGGAGAACGGCCTTGCCTTGAGCACAGCAAGCCTTGCAATAACCAGCACTTTAGCAGCTGGGGCGAACCAAAACATCGTAGCTGAGGGGGGCCAAGCGGTGAGCAGTGGAGAGACGGGGGAGCCGGAAGATGGCGAGAAGGACGGCGGAGTGTGAAGCCAGGTCGAGAAGCGGATATATCAGATGTGCAAGGGCGAAAGCACACTTTTGACAGTAGTACCTAGGGTAGAACCGCGGTCTTAGTAGAGCGATGGGTGTAATAGTGTTGTTCCAGCCTTTAGGCGCTGGTGCGCTGGAGGTGACCTGCAGTGGCACAGCCCGAGCTCGAATCATAACTGCCTGGGATTGTGCCTCACACTTTGGTGTCGGGTAATGTATTGTACCACAGGAATGAGCTGCCGCTCACGCCCCGGTCTTATTGCAGACGTCCAACAAACCTCGACCCGCTTCCGCGCGTGGCGGAACGGATTGGCTCCGACAAGGGTAGTCAACTCCTTCCTATAATAAGAGTTCAACAACCCCTCCCAGATGCAACTCATCCTGGAAGTTCCTGCAACGTCCGCCGTTCACCGCCTGAGAACTCAACAACATGCAGGGCGATGAAAACAACGAGAAGAGCAAAGACAACGCTCCAACTCAACTACCACATCGAGTCACAATTTCGAATCCATATACAACATGGACCACGCGAGACCGGGCCTTCCTCGTCTGCCTCCTCGGCTACCTCGCGCTCGCATCCTCGCTGACGGCCAACATCTACTTCCCCCTCCTGGACCTGCTCGCGGAGCGGTACGAGGTGTCCACACAAGCGATCAACCTGACCATCACGCTGTTCATGGTCTTCCAGGGGATCGCGCCCTCTTTCTGGTCGCCGCTGTCGGACTCCTGGGGCCGGCGGCCCGTCTATCTCGCCACCTTCACCATCTACACGGCCGGCTCGCTGGGCTTGTCGATCGTCGACAGGAACTACCCGGCCCTGCTGCTCCTGCGGGCCATGCAGAGCGTCGGCGGCTCGGCGGTCCTCTCGCTGGCCTACGCCGTCGTCGCCGACGTGACGGTGCATTCGGAGCGGGGCCGCTTTCTGGCCCCTATGCTGACGGCGACCAACATCGGCCCTTGCATCGGGCCTATTATTGGTGGCGGAGCCGTGCTTGCGTCGGGGGATCCACGGTGGTGTTTCCGCGCGCTTCTGATCTTCGGCGCGTCCGCTGTGTTCCTCATTGGATGGGTCCAGCCCGAGACGGCGCGGACTGTGGTGGGTAATGGTGCTGTCCCGGCCAAGGGGCTCTGGAGGACGTGGTGGAGTTTGTTATTTGCATGGCGGGCAAAGAGAAAAAATGTGAAGGAGACAAAGGAAGAGGAGAAGAAGGCCGCTCAGCCTGATCTTGAACAGCAAAGTGGTCAGAACAATGCCGGACAACAAGAAACGGAAGCCGCAGTCAGCGTGGAAACGGACGCAAACACGGGCAAGATAGGCCGAGGGAAGTTCATCTTCCCCAACCCCTTACCGTCTGTCCGCATTGTTTTCTACCCCGACACATTCCTCACCCTGTGGCTGGCCGGCTGCCCCTACGCATTGTGGTTCTGCGTGCAGACCTCCATCACGCCGGTCTTCAGCCGGTTCTACGGCTTCAACCCCCTGGAAGTCGGCTGCTGCTTTCTGGCGGGCGGCGCCGGCATCATAGCAGGCGGTTTCGTGGCTGGCCGACTCATGGACCGCAACTACAAGCACGTTGCCAGAAAGGCCGGCTTCACCATTGACCGGGTCCGCGGCGACGACATCGCGCGCTTCCCCATCGAGCAGGCTCGCTCCCGGTGGTCGATCACCATCACTGGCGTGTCGATGTGCTTCGTGATCGGCTACGGTTGGCTGGTCGAGCGGCGGGTCCACCCTGCCGTGCCTCTGCTCTTCCAGGCCTATCTTGGATGCAAGTGCACCGTCCTCCATCAGACGTACAGTGCCTTGATTGTGGACATCTTCCCCAAAGCGACAGGGACAGCTGCGGCGTCAAACAACATCACGCGTTGCACCTTAGCTGCGGCAGCGGTTGCGATGTTGGATCCCTTAGTCAACGCTATGGGATATGGGTGGGTGTTCACGCTTCTGGGTCTGTTTGATGCGGTGAGCTGCATCCTCGCTGTATTGGCGTTGCAGAGGTGGGGTCGTGGTTGGCGGGATGGTCGTGCGGAACGCCTCAAGAATGCCGCTGGTGCATAGGAGGGAACTCTGAGGTGGTTGGCTAAGTGGGAATAGACCAAGACATGAATAGAATAAAAATAGGACCAAGTGACTTCCGGGGACTGGCAGATGCAGCTAGCAAGAGTCAAGACACCGGCATCTGGGCTAAGAGCCGAATAATCAGCTTATAGACTGACTCCGGTACTTATACCAAACAACGCTGTACCTTCCTCGGATTATCCGGATAGACGCCTGATGGAACATAGTATGCCACCAGCACAGTTTCCAGAGGAGTCAGCGATCACCCAGCCATAACCTCTGTGTCGTCCCACATCCTCAGCCCCCTCACCTTCCGAGTATCTCGATCTCATCCGTAACTCCCCTGATTTCGTTCATGCAGTATAAATGAGTCCCGCCTCCGTTCGCTAAAGCCATGCCAAACCCCTCCCAGGGCACCTCAACACCGTCGGCGCCCTCGCCAAACAGATACAGCGGATCGACCGTCCCCACGGTAAAGCAGACGAGGTCGGTCCACGCCGAGGTCAATCGCCAGCAGATAAACGAGCCGCAGCATTTGCAGATAAGATACTCGGCGGTTTCGTTGATGCGGTTGGCTTGGAGAGTGCGAGTGTCGGTGATGAAGTAAAAGGAGGTACTGGCTGGTGTGACCATGTGCACGCTGACGAAGAGTGAGCCGGTCTGCTTGCGGCAGTGCGTGCATTGGCAGGTGTTGGACTGTCGAAAGGGAGCGTTCGTCGGTTAGGAGGCCAGGTTGCAGCTTGCAAGGGGGGTTGGCTAGCAAGATGGACGGCATAGCCCAGAACCTTCAAGAGGAGGCAGGGTCCAGATATCGAGCCATTTACGTACAGAAGCCTGAAAATTGTGATCTTGTGGAAAATCGACACGGTAGCGGAGGCAGTCACAGAAGCAGCCGCCCGTGATGAATTTGGGGGTGGGAAAGCTGTGAGCCATCGTCTCGTTGCGTTGATGGCTCGTTATATTCAAAGAATAGAGATGTGCCGTTTCGGAAGACACAAGGACAGTACAGCTATAAGTGGTTTGAAAAAGGTCGGTGGTGAAACAAACTTAATAGCATAGTAGAAGCTTCACACCAGCGTGGAAGTTCACAAACGCTTTGACCCGACCCAAATGCACCTGTGATAACCGCGCCAACATCGCACCTTCCCAACACCCCACATACAGCGAGTGTGCCTTTGCTTGATGCCTTGGGGAAGGCATGCTCCTGGCAGCTATCTGCCCGCACGACTCCGACACCCCAAGGTACAGGTAATGCACCGTCACGGCTGTCTTGACACCCCAACCACCTTGGCTGGTAGCTGGCAGGTGCATCTTACAGGTCATCATGCTGCGCTTACTCTGCAGCTCGCCCGCGCGTTTTCGTTATGCGATGTGTTGTCCAGACAAGACGTAGGAATCAACGCGAAACCTAAGACCTCCTCAAGCCATACATCACCACGCCCACGGACCAAGCTTCAACCTGGAGGCAAGACGCAGATACAAACTTCACGCCCCAGCCGTCTCATCCACGGCCCCGTGTCTTCCCGCCCGATGGTTCTCCTTCAGCTGAATCCTCTCCTCGGCTGTAAACAGGCCATCACCGCTCTTCTCCCCCAGCTTCCCCTGCTGGACATAATTCACCTTCAGCCATGCCAAGTGGCCCGCACTGCCCAGCTCCGGCCTCCTCTCCAGGTGATGCTGCTCGACCCTCGCCACGACGTCTAGCCCGACCTCATCCATCCGCTCGCACGGGCCCTTCTCCGCATGGAAGAAGTCCCTGAACAAGGCATCCACATCCGCCGGCTTGGCCACGCCGTCGGCGAGGACGGCCAGCGTCTCGCGCTTGCACGCGGCCCAGATGCGGTTGAAGATGAAGCCGCGGCTCTGGATGTCGCGGGGCATGACGACCGGCACGAAGCCGACACGCCGCATCTGCGCCGCCAGGAAGGGGAAGATGGCGGCCGCGGTCTCGCCCGACGACATGAGCTCGACCATGCGGTTGCGCGGCGGGATGAAGTAGTGCGTGTTGAGCAGGCGGTGCGGGTGCAGGAGCGGGCCCTCGGCCGCCATCTCGGCCGTCGTCAGGCTGCTGCTGTTGGACGCGAGGATGCAGTCGGCCGGCAGGGAGCGCTCGAGCAGGGCGAGGACCGACGCCTTGAGCGGGAGGGACTCCGGGAGGCATTCGATGGCCAGCCAGGGGGCGTTGGTGTGCTCGCTGGCGGCGATGTCGCCGGCCGAGTTGCGCTCCGGGCTGCCCGAGGTGGTGGTCGCCGTGCGGAGGTCGCCCGTGGTGCGGACCTGGCCCGGGTGGGTGTCGCGCTCGGCGCAGAAGGAGCCCAGGTTGTCGGTGATGTATTCTGTTGCCGAGTGTAGGGCGTCCGGCGAGATGTCATAGATGGTTACAGGCCGGTTATTGGAAGCCCAGACGAGGGCCACGCGCCGTCCGATATTGCCCGCGCCGACGACGAGCACCGGTCGCTGGTTGAGGCTCTCGTCCGATGGAGGGCGCCACTTGGGTGGCTGTGATCCATTGGTGGCCGTGTTAAGTAAACCGGCAGAGGTACTGAATGCGGAGTGATAAGGTCTGGGTGAGTGACTGAAGGGGATGACAGGTCTGTGCAGTGAAGCTAGTGGTGACCCTCGAGAGACTACCGCGGAATCTGAAGCGAAGATTGGCCGTAACGCTCTGTACGATGCCAGATTCCTCGCCACAAAGGCCCGCTTGCCGACGGCCAGGGTTGTTGGAGTTAGACCACTCATCATACGAAGCATCGCAAGTGAAATGTCACGCTGGTCAAGATGGCATTGGGGTGGATTGAGCGATGTGTAACTTGTTGACGTCGTACGCAGTTTGATGGAGTAAGCCAAAGGGGCCTTCCAGTCAAAGTGATGCAATCCATCTGATCAAATGGCTGTTTAATTAAATATCTAGGACAACGCAGGATTCTTACTCTTGGCTCCGTCAGTCCGGTGTAAGTGGTGGGGTGACGAACATCTGACGATCTTGTTTTCCCCGCACGATCGGTCGTCTCTTGCATTGTCTGCCCCATATTGGAAGCTGGAATCATATTTCACGTTGCCTCTAGGTTTTTAAAAGGCAGAGGCGGGGTTGAACATGCAGTAATCGATGTTTTGTTGGACCCGATACACCCACGAAGTCTTGTGCTGTTGCGATGTCTTTCTCTGGTAGAGTTAGTATTGTATTCCCGTCGTCAAGAGACCGCCGCTCCTGTTTCTTACCAGTGCAGCTACTGCTGGACACGGCGAATGATAAGATGAGTACGATCACTTGGGTGCCACCGCTAAGGCAGCCGACGCGAGGTTGTTCTACTTGAGTAACTACTCGGGCTTGTACAGGCAGAGGTAGAGCCGTGTAGAGAATTCCGCAATGAAGTAGCTCAGGATAGACGAGATAACGCGACGAAGAGCCAGCCATAGACAAGGCGAGGACGAGGGTGTTGTACAGATCACTGCTGGGCATTCTGCCAAGATCAGATATTGGACTATTCAACCAAGATCACAATGTTGACAGTGCGTCGACGATGGACTCTCATGATGTAGTCGAAGATCGCGCCGATAACGGTACTACGCGAGGGCGTCTTTGGCAGATCATCGTTAGTAAGTCTGGCGAGGATCATCAGTTATCGATAATAGGGAGAGGGAAGAAAGCTCTGGAGGGGCCTAACAGCGTCAAGATGGGAGAGACAACATTTGCGAGAAGGAAGTTCTACTAGGTGTGGCAGCAGAACATCAACCTCCCTAGATACAAGGTGTTGGAAATTTGGGACGTTGAGGAAACGTCCCCAGATTCCCCATGGCGGACCAGGTTCAGATACGGAAGGTTGTGTTCTGAACTGCACCTGTCGTTGTGGGATTAATAAGAAGCCCTGGTGATTCACATGTTGCTGTTGTTTACTCTACCTGGAGTTATGACCTTGAATAGTGACAACTTGAAATGTAGGTTAAGGAACGCGCATCAGCCAGTGGCCCGTTGGAACCTAAAATACCTAGATACAGAGAACCCTAACCCTTATTTCATCTGACGTCACTCGTCTAAGTCCAACATGGTCCAAATTGAAGAAAATTGCAAAACGGCCTTTGCCATACTGAATCGATTGACAATTAACTGAAACATGGCGGGCACTTTTGTCAGCGTTGAAATTGAGGGTTTTCTTGAAGGTAAGACGTGGATGTTCCGAACCCCGGGGCCCGAGTGACCCGGGATTCAATCGCCCGACGCGTCTTCCCAATTCTCCGTTACTATCACCCCAAAAAGGACTCGATCTTCCCCGGCCAAAAGTCGCTAGGGTAACCACTACTGGTACACATATATTCCCGTGTCAATAAGGAGGAGTTGCATACGGTATTGTAATACCCACCTATTTAGGAACCTGCAGCTGCAGGTCGCCGATGGAATGTTCGGAAGATCCATGGCTTACGTCAATGGCCATTTGTGCCGCACTGCCGTCCCCCGCCTGCTTTCGACCCCTCATTTGACTCGTGCGATCGTGCTCCAAGATCGAAAACAATCGATACTAGTACCATCACGACACCGGGTAATCGCTTTCAGCAGCAGGCTTGGCACCATACACAACTACCACACCCATCCTGCAGCAATGGCATCGTCCAAGCCGGAAGAGTACAATCTCATCTATTGGCCGGGCATCCCCGGCCGTGGCGAGCATATCCGTCTGGCCCTGGAAGAGGCTGGCGCTAAATATACCGACACAGCGCACACCGGAGGCATCGACCAGGTGGACGCATACGTGAGCGGCAGTGTGCCCGACGACGGTGTCAACGCACCGCCTTTCGCGCCGCCCATCCTGAAGCACGGGTCCCTCGTGATCAGCCAGACGTCCAACATCCTCCTCTACCTGGGTCCCCGTCTGGGGCTCGTCCCAGATGCTAGCAAGGATCCCGATGGGCTGTACCGTGTCAATGCGCTGGTCTTGACGGCGATGGATGGGCTGAGCGACGAGCCACACGACTGCCACCATCCGATCGCGACGGGGCTGTACTACGAGGACCAGAAGCCCGAAAGCAAGAGGAGAGCCGAGGACTACGTCAAGAACCGGCTGCCCAAGTTTCTGGGGTACTTTGAGCGCGTGCTTAGCTCCAAGGCCGCTGGCGATGGGCCTTGGCTCCATGGAGGGTCCCTCACATATGCCGACCTCGTACTTTTCCAGGTATGTATCCGTTGCGCACTCATTCACCCTACCGAAACCTCTGCAGAAAATCTCTAACGCTGGTTCTCAGTGCGTCGACGGGCTCAGGTTCATGTTCCGCAAGGCCATGGCCAAGGCGGAGCGCGAGGGCAAGTACGCCAAGGTTTTCGGACTATATGAAGCCGTTAAGCAGAGACCGAGAATCAAGGCCTACTTGGAGAGCTCGCGACGGCAACAGTACTCGATGGGAATCTATCGGTACTACGAGGAGCTGGATATTGAGCCATGAGTCGACTGACATCACGAGGGATGAAAGGCGGGCAAACATAGCTTGCTTTGTAGCCGGCTTTTGTAGCTGACCGTTCTGAATTTCAGCAATCAAGCTCTGTGCTAGTGTCAGCTACTGCGGAATTTACATAGTAAATGACGAGTCCTGTCTTAGTCCAAGGCGGTCAAGTGAGTTACGACGAAGTGCCTAGCCGCACCTCGCCGACCTGTGAAAGGATGGTGTTTGAGGGTCATGACGACACCAGACTAGAGCAACATCGTACCCTCAAGCATCATCTAACTCTGCAACCTAATTAACCTCCCTGCGTCCACCAACAAACTCGCTCGGACAGACTTGGCCATCCTTAAAGTAGTACCGGGACGTCGCTTTGCAGCGGGTCTCATTTAGTCCTGTGGCCGTAGCCGGCGGCTTCATAACCAACGCCGGACGGGCCGAGCATGTAACTGTCACCGCCGTATAATTATTGTTGTGTTGAACTACAAAGACCTTTGTGATGTTTGTGTTCAGTATGGCTCTCAAGGCCCTCCCATATATAAGCCAGTTCTCTGACTTAGCTGGGCACATCACCTTCTTTACCTTCTCCAGCTTCTTCTCCACCTGCTGTGACACTCTCTTCTCTGCCTCTTGACCTCTGCACACCACAACACGTTGTGTCCTGTGATCTTCATGAAGTCTTAGGTTACGATATGGCCTGCGATGCCCGGCATTGAGACTGTGTAAACAGATATCCGTGCTCTTCTGGTGGCCCAGGGCTTGAGACGAGCAATCGTAGAAGGACTGGCTGACCCTAGAAGGATAAACACGCCCCTCTAGTTAGGGGTGGTGTCGTATGGTAAATAGGAGACCCCCTAAGCGTTTGCAGGCAACGACGTCGTTTTGCCGTGTGACACCGTTGGAGTGCGGATTTACTCAAAGGTCATTTGCTGAAGTAGATAAGACCACCTTTTCGAACTGCAGCCGTAGGAGATATGAAGCGTACTGAATTATTTTTCTTTGATTCCCATATAGAGGTATCAACCTATCTGAACGTGATCCAAAACACTTGGCGCCTTCCAAAGCTGGTAACAAGCCACCTCCCGTTATCTGGAGGATGGAATGACAAGATCTTGAAATCGTATACCGGCTGGCCCTTGTCTTTGTAGGCACTCAGGTCGTTGCTGGCCTTGACCACGAACGAAGTGCAGCGGCCCGTCTTGGATGCCCAGGTGCTTGCCATCTGAGCGACGTTCTGTTTCGCGATGACACTCCTTGTGACATTCTTGATCGAGTTCTTAGGGTCGCCCAAGAAGTCCCTGGGCGTCTTGCCGCCCTGTTAAATGATGTACTGCAGCATCTTCAGTCCCGTATAGGGACCGCCCGCAAAATACGCTTCTATTCATCTTAAGCTACTTTTAAGGGTGTTAGATAGCTGCTAAGACATGGTGTCGATAGGTAATAGGAAGAATAAAAATAAGAATAAGAATAAAAAAAAGAAAAAGAAAAAAAAGAAATAACTACGAAAATGTTCTGACTAGGCTCAGACCAGCTGGCGCTGGTGTTGTATAGGGCTTCTAATTGGTTGGAATTGCCTGAGCATGGTAGTGGGTGCCTGGAGTACATCACCACATCACCTGCGCCACAGCTGGTCTGAGCATCTGAGACTAGGTAGCGATATATGCTGTGGCGATATGTGCTGTGGCGATGGGTCCCGTCATCCCATCCATATAAAAGCTCCGTCCCTGCCCGTGCCCGGAAGGCTGCTCGATGATTGAAAACAAGAAACGCACACTCAAAAACTGACTACTCGCGAACTTCTTTCCTTCCTCTGTCCGCACGCTTTTCCTTGTACCAGTATACCTAGCTCGTTCGGACCCTCGTTCGCAGAGTTTCTACACGCAATCATGTCGAGTGAGTCGAGTTCATCCAGGAGCCGCAACTCGACCAAACTCGACATCCGCGCGCTCTTCGCGGCAGCGTATGCGAAGCCTCTGGACCCCGCATTCGTCGGCAAGTACACCATGCCGGAGACGACCAACTGTCATTGCATCGACAGCACTGGCTCGGTACTGTCACCACGTGGCAAAGGCGCGCCCCCGGCAACCGAGGCCATTTCTTCTTCCTTAACCGGCTACCAATTGTTCTCGTCTCAATTCCACAGGCTGACACCCACGCAGCGCAGAACCCCATACCCCCCGAGACACCACCGGCGGTCGTGGCAAGGATCTTGGCTGAAATGGAGGATGCGTCTGAACCGGAGGATGCGTCTGAATTCCCTCTATCGCAAACAGCTCCCTCTTCCGCGAAGCCTCCCACGCAGGGTACCGCGACCACGAAGCCTCCCGGATAGAGCGCCGCGCCCTCTATTCAGAAGAAGGGCCCCAGCAAAGCTCCCGCGCTGAAGAAGTAGCAGACGTCAAATTCCAGATGCGGCTAACTATCAGAAGGCTCCTTCCCTGTTCTTGACGCAGGGCCGGGAGTGTGCCGGGGATTATCTTGCCGGTTGGCACTAGGTGCGAATTGTCAGCCCGGCATCATTGGCAGGCTGGGAAGGAGAGAGCGTGCTGGTGCCGAGCACGGAGCTGGGAATTATGGGCCAGAATGCCTTTTGTTTACAGTTTACACTTCATAGTGCGGGACTGCGGATACTGAAGTCTGACGGTTGATCCTTGGTCGTTTTCTCACAAACCTCGTCACGTTTCCAGTTGTGCGGCTGGCTTTCATCGACTTTCTCCCACTCTTATTTCATTGAGTCCCGCATTGAGTTCGTTCATCGCATGATTCCGCATCCCCTGCTTCGCCATTCCAATCTGGGAAGAAGGGGAGGAAACCAAGGCCATGCGACCCACATTCACCGTGTACAGTACCCGCGGCCCGCCCAGTTGCTAGGCTTTCATTGAGATACTAGTAATGAGGGAGTGAGTAATTGCTCTCTACACAAGTAAACTTGGAGAGTATTGAGCCTTGCGTGTTTTGGGGACTCTCCAATTTGACTGTCGTACAATTCGTCGAGCCTGTTTGCGAAGAAGGCGGGGAGGGTCTCGCCTTGGCCAGAAGCGATGACGTTCCCCCTTGCAGCTCCTTTGAACTTTGTGACGTAACACCAAAGGTGTTGCGATCATGACTTCATGTGAAGCGCCTCTTGGTTAAAAGCCGGCCACCTACATGTACATAGAAGGTCTCAGATCGTAATGCGAGTGCTATGGTGCATATTGGACTTCAAAACCCCGCCTCCCCCATAATTCGTGAACTTCCCTTCCCTCAAACCTACCTACCTACTTACGTACCAAAATTCTAAAAACACGGTAAACACCCTACACCACTACCCCATCCACCGCATTACCCGACCACAACAACCATGTCGCGCAAAGTGTGCATCACGGCCGTCGAGGGCCAGACCGGCTTCCTGATTGCCGAGCTGCTCCTCACGGACGACAAGTTCAAGAAGCAGATCGACAGCCTGACGGGCCTCACCATGGACCCGACCTCGGCCAAGGCCAAGGAGCTGCAGCAGCTGGGCGCGCACATTGTGCCGCACAAGCCCGGTCGCGAGCGCGAGGTTGTCGCGACGCTCAAGAAGACGGGCTGCGACACCATCTGCCTGATCCCGCCCGCGCACAAGGACAAGTTCGACATCGCCTCCGAGCTCACTGTCGCGGCCAAGAAGGCCGGCGTCAACAATGTTCTGCTGATCAGCGCCGCCGGATGCGACTATGCCGAGCGCGACAGGCAGCCGCGCCTGCGCGAGTTCATTGATCTTGAGACTTTGGTGATGGGTGCAAAGGGTGACCCCAATGTCCCGCTGGGTAACTCGCCTTGCGTCATTCGGTGAGTAAATTTTTTGATTGAGAGCAGGAGGGTGTGGGAACGGAATGAAAAGGCTGATGATTATTTTATTTGGCAGCGCCGGCTTCTACGCCGAGAACCTTCTCCTCTACACCGAACAGGTTCGGAATGAGGGCATCCTGCCGCTCCCGATTGGCGAGAACCACAAGTTTGCCCCCATCGCGCTTGGAGTACGTCGTGCCGCCTCCGTTTCCATGGGCGTTTCACTGACACAGTCAGGACATCTCCCTCGTGGCCGCCTTTGTCCTCACTGGCAAGGGACCCCATGGCTTCGACGACCGGCACCGCGGCCAGATGATGGTTCTCACCGGACCCATGCTCTGCTCGGGCACGGAGCTCGCCACGGCCGCCAGCAAGGCCCTGGGTCAGAACATGGAGTTTGAGAACATCACCCCGTGAGTCCATGCCCTCTCACTCTCAACATGCTTTTCGTTGGGCACTAATTTAGTACTCCCCGCACCAGGCGCGAGGCCAAGCGGGTTTTGAAGTCCCAGACGGACCTTGACGACTCGGAGAAGGAATTCATCCTGGACTACTACAGCCTCGTGCGCGAGGGCAAGACCAACTACATCTCGACGACGGCTTTCCACGACGTCACGGGCCAGCATCCTACTGAGCCGGACGAGTTCTTCCGCAACTATGCCGGCGAGTTGCGGCCCAAGAAGCGGCTGCGGAGCAGCTAAGCTGTTTTACTCTCTCTTGAGAGAAGTTGGGGGGAAGGACTGATTGCTCGCGGGGCCATTTGTGTCACTACTGTAGTAAACTAGGGTAACATTCGGGAATAGATTAAGCAAAAGTGATGGCCCCTGGGGCAGCAGAATCAAAAGTGTCTTTTGCAGACAAAATCAAGTCTTCGATGCCTATGTGCTAGTTGGAGACAAATAGTTTTGTTGGCTGTAGTCCCTTGAGTCTCGTCTGGAGACTACTACTGCGTTGTGGCTGGTGCTAATCAAATTCAACAGCGTCTTTCATCAACGAGATGCGGGGGTGAAAACGAATCAAGCGCGGTCTTGAAGGTGCACCTGTCGATGGGATCCAACTCCTCCTAACCAGCTAAGTCTCAAGCAGAGCAGCTATGATAACCTCCATCTGTCCTTTATCAAATCTCTCAAGCCAGTTAGTCGGTTATTACCGTTCATCGGCGTGCCCATTCGAGCCATCCTTCCGGCACATTCCCTCGGACGGGTCCGTAAATCGCCAAACAAATGCCGGGCAGGCGTCCTCTGGGACTTTTGATAACCGACCTAGCGAGCACAACCACATCTGTAATATTTGACAGGGAGGTATCATCTGCGGCCCGCCAATCATTCAGAACAGACTACCAACTTCAGCCTTCACTCTTCACCCCTTAACAGTTGACCGGTCAACACTTAACCCGGCCACCTCGTGGATCAGCTTTACAAACTGCTCCGGCTCATGGGCAAACCTCCCCAGAAACAACCCATCCACCTCTCCTTCCAGTTTCTCCCATAGCCCCGGCCCCGCTGCTCCGCCATACACAATTCTCGTCCTCCCCTTCCGTCCCCTGACCACCTCACTCTCCCTCACCCGCCTCACCACGCCCCTCACATGCTCAGCGCTCGCCGGCTCGGGAGCCCCGATGGCCCACACAGGTTCGTAGGCCAGTATGACCTCGGCATTCTCGTCCTCCACCCCCCGAAGGGCAGCAGCCACCTGCCTCAACACCTCCGCCGCCGCCACTTCAACAGCTCCCTTTTTTCCGCTCCCGAGTTCACCGATATGTCGTTGTTCCTCACCTACACAAATCAAAGGCCACAGCCCGTTCCGCACCGCAGCGGCCACCTTGTCCCGGACCACGTCGTCCGTCTCGCCGAACAGCCTCCGGCGCTCGGCGTGCCCCACCTCGACGATGCGGCAGCCGATTTCCTTCAGCACGGCAGGCGAGACCTCGCCCGTGTAGGGTCCGAAATCATGGGTGGAGGGGGAGCAGTCTTGTGCGCCGACCAGGAGTGTGTTGTTAGTAGTAGTAATAGTAGTAGTATTGCTGTGGCTGTGGCTGTGGCTGGTGATAGTAGAGGAGATGGAGGAGATGGCGGAGATGGCTGCGATGGCGGAGGTGAGGGAGACGAAGTCGGGTATGATGAATGCATCGATGCTTGCGAGGATGTCACTGGTGAGGAGGAGGTGGTGGGAGAGGACGGCGGTGATGAAGGTGTTGGTTCGGGCGTGGGTGAAGTACATCTTGGTGGAGACGCCGATTAGGGGGCGGTGCCCTGAGGATGGGCGAGTCGGCATGGTTGGAATTACTGTCTTCTCTGTTCTGTTGGTTTTTTGTTTGTTTGTTTGTTGGTTCGTGGTTGGTTGGTGATTGGTACAGCTGTTGCGTCTCTGTTAGACACTCAGTCGATGATGATGGCTCCCGTGTCTGCTGTGTGACAACGCCGAGGTCTCGGTTGACCTGAGGTTGCACAGGCTGCGGATACGGGGCGTGTCTGTAGCGAGTTGGATCGCTCCTTCCATCTTGGCGCGCGCTTCTTTGATTCCGGCTGAATGCAGCTCCTGCACCTTCTGCAGACATCCCCACGCGGGGTAATGACTTGAAGTTGTAAGCGCAAGTTGACGGTCTAACAGGACCGGGAGAAGTCCTGATGTGGAGAATATTGAAGGTCTAGAAGCTTGCATAGGCCATATCAGAACCTACACTGCCACCAACGGTCAACCTCGGATTCCCCTTTTGGGAAAGCATGCCGCCATGGCTCTTTGGTCGTTGATCGAGTGAGGACATCAGGTTTATCTTTTTTTGTGGATTCTTCCAACAGCAAAGCTGATCCACCACCAGCTCAGTATTTGTTTGGGACCAACATAATCAACACCATAAGAATGATAAACACCAATGAGTACTATTTGTATTGAAGCCTCCATCAACACCCCTCAACAACCTCCTCCTCCTCCTTCCTCCCTTCACCCACCAACCCACCTTCACCTTCCTCATAGTGATGAATAGCCCTCACCTTCGCAGCGCTGGGACTGGACTCGTCAAAGACATAGCCCAGCCACTCGCGGGCCAGGCGCCTGGCCAGCTCCAGCCCCACGACGCGCTCGCCCATGCAGAGCACCTGGGCGTTGTTGCTGAGCACGGCGCGCTCGACGCTGAAGCTGTCGTGGGCGGTGACGGCGCGCACGCCGCGGATCTTGTTGGCCGAGATGGCGACGCCGAGGCCCGTGCCGCAGATCAGCAGCGCGCGGTCGCACTCGCCCGCGGCCACCAGCTTGGCCGCGGCCGCGGCGATGTGCGGGTAGGCCGTCGACGAGTCGTCGGTGCCGACGTCGGTGATGGAGCTCACGCGCGGGTCCGACGCGAGGTCGGCTTTGATTGCGTTCTTGTAGCTCACGCCTGCGTCCTGGGGAGGGGGTGTTCAGGGATTAGTTATCTAAGAAGTACCTAAATGTGGATGAGGGGGAAGTCAAGGGGAGCAAAAGCAGAGGTACGGACATCGCAGCCTATGGCTATGCGCCACTTTGGTGAGCTCATGGTAGGTAGTCGTTGGTGGTCGTTATTCCTGCTGCTGTTGATGTTTTCGTTTCTTGTTGATGATGCTGCCCGTGTAAAAGGAAGCGGGTCTTGAAGTCCAAGTGTCAACGGTCAAGACGCCCATGGGAATCCCAGACCAGTGGGTTAAATGGCATGGTGTGGGCGGACGGCATTTATCCAAGGCGCCTTTCCATTCCCGGTATCCCGCCCATTCGACCAGCAGCCTGCCCGGGCGGGTGTAAGTGAGATACGCTTCATTACGAATCGGGACCACGGTGCATTGCCCCTCTCTCTGTGCAACCGCCGGGCCGGCCCCGCGCCCCGGCAAGTGTGCCATTGGCGTGGCTTATAGGTAGGATCGATGGCTGCGTCACAGGTCGAGAGATGTGCCCGTGGGGGGGTGGGTTACCTTCATCGTCTGTCTATGTTGGCATCTTTTTGCAGTCTCTCACCACTCAGCCAGCCTCTACCTTTTTCGAGTTAAAGTTAACACACACAAAGCGCCAACATGTCCAACCGGCACCTCTTCTCCTCACTCGAGGGACTCGTGCCCAAGGCCCTGCGTGGCATCGTGGCCAGCAACCCGCGCCTCAACCTCGACGAGGCCAACAGGGTGGTGTTCGATCCGGCGTCGCCTCGGTCGACGGTCAGCATCATCAGCGGCGGCGGGTCGGGCCACGAGCCAGCGTGGGCGGGCTACGTGGGCTCCAACATGCTCGCCGCCTCCGTGGCAGGCGATGTCTTTGCGTCGCCGAGCACCAAGCAGATCCTGGCCGCCGTCGATGCCGTGCCCTCAGACAAGGGCACGCTGCTGGTCATCACCAACTACACGGGCGACTGCCTCCACTTCGGGCTGGCCGCCGAGAAGACCAAGGCGAAGGGCAGGGCCTGCCGCATGCTGATCTGCGGCGACGACGTGTCCATCGGGAAGAAGAGCGGCTCGCTCGTCGGCCGGCGCGGGCTGGCTGGGCAGATCGGCGTGCTCAAGATCCTCGGCGCCGCGGCTGCGCAGGGGGCATCGCTGGACGCGCTCTACGACCTCGGCACCGCCGTCAACAGCCAGATCGTCAGCATCGCCGCCACGCTCGACCACTGCCACGTCCCCGGCCGGACCGAGCACGGCGCGCTGGACGCCGACGAGATCGAGATCGGAACGGGCCCGCACAACGAGCCGGGATACCGGAAGCTGTCGCCCGCACCCACCGCGCAGGAACTCGTGCGGCAAGTCCTGAAGTACTGCCTGGACGAGACCGATCCGGAGCGGGGCTACGTGCACTTCCAGCCCGGCGACGAGACGGCGCTGCTGGTCAGCAACTTCGGCGGCATGTCCAACCTCGAGCTGGGCGGTCTCGTCGACGAGCTGCTCACGCAACTTCACACAGACTGGCACATCGAACCGGTGCGTGTCTACGCCGGCTGCCTCGAGACGTCGCTCAACGCCCCGGCCTTCTCTGTCTCGGTCATCAACCTCTCCGGCGTCGCGGCGGCCAACGCCAACGCCAGCAGCAGCGCGTACTCGCTGGAGCAGATCAAGGAGTTCCTCGACCTCCGGACAGACACCGCGTGGGAAGCCGTGGCCGGGTGCCAGAAGACCTCCTCCTCCCCGGGCGAGCGGCGCCGCCCTCGAGCGGACCAGATCGTTCGACCTCTTCCTTCTGAGGGGAAGAAGGTTGTCCTGAACGACGACGACGATGGCAACACCCACGACACGAGAGACCTCCGCGTCGACCCGGCGCTGCTGGAGGCCATGTTGCGCGAGGCATGCGCCGCGCTGGTGCGTGAGGAGCCGGACCTGACCAGGTGGGACACCGCCATGGGCGACGGCGACTGCGGCCTGACGCTCAAGACCGGCGCAGACGCGCTCCGGGACGCCGTCGACCGCAGGCGCGTAGCCGCCCGCGGTTCGGTGGTCGAAGTGCTGGCCGAAGTAGAAGACATTCTTGAGAGCAGGATGGGCGGCACCCTGGGCGGCATCCTGGGCATCTTCTTCGTGGCCCTGCGCACCGCGGTCGAGGCGAACTGCAGTCGGACAGCAGCAGCAGCACAAGGGGGAGGAGGAGGAGGAGGAGGAAGAGCGGGATCATCATTATTATTATCGGTGTGGGCCAAGTCGCTGGCCACGGCGTTGCAGCACCTGGCGCAGTACACGCCTGCCAAAGTGGGCGACCGCACCGTCATGGACACGCTGATTCCCTTTGCCGAGGCCATGCGCGCGACTCAGAGCTTTGACGACGCGGTTGCAGCTGCGGTCCGGGGCGCCGAGGCGACGAAGACGATGAAGCCGAGACTGGGAAGAGCGACATATGTCGGCACCGGTGTGGAAAGCAATAAAGAGCTCCCTCCGGACCCTGGCGCCTGGGGTGCTATGGTTGTCATCAGGGCTCTGCAGACGGCCATGCAGGGATCAGCACCCTCAACGCGAACAACGCGAGTAGACTCGAAGTTTGGGCTTCGCGAGGAAGATCTGGGAGATCTGAAGGGCATTGCTTCTGTCTGATGAACTCTCGACAATCCGTTAATTCTTTCGATGTCCTTTTTTTCCACATCTCAGCTAGACCCGCCGTATGCAGTAACAAGAAGAAGAATGAAAAAAAAAAGAAAAGAAAGAATCCCTTCCCCTTCTGGCTAGGCCTTCCCAGCACTCCCAAGCCAGTGCATGTACTGCTCAATCGCCTTCTGCATCTCGTTGGTGCCGGCCTCGATGACGCTGGTCAACGGCTTCCCCTTCATCTCGTCCTGCACCCGCGCGTAGTGCTTGTTCATGCCCTTGTTGATGTTGATCTTGGTCACCCCGCCGGCCATGCACTCCCGGAAGATCTTCTCGTCGAACGGGTCCGCGCCGTGCAGCACCAGCCGCACCCGCTCCCCGACCCTCTCGTTGATCCTCTGCAGCCTGTCATACTCCAACTGGATGCCCCGGGGCCCATACTCGCCATGCACGTTCCCAAACGCCGGCGCGAGCATGTCAATCCCCGTGGCCACAAACTCCTCGGCCTCCTCGGGCGTCGTCAACAAGCCCTCCAGATCGGCCGTCTCCGCCACCCCGTCCTCGCCACCCTCTATCCTCCCGGGCTCCGCCTCGGCCGCAATGCCACGCTCGTGGCAGTACGCGACCAACTCCCGGGTCAGCCTCAGATTCTCCTCCTTCTCGTAGTGGCTCATGTCGCACATGATGCTGTCGAAGCCGTCGTCGATGTCGGCCGCGCGCCGGACCAGCTCCGGCGTCTGGCAGTGGTCGAGGTGCAGCGCCACGGGCACGCGCGCCGAGTGCGCCGCCTCCGCCGCCGCCTTGACCAGCGCGTCGCCCGCGTACTGCATCGCCCAGGGGAACAGCAGCACCATGGCCGGCGAGCGCGCCGCCTCGGCTGCCCGCACCGTCGCCATGATCGCTTCGATGTTGTAGCAGCACATGGCCGGGACCGCGTAGCCTTCCGCCTTGGCCTTGTTCAGGATCGCCATGCTGCGGTTTTGCGAGAGGGGTGGCCGGGGCATTTTTGGCTTTTGGTTAATGACTGAGTTGAGCTTGGTTGGATGGGTGGATGGACTGATGGGATGGTGTGTGTAAAGCGTGTTCTTTCAACGTCAATGATGAGAAGGGCGAGACGACTCGGTTGATGATGGCTGAGTTAACGGTAACCTAACCTAGGGTGGTGAGCTTCACAAATAACTGCCAAGCCCCAAAGACCTGAGCGCGACCTGGCAAGTACTAGTACCTATCTTCCCATCTGGTAGGTATTCTCCCAGGTTACTAATACCTACCATCTTGCAATGAGCTTCGCGTTTAGGGTACCTCACACCAGAGATATTCCTTCGGGTTTCCCAACTCGGTCTCAACCCACACACACACCACTGCCAAGCGGGCGAGGCGGGATGCGCTGCACGAGATATTAGCCGGAAAGCGGCAATGCCTATGTGGAGCTGCTCGGCGACGTCATCATTGGCCAGGCCTCGCAAAGGGGCACCAAGTCGATCAACAAACATGAGGCACATGGAAGCCGTCGAGCGGGGGAATGGGTTGATGGAAATCCTGGCGGCCTGGCGAGCTGCGGATCTTATTATTCCCATTGACTTCAGCCGGTCCCGAGGTTCGGCATTAGATGGAGCGAAAAAGCATGCTTGGTTGGCACATGCGAACTTGTCTTCATGGACACCGGATTTCTGTTGGATAATTGGCATGGTCAGGTACCGTTGAAACCAGCTCGGTGCCGGTATCAAATTCCTTGCTTGGTTCACTGAACACACGCGCCATCAGCATTCGTCGGAGACACACTCAGCCATGTCCGAGGAGAAACCCCCCGTCTCCTTCATCGGCCTCGGAGCCATGGGCTTCGGCATGGCCACCCACCTCGTGAAGCAAGGCTACCCCGTGACCGGCTTCGACGTCTGGGCGCCGACCCTCGAACGCTTCCGGGCCGCGGGCGGGCTCACAGCAACCAACCCTTCCGAGGCCGTCGCCGAGAAGCTTTTCTGCGTCTGCATGGTAGCCACCCCACAGCAAGCCCAGTCCGTGCTCCTCGACGGGCCAGACCCGGCCGTCCCCGCTCTGCCCAAGGGCGCCGTGCTCCTCCTCTGCTCCACCGTGCCCTGCGACTATGTGCAGTCCCTGGAGCGCCAGCTCCGCAACATCGGCCGCGACGACATTCTACTCGTCGACAGCCCCGTGTCGGGCGGGGCCGCGCGCGCCGCCGACGGGACGCTGTCCATCATGGCGGGCACGTCGGACGCCGCGGTGGAGAAGGCGCGCCCGCTGCTGGCGGAGATGGCGGACCCGACGAAGCTGTACATGGTACAGGGCGGCGTCGGCGCCGGGAGCAACATGAAGATGGTGCATCAGGTGCTGGCGGCTTGCCAGATCCTGGCCGCGAGCGAGGCGATGGGCTTTGCGCAAGGCTTGGGGCTGGATCTGGCGCGGACCCAGAAGGCCGTGCTCGCGTCGGACGCGTGGAATTGGATGTTTGAGCACCGCACGCCGCGAATGCTGACGCAGTTCCAGCCCGTCGCGAGCGCCGTGAATATCATTGTCAAAGATACGGCTATCATCACGGCCGAGGCAAAGAGGCGCGGCTTCCGCGTACCCATGACCACCGCGGCCGAGTCGGGCTACCGCGAGGCGGTCGCGAAGGGGTACGGCTCCGACGATGACAGCAGCCTGCTTCGGTTGTACACGGAGTCGGGGACTGGCACAGCCGCGACAGCAGCGCCGGAAGGGAGTTCCGCGGACAAGACAGATGAGGAGAGGCTAGCTCTTGTGGTTGACCTGCTTAGGGCAATCAACCTCTGCGCGGCCGGAGAGTCTCTCGCGTTTGCCAATGCCGTGGGCTTGGATCTTGACCAGGTGCTGGACCTGTGTGTCAACGCGGCTGGAGCGAGCACCATGCTCAAGATCTATGGGCCTCCCATCATCAACGCGCTGCGTATAGGCGCCGCGTCCAAGAACTGGACCGCTACAGACGGCTCGCCGTCTCTCGGGGAAGTCGCGGACAGGCTCCAACATGTTGTGCAGTCTGCAGAGCAACTCAAGGTCCCGCTGTTCTTGGGTTTAGAGGCGTCGCGCGTCTTCCGCGAGGCACTCCAGTCCGGGCCGCCGGGACTTGCTGTCGCTGCAGTGGTGAACGTATGGAGAGGTCCTAATTCAGCAGATTAGACGCAGAGCGCATGTACTCCATTGCATTGGCAGCCGCGCTTCAGCAAGCTTCATTAGCTGTAACAGTATCAGCTCGGTCCTTTGACCTTATAAGTTATGGAGTGTGTTGAGAATTGGAGACAACTTCTGAAGGTTCCAAAAGTCGTTCCAGAATCTAGAATGCCCATGGCGCCCCCTAACCCTGGCCGTTTCAAAGATGGCCCACTTTGCTGCCCATCTGCCAAGGTGCCAAGCATGCAATTAGTGCGGCGCCACGCCGAATGCAATTCCAATCCCTGCCCAAAGTTGCAGCTGAATTCGCGTTCCCAACTCTTGACGCGTTTCTTGAGCGGGAAACCGACGGATACTCCTGCCCAGTGCCCACCGACCAGATGTCTTGTGATGACTCAGTACTAGTAGAAAGACGCAACTGGAGTTGCCTTTTACAACGAGCAGTCAAAGCACAACTCATGCTGCAAACATGGAAAATGCCATTAGACCGCATTTCTTCAAGCATGGGCGCCCAGAGGTATGCATAACAATGCGGGCGTTTGCATGGCCGACAGTATCCAACTGACTCGACTTCCTACCCCCAGTCCGACCCCGAAGAGGAGCGCAAGTGTCATTGGTGCCAGATCCGTTCCTTCAAGACCCACAAGTCTATCCCCATCACCATCGTCAACGAGCTAGATGAGGCGGTACTAAACCCCGAATTTCGCTTCATCGACCACAACATCATTGCCGATGACGTCCCCGTGGCGGAGGAGGCCTTCAGGGTGGGCTGCGACTGCACGGACGACGAGGATTGCATGTATGGTACATGCCAATGTCTCGACGAGATGGAACCGGACGACGATGAGGACGACGACGGCTCGAACGGCCGGCCCCGGCGGAAGCGGTTTGCATACTACTCCAGTGGATCCAAGGCAGGTCTGTTGAAAAATAGGATTCTACACAGCCGGGAACCCATATATGAGTGCCACGAGGGCTGCAATTGTTCGCCGCAGTGTCCGAATAGAGTGGTGGAACGGGGCAGGACCGTACCGCTGCAGATTTTCCGGACCGAGGATCGAGGTTGGGGCGTCAGGTGTCCCGTCGATATCAAGAAAGGACAGTTTGTCGACAGGTATCTCGGCGAGATCATCACGAGCGAGGAAGCGGATAGGCGGCGCACACAGGCGAGCATCTCCCAACGCAAGGACGTGTATCTCTTTGCCCTCGACAAATTCTCGGACCCGGATTCCATCGATCCCTTGCTGGCGGCCCCGCCACTCGAGGTAGACGGAGAGTGGATGAGCGGGCCGACACGGTTCATCAACCATAGCTGTGAGCCAAACATGCGCATCTTTGCGCGCGTTGGCGACCACGCCGACAAACACATCCACGACCTAGCTCTGTTCGCGATCCGCGATATCCCGGCGGGCGAGGAGCTGACCTTTGACTATGTGGATGGATTGGAGACCATGGAGGACGATGCACACGACCCTAACAAGAAAAAGGATATGACGAAATGCCTGTGCCATACAAAGTCATGTAGAGGTTTCTTGTGGTGAGTGTGAGGCCGACATGCTCTGCGCGGTTACTGCACTCGAGCAACAATCAAATTGACGGAGTGGACCTCGGCTTTGATGTCGCTCGTTGAGACGTCGCAATGGTCCTGCCCCGGGAGGGGTCCGGACCATTGGGCTGTAGGGGGCAATGCTGCTGGTATTAGCTGACTGCTTAAAGGACAGGATAGTCTTCATACCTATAACTTCCCCAGGCTATGCTACGCGCCTTCAGTCAAGAAAACGGCCGACTGCTATAATTCTACCTATATAGTTATTGTTGTTAGATGCATGTCGTTCAAAGTGGTTCACTCCGAGTCTACTCCGTACAGTGGAGTCTCCCATGCAGGCTCCACTTTTGTTACTCCTGAACATCCATCAATCATGCCAGCCGTGTAGTCGGTTCTTAGTTCTTTCCTTCAAGATTGATTCACAGAAAGCGCGAGGCCCCATAGGCCGAGGTCCATTCAATGTCTGACACATATTCAATTTATGACGGTTTAGGTTTCTGATGGCCGTTTGCAGGAACCTCCGGTTCAAGAGTTCACTCACTTGCATCGGCCCCACCGGCCTGCAAACATTGGAATCACAATTCGAGCTAAGCGGAAAACGGTCGACGACCGACGCTTCACCGCTGGTGGGGCGCCGTTCACTTACCTCAGCTCGGGGCAGGCTCACGAGAGTCAAACCAGCAGCTCACATCGCCTGCACCTTTTGGCTGTAGGTTTGTCTGCTTGACTATACGTTACCTTGGCCGTATAGAGGGTGTATTTGCCTAACCCAAATAATCGCCCCGCCAACTTCGCTGCACCCAGTCCCATTTCGCAACCTCCTCACGAGAGGATCACGCGGAGTTTGGTGTCGCTGTTCGCATTGAAGCAGCACATTTGAGAGACCGGGGAGGCTGCTACAACCACACAGTAGCTCCCCCAGAGGCGTGCGGATCCTTGTCGTCATGAAATAGCTATTCGGGCGGTTGGATCGAGCGGCCCAAAGGGTGCGAAATCGAACACGGAAACGGCACCGCGAAAGCTCGAACACTATGGTATGGCCCCCTTCCCCTTTCATTTACATGCAAGTACGTACAATTCGTCGCAAGTACCCGCCCCCCAATTGCTCGAATCTGCGCTATCCACATCCGTGGGCCTCCTCTTGGTTCCATTCCATGCTTCTTAGGTGCACCAGCACTCAGCTTGAACCTCTGTATTGACAGTATGCTTAGGGGTGCTGTGTCTCTCGGGACGGGAGCGTGAACTCTCCCTATGCAGGCGGTGCTGCCACCGGCTCTGCCCGGGCAATTAACGAAACCCCTCAAGCGGCGGGCCCCTCTGGCTCTCAGACGGGTGTCGACGAGACACCTGTCTCCTCTAGCTTGCATCGCCGTCGCAGGCACTCTCATCAACCCCTAGCCCAGCATATCAATAAGCGCCTGCGACGGCATGAATGGACCAGCCACAACCGCCAATGGACCCTAGCGGCTCTACGACAGGAGAGAATCGAATTCTTCGACACAAGAGTAACCGGGAGGCAGGAGATCTGGCAGACTCTGCACGCTGCCCTTGAGGTGCTGTGGACGGCGGACGATGCCGCCCGCAATGGCCAGTTCAGGCGGACGAGTGAGGACGATGGGCCGAGCGAAGAAGACCCGGCAGTGGCCCTGGCGACGGCACAGAGCATCCTTGACGCGGCCGACATCACGTTGCCCACTGGGGACTTGTCCAATGGAGCGTACGATGCATTCGGCAACTACTACCCATTGCCGGAGCACATAGTCGCCGATCCCACCAATCTACTGTGGAAGCCTGGCGCAGCCGAGAATGGTGACCTGAAGAATGCGAAAGCCGAGCTTGTAGCCGGCGAGGAATCTGGACGTGAAGATGGCGAGGAGGAGGCTGAGCGGCGACGCGAGGAAAAGGGCAAGGCTGTGGTCGATGCCCGAGATCAAATCACGATCAGGGCAAGACTGAGTGACGGGTCCCGAGACGTCAAGGTGCGGGCAGGAAAAGGAGACTCAGTCCGGCGTATAGCAAGACTGGTTGCGGAGGAAGCGCAGGTAATTGCTCCCTCCGCTTATGCGCGGACCCCCTTTCTTGGCTGACAATGTCGATCAAAGCTTCATTCCGACAAGAAGATACGCATTGCCTACATGGGGAAGATTCTCCATGAGGCAGCTCCGCTGTCAGCCCAGGGTTGGAAGCAAGGGCACGTCATCAATGCATTGGTGTTCGACCGGTAGGGCCGTTGTGCACAGTGGTTGGAGGACGAGCCGTGCCAGTCCTGTCCTCCAGTTTCCGGAGCTACCCGCCAGATGCTCGTCCATCTCTCCACTGAGCATTCTCTTGACGACGCAGATGCAACTGACTCATCTGAAACCGCACTCCTATTGCCTGGCCCTCGCACTGCCGGATCTGGTCGCCCGGTTTCCATCATGCGTCGGGTCAGGCGACTTTGCAGGCGAAGCGAGTTATCGTCTCACGTACAGTACTTCCCCGGCAACGATGGCACCCTTCATCTCGAAGAGACCAGAATGAGGCACTATCCGGTGCCCATCCTTCCCGCGACACCTCGCCGCGCAGCAACCCAGCAAGGTGGCCATCGGGAGCCCACTGTCGATCCATGGACCGCCTACAATGTCCAGCACGCGTGGTATCTTGCGGGCTTGTACGGTGCGTACATCTAACGACATGTGTGTCACAGCACAACATCGGTGACGCGGACTCGAAAATGGCGCTCGTGAACGCGAGCGAGCCTCCCCACCTGGCTTTTGGGGGACGGCTGCCACCATTTCTCGGATCCGCTGTTGGAAGTGGGATACCAGCTTTCGCTCCCACGACTCTTCTTTTACAGCAATCCCTGTTCCTCTTCTTGAAGCGCAGTGTTTCACGCTTTCGGCGACCGCATACCCCCCCTCTCTGGCACTATACCTGGCTTGTCTCGCGTCGCTATGGCGAATCTCCTGTTTCTCCTCTATACGCTGTCACGTAACCCATCACTTCGGCGTTGCGATTAAGAGTGAGAGATAGGTAGGAAGAGAATGCCTTCTTTTATTGAGCGTTTGAGCTGCAAAATCGATGATTCCTATATACCTCCTCATGCTGTATTTTCCTTTTTCCCAGAGTATTCTAGACCGCTGCCTGCGGAAGAGCGGCGGACAAGGCCAGCAGCAACAACCATTTCAGAACACACAACAGACACATAGTTCCTACGGTCATGTTTTGGTGATGGAGAGGTAATTTGCAAGGCGTATACTAAATAGAAGGGAATACCCGGTTCTGGGTCAGGAGTGTCTAACCTTCCGACCTAAGATAGCAGTCATGAATTTGCACGCTTGATCAAATACCGGTTCACACATCATCTTCAGCTGGTTCATGAAGCAACAAGTGAATTCCTGGGTTGCATGGTCTATACGTTCCCGGAAAATGCCCTCCCCATTTTGGCCTCCTGCACTTTTTCGGGGCGATCTTCCATACGTCAACCGTAACTCCTCACGCTTGCAACAGTTGCTACACCGCCCGGGCTCAGCAACGCAGTGTCAACTCGCTGATTGAACATACCACGAATGGCCATCCCACGTCAACTTTGACTTAACGCCAGCCTTCCCCGTCGCTATACTGGGGTGGCTCAGGATAACTGCAACCAAGCTTAACCGCGTACATATGTGTTACTAAGGTATTCATTGACGTCCTCTGTGCGGCAAGCCCCTTCAAGCGACAGAGCCAATCTTGTTCAACCCCTTGAGGGATCCCAGGCTGAGGGCCAGCCCCTGGGACCTGCTGCGTATCCTCAGGAAGCCAGTGATCGGACCGTCCTCACCCTCCTTCTCGATGCTCAGATTGGCCAGGGCGTCCTCGCCTATTGCAGGATATGTTAGCATGTCTCGCACAAGATCCAGAAAGAGAGACAGGGGGGCCGGGTAGGGGGATAACTCACCAAACACACTCCTGGCGTACAGGTTCGCGCTCAAGAATTGGCAGTCGCCCTTCATACTAGCCTCCGGCGTGAGGCAGTTCATGTTGGTGCACGCCATGAGCTGGTCGAGGAAGTCGCGCAGAGTCTTGGCCTTGCTGTTGATGTTAACCTTGTTCTCCCACTCGAACTCGGTCCACATGGTGCGGAACTGCGTCTCCGAGCAGGTCGCCGGCTGGATGTAATCCATGATGTCAACGTGCAGGTCGTTGAGGATGACCACATTGGTGTCGGTTGAGTGCGCGCCCTCGTACACAACGTTGCCAAAGATGACGCCAGTGTCTGTCGATGAGACCTTGATGGTGCATTGTACATTGTGGAAGTCGTGCGGGCCCAGGTTCTGGCTGGTAGGCCGCTCCACCACCTTGAGGTCACCGAGTGTTGCGAACTCGACGGTGAGGTTTTGGAGGGTGTCGGTTGTTTGGTTGACCAGCAGCACATCGAGAATGATGTCGAACTGGTGAACCTTGACATATGCTTCCGCGTAGACCGGATCTGAGAAACCGGTAAGCTGGACAACCCGGCTGAGCTTGCCCGAAAGGTCCTCCGTGGCACTGCTGTCGCCGCCCGTTGCCCTCTCGAGATCCTGTTCGATTGCGTCGGCACCGTCGACGGCATTTTTCTTAGACAACTGCCGGATCGGGACCACGTCATCGACCTGGACCGCAGTCTTCGCCTTCTCAAATGCCTCCTTCGCCGCGCGCTTCTTCTCCTCAACCTGCACCATGGCCCGGAAAGCCTTCCGGGTATCCTCAAGGTATACCGTCTCCAGCTCCTTGTGCTGCTTGAATTCGGCCAGCGACCGCACGCAGCTCATGATGCGGTCCACAGAGTCCTCGTCAATGGGGGCCTTGACGAACTGTGACTGGCCAACACGGATGATCGAGATCATTATGAGCATGGCCTCTGCCCGGAGAGCGTTGGTGCGAGCATCCTCAGATGAAATCTCCGAGTGGCGCATGACCAACTTCGTGAGCGTCCCTGAGAGAACTGTTGCTAGATAATAATCACCATCCAGAATAAGCTGCCTGAGAGGGGGCTTCGAGGATGCCTTGACAGCTTCGAGCCTAGCGGCAGCGGCGGATTGGCTGGTGAGTGCGGTTTCGGTAGCGTACGTTCCATCGGCCAGGACTTTTCGAGAGCCAGCGGGAGTCGATTTGGGATGCCCATTGAGTTGCTCCTGCTCAGTGTTCCCTTCCCCATTCTCCATGTTTTCCAGTAACCTCTGCTCCGACGCCAGGATCGGGATTTCGCCCAGGCTGGCCCTGATGCCCTTCCACGCATCCCGGATATCCTTTTCGTCGAGCGAGTATTCGCCAATGATCCACATAATGCCTCGGTATACCTTGCCAGCCCGCACCTCCTTGAGAGTGTCGACAAGTCTTTTCACGATTGCCGGCCGCAGAGTGGGAAACTTCTCGACCACCTCCTTCACAAAGTTGATCACATCGACAGCCGATGCGTTGTTGAAGTCGGCAATGAAGTCCATGAGAAGCTCGACCACGCTCGCCGCAACCTCCGAGAACTTGACCGCGCATTGGTGGATGGAGTGGATAAGCAGTTGCCGGTATTCGCTATTCTTCTCGTACTCCTGGTCTACTGTCTTGGACAATTCCTTCTTGAGCAGGAGCACCACTTCCTCGACATTCTTGCTGGACACCATTTCTAACGCAATCTCCAGGGCCTTCTTGCGTACATCGATATCCGGACTCGAGAGTACGCGCAAGATCTCCATGATTAGGTCGTCCAAGATTCCCTCGTTCTTCTGGCGGAGCTGGTCGACACGGTCCAGCACGATAAGCTTGACATTATTGTCGGCCTCCTTGATCGCAAGCTCAATGAATTTGCCCGCGGCGGCTTTGACGGCGACAGGGTTGTTGGTAAGTGCTGTGAGTGAGGATGCCGCCTCGTAGACCACGGTGGACGTGTTCGCTTCGAGAAGATCGAAGATGAGACGCAGGTACCGCGCCTTGTTCTGCGTGTTCTGGATAGCATCCTTCCTGATGAACTCCAGCTCTACCAGCTGCAGAAGCTCCTCTGCGTTCGGGATACCGTCAAAAACCGTGCTCAGGTAGGCCAGGGCCTTCTCGTGGCTGATGCTCGACAGAGCAGCGAAGCCATTCCTCTTGCATGTGGGGTCGCTCTCTCCTTCGAGGAATGTCGCAATGAGCTCAGCTGCGTCAGGAATTAAAGAGGGCGAGTGTTGGTGGATGGAGGCGACAGCGAACACGGCGTTCTTTCGCACATAAGCATGGCGGTGCTCCAGGCAGGAGCGCGCAGAGGAGAGAAGAGGCTCAAGAAGCTCGGGTTCCCGAAGTTTGCAAAGGAAGCGCAATGTGTTGCCACGGATGTACTCATTCGGGTGCTGCAAGTCGTTCCGAATGCCATTACTGCAGTGGCAGATCAGCACACGGCGGCTACCGTGGTCACGCAGCAGGGATACCATACCATACCAAGATGAACTCCTGCTTCAACTTCCCCTGGGCGTCAAGCTTGGGGCAGATCTCGTAATAGAAATAGAGAAGCTTCTTGAGCGGCTTGGACTTGGATGGCATGACGAATCGGATAATGTGCATAAGCAATTGGGGCATCGGATCGCCGTTGAGCATTATGGTTAGGATGCGCTTCATGGTCTCGACCTTAGTTTCATCGGTACCCTTCTCGAGCTGCGTGCGCAGCTCGGACAGGGTCGGCGTGCCCTCAGTGGCACTGTCCTTGACCAAGCTGTATGCATTGTCGAGGAACGACATCTTGAATAACGGGTGGCGGCGGGCCGGTCGTGGTGAACGAGGGTTGAAAGGCTTGCAACTGGGGAGCGATCGATACTGGGGATGGGAACTCGTCGAGGGCGGGACACGCTACTCCTCCTAGGCTCTCGTCAAATCGCAGCACGGCTCCTGTGCAAGGGAGCGACAGCGCCAGTCGACAGATTCAACAGGGTCTCGCACAAGTGAGCGCTTGTTCGGTGGCCGCTGGCTGCTGCTGTGTGAGAGAGCGGAGCATCACCTGCGTCAATCGAGGTGGGAGCCAGCTTAAAAGGAGCCACTCCTGATACAGTCGGTCAATGTCAATATCGAAGGGACACGGGCGTGCACGGGAGATGTGGCATTACTGGGCGGCGACAGCTGGTCTCGCAGCTGTCAAGGAGTGACTTTGTCACGTGATGAGCCTTGCCGCGTCTTCTTAAGTTCTCAGTGGGGCCGCGGGGGCTCTGCCCCGCGTGCTCTCATAAGGCTGTCTTCCCAGCCGCGAGGGTTCCCAGCTTTCCCCCGGTCCCATCCATCACCACCACCGCCATGTCAAACCTAAACGAACCGTTTTATTTGCGCTACTAGTATGCCCTACCCTTCCAGTGTCGTTCGCGCTTTTGATACTGATCCATTCCCAGTTCTGGCCACCAAGGCCGTTTTGGCCACGAGTTCCTGGGTATGCCACGATACAACAACCGACTTCAGCTACTTGAATCCGACTGACCGTGCTGTATTGACAAGAATTCGACTTCCGTGTTGTCGGAGACGGCCGGAGCGCTACAGCCCGCTATGCCAACAATTCCAACTACAGAAATGATAGTCTGATCCGGAAAGAGAGTACGGTCACCTGCTTCAAAGCTCGAATGCGCCCCGTCGCGGAATGACTGACCCTCTGTGCTTCACCGCAGTGTTTGTGAGCTCCCTTGTTGTCGATGAGATCAAGAGGATCATAAAAGAGAGCGAAATCATGAAGTACGCTTGGCCGATCAAGCGAGGCTGGAGTGGGTGGCTAATGCACCGATAGGGAAGATGATGCAAAGTGGCCTACGAAGAATAAGGACGGGAAGCAAGAGCTGGAGATCCGACTCGGCAATGATCACATCTCCTTTGAGGTACATTTTGGCGACTGCGTCACTTGCGCCTGCTTTGTACCGTTGCTAACAATGCGCAGACTGCAAAGATCGGCTCAATCAACGATGTGACCGAGTCCGCAGACCCAGAAGGACTACGGGTTTTCTATTACCTTGTGCAGGACCTGAAAGCGCTTGTTTTCAGCCTCATCGCGTTGCACTTTAAGATCAAGCCTATCTGAGGTTCCGGATAACCCCCTTTGGTCAGTCCTACCATCCACGGCAGCGTTTCAGAACGACCGAGTGCTGCAGCCGGAAAGCAGCTACTTCAAACTCGTTCATCCGTCCAAGCCCAACACAACATGGATGCATCCGACCGGTTGGCCAGAAGACTTTTGGTGTTGGTCCCGGATGTTTACCTAGACTGCGCCGGATCACGACGACGGGGCTATCAAAACAAATTCCGATGAAAGGTGCGGTTTATTGCGACCATACTAAAACGAGACCGCCTGTCTGAGTCCTAATAAGGCGAGGGTGGCTCACGGTATACCGGTAGGACTAGGCCAGGTTAATGGTTAGTGTTACAGCCGGGCTACGGAGTACTACAAACAGAAACCCAACCACATGTTGCCAGCCATGCACTGCATTGCATATTCCTGTACTCCCATTGTCACAGATCGTTGTCCCTGGGGCCCGGTGCACTTTGCGCTGGCTGAATGGCATGTCTGTACTGTACGTCCCATGTATGTAGGTATCCGTATACAACACAACGCCGTTGAATCAAATCTCACAGCTACTACTATCTCAGTTTACCGTTTACCATTCACTAGCAAACAATCACGAGCTATAAATGTATGCCGCTCTCTTGCAACTTCTGCCTACCTGTTCCTGCTATCTATCTACCTACCTTACCTTTTGCGTCTACATACATACGTGCCTATCCGAAGGGACCTACAGTAGACTAAACTAGTAAACACTCAGTTCGAAAGCTCCTCGGCTGTGTTAATTGTGGGTTTTGCGCTGACAGTGGCGGGCTGGCGGCTTCGCGCTGCGCCAAGACCGGGCGGCGGCTTGGAAGGAGCGACGGGCCCTTGAAATGGAATGTGGATGATCTCCCAATAACATCGTCATTGTGTCAACTTTCCGACAACTCTGCCGTCCTTTGACTGTCTACAACTAGGCCGAACACTAGCAAGCCGGCTTCCACCCCAGCCATTTGGCCAACCGCGGTTCTGCATGTTCCAACGCGGCCGAGTCTCGGCGACTCACCGCCCGCCCCCTTCTCCCGCAAACTGGCCCTGCGTATAGTACTTGGTCGGAAGCGTTACTTAGACTGGGCAGCTAGGAGACTATCACAAGTTCATAACGCAGTCATCGTCCGCGAAGCCCATCCTTGGGATTCGATACGAGCCGGCGACTCTCTCCTCGCTCCATTCATTGCGTCCGTCGCACAAAGGGTGCCGGCCGCTGAGATCTCTCTGCGGCATACATCGGACACGGCTTTCCTTGGCCGCGTTAACGGGACGCCTTCACGACAACTCATCTGCGCGCGCTAACTTACAGTACCTCTTGATTCCGGATACCGTTCCTCGCATCCCAAAATTCCAACGATGCCTACGCCGTCCTCGGATGAGTCCAACCAGCACTCGCAGCGCTTTCATCTTTTCGCGACATCATGTCCCGACCTTGAGGAACAGCCGCAACAAGTAATATCACAAACAATCTCAGAAAGTGCGACCTCGCCGGGGTCGCCGTCACAAACGCGCTGGCGGTCATTTGTGCAGTCACAAATTCCTACTGAGCCCAGGGCCTGGCCGAGCCGTCAGAACATCAACGCCGATTCGGGATTAGCCACCATGTCGCCCGGGCCGCAGCCAGAGGGCGTCGGCATCCGCGATGCCGATATGGACCTAGAGCATGGGCACCAGCGGTTACAGATCGCGCGGTCAGGCGCTGAGGAGGGACAGAAGTCGACGGATGTAGATGAGGATACGAGCTCCTCCGTCGACGACACTTCTGGCCCCGTAGTTCCTGGCCGCGGGAGGGGGGAGGTGGCGAAAGGCAGGGCTGGCGCGACGCCAGACAGGAGGAAGCCGACAACGGAAGTTCCCTTGCCAGTTGCGGGAGCTATACACGAGGTGGACGCGTGGAGTCCGGTAGTAGGAAATGGCCCGCGGTGGGTGGAGGACAGCGGGCTCGTTGGTCTGGGCCTGGAGTACTCTCATATGAGGGTCATACCACCCCCGACATCGCTATACCTTCATCCCGGGAGTCGATTCGTCGGAACGCAGCAGTCGGAGCGGCAGCGGTACGATGTCGAGGTGCAGATCAAACACGTGGACCTTCGCGAGTCTTTCCTATGTGGGTACCTCCGGATACAGGGTGAGTTGGTCCCGAACATCTGTCTTAGCTGCTTCCCCTTGGTGGCCCCCCTATCCTAACATCCGTCCCTCCCGTGACAGGTTTAACCAACGACCATCCCACCCTAACAACCTACTTTGAAGGCGAGATCATTGGGACGAAATATGGCTTCATCACCCAGCATAAGGGGTGGGGAGCGACGGAGAAGATTGATTTCTCGCACTGGAACAAGTTCACCGCGTTCAGGCCGTACCATAAGCAGGCTCGCAAGGGCGGCCAGATCGTCATCAAGGATGTGGACCAACGGGAGAACATCTTTATGCGATGGAAAGAGCACTTCCTCGTCCCCGACCACCGTGTCCGGACGATCAACGGAGCCAGCTTCGAGGGATTCTACTACATCTGCTTCAACCAGGTACGGGGAGAGGTCAGCGGTATATATTTCCACAGTAAGAGCGAGAAGTGAGCTTCTGCCTAGTGTGCTCTTCAATCGCTTCATTTGTACTGTTCTGCTAACCCTCACCCCCTAGGTTTCAACAGCTTGAGTTGACGTATGTCTCGAACCGGGGATGTTTTGGCGCTCTGGAGTTCAGATAAACCTAGGAAGCGGCTTTTGTTCAGGATTTAATTCGGATTGCATACACACGGCGGAAATTTAGCTGCTAAAGGGCCTAGCGGGAGCGTGAATTTCTTTTTTCAGTATGTCAAGAGTTTCGGAGTTGGGACGTCAGCGCTGCATATCGCGTTTGGGAAACTTCGGTCATATATGTAAACGCCAACAATAGGAAGAGGGCGCAAGACATCTTTGCACGTACGCATCGGACGCGGGAATCAAGCGTACTGACCTATTCTGAGGCTTGAGGGGACAGTGACAGACAACCAACAGGAGCGGGAACACCGTTGCATATGCAGAGCCTCTTGTTTAACATGATTATTGATGGAGATGGGTATCTAAGACGGATGCTCAGGTCCTTTATCAGCCGACTCGAATCCGTTGAAATACGCCTTGCGAAACGGATTCAGCTCGTCAGCCGTCTTCCCAACCGGCTTTGCCTCCTCGCGCGCCTTCATCGCCTCAGGATCGACTTCTACGTCGGGTATTCTGCGGTAGGTTATGAGTCGTCGGGACCCTGCACAGGTTAGCAACATACTCCTGCTAAGTTGTAGGGCCAAATGGGCAAACATTTGTTGAACGGCTGAGTGCAGACGGAGACCATCTCGAGGTATGGGTGTGTTGGCACCGGGATCTCTTGATCTTCGTCATTTGCGGTTGGCATCCAGAACGATAACCGGCCATTGTCAACCAGGGTCTGGGCTGAGAACTGAAGAATATTGTCCAGCATAGCTTGGAAGCTGTAGGGCTTTCTTGGCGGAATAAAATCGGGGTTTCTGGTGCAATCTGGTCAGTACATTGCCTTGCAGCACCTTAGGAAGAGACGCTCACTTGTACATTTCCTTCCCCTTGGGTATCACCCAGGGGCACTTCTCCGGATCTCGCACCCCTAGGACCCGCAGACCCTCCCTCACGCCGTACGGCGGATCACAGACAATTCCGTCAAACACCCGTCCGGTCACACCATCCCCATCATACCGCAATTCGGCCCTTCGAATCGGTGAGTTGGTCAAGTCCGCGGTGAACATCCCACCCAAGCCCCCAAGCAGTCCATACTGCTCGAAATTCCCCCTCAGCGTCCTTTTCTTCTCATCCCCCCTAATACTCCGCCCATCTATATCACTTCCGAACGTCACCGCCCCAAATTGTGCACATGCGATCGGGAAACTGCCCGTTCCCACAAACGGGTCATACATGATCTTCCCCGGCGCCGCCAGCGCCAAGTTAGCCGTCACCAACGCGAGCTCGGCGTCCATGGACGTGGTACTGATGTACCTCCTCTTCTTGAGGTCCAGCTTCTTAGGCAGCTCCCGCGCACCGCTCCCCAGATACCGTCCGAAGTAGTAGTACTTCGGATCCGGGATGCCGAGCGGCGTCGAGTTGAACTCCCAGTCCTCAAACAGGATGAACTCCTCGTCCGGGCCGCGCATCTTGATGGGACCAGCGAAACCGAGGTAGGCGAACGAGTTGATGATGCGGATTTTGTCGTCGGATGTGCGGGACCCCTGGTACGAGTCGATTGTGAACTTGAACGAGCAGGTCATGTACTTGGACCAGAGGTGGGATGTGGTTGAGCGCACGGCTGAATGCACCTTGTCGAGATCCGACCCCGAGCCCCAGAGCTCGTGGATCGACATGGCGAGGATAGAGCGCCGGATGAGGCGTTTGGCAGCATCTCCAGATGGGAGGCTGACGATGCAGAAGGGAGACTGGGGACGACAGTTAGCAAGGATGATTGTTGACGGTGCTCGGGGGGGGGGGGGCGGGGAGGGCAATGAAGGAGTTGCTTTGCAGTGAGAAGGCTGAAGGAGTGACCGCCTGGAGGAAGGTAACGTACTTCGAGGCTGTATGAGACGATTCTCATATCGATGCCCTCGATCAATGCTAATGCCTGGATCTCTGGGAGGCGGAACGTCTCATGAGACTGAGAAAAGCGAATGAGAAATTCCATTTCTTCCTTCGGTCTACCCCTCAGGGGTTCTGCGATCTGCCCTCTGGTGTTGTGTAGACGATTGTAACTATGAGTCTAGCTCCATTGGCCCTTATCTCTTTAAGAGTTAAGAGCGTTCCTAAGTTTGGCTTTGGGAGATTTAACAAGATGCAGCTTAGCTCCGTTTGACTCACTTTCACAGACTCGAGGTCCATTTTGTGTGAATCGGAGACGTTGGACTTGACCTATGTACGGCGGGGTGGGTGTAGGATGGAGTTGCAGGGCACCTCTTCTAGTTTGACCAATGATAGTTCAAGGGTAGTTAGATTCACCCCACCTGTTTCTGTTAGTTAAGGCTCGTTGATTTTGCTCTCACGCTGTGGCCCCCACTCATCCATCGATAACACTTCCAAATGACAGTACGAAGTTGTGGATGTGAGACCCGACCAAGACGGCGGCTCCTGAACCGACACCAACATGTTGTCTTTTGATCCACCAGCAGTGTACCAGACTTCCAAATGCTATGTCACTTACGGCGTAATGGGTCATCTGGACCCAAAACAGCCCCCTTCAAAGGCGAAGCCGTGGTCGGCACTTACAAGCCAAGATTTTGTCCACAGAGTTCGTCCCACTCGTGCCTCACTAATCTCTTGTATGCATCGCTTTCTGACACCTCCTGTAGGCCGATCTAATCCTTCCCCAAGAAGTCTCGGATATTGTAGAAGAGAAGCTGCTTAGAAATAAGCCAGCCCCGGGGTTCAAGAGGGTTGTCATGTCGCTTCATGATATCCTCTCCGGGGAGTTTTTTACGGAGTACATCAAGAAGGGTGGGAACACTCTGTTCTCTCGGAAAGATGTTCCCAGAGCTGATACGTAGTAGGCAATGTCCTGATGCTTTCGGAGGGCAGGAGAGGCATCGACAACGTCTTTGCACTCAGCAGCGGCACCCTGACCATGTTTCTAGACAAGGAAGCATATGAGCGGGCAGGGCTAGTAGGCAAGCCCCACGGAGTCAACGGGAAGCGCAGCACGAAGCCTCGCTGGGGTGAGTTCTCGGCTGCCTAGAAGGTCACCTCTGTTTCGCTGACATATTCAGTTGTCGAGTACGACCTCACCAGTCAGTCGATGTCTCCGGGAAAGAAGGGGTTCGATCGATTACTGTATGCGAGCAAGAATGCTCTCGCCGGACCGATTACTTGGCTATTCTCCAGCGCTTCCCCCGCAAGTGAGTTGCCCCCTTGTGTTGACAGATGTGATCTTTGCTAACGTTCGCAGCAGGTCCTGATCCAGACCCCCTTTCCCGGCACTTCCCAACGAACCACACCTCCACCCCCGGTATCGTCGAAGGTATCAATGTCGTAATACCAAACCTCGCCCCAGACATCAACTCTCTTTCAGACACGGGAGAGGATTTTAAGGACTTCTCAACCGAACTGTATGAATGGCTGTCTCTCGTTCGGCTTCAGAGTCCTCGCATTCATGCTGGGGACCAAATGGACCCCTACCTCTCCCGGTACCAGGTTGCCGAAGGTGGCAAGGAGGGCAAGATCTGCAGAATCAGCTGGCAAGGCTTTCTTGCCCCGTCATGGGCCCGACAGACTCTGATCGATATCATCACGGCTCTCCCGCCCAGGACATGGTTCTCGTTCAGCACGACAACCTTCTCCAGAGGGTTGGCAGAGACCAACGCCGAGTGCACGATCCTCCGTCCACCGAATTCGACCGGGGAATACCTCATGTGGGAGGTCAAAGGACAAGAGTGATGCTAGTGGGACCCAGGATTCAATCGCTCCTCGGCCGAACACTCCTCTCATCACCAAACCCCTGTCCACTGATAGCTTCCTCTACCAAGCGCCGCAACTCCGCTTGGCCCTCGGGTGTCTGAAAGTCTTCTCGCGCAGCTAGCTCTTCTATCCTCCTCCGGAATTCAGGGTCTGGTTGCTGCTCTTCCGCCTCCTCCGCATCCATTGTCCCCATTCGCACCTCCAATCCTTCGGGAACGGGCGGCAGCCCAATGTCTGAACCGTTCCGGGCGGCGTTAGCACTCGAAGATCCCGTCTCTAGGCTCTGGAGATATTCGGCGACGGCCGGCCACTCGGCTTCCCCTTCAATCTTTTCCCTCGCTGTCTGGCCTTCGCTGTTTTGCAGCTTGGCATCCAACCCCAGTTCTTCCACCAATATGCGGGCGGCGTCGACGGTTTCGACCACAAATAGCGCCGTCTCCCCGTCCTCGTCCTTGATGTCGACAGGGACTTTGAACTCGCGGATTAGAGACCGGAGGAGATCGAGATGGTTATAGCTGGCAGCCGCGTGCAGTAGTGAGTAGCCGTGCTCATCCTGACATGGAGCCAGGGAGGGGTTCTCGCGCAGGAGCGAGATAAGCGCTGTCGGATTGTCGGCGGCTAGGAGGTATGGGTTGGGCGACATTTTGAGCGGTCTTAGCGGATTGTTTGGTTCTCTGGAATATTCCTGCTCCAGACTTGGAAGTTCTCAAGAACACTGTAAGGTGATATCAAGAATCAAGAGAGAGAAATTTTGGTGGGGTCAAGGTCATCGCGGGGTAGGTAAATTCGGACGCGGCGATGACATGCTGATGAGAGCTTATTTACAGACCCACTCAAACATATCATGGCACAAAGTACGAAGTACGGATACGGAGTACGGAATACGGATAGCTACCGTACATACCTTAGATTAAAGCCACAGAAATCTGCGTTGCTCAGTTACCAGCCTCAACTTCATAATCTGCGGTTCCCAGTCCATGAATAGGCTAATGGATCAAGACGACTCTTACGGAAACGTAATATGGATTTTCCAACATGGTCGAAAGAGATTTCCATTCCAGCCTAAAACTGCCCACACTTAGGAGGTACGACAATACATACGTACCTATGTACCTTACTGTACCGTGACATTCATACGGTGCACTCCGTAGCAGCTGCAAGGATTGGCTCAATTGCGGGGCTTTCAACTTCAGGTTCCTAGCTCGACCCTACGCCTGGTAACACACGTTGGCTCACCACCGGCAAGGCGTGACTCCTCGGCGAGGAAAAGTTGTGCGGGACTTCAATATTTTGAGCATTCAAACTGAGGGCCGTTTTGGCCGCATTTCGTCACACCTAGCGTTCATGTGGGCCCATGAGGATGGCTGTTGACTCATAGGGTGAATTTTGTTTGCTGGAAGCACCTGCCTTTGGGAATCAGCTTCCCCATGCCTCATGCAGTGCTTAAAAAGATTCGGCTTTGGAACTCCCGTTTCTTGGGTAAACTTGAGCATCCGCTTCCGTGTTCAAATCAGAGCGTTGGCAGGCCTAAGACCAACTCTGTCTTCATATCTCTGCTGCATCCAACAAGCATCTCGCGGCCATCACGCTCCGTTTCCCACATTCCGCATTGCATCACGACTAGAAGCTGTTAGACGCTGTATCCACCTCAAACGAAGCTTCGCCCCTCACCAAGCCATCACAGTGCAACGCCGCCCAATCTCCACCACAGAAACAGCACGACACATGCCCACCATGAGCGGCACCGCCGAAACGCTGGACAAGGCGTTATCGTCGAGGTACAAGGCCTCGACGGATTATGCCAAGCATGCCGATGGGATGGAAGTTCCCTACCTAAGCCAAGATCCTCATGAGATCGCCACGCTCGTCAACGGCCTTGATGAGGCAAGCAAGAAGGGTAAAAAGAAGGGCGGTTTCAGCGCGAAGAAGACAAAATACGCCGTTGCTTCGTCGCCGACCGGCATTACGGTCGACTCGTGGAGGTTCCAAGAGTGGGATTACAAGCGCCGTGATCTCCCAACTCACGCCCGTGGGCTGTTCACTACCAGGACCAAGTCTGGCGTTCCTGAAATTGCCGTCCGTGGCTATGACAAGTTCTTCAACATCAACGAAGTCCGGGAGACAGAATGGAACCACATTATAGAGAGGACCAAAGGTCCCTATGAGCTTACGCTGAAGGAAAACGGCTGCATCATCTTCATCAGCGGCCTCGAAGACGACACACTACTAGTCTGCAGCAAGCACTCGACCGGAGACCGATCTGATGTCGAGCTCAGCCATGCGAACGTGGGGGAGCGTCACATCGAGAAACAGCTGGAGCGTATCGGCAAGACCAAGCAGGACTTGGCCCGGGAGCTGAGGAAGCGAAATGCAACTGCCGTCGCCGAGCTCTGCGACGACAGCTTCGAGGAACACATCCTCGCGTACGGCCCGGACAAGGCTGGCTTGTACCTACATGGTATCAACATCAACCTTCCGGAGTTCATGACCTACTCAGCCCCGCTTGTCCAGAAGTTCGCCGAAGACTGGGGTTTCATCAAGACCGGGTGCATCCTGATTGACAATATCAACGATGTCAAAGCCTTCCTCGAGGAGGTTGCTGAGACGGGCGCCCATGATGGCCGTGACGTTGAGGGGTTTGTCATCCGGTGCAAGATGACAACAAATCCGGGTAAAGCCCCGTACCAGGACTGGTTCTTCAAGTACAAGTTTGAGGAGCCATACTTGATGTTCCGGCAATGGCGAGAGGCCACCAAGGCGCTTATCAGCGGTAAGCAGTTCAAACTCAGAAAGCACATCAAGATCACGGAGGAGTATCTGCTGTACGCCCGGAAACGGCTCGCTGCGGACCGCGGCTTAAGGGAGGCCTACATGCACAATCACGGAATCATCCAACTACGCAACGACTTCTTGGCGTACAAGAACATGAAGGGCAGTGATGCCGCTAATCTCGAAGACATCAGTGGCTCCTCCACTGTTACGCGCGATATCGTCCTTGTCCCGGTCGCAACAATCGGATGTGGGAAGACCACAATCGGGGTGGCACTTTCAAACCTATTCAGATGGGGCCACATTCAAAACGACAACATCACCGGACCAAGACGGCCGCCAAGATTCACGAAGGCGGTCCTGGATCAACTCGAAGAGTTTCCTGCCGTGTTTGCTGATCGAAACAATGCCATGAAACACGAGCGTAAGCAGCTAATACACGACGTCAAGATGCAGCACGCGACAGCCAGGCTAGTTGCCTTGCACTTCGTTCACCACGACATCGACACCGTCCGTCAGGTTACCCAAGACCGGGTGCTCCAGCGTGGAGACAACCATCAGACCATTCAGGCCGCCACGGATATGAACAAGGTCGTTGGCATCATGGAGGGTTTCATCCAGCGTTTTGAGCCCTGCGATCCAGAGAAGGAGCCGGACGCAGGGTTCGATGCCGTCATTGACTTGGACCCTACTGCTGGAAGCAGGGAGAACCTCGAGACCGTGATCAAGCAGCTGCATCGCCAGTACCCGAGCTTTATCAAGGAGGTCCCGTCTGCTGAGGACATGGACGCAGCCATCAAGGCTGCGCTGGAAGGCTACAAACCTGACCTCCGTCACATCATCCCGGACCGCTCCAAGAATGACAAAGGAGGCAAGAATAAGCAGCAGCAGCAGCAGGCTGCCACCGAGAAATCAAAGAAGAAGAAGCCTTTGGAGTACATGTCGGTGGACGTTGACGCTAAGACCGTGCTCACCACCTTGGAGAAGACCTTTGCCCCCGCCCTTCCGGTCGAGAGAACGCGGTTTTTCAAACAACTCCAAGGCACCCGCCGGGTGCAGGCCAAATTCCACGTCACACTCATGCACCGCGCCTCCGCCAAGGACCACCCAGACCTCTGGCAGCGCTACACCTTTCTGCAGGAGACGGACGGCGCGATCCACCCAGATGGAAAGTTGGGCGAACTCGAGGTGCAGCTGGAGCGGGTCGTGTTCGACGACCGCATCATGGCTATTGTTGTGCGCCTGGTCCCCGCTACCTCCGAAGACGAGAACATCAATGCCGACCACCCGGAGTTGCCGGCCCGGCCCAAGTGGGAGTGCGTCAACCGTGTGGCCCACATCACGGTAGGAACGCGGGACGACTCGGTGAAGCCGAAGGAAAGCAATGACTTGCTTGCGAGGTGGTTAGAGCAGGGCAGCGGGGAGGGGACAGGTATCGGGGAATTGCTGATTGAAGGGAAGCCGCTTATTAAGGGTATCGTTAAGGGTGTGTTGGCGAGATAGGACAACGAGACGTACCAGTCACGGTGTCGGGGAAGGTGGCGTCAAATAGGAAGCGCTCTCTCATGTGCAAGGGAGTGTCTGGAGGCTAAACAGACGGCCGGCTATGCGGAAGAGTTCATTTACGGCTTATCCTTCCTCACGTACCCCCACTTGGAAGAGGAAAGCATATGTTATCCAGGTTCGAGACTGTATTTATATGAAAAATGTTGAACTAGGACTCCGCTATCCGTTTCCGGTCCATCCTACATGGGCAAGTGTGTTCGCTACGGACGATGATGAACCGCCCAATATTGCCCACCGGCTCAAGCCTTTTGTGCTGTGTATACCGTTCTCGAGGTCTAAGTGGCGCTGAAGCCATTCGTAACCTCGACGAACATCGCCCACTGCCTGGCCGCTTCACCACTCTTGATGGCCCACCGCGCCCTTCTGACGCCCTCCTTCCAGCGTCCTCCCCCCGGGCCCCTCTCCTTTATCACAGCTCCATCGTCTCCATATCCCAAATCACTCGTCTCCGCCTCGCATATCCCTGACACCACGAACAGCGCGGCAGTGTTGATCAGCACAAAGTGCAAGATGGGATCGTCATCCGGCATCTCCCCGCTCAGAATCCGCCGCAGAATCTCGGCGTTCTCCTCGGGCTCCTTGCCGGGCGAGACCTCCGAGAGCGGATGCGTTGGCAGGCCAAAATCATTCGGGTGCAGCAAGAAGTGCTCGGTCACCGTCCTGGACGGATCCGACGGGTCCGGGCCGAGCCGCCAGCAGAGCGTGTTGCCCGCGCAGCTGATCTCGTCCAGCTCCTCGTCGCCGCAGACCACCATCGCCTTGCGCGCACCCACCAACTGCAGGGCGTGCGCGAAGACCGGGCCGATGTCCTTGCGTGCTACGCCGATCATGCGCGCTTCAAGAAGGGAGGACTGAGTGGCGGTGGTGGTCGCCTGAGAGGGGTCATGAAGGTCCACTGGGTTGGCGAGGGGTCCAACCAGGTTGAAGATGGTCCGCCAGGGGAGTTGTCGGCGGATGGGGGCGACATAGCGCATGCCGGGGTGGAAGACGGGCGCGAACAGGAAGCCATAATTGGTATTGCTGTAGAGCGAAGAGATGGTGTCCGGGCGGACCCGGTCTATTTGGGGAGCGAGAGGTTTCATGCAGTTCAGCAGGTCAGCAGAGCCGGACTTGGAAGTCGAGGCCTTGTTACCGTGCTTGGCAATGAGCAGGAGGCTGGAGGCGAGGATTGATGAAGTGGTGCTGATGTTGAAGGTGTTGTGTGAGTCGCCTCCTGTGCCGACGATGTCGACCTAGAGAGCGGGGGGTCAGTTAGATCGGCCCGAGAGGAGAGAAATATGGAGGGGAACATACCAACCCACCCCCATAACCGCCTTCGCTCCTACGTCGCCCATCAACAGCTGCTCGAACAGCCGACTGATCAATCTTTGCTGCTGCCTTCAGCATGCATTCTGCCGTCTTGGCCAACACCTCTGCCTGACGGTCGAGGCCGGTAAAGTGTAGGCACATGAGAAGAGAGCCCGCCTGAACCTCGGATATCTGGTTCGTGAAGAAGTACGAAATAGCTTCGGCGATCTCCTCAGGCGAGACAGGGTCTGGGTGTCCCACCGGCCAGAGCCTCGCGAGCAATGGCTTAATGTCGACGAGCGGGAGCTCCTCGGCCATGTTGGGGATGAACAGGGTATAGTATTATTTGACAGTGAGCGAATAGCAAGCTCTAAGTGATCGAGGATTGCCAATCGAATGGCAACAGCCTCCCAGAAGGGGATCCGAGAAAGTGATATGGATTTTGACTCATTCTGAACCGGAGGAACAGAGAGCTCCAATTGAGCTCTTTGCCAGCTTGGTCCAGGAAGAGAGCCCCGCGACGACCGGAGATCTGGCGGGGTCACTGGTGCAGGGATCACCTGCAATCAGCAAGGGTCCATAGAGAGTAGAGACGGCAGAAACTTGGCGGTGAGGTTAGCGCAGAAATTGGCTCCCGCTTGGCAATGGTCCCCTGCGCTACTTGCAATTGGCGACGCCAAAATTTCGGGTCCTGGGAATCGTGATTATCAGGTGCGTGCAGCAGACTGGTTCCGTTGGGTCAGGTTGGTGCATCCGAGTTTATGACCCAATGCCCAGTATCTGACAGATCTTCCACGTAGAATGCCTCCGAGATTACGATGCGCGGCTCCTCGAGGCCTGGGCTCTGTCATTAAACCTCCGAGGGTACCGAGTCCATCAACCGTCCTCCCCCTTCCTTCGATAGCTGCGGTCGGAGCAGCGACAAGGACGTACGCCACAGCTGCTCCTGCCTCGAGAGTATCCAGCTTCAATGTGCCCGCAGACTACGTCCCGCCGACCAAACCACCTTCCGCCCGGCCGTCCGACACACGCAAGTCGCAGCTGCTCCGAACTTACACCGCACTCCTCCGATCGACACCCCTGATCTTGATCTTCCAACACAACAACCTCACTGCAGTAGAATGGGCGGCTGTGAGGCGGGAGTTGCGGATTGCTCTCAACGGCGTCTCTACTCCCGGGACAGGCTCGGCCGAGATAGCGGAGACGACGCAGCTGCAGGTGATCCGGACACGTATCTTTGATGTCGCCCTCAAGATCGTCGAGTTCCACGATCCCTCCAAGGTTGCTCCCACAACCGCCTCCACGCTCAGCGGCGAAAAGATTCAAGTGGTCTATAACCACGACTTGTCCCCGGCAGCCTATGACGCCGTCAAGGCTGCAACCAAGGGCGACGCGCCTTTACCCAACTCGACCGCATATGCTCAGCTCTCGCCTCTGCTAGTCGGACCGATGGCGATCCTCACCCTGCCGGCCGTGTCGCCTACGCACCTAGCTGCTGCTCTCAGCGTGCTCTGCCCGAGCCCGCCAGCTTTCCCCCCGCCAAGCAAGAAGAAGAGCCCTGGTTATCATGAGCCCATTGCTCAGAGCGGGCTCCAAAAGCTCATGCTTGTCGGCGGACGGATTGAGGGCAAGGTCTTCGATCTTGAGGGTGTTAAGTGGGTTGGCGGGATCGAAGGAGGTCTGGATTCCCTGCGTGCGCAGCTCGTCTACATGCTCCAGAGCGCTGGGCTTGGGCTCACAAGCGCTCTGGAGGGTGCAAGCAAAAGCCTCTGGCTTACCATGGAAAGCCGGCGCAGCGTGTTGGAAGAGGAGCAGAACGGTGGAAAGGAAGGCGAGAAGAAGGAGAGCTCATGAGGAAAGTGCCAGTGGTGAGCCTGGTAGAACCATATGTCCACACGCCACATATAGCGTGGAGTTCGGCCGATGTCGCATTGCAGTAGGTGCGATATGTCAACATGTAAATCATACTGTATCATACATCTTGAGTGTCAGAGGTTCTACTCGGACTGCATCTGTGTGGATCAGAGGCGTACACAACCATACCTACTAGTACCTAGGGAGTACCGTTCTCACCACCGTACTCAGCTTGTTATAAGGACTGGGAACATAGCGTACCTGAACGGGCAACCTGACACTCCAAAGACTTGCCCCACCCGCGAGGTCTTATCCCCACAGCTACCCCGGTCATCGAACTACCTAATAAAAGAGAGCCCCTCAAACAGTTCAACCTCTAGCTCGAAGCAAGGTAGTGTATTGCGGCTCAGTTCAATTACCACCCTCTCACCACAACGAACAGGTTCCGGAAGGCGCGCCGGAGGTCTGCCAACCGACCATCAGCTGGTGGGCGCGGCGCCGCTCAATTAATTGTCCATTCGGTGGAGCATATAACATCCCGCCAGCCTCAATCATCGCCGTCGATAAGCTTCGCATCAGTTCCTGTCTTCAGTCGAGCGCCAACGACCAGACCAGCTGGTATCTCGGTCTCTGCGACACATCATACTACTACTAAGCCCCACCTCCCATCCTTCAACCGGACACCCGACCAACGCGTGCCTGCGCCTGCTACAGTAGCAAGGAACGAAAGTCGAGAACACGATACACAACAGACGCGGCCACGCCTAACTTACCACATACAATGGACTTCGCGCCCTATCAGTCCTCTCCACCGGAGCACAGCCGCTCGCCCACGCATAGCGCCGTCGCCTCCCCACGCACCTCCCTCGAAAACAACAACAACCGCCGCGGCGCATATTCTCCCGCCACGGGGCACCATTACCAACAACGACAATCCCAATTCTCGCCCCCGCCATTGCAGCACCCGCAGCCGCAGCGCGCGTGGTCCGGCGAAGGAGTCGGCAGGTACCAGAGTCCGTTGGCGCATGCGGCGCATCCAGACACTTCGGCATGGGCAGAGCCAGGAACATTGAACGGTGGCGGCGGCGGAGGGGGAGGAGGAGGTATGGGGGATTACTTCAGCTCGCTGGGCGCGAGGGAGGGGATGGTGTCCGAATTCGACACGAGCCTGGGGCTGAGGCTGGATTACGAGGCATGTTTAGCATACCTGCTCCTGCCGCCTTTGGGGGCTCTCTTTCTTCTGATTCTAGAGCGGAAGAGTGATTATGTCCGGTACGTCCCCTCCTCGTGCTGGTCCTATTTTGGGTTGGTATTTCATGTGCGGCAGTGGCCGTGATGCTGACGGTGTCTTGTCCGCAGGTTCCATGCGTGGCAGTCTGGCCTGCTCTTTACGGCGCTGTTTGTGGTGCACTTGCTGTTTTCATGGTCAACCTTTCTGAGCTGGGTATTCATCCTGGGCGATTTAGTTCTAATAGCGTGGCTGGCGCTGAACGCGTACCGGGACGCGGATACGTTGGACCGGTAGGTTTCCCCCGCCATACCTCTCTTCGTCGCAACCATGCTGACATTATTCCAGGTATGAAGTACCGATCGTCGGACCGATAGCAAGCAGGATCTTGGACGACGAATGACGCTGGGTACAGGGCGGGCTTTTGCCGGATTCGTACTTTCAGGGTTTTCAGGAGTTGGTGGCATGTGCTGTACTAGATATCAAGTTTTGTAGTCATGGTGCTTTTGTCACCATGAACTTCTCAGGCGGTAGCGACGGGTACTTTGGATGAGAGGAGCGTAATCCACTCACAATGCTCTGGCACGTACTCCCATTTGGCAGTCCTACTAGTAGTAAAGCCTGTGCTCATTCCAGTTAAGGTAGCTCTTACTGAGAGTGAAAGTGTAGATTACAAATTTACAAACGGTCACCGTATCACAACTACGAAGTAATACTTGTGATTGAAATTCGGAATCGATGAAGGCTCTCGTCTGCGGCTATTGATACTGTGCGAGACGGTAGTCAGCACCAGCCTGGTTGGTCACGGTCACAGTCTGAACTGAGTGATAGTGGATTCCGGTAGGTCTTGGCCGCCTGCCTGTGGTTACGTCGCGCTTTTGCCTACAGCACGGCCCAGCTCCCAGCCGGTTCGATTGAGCTCCATCCGGCCACAGCGACGACGAAACTTCCAACTGCATCTCCGGTCCATAAACCGGCCTTGAGCATTTGTGCTGCCCCGCTCACCAAAGCACAGTCAAGTTTCACTCAACCCAGCTTCTGCTTTGCGCCGCCGAGTTAATCATACACCCACCGCAACAAACCGGCCGCAAAGCGCAGCAATCACCATGTCAACCCTCGAAGAGCTCGATGATCTCGACCGTCGGGACCGCGACGACAAGAAGGACAAGAAGCAAGATGACAAGGGGAAGCAGGGGGGTGGTGATGGCGACGCCGAAATGGAGGATGCAGAGCCGGAAGAGGATGACGTGCTGGATCCCGAGATCCTCAGCCTGAGCACCGAGGACATCAAGACCCGTCGGCGCTTGCTCGAGAACGACGCCAGAATCATGAAGAGTGAGTTTCAACGGTTATCACACGAGAAGGCGACCATGGCGGAGAAGATCAAAGAAAACATGGAAAAGATCGCAAATAACAGGTACGTTGCCCCGCCGTGTCCGTCTAGCTGTAGTCGCCTCTGGCTGGGCCCGCTGACCTCGCCGCCGTTCGTCCATGCAGACAGCTTCCCTACCTTGTCGGGAATGTTGTCGAGCTACTAGATCTAGACCCCACGGAGGAGTCGAAGGAGGAAGGCGCCAACATTGATTTGGACGCCGTTCGCGTGGGCAAGTCAGCCGTGATCAAGACGTCGACAAGGCAAACCATCTTCCTCCCGCTGATCGGTCTCGTCGACCCCAACAAACTCAGGCCCGGCGACCTCATAGGTGTCAACAAGGACTCGTATCTCATTCTAGACACCCTACCGGCCGAGTACGACAGCAGAGTCAAGGCCATGGAAGTCGACGAGAAGCCCACCGAGAAGTACACCGACGTTGGCGGTCTTGACAAGCAGATCGACGAGCTCATCGAGGCTATCGTATGGCCTATGAAGGAAGCAGAGCGTTTCAAGAAGATTGGCATCAAGGCGCCGAAGGGTATGGCGATCTAGTCTGGCTTGGCTGCGTGGCGAACCGACGACGCTGACATGATCTACTAGGGGCTCTGATGTATGGCCCTCCCGGCACTGGCAAGACGCTACTCGCCAGAGCCTGTGCTGCGCAGACCGATGCAACCTTCCTCAAGCTTGCCGGGCCACAGCTGGTTCAAATGTTCATCGGCGATGGCGCTAAGCTCGTGCGCGACTGCTTCGCACTGGCTAAGGAAAAGGCACCGGCTATCATCTTCATCGACGAATTGGATGCCGTTGGTACCAAGCGGTTCGACAGTGAGAAGAGTGGCGATCGCGAAGTGCAGCGTACCATGTTGGAGTTGCTCAACCAGCTGGACGGTTTCGCTTCGGATGACCGGATCAAGGTCATCGCTGCCACAAACCGTGTCGACGTCCTGGATCCCGCTCTGTTGAGATCCGGGCGTCTCGATCGCAAGATCGAGTTTCCGCTCCCGAACGAGGAGGCTCGCGCCCAGATTCTCAGGATCCACTCGCGCAAGATGAAGGTGGACCCTGCGGTCAACTGGGGCGAGTTGGCGCGCAGCACGGACGAGTTTGGCGGTGCCATGCTCAAGGCTGTGTGTGTCGAAGCAGGCATGATTGCCCTGCGCATGGGCAAGAACAAGATCGGGCATGAGCACTATGTTGATGCCATTGCCGAAGTACAGGCAAAGAAAAAGGATGTGAGTAATTCCGCAACTCACCCCAGACACGAAGTGATGATACTGACTGCCAATCTAGACGGTCAACTTCTATGCTTAAGCATCGTGCTGGTTATCAAGTCGCCGGAGGACATCTCATCAGCGCGTCCGCCGTGGTCGATAGAACCTGGGTTGCTAAGTTGATAGAGCGAGCCGTTTGTGTAATACGTACTTACCATAACATGGAAGCAGTTGTCCATTGGTCTTGAGGAGTCATCCTTGCTTGACATCTCGGCCTGTCTCACGTCCTTGTTGTCCCACAGTGATCCCCAGGCGCACCGCGGCCACTGCTTGGGTACTTACTCAGGCTAATGCAACAGAACGAAACCCATGTGGTCCCGTACAGAGCTCATCGGGGGCGATCTCTGTATCGGATGTTGCGTCTTCCGGGATATCTTATTCGGCTCACCGGCTGCATTCATCGCACCGCCGCTGCGGTTGGAACTGTGTACCTACTATGATCAATCCCCACCACACCCAGTTCGAGACCCTTTTTCTGGCTGATCAACTAACCGATCGGTCGTACCAGCTAGTACAGACCAAGGTTTCCACTTGTGTAGGTTCGGTTCTTCCGGATTGGCCTGCACAACAAGTGCCAGCTCAGTGCAATAGTAGGCAGTAATCTGCTAATATCTATCCGAGTCATTAAAACCAGAACAATCAGGTGCCTTACCTGTATCCCTAGAGGTTATCGTTGTAGCCACGAGGCTATAAAATTCTCAGTACTTTTCCTAGAACGCTTCACCCGCATACCTCAACCAAAGCTCGGGGAGTCGGTCTGTGTCAAAAGACCTCCGCCTTGACGTTATAGGTGCCTATTCACAGCCATACGCCTACGACGTAATCAACACGGTAAGGAAAGGTACTAGTATAATAATACGTATCCCTATAAGACTTACTTATGGGGTCAACGATCATTGAGGTGCCTGACATATTAAGTACGTGCCTTAGGGAAGGACTAAATGATGAATCTTTGAATTCAATATATGGTGCCACTGATCGAGTCTACCTCCCAAAGGTCAAGGAGCGTCAGTCCTTCTGCCCCTTTCTCATGATGCCTGATGCCTAGGTACTGCAACTATTGGCAGGTAAATCTGTCGCAATTCCTAGAAGCAAGGCACATTCGTATGGAAGCGAGTAACAAAGGCTCTCAATTCGACAGGAGGTTGAGGAGCCAGAGAGGAGAAACCAAAATCGGGCCAAGATACCTAACTAATAAGGGTTAGAACTACTACTACCTTAGGACTACTCCGTATATTTACGGGTAAGAGATATACTTGGCAGTTATGGGACCCGATGCCCAATTGATAGATAGATCAAACAAGCCTTTCTTGCATCGTAATATATGCGGTACCTGTTTGCCACGCATCATGCGGCCAATAAGGCACCTGGTGATTGCCATATTCTTGCGTGCCTCGCGTGGTATACAGTGATACTGGGTACCCAACTAGGTAGGTAGACAGACCTTCATCTCCAACTTGCTAAGTCACCCATGGGCGTTGGATCGCAGTGCGCGAGATGATCTTGATCGTTGTCCACCATCTTGATTGCAATTCCGCCGTCCTCATCGCTATCATCACCATTATCATCGTAACCGTGGTCCTTCGGGCTATAGCTGTGCGACGATATGAGCACCGGCGACACCGGCTGTTGGAAACTCGGGAAGGAAGCTGTGCGATCCGGTGTCCCCCCATGCGCTGGCCGGAGCGTGTCATCCTTCTTCAGCGTGATGGGCTCCGTGTGAACACGCTCAGAGTGCACCGGTCTCTGCAGACTGGACTCTTGTTGTGGGTGAGCTTGCGTCTGAGGTTTGGAAGTGGAGGCAGGCCGCGACTCCGCTGTCATGGTTGGTGTGGATGAGGCCATATCTGGCGAGTCGAGATCTAGTAGATCTTGGCTAGCTGCAACAGCAGCAGGCTTTGGCCTCACTATGGCAGTCTGCTGCTTGTTGAGCTGAGCCTTGGAGGGCTGGGGCTCTGGCGTAGCGCTGTGCGTCAGAGGTGTCCGCAGCTGTTGGATCTTCCCGGGCGAACCCGCGAGATCAAGGCCGCCAAAATCGATGAGATCCGTGTTGTCCTTATCCAAGTCATTAAGCTTGATGATGTCCTCGTCCTCCTCGATGGGGCCACCGGCACCATTGACCACGGGTATGCCACATTTGGCGAGGATCTTCGGAATGATCTTGGAATACCGCATGTGCCCCTGGACCTCGTCGCTGAGGTTGAGGTTCTCTACGCCTTCGACGTCCCTGATCTGCTGCAGACCAGCAACACCGAGCTGGACGGAGGTCGCGCGGTAGAGGAAGGCGAGGAGGTAATCGTTCTCAGAATAGACATTGAAAAGCTTGCCTGACACGACAGTTCGCATCATCTCCCAGTGTCGTTTGTTCGATGGAACCGGGGCGCCGATGAACACGACGGAATCGACGAGACCGAAAGCACGCCGCGCAGCCAGTGAGCGTAGGCATGAGTAGATCACCCGTGCACCGAGGGAGTACCCGATGAGCGTGACCGGGCGCTCACCTTGCACCCTGTTAATCAAGGCGTCTGCTAAGATCTCCCCCGCCTTTTCGGACCTGTTCTTAGCGAGACTGAAGGGATTGTCGACGGCGTTGGCCATCGACAAGAGATAGGCCGGCCAGAGGGCTGACCACAGGGTCGCCAATACAGTTCTTTTGAGGATCTCGACCTTGATGGTGTTCCACGCATATGAAGAGACCAGCTCCTGCAAGGACTCGCCCAGTCCCAGAAGACTCTTCATCTCGTAGCGCAGGGCGAACGCCTCCGACTCGTGGCACAGAGCCCGGAATGGTTTGGTGACGTCGTCCTTGGAGGTTAGCCAGCCGTTGATGCCGATGGTCACTCGAAGTCGCCTGTCGTCTTCGCTCGGGGTCCTCGTGCCCCATTCGTCTTTCAGAGGGATGAAGCGGAAGTCTTTGACCTCTCTGGCATACTGGTCGACCAATTCACCCTGTACACATAGGCATGCTGCTTTAGTATAACGGCGCGGCAGACGTATCGGTTCTCTGGCAGCTTACCGTCATCCTGGCCCCGAACGCGCCAAATAGTGTCCCAACCAGAGCACCGTTCATCCAGAACACGCCCAGGAAGGACGCAACTCCCCCCAGGCCTACTGACCCCATCAGACCGCCAATCGCCCCGGCCACTACGGGGGCGGCAAGGCCACCAGTGACGCCTATAATGGCGGCACCCGCCACTGACGCCAGCCCGACCTTCCAGTAACGACTCGACTGGTTCTGCTGCTTCCGTTTCTCGGCCTCGGCCTCAGCCGACATGGTGCGCTGCTGCGCGGCAGCGTCAGTCGAGCGCTCAACGAGCGACTTCGCGATCTCCACCTCCTCGCCGTCCAGGACAGCTAGGGGCAGCTCCAACGCCGACGTTAGATATACCGCCAGCGCCCTCGAGTTCGCCGAGTAATGCCCCGTCGAGAGCAGCATCAACAACACGCAGCTGAGCGCCTCCTTTCGGTCGTCCTCGGGAATCGTCGCCAGCCGCGTCGGGATGGGGTGCCAGAAGGCCTGTAGACGCGCCACAGCCTCAGCAATGCTTTCGTCGTCGCTCGGGCCCTCTCGCTGATTCCTATCGTGATCCCCGGTCCGGCGCTGCTGCTGCTGCTCCTCCTGGGCGATGCGCGCAGTGCGCTTGCGGCGCTCCTCCAAGATGGCAGCGTCGTCGGGCGTGGACAGCAACTCCTTGAACTTCCCCATGACATCCTTCCGCCAGCCGTCGAAGTGCTCAACGGCCGCGGCCCGGAGGCGCACGAGGGCCGGGCTGGGCGGGGCCGCATCTCCTCCCGGTGTTGCTCCCGCCGGCGGGATGACGATGCTGTTCTCGGCGGACGGGTCAATCAGCAGCGGTGCATTGTCGCCCGGGGCGTTTTCTGCGGCCTGGGGTTCGTGAAAATCAATCTGCGAGCGCATGAAGGCTGTGATCTCGACCAAGAGCGTGTATAGAGCCTTACGCCGGGCAAGATTGAGCACAGTGAGCACATGGCGCGGCTCCGTCGCGCGTGGTGCCATGTTGGCGGTAGGTGGTAACCTGTGGTGTGCTCTTTGCTCCTTCTAAGTTCTCCCTTGCTGTGTTTGCGTGTAGACTCGGTTCCTGCTTCCACGGTGTCACCTGAGGTGTCGTGGATGAGATTTCACAGTTATACTGTCAATAGGACATAGGACTCGGCGGACATCAGGCGATCCGATATTGTTTGAGCGCCAAGCTTCAACCTATTTCGGTCAGGCATGGGTTAGGTGTTATTAGACAGCCATTGACGTTTGATGCTTGATTCCAGGGCCCACTGTGTAATAGCGTGTGCATGAGAATTCATTCTCAGACGATCAGTGAGAGAACTTGAACTGGACTGATGGATTCGACTGCTCGAAACGCTTGTATGAATGCGTAATTGCAGTGGAAGGCTGCGGGCCTGAGATCCAGAGACCGTACCTTACGGTACACCGTCGTATCTTACGTAACGTTTCCGTAATAACATTCCATTGCCGCGAACTGCTGCCCTGCTTCCCATCATATATAGCAGTAGTTGGGTAATTTACGGCCTCCTGGATACAGGTATGTACATTGCACGCATTGTACATGTGTAAGTCGGTATGTACAATACAATACCTTAAGTATTCAACGTTTCACCACTGTAGGACTTCAGTTTACATACCATCACCTAGACTTGCGTCACTTGCCGTCACGCATCACTAGTATCCGTATTGTCGTCGACACCAAGACCTACAGAGACCGAACACTTTCAAATTCATGCCTCTTGGATCATTGATGCAAGGGCCCACTCATCATCGCCTTTTTGAATTGGCCGCGCCGATCGGGCCGACGCCGGTAAAGCGTCGCTTCCCTTGGGCTGGGTCCTGATTTTGGTATGCAGAGGGACCGGCATGCGCACCTCAGCATCAAGGCTGGAGGGACTGTTTAGCTTGGTGCTGCACTGCCACTTGGTGTAACATACCCCGCTTGACGAGAGGCTAGAGCATCTTTATTAGCGAGCCTATTGAAGGAGTCTTTTCTGCCCTACTTCCGGGTCGCGATGCTTCTTGGCGGGGCGTGACTATGCTGTGCCACGAGACTACTTTGTGATATAGGACCGGTATGCAACTTGTACTTGTAGGAAGAAGAATGTGGAGAGAACGACTGGCGGACGTCAGGCTGAGAGCACTCCCGGATCGCTAAACAAGGTGACAATGACATTATCTTTGATTAAACTGCTCCATCTATACCTACCGGCTGCAGAGTTCGCCCCCGGCTTGTCGCTATTCTTGGACACATTGTGTGGCTATGTCTCACCCTCCCGACCGCACATAACGTTATAGGTAAGGAATGTATGTAGCACGAAGCGTTTATCAGCATGCAAGGTTCTAGCCCGGCAACTGATGGTCGATTGGGGCGGATGGGCAGATGACGACTATGAGACTACGAGCTATCTGAGACGGAGACGATCCTGCAACCTGCGGTAAGATGGCAGAAGCGGGAAGTAGACATACTCAACGCGGCCAGATGACAATGGCATTGGGGGCTATTCCAGGTCTAGCGTGGTACGTTACACGTACCGAGGCGCGGAGTTAAGGTCGGGTATATGACTCTAGTATATGTTGATGCAATGACTTCCGTCTAGACGTCTTGGCCCCCAACGCCCAACCCTGAAGGGCTGGATTCCACGCGGCTGCAATGCAGGCCCGATGTGGACTGGAGCCAAGATCCCCCAATACTGTATGAAAGCGCCCTTCGAGCTGCGCCCCGGTGATCATGCTATTTGTGCTCTCTCGTGCGAGTTTAGGCATCCAACCTATTGAAAGGTTGTTGGGGAGAGATGGGACAGGTTTGTGTGTGTGTGCGTGTGTGTGTGTGAGGGAGGGGAAAAAAGAAGAAAAGGGGAGGGGGGGGACGGCGGGGGTTGTTGCGAAATAAGACCGCACATCGGTTGTGCGACGTCAAGCAGCGTTATGTCGATCCAAGAAAGAAGTCAAGCAAACGGATACAGATTGGTCGCTGCCCCCGAAGACATCACGATGTCCCGAGAGGGAAAGGGGATGTATTGCGGGAGGACATATACAGGATGTAGAATACCAGGCGCCGCCGAAAACAGACGAATATACATATCAAGGAGACAAGAGAAGAAGAGAAAATCTAACCGTACCCATCCTTCTATCCCAACCGTTATGTATGTGCCTTGCCGGTGCGCCTGTTGTGTCAAGTGTTGATACATAGAAAGGACTCCCTGACGCCGATGTGTATGTCGCGTGCTGGCACGAGTGTATCTTGGAAAGCCCTCACACACTCCATGAGGCCATGCGGAAATCGATCTCACGGGTCTTCAATTTCCCGTCGGCGAGATAGCCATGGATCCGCAGGAAATCAATAGTAGTAGGGATACTGGTCAGCGTCGTCGTCTGGTAGTTGGCGAAGAAGTCAGTAAGTGGAAGCTCCCGGGCTGGGAATGGCTGGATGTCGTTACACTGGTGGGACGCGTAGGCTTCGTTGTAGGCCGCTACACTGTGAGTGTGGGCTTCCTCCGGGGGTGGTGTGCCATACACTAGGTCTTCAACCGGTTCTGGATGCGATAATTCATTGTTAGCAGACAACCCCTGGAAAGAAGATCGCGGCTTGTGGCTCACCCTCGCAATCAATCGGTTCCCCTTCCTTGATGGTACCCTTCTTCTGCGCCCGTTTCTCGAATCGGGCAATATCTTTGGGGTCGACCACCCTCCCCCTCAGGACGAAGCGTGTCTCCTTCGGGGGGTCCTCCGCTAGCCGCTCGCGCATCGTCTTGACCATGAACATGTACTCGGATGCCTTGATGTACTTGGTGTCAAGGTTCCACTTCTTGAACTGTGTCTTGTATTGTTTCTCGCTTCATGTGTCTTTGGTCAGCTGAGCTATCATCATCAAGCCGGGGCATCTGCCAAGGGTCCTTACGTTGCCTTGAAGTTGTACGTCAGCTGCATTTCCGTCATGACGTCCTTCAGCTTCATGTTCATGGTGTTGTACAGATGGGCGATGATCTCCCGAAACGGTTCCCAGTCCTCGGGCTTGGAAGGCCGGATCATGGTCGCCGGACCCTGCTGTTCAGCCGACTCGGGATAAGCGTAGTACCCGTCCATGATGGGGTTAAGCCGACCGGCACGTTGTGCTCAAGAACCTGCCGTGACTCGCTTTACTTGATGATCGAGGTTGGGGGCGACAACAGTGGTAGGAGAGAACTTGGGGTGATAGAGGTGGACTTATATCCCATTGCAGCCGATGGCGTGGTCGAGACAAGCATTATACAGATTGGGAAACCCTGCCTTCCACCTCGTCGCCAACGGCGTGGTCGCTAGGCAGCTGGGGGCCACAACGACGAGGATGTGACGCCAGTACGTCCCATTCTCATTGAGCATGAGGTACCCGATCAGGTTGAAAGTGGATGACTCGATGTTAGCCCGCCGCGGAGCCCTGAGCATGCCCCGTGGGGCCGTAACCCTTTGTGTGCCTGGCGCGGTCCACGGGAGAGCCGTCATGGCCGAGAAGAGTGGAACTCATCATGGGAGCGCTTTCTTTAGCCATCAACGCCATTGGTGTTGCACAAGTTCCTTGCAGAGACCCAGGCAACTTTAACCAGGAAAAGGCTTCGGGACACAGTACCCATCGAGGATCACGATCGAGAAGAGGCCCATAAAGGGACAAAGAAGCAAAGGAGAAGCATGAATCGAGCGAGTGATTGCTCTCGCGAAACAGAAAAAAGCCGTTGCTTGTGCCCGGCGTCGGCGGGCCCTCATCTCGAGGCAGGCATCGTGGCTCCACTCTCACCGATCGCTGCAAGATCGGAATTCGGAACGACGGAAAGCCAGCGGTCGGGACCACTTGTTGCCGCTTCTGAGATCTCCCGTCCGAGAAAGCCGGGCCCAATGGCATGGTGCCCGAAGGGGATGTGCAACGAAGCTATTCGAAGCATGCTTGTGTTAAGTCATAAATGGAGAAAGGCACAATGCCGCAGGCTTAGATGAAGCTGGTTGTCGCGACTCGTGAGCTTTGTTTGTCTTGGGAGTTTGATGTTGGGCTCCATATTTGCATGTGGAGCTCCGGAAATGCGGCCAGTTACCGGTAACTAGACCCCTGCAGTCTGCCTGTTTTAGTCTCTGGGCGGGCCCTAACGACATTGAATTATTGACACCGATCTGGAAGGCCGTAGGCAGCACAGGGGAAAATACAACATGATCTTGAGGACGAAGCCGACTGTTTTGACGAGGTCGCTCCGATGCTCTCATTCCATGCACTCCATTCGTGCGTCTAGCATTCATCACGGTGCTCACATGTGATCAGTGAAGTCATGACTCGGAGTGTGAGAATGTGACGAGTTGTTGCAAAAGCTCGGAAGGCCCGAGCAAGCGAGTCAGTGATTGAAGGCATCACAGCCCGGAGTTTGAGCCTTTGAGGGCAGCCCTCACCTCTTTGCCTCAGTCGCCAAGAACAGAGTCAGCAGGCACCTCATAAGGCAGCATTCAACACATCGGCAGGAAGCTACCGGGGTCAAGCAATACGTCGACATTGCGAATGCGTCAGACAATTCTTGTTGGTGTAAGTTGGCAAAAGGAGGGACCAAGACGGCCCCTATGCATCCGCCCACAGCCCTAGATCTATTCTCAGTCTCTTCTGCTCAATATGCTACCTACATAAGGTACATATATTTTGGCCGCTCCCGGTTCGATGCAGCGATGCAAGGTGCTTGCAGGGCGAACACCACCCAGGCACGCCGGGACGGTGCGACGCAGTTCAAGAGGGATTTAAGTACACCTAACTCTGCAGGTCTTGAAGAACACAAGATATGCCCGTCTAGCCACCCGGCCACGCAACGGGCCGCACACGATTCTGACTCGAAGCACATAATACTCTCGATCCCGGCATTGGTTCCTAGGATGTGGCACCACGTCAGACGGTCAGAGCCAGCATCCGTCCACGGAGATGACTAGGTACCGTGCCAGATGCCGTGACTGCGTCCTCCAAATCTTCGGAACGAACCTCGGCCTCCAGTACTACCCAGCGGGCCTCTCTGCGCGACGCTGCAGCCCTACAGGTAGTAAATGCAGTTGCGCGAAGTCGCGGCACCGGAAATTCGGGGGCGGGCCAGAAGTCATCCTCCCCCGGGCGCTCCAGTGCCGAACACACACGGGCCGTGGTTGAGGCCCAAATTAGCGTCTCCGGCAAAGGTGTCTGGTCTCTCGTCTGCCAAGTACCTTAATGTATGTACTACTACTAGGTACTGTACGCACATGCGTAGTACTGGACGAGGCACTGCTTGGCCCCCAAACAACAACGCCACTCAGTATTACCCCCACACCGCGTTAAATCAACTTAGACTCTCTTGGCGTGCGGCTAACCCTGTACTGTGTACACTAGCCCGCGGTGGCGTGGTAGGCGGATTTATCTTATGTCAGAGTCTAACTATAGATAGGTACTTAGTTCAGTTACCAAACTCCGGGCCGCATCTCCGAGGTTGACTCTACACCGTCTCGGGAAGAGTCATTTACTAAGGCGTTAGTGCCTAGGTAGGTATGTAAGATACTTTACCCGTAAACAATTGCATGATCTCTGAATACCGCACCATGTATTAGATTGTGGCTTTTACCTCATACCACACAGAGAATCGATGCCAAGATGATGCCGGAGACCCGGAGTCCAGGTAATAGTAATAAAGGGGACAAACGGTCAGTATAAGTCGGATAGCAGCAGTGTGCCTTTCGTCTCGACGAGGCTCACACGCGCCTTGGCATAACTCGGCACACCTTGGCCAAGGCCTCGTACTGATATGTAGGATACTACTTGCCTATAGTTGCTATACCTATGCATTCAGATACACTAGTCATTCGCCAGGCTGACCACGAGGCTGTTCGGGCAGCAAGGTTAGAACTGGGTAACCTGGAACATCGAATGGATATGACATCTGCATTGTGAGTCGTGCTACGCCTAATAAAGCACTATTGGCATTCGGTACCTGCCTGATTAGGTAGGTATCAATGTTACTTGCGGTAGGATGTAAATCGGGGGAGTGCTGTCCCAGGAGGCTAACAAGATAACCACGAGGAGTGATGAAAGGCGTTTGGAATGGACGAAAGACCTCCGAGCTTACCGATTTGGAATTACATAGACTAGGTACCCTGTCGGCTTCGAGATGATAGCATCCTATAATATATAATCTACCGCTTCTCAGTCGACGCAGACTAAGCTCTCTGTTTGGAATCTGCGGAGGCGCAAATACTACACGTTCAAAGTCTACAGTTGAGTCTAGCGTTGGGTCGGGAGCGAAGTCTGTTGCTCGCTCGTTGGGAATGGTATCAACCCACCTCGATACGATTATCACATGATCACTGGTCCCTGCTGAGGACTTTATGACCAAAATGCTCGAGTAAAATCAACGAACAACCTAACTCGTAAGGAAACGTGATCTTTCCCTTCCCCTTGCTCTCCCCCCTGCGCACAAAGGCAGACGAGATGGAGCAGCAACCACCCCCAGTGCCTGAAGCAATTTTCATCCCGGATCCCCTAAACTGTCAATCACGTAAACACCTGTCCACATCCCTCCCGGATCGCCTACCCCTTTTCCGTAAGGGCTATCATACACTTTCTGGTTTACCAAGCCCCTGACCGCAGTCACGTCTCGTAGCTTCATTGTCTTTCCGGCCAGGGAACGATCTGGTAAGGTTGGGCCAAGACTCAGAGCTCCTTATGCGCCTTCGTCTTGCCCGCACCAACCTGCTCCTTGGCCTTCTCCTTTACGTTCTCCGTCATTTGAGCAGCCTCATCAGCCTTCTGCCGCGCGGCATCACCACCAATCCGCAGCTGACTGGCGACCCAGTCCCACGTACCCACCACGCCGTCCCTGAGCCGGGCGTAGATGGTCTCGGTGGGCGTAGTGGTGCCGTACTTGAAATACATGTGCTGGCGGCGCGCGAGCGCGCGAAGCTCATTCAGCGTCGACCCCTGCGGCGCGGGAATGCCGTAGCTGTCCAGGTAGTCCTTGAGTTCGCTCTCACTCCAGGTCTCAAAGACGCTTGCCTTGGCGGTGTCGGTCGCGCGGGAAAGGTAGGAGGTGGCGGATGCGTAATTGGAGCCGCCGGCGGACGAGGCCGAGGCGTAAGCCGACTGGGCAGCCTCGACAAGCTCTTCCCGGGTAGCCGTTGACTTGTCGGCGACCTTCTTGGCCGCGGCATTGCCGCTCGAGGCGAGGTAGCTGCGCAGGTTCTCCAGGGAAAGATCTTTCCATGTCCAGGCGTTCCAGCCGCTTGCGGCGCGGTGAGCGTGCTTGCGCACGAGGGCGCGGAGCTCCTCGGTCTTCGTGCCTTGGGGGACGGGCTGCAAGATGATTTAGCATATGGGTATAGATACAATCAACATCGGTATGCAAATACATACCACTCCACGAGCATCCAAGAAACCCTTCAGGCGGCTGTCAGACCAGCTGTTCACAGCCTTGTCAAAAGCCTGCTGAGCAGTCTGAGAGGCAACATCGGTTGCCTTTGACGCAGCCGAGCCAACGCTGGAGGTTGCGGCACCGAAGGCAGATGCAACGGTGCCCGAAACAGTGTCGCCCAGAATCTCCGCGCGATGCTTGCGGACAAGAGCCCGAAGGTGGTTGAGCTTAGTGCCTTGGGGAACTGCATTGTGTCAGTTTCTGCTACTTCGACCGAGAAACGAAAGACGGTACACACCATTGATGCCGTTCTTGTCGCAGAATTCCTTGAGTTGAGACTCACTCCACGAGTCAATCAGCTTGTCAGTGAGGGCGTTGTAAGCTTCCTGCGAGCTCTTGCGGCTTCTCTCGGTCTGCTCCTGCATGCGCAAGTAGGCCAGGCGGGAGTTGCGGCGGACCGTGGCAATGAGCTTGTCGCGCTGGCAACGGGGTTAGCGGCTATGCTGGAGAAACTTGAAACTTGTCATGGGGGACATACAGTAGTCGGCTGGGGCGCGGGGATGCCATGGGTGTCGAGCCACTCTTTCAAGTCGGATTCTGGTGAACGGTTAGGGTACGACTCGCAATGTGTCTTTGGTTCATACAGAACATACCGGTCCAAGTCTCATATAGCCAGTTGCCAGGGTAGGCAGCCGTTTCTCCCACCTTCTGGGCGACGGCTTCGTAGTTCTCTCGGACTTTCTGGAGAAGAGTGTCGCGCTTACGAGGCTGGGGAACTGGAATGCCATGGCGATCGCAGAAGGCCTTCAGCTGGCTGTCGGTCCAAGTGTCCAGAATCCAATCCTTGACGTCGGCATAGGCACTATGCGCCTTGTCTTCCGACTCGTACCACACACTCTTGACACGGTCGATGAGGGAATCCCGTGTATCCTCGGCCGACTCCTTGGTGTCAATGCCCTTCTGCTTCAGAAAGCTAGTGAGCTTCTCCTGGTCCCAATTGCGGTACGGCTCGGCAACGTTAGTCTCCCAGTTCTTCTGCACAAGGTTTTCGAGCTCCTTGCGGTCGGCCGGGGTCGGGTAAGGGACGTCATGGTCCGAGAGCCACCGCTCAAGCTCGGTCTCATGCCATCTGTTGTATGCTGGATGTGACGTCAGCACCGTTCGAGTAGTCTCACATACGAATCTCACTTACGAGCAGTGGAAAACCAAGAGCTGGCGAGGGCAGCGTTGGCCAAAAGGCCCAACGAGAAAAGCGTTTTAGCAATCCTCATTGCAGATTCTGGCCTGGTGTACTATCAATCCTATGTCTTGTGCTGATGATATGGACTTTTTTGCGAGTAGAACAAGTCAATCCAGGAATCAAGACGGGGGGTTGTAGTTTTGTAAGGTGGAAAGCAGGACCTTTGGCTGGCAGGTCTAGGACGTCACTTCTGCCCTGTTTGGTCAAACGGTTCTGGATTGCTCGAATCAATGCAGTCAAAGCCCACTCAAAAGCTGAAAGTCCGGTGTGTCCTGTACAACCGGTGCCTGCTGCACGAAGTTGTGGAGGGGAAGGTCCGACGCCTGTGACGTAATGCCTGCAGCACCAGAGGTTGAAAGAAGGAGAACTGAAGCGCCTTCTAAACGCTTTTTCTTCGGTGCAATTGGCTGCCTACGCTGATGCAGTGGGGTTCTTTTTCCCATCGCCGATCTACAACATCATACACAACACGAGGTTCACTGCGTGCCAGTGCGTGGTGCCCATGGAATGCCAGTGTCCCCAATCAGGATGATGTCATCGGAGGAAGATGTAAGGGAGCCGATAGGGTTAGGGTTACACAACCTCATCCCGGGCCATCTCCATCACACAGCGCCGAGCATGTGAAAGAGTACACAGTAGATCATGTGCATAATTTGTGTTTGGACGATCCATTATGGAACTCAGCGTTGTGAGATTCCTTCCATAATGGCTGATACTACCATCACATTAACTCCTCCAATTGATATCTTCTGTTCAAGACCTGCGTGCTGGCTGTATGCATCATTGATCATTCTGAAAATGCCAGAGGCTCAGATCCAATGCCAATGATATCCTCGATGTGCCTCAAGAAACAGTGACTGGTCGGTCCCAAGAGCGAGTACTCGCTTATGTGTATGGAATTAATAAATCCAGATGGCGTCCTCGCCCAGAGAGTCCAACTTTCCTGCCCTACCTATGCCCTTTAATAACACCTCAATGCTGGCTAGAATACTTAGTTAAGAACACAAGCCAGCCGTCTTTTCACCCCGTCGACTCCATGAAAGCTCTGCTTGGCGAAAAAAAAAAGAAAAAAAGAAAAAAAAAGAAAAGAAAAGAAAAGAGAAGAGAAGAAAAGAAAAGAAAAAACGCCATTCTGAAATGCCACCCCCGCCAGTTAATTGATAAGGACGCCAAGCAATGACAACGCATCAAAGATGAGAAAGAGAAAATGTAAAGGAAATAAGAACAGGACAGAACGGAAAAAAACAAAAGAAAGCGAGATACAGCGGAAGAGATTTACATGAGAAGTCCATCTCAGGACGAAGACCAGAAGATCAGCCCCAGGCCTGTGGCTCGATGGCTGATCCCCTCTCCGCTGTCTCGTGGGCCTCCTCAAGGCGCAGCCAAGAGGTCGAAGCGAGGCGCGCAAGGATCACGCCCTACAAGCCATATCAGTGATTAGTCGCGTCCATGCGGGGACCCAGTAGCAGAGAAGGAGGGTGGTTTTGCGTAGGAGGGAAGAATATAACGGAGAAGAAAAAGAAGGAAGAGCATACCGTATTCGCAAACAACACCAGCCCACTTGTACTCCTTGTCAAGCGCCCCCTTGGCCGACTGTGCCTGGCAACGGTAACTGCCAAATCGGATCTCGAGCAGCACTCCGGCGCCGCCGTTGATTGGGCCGTGGTGCCGGAGCTCGTCGATCTGGAAGACGAACTTGGACTCGAAATACGGGCGCAGGAAGGCCCAGTTCACAATGGCGGGGGGGCCGCGCACCAGCAACACCCGCGACAGGGCGCCGCCGACGTTGAATGGAGCCGCCATATTGCGGTTCCAAGTGACGCGGGCGCGGATGTCGGGATTCTGCGGTGTCCAGAAGCCTTGGTGGGCGAAGCGCTCGTAGAAGGTTTCTGTGGTGTGGATTGGGAGACGTTAGCTAACTGTGTAAGGTAGCTACCAGGTATTAGGTAGGTATGTTCATAGTTCAGCGCCTTGGCCGTTGGGGAGGTAGTAAGATCAAGGTAGGTGCTTGGGAATGAACAAAGGGGGCGGCCAGTCACTGCCAGTGGTACAAAATACATAGGATACTAATAATAAGGACAAGGCAAAAAAAGAAAGACGCACCTGCTGCCTCCCTTTCAAAGAACACCACCTTTGCCGCGCTACCGAGATGGCCCTGGCCGCCCTGGTCCAACTTGGGCGGGTTGATATGTACGGAGTACACGCGGCCGACGTTCCGGATGCCCGAGAGCAGCTCGTGGTGGTCCAGCGTCGGCGACAATCCCACCAGCCAGATGCTGCAGTTTTGGTCGGGCGGAATATCGGCCGACCTGTTGCGAGGGATGTCCGGGTTGCCGCGGTAATTCGGCGAGAAGCCCTTCTCCCGGAGCGCAACCATCTCGCTCGGTGATGGCTGGCTTCTGTTGTTGTTGTTGTTGTTGTTGTTGTTGTTGTTGGAAATGCGGCACGCCATGGGGCGGAAGAAGGAATGCCGGAGCGGAGCCTCGTGCTCGATCTGTCGACCAAGCAGCGACAGGCCAACAGCTGAACTTGACGGAACCGGCTCCTGATTGGTTTTCGCCATCTTCTCTTTCTGTTCCTGGCGAAGCCAGGCCTCCTTGGCGGACATCCAAAGTGGCTGATGAGAGTTCGACCCTGATCCGATCTCTTGTCGACTGACTTGGAGCTGCTCAGACGAAGCAGCCCTTGAGCCAGCGGACGCTCCACCTTCTTTGGGGGATCTGTCGTCTGATCCTTCGTTTCCGGGGTGCGTGAATACAACAGCGGACTGGGGGCTTGGCCATGCCTGGAGGCCAGCACCTGGGAATGAGGAATGGGATCGCATCGCGGGGAACTAGCAAATTCAAATGTGCGATACGAAGGGTGGCAAGCGCTCTCGCGAAGTGAAACTGGAGTCCCAGAGCAGGAATATTCTGCCTGTACCTTGGAGCTGGGTTCGAGCGAGAGAGACTTGCGGATAGTGTTGGATGAAGCGATGTTCTCAGCAACTCGTCTTGTCCGGCGAAGAGGAGAGGGAAGAAGGGAAGGAATGAGAGGATCGGCTCTGAAAAAAAGGTGTCAACACCAATGAAAATTTGCGATGGTGGAAAGAAGGTACCCGCGACGCAAATGTGCGGGTTCGAACACCGCGGTCACTGGGATGTCCGAGCACTTTATCTCTGGCGATAGGGCTAGGATATAGGTGTGGTAGAGGGTCAAAGGTTCTTTGGAGCAGGTGACTGGTGTGATTGAGATGTCTTGGTTGCTAAGTTAGGTAGAATGACTCAACTTCAGATGGAAAAGATGGTAAAGGACCACTTTCTCCTGACTGAGCTTCACACTCTGTTCGAGCTTCTCCCAGAACACGTACAGCGTTCAATCACCTCAATCACTGTGGTCGCCTTGGTGAGACTGGCTCAGGGAACGACCCTGAACAGATAGGCTTTCTGCCTTTCGAGACAGCGAACATCGTACTTGTTTCGAGACGCGTGATAATATCTCGGTTCAGAGTAACTGTGTGGTCAGACGACGATGAAAGTTGATGGTATCAGTGTTTTTCCACTCATGATACTTGCTCAAAGGGTCAGGCACAAGGCCTTGAAAACCCCATGTCCCATATCACAATATACACTTAAGGATGGATGAGCCATGATCGAGTTTGCCTTGATGCTGCTGTCTTAAGTACCTCGTCCGAGCGCTGTGGCACACAACCTCGGCCGGCAAAAGCTGAGCGATGTACATCCATGCATGTACAGCACCTAGGCTAGTTCTAACTCTATTCCGGGGCTCGCTTGCAGGGTGACTGGAAGCAAGAAGATGAGACAGCTTTTTAAATCCAACTACACGGGTGACGCCGGGGGCAGCCTGGGGGCCATGGATCGAGAGAGGCATCTTACACCCCCCAAGGCAACGCTTTCACCTGCGAATTGCGAATAGCATCCATATACCCGGGCAACATTCCCAGCATGCGCTCTCTGAGCCTCCCTCTACAATATCCTCCTGCACCAAGCGGTCCACCACCCTCACGAGTCACAATCCAGCCCTGGCAGGTCTCCGTGACAGCAGCGCCGCTCGGCGCGCTCGGCGCCTCTTCCTCCCAAGCAATCTCATTCACCCTCTTGAAATGCTCCTTGCTCGACTCCTTATTCAGTACCTGAAACTCACGCCAGATCAGGCGAGCCCATCTTGTCCACCCCTTCGGCATGGTTGAAGCTCATCAGCTCGACGTCCCCCGTGACCTGCCAGACGCGGCCCGCCCCTTTCTGCCTATGGTGTTAGTTAGGATGGTAGATGAATAGCGACGACGGCTCAGGCTCTCCTTCTACATGGTGTTTTGCGGCAACGTTGGTTAGCGGGGCTTCGATTCCAAGGTTATCTCGTCCTCCTTTGCGCTTGTTGCGCGGTCGACTTCGCGCATCCATGAGCTGCCGTCCGAGGTTTCAACCTTCAATGTACTCGCAGCTGTTTCGTGTGACAAACACGAGCTTTTCGGGACAGCGACTGATTAGTCGGAGCGCTTCTGAGGAGCAGAGATGGCTGTTAATTCAATGCCTGTGAATGGTGCTGAAATCAAACAGCTTGTGAAAGTGGGCGGTTATCTGATGTGCCATCGGCATCGAGGAACTTCGAAAGAGCTGCACCAGCCCCTTCCACATGAATGCTCTGAGGGCAACAACCGGGTAACGTGGATGAAGCAAAACGAACACGCTTCTCCATCCGCTGGCATATAGGACTATAGGTCAAGGACCCCAGATCGCGGTACGAAGGTCGCAGACATCCTCCTGCGTTAGAACTTAGCGTCCTCGTAAACAGTGAGCAATCTTAAATGGCACTCCAAGCCCCCGTGGATAGGGAAGACCCCCCTGGATTTATGCTCAATCATGAGATGTTGTCCTCTGTCCGACAACTGAATGTCGTACGTCAGCTCCAAGTCCTACATGCTGATGAACTCGTACGGTTCATTGGCGCAGGGATTTCGGGTGAAATTCAGACACTGGGTGCCAGGTGGTGTCATCTTCGCTTTCTTCCGGTTCGCCGGTCTCTAATTCGGGGGTGTTGACGACATATTACTTCGTGGACACCTGAAGTTGGCTACCGGACAAGGAGGCGCGGAACCGTTTGCAAGCAGCCTTGAAGATGGAGGATGGGCTCCTCGGACCTGCTTTCGTTGGGCGCACATCTCGCGTGATCGTGTCAGCAGCTACTATGTCTCGCCAATATTCGCTCCGGGGTTGGTAAACAGTGAAGAGGTGTGTCGTATAGATAATAGAGCGACTTGCCCCCTTTCTGAATTTATTCTTGCGGTTTAGCTTTTCGAGGTGTGCGACTCGTTCGCGAACCTACCGTCAGAGACGATATTGGTTGGACGGGAAGGGAAATGGACTCGCGGGCGTCCGGGGCGCGACTGAACCGAATCCGCGTCAGCTGCGCCTCGTCTCTAAATAGACATCCAAGGCTGAATCGCACATTGTTGACAGGATCGAGGGTTCAGATTCTCCCAAAGACTTTTGCCGCCACAATGTCCAGGGCATGTATCACAGCATGATGATGGAGCAACCGAGCAAAACGTGGATTTTGCCATTGCCCCATTCACCCTGAAGAGATCGTTTCAATTTGAGGGACACTTGGCAATGGCAGTGACACTGCGCACTGTGCATCCAATGATACGTCTTTTCTGGCTTTCATCAGCAGACAATCACTCCTTCCAGCAGTTGAGCTGGGCAGCTAGCGCATCGGCGCTTCACCCTCAGACTGTAGTATTGAGTTACTGCCAGTGGTACCTGGTAGTCCGATAGTACTAGTAAGTTGGGTAACCTAAGGTCCTAAGATACCAGTAATAGAACTGATCAGGTACAGCATTCCTGATGATTCCTCTCTTTATATTACGAGGCGACCCCACTCTACACCCGTTTCTTGCAAGTTGCGCTTGTCGCCTGTATAGTGCCTTCAGCTCCGATCAACGGGCCGTCGTCGATTGACGGGCCGGTCCATTGACTCCATTCTCATGCTGCACGCCCGTTCTCTTCTTCCCGACCTTTGCCATCGCCAAGTGCTAACCAGGCCAGGGTTCGGGTTCTAAGCGCTCGGCATAAACACTTCCGGGACGGGATTCTCTTCCCCGGATTTACCCCGGACAACAGCCCTCCGCCCTCGCGATCATGGGCAACGGTATCCGTACATACGCTGCAATCCAGTGGGGCGGTTCGGGAATGTCGCTTATTTACCACCGAGCAAGAATTTCGAAGATGCTACCTCTCTCTCACACCGCAGAGACGGCCCCTATCACGAGGCGTCCATGCATCCCAGGGTTCGTTGAGCGTTAACCATGTCGGGGTTCTCTTTCCCAGATGACGGGTGTCCCAAGAAGACGCCACGACAAGTCAACGAGAAGAAGGACTCCGACCCAACGAGCGTCACGCGAGGGCCCGCTCCTCCTCCTCCGCAACCGGGCTCGGAGGACGCCGAGGTAAGCGATATCGCCGCCGTCGCTGGAGAGGACACCGACCAGAGCCAGGGCCTGACTGCAAGTCCGGGACTCCCGTTCTCGAAAGCGCGATGCATCGCTCTCGTGGCTACGCTGACGGGGGCCAGCTTCCTGAATGTGAGTCCAGTTCTCAGAAGTTACAGGGAGTATCTCGGGGTTGGGCCGTTGACACGTTGCTCACGGAAAAGAAACGCAGAGCTTGTCCGGGCAGGCGTGCGTCATCGTCCTGCCAACCATAGGCGAAGCGCTCGACATACCCGAGTCGCGGCTGCAGTGGATCGTGTCGGCCTATGCGCTTACCTTTGGTTGTTTCCTGCTCTTCTGGGGCAGGGCGGCCGACATCTACGGGAAGCGCAACATCTTCATCGGGGGCTCGGCCTGGTTCGCTCTGACCACGCTCGTCAACCCGTTCCTGCCGAACGAGATCGTCTTTGATTTGTTTAGGGGGCTGCAGGGCCTGGTGAGCGACTCTTTCCTTGCTGGGCTGCTTGATTACCTAGGTACCTCATCTGACTGACGGCTCTTCACAGGGCGCCGCTGCTAATGTTCCGACAGCTATCGGAATCCTGGGAACGACATTCCCGCCGGGCAAGGCAAAGAACTACGCATTTAGCTGTTACGGTATGGTTGCATGTTTCTTGCCAAGGTGACGTGGTCGGGTGGTATTGTATTGTATTGTACCGTAGGCAATGCTGACCCTGGTGATAACAGCCGCCGGCGCCCCCTTGGGTGCCGTCCTCGGCAACTTACTTGGCGGCATCATCTCCGAGTATGCTTCCTGGAAATGGGTGTTTGTGGTTATAGCCCTCGCGGCCCTTGCCATCAGCGCAGCGGCCTTCTTTGTCATCCCTCTGCCCAAACAGGTGCTTGAGGATCAGGATCCCGCAGGCAGAGCGTCTATCGACTGGCTAGGCGCTGTGCTAATCACGGGCGGCCTACTGGCCCTCCTCTTCGCCCTGACCGAGGGGAACGTTGTGGGTTGGCGTACGCCATGGATCCCAGTGCTCATCGTTATCTCAGTCGTTCTGGTCTCCCTCTTCGCCTTCTGGCAGCGTCACCTCGAGAAGACCGGAAAGTTGGCACCCCTCATGAAGGTGTCCATCTTCGGCAACCCGCAATTCAGTGCTGCCATGGCGATCATGGCGCTCTCCATGAGTGGGTTCAACGGCTTCCTTGTATACGCAACGTACTTTTACCAGGACTACCAGGGGAACAGTCCCCTGCAGACCACTCTGCGGTTCATGCCGACCGGCATTACCGGCTTCATCACGGCCGCCGTTGTTTCGCAGCTACTGGCCAGGGTGCCGACATACCTTATGCTGGTGGTCGGCAATGTTTGCATTTGCATTTCGACCCTCCTGTTCGCTGCCCCCATCCCACCCGAGACCGTGTACTGGGCCTGGTCGTTTCCGGCCATGATACTTTCAGTCTTTGGCGCCGACACGGCGTGGCCTTGCCTGTTCCTCTTCACCAGCCACTCGCTGCCGCAAGCAGACCAGGCCCTCGGCGGTGCCCTTGTCAACGCGATGGCGCAGGTCGGCAGGGCCATCGGACTGGCGGTAGCCACGGCGGTCCAGACGGCCGTGATGGCGAGGGAGAGGGGTGTCAGCGTCGAAGACGCAGGCTCCGTCGAGAGAGGGGACCTGCCGTCGCTTCTTGGGATCAGGGCGGCCGAATGGTGGAACTTCAGCCTGGGAATGGCCGCTCTTGCCGTCGTGTTGGCCGCGTTCAGGGGATCTGGCATCATAGGCAAGGTGCCGGTTGTGAGAGCCGAGAAGCCAGCGCAAACGGTCAGCGGGCGGGATGAGGCGGCCGGAAAGATCTGACAGCGCATAGACTATTCACCAAGCGGCTGCGTCCGAAGGAGGAAGGGTATCAAACAGGGCTTGTCTGGATGTCCTTAAGCCACTTTACGGAACCAAAGATAGGTGTACAGTGTAGTTCCCGCAGCCCAGGCCATGCTACCACGGCTACCAGTTCCATCTCTAAGTTCTTGGAGACGTGGGCAACGAGACTTTGGATCAGTATTGCAACATATAGGGATATAAAGGCACGATACATGATCAATACATCTGAATACTCACCATGTACGAAACCCTAAGACGCCAGAGACCACCAATCCCTCCCCCTCAAGATCCAGGGAATCCCTTTCAGACAGTTGACGTCAGCGACGCAGGAGGTATATTAGCCTATTCCATATAGTATAGTACATCCGTACTATTGACACTCGGTTGCCATCGCCAACAACCGAACTACTGGATAATCTCGTACGTCACACCAGGTGCTGCCAGAAATAATAGTGCTTCATAAGATTCATTCCTGTTATTACTGAGCTTGCCGACCAGATGCTGCATGCTGTATCGATGTACAATGGACGAGGTCGGCTGCTATCACACGGAATCTGTGGTATATTAAGCCTTCCATTTCCGTATCTGGCGGTTCGACTGCGGCGCCCAGCAAATTACTCCGTCTCTGAGCAATTCCTCGGAAGCAGGCCTCCGGTTACTACCGTACCACGCAGAATCAAAAGCCAGCTCCTACAATTCGTGAAATTTGCGTCCCTCGAACCTGACGATAAATCCCTCCTGCGCCTCGCGGCGGTTGCGGCTCTGGCCGTGCACAGTGTGGCCGCGCACTACGGGTTCCAGCAATTCAGCGAGCGCGGGACCAAGTACCCGCCGTGGATGTACATCCGGCGCAACAGCAGCCCCGACTGGCTGCAGAACGGGCCCATGACGGACCTGGCGTCCAGCGACCTGCGATGCAAGGTGGGCGGCAGTCAGGTCAGCAACGGCACCGAGGCCATCGCCATGAAGGCCGGAGACGAGTTCACCTTCACGCTGGACACGGCCGTGCACCATGCGGGCCCCGTCTGCCTTCGTTCGAATAGCGATTCACTCCAGGATCGTGTATCTTGGAAGGTCATTTTGGCCAGGAACCCACGCCGAACCACAGTGCCGTTACCCAGAGTCTTTGATTATTGATTTTACTATCAATGTGCCCCCCGGGGCCGGGGCTGATCGCCAGAACCCCGGCGAAGCAAGGTCCCGTTCCACGCCGGATATGACGTGTATGGCGCGCCCGTCTGAAGCGGAACAGGAATTGAGGATGAGCCAACCAAAATCGGGGCGGTCGTTGGAGAGCTTGAGAACGTCGGCGTCGGTGTCACTGAGCTGGATGCTGATATTATCTTTGCCTGGGGTGTTGTATTTGTCGATGCGCTGGGCGGACTGCTGCTGGCTGCCGGATCGACGTCGAGGACTTGGATCATTTTGGTGACCACCACAGTCTCGGTGACGCGGTTGGTAATTGGCGGCCATGTCTTGTAGATGGTGTGAAAGGACGTTTTTGGAGGCAGCGTCTCCACAACAGTGACCGTCGTCGCACCGGTCGGCAGACTCCCGCAGTCGGAGCCGGAGCCTGACCCACCTGGACCGGACCCTCCGTCGATCGGGACGACCGAATAACTTGCCCTCGGCGCCAGCGCTTGCGATGGTTTAGCAAACCGGTGCTCATCGGCCGGCAAGCTAAGACAGCTTGCAACGAACAGAGAAACAGCGTACAGCAGGGGTGTAGCCCGGCCGAGTTGCATCCTGAACATGGTCACTGCACTGCGTTCCAGACTTTAGACGTACAGCAGGGATGCAGGTCAAGAGACTGCAAGCTTGAGAGAGCCGATCGACAGACAAGGGGGACATCGTGAAAGAAGGCCCTAGGGTGACCGTCACAGGTATTAAGTTCCTGGTAGTCATTTGGGTGTTTGACGAAAAATTGAGATGGCTGGTTTGGTTTATTAGATGCGTCGTCATCACACCCATTCCGCCGAGTTTGGTGCAATGCATGTGTAAGTCCCATCAAATTTAGGGTGGTTGAGGCCAACGCCCTCCTCCTCCTCAAATTCATTCCAAAGGCCCTGAAGGTAATAAAATAACATAGGGCTTCAGCTACTGATATTCATTAAAACAACTTGCCACTTCATCTTCATTTCTTCCGATTTACATAGAGTCCCCAGACGTGAACCGCTTCCACCCTGGCGGGCATGTGATCCTGGTGATGAGGTGTGAGGGTAATACGAAGCAGAGAGCGCGCGTCACCGGATTGCTTGGTGGGTGAAGCATGTTAAACAAACTGTGGCAGAGCGATAGGCCCAAGTCTGTTTATCCGCCCTTTGCGGGACCCACTGTCCTGGGTTGTACTGTATTCCGTACGTATTCCTACGATGGCCTGTATGAATGTAGGAATACATGTAGTTACGGCTTCCGAGCATCCGCTGCAGGCTTGAGAAAGTCGACGACGTTTCCTCTTCTATTTTCAGGAGGGAAGCCTAACCTGGAAGGCACGAAGCAGTGACGGAGCTTGGAACTGTTCGAATAAGGTCTAGTTAATCCGTACCTTAGTCAGAGTGGCGCAATTAGCCATTCCCCACGTTAGGTTTGGGCTCCCAGACCGGGCAGGACTGCTAAGTCTGCTTTTTATCTGGACCGTCGCAACATGAATGCTGTGCCCACGGGCAACATGATGCCGGAATGATGGCAAAAATGGCAGACTTATTACGGACCGTGCCGCAAGGCTTTCCTTCAACAAACTCTTCGTCGCTTGTGTAGAGCAGTGTTCCTGCTGCACGTAACACTATCGACATGTGCTGGTCCAATATTCTTGGCCACACAGTCTCCGAGTCCGGCCTGCCGAGCCACACTATGACAGCACTGCCTGCTTCAACCGGCCATGCGACCATTGAGCGGGAGGTGCGATTGAATCATCAGTTTGCCTATCCCACAGCCTTCCGTGGCGCTTTCTTAGGATGGATGCGTATATATCACACGCTTGCCCGCTGGTGCGTGCATAAAAGTTGGCAGCTTGAAAGTTGATATCGTCATTTGCCCCGCACCACCACTCCCGAAAACGCCGGGCACCTGCAATTGCTTTGCCTGGCCTGCGAAACTGCCGCTTCTCAGGGTCTTCCAACAGCGGTATCGTTCAAGTGATTCCATAGCTATTCGGCAACTAGAGCTATTTCGCAATGTCTTACCCAGGGTATCAGCCTTATGGCCGTAAGTAGCACCGTCCCTGAGATGCTGAGAGGCACTTCGGAAGCGAACATACTTGGCTGATTAAATCAGAACCCCCTCCTCCACCCCAGCAGCCGCCATACGGCGCGCCGCCGGCCCAGGGTCAGTACTACTGGCAGCCTTCTCAAGGTTATGGACAGCCGCCGCCGCCGCCCACTCCGCCATACGGTGCGCCGGCGTACGGCGCTCCGTCTCCGCAGCCATATGGGGCTCCGCCGCCGCAACCCTACGGCGCCGCGGCACCTCCGCCCGGCCAGTATTACCCCCCTCCCCAACAAGGGGCCTATGGCGCGCCGCCGCCTCCCCCGCAAGCATATGGCGCACCGCAAGCATATGGGCAGCCCCCCCCTCAGCAGCCCTACGGACAGCAACCGTACGGGCAGCCCCCCCCTCAGCAGTACCCGCCATACGGCCAGCATTACCCTCCAACCGCACCATCGCTCGGGTACGGTCCGCCGCAAATCATTGCATATAATGGCGACGCGGACGCGCACGCCTTGAGATCGGCCATGAAGGGCTTCGGCACAGACGAGAAGGCCTTGATACGTATTTTGGCGAACAAAGATCCCTTGCAAGTTGTGACAATCAGGGATGCGTACACGCGCCTCCATCGGCGCGACCTGGTGCAGGACATCAAGAGCGAGACAAGCGGCTGGTTTGAGACCGGGCTCGTCGCGCTCGCCCGCGGGCCCCTCCTAAACGATGTCCACCTGCTTCGCGAAGCCATGTCCGGCGTCGGGACGAAAGAGAAGGCGCTGAACGATGTTCTTCTTGGACGCTCGAACGCTGACATGAACGCCATCAAGAGCGAGTACCTGCGCGTCTTCCGTCGCCGGCTCGAGGATGACGTGCGGGGCGACTTGAGCATGAAGACAGAGAGGCACTTTATGATCGTGCTGGGTGCCCAGCGTGCTGAGGATTCGGCTCCCATCGTGAAGGCCGAGATCGACCGTGATGTCAACGAGTTGTACAACGCTACCGAGGGCAAGATCGGCACTGATGAGATGAAGGTGTGCAGCATTCTGAGCACAAGGAACGACAACCAGCTTCGCGCCATCGCCTACGAGTATCAGCAGAAGTTTGCCCGAAACCTGGAGGATGTCATTCGCAAGGTAAGTCGATGATCCTGGTATGTCTTTGTCCAGGGGACAGAGTAGACAGCTGACAAAGACGACCGACAGGAGTTCTCGGGTCACATGGAGGACGCGCTCCTCTTCCAGCTTCGCAACGCTGTCGACAAGTACATGCATCAAGCAACCCTGCTCGAGGATGCGATGGCTGGTGCCGGGACCAAGGACTACCTCCTGGTCAGCCGCGTCGTCCGCTTCCGTATGTGTCACCTTGCCCATTTTCTCCTCCTAGAGTCTCGCTAACATACCCTGCCTAGACTGGGACCGCAGCCACATGGCTAACGTCCGCGGAGCGTACGAGAGACGGTATCACCGCAATTTGGCAAGCAGGATCAAGGGAGAAACCAGCGGAGACTACGAACGGTTGATGTTGGCGTGCATTGGGGAGCGAGTGTAGAGGGTTTCTTTACCGCTAAAGCGAACACAGAGCTTAGGCGGTCGATATCCGTTGTTATTATTGTTGTTGTTGTTGTTGTTGGGAAGTTATCTCGGAGTTAAGGGGACATCAATGCCATTGAGGGTACGAATTGATACCATGGTTCAGCGCTGAAACCACCGGGCCTTGGTCGCTTGCTTAAGTAAACCAGTACCAATTGTGTGCAACCCTGCCGCTCTCAGACATGGTTACTTTTTACTGCCGTGTGAAGCGCCGATGAGTAAGCCAGTTTCATCAGTTGGTCTGAGGTTGGTGACTGAGTTACGGTCCCGACACCTCAAGGCATTTACCCGCCTATCCGTATCCTGGTGTCTCATTTCTCACATTTGGGCAGCGTTAGGTTGCTGACACCAGATGCTCCATGCAACCAGCTGCAGTGGCCGTTTATGCCCACATTGATTGGGGGTCTCGGGGAAGTTGCACATGGTCCTTCCAGCCACCATCCCACAGTCCCAAGCTCAGACATGACCTGAAGCATTTACAGCACAGGAACCTAAGCACGATCATATAAGGCAATCGTCTCAGTACGAGTCTTTCCTCTTTCTGCATACCGACGCGCCGCCCTGCCCTTTCCAGAGGTGGTAGACTAATATAAGCTGCCACAGTGGTGGTTCTGAGATAAGTAGGGGCTAGTGACGAAGGTCAAGGGAACAGGGCGAAAGTCTACGGAGTACTAAGAGAAACAAAGGAGACAGCTTGAAGTTGAGGTAACACAGCACGGCGGCCCCACTTGAAATATATGTAAGGTTCCGTTAGCGCGCTGCTAAGACGATAAAGTGGGTCTGTGGAAAAGTTTGGCTGTGGAACAAGGACACATAATCAACCGAGCTGAGCAAAAGTACTGGATATCAAATATATATTATCTCGGGAGCTAGCGGGATTGGTGGACAGGGTTTAATTACAGCATAAATAAAAGAGAAGAGATCACCTTCCAATTTAACCGAAAAAGTTGAGCAAAGCTACTATTTCCCTACTTGCATTTTTACTTTTACCTTCTGTACCTCGAGCGCCAGTCCCCAAACCACTTCGCGCCGCAAATCCGGCATCTCTCTCGTCATTTTGCTTATACGCGAGCTCTGACGTGCTGCAGAAGAACCTTCTTGCCCAGTTACTTTGTTTTTTTTTTGCTCAAACAACTACCGGGTACGGTTGCCGCTGCCAGGATTGTGCGGGTTGCTGGCCTGGGAGAGTAAAGACTGGTCTGGGTCCGTAACCAGCAAGATCAAAGAGCCTCGAAAGCCTTTCTCGTTGTCTTACCTGCGAGTTGCGGCCTAGTTAGCCAGACACAATGGAAGGCGGGCAGGTTGACTCTGCAATGCAAGACGCTACGGACGGAGCGGCCCCGAGCAACGCAAAAGAGCAAGTGTCTCCTGTTCTCCAACAGCAGGCGGAAGGGTCGGCTGCGCCAAGCCCGATCGCATTGGACCCTCCACAACCCGCAGCATCGCCTACAACTGCAGTTACCACAATCATTCCAACAGTGAAGAGTGGCCAGATCCCAGAGACCGCGGCACGGGCAGGAAATCTGGCGCCGTCTCAACGCCCGACAATAGCAGAAACGGCAGACCAGCCCGGCGCAAGCTCGGCGGTCGACCAGAGCCAGGCTGATAACAATGAAGAGCCGCGGCGGGAGGAGCCAATTAATACAACCCAACCGAAGCCCCAGAATCAGCCGGAAAGTTTTACTCCAATCACAACTGGAACTTGTAACCTTGAAACAAACAAAACTGCAGCGGCCGAGTCTCCCAACCCTCTGCAACCGCAGCCCATACAACCAGCGCAACAACCCCTTCCGCCAGCGCCCCGGCCGCCGCCGCCGCCGCAGCCCCAGCAGCAGCAGCAGCAGCAGCAGCAGCAGACGGCACCGCAACCACACCCACACCCGCCGCAACATCTCCAGGCACCGCATCTACTGGACCCGCCGCCGCCAACCCATCCGCACGCGGTTCCGGGGCCGCAGCCGCAGCCGCAACATTCCCGTCCCTATCCGGGCCCGCCTCATACGCAGGCGCCGCAGTCTCAACAGCCGGCCCCACATTATCAAGCGCGCGCGCAAATTCCACCGCCATCGCATCAACATCAACAACCGCCTCTACAACCGTATCATCATCACCATAGTCTGCCGCAACCACAGCAGGCGGCGCCCGCATCGGTGACATCGCCGCCGCCTCCGCACCAGACGCAGGTTTCCACGTACCATTCTCATCCTCAACCGCAGCCAGTGCTCAGGTCGCAAGCGCTTCATCGCACAACACTCTTGAAGCCGGCCATAATGGACCCACCCGCCATGAGAAAGCAAAGTCAATCGCAGGTCGCTGTGATGGGCTTCCCGTCCCCCACACAGGACCATGCAAACATCAACCCCAAGTTCGTGGACGACTGCACACGCATGAATTTTGCCATCCAGCAGAGCCTACCCGAGGCTGTCCGGCGCATTGTGCGGGATCACTGGGAAAAATGCCTGCTGGGTTCCGACTTCCACCAAGCTTTTGTTGTAAGTCTGGTTCCGTTGTTTATGAATTCAATTACCCTTCTTTTTCTTTTCGTATTGTCTCTTCCTTCCTCTTGAACTTCGAAAGTCGGCCGGCAGGATTTATACGGCATCTCTTCACAAAAATATTCTGCAAGCTGCACATCATTCCATCACTAGCAACCCATTTCGTTGCACATGCACCGCAAACAGAGCCCCTCGACTGATCCAACTCCGCCTGCCACTTACATCCACTGCATCTGAACAAGTTGTCTGTTGTCAACTCTTGTCAACTCCCCACCTGAAATCTTCAGACCTCGGAATGTCATTGTATTTCGATGGCTCCATTAACTCAGTCCCAGCTCAATGCGTCGATCCATCACGCGCTTCCGTCCATGACACAACGCGCCGTCAGGGACTTTGGCAGTAAAATGGTTGTCGATGCGAAACATGAGCTCGTGGCGCATTTCACGACCGAAGCGCTCGACGAAGTCGCAGATGTAGTCATTGGCAAAGCCAGCGACAGCTTCCTTGACAAGTGTCTAGAGAAGCGGCTGTTGACTATCGAAGCGAAACCGCTGATCAAGGCCCTCGCCAAAGCCGAGCGCCTGGGGTATGAACCTGGCGACGTGATCCAGGACGAAGAACGGGAGCGCGTCATCCCTCAAGAGGCTTATCCGGGAACAGGGCCAGCTGCGCCTCCAAATGGCCATCCCCCCTGGCCCGCCCAGCCGGCTTCTGCATACCAGCAAGGAAGTCAGCCACAACTTCAGTGCATGAAGTGCTTCCGGACGTTCATGTATCCATCGGCATACGACCATGTAAGTGCCGTCCTCGCGGCGATAGCCGAACCAGCGCTAAGTCTCCGCAGCATACAAAATACAACGTTTGCAGTCAGCTCCCTCCTACACTTAAAGGCTTCGAGCACTCATGTCCGCACTGTGGTCAGGGCTTTACCAGTGTAGATGGATTGCAAGCTGTACGTTCGAGCTGCCTGGGAGTCGGATATCGATGGCTAATCCCAAATCTAGCACCTCGACATGAAAATCTGCGGCAACTTTGGCCAGCCGCTCAGGATCTCGGTGCCGTCTATGCGTACAGCTTCAGTTCCGGCTCCTCCTCCCCTACCTCAACCCAGCTCTCCAGCCATTCTTCCGTCTGCATCCTCTCGGACCTCGCCCACGAACGGGTATTCACGCGCGCAACCGCAGTCAACTCCGGGGCATCCTAGCTTGGCTAGCCGAGCCGCAGCAGCAACCCCTGGGTCGTCGCACTCTCCTATCGCGGCCGACCCTTACGCCCACCTGAGCCAACAAGACATGGACGCCATGAACGAGGAACTCCGTCGAGCAGAGCTGAAATATGCCCCTCGCTTCGCCGAAGCGGAAAAGATCGCGGACGAAAACCTACGGCGAGCCAGAATCGAAGGCCTCAGGAATAGCTTCGGCACCAAGCAATCCATGATTCGGAAGAAGTTCGGCGTCCGCCTGCGCGAGCGACGCACCAAGGCCGAGATTATGGCTGAGAGGGAACGCATGGGCCTCAAGCGCGCAGAGAAGGAGAAGGCGAGGGCGATGGCTCAAACTCACAAGAATGGCTTGAACCCTTCGCCCAAGGCGGAGTCGGCGTCGCAGCCGGGTGGTGGAGGTAGCGGGTGGACTGCGGCTAACACCTCACGGCTAAACGCTGCCTGGGACGAGCACGATGCCAAGCGCCGGCGCTTGGGTGAGGCTGGCGACTATCACTCGCCGTACAAGCCTCACGCGGACGAAACGCCCACTCGCAAGACGCACTCCACGTCAGAGGCTAGGAGCGATCTGCCTGCTTCTCAGCCGACGAGAGTCTATGAGCAATCCGGGGTGCGGGTCGAAATTCACCAGCCATACGCCGTTAGGCGTCAATCCGACACCGGACCCGCTACTCCAAGCTCAAGCGTCCCTAACGGCCACAGCCGCCGCCCTTCCGGAGCCCGAGAGCAGAGCTCATCCGAGAGGCAGCCCGTCTTAGTAGATGATTCCTCGTCATCTTCCGATGATGAGGACATCCCGTCGACGCTGCCAACCCACGTGCGGAAAAGCCTTGCGTCTGGCGGCTCTACCACCTCGCTCCTGCAGAATTCTTAGTTGACCGTTAATGAGTGGAGTGGAAGGGTGGGGAGCAAAGGGAGCTAGCTGCCTGGCGGCGGCGTTTCCATCGAACGCCGCGAGCGAGGGGGCAAGTAACCCCGTATCACCTACCTGTCTCTGTGCGATAGAATATGGAGTTCCGTTCTTCTTTCAGCCGCGTCAAATACCCCGAATAGACCCCCAGGGAAGGCCAGCTTCCACGACCTGCATAGTTTTTATTTATATCAACTGTTCTCCAGGCGTCACCAAGCCTCCTTTTGCTAATACCAAAACGGGGTGTTTTCCTTAGCCGGAGCGCTTATCTCGTTCTCATCTCAGATTCAAGGTTTCGCATCTCCACTCCGGTGACGTCCCAGAATGTAAGTGATCGCGGAGTGATCTTGTCTCTCTACACATCGCGGTAGCAGGGGACGAAGCACTTCAATACCAGAGCTAGGTCTAAAACAAGCTCAAACACGCCTGGTTGCTGCAACCCTATGAACGCCATCGATTCTAGCGAGCGGTTGGAATTGCGTGGGAGTATATCCGTAAGGCGACTCTATCCCTCCGAAAGTCTCTTGCTTCCAGCTCTTGGCTCAGCAACCAAATGGAGCACGTCGTGAGCCGTGAACTCGCCACTACCAAGTACATCTCTGAGAGTTCCGCAATCTGCTCTAGGCCCTGACCCCATATGATCCTTTCCGTTCTGCATACTCTGCTTAGACGACCACCAGTTACGACCGATTAAGGTACCTAGACAAGAACAGATTACAGTGGTAATGAGAGAAAGATGTACATTGCTGAGGACGCACATATACACAAACCTGTATGCTTCCTCGCCGTGCATGATCCCATACACAGCTTACCAGGTCTCCCAACTTCCCACGACACGTGGTACCTGACCTACCTCGCCCACAGCTTATTTGGTAGCTGAGAAAATCTAGACAGAAAGACCCACGCCTTCAAGATGCCAGGAACGCTAGACTGCCTCGCAATACACGACGCCAACACAAGGCAACGAGCTGAAGCATCTTAGGTAGAAGAAGAAAGATAAAAGAATGGGCGGTTGAAGAAAAAGTCAAGCCCTAATGCACCGACAACTCCATCGCTCAGAAACCAACATCATCCTAGACAACCAACCTCTCTCCCTTCCCTGACCATCATGACGACTTTAAAACATTCACTGGATCTCCCCCCCGCCCCCGGTCATTTCCGCTACCCCTTAGTCACACCACACGATCCCCTCACCCCACCCTCAAAAAGACTCAACCAGTAACTCTCCTCACCCACAGCGTAGTCGGCTCCCACTCCGCCTCGCGATCCTGCCTCTTGTACGCCCGATGCAACTTCAAGCCCAGTTCGTACTCCTCCCGCCGGACGTCGGCCAGCTCCTGCTGCAGCGCCTCGACCTTTTTCTTCTCAGCCTCGCGCTTGCGCACCACCTCGGCGCTGTTGAGCAGTTTGTCGGTCGGCATTAGCTCCGTCATCTGTTTGATCGACCGGTCGATGTTGATACGCCGGTTGGCGAGCGCACTAAGCTGCGCGTTGAGCAGCCTCACTCTGTCCTGGGCCTCACTTGCTGACTGCTCTGGCGGTGCGGGCGGTAGGTCTTTGTTCATGTCCGAAGCCGAGGCGCGGGAGGAAGGGCGGTCCACTGCGAGGGCTTGCGCGCGGGCTACTGCGGGGTTGGGCGCGCTGGTGGGGGCTGGCTTCGGGGTGGTGACATAGGAGGGTTCGGCGGCGTGGAAGGGGGATGTCATGAATTGATCGATCGGAGAGGTTATGAGGCTGTAGTCGGAGGAGGCGCGGCCTTTGGGAGGCTGTGGTTGGTAGCCGGCTGGTACGGACGGGACGGGCGGCTGCTCGTTGTCTACAACGTCGTCATCTCGGGTTGTGCCCGTTTTGCTTGTCGCGTAGGTACTGAAGCTGAATCTGGAGGGGGGCTGCACGTATGGTTCCTCATCAAGGACCGGCGGCCGGGCCGTGTCCGGGATGTGCTGGGGCGACGGCTGCGGTGCGTCGGTCTGCTGAGAGTATATTGACGATACACCAGATGGTTGGTGGTGATGGTTTGTGTGCACTGGTGGTGGCTTGCGGCGGATCGCGTTCGAGGATTCCGGCGCGTGGGTGTTGAGAGTTGGGCTGGGAAGACCGCCGGGTCCGTAAAGACCGTCCCGTGCCAGCTCCCTAGCAGCAAGACTTGGCGCATCACCTAACCCTGGATTTCCGGATAACGGAGGGCTTGGGTATCTCGAAGCTGTCTGGGACTGAATCGGTGTGGCTGCTGCGGGGTTGGATATGGGTAGCATTCTCCTTATGGCCTCTAGTGGCGCAGGCCTGGCCTGCGTCTCAGATGGAGGGCTGATAGGCGGAGTTTGGCCACGCAGGGTCTGGCCATCTTGCGTGTTATTGGACTTGGAACTTGCCGCAGGAGGGAGATTCCTCCTAGCGCTCTTCTCGGGAATCTTCAGGGGCGGGACTTCGCGAGTGTCGTGGACCGGGTCGACAATGGCAGTTCGTCCGCTTGCCCCGCGCCAGCCGGGGCGCGACGACGACGTGAATGCGCTGGCGGCAGGGTCCGTGTTAATCTCCCTGGCAGCCGCGGCCTTCTTTGCTATTCTCCGCACCCGATCACCGAAAGAAGGCGCCGCCGTACTTGGGCTGTTCTGCGGCGATGCCCATGCATGCGCCGTAATGCCCAACCCCTGGGCGAACTCAGCTGGCTGTTCAGCTGCCTGAACCTGCGACGGCCGGCCCGGAGCGTTACTTGTCTGCTCGCCCATCAGTGGATCCCACCGGGGCGCTTCACGGCCGGGTGGGTTCCGGGATTGCTGCTGGTTAGGTCCGCGTTGGGCCGGGTTCGCGTCGCGCCCCGCTTCTGATTGTTTCCGGCGCTCTCGGCGCAGCATGGGAATGCTGGTTGCGCCTCGGTTTTGCGGAGGACTCTGGGTCCTCGGATATTGCTCCGATGCGTGTGTCCAATTTGAACTGTTACTTCTCAGGTTGTCGGTGTTGGGAATTCCCACATGTCGAGGGTAGACTGGCGCGTCATCTTCGTCGATCGGGGAGACGTCGCCCGGCAGGAAGCGATCGGCGCCCCGGTCGTCGGGCTCCGGAGAGCTGGGCGGGGAGATTTCATCGGCCCCCCGGTACCGATAGTCGTACCTGGTCGCCACGGTTGCTGCGTAATTTGGTTCAAACGGTGGTGATATCTCCTCTGGGGATGAGTCCTCCTCTGGGTAAACAGAGGAGGCTGGGCGAAAATTCGAGGTGCGGACTGTGATGCGACTTTGCACACGGGGAGCGGTTTCGCTGTTAAGGTAGCTCGGTAGCCACGTTTATCAGCCAACTGCTCAATATGGCTCACTTGTAGCCATGCGCGTGTGTGAAACCGGAAAACGCTCGCCACGCGTGTCTAGACTGGGCACTGCTTCCTCGGTGCAGCTCAGGCCTGTTGCAACAGGATGTGTTTGGGAAGAATGGAGGGGTTGCAGTGAGCGCGCAGTGCGCAGCTAACTGTTTAAGGATGCCCCAAACGGGCAACCTAGGTACCGCCCGTGTAAGCTGCAGCCGGCTGAGGCACAGCCAGAATCGCGGGCCATTGTGGACCCATCCGGTGCCCCGCAGCGGGCACCCAGCAGCCAGGGCAGTGCCCCTGCCGGAGCAAGCGAACGGGGACGGGCGGAAGGGCAGGCAACGGAACTGAACTGAAATCAACTCACAAACGCGATGCAAAAAACTCTCTTGGAGGCCGCGGTGGAGCCGGGCCGCCCTTGATGGAATAACTGTATCCCTTCGCCGTGCTCATGTTTCCGTAGCTTAGACCTAAGCCAACACGTATCCGATTGTCGTCCAGGGGGTTCGGGGCTTGCCTCCCCGAGTGATGGGGCGTGATCCGAAGTCTGTCCCACATCGTGGGCATTCAAGACTTTTCGATGCCCTCGAGAAGATGGTGGTGGTTCAAGCCCAATGTTCTTGCGCCAGGTCGGCCTCACAGATCTTGTCCCTTCTTCACTTTCTAGATGCTCCGAGATTATCGCCCTTCGAGGAATCAGAAGCGAGAAGCGAGGGCGGAAAGTGGGACAGGGCCGCGTTTAACGTTAGATCGTCACAGAGGTGGTTTGACCAACTCAGGGGTGTGCGCCCCAGCGATGAAGCGATACCTTGTGAGGGCGCCCAGCGTAAGAGTGCAACTCCTAGGTATATGATCAAGATGGCGTACGAGACACTTTCTGTTGGCAGATTCCTAGAGGGATCGAAATGAGAGCTAAGCAAGGATGGGTAGAACAGGATTCAGCATCCATGGACGTGGGATGGAGGAGGGGGCCGCCAGCTCCTTATGATCAAGCCAGGCAGCGTCTTGCAGCAAATACTAAGCAAATACTAGTATACCATGTCACAATGTTGTCTGTTTTGTTGACCGCCTGCCGGATGCCATCTGGGTAATTTGAGATTTATTGGACTGCGGCCGGCTTGTGCAGCCCGTCTCCACGTGGAATATTGTGGTACTCCGAGTAGCGTACTCGGTATGTTGTCTGGAAGTAGAAACGGTAAATCAGGCGACGGGCCACGGGCAGACGTGATCTCTTCTCTTATTGTTTTCACTTCGAGTGCGACCGCACCAGTCATTGCCCCTGTCAAGCGAGCGGCGATGGTCGTGTTAACTGGCCTTCAGCGCGGTTTTGAGGCGTGACGCGTTGACAGAAAGCCACTAGATCCGTTGGTCCTCGCCGCACGCTGCGGTCAATACCCCGGTCTGCTGTTGATGCCAAGCACCATTGACCTGCCCTTTGCCTACCTACCGCGGAGGGTTGACTACCCCGTATTTGTGTGCAGTACATGAAGGATACCGTCAGGATGATCGAGAAGACATGTCACTCACCGAACGCTGGTAGACGAACCAGGATGCAACTCCCTGTTCAGCCATCACAGCATCTCAGCCGCTTATGCCATCAGTCTTCTGTGCCGTGGTGGCACAGCAGAAGACCTTGGCTGAGCCGCACAGGTCAGGCTGTCGTGCACCGGAAACGTACTGTACATACTTCGTGGGGAGTGACCATGTTGAGTTCCGGTGCGGGAGCAGTTTAATAAGCGACGAATCAACATATCCGGCCGGAGCAGCATTCGGCAGAGTGGGTCGATGGTAGCATTCGACCGTCGTTTCAGATCAGAGATTGTGTGTTGTTGAACTGCGTGTCATATTTTTGGAAGATTTTGAGGGACTCGAGCTTGGCCAATATACCCGCCGGGTCCGAGCTCGTCTGGTCAACCGATTCCGGTACTCCTCCACTGTTAAAGCAGACCACCACCGGATGATTGCAACCCGTTCGCTTATGTATGAGGCACAGTGAAGTAGCCTTGATACCAGTTGGCTCATGGGAAGGGTCGTTAAATAATCATTGACCACTGGCAGCAGACAAAAGTAGGGGCAAAGTCCGGAGCGTCACGCGAGCGTGTAGATTTCCAACCCTAACCCGATTCTTCCTCTTCACCAAAGAAATAAGTACTACCTCTTACACAACGAACTTGAAGTGATCTCGCTAATAAACGACACCACATTGAACAAGCACCATTCCCGCAGGATCTCAAAGGCAGGATCTCAAAGGCAGTCTCGTACCCAGAAGTCACTTTGTACATGCCTGCGGTTTGCCATCAAAGGCTTTCCAATACGCGGCCACTGTAATCCGTACTTGGTCCTACACAATGCAAACACTGAAGCGCTGAAGCCGCCTCAGCTGCGAAGGAAGCCACCGCCATCTTGGTTCTTTTGTTTGTTCTGCGCCTTCGAAGCAGCTCTGCGGCGCATTCCACACCGCTCTTGTCAGCTTTGTTCCCTGACCTTGCCGTTGATGCCCGACGTAGGCCGTGCCATCTTTCGAGAAGCAATCGCCGTCGTTCCAGCATCGGGGCACCGTTTGCCGTGTCGCAGTTGAGCAGACAGCGGGCATGTACCTGGAGGATGGCGTTGGTGTTTGAGCGCGCTAGGCTCGCTGCGAGCCTCCGACCTAAGGATCCCAACGATAAGGTATGATTGTCAGGCACGAACATCCAGGGAGTCGGTTTTAGGCGTTCAACCGCGGCAGAGTGTCTGCGCCAGTCCACGAGGCAGCTGTCCATCTGTTGTTCATGGGCTCTGCAATGAAGGAAGACTAACTTTATCCTACCATGATGCCTATGCTATGTGGAAAGCCAGGTTTGGGACCAAGTCCCTTATCGGACAACTCGAAGTAAGGCCGTGACCTCGAAATAGAACTACAAGTATTCAAAAGGTTCCTACCTATCTTCGGTCCGGAGCATCTTCACCGTCCCAGGGCGAGTCTTACTTCTCACCATTCCTTGATCCGCGTCCTGACAGCCGTGCACTCAGAAAAAAGAAACACGAGGGGATAAACTTACGCGTCACCATCACCATTTCCCTCTAGGACACCATCTCAGGCGCCAGCGGAGAGTAGAGTACTAAATATTGTAAGGAGAAGTCTCAATAACGGACCTGAGTGTGCGTCGGCCCCGGAAAGCCTCTGCCCCAACTCTCTCTAGCAGGGAGTGCAAATCAAAAAGAATAGGCACGAGTTTGCAAACTTTTACATAGAACAACGCATATCTCCAGCCTTCCCTTGGCGGACCCGGCGGTATGGTTAGGATGGGTATGACAGGGCTGCGGGGTCCAGAGACTACGAGTAGGATTGAGCGTATCGGCTAAGCTACCTATCCAGACTCCTGACCAAAGGGCCTTCGCATGCCTTGGGGCTTGCTCCGGGCCAAGAATGGTGATCTAGAGAGCAGGGTATATCGACAACCTTCCCACCAGAACGCCGGTCTTCTCCATTAGGACATCTACCCGCCCAAAACGTAATTTTTTCTTTCCTTCCCAGCCCATCATTGGCCCGAGTACATCCTCCCAACGGCTCTACTTCTTCTCCGTTCTTCCGCGCTCTCAACCACAACGGTAGTGACCATATCCATCTGGATGGCCATGCCCTCCTCCCTCCCCTCCCCGCCTCTACTCCCGTCCCGGGCATGGCCCTGAGCCGCGCCGGCATCCCCTCCCGTTCCGCCTCCTCCACCGCTACCACCAAAGCTAAACAGAGGCCGCCACCCCATCCGCCTCTTGACCCACCGTCCCAGCCCAACACCTTCCTCGCCCTCTCCCCTCCTCTCGCGACCACCGCTGCCGCCGCCATCCTCCCCAGCACTATCCTCCCCGGCCCTGCCGCCCTCGACCCAGATCATATTCCCAAACCTCCTCTCCGACGGCGTCCTCATGAAGGTGAAGGTATCCAGGCCGGACTCTTCGCTGTCGACGGCGGCGCTGAACAGAAGCCGGTGCCGGGTCACGCCCCACAGCAGCACGTCCAGCCAGCCGTTACTCGTGATCAGCGCGCCGGCGAGGCAGAAGTACCAGATGGGCACGTCGGCGCCGGCCATGGTGGCGACACGCCCCAGGGCGAGCGGCGCCGTACAGAGGATGTAGATCAGCGGGTAGAGCAGGAAGCCTCTGTGGTGGCCGCCACCGCCGCTCTGGGCTGGCCCTCGGCCGGGAGCCGTAGATCCCGCCATCGTGGTGGTGGTGTGGACGTGGGAGGACGCTTTGGGGTTGGAATGGGTCGTGATGGCCGAGTCGGACGAGGAAGAGGGATCCGCGGGGCCGGTGATGTTGGTGCGCGAGTCGGACGTTGCTGGGAGGTCCGAGATGGAACCGGAATTCGCGGGCCGTTTGTCTTGCCTCCGGAGGGAGAAGAAAATGAGGAGGTACAGGATGGCCGTTACCACGAAGGCAATGAAGATCCAGAGATAGTGCAGAAACAGACGGAGCCTTTCGTAGCGGACGTTGACCCAACACTGCATGGGGACGGTGTTAGTTACGTACGGTAAAAAATAGGACAGATACCTCGTCTCGGACTTGGTGACGATCGGCCGAGAGATGAATGAGATTGAGAACTCACCCACGCAGCGGCCCGGACATAGAAGCCTCCCGCCACCTTTCCATTGTCCGTGATCGCGATCCCGAGGACGGCCATGAGATAGTTGAACACCCATAAGCCAATGATGGTGGCGTAGACAGCCAACTGCGGCGGTGTGTAGCGCCACACGACGGCCAGGTACGTGTGCACAGCGATGGCGGTGATGAACAGACTCGACGACAGGTCCCCCGTCGAAACCAGCCAGCCCTGAGCCCAGCATGCAGATGTCCGGACCGTGATCCCGTTGTCCCCCACCCAGACGACGTTCAGCAGGAAAGCGGCGGCCTGGTGGAGATCAGCCAGCAGGAGGTTGTAGACCAGGACCAGAAACTGGTTGGGGTACGTTTTCTTCCGCTGGGCAGTCGATGGGGGAGGAGGGTGTTTGATGTCCTCACCCATCAAATGGCGCTCTGCGAGTCCCAGGGACAGGTCAACCGGCGGCGGGGCCGATCTCTGGGCCGCGTTCTGGTGCCTCCGTTGCTTTAGGTGCCATCGCACAAGTTTGAAGGTCAGATAGAACAGCACCACCGCAGAAGAGATAAACGAAAGGAAGGCCAGGACGGCGACTCCTGCGAGTCCTTGGCGGTGGCCGGTGGGAAGCGGGATGAGATCGTTGCTCTCGAGGGCCAAGGGGCCGCGGCCGTTGCCGTCCGCCATGGTGGTGACTAGGAATTCGGGAGCTGTACTGCACAGCAGACTCCCGCTCACTTCATTTCCATGAAGTACGTGTCGTTCATGGATAGCAGGATAGCAGGATAAAACCCAGATATGTCAGGGGGGGCGGCCGTTTTCATGAGGCGTCCGGGTGGCGCCGGAGATCGACCACTGTCTAGAGTTCCGATGTCCACTCTTGACAATAGCACTACTTTAGCTCATGTTTAGGGCGATTTCATGGTTGGCCATGTTAGAGCACATGCACGGCCCGACGAAATCAACCGAACCGAACCATGGGCTTGCATGCAACCCTACTCCTTTCAGCCAAGCTGTTAGGTGAATCCTTCGACTCCCATGCGCCTCTCGAGATTGGGGAAACCGTGCCCCTGGTGTGCGCCGGCGCTGGTGTGCGCCGGCGCTGGTATGCGCTCTCGAAGTGATCCGGCGCATCATCATGCAGGCAAACGCCCTATGACCGCGGAGGAAACTGGCCCTGCATTCGCTCATGCACTCGTGCATCGTTGTGCCCCCAGAGAGCGGCGAGTCGGCGACAGCCGGCTACCCCTTTTGCACATCCACTGGCTCCGGACCAAAGGCAGCTGGAGGTAAGTTATCACCACAGAGGACCGCATCGTCACGACGTCAAGGGAACCTGGTCGAGATTCTTGTTGAATTCCCTTCGTCTTTGCCGACCTTCCAGAGGTCCACTGTCCACGCGAGTCAGGGGGGCCCTCGATGAACTAAGGTGCTGAACCGCAAGACTGGGCCCGACTTTCATGTGTCTTATTAGGTAGCATGGAAAGTGGGATTGTCGAGATTGTCTAACCCCGACCATTCTTTCCTGCAGCAGGTTTGCATCCTGTGACAGGAGCCGAGATGCACACCTTTGATCTCGCTGTGGATATTTCGAGGGCCTCAGTAGATAGTTCGACGGTCTCCAACCCGATCTGGAAGAGGATCGACGGGTGAAGCCATAGCCAACTCTACAGGCATACGCGCCCAATAGTCCAGTCGCGGTCGGGACAAGCTCACAGACTCTGAATTTTATTTTTGTTCTTATGTGATTTAGCCAGTTAGGCCTTTTGAAATTCAAGGTATGTTATTGTTCGTATGCACGATTGCATTGCCATGGTGAGTTTGGTGACGGGAACTTGTAGGTGGCTGCCTGCAAAATTGGGCTGTGGCTGACCCGTCGATCCCCTTCCGCAGGCGGTTAGAGACCGTCGAACAATAATTAGGTACCTAGTTAGGTAGTTATCCACGGCGTTGATCTGGATGAACAAGCATTGTCGAAAAGTGCCAGTGAGAGATACACAACTTGAAGCATGCCGAGACCATGCGAAAGGATGATGTTTGCGAATACCGGGCCACTGTACTCCATAGGTACATACCTATACACTTTCTGAAGATGACCTACCACTCTTCGAGCCATGATTTGGTCAATGAATGTTGTTCAAACGTCTGCGAGACCCCTCGTAACTGCAGTCAAACAATTGAACAATGAGCTTCTTTTCCGGCGCAAGCAGCCTGGTCCCTGTTGAGACTAAAGACCTCGGAGCCTTGGCGGCGTTTTGACACATCACGGACGAGCACGGGCCTATACCTTTTTCTAATAAGCCACTTTAGTTGAACGCCCGAGCTCCATGTGGGGGGTAGTGTAAGATGCGCGATTGACTTGGAGTTGGGGGCGAACATCTGAACATGCGAAGATGAAGATACTCCATACACTACACTAGGCATGTGCAAAGTTTGCTCGCATCTCCATTTGGAGTCTCGACCATCGGCCTTGCCGGGTGATTATGTGATTATGTGATACCTGGCTTGTTGCAATTGTAGTGTAGGCGGTCAGCAATGAACTGGGGGAAGTGGGACTTTCAAGAACGCTACCATGGCTTTGGGATTTTTGGCTGACACCTGCCAATTTTGAATTCAGCTTCGTGACTTGGCAAGCCGAGCACATGAAGCATCACGTGAGAGAGTGTCCTGCCAATGAGTGCGGCCAGAGATGGTGCAATCCGCGCTAGTCCCAATTAGGGCCGCGTCTGCAAAACGTTCTTTTCCACGCCGACGATGACGAGCTTGTCTCTCTCCTCTTCTATCTCCTCCGCCATTCTCATGCTCTATGTGCTATAAGAATCGTGAACTCCTCCTGAGGATTCCACCGGTGTCGTGTTCGTGGTTCTACGATGTCAATTGACCGAAGCCGACCGTCACATCGCTGCGAGCCCACACATCAACGAATTCCATTTCCTCTTTGGGAAGAGTCGCCAGATCACAGCACCCATATCCTCACGACCAGTTGAGCATTTGAGGATGTGCTTACAAGGTAGAAGGGAAGTATTCATTCTCATTATAGTTTGGCCGTTTGCACATCCCAGAACCGTCAGCATTGCTCGCGGCAATTCACACCACACCCCAGACATAACCAATTTCACAACTCCAGTCTCATTACAGCTTCTTCCCATAGGCGGAGTAGTATCCGCAGTTCTTAATATGGCTCTTCTTCCCCGTTTCAGCATTGAAGATGTGGCATCCTCCTTTGGCGACGTTGGGCGGAGTGTACAAGTGAAGGGAGACAGCGAAGTCGCTGCCCTGATTCCGCACCCGGTGAACGCCCAGCTCATCCGCCATATACGCCACCTCGTTTTCCTGGTGTACTTTCTCAGATATCACGCGCATCGGCGCCTCGGCCTTGTTCTCCGGGAAGGCATATCTTGTTTCTGTCAAGTTTCCCCGGAGGATCTTCATCAGGCAATGGGCATTGCCGTGGTCGTGGATCGGACTACCTTTGCCAGGCGACCAAACGAGAACAAGCTATCTTTCGTCAGCCAGGGGCAAAGTAAACAAACATCACATTGTTCCCCTTTCCTCCACTTACCAGGTTGCTCTTCCCATTTCCTTCGTCAACCAGGTTCCTCGTGTAACCCCGGCTCTCATCGCCCATGGCGTACTTCGACCACTCTCTCGGGTCTGAGTCATACTCGCGCATCAATCGCGTGAGGTGCTCGACATCGACGTCGTCCGAAGTGAGGCCGGAGCAAGGGCCCAGAGCGTCCTTCAAGGCCAGGACGAGGTCATCAAACCGGTTGTTGTCAGCGTTGATACGGCAAGGGAACGTCGCTTGGTACTGGGACAGAGAACTCTCGACGATGCCGACCGCCATTGTGAAGGTGTTGAGGCTTGGGTGAGGCAATAGTGCAGCTACGGCTTCACGGGGAGGATCCGATGTGGATTTGTGCTGGTAGCCTCGCAGCCAAAATAAATCAGTCGGCCGATGGGATGACGGAGGCGTTGGTCCGTGATGGTCGGCTATTGCTCTAGGAGTTCTGCTGTCCGAGATGATGGGGCGAGGCGACTTCGACCAGAGGCAGGCGGTTTGGATATGCTGAGGAGGGATGACTGTTGGGAATGGCGGTGTCGAAAAGGGGTCTCCACGTGTGCGGTGCTTGTTCCCAGAATGTTCCGAGAATGGTCCGTGTGACGGGGCCGGTCGGATCCGATCTTGGTGGGTCGATGTGTGCCGCAGCCATGTGACCCGAGCGACAAGAAAGTCACTACGTCAGATGCAATCCAATACATGGGAATGAATAAGAGAAACTGTCAATGCAGTTGTTGACAACTGACAAAAGCCGTACGAGCTCAATGTAGCTCGGGATGGGACAGCGCGCGGAAGCTCTACATCCCCAGTAGGGGGTCTATGACCGTCTTACCAAGTCTTAATACAGCTGAATTGTATTAGTCACAAAGGATTCTCTGTTGCCAAGGCTTTTGGGAATCGCGATATTGCAGAAACCGTGTTCGATGAAGTTGGTTATTCAACCCGCAAACACCCAGAAACTCCTGTACCCCAGGCCGGTCAAGGAACCATGATCACGCCGATGGCTACCTACTTGCGCAAGAAGACAAATTCGCCCATCGAGCATCCTTCCCTCTGTGGTTCAATGAAGACGCTTCCACTGAACACACCGCGCTCTACCAGGCCGGATTTCTACGCTTGAGGACAGATCGATTATTTGTTTCGTTGAATAGTGAACTCAGATGTGGCTTGGGAGAGAGGTCAGCAATATGAGGCAGGGGTGATGTCAAAGAAGGAGAACGGAAATGTGTGCGTCGTTCAATGTGTCCAGTAGTGCGGTCCGGACATCCTTGCTTGTTTTAGGAGCACAGTACAAGCTCAGCACATTTCGAACAAGCTGCCGGTTGCTTCAATTCCAACCATTAATGACCCGACTTCTACATCAGGAAAGAAACATCGGTTCACCGGCTCGCCAACTCCAACCCTCCATCCCCATCCCCAACTTCCTCCGTCCCGTCCAGTATTCCGGCATGCCTAGTCCCAGTCCCACTCCCACTCCTCAGCCTCTCCCTACCCGACATCATCCCCTGCGCTTCCCGCTCCCAGGAGTCACTTAGCCTAATTCTCCCACCGCTCGCCTTCCCGACCGCGTTTGACACCCACCCGGCCGCAGCCTTCATCAACTCCCACACTCTCTCCTGGCCCTCCTCCTCCATGCGCCTCTGATCCTCCTCGTGCGGGTGCAAGTGCTGGTGCTCGGCTGCCTCGGCCTTGAACTGGTACTTGAGGCAGTCTTTGACTGTCACCAAACCGGTCAGACGGCCGCGGTGCTCGATGAGAATGACGCGGGGTCCGATCTTGCGGAAGAGCTCCATGACTGTCTCCAGGGGCAGGCGCGGGTGGACCGTGAGCGGAGTGGTGTCGATGTATGGGGTGAAGTCTATTGTTGTGGAGGCGGAGGTGGCGTAGTCTAACGGGGCTGACGGGAAGGAGGATGAGGAGGAAGAAGAAATAATCGGCGTGGTAGCGGCGGTGGTGGTGCCTGTCGTGCCGGGATTGCGGGGGGGAGCAAATGTGCATTTCGCCAGGGGGCTGAGGGTGCGCTCGCGCTTGGCACGGTCCACGGCGTAGCGGAGCTCGGTGCGGCCTATGTAGCCTAGGAGGATCTTGGAGGTTTCGTCTTCAACGATCGGGAAGCCTTGGTAGTTGTCTTTAGTGAGAAGACGTTCGACTGCCTTGAGGGTCATGCCGCTGGATGGGATCGAGACGACGTCGGAGATCATAGCGTGCGAGACGGGGACACCAAAGTTGTGCTCTTCCTTGTTGTCGAGGTACGGCATGCCGCTGAACCAAATCATGCGGTCAGCGATGCCGCCCTTGCCAAATAGCTCGCTGACGGCTTTGGTGACGCCAACTACGATCATCGTGGGAAGGATATAGGTGAGGGCACCGGTCAGTTCGAACATGATGACGACCACGGAGACCGTGATGTGCATGATGCCGCTCAGGGCCGCTGCCGCGCCAAGGAAGGCGTATGTGCCGGGCGTGATGCAGGGAACGTCCGGCGCGCAGGAGGAGAAGAAGACGCTCTTGGGGTTTGCCTCGTGCAGTACCTGGACGATAATTCCGACAGTCCGCCCGAACGACGCGCCAATGGCCATGGAGGGCACGAAGATGCCGGCGGGGACCTTGCAGCCGTAGGATATTATGACGAAGAATATCCGAATGAGCGTGGCCAGGATCAGGGAGAAAACATTCCTGACGCGGTGCTCGGGTTGGCAAAGTCCATGATAGTCCTCGGCGCCTTCGCATTCCCGGAACAGGACTTTCATGCTCTCAGTCATTTCGATTCGCAAGAAAGCGTTAGGATAGCAGACGACGGCGGTGGCGACGGCCAGCAGCGTCGCCTCGAGGATAGCGTAGTTGGCCAGGTATTTCTTTCGGAACGCTTGCACTCTCAGATTCCATTTCATGACGAAGGCGCCGTACAAGCCACCGAAAACACCAATGATGATGTAAAACAGGACCTCGAAGAAGTGCCACGACCGGTCGTATTTGACTTGGAACATGACCAGCTGACCGGTGCGGAAGGGATTCATGGCGGCCAGGACGGCTGTGGCAACCAGGGCACAGAAGTAGCTCCGCCATAGTGTTTTCAGCGGGAAATAGCTCGACATCTCCTCGAGCGAGAAGAGCACGCCGCCGATTGGGCTACCGAAGGCGACGGCCACGCCAGCAGCCGCGCAGGCACTAAGTACCTCGCGGGTTTTGGAAGCATTCCGCCGGTATTTGTCAAACAGCCTCGAGATGACGTTGCCGGTGCAGACAGCGTAGTGAACGCTGGGCCCTTCTTTCCCAACAGAGAGCCCAGACGCGATGGCAAGGGGTAAAGCCAGGGACTTGATAACCAGCGTCCAGAAGCCGAGGAAGCCTTTCATGACGAAGCCGGCGATGATGCACTTGATCTCGGAGATGCCGGAGCCGGCGGCGTATGGAGCGTATGACTTGACGAGGGTGGCAGCGGTGAGGGCGAACAGTGTCTGAAATCAATGTCAGCGTCGGAAGTCCCCGAGAGAGCGGCGGACGTCGACGGACCGCGAAGATGATGTACACGATATAGTTGATGGGTTCAAGGCCGGTCCACCGGTGCCAGTCGGCGCAGCCTAACCGCTGTCAGCGTCTCTTGCCAAAAGATAGCAGGATATTGGGGGTGGGGGCCGCCGCGCCGTACCATTGTCGTCCCCCCAACAGCAAAAGTCCTCGTTCAAATAGAAGTGGGTTGTGCAGTAGCCCAGTTTGATGTCAGATAGCCACTCGGTGATGATGCTGAGGAAGGCAGCGTTCAGCCCAATCGCGGCGCCAATGATGGTTACAACGATCCAGCCCTGGGCGGCATCGTATGCCTCCCATATCCTCTGTCTCCAGTCGAATTGGCCGGCGCCGTAGAGACCGGCTTGCCGTTTCCTCTTTGCTTTTCTCCGCAGCTGCTCCCGCGCAGCATCCTGGACCCAATCTTGCCTCCCATTAGCACGCTGCTTCGAGTATGTGTGGCTGCGACAATCCTAGAGATAGCCCATACCAATGGTAGTGAAGTCCTGGGACAATGGACGACGGTCAGTCGCAAAACCGACTTGAAGAGGGGCAAGGCCGGCACGAGGGCAGGAGGGGCGTGCTGCGAACCTCGTATCGTTTGATCTTGGCAATCTCCTCCTCTATCTGGTGTTGCGCCGCAATTCCTCCTCCATCTTGGTTCTCGCCGCGCTCTGCGATGGACACAGCAGACGACAGTCGAGAGCCCACCGAGGGGCGTCGTAGGGCTTGTGGAGTCGAAAGCGTCGAGAGCGAGGTAGATCGCGATTGGAAATTCATGGCGCCCCGTGGCCGCCCTCTATGGATCTGTTGTTGTTCCCCTGTATCCGTACAGCGTTTACACAACAGCAATTGGGGTTGAGGCGCTTAAGGCGCTTCTTATCAACCGCCACATGTAGGTCTGAACACAAAGCGCAGACGGTGCTACTTCATCGGTTCTGGGAAGCAAGGCTGACGTCGCCTGGCGAGCTGAACGGCGCTAGACGGCATGCCTGAGAGCTGACCCGTCAAGCCTGTAAAGCTTCGGTACAGTACTAGTAGCCTTTGCCCTTGCCGCTAACGGTAGTTAACGCTAACTTGCCCAATCACGGCAGGCAAAGGGCAGGCTTGACTGGGTGAGTGGGGCTCCCGTTGAGAGGCGCGTCTCACGCGTCCACTTAAATGCCCCAATACGTGGAACTACTGCTCCGACACCCGATCTCACTTCACTCCGGCAGGTTTAGTAAATAAGCATATTGGAACCTTGAGCCTCGTATCAGACCATCACTGCTTCCAGTCCAGAGCGAGGGGAGAAAAATACGACTACTCCAACTCGGTTGCCAGAACAGAGCCTGCCTTACACCGGACCAAGCAAATTAACTCGCCTGGTTCACCCAGGGCCTCATTTCCCCAACAAAATGCCCTACAACACCACGGCAATCCCTCCGAGAAAGGAGGTAACCGGGCAGACGCAACTACCCCGTGAGACATGACAGTCCTTCACTCCGTCTGTGATACCCGACTAACCCCTCTCATACAGTCACGAGGGTCAAGAAGATCATTGCCGTAGACCCAGACATCACGGTGTGCTCCAACAATGCCGCCTTTGTCATCACTGTGGCAACAGCACGTCCGCCCATTTCACATGCTCATAACCCCATCACTGACCGTCTTTCCAGGAGATGTTCGTCCAATACCTCACAAGCGAAGCTCAGAACATGACCAAGCTAGAGCGCAAGCCGCGGCGCAATATCCAATACAAGGACATCGGTGTGTTAAAAACACAAAAAACGCTCCAGGCATATTTCCTCTAGCGGTGATTCTGACCTACGGACCAGCAAATGCCATAAGCCACCAGGATAATCTCGAGTTCCTGGAGGACGTCGTGCCCAAGACGGCATCTTACAGGGAAGTGAAGGCCAAGGCAGCTGCAGCACGTGCTCGGGTTAGTGGTGAGAAGTCTACTGGCGTGGCCGCCGATACCGAGCGGCCGTCAGACGGTGCGCCCAACGGCAAGAGAGCCAAACCCATCGTCAATGGCAATGGTCACGCTTCCCCGGCTACGAACGGCATTTCGCGGAGCAGAGTGTTGTCTTCGGATGCGGCAGACCCGAACGATCAGTTGGAGCTGGAAATGAGGGAGGCGCAGCGGTCGGATGATGGGGATGTAGACATGACGGGTTAGATACCAGTGACTTTTCCTTCGCTTCGGTGACCCTACCGTTTACATTATTTTGCCAATGTAGTACTCATACAACCAACGCCAGATGGAGGCAAATCTAGGCCGTGCATAGCCACAATATATCTCCCCTTGACAAGAGCGCCGCCTCGAACATCTCACCCTGTAGATACACCCCCATCCATATACTCAACCTCACTCCTCCATGGCATCTTCCAGCATGATCCCCGGCGGCAGCCGTCCCTCGTTCAACGCCTTCTCCAACCGAATAATCTCCTCCAGGCTATCCGCCTTCTTGATCATCTCCTGCAACTTCTTGCGCTCCTTGTCGGTGAGCTTAAGCCTCGACAGCTTGGACGACGGCCCGCCGGCGGCACCGTTTGCCGCGCCAACGTCGAACGTCTTGCTCTTGATCCCCATGATCTGCGTGCCGGCATCATCATCAGTACTCCGTGTCTTGAGCGCCGAATCGGGTTTCCCACTCACCCGCGAAGCCAACTCCGTCGGCGCATCGGCCGAACCAAACAACTCCCTCGACTTTGCCCGCTCGGCATCCTTGACCTTCTGGTAGTCGAGGAACCGGACGGTGGGACACCGCCAGAGGACCCAGTACCGATAGTTCTGTTATTTTCCACAACCGCCAGTCAGCACAACCTCCCTTCCATTTCCCCTTCCCCGCCCCACTTTTTCCCACTGAGAATTATTGCGCACCTCCTTCTTCGTAACCGGATTGTCCATCAACACAAGGTGCGTCAGCCTGGGGAACCGGCCCAGCACGTCCAGGTCGGCCAGCTCGGCGAGACTGTTGCCAGCCAGCATGAGGTTGGTCAGGTTGGGTATGGCATTCGGCAGGGTGGGCTGGATGGTCACGATGCGGTTGCGCCCGAGCAGAAGCGTGCGCAGGCGCGGCGACAGCGGGAAGTTGCCCAGCACTTGGATGTCGTTGTCGGTCAGGTCTATGGCATCGTGGGGCTATAAAATTAAGAAAAGCAACGCCCGCTGTTAGCGGTTCTCTATTGCGTAGTAACGAGAAGGGGGGTAAACATAAAAAACTTACCCCAGCCACGCCCAGGTTCTCGATGGCGGGTATTCTGTGTCCTGTATGCGGCGAAAAACACCAAGAGATAAACACGTTGATACACCCGTCTTGAAATATTCACAGCAACTCTGGCCTCGGTAGTTTCATTTGGAGAAGGCAAAAGATCAGTGTGCAGTATCTGCTCTTTTCAACGCACCTCGGAGGTCTATTTCCCGCTCCTTGAGCGGGTTGAGGTAGGAGAGGGAGTTGTGGATGAGGTCTGCCGTGAGTCTCATGCTGGACTAACTTGCTCGTGTGTTGCTCTTTGATCGGGGACTTGTCGTAAGTGGATTCCGTTTAGCCAAGTTCGCTTCGCGCAGAGGGATGTGTCGCGAGTTTCCAAGGCTAGAAGGCGCTGCCGCGGTATGTCATTGATATCGATATGGTTCAAGAACTGAGATGCAAGGTCCAAACTTAGGTACGGTACTACTAAGCTAGCAGTAGGGAAATAATGTGGGGTGAAAAGGGCCGCTAGCAGGACCCTAACCCTGACACAGCACCCACTCGAACTTCCAGTTCTCACACGGCAGTGCTCCGTACTCCGTACTAGAATCCGTACTAGAACCATGAAAAGAAGTTGATCATCGACAGCAATAAACCTACCTTCGCATCCCCTTCATAGTATGATGGTAGATATTAAGTCCACGAACAAGGTAGCGAGGAAGGTCTAAGACCGTGCCATCTCGTTTGCTAAATCTACCTACAAGTGACCAAATACTTGGCAGGCCATTCCCTTCTAATATGTAGCCAAGATCCAGGAACCCATCCTTACTTAGTCGTACCGAAATCAAGAATCAAGAAACCCTTATTATTACTGGAAGACAAACACCACCCCGCTCCTGTCCACCGACACGGTCATCATGTAAGGCGACTCCAGCAATGCAACGTCCATCACGGCATCCAAATGACTCCGCAGCAACTGCTGCTGGTGGAGTGAGATAACCGTCGACCGCGGCGCCCGAGTGGCTGTTCTCCCACTCCTACCGCCAGAAGTCCTCGACCCTCCGTTCGTCGCCGCCGAGCCAGACCCGGACAATGGACCACCAACCTGCCTCGGCCACCGCTCCGTACTGAGCGTCATGGACGGGGTGGGGTGGCTGGCCGTAAAGGTCGGCTTGCCCTCGTCCGGCTGCAAGCCGCTGAATACAAGACTGTTCTCGATGCGTGGCAGGTCCCAGAAGCGGAGTTTCTTGTCCGACCCGGCAGTGATGATGAAGGCGTGACGGACCTCGCGCTGGTCGTCGGTGCGGCCCGTGCCGACAACCATCGCCCGCACGCCGCGGTCCGCATTGCCCAGGGCGGACGGCTCGATGTTGGTCGCGAAGCGGCCGAGCATACCCTCCGGCTTGTCCTCGTCCACCTCCCATGCCTCGTAGCCCTTGGGTCCCTCCTTGTTGCCGCCTACGCGGTATATCTCGCGGCAGAGGGTGCGTTCGAGATCCCAGACCGTAACTTCGCCCTGTCCGGTACCGCCGGCCACGCAGACCCATCTCCCCCGGCCCTTAGACGGGTGGATGCAGAGGCGGTAGATGGAGCCCTTGCCGGGCACGCCCCAACCCTTGACGCGCATTTTGAACCGGAGATCCCAAAGATCGAGCACGCCGTGCGACGTCCCGAGACAGAGCCAATTCTGCTTGCGGTCGATGCAGAAGCAAGTGGGTGTACCATGGTGGACCGGGTTCTCCAACTTATAGAGAAGCGTCATCGTCCGTAGGTCGATAGCTAGGATATTGGACTTGCTCGTCGCCAGGATCAAGATCGATTCACCATCGTGCTTGAAATGCTCGCACCACACGGCGTAATCGCCCTCTACGAGCTGGTGCTCGCGCAGGAGACGGAGTCGCGGATACCGGAAGTTGATGCCGCTGAGCATAGTCTCCACCTTCACGATGTGAACACTGCCATCGCTTGCGCAGCTGACGAAGCTGTGCGTGTTCTCAATGAAGCACAGAGCGAGAACTCTAACCCCCGCGGCGTGCTTGTACGTCAGCCTCGACCGGTGGGTTATGTTACGCTCGAGCCGTGCCGTGTCCCACACCTTAACGCAGCCGTCATCGCCACCCGTGAGGAAGAATTGGTGGTCCGGGGAGACGACAATCCGGTTGATGGGTCCAACGTGTTCCGAAAAGGTAGCCACGAGCTTTCCGGACGGCCTCCACTTCTCATCTGCCCCCGACTGAGAGGCCGACGACTTGTGGGGTTTGTCTCGGGTAATGGGCGTGACCAAAGGACCAAACTCAGTGAGGTCGTGAGGGTAATTCTCAACATACATGGCAGCAAGCATCTTGAGAATGTTGGGGTCATTGCCTGTGTATGTGTGATTCGCTCGCAGCCGCGTTTTCGCATGGTCCGGCACGGAGTCGGGATCAGGTGGCAAGGGGGTTCGTGCCAATCCGGGGCTGAACGGTCCATCCATCTCACCAAACGCATTCGCCTCAGTTGTGCCGGTCTCCGGGCCAGATTTGGCATTGCTTTTACGGTTCAGGAGGCTCATGGCACTCGGCTGACGCCGCAAATCCCTTCTCGTGCTGTGAGGGGCATCCTGAACCGAGACATTATCGTCCGTTAGTGACAAAGTAGCAGACTTGTTGTGTGCGACGGATGTTCGTCGGGACGTATTCGCTGAGCCTTCGCCGTGTCTTGTTGCAGTTGGAGAGGTGGCAAGTTCATCCTCCAACGGGCGTCTGCCGTTCACAGACATGGGTGACATATTATCTCTGCTGCCAAGACGGCTACGGTGGTTGTTCAGCGCAGCCCGCCGCTTCTTCCCAACCGGATCATCGACCGACATAGATGCGTCAAGGAGGGCGTCCCTAATGGTTCGTGGAGCGCCTATATCCTGCTCCGTGTTCACTAGGGGCGCCGCGAGCGGCGCTTCGTCGAACAAGACAGTCTGCGGTCTTATGCCCAAACTGCGAAGGGGAATAACGCCGTTCAGTGCAACTGTATCCGCAGTGTCCTGCGTAGTCGAATCCCTTGCCTTGATTTGACTCAGGCGCCAGATGAACTCTCTCAGAGCGAGCAGCTTGGGTTCGTCTTCTCGGGCGAGCCCTAGGTTCCGCAACTTGTTCAGCCACTGCTCATCCTCCTCATTCCTCGCTGTTTTAGTCAGAGCCTGCGGGTTGATCTCAGCCACCATGGAAGAGATTGGGCCTGAGACAGCATCGCGAAGCTTTTTGAAGGGCCTCCAGAAGTCCCCTCTGTCGGTCTTCGATGCCCACAGCAGCGCTTGATCAAACACTGACCGCGATAGAGGTTTCTGTAGCGCCCCGAGCAGACCAAGCTTGGAGAAGTCGGGCAGGCTATGCGGCCTGAGATACGCTTTCAGCAGCGGTAACATCCGAACCCTGAGAAACGCTGGGCTCAAGAAGCGCGTACTAGCCGACATGAACTCGACAGCTGAGTCACGGATCCATAGATTAGGATGCATTGTGAATCGCCCGATGATGCCCACCAGCTCAAGGTATGTCCCTTTCGTTAGCAGACCCAGGTTTGCCAGTTCCGCCAGAGCATGTAGTGCTCCTTGGATAACATGCTCCTCAGGATCGGTGACGGCCTGGACGATAAGAGGTAAAATGAACTTCTCAAGCGTGCTGCATCCCAGGAACGCCGAGATGGCCACGACCGTGTCGAACAGTGCACATTTTAGCAGCCAGTCGCGATCGTTCAGGTACGTGTTCAGATGGGTCAGGATGATATCGTTTGCCTGAGCAGCCCCGAAGAAGACGCATAGTTCAGGGACCGATGCCAGAAAGGCTCTTCTAACGAACGGGTCTGAATCCTCGATGAGCATCCCGGTGTGAAACCCGAATGTGTCGGTCAACTCCCGGCGAGCGTCGTCAAACAGCCCGGCAAAGACGGCCTGCGGCTGGTTGCCGGACTCAACTTCAGGATCCGGAAGGGCCGCAGACCCGTCCGCTCGAAGCGTTGCTGCCATCGCGAGGAAGCGGTCAGCGGTTACAGCTAGCCTTCCCAGGCAAGATGCGTACGTCGCGCGGACAATCGGGCTTGATGTGCGCTGTGTGTCCGTCAACAGTAGCTCCATCCGGGGCATTATGTAGTCGAGAAAGATTTGTGAGTTGACTGGGGTGATGACCTTTACGAGGTCAAGGATTTGCGTGATGGCCCGGACGGCGGAAACCACAACCATGTCGCACTTGTCCTTAAGCAAGGCCACGAGGTACGGAACGACGCGGTCCAGTTTCGCTTCGTCTGTCAGCCGCTCGGCAAAAGCAAGCAGAATGTCGCATGCCTTTATCCTCGCGGCGGCATGGGCGGTGTTGCGAATGGATGACACGACCAGTGTCAAGAAAATAAGGGTGCCGTCGCTCGCAGACGACTGCCTATCGGCAGAGACGTGGTGTTCATAAGTTGGTATGTTCAATCGGACAGGGAAGTGGCTCAGTCCGAGCCTTGGAGATGGGTAGCGCTCATCAGTGCGTTGGTCGCCATCTTGATATTCCAGAAAGTAGGAGATCTTGTCGAAGTCCAGCCATACCCGTTCTATCCGTTGATCGGCCTCGCTGATATTCCTGGCGCTGCCTGTGGAGGCATCCTGGCCAGACGAAATGTCGGTTATCAGCTGCATGTACTGGTGCAGGAAGCTGTAGAAGTACTCCGGGAACACTTTGCCCTTCCAGCGACCCAGATACTGCTGGGCGGAATACCGTGCTTGCGGATCCAGCTGGATCATGTGAGCGATCATTTCCCGCAGGTCCTTATCTGGGATCTTGCTCAAATGCGTAATCGACGGGGAATATTCCCCCTTGCGGTACGAGTAGAGCTTGCTCAGGTCGAAGATGCGGGTCTCGAGAAACAATTCGGCAATGACGCAGCCGGCACTGAAGATATCCATCGCCGATGTCACCTTGGCATCCGGATCAGCTTCTTCCCCGGGCCTTAGGAATCTCTCAGGCGCTAGATAGCACGTCCTCTTGCCGGAGATGTCAAAGAAGTAAGAGAAGTCGGCCGGGTTGTCCTCGGGCAGCAGGACGCGCTTGAAGGACGAAGAGAAGTCGGCCAAGTAAAGCCAATTCCAGGAGGTGACGAGGATATTCTCGGTCTTGATATCGCCGTGATGGACGCCTTTGGCGTGGCAGTCGTGGAGGGCGCAGAGGAGCTGGAAGGCCAGCCACTTCTTTTCGATATCCTCGAGGAACGGTCTCGTACTGAGGCGGTCGTACAGGGAATTGTAGAGGAACTGCCGTACAAGGTACCCATTCGTCTCCGTCTCGATTGCGCGCTGGTAAGGGAGGGCATTTGGCACGTCAGCCAGGGCTCGTCGCTCGCCTAGAAATGGCCGTCAGTGTGAGGTTCTATTCACAGCGCTGGAAGTTGGCCTCCTCACGGATAATCTCCTGCTTGTATTTGTCCAGGGACATGGGGTAAGGCTTGATAAGGACCTTGGCAAGTACAACTCCGTCATGATGCCTTGCCCGCACACTCTTCATAAAGCTCCCAGTTCCGACGGATCGTTCGTAAACCAGGTCTGAAAGCTCTGGAACATCGATGCCGGCGGCCCCGGCACGGGGGGTGGCAAGAGAGAATCCCTGGCCCATAGTCGCCGGTTTGCAGGCCCGGAGAGTCAGCTTCCAGCTACCTTCTGCAGAACGTCGAGAGGGTGCGGCGCATCTTGACGAAGCGTCTCGGCCAGGGAAGGAGGCGTTTGCAGAGCCCACGCGCGCCGGTCAAAGCGAGTCTGGAGCGTATTTAAGTAGACTATGGACGATTTAACGACAAAGCGTATTATGTGCAGTCAGGACTGGCGGGTGCTTCAAAAGCATGGTGATGTATGAGAGGCGAGGTGCTAAGATCGAAACCTGGGATCACAGGTGGAACTTGTAGGCACCTTCTTGGTTCAGATCTGGGGAGCAGATGTGGGTCTGACTCCACAGTACGGGTATTGAGCATCATCTCCATCGGAATCTGGCCGGATTATGGATAAGACTCATAAGAGAGATAAGGTCATCCTTCCCAAAACCCGAGCCTACGTACCAGATTCGAAAGTGAGACATAACCGCAGACACGGTCCAGAGTATCAAAGTCTCACCATATTTCCAAGTTGCGACCGTTGAGAGGAGCAATGACCACAACCTAGAAGCCACGGAACAATGGGCTGAGGTATCAGATGCTATAATGCATTTGGTGCCAGCCTATATCTGATACTGTTTTGTCTGATCTACATAAAGGAAACTCTGGCTCTACCAGTAGACGGCGAATATCTACAGAGTATTGGAGGGTATTGTCTTGAAGAGTGGTGATCTTCCGAGCGGTGCTTGTTGGTTGCGGAGCCTGGAAGGCTCCGTCCCATCATTTATGCCCAAGACACACCTGCGGTCGTCCTGTGGAAAGCTGCACCCACGTACAATTACACACTCGACCCTCCAATAACCTCGAGCAGCCCACCCAAAACTCCACTGACGGGAAACCGGGGGTATATAGAATAACAACAGAACGTCAAGGTCGAAGATTCCCGTCCTCATCGCGAATCGGCTTCAGCTGTCCAGAAGTCACATCTCACCAAGGCGCAACTCGGGAGGCCGAGTCTGACCGTCGCAGAATTTTGAGTGCGATTGCGAGCGTACGGCCAAGCGCCGTCACCGGAAGAAAGAACGCCACCGGAAGACGGTCTATGCAAGGTAACCGGAGGTCTGCTTGCCCATAGGTAGGGAACGGGGTTAACAGCCCCAAAGGCCGGTGAGAACGAAACCCGCGATAAGCTGGGGAGGAGAAACAACTGTGTCCATGCACCCAACGCCGTAGACAATGCCGCACTAAAACAGGGAGGCTTTCATCGAGACATTATGCTAGAATTGCGTCATCATCATAAGCTGCGCTTAAGCTTGCGTCGTCGTAGTGTAGGGAAGAGCGCTAGAGGTCGTGTCGGTGGATCCGTCGCCCTCAATCGTCTTTCTCTGCATCAACGTTGTCAGCACCACGGATTCCCTGGGGAAACCGCAAGACTATGACATACCCAGTGCTCCGGAAGGCAAACGCAAACCAGCGGAAATGCCTTGATCTCGCCGCTAGCGGGGGGCGAATAGTCAAGGGCTCTTCCTGATGTGTTCGAGACCCCGCTGTCTCTTTGAGCTTGCCGGCGAGCCTCCCACTGTTCGGCGCGTTCATCCACCATGACGCCCGTGGCCCATCCATCGTCCCAAATGCCCACGACCTTGAGCATGTCACCACGTTCCAGCAGGAACTCATCGGCAGCCCGTGGTTGATACGCCCACAGGACAGCAACTCGATCACCGGGATGTATGTCGTCCTGAGAATAATAGTCCTTGAAGAATGGCAGCTGTTCTGACTGCTGGCTCGCCACCCCTTGAGGGGATGAGATGCCGCCGGAGCTAGGTGACTGCGCCTCCTCGCCGGCTAACACCGAGTTGCTGGACAGGGACCCGTTCCGCTTTTTCAGCATGGCCGGAGGTGGCCCGAGCACGCCAGCCATGCCACGCTCAGACGCTGGGCTGTCGCCGAATCCATCCGAGGACGAGTGGGAATGGTCATGGGTTCGTCGGCTGCTTCCACGATACCCTGCTGCAGTCCCGGGAGTTGACCCAGGTGTATCGCGGCCCATATGGCGCGACGGTGTGTCCCCGGAATGGCCCTCAAGGGCCGACATTCGGGCGATTCTCCCTCCCGGCAGCACCTCAAAGCCGGCTGGCGTGACTGTCTGTCCGATCTGCGACGACGGTGGCGGTCCCCGACGAGCGGGCGACGGTTGGTTGAAGATGCTTCCGTTTTGACTGCCGCTTCTCCTCCGCCTGTACATAAGAAAGGCGAAAGCGAGGGCTGCCAAAAGGGCAGCGCCAAGAACAGAGCCAATGACAATGCCCGCAACCTTGCCCCCAGAAAGTCCGCCACCGCCGGCCGAATGATCGTTAGGAGATGGAGTCACGGTAGCCGTCACCGTCGGGAGCGTGATTGGTGAGATTGTCGGTAGCACAACTCCGGCACAGCGTGTCTCCGCATCAGAACTATAGCAGCATGTGTCGGTCGAGTTGATACCGCCCTTAGCACAGTAAGAACACAGTCCGATGGTGCTGTTACCGTATCCGCAGTTGTCGGGCTCGTTTGCTATCCCCGGAATGCAGTCTTGGCTGGATAATGACTTGCCAGGCAGAGCGCAGTTCGTGAAGTCAGCCCTGATCTGCGACTGGGCATTGCTACTAGGCTGCGGGCAGAAGGCGGTATCACTCAAGAGATAAGCCTCCGCCTGCGCAAATTCGGCCTGGAAAGTCGAAGTCAGCTACGGCAACTGGCTCAAAGGGACTTGGGACTCACGCATGTATCGGCGCAAACCGGCCGAGAATCTGCCGCAGCGAGGTCGCAGGGCTGGATGGAATTTTGGATAATAGCATTACAGATTACCGTCGTCGTGAAGCGCGCATAGATGTCGCTTGTGTTGGCATAGTTGATACCCGTGCAGCCCAGTAGGCCACCGTACCTGAAACGCTGTCAGTACATCCTAAGCAGTACACTACCTTACTCGGTGCGCGAGATACTCACTGTCCTCGGACGTACTCTGTCTCCACGTATGAAGCCAAGAGCCCGTCAAAGACCTCTACGCTTGAGGCAAATTTGAGGAAAGGACTGTAGGAAGATGACTAGTCAGTTTTACCATCCTCTGCATCGACAGCAGAGATCGCTCCAAATTGACATACTAGAGACCCGTCAAATGCTCATCGGTGGTGGACACGGAAGATGACTGGAAAGCAGAGCATGCCTTGGAACCCTGGAGCGATAGGCACGCAGCCATGGCAGCTCGAGGAGTAGACAGCAAGGAGAGCAGAACGGCTTTGGTATTCAGGCGTGCGTGCCTCTTCCCGGGCAATTGCGGGCTCGTCCTCATCTCCCCGTCTCCTGTCCGTTTCTGCCCAGTTGCCCGGTTCATTGGCGCCTCACGGTCGCCAATTGTTCTCAAGGAGGTCCCCGCGCTCAAGGTCACTGTGGAGCTGCATTCATGTTCGTCGGTGGGAGCAACCATGGCTCATGGTTTTCGGGCGAAGTGTAGCGTTGGCGAGCAGCTTTAGACAAGTCGATAACCAGCAACATCAATTGTCGTTTGAAACCTTCGGTGGAGGTCGGAACAGCAACGGCGTCCACCACTCCTGTCGTCGACGATCACCGATCCTGAGCAGCCGTAGTCGCAGTCGAGCAAAGTTAGGGGCAATGTGATTTGTGACGTGACCGGTCGATAGGCCAAGTGAGACGGTGAGCTGCAGGTTCGGTTCACCAATCCCAACAGTAGCGCGAACCAACCGCGAAAGAGCGACAGCGGCAGTTGGATTGCCGAAGGACGGAATCCGAGATTGGGGAGCGGCCCGGATCCAAGGATAGAAAAGAGCGTCGAAACGAGAGGAAGAATTAGAAAGGCGATCCTGGAGGCGGGAGGACCGTGGGGTCCTGGTGTCACCCACTCAAGACTTGACGAAGAAGCAGGTGAAGAGAATCGAAGACGGGAGGTGGAAGGTGCGGGCTCACTGACGGCGCCGGGGGCTTTCCAGCAAAAACGAAACGGGGCATTGGTGCGAGACCATCGATCCAATTTCGCTTGAGGTTAAGGTCCCTGGACGCGGCTTTCCCGATCGAGTTAGCCCCGGCCGAGCTGTCATCGCACCCTCCGGTCTTGACACCTCCTTCGCCGTTTCCCAGACATTTTGTGTTGTCTCAAACAAGTCCAGAACAAAGTCTCAATGTAACCACAGGTTTGATCGGGGAATGGATTCAACGCATGAAGTTCTGTTGCGCATTACCCGAGTAAGTACACTCTGTACACGTGTACGGAGGTAGTGTGAAGAGATTCTTATAAGATTTCAAGTTACTACAACGATCCAATGGTAGTAACAGAGACACCAAAACTGGTAGGTTGTCCGACCAAAAAGATAAGTACCTTAGCTAAGGTGACATCTTCTCATGATGTCCATACAATTAATCCTTGAACATTACATATAAGAATACATATGCTGCAGTTTATCATAGAGAGAGACACTGCTCACTACTGCTACCAAATTACTATCCTACGGTATCCTATCATTGTCAGCTTTTCTTCTTGTGTCTTCAAGTTGAGAGCTTGAATGAAGCCAATGGAGCAACTTGAAGCTCCCAACCTGGAAGCTTTCGGTTCGACCCGGCTACCGCAGAAGTGGGTCCCGACGGGCTGAATAAAACCTCCGAGGTGACTTCAGCCCATCGCAGTCAAAACAACAGATCCACGGGTCTTTTACACTACCTTACCTCTAGTACATAATACGGTACTATGTAATAGACATGGAAGATACAGCGCAGCTTACATCTTTTCGGAACCACGTCAGCTCACACACTTACATGACAGCTGAGTTCCGTATGAAGCTCACAACTGCCATAAGAGTGTACAATACCACAGTATTGCATGCGGATAACCTAAGCGCTCTGCTGTAGACCAGAAGCCGCCAGTGGACAATCGACCCCGATGTATCAGCAACCGCTCTATGATGTATCACTGCTGCGACGAGGGACACATACAAATGCATCCTGCCACGACAAAAGTACCGGGAGTCCAAGCAGCGCTAGAGAGGAAACCTCACCTTCACACGAGGGGAATGCGGCCATGTTGACTGCTGAGGCAGCAGCTCACAACGTAGGTATGTATAAGACTATAATAAGTGGGCTACGGCCGATGATGTTTACTCTCAGCCTCTCCGTGCTAACTTGCCGCCAGTAAGTGAAAATCTCCCACAGGTGTGCGCAATGCTTTACGACGCTCTCAGCAGGCGATCGAGTGCATCGAACATCTCAGATCTCGAACCTAAGTTTAACTATTCCGTTTCCATACTCCTCCAACGGCCCAGATTCGGAGACGGCAAGCACCCCTGGAGTGTCTCAAACACCGGCGATCCCGTGACATGCCTGTCGGGAATTTCATGCGGTCTCGCACGTTGACCACACCTCGTGCCCGAGGAATACCACAATATGCTGTGCAACCCATCCATTGACAAAGCAGCTCCAAAGATAGAGCAAGTGTGGGGTAGCGGGACGGAGTGACGCTGTTGGTGATCATGCTGCGTCGGTGTCCGCCCGGTAGATGCCCCTTGCGGTTTCTGATGTAGGATCCTTGTTTCTCTCTCACTTCTGCATGGAGTAACTGTCCTGGGCATGACCTAATAAAGGGAGTCGCCCGGAATATCTCTGGGGATAAGGATCATGCTAACCTTGGGTGAACCCGGCTTCGCTGCTCTGAAAATGGTGTCTCCAAACAGACAACGGCGAGTACATACGTATAACCGACCCCTGTTTCCGCATGAAACGCAAGTCGGCCCAAGAGACTCTCGAAAACGCTCTTCGAACCGGCAGCAGTGCTACGAGGGCCTAGTAATGTGAGGATTGGGGGAGAGACGTAGGCGTTTGATCGGTTGTTAGCCGCTGGCTAATGGTATCTCCATTAAGGGCAACACTGGGAAGTGTAACACGAAAATGTCCGACTTTTGTCACTTGCCCACTGGCGCCTCAGATATCTGTTCTTGTGGATCGCATGACATGCTCTCCATTCACTGACCAGTCATCTTGGCCACCGTGACATGGCATGGGACAGTTGTATTTAGCAAGATGAGCCGCCTGGTTGACACGTCTAGTCTATCCGCGCCTCGCCTGCAGAGCGGAACATGGATTGTAGCAGGGTGGTAAAGCCCCAAGTTAAAGCAGAATGCTGATATCCCAAGCCCAGTACAATCAGCCACCCGGCCTGGAGCGCCGCGTTGGAGCCCCAGCTTGCCTCGCGGAGCAATATGTGGCAAGCAGTAACCGATTCTATCTTGGTTGATACATCAGATTAGGCGGCCGGACCCGATGTTCCGCTCGATGCCTTCCCTTCCACGACGCCAGTCCGCGCTCTCTGCGGGAGTATCCGCCAGAAGCCAGCACTACTTCTTTCATCACAGGAAGTAGTCGGGAGTCCCTACATGACCGGTTAGTGACGTTTTAGTTCTGAGCGGTAGAAGGTGCGCTTACTCCTAGAGACCATGGGCTCGCCGGCCCTCGGGCACGGGTCAAACTGCAAGCTGTAGGACTGGTTAGCAAGGCGATGGCGCGATGGGAACAGGGGATACGTGCAAGGTATATTTAAGATGCTCGTCGATCTCCATTATCGCCGCCTGATTGCCGCACCTGTAGCAGTAGTTCGGCGCTGCGTAGTGTGAGCGAGTGAAAGCTGCGGATCGGGACTGCAGAACTAACCGGAGAAAATGGTAACCACATTCCTATCCTGCGACCAGTTGTATCCCTCCATCACAAGCTGGTGCGCTCGGGCAATCAGGGTCAAGCCATTGTTGTGGTTGAACGCTTCTGATATGTCCTGGCCGAACGTATACCCGGCACCGCGAGGTGAGATGCCCCAGCCACACCGGTCATCAGGGTCGGACCACAGGAGATCGCACATGGGACCCTCATGAGGCACCTCCTGGATACGGTCCAATGCTCTGATGTTGTCCAGGGTGTCAATGCTTGGCGACAGGCCACCGTGGAGGCAAAAGATCTGATTGTCGATGAGGGCGGTGAGGGGGAGATAATCAAACAAGTCGGTAAAGTACTTCCACACGTTGGCATTGCCGTACTTGCGCAGGCACTCGTCGTAGAAGCCATATACCTGTGTGATCTGGCGGGATTCGTGGTTACCGCGCAGGATGGTGATGCGCTGTGGGTATCGGATTTTGAGCGCCACAAGCAGGGTGACAGTCTCGACGGAGTAGTACCCTCGATCAACATAATCCCCTGCGTATCATCTTATCGTCAGAACACCAAGCTCTCTTCGTCCGTTAACTAGGAGCATCAACGCGCCGCGCCATACCCATGAAGAGGTAGTTGGTGTCCGGATTGGGCCCGCCAATCTTGAATAGTTCCATCAAATCGTGGAACTGGCCGTGGATGTCGCCACATACGGTAACCGGGCATTTCTGCATGCGTTAGCTTAAGCCAGGAGGCACCATTCGTGGCGACCTCGGTCGGCGGGGCACACGTACGACCGGTTGTACGTTCGACTCTTCTTGCAACACCTCCCGTGCCTGGAAGATTGAGGTAAGTCAGCGTCTGCTATGATTTTAGGTCGCGCGCAAGTGTCCAGGGTCGCGTTGGCGTCACTGAATAGAGGTCGGTCGACGAGCGGGGGAGGGAGGCACAGTAGAGCGATCATGACAGTTGGCGGGAGGGGTTAAACAAAGGTCCAAAAGCCGAGACGGACCTTTTCGCACAATCTCTGGACATCTGATTCAGAAAGCTGTTTGCAGTTCATCAAGCTTTCGATCCAGCCATCAAGCGTTGGGATTGTGGCAGGCTCGAGGTGGGCCGAAGTGAGCTCTGCGGGCACGCGCCCGACGTCCTCCATGTTTGTGTCCATTCCGGCAATTGGTCTTTCGGCGTCCTATGCGCAGTTGACGGATCGCAAACAGAGAATCGATAAGGCTGAGCTTGTATTGTAAACAGCGCGTGAAGTATCGTCGTTAGACTGGGAGAGCAATGACGTTGTTTCCACTGAAGCACGTTTGGGGGGTTGTTCCAGGCGCGGCGCGGGTCCAAGGTCTGGGTCAAAATTGGGTAATTGGGTAAGTGGGCGGGTGGTCAAAAAAAGGGGGGAGCCTCTCTTTAAAGGCTAACTCAGCCCGATCGATCGATCGTTGATAACTACCTAGGTAATAATGAAGCGAGACCGGTATGACACGAGTCGAGCACGATCAATATGACGAACAATTTCTATCAAGGTGAGGAAATCAAGAATCTCCCTGTCCTCGATCTCGGATCTCGCTGGGGACCCCATTGTGGTGCGCCTTCACTGCCCGCCTCAGCCCGCCTAGCTTGCTGTCGGTCTGTGCGAGCGATTCCAGGTTCCCCACCCAACTCAACTCCAGCTGAATGTGACGCAGCTTCAGCACCAGCTGAGAGCCCCGCCTCAACACGTCCCACTGAGCTCAAACGCTGGAGGTGACTGTACCCTCGCCTTTAGAGGATATCACCAGGAGCGCAGGATGGATCTGAGCAAACCGAGAAGACGTCAAGGAGTCTCAACATAGGTATGGCAAACGGTATGCTCCGAAGTGAATTTCTCTTCTCCCGCTACCGAAAAGGCACTGCTTGGGGCTAGGGACTGCCTGGACTCCTCCCCTGTTCACGCCTGAGCTTCCATAATCAAACCCAATCCTGCCGGCGCATTTGGCGACTCAACAATCGTCGCATGCAGATTCCGGCCTACCAGATTCCGGAAGTCCAAACCAACCTCGGAGAGCATACTGGCATGCTCCTTGGCGGTGTCCAAGCATCGCATCCAAGCCTCGCTACCCTCCTTTTCGCCGCTCAGCTGCCGTGCAAGGATCGCATTGAAGGTGTCTACCTCCTCCTTCGCCCACTTGACGCAAGCACTCATCATCGGTGGCGGGAAGCAAGCCTGGAAACAGTTGACGGTATTTCGGATGACGGCGAAGTAGACAAAGGAGATCTCCCAGATGTACTGGTCCAGGTTGCCCTGGAAGATGCATTGCCTGTGCATGTTGTTAGCCAGCAGCTCTCAGGTGACCAAGTGCGTCGTAGTACTTACCTCGACCGCTTCTGGATGGTTTCAGTCCGCGCTTCCAGATATGCTTCACGCGCCCGGTCCTCAAAACCAAGGCGAGCTAACCAAGAGACGTTCTGCTTCGTCTTTCGCTGCTGATTGTGGGTGCTAACAAGCTCTCGAACAATCAGCGTCACCAACTTGGCCCGCCTCTCATCAACCTTGAACGAGATGAAGTCCTGAGCAATGACATTGTTCTTGAGCCCGTACGCCAGACCCTTCAGCTTCTCTATCCGAGCAACAGCTGGCTCGATTTGCTGAAGCGCAATGTTGATGTCCAGCTCATCCATCTGGCTTTCAACCCAACGAAGATTCTGTTGCTTGCCGTCCACTTCGATCAGCATGTCCTTGATATCCGAGAGAGTCTCGAGGAGCTCCGCCTTCTGCAACAGACCCGGATCGCGCGAGGCGAAATAGTTGATGGTCTCCTTGGCCTTATTTGTAGCCTCTCTCTCAGATTGAACATTCCTCCGCAGCTCTTCCACACGCTTCCGGATGTTGAGAATGAGCGCCGCCTTCTCCGGGTCCTCGGGCTTTTCAGTGCGGTAGATGAAAGACTCGTTCTGCCCGCCTCCCCGGACCATGATAGCATCAGCAAGCTTGTTCCTCCCGCTCGAGGAGTCGCTGGGTCCGGCCATGTCCACAACCTCCATGTCTAGCAGATGCCAGCATCGATCGGCCACGAGCTTTGTGATGGGGCCGCGGCTGTCAGCAGCGGCAGGACCGTCAGTCTTCCGCTTCTTGCGCGCGGCAACCAGCAGGTGGTCATTCAATAAGAAAATCTGCATCACTCTTCTCGACCGGTAAGTCGCGTTGTCCAACTCAATCCACGGCCCTGCATTCTGCACGACGTGACGGCCCGCGGTGTTGGGGAGGAACTTCTGAGATCCCTCCACATTTTTGTACAAGGCCTGCATTTGCGAGCTCCATAGCGCGGTCCTATCGGCAACGGAACTCCGCTTGTCCCTCCTGCTCATACCCGCACCTATCTGGCCACCGAACCCCGTGGGTTCGACGCTGTTAGAAGCCGACCGCAGAGCAGTGGTGTTGGCCTTTAACTCTGCCATCAGATTCCGGAGAGTGCGCATCTCGCCCTTGAGTTTCTCCGCCTCCTTGCTAATTTTGATGAACTGCGTACGGTTCTGGTAGACGTTCTGCTGCAGGTCCGTCGATGCTCGGCTCTTGAGCTTCCGCAGCGCGGATTCGTACTCGCGGATCTCGTCCTCGGTTGCCTCGCTGAGAATCTCGGCGACATATTGCTCAGGAGCGAGACCAGGGTCTCGGAGCACCCTCACATCGACTCGGGGTCCGGTGGTGCCTCCACCTCCGCTTTCACTACGTCCTCCTCTTGACGGCGGCGGTCGGCGGTCTTGTGTCTGAGCTTGCGTATACTGTTCGAGACTGGGAAGTGCGGGTACTGGATTGGCGGTCGGGTCGAAGTCAGCTGGGATGTTGTTGAAGCGAGTCGAATACCGTCTTTTGACAAGGTCTGAGGTCTGGGATGGACGCAGATTGTCAGTTACGTCTCAACTGCCTCTATTTGATAAGGATAAGGAACTCACCTTCGCGCTGCTCTGTGGCGGGGGACGCGGACGAGGGCGAGGACCATCCGCGGCAATTGAAGGCCCAGAGGGTGCTCTCTGTCCTGCATCTTCCTGTAGAATGGGCCCGGATATCTTGATAGGCGCACGATTCTTCCTCTTTCCTCCGCTCCGCAGCGATATCTTGGATCGTTCCTCAGACATGGTGCGTGAACCCTGCGCGCAGGAAATGCTATAATGAGACTCAAGAGAAGCGGCCTCCAACGGACAGCTCCTTGCCAAGTCGTAATAGTGTGGCAATGTCAGTCGAAACCCAGAGACGTCGATGCCGAGGGCTGCACCGCCTTGTCGAAGTCGTCCAAGGTCAGAGTTGGTGTTCAGTTTCAAGAGCTGCAAAGGAGTGGGACCTTGTGGGACTACGGACGGGACAAGGACCCTAGGGCATGTGGGTCGTTGCCAATCGCACGGCTTGCATGGCTGGGGTTGCTGGGCTACTTGGTCCGTGCATACTGGCGTCATTGGCCAGTCCAACTCAGCCTAACGCTAGTTAACAAGGAACGCGGCCTCGGCCGGCATCAGTGGGCTCAGAAAAAATTACTGTACCCGGGACGGTATTGGATTCCGGACTTTGAGTTGGTGCTGCATCTTTCAAAAACAACAAGCAACCACTAAACCCTCGCCGTGTCTCATTCCTGCCCGATACCCGGCGACACCAGCGTAATACGCCCCAGACTAGAATATCATAATGTCGACAACATCACGAACCGCTGTCGTCGCAACCGCGACCGTCGCCGCAGTTGCTGCGGGCGTCCTTGGTATGACGCCTATCGCCCACCAGATACAGCCCGCTCGGTCGTGACTGACTCTTACCCGCCTCAACCACACTAGCATACGCGGCCTACTTTGACTATCGCCGGCGTCACAGTCCCGAATTCAGGAGGCAGTTGCGGCGCAGTCAGCGACGGCAAGCTCGCGCTGAGAAGGACCAGGCTGAGGCCAACCTTCAGGCGCAAAGGCAGGCAATCAGGCAGGCTGTCGATGAGGCTAAGGAAGAGGGCTTCCCCGCAAGCGCCGAGGAGAAAGAAGCCTACTTCCTGGAGCAAGTGCAGGCCGGAGAGATCATGGGCGCGGATCGTACGTTTCTTGCCCCTGTCGGCGGACGGTTCATCGGGTGACGGGAGCATTCACTGACACTTCGGTACAGCTTCCAAGGCACTTGATGCCGCTCTCGCCTTCTACAAGGCTCTCAAGGTCTACCCGACGCCTGGGGATCTGATTAACATTTACGATAAGACAGTATCTAAGGTGAGGACGCTCACCTTTAGCAGGATCGCTAGGTGGCCTAACTCCTACTTACACTCCCTGCACAGCCCATCTTGGACATTCTCGCGGAAATGATTGCATATGACGGAAGTCTTCGGATTGGAACATCATACACCGGGCCCGCTGGCGTCGATGTGGCGGAACTGATGCGCGAGATGGGCGCCGTTCCCGGCGTCGGCCTGGATTAGACAACCACGCTTCAACCGAAGACGGGGCTGCAGAGCTTTCCTCCGCCTTCGGGAGACGAGGGTGACGCTTGGGTTTCATCCCACCCTTCATAGGATCGGTAGACTCCGGTTTCAAACACCACAGAAGGGTCTCGAGGTAAAGTTCCGCGGCCTTTGGCTGTATTGTATTATACGACGTTGTCCCCTCTCACTGGTGCTGACCCTCCGGAAGAGCACCGCCATCCGAGGACTCGGGCGGGAGGGACGAGAGCGCCGAGTGTAAGACGATGTTTTGTATACATGAATGGATCACGGAGATCGGCGGGGACTCGGCTTAATGACAACATTGCACTTGCAGGAATCAAACAAAGGTGGCGCACGGATCACATAGATATTGTTGCCCTTCCGGCCTTGTGGATTGCTCCTGACCAATCTATGTAGCTTCGATGGGCCGCCCTTTCTTATCCACTCTTTGATCTCGGGGATCAAACCCGCCGTTGCCCCAAGTCGCCCATGCAGGAGTTGGAGGACCCATGTAATCTTCCGGGCTGAAATCCCCATCGGGTCCCTTCTCCTCCAGAAGCTGGAAGAACTTGTCATAGTCGATCAGCGTATGCCACTTCCCGTCCACCTTGAAGCGCTCACTCGCGAGCAAGATACAGCAGCTGTGCGCATGCTCCGCAGCAATGCCGTACTTGAGGCCCCGCTTCAGCAGCGCCTTCTCCAATGCCACGACAAAGTCGCAGACCTCTTGGTAGAAGGGCACGTTCGCCATGGTCAGCCCGGCGTTGCTCGATGTGGATGTTCCGCAATAGGTGACACCCTTGACTTCGACGAAACACGGCAGGCCCTTCTCCACCAGATCCGCATAGCCCTCGGCCTCGTCCTCGACGTTGAACCCCTTCACCAGCGTCAGACGGAACACGGTGCGCTGGCGGAAGCGGCGCTCGCGAAGGATGTCCAGACAGCGCTGGAAGCGCTCCCAGAAGTCACGGTGCAGCGGCCGGTCGATGCGGCGGAGCGACTCGCGGTTGGAAGCGTCGATGCTGACGTACAACTGGGTCACATGCTGCAGCGCTGCGAGTTGATCCGGGTGCTGGGCGTTGCAGACTAGGAAGGATGAGATGCGCTCGGCGTGCAGCATGCCCAGGAACTCATTGATGTGCGGGTAGAAAATGGGCTCGCCGACCAGTGATAGAGCGCAGTGCCGGATGCGCATTGCCTCGGCGAAACGCTCGGCACGGACACCGGGAACGCCGCGCATCATTTTGATCTTTTTGTAGTGGTTTTCCTTCACGCCGTCGAAGATCAGTTGCGGCGGATCGACTACCCACCGCCAAGTCGTGCCTACCGGATTCGTGCCGTGTCGCCAACAGAAAACGCACTTGTTTGAGCAGGAGAGCGAGGGGGTTGTCTCCATGCACTGGTGGGAGTTGATGCCGTAGAAGGAGAATTTGTAGCAGGATCCTCGGCCACGGAGGGCTGATTTCGTCCAGCGGCAAATCTTAACCCCTGAATGGGATCCGACGATCGAGTAGCCCTGCTTGGTCAGGGCCGTGTATGTGGGTGAGTTCTTTGGCACCATTTCCTTAATGGTGACAGTGACAGTCTTCTTGACTTGCTTTCCCTCGGTAGTGAAATCAATAGCGAGCGATGCCGCAGATTTTCGTGCGGAGGTGTCGTCTGATCGCGATAACTCCATGATCCGACCCAGATCCTCGACATCTTCGATACCGTTGGAGCCCCTTTTTGCGCCCTTGGAATTAGGGGCCTCCTCCCACTGAACTTCACCGTCGTCTTCTGCCTCTCCTTCGTCATCACTCTCAAGCGGATCTCCCGAGCCGGGAACGCCGTCGCCTAGGTGTCCAGTCTGCTGCAACTGCTTGAGCACATCCGCTAGCCCAGTCGTCCATTCCAATAACCTCTCTTTCCCATCCCTCTTCCAATCGCCCATGCCTAGCGGATATGCACGCTTCCGTCCGCTCAGCTTGGCCATCCACTTGTCGACTTCCTTGGCCTGGAAGCAGAACCCTTCCTCCTCGGTCGGCCATCCTTCCCTGTCGCCGAAACCAAAGACTGAGTAGCCCAAAATTGGGGCCAGCGGAGATGTATCAATGCGGAAGTCGTGGTGGGTTTCCCGGAGATGCTCCAGGAAGCTGTCATTTATGCTGTCGATATTGTAACTGGGGATTATGAAGAGGTAAAAGAGGTCCGTTTGCTGGCCATCGACTTTGGGGGGTGAAATGAAGTATTCGTCGTAGTCGACCTCGGCCAAATCGAGCACTCGTGGTGCTGAGAACGCGGAACCCAGGTGTTTCTCGGTTGAACATCCAAGGGTATCTGCCAATTCCTGCGCGAATGTCTGAGTGATTTTCTCTGTGCTCCCGGTTAAGGAAGAGTAAAACACCAAAAGCTGGATCCTGCGCGTCTCATTTCCGGCTTCTGTGCTGCTTCGCGCCTTCCTGCCGATGTCACCCTTTATCCTTTTGGGGCCTTGCTGTGACACCTTCTTTTCGTTTCCTGGCCCGTAGCTATGTAAAGTCTCGGGATCCTGGCTCGTGATATCTGTCTTTATTTTCTCGTCGGTGCTGTCACTCCTATACTGCAGAACCTTTCCGTATGTCTCTGGCAAAGCTACCAATCCCTGCCTTTTCTCTGTCGAATGCAGGTATATGCGAATCAAGCTCAATAGGAATAAGGTAGCCAGAATGGTTGGAATCCGATGTCCGTGCCAGAGCTCGAGGACATCTGTGTGCGCAATGTCAGCCCCAACCAAGTCCTGCAGGAGAGAGGGTCAGGAGACGACGTACTTTGTACAATCTCCTCCATTGAAAAGGAACTCACGCCCCGGCTGTCGGGGAACATGGCTGCTCGATGCTCCCTACAGCAGTGTGGTCTACAGTATGCAGCACACTCGGAAATGGTTCAACCCGTTCAAAACCGAAAAAGTTTTGGAGGGGTCCCAGCGCAATGCCCCGCATGAACGATAAGTCGTCAAGTTAAGCTTATCATGATCTACCTTACGGTATCACGATACTTGTAACACTGCACATTTGTATTGTACGCAAGGTAAGCTCAATAAGTACAAGTACCCCGAGTGCAAGATAATAGGTAATACTATAAGTTATCTCAATAGGTTATGACTCGTACCCTCTTTACGTAATCTGGGAGTCCATCTTGAGCACTGCTGTCCTGGTCATATAGTTATGTGAAGAGAACGAGCATTATCCAAAGTCGGTGGTTGGTTATTACGCCGAGTGTCTTGCACCTCGGATAGTCTTGCCTTCGCGTCAGCTCCGCCCTCGCCCGCGTTACTCCACGACAGCCAGCGTCATAGGAGAATCCAGGGGCTGCTTGCAGGAAGATTGTCGGTTGCATGCGCGGTGTTTCCTGCTGAGCTACGCTTGATAGTCTCTACGTACTAGTACAAGTAGGTACTACTAGTAGTAAGTAGCTACCTTAGGTATTACTACTAGTAATAGCTAGTACAACGGTCGGGCGGAGTGGGTCCCCGGACTGTGCTAGAAGTTCAAGGGCGGGGCGTGGGGGTAGCTTCCCCGCGGGAGCTTCAACGATAATCAATCCCCGATAAGCTCGTGCAAACGGTTCGCATGGAAAGCATCCCAGCTACACTGTACCATCACTCGAGAACTCCAAGAGATAATCCCAAATAGCTCTTCCGCAATGCCGGCGCCTCTCAAGGCGGCGATTCTGGTCGTTTCGACAACAGCCGCGAAGGACCCGTCCACTGACGCTGCCGAAGCCGCGCTCCGAAATGTCTTCGAGCAGGACGGCGACGGTCGGTGGGACGTGGTCGAGGCTAAGATTGTAGGCGACGTCACCACCCAAATCCAGCGGCAGATCATGCTCTGGACAGACGCCGCAGACCCCGTGAGCCTTGTCGTCACCACCGGCGGCACTGGTTTCGCGGTCGCAGACAACACCCCCGAAGCCGTCTCAGTCCTCCTTCACAGGCAGGCACCGGGCCTCGTCCATGCCATGCTTGCTAGCTCACTTGCCGTCACACCTTTTGCCATGATGTCTCGTCCCGTGGCGGGCACCAGAAACCAGACAGTCATCCTCACGGTGCCCGGATCGCCTAAAGGAGCCGTGGAGAACTTGAAAGCCATCATCAAGACGCTGCCTCACGCCTGTCTACAAGCCGCCGGCGCCGACTCCAGATCCCTCCACGCTGGCGGTGTGAAGAAACTAGAGCAGGAAGCGGGTGTAGGCCCCGGCAGCGCCCATCACCACCCAGAACACGGACACGAGCACAGCAACTACCATGCCCATGCCCACTCCCACTCCCACACACACTCCCATTCTCACACCCACGGACACGGCCACGGCCGCGGCACTCTCGTCCGACACACAAACCCGGCATCCAACCCCAAGTCGAACGATCCGTCGCTCGGGCCCAGCCGCCGCCACCGGGAGTCACCCTATCCCATGCTCTCTGTTTCGGATGCCCTCGCCCTCATCGAGCAACACACCCCGGGCCCCACCACCACAACCGCCAAAGTAGACTCGGCGCTCACGGGCACCGTCCTCGCTCAAGACGTCCGCGCGGCAGAGGACGTCCCGGCTTTCCGCGCAAGCATCGTGGACGGCTACGCCGTCGTCGTGCCACCCGGAGGCAACATGCGCGGGGTGTATCCCGTGGTCGCCGTGTCACATGCCTCTCCGAGCTCCAGTGAAGAGGAGACTGTGCTGAAGGAAGGGGAGATAGCGCGCATCACGACGGGCGCGCCGCTCCCGCCCGGTGCGACGTCGGTGATCATGGTGGAGGATACCGTGCTAATCTCGCAGACGGAGGATGGGCAGGAGGAGAAAGAGGTCGAGATCCTAGCAGAGGGGGTCAAAGAGGGGGAGAACGTGAGGGAGGTGGGGAGTGATGTCCAGAAGGGCGCGTTGATTTTGGGGAAGGGGGAACAAGTCTCGTCGGCCGGCGGGGAAATCGGGCTGATGGCGTCCGTGGGGGTCGGCGAGGTACAAGTGTACCGGCGGCCGGTGGTGGGCGTGCTGTCGACGGGGGATGAGATTGTGGAGCATGACCGGCCCGGCGGGTTGAGGTTGGGAGAGGTGCGGGATACGAATCGGCCGACATTAATCGCCGCGGCACGGGAATGGGGCTATGAGGTTGTCGATCTGGGCATTGCGAGGGATAAGGTGGGGACCCTGGAGGAGATCTTGCGGGATGCGCTGCGCCAAGTTGATCTCGTCATCACCACGGGCGGCGTGTCCATGGGCGAGCTGGACTTGTTGAAGCCCACCATTGAGCGGTCCCTGGGCGGGACGATCCATTTTGGGCGCGTGGCCATGAAGCCTGGGAAGCCGACGACGTTCGCCACCGTGCCTGTGAAGAATAACGCGGGCGAGAGGGTTTCGAAGGTGATCTTCTCGCTGCCCGGCAACCCAGCCTCGGCCCTCGTGACCTTCCACCTGTTTGTGCTGCCATCTTTGTACCAGATGTCGGGTATCTCTCCGCCACGGTTGCCGCAAGTGCCCGTAGTCCTGGCCCACGACTTCCCGCTGGACAAGGCGCGGCCTGAATACCACCGGGCAATTGTTTCGGTTGGCAACGATGGTGTGCTGTCCGCCACCAGTACGGGGGGCCAAAGAAGCTCGCGTGTCGGCAGCCTGAAAGGGGCCAACGCACTTCTCTGCATGCCCAGTGGGCCGGAGCCCCTGCGCAAGGGGGCCAAGGTCGAGGCACTGCTCATGGGGAACCTACGGACCGAGGTGTGATCAAGCCGTGAAAGCGAGAAATGCAGTGTGAGATGACAAAAATATAAGCCAAATGACATACGACCTGACAAACCTCTTCTGTACACTTGAGCTTCTAGACCTTCTCCAAAATATGATGTTGCCCATGCCCATTGACTGTCCCTGTCCTTTCTCCTAAACGCCGTTGATGGAAGCTACACAGACAAGGTTGTCGCCGCGTCTGAAACCCTGACAATGCCGAAGATACGTGGGCTGGTCTAAATGCGGAGGGCGGAGGTTTGCCCAGCGCCAAAGTCGGTTGCCTTGTTAGACACGAGCAGGCCCATGATGAGACCGAATAGGCCCAGGATCGAGCTGAAGATCTCAATAACCAGCATCTTGACGAAGCTGTCCAGTTGTGTCAGTTACGCTGTTCGTTGACGAACCACGGGACTGGAGAGAAACATACAGCGTAGGATCGGCAGCGTCCGCCAGCGCGGCGCCACTCCCGTTGATACCGACAGCAACGCCACATATCAGGTTGCACATGCCCACGGTGATGCCGCCCCAGAAGAGCGCGTAACCGGTGTAGTAGCTGTCACCCGAATATGCGGCCTCGCCCTGCACCGCATTCAGCTTGGCCGAGAACACGATGGCCATGATGACGCCGTAGATGGCGACGACCTCGCAGAAGATGATGGAGATCAGGTTCTTGGTGCGGATCCGCGGAGCCTTGACGCCCCCACCGAGAATGGATGACCCGGTGATGAAGATACCCCTATCAGTTCGAACGTCAAGTTACTATCAGAACTCGAGACAGCGGAAAGGTAATGAGCCATACCAGGCCGCCCCAACCACCGAAAGCCCTATACACATCGCAATGCCCAGGTCTGCCCAAGCGTATGGCGAGACGGATTCGAGGAAGGCGCCGACCTAGAGGTTTGTCGAGTAAGCATGGCTGCACGTCGTGTTGATATCGTGGGATCGCTCGGAAACCGTCATACATTGAAGGATTCACCGCTGCCGGTGAAGAGCATGTCTGGCGAAGAGACCTCCTGTTAGCTCCGAGCGACTCAAATGAATACTACGGCTTGCCCTTCGGAAATGCAACTCACAAGCTCCCACTATGGCTAGGGTAGAACTTATCCCGCTGACTCCGTATTTCAAACTCATCTTGCCGGAATCTGCGCAGTTGTCAACCAGGTGCTCGGCGTAATCCGTGTGTTTCGTTGTCTCAAGCTACGTTGAATGGATGTTCCCAACCTCCCATTACTTGAGTTTAGACAGTGCCGCCAACTGCCAAGGCCGTTGCGAGCCCACAGTCACGTGACCGAGGCTTCCGCGGACCCGCCGAGCGGCAACAACACTGCTTCACTCGCCCTTCTTACATACAACTTACATACAACTGACGCTGCAAAGAACCAGACGAGAAGTATGGCGTCCGCATCGACGAATTTCTACGATCTGTATCGTCATGGGAGGTAAATCGGAACTTTTAAGAGTTTGCGCTCCCCTGCCTGCCGCTCTTCCAATTAACCTTTGTCCACACAGCCTCGGTGTCTCCCTGACCGATGCCCTGGACGAGCTCATTGGCGATGAGCGCATCGACCCCCAGCTCGCGATGAAGGTTCTCACCCAGTTCGACCGCATCATTGCCGAGACTTTGCAGGAAAAGGTCAAGGCCCGGTTGACATTTAAGGTGATTGCTCCCATTTGCAATATCTGGGATGCGGCTAGGCAGGGCGATGGATAAACCGGCGACGTGGGGGACTTCACACTGGATCCAGTGCTACACTTACATGGCGTTGTTCTGGGCGGACGACATGAGTCGAAGATCAATGGGCAAGGCTAAAACCAGGTCTGCAAACAGGGCTCGCTCGACACTTATCGGTTCTGCGATGAGGTCTGGACCTTCTTGATCCGCAACGTCTCGTTCAAGCTCGACAATGGCGGCCAGGCCGTACAAGCCGACAAGGTTAAGATCGTCAGCTGTAGCGCGAAGCGAACAGAGGACAAATAGACACTTATCCGTGTGTCCGAGCATACTGGCGAAGGGGATGTGGAGAGGGCAGTCATCACTTCGGTTGCGTTATCACTTGGTTAACGGAATTCCGTGAGATTGTCATCAACCATGCGCTACCTTCTATCTCGAAATATCGGTTTCTGGGTCAGGCGTTGGCATTGGTCATGGGAGCGGGACGGCGTTCTGGGAGCTCTGATGGATTCCTGAGAAGAAGGTGACACTACAGGGACTCACTTATGATTGTGAATTATCAACAGATGAGAATTCCTAAAGAACCTTGAGGCAAGTGCTTGTTGGCCATCATCATGGCCGGTCTTGGTTGGCTAGCTTCCGACTCTGTGATATAACGAGACAAGTGGCCCTGATTCAGACAGCATCACTAGTCACGTCATGGTCATCATTATCTACAATGCGAAAGCCATAAGTGGATTTTGTATGTACAAGTTCATGCCTTACGTCTTGAGTGTTGTTGATGTTCTCATGCACATGAACAATTAGACCGTCATGAAAGGCTTACCCCAGGTACAGTTACTTACCGTAGTTATAGTGTATTGTAATGTACAATACATCCTATCATTACGCGGGGCTCTCGTGTAAATACGTATTTACACAGTGTTCAGGGTATAAATGCACGAGCCTTAACCATTACAGCGAAATAGGGATATCACTTGTTTCAACAGGCTGCGAGATTGCAGACAGCCTGAGGTTGATGTGATACATATACGGATAGTAAGAACGGACCGCTTCCGGAGTTCAACGCCTGACTTCGATTGCATCGCTACCCGCAGTTCTGTCATTGGTTTGCGCTTCGGATGTTCCCGTTGGCAATCAACGTCCCGTTCAATTCAAAGCCTCAACAAAGCCCCTTGGCCCGAACCCGGCCAACCTGCCGTGCAGCTTGTGCTTACTACTCGGCCAAACGTCATAAATTCCGTACGGGAACTCAGTCCTCAAACAACAGATGCCAACGCTTCGGCCGCGCAAGCGCCAATCTGAGGCGCCAACAGCCACTACCAGGTCGGAGGGTGTAATCACCGCTTCCGCTTCCGCCGTCCCTTCGCCTCCAAACATCGTCAACCGGAAAACTCCCGGGTCAGCCGAGGGTGAAAAGCAGGCCAACACAATGAGTTTGCCAGATGAAGAACGGCCGTTACTAGGCGGCCCGTCTGCCGAGGATGCCGAGGTGTCGCCAGCAAGTTCGACCTGGACGAAGAGGAACCAGTGGATTGTATTTGCCTTGGCCAGCGGAGCATGTGCTGCTTTCAATGGTGTATTCGCCAAGCTGTGAGTCTGTGCATCATGGTCAACCGTGATGTTGAGCTTGAGGCTAATTAGGGGGTTCCCTTCCGACCTATCTACACAGCACGACAACGGAGCTCACAGCGGGATTCTCGCTGGCGATTGCTCGCATGTTGGACCTTGAAAGTATTGAGAATATTATTGAACTTGTTGTCCGAGGTGTAAGTCTTTCATTCCGGTCCTTTGCATATGACAATGTGTTGAGACGATGTCTCACCCCGGTTGTGGGTTCTACTACACATGATCATACCTGGAATTAACACCTGAACCAGACATTTTTCGGATTGAACCTTGCATTCAATGGTGTAGTAAGTTCTTTACTTCCCTCCGTACAGTATTTGAATTGCAATTCGACGCTGCATCGGGGCGGCATTGAACTGCGGCCATTTCATAGGACTGTATAAAGCTAGCATGTACTAGTAGCTGCCGTCTAGTCCCTCTCCCCGATCTCTCCGCCTTAGTTCAGGATTGTCTAACCTTCGCCTCCAGATGTGGACACTTTTCACAACCGCCCTTGCCCGCGGCCATTCGACGACCCAAGTCTCTATCATGAACACTTCGTCCAACTTTGTCATCACTGCCATCCTCGGCTTCGTCATCTTCTCTGAAGCGCTCCCACCGCTATGGTGGCTTGGCGCGGCCATGCTTGTGGCAGGGAATGTGATTGTCGGGAAAAAGGACGAGGCTGTCTCGATGAAAGAGGATGAGCTCAGTACTGAGAGAGCTGTGCCGGTTTCCCCATCCACGGACGGGCTCAGCACGGTTCGGTCAGGCGGAGGAGAACAAACGGACAGGGTCCTTGAGGGACACGTGAAGAATGAAGACGTACTGGATTTAGGGACAGAGGGGGGGAAATGATTTCAACTACAAGGCAGATATCTCAATAGACATTGATACCCATTTCTGTAAGCGGGAATATTGGAACTAGGTGTAGACAGCCACCAGCAATGCACGTCCAGATCTCTGGCCTACTTTCTCTGACGAGTGTTGGCCTCTTGGTTGCTAAATACCCTGTTCTCTTATAAAACATTACATTAAATAGCTTATCGTTCATTTGCCAACCACCGTACCATTTCCGACGCTGGGGTCGCTGTAGATGGACAATACATCCGTGGTGTTCTTGTAACTAACACCACACTTCTCCGAAAAGCCATCAAACATTGCTACTCGTTCTTGGACATACTTCGCAAACCCGTTCTTGGAGCAGCTGTTTCCCGGTCCGTCTCCGCAACCCGGCAGCTCTTGCGACGCACTGTTGACGAGGACTCGATAGTAATCGCCGTTATCGTACCCGTAGCTCCCCGTGCAGTTCAGACGCTCGATGGCGATGTTGCTCATGAATGGCAGGACGTGGGAGCTCTTCCAGGCGCGTCGGTAGTTGATGCGATCCAGCGGCATCGTGTCGTTGATGGTTGTCTCTGTACCACCGATATCCGAGTTGTTGAACAGACCCATAGCGACGAGCACCATCGGAGGCAGCTCACGGTGGGTGAAGCTCACGTACATGTCCTCAGCAGCCGTGTCGGTCATCAGGATGTGGGCGGTAGCGTTAAACCAGGGAAGCCCGACCGGCCCCGACACCTGGTTGCCATACCCAACGTTGTAGTGGTACCGGATGTCCTCCGAGTACTCCCAGGCTAGCCAGTCATTGGGCGAGAACAGATCGAGGTCGCAGAATGGCGACTTGCCGCGGACGACGGTCTCGTATCCACACAGCTCCATCATGCCATAGATGTCATCCGAGGTGAAGTTGAATCCAGGTGCCAGAGCGTTGAGGCGAGCCATGATAGGCTTCGTGAACCTCTCCTTGTAGACAGAGGACTGGTCGCTGCCGGCAGAAGATGAGTATGCCGGACAGCTTTTATAAGGGGTCAGGCTATCAGCGCCGGCCTCCTTGGACTCGTATATGCTGACGACATTGATCTGGTTGTCGTCCGTCTCCAGTCCTCGCACAAACGACCGTGCCGACTTGTAGGTCCTCTCTGCGGAAGAGGTCCAGACTTTGGACGGCGGGCGGAGTTGCGGGTAACGAAGGTCGAGGCTGACGCCCAGTTGGGTCGCCTCGAGCTTGCCGACCTGAGTCAACAATTCTGCTTCTGCTTCGGAGAACGGAGCAGTCCAGTCCGCAAGGAAGTTGAGTGACGGTATTTTGGACCAGTCGATCGCTGTGTTGTTTTCCAGCTTCTCAACAAAGGGCCCAATGTACTCGTCATAGTCGTAGTCATTGGCGTAAATAGCTGCATGGCGGTTCAGATACGCGACGCGAGAAGGAGTGCAGCCCTGCGGTGGCGCGGGGTCGGTCGGCGGATCTTGAGGCTCGAAGTACGGCGCTACACCGCCCAGGTGCTCCAGCGGGTTGAAGGAGTAGGTGGAGTATAGTGTCTTTCCCGAAGCGAACTGCGCAAAGGGCAGGAATCTTGAGACTTGTACGGCGCGCATATTGTCGGTGGGAGGGGGGCAGCAGACGCAAACGTCGTCGGTGAGCTTCTTTGGGCGTGGAGGGGCAAGAAGTCAGAGGCCTCTACCGGTGAGAGCGATGAGGAAGGCATTTTGTAGTTTCGACTCGGGCCCTGTTCCTGAACCATGGCCAACATTACGTCGTTATAAACCAGATGTTAAGAGCGATCACCGGTCAGAGCCAGGTAGCTTTCAGTGTTATGGTTTGCCAAGCTTGGCGCTGTCGTCATTGGTTTAAGCCTTGGGCAAGCTTTTGCGGCCAAGGAGCCACGCGGGAGCCCCACGAAGCTTGCCATCCCCACACGGAATGGAGCGCATCGTTCAGGCACGTCCTGATTTAGGATTTCGTTCTTGTACAATACAGTAGGTAGCCTTGTGTGGTGCCTGGCACAGGATGCCAACTCAAGGCATTGTTGACATAAACCGCTGCCAATTAAATTGATTCTTGAGGACAGGGGAGGCACGGAGGGAGGCTTCCTCTAAATCTGCGCCTACACCAAGTCAAGCGGGTGTTGTCAGACTTGACGTTATTACACCCGTTCTATAGGCATTTCACATACGTCCGTACACAAGCCCGATGAAATTTCGTTAGAACACTAGTGGTACCGGATGTCCCGACGATTAGAACGCATGAACACCCTCCTTATTATTCCACTGAATGCCTCAGTGTGACACTCGTCTCGACTAGAGGGGCGATTGGTATTACTATGTTAAGGTGAAGGGGTAGGAGGTGAAAAGACAAGGAGAGAACCAGAGAGAACAGGATGATGGATACAATGCCCCATGGTAACTACCTACTCTGTAGTACCTTAGGCACTAGGAAGACGGATACAACAAGACCCCCAGGAGGTGTAAGTTATCCGTAACACCCACTAACGTACTTTATCGATAAAGCCAATGGTAGTCACGGGTGGGTCCTGATAGTCTGAAGCCAATGATGGAAATCATGAAGTATACACTACTCCGTAATAAACCACCGACAACCTGAAAACACACACTGGTACGAGCTCATCATGGTGCGCCTTAAGGACCGCTACCTCCTCGTGAACATAATTTACAGCGATGTCCCGCCGGGTCAAGCGAAGGGGGCCGTGCCAGATTTGCTCTTATACAATCAACCCACTAGCAGCGAGCTGAGACCCCAGCACTTGCTCAAGGCCATTCGCAGCGAGGTGTCCGCGCTCTTCGGCGACTGTGGTTTAGGCGCCATCGACAAGAGTCTTCAAGGTCAGGTCGAAAAAACGACTTTCTCATTCGCGCTTCTACGCTTCGCTAGACACAAAGCATGCTAACCACACGAGCAGTAAAATACCTCTCCCCAGCAACGTCGACTTTGATTCTCCGGGTCTCTCGCGCTCACTATCGCCTCGTCTGGGCCGCGCTCTCTTTCATGGACCGCGTTCCAGTTAGAGACGGCCGGCCATGCGCCTTCCGCGTCGTGCGCGTCAGCGGCACCATCCGCAAGGTCGAGGAGGAAGCCGTGCGGCGCGCCAAGCTGCTCGTACTCGCCGCCAAGGACGAGATGGCCGGCAAGAGCTCCTCGAATGCATTGGGCGCTCTCCTGCGGAGCGATAACCAGGTTCGAAGTTTCGCGGTGCTGGATGCCCCCAACCCACCGGTGTCAGAGGCTGGGGACGACGTGATCATGTCTGATGACGGATGATGGGGCGATTGCGTTTCACTTCTTTTTGCGCACCACCCGTATACCGCTATCAGCAACTGGCGGCTGCGACGAAACCTCTGGGACGTCTCCACCCGAGGCCGCGGTAGCTGCCTCTGCCTGCGCCTTCCGGAGCTTCTCCTGCTCCTCCTCCTCCTTTCTCTCGAGTTCGTCGTAGAACTCCTTGTTGTCGACCCATCGCTCCTGAATATCCTGGACATCCAGCAACGACGATTCGTTCCGCATCGCTACCTGCCAGATGGTATCATTACTGCCCTCGGCTCCGCCAAACACATATCCTCCCGCCCGATCGATCACGCGCAAGAGGTGCATCATACTCTTCTTGTTCTCCACCGCCAGCACCTCAAAACTGACCAGCCCGAACCGGTCCACGAGGTCGACAATAGCCTGGTTCAGTCTCGAAAACCTCTCACTTCGCAACGCCGGCGCCTCGGCCTCGAGAGACGGGATGAGATGGGACAGGTCTTGGACCTCGGTGTAGAAATCGAGGTTGAACGGGAGCGGGTCATATGAAGCGATTTTGTCGATCTTGGTCAGGACGTTGATGTGCGGGAGGTCCATCTGGAGCATGGCGCGTAGGGCGAGGAGGAGGTTGGAGATATAGAGGGAGGGCTGGGTGAGGCAGAAGCAGTCGGACAGGTGGACTGCCACGAGCTGGCATGGTGGTTAGTGAAGAACATGCGCATCGACGCAATGGTCGGGAGCGGAGACATACCCTGTATCCCAGCTTCTGTATCCTATAAATGATATTTCGTAGTGATGTATGGTGAGTGTAAACCTCTACCTGCCCCGGGCAGTCAAAGAGTACATAATCCTCGCCCAGCTCCCTTAGCCCCTCCTCAAGCCATTCGAAGTTGTGCTCAAGGTCTTGAAGTGCATAGATAATCCCGCCGTTGGGTCCGAGACGCTCGTCCGACATGATCTCCTCGAGCGTGACTAGGTCTCGAATATCCAGGGCGCACGGGTAACTCGTACGGTCATTCGCGGGGTCGAGGTTGACGACTGAGCATTGCCGCCCTATAGCGCCCATAAACTGGTGCACTTCCCGACAATCAGCTTAGCAGTCCGTATATGAGTAATATGAAAGGTACTTACTGCCATCGCAATAGGTGCTCTTCCCCGCGCCGGGACTGCCCAAGACGAGCTGTCCGAACGGCATATCTGACGTTGGTAGGCTTCTAGGTAAATAGTATCTGTGATAGATTCTATCGATGCCTTCGCTGAAGATCTGTCACAAATAGTCCAAGTTGTGAGGCGAGTTGGAGTCGAGAAGCATCTCTTGGGAAGCTTGGTTGGATGGAAGAAACCCTGCTGAGCTCCTATCCCATTGCCCCGCGCCCCACACGGCTGCCATGGGTGCCCGGCTGCAGCTGCGACTCTGCGGAAGTCTCAAAAGCCAAAAGTTACGGCGGTGAACGGTGGCAGAAACTGACCCTTGTTGATCCTCCTGTGTTTATTGGCGTTACAGAAGAGTAATCCGTACGCTACCCGAGCTCCATGCATTGATTAGGACCTCTAGCTTGCAGAAGCTATTACCTCCATCATTTGCTGATCTCCACTGAGTTCTCTTCGTCCCACGCGATATCGACACCATAATGGCACCAGGTACGCATCCTATCCTTCGCTGGCCGGTATCAGGTTCTCTCGGTGCTGACAAACCTGCGTAGCGACGCAGTTCGAGGTTGCCCAAGCGCCGAAAGACGCCATCTCAAGCCTTGCATTTGCGCCGCGCTCAGAAGCGCGACGATTGCTGGTTTCGTCATGGGATAAGAACGTGTACCTCTACGAAATCTCAAACGACGCGGAGGAGGCAAATCTATTAGGGACTTTCGAGCATCGCGCTCCCGTGTTAGATGTCTGCTTTGGCTCCAGTGCGGACGAGGCATTCACCGCGGGGTTGGATCGTCAAGTGAAGAGGTCCGTTGTCGCCTCCCACATACGCGTCCACAGCCGGGGGTCAGTTTGCTGATCTTGTCTGCGACAACAGGATTGACATGTCAACTGGGCAACAAACCGTCATGAGCAAGCACTCGGAAGCCGTCCGCTGCGTCGTATACAGCGCCGAGCACTGTAAGCATACCAAAACCCCGCGTGTTCCAGCTCACCACACAAAACAGCTGACGTCCCGTTCCTCCAGCCCTCCTCATCTCGGCCTCCTGGGACAGCACGCTCCACGTCCACAACACCGCCAATCCCTCCCAACCACCCATGACCATCCCGCTTCCCGGCAAGCCCCACGCCGTAGCGGCGAGCCCAAGCAAAGTAGTCGTCGCCATGACAGCCCGGCTAGTGCACATCTACGACCTACCCACACTCGCCGCGGCCTTGGCCTCTCCCTCCCAACCAACGCAGCCACCCCAGCCGTGGCAACAACGCGAATCCTCCCTCAAGTTTCTTACCCGTGCCGTGGCCAGCATGCCCAACGACGCAGGGTACGCGACATCCAGCATCGAGGGCCGCGTCGCGGTGGAATGGTTCGAAGATAGCGCCGAGTCGCAGGCCCGGAAATACGCCTTCAAGTGCCACCGGCAGGCGGCGCCCGAGGAAGAGGGCGGTGGTGACGTGGTGTACCCCGTGAACGCGCTCGCCTTCCACCCAGTGTACGGCACTTTTGCCTCAGGTGGCGGGGACGGGACCGTGGCTCTGTGGGATGCCGAGGCTAAGAGGCGGATGAGGCAGTATCAGAAGTTCCCGGACAGCGTGGCCGCGCTGGCTTTCTCGCTGGACGGGAAATACCTGGCCATCGGAGTCTGTCCGGGATTTGAGACAGGGATGGAGGATTATAGTGGGGAGGGGAGGACAAAGCTGTTTATTCGCGAGTTGGGCGAGACGGAGGCCAAGGGGAAGGGGTCAAAGTGAGTAGGTGGGTCGTGATATGTCTGGGGTACTGGTGTACTATGGGTATAAAAAAGTGGCTCACGGGCTTGGCGTTGGGTGGGAGACCTTGCACATTGATTTGTGTCTGTCCAATTTCGTGTCGAATCTTTGATACATATAAGATTGTTGATGACTGCCACATTTGCCGGTATGGCTGGCGAGCTAAGCACAGATCATGAGAGTGATGTGTTAAATCTAGCACAAGCCCTTCACAACAACGCCGCCTGGTCGCCCTGATATAACTACCTAACAGCTCGCAGTCTCTGACACACCACTTCGCGGTTCGGCAACGGTCCAAGAGCAAGTAAAGAGCAATGCAGTGCTCCCCAGCCAGTCACATTACTGTGTATTGACTCTTCGAAATACCCTTTCCGGCAACACACCTGTACCCGTAGAGACGTGCCGCTGGAGCGACGGCGCAGGAGACCTTGAGTTCGCCTCAACTTTGACTTGATGCGGCGGCGAAGTGTCGGAGACATGTGCCTCGCAACTGTCTGGCCCATCATCTGCTAGCACGCCGTGGCGCTCCACACATTTGCTGCAGTTTCCTTGGCCGTCGTCGCTCCTCTCAACCTCAATAATGGTGGTATCACCATCGGGATGCGAGCTGCCCGTGTGAGCGTTCTTCATAATGGAGTTATCCTCGGGACCTGGCTGGTGTCTCGAAACTCCGGAAGTGTCCTTGTCCTGCCTGTGGTTGTTGGTGGCTGCATCTAGAGCTGAGCTGGTTGTCTTCATCTGTGTCAACGGTCCCTTCCCCGGTGGCTGTTGCTGGTTAGGGTCCTTTGGCTCTAGTGGACGGCGAGCCTGTTTCTTTACGGCGGGCGCAAAAGAGTTGTCATTTAGGTTCGCCCGTCGAACTTTTCGTTTGGGCTTAGTAGGTAGTTGTTCTGACTGCGTGAGATCGAGTACTCCCACACGGGGACCTATCAAAGACAGCTTTCCGTGCCTGGCCAGAAGATTCGAACCGTCCGGTTTTGCTTCGGGACCGGAAAACCCATCACCGGGCTGATAACTGGATTTCTGTGGGGTCTTGATGTGTTGCGCCTTATCCTTCACTTGCTTATACCCTTTTGGTTCCGTCTTATCGAACATGAGAAACGGGCGCCGTCGAAGAGCTCTGGTTATGTATGACATTTGCTTTATCCGAACGGGTTGGCGATCCTGAGACCTTTGGGAGAAAACGATGATATCGTCATCGTCATCATCATGGATGTCTGGGTCCGCGCACTCAGAGGCGTGTGAAGGGGGCGCACCGGCGCTGGATGAAGGAGCTTTTGAAACTCAAATCAGCAAAGAAACACTCCGTTTCGGGCTAAAACGTATACATACGCTCCTCCTCTTGGGGTAAAGCTGAAGAGCTACTCGTTACCCGAGTTCTCTCCTGCACATAAACAGCATCCCCTTCGGCACCATGGTGCTGGCGTAGATCCCGTTCCGTGTGCGCTGTCTGAAGGTGTTCTGGTGAATCTGGCCATGACGGTTTAATTTCCCAAGTGTTGGCGTTACCGATCCGAAATCTTTTGAGTCTGACGCCGGACGCTTCGGGTTTCAGAGGTGGAAGTGGCACAGGCCTGCCCTTTTTCCGGTCGTGTGAATAAGTCCGTAGCGGCTGGGTTCTCCTGGAAGTCGCGAACAGCCCCAGTGAGTCTGGACCTTCTTTTGGCGTGGCGCTTGATGGATCTGCGAACGCTTCTCCAGAAGTAGGTGGCATTGTGCTTCAACGCAAATACTTGACACTAACAGTGGCTCACCGAGTACTGAGCGGGTTCATAAGAGCGGAGGCGACTATGTTGTATAACTTGACGTTCTAGAGAAACGCCGCTACGAGGGAAGGCGGCGATGAGCATGTTCCTTTTCAGCAGGACTCCCGGTCTGCGTGAGAAGGAACTGTCCATGATACCAGGTTGGGAAGGGGCGACCCTGGGTTCTACTACTAGTAGGTAAGCTCGGTAAGTACCAGGTAAGGTAGGAGCAAGCCAATGACCCTCTGAGGTAAACGGACTCATCCAGTTGTTTCGATTACTGTACTAGTACGAAATCTAATCCGTCAATTACTGGCATGTTAGATCTTTAAAAAAGTCGGCGAGTAACCCATCGTAGCCAGAATATCCGCCTGGAACGCTGGAGCCTACTATGTTTGAATTTCTCTACCCAGTCCTAGCCACCAAGACTTCCCTCCCCGTCCATCTATCATCAGCCCGCAATCTGTGGCAGAATCGAGCCATCCGTCTTTAGCTTTTGACTTTTCCCTTCAACTCCGCTAAGCGGTGACAAGACTGTCGTTACCTAGGACAGAGCCGCATAGTAGGGACTACCTGGTTTCAAGCGGACGGACTCTAACATACAATACCTATACCTTATATATTTCTCCAAGTCTCTCGTGGTCCGCTGACCATCGAGCAGAACATACCCCTGGATGCTGTGTACCATAGTGTCTTGTATTTGAAAACCGTACGTGGTCTGACGTGCACTGCATTGCCATAGCGAGGCAACGGTTGAGAAGAAGAGAAGAGGAGGATCCTGTATACCCGGGCGATGGTACGGATCCCCTTGTTGGACGACGGTTTGGGCGACGCCTCATCGGTCACGTCCGAATAGACAAGCAGTAAGTATATGTTACCGGTTGAAAGCCTGTCCAAACGCCTGAACCTTCTGGCACAAGGCAAGTCGTTTCCTTCCTTACAGGGTTTCCTTTCTAATATCGTACGAGGCTGGAGACCACGTTATGGATTCATGGCGATGTGGTGGCATTGCCGTGCCGGAAGATCATTGAGCACTTGGCCTTTCAGAGCCTGCGCTCAACTCATTGGGGCAGGCAAAACGGATGCGGTACGTCGCCGCTTGGATTCGTTCCGCGTGGGACCAGGGCTAGGTAGCTCGGGGGTTTCTCTAGAAAATCGTGTCTTTTCATTTCTTTCTACGCTGTTGGATTTCTAGCGTTGGTTCATACCCTCTTCATCCATTTTCATACAACCACATGGTTACATATATACAGATCTTATGCCTCATACCCTAGCACGTCCATACCCCGACAACGCCGTCCCGGCGACCCTCAACCAGATACCCATCGCGGATGCGCACCCGCTCCACAATGGCGGGCGACTTGCCCTGCTCGGCCTCGAGGATGCCGGCGCCGCAGTCCCAGTGCCGGCCCTCCACCTTATCGTACACCTTGGCCACGTCCTCGCCGGCGGCGCACACGATGCGCCGAGCGTCAAACATCATGCTTGTGATAGGGTTGTCATAGGCGTACGCGTCATATATTGACCCGGTACGGAGATCCCATATCTGCGGTTTCCAGTCAGTCAACTACCACTGATATATGGAAGGCAAAGTGCAATGCAAAGCTTACCCGAATACTTCTGTCCAGACTGCCCGTCACCAGATGTACATCATCGAACTGCAGACACGTCACCGGCCCTGTATGGCCCACCAGGCTGCGATGCACCTGCCCGCTACGCAGATCCCACAGCCGGACCATGCCATCCGCCGTTCCGCACGCCAGCGCCGACTCAAACACCTGCAGAGCGCCTACAAAGTCGGCCGACTGGTCCGCCGGTCGCGCTGTTTGCCTCCATGTGCTATCGCCCGCCGACAGTGCCGAGGCCTGCGCCGCCGCCCACATCACGTCCAGCGTCTGCACGCACCGCCCCTTTTCCAGGTCCCACTGCCGCAATGTCTTGTCGGCCGACCCGGAGACAAGCACGTCGCCGCGGAAATGCAGCGCCGTGATCTCGTCGAGATGCGCTTGCAGGGTGAATAAGGGGCAGTCGGCCATGCTGCCGGCGGGCGGATCGACGGGCTGGTCGTCTGGGTTCTCGAAGGCGATTGCGTCCTCGTCGTCCTCCTCCTTGCCGAAGCCGCTGCCCTGCGGGTCGTAGTGCGCCTTGCTAAGGTCCCACAACCGGATCGTGGCATCCACAGAGCCTGTTGCCAGGAAGTTGTCTTCGACTTGGAGCGCGCGCACCGAAGCCGTGTGGCCTTCTAATACGCCGATGCAGCGACCTGCGTTGAGATCAAATACCCTGACGGAGTCGTCCATAGCTGCTGAAACCATCAGGCCGAAGGGGGCGTCGAAATCGAGGGCTGTGATGTTGTCCTGATGGGCGCGTAGTGAGCGAATCATGGTGCCCGGCTCGAAGTGCTCGTGCAGGATTGGCATGGATTTCCGGCGGATGTTTCGAGGTTTTCGCTTCGAAGGAGTGCTATTTGCTGAGGGGAGTTTCTCATAGATGGACTGTGACATAAAACCCGCCGCGTCGTCTCTTTCCGATGCCAGGTCGTCATCGGATTTCGTGGGTGTCCGCAATGCCACTGACTCCTCCTCGGCTGCCAGCTCCTGCGCCTCTTCCAGCCTGCTTTCAACGTCGACCACTGGGCACCTGTTAGCCTTACCCTGACGTCCGCGTACTGCCACGGGACAGACGGGAGGGGGTCTCACTGTCATGCTCAAGCAACGCCTCGTCCTTCTCCAAATTCGCCAGCCTCTCCAAGATGATCCTGCGCATCCCCGTCAAGTTCTCGATTTTGGCGTCTATCTCGCGGATCTCGCTGCTGGCCATGTTCTTGCGTATCATGAGCATGTCGAGCTCGTGCATCATGGACGCCTTCTCCTTCTTCAGCTTGTGGACCGACTCAGGGGTTCCGTCTGGAACCGTGGGCCCTTCGTCAAGCAACTTTCTCCCTCGTGAGACGCGCCGCCGGTGCTTCTTCCCTTCATCGTTGAAGTCCGGAAAGCTCGCTTGAAACCCCTGAAACAAGGAGTACGAGCTATCGCTTTCTGGTATGTTCTTCAGCAGTTCGTCCGGTACGTATGCTAGAGCCCGTGATTGGATCTCCTTGGTCGACAGACGTGACCGCACAAGGTCCGTCGGCGTCGTGCGGGCCATCGAGAGCACGCTTCGCTGAAGCGCGGGCTTCCGGAGCTGGCGCGTAACCTCGCTCATGGCGCTGTGGTACGTGGGATTCGAGGCGGGATCGGAGCGCGGAGCAATGAGATGGCTTGCGGTTGTGGTTACTTTGCGGCCGAATGCCTCAAGCCCTCGTGTCTGCCATTGTCGCGGTCATGGTTAGCTGGCCAGCTTGCCGTTGTGCTCGTTTCACTTCTTTCCAACCGCTGGCTGAAGTCGGTGATCCGCGAGCTGAAGAATTGGGAATGCTGCTCACAGATATCACCGAGGACTCGTCGTCGAATGACGACAGGTCCGGAAAGTCATCGTCGCGCCCCGGGTCGGCCATCCGTGGGCACGGTAAAAGTTTTGCCCCTTCGTTCCGCTCACGATGGATGACCTCCAATATGCCCAACTGGCTACAGCAATGTCGAGGGGGGGATTGATATGGAAACTGTGGGTGGTGTTGGAGGTGCCGTCACTGGTGAGAGCAGCTAACGCAAGGGAGCTGAGGCGAGTAAGGAATGCCCCGCGAGCACAACAGGACAAAATCTTAGCTTGGCAGTTCATGCGACACCCAGTTCTCGTCGACAAGGGCATGTGCTCCAGTTCGGGCATCGGGTCAGTGGGGCTCGACAGCCAGAAGCGGCAGGGAATGGTGTGCCCAAAGCTCCATGCGGAATCGGAATTTTATGGTTGAAGTGTGGGGAAGCCGGCCCCCAAGTCATTGAAGATTCGAGAGGTGCGTCACACCCGGACGCTCCGAAGAGATCCCGATCCTCCACTAACCTTTACAACGTGTACAATACATATAGTACACGTGTATGCACACATAACCTCCAGACGGCCTCTGGATCTATTCTAGAGCCAACAGAGCTAACCCCACTAATAGCGTCCTTCTGGGCCCGCGTCTGCATGCGATAGCCAGCGGCAAGATGGATTCCTTAATCGACCTCTCGGATGCCTCCAAGGCTCTGGACCTGTCGCGCATCCGCTACCAGTTGATGTGAGTTTAGTCGAGTCTCGCCTGGAGCATTGGGCGTTTCTTTGGATACTCACACCGTTCGGCAGACGGCTGGAAGACACCATCACCTTCCACCTGATTGAGCGCGTCCAGTTCCCGCTCAACGAGAACATCTATACCCCCGGGGCCGTGCCGATACCCGACAGCAACCTGAGCTTCATGGACTGGTACCTGTTTCAGCAAGAGAAGCTACAGTCCTTGATCCGGCGCTATGAGTCACCGGACGAGTTCCCCTTCTTCCCAGAGGCCGTGCAGAAGCCCATTTTGGACTCGCTTAATTACCCGCGAGTCCTGCATCCCAACGACGTCAACGTGAACGACAAGATCAAGAAGTTCTATATTGAGAAATTCCTGCCCGTGGTGTGCCCGGACTTTGGCCACGGCGACAGGGGTGTCTCCCAAGAGAACTACGGATCAGCGGCGACGTGCGACATCGCCTGCCTGCAGGCTCTCTCGCGGCGCATCCACTTCGGCAAGTTTGTCGCTGAGTCCAAGTTCCGGTCCGAGGCGGAGAGGTTTACTCGTCTCATCAGGGCCGGTGACAGGGATGGCATCGGCGAGGCGATTACGAACAAAGCCGTCGAGAAGAAGGTGCTGGAGAGGTTGAAGCTGAAGGCGCAGACGTATGGGACCGACCCGTCTCTAGGCCCTGATGGGTGGGATCAGACCAAAATCAACGTGCAGGCCGTCGTGTCTATGTATGAGGATTTTGTCATACCCCTGACAAAGGAGGTCGAGGTCGAGTATCTGATGCAGAGGTTGGAGCCGGCACAATAATAATAACAGTCATAATCCCTGTTACTCCTTTTTTTTTCTCTTCTTTCTGCCTCGTTCCGATCCGCTGCCGGCCGCCATATCCTATGTGGCTGTTCCAACATACTCAACGATCGACTGCACAGCACTCTGGAACTTACTCGCCTCGATCAACATCATGAAGCCGCACGACTTGATCCCCATTTCATGAAACGCCCTCTTGCTATCCGCCACCAGCTCTCCTTCCTTGGTGAACTCGTACGGCCCGGCGGCGAGCGCGTGCTTGCGCATCTCCTCGTCTTCCGGGTGGAAATATTGCAGCTCGGCCTCCTCGCGCGCCTTCTTCTGCTTCCGCTCGCTCTGGTCCAAGCTGGACGCCACCTCGCGGTACCCCCGCGACACCACTAGGTAGTGCGAGAACTCGTACGGCTCCTTGTCCTCCACCGCCGCCTCGATCTCGTCGATCATGCACGTCCACATCGGTGGGATCACCTCGGCTGGCATGTTGAGCAGCCGTTCTGCTAGCACCAACCCCACATGCTTCCCCGACGCTAGGAGCTCTGGCACCACGCTCCCCAGGCTGTCGTTCGTCTTGGCCCGGTCCGTCAGGTACTCGATCAGCTGCGCGATGGGCTTCTTGGCGCGGTGCTCCTGGAGGTTGAGCACGGTGAGGAAGGCGTAGGCGTCGTTGGCCTTGTCGTCGACTTTGCAGGTCGAACCGATGGTATTTTGCTCGACAATGAGGTCGCTCAGGCCAGACAGGTCGAAGAGCTGGGCGTCGGTGTCGAAGAGTTGCCGGAGAAGCGTCTTCACGCCGTGGAAGTCGATTTGTGGGTCGTAGTTGAAAAGCTCAAAGTCTACGTTGACAATGTCCATGTCCTGGGAGTCACGCGCCGCATGTCAGTCAAAAAGCAACTCCGAGACTCGGTGGAACGAGTTCTCACCTCATCATCCGAGCTGTCGTCTTCGTCCCTCTTGTTGGCGGGGGGGTCAGTCATGGTGACGTCCCCTTGTCCGTCCGCCTCTCTTGAACGCTTCTTGCCCATTTTATGTAACTCTGATCTTGCCGAAAGTACCTGTCCTCCGTAAGCTATCAGTAGTCTTACTGCGAGGGATATTCTTCTGCTGCTAGAGCGGATATCTCAGCGTTCTATTCCCTGCCAACAAGACCGGGTGACTGCGGGGACCTTGACGACCATCTCAAATTTTGTTTAGAAGTGCCCCTCGGTATGATTGCGATAAGGGGCTTATCTCAGCTTATCCACAGACCCTAACCCCTGTACACATGAATACTCCTGGGATTGTACAATGCGCACCCTCGGAGTCGAGATAACTTACCTACAGGTATTGATACAAGACGCGACCACGAGACGTATGACTAACCGCCATGCTGGGGCAGGTTTCGAACAGGCTCTAAAGTGATGGCCATATCGTGGCTAAATCCTGGCATAGACAGGACACCGCCGTCCGAAGTCTGTCACGGTTAGGTCAGTACGCGCGACGTTAACGGCCAAGCACTTGTATTGTCAGCTTGTGTGGGAAACCTTAAAACTTGCTGGACCGCCGCATCCGACCTCTCATATGACCTGTCCTTATCATACATCGTTAGATCAACGAACCTGCCCCAATGTAACACCAGCTTTGCCCAGTCCGACATTTGCTCTATGAAGCCACGCGCCAAAAATGTCTGAAAAGCTTGCCCCAGGTTGCCCTGTAATGTAGTCCAGCTCCTTACATAAAGCCGACACTGTGCCCTAGTGATCGATTGTATGCGTTCTCGGTATGGCAGAGCTCCAAAAAAGCTGTATACCTCGCGCTGTAACGGGAGCAGCCCAGTAGCCAGCGATGAATCTGGCGGGGTTTTTACACCTGCTCGGCGCCCCAGCCGGCATCCGCCTCCCGCATGTTGGCCGGCGGCTCAATGGACGGAATGAACTCGAGGGCGACGTAGGCAACACCAACCAGGCCGACAATGGAACCGGCGATGATTCTAAGGACGTGGTCGTGGAGCAGAATGCAGCCGACGAAGATGTAGACTGCATCACCACAATCAGCTCCAACTCCGAACAGCTTAATAAACATAGGGACACGTACAGATACCGCGGCCGAGGAAGGAGAACAAGAACGACGCGTAGCGCGCAACCTGCGGCGGGATCTGGAACTCTGCACGACATCATCAGTATTTGGATCCCAGTCACTTAGCCCGTCTGGGTGGGTGATTCTGCGCAGTCGTACCAAGCAGGCCGGTTGCTGTTAAGACATCGGTCAGCATCATGCAATATATTCTTTGGGGTAGAACGAGCGCCAACGGATTTAACTCACCCAGTCCAAAGATGATCACATAGACACCGATGATCGCTGGCTGGCTGCAAGTTACACAAAGACAAGATCCCTCCCGTCAGCATCATATTCACACTTGCTTACCCACGTACACAATCGGGCGGAAATGGATACAACGTACAAGTCGACCGGAAAGAATTGCGAGATTCCTCCCAGAACCATCAACACCGCCACGACGAGGTTGACAATGCGACTAGCAGGGAGGCGCACATGGGCGACCCGTCAGCTATATGTATCCAAAGCGAACAATTCCTCCCGTTCCCCCCCACCCCCCCTCATCAACCCGTCACGCATCCGCGCGCATCCTCTCAGACCCGCCGAGTCAGGCGGGGCCCAGCGGATGGGGCGCGGTTGACAGGCAGGCGCAATGGCAGATTTGACTGCGGCATGCGGACGGAGGGAAGAGGTCGGCGTCGGGGCCGTGGATGGAACGTACAAAGTGTCCGAGAAGTCCATGGCTGGTTACGTTGTTGGGTTATGCTGTTGGACTGCGATGCGGTTGCGCTTCTAGATGCACAAAGGGAGTTCGTCTGATTGCAGTGTGATCGCTCTCGTCCGTCTTCAGATAAGAATTGACGCTTCGGCACGGTTTGTGTGTTGTCGATGGTAAGCTGTGCTCCGGCGTTGCGTACCGAGGTCTTGCTCAAATCCCAAGACGAACCCGGGAGTTGGGAGCTGCCTGGGGAGCTTGCGAAACAAGTGGGGACCTTCGATCCCCCAGCCGTCACACGGGGTTGCAGTTGCAGTCCGGGCTGTTGTGTCACCGAGGCTGTTCTTGGCGACGCAATCCCACCCAACCCGTCCGGAATCCGGATATTGATTCAATGACATTGAGCTTTGGAATTTGAGCATGGCGATGCAAATGTTCATACCGCCCTTCCGAGGCTAAAACGCAAGGCGTATGGACAGCAGTACCATACCTATTGTCTTGACAATAACTCCAGGTACAAAACAATGGGACAAGCAGCCCAGATCTCGAACCTCGCTACGGTTTTAAGCAGCCATGATCATTGAATACTCCACGCCGGTTGTGTCGGGCACAAGGAGTCCTGGGGAGCAGTTTAGAGTCCGCCTCATTCTCCTAGCTCAGCGAGCTCCCTCTCCTTGGCAGCCAACAGTTCCCTCATCATCTCTCTTTCACGCTCCAGCATCGCCCGCTTCTCCGCTTTGGTTCTCTCGATATGCCGAGCAGAATCCGACGCGCTACAGTGCGGAATAAGAGGCGGTCGTGAAGCGTCTATAGGGTCGCCGTTCGGGAATGCTGCTGGACTCGGTGTTGAGGCGGCCGTGGTGCACTGCGTCATAAAAAGCTGCCGCGTCTGTCTGCGATCTTCTTCTGACTCGTGTCTCGTCACGGTCGGGTTCAATATCGATTTGATGGACGAGAGACGCTTTGGCTGATCCCCATCATTCTGGTGGGGGTGCTCCATGTCGGCAGCGGAAAAGGAACGTTTCCGTGAAGGAGAAAGGAATGATGCTGGCGACAGCGACAATTGGCGATCTTGTGGAGTCGGTATCGAGGTCAACGGCGCTAGCCGATTCTCGTCGATCAGTGACTCGGGGACCTGTTGAGGTTGGTTTTGGTGGGCCAAGTGATATTGCCCCAGGTCGTTTGACGGAGGTGTCTGCCTGTTCTGCATGGGAACCATATCCGGGACCGGTGCTAGAGGTAGCTTCTCCTGTCGCCGGATGCCGAGATTCACGGACCCATCTGGGTTTACGGAGCCCCTCTCTTTGGGTGGCTCGGTGTCTGACGGTGGCGAATTCCCACGTTCGCTCGGCGTGCCCTCCGAGTCCTGCCCTCCGCCTACGGCAGGGATCACACGTTTCCGCCGCTTGATGATGGATTTCTTCATCGTAACAGGCCTATGTACTCCATGAAGTTTATAGTAGAGCCCTACAGAGGGATCAGCAGTGTATACCGGTACGTGTGGAGGTTAACACCTACCGCAAGCATTGCAGATGGTATGCCCAGCCTCGTCCCTGCGCCAAAGGGGCGTAATGGTGGTTCCGCAATTCTGGCAGGCAATGACCACCGTTGTACCCTGGCTCTGGAGATGTAATGCTCCGACGTCGATCGGCGTCGGGTCATCCGCGCCACCGCTCGATTGGACATTCGCGCTCTGGCATCTCGTAACCGTCAGGCTCGCGCTCTTTGAGAGCCTGTTGTTATATGCTGGGCAGCCGTTGCATCCCTCGGCGCCGCCGGTGCCATTGCATCTTCCTCCTCCCGGGCACGTCCCCGACGGTGTCTGATCAGCGGCTACGTATGTCGCTGCTGGTGCGTTCGGCAGCAGCGGGATTTGGGCTTTGGGAGACAACTTGATAGGCGATTGCCGAGCTGCATCCGCAGCCACATTTGGTGGTCGCTTTAAGTTGATGGGACGAGCAGCATTCCTGGCTTTCAAATATAGCCCACAAGCATTACATATGGTCTCGCCTTGGGGCGATCTCCTCCAGAGAGGGGTTCGGGTTGTCCCGCAGTTGCTGTGGGCTGTGAGCAAAGGGGGGTCAACATCTGAGTGACGATGGGGTACACTGACCTGCAGATCTGACCAGTGTAGCCTTGATTGGAACCGACTTGAGATTTACTCTGGGTTGACGGGCTGGGGCTTGCTTTGTACTGCGATGGACTCGGAGGAGCTGGCGACACAGCAGAGGCGCTAGCTGCTGTTGGCGAAGCCCCTGCATCGTACCCAACTTCTCGAGTGTCCTGAAGAGTGGCCTCGTGCTGTGAGCGCTGCGTCATATCGCTAACGTCCCTTGAGGACACTGGTCGTGACGGTAGGGCTGTCCGGCGAGGAGCGGACGCCATATCTACGGGAGGTTGTGGAGTTTGGTGCCGAGGTGACTCGGACAACGCCATTTGAGGCCCAAGACCGGCGAGCTTCGCAAGCGAATCGAAGATAGGCGTGGGAGGAGCCTGGCTGGTTTGAGTAGGAAGCACCTGCTGCGGCTGCGAGCTAAGCGATCCCTGTGAGACAGAGGAAAGATATATGTGGTCGATTGTTGCCGCCTGCTGGGGGTTGAAGAGCTGAGATCTTTGGCGAGGATGGATTCCAACGACGAAGTCCAGAAGATGATTGAGTGCGCCACGGACCCAGACGGGGCGGGCCGGGGGTCGAAAAGGGACGAGGGTTGCTTGAAGAGGGGATGAGAATTGGTAACGCCACTCGCGGTCAGGTGTGCCTAGCGAATGGGATCCCGTGATGCGATGACCAAGCGTTTGCAGACGGACTGTGGCTGCGGTGAAGAAGGCGAGTAAGGTAGCCCCGGGGTTAGAGTTTGGCGGGCAAGGCAAACTGAATAGCGCTCTGCCACGGTCCGCAGCTCCACAGCGTGGGTTATCTGATCTAATCCACGCCGATCTCTTCTATCCGTGTAACTAATGCCCAGTGAAACTGAGCGCAAGGTCGAAGCCCGAGGGCTGAATGTCGGTACGGGAGGGCGATTATACAAGTGGTGTTGGTACGTTGCGGCCCCAAGCAGCCCGAACAGTCCAACTACAGGACAATGTTGAATTCGGAGCTAGAGATTCTCAGCACTTCTGGACGACTGGTTGTTGAGCGGCGATCTGAACAGTGGAATTCCTGCAAAAGACCGACTCGGAGACCTACCTCGATGAAAGGGAACCCGTTAGGGTAGGCGTGACCCGCTTCGCTCAAGTCAGGCCAATCAGAAGCCGCGTAATGTCAGCAGACACGGCGCAATGACCGGGACCCATGCACAGGCATCCGAGATTGACGTACTGTGTAGGTACTGTGTGTGATATCCCGGCTCGAGCCCGGATTCTAGCGTTTTTCCAACTCATGACATCTAAATGTTTTACCAGTACATATAGACTCTGTCTCCCGCAGCTTCTCACCGGGTATACTTATTTGGGAATTGGTGGTGAAATCTGCTCTGCTCTTCATTGTACATACCTACCGCTCGCTCGACCTTACACTAGGCGGTGGTACGATTCTTGCAATGCCATGCGCCAAACTTGTGCGATCCTTGCGCTATGCAATCACAGTCTCATGATATTTCGAGTAGTATTAAGAATTTAAGATATCCCATACCAATCCCACAGAGCCCGTAAACATCTACGTGCCAGGATTATCAGATCCCTTTGACGCAGTTTCGTCTTCGCCCGGCCGGGGATAAGAGTACTTCTCATCAGTGTGCTCGATCCATCTCAACCCCTTTTTGGGCGCCCTGATTATCTGGCACTTCGGCTGCTTCGGTTAGCGATTTGATTCGATCCGACTGATAAACTGATCCACCCACATCGAGCCAAGCTTTTTTAACGTTAAGCTACCAGTTCCATCAGTCCCACATACTCGGAAAGATCTCCGGCCACAGCATCCTTCTACTGCTTTGTTTCGAGAGCGCTTGGTGCCATTGTTTTCTCATGCAGCCCGTCGATTTCTATTTCCCAGGTCCCTCCGCTGAAAAAACCGAAGTCATCTGTCGGATCCTGATTCGTGGCTCTCAATCACAATGGGATGTACTGTACTACCTTACGGTACAAGTAATAAGGGCGAGAAAGGGTGCCAATTGCTTGACTATGTACCCCACCGTGCAATAGTGATTGAAACTGCTTTGATTGGCCCCGGCGAAGCCATGAGGCTGGGCTTCTCTCCAAAATTCCGTCGCTTTGCTCCAAAGTTTCCATAGTGGAGTTGCCAGAGATCTTTCCGCGTACCTATCGTGCTCTCGACGCGGGAAGCTCAAGGAGAATCGCAGAACAAGTCTTCGTTTAGCTAGACCACATATCCCACGGGATAGGTAGGCAACTGTGGTAAGGTATGTATTTCGATCCAGTCCAAGATCCTCTCCCTTCATCATATTGATACGACCTCCGACTCCCCACAGTGTATCTGATCATTCTGATGATAGTTACAAACAGCGAAAGCTTGCAGTGATCGTTCATAGACACTTCACACTTCTACCCAGCTGTGTTTGATGTCACATATCAGGGTCCGGTAAATCCTCATGCTCCTCAACAATCAGGCCCGTATCCCGCATGCCGTTCAGCGTGTCCCGCGCCATGTTGATGGGAAGAGCGATAGACAGTGCGTTCCACAGCCACTGACCTCGATCATTCAGGCGGATCTGTTCAAGCACAACCACCGGATTCGTCGACTCTGTCGAGTCGTGGCTGGCAAGCATAACAATGTGCTGAATAACAGCAAACGCATACAAAGTCGGCGGCTGCGCGATGTAGCCCTTGCCATTGCGGTTGCGAAGCGCATCGCGCCAGCGCTGGCCCCTGTTGCGCAGCCTCCTCTCGAGGTCCCGAGAAACTGCTCGGGTGAAACGCCGGGCGCGCTGCAACTCAGTCAGGTTGTCACCTTCATGCTCCCCTTTTCCCGACGCATTCAAACCGTCATCGCTGCTGACCGGGGAAGGCGTGAAGTTGCTGTCCTCGCTATCGTAATCGTCATCGAAATCTGGCGGGTATGCTTGCACGAACATGTTGGGTAATGTGCCTGACTCGTCTATCCGCGCATCTCGCAAGGCCCATTTGATGTAAGACCGGATGCCCTTGACTATGGTTGGTGAGATCTTGCTCTCGTATCCGATCTCCTCGAAATCGGTGACGGTTTGGGAGAGGTAGAATAGAGACTCGAGCGCCTTGGTGGCTAATTCATGTGTGAGTACTCCCCAGGAGAAGGATGCGGAGGGGAAAGGGTTTACCGGCGACTTCGTTCCCGTACGCATGGATCGCCACACGTTTCCTGCTATGTTTCGGCGTGAAGACATCGTCTAAGTGTCGCTGCGTAACTCCCCACATCCTGAAGCTCAACCGCCACCATGATGGCAGCATGGGATGGAGGCCGCGCATGTAAATCAACTTGTGCAGCTTCTTCTGATCCTCGTTCCAGTCATAGCTGCCTTCCAGACGAGCCACAGCCTCTTCATACTCGTCCATAATGAGCGGAAGGCTGCCGTAGGTGTCCCAGTCACTGCTGGTGCTGCCATCGTCCGAGGAGGCTTCCTCCAAATCTTGGTAGTCGATCTCCTCCTCTTCCTCCTCGTCGCTACGCTGTTCTTCGCGCGATCTCACGACCGCCCTTCGAAGCCAAAGGTGCTCACGTTGGTAAACTGCGCCGCCCCGGAAAGCGGTTTTACCATTACCGCCTGGACGACAGTGTGTAGGGTCGAACACAGTCTCATCCTCGCTCTGCTCGGTCCAGTCGTCATCATGCATATCTGCATCCACGGTTGTGTCCTGGGAACAAGAAGTTGACCCCGTCAGGTCCCCTAGTACAGTAATAGTTTCCATCACCTTCGCCATTTGCACTGGAGGAGTCGCCATGAAGGCCACGAGTAACTGATGCAACCTGGGGTTGAAGAAACGATGAGGAAGTCGGCGGTGTCGGTGCAAGACTGAGCGCGTTGCCGGGTGGGAGGAGTAGAGTGTGGAAAGAGGAAGTTGACGATGGCATTCAACCCTTTGAGGGAGCTGTGTCCATGACTGATGGGAGATGATGGTTGACGAAGAAAAAGGTGCTTGCGGCTTCCTTTCCCGTGTCAAATGAAAAGCCAACTTGAAATGTCGAGGCCACAAACAATGCCATCGAGATGCTGACCGGAAACAGGGTGGCGCCTTCCCATCACAAAGAGATCTTGTGGCCTTTTGCTAAGACATTACTAGTATTCTCGCTGGGCCGTTTCCGGCCGCCACGACAGCAGCGACCCCATTTTGCTGGTCTAACCGGTACCTGCATTGTGACATGGAATGGCAATGCCACGAATAGAATAGTAAGGTAAGGCAGAAGATTTAAGGTAGCAAGGTGACAAAGGGCCAGGATTGGGTACGGATTACAGGTGAATGCATCTGGGCTGACAGTGACACTCGCCACTGCCTTGTATAGCACATGCACATGACGCAACTTTCATAACCCCTTCATGATGCAGATCAAAGCAGATACTGAATCTGCGGATCAAAGTATCAAGTGAGTAGCTGTAGGGCCTGAATTCACCATGGCAGAACTCCTCGAGTTTGAGACAGTAATCGCAATACGTACTGTGTCAAGCAGAGTGCATGTTGGACTTGTCCAATTCAGCCCTAGGACGCTTGGCATTGGGATCACTGGTGGGTCAAAGTAACGGAACCGGCGCGCGGATTACCTGGTGAACCGTTCACCCCGAATCCACGCTAAGGATATTCTTGCCTTGGGCGACATTTTGCTAAATAACTATCCTGCACTTCACGCCTTGTGGTAGCGCATCGTGCGTTAAGAAGCTCTAATCCGTACTTCCCGCACAACACCAATACTGGCAAACATGGAAGCCGACTTCCGTCGGATGACGGTGATTGAGTTGCGCCAGGAGCTCAAGCGACGCAATTTGCCGCAAACAGGAAAGAAGGCTGATCTCATTGACCGGTTGGTCGCGTTCGAGGGCGAGCAATCCGCCTCAGAGCCCCACGACGACTCGGTCGAGGAGCGCGCCGAAGCGCGTCAATCGCCACCTGTGCAGAACGCACCGCGGCCACAGTCTAACGGCAACTCGAATTTACCACTTGAAAACCAATCCGTAACTGAGCCGCAGCCCTCGATCGACAATCACAACCCAGATACCACACCCCTAGCTGAAGGTGCAGTTTTGGCGTTCACCCAGACTCCGGCCGCCGAACCCACAGAGGTCGAGCAAGGTGGCACCGAAACCACCGCTGTCGTCACGGAAATCGTCAATGATACTTTGAGCCGGAAGCGACGGTCGCGAAGCCCTCCCCCGGATAACGAGCTATCCAGAAAGCGTGCACGGCCCAGTGACGAAGTTGGCGAAGCAGCGACACCCGATTCACACGACCACTCCCAGTCTCCTGGCGATAACCACGTTGACAACGCCACTGCTGAAGACCCGATTGGTCAGGAATCTTTTGTGGTGCAGCCGGTGCATTCTTCGCAAACAGCGACTGAAAGCAAGCAAACAGCGGTGGAAAATAACACAACTATCCAGGAGACGGCCCACTACGACCAAGAAGAGCAATACGTCGCAGCCCAAGAGCGCGACTGGCGTGACAGCCGGGAAACCACTCCGATTCACCTTCAAGGGCGACAAGGCGACATTGTTGATGAGCGCATGACTGACTACGACAGAGAGGTTGCGCCAGCACAGCACCCCGCTACATCTGCGCTCTACATCAAGAATTTCATGCGCCCTCTGAGGGAGCCAGTGCTCCGGGACTACCTAGTTGATCTTGCCGCTACCCCGGGTGCTGCCCCAGACCCCGACTGTGTGGTTGACTTCTACCTCGACCAGATCCGCACTCACGCGTTTGTGCAATTCACCAGTGTTTCCGCGGCCTCGCGTGTTCGGACTGCTTTACACGGAACCGTGTGGCCCAACGAGCGCAACAGAAAAGAACTCTGGGTTGATTTCATTCCCGAGGACAAGGTGACTGAGTGGGCCGATCGTGAGCAATCGGAAGGTGGACGAGGATCCTCGGGCCGCTGGGAAGTCCACTACGAAGCCGACGACAACGGGGACATCACCGCCAGACTTGTGAACGCAGAGATGGAGCCTGTCCAACGCAACTCAACGCGGCAGCCTTTAGGCCCTCCGCCCGTTCCAACGGGTCCCGCCCGCAACTACCCAGGTGTCGAGGGAGCACCCTTGGGTCCACGGGGCAGGGGAACAAACCACTACCGCCAGGCGCCGCCGCCGCCTCCCCCGGCATCGAGCACTAGCGGCCGCGACTACAGAATCACACGGTCAAACCCGCCTCTCGAATACAAGCCGGTCTCCGAGGAGGTAGCCGAGCGTCGGGTGGCCAACATTCAGGCGCATATCACCAAGGACCGCCACCGGGATCTAGGTCGCCCAGACGAGATCAACCGGTACACCTTCGAGGACGGTGATTTGTTCGTCGACCGAGGCAAGGAAGCCTTCATTGGCATTCGCCCTCCGCACCGCGAACGGGAGCGCCAACGTCTCGGCATCGGCCGCGGAGGCCGCAGCGCACCTCCAGTCGCAGCCCCAGCCCCCCGCCGGCGCAGTCCTTCCCCGCGCCGCCCGTTACGCGACGATGACGTCTACCGCGGTAGCCGCGATGACTATCGCGACCGTGATCGTGATGGCTATCGGGACCACCATCGCGACGATGTGCCCCGCTCTCGCTTCGACGGCCAGCCTCTTCCGACCTTCGCCGGCGGCGGTGGCCGCGGCGGTCGGCGGGGTGGCGGCAGACGGGACCGCTATTAAAAAAGCAACATCAGTGACTTGTAGCGGCAGATTATAGCTTGGGCACCGAGAGATCAACCTGGCTACCTACGGAGTACTCCATTTCCAGAATCTTGCCAGCTCTTCAAGTTCTCGCCGTCATCTGTTCCTGTTGGGCGCGAACGAGCTGCTCACTAGCAGTGGGTATACTCGCTCTTCCTCCTTATTCTGCGAGCTCTGTAAGGAAGAGGAAAAGTCTAGATTTGATTCTCCTAATAATTCGGATGGGAGCAGGTCTTTTCGCACACAATGGTGTGGCGGGGGTAGAGCATAGGGGCCTCATGGACGACGGAAGTTGGGCAAGATAAAGCACAACTTGATTGGGGAAAAGCGGCGGCACCTTAGGTTTCTGGGGGTGCATTACAGACAGACTCCAGTCTATTCGCGGGGAGTTCGATTTAGCTCCAGCCTTGTAGTTTACAAAATAGCATGTTGTGGAGAGTTCACTGTACAGAATAGATACCCTTTCAACTTGGGCTTCGCCTCTGTGTAAGTGCGGTGAACCCGATTGGAGCCTGCAGAGAACTACTAGTACTAGTACCGGTCGGTAACGTGGGATCCAAACATCAGAAATAGGTAGGTACCCGTTGCGACTTTTGTCTGCGTCATTGAGTTAGTGCACCAGTATGTCACCCAAGGCGAAGAAGTATCGGACAAGGCAAACGAGCAAGTGGCTTGGTTTGCTTTAGAAAACCACTGCAATACTAGTATGTATAGGCGTAGAAACCACTGCAATCTGTATAGGCGAAGAACATATCCAAACAATTCAAGCTCCAACCCGCCTGCTAGACGAGCCATGACCCCCCGTCCACTCATCAACCGAGATGGCTGGACGCACCGCGAAACCAAGCAGCCCCTGAACACCCGAACCCATAACCGAACCATGCACCAGAAGCCGGGAAAACCAGAGACTCAAGCAGCGTTCGCAGCCAGAGGCGAGGGCTCAACACCGACGCGCTCCTTGCTGAGGATGTCGATCATCAGCTGCGACGGCCTGTTGTCACGGTAGACACTCGAGGTGTCCTTATACATTTCGACGTTCTCCAGGTACTTGTCGAACAGGTACGCGCTGTCCATCGGACCACCCTTGGCCTCAGGGTGGAACTGGGTCGAGAAGATGGGACGGGTCTTGTGCATCATGCCCTCATTACTGCCATCGTTCAAGTTGACGAAGTACTCCTTGAACTCGCTCGGCAGGGTGCTAGCATCGACGGCGTAGCCATGGTTCTGGCTGGTGATGTGGCACTGACCGGTGGTCAGGTCCAGCGCCGGGATGTTGTGCGCACGGTTGCCGTATTTAAGCTTGATGGTCCTGGCGCCAACTGCGAGAGCCAAAAGCTGGTGGCCAAGGCAGATGCCCATGATCGGCACCGACGACGTCTCCATCAGGCGGCCCAGATTGTAGACCGTCTCCTGGCAATGGGTCGGGTCACCGGGGCCGTTGGAGATGAAGACACCGTCGAAGTTGTCGGCAACCTTGTGGATCGGGTAGTTGTAGGGGAAGACGGTCACCGATGCGCCGCGGCTGACCAGACTGCGCAGGATGTTCTCCTTGACGCCACAGTCGATCAGAGCAACGTGGAAGGTGGCGTTGGGGTTAGCAACGACGAACGGAGCCTTGGTGCTCACACGCTTGACCAGGTTGATGGCGCCCGGGTCGATGAAACCCTCGTCCTCATCGGCATCGTATTCGTCACCAATCGAAATCCTGGCAAGCGAGGAGCCCTGCTCGCGCAGGTACGTGACAATGGCACGCGTGTCAACGCCGGAAATGGCTGGGACGCCCTCGCGGGCGCACCACTCGCCCAGGCTCTCGACCGCGGTCCAGTGGCTGTATTGCTCAGCCACATCGGCAACAACAACGCCAGCACACTGGATGTGCGGTGACTCGAAGTACTTGAGGAGATTGTACTCATCGCGCTCGTTCGAGGGCACACCGTAGTTGCCAATCAGAGGCTGGGTGAACACCAGGATCTGGCCGCGGTATGAGGGATCCGTCATGGATTCGGGATACCCCACGAGGGACGTCGTGAAGACGGCCTCGCCCGAGATGTTCGAGTTGGCGCCGAACGCCTTGCCCTGAAACACAGGGCCATCCTATGGAAAGGGCGGTTAGGGCTACGACAAGTTGCGACGGTCGTTGGGCCGGTGTATACGTACTCTGATAGTGAAGGTGGCGTCAACACCAGACGCTGCAGCAGTGGCCCTCGTGTTCTTCGCGGGCATAGTTCTGCCCTTGCTGCCGTCCACCGCGAGTCTGCTCAGGAGGCGGGTCTGGCCCAAGAGGCGAGCAGACACCCTGGGGGCCGCGTGGCCCAGGCCGTTGGGGAGGCGGGCGGCGAACGACGTGAACATCTCGAGTATGGGTGTTGGGTAAAGGGTAAAGGCTGGTGAAAGGGTCTAGTATAGTTCAGGAGTCTTAAGCTGACAGGGCTCTCCACAGGTGGTCTAATATTATTGTCAGTGCGAAGCGGTGAGTCAATACACTGGGAGGGCGAGCGAACCTGAGAGGTAGTCCTAGACACATCGGCACATTAGCACGAATTCGTAGACTACAGCTCTGTTAAGAAAGCAAAAGGATGTAGCAATGCAGTTTCGATATCTCGTATCATCTCCCACACCGAAGTCGAGGACAGGCTTGCGGACATCGAGCGCAATACTACAGCGGGTGTTGCCAAAGGAGCAAACTTACTTGGGAAGTGAAGATAGAGAAGCGACCTTTCATCAGCGCGGTTTGCGAAGTGCCAATCCAGAAAGAGTCAGGGAGCCGCCGCCGGGTCCGTGAGAATTGTGTCTCTGTGTTTCGCGGGTATGAGTTCTTCAGCGCAGTTGAGCTGTGTGACAAGATTTCAAGAATCGAGGAGGCAGAACGGGAGAGAAGAAGATGGGCGCTTTTGTCACTGGGCTTTATTACCGAATTTTGCACCCGGCCAATTGGCTCAGCAATCATTGGTGCCCGTCCAGCAGCATCCACCGCGGGGCCCGATTAGCGGGACACTAGAGGGGCAGCCCACTGGGCTTTTCTCCAATCGGGGGGGGTATTGTCAAGTGCGGCTTCGGACACCTACGAGTCACGACGGGATGCCAGTGGTCGGTGGTCGAGCGCTGGGTGAGACACTGAGGTGGGAGCCTGAATTAAATGTTCTGTCTTTCGAGCAGGCGGAATGGTTGCCTGCACTCGCATACTCATCGAGTGCAGTACCAACAGCATTTTTGAGACTGGTACTGTACCTTAGACGTCAGAGGTCGCATCCTTTACCGTCTCGCTATTATCCGGATCCCACGGACCCAGGGGTCTTGCAGCTCGCGAAGTCGGCGCCCGGGACCGGTAGCCTCAACAGCAGCCGAGTTCACCAACGGTTATTGAAGAGCATAGGCTGCCTTCCGTTGCTTAGGTTGTGGTACACGTTCGATTGGTTGGTTGTATACAATAGTCTAAATGGCACCGAGTTCCTTGAGCTTGGATATAAGCCCATCCACGTCCTCGACCTTGCCGCCTCCTTGCCTGGCTGGGGGTTCTATAGAGATTGTCAGCCGGAGAAAAGATGGAGAAATAAACCCGCATGGTATATGAGGGGAACTCACCCGTAACCTTGAGCACCTTGAGCCTCTTCTCCGCCGAGATCCCGAAGTCGGCCAGCGTCTTCTTCTCGAGAGGCTTCTTCTTCGCCTTCATGATATTCGGTAGGCTCGCATAGCGTGGCTCGTTGAGGCGCAAATCTGTCGTGATTACCATGGGCAGCTTGGCGCGCACCGTCTCGACACCGCCGTCCACTTCGCGCGTGACGCTGACGGTGTCGCCCTCGCCGAACTCGACCTGGCTTGCCTGCGTCGCCTGCGGCCACCCCAGAAGGCCTGCCAGCATCTGGCCCGTCTGATTGGCATCGTCGTCGATGCTCTGCTTGCCAAGAATGACGAGGTTGCTCTTCTGCTGCTCGGCGGCCGCCTTCAGCAGCTTGGCCACCGCCAAGGGCTCCAGATCCTCGCCCTCCTTCACCTCGACGTGGATGGCGCGGTCGGCGCCCATGGCCATAGCCGTGCGCAAGATATCCTGCGCCTTAGGGGGACCGGCGCTCAGGACGCAGATGTCTTCGACGCCGCCGGGCGCCCTGTTCTTCTCGCGGATGCGCACGCTCTCCTCGACCGAGAGCTCGTCGAACGGGTTCATGCTGTGCTTGACACCGGCGGTCTCGACGCCGGTCTGCGCCTTGTTGACACGCGGTTTGACCTGTGTCCGGGGAAGGTGTCGTCAGCAAAGGCACCTCGGCATCACTTATGAATGCATGGGATTGAGCACGCGCGGCTGTGACGTAGAATCGATCTTCCCCTTCCTCGGCTCGTTTCTGCACTTACCGCATAGTCAATCACCCGCTTGACGGGCACGAGTATCCGTAGCGCTGACATGGCGAGATTCTAGGGCTCAATGGCAGGTCACGGAGGAGTAGAAGAGGAAACCGTTCCCCGACTGCGGTTTATGACGGTCTTACTGGCTAGTGCCGATGCCAACCTCGGGCAAGCGATCGTTATGACTTGCGCACAGTCACCCCTAACCCTGGGTGGCCCATTCATGATTCATCCTTTTATCACATGCACCATGAAGAACACTTACTACTAGTATGTATGACCGTGATGAGTATCGCGCGAAATTCTCAGCCGAAGTGATTACCCGTTCTGAAATGCTACACTGTACTTCAGATCACCGATGCCCCGTCTCCAAAAGCCGTACAACAACGCTAGCCACCCACACCCACACTCCCTTTTCACCACCACGCCCCCCGTTGAACCTCCCTAAGGAGGTTCTCGTCTCACCAATCATCCCATTCGTCCTTGCCACTATTTCCTACCGGCCCAGTCTGCTTGCTCCCGCCCTTGCCCATTGCCGAGGTCCCTATTGAGCTGCCAGTCTTCTTCCTCTGGTCCGCGGCAGCAGAAAACTCGTCCCAGAACGCACGCTTGCTCTCGTCAAAATTGTTGCTGTTGGCCGGCTTGTATCCGCTGCCAGACGGGCCTTCCACAAACCGAGTGAGCCCTTCCTGCGCAGTCTTGGCGCCCGCCTGCGCCGATTTCGCCGCTTGGGCAGCCGCGTTGCGGGCCTGCGCAGCCAACTCGGATTCGGCTATCTAAAGCCCGGTCAAGGAATGGTTAGGTTGCTGTAGCTTTTCCGGGAAGGGGCTGGTGTGAGAGAAAGAAACAGAGACACATACCTGCTTTGCCGTCGGCTGAATGAAACCCTCGTTAACCGTCTTGGCCGTCTTGGTGACCGCCGACGTAAACCAACCGAAGCCCTTACTTATCGCCGCGACGGGATCCTTCTGCAGATCCTCCAGTCCCGGCAGCGCTTGCTCCTCCCTCTGCGGCCGCGGCGCCGAGTTGCCAAACCCACTGTACTTGCCTCCTTGGCTGGGGGGCAGGTCGGCCGGCCGCTGCGCGTTCCGCTCGCCCAGCTTCGCAAAGTAGTCCACGTCCACCTTGATCTTGCCCGGCCCAGGGCTGGCATTCCTACTCCCGCTGGCCGGGGCGGCCGCCGCGGCGCTCCCGCCCAGCGGTGTATTCGCCCTTGGCGCGCTGCGCGTCGGCGCCGTCGAGGGGGCCCCCGCGCCCGGCGCGGGACTTGCACTCGCACTCTTGCTCTGCTTCTTCTCCCCGGGCACGTACTCCCGCCCTTCGACCTTGGCACTCAGCCTCTCCTTCCACTCCTCGCCAACCTCGCCCCCGTACCGTTCTGCAATCGTCGCGTCGTCCCAGGTAAGTCCCCTCATCTTGGTGTCCTCGTGTTCATCAAAGAAGCGCCGCCAGTTCTCATTGCCGCCGAGGCGCATGCGTTCGATCTCAGCGGCTTTGAAGGCGTCCATGGAGATGGACCGCACAAACGAGATGTGCACGCCCAGGCCGCGGTGAACGCCGGCGCAAGACAAACAGATAAAGATGCCGAATTTCGGGGACGCCCATTGCGGGGAAGGCGCGTTGCAGTCACAGCAGATGTTGTTCTTGGCTTCTTGCTGGATCGCGACGAGCTGCAGTGGCGGGAGGAGGAATGCTTGGTTAACATGGCGCCATTCACCGGGCGAGAAGGGCTGGGTGGGCCAAGGACAGAGCGTACTTTGGACCTCGTTTCAGGATCGACCTCCCACATGGCCTTGGAAGCCATCGTGGCTGACTACGCTCGAACCCCTGCCGGTGTGTAGATGATTGAGCGAAGAGACGTTAACAGAGAATTCGTGGGCTTCGTGCCCGATGGGGTTTTCGTTGATGGGAACGGCAATATCGAGAATCTGCTAGCGCTATGCAGTACGTTCGGAGCCTAGTCGATGGTTGCGTGACCTTGGTTGTTATTGCTTCTACCAGTTCTAAAAGTTGGTGGTAGAAGACCGAAGGGCAAAGTTACAGGTTCGGTAATAAGGTACCCTCGGCAGGACAAGTTGAGGTTGTTCTGGGCCCGCGTTGGACTTGGGTGAGGCCAGCTGATTATTGGACACGCTTGTTGGGGGTTGCGGTCGACCCCTGCAGGAACCCATCTGCAATCTCACTTTCTTCCCTAGCTTCATGCCTTGCATATCGCCTACCTTACCTCTTACTGCCCTTCTAGGCAGGTTTCTACTGAAGTTATCAGCACTGAGCATGTTCATGCCGTAAGTGCAATGCCCTGGACGTCTTTACACGCCCCAACATGGAGGTCCGTCCATGTGAGTGCCGTGCAGCAAGACTATGAAGATCACAACTTTTCCTATTCCCGAAACCCTGGCTCCGGCGACGACTAAAATACACGCCTCAAGGATGGGAAACGAGAAGGGAAGGGCCATCATCTTCTCCGTGTATATGAAAGTAATAGGTCATGAGGATATTAAGGGATATTCTTTTTGCAGAAAAGCCGGAAGATAATGGATATGTGTCCCCAAACTCTACCCGCAGTGAGCCCTTTTCATAGCCCGTGCAAAAATTCCCGGACGCCAGGAGAACTATCCCGCCACCCCTCAAACTCATTTTCGTGAATATCCCATCTAACTCGTTCGGTGCAAAGGGAAAAATCGTCCACCGCATTCCAGTCGTTAAAGAAAATGCACGCGTCCAAGAATAATACACGGGGATAATGTTGCCAAATAGGAAAAGCGCGTGCAGCATCCCCATTGACCGCTACTCGTCGAGACGAGATGAGCAAGTCGTCTTTTAGGCGGTGGCCTCGGCAGGGGCAACCTCGGCCTTCTCGGCGCCGTTGGTGTCGGCGCCTTGGGGGGCTTGGACATCGTCCGTCTTGTCAGGGCTGTCGATGGCCACTTTGACGGCGATCTCACGGCCCTCAATCTCACGGCCGTTCATCTCAGCCACAGCCTTCTGCTGCAGCTCCTCCGACGCGAGGGTGACAAACCCAAATCCACGGCCCTTGCGAGGTTCGCCACGAGCCTGAAGTTTCTTGATCATGAAGCGCGGGATAGGCCGAAGGGCAATCTTAGCAGAAAGCGGGTTGTAGGCAGCAAAGAGTTCCTTGAGCTAAGGGGCTGTCAGTAATTTGTCGACATACAGAGAGCACATGGCATCTACAAACCTTGTCCTCCGTCAGATCGTACGGAAGATTGGCGACCATGACCTTGGTCTTCGACGGGATCCCGTCAGCCGGGGGCCCGCGTTCACGACGCTCCCGGGGACGAGCCTGGGGCTTGCCGGACTTGGCGTCCCTGTCTTTCTCGCCAGTCGCCTCGTTGGTCACATCTTTCAGGACATCAGTCTGTGGAGCTGATGCGGCGGTAGGATCTTGGGCTGAGGGGGCACCAGTTTGCTTCTTCTCATCCTGTGCAGCTGTCAGTCTAGTCCGTACCTCACATGCCATACCAGTCAAGCGGCGCGAAACTTACCCCACTGCCACGGCCACCCCGAGCACGTCCGCCACGGCCGCGGCCAGCCCGACCACGACCACGAGTAGATTGGCGGCGCCGGGCACCATCGGCACCCTCAGCGTTGGCACCTTCTGTCTTCTCGTTTGTGTCGGGCTTGCGTGCAAGCTGAACGGAGACCTTGCGTTCCAGAATCTCCGTACCCGACAGCTCGGCGATCGCACGCTCTGCCTCGCTGGGAGTAGACAGATCGACAAAGGCGTAACCGACAGGGCGATCGGTGCGAGGATTCTTGGGAATCGAGACCGACTCACTGCAGCAAGACGTGCATGGTTAGCGGCAGTCAGTGGAATACCGTAATGTGTGAACGGAGGAAGCTGCTGTGAGGCTTGGTCACAGCCCCGGTGCTGTGTGCTCGAGGCCAAGCCTTGACCCGATTGCGGTGACAAGGGTCAAAGGTCAGGCGGCATCAACAGCAACAATGGCGGTGAAGCACTCGTCGCGTACTTGCCAAGAGGGAAAAGACGTCAACTTACACAAGGTAGCCCTTGAAGAAATCTCTCAACTCCCCCTCAGTTGTCTGGTACGCCAGGTTGCCGATGTACAGGCGGCGACCTTCGGCGGCACTGGCAAGGACAGCGTCATTGTTGCCCGACTTGTCGTCGGAGCCCTTGCCCGTGATTGAGATATCGGCCAGAGTATTGGCCACGTCATGGACAGCAGCAGTAGCTGCGTCAGAGATCTTCTCCACGGCAGTAGACATGATGTTTTTTGTCGGAGCGACGATGGAGTCGGTTCACAAATGGAGGGTTGACGTGTGAATGAATGAAACTCGTCGTTTCAGCAGAGGAAAAGGCGTTGTGCTGAAGTTGAAAGAAAGACGAGTGATAACTGAACTCTGGGATGGAGGGGGAGTGCGTAGGGTAGCTAGGTGCCCTAGATAAGCTTGAAGAACGTTTGGTTGGTGGTTGAAAGCAGCCGGGTGAACACTTGACGGTTGGCGTGGAGAGGAGGAATCGGAAGGGGGATCAGGCGGCGGGCCCAAAGCTCAAATAATATAATTTTTGGCGTTCGGGGGAAGGCGTGGGTCAAGGTGGGGACCGGGGGGCAAAGCTGGGGTCCACTGTGCTCTCCACTGTGACCTGTCTGCCACACCCTGCCATGCAAGCAGTCCGTGCGTCAGCAAACCTGGGGGGTTGACACGCCCTCTCGCCGCCTCACCGTGCGACCTTATTACCCGCCCAGTACCTTACCGATTTGCGGATTGCACTTACCTCAGGCAAGACTGGGCGACCAGTATCAGAAGGAATTACTCAGTTCCAAGTGTACCACAAACCTAGCAAACTGTATAAGAGATTGTGAGTATGCTCTGCAGTTTCGCCTTTCTTCCGCTGTGCCCTAGCGAGCTATTGGACTCATATTCCTGTAGGTGTAGACAACAGAACATGGAATGAAGAGGTGATGATGTGTGCACTACGTCAAACCTTCACCGGCATGCGCAGGACTCGCCACATGAGCTGTTGCAAACGCCCGGGCACGGTGGCCATGACGATGCAGCACCAGTTCAGACGACTGCGCACATGGCCATGTGGTGATTGCGAGTCGAGCATCAGCGCCACTTCTTGCCAAGGTCCTGCGGTGGAAGGAGGCGAGGTCGGATGTGAACTTTGGTTCTTCCATCTGTCCCGGACTCTGGCTGCGGCGTCCGCTGAGTCTTTCATCTCCTGGTACCTTACCTAGTGTTTCCTACGATATAACTCACGTCGACACATCGACCCCCAACAGCTCTTGCGATCGTCCAATCGAAGCGGATGGACTACGCAACATCTCTGGCGGTGGTTCATCACCTAGAGACGTGAGGTTGTGTCCTGCCAACCAGGTGCTTCTCATCATCAGTTCTAGTTGCCCAAAGCATTACGTTACAGGAGCAGAACTAAGGCAAGGTAGCTCGAACTTCGAACATACCTACTAGGTACTCACCTTAGGTTTCTGCCGTAGACAAATGGACAGCGAATTAATTCGCCAGTCAGTGTGGATTGCAGTAAGTCAGTGCGTAGTCAGTCTCAATGTTGACGACTCTCGGTCTTTGGAACACACATACGTACTAGCACTTACACAGCCGCAGAAGCCAGTCATAACTCGCCTCCCTCCGGCCAGAAAAACCGCACACCATCATCAACCTCCGCCGGACCAGATATGGCTGCTAATACTGTGTATTCTAGTTATTCATTTTACTTCTTCTCATCATCCCCTTTCTTCCTTCCCCTTTCTTCACCTTCCTTCCTCTTTCGATTTGGTTTCACTTGCTTGATTCCTTATCGCTTGCACTGTCGAGGTGAGCTCGGTGTATGCCACTTTTTGACCGATGGAGGTGGGTCCTCGGCAACCGCTTCGAGGCGTTTCTACGCGCAGCCTAGCCCCCATGGCTGTTCCCACCGTTGCAAAGAGAAGCGGAATTACCGGGTCATAGTTCATGCGGTGATGGATGTAAGGGTCTCCTACATACGAATCTAATGTATGTACTGCACATGCACATGCACACATTGTACTACAGCCCCTATTGTAGACAAAATGAAAACTGTACTGCCCGTGTAGATTGTAGCAGCCGCAATCATCCTGCATGTTCAGTCGAGCATGTGAGCCAAGAGAGGTGGGTCGGCTGCTTGATTCCAACTGGCAAGTGGTGAGGGTGAGGCAAACCCCAGTGCACCCGCACTGTGTAGTACGTTGTGGTGAAGTCCCAATGTTCACCATGTGAAGCTGAGTCCCAATTACGGTGCGAGTCCCGTTTTAGCAACGCTGTTCTTCCTCTTTTGAAGAAAGAGACTTACATATCCAGGTACCTTGCTGGTAACTGTATGTATGTATGTACAAACAAGCTGCACTACACTGATACGGGCATGCTTGGATCGCCGCGACCGCCCAGTCCTTCGGGTGTGGAGTCTGGCATCCGGTCCATTCAAATCCGAGCCCGTTCCGTTCCCGGTGGCTAATGCAATGCAGGCTGCCAGGCCGTCCGGTTTCGGGCCCGATACGCCCCGCCGTTGCTCCGATAAGGATAGATTGCACTCGAGAACTTCTTCCCATGTGCTGGCTCAGTCTGGACACCTGCTGGCCGTCTGTTAACTTAGGCTTTGTCCTTCATCTGCAAGAAAGGTCCTCCTATTTTCACTGTTCTGTCTACACGTTCAGACCGCACGTCAAAGGACACAGGCACATACCGTAACCAACCGTATACACTACGCTACATACATCACTGTGACCTCGACACTGAGACGGTCTGGAAGAGCACACGCGCATTGGTGTGGTGCGCAGACCACGCTTAGACCACTGTCCCGTTGGTGACATCACCTCGCCGCGCTGTTGGAGGGGTCGGGTCTGTGGCCGTGGGATACCTCTCGAGGTGTTTGGGCCGTGTGAGGTCAGCAGTATCGACGGTCTTCCTATCTCTTCGGCCCGGCTTTGCCAGATGGGGGAAGAGAGCGAGCGTGAGCGAGGTGTGCAGCCCGCCGTGGTCGAGGGCCGACGCATGGCGGTGCTGTATGGGTCAGAGACCGGGAACGCCGAGGAAATTGCAGTAGAGCTGGGCAAAATGGCCGAGAGGCTGCACTTTCAAACGAGCGTGGATGAGATGGATCGCTTCAAACTGGTGCGTCACCTCGGGCGGTGGTTCTTGCAGGCCGTCTATGGCTGAGTTTCGACCGGGTCTTTGGATGCGCTCTAACAGTGTCAGTGATAGACAGACATCCTGCGCACATCGCTGGTCATCTTTATCACGTCCACCACGGGGCAGGGTGACATGCCAAAGAACACGTTGAGGTTCTGGAAAAATATCAGGCGGGAGAAGCTTAACAATACCAACTGCCTACGATCACTGCGGTTCACCGTCTTCGGGTTGGGCGACAGCTCCTACATAAAGTGCGTGCCTGCGTCTTCCGGCTCCTGGTTCCTTGCCTGCGCTTGCAAAATCCGCATATTGCGTCCTCTGGAGCACTTCCCGGGGTGATCTGGCGATTATTCTGCTAACAAGCTTGCTGTTGCAGGTTCAACTGGGCGGCAAGGAAGCTGCGAGCAAGGCTCCTGCAACTCGGGGCAACCGAGTTCTTTCGACCCGGCGAGGGGGACGAGCGACACGACAACGGGTGAGAAAAACCCCGACGTTCTCCACCCCTCTTTCTTTTTGTTGGGCACTAACATTTATCCCGTCCTCAGCATCGACAGCATCTACCTCCCCTGGCAGGAGGAGCTCAAGGCTGTCTTGATCAGCGACCACCCGCTCCCGGAGTCAATCAGCCCAATCCCCGACGACGTTGCGCTTCCACCCAAGTATTGCCTCGAGCTGCTATCGAGCAGCATGTCTGTCGATGGCGGGGAGTCGCTGGCCGAGGTCGAGCGCCGGTTCCTAGCGTTGAGGACCAAGAACGCGGCTCGGTCCCATGTCGACCATCCCAAATCAGCCGCAGAACAGGCCCGGGAAGACTGGGCACGGCTAAGCGTTAAGTTCCCCGCCGACTACGCTCGCCGAGATCAAACGTGGGAACGGCAAGCTAAGCGGCCTGTTGAGGTTTTGGACAAGGACAACATCCTCAAGGATCATCCGCAAAAGTATCTCCTCGAGCCGCAACCCGCCGGAGTGCCGGAACTCCCGCCCGCAGACCTGCTCCCGATTCCGGACACCTGGCCTGCCACGCTAGTGCGCAATGAGCGAGTGACGCCGGCGGACCACTGGCAGGACGTTCGTCACCTAAGCTTTCATTTGAAGCTCCCGGCTAAGGATCGAATGTGTGTTGCCAAGCTCGCTGGCCAGCTCACCCTCACCATCTGGCCGAAAAACTATCCGGAGGATGTCCAGGAGCTGATCTCTATCATGGACTGGGGGCCAGTCGCAGACGAGCCCCTCGTGGTCAAAGGCGGCCCTCCGGGGGTCTACGTCAAGGACGGTATTGCGACGCTGCGGCATTTACTCACTCACAATCTGGACATCACGGCAGTGCCAAAGCGCAACTTTCTCAGGGAGCTGATGCATTTTACCAACGACGAGAGGGAACGGGAACGACTCCAGGAGTTCGTCAAGCCAGGCGGCGAGCAGGAGTTCTACGACTATACATGTCGGCCCCGTCGCACCATCCTGGAAGTCCTGCGGGATTTCACCTGTGTCAGGATCCCGTTTCGAAGGGTCCTCGACCTATTTCCTCCCATCCGCCACCGTGATTTCAGCGTCTGCAATGCGGGTGAAAGTTTAAGAACGCTTGTCGAGAAAGATACGCTCGCCTTCGACGTCCTGGCCGCTCTCGTCGAGTACAAGACAATCATCCGCAAGCCTCGCCAGGGCCTCTGCTCCCGATACCTCAAGCATCTGGCCGTCGGCACCGAGCTGTCCGTCAAGTTGACCATGTCAAGCGGGACTCGCCTCGTGGATAACGACTACGAGGCACATCGGCCCCTTATCGCGATCGCCACCGGCACCGGCATAGCGCCGATCCGCGCCCTCATCCAAGAGCGCGCCATATATAGGCATCCGGGCGACACCCTTCTCTTCTTTGGCTGCCGCAACCGCTCGGCCGACTTCTACTTCGAGCACGAGTGGGCGCTGTATCCCAACTTGAGAGTCTACCCAGCCTTTTCCAGAGACCACATTGCCCCCGATCCCGGGACGACGGCCATCTCAATCGCGGCCAGCGAAACCTCCGCCTCCGCCTCCAGCACCACCAGTACACCCACACCGGCCAACGGCTTCGCTAGTAGCAGCGTGCTGGACAGCCCCGATAGCATCCTCTCCAAGGTCGAGTACGACGCCAACAAGAACTATGTTCAGCACCTCATCCGCAAGCACGCCAAGGACGTCGCGCATCTGCTGCAGCGCGACCCCATCGTCTGCGTCTGCGGCAATGTGGGGCGCATGCCCATCTCGGTGCGCAATGCCTTGCTCGACGTGCTGGTCATGACCGGGATGGCGAGGGACAAGGAGGAGGCGCTGACCTGGTTCAACAACCCGAACAATATGACCTTCTGGCAGGAGGTGTGGTAAATCTGACTTGTACAAGTACAGCCGCAAGGATGTAGATTACAGCAAGCCTGCGTCTGCTTTCAGAACTGGGGGGAGGAGGGGGTGTCTAGGGGGGAACAACCTGGAAGGGTTCAAGTATGCGATGTCACGACAATAGCGGCAGCTTTTAGGCCTGGATAGACACGGCATAAGGGCTCGGCGCATGCATCTAGTCGTATGGGGAGGATGCCTTGGCAAAGAAGTGTCGGCGTTGAGGCCGCGTTGTCACTCTGTTACTCGAAGCCTGAGTTCTTGAAGTCGTGGCTTGCCCTGCCTGATCTCCCCTGATGTGTCGGCTCCGTCTTAGTTAGTCGTCCACGAAAACAAAAAATACAGATAGAAGAGAGGTCTCGTTACTTTTCTAGACATGGCCGCAAGCGGGGCCCGGCAATCTGCCCGACATAATGTACCTAGGTAGTTAACTGACTTAGAGGAGCTGTGCTCAAGTGTACAAACGAGGGAGGAACAGTCGGTTATCTCGGATCGGGCACGTTTGTTCAAACGAGTTTGTTTTAACCATTGGTTCGCTCTACCTCTTTTAGCATATGCTAGCAGATCATAGCTTCGCGGACCGCCTTTGCAGCACGATCTGATGTTCGCACTGAGGTATGCTCGATCTGTTCTCGGCCACAACACCCCAGGAAACCCAATAGTATGGAGATGGCCTTATATCAGAGCATCTCCCTGGCCAAACACTCAGCATTATAGAATACCCCCATGTGCGCCTCTGCACCATTGCGCCAAGTTGAGTGTATTAGACGCCAAAAGACAATTCGCTTCAGTTGTTGCCCTTTCCGGCCTTTCCATTTAGGCTAGTACAGAACGCCAGAACTCCTCGCTCCCGTTGTATCCAAAGTGAGAAAGCCAGCCAAGACACTAGTGGTATGACCCCCAATTCTCACCGTAAAAGATCCAGACGCGTCCCTTCGGGGTATATACGGGGGGTATTGAAAGATATAGAAGAGAGAAGGTGTGAGACGTCAGCTTGAATCCAAAATCCTTCAACTGATGCTGTCATCCTGATCCTCCCAGCTGTACCGCTTCTCGGCCACTTGCGGCACGTGTATGAGCTCGGAACCGGCTTCTATGCGCTCCATACTGCAAGGGCTGCGGGGCACATCGTAATCGTGGTCCTGCCTTTCTTGATCCTGCCTCACGCTATTCTTGGAAGTCGTTTCGTCCGTTCTCAGCCGACCTTCTTCCTCCACAGTAAAATTACTGCCGAGCGTGTCGGTCGAGCACTGGGTCTGGGACCGGTGGTGGTGAAGGGGGCGAGGGAGGGCTAGGCTGTGGGAGTGCAGATAAGCTGGACCAGTTCCCGCTGACGAGCTGCTCGGAGGCACTATCTGTGGCAGTGAGGGTTGAATACGCGGAATTCTAACATTGTCTGGTAAGGGCCCTAGGCACACCACTCGTGAAGGGTCGATAGGCGTTCGCTGGAGCGTCGGGGAGGGCGGCTGTGCGGATCCGGTCGGCGAGATGGGAGAGGCATCCGAGGCTGAGCGGGTGATGGAGGAAGGCGCATATGTTTGTTGCGAATGGGGTGACTGGGGCGAAACAGGGGAGTAGCCGCCCGAATCTGATCCGTTCGCAGGGCCTTGTAGGATATGTCGCGGTGGTGCAACAGTCATGGGTGACGGAAGCTCAAACATACGATTCGTCCAATCTCCATGTGGTGTCAAGGGAGAAGGAAGTGCGTTGGTGGGAGGGTATGTCGGGGATGACGCCGGCGACGGCTCTTCGGGTGGCCTGTAGTGAGCAACAGGGCTTAAATCATGCATCAACTTCTCCGGCCCAGCCCCTGGAGAGGAAAATGTCGTAGGCGTATAAGTCGGTACTGGCCCCTGAATCTGCCGCTCTAGTTTCCGCCTGGTGATCTCGTACTGACTCAGTCCCTCCGTGCTATCAACACCAAATTCGGTATCATCGTCGCCAACGTCGTGGCTGTCCAGCTCAACCGGCACAGGCGGTACTGGCATCTCAAAGACTTGATGTTCCGCCTCAGCCCCGACCTCGATTGGCCGAGTGGTGCGCCCATCCGTTTCATGCGCCGTGGGCTTCCTTGATCGCTTCTTCCTGATGATTTTGGTGAACATTCGCTTGACTGGATTCTGCGCTTCTTCCCGCTCTTCCATCGCTCGAGGGCCGTCCTCGTTGTCCTCCTCTTGGCCCGAAGGCTCCTTCTGTTTATCCTTCCGTTTGCGTATGAGGCAGAACCATAGCAACAAGGCCAAAATACTTCCGGAAACAAAGGCGCTCAGGACGATGCCGGTGATCTGACCAGCATTTAGCCCGGAAGTGGTAGTAGTTGGCCCCTCGTACTTGGGATAAGGGCTATCGTCTGGCCGCGTGATGGCCTCGAGCGAGTAATTTGTGGCCGCATTGTCGGGGAAGCGGGACTGATGGATCGAGTAACTGGCCCTGTCGTAGCTGGTGATGATGTAGGCCTCCTGCATGAACACGCGCCCAATAATATACTGATTATCGTTGACTTGCTTGGTTGATCGCTTGAGAGGGAAATAGGGAATGCTCGAGTCTCCCCACTGGACCACATTTTTGAACGGGTAGCGCAGAAGTTGGGCAAACGCGGCAGATGGGAGGGTGATATTGACAACGCCGGGTGTCTCGAGAGGCCGTCCGAAGTTGTCTGCATTCTGATAGCTGGAGAGCGAGAAGGTGAAAGACAGCGACGTGTCGGATTGATAGTGCATATACTGGCTTCCGTTAACGAAGACGTAGACGCCCAGATCCTCCCTCCACGTCAAGTTCAGCGCAGCCGCAAAGCGCTCGCACACCTCGGTGGGGAGCCAGAGATATGGAGTCGAGGAGTCGATGATGGCAACAATAGCGTCGTCCATGGTGACAAGCGGGTGGGCTGCCGATGTCCAATTCTTGGTGGGTGCTTGCTCCATCGACGGCACTTCTGCGGTTATGCCGCGTAGTCGAACGGTGGGAAGTCGAGTGACTGGGTCAAGCGAGAAAGTGGTGCCATGAGGCACGAACCTCAGCGTATCGTAGCCGCCCAGAGTCAAGGAGGCAACGGTGCCGCTGTCTTTACCATCTGGGAACTATATCAGTACATCAAGTCATCCATGCGAGGCAGCCCGGCGGTGGCCGCTTACTATTGCGGTAATAGGCGCCCGCGGTATATCCGTAGCCGTGACTCGGGATAGAGCCGTATGTTTCGGCTAACTGCGAGATGAAAGGGTTGGTCAGGTTGGACCCGAACCTGCCCTGGGTCACGCCAAGGCCAACATATCCCTGGTAGTAGGTGGTGTCGTTGATAGCCGCCACAAGCGCACCGTCAATAGCTGTCGTATGTTTTACGACCGTGTTGACAAAGGCGAGCGTCTCCAGCCCATAGTCCCCGTTGCCCCCTGTGCCGGTGTAGTTCATACCCAGCTGCCAGCTCCCCAGCGGACGCCATGTTTGGGACACTCCGATGTCGAAGATGCCGCCTCGGGCATCGATGCATAGTTGTACTTGGCCCAGTCAACGGTGAGGCCGGCAAACAATTCCGAAGGCATCACTCACTTGGAACACAGCCGCCACTTGAGATGACCCATATCTCGGACAGAGCCGTGGCGACGGTCAGATACACTACCTGGGCGGGAGAGCCCACGTAGAAGGCAAAGTTGGACCAAGTCCCGTCGATGCCATACCTATCCACTGGTAAGGAGACGCACAAACGCAAGGCGGGCAGGGCATAAACGATGGCATGACGCACCACTCGCCAGAGGGCTGGATCCAGAGGGGGTCTGGAGTAGGTGGATCGGACGCGGCGGCGGTAGCAATGACTTGCGACACGAAGACCAGCAGCAGAACGTCACGAACGACAGCGGCCCCGAGGTTGGGCGACCGCATTGTTGCAGCACCCAGACCCGGGTCGCACGCAGTCAATGGCGTTCTGTCACCAGAGGAAAGGCCCTAGGACGCTTGCGCGGCCGTGTCGGCGTGCCATGAGCTGCGAAGTGTGTTAGTGAGGGTGTTGAGCAATCGCCACACCGAAGGTCACAGGCAGGCAAATGCGAACAGGAGGTCCGACAGCGCTGGTCGAGACCGGCTCTCATGCATGCCGCCCAGCAGGAGCCGCAGCAATGGCGCACGGGAAAAAAAGATTGAAGATTGGACGGAGCAGAGAAGAGATTGACCAAACTGCGATCGATGTCCTGCACCGGGCCACCAGAGGGACTTGGGAGACAAGACGGTCGAAGAAAGCGAGGGCATGTGGGTGCAGCGTCTCATGCGACGAGGAATGCAACGGCAGAAAACACCAGCCGGGAAATCAGGACGGTGACCCTTTTCGACGGATTGGATGGAATGTCTTGCCTTCTTGGGGGTAGCTGCTCAAGCAGGAAAGATCGGCGTGTACACTGTATTGTACAGCAGCACATAAACACACGACCCGTTGACTGGACCCGGGCTGCGGGGTGTGGCAGATCGAAGGGGGCTGCAGCGGCCAAGCGTCAATGTTTGCTCACCCAGATTCCCGTCAACATTCAAAAAAGCTCAGGAGACGCCGTCAGGTATTGTCGGTATGTGCATCCAACGCATGCTGCCAGTGAAGCCTATGGCCGGGTGAGAAAACCTTATTAGCAGGCGCAAAGTTTCGCGAGATAAGCAGCGGCGCCGCCTCCACCGCCGAGACCCAAGCCCCTGCCCGGGGAAGTTGGGACTGAACGCTCTGATCTGATCTCCACCTTCCCCGTACAACTTGGCCCAAACAACTGGGTGGAGCCACCTTCGGCATGACTTTGGGGCTGGGGTTTGCTGGCGCGGCTGGTTAATACCTTAACTACCACCTGGCAGGTACAGTGTATGTAATTATCTGAGAAGGCCCAGGAAAGTGGAAGCCAGCGAAATGTGTGGGCCGCCGCTGCTCCGTCCGGGTCCTCCGAACACACAAGACCCAGAGTGGAGGAGCACTCGAGGCGCGCCGCCCTCCGAAGACCCTGGCCCTTGCCGGCACTTTGCTGTGGGTAAGCCGCCGGCAAGTTCCATGCCCTGAAATGAGCCAGTCGCTGGCGCGACACCAATGCCATGATAAATAAGCACAGCAGTTCTGCGCAGTACCGGTAGCAGCCACAGCACCTGGAACACAAAGCCAGGGACGACTGTCACCTATCCGGCCTCTTGGATCTCGCTCCGGCACAACCTTCACAGCATAGACCACCAAGTCCAAAAGCACGTGGCGTACCGATCCGGCTAGCTCCGGTGGCTGAGAGCTTCCCGACGCTAGGCTTGCGGCGTTGCTGCCGCTCGCTTGACACTGGCTGCAAACCAGACGATATGCCCGATTATTCGAGTTGGATGTTTTGACCCGCCCAGCAGGGTTCGTTCGTCTGAAGCGCATCTCAAGATGTCCAGCTGTGCCCCCGCCCTGCGTCATGGAAACCGCGCGGAAGCCGGGCCAGCATCGGCGAGACCGCAGAGCAGAGAAGATCCGTCGATACTAGTAGTTACCAACAACAGCACAGTCCCGAGCATCGTGGACAGATAGGAGCGCGAATCGCTGGCATCGGACCCTCAAGACGTTCCTGCGGGCGCTGACAGTCCGTCTTCGCCCAGCCCGATTGTATGTACTGTATTGTATGTACATTCTATCTACATACGTAGGTACCAAGTATGTACTACTAGTAGTAGTAGATACGTCGTGCGGAACTCAAACAACTGGCAGCGTCCCCGCAGTCCAAGCGACACCTATTGCGGGGAAGCCGCTTGGAAGCCGTACTGTGTATTGTACCTTATGCTGTCCGCTTGGTACTGCCTGCAAAATGCCCGGGCTACAATTTCGGCGGTGAAACAAGCTCAAACACAACGACTGAAAACACATTACTACGAAGTCGACGCGGAACCAAACACAGTTTTCAAAGGGTTGAAGAAGCTAACGAAGAGCGCACCACATGAGTAATAGTAGTGCGCCGATGGGGGCCCACAAAATCGAGAAAGGAAGACCTTGCCATTCCGTACAACTGCATCTCTTCTGTTGGTGATGCACACAAACGCATATATATTGGCCGACTATCGCCCGCAATGAAAGCCGTCCTTGCTCCAGGAAAGGCCGCCTCCGCGGGCGACAACGGAAAGGAGCCATGCCCTGAACGGGCCTTTGGAATGCATCGGACACGCCATTGCAATCTATTTTCGCCACTGAGAGGGGAGCGCACTCTGGGTAAATTCAAGAGCAGCGATTTTGCCGACGCAGGCGCTCCCCGTCCGCACACTGGATGATAGCCACACGACGGCCTGTTACATTGTCGGGCCCCAACATCTGGTCGCAGCCGTCACCAACCTGAGCAAACGGTCGAGACGGCGGCGTGCTGTCTACGGCACCGGTCGGGGTCGACATTCGCGAAGGGAGTTAGTTGTCTCCTCCACAGATGTGGACAACAGTGATGTGTCACTCGATCGGGAAAGGGCGTTGCGTGGCTGCGGTGGGGGCAATGGAACCGGCATGCGGCTCCAACAAGTCCCTAACACTGATCACGGTGCCCGATGTCGAACGGCGAGGCCAACTAAAGGGATCTGCTTGTGGTGTCGACCGATGGCATTGCCACGCCTGTTGTTTACGGAGTAGTTGTCTCTCGCTCTGTTTCCGCTGGTACCTGAGGTGCATACGCGTACAGCAGGGCACAGATGGCTTCATGGAACTCCTGTACGGATACGCAGCACGCGCAGGTATTTGGCCGTTGACTGCTCCGCTTGAGCAAGATGCTTGGCTTCTGTGGCTTCTCTCGCTTGCGGTGTCTCCTCATTGGCTGCCAAGCAGTTCTGTGCAGCCAAAGCTCCTGGACGCCGGATGTTACCCAGGGGTCCCGCTGCTGCTCAAGCAGTCCCGTCTTCCGAAACACCTACCTATGGCTGGAATTGTCGGCCAGCCGGAGAGGTTGGCTGGCCAGAACGATGTCCATACGGGTCCGTACGCCGGTCATTTCAACGCACTCCGCTTGCATCTTTATTATTTGACCACAGGAATGTTGGGAGACGGTGTATCGCATCGCGATCCACATCAGTACATATGTACATGGCTCTCTGCGGACGCCACCAATTCCAACCTGGACCACAGATGAGCAGATCGAGATGCGGCTTCGATTTCCACCTGCCGGTTGACCAACAGCGAGCTTCCCTTTCGGTAAGGTCGTTCAATTGCCGAAGGCCAATGCTGTCCCGCTACACCCCCACCGCGCACGGTAAACTGCCCAGACATGGCCATCGATCAGCCTGTGACACCACCCAATGAAGCGGCTAATACGTTACGTTACGCTCCAGAGGACGGGCAGCTCAATGTTGGAAACTGTGTCCTGATCCCCATCACACTACTGCTCTCTCAGCCGCACTCCCATGGTTTCTTCGTCCGTGAGCAACGCGGTCGGTCGCCGGCCCTGCGCTGCGTATGTTCGAGTGAGGAGAAGGTCGTCAAACAAATGGCAAAGTTCGACTACACAGTACATAGGTACGTACGCCTTATTAACCAGCTCAAGCTTGTGTAACTTACACATCGCGACGGCTGAACCGAGACAAATTACGGCACCCGACCACAGCTGACGGGACGGTGAAGACGAGACCGCCAAGAGCGACGATACCGGAAGGCTTGACTCCTATCGAGGTCGTTCTCGGCAGTCTTCGATCATTCCTTCTGTTACACTGAACCACAGACGAACCACAGGCTGGCCGGCCATAAACGAGTCGGCGAGCTGAACGCACATCCGCCTGAGCCTGTTGCATCATCATTGCATGCGCATGGCTCCGGCCAGGCCCAAGAAGCCCCGTCCGTTCCTGTGTCTACTGTGTACGTTGTTGTACTCCGTGGACTTGAGATCTCTCGTCAGGTACCGCCCCAGTTCAACGTGTTTTCGACTCACAAGCGATACATAATAATGAATAAGCCCCTCGGGAACCGAGCTCAGGCAGCGAGTGGGTGGACCATGTTTCTCGAGCCTGAGGGCCAAGTCCCCAGAGATCGTCCGAACTCCAGCCTCTGCGAATTATCCCTGCTTCCAGCATCCCTGGTCTACCTGCATAGGCTTTTTAGCAGCCGACAGTTGGCATGAGATCCGGCCACTGCCTGCCCCCTAAGACGGCGACCGGTCTGGGCCAATCGAGGAGCGAGGACTTGTCTCCCGTTCCTTGCAAGTCCCGTCTCTTCGGACGAGGTGGGCTTGGCAGGGATACCCTGCGCATGACAGATCCTCATCAAGCCCCTTGCCTTGCTCCTCCTCGGCCCTTGGCAACACACCAATTCCCCCCGGATCTCTTTTTTCCAGGAACTTGCTGCGCTTGTGGTCCAACAGTACCGGTATGTACGTATGATGTCGATACATACCTTACCTACATGGCTGTACGACACAGTAATAAATGAACTCGTCTCATCACAGCACGGCGTGCACGGTATTAGGCTCAAGGCCAGTGCCCACATTACCCCTGTAAAACCCCCCCGAATTCTCGCGTATGGATGGGGTGCTGGCAGAAGCAGAAGGATTCGCGCCGCAAATTTATTATTCGTTTATCCTGATGCGCGGTGGCTCGAAGCCCACTGCCTGTTTGTTTGCTGTCCAAAGATCTTCAGATCTCCGAAGGGAGGCCCCAGTCGCGCAATTCCCGACACCCTTGTCTAGCTCTGGCCGTGTGGGCACGAAAGCATTTCTCCCCCCAATCCCGTGATGACAAGCATGGTGCACGATGGGATGTTGAGGAAATTCTGGTGACAACATCTCGGGCTCGCCACTGCGTAGGCTCAGATGCTCGGATAGGGTGGGAAAGGGCTGCATTCGGGACCGCGATTCCGAGTCTTCCAAAGAGGCACAGCATAAGCATAAGCACACGAAACGCAGGTTTCCCCGAGCCGCAACAGCATGGTTGGGGGCAGCAAAGTGCTGCTCTCCATCGCAGTGCTCTCGGGTCTTGGTTTGGGCCACGTCAACTCTGTCGCAGGTCAGCATTCATCCCACGGAGATTCACGAGAGAGGATCATTGGCGCTGACTGCTTCCACAGCAGGCCGACTCAGGCGGCAGGATGGGACGGCTAGTTCGGTTCAGAGCGCCCCTGGCAGCGCCAGTTCCAGCACGTCGAGTCAACCACCAGAGGTAGTGGCGGCCCTGCCACAATCAACAGCAACAGTGACCACTGTAGCTGCTCTTTTGGGGGAACAGACTGGGACTGGAAGTGCGGGAGGAGAAGCGACGTCGCTGGATTCAAGTTCCCAGGCAGCCGTCACTGTCAGTTCTAGCACATCGTCAGCCGGGGACGAATCCGTCAGTTCTGATGCAGGGCCATCGCGCGCGGACGGGACGCCGACAACCGACACGCGTGCTCCCACTCAGACTGCCGAGTCGACACCGACGTTGCCCGTCTTGCCCAGTTCCGGAACGGAAAGGCAACCGGCGCCTGTGGACACGGGCGCATCGGCCACCAGCACACCTACGCCGGCGGGGAACCCGACTCCTGGCGATTCCGGGTACAATTACGCGCCGGCGACCACAGGCGCCGAGACCGCCACAGGTGCCGCGGCACCAGCACCGGTGAGGACGCCGCCGCGCGGTGGGCCTCCTAATAATAAACCAACAAGCGTCTCGTTGATCAAGGTCGGTAGCGACAGTGTGGATCTGGGGTATGGCACAACATCAACAGCATCACCGCCAGCGCTGCCCAGCAACGGCACGGGCGCCGGCCGGACGACCTTCGTGACGTCCACGCTCTATGCAAACCAGACATTCACGCTCAGCCCGTCGGGAGGTGTCCGCTACTGCCAGCCATCCGACCTGACGGCGGCTCCGACGAGCTGGTCCGTTGTGCACACGACCACCATCACGTGGTATGGCGACCCGGCAGACTACACACAGCCGTATCCGCCGATCTCCATTCCGACGCCGACCTCGCCGTCGTGCATCGTCCCCTCCACGCCGCCCGTGTGGACCATCTCGGTGTGCGCGTCGACCGGCACCGACAGCAGATACCGGACGTGCGACGTGAGAACCACGGCCGACGCCAGCTACAGCTACGGATTCGGCATCCAGACCAGCACCGTTCCCGGCGTCACCTTCGTCACCACGGACAAGAACCCGGCCGTGGTGTTTACCACCATCAACACGCCCGACTACGGCATCAGCCAGGAGGCAAAGACGCGCGACAACCACGCCAGCGCCACCGCGCCCGGCGGCATCTCGACGCCCGTCTACAACTCACAGGATCGTCCGGCCCAGGGCATCTCCGACTCGGCGCAGCGCCCGGCCCCGACCACCCCTACGCCGATCACCGTCGCCGTGCAGCCCACCGCCGTGGTGATCAACGGCAACACGATCCGCGACAACCCGGCGCAGCAGACCCAGGTCGTCATCGTGGCCGGCCAGACCTTCACCATCGACCCGACCCGGGTCGTCGGTGCCGGCACCTCCGTCGACCGCCCGTCCGCGACAGGCGGCGTCTACCTGCCGACCCCGACCAGCACCAACCTCGGCGGCGTTCCCGTCATCGTGAGCGCGTCCGTCGCCGTCATCGGCGACACCTCCTTCACCCTGGGGCCGACGCCCGTCACGGCCACCATCTCCGGGCAGACCTTCACCGTCGGCGCCAGCACCATCGCCGGCGGTCCCTCGTCGCAGACCTTGCTGCTCCCCACCCTCCCGTCGCCAACCGAAGTCGTCGTCGCCGGAGGCGACCTGATAACCGCGATCGGCGGCTCGGTGGTCGTCGTCCACGGCACCACACTCACCTACACGCTCTCCTCCGCCCCAATCACCACCACCCTCGGCTATGGCGACAACGCCAACGACGACGACGACGACGACGACGACGAAGACGACGTGGTGCTCACCATCGGCCCAGGCGGCGTCACCATCGGCACGGGCACCACGACCACCGTCATCGGCGGCACGCGCGCCTCCTCGCCGGACGAGACGCAGTACGCACTCGTCGGCGGCGCCACCATCACCAAGATCGGCGCGTCCGTGGTCGTGGTGCAGGGGACCAGCTACACCCTGGGCCCGGCACCGCCCACCGCGGGGATGCTGACCACGACCGCCCTCCACACCGTGGGCGGCGAGACCGTCACCGTCGCGCCGACGGGCGTCGAGGTCGGCTCCCTGACGATGCGCTACCCTTTCGGCCCCACCACCGTCATCACGCCCACCCCGGGGCCCGGCGCGGCCGGTGCCAGTGGTGCGCTCGCGACGAGTACGGGTGGTGTCGCCGGCGGCGGTTCGGGTGGCGGAAGTCGGCAGGACGGCGAGGAGGAGGATGCGGCCGGGGCGGTGAGGCCTTGGCTGGTTGGTGTCATATGGGCGGTCGGGGTTGCGGTGGGGGTTGGGCTCATGCTCTGAGACGGCTGTTTTGTTCCAACTGTTCAGTTTGTTTTTCTGAACTGGATTCTGGATTATGGTTACGAGAGTGAGGGACGGCGTTCAAGGAGTTGTTGATCTGTTCTGTGGTTCTTCTGGTGCGAATACCCGTATACGATCATGGGGACTTATTTGTATTGATCCCACGAAAAGGGGGTGTGGGAGGGGGATGAAACTTGCTCTGTCTAAATAAATAGATAATAGTGACTCGGCACGGACGGCCATGTCTGAATATGACAGCGTGCGGAATACAACACAGTTCGACAACCACCAAGTTCACCCATAAAACTGTTAGGTACCTGATATGACATGGCTTTCCTCAGACCGCACTGCTGAACACATAGAGCACACACCAAGCTCATCGTCCACTGGTCCATGTCCGTAGCCCAATCCGGGCTTCCTGTTTCAGGGAACATTTTGGCTCTTCAAATGAAGCTCCTGGGCGACCCGTCTAAGTGATACACATGCTATTGGGGTTTCTCCTCCGTCCCCAGCATTCCTAGCACCATAACCCGTGCAATCAATAATATATTCGAGGCACGGTACGCAATATGCAAAGCTAGGTAGGTAGTAACGTGCCACCACCTGCAAAGCTGCCAACCAAGCAAAATTACCGGAACTCCGGACTCGAGACGTAAGCTATAAGTAACCCTAGACTGCCGTTCGTAGGCGCGTCCGCCTGTTCTCCCCCCGTCCAGGCTGACGGGCAAGCCGCCCCGTCTCAACAACGTGAAATTCTATAAGGGTGAGACAGGACACCATCTCGGTCTCTCTCCGTGACCTTGAGACAACCATGCCTCGGTGTTTTACATTACGTGCCCCGCCGTATCGATGTCAGGACAACTGTACCGAGAGTGATAGATAAGAGACGGCAACCTGCTGCTGCAATACGTCGCATGGCCCTCACGGAACGTAGCAAGCTTCACATCTAGAAGAGAACTTCACAGGTTCCGCCGTGTTGGACGGCCATCTACGGTACCCGCTAAACGAAAGCCACCTTATTCACGTTGCATATTATCAGTAGCTCGCAGTAGTCCCAAACACATATCGAAATACAGCAGAGCGAAGCGCAAGCCCACAGCAAACGGAAGCCCGCCCAACAGGGCAGAGAAGCGAAGAGTTATCCGCGCACGGATATCGAAAGAAAGGTGGCCTCACTTGAGACCTCCTTTACCGAGCCCCATTCTCTAGCTCAACCCCCGTTGGCCTTTCCCTTCCCCTTTCCATTGACCTCCAAAGGCGGGAACTCTTCGCCACCCGCCCTCAACACGGCACGCGCCTGCTCCCTTGCCCGCCGCTCCCTCGCCTCCTCCTCTTCCAGACTCAGCCTCAGCGCAAGCGCCAAGTCATCGTCGCCGTCCATCGCGTTGGTATCACCGGCGGCGGCCGGATATACCAATGGCTTGTCAGGAAACGAAGCCATGCCGGGACCATCCGCCGACACCGATGTCGCCCATGACTTCCCCATCCCAGTCATCTCCCCCTGTTGGAGTTCATACTCATAAGAGCTACCCCTCTCCCCACTAGTGGTGGACGGCGACGGGCCCTCATTCCGAACACTTTCCAGCAACGACAGCCTAATCGCGCGCTGGAGCTGCGCCTCAAAATCGTCATCATCGCCCGCCAGCCCCTGACTCTCCTCCCGAGGAACGGACAAGCCGGAACCACTTGGCCCAGCTGCAGTACTGGCAACACTGCCCGACAAACTAGGCTCGGGCGTGACCGTGTCGGCAGCGCTGCACGACGGCGAACCTGTGTCGCCGACGTCACTCGCACCGCTGGAGCGGCGCTGCTCGTCCTGTAGAAAGGCCTCCTGCGAGATCATCTGGGCGTACTGGATCGCCTCTTCCTCGGTCAGCTCGCCGAGGCCGACTCCGAACCGCTTGCGCAGGCGCTCGACCTCGCGGGCGCGGTGTTCCTGCTCGTGGCGCAGCTCTGCTTCCTCGGCGGCGATGTAGCTCGACACGGTGCCGTTGTGGCGCCGGCTGGCGAGGCGGCCGTGGATGTCGGAGTGGCGGAGACGGCGCTTACGGCCCGGCGCATGGTTGGCCGAGCTGTAGCTCCAGAAGCGGACGAAGGTGCCGAATGCGAGGATGCCCCGGAGGGCTGTCGGATCCGGGTCTAGGAAGATAGCGCGGACCGAGAAGTAATTGGCGTGCTGCAGCGCGGGGTTCTGGTTGAGGATGTGGCGAGGAATCCGGCCGGATGACTTAGCATTGAGCGTCCGGATCGGCTCCAGCGTCGATGCTAGCGGATCCCATGCCTGGACGAGACTGTCACTACCTCCGTGGACAAGGTACAGCGCTGACAGCGCGAGGCTGGTAATTTCGGGTGACTCGGTTTGGATGACCCTCAGAGGCAGTACGAAATCCAAAGCCGTGTCACGCATGTTCCACACGATGATCGAGCCGGTGTTCGTTCCAATGGCCAGCAGCCGCGCGCGTCGCCCGGGAATCTCACCTGTCGCCTGCTTGGACGTTGGAGTAGCTGGGGAGCTACCTCCGGATGCCGGCGTCCCCAAGAGCAGAGGGTCCTCGAAAGCAGCCGTGACAGCAAACGTGGACATATCCACCCCGCTTGCAGTGATTTGTGCGGAAGGGCTGAGCTTAGAGATGAGTTCGGTTGGCCGCCATTCTTCGGTATCCACTCTCTCTTGGGGTTGCCCGTATACGAATTCTTCAAGGGCGCTCAGCCCGGTGCTGCCAACCTGCAGACGTATCGATTTGGAATGCTCTGCACATCTTTCTCCTCCAAAAATCGAGACCTGAGGGGCCTTCTGAGGCGCAACCGGAGTCAACGCGCCTGATGGGCTCGGCTTCTCCGTCTCGCTGCAAGCCCTGAGAAATCTGCGGACCGAGGGATTTTCGCCCTCTTCATTGCCGCAAGTGATGACGAAGATCGCTTCTCCGCCGCCGTTATCCCCTCCGGCGGCAAAGTCGACCTCGAGTCTTCGCAGCATATCCCATCCAAGGCACACCTTTCTAAAGTGAGAAGGCGTGTGTCGGAAGTACTGCTCGATCTCCCTAGCCTCAGCAGCAAGTTGTTCCCTGCTTAGGTCTATCGAATGAGGCGAGGATCTGGGGGAGTAGGCCCCAGCCGCCGCGTCCTCACCGGACACATCGGGCCTTGCTGTCCGCCGGGTGGAGTCGAGAAGCTGCCAATACGCGGTTCGGCCAGCGTTCCAAGCATTTGTGACAACATCCTCCGCCTTGCCCTTGTGAAGCGGAGGGCTCGGAACTTCCGTTAAATAATAAACCTCGCCCAGAGCGTTCAACACGACGGCCCAAATCCGCCCAAGGCTTCTGCGTCGCAGGTTGTATTGATCATCAACCTTGATATCGATGATGGGTACCCCTGGGCTGAGAACCCAGCGAGCGGTCATGGCCCCAGCACCATACCGTCGGCCAGTGGACTCATGGCCGAGGGCATAGCACGTCACCACGCCTAGTGTGGATCCGGCCATGATTCCGATCATCGACTCAGTCATTGACGGTACATTGGACGATTTGGCGATCCAGATAGCGCTGACCGCATCGGCCAGCCCGGGGACTCGAGGAATTTCTGGCGCCGCGTCAACCAAACCCTGGTCTTGTCCAAGATAGTGCCCACGCAGCTGCCCAGTCGCCTTGTAGTACACGCGACCACCAGGAAACCCTTCGCCACCGACGAAGCCGTACGGCTGGCTCACGTCCATGACATTGGGAACAGCAGCCAGGCCATCGCCGACGCCAAAGAACTCGAGGTTCGGATATACCTCGTCTAGCTGTTGAAACGAGAAAGGGTCGTCCAGACCAAACTTGTCAATCCTGCCGGTGGTAGGGTCGCTGACCGTAACCATACCGAGGTCGCGAGTACCATGGATCACCTTAGGGCCCTTCTTCCCGCCAGTGAAGTCGGCATGGACATGGCTGATCATCCAAGGGAGTTTCGAGTTATAGGTGAGGACGGCGCTGTTCTTCTTGCTTGACTGGCTCGAGCGGATGGACGAGCCGATCGTGCCCGGTTTCCCACGTGCCACACTCCGTAGCAGGCGAGTCCTACCCAGATATTCACTGCGCCAGGAGGCCAAAGCCGTCAGCCGCGTGAAATAGCGGACCTCGGATCGTATAATATCCGAGGATTCAGCAGCTGTCGCCTGACGGCTGGACTTCCCGTTAACGGACAGGCCATCCTGCCCCGGAAAGTAGCGCAGAAACGCGGCCCGCCACGCATACGGCGTAGTGACGAGGTCATAGAAGCGCTTCGAGACCAGCGCTACTGCGCCGTGTGAATCGGGGTGCAGATGGGACAAGATCTGGGTCAGGATCTCTGCAGCGGATCAGGTCAGCGGCCCGCTGCGACAGGTACTCGGTGTGCACCCGTCTATGGTTAAGAAAGAAACGAACCATTCGGAAAATCGGTCAGCTGCACGCCGCCAGATGGGGAGCCGTTTGCGACCTTGAAGCTCGGCGCTGGACGGAAGATGTGCCGGGGCGACGAGGCAAGCGTGGCGTTCTCGTAATCAGTGATGCGTTGACCGGCGACCGTGACTCCAGTGTCCGCTGCGGATTTCCCCTCGGCAACACTCAGCCGGCCAAGGTCCTCGTTGAGCTGGCTGACATCGAGAGTGCCGGTAGATGCGGCTCGACCGGAGCCCGGCACATCCGCAGACGTGCTTCGGGCACGCGGTAGATAGCGAGCGTCTGGCAAACTTGAACGAGAGCAACCGGAGCCATGTTGAGCGGTGGTAGGTTCGGAAGTATGAGCAGTTCTTGTGTGAGCGTCCTGGTTTGGAGTGTCGCTCAGCTCTGATTGCATAAAGTTCCCTATGTGAGGCTCGAATTGAGTGGTATCCGGCTGTGCAGTTCGAATTGCACAGTCGATCAGTCGGTGGTCTGCTGGTGGAGGGGCGGTTCGTCGCAGAATGACACGTCGGCTCGCTGGAGTTCTATAGTGGTTGTGCACTGATGTACGAGTCTTCGAAAGCGAAGTGTTTTCCGGGAGTGACGTGTTTCGCGATCGAGATTTTCCGTCGTCATACGGATGGAGTAATCCGTACACAATTTCGGATCCAGGTTGCACGTGGGTTCGGGTCCTGGGGGCGAACCCCCTCATTGGTTGGATTAGGCACCTGTAGCTACGCCACATACCAGGCTTGCCTTGGGTGAGGCACGTAAGCGATGTGGCTGGGGAGGATTTGCATAGGTAAGGAACCTACACAGTATTGTACAGTACATTACAGAAGATCTATACTATATCAGTACGGAGTGCTAGTATTTACACAAGTGGCGCCTCATCGGGATTCAGCGGTCGATAATCGTATAATTCTTTTCGTGCTAAAACCGTAATCTCGGATGAGATCTATGAAAGTTAGAAAGCGACACTGGTTTCAACGAGGAGCCGGTCATCAAGATAGCGGAGCGTAAGACTTAAAGCTAATAAGCTGATCGGGATTCTTCAAACGCCGCTCGCCGTTACGCGTGTATTGCACCGAGCAATGACGTTAGTTACCTTCGTGCATGGATGCGCGTTAATATAATAATAAATGTCGCTGCTGGGTTCTCATCAATGAACTCTCCGTGTCCAGGCCCGTGATGCTCCATGACTCCGACCAACCCCAGCACGTCTGCCTGTTTTGATTCAGGCGCCAGTGAATAACTAGCGAAGGCCCCTGCCGCGGATCATAACCTCGGCTTGCTACAGTAACAACAGAAACAAAATCCGGAGGACGAGTGGGGAAGGGAGAGCTCCTGATTCAAGCGCGAAGTTCGAAGATCGTGTCTCGCCTGAGGCCATGAACCAACCTCCACAGTACTGATCTATGGTGTGAAGATAATTTGAATGCAATGTTCTCGTCCCATCTAGACAGTTCATGTGTGTATGTACAGTACATACTGCCAAGAAGGAGTCTACCGTGAACGTTAAGAGGAGATTGATGAGGATCCTAATGGATTCATCAGTAAAAAACGTATGCAACCCCCGGAAAGACGACTTTTTTGCCCCGCTTACGGAGCTAGGTAACGGCCCGCTCGAGGATCCTCAACAAGGGGGTCCAGATGGGCTTGACTCTAGCGAAAAAGGCACGTATCTCAACAAGACTTTGGATATCAAATATATAGTACACTTAGGTAATATACATAGCATCATAGGACAGCTAGAATAATCTCAGAGATGATCCGTTGTGTGCCAATGTGCCAATGCAGGCGACTTCGGCCTGTTGGCAGCTGTTAGCAGAGCAAAACATGAACGCGGAACTTTCGCCACCATGCATGTTACCCACCGAGGGCCCAATCGGGCCTTTGCCGACGGGAACGGAAGGTACCGAAGGGCCCCACCACCGGAAATAACGTTAATTCGTGAATCGGTCGGGTAGGTATTGCTCGTTTACGTCTCGACACCACGGCAAACGGGTAGTCAGGTTCTGGCGCGGCGGTCCGTGGAGTTGCCATGTCTTACCTTGCCCGTCACTGCCGCGGTGTATGCACCTATTACCTACTTTTGAGGCGAGAAGCTACGTACCTACCTACCTTACGTACAGGCAAGAATGCGGCAGGGGTCGGGGAAGCAAGAATCGGCATGATACAAGCCCTCCGATTGGTGTGAGCGGCGTCACTTTCCGGCACCAGCGAAGCCCTCGGCTACAAGACATGGTCCGTATAATACGGAATACCTAGTGCCTAGTACACGTGTAGTATAGTATAAGTATAAGAGGAATTGGGGGGGTCGAACCGATGACCTGGGTATATGGAAACGACCCCGTGCTTCTCTGTGGAGGAGACTGGAAGCAACCCAGCATCGGACGATGGACCGTATTTCGGCAGGCCGGGGTGCCGAGTGTAAGTTGAGCTTACCTGATAGTGTAGAGCATGACCGGCGCTCATGTAGTGTACGGATTAACAAGACACCATAACGTTACCGGATTCAGACGGGTCCATTAGCACACAGGCGTGGCTATATAACAACTACCTCTACAGTATTGTATATACCTATATAGGGTATGTAGTGAGGATTGCTCTTCAAACGTAAATCTCTCTCAATGTATAAGAGACGGATTGCCACTAAAAGTTAACCCGTGCAAATAACTTCTGTTAGCACGGCGATTGTAGCCGCATCACCTAGTTGAGAACCGCAGGCGGGGGACGGAGACACATCCCCGGGCGGCCAGTGATAGCATTGGCCCCCAGTTGGCGTGTCCGCAAGATGACCGTATGCAAGTTCACGACGGACGGGTGGCTGAACGAATTAGATTTAACAGGACTGCAGCCGCAGCCACCATGCCGCAAGCCACGTTGGGTCGCGGGGCCTGAACCGTTTTCCTGACGGCGAAACACGGGACTTTTCGATTAGTACGGAAGCTTACAATGCAGAGACACGATGAACGCACATATTAGAGTACCTAGTATAGAACGACTTTGTACGGAGACGGACAAAAGTACAGGAAAACACTGCACTTGGAAAGGTAAGCAAGCAATGGGCACCGCAGATAGTAAGGTTGGGTAACGAAAAGTATGGTGCAGATATATGAGCTTGGCTCATCAGGACGGCGGGGGCTGACTACAAGAGCGCTTATAACTCCTTCTGTCCAGCTCTGGGCTCGAACTGCAGACCAAGGCAAACTAGATGCTTCAGTGATATATTTGTCGAGAAGTCGGGCAACGATTATGGTACATCTTGAGTGCAGAATGGCACGGCGACTACTGGCAGTGTAGGTGAGCTCTGTTATGCATAACTGCCATCGCCTAGTCAGACTTCGATCGACTCGGTATAACGGATTCTTCGAAGAAGCCGACCCAGGTTGCAGGGAAAAATGACATGATGTTCAATTTGTAGAGTGACGTGATACAACAGGTAGTGCGCAACCTTAGAGAGGCAACTTCCCCGCTCCACCCGGCTCACGAGCCAGCCGAGTGAAGCGGTGAAAAAGGGAGGGCCTGGGCTGGAATGGAATTCTTGGACCCGACAGTTCGGGACCCAGGGCAGATGACCTCAACCATCAGAGGCATGCAGGAAAACCCGCGTTTCCCACACCTTGGCCAACACATACACTTATTTGTGCAATCTCGGCGGCCCACCTCGCGGAGGTCAGCTGTAAGCTGACAGCGCAGAGAAGACTCGGTGCGAGAGCGTCTACTGTGGGAGTCTGGAGGCTGATAAACACGCTAGTAGGCCAGTCGGACGGTGCCAACACAACACAGCGAGCTTAATAGACGGACCATCCTGCCCATCGTTCGTTCAGCCGTCGCGGGATTGGAGGGCACCAGGGAGCTGTGACCTGAAGCTCTCATGTCCGGCTATAGTGTATGTAACTATACACCTGCAAAACACCGGGGTCCGTCCTTGGCTTTCAAACGATCTGTTTGAGGAGAAAAGGGGACAATCGGATTCTATCCGCCGGCCTGTTTCGGAGGGAGGCATGGTTCAGCGAAGTCCGGCCGGGTATGTGACTGAATCCGGGTGTCAATGGACGGGTACAGTATTAGGTATCTCTGGGTAAACGAGGGTGCTGCCATCTGTCGATATGCTCCATCAACATGGTGATTTTCCCAGGTAGCGAGCTTCGCGGGTCCAATACAGAGGGATGTTGGTGGTGATAGTCCCACATACCTACCTATCACGACATCTCCTGTGGCTGCACCCAGCAGATTACAGCGAGGGGATAGCGGAACTGCTGCAGTGACACGTTCCTCTGGCGACTTGCAGTTGCTTGACGTGTCCAGCCGGGCTGGTGCGTGAACTCACCGGCACTAAATCACGCAAGGGTTTGTTGGACGGAGGACGTGGCCCGGATTGGTCGGGCGGTTTATCCGGTAATTCAGGAGGCCGATATCCAGGACCAATCGACAGGTTGAAACTGTGTTGAAGATGACAATGCTAGGGCCCTCAGTATCGCTGCTGTGGTAGCTGATTGCCATTCTTTGAAATGAAGAACTGCTGAACATGTCGTGCCAGTTGATGGGGGGAGCGGAGTTGCCGTGACCATGGTCTGGTGCTGCTGGAATAGGCCGGTGGAGGTTGTCGACGTTACTCTGCAGGAAGGATGGTATGGCGCCTGCAGGACGGGAAGCAAGTCGATGAGTTTGGTGCGCAACAGGAACTGCAGTTGCTTCAATAGCGATGGTGAAGCGGCCAGTGACGATGTAGTTGGAGTTTGCCGTCTTTCCCGGCGAGACCATCAAACAGGAACGTTGCACCCGCTACGTTCCAGGACGGAGGAGGCCGGTTCTCCCGAAGAGACGTGGTGAGAAACGGCGTCTCGGTCCGGAGAAAGAGCGGAGAACTGCCGGAAGTAGGCCGGGAGCAACTGGTACATAACTAAGTACATAGCCACCCAACTCCGAAGGCAAGCGAAAGAAACAACACAGCTCGCTGTCCACCTGGGCAAACAACAAATCAGTCTCTCGGAACAGAATGTCTCGGAGCCCCAGAAGAGGCAAGGGGAGGGATAGGTGGGGTACGTTGACGGGAAGGGTCTGCTGCAGAGAGCGGGCCCACTCCGAAAATTTCTGGGAAATCGGACGACTTTCCCATTTGCACCAAGTTAATGCGACACAAATGCTGCCCCGCACCGCGGCTTCCATGATTCAGGCAAGCGAGGTAACTGGTTGCTCATGGGTTCGCAGAGCTGGTGGGTCCCCACCCTGCCCGAGCGGGTGGGATAATTGAATTGCTCACCGGGTTACCCTCCGTTTGGGCGCGTTTCGTAACGGACAGTGGCATCGTAAGACCAAGCATCTCCCTTTCGCCTCCTCGAATTGCAGTGTAATGTTGGCTCAAACATTGCTCGCAACTAGGACTCATATGGAGAAGCTCGGTATCCATTTACACAGCAATATAATGGACCGCCTCGTTTATAGCTTTGTTTTTCGCTGTAACAGTCTCACAAGTCTAGAAATGGAGATGAGCAGAGGGCTCCGTTGGTTCCCTGCTCCCACTGCACCGGGGCAAGCGGTGGCAAGGTCAATTGGAGTCCGTCTGGACCCGTTCTGCTCGCTGGCACCCTGTCTTGGTGGTCAATTAACTTGCCAGCGTTGGGTCGCTTGTGCGTGTCGCAGGCGCTATTGATAAGCGGCCGTCGCTGGCTTGTGCTTCTGCTCAAACTGTCCCGGTTAACCTGCCTCAATCAAGCCTGCTCTACTAACCTTGCTCGGCTGGCCTTGCCCGAGTGTCTGACTGGTTTGCTGGACGCCCAGATTCCGCAATTGGCGCGTGGGCCATACTAAACCTGTCGATACCACCGCTAGTGTGCTGCATCCGCCCTCGTTTCCGTCTGCTGGAGCGCAAGAATACCTCATCCTTGCTAGCTTTTCGCACCGCACCACAGCGGACCTGTCTGCCCTTCTCCGCTCTCTTTACCTTCCCACTTCCCGCCGTTCCAGCGGCGCTTCCTCCCGGGCCTGCTGCTCTTTCTCCTTTTCCAGATTGTTGTTCCCACCGCTACCGGCCGACACGGGGAACACGACACAGATCTCGACGACAACAGCCCGGGCACGTCTGCCAATGGAATCGGATTGGATCATTACTGGAGCATAATCGTAGGGCGGCCCGTTCTGCTGGTTTGGGAAGTGCAGGTTCTCTGGGAAGTTTGTCCGAGCAACGCGCTTTCCTTCACGAAGCCACCGGGATCCACTCAGCATCATTCACACATCAACATCGACCCGGCCGCCTCTTATTATTAGGTGTCTGTTGAGCGCGGACGGCTTGTACGACAGACGGATAGGGTGACAGCGTCAGGGTCTTACCTTATCGCGTCGTTGTTGTGCGATTTCAGACACATACGGATATCAACCAGTCTTTTGCAGATGCAGCCCTTGCATCTCTGGGAAAAAAGCAACAGCCACCTGAACTGCAAATCACAACATCCAAACCACCAGCATGAGCTCACCGGCGCAAGGGGGCCCTACGGTCCCGAAGGACAAGGAGAGGAGGGGAATTGGGAAAGTCCTATCAAGGGTTAAGACTGTGTTCAGGAAAGCAGATCCATCTCGTCGGCGGTCCACGCTCGCCCCAACACAGCCCGGCACCTCAACTGCTGCTCCTGCAACGACAAGGTATGGCCGATTTTTCTTGTTTGTAGCTTTTCCGTCAGAATACGTTGCCAGCATGGCACAAGCCTCCCCTAACCTGCATGATATCCCGTCTAACTCGCTCCGTAGCAAAGCTGCAGAACCGGCATCAGCCGCGCCGGCCGGTCCGTCAGCCGTAGAAGCCACCGTCGTTCCAAGGTCCCAGATCTTTGAAGCGCGTGCGAAGAAGATCGGCGAACTGTACGGTCTGGAGATCAAGCCCAGCGAGTGGCACTCGACGGAGGGCAACGCTCTTCGGGTAGAGAAGCCCATCCGCATGCGTGTGCACAGGAAGTGTCATCTCTGCAACACCTCGTTTGGCCTCGGTAAGGAGTGCGCCAAGTGCAAGCATAAGCGCTGCAAGCAGTGTCCCCGGGTGCCTCCGAAACGAACCGAGGCGGAGAGGGAGGAGAGCCGCAAGAAACGTGCGGCTATCCTCAAGGAGCGTGCGGAGAACGCGCCTATCATTCCCGACTGGGACCCGACGCCCAAGAAGATTGTCCTAAAGCGGCCGGCCAAGACCGGGGGCCAGGATCTCATCTATAGGAAGCCCCGGCAACGCATCCGAAGAATATGCTGCCAGTGCGAACGACTCTTTGCCGGCTCCAAGACCTGCGAAGGCTGCCAACACACCCGTTGTACCGATTGTCCCCGCGACCCGTAAGTTAAAGCTTCCGTTTTCCTGTCATGGATTCTCAACTCACATTAATCGTGTGTGCAGGGCCAAGAAAGACAAGTATCCCTACGGGTACCCTGGAGATGCTCCAGGCGTCAAGATCGGCCATTACCACTGCACCAAGTGCAAACATATCTTCTCGATCCCGCCCCTAGACGAGCCATCTTGTGTCAAATGTTCTCACGATAAATGCGACCGGCTCACCCCGAGGAAGGTTGAACCAGAACCAGACCCCGAAGTCCTGAAGAGCATACAGGCCAAATTCGAAGCTATGAAACTCAAGTGACGATAGTCGGGTATTGGCACTCGGGTCTGGAGGGCGTGGAGAGCCCGGTAGGCGGGCGGGATGTGTCCAGTTCTCTTCTGGCATTCTTTCCCATGGATGCATTCATTTATCCCTTCTCGAAAAGCATGCACCTCATTAGCCACGGAATCTCTTGCGTTTCTTATCAGCGAGCGTTAGGGGAGAGCTTTTCTGCCTCCAATCGTCACGTCGACTTCCATCATTGCCCGCTCACCAAGGGCCCACGAATACCCCTTTTTTTTGACCGAAGCCGGCACGAATAAGATGGCTCACGAAAAAGAGTTCTTTTACAGTTGATCCAGCATCTCTGATGGGAACCAAGTACCACCAAAAGACATGCGAACACGACCGGATTGCATCTAGACGGCGACACATTGCATCACCCTGCTTCATCACAGCTGCCAGAGGGGGGCAATACTATTCTCGGACCCAGCGCGAGAAGGATAGAAGCTTGGGAAGGGGATTATGGATGAGGAGAGAAGGGCTGGATCCTGCGAACCACCGCGGAAGACGGGCTTTGGAGCGCCGTGGTGTCTGTCCTAGCCATTTGGGGAATCTTTACCGACGGCGGACAGCCAGCGGCGTGTTAGGGGGCATGGCGATGGCGAGTCAAGTCAGGGACTGTTTCTTTCCATTCCAAATTTTCTCCGTTCCGCATTTGAGGCTTCGAATCACATATTCTTTTTAGAGGAATGATCACCTCAACCTCCACGCACTCCTCCACTGAGATCCCCAAACACCAGTCTCGTTTGCGCAACCACGAGTTGATTTGTGTCGGTGACGTGTGAAGTCGCACAGAATCATCTTGGCTCGGCCATGGTCCAATCATGCAGAACTTCAGGGGCTCTACGTTCCATTCCCCTGGGATCTTTCGGTTTCGCGTTGCCACACGAACGCCACTTCCACTGGCAGAGCAGAGTTGTGGCAACACAAATGCGGACGGTCCGCGGGGTGGTCGTCTCAGCCGCACGCAATCGGCAGTCGCAGCGGGCAGGAGGAGCAATTGGCATTCGACGTGTTCCTCGGGTTCGGTTGGTCAGGCATTGTTTAATCACCCACGGCCTGGAACCGCGCAACGGGTTGCCCAATCTTTGCTGCAGTTACTACCTTGCCTGTATGTACGCCCAGTACTGCTAAGCGTATGTATACAAGAGCTGAACACTACGGTAACCCACTATGATTGTTCGTTGATGATGCGCATCCGGTGCCTGGCAGCGATAACTGTCTTGAATGATGAATCATATACAGACACCTGTCGACAATTTCACTGTGTTTTGTGGCCTTTACTATGTCCTTTCGTTTTCCTTCCATTCTTTTCCCTCTACTGTCGGTGCTCGGATGAACCTCGCAGCTTGGCATTCTAGCCACTTACCGCTTCGGCAACGGACCGATATCTGATCGGGCAGGTCTGAGCAGATGAGATGACGCGAGTGCAAAGCCATGTCTCACTCCCGGTTGAGAAAGTTCCGAGGAATGCAAGTGGGGCTTCTTGGCAGCACAGAAATCCGTTCTCCAGTTCGGTTACCGACAGTTTGGTAATAACGGAACGGAGCTGTCCGCAGAGACGGGCAACCAACCACTCACGTTGAATGAGAGGCAGTTTGACGCAACCAAACATTCTTCGACTACGGAAAGTGCTGACTGCATAAATAAATCTTGGGATTCAAAGCCGAGTAAGTGACGAGGGCTTGGTGCCGCAGGGCGGCAGGTTGCAGGTCTCTGGACCGCATGGGCAAGGGGCGAGGAAAAAGAAAGTTATGCGACGGCACCGTTGGACGATATACGATCCAAGCAAGGACCGTACGGATACCAGATGTGTCAGTGCACTGACATCCATCCATTGCGAAACAGTGAAGCCTTTCCAAGCCGAGTGCCTTTTGCGAAATACACTATGAACCTAGCCAGTGGCGCAAAGTGCAAACTTTCGCCTGCTTGGCATTCATAGCTCTAAGATATCCAAGCCCTGCTGGGATTCTCCGCTTTTGCTAGGAAGAAAGGAACCGGAAAATAGGAACAGGCGACAGAGAAGAGAAGGACCTCTGCTGCCACTCTAGACCGACTGTAGACTGCATTTCAGGACCAGCGGTTTGGCAGATCGGCCTCTTCCTCTCGCGATCTACTGCATTACTGTATGTATGTAGAGTCTCGGCACCCAGCCATCCTTCTTCCGCGATATACCGCGATACAACATCGTTTCGGCCAAGCGCATACCTACCACGTGCCTACGTACCTTACCAAACGACCCTCACCGCCTCTTCACCTCATGTTTTCCCTGTCAACCCAGCTACTTGGGAAGGCTTGTGGATAATCTCCACAACTTGCACCACCTGTTTCATTGCTGCCGGGATGAACGCTGCTTCCGCATCTTGAAGGGCTGCCTGACCAAGGCTGGAAGACCTTGAGATAGGCTCTTCCTTGCTACATAAGGTAGTACGCCGAGCTCAAGAGGCCTAAGAAGAAACGGAAGCAAGAGGTGCCGAAACGGAGTCCACGCCGGTTCAACACCATACCCCACCCCCCGTAACTGTGTGATCATGGTGACGCCTCGGTCTGTGTTTCGACCTCCAAGTGACTGAGGCTGAATCAAGAATTGCGGCACTCTGGTCTTCGTTGTGTATGTATATCCTACATGGATCATTACAAACCAGGAAAATACGACGATGGAGAAGATAGCCTGAGAATGAGCGCGGGCCCTCCAGTTACGGCTCCCATCGCCACCGATATTATGCCCTTTGACATCCTTCTCCCGGCGAAGAGGCGACCCATAGGCCACCAAGACACCGGCTACAGACTCCAAGGATTAGTCGCACTTTCCAGCACAGAATCAGGCCGTTCTCGTAGATGCCGCTGCCGTTGAACCATCCGTAGCCTCTCGATGTCAACCGTACCTATCAAGAGAGACGTGAGACATGGTAACAGCCGCACCATGTAAGACACAAGTGGGAAGAGAAAAAAAAGAAACGGTTCGCTCTGCCTAATTCTCAATCATCCCCATCGGCACGCGGAACTCAACATTGACCGCGTCCCCAAGCATGGCCTTACGACCGGGCTTCCGTCCCGCATACGCCCCGCCGCCGCTGTGGCTCCTGTTGTTCAGATATGCGGGTGCCTCCTCCAACAAGCCCCTCTGCACCCAGGTCTGAAACCGGGCGGGATCGATGACGCTCATGAGCTTCTCGGTGACGTAGAAGCGGCCCTGCACGTCCTGCTCGACGCGGACCACCTGCGCGGCGACGAGCACCCAAGTCCAGCGCACCGTCCTGTCCATCTCGATTGTGCTACGTGTGGTCAGCTCTTCGACGAAGGCTGGGCCGAGCTGCTCGGCGGGGACCGAGTTTTGAGGAGGGCCCTGCGCCAGGAAATAGCGGACGGTGCGGTAGAGGTTGCCTTTGAATCGGAGGGTGGCGTGCGCATCGCCGCCCGGCGCGATGTTCGTGGCAGTAGTGGGCGTGATGACTTGGATCTCGGTGACGTGCATCACGAGATTGGCGTCGAGCGGTACGGCCATTGCGGTTTGGTCTGATGCCGACAGTTCCTGGGCCGGGTTGGCGACCCGGATGGCGTCGCCGACGCGGATCATCTCGGCGCCGAGGTAGACACCACCGTAATGCTGCACCTGGAGGGCACCGTCTGGCGTGGAGCCCTGGGCAAGAAGGTCGAAGGTCGAGAAGGCGTCGTTGATTGCACGCGCGCCCATCTTTGAAGCTTCCAGGCCAAGTACTTGGCGGTTCACGTCGCGCTGGTTCGGGTCCGTCTCTTGCGAATAGCGGGCCGTTAGGGCCTGCCAGTTAACACTGTCGAAAGTCTTGTCCTTCAGCTCGTCGAGGCCCGCGCCGGGTACACTAAAGGTGAGGAAGGGCCGCATGGACTGGCAGTCCTTGACTAGAGTGTTCTGGTCCAAAAGGGCGTGTCCAAGCGGAGCGAGGGTGAAATGGTAGCTGGAATCGGGTGCACCGGCGCGTACAGCCGAGCCAGGCTTTGGCATGATGGCCAAGATTACGCCTAGCCGCCAGGCCGTGTGCTTGTACCAGACCAGTTCTCCCACGCGGAATACGTTGGTGAGATTGGTGATGCCGCGAGGTGAAGCTTGCTGCTGCTGGGCAGGCTGTTGGGGCGGCGCCGGCTTTGGCGCGGTGGCGGGCGCTTGCTTTGCCGAAGTTGTGCTGGCAGAGGAGGTCGCGGTCGTGGGTTGCGTAGCTTGAACCTCGCTCCCCATCTTCTTTGCATACTTAGGGCAATATTGACACAGGCACCCCTCGTTGTCTGTGGAAGCGCTGGCCAGCCAAATGCAATGCAGGGCAAAGTCTTTGGGAGAGCGATACGTTGCCTTGGGGCCCGAGGGATGGCCGTGCATATAATAGTCCCGTTTCTCGTCTTTTCTCCCAACGTATCGCAGCTCGTAGCCCTTGGGAAAAACGAGCTTGTACTTCCTCGCTGGTGGTCGGTCAGCATCTGCATCTGCATCCGTGAGACCCTGGCGGTGGATGCTTAACTGCTTACTGTCATCGGGCTTCAGTTGCTCCATGAGTTGTTCCGCGACGGTGATCTCCCACCGCTCACGCGTAGCTACATCGTTCTGGTCATCTGGGTTAAGCGGTTCGTCGTCCAGATTGACGTAGCCCTGGCCATCACTCCTGGCAAGGTGTATTGGCCAGTATTCATTGCTTTGTGATGCTGCCATCATCACAAGGACAGACACTGGTTGTTGTTGATAATGAAGCTGATGGGTTACGATGCACGATAAGAATCACGTGCCTAATCACATGGATCTTTTTTCCACGTTGGCTCCACAAAGCTATGGTATTTACACAGTATGACCGACCGACAAACCAATTTGTACAATACACCCCGCTTTTCATCTGCACTCGCTGGTGCAGTTGAATATATGTAATCCATACCGTATTGCAGTGGTAATCAGGTTAACTTTACCTATTCCGTACCTATGGTAGGTTACTTCAAGCGCATCAAATCACAACAGGACCCTTTCCTTGATGTAGGACGACACGCAGCATTACTAGCATGCTGCATATTCTCATCACCAATGTAGGTAGATCACAGTCATTCACACCGAACTACTAGTAGTAACCGAAGCCACCCCGCCTTGCCCGCCTTCTCCATCCACTAAATCCACCAAATCCACTTGAACCCGACATCGCCACAGTGCACTCTCCATAGTGGTTTGCCCCGCACAAAATTTAGCATGAAGGCAAGATGGCCGAGCGGTCTAAGGCGCTACGTTAAGGTGTATCCTTAATCCCAACCTCCAAGGTTCCGTAGTCCGAAAGGGCGTGGGTTCGAATCCCACTCTTGTCAGCTTCTTTTTCCTCCTCGATATCATATCTGAATATGTGATGCTAAAACTTCAATTTTTTGCCTCCAGAGGATTGGTATGCGGGTGGTTAAGGTGGTTAAGGCGGTTAAGGTGGTTAAGGTAGGGTTGCTCAGAAATACTTGCTGTGCCATGAAGACCTGTCTTTACGGTACTTATTAGCTCCCGTCCACACCACTGCGGCAATATACGACGTACGACGTTGCGGTGAAGTGATTATACCGGCTGAACCGTGAAAGACACATTGACAGCAACATTATTGAACACTACAAGACGCGCTGCTATGGAAGAGCGCTCTCTACGGTGTACTTGGAGCCTCAAAAGCCCGATTGAACCTGACAACCTGTATGAGCTGTGAGTCCTTTGAATCAAGAGTTACCTAATTCTCTGGGATAAAAGGGCCTGACATGCAGCCCACCAGGTTCATGCAGTTGAGCGTGTGAAAGCAATGAGGAAACTGGGCTGCAGTTGATACCTCCATTATTCCACATAGCCGGTTGAGCATTTATATACTTGTCATGCTTGCTCACGGCACCCGGCCCGAGTAGAAGATGATGAGGCGAGGAAGAAAGAACAGAAGGAGAGGGAGACGACCAAGGATCTAGAAAGCGACAAAGGGTGTGCAGGTAAAAAGCACCCGTGTATTCCGTAAGCCTCATGGGCTTCCTTGAATAAGGGCAACAATTATGGGGACATCTGAATCGAGCGATCTTGCACAGTATGTATGCCCGTCTGTTGCGGTTCCTGACTGTGTTGGTTCTTGAAACATCGGTTGCTTGTTATACTATTGCCCTGGGGTCTTGGATATAGGAGGATGAAACCTCCTTCGGCAGAAAACAATTGATGGTCAACTATCCGAAAAGGCAAGCTCAGCCGGACAATTCAGCCATGCCCAAGCTACAACGTGCTAACTTTTGACTTGTCCTGTGTCGTCGATGTTTAGGGAAGATTGTGCTCACCGCGCCAATCTCCCCTCCACATCCAAGCCAGTCCCAGCACAGCCATGTGGGAATTGAGTCAATTGACAGAACCCGGAACCCAACTGCTCAATACATCCAGCGACGCAATTCAGCATCGCCGATCAAGCGGGCTGCAAACTCTTTTCTGTCAAGGCTCGGAGTCGGGGCAAACAAGCCTTGATTGGCACTTTCTCCACAGACACAAACCTGTCGGGGCCGTGCCGTTGTTGGCTCATTCCGTCTGCTGTGAGTGCCGCAATCTCAACCTGCATCCCTCATTGGGCGACGGGATCCGTCCCTGAGCCGGCCCCTGTCAATGCGTGTCCACTGCCGAGATGACGGACCAGGAACAGAGCGTACCCGTCTTGCTGATTGGGCAGCCCTTGAAGCTATCGAGATGGACCGACGAGGGGGCTGCGAGGCCAGATCCCCCGGTGGACTCCAGTGCCCCCAGAAAAACAAGGGGCAGCCCATGCCTGGAAGGGGCCCCTTCCCGACGCGGCCTTTTTTCCTCCTTTTGCACCACCAACTTGCAATCCTTCGCTCGTCTTGCGTTCAAGACGTTCTCTCTTTTATCTTCATCGCTCGTTTTGACCAACTCCCGTTTGCGCTCCTCCGTGGTCGCGGTCGTCATCAACGCTCGTTGCTTGGAACAACCCCGTTCGTTAACCGACAACCCAGCTCGACAGACCCAACCCGGTCCACACGTTCGCTTACCCGCGTTGTGGTCGTATGATCTCGAAGGATCTGTAAGCTTGGAGTGGTGCGCCAGGGGCCTTGCTCGTCATCGTGTATCCGACACAGTTCGAAGGTGGTCTACCATAACGTAAAGGGGAGAGCATCTACCGTTTTCAGCATCCAAGCTTGTGTCGTCGATCTCTGCGAAGCCCTCTGAAACAATGAGGTTCTCAACACTCCAGGCCGCCTTCGGCTCGGCCTCGATTCTGCTCTCCGCCCAGCCCGTCTCTGCGAATCTTGGCCACCGGCACGCGCACGCTCACTATTCAAAGAGGCATGGCCACGCCCATCAGGCAGAGGAGGCTGCCAGCGCGCCCATCGTCGCGAGGAAAGCGAAGTGCACCTTGCCCGACCACCCTGACCTGGTGTACGTGCCCGGGAAAGTAAACAACGGCTTCGCCATGAGCCCCGATCAGCCGTGCGAGGACGGTACTTGGTGTCCAATTGCCTGTGTGCCGGGCAAAGTGATGGCGCAGTGGAAGCCTCACACGCGCTACATCCCTGGGGACTCGATGGTGAGTCAAGCAGGCATTTCTTTCCTTTACCTGGGCCGAAAGACTGACGGGTTTCTGCTCTAGTACGGCGGGCTGTACTGCAACGGTGGGACGCCGGAAAAACCGTTCGACTCAAAACCGTACTGCGTGGATGGCACAGGCGCGGTTAAGGCCGTGAACAAGGCTGGAAGTGTCGTATCGTTTTGCCAGACCGTCCTTCCGGGTAACGAGGCCATGATCATCCCGACCGATGTCACAGACTCCGTAACACTCGCTGTACCCGGGGCTGATTACTGGGCTGGAACTTCGGCACAGTAAGCACCCGCCCGACAGGCTGATCCGGGCGTGAGACTAACCCGATACGCAGCTATTATATCAACGCGCCTGGGATCGACTCCTCCAAGGGCTGTGTATGGGGAACGATCGACCAGCCGATTGGGAATTGGAGTCCTTTTGTCGCGGGGGCCAACACCATGGCGAGCGGCGAAACATTTGTGAAGATTGCGTGGAATCCCGAATACTTGAAGACGCCGCTGAAGAACACCCTCCCGACGTATGGTCTCAAGATCGAATGCCCAGACGGAGGCTGCAACGGGGTACCGTGCTCCATCGATCCGTCCAAGGATGGGCTGAACGGCGTGTCGAGCCCGGTTGCGACGGACGGGGTTGAAGGCTCCGGCTTCTGCGTTGTCACTGTTCCCAAGGGGCGTACTGCCAACATTGTGGTCTTCAACACGGACGGCTCCTCGGGCGCCCCGGCTTCTTCGTCCAAGTCAAAGGAGCCGCCCAAGACCACGAGCGTTGCGAAGCCCACAACCACTAGCACCCCATCGACTAGCTCTGCTCCTCCTTCGACCTCGAGCTCGACCTCGACCTCGTCGTCGTCGTCATCGTCGTCGTCCTCCACGACGCCGTCCTCGTCATCTGCCAAATCCACCACCAAATCCGCGTCGCGGTCGTCAACCACGTCAGATATCTTTGTCGGAGGTATCTTCCAAGAACAGTCGGCGTCCGGTGAGACGTCAATCTACTCAGCTCCCAGATCTACGGCCCAACCGGTTGCGAGCACGACCGCGGATGCCGCGGGTCCCAGCTCGGCCACGCCGAGTAAGAATGAGGGAATCGCCGCCGAGGGTGACTCTGCCATGGCCGGCCTTGTCGTGGCTCTGGTTGCTGCCGCCGCCCTGTTCTAAGCGGCTGTTCCTCTGGCCATTCTTCCGCCAGCACTTTTGGCGCTTCGTTCGTTCTATCGTTCGATCTCGGCTTGTACGTTGTTAATCTCGTCGACAGAATACGCTTTGTTTACCGTTCATAGACACGCTATATCCGCGATTCGACTGCGTTATTATTGTTTAGTATTATTGGAGCGACCCGCCAGCGCGAGTCCATGCTGGTCCTTGAGACCGGGTATATTTTCGCCTTCGCTTCTCCCGGCCGCCTTAGTCTTCGGCCGTGGCCCTTTTTTTTCTGTTTCTGCCGCTTCGCGATATACCCCAATGCGTTTCTTTTCGGGCTCGGACCGTGGTCATTGGGACGTTCCTCGGCCGGGGGTTTTAGTATGGGAAGAGGACTTGTTTGGTTATGCCTGAAGAGATGTATGGCTGGAATGAGGAAGCGATGTGGGAGGTTTTGGTTTTGCTATGGATGTGTCTAGGGAACAAAAATTTAGCGAACGGAATTGCTTTGCTCATCGGCTTCGCTGTTCCATCATTATTATGGAACAAGCAGATACGATAAGCGTAGTCAATGAAAGAAGATGACTGACGATGACGAGAAGAACCCTCTCAGCCGTGTATGTGTGCAATGTACTAGTATGTGTGCGATGTGTGTGTGCCGGTTTCCATGTTTTTCGAGAAGGGATGCCGGGACAGCATCACCAAATTTGGGATTTGGCATGCCTCATGCTCCCTGCCTTAGTACCTAGGAAGGCACGACTTCCCGTGCTTATCGCTGTACACACCGGACAAAACAGTAAGGATCTACGACATGCATAAAGGCTTTTCGATTCATATTGATGAGCGTTGTGCTATGGCCCAATTAAGGTGCCTAACAACCACGGGTAATATATAACGTTACACTCCTGCGGCCTGTCCGACCGTCCGAAACACTCCTTTGCCCTCTATTCCAGACTTATGACGGGTCCCGGACCCAGCCAGGGACATCATCCATCTCTCCAGGCGATTCCATAGTCTCCCCACTGTCGCACGCTTCCAGCGCCTCTTGATACGCCTCCTTAAACCGCTCCATGATACTCTGGTACGGATTCGGCCAGCCAGCAACGACAGCGTTGCCACCTTTTTTCTTGGCGCCTTCGATGGCAAACCGCTTCTGCTGGCGCGCAATGAAGCCGTTGAGCAGGCCCGAGTTCACAAGACCCGCAACGACGGACTCAACGTTGGAGATATTTGGCGCCCTGTTGCCGAAGATGAGCCCTTCGGATGGCATCAGATGGCGGGGCCCTCCTGGCGGCGCGACAAGCAATGAGTTTGCCCGCGGCCCGGCTTTCTGTGGCACGTAGCCCTCGAGCAGCTTTTGCACGTAGCCGGCCGCCGTGACGAGGTCGTCCAGTGATAAGGAAGCGGCCCGGTTGCTTAAGCCGCCTGTGGAGCCCTGCCATGTGAGGAGGAATGTCTTCCTCGATAAGGACCGCCAGAGCAGGGGCTTTAGCTTGTATAGGAAGTCGAGGTAGAAGCGCCTGTCCCACAGCCAGTCACGGTTGGCGTCGAGCGCGTCGTAAAAGGCGACAAAGTTCCCAGACCGGATCGCGGCACAGATAGGTAGGAAGATTTCGGCGAGTCCAGCAGCCTCGGGTCGTTGCAGCAGTGTCCGGGAGGGAAATCGGCCAAGGAGAAGATTGGTCGCGATCCAGTAGGTAAGGATTTGCCGGCGGTGTTTGTAGAACTGGGGATGGCATTGGCGGTACGCTTCCTCCAAACACATGTCTGCTCGTAAATAGTGGCCGTGGTCGTAGTGGAAACGCCCCAGGTAGTAGAGGTAGGTAACTCGCTGCGATGCCGGGTACAGTGAGAGCGCGGGACCACTCGACGAGAGGTTGGTGAACATCTGCACTGCGAGCCGGGACTTATCACACTGGGACACAGTTAGCATGTCCGAGTCAACGGCCTTCATGGGGAAGGACGGGTTTGTCCTTACGGCGAACAGGAGCTTCAGAGTGAGGTTTGCAAAGAGGTAAACGGCGACTTTCTTCCCTTTCGGCTGCGACCACCTTGTGCTGGAGCGGTCCGTCAGGCAGGAAGTGAACAGGTGCTGGATGATGTCGGCTGCTAGCTCCACGACGGACTTCTTCTCGCCCGCCTCATCGCCACCCATGTAACCCTCGATCTCCGCTCGGAGTTGAGGATGTCTCGAGAGGCTCATAACCAACTTGGACAGCGACTCGGAGAGCGACATGCTGGTCTGCAGCAGCATGGTGCCGTAGGTAGGGTGGGCAAGCGCATTTGCGCAGGTGCTAGGTCACAAAGCACGTCAGCATGCAGTGGCAGTGGCAACAAGCAACAAGCATCAAGCGAAACATCTTCCCTACATCAGAAGGCCGCTCAGCTGAGCGTGCACATGTACAGCATCCTCGAAATCGACGTCGCGCCAATACTCGAGGTATTCCTTGACGAATGAGTTGAAGCCGGGCCAAGGCGATCCCTTGCCCTCGGGTACGCTGTCCTCTTCTGGCAGGTGCTTCTCGACCAGCTTCTCGAGTTCGGGGGAGTCGCGCGGGAAGCCGGACCTGAGCTGCTCGCCCATTTCGTAGTAGATATCGGCAACATCGGGTTCGACCAGGAGCCAATTGCGGAGCTCGTCGCTGTTTTGCTCCAGGACGAGACTCCGGATGCCGCCCAGGAACTCAACCACCCGACTCATTGTGGCACGCTGGAGCGTTTTGTATTCGCTGTGAGCCGGCGGCTGTGATCCGCTTTAGCAATATGACGGGGTAACGGATGCTTTCTATATGCGCGACTCGACTTGGCGGGCTATTGTGGCATTGTGCAGACGCGGTGAAGTCAGAAGCAACGACCTAATGAATAGGCCCTCATTCGGCATGAGGATGGCTTTCAAGAGATGCGTGGTGGTCGCCACCCATGCTTGAGGTGGAAACAGAGAACAGTGAACAGAAAACAGGAAGCAGTGTTGTCTGTGCTTGGGTTGATGAGTACCTTGTAAGTTGCGTCCACTTTCTGAATCTGGACAACTTTTACCAATTGCAACTGATCCCATACAACTCATGAGTTGATGACGTGCATATGATACATGGATCAACTCAGTTTATTAGCGTTTTAAAGTTTGAGCTTTGGTATTTGGCCTTTCCGGATCCTCTTGATTGAGATCTGAGCGTCAATGGCTGAGACAGCCCTAACCCTTAATAAATGTCCAGCAATATCAACTTGGAAACCACCACCCAGATGTTCCGAATCATGAATCAGACAGACTCGATCCTCTGCACCACCATCGCCGTTGCCGCGCCGCCACCATTGCAGATGGCTGCAACACCATACTCGCCGGGTTTCAGCTGATGGAGCAGTGTCACCAGGATTCGTGAACCTGAGCTGCCGAGGGCATGGCCTAAAGCGATAGCTCCACCCAGCGGGTTCACTCTTGCGCCCTTCAGACCGAGGATCTTCTCATTAGCCTTGATCACCGCCGCGAAAGCCTCGTTGAACTCCCACACAGCGACCTGGTCCTTGGTGATACCGGCCCGCTCCAAGGCAATGGGCACAGCCTTGGCGGGGGCAATGGGGAAGTCAATGGGATCCACAGCGGCATCAGCCGAGCTGCAGATGCGCGCGAGGACCCGCGAGCCAGCGCCGAACTCCTGCGCAATCGCCTTGCTACCCAGCACCAGCGCGCTTGCGCCGTCATTGAGCGTGGACGAGTTGGCCGCCGTCACGGTGCCGGTACCATCGCGGATAAACGCCGGTTTGAGCGTGGGTACCTTCTCCAGCTTGATGTCCAGATATCCCTCGTCGGTTGTGATAACCGTATCGCCCTTCTTGCCCCTCACCGTAACGGGCGCAATCTCGTCGGCAAAAGCGTTCGTCTTCCAGGCGGCCTGCGCCCGCTCGTAGGATTGGATGGCGTATTCGTCTTGCGCCTCCCTCGAGATTTCATACTTCTTGGCTGTATTCTCGGCACAGTTGCCCATGTGGATCTGGTCGTAGACGTCGGTCAGACCATCCTTGATGAGGCCGTCCTCCATCTTCACATGACCAAAGGCGGGCAACCCGCTCGCGCGGGGTACGTAGTATGGCACTCTCGACATGTTTTCGAAGCCTCCCGCGATCTGCGCCTCGGACAGACCCAATTGGATGTTCTGCGCCGCAAACACAACCGCCTTCAGCCCGGAGGCGCACACCTTGTTGATGGTGATCGCTTCGACGGTAGGGGGGAGCCCAGCGAAAATGGAGGCCTGACGCGCCGGGGCCTGCCCAACGGAGCCCTGGAGGACATTCCCCATGTACACATCGGTGATCTTGGAGACAGGAACCTTGGACTTTTCTAGGGCTGATTTGATGGCGACAGCGCCGAGCTGGGGGCCAGTTACGTTCACATACGATCCATTGAACTAAGGTATGCCTGTTAGTATGAAATGACGATTATGTAGCGACGGAACTCAAATACACACTTTGGCTGTAGGCGTTCGGGATGCACTTAGAATATAGGCATCCCGAATCTCTTGACGGAGGCTGGCATGTGATGAGAACAGCCGAGCCGAGCCGGTTCTTAGATGTGGCGACACGCGCAGCGCGTTTCTGAATTGCCCCGCCATTACCGTGATACAGATCGCTCAACAAGGGATAATGCAAAAGCCAGAGGAAGTCTTGAGAAAAGGGAATCAAGGGAAAAGGTGTTGGTGCATGGAGCAAAGCGTTCCAACAAACGCTGGTCGCCCTTCCGAGGGCCAGCGACTTTAAAGACATGGCAGGCGGAACTTACAGCTCGGCTTGTGACGGAACGGCTGCGGCAGGTGTGGAGGTGGGGAGGCCGGGTTCAATTGGACAACGCCGGAAAAGGCTTCCTGGATCCGCTTACAGAGCAAGTTGTGAACATCAATGGATCCCAGCCATGATGGTTAAGCCTTCGGCGCGGAAAAGCTTGCCTGCCAGAGAAGCAGGGAAAACCCCATGGGTTCTAGAAGAATATAGAATAATTGGGTGGCGGCCTAGGAAATTCGCCGCTGTGCTTGATGCTGGCCTGGGTGATTGGCCATCTCAACCCCGTTAGTCGAATACCGATGCCGGGCCCCTTCGATCACCATTGATCGCCACCACCCGCTCGCCTCTTTCTTCCCGTTCGGTCAGCCACCCAACGTCTACTTTTCTACTCCATACTGCCCCCTACTGCGAAACTCATCAACAACGTCTCCTACTGCTGTACATTGGTCCAAATGTCGACCGCCGCTCGCCGCCGTCTCATGCGAGACTTCAAGGTACGCATTGCTGACTGGTCTCGAAGCCACTTATCTGCAGCTTTCGGCGGATCCTATCCCACGCCAAAGCATCGAGACTCCTTGAAGATCCTTGCGTCATGCTAACCTACTCGTCGCAGCGCATGCAGACCGACCCTCCCGCTGGTGTCTCCGCATCCCCCGTTCCCGATAATGTCATGACCTGGTGAGCGACTACCTTCGTGGCATCGCCCGGCTCCTGCAGCGACTGACACGCTCCGCCATTAGGAACGCCGTCATCATCGGCCCCGCAGATACTCCCTTTGAAGACGGAACCTTCCGACTCGTGATGCACTTTGAAGAACAATACCCCAATAAGCCACCGTCGGTCAAGTTCATCAGCCAAATGTTCCATCCGAACGTCTACGCAACGGGGGAGCTCTGCCTCGACATCCTCCAAAACCGGTGGAGCCCGACCTATGATGTTGCAGCTGTGTTGACGAGTATTCAAAGGTGGGTGGATGAGGCCGGATACATTACGGGGTGTGGGAGTATTTCGAGGCTGACAACCTACCTACTCGGTAGCTTGCTTAACGACCCCAACACGGGATCCCCGGCGAACGTCGAGGCTTCCAATCTGTACAAAGACAACCGCAAGGAGTATACAAAGAGAGTGAGAGAGACAGTGGAGAAGAGCTGGGAAGACTGAGACCCGGGTGGGAGGCCGAGATTTTACTCACAGCACCTCGAAGCTGTCCTGGTTTTGCTCCAGGAGTCAAACTGCCAACAAGAACATAATCGACGACGCACCACATTGGCAGCAAATTGACGGGGACAAGCTTGGCTATGACATGCCTACCGTCCGCGGGAACAGGTTGGCTTAATGTTCGGCGACACAGCCAAAAGATAGCGCCGGGGTGCCGACCTAATCCGCTCTTCCGTTCCTGGAGTTCTGGCGTTCTGGACCATTCGCTTTAGCATTTACATGGCTCTTCGCGTCATTACATAGCGTTAAAGTGTTGGCAATGCAGCAACTTGGTTTTTCCAGAACCTGTCGATGAGGCTGGCTGGCACTTCAATTAAGGGAGGGGGGAGGGGGGCAGGGCGTGACCGGAGTTATGGCCGACATCAGCATCTGCGCAGAAACACAGTGGCTGCAGTTATATTCTTGTTGTCAGGCACTACTCCCTTTTTGTGTCAATATATACTCCGTGATGCGGCTCGCCCTGTATGATAATTACTATCAGTGGACTGCTGCACCTGATAACATGCCAGAGCATTGGAAGCTTGGAAGTGTCTCAGTTCACGTCGAAGCCTCAATCGTCAACCCTCGGGTCGAATAGGGCTGTAGGCGTACGGAGTACAACAACCTCGTATGAATTGCGAGTTATATCTCTTTGGATGCATGTATGTGGGCTAATGTTGATGTTGAGTACCTCAGTACCCAAGTAAGGTATTGTACTAGCTATACCTCTGTACGTCTTTTTCCGACCAGGAGGACTCGTGCATGTGTCGTGGTACTTATCGCAATTGTGGTTTGTGCTTTATGTGGATCCACCGCATGAAGCTGACAATTTCCCGATTGTCCCTGGTGCTTGCGCGACGACTTGACACTGGCTGGCCGGCAAAACGCTGTGCCTAGCCTCGGGCAGGGATAACAGAAACCGATCGATCTCAGGCGTGCAGTGCACAACCGATCACTGTGATACCACACTGGCAGCGCGAACTCGGCGCGTCTCTTCAGCGACAACCGGCCACCCTTCTTTTGTGCGAAGCAAACCACACTTGTTGACGAGACCCTAACTTGCTGTATCCGATCCGCTCTCGCTATTGACCTCCACACCTGGGAGACCCCACTTCGTTTTGAACGTTCTTCGAGTACTTGGGTCACACAGTACGGTGTGCACCAGAACATTTAACACCCTGTTTCAACACTTCCATTCCGGAGTCCCTACTTGTCAACGCATAACCTATTGTTCGGTCGGATAGCGATCCACTCTCGCCTTTCGCTCACTGACGAGACGTTACTCCGTGACACGCTCGCTTGCTGCAGACGGAGAGTCACTTGGGTCTTGACATTCCTCCGCCGGGCATCCCCGCTTTGTGCCCTGTTCCCGATCTGCGCGGCCTTCCTTCATGAATTTGCGCTCACTGGAGCGCGGGTAGCGGGCTGCCATCATGTCGAACGCAAACAGCATCAAGGTCGTGGCTCGATTTCGCCCGCAGAACCGGGTTGAGATCGAGTCGGGCGGTCAGCCCATTGTCAGGTTCGATGGCCAAGACACCTGCACCATCGACGTGAGTCACCCACGAGACGTTGCGCCGACTGCTACTCGGTATCGTCCGGCCCTTCCTGCTAACACGCTGCGCCAGTCCAAGGAAGCGCAAGGCTCCTTCACCTTCGACCGTGTATTCGATATGTCATGCAAGCAGTCCGACATCTTCAACTTCTCCATCAAGTCAACCGTCGACGACATCCTCAACGGCTACAATGGCACAGTCTTTGCCTATGGCCAGACGGGTGCGGGGAAGTCATACACGATGATGGGCAGCAGCATAGATGACGAGGAAGGGAAGGGTGTTATTCCGAGAATAGTCGAACAGATTTTCGAGAATATCCTGTCCAGCCCAGCGAACATCGAATATACGGTCCGCGTCAGCTACATGGAGATCTACATGGAAAGGATCCGCGACTTGCTACAGCCGCAGAACGATAATCTGCCGGTCCACGAGGAGAGGAACCGCGGCGTCTACGTCAAGGGGCTGCTGGAGATCTACGTCTCCAGCGTACAAGAGGTGTTTGAGGTCATGCGGAGGGGTGGGAACGCCAGAGCTGTCGCCGCGACAAACATGAACCAGGAGTCTTCGCGCTCGCACTCGATATTCGTTATCACCATCACACAGAAGAACGTAGAGACGGGCTCGGCAAAAAGCGGCCAACTCTTCCTGGTTGACTTGGCCGGTAGCGAGAAGGTTGGCAAGACGGGCGCTAGCGGCCAGACGCTTGAAGAAGCAAAGAAGATCAACAAGAGTTTGAGCGCTCTGGGCATGGTCATCAACGCACTGACAGACGGGAAATCGTCGCATGTCCCCTACCGCGACTCAAAACTTACGCGTATTCTGCAGGAATCTCTAGGTGGTAACAGCCGGACAACGCTTATCATCAACTGTTCCCCAAGCAGCTACAACGATGCCGAGACGCTCAGTACGTTGCGCTTCGGCATGCGCGCCAAGTCTATCAAGAACAAGGCCAAGGTCAACGCTGAACTCAGCCCTGCCGAGCTAAAGATGATGCTCGCCAAAGCCAAGACGCAAATCACATCCTTCGAGAACTACATCGTCAACCTGGAGGGCGAAGTACAACAATGGCGTGCTGGAGAGACCGTACCGAAGGAGAGATGGGTACCGCCTTTCTCCACTGATGGTGTGGCTGGAGCAAGAGCCGAGGCAAGGACGGCCAGACCATCAACGCCCTCTCGGTTACTGCCTGATAGGTCGGGAGCTGAGACTCCGGGAGGCATCTCGGAGAGAGCCGGAACCCCGAGTCTGCCCCTGGAGAAGGATGAGCGCGAGGAATTTCTGCGCCGGGAGAACGAGCTTCAAGACCAGCTTGCTGAAAAGGAGAGTCAAGCGGCCATAATGGAGAGGCAGCTGCGCGAGACGAAGGAAGAGCTTGCCATCCTGAAAGAGCACGATGCGAGAATCGGAAAGGACAACGAGAGGCTAATCAGCGAGTCCAACGAGTTTAAGATGCAGCTCGAGAGGCTGGCATTCGAGAACAAGGAGGCGCAGATCACAATGGATGGCCTCAAGGACGCCAACGCGGAGCTCACAGCCGAACTAGACGAGGTCAAGCAACAGATGCTTGACATGAAGATGAGCGCCAAGGAGACAAGTGCAGTGTTAGACGAAAAGGAGAAGAAGAAGGCGGAGAAAATGGCCAAGATGATGGCCGGTTTCGAGCTCAGCGGAGACGTCTTTAGCGACAACGAGAGGTCAGTCGCTGACGCGATCGCCCAGATAGACGCGCTGTACGAAATCAGCTCAACCGGTGACCCCATCCCGCCCGACGATCTCAAGGCGCTGCGGGAGAAGCTGGTCGAGACGCAGGGCTTCGTTCGGCAGGCTGAGCTGTCCGCGTTCAGCGCGGCATCGACCGAGACGGAAGCTCGCAAGCGCGCAGAGCTAGAGGCGCGACTAGAAGCTCTCCAACTAGAACACGAGGACATCCTCTCGCGCAATCTCGATGAGGTGGACAAGGAGGAGGTCAAGGCGATGCTTGCCAAGACGCTGTCCGACAAGACAAGCACACAGATCGAGCTGATTGAGAATCTGAAGGCCGATCTGGCCCTGCGGACAACCGAGAACGAGCGGTTGAAGACATTGGTCGACGACCTTCAGCGACGTGTTAAGGCCAACGGCGCTGTACCGATGGCTAATGGCAAGACGGTGCAGCAGCAGCTGGCCGAGTTCGACGTCATGAAGAAGAGCCTGATGCGCGATCTGCAGAACCGGTGCGAGCGCGTGGTTGAGCTCGAGATCTCGCTCGACGAGACGCGCGAGCAGTACAACAACGTGCTGCGCAGCAGCAACAACCGCGCGCAGCAGAAGAAGATGGCCTTCCTCGAGCGAAATCTCGAGCAGCTGACCCAGGTGCAGCGGCAGCTCGTCGAGCAAAACTCGGCGCTCAAGAAGGAGGTTGCCATCGCGGAGCGCAAGCTGATTGCACGTAACGAGCGCATCCAGAGCCTGGAGACCCTGCTTCAGGAGAGCCAGGAGAAGATGGCGCAAGCTAACCACAAGTATGTTCTTCTCCATTTTCCCCGCAATAAGTACTTCCAGCAGTACCTTAGTTACTAATGCAATCGCTCCCTCCACAGGTTTGAAGTCCAGCTCGCGGCCGTCAAAGACCGCCTCGAGGCAGCCAAGGCCGGCAGTACGCGCGGTCTCGGGTCGCCGACGGGTCTCGGCGGCTTCAACATTGGCAGCCGCATCGCCAAGCCGCTCCGCGGAGGCGGCGACGCCACCGCTTCTTCCCACCCAACCGTTGCGGCCCTGCAAAGCCCGCCCGAGAATAAGAGATCGAGCTGGTTCTTCCAGAAGTCGTAAGGAACGCGAAGCTGGATGTCATGTTTTGATTGCTGTCTTGGATGTGGGTGGGTGGACTGTTCAGGTTAGATGAAGTGGAAACACTGACGCAGAGGAGGAAGCGGAGTGCAGATATACCCCCTTCTCCTTTTGCAATCCGGTTCATAAGGCATGCTGATGGGTTGTGACAGAGAGGATGCGACCCGGTCTGGGTGAAGTGACATTTCTCGCCGGGACCTGGATCATAGCGCTATTGCGTGGAGTCTGGGCAATGCTGTGTGTGTTGCCTCTTGTAGAGTCGATCAATGCGAGGGTGATTTGGTGGCGCCGGTGGTTGTGGGACAGAAAATGGCTTGATGTGGTATGTGATCAAGGCAGCGTGCAGGCACTGGAGATTTGGGAAGGGATTTCCATTGTACTTATGGCTGGGCACACGCTCATTCCTGAGCGTGGTTCTAGTATACGGCGCTCGGATCGGGAGATGGGTAATAGACAGTTCGATATCATCCTGCATGGGCTTTGGTAGTAGAGTTGAGTCATAATATTTCCAGGTGGCATCAGCATTTTTACTTCGCCGTATGAGGTAGGTATATCAGTCATATTTTGAGTGCAAGGGTATATGAGAAACAAAGGTAGTAGATGTGGAACGTGTGGTTGGAGCTTTGCTATTGATATCCTCCATTTCCAAGTGATCCTGAATACCCTGACCAATGGCGACAGTCTTCCGTCCTTCGCTGGTATGCGATACTCGCTCAGTCGCTCCTTGTCTTCAACCTGAAAAATGTGCGGGCGGTTCCTCAAGATCCGTGGGGCAACTCTCGCTGACATTCCCCGAACAGATTTGCATCCGCAAGCACCTAGGTGCACTTGAGCGGGTTCAGGCGGTCCTTGCCGTACTCGCATTTGACACTGAACAAGTACACCTGCAACACCACGGTTGCAATCAGGACCACGTACATCGCCACCAACGTCGCAAACACCTTGAGGCGCAGCAGATAGATCCTCAACCAGCTCGCCCGTGAAACAGTCGTCAATGCGGCAGTGAATGAAGCAAAGCCCTTGCCCGTCACCACCTCGGGCGCCACGAGGCCGCCAAAGGAGCGATCAAACGGCACGATCGTATCCTGGTCAGCCGGCAGCAGCGACGCCTGCACGCGGACCAGGGCCGTGTGTGCGGGGATGAGGAGAAGGGCCTGCAGCGCGACTAACACGCCGATCACACACAGCGACTTGCCAACATCAACATTCGTAACGACGGGGCCTAGGTTGAGCGGGTTGCGGAGCTCGATGTCGAGGCCTATGGCACCGGCTAGGAGGGACGGTAGAATCAGGCACACGTGCGTGGCGGCCCAGAACAGGAAAGTCGGGAACCAGGTGGCGACGAAGGCTCGGCGGAACGGGACCAGGCGGCGCAAGAAGGATGTGTTTGACTCCGGCGTGATGACGACGTGGGTCCAGGCGACGTACCACGGGGTGAGGATGTAGAGAGCGAACAGGTGAACGACGCGGATGGGGATAATGGGGAGGAGGTGGTAGAAGGGCACTATTATCATGATTGTCATGATGTTGATGGCAACGGCGTAGCCGAAACCGCGGAAGTAGGACAGCCAGCCGCCGACGGAGCGCAGCAGGCGATGGGTAGCGCGGATGGACGCAGTGACGGGCTTGCCGGGGTGGACGGGGTCGTTGTCATCCTTGGGCGTGTCGTCGTCGTTCAGGGGCACAGCCTCGTATGCCGGAAGAGGGTCCTCCACTGCGGCGAGGGCGGGGAAAACACGTCCAAAGGTGTATCCGATCTGAGAGCGCGGGTGTGAGTTTACTTGGCAAAGATAGAGGCTATTTCCGGATTCAACTTACGACGAAGAGGATTGGGAGAAACAGCACAACATCACCCAAAAAGAGCCAACCGATCCACGAAGGGAGGAGCGTTCCGCCTGTTGGCGGGTCCTGGACAAGGCGCTTGGCCAGGGCGCCACCAACGGTGAGTGTGGTGAGCATCTCGTCAATGCGATAATAAAAGGGATGGTCTGTCAAAAAGTAAAACGAGGGAGGGAAACAGAAAACGAATGATAGGGAGCCCGGTGAATTGGTCAACGAGCCTCACGGAATGAGCGCTCCAGGGAGATGGATGAGTGAGCCAACAGGCCGGGTGCTGAGCAGCTTATAAAGAACCTGGAGACCGGCAACCGTCAGATTGGGCGTCTTCTGCCTTGCACAAGTTCCTTACAGGCGTTCAGCACCGCCCCGCCCCACAGCATTGAAGCGCCCACTAGCGCCAGTGGCGCCCCGATCAATCCGGTCGATTGCTCCGGAGTCCTGACTGGCGTTCAATCAGGTCTTCCGCTGGTTCGATATGATATGCGGGTTGGGTAGCTGAGCATTGGAGCTACTTGTGTCGGGTAGGCACAGGCGATGCGTGACTGCTCCGTACTAGTAGTAAGGACTCGGAGTAAACATGGCGTGTGGATGGCCTAGACAACCCTAACCCTTCAAGCCGTTTTCAGCGAAGTTCGCATGCTAGCACGGAGCGTCATGGTGATAGGACAGAAGAGGAGATGATGACGAAAGGGATCGCAGGCAATTGACGTTGATTATATAGGAGACAAGTTGGCACTTGAAGCGAACCCCGCTCAGACAGGCAACTCCGACCCCCTTTTGTTCTGAAGTTGGTCGTAGTCTGTCAACGCTATTGTTTCGCTGATGTTTAGTTGCGGCATACCTCTAGCATAACATAGCTAAACATACAGAAGATCCAGAAGATGCCGATCCCCATCCTGAATGCGTTCTCCCTCTTGACGGTCGCCCTCAACCGCATACTTGCCCGTATAGACCGTTGGGTCCACTATGTCAGCGGCTACATTCTGTACCTCTTCTTCAGGGGCCTGAAACCGCAGACTCACACCCGCCCGTACAAGACCAAGGATGGCCGCTTCTACTCGCCAGCCGCTGTCATCACCGGCGCTAGTGAGGGTGAGCTTGGGCAGCCTCGATATCTTATTCTAGCAACACGCGCCCTCTCACGTGCTGACTTCCTGCTTCCCCCCGTAATCAGGCATCGGCCTCGCAACAGCGACCCACCTAGCTGCCAGGGGCTTCACCGTCTTCGCCACGGCCCAAGACGACAGCGAGCTCTCCAAGATCAAGTCCGTCGCGGACCAGTCCAACGGCACCAACATCGCCCAGAGCGGCGGGACCATCCACCCCTGCCTCATGGACGTGCTCTCGCACGACTCCATCTCGCACTGCGCGTCCCACATCGAGTCCGTCCTGGCCGGCGACCGCGACAAGCCGCTCGTTGGCGTCGTCAACAACGCGGGCTACTGCATGATCTCGCCAATGGAGCTGACGCCCGAGAAGGATGTGCGGCGGCTGTTTGAGCTGGACTTCTGGGCGTATGTCGCTGTGATCAAGGCCTTCCTACCGCTGATGAAGCAGAACAAGGGCCGGTTCATCAACGTCAGCAGCTATGGTGCGTTCGTGAACCCGCCCATGTGGGTGCCGTACTGTGCGGTGAAGGCGGCGATCGACGGGATGACGCGGGCGTGGAGGTTGGAATTGATGCCGTTTGGTGTTGGTAGGACTCCTCTGATGCTCATTCTGGCTCCCGTTGATTCGGGTGCGTGTAGCTGACGCTGAGCAGGGATGACGACCGTTCGTCCTGGATTTACCAGGACTGCAGGCATTGGTCCCAAGGTGCAGAAAGCCTGGGACCAATACTTCGACAACGTGTCCAAAGGCTCCGTTGGCGTCGATTCATTTGGGAGGCTTGTCAGGGCCGACGGGCCTGTTCTCGACGCTGAGGAGAAGATCTACCGGCCGATGATGGACAAGTGGTATGGGAATCTCATTTCAGGCGCCAAACTTGGAAGGCTGACTGACGTTGCAACAGGTACAAGATGACTCAGGCAGCCGTCGAAGGCATGGCCCCGCCTGCTGAGGCGGTTGCCGCGACGGTCCACGACGCTCTGACCGACAGGTTCTCGCAGCCGACGTACACCGTTGGCTCCGACGCCCTGCTTGGACAGATGGTTAGAGATCTCACGCCAGAGAATGTCTATGAGTATGGTATGGGCAAGACATTCGGCAGTCTATGAACGATTCAGCTCCGAGTCGCAGAACAGAGATGCATGCCGATGTGCAGGATAGGAGTTCGCCAGGAGAATTTGTGGGGTGAGCACGGAGGCGAGGACTTGTTGAGGATGCTCGTTCGGTCTGACCAGAACGAACCAGGGCCGGGCAGTATGACTGGCGGGCTGCTGATATTGCGGACGCAATGGCGCTTTGTCCTACTAGTACTCTGAGAATAACCGTAGTTGTCGTCCGAGTCAATATCACCGGTTGCTGTGGTGTCATGTCACAGCTTTCATCGTCAAGAGTGAAAGCGGACCTGCTTGATGTGCTGCGAATGGTTGTGGTGGGTCACTCAGTTATTGATACAGTGCGAACAGTGCTAAATGCCCGGGAAAGAGCTCTCCGCAACCTCGAGTGATGAACACAATCTGAACTCTTTAGGTAAGGTACCTTACTGATTTTCAAAACGGATGCTGAGTTCCTGACGAAAATTCAAATTCCATACCGCCACTCTCTCTCTCTCTTTTCACATGCAACAAGGAAACCCACCGATGTCAACCCCCGCAATACCAAACCTACTTTCTCTGCGGAGCGGGTCGGGTGGAAGAGGCCGGGGCCGGGGCGGTCCAGGCAGGAGGGGCATCTCGACCTCGGGGGGCGGTCCGAGTCAAGATGCCACCATTCAGGGCACCGATACCGACGCTGCTGTGTCTCGCCTAAGTGCCGTCGAGCTGGGCTATCTATCTGATCCTTTCGCACGGCTCTTCGTGCAGGGACCGCCAACCCGGCGTCTCCCCATCATCAACCGGGGCACTTACACACGCACCACGGCCATCGACACGCTCGTAGACCGCTTTCTCGCCACCACCAGCCCAGACGAGCTAAGGCAAGTTGTCTCTCTCGGCGCTGGCACCGACACCCGCTGTCTGCGCCTCTTTACCTATCCCAACTCCCACCGCAACGTTGCCTATCACGAGATCGACTTCCCGAGTATCATGGCCCGCAAACAGGCCATCATCAGCGCCACGCCCTCACTCGGGACCATCCTCTCCGCCCCGGAACCCATCACCACCACCACAACCCCAGCAATAGCACCACAACATCCAACAACCTGGCAATGCCACTCCCTCAGCGACAGCACTCTAACCCTCACCCTTCACGGCCTAGACCTGCGCAGCCTGACCCCCAAATCCGCCCTTCTCCCCAACCTCCGTCCCAACACACCCACCTTACTCTTATCCGAATGCTGCCTCTGCTACCTCCCGCCCCAAGACACCACCGCCCTGCTCTCCTTCTTCACCTCCCACTTCCCCAGCCTAGGGGTTGTCATCTACGAACCGATCCTGCCGCACGACGCCTTCGGCAAGACGATGACGTCCAACCTTGCCTCAAGGGGTATTGCCATGCCGACGTTGGAGGCATACCCCACGCCGGCGGATCAGGAGAAGAGGTTGAGAGAGGCCGGGTTCGACAAGGGCGTGAGGACGCGGACGGTGGATCAGATTTGGGAGGATGCCAGATGGGTTAGCGAGCGGGAGAGGGAGAGGGTGGATTCGCTAGAGGGAGGGCTGGACGAGGTGGAGGAATGGCGGCTGTTGGCAGGGCATTACATCGTTGTGTGGGGATGGCGGGGGGAGAAGGGGGATCTGGATGTTGGGGAGGGAAGAGGAGGAGAGGTGCCAGAGGGATGATGTAAACTTCCACGTGGTTTTGTAATATGAGGTGTATTCTTTTTTCTTACAAAGACGGAAATATAACCAACCCATCGCGCGCTGCAAGCAACCCTCGCAGCCCGTCGAACCATGACCTGGAGAGCGTGATTGTTAATGTTAGGTAAGGTATACAAATAGCCTTGACTGCAACCCCATAACGCCATGCTGTGAAACCCACCATACTCCCCGTCCAGCTTGTTGAAGATAGGCCACTAAATCAACTTGAGCGCCGTCCGCTGCTGCAGCCTCGTGCCGTTGAGCATGGCCCTCGACTTCTTGGGCCGCTGCTGGAGCCGGCGGAAGGCCTCCTGGATGTGGCGCGGCTCGACCGGGGTGCGGCCCTCGCCGGGCGGGTCGAACAGGCCACCGCCTCCGGGCAGCTTGCGCTTCTTGCCGGCATTCTCGCCCGTGCGCTCGCGGTACTGGTCCTCGTTCTCCTTGATCTTGAGCGCCTCCTCGGTCAGGGTCTGCACCATCTCGAAGGTCAGGAAGCCGAGTATGTCGACAATGTCGTCGGACGGCTTGCTGTCGGTCACGATGCCGAACCCCGCCCACTCGCGGAACCTCTTGCCCTTGCGATAGGTGAAGGATGCCTGGCGGTACTCGGACCAGGTCACGTACTCCTCCTTCGTCATGGCCTTGGTGCGCTCGTCGGCCTTGCGCAGTCGCTGGAGCGTGATGTGGTTCATCTCCTCCTCTTCCTCGTCCTCCTCATCCTCCCGCTCCGGCACTTCGACCCCGTAGAACGAGGCCGGTTCCCAGGGAAGCCCCACCTTGGCCTTCTTGTTCTTCTTTGCCGTGTCGTCTACCGGTCCGCCGGCGACGACGCCGCCAACGGGATCCTCTGCGGCGCCCAGGTCCGCTTCGCCGCCCTTGTCGTCCGAGTCTTTGACGTTTTTGCGCACGTCTTTCCAGGAGAGGAATGTGCGCAAACGCGATACTTTGGGAGCGTCGTCCCGAATCTGGAAGATCAGGTCGTTGATTGTGATGGAACGCGATCCGCGGCGTGCCGCCAATTCGGTGCAGTTTCTGAGCTGTAGTAAGAGTTAAGACGGATGAAAGCGACCAAGCCGTAGAGACAGAACCTACGATCTCGATGACCTGCTGGCGAACGATATCTTCGATGATGCCTGTTGTCTCAACCGAGGGTTCTCCCGTCTCGCCCGACACATACATCATCTGGAGTTCGATGTAATTAGCGACCACTTCACGCGAATCTGGTCCCTGCCAAATGTACCCCCCCATTCTGTCGGAAGCCGCTTGGACGCCGGGGAGAGAAAGTGTAATGCTCTGCGCGAGCTCAAGCGCCTCGCTTAGGAGGGTCAGGGGGATTCTTCCACAGCCGAGCCCCGACTCCAGTATACGCCGGGACTCTTTTGGTTCTATTTCAGAGCCCACGCCAACTGCCTCGTCGAAGGCAGCTTGAAACATGGCGGCCGCCTCGGGCTGCAGGGCCGCCAGAGAGGGCATTTCCGATGGCAAAGCCAGAGTCGACTTGCTAGCAGTGCACTCGCGATGTTGATGACTGGGAAGGGGGAGCTTTCTCGTCTTGGATGAGGCACAGGTCGCGTTGAACAAAAACAAAGGGGGGGAGGGAGGTCGGGGGGGGGGGGCGGTTAATATGAATGGAGCTGCGGCCAGAGTTGTTTTGTTGTTTTGTTCTTTTTCTTCCTCTGGAAGGTGGCCGCGATGTCGACTATGATGTCGCCAGTGGTGCTGCCATCAATCCGGGTTGACGGCCTGAGTTTGCACATCTTCCACGGGTCATCGCATAGCCTTCTGGAGACCTTGGAGCAAGGAGATATATGATTCTGGGGGGAGTGGCATGTGCGAGCTGAAGGGAAGTAACAGAGCCCTCCATATAGAGTCACATACAACCGAGCCCATTTAAGTGCCAGAACTAGGTGTTCATGATATTGATGAACTTGCCAACCGGTCCAGGGCTGTGAGCACTCACTCACATTCCTTCAGTCGCACATCTCACCGCCTTCTTCATGGTATCAGGGGCTTGACAGCGCCGAAGTTGGCTGGGCGGCGCATAGCACTGTCACAACGGCTCAGCCAGTGAGATGGCCAGCAAGAAGCCAACAGGATTGTAGACACAGACAAGTTAGATGGCACCCACCTGTTGTATCTCTTGACGATACTTGTACTGCTTGTCCTTGTCCGCCATCTTGCTTGTGAGGACTAAGTCTGTGATGTTGATAACAATACCGATGAAAAGCGGTCGAGTCAATAACTGGCACAGCTTGGTGTTGACAGTGTCGTGCCGTGGCGTGGGCGAGATGATGGCGATGGAGTTCGGTGGAGAAAGAGGAACAAGCCTCAAGGTCAAAGCTCAAAGGCCCTGCTTCATTCCTATGCCATGCCCTTGAACGGCAAGGACCGCCAGTTTGACACAGTATAGAACCAGAAAAATGGCCTGTACATGTACATGATAGTTTGGCCGAGAGCTTGGGAGGCTGTCAGATGATTGCGCTGGTTGGTTGCCCGTATTCATCGGACGGAGGAAATCCAGGTCAGTATGGAAGCACGTGCATCGCGCCTCAACTGCAAGGTGGGTCTCACCTTGTTCTCCACAATGTTCCATGATCGGGCCAGACTCGGGAGGTAAGCCATACGTGGCGTATATATACATAATGTAATATATTACGTATCCGACATTATGCGTATGCACCTCACCACAGTATGATTTACTACAAGTTATTATCCGTACGCACCTCACCACAGTACCATGACGTATTCGAATGCATAAACCATAATAATAAAGCCCCAAGTGATACTGTCTAACGGCAGCAATAAGGCAGCAATAATAAAGTACTCTTCGCCTTCCCTCCAGACACACTTATGTATTGTACAATACATCTGTCCAAAGGCGCTTAATACCTGACTACACTTGTATTAGTTACCGGTTATATTCAGACTGTGAGAGATAGAATGGCCTCTGCTGATGTGGTGGCTATGCTGGTCTATCTTATTTTGTTTCTTCCGTTGATATTCCCTAACTTTGTGCTGTTTTCTCTTTTCTGTTTCTTCAATCACTTTTTGGCATTATACGCCCATTATCGCCGCGATGCTGTGCGACCACGACTTCAGGCTAGAGCGGCGCGAGAGGCCCACGGCCACGTGAGGCCCCCGCCGGACGGCCCATCGCTACGGGGATACCCCGCGAAACTCCCCACATGAGGAGCGCAGCGCAACCCACAAGCTGTTGGCCGCATGTGAACTGCCTGGTCCGCAATTGGCAACCTCACCTGTTCCGGAAGCCTAGACGATACCCAAGTTTCTAGCTTCAAAACTCGCCGGATAATCTGAACCTTCGTCGCCACTTTTACCGACCTCTCAATATGCCTCCGTCACCCTCCTCCGGTCTCGTGGTACGTCGCCAACCCCAGTTTCCTCCTCGACTGCTGGGTACCTTTGAGCATCTCCATCTTGTAGTGGACTAACGGCTTCTGCAACTAGGCCAAAATCAAAGTCCAACTCAAACTAGCCATTGCCAGGCTGCGTATGGTGCAGAAACGCGACGAGGCCCTCGCCAAAACCCAGCGCCGCGCCATGGCCCAGCTGCTCGAGCAAGGCAAGACCGACTCGGCGCGCATCCGCGTCGAGAATATCATCCGCTCCGATATCATCACCGAGCTGCACGAGATTCTAGAGCTCTACTGCGAGCTGCTCCTCGCCCGCGCAGGGCTGCTCGATGCCTCGCCTACCTGCGACCCTGGCTTAGAAGAGGCCGTCAAGAGCATCCTCTACGCTGCGCCCAAGACAGAGATCAAAGAGCTGCAGCAGGTCAGGGCCCTGTTGGCGGAGAAGTTTGGCAAGGATTTTGTGCTGCAGGCGATGGAGAATACTGACGGGAAGGTCAGCGAGCGGGTCGTGCGCAAGTTGAGCGTCGCGCCGCCAAGGGAGGAGCTCGTGCAGGGGTACCTGGAGGAGATCGCCCGGGCGTATGGGGTGGACTGGCCGCCGAGGAAGGAAGCTGAACCTGCTGAGGACCTGGGAGAGCCGCCTGATTTTATAGGCGGAGGCGAGGGCGGTGGACAGAAGCAGAAGAGCTCAGAGACGGGCCTATTAGGAGGGAATGACGACGTTGAGGCGCGAGAGGAGCTCAGCAAGGCAACACCACCAAGGACGTTTGGCCCTGCCAGCCCTCTACATGTCAACCCTCCCACCCCATCGACGGAAAATCCTCGCCCAAAATTGACATTAAACAACGTGGAGCTGACACCGACGAAGAAGCCGGCGACGGCTGGGGTGACCGTGGGGAGAAGACCGACAGAAAAGAAGGGGGGTATCGCGGACGGGATTCCTGATGTGGACGAGCTAGCAAAGAGGTTCGCTCAGTTGAAGAGGTAACATGGTGCTTGGTCATGGGAGGAATAATAAGTGTGTTTGATCAGGCTTGTGTATGCGGGGCCTTCCTTGTCTCCATGTGCTATCTATCGTGTGTCTGGCATTGGGTGGTTCACTTGCGGTTGGAGTTTGGTGTGTTTATTCCGCCCTGTTGAGCTGGTAGTGCTTTCAGGTGTCTGGTGCAATTTTGAAAACATGCTTCACGCTCATGACTACCTTACCTACTGGATTGGACTAGTACTTCATTGTATATTGCTCTCGTGTTGGTGGCTACTAGTACTAGTACCAACTTCACCGAGTACGTGAGTCCCAATGCCTCAGATTCTTCCCCGATCGTTCCTTCCTTAACAGGCCTGGACTTCCTCGTCACCCAAGTTCAACTTCCGACTTTCCTTTGGATCGATCACTCGATGCACTCGGTCTTCTTCCTCTTTTCTTTTTCTCACCCCCGAGAGTGGCTGACATTGGTTGGCAAACTTCCTGCTTCTCTCTGTTCTACCGGGAAATCTGATTGCACACCCCGACTGCCTCTCCTTTCTTTTCATCAACAAATCCACCAACCGGCAATCCTCCCTTTCTGTTTGCGCCGAGTTCAAATACACCCTCGCAATCTCATTGCGAGGCCAGAGACCATCCTGAACTTGCACAAACTCCCCATATTCAGTGCGATACATCTCCCAGTTGCACTTGAACTTCCTTGGGGAGAGAATTAATGATCCGCAGAGTCGGACACAACCAGGCGCAGAAATCCCATCATCGCACAGATCAATTCTGAGGGAGCTCGTGTCTTCCTTAAGCGTGTGACGATGGACGACGCAGACAAGAAACAGCAAAACCTCGAGATCTTGGGGCTCAAGAGCCTGGGAGACCTCTCTCTGTCTCAGCTTCTCGTTGAGCTTGGAAAACGCTTGCCCTCCGACGTGAGCAAGAAACGGATTCTTAGCATATGTACCATGTGGCTTCATCCCCGCCTCATGACCATTGACATCTCCTCTTTCCACGATGAGGTCGGGATTTGGTATCGTTTTCTGAAAGACCTGGTCAACGACGACCTCCTCATTCTTGAGACGTTCAACGAGTGGCAGCGCGACCAAGCCACCCAGGACCCAACCAGCCTGAGAAGGCTACGTATCGCTGAGGACAAGTTACGTAGCCTTATGTCCGCGTCAGATCCCATGCGCACCACCGATGCACCGGAGTCAGGAGACTGCTACGGTCAGATGCACCCTGACAGGCTCAAGTTGTCGCAAAAAAAGCCCATAATGATTGAGCTGGAAGACGATGACGAGGACGTTGTCTTCATCTCGTCGAATCCTGTGCAGAAGAACGAGAGTCAAGATCAGGATGATCCAAGTGGGCAACCGGACTTGTCATTCCTAACAGGAGCCAACAGTCTTGTCATGAGCGATGTGGCCCATCCACCTCATAACAAGAAGGGTGCAGCCCCTACAAAGGACCTGAGTTCAAACCAGCATGATCGAATTGAGAAAGCGGTCGTGCCCTTGTTGACAAGGGCTAACAGGCTTGCCATGAGCAACATGGAAGCCTTACCTCCTAATAACAAGAGGAAAAAGGTTTTCCAGGCAGAGGACTCGGTCAGCCTGCTTAATAGTAAGGCTTCCCTGCCCTCAGCCCGCCCTGCCCTCAGCCCGCCCTGCCCTCAGCCCGCCCTGCCCTCAGCCCGCCCTGCCCTCAGCCTGCCCTGAGCACGCTCTCTCATTAACAAGCATCTAGCGTACGCGCAAGCGATTGGCGCTACGTTCGAGTTCAAAGAGGATATGGTTGGGTACCAGCGCTGGGTCTGCCAATGCACTCTCAAACTCCCTGCTGGGGCCGACCCGATGGTCTTTCCCAACCTCGAAGCCGAACAGAAGCGAGGCAAGGTTGGCAAACCAACTGCCCCTGGCTTCGCGCGCAAGAAGGATGCCAAGAAGTATGCCGCCAAATGTTGCGTTGACTGGCTCGTCGCGAATGGCCATTCGGTTTATCCGCTTCCTGGTAAAGGACAACTGCTGAATCCACTATGATGGTATGGTAACTGACTTTCTGTCGAGGTCACTCCCTAGAGGATTGTCCGAGGAACTTCGACACTGCCTTAGACAGGAAGCCGCCAAAGGATTATAAGTGCTATATTTGCGGTAAAGTCGGCAACCATTTTCGCAATCTGTGTCCTAGGGACCCAAGACCGGACCTCTGGAGGCGTTATTGGGAGAGGAAAACTGGGGTCGTCGAGGAAGCAGGCTCCCGTCATGGCAGCGCGGCGCGAGCTTGGGATGACCCAGACTCGCGTTTTGACGACTCGACCCGTCTCAGCGCTCGCTCTGTCTCACCTGTGGGTGAAGTCCGTAAGGGCGGGGGGGGGGACAGTTATCGCCCTGAGAGTGACTTGTCTCGTCTTCGGTTGTTATCTTCTCATCACCAGTTAGGCAAGCGCAAAGCCTCACGTTCGCCTTCGCGTGACGACTTGACATCCCGAGGAGAGAGCCGTGACTATGACCATAGAGCCGCAAGGAAGGAGCATCGCAGAAATGCGAGCTTCTTAGAGGATTTGGTCAACAAGGCGAAAGCTCGGAGAGAAGGTCGACTGTCGTACGACGATGAGGTCGATGAAGACGAGCAGCCGGGTCCTCTCGCTGTTAAGCGGACTGCTGGGCCACCGAGTATCGACGAAATGCAGATTGATAGACCGAAGACGTCTGCCTTCAAGAAGAGGAGAGACGCTGACCACGTGGCTGGGGTTGAGTTGTTCGAGTCTGACCTCTTCGATATGATCCGTGGGGAGAGCGTCAAGACAGATCGGCTTTTGCTCATCAACGGCAGGGAGCGTCGTGGTCCGTACAATCCTCTTCTTGTTAGGCTGTTCAGCGGCAAGCAGAATGTTTGGGTCAACGACAACCTGAACACGACACGGCCGTGTGCCCTGGAGTTCTTCGATCTCCCTCTCGAGAGTAAGCAGCAGGTCGAGATATCAGACTTCGAGATGGCAGGGGAATCAGCCATGACGCTTGTTGAGTCTGACTATCCTGTTGCCACTAACGAAGAGGACGCGATGATGGTTGACGCCGAGCTCAAAGTGGCCGTTGACTGCTGTTTCGACCGAGCAGAGTCAACGATAACCGCAACAGGGAGTCGTCTGGTCAGGAATGATCCTTCCGATGAAGCGAACTCCACGCAGATGGGTGTTGAACCCCTGTCAACCGCCATCGATGGCGCATCCCGGCCCGAGGTCGATACCCAGGAGTCAACACCGGCTGCAGTGAAGAACAGCCCGGACACAATTACCGTGCATAGCACGTCGTCCGCCGATGGCACATCAAAGGGGGACGAGTTGATGCGCGCGGTTGTCGAGACTTCCAGCAGCTCTTCAGCAGTCATTCAGGCAGCTTCAGCCTGATTCAGAGAGCCTCTGCCGGACCTCATGAGTCCGTCGCCGGTGTCCATTCTTATTTGTCGTCTATGCTTTGCCTTGCTTCTGAGTCCCGGATCAGGCTGACGTGACGCAAGTGTTTCGCCTCTTTGACAAGGCGAAGGTTTTTGTGTTTCTGCCGGGGCTGATTGCTTCCACGGCGCGTCTTCTGTGTCGGCAGTTGGAGACTTCGGCATGAATGCCCTGTCGGGCTTCTGACGATGGGCTTCAGAACCAGTTGACATGACGGTGGAGGTTGTTGCGGTCACCGGCGGCTTGGGGGCGTACATAATGCCTGCCGTTGCCACTTGATCTGATGTTGAATTATGTAGATCCTTTGCTTGAGGCCAACTTACTGCAGATCTGCAAATGCCAAACAATGCGATGCTTTCTAACCTGGTATTCCTTGTGAATTGAACGGTGCCTCCCCACGTTGGCCCGGAGTATAAGTGCGAAGATATAGCTCCAAGATCATCGTAGTAAACTGATAGGCTCTCGTTCTCCGGTTGTTCACCCCATATCCAGTCTCAACATGCTTCCACACCTATGTCCTCTTCATCCGACAAGCGTCCAACTACCCGCATGCAGGCCTCACCCATCGTTCTCCCTATATCTCAGGGCTGGATGGAATTCTCCTTGGTCTCCGCACGGACCTGGACACCATCAGGACTGCCGCACGGCCAGCTCGACTGGGGGAGGTGTGTCAGAATTGCCACTTTCGGAGAGGGGGGTAAGTTGAGCCTCCTCTCATCCCCATGAACCTCCTTGTTGCGGTTCCCCACGGCATCCAGCCTGGCCACGAAGAGTGTCTGTGCCTTACCGCGCATAGCTTTTCCATGCTCCCTGTCCAGGCCAGTCTGGATACCGCCCGATCTTCTTATACACCTTCCCCACGGGTTGAGAGAGTACGACAACGGATCCCTTTCATCATCCCCTCACTCTTCACTCTAATTTATCCAGGTGCTCCAACCTCGTCAGCACGACCTGCTTGCTCGTCTCCTCGATCTCGCCCGCCAAGAACACCTCGTCGAGGATGGCGTAGACCTTGTAGAAGTTGAAGACCAGGTCGAGCTCGCAGACGTTGCCGAAGAAGGCGTCGAGCACCTCCACGAAGAAGTGGATGGCCTCGAGGTAGGCGAGCTCGTTGTCGTTGGTGTCGACGCACGCGCAGAAGAAGAGCCCCGCGTACCGCCGGTAGACGACCTTGTGGTTGCGGAACTCGACGAAGTTGGACTGGTACTTCTGGTCGCGCGGCGCTACCAGGCGGTGGATCTAACATGTTGGATAGGCCCGGGTTAGCTCGCGTTGGGGAGGTTATGGGAAAGTGAAGAACGGGAGGATTTGGCGTTTCTTTTTACCTCGCCCTTGAGCTTGATCTTTTCGTCGTCGCTGTACGGGACATACCACTTGGCCAGGCGGGTTTTGCCCCTGGAATGGAGGTTAGGTCAGCACATGTGAGAAGCTGGAAGCAATTGGGGAGCAGACACGTACTGGCGATTTTGGATCAAGATAAAGGACAGCATGGTTGCGGCTGCGACGCGGGTTTGTCCGCTTGGTCAAAGTCGCTGCCGCGGCGATGCGGTCGCGATGTTCGCGAATTATAAGGGGAGAGACGGAATGAGCGGGAGCTTAATTGGGAAAGTCGGACCAGAGCAGGGTTAGGGTTGACATCCGCTATGGCCCATCAGAAAGAAAGATGAGAATTGGCTTTCTGTAACAGAACTGGAACGCAATTCGCTACTAGTAATAGTTAAGCGGCCAATAGCGCTGTACCTGTGTCATATTTACAGGTAGTGAAGTACAATACAAAAAGTAGTGTGAGCTTACCCAGATCTCGGTCTATGCGCCCGGTATGCGTTGCAACCCCTATACCGCAACCCCCACAAAACGCCGGCGCTCTCTTCTATCCCATAGAAAGGTTATAACGCACAGTGAACCATACTAGTGCCATTGCGGCATGAATCTCCCGCAGCTCCAGCTGCATACCTGAGCGTCCAAGCCTTTGGGCGGGGACCGTGCCCATCGCATCTCTCTCAAGACCTTTCAATCCTCAGCAGCTCCCTTCCCTTCCTCCCTCAGCCACTGTTGATGCTGATGCCGTATTGTCGACAATGTCACTGCGATCCCTACCCCACATGCGGCCAATGTAACGAAGTACGCATTCTTGTAACAGTCCAGTCCATCAGGGCACGTCCGCTCGCCGTCTGGCCCCACAATGCTGTGACTGTCGAAGACAACACCGTAGAATAGATTGAAAATATTCCCCGAGATGACAGGGCTGAGGGTCATGAACCCCCAGTTCTGGCTCAGGCCGTGTATGCCGAACGACTCGGCCACGATGGAGGGGAACACGCCGAACAGGAAGCCGTAGCCGAGGCCCGAGAGGCCAGAGACGAAGCCCAGGAGGTGAGGGTTGGTGATGACGATGGCGCAAAGCTGGGCGATAGAGAAGACGAAGCAGGCAATGACCAGACACCAAACCCGACTAGCGTGTAGAACTTTGACCAGAAAGTCGGATCCGACCCCTGTGATTTGGTTAGATTGGTATGTAGGTGCCGAAGGTGTTAAAGTGGGGAGCCCTACCACTCAGCAATCTACCACCGAAACTGGCAATGGACAGAATCGAGACATGCATCTGCTGCCGCCTGATGAGGAATTCCTCAGTTACCGAATCGTCGTAGCGCTTCCAGAGTGCATTGGCGTCATGCCCGATATTGCTACACCGCAGGTCAGCTAATCTCTATCTGGTACGGTGTCAAGAACTCACTTGATCGTCATCAAGCCAATACCCGCCAAGATGCCCATGATACAGAAGAGTTGCCAGAAGTCGATGTTACTGAGCAGGCGCCAGCCGCGGATATCTACACGATGGGATCGATCCATATCAACACTGTTCTCGACAAAAACATCGCCGGCCAGCGAAGACGACATGAGCGATGATGTCTCATCAACCCCGGCCTCCGGAGATGAGCCGTCGAACACACGAGGGGTAGCGGCCTCGACATCAGCCTGGTCAGGCCCAGGAGTGCTGGCGTCGTCCCGGGATGATGCGCCCTCCGCTGCAGGAGTCGTGTAGGTGGTGGTGGTGGTGGTGGTGGTGGTGGTGGGCGACATACCAGGTTCTATCTCCGGGGAGCGTCGCCCGCCATGGCCGCCAGGACGGCGAGGTGCTTTATCCTCCTCCTGAGAAAGCGTGCGGCGCAACTGCTGTGAGTCGGACAGCCCGGAACCACTGTCCGGGATGCTGTGGTAGTGCGTGTGCGGGTAGACCCTCAGGAAGAAGAAGCCGCAAAAGATCATCGCAAAAGTGCCCGCGGCTAACAAGGTGAGGAAGGCGCTCGTGTTCCCGGGGAAAAAGATGCTTCCAAACAGGGAAAAGAAGAAAGCGCTGAGGCCGAAGGCGGCTAGGGGGAAGGCGGTCGCGGTGCCTCGGTGATGAGGCCAGTTCAGGGCGGACGTCTTGACCGCAGCAGCGAAGGCCATACAGCCGCCTAGGCCGGTAAGGAAGGCAAAGAAGCACAACACAGGCACCGAGCCTGAACCGGTCTCGTAGGCGGCGCGGAACGGGGCGTAGCCGACGCCGAGGCATAAGGCGCCGGCGATGACGGCAGGCCGGGGACCTCGATGATCGACGAACAGGCCGACGGGAACTCCCATGGAGTACATGCCCATGTTTCCGGCCAGGCCGATCAGGTTGATCTCGGTAGTGGTAAGACGCAGCTTATCAGCAAACTGCGGCGCCCATCCGGAATAGACGTACTGGTAATATCTTAGTAATGTCAACTAGGAAGGACACGGTGGGGGGGAAGGGGAAGAATCATAGAGCCGTACGTTGGTACCGCATGCCAGCGAGATGATCGTTGCAGCCACACTCGACACCAGTCGGGCGCGGTGCAGCTGTTGCTCCCTCATGGTCGATGTTGGGTAGGGTAGCTCTTGGCTGTTGTCACAGCGGGAGCGATAACGGAGATGATATCAGAGATGCAGCCTTCAACCGTACTGAGGCATCCCGACGACGTATCCTTCGTCGTGCAGAGAATTTGCGTTGCGTCGCGTAATTGTGTTCTACTAGAAGCCGGCGTCACGATTTCATTGCGAGGATGTGACTTCGAATGGAGGAGGAGACCAAGATCGTTGAAGGAGCGAGTAAAGAATACGAAGAGCGCTGGGAGTTTGCCAGTGGCATATCTCGGGGTCCCTGCGGCATCTGTCTGATGGCAGTGGGTCTCGGTTCTTGCCGAAGCATTGGCTCGTTGCCACCGCTCATTGGGCGGCCGGGGCCCCTTACCGCAGAGAGGTCTAGGCGCCAAGCTACATACGGGTAAAGTTGTAGGTAGGTACCATACTGTACTGTACACAGTACGTACAACTTCACACGTCTAGACTCACCTTTCGACACGAGGGCTATCACGTTCTACGGTATAGGATCCTTCAATCTGACAGCGTATGGAAAGGTTCAACAAGCTGAATATGCCACATAATATGTTGGCCGGGAGAGAAATGGCTTGGCTCACGTGAAGTTTACCATACCTGAGGTAGTCACGTGCGGATACTGGCGGCTGATGGTGGGGCAGATGGATCCGCGGCCCGCCGCAGGGCTGCCGTCATCAACCATCCGTTGCCAACGGCTGTTGACCTCAATTTGCGACGTCCATCGAGCCTTCACACCATTGCCGCGCCGGACACTCGCGATCGCCGATACGTTGCCGACAACCATCGCGCACTACTTACGTTGTTGAACACACTCGGAACTTCTGCTTGTTGGAGGGCCGAGGGCCGCCTGAGCCGTTGCCATGGGCGCTCTCCTCTCGATACCGCTGCTGGCGGTGCCGAGTATGGGCACCGTAAGTCATCCGGCAATTGTTGGTGGAATAGCGCATTGCTGAAGGTTTGCGCAGGTTCTATCCTTTGCAGCAAGCTGTTGCGGCGCCGCGACCTGCTCGATGGTGTGCAGCGCATGCGGGAAATGTGGCAACAGGTAGGCAACCCCACGATGGCTTGCGATTCCCGACACTCTGCTCACCACCCCTTCTCCCAGTGTCGCGACTCGTATCGCCTACGCTCTTTTACTGCTCGTCAACTCAATACTATCGTGGATCATGCTTACGAGATGGGCCATCGAGAAACTCCAACATCTCATGCTCGACTACGTCAAGATCAAGTGCGGCGACGGCGACTGTCACGGCTGGCTGGCCGTTCATCGCATCAACTTCGCCCTCGGCATGTTCCACCTTGTGCTTGCCGCCCTAATGATGGGTGTACACTCGTCCAAGAACCCCCGCGCTGCCATCCAAAACGGCTTCTGGGGCCCCAAGATCATTGCCTGGCTGGGCCTCATCGTCCTCACCTTCTTCATCCCGGACACCTTCTTCCAGTTTTGGGGCAACTACGTGGCCATGATTGGCGCCATGATGTTTCTAGTTCTGGGCTTAATCCTGCTGATTGACTTGGCGCATAACTGGGCCGAGTACTGTCTCGCGCAGATTGAGGACACCGAGTCCAAGACATGGCGCGTCGTTCTGATCGGCTCCACGCTAGGCATGTACCTGGCATCCCTGGCCATGACTATTGTGCAGTACATCTTCTTCGCCTCAAGCGGCTGCTCCATGAACCAAGCCGCCATCACCGTCAATCTGCTCCTCTGGATCGCGATCGCCTTCATCTCAGTCCACCCAACCGTCCAAGAATACAACCCCAAAGCCGGCCTCGCCCAAGCTGCCATGGTGGCCATTTATTGCACCTACCTCACCATGTCTGCCGTCTCGATGGAACCGGACGAGACCCCAGACCACCGGTGCAACCCGCTGGGTCTCGGCCAAGGGACACGCACAACGACCGTCGTCATCGGCGCCATCGGGACCATGCTCACCATCGCTTACACCACGACGCGCGCCGCAACACAGAGTCTCGGGCTCGGGGGCAGCGGTAAGAACGGCGGGCAGATCCGTCTGCCGGACAGTGAAGCCGACTACGAGCACGACCTAGTCACCACCCAGCCTGCGGCGCGCAAGCAGATGCGCGCCGAAGCGCTCCGCCGCGCCGTCGAAGAGGGCAGCCTGCCGGCGGACGCGCTGCTGTCCGAGAACGACGACGACGACGACGCCTCCAGCGACGACAACGCGCGCAACCACGACGACGAGCGCGGCAGCACGCAGTACAACTACGCCATGTTCCACGTCATCTTCTTCCTGGCCACCGCGTGGGTGGCGACGCTGCTGACGATGGACTGGGACGACAACAAGGGCCAGAACGACGGCTTCGCCACGGTGGGCAGGACGCTCTGGGCCAGCTGGGTGAAGATTGTCAGCTCGTGGGTCTGCTACGCCATGTATATTTGGACGCTGGTCGCGCCCATTGTGCTGCCGGATCGCTTTGCTCTGGACTAGATAGACTTTTAGCCGATTGGTTAAGCGGGTAGACAGGCTTCTGTCTCTGTTTTGCTGATGTGTGGATGAATGGATTGATATGGCTTCGGGCGGCATATGCGCTTTCTCTGTTTTTTTCTTTTTTCTTTCTCTCTCTCTCTCTCTCTCTCTCTCTCTCTGCTTTGTCTCTTTCATTCCAATGGTCTCCTTTGCTACCCCATATCCATGCTCATGTCTAGTGGTTATTTCTCTTGTTGTTTGTGCAATTAGTGGAACGCAGGATAACTGCATCAGGGGCGCCCGGGGAGACGCTTTCCTTGTCTTGGGTGGTATTCATCGGATGGGAGGGAGGTTTTATCATTGTGTTCTAGTCACGACGCATACAGCACAGCACCTGGATACCTCAAGAGGAAATAGCGGGTTGTTTTTGATCCGGCTTGTGGCAGGGACGGTCCCCTTCGTCGCATACGTATGTGCGCGCCTTGCTATTGGTTTTTCATGCATGCATGCACCCGTTGACGGTGAGCCTGTTTATTCTATTCATGTGTTTGGATGGGGTCCGGGGTTGGGTTAGTCTCAGGTTGGTTGGTTGACCCGGGCACAAACAACACATACATCCATCCTGCTCATCCTCCAGGGCTGCGTGGTAGACATATCTCGGGCCGACATGGACATACCACACAGTAGGGGCCGTCCTCGATGGCGCCGCACCGTTCCTCGTCTGAGCTATACCCTTCCCTCGTGCACCCACTCCCATACTGCGGTGGCTGGAAGCGCGACCTGGGTGGCTCGAGCTCGACTTTATGTAGAGGACGGATGGTGGCCATACGACCTGGGAAGAACTGTGTTCGATGTTGCGAGCTATCCGTGGGCCATGTTGGGTCGGTTGGGGCCGGGTCGTGAGCCCTGCCTAAGGCTTTGATAGCCGGTGGAACCGGTGCGCTTCCGACAACTGAAGGGTCCCGGGACGGGACATGGAGCTGCAGAGACTGGGAGCCGACGGGGACGAACTCGCACGTTGACAGCCGAATAGCTTGTGCTCGGGCAGAGGTGAGTTGCGTTTTTTGGGGCGTGTCTCGGTGGCCAGACCGGCATCGACAGCATCGGCAGCGTGGGCGCCACCGGGCCAGGACAAGGAGAGCTTTTGTCAACTGCCCCGGATGCTTTGTCCTTATGCGGTGACGCCAATCTTACGACGACCGGTGAGCGGGCGGAAATGAGATTTCATATGGAGCTGAACCTGTGGCTGCAGTAAAAGCCTGCATGAGCAGGTTTGTTTGTCTTTGTCTTTCCTGCGCCGTCTCCTTAGTTCTCCCGCTGGCGTTTTCACCGTGCTCTCCCCCCAGGGTCTCGCATGACCAGACGTCAGTGTGTGGCGTGTCACCTTCAGTCCTGTATCGCGGCAGTGTAACGTGAATAGCTGTCCAAGAGTAAGGATGGCCGGAGTAGCGGTCAGTGGAAGAAGCAAGGAGACCGGAGGACAGTGCATGATCTCGAGGCCGGAGAGGACGGCACCTGCAACATGCTTTCCGGCCCGAGGTATCCCCATTGCCAGGCTGTCCGCCGAGACGGTGACTCTGCTCTCTTTTTGTCAGACACGCACGGCGCACAAGCCAGGGTTGACAGGTTGGGATACCCCTCATCTGCAGACCAAGATATGACATTAGTACCCGACCTTGGGTATGTTCCGGGTATGTACGGAAGTACATATGTAAGTAGGTGTTGTGTTAGGCCGTCTGACCGGGGGTGGGACCACTTGCCCTCGTTGTGACAGCTCTTTGCACAAGGGATGCTTGACTCTCCTGCATATGTCTGTCTGTCTGTCTGTCTGTCTATCTGTCTGTACGACGCCTTTGGGTGACGCAGACGGCCGCCTCCCTGGCGGAATCAGAGCTGGGATAGGTACGTAGCGTAGGTACTGTGTCATAGTGGAAACCGCAGATGCCGGCGCGTTTGCGCGTTTGGATATCCGACAGCGTGGTGTTGTCTTGCGCAAAGACCGCCCGATATGACAAGGCAGGCGTTTTGGCAACTGGAATCCTGCGGGTTTGATATTGCGTCGCGGTCATCGGGAACATGCAGGATACAGTCTCTCGGACAGGGACTTGGCGCACCCGCCGCCCATTCGCATCTGATATCGTCCACAAGCATCTCTCTGAGACAAGCTCTTCGCTGTCCCGACCAGGGACCACCAATCTATTATCTGCTGATAATGCCGCTGCTCCTCCGTGTAACACCAAGCGCGTGGCGGAAGCACGGGGGCGGCGGGAGAAAATAAAATAAAAAAGAAAAAGGAAGCAGCCGCTGCCTCGTGGGCGCACGGTTGGGGCCCGGATGACGGGCCAGGGGTTCGGAGCACGGAGTTTCAAATCTCTGCGCTATCTTGCAGGGCCATAACCTGGGGGAAATCGGATACCGGCGCGGTCATGCTCGGGAGAACGTGACCAAGAGTACTCGGTATGGCCGTGCCCAAGACTAGACCGGTCACCGTACCAATGAGACCGGTTCCCTCCCCGTTTCCCCCCCTCCCCTCCCCGGTGCATGCTGCAAGAGCAAACAGACAGACTGCTGTAAGCGAGGACCGGTGAAGGGTGCTAGTATCTCCGTCGCAGATAAACAGCGCAATGTCGTGCAGTCCAGCCGCAGCGTAAAGCGCATTCTCTCTGCGTGAGCAAACACGGCCGTGGGGGCAGGGTGCTTCGGCCGGAGCGTCGTGGAGTGCGCATACTGCGACGATCGGATCGAGAGCTACTAGTTGCTGTGGTGGCACTACCGCCGTAGCTTCTCGGTCGACGAGGAGGGAGACAGGAGACACCGGGCCCATGGAACATCGACGAATGGGCGGCGGACGCGACGCACCGGCAAATGATATGCTGCATGGCAGGGAGCAAGTTCAGATGATACACTCTGGCAAAACCCCCAAGCAACGAACGTTGGCGTTGTACTACCGGCAGAAGCTTCCCTGCGTGACAAGATGCGGCGCCGCCGGGGAGTACCAGCGTCGAGGGCGGAGCAGTACACACGACTCGACCGTCCCTTCAACGATGATCGCCCGTCCCTCACCAAGTTCCGTGGTGCCACGATGCCCTGCAAGGGCACAAGTCAACCGTCGCCCGACATCTGACCCTGGCGGCCACCGGAACGGCGCTATTGATGGGTTGACATGGGGCAGCGGGCAGGAGGGACCAGGGCAAGGCGACGTCCTCTTTCTACCTATTGCTCTTGTGTTCTGGCAGGAGGGCCTCTCGTGCAGGCTATCCTTGGCCACGAGTGTCTCCCGGCGCCAACTCCAACTGACCGTCCGAGGGGCCGGAAAAATATATATATAAACCTAACACCCCTCTTCCCCAAACAAGGACGCACAGAGACCGACCTTGGTGTACCGACCGCAGTCACCATTTTTGCTGATGAGCTAAAACATCCTTCCTCTTCACACCTCAACCAGCCATGCCTCACAGCGTGAGAGAACAGACGGGAACCGAGGACCTCCATCGACGGTCTGTTTTCTCTCCGTTTGTGTGTCCGCGTGAGAGACGTTCTCTGATGTTTCTTCCAGTGACGATCAACTGAATCCTCCCAAGTCGGCCCCAGCCGAGAATGCCACCCCGCAGCAGTCACCAATGCTGAAAGCCTGGAGCGACGAACTTGACCCCAGGAATCTCACCATCAACGAAGCTCTCCTCCTGAGCGGCCTGACCAGGTAAGCAAAGTTCATAACTGTCGAGCCAGTTGTGGTCTAACAGCTAGCAGCGGTCGTACCGGGGTCCAAGATGCACGTGCTGGTGATCAGGGCGCCGATGTTGCGCGGCGGTCGGAGTAGCGTGTATGGGTGCCGGTGTGGGGTTTTGATGTGGGTGAGGAGTTGGGTTGTCCGGAAACCGAGGACCTATTTTCCGTTGTTGTATTTTACATACCGTCCATTCTATGAAAAAACACTGGTACCACTCTTGTGTCAAAGACGGTGGGGCGGCTTTATTTCCCTCAATCGATAAAGCTGCCCAAATGCGACTCCAGGACAACTGGCGCAGACCTAAGCTGATGGCGTCGTGCCAACCACATTGGCATGGAAGTCATCGAGTGTGAGAGTTACGGCACCCGCTTGTACAAGCTAAACGAGGTCACTCATTAGACGGCTGCTGCCACATGGAGACAAGATTAGACTGTTTTGACTTACCGCACGGGACAAATCGTCGATTAGATCCCCCACATCCTCAATGCCGACACAAAGCCGGATTATATCTTCGGGCATCTGCCTTTCCTGCCTGGTCTTGGCATCGATGCTGGCATGGCTCATGCGGCAGGGCATACTGATGAGGCTATTGACACAGCCAAAGCTCACACTGATGCCCCAGAGTTTCGTAGCCTCGACGATCCTTTCAGAAAGGCCGACGTCCCCGGTTTCGAACGAGAGCACGGCGCCTGCGCCCCGCGCCATGGACCAATGGAGGTCATACTGCGGGTGTGATTTGAGGCCCGGGTACCGAACTCGGAAGCCGTGCGACTCAAGGAACTCCGCGATTTGTTGGGCGTTGGCCTGCTGCTTCTCCATGCGGATGGCCAGGGTCTTAACGCCTCTCATGAGCAGGAATGAATCATTTGGTGACAGGCCACACCCTGTCGCATTGATGGTGAAGTACATCTTGTCGCCCAGTTCCGTGTCATTGCACGCGATTACACCAGCCATGATGTCGTGGTGGCCCGAGAGGTATTTTGTGCCGGACTCGTACACGATGTCTGCGCCGATGTCCAGAGGGTTGAAAAGCATGGGCGAGAGCATCGTGTTATCCACGACCACCACCGCTCTGCTGTTTGCCTCGTGGGTAGCCCTCGCAATCGTGGGGATGTCGACGATCTTGATCAGCGGGTTCGTCGGAGTCTCGAGCAGGACCATGGCGGTCTTGTCTGATATCACCTCCGTCACGCGCTCGGCATTGGTCGTGTCGACATGGTGCACGACAACCCCTTGATTGTTCTTCAGGTATGTGAGCAGCCGGTTCGTGCCACCATACAGATCGTCGCCGGTGATGACTTCGTCCCCGGGCTTGAGCAGTCGCGTGATGACATCCAGGGCACCCATCCCGGAGCTGACGGCCAGAACGCGGTTCGCGTTCATGACCTTTGCCAGGTGGCGCTCAAGATGCGTCCGGGTCGGGTTGCCAGATCGAGTGTAGTCATACTGGCTGCCCCCGTTGGACGACGTCTGCTTGAATGTTGCCGATTGGTAGATTGGAATGCTTGAAGCGCCATACTGGTCCCCGGACTCGGTGTAGACCAATTCCGTCGCCAACGCATAGCGCTTCCTCCCGGAGAGCGGGCTTGATGGCGCGGGTGAGGGAGGGAGAGCATGGCCGTCAAGGTCTAACCTGGTGAACACCTTGTTGGCAGCCTGCGATGCTGGGCTCAGTGGGTTTGGTGCTGCCATTGTAATGATTCCCACTCCGAACGACCGGCTTGTCGACGATGGAAAAGGACGTGCTATTAGAGTCGGGAGGAGGGTAGACGGTGCTTGGCAGAACTCAACGCTCAAGAGTCACGGGGGTTGAATCATATGCCTTCAGTTCGATTTTGGGAGGTTACAATGAACAGCTCTTTTGGTATCTGGAGAAGGAATTGGCGAAGCTTGGAGTCAGTGGGTTCCTATTCTCCTACATTCCCCGGGACCGGTTACCGTATGTCTTCAACCGATTTTCAATCCGACCCCGGAGCTGCACGCCAGGGGTAATTCGCTGCTGAGGTGTTAATTGCGGGGGAGGTTGGGTGACTCAGTGGGGGAGGAACCGGCAAAGGAATCCATACTGTGGGGCTGGCAAATGACGTGCTCGCCGCGGGTGGGACGTCGACTGATACCCGAGCACTCACAACTGTTCAGATCAATGGTAGATCCAGGGTGGGCGCCCTGCGCTCACCTCTAGAACTTATAGGATACTCTTTCCTGTTTTAAACCTGGAATATCTTTAACTTCCTAAGTTGGGTGGTGTTGTGTGTCTCTTAAAGCTTGACGGGGGTGCTGGTCTATTTACCTACCTTTGCGACACTTACACAGCGAGTTACCGTTCAGTTAGCAGTACATACAGTACGGTGACTTGGCTTGGCACCGGAGGATAAGGTAACCGAAGTATCTTCGACGTCGAGCGGTGTTTATGTGTTTATCCGGGTATTATTCTATAGCTGTCCCCGCATTGATCCTGGTGTGTCCCTGTCTTCGATCTCCGTCAACGCCCAGAATGACGGCCATACCTACCTCAAATATTCGTACACTGCTGGACATGCTGTTCGGCTTGTGGACTACGCCGACACTGTGATCTGCTCGTCTTCCTCCTCTTCCACGTCCTCATACCCGTCGCTCGAGGCTTTAGACTGCGCATTGGCAGTACTTGTTTGCCGAGAGGGCGTCTCGACAAGGACACGCCCGCCCCGGCGGCCGAAGAAGTCCTCGGTCCTGATACCCCGGACGTGCTCGGGATTGACTTGGGACATGGCCGCCCCCGATGCCCGGTGTTGGCGGATGTACTCTCTCATAGGCGCCATGGCTGCATCTCGGCATGCTTCCTTGATGTCGCTGCCAGACATACCTGCGGTTACCTTGGCAATATAGTCGACGTCGAAATGTTCAGGGTCGCGCTTTGTGTTTCCCAGGACCAATTGCAGGATGCGCCGTCGTTGCTCTATCCCGGGCAGGGGAACGGGGAACTTTTTCGGCATCCTCCTAAGGATCGCTTCGTCGATGTCGTTGATTCTGTTCGTCGCTCCCAAAACAACTATCCTCGCCGGGTCGCCAGCGGCGTTTGTAGACGTCAGGCCATCCCACAGGGTCATGAACCTACAGCCGGTTAGAACAGTGTTTTGTTCCGCGATGGTTAGCCGCACGACTTACTCAGCTTTCACCATGCCGCTGGCTTCGTGCTCCCCGCTCCTCCGTGTGCCCAAGACGGCATCTATCTCGTCGATGAAGATGATCGCAGGCTGCAGCTTCTTCGCCAGAGAGAAGACTGCGCGCACCAGCTTGTTAGAGTCACCGTACCACTTCTCCGTCAAAGTCGAGATGTGTAGGTTGATGAAAGAGGCGCCGCTTTCGTGCGCTACCGCTTTGGCCAGCATCGTCTTGCCGCAGCCCGGCGGCCCGTAAAGCAAGACGCCGGAGGGTGCCGCCAGCAGCGCGCCTCCGTGTCTGTATAGATGCGGCATCGTTAATGGAAAGATAATGGACTCCTTAAGCTCCTCGATGATTTCCTCCAGGCCGCCAATGTCGTCGAAGCCAACTGGGATATCCTCGGGCGCAACGACCTCAAGGGCCACCTGGCTCTCGTACTCGTTGAGAGCAATATCCTCGAGCCTCCTCCGTCGTGGCCCATCTGTGCCGTCGTCGTCTCCGCCTTCACTTTCTTTAACATATTGTCTCCGCAGCGCCCTCTGAAGGTTTGCCTCGGCTTTTAGCCTGGCTTGCTCGTGCTTCTCTCGATCGGGATCGATGAGTTTCGCAAAATACGGGCCGAGGTATTCTCTAATCAAGAAATAGGCCGATATTGTCTCAAAGACATGTTAGCACGCTATGCGCCACCATCGCGCAACCTGCAGGGACGGTACACACTCCGGCGGCAAGAAAGAGGCCCGAGATAAGCTCTCGCGCTCGTTTTTGGTCACTCATGGTGCACTGCGCTTCGATGGTATGGCTTGAAACAGCGCTGTGTTCAATCAGAGTAGAGGCTGAGGCGGTTGACCGCGATAAGAAGAGAATGGTTCTGTAGCCCGAATCCTCGGTCGATGTCAAGAGGATAAAGCAGTCGCTGGCGCCAAGCCCATGTGAGAGCGCCATCTGTGGTTAAGAACCGGGGCGGACCACGGACCCGCAATCGAACTTCATCGCTACAAAAAATGACGTTCCGGCAACGGCAGAAACGACCACCTCTGGCTTTCTCGGCAGCTGTTTTATACCCACACACCGGTATGGCTCCTTGACCTAGCACCCAGTGCATACACAGTGACATGACGGATTACTCCCAAAACCCAGCTTCGTCCGAAGTTTCGCAGTTCATATAAAGTGTCCGTTCTTGTCGAGCACCCAGAGGAAGCCAAGGCTTCACTTTTTTTGAGCTCAGAATCCGTTCGGTTGCACGATTTCTCCTCAACATCGCGATGGCTGCTATCCAAGAACAGCGCCCTGATATCCCGACGCTCACGGCAGCACTCGAGACAACTGCTCAAGAAATCAGACGCCTACCAAACCTAAGAGTTCTACAAAACAAAGAGGTGCTTGGAGCAATGGAAGCCCTTAATGGGCGGATGGCCGATCTCCGCACCGGGATGCAAACCCTCCAAGTGCAGATGGTCAATCTACATGCCAGTATCTCGAGCCTTTCGCACACGTAAGTCTTCACCTCTAATAATTGATTCTCTTCTAGTATTAATCATAACCTAGGCAAAGCAATCATCAAGTCAGTCTTTTGAATGGCAATTCGATGGCCAACGACATGAATCGGCCTCTTATGCCATTACGGAACGTTCGAGATGGGAGCATTATCCCCCATTTCCCGCGAACCGCTCCGGAACTTATGGCATTAGATGGTATGTTGACTTCCCTACCTTAACTATCAGTGGAAAAAGCTAAGAGTATGATTTAGGTCATGCTCTCGATGTGATCCTCGACTCGTTGGGAATGCCAGTTGCTGAGAACCAAACGCTGGCTTCCAAGAAGGAATTCATTAAGCGGGAGTGGGCGTTGGGCTAACGTGGTGTTATGATGCCCCTGCCCCGCCCAACCTGTAGAGAGCTAGATTTTCTGTTGAGATCTATGGGCGCAGTGCGACGTTCGAAGATCAGCGATCGGGCAACTCCACGTTCACACCGACCCCGCTATTTGTACGGGGGTCGCCCGATATTTGTACGGGGCAGCACCATAGCCAAATCTTTGACAGCGAAGATATATAGCAAAGCCTAATCAATATCTAACAGTTACAGCTTGGGCTAAGTTAGAACTAGTAATAAGGCTTTAGGTTTACTTAATATTCCAATTTGCCCGCTAGGAATTTGGAGGACACCGTCTTACTTATGATGGTTTGTTATGATTCTATGAATTCTGTCCTGAAAAGGGATGTGCGATACCTTACAGAGGTTACCGGCAAAAGTTTTCAAAGTGGGCCAGGTACCGGCAAGGGTCACACACCACCCCCTGAATGTACCAACGCGTCGCGCAGCCTTCAGAAAGGGATATACATTCCATTGGCATTAATGATAGCCTGTTGCCGTATAGGCATTGTATCTATACACTCTCTAAGAAATTCCTCAGGGATTGCTTCCCATACAGTATTTACTGCTTCCCGTAATTGGTCAGACGATATCTTCGCTAGGTAGCTAACTGCAATATAATCCTTCATCCAGTTCTATGCGTTCTCGATCGGATTTAGATCAGGGCTAAAGGGGGGATGGGTATAAACAGAGATCCCCTAAGCTATTAGCTCTTCGCAAGTGACTTAAGCAGTATAAGGAGAGGCATTGTCATATATAAATACCTGGCCTAGATGAAGCTGAAATCACCTATTAATAAGGGGGACAACTCTCTCTAAGTACCTCTCCCCAGTTATCGACCCCTATTCTTTCTCCTAGAAAAGAGCAGGCCCTTTACTATATTTCACTAAGTATGAGCCCTAGAACATCTATCCCTTTGGCCGTTATTTACGCTCAACGATGCAAGTCGGGTCGTATACCTCGTTTTGACGGCGTGTAACCCAGACCTTTCGATAGGCGCCTGCCGTTACCCAGGTCTCGTCGGTCCAAAGGATTTCGTAGTATCGCTCGAGAGGCTAGTGGACATGCTCCAGAGCATTGTCAAGGCGGAGTTGTCGGTTCTTCTCGGTAATCGGAGGCTTTCAATATGCAACATAGCGTTTAAAGCTAGCGTTGTAAAGGGCGTAGCGGATAGCGTACTTTGAATAGTCTTAGCTAAGAGCAAGAGGGATCTTCGAGTAAGGTATTCGACAAGAGGCTTTCGAGGAGGTAATAAAGGCGATCAGCTCTTTAACTTGTTCAGGGTTGAGAAGACCAGGGCGACTAGAGCGCTTCTTTGGTGTGATATTTGGAGCGCGGCAAGCATGTCCAACTTGGTTGTAGGTAAGGCCAAGTTGTGTAACGATCTGCTCGTATGTAAGGCCAAGATTGCGGAGGGTTTGAACTTGAAGACGCTCATCGCGAGTGAGATCAGGGTTCTTGAAACGCTGGCTAGGTGGTGTAGAGGGGCGCTCTAAAGCCATTGCAAAGGTGGTGGGTTATGTTGATGATGTTTTCTGATGGTTGCGCGCGACGCGTTGGTACATTCAGGGCGTGGTGTGTGACCCTTGCCGGTACCTGGCCCACTTTGAAAACTTTTGCCGGTAACCTCTGTAGTCTATCAATAAGGATTATACGTGGCTTAGTGTATAACTATCGAGCAACCCGGTACAAATAGCGGTAGCGCGTTTCACACGCTGCTGGAGCCCCGGCAGTTCCACGCTTCCGGCAGTTCAAGTATATCTAAAGTTGCCAGGCAAACAGTTCTGCATGTCATTCCGTAGGTGATTTCGAAGTGAAGGTACTTACTAGTACTACCTTACACACTACCGTATTCTGTCAACGATGGTACTGTACAGGTATACAAGTACCATCCAATGAGGTAAGGTACAGACGTCGCCTAAACGCATGGGAAGAAGAATGGAAGCGATTACCGAGGCATTGATGGAGTATATTACCGTAATTTCAGCTACCTATGGCAGGCCTTTGTATTTGTTTACTTACACCATTGTGGCGCTCGGGCAACCACGACCCCAATTGCCCCTCTCGTTTCCCAAATTCATGCAAGCATTGCAGATCACGCGCGCTAAACGCCAAAAGCACCGTTTCTCGGAAGTCGCGAAAGAACTTACGCGCCATTTCTTCTCAGGTCTCAACCGTACCTCGGACACGGCGTCCGGCCCTGCCGTTAGTTGATGTCAAAATCCAAGGCTCGCTCTGACTTGCTGCGGTTGGTAGACTCGGACTCGGAGGACGAATTCGGAGGTCGCGCGTTGGAGGTCGCGCGAATAGCCACCGTTACTCACTCAAAAAAGCAGAACTGCACGATGCCGCCAACAAAGAGAGCGAGGGCAGGCCGCCAGCCCGCGAACAGGGTTACCAAGCCCGCGCCGAAGACATCAAACTCGAGACGACGCCCAAGCGATCGGATAGCCGCAGCTGCGGAAGAGGCCATAACAGGAGGGCGGACGGGTGCCAACTCGAAGGGAACGGGTCGCGGGCGAGGACGAAGGCGCGGAGCGGCCGTAGAGGAAGGAGAGCAGCAGGAGGACACAGTCATGACAGAAGCGTCCGCTCCTGCTGCCGTTACGCCGCTAGCGACAAAGCAGAAGGGCTCGCGCGGGCGACCCAAGAAGGTGGTCATCGAGGCCGAGACGAATCCCGCTGTCACGCGGAGAGGGAGGAAAGCAACAGTGAGGAACGCCGAAGTTGAAGTAGAGGAAGTGTCCGAAACCCCCGAGACCCAACAACCGGATGCAACACAAAGCGGTGTCGACGACGGCCGGGACGACCTAGCAGATCTACCCATGTCGCAAACGCCAGCCCGTGTCGGTGCCGGTCGCGGCAGCGCACCGCTTCTCAGCAGCATATCGAAGCGGCCGTTACACGGATCATCTCCTGACAAGAGCGAACCTGCGCTTCGCCGTCGACTCGGAGAGATGACGCAGAAACACGAAAGCCTGGAACACAAGTACCGGGATCTCAAGGAGATAGCCGTGAAGGAGGCCGAGCGCAACTTCGACAAGCTCAAGAAACAGTCGGAAGAGAAATCGAGGGGTAAGCTTTCACTATCCGTTTCGCTCATGAAGACGCCAAACTTACCCTCTACAAGCCGCCGACCAACTCATTACGACCTTAAAAGCGGAGCTAGCCGCTCAGAAGGAAGCTTCGAAAGAGATCCAGTGGCTCAAAACGCAGCTCGAAGAAAGCGAATCCAAGACGGGCGTACTCCAAGCCAAGGTTACAGAGCTCACCACTGCCGTGGCAGACTCTAAAGCTGAGATCAAGTCCCTCAACCTCAAGCTGACCGCCGCCCGCAACGCCGAAGCGGCCGCCACGGCAGCGGCCAAGGTCCCAGGCAGCGCGATGAAGGGCTCGACCGCTGCATCCCGCCTCGCAGCAGCCAACGCTTCCGAAGCTATCCAGCGAGCTACTCTGGCGGCGCAAAAGAAAGAAGATCTCTACGGCGACTTGACCGGTCTCATAGTGCGCAGCGTCAAGCGCGAGGGCGGCGAAGACATGTTTGATTGTATCCAAACAGGCAGGAACGGGAGTAAGTCGCGTCTATTACGCTACAAGTTACGCAGGATCCCAGGCGGGAAGCTGACGTACACCCTCTTCTTCAGCACTTCATTTCAAACTAGCAGTCGAAGTCGACACCGAGAACGGTGGCGGCGTGGAAGCCCACTGCCATTACACGCCGCAGCTCGATGCAAACCGGGACCGTGCGTTGATTGCCGTCTTGCCCGGCTACCTGGTGGATGAGATCTCATTCCCCCAAGCTCAGGCGGGCAAGTTCTATGCGAGAGTACTCAAGGCTCTGAATGAGCAGCCGGCAGCGTGAGGCTCGTCATTGTTATTGTTGATTGATCATGGTGAAAGGGTGAAGCGAGATGAGTGAAAAGCGATTGGATGTCTATTTCAGATAAGGGATTGTAGCGATAGGGAGGCGGTTATTAGAGCGGAGGGAGGTGGCCTCGGGCACCTATATAATCTCGATTCTCGATTGTCTTGTTTTTCTGGGCGTTTGGGGTTTTGGACCTTGTGGTGTTACCTGCATTTGAAGTTTGCTCAGGAATACCTCGGTGGGACGGGCGGATGTACGGTCACTACGGTGCATAAGGTACCTAACTGCATGGGGCTCTATCTTGGGACTAGGTTCTGGATTCGGTGTCAACCTTGTTCTGCTATGGACTACTAGTAATGTGAATCAGAGGTTTATACAACATCTTTCAACTAGCACCTGGGTATGTTGTCGGTCTTCAACTGGACGGTAGGTAGAAAAGCACGCTTCATGCACCCTCTTTCTAGGGATAGTCTCACACAACTTATCCGCACACCCCATCTATGTATGTACAGTGTGTGAACTAGTATACACAACGCCTCACGTTAAGCGCTGTATCCTGTTGCCTCCAGCTCAAGCTCAACGGAACGAGCAATAACCTTCTGCTTTGCTTCACCGTCTATGCCCTGCCCACATGCTGCGTGCGATCCCTCCAGGATGATATCGCTACCTCAGACCCGGCGGCTGCCACAACCGCCGGCACCCTGGGCCCCCATTCCTTCAGCCCCCGGACGCATTAGCAGGACAGATCTCGCCCGGCCTCCCCAGGGTGGAAACGAACGACATGAACAATAAATATAGACATTACCGGTAGCCAGGCATAGCTCATATCGACCCATCCCGCCCATTCACAGAACCCCAAGCGGTCCTCCGCCATGCCAACTACCCTCAAAATCCCAATTGGAGCCCAAATATTTCATCCTGAGACTGGCTATTGTAGACAGTCTATCCAAACAGCAGGTCCGCTGCATGCGGAGGAACATAAAGCAGCCGCGCTGATGACCCCGCCATTAAAATGCTGTTTGAGAAACCGCAAAAGAACCTGGACGCCGCCTGTGCTGAAAGTATAAAGATGCAAGAAACCACGCTCTTGGAAGAAGAATACAGAGGAAGTGTTGAACTGGATCTAAATGGAAGCCTGCCGTAGAACCAAAATCCGAAATGGATGCCAAATCGGAGTTGGTGCCGGGGTGGATACAACGCTGTTGTTTGTCGAACCCGGGCAAGAGGTAAACAGTCGGGGGCTGGGTATCAGATATGAGGTGCATATAGCATCGTGAAGAGTCGAAACGGGAAATGCATCGTGGCTGGGAACAAAAGACGACGACGAACTCCGGCTCTGGGAAACGAACTGCGTTCGGAAGAAGGTCACGGTTCCTTTCCCCGCTTCCGAGCCTCCGCCTCGCCTGCGTATAGATGGCTTAGGTCTGCCAGGGACCATGAATCAGACGTGGAGTGCACGATGGCGAGCCAGAATGCAAGGAAATTTGCGAGGTAATGCAGCGTGTATGCGTACGAGACACCGTACACAGCCGCATAAACTGCAATGCAAAACAGCAAGGTGCTGGTGATGTGTCTGAGCCGGCTGCTGACCCGCGGTATCATCTTTCCCGTCGTCAAAGTCTCGACGAGGACGATGAATGGCATAACGGAGAGGACGTTATGATGCGAGGTGAAAGGGGTGAGCCAGTGGACCGCCAGGTTGTGGACCCAGACAACGAAGGTAGGCAAGTTGATGGGAAGAATCCAAAGCATCAGGATGAGGATGGAGTGGGCGTAGTTGTAGAAGCTGGAATTTGCGGCTGACCGCAGCTCCGAGCCGATCCTCTGAGCCCGCACCGTCGTCATCAGTTGCACCAAGCAAGCAACCAGGTAGGCGAACTGATACGGAACCACCGTCGAGACGAGTAGCAACAGAATGGCCGTTGTGATCATCCGCCGTCGCGGGGATGGAGAGAAGAACCCGGCAGGCGCCAAGTTCTTCCTATCTTCGTTGCGAGTCCATCCAGGACGCGACGTGAGGAGACCGGCAACAGCGCTCAGCAAGTGCGTGAGAAGGAGTGTCGCATAGTTGATGAGGGTGCAAGCGCCGACACAGATGATCCCAATGAGAGGGACCAAGAAGAGAAACACGGCGTCCTGGGTCCCGGTTAAGAGGTCGTTCTGTTGGGAACCGATGACCGAGAATGCGTTGTGCCAGAAACCTGCGTTCTCTGCCGGAGCCGTGTTCGCAGTGGATAAGGTCAGAACCGTAAGGGATATGAGTAGTAGGGGGATGGAACGCCTCAAAGACAGATCCAAACCTTCTGAGAAGGATATGAACACCCCTGTGGTATCGTAGACGCGGAACTGATTCCTAATGACCAGCACCACAACGAACAGGGGGAACGCAGCAAAGACAGTGCGATAGCGCATGTAGAGCTTGCCAAGGCTGCCCAAGACGTCCACAGTCAAGGTGACATGAATGCTGGCGTTGCACGTGGGGTCGGCCCAGAACTGGAAGTTCAAACCATCTTCCTCCGATTTCTTGGCGAGCGGAGGAGGAATATATGGAGCGACGCCATGGAGGCTGACCATGGCCTCCCGCACGTTGACGAAATATTTCGACTCATATGGTTCAGTCATGTATTGACGGACCAGCGGAGCAAAGAGCTCCCTCTTGCCATCGCACGCCTGGTTGCTGATCCTCAAAACATAGGCTAGCAAACTCGAGCGCAGAGACGGCACCTTGATCTCAGAGACCATCGGCCGCTCGGCGGGGAGGCGGAGGTCCAGGCCGAAAAGGAGCAGATTCCGAAGGCTAATCTGTTGCGTCTGGTGGGATTGGGAATAGTCGCTGAACTCGGCAATCACGAATCCTGGTGTCGCACTAGCCACCTTCTCGACAATCGCCACAAACTGATGCTCGGCAATCTCGTCCGCTCCATAATCGAGGTAGGAGAACGGTCTAATATCTTTCTCCCCATCAGCGAAGAATGGATGGCGCGTCGACTGAGTCGATGCCGGGAGGGGCACGACATCCGGGACCGCGGTTCTGCAAGCCAGGCGAGTGGTTCCTGTTTCCCCCTTGGAAAGATCGAGGTGGCTTGCAAAGCCCGTCCAAGACTGGCTAGGCTGCGAAGGAATCACGCTGCAAAACATGACTTCCAACTGCCCATGCTCCCCGGGTTTGTCCAGCTTTGTATCAGTCAAGAGGGTAAAGCGCTTCACGTTTGGCGATCCTGATGGCGGGATAGGCATCAGATGGGCGCGGACTGTGCCCGCGGTGCCTAGGTCTCGCAGCACCAAGCGCTCCCCCTCAGCAATGATCGAATCCGAGTTATCGCCCACAGTAAGCAGAATTGTTGGGTCCGAACGAGGCGCGATTTTCTCCACAACTTCCTCCATCCCCGTAAGAAACCACTTTTTGAACACCCTCATCCGTTCCGCTCGAGGCTTTGTCTGCACAGCCCTATGGACGTCCACAACATCGTAGATGGCGTGCGCAATAACCTTGCGGAACTGGTCGCACCAGAGGATCGCCTGATGATCCATGCTCGTCCACACGGTCGGAATCGTGGACGTAAAGACCGTGAAGCCATGCGTTTCCGGAACCAAGGACTCAATGCTTGCGTAGTCAGAAGGCACGACGGTATCCAACCCTCCACCCGCAATTGACACCAGCGTAACATGCCATAAGGGGTTGTCGTTGGCCCACTGTTGCGAGTAAGCACGCCGCCAGTAGTCGTTGATGTCTTTGTACGTCTGCACAATCTGGCCGTCGAAGGACACCGGGGGCCGGGCGTGCGGAGCAGACATGGTGATTATGGTGTTGATCGAGTTTGATTGATAGTTTGGCATAATCAGCATGGTCCGCGCAACAATCCCCCCCATGGAGTGGCCCAAGACGATGACCGAAGTTGGGTCGGGTAGGTCGGGCTCCCGGTCAGAGACTCTAGGATCAAGATAAAGAGACAGTATGTATCTTATCGCCTCATTGAGATACTCGGCCTGGTCGAGGAGTGTCTGTCCGTGGAACGCAGTGATGTCCTCGTTGAAGTCGACCGTGAAGAAATCCAGGCTCCGAGCACCGGCTTTGAGCGCCGTGTCGTCATGTTGCAGGACGTCGTGGAAATAATTGGCCGCTTCTGCAGCAATGGGCCGAACTTGCTTGTAACTCCCAGCATTGCCGGGGATGAAGAGTACGGGAACGCCCCTCACCTGTACACCAGGTTAGCCCTACAGAAAGACCCGGACAAGCAACGACGCGACTCGAACCTTTGTGTCATGGTCGATCCCTTGTTCGCGGTACAAGTACAAGGAGTATTTGCTAGCTAGGCGCGTGTGTTCGGTGTCAAAGTCGTCGAGCTTGGCATATGAGGGTCGCATGTAGGACATGCGACACCCCTTGGGATCGATTTGCCGCGTCACCGAAGAGTAGAGGACAGCGAAGAGGAAGCCAATTCCGACAACTGATGCGACAAGCGGCAGAAATCCAATTGCCCAAGCACTTCGTAATCGGGGTCGCCGCTCTGCAAGCCTAGACTCTGGGGCCTTTTCCATCTCTTTCGTTTGCAGCTCCCCATCCGACGACAAGATCAAACCCAGTGCGGAGGATGGTGATGCGCGGTCGGCGGAAGGAGGCTTCTCCCCCGTCCCATTGCGGGACTCTGGTGGCCGCCAATTCACGCTGCTAGACCGTCGGTTAATCGAAAATGAATGTTGGAGGTCGCGGCTGAGGCGGCGATCGAGCTTGTTCGCGGGCTGCGCCGGATTGAAGCGAGACGAATTGACATGGGATGCTTCAGCAGGAGGAGCATCGCCGTCTTCTGACGATGGCGACGAGTGCTTCTTCATCCCAGCAGGACCGGCGGCCGAGAAATCTGGCCTACGGTGGCACGATGCGATTGTCGTTTTGTGCGTCGAGCCGGGCCAAGCAAGGGAACGGTGAGCGGCGCCGCGGTGAAACGCTGTTCATGGGCTCTCTTAAGCTGGAGATCTCCACTGATGGGCTGGGGTAGGGTGTCTTAAAAGCTGCACAACTTCGTTTGTCCACCGAGGCGATGCGGGACACGCCTCGAGCTCTCCCACCAACAAAAGAGACAATAAACAAGCCGACCTGGAAAAAGTTGAGTTCGGACGACAAGTTGCGCGATGCGGGATCTGGAGTGCACAAACCAAAAGCTTGGCTGCCTGCGTCCCCTGCACCCCACCGGCCTAGAACTCATCAGACGGCCCGAGTTGATTTGTTGATGCGGGCGAGCTCAGTGGCTTGAGGTATGGAGACCGTGGCATGGGGAGCGAGGGGACCACCCAAGATTGGCAGGTTGACTTTGATCCAGCGGATCCAATCGCGCCTGATCCTTGTTTTCCGGTTCATCTGAAACTAACATGCGAATGAGATTTGAGGAGTCCCGGTCGTGTGGAAAAAGGAGTGCGTGCGGTACTTAACGGATCTGGCGAAACGTTCGCACAGCTGGGGCTATACACCGTACTACGAGTGACGTCCTTCCCTAATAATTGCAATGTCATGTTGAAGACGAAAAGGTCAATTACAGAATATAAGCCGCTTCACAAAAGAAGGGCTCATGCGAGCGCTTACTTATCTAGTGCCTGGGCTGGGTTGGTTTCTCGACTAAGGACCGGTGGCCCGGCCATCACCACACACGACCCTCGGAAGTAGACGTAGCCGTCGTACTGGGAATCGGACGAGCCGGAGAACATTGCTGAATTGTCCTTTCAAGCCTGCAGCAACATCTTTCTCATAGACCTGGTACACCTTCACTCAACTGTCTGGCGGGCTAGGTATCGCGTGCTCGATGCACTGATTCGGCATAGAGTCCCCAGCCACCCTACTCTCCGAGCCTCTGATCTGCACCTCCTAAGTCGTTTGAGATAGTAGCGGGTTACTAGTATGGATGCAGTACCTCGAGTACCTACGGTGCATAACGTTACATACACCCGACGTACATCATTCCTTCAGTATCTGCTTATGGCACCCAAAATCTTACTAGGGCATTAGCACTCCTTCTCTCGCTATCGCATACTACACCTGTACCGATGTAGGAGTAGGTCGGCGGGTATCAGGCCTTGCGTGTCCGGGTTCGGGTCGGGCTGCTCCATCGGTCCGGCCGGAAACGCAGCCTGGGAGGCTATCGTCCGGTCCCACTGCACCTTTCTGAGGGCATCTTGACCCAGCAATCTGCGGGCCGCGTCTTCTTTACCATACCAGCAACGCATCATCGCAAAGAGCTAGACAGCTACAATTCCCTCCTTTGTTACCGAAGACGCGTATTGTAAGGATATCCATACTAGGTGCTCAACCATGCGACGCTGAAGTTTTAAAGGTGAAAGTTGACGGCAGGCGTCGGTACTAGAGTCACTACTAAAGTAGCCCCTGCGTCCCGCAGGTGCCGATGCAATTGGCTAGCCCAATAACGTCATCACACATGCCACCTTATCTTCGCAAGCCTTGGCACACTGATGAGTTCAGTATCCTCCCCATAATAAAGCGGAAGATGCAGACAGTTAATCCGTAGCCGACTCTCAAAGCGCCGTGCGTCTAGGAGGTGGTCTACCGACATCCGAGATGTAGTTGCCTAAGGTATGAAGTACCTAGGTACTTAGAGTTTTCCTGGAGTTCCGTGTACGTACTGGAAAGTATGACGACGTCTGATTGGGCAATCGCCTCGCCCACTGTAAGAAACGCGTCTCGCATCGCGCCGCTCCCTTCATTCTCAACCGCGACTTTAAGTGGCACCGTACGGTATCAGCTACCTACGGTAACAACGATCTTCTAGTTTCATAGCCTACCAGTCCATACCCCAGATGACATGACCCGAGGGCGAACCACAAGCTAGTCTAGGTTACGGCTGCATCGAGGATTGCGAAGCAAAGATAATAGAATAACAATGTTCTCGAATGCCACCATCAAAGCCATCGAATCCAGCACAGTGCGTTTGTCTACGACATCAACCTGGGCAAATAATCGTCATAGTTAACACTGTGCATCAGGTCCATCAAATCCAGTCAGGCCAGGTCATTGTCGACCTCTGCTCGGTGGCAAAAGAGCTCGTCGAGAACAGCATCGATGCTGGAGCAACTGCAATCGGTAAGAGGCCGGATGCATCCCTCTCCCGAGGTCGCGGCGGGTTGCTGACAACGACGTTTGCGAAGAGGTGCGCTTCAAGAACCAGGGTTTGGACTCGATCGAGGTTCAAGACAATGGATCTGGAATCGCACCCCACAACTACGAGTCCGTTGCCCTGAAGCACTACACCTCTAAGCTTGCGAGCTACGATGATCTCTCCGAACTGCAGACGTTTGGCTTCAGAGGCGAGGCATTGTCTTCGCTCTGCGCGCTGTCGCGCTTCTTCGTCGTGACGTGCACGCAGGAGGAAGCACCCCGTGCCACCAGGCTCGACTTTGAGACCTCGGGGAAGCTTAAGAGCACCAGCGTCGTCTCGGGCCAAAGGGGCACCACAGTCATCGTCGAGGACCTCTTCCGCAGCCTGCCCGTCCGCCGCCGGGAGCTGGAGCGGAACATCAAGAGAGAATGGGGCAAGGTGATCAACCTTCTAAACCAATATGCTTGTGTGCAAACCGGAATCAAGTTCACCGTCTCGCAGCAGCCCACCAAGGGCAAACGAATGGTCCTGTTCTCGACGAAAGGGAACCCCACCACCCGCGAGAACATCATCAACGTGTTTGGCATGAAGACCATGAACGCTCTGATTGCGATGGACCTCAAGCTTGAACTGGTTCCCACGACTGGCCCGCTTAACAAGGGAAAGTCTCGGGCAGACGGCAGCGCCACCGAGGTCCGCGTCGTCGGCCATATTTCACGGCCGGCGCATGGTGAAGGCAGGCAAACTCCAGACAGGCAGATGTTCTACGTCAACGGCCGCCCTTGTGGCTTGCCTCAGTTCGCCAAGGTCTTCAACGAGGTCTATCGATTATACAACAGTTCCCAGTCGCCGTTCATCTTCGCCGATATTCAACTCGACACCCATCTTTACGACGTCAACGTCAGCCCGGACAAGCGAACAATCTTGCTGCATGATCAAGGCCAGATGCTGGACAATCTGAGGGAGTCGTTAATCGAACTATTTGAGACGCAGGACGTGACAGTCCCTATCACCCAGACCGCCGCATTGAAGCCGACTCCCCCAAAGAAAACAGTCGGCGGTGGTTTAGGGACACCTGCTCCAGTTCAACCCGGAAGCAGCAGGTCAGCCACTGTGGCACCTCAGCGACGATCCGAAGCAAGTTCACCAATCCGCCACAGGAAATCGATTGAGGACGATGGCGAGATCGGCGGTGAAGAGGATATCCAGGAGAATGTGGGCCAGGAGAATGTGGGCGCTGAGGAAGGGGACAGTGGACCACGGGCCAGGACGCAATCGACCCATAAACCCGCGAGTTCCGTTCAAAATGTGACACTGCTATCACGCTGGCTTGCGAAGACCACGGACGGTAGAAAGCCTCCTGACATTGCAGGTCCAGACGCCCGGCAACCGGCAGAAACCGCTGTCGGCGACATGCTGGTATCGACCCCGATGACCGCAAGGATAAGTCATCAGCCGAAGAACGCTACAGCCGAAGAGCCGGCATCATTAGTAGAAGGGGCCGAAGACGAACCTGAGGACGGCCAAGCTAGTCAGAACAAGAACTCCCTTGCCTGCTCCACAAGCCCCGAGTGGATAAAGGACCCTAGGCCGGACGATGCGAAGTTTCGGAGACTGAGTGGGAGCCTGGCAGTGGAGGAAGATGAGCCTGAGTCACCCGTTCCTGCGATTGCTCCTCCGTCGCAACCGCCAGCACCGAGACACAATCCTATCGGTACCGCTCGCCCCTTCAATCGCTCTACGCAGGAAGTGGCAACGATCACGATCGGAGATGACACCGTGACAAGCTTGGTCGGAAACCGCGCCAAACGGCCCAGGGTGGAGGAATCCTCCAATCCCACCAAGTCGATCAATGCTGGCAAAGCGGGACAGCAGAACGTTGTCTTGCCATCCTTTGGTGGCCGGCTCTCTCAGTTGTTCTCCGCCTCTGCTCGTCCCGGTGAAGGCACGGCAGACGGGACCGGGGTTGTGACCGAGGACATTGATCAGGACAGACAACTGGCTGATCAAGGAGACGGGGAAGAAGCGGACGAACAAGGCGAGGAGGACGAGGAGGATTCCCTTTTCGTGTCCCAGCCTGAACGTAAACCGACTGGGGACGAAGATGTTCAACGGAGTGAGGAGCTTCCTGTTGGAGATCAGGTCCCAGGTACAGAACAGGTCGAGGATGTGGAAGCCCTCAGTCGTCCTGACAGTCCGCTAAATTCTGATGAGCATCCGGAATCATGCCATGATGATCATCCTGCGGAGGACACGGAGTACATGGACGAAGATGAGAAGAGAGCCCGAAAAGATAGGAAGGTTCAGGCGATGATAGATGCCGCCGAGGCTGCAGCAACTGAAGTTACAGAAGGAGAAAAGCGTTCGCAACTGTTTATCAAAGGACGCGCGAGGCGGAAAGATATGACTGCTAACCTGGTTCAGCATGTCAAGACCAACGAGGGCGACATACAACAACGCATCGCAGCTCTCAAAAAGCACCTGCAACCGCCCCGCTCCAAGGCCATGAAGACTAAGAGTTCGGAGGGCCTTGAGGCGGAAGACGCCGAGGAGAAGCTCTCGCTCAAAATCACCAAATCCGACTTTGCAAAGATGAAGATCATCGGGCAGTTCAACCTCGGCTTCATACTCGCCGTCCGCGAAGCCGCATCCTCGACCGAGGAGACCCCGCAGAACGAGGACGATGAACTCTTCATCATCGACCAACACGCCTCCGATGAGAAATACAACTTTGAGCGCCTCCAAGCGTCGACAACGGTGCAGTCCCAACGCCTCGTCCAGCCCAAGACGCTTGAACTCACCGCGCTCGAGGAGGAGATCATCCTGGAACACCAGCCGGCCCTCGAACGCAACGGCTTCCTCGTGCAGGTGGACACCTCGGGCGACAAGCCGGTCGGCTCCCGCGTGCAGCTGCTGAGTCTGCCGCTCAGCCGGGAGACGACCTTCTCCGTGTCCGATCTGGAGGAGCTCATCGTCTTGCTGGCGGATAACCCGACGTCGAGCGCGACGACGATACCGCGGCCGAGCAAAGTGCGCAAGATGTTTGCCATGCGCGCGTGCCGGAGCAGTATCATGATCGGCAGGGCGCTGTCGAGGAGCCAGATGGAGAAGGTGGTTAGACATATGGGGGAGATGGAGAAGCCTTGGAACTGTCCGCACGGCAGGCCAACAATGAGGCATCTGTGTGGGCTGGGCGGGGCGTGGGATGAGAGGGTATGGATGGAAGGGGATGGGTTTGATGAGCGCGGCGGGAGGACGGATTGGGTTGGGTGGGTGAAAGAGAAGAGATCAGTCGAGTAGGGGCGGCACTGGGACAGTACGCGCCTTAAGTGGCCAGTCAGGTGGTCTACATTACATGCCTTGGTAGCATTGCGCGGTATCGATATTCGCAGATCATGGTGTTGCTTGCCGTAGTATACCTAAGGTACCTCCTAGAGGGGCTCGTTTTGGACACACCGAAAAAGAATAACGTTAACAAATAGGTAAAGAACAGGTAATTCGAGGTCTTAACATCCGGAACCAAGACTATCTAAGTCCCTACCTTGGTATCTTGAATTTTTACACGTGCAATCATACTCGCTTCTCCCCATCTCGTTACGTAAACCATTAACTCCAACTCCAGGACCTGAGTTCCGACAGTCCATCCATACTAGTAGCCTTCCCTCCCTCCTCCGTTCTCCGTTCCTCACCTCATCCAACCCGATCCTTCCTTCTTCCATACGGTATTGACTTATTCATTCATTCATTCATTCAAAACACCATCCCCCTCGACCGTCCCTCCTCCACAATCTTCCCGCTAACATCCCGCCTCCTACCCCCCATCTGGCCAAGATCAAAGTCAAAGTCATTCCCCGATGACACCACCCTCCCGTTATTCCCACTCAATCCATTGCTGGAAGGACCGACCATGATGGGCGGCGTCGCAGCCTTGAGCTCGCCGTACGGCTTCGAGTAGAAGGCGTCGTCGGCCTGGATCGAGCTGACCCGGTTCTTCCCTCCGTACGAGTCGGTGATGTCCTGGCTGCCGCTCACGCGGCGGTCGTTGAGCGACATCTCGGATAGGACAGACGCGCGCAGGCGGGAGAAGGGGGTGCGTGGCCTGCGAGGGGCCGACGCGGGGGCGGATGGGGAGGTTGTCGTCGTTGTCGCCGTGGGGTGGGAGCGAAGCGGGTTGGGGTGGCGGGCATTTTCGTTGGTGCGATAGTCGTAGTTGTTGTTCTCGTTCTCATCTTCTGAGTCGGACACGTCCAAGTTCTGGCGCAGCGACTCGTACCGTGTGCCGGCACGCTGCGGGGAGGAGCCGCTCGCGCGGTTTGCGGCGCGGTTTCGCTGTTGTGTGCGATTGATCAGCGACTCGGAGGCGTACCACGTCTCGGTAAACTTGGCAGGACGCGGCTGGCTAGTCCGCGCGGCGGGGACGCCTGAGCCGCTGCCTGGTCGGTCTTCGGGCGTGGAGTACATCGAGGTCGGGCGGGAGGGGCTGGCGCCGGTTTCACCGAGCGGGATTTCCATGTACGAAGCGCGGCTGGCCGTGGGCGGTGCCGACATGCGCTTGAGGGTCTGCGGGCTGGCCGAGCTGCGGTGGCTGTGCGCGACCTGGTACTGCCGGCTGGGCAGGTTCAGGCGGGAATCCTGGCTGTTGAAGGACGATTCGGAGCCTTGGCGGGTATGCATGAAGGGAACCGACGGCGGCCGTGAATGCTCGTCATAGAGCTCGCTGTCGCGCTTCTCGCCGTCCGAGTAGGTCGAGGTGGTGGCGACGGAGGACTTGTTCCTCTTGTGAACGCGCGAGGTGAGATTCGCCTCCAGGGGGTTCATGTCCGGCGGCATCGTGGAGATACGCCGGAACATGACTCCGAGGAACAGCGAAATGGCCAGAGACAGCACATGCAAGCCGCCAGCGCCAATCAACCCCCAGTACACAGACGGCACCATGTACTTCATGACGTTGGTATGAGCCACGTCCGTCGTCTTCCATTCTTCGCCCTTGTTCCTAGTCGTATAGGCGCCGTATGCGTAGAGCGGCAGCACACAGAGGTCGGAGATGGCGGAGAAGACATGGTATGCTGCCGAAGAACCAGGCGTCCGAAGTCCTGCGGGTCGAGCATGGTGGAAGATGCTGTAGAGACAGTGGACGACCACAAAGCCGAGCTAGAAGTGAGATGTTGCTTAGCGCCAGGCACAAGATGCAGTCTAGAACGCAGGAGGACCTTACAGTAACGCCTATGACCCAGCCTAGCAGCCCCGCGAGGCTCATGACAACCACGAGGCCCACGGCGCCAATGATCTCCAGGACTCTGAGACAGAGCTGCACAGCTCGCATTCCCTTGATCCAACCCTTCGTCTTACGACCCATCGGCTTGTACTTGGATCGCCCACTGGGAACCATATGGGCACTGCGCACCTCAGGTTAGTCGGCCCACGATCGAGTTTCAGAGACTGGAATGTTGACTCGGTTCTGGAATGGAAGTGCATGTATTGTACATACTCGGGATGGCGGTTGAATGACACGAGCGGGCCGTTCGGCTTCGGCTTCGGCTTCTTCGCCTCGTAGCTTGCCCGAGTCACGGCTTTGGGGTCGAATGGCGCGGCGGGAAAGCGGTCATCATTCTTGACGGGTTGATACAGGAACGGCGGCTGACTGCCTCCCATCGTGGCGACCTTGGGGCCTTGGGCCTCCCTAAATCCTTACGCACAGATGGCGGTTTGTATAATTCTCAACGTCAATTGAGCTGCATGCAATTGAGCCTGATGTCTATGGCCTTTGCAAAGAACTGGGCGCAGTCTTAGTTATCGCCTACAAACGTTAGTTATCGCTTAGGGAAACAGGGCTGGGTCGTTTGAGAATCGTTGACCCGGCAACCGTGTAAGCGCTGTTCAGGCCGTGCTGCAGCCAGCCTAATAATACATACCTGCATCCACATCAATGATATGGCAACCTGTGCGACAGTCCCGGCCGCGGTCCTCAAGCGCCTCAGTATCAGATTATCGAGCCAGACCACTCATGTCTAGGGTGCGTTGTCGCCTGCTTGATGCTTCTCTCAAAACCTCCCGTGAATCTTCTCCGAGAAGCTGTGGAGCAATTCGGAGCGCTGCCCGTCGGAGAGCAGACCCACCCAAAGATACCGGCCGACGGGACAAAGCTCGGAGTTAACATAACCTTCCTCGGGTTGACCTTCCTCGGGTTGACACCCAGCTTCGGAGATGGGAGCTCCTTTTCCAATCAGTTTTTGTCTTCTCATAGCTCCAGACTGATACATTGAGCGACAACCATGTTATTGCTCAGGTCGGCCAAGCAGAGGGCATGTGTTACAAATCTGAAGCGCGCGCTGGGTGCGTCATGCGTCGTATTGTCGTCCAGGAGCTTCTCTACAGCGCAAAGTACCCGTGATGGGCGGCCGTTCCGGCTGGCCATTATCGGCTCCGGTCCAGCTGGATTCTATACCGCATACAGGGCCATGACCAAAATCCAGAATGCCAAGGTCGACATGTACGAAGCATTGCCAGTTCCTTATGGTCTAGTGAGGTTTGGGGTAGCACCAGACCATCCGGAAGTGAAGGTGACTAAATATATGCATTTCACTCCCTCATGCAACTCATGCAAGGGTAACGTAACTGACGAGAGCTCGCACAGAACTGCCAGGAGAAGTTCGAGGAGGTGGCTTCCTCTCCCAATTTTACATTCATTGGCAACGTTTCGGTCGGCACCGAGACTGATCACCCGGACGGTGGCACAATACCGCTGGCCAGTATCCTCCGCCACTACAACGCCGTCGTCTTCTCGTACGGTGCTGCGAAAGATAGGCATCTCGGGATCCCGGGCGAGTCTTTGCAAGGGGTCTACTCGGCCCGCGAGTTCGTAGGCTGGTACAACGGTCTCCCCGAGCATGCCGATCTCGCCCCTGACCTCACTCAGGGGGACGAAGCCATCGTCATCGGGCAGGGAAATGTGGCATTGGACGTCGCTAGAATGCTGCTCGAGGATGTCGATGTGCTTCGGAAGTCTGACATCGCAGAGCACGCCATTGCGACCCTGGCTAGGAGCAAGATTAAGAGGGTACACATAGTTGGGCGCCGCGGTCCGATGCAGGTGAGCCGGCCCTCAAGCTTCAGCCATCTGAACGGCGCCAAAGCTCATGCTCCCCCCATCTAGGCAGCGTTCACCATCAAAGAAATCCGGGAACTCATGCGCCTCCCTTCCGTGGCCTTCCACCCCATCGACGCATCCCTCATCCCAGACGACGTCAAGTCGCTCCCTCGCGCCCCCCGCCGACTGATGGACATCCTGCTGAAAGGCTCCCCGACTCCCGTCTCCTCTCCCTCCGCCAAGAAGTCCTGGTCCCTCGACTTCCTCTTAACACCCACCGAATTCCTCCCCTCCGCGACCAACCCTTCCCGCCTCGCAAGCACCCAATTCGAACGCACATCCCTCTCCTCCGACTTCGACCCCAAAGCCTACGCACTGCCGACCGGTGCCACCGTCCAGCTCCCGTCGTCGGTCGCCTTCCGCTCGATCGGCTACCAATCCGAGCCCCTTCCCGAGTTCTCCTCCCTCGGCATCCCCTTCAACGAGCGCTGGGGCGTGATCAGCAACGACGGGCGCGGGCGCGTGCTGCACGAGGAGCGCACGCGGGGCGCCGCCATGGAGATGGGCACCTTCCCCGGCCTGTACTGCGCCGGGTGGGTGAAGCGGGGGCCGACGGGGGTCATTGCGTCGACCATGGAAGACGCGTTCTCCACGGCCGATGCGATTGCGGAGGATTGGGCACGGGCCGAGGTCAAGTTTCTCAATGATGACCACGCAGGGGGCAAAGAGGAATTGGGCGGGTGGGGGGAGGTGAGGAGGGAGACTGGCGTTGACAAGGCGAGGGTGGTCGACTGGGAAGGGTGGAGGCGGATTGACGCGGCTGAGAGGGAGAGGGGGAGGAACGTAGGCAAGGAGCGGGAGAAGTTCACGAGAACGGCGGATATGCTCGCTGTGCTGGGGTGAGCTCGGAATGGACCATCACGCTGAGAGGGACGGATTGGATTGGCGTGACTGTGGAGAATATTCGTACATTTTGTTGTGACAACTACGCTTTATTCAGCTTCTCCGTCAACTCGGGCACCTTCTCAAATAGATCCCCGACCAACCCGACATCTGCCACTTGGAAGATCGGCGCATCCGCATCCTTGTTGATCGCCGCAATCACCTTGCTATCCTTCATGCCCGCCAGATGCTGGATCGCACCGGAGATACCCACAGCCATGTACAATTGCGGCGCGACCACCTTGCCCGTCTGCCCCACTTGCAGGCTGTTGTCCGCATACCCGCTGTCAACCGCCGCGCGGGACGCGCCCACCGCAGCCCCCAAGGAATCGGCCAGCGGAAGCATAATCCTGTCGAAGTCCTCCTTCGACTTCAGCCCCCGCCCACCCGAGACAACCTTGCTCGCCGTCGCCAGGTCTGGCCTGTCCGACGTGGTCAAGTCTTCGGAAACCCATTCGGTCGGGCTGTCCACCTTGGGGTCGACGCCATCTTCAATGGCCGCGGTGCCGCCCGCGACAGGGGCGGCGGGGAAGGCAGTGCCGCGGACGGTGACCACCTTGACCTCGTCGGTGGACTCGACGGTCGCGATGGCGTTACCAGCATAGATGGGGCGGACGAACGTCTTGTCGTTCTCGATGGCGATGACATCTGAGACTTGTTGCGTGTCAAGAAGAGCCGCCACACGTGGCATCACGTTCTTGCCGAAGGCTGAGTGGCCTGCGATTACGTGTGTGTAGCCACCTTTCTTGATGTTCTCGACGAGCAGCAGGGCGTAGTTCTCGGGCAGGCCCTGGGGAGCGGGTATCACATGTCAGTCCTTCATGGCCTTAGTTGTATGTGCCATTTTCACTGTGCCCAACCTTGTCGTATGCGCCGTTTTCCACCGCGATGATCTTCTCGACGCCTTCAACCTTGGCCGCCTCCTCAGCCACGGGCTTGATGTTGCTGCCGGCAACAAACCCGTGGACTGGACCACCAAACTTTTGGGCTGCGCTGATTGCGCTCAGGGAGCCGGCGTTGAGCTTGCTGTCGCGCTGCTCGAGGATGGCCAGCGCCGAGAGTAATCGGCGGAGTGCGGCGGGGGACTGGGCGAGGGCGGGAATCGTCGCATCCCGTAGGGTCGGGCGGGCGAGCGCCGAGAACACCCGGCGACCAGCCGTTAGCATGGTTTCGAATGCAATCGGCCTGTTGCTAGATGCTGACCGGCTGAAGGGACGGGGTCGGAGGTGTCAAGCGGAACTGGGGGATGACCAAAGGGACTGGGCAGCGCTCTCGACAGGTCAACATTGAACAATGACGGATTGCAGCGGCCCGAGGTTAGTACTCCGAAAAGGACCCCACTGTGCCCGGACCTGCACGCCGGAGCCGTGGCGCTGTGGCTCATATGGCTCATGCTCTCTGTGGCTGACCTGCAGCCAGTCACGTGATATGTTAAGGCTTACCGCCTATGTTAGTTGGTCTGTGCTTCTCAGCTGCGACTCTCCTTGGAGTGCAGCGGTTCGTCGCGAACAATTTCAACGCGACAGACCCATCACGAACCGCAGCCATCACGAAAACAGTCCCTTGCGCCGGCTAACATCAGAATTCCGGCCGACCTCACTTCGACACGCGCCCGCTTTACCTTCAACCTGTGTGATACGCGCTTTTGGAAGACGGCTTTAATCTGCCACTTAATCTTCAAGAGGCTGAGCAAACGAGTCCTCGCATCGACGTCGCTTGCCTCTCGACTCCATCGCCGTTACAATGGAGGAGAACTCGGTCAGTTACGGCACCCCGACAAACGGGGCGTCGCCGGGTGCCAACCCAATCTTGGCGCAGCCTCCCCTCCCTGATGCCAATGAGCAGAGCGAAGGTACGCCCATTCGTCCCGGCATGGTTCTGCCTCATCTTACTAACCCATTGCTGTACGCAGATGTGCAAATGGCTGAGGGACCCGCGATTAAGCAGGACAGCACTACTCCCGCGCCTGGGGCGACATCAGATAACCCGCTCGATGCGCCCGAAGGCCCGCCGGCTGAGACCACTGCCCGCGGAGATGAGGAGATGGGCGACGCGCCGAAGAATGAATCAGCTCAAGCTGGTGGCACAGGCCAGAACGACGGCGTTAGTGATGTGAAGACAAAAGAGTTCATCGAAAATGCCGCAAGGGAACATCTGATTTCCCAGACCCACGCTATTGTCCTTCCCAGCTACAGCACCTGGTTCGACATGAACACCATCCACAACATTGAGCGGAAAGCGCTGCCAGAGTTCTTCAACAACAGGAATCGAAGCAAGACCCCTGCGGTATACAAGGACTACCGCGACTTCATGATCAACGCCTACCGGTTGAACCCGGTAGAGTATCTTACCGTTACTGCCTGCCGTCGCAACCTGGCTGGCGACGTTTGTGCTATCATGCGGGTGCATGCTTTCCTCGAGCAGTGGGGCCTCATCAATTATCAAGTAAAGTTATAGTCACTTTCAGCGATAACGACTAATCTTACTAATGCACATTGTAGGTCGACGCCGATCAGCGGCCGTCCCACGTTGGGCCGCCGTTTACCGGCCACTTCAAGATCATCTGCGACACGCCCCGCGGTCTTCAGCCGTGGCAGCCTGCAGCAGACCCTGTCATTACTGAGGGGAAACCAAACAGAGATACCGAGGCCAAGGCCGCTGCCACCCCGGCAACTAAGAGCGAGCTCAACCTGGAGGTTGGCCGCAACATTTACGAGGCTAATGCCAAGAGCAACAAGCTCAATAAGTCTGACAACAAGACCAACGGTGAAGCGCTGACGATTAACGGTGTGTCCGGAACCGATGAGCTCACCAAGGCGCCGATCGTCAAGGTCAACTGCTTCAACTGCGGCACCGACTGCACCCGCATCTATTACCACAGTTCACAATCTGACCCGAACTCCAAGGTCAAGTACGACCTATGCCCGAGCTGCTACATCGAAGGGCGCCTGCCTGCCAATCAGACCAGCGCTCACTACATGCGCATGGAGAATCCGACATATTCATCCATCCTCGACAGGGACGCGCCATGGAGCGATGCCGAGGTACTCCGCCTCCTCGAGGCACTCGAGCAGTACGATGAAGACTGGAACCAGATTGCGGAGCACGTCGGCACGCGGACACGCGAAGAGTGCGTCCTTCAGTTCCTGCAGCTGGACATCGAGGACAAGTATCTGGAGTCAGAGAGGCTGGATGCCCCGATTGGTCTTCAAATGCTGGGCAGCCACGGCGGTCAGCTCCCATTCAGCCAGACCGACAACCCGGTCATGTCGGTTGTCGGTTTCCTTGCGAGTCTTGCGGATCCCGCCAGCACGGCTGCTGCGGCCAACAAGTCGGCCGAGATCCTCAAGCAGAACCTTCGAAACAAGCTCGAAGGGAAGCCGGGAGCTGATGCTCCACAGGCGAACGGTAAGGGCAAGGAGAAGGAGAAGGAGCAGGGGGCTGGCGATTCGATGGACGTTGATATCAGGCACGAGGTCACCACGACGACCACGATGACCACAACGACAACGACCAGCACATCCACCCTAGCAAGCATCCCACTAGCTGCCATGGGGGCCAGAGCCGGCGGTTTGGCCTCACACGAGGAACGGGAGATGACGCGCCTCGTCTCGGCGGCCGTGAACGTCACGCTGGAGAAGATGGAGTTGAAGCTCAAGTACTTCAACGAGATGGAAGCCATCTTGCAGGCCGAGCGGCGTGAACTGGAGCGCGCCCGGCAGCAGCTGTTCCTGGACCGGCTCGCGTTCAAGCGAAGAGTGCGCGAGGTGCAGGAGGGGTTGAAGCAGGCCACGTCGATCGGCGGAGACCAGGGCCTGCGAATGGCACAGGAGCTCATGACGGACGGTCAACGCATGAGCTTCCATGCGCCGCCCGCAGCCGGGGCCGTGCAACCGCTGAGTGCCGAGGGCCAGATCAAGAGCTACGAGGCTTAGGAGGCTCCGTACCTTGACTTCCACCCTCCACACCCAGCAAATTTTGTTGACGGCTATTTTTGACTGCCGGCTGCGGCGGCTTGTTCGAGTTGCTTGTTTTCTTTGGGTTTATTGGTTTCGTCCGGGCGTCAGGGGTTGGATCAGGTGCAGTCAGCGGATCGGTGGGTACTACTATGGCATGAGAGCGACCATGCTATATGAAAAGGAGATCCGTTGATTTAGTCAGCTATTTCTGTATCAATACCAGAGTGCTAAGGTGGGAACAGGAGCTGAGGGGCGGACGGAAGGGCTCAGCATCTTCGCTTTGCAAGCGTATCCTGCCAGACGGACTTGTACCGCAAGTAGTTCAGGGGTATAGACGCTCGCAAGCCACTGACTGTGTGTTTGATTTTTGCATTTCTCTTCATGCGGTGTCCCCGATACCAAACTGTCTCGCTGATAAGAAGCCAACCCAGCGAAGCCAAGCACCCAGCCACGCCACAGCCGAACATAATCCTGTCCTCGCCGGGCTATCGTAGGCTCGCGATCCCCACAGAGTCGTTAGCAGGGCCCTGCAGGGGAGGTTGAATCCGACAAGAGCAGCAGACAATGCAGCGAGACTCCGGTCAAAAATGAACCATTGACGGAAGTGGGGTTCGAACCCACGCTCTCTCTCGAGAAGAGGAGATTTATGTAAGAAAATACTTAAATCCTCCGCCTTAGACCACTCGGCCATTCCGCCAATTTAGTTGAGAAGAATTGAAACTAGCATCCTATGAGCAGAAGAACGGAGTTCTTGATTCAACCGACACTGAACACTATTAATTTGACTATGAGTCGCAGAAACGCCTCTTCTTATATGAAGCACAGGGGAACAGATGTCCTGTTTAAGTTATGCTATAGCTAGATAATAGTAGAACAACTACCGAAGGTTGGTTGTAGTATAGGAGAACCGCATCGCAAAATTCCATTGCAAAGGGTTTGCGAGTGCCTTGCGAGCATGTGAATGTCCCTTTCTGGAACAACTGAGGATCCATCCGCTAGCCCGCAACGCGACGTCAGTTGTGAGCCGGTCTCGGTGGCAGGGATGATGCGGGCCAATGGGGACCAGAAACGGCTGACTCCCCGTCTCGACTGCTTACCCCACGGTCCCGGGGATGCTGAGGCTAATGGCGGCAAATAGCCTCGGCCCAACGGTATCACTCGGCCAATGCACCCACCATCCGCCGGACGGCACCAACTGCAACTCATCAATCTTCCCCAACCTGATTCCAGTCGCGAAGCGGAATGCGACGAATGCCCGGACCCTTGACAAAGTGCCTAGGCTCGCAAACCAGTGCCCCACACGAAAAGGGCCGACCTGTCCCCGCCGATCTCCCGCGGCTCTAAGTAGAGCTGCCCTGGACTTCGTGCGAATCCCGTCTTTCGTCCGCTTGCCCTGTGATCGCGAGACGCACGCCGTTCATTTTCCTCCCTCTTCCCCTCTCTCACTTTCGCAGCGCATTGTTCTCCATTCTCTACTCTCGACAAAGTTGGGATGTTCTCCGCCATCGTAAGGAAAGAGGCCCGGTCTCCCGCTCTCAGAACGCTCCTCTCCAGGACCACCGCCACGGTACGTGCCGCCGCCTTCTCGGTGCCATATAGCCCCTCCCGCTTCTCGGTGCCATATAGCCCCTCCCGAGGGTTCCTGATGCGTACCTCGACTAACACCACATGCGACAGAGGATAACAGCCATGGCGCCAGTAAGCAGAAGGAATAACAGCTCCCTCCCGGCGGGGTACGTCGAGGACAAGTCCAAGGGGCCCATGCTCCGTTTCCAGGACTCGCTGCCGCGCCTTCCTGTTCCAACGCTGGAGGAGACCGCTGCGCGGTATCTCAAATCCCTCAAGCCACTACTCACGCCCTCGGAGCTCGAGGCCAGCACCAAGGCGGTGCAGGAATTCATCGCCCCCAACGGCCCGGGCCGCAAGCTGCAGGAGAAGCTTGTTGCCCGGCGTGAAGACCCCAAGATCAAGAACTGGATGTACGAGTGGTGGAACGATGCGGCCTACCTCAGCTATCGCGACCCCGTGGTGCCCTATGTCAGCTACTTCTACTCACACCGGGACGACCGGAGGCGGCGCGACCCCGCCAAGCGGGCGGCGGCCATCACGACCGCAGCGCTCGAGTTCAAGAAGCAGGTGGATGCAGGTACCCTCGAACCCGAATACATGAAGAAGTTGCCCATCTGCATGGACAGCTACAAGTGGATGTTCAACGCCAGCCGGGTGCCTGCCAAGCCCGCCGACTACCCGGTCAAGTTCGACCACACGCAGAACAAGCACATCCTGGTCATCCGGAAGAACCACTTCTTCAAGGTTGCGCACGAGGTGGGCGGCAAGCAGCTCAACACATCAGAACTCGAGCATGCGTTCCTCCGGGTCTATGAACTGGCTGGCGAGCGTGCGCCGGCTGTCGGTGCGTTGACCTCGGAGAATCGCGATGTGTGGACGGATGCGCGGGCCGTGCTGCTGGCGGCCGACCCCTCCAACGCAAAGGCCCTCGAAGCTATCGATTCCGCCTCCTTCGTCATCTGCTTGGATGACGCTAAACCGGTCACACTCGAGGAGCGCGCGCACGCCTACTGGCACGGCGACGGCCAGAACCGGTGGTATGACAAGCCGATGCAGTGGATTGTCAACGACAACGGGACGGCCGGTTTCATGGGCGAGCACAGCATGATGGACGGCACCCCGACCCACCGATGTAATGACTACGTCTGCGAGGTCATCTTCAACAACAAGCTTGACTTCTCCGACCCCAGCGTCCGGTCCAACCTTCCCGAGCCGCAGGAGATCAAGTTCGTCGTGACCAAGGAGGTGCAGGCCGAGATTGACCGCGCTGTGCGCGACTTCAACAACGTCATCGGGCAGCACCAGCTGGCCGTGCAGGCCTACCAGGGTTACGGCAAGGGCCTGATCAAGAAGTTCAAGTGCTCGCCGGACGCCTACGTGCAGATGATCATCCAGCTGGCCTACTTTAAGATGTACGGCAAGAACCGGCCGACCTACGAGTCCGCCGCGACCCGGCGCTTCCAGCAGGGGCGCACCGAGACGTGCCGCACCGTGTCGGAGGACAGCGTGGCGTGGTGCCGTGCCATGGCGGACGAGAGCGTGGACAACAACACGCGCGCGGCGCTCTTCCGCAAGGCCATCGACGCCCACCTCGAGTACATCGGCGCCGCGTCGGACGGCAAGGGCGTCGACCGCCACCTGTTCGGCCTCAAGCGCCTGCTCGAGCCAGGCCAGGAACCCCCCGCGCTCTACAAGGACCCGGCCTACAGCTACTCGTCGTCGTGGTACCTGTCAACCAGCCAGCTGAGCTCCGAGTACTTCAACGGCTACGGGTGGAGCCAAGTCATCGACGAGGGCTTTGGCATTGCTTACATGATCAATGAAAACAGGTGAGTTCTCCCTCCTTCTCCCCTTCGCATACTAGTAGTTGTTGTTCGTTCAGCTAACGGTCTGCGCGCAGCATCAACTTCAACATCGTCTCCAAGGGCCTGGGCAGCGACAAGATGAGCTTCTACCTCAACGAGGCCGCTGGCGATATCCGTGACATGATGATGCCCACGCTGGAGACGCCGAAGGCCAAGCTCTAAAACAGCTCGCCTTGTTAACGGGCGGCCGGTTATTTCTTGGATAGGGATTTAGACGCGTGATAGATGTCATCATACTTAGCGGCGGCATCCTTTCAATCTGTCTTGTTAGAAGGATAGGTTGCATCCTCCTATTTGCGACGCTCAGCAAAGATGTCTTTTGCTCATAGAGAGGCGTTGTATAGCCACCTAGCTGTATTTATCAACTTGTACCAATGGACTCTGTGAAATATGCATTTTCTCATGTCGCAATAACTCTAGTTGCGAGATGTCCAACTAGCTGACGAGACGAGCCTCAGGCGATACGATGCCGGAAGCAGGAAGCAAACCCACTACAGCACCACCGATGTGTTTGAAAACCGGAGCATACACGCCAAAACAGTCCAACGTTTTGCCGCTGCTCTCTTTCTTCTCCTTGTTCTACATACATCCAGATCCAACACCTAACTTCAACTACAGACTGCCTCCCGGCCACGCCCCGAGCTCCCTCCGTGGACCGCCCCTCCCACTAACCGTATTTTTTCAGCCGGCGTGAGAGACAATCTCGTTGACCACATCCCCCTTCTCGGGCTCAAAATACGAGCAGATCTGCGACGGCAGCGGCATCTCCTTGAAGTCCCCGTCCGGTTCGGCAATCACGTTGAGGTTGATGCTAGCCGACTTGCTCGAGTAGATGCGTGTGCCGGAGCTCTCCTTGCTCAGGTAGATCTGGGCGCCGTCGACCTGGTCCATGAGCACGGTGGGGATGGTCTCGCCGTCTATGACCTGCAGGGCGAAGTTTTGCGACTTGACGACGTCGACGGTCGAGACGAGCGACTCGACCACGAGAGACAAGCGGTTGGTGTTCTCGACCGTCACCGCGTTGGCCTTGCCCTTGAGTATGATGGTTGTGTTGTTGCATTTGGAGATGAGCACCGAGTGCGAGATGGAGACTTCCAGTTCGATGGGGGCCGGCTCCTTGTCGAAGTTTTCCTGCGACGCATGAGCTGAGCTTTGATCTCTCGAAACTGAGAAATGGGGAGGAACATACAATTGTCCACTTGTTGCCTTCCAGCTCCTTCTTGGGCGGCTTCTTCACCCGCATGCTCTCCGGCTTGGGCTTGGTGCCCGGTGGCGCAGGGCTCTTGCCTCGTGCCGAGGAGCCCCGGTCAGGGACTGTCGACCCGGCACGTAGTGACGGGTTCTTGTGCGTCATCTCGGACTTGTCCACCTTCCTGAGGCCCTTGGTGACCGCCTCTCCTTTGTTAAGCTCCGAGAAGACTGCGCCAAAGCCACCCGCCGCCGGTTTCGACTCGGCCTTCTGCTCGTTGATCTTGAGAACCGGTGGCGGGCCTGGCGGAGGGGGAGGCGGCGGCGGGGGCCCTCCAGCTGTGGGTGCAGGAGCTGCCGGGGTAGGCGGGTCCGCATCCACTAGCTTGGCGGCTTCGGCCACAGGTACTCCCTTGGGGTTCCATGGAACGCCGTTGGGGAAGTAGGTTTTGACGTACTCGGTGAGATCCCGGAATACCTGGTAGTAAGCCTTTACCCATTCGACCTGCTGTTCGTCCCTTTTTTGTCAAGTCAGAGCTTCCAGTCTACTGAGCCAGAGGTTCGCCAAGCTGCTCACTTGTTCTTATTCGCCGTCAAAATCTTGTTTCCCCAAAACTGCGCCGCTCCGAGACTCTCTTCGACGTATTTGAACGGCTTGGTGTCGATGGTCACCCAACCTAGAGCCATGATACTCTCGGAAACAGTGCAGAGGTTGTTATAGTGCGAGTCCCCTCTGTTCGAGTCCTTGATATTGCCAATGGCTGCCATCAGGTTGCCGATGGGCTTGACAAGATCCTGAAAGACGGACACATCGGCGCCTTTAAGGTCGGGCTTCTTTGCCTTGGTAGTGATCAGCAGGAACTTGCGCTGTTCCTCGAAGGCTTCCACGACCTTAACCGCCTGCTCCGCGACGACACCTCCGATCGCATTGCTAATCTTGACCCAGTTCCCGAGAGACCGGGTAATAAAAGCATCAAATTCCTCGATCGACTCGGGCACAGGCTCTCGCGCGGCGGGTGGGGGCGGGGCCGGAGACGCAGCCCTTGCCGACACTGCCGGATTTGGCGTTGCCGGTGTCTGCTGAAGAGTTGGGACACCTTGGGGAAGTTCGAAGGCCGCCTGGGCAATGTCCTCCAGCCGAGACGTGGCAGCCTCGAGTCTGTTGTGCTCAATTAGCGCCTGACCTTGCGGTTTGCGCCAGGAGACACAGCATGGTTCAGGTCGCAAAGCAAATTCTTCCCCTTGACGTACCTCTTGATAAGAGTGGTCAGGTTGTGCATAGAGTTGGTGGCCATGTTGGGCGAACGCAGAGAAGCCTAGAGGGGCAGTGGCACTGATCTGAGGATCGCCCGTCCGGGGGTTTCTGCGCGGGGGAATACTCGCGCTTGGGGGACGGCGTCCTTTACGTGCTGCAGCACAGATCGGTAAAAATACCCGGCCGAGACGACGTGCCGTAGCCGGTATAGATGTGGTAGATCAGGTCACGGCATGTATATCGATGAATGCGGTAAAACAGATGTTGGAGCTGAGACAACCCCTGACTCCCGAGCACCGGGCAGCTACCAGTAGCTCGCGAGTCGTGACAAGGGGTGGGGTGGGGCTCCATTACGGCTGCCCGTCCAATCGCCGGTAGTTGCCGAGACCTGACGTTCAAGCAGGCTGCGAGTACACACAAAGCTCATTCCCCTTGGCAATTTGTACTACTAATCATGTGGAATGATTTCAATGTTGATGCTTTCCCAAGTTTCCCTCAGGCAAATGTAGCACAGTACCTAAAAGCACCTATGCAATCAGTAGGTGAATCTAGTAACACATCGAACCATTAGGGTTTTCCATCAGTGGCAGAAGGTGGGCTTATTGGGGATGCTATGGAAATTAACTTGAGGTTCCTTATCATATCAGAGTTCCCGAGCTGAGGCTTCGTTGCCCATACCATGCACAGCTCCCAATCGAGCATCTCACGCCCGAATTATTGCGGTAGCCAGTGACGATCCAGCCTCGTGCTGCTGTTTCAGTTAGGCGGCCGGGTGTGTGTGCTGGGTAGCATAGTCTCTCGCTCTTCCATTTCCTGTAGACGTTCTTTTTATTTTTACGGACATTTGCTGTTTTATCCTTAGACTGACCCGGGCCTGTTTCTCCACCCGGATTCTCGCTGCTTCCCACAGCTCATAAGGCGTTAAACGAGCCATTGGCCTCGTCAAGGTTAGTTGCCGTGCGGCATGGCTGAGGATCTGGTGACAGATCCGGACATGGCTCCGGAAGATGGGGCCCGAGCCGGAGCGGAGCCGGACCGGCGTGTCGAGGAGATCACGGAGGACCAAGAGATTGACTTTGTCACCCTGGGCATGTTCATCATCGGTGGGTGACTTCACTGCGATGCTATTCTCAAGGATTTCCGTATTGCGAAGGGCTGATGCACGCCCTGCACCTCTGCATCCCGCCTTTTTATTTTCTCTCTTCGCCCCTGTCTCATCAATCAGTATGTCAGTGTTGCATGGAAAAGCCACATGCATCCTGCACAACTGCTCGCAACAGATCCCTTGCTAATCCACTGCCTCAGATGAAATCGAATTTCTTCCGCCGAAACCGCCAGTGCACGACGTCCTCGGCGGCGCCGGTTCCTATTCAGCGCTCGGCGCGCGTGTGTTCTCACCACCCCCTTCATCCAAGACCGTCGGCTGGATAGTCGACCAGGGCTCCGACTTCCCTCCCTCCATCACCTCGCAGATCGCCGCCTGGCAAACCTCGGCCGTCTTCCGCCACGACCCCTCGCGCCTCACCACGCGCGGGTGGAACGGCTACACCGACGCGTCGGAGCGGCGCGCCTTCCGCTACACCACGCCCAAGAAGCGCCTGACCGGGGAGGATCTCACCCCGCCCTTGCTCCAGGCCAAAGCCATCCACCTGATCTGCAGCCCGCTCCGGTGCCAGGAACTGGTCTCGGACATCCTGGCCCGGCGGAAAGAAGCCTACCTCGCCCACGACCCCGCGGGGGAGGGCTACACGCGGCCGCTGATCATCTGGGAGCCGGTGCCGGACCTGTGCGTGCCCACGGAGCTGCTGAACTGCACCAACACGCTGCCGCTGGTCGATGTCTGCTCGCCCAACCACGCCGAGCTGGCCGGCTTCATGGGCAGCGACGGCCTCGACCCGGACAGCGGGCAGGTAAGCGCGGCCGCGGTGGAGCGGCACTGCGAGCAGCTGCTGGCGAGCATGCCGCTGCAGAGCTACACGCTGGTGGTACGAGCCGGTGAGAGGGGCTGCTATATCGCGCGGAACGGCGGGCGGAAGAAGAAGGTCGCGGGCACTGGCGGCGGCGGCGGCGGTGGTGGTGGGGACGCGGGCAAAAAGAAGCGCAAGAAGGAGTATGTGCGCGGCGGGCTCCGGCCGGACACGGACATGGAGGCGCTCTTTGCGGGGCTGTTGCAGGACGAGGAAGGGTGTGTGGCGAGGGAGGAGATCGAGATCGACCCGGGGATTGAGAAGTGGGTGCCGGCGTACTACGGAAAAGGCGGGCCGCGCGAGGAGGAGGCGGCCGAGAAGGTGGTTGACCCGACGGGCGGAGGAAATACCTTCCTCGGTGGCCTGGCGGTTGCGCTGGCGAGAGGGAAGGCGATCGAGGAGGCCTGCGCGTGGGGGCATGTGGCGGCCAGTTTTGCCATTGAACAGGTTGGCGTTCCGGTTCTGTCTGTAGATGAGGAGGGAAAGGAAACATGGAATGGCGTCGGCGTGGAAGAAAGGTTACGGGAGTTTCAAGAGCGGCTTCAAGCTGAGTCGTAAATGTGTTTGGCTACTGGTCCCGAGTCGGGAAACTTGAGTCTTTGTTGGAACATGTCGGCTATAGAGAGCTGTTTGGACAGCCTGATAGACATTTTTGATCCACCACCACGCAACAATGACCGCACTGTCATTGCCTATTCCATGCCTGCATCAAAGAGCATAGTCATAAGACACTGCAGTGCAAAGAGCGAAAGGTAACTGCAGGCAAAATGAATTCAAAAAAGAAAAAGAAAAGGATTCCGCCAACCATCCATTTCTGCGGTTGAATCAGAGAATTGTCATTCATACCCCCTCGACTACCAAAACTTGGATACCGTCTACATCAGCCATACCCATCCACCTGGTGCCCGATAACAACGCCTGATTTCCTAACAAGCATTCCCAGGATTTTCAATAACAACAAGAACACGCCCCGACTATTCATCCCACCCCTGGCCTCAACTTGAACCAACAGCCGTTGCTGTTTCCCATCACCGGCCCTGCTCCCTCAAATCTTATACACCAATCCGCCGTCGGAATACCTAAGAAACCATTACGTTAGCCTCAACTCTCACAGGGATCCAGTACGAGACCCTAAAGAAAAAGAAAAAGAAAAAGAAGAAAAAAAAGGCGGCGGTATACTCACATAATCTGGTTCCGCTCATCCATCTCCTTCAAAGCCTGGACGGCCTCCTCCCGGCTAAAGCTTCCTCCATTCGCGCTGCCGACCCGACGATTCACGGCCTCGATCAGCTCGCCCACGCCCGCCGAGTCGTCCTCGAACAGCGGGCTATTGAGCAGCTGGCCCAGCGTGCGGCGGAAGAGCTCCAGGCGCTGCTCGCTGATCGGCTGCTCGTCCTGCTCACCGTCTTCATCGCCTTCCGCGTCGTCGTCGTCCTCCTCCTCCTCCTCATCGTCGTCGTCATTGACGGTGAGGTTGGCTGTGCCTGAGGCAAGGGTCTCGTCGTCTTGAGTTTGGGTGCGGAGCTGGGAGGCAGGGACGGAGGAGGCGAAGGAGGGTTGGCTGGATGAGCCGGATGGGCCGGCGGCCGCAGAACGGGTAGTGCGCGTTGACCGGCGCGGCGTGGCGTCATAGATGTCCTCTTGGTCTTCCTCGGCGTCTTCCGGGGTGGCGCCGTTGGTCTCCCCGTTTGCTCCGGGGGAGGTGCCGTTCCTGCGCGGCGGTCGACGGCGGCCGTTGGCGCGCTGGGAGGCTCGGGTTGAGCGGGCCGTGCTCGCCCGTGCAGTGCTACCGCTGGCGGTGCCATTTGCCTCGTCTCCGTCGTCGTCAGAGGAATCGTCGGAATCGCTGTCTTCGCTTGCGTCTTCCAGGGGCCGGGTCTTCCGCCGCTTCTTGCGGGACTCGTCCTCGACGACCTCCTTGAACAGCGCAAACCGCAGGATGGACTCTGCGGCGGCGGCGTCGCGCTCTTCTACCCGGTTGGAAAGCCGGGACTTGGCGTGCGCAGTGGCAAGACGGATGAGAGTCTCGAGCGTACGCACCGTCATCGGGCTGGTCTTGCGCTGGTTGCTCTCCATGTCGTCGTTGCGGAGGCCGACGTAGATGTCGGCGATGCGGTCCGCCGCCTCCTGCGTCAGGACGGGCTTGATACGCGTCTTGGCGTACTGGATGTACTTCTTCATGAAGGGAATGCTGAGCACTTCAGGCTTCTTATTGGCCCCCCTCCCCGTGCCCTTTACACCTGCGTGCAGCATTGCGTCGTACTTTTCGAACACCTCGGTCGGTCGCTGCGAGTCGGCTTGCTGGTTCAGCGCCACGTTCAGCGCCTGGCCTGCATTCTCGCGCACCGGTGCGCCCTCTTCCGTGCCGGGCTGCCGGTACCTGTGCATGCGCAAGACGTGCTCCGACACCTGCCGGTCCCTGGTGTCTTCAATGTCATCCGTGACGACGAACAAAAGATCAAAACGGGACAGCAGAGAGTCGGGGAGCGCAATGTTCTTGTGCGGGTCCTTGTGCGTATCGTACTGGCCAAAGATGGGGTTGGCAGCAGCGATGACACTGCAGCGTGCGTTCAACGAGGTATGGATGCCCGCCTTGGCAATTGTGACCGTCTGCTGCTCCATGACTTCGTGGATGGCCACGCGGTCAATGTCCGACATCTTGTCAAACTCGTCAATACAGACAACACCGCGGTCAGCCATGACCATGGCGCCGGCCTCCAGCCTCCGTTCGCCGGTTTCCTTGTCAGATGTCACAGCCGCAGTCAAACCGACACCCGAAGAGCCACGGCCAGTGGTGGCAATGGCCAGCGGGGCCGTGTTCAGCACGAAGCGAAGCAACTGAGACTTGGCAGTCGACGGGTCACCGACCATCAAGATGTTGATATCGCCTCTCAGATGCGTACCGTTCTCCAGATTCTTCTCCATCCCTCCCAGAAGCATCAGGAGAATCGCCTTCTTGATGTACTCATGGCCGTAGATACTTGGCGCCAGAGACTGCGACAACAAGTCGAAGAGCTTCGGCTTCTTGGCGATCTTGTTGATATTCCGGATGTCAGTATCGGTGATAGTGGCGGTCGCAATGCCGCCCCCGGATTTGGTGGAAAGCAGGACAACGTTATTCGCCAAGAGGACCGTCTTAAAGAGAGCGCTGTTGTGGTTTGTGTTTCTGTTACCGAGCGTCCTGAAGATGCCGACGAGCTGGACGCGGTCGCCGGGCTTGACCCTGTCGACGAGGTCGTCGTCGAGGATCACGTCGACACCCCGGGGCAGCTGGCCTGCAGGTGCTCGCTCGGGCATCTCTTGGATGGAGATGGTCTGGTGATCGCGGTAGGTGCACAGGCCATACTCGGTCGTCAACGGGTTCTGCTCCTCATCCTCGGTGGGATATACGCTCGAGGTGGTCACGCCCTCGGTCATGGTTTGGTCGCGGTACTCTTTGAAATACCATTTCTGTGTGTCCTTGGCGTAGTGTACGCTCTTGACGATCTTGGGCCGGATCAGGGAGCAACGTGTGACGATGCCCTCGACAGAGACCATGCTGTTGAGGTGCTGTGATGACAGTGTCCGCGGGTTGCACGCGTTGAGTCCAAAGCTGCCGGCCCACGCACAGTAGTACAGCACATCGGCATCCACCTGGTCGGGTCGCGCCTGGGGCACCGTCTTGACGATCTCCTTCAGCGCATGGTTGAAGGCGAGCGTGTACTTAAAGGGGTCATAGAGCAAGCCGTCCGCCATCTCGGGGTTGTGGTCGCGGACACGATCGATATTAACGACGAGTCTGCGTTGGTTCTTCTGCAACATCAAGATGATGTCTGGCCTGTAGCTCCGCGCATGTTGGTCATCTAGGCGGCGGTTGTGTCAGCAACGTGGCGTGAAAGAACAACTGGGAGAGACGGCAAAACGCAGAGTTTCGTACGTGGATCGAGGAACTCCTGTGCCTGGCGCACGCGATCGCGCGTGGCCTCGTCTCTGAGCATCAATGTATCCATGATGCTGCTGCTAATGAAGAAGGGATATGGGGGAACAGGGAACGAAGGCGAAAGGCGTAGTAGTTGACAGGGACAACAGGTTCGGCTGGAGATCGAGATTCTGGTGGAGGTGGGGAGGGTTCGAAAACACGGACACGACGCGCACGGCGCGTGTTTAGCGCGCTACCCCTGGCCGTTTGTTTAATTGATTGCAGGGCCCAGCGGCAGAATGAGAATGATAGCTGACGGTGTGCTCACCGCTTTCCCAGACAGGCTCGACAGGATCGCCAGACTGGCAAGCAGAAGTGAGTCAGCTGCCTTCCAACCGTCGGGCAGCTGGCCCCCTTTCCGTCTCCCTTTCTCTCAACAACAACAACAATCGGATCTCCATGACGATTTGAACGACCTCGTTCGTCCAGAGCCCGCCAGTTTAGTTCCAGGATAGGTTTCTGTTTCTGATGCAGAGGCTAACGGTCGCCCCACATCGGTGTGGATATGGAGTCGTCAAACCACACCCTCGGCTACACGCGATGCGCAGTATCATGCACTTTCCGCGGAACGCTACAGACTCGGTCCCGGACGGTGTTATTATTTATTACACCACGATGACTTCTTAATACTCATAGGCTACGACTGTCTTGTCTGTGCTCCTTCGGCCGGGCCATCCTACGTAACAGGAGCATGAAGAGTATCCGCTCGAGAACAGCCGGGTACGTATGCTCCTCGCTTGAAGGATCGACGGGCTGGTATTCAAAGCGAAGTAATCAGGAACCTGGCATTGAGTAGGGGCCGAGGCTCGCGTCTCAAGTCATTCCTTGACGTTCCTCTGCTGAATGATGTCTCGACGGCAACGGGAGCCTGCTGATTCAGGGCCCGATATCCGTTAGGTCGTCATGGCGTTCCATGGGTTTTGACGGATGCGACTCTGTTTTGAGACTTTCTGCAGAAACTAGACAGGAAGCACATGTTTCTGCCGTGCTCACTAACCGCAGTGGCCAACTGCCGTGGGCGGGATTCCAGTTCTGGTCAGCAACAGGGACGCGAACGCTGGTCAACTGACGCCATGGACCGACGCTGATATTCGGAATGGATACAGCGCATACCAAGACGAACTCTGTCAAAAGGGCCGGTTCATGCACCATGCAATGCGCGTCGCAGTGTGCCAACGTCGCACATCCCGCCGTTGGCCCCCGGCAGAACCCGATTGGCTCCAGTTGTGTAATGCCAACCACACTTTGATAGATAGGGCAGGGAAGCTCAACCGTTGGTCGGCTACGGTATTCGATTTCGAAGAGGTCTGATTCTGGGCGCTTCGCCGGCGCGCTTGGGGCGTGGGGATCATATCCGTGTGGGCTGTGGACACGGCAAGCAAGCAGAGAGACAAGCGCCTAGTAAGCCCACGTCATCCAACGCTAAAGCCGCTGAGAACGGGTTCGTTTGAGGGTGCCGGCAGATATTGCCGCCGCCGCCCCTCTTCAGACGCAGAATTCCGCTGTCCAGCAGTCGCATACCGGCATACGAGGGGAGAAGCATAGGGTGTCGCTTCCGGACCGTGGATTGCGTTCCGGTAGGTATGCATGTGTCGTCTGTTTATGCGAGTAGGCCCGATGTTGTGCGGCTTCTGTACTCGTTTACCATGCCTGACTGTGCCTTGATCAGCCGACACGAGGCCTTCAGGGATGGCGTATGGTATGTATTGGGCGAAGCTTTAAAAAATGAACGGCAACACGTCCCTAGAGCGCAGCATAGGCCTGTCCAAGAACACGACAGCAGCCTCGCGACATCACCCGAATGATCACCGGCTCGCTCCTGGCATGTCTAGGCGTGAGGGATTGTAGGGCATCAATGGATTTCCCGAGGGTGGTGAGGCGTTGTTGCTGAGCCGCTCGGGCGGGGATTTATTACCGGACTTCTGGGAGGCTTCTGAGGCAACACATCGCTAGACAGTCGAGGAACGGTGACGTTCTCGGACGGCGACGAGAAGCATGGTAGTGACGGTCATCCTGAGAAGGCTGCATGTCCATGACAGCCTTGAGCAACTGTGGCTTGCCCGATCCGGTACGATTCCACCATGCAGTTCCCCTGCAGTCGCTGAAATCGGGCATTTATGCATACCGTCGTGGACCGAGGTGTGACGGGCTATCTGACATCTCGCCCTGTCCGGGGACGTCGAAATTCTTAACACTCCCGGGAACCCGATGCTGCACTCCTCGTTGAAACATACACACATACCTTAGGCAAGCCATCGGTGCCAAAGCCGTGGAAAAGCAGCGCCGATGCACCGCGAAGAATCAAGCTTATCATGAAGAGCAGAGCAATTCGACGCCTTGGTCTCTGTCATTGAGCAACGTCCGCTTTACCTCGATGAAAATGAAGGAGCCAATAGAGTGCGGGTCCTGAATATGTCTGCAGAATCATCATGGCCTGCGGAAACTGCAGGTTCGCCATGCAGGAGGCTGCATGCATATCGCGCAGCCAATGAGAGCAATATAACTGATATAGAAATGAAGCGCAGAGGTTGACACGAGCAGCCACGATCCAGCACTCTTCAACGGCCGCGGTGGCTACTATTCGACGCGAACATGGAGCCCACGATATACGAGGGCATAGAGGCACCCGACAGTGACACCAACGGAGTGCATCAACAGGGGATTCGTCGACTGGGAAGGCAGAAACGGTGAAAGGTAGGGCCGCGTCTGACGGTGATTCAGCCAACGCTTGCGACGACGAATTGTTTGGTGCTACGGCCCGAGCGGCGCGGGGAATCCTTGCGTCGTTGAGGCATAAGAGGCACAAATAAGATTGACAACCCGAGTCAACTGCTCATCAAGGCCAGGACATGGTGAGACTGGTGAGACTGTTGAGACTGTCAGTCCAATGGGCTGCTTTCTCCAGGTGGTTTGCGTGAACAAATCCCGTTTCGAATACCGAAGTGCATGCCCTCCGGAGCATACTGATGGGAAGGGGAGCGGGATGCCCAGCCTGCAACAAGGATGAGGTAATAGTGAGCTCATATGCGAAGGTTGCCGGAGAGAGAAAGACTGGAGCCAGAAGGGTCCATCACGCATCGATTTCGGGCGGTGGAACCGGCAAAGCTAGCTTGCCAAGCTGTCGGCAAAGGATAACGGACTGGCACATACCGACCCGTGGGAAGCCGCGCTTCGGTCCGGCCGTGGCGGAAGTCAGGCCATGCCCTAGGTGACGGACAGCTTGATGGACCGCCACTGCACATTGCTCGTCACAGCATTCATGAGCGACTAGCGGTGAGGTTGGGAGAATATCCCTGCCATTAGGAACCGACCTTTGTCGGCTAAGAGCAGGGTCGTGCCGAAGGACGACCCGGCATGGGGACCGAGATCGGGATGCCGATTCTAGGTGTCGCTCTACCCCTCTCCCAAACCGCCCGAGAAGGGGTTTTCAACAAACGTTGGTCGCACAGCATGATGACAGCTCCACGTCGTCCGAGCTTTGGGTAAGCGCAGGCGGTTGTTGCACGTGGTACGGACGCCACATGGCCTCCTCGACGACATGATTGCGAGAGTTCGTGTGTTCGAGTTGAGGTCAGTCTCATCCGAGCTGGCAACAAAGGACCTGGTTTCGCGATTACCACTAGGCCTCCCCCACCCGTGCCCAGCATCCGACTTCTTTGTCACGAGGGACTGGTTAACTAGTGGGCAATGTAGCGATAACCGTTCGAACCGACGAATCATGCGAGCAACCGAAGATCCACACGCTCGGCTTCAGCGGACTCGCTCCAGTCAGGCATCTCTTTTTTGATGAGATGAGAGTAATGTAGGGCAGTGGGCTAGTTGCGCGACGGCCCATCGCGGGAAAGTTGGGATTGCACTCCGCCTGACAGGGATCTGGTGTTGTGGCGTATCGGGCGTTGCATCGATCTTGTATAAGTAGAGGTGTATAAGCAGAGGCAAACCGGAAAGTCCTCCCCCAACTGGCATCTTCCTCCTTGGACATCTCATTGCGGCCCGCCTATCCAGTGACCACATCGATTCAACATGGTCCTCAGACAACTTGATACCACCACTGAGAGCGATAAGAAAGGGGCGGACGGCACGATGTCGATGAAGTCGGCGGTGCTGCACAGGCATCTTTCCTACGACTTCCTTCCGCTGGCGGGAGGCAAGGGTAACCACCTGCTGCTCGAGGATGGTCGCAAAATCTTCGACGCATCGGGGGGTGCCGCGGTTGGCTGCCTCGGCTGGGGCAACGAGAGAGTTGCCCAGGCAGTCACCAAACAGATGATGGCCATTCCATATTGCTCAACCGTCTTCTACACCACCAAGGTCCAGGAGGACCTCTGCCGCTACTTGGTCGACTCTACCAACGGAAAGATGGGCCGTGCCTACATCGTGAACTCTGGTCAGTGTCGCCCGTAGCCAAGCGGGGCTCCCTAGCTAAATCTGCGTCAGGCTCCGAGGCGATGGAGGCAGCCGTCAAGCTCGCGAGGCAATATTTTCTCGAGCTCAGCCCAGCGCAGAACAAGAGGGCTCGGTTCATTTCCCGGAGGCAGTCATACCATGGCATTACACTGGGCGCATTGGCGGTCGGGGGCCACGAATACCGGCGAGCAAAGTTCGAGCCGCTCCTGATGCAGAACGTTTCCAGAGTATCGCCATGCAACGCCTTCCGCGGCAAGCGCCCTGGCGAGACAGACGAAGAGTACGTTGCTCGACTGGCCAAGGAACTCGACGACGAATTCCAAGCTGTCGGACCGGAGACGGTCTGCGCTTTCATTGCCGAGCCCGTCGTCGGCGCAGTGGGTTTCATTCCTGTTTGCCGTCCCGCTTGCCGCTAATCACAACCGCACAGGCGCTCGGATGTGTTCCCGCCGTCCCCGGGTATTTTAAAGCAGTGCAAGCGGTCTGCCGGAAGTACGGCGCTCTCCTGGTCCTGGATGAGGTAATGTGTGGCATGGGCCGGACCGGCACGCTGCACGCATGGGAACAGGAAGGCGTAGTTCCCGACCTCCAGACAGTCGGCAAGGCTCTTGGGGGTGGTTACCAACCGATTGCAGGTGTGCTGGCGAGTCAGCGAGTGATAGCCGTGCTCGAGAAGGGCAGCTCGTAAGTACCGCGAACCGAACCATCCACCGCTGCGCGTGACGAGTTAATGGCATGACTAACCATCCCGCGATGCCCGGCCAGTGTCTTCGTTCATGGTCACACATATCAAGGCCACCCGGCAGGCTGTGCGGCGGCGCTCGAAGTACAGCGAATCATCCAGGAAAAGGATCTCTTGGCCAATGTCCGGGCCATGGGCGCACTGCTGTCCAAGCGGTTGCAAGAGCGCCTGAAGAACCACCCCAACGTGGGCGACATCCGAGGACGGGGGCTGTTCTGGGGAATCGAGTTCGTCGCCGACAAGGGGAAGTCACTCCCGTTCCCTGCGGAAGCCCACGTCGCCCTGGACATTTGCGAGCGCGGTTTGGCCCCGCAGTACAGCATCGGGGTGTATCCGGGCACCGGCTCAACCGACGGCATTCGCGGCGATCACATCATCATCGCACCGGCCTATAATGTGCGCACAGAGGAGATTGAGTGGATAGTGGAGACCGTCGGACGTCTTATTGACGACTTCTTCGCGGCGGGAGTTTCTGGTGATGCTGAGGATCCCTAATAAAGCGTCAAAAAAGCCGGATTCGAGAGACTGCTGCGCAGCCTTGAAGGCATGAAGTCGGGGACGTCTGAATCGCCGAGTTAAAACTGAGACAAGAAATGAAATTGCCCAATCGCATTGCCGTTGAAGGTTACCGAGTGTGTGAAATGCACGGAAGCGGGTGACGCAGCCGAGACTAACACTTCAGTAGCATGTCAGCAGCGAGCCCTATTAGTGTTGGATATGTGCTATGACTCGTATGGTATCCCGATGGTTACCTACTAGTAGATACCTTAGTACTGACAACCCTCCTCAGGTACCTACTCGACAACAACAATTGAACCTACCTAACTACCCGTGCAGTCAGACCTGCTTCTCTTACACGTAGCCGAGTACAGAGGCCCTGGATCAAAACAACTGACCACACACTTCGGGAGTTGGTCCACCGTAACCAACAAACATTACATTACCGTTACGTAACATATACTAGAACTAGTACGTACGGATAAAGGTGGGGCAATCCATCGTGATTGGTTTCCAGGTTGTTAACCACACATGACGAGAGACCCGCCTGATGCGACAGCTCTCATCGACTGTGCAAAAAGTCGCAAATCAATAAGAACACCCTGGGCACTCGTCCCGCGCGCGCGGATCGCTCCCATGGCCGTCGGGGTCATCAACGGGCGGCATGCTGCCGACGAGGAGGCCCGGGCCGAAGTCGACGTACTCAACTCACGCCTGGAAAAGACGACGCAGTTGACGAAGAAGATCCAGGCGTGTCTCGGCAGGCTCGAGGCTACAGGGAAGAGTGTCCGGGACGTGGCAGGCCCGCTCAATGGCGAAACGAAAAAATTGCAGATTCTCGGCAACAGTAGGTCGTCTGCTTTCTTGATCCTTGACCAACAGGAGTCACGGGTTGATCCTGACTGACCCTCCGAACAGACATCGAGGCCGTCCTAGCAGCCATCGAGCGTCTGCGCCAGCCCGCCGACAGCAAAAATGACGAGGAGCAGATTATCCGGATGGGCCCAGACAAGGCCGGTCTGCCGAACTATCTGGCTTCCATCAAGCGCCTGAGCAAAGCGCTCAGCGAGATGCAGGCCTCGAAGCTCCGGTCGACGCAGCAGACCGTGGCCGAGCTCCAGCGATTAGTGAAGCTTGGAAATACACAACTGGAGAACGCGTTCGACAGGTTACTCCGGAACGAGACCCCTCGATCAATCGAGCCACTACACTTCATCACGAAGAACAAGCCATTCCCAGTGCTGTCCCAGGACAAGTTCGCCAGGCTTGGCCTAATCAATTCATATGTTGCCGGGGTGCACCGACAGACTGGTGGCGCCGGAGCACCCCAGGAGTCGCCAATCGCGAAGATCTACATCGAGATCCGGTCACAATACCTCTCCTCTGCATTACTGAACCTGGCCACGGCCAGCACCAGCACGGCCAAGAAGAAGAATCCGGACGCGATCTACCGAGCGGGCACGAGCGGGATAGGAACCTATGCTCAAGCAATGGAGGGTCTTTTCATCGCCGAGTATGAGAATATCTGCAACATCTTCACAAGAGAAGACTGGGGACCGGTATTCGAGGCGACATGTCAGCCGTCGCTGGTGGAGCTGGGGAGGACACTGCGGGAGCTGAACGGGCACATCAAATCACACATGAACACCGACTGCTATTTGGCGTACGAGATCGTGGAGATCATCTCGGAGCTGTCGAATAACTTGGAGCGGCGGACGGGCGAGCTCAAGAGCTCGCTCGCGGCATCGCTTAAGCCGGTCCGTGAGACGGCCAAGTCCTCGCTACCCGAGCTGCTCGAGGACACCAAGAGGAGAGTCAGCGGCCTCCAGTCGCTACCGCTGGACGGCGCTCCGGTGCCCATCGTTTCTGAGACGATGCAGCGGCTCCAGAACATGGTGCAATTCCTCCGGCCAATTTCGAGCATCATGATCTCTCTGGGAGACGGCGGTTGGAAGTCTGCCGCCGCATCGAGAGGCGATGCTGCCCCAAGCCTCGCCTCTTTCGACATTGGCGCGGACGGGAAAGAGATCTTCGCGCACTACTGCACTGACACAATCGAGGCCCTCATGATGGCGCTGGACGCCCGGGCAAGACTCCTGCTCCAAAAGAAGCCCGTCATGGGCGTCTTCCTCGCCAACAGCGTGGTCATCATCGAGCGTGCAATCCAAAACTCGGAGCTGGCCGGCTTGCTCGAGTCGCGCCTGGGCGCGCTCGAGGTGTGGCGCAAGAAGGCCGCCAGCCTCTACACCGAGACATGCAAGGACGTCAGTGTGCACCTGTTTGACGTGATCCACACGAGCCGTGGCATGGGCGGCGGCGGCAGCGGGCGCCCGACCTCGGGTCAGGGCGGCGCCATGGTGGTGGACTCGGCGTCCATCCTCAAGGGCCTGAGCTCCAAGGACAAGGATGCCATCAAGGGCAAGTTTACCGCCTTCAACGCCAGCTTCGACGATATGGTGCTGCGCCACAAGGGCTACAGCATGGAGCGCGAGGTCCGCCAGATGTTCGCCAAGGACATGCAGAACATGATCGAGCCGCTGTATAACCGCTTCTGGGACAGGTACCATGAGGTGGACAAGGGCAAGGGGAAGTATGTCAAGTACGACAAGTCGGCCATTGCGGCCGTGTTTCTGACGTTGTATTGATCGGGGCCCGGCTTATGTGGGTGCCAACAGCTGGCTGGGCCTGGGCTGGGTTCTGTGCGTGTGGGTGGCTTTGGAGGTTGCGAGATCGGCGTTCCCGAGGCCGGATGTTTGCTATGGGAATTGCGCGCCATCACTCCGTTTCTTACGGGAGCCCGATGCCGTATCACTTGTGGGTATGTAGGACACGGTATGGAAGTACGCACCTTGTCCAGGGCGTGGCGAGGGCGGCAGAGCAAGAGATACGAGGACCAGATGTGGGATGTCTCGTTCGTTTCGTCGACAGTGGGAATACCCATCATAGGCCTTTCCTGATGAGTTATGGTTTCTCTGGTCCATACACACTTTTCTTGGCTCTACGTTCCTCTTGTTTTATATTTTGTATTTGCTAGCTTGGGATGCATGGCCGGAATGGCCTCAATACCACTTTGGGACGATGGTGGGGATGTTCATAGCATGGAGTTCTTATACGGATGGGCTGACGTGTGCAAGATGAACAGCAGTTGAGGGGGGCGTTGTGTATGCAGAGGGAGACTTGACGGATACTAGGCAACAAATGGTTTGTTGAGTCCATTCGGTGCTCAAGGGTGCTGCACCCGTTCACTCACACCTTCCAATCCATCCCGTTCAGCGGCATTGAGGTTGAAGGTAGGCTGACAACCGCAGGTCCCCGGTCCATGGTTCTGTTCTTGACTGCCCCAGACCGATCCTGTCCAGCAGTTGGGCTTGTCTGGTTGGTATGCTCCTGTTCTGCTTGGGACCAGGCCTCGTACGTTACGTTCAATGCTGTATCACACGACTTCTCCCATGTTGATATCCCGTCAGTGCGCGTCCTAGTGTATACCCGAGCATTCCGAAGATACTCGCAGGGTGTCAGGTCAGTTTCTGTGTCCTGCTCTGTTTCGTTTGCGTTTCCCTGCCCGGCCCCCTCCCCGGCTTGCTTGCTTACAGGCATGGCTACGCCATCTGATTTCCCTTTACGAAGCTGTGCATGCATCATGCAATCATGCTTTTAGCACTACAATCCAAGCGTAGGACACAGTGTTAGCTCTGGAAGCACAGTAACTAACTCGTGTGATAACCGTTAGGCCCCTGAGGTGAGTGACATCGGTTGAACGCACCACAGTCCGAGATGGTCGATGACTTCTTACACAGTATCTACCTAGTCAATAACAACCTACAGATATCTCGCCTAGCTAGGTACCTTACCTTAGGTGGTTCAATCTGAGGCCGGGGCGAAGGGGGACTGAGGTGGCTGCAGGAACAGGGGGGCTAAGTGCGGTCAGGTCAGGGGTCTCGAGGCCACGTCAACAAACACATCGTTTCGCATCGTTTCCCTTGTCAGTCAGTGCAGCGAGACGACGAAAAGTCGAGACAGCTATGTCATGTCAGCATCGTCGAGTCCGACAGCGGCGGGTTGCAGAAATGGCGGCCTTGTTCACCTACCTACATAGGTATTGTACATACCTGGCCTTCGGGGATCCAACGTATTGCTACTGTTGCTCCCAGGACCCTAGCCGATCGCTTCACAACCCAGAAAGAACACTCCAACGTGGGCTGATATGGTAACTTGGAAACCACTGCCTGTCTGCACTGTCGTAGTATAAAGCATGCACGGAGATTTCATATTTGGCCACTATTGTGGCATACCTACCTAGGCATGTTACCCAGGAGGTACTCTGGCTAGGTACATACCTCAGGTATGTATGGTATGGGTGCACCATGGTATGTATGCCCACGACGTCCTGTGCGGTGCTGCTCTATTCAGTAAGCCCGATTCGGACTTCGACGAGTCGACGGACAGCGAGGCGCCTGTCTGGCTCAGTGAGCAACAATGTATGATGCATGGCATGGCATGCAGTGGCATCGCCGGGGGTGTTGGGTGACTGCAGGCGGACAGGGATAGGTGGTCGGGGGTGGTGGACGAGTGTGCTGTAAACGTTGGCTTGTCTTGATGACATGAAACACCAGAGCTATGGTAAAAATGAAATGTGACAAACCTTTAGCAGCATCATATCTTGCATGCTACTATCGGTTGCATTCCAGTTGCGCACCCCATTGTATACTTAACGACGCAGTGTGGCGTCGTCTCTCATGAGTGACTGACTCAAGCAGGAAGGCCGATTGGGATCCGTTGCCAGCCCGTGAGCAGTAACTCGAAGTAGTAATTGTAAATTCAAGGGTCGCTCTTTGCTAGCCACCACCCTGCCTTAGCACCATTCGCCCGGCGACGGTATAACGCCTTCCCATGATATTGATCCCTTGGCCTTTCTCAGCCGAGGACTCCTGGAACGAGAGGTATCAGGCAATACCCCAAAACGCCTGACAATCCGAACACGCCACACCCGAAGAACCTGGCATGCCTTCCTTCCCATGACACTACGCCGTCCCTAGTCCCTACTCCAGTTGACATAGCTTCAACCTGGGAGTGCGTGTCTGGCGTGGAATAACAGAAAGAGGAAACCAGAGAGACATGGAAAAGAAAGAAAAGGGCTGCCAGATTTGCGCCATAGCTGAGCAGCCTCGTTCCCATGTTGCAGGTCATTGACCCAACATCGTCTCACCACTACCTTCAGCCATCAAGCTCCCCGCAGTACTATATGTTGGTTCCTTCCAATAAGCGAAAGCGGCAATGCTCGGCACCCTCACGCCGCCATTAGCCCTGCATGCGGGATGCAGGACCAGAAGGAATGTACATAATCCCCATCCTCGGACGATGGAGGGGAGGGCGATTTCCCGTGGAAATGGGCGTCTTTGCACTGTTGGTGGGGGTGTGTGCCATCTCGCCGAACGCGGGTGAGTGTATGTTTGTCCTGACGAGGTGAGACGAGCATTCGTGTAGCCGTAAAGGGGGGTGTCGAAGAAGGCGGGCGTATCCTGTTAGGCCCACAAAGCCGGGTTTTCATTGGGGAAACCAGAGGGCGATGAGACGGTGCCGATCGACTGTCTCCATGGATGCTCCGTGTCAACTGGTGAGAGTCTCAGCTGCATTGCAGCACGGCGTGCATGCTGCGGCCATGGCGGCGTTTCATGCAGCCCGCCCTTTTCGGCCGGCGCTGCAAAAGCATGCTGCCTCACTCAGTACGGGCAGCGGGCGCAGTGTGCGCTGCTGGGGCAATAGTCGTGCGTGCCAAAGTCGACGGCTTTGCAGCAGAAAGAGCAGCAGTGGTTGACGAGTTCCTCGTACTCCTGGACGGCCATGTTGACGGCTGCTTTTCGTGGACTGTAGATATGGCGAAACCCGAGGTTGTGGTTGTGAAGCGGTTCACGGGGTTGAGCGATGGGAGAGCAGAGTTGAGGACTCCAATGGTTGAGTTACTGGGACCAAACAGGTAGGAAGATGACTGGTGGTGAAGAGCAAGACGAGATGGTTGACGGATGATTCCAAGTTCGGCCGAAGCTTGAGAGATGTCTTCACTCGATGACAACAGGGTTGGATGGTAGGAGTGGAGGGGCGGCTTTATAGGTTTCTCTGCTAATGAGGAAGAAAGGCGGCGCAGGCAGCGGCCCCGGTGAGTTGAAGGTCAATTTCCAGAAACGGACAACATGAATGACTGACATTAGAGGAACGGGGATGGGAACGGGGACGGTGAAGGACGAGGATATTCGAGACCTGAAAGTACCTTCCACTGCGTAATGTGCTCTGTCTTTACGCCATGCAACCTAGGAGAGCTGGAAGTACTGTCAGGTCCTGATTTTCTCTCGCTTCCCATGCTACAGCGAGTTGTGTAAGAGCGTTGAATTAAAATAAAGGGATAGAAAAAAATTCTCGTTACAAACACTAGTAGGTACTTTGAAGGTTACTAGTAGAAGGCCAACAGCCTGCAGCTTGGGCAAGCCGGAACGTATCATCTTGACCTTGTTGATCCAGCATGGAGTTGTGGGCCTTTTAGCTGGGGCCCACATCTGGAGTGACAAGGATGGCACCGCAGGCGCAATCGCAAGCAGACAATGCAGCGGTGTGGCACCATTCTTCCAGTGTCGGGTCACGAGGCGTGGCAGATGGCACAGATTGGGCGCTTCAATTTGTCGAACCCGAAGAGGCATGGCCCCTTTCCTCAGCGACAATTTTCTCTGCTCTGTCACACCCGACGCGCCCTGCTCTGAGAGGCTTCATTTGTGCCCTGCGAAGACGCCACTTCTGGGCAATGATATCACTCCCAAGCCTCCTGTGCAATCAGCTTCGTCAGCGAGCAAAGATGAAGTGACATTGTCCCGCCCCGAGTATCTTTCATTCAGGGGTGAGCCGACCAGCCGGTGCCCATGTGGAAAGAACATGACAGGCGAACATTTCCGTGACTCGGACGTGGCGCTAGCGCACCACAGCTTTGGTCCTCAGGGTCCGATCAACGGGCCAAACGGGGAAAGGAGCGGAGGATTGGCGGTTTTTCTCGCGGGTTTTCTCAGCAATCAGTTGTCTCCGCATACGGACAGCCATGGGCCCGAATGAGTGAGGCTGATGATACACCGTGAAGGCGCGCATATTGGACCTTAAAATTAGGCCAATGCATGGTGTGTGTGCTTCGCCATGTCGACGCAGCAGCTAAATCCGGAGCGCCTAAGAGGGACTCGCTCTGACACGCAAGTTGCTGCTTAACAGCCCCATCCCATCTATATTGCTTAACTATGAGATCAACCAGCCGAGACGCCGAGCCTTGCTGGGCTCCAGGAACCATGATCGTTGGCGTGCTTCGGGTCTGTCGGCACCCGTCCTGCCTGCGGAGCATGGCGTCGTGACTCTCCGTCGCTGCACACCGCCCTTGCCGAGCCAAGGCATCCTCAACAGCTCAACAGCAAGACGGCGTTAGTCCCAACGATACACTACTGTCTTCGTCCGGGCGTTGCCCTTGGAGGCGCGCCCGTAATTCTTGTGCTACTGCGGGGTGGCCCTCGACTCAAGTGAGGGGTAGCCGGCGTTTAGACCCCGGGCAGACAAGGTCGAGTACGATGTTTGCGTTGGCCGCATCGCTTGTGGAGTGACGTCGGTCGACTCAATACCCCGGACGGGGGATGCCGGACAATCACAGGTCCCTGCCAAGAACTCTACTGAGATCCGGCAGCCACGGGCATCCATCGAAGGACTGGAAACAAACGGAACTACATACGGTATACATATCAAGTTTTTCAAAGCACTGCAGTGTGATGCTGACGGTGGATTCAGCGTAACAGGAGAAACCTGAGGCGGCTGCCTACTGTGTACTCGCAGCATCCTCTGCAGTACTATACACTCGACGGCATCAACCTATGATGGCCTCACTGTGACCGGAACAGGGACAATGGCGACCTGACCTGCATGCAACCCTTCACCATTGCACTACTCTGGGCCGTAATATCGGAATTAGGCGTAGGGGATAAGGATGACGACGATATCTTCCTCCCCCGTCCCGCCCAGCCCCCGGACCCGACACCCCTACTCCCCTAGCTGCCTCACGAGGCTGTGGGAGGGAGAGGTTAAAACGCGACGTAGTCGCGATAAACGGTTCTGCGGGTTGTCCACCCGGGCCTGCAGCAATCGGCCGATGCCTACTGTGTAGCCTTGATAATGCCCTCATTGCAGCTCACATATGCTCGTGTAAGTCATACTGTCACGGTGCGCTTCGTATATCGATGGAAATCATCAAGTGTCTGCAGGAGTGGAGAGCATCACATTACCGCACTCTTCCCCGTTTGCAGTCACTCCGCACTTTACCAACGACCGAATCTATCGGTCAATCTTGGGCACGGAGCGGTGCGGATATCCTCATTGAATTGAAGGTTCGCAGTGTGGGTGCCGTATGTGGAGAGGCCTTGACCGTCAAGCTAAAGTCACAGAATGACAAGATGCCTCTTGGCTCGGGCGTGCCGTGGGAAGAAGGCTTCCAGAAGACAACTCGACTTGGCATGGCCCAATCAGCGCGTTATGGGAACCAAAAGAGATAAAGACTGATCCTCCATCCGCTTGACCGAGTCACGCCCAGACGGGAGTAGCCTCGGCCTTGTCATACTAGTCCCGTGGCCGGCTGCAGAAGAGACCTTCAGCGGTGCCATGCCGGTACCCGATGGACGTCGCCTACCCCATCTACACAGCACCGCATGCCAACAAATAAATTGAGTGACACGGAGAAGAGCAAGTTATCTTTGAGCACGCCGAAATGACGCCAGCCAAGGGAGCAACTGGAAGTGAAAACTCCAAGTTCGCCTAGGTGTTTCGGTAGATACGATGGGTCCGCAGTAGCGCTTTCGAGCACAAGAGACAGATCCGACGGTAGTGCTCCTACCCGAGAGCCCACGCTCGTGGGGTCAACAGATGGTAGTTGTCATGATAAGCGTTGGCTGAAGGATCCAACCCTCGGGGTTGCGCAACTTCGACTCGCTTTCATTGATGGGCGTAGGTACTCCAGTTGCTGTGCCCTTATGCGAGCTCCCTGGCGGGACGGATGGGCAAGCGCTGGGTTTGTCCAGACACTCATCCATCAGATTGTTTCAAGTTCAACTTATAACCCCGTGAACCGACGGTATCCGTAGCAGAGCGCTGGCATTTTGGGAGCGAGTTGGACGGCATATCCCGCCCCGGACGTCCATCCGATCCGATATCGCAGTTGGTGGTTGGGCTTGTAGTAGGACTCAGGATAGACCAGCTCCACCACGTGGTGGTGAAGGTCTTCCTTCGTTAGCCACTCCAAACGGTTAGACTCCCCACTTCCTTTCACGAGCATGTGAAACGCAGTCCCAACGCTCACACTGTTTGAGCGGTGAGGCTCACCTGCTGACTGGTTGGGGGAGGACATATGTAGACATATGTAGAGACGGACGACCCGAGGGAACGGATGGAATATGCAGGCTGGCATAAGTCTCCTGCGCAGCGTCTAATCCTTGTGTCACATGCTGACGGGATCCTCGAAATAGAAACCAAGTTAGTAAGAGAACTTGGAGGTTTGAGGATGCTGTTCCGTACGGAAGTACAATAGGTCAGTACCTCATGTAAGTGAAGAATCCTAACCCTTGTGAGTACCTCACTGAGAGGCAGCCGTACGGAATACACTTCTAGCCGCCGTTTCCACTTCCTAGTTCCCACCCGTTGAATGCTGGCCCCGTCGATTTCAGACCGCTCTATTTGGGCAGCTGTATGTATGGAGCACGTAATTCCATGTATTGGTACTCCGTATCCGTACATGCCTGCGGTAACTATTGCGGGGAAACCATTTCCCTCACTCCCAAGGCTTGCCGCCATCCTCAGTTTGCGCGTCTTGTAGGAGCAGCTTGGGAATAAGGTACCTCCTTTCCGCCGCCTACGCGGGATGATGGTGCTTCAGACCATTTAAACAAACTGTTTTTGGTACGAAAAGGTATAGATAAAACACAGTAGCATAATCTGATAGACTATAGAGATTCTTCGTGGAGTTGGCTCTGCTGTCCTCTAACACGATCGAATTGCCGTTTTGGGATGTCCGACAACCCTACCGTACATACATCAGACTAAAAGTCCATACGGATTGTGATACCATCATGGCTCCTACTGGCCCCTTTAGGCTCGTCACCGTCAATACGGCGCCTGAACGTGCCAAGAGGTTGATTGGCCGCGTTGTTGAGGACGTCAAGGACCGGTACACCATCATCCATGCTGCCAATGCCGCAAGTGAGTTTATTATTTTTTTTTTCTCGTTCGGCTCTCATACGCGTCCTAAACGGCTTTACTCACATGTTCTTCGCCATAGGCATTGACGAAGTGCGGAAGACTGTCGAGGAAGCACAACCAAATGTCTTGGTAAGTGGCCTCATCCGGGATGACTGAGGGAGTGCCGTGCCAAAGCTAAGACGGGCATGCAGTTTACCGCCTCAATGTGGACGGCCGAGGAAGCCCAGCAAATTGTTGCCATCGCTAAGGAGATTGTGCCCGACGTGAAGACATTCTCGCTGCCGCAGGGCCTGCAGGTGGAAAAGGGGCCGGATGCGGTGGTGGAATATATCAAGGAGCATCTTCCCGACCTGCTGGAGTAGAGTTGACGGCCATGCCAAAAGAGACAGAGAAGTTGAAGTCAACAGAGGTGCAATGCAAAACCAGGAATAACTGCACCCTGTTCCGGGCCGTGCTTCTATGGCGGACATATCCGGTGCCATCATCTAGATGTATGTAGCTAAAACCGCATAGAAAGAAATAAGGACAAAGAGGGCAAACAAAAACTGCCACAAGATTGGTCATGTCTATGTTTGTTCATTCCTCGTTCTTCATGACGTTGTACAGACTCCCGATATGCGGCTGGATCTCCACGACAAACTCGTCCCCATCATGCAACAGCTCCTGCGGCTTGTGAGCAAACCCGACACCGGCGGGCGTGCCGGTGATGATCACAGTGCCCCTGGGCAGCGTCGTGCCTTGCGAGAGGAAACTGACAATCTTCTCAACCGAGAAGATGAGATCACTTTATGTAAGGTATATCCACGGTCAGCAAAATCACAACAGACGTCCTCGTTGAGCAAACCAAAGGGCCCAAAAGACTTACGTCAACCCGCTATCCTGCACAACCTTCCCATTCTTCAACCCCCTCAACCTGAGCTTGCCGACGTCGGGGACGAGCCGCTTGGACACCAGTACGGGCCCCAGCGGGCACGCGCCATCGAAGCCTTTCGAGTAGCACCACTGCGTCTGCGCGAACTGGGCGGCACGGCTCGAGATATCGTTGCTGGCCGTGTAGCCCAGCACGTAGTCGAGCGCGTCGGCCTCGGACACGTTCTTGGCCTCCTTGCCGATGATCACGGCCAGCTCGGACTCGTAATCGGCCGAGTCGCTTGCGATGGTGTGTTTTGGGATGATGGTCGGCGCAGGCCAGGGGTCGGCGAGGCAGGTCTCTGGCTTGCTTTTTGTTTTTGGGGACAGGATTAGCCAGGGGAAGGAGAAGGGCAGAGGGGACAGAGGGGACAGAGGGGACAGGGGAGAATTCGTACAGGAAGACGGTGGGGATCTCGGGGATGGTCATTTTAGCTTCTTCGGCGTGTTTCTTGTACTGTTCTCAGAGAGAGGTAGGTATCAGCAGAACAGTCTTTTGGAACCATCTTGCGCATTTTCAGGGGGTCAACTCGCGTTCAACCCGATGCAACGAATGGTCCCGACCTCCTCCCGCGCCAAGGGGGAGAGAACGCGGCCGATAGTTGCGGTTTCGCTTGTCGGCGAGCCGGCGTCCAGCACCGACGTGCCACTGTACACCTTGACCTGGACATCCTCGCCCTTGCGGACGGCAGCGCCGACGTCAACGGAGCCGTCGACGGGCTCGCCGATCAGGATCTTGCTATCATGGCCCTTGGGCACGAACCGGACAAGGCCTACAAGAGTGCAGTGTTAGTGGCTCTGCAGCCTTGGGAGCATTCACGATTGGAACTCACGATCGAATGACATCTTCTATCGTGTGGCGGTTGTGCTGGTGTTGGAAAGAAAGAGGTCAATGAGTCAGGCTGGTTCTATGCTCACGAAGGAACAGCGGTCGAATCACTCGATATATCTGTTTATCTAGATGTCCGGTGGCGGCCGGAACGGGCATTCGGGATCTAAATAAGGCGCCGCCCATCAGGTGCGACTACCTTACCTACCAGGAGTACTGGTAGGTACCTTACCCCTTACTGAGGACTCAACACTGGGGACCAGGAGTGGAAACTGCCAACAGGAGCCCGGCGACATCAGCCTGAGTAAGCTGTTTCCGTGTCCCAGCTGCAATTGCATCCATTTGTTCCGCCTTTCGCATGTCAATTGGGCTTCGTCGGTCGAGTCCATTGCCCGTACAGGTTGTCCGCAGGGAAGTGCCGGATGACGAGCTCAATTGCACCATGCAGCTTCATCGTTTCCGGATCCCCACCTTCCCCGCAGATACCTGGTATTAGAGAGGGGCACGAGGGGTTAGAGAGGGACAGCTGGAGTTTCTCCGCAGTCAATGCCCCGCCTCGAATTGGCGACAATCCGCTACGGTACCAGGTATGAATCCCAAGTCAGGCTTGTGGTGAGGCACTTGGTACTCCAGCTTGGTCTTCTAATTTGCGATACTGGCAAGCCGGGACGAATGACGGGCAGAGCACTCCTGATCAGCGTTGTAGTGATGTAGCCATATGCAGGGGATAGTTCGGCGACTGCGTAAAATGAGCTTGGGACGGAGGCTCATGGATTACGTAGAACAGGGGCTCGTCAACCGCTTACTCGACGGTGAGTACAGATATATACTGGCGAACGGCGAGGATCGTTTCGTTAAGCTGTCATTGCAGAAGGCGTTGAATTATGCACATACCTCTTCAAAGCAAATACATTGGCAACGGGCGTTTCATCCTTCCACAGCCCCTGAATCAACTCCCGTGATGGTGAGGATGAGGTTGTAATGCCCAGCTACAACTCGTACGGCATCGAGTCCTTGAATATCAGATGAGGTTTCCGCTTCGCCAGGTTCAATATTGTCTCGGCAAAAACCCCGTTCGCCCACGCGAACCAACTCCCTGAAGCCATTCGTGTCAGTAGTTACCGGTGGTTTGAGACGAGAAGTTGAACTTACGAGTATACGAGCGTGAATAATCCACGTTGATACTCTCATGTATCAATCCAAGCTTGCTCGATTCGAGCACCAGCTGCAGGCACTCCACGATCTCCTGGTCATCGTCCGATGTCTGCGCCTGGACGAGCAGACTCATGGGCCACGCATTCTGTAGGCCAATATGCGGTCCTATCGCACCTAGTCAGCCCCTTTCCCGTCCATCCATAACGATCATCACGAGGCCCGGACAAACCTCCGATACCCTTGAAATCCTTCCCCGCCAAGTAATACGGATTCCCCTCCTTCTCCAGCAACATGCGCCTCGTATTTCGGTATGTCGCATCCTCCTTTTCAACGAATCCCATAAGCGGCAGCGCCAACAGGCTCGGGTAGTTGGCATCGTCCATGAGCACCGCGCTTCCGTATCCATCCACCTCATAGGCAAAGACCTGACCGTATTTCTTGTGGTTCACTACACCATGCTCCCATATCCCCTCTGAGATCCGCTTGCTCCAGTCCTGAAGCGTCTGGCCGAGCTTCGAGTCTGCATGCTTGCCCGTTGACAGCAGGATCTGAGCGGTGCGCTTCAGCTCCACGGCCATTTGCGCGTTGGCGGGAATGAAGAAGCCAAAGATGGTCGCGTCATCGCTGGGACGGAAGGCGGACCGGATGAGGCCGGTGCCATTGTTCAGCGGGTTGCCGATGCCATTGAGGTTGAGCGTCTCGGTGCCCGTGGTTGTGTGACGCTGGAAAGTGTAGACGTTTGGCTGGAACGAACCCGTCTCGGAGTCGAAGGTGCCCTTGCTCTGGGCGTCGAGGACGTGGAGGACCATGGCGACAGCCTTGTACCAGCGCTGGTTCATAAAGTCCGTGCTGCCTGTGTGGTGGTGGAATTCGTTGGCCAGCGCGAGGAAGTGCGCCAGCGAGTCGAGTTCGTACTTGCACTCAAAGACTGCGCTCGGCTCATAGATGGGGTGCACGGCGTCGTCCTGCCCGTTGAAGCTCACGGGCAGTCCCGAAATGGGGGGCGGCTGAAAGGCATTGCAGTAAGGGGCCTGGATCACATATTCGCTCTGCGTGTTGATGGCACCCAGTATCAGAGTGAAGATGGCCGGATCCTTGGTCGCCAGCGACTGGTAAGGCTTCAGTTGGTTTGTGCTGTCCCGCAGCCATTCGGCTAGGATGTCGCCCGTAATGATAAAAGACTGCGGGCCTTCCCACTCGCCCTCGTCAAGCCAAGCATCCTCTTCCTTCCTCCTGCGCAGCTTCTTCTTTATCTTCTCCTCGTTTCCGTCCGTGTGGAACTTTACCGTTGTGTCCGTGGTAGAGGGGTAGGCATTCTCGAAAAGCCGGGCGAGGTCGGCGTCCTTCATCCGCGAGGTTATGTCGCGGATGACTCCCTCTATCGCATCTGAATGGAAGGTCCTGCAGCGAGGATCTGGCCGCTGGAAAGGGAGCTGGAGTGGTCCCTTGCTCAGAGGCGGGCTACCGTGTTGTCAGCATGGGCCCATTGCAGCTTGTCTGTTTGAGGAGATCTCTCACTGCGGGAAGGAGGCATAAAGGGCGTAATCCGGACAGGCCGCCTTGTCGAACTTGCCAGCTAAGCGTTCCTGGTCGCCATTCGAAGCCAGTGATGCCGCCGGCACCAGGAGGCACACAGCAAGCGAGCACCACGAAAGGCGAGCCATGGCGTCGGGTCCGGGTCCTGCCGTTCGCAGACAAGAAAGAGCACGCGCGCACACAGTGCAAGCACCTCAGGGACCAAACACTTCCAGTCTGAGGGAGATCAAAAGCAGCCTCACCGGTGCGCCCCCATGTCTGTCAATTCCGCCTCGTGGCACGAGCCAAGCATGCGGCATGCGCTTGGATCTTGGAACGAGGTTGAAGGCTGGCCGAGGGTGAAGGGTACGGTTACCTTTGTTCTCGCGGAAGGACAGTTATAATGTATGTATGTACTGTATTTATTGTGCAATGTCATTGTGGGGCTCGGCCCCATCGAGTTCGAGCCGGCTTGGCTTGGCTTGGCTTGGCCGAGTAAGTTACCGACGGTAACTAACCGTTCCCCAATCATTCTTACGTTACTAGTAGTATCTAGTACCTTACCATCATCACGCTTCAACTGGACGCCGTCGGGTGCTGCCGACTACGAAACACGGGCAGTGAGGTGATTCGTACATAATAAAGGGACAAACCAATTCAACACTTGCCTGACGACCCCGTCAACACGGCCACGGCCTCCTGCACTTCCGATGCACTCCCCAACACAACACCGCCCTTCTCATCGCAACTCTCCACCGCGCGCTCGAGAATGCGCTGCCCAGTACTGGGGTCGACCGCCCGCCCGCCAGCACACTCCACCACCAGCGCCAGCGGACACAGCTCATACAGCCTCCTGAGCTTGGCTTTGCTGCTGTCCTGATTCCGGTCCACGGGCGAGAGGTACACGCCCTGCCCCTGGATCAGCATGTGGACGACGTCGGGCACCAGCCCGCCCGCGTAGCGCAGCGTGTACTGCCGGGAGATGTAGCCCGTGACGAGAGACATGTAGCGCGAGTCCTGCGAGGCAGCGCGCAGGTTGGCCGGGGAGAAGTAGGAGGTCGAGGGCGAGAGGGTCAGGTTAGGGTGCGTGACGCGCCACTTGGCCATCCAGCCCTTGTCGTCCAGGGCGGCCTCGAAACAACAGCTTCTTCCTGATCCTGGAATGCGAACGGCTACGATGGCGGTTGCGCGCGGGCCGTACACGCCCAGGATGGCGCCGACTTGCTTGTGTGCGGGGTCCTGGCCCAGTGCCGAAGGCCCGTCCCAGATGGAGACAATCGTGCCGACCGTCCAGTTGGCCGAGATGATGGAGCTGCCGTCCAAGGGATCGAACGCGACGCAGTAGTGTCCCGTCTTGGGGTTGACAGGGCGCTGCACGGGATCTTCTTCGCTGCTGGTGGTTGCTATGAAAGGACAGCGCGATATGACTTTGCGTAGCAGTTCCTCGGCTCTCACATCGACATTGAGTTCTGGGAGTATCAACCACATTGTTCCTGTTCAGGCTATACTTTCGAGACGTAGGTCATGGACATACGGTTATCGCCAAACGAGTTGGCAGTCCCGACAGCCGAGACATGGTGTGATTCACGGAGAGCCTTGGACACTTCGGCTATACCGCCCAGCAACAGGGGAATGACGGAGCTTATGAGCGAGTCGCGGGTGCCGTCTTCAGGAACGGCGGACTGCAGAGCAGATCTGAGCGAGTCACTCATGGCTGCGAATCTTATGTTTGGGCGACGTGTTTCGAATTATGATTGAGCTCAGTCACCTCGAACCAGACCTATTTTATGGCCATACTGAGAGCTTTACTTCGTATAAAAACCGAGTCATGTATTGTACATACAACCAAAACTCGCGCAAGTGGGAACACGTAAGAGTACGGATTCGTACATACCGTACACTAAATTACCCACCGTATCTATGGGGACCGCCAAGGCTAGCAACCACCCAAGTGACCTAACATTGCAGTGTTACTGTTGGCCTCCCGCTCAACCCCTGCAAGCTACTAGTAACCAGAATCGTGTACTTCGTAGAGATTCTCAAACCCTACAATCTCGCGAAACAGAATTAGGGATGTCATTTTCATGGAGCCCCACTCCTGGAATGTCGATGTGCGGTTTCGAATCGCCTGGCCCGCAGCATCACAAGGAATAGCAGTACATACGTGGGCGGCGCCAGTTGAATGCGTAGTGCAATAACGAAAGGTATTCCCTGATCTCGTTCTAGGACTGCTCGGACTCCTGGAGTGCAGTTAAGATGCTTGGACGGACCCATCAGGCGGGGTCGAACCTCGGATGACGGTGTTCAAACGGCCTGACTGTCTAGCACATCTGCCTTGACTACTTCTTGGAAAAGAAGGACATGATACTGCCCTGGCTCCCTTTCTGCCCGCCTTTCTTTGGCTTTGCCGTCTGCGTGGGGGAGCTGAGCTAGTTGTCTTCGGTTTGCTGGCCGGGGGAGGCTCATCCTCCGAGAATGATTCCCAGCCTGGCTCTTGAATGGTGACTGTGATCGAGGGTTAGCTTGAACAGCCAGGCCGGTACAGGCGCGGTTTGGCATACCAAGGTATCCCTGATCATCCATAATCTGCTTCTTGCGCATGACCCGTCTCCTGCCGCGCCGCCGACCATTGGTGGAGGCAGTAACGACCTCCGTCTCTTCTTCCTTGACTGGCCCCGCTGCTGGTGGTTCTTCTTCCATTGGCTCGTCCTCGGCGATTTCCTCCCTCTCTGACACCTCCTCGTCGTCATCGTCTTCTTCCATCATCTTCCTGAGCTCCTCCTCCCGCTGCTTCCTGCTCTTCAACCCTGAGACACTACGCGGCTTCGGTTGCGGCAATTCTTCCTCGTCCTCCCCATCATCCGACAACGGCTGAACGGCCGGATCTTCGACGCTGGGTGTCGCAAGCTGCCGAGACTCTGCTTCCTTTTTGTTCTTCGTTGTTTTCGACGCCGCTTTCGAGAAGGCCTGCATGATGCCGGAGCTGGCACCGCGCTTCAGGGGCGGCGCAACTTTCTTGGCTGGTCCCGAGGAGGAGACTTTCTCTGTGGTCTCCTGAGCGGGCTGTGCAGGCTGTGGTTCCTCCTTGACCTTTCTTGCAGCTGGCGCCTGCAAGGTCTTGGAGGCGGCCATTTTTGCTGGTGGCTTAGCCGCAGCAGCAGCAGCAGCAGCAGCAGTAGAAGCCTTCAGACCGGCTCCCTGCCGTTCCCTGCGGCGCATCCGCGGGTTAGTGATTGGGACGAGGCTCTTCTGGCTATCTAGAGTGAGCAGCTCGTTGCCCACATCCACTAAAAGAGCCATGTCCTATTGAAGTATTGGTCATTGATCTCCAAATCCTGGCATGGTGCGACAACTAACCTTGGTAGGATGGGGTCCAACAGCGTAGACGTGTATGGAAGTGACATTTTCATAGTCAGCTAGGGTCTCTTTCGAGTTCCGGTTAGCGGAGCGATGTAAGCAGTGGCTGGCAACGAACCTTTCAGCCGTTCCTCGGGCACCAGCGAGAGAGTGGATGTTGGCACGGCTTCTGTAAGCATCTTGGCATCCCGGGGCGAGCTTGCCATTTCAACATCGCCATCGCTGCCATTTTGTGCAGCTGGTGGCCCATGGGCAGCTATCTTGGTGCCGTACACCAGGTAAGTGGCATGCACGGCACCAGGGCGTTTCGCATTTTGGCTTCTGTGGAAATCATACAGCATCCTGAATATGTTAGCTCTATCCAGATTCTCCTGTGGTTTGGCATCGTACTGCTTGGCCGTGTTGACGTGAACCTGGAGAGCCCGGCTCAAGAGCCGATATGTGACCTGGCGGACCTCGTCAGTCGAGACTCATCCATCTGGCCGTGTTTGATGGAAGAGAAAAACTTCATACCACTTTGTCCTCTGTGAGGACATTCTCTGCAAGGAACTTGTTGTAGCTATCCATCGCGAATTGGCAATGCGGATGCGGCACCTGTCAGACCTCAATCAAGGTTCTTGTGATGACTTTTAGCGATGAAGAGCGGCAGGTCGCGACGCGACGACGCGCGCAGTCACGTTAGCAATAACTATTCGTACAAGTAGTTCAAGTTATGTAATTAAGCCCCTGCCTCAACTATTAGCAGGTGGAGATCGTGATAGCTTGCAGCTCCTGTCCCGTGCGCCAGGAACGGGAACCTTGATGATTTGCCGCAATTGCCGGTCCACAGGCTCCACATGAGCGCAAACGCGACGCAAGCGCTTCCAATGGTTGAAACCCGTGGCGCCTCGAGCTTGGCCATCCCGAATCCTGGATCTCGACATCTTGAAGGGTGATTTTTCTTTCGTTACGGCGACCATTGTGTCGGCTTATAAATTCTCAAGATTTGCGCCATGATTCGCAACAGTCCGGTCGTTCCGTTTGCCTAACCGACTTCAGACCTGTGTCCTGCTACCTAGCTGCCATTGCGCCGGCACCCGCACCCGGAGCTGCCGCCGAGGATCGAGGCGCGACTGCGCAAACAGACAGCATGGGCTCCTTTCCCCGAGTTCGGTTCCTGGCGATTGCCATAATCTTCCACTTCGCGTACATATTTTCCATATTCGACATCTATTTCGTTAGCCCCATTGTCTCTGGAATGCGCCTGTTCCAAGTAGAGAGACCAGCAAACCGCGCCCCCGCAGACCGCCTGGTCCTCTTTGTTGGTGCGTGGAAGAATAGGATAGGCCCCCATCTCAATGTAGAAAACAGATGCTGATAGGCTTCTGGCCCAGGTGACGGATTGCGTGCTGATAAAGCGTTTCAATGGCACCCCGAGCCCTACCCCCAATCTGATGACGACCTCGCCCCGCGACCCTTGGCCCCCTTCCTGCGATCCAAGGTGTTGGAGGAAGGAACATTTGGCGTGTCCCACACCCGCGTGCCGACTGAGTCGCGACCCGGCCATGTTGCCCTCATTGCCGGCCTCTACGAAGATGTCTCGGCGGTAACCACGGGCTGGAAGCTGAACCCGGTTAATTTCGACAGTCTCTTCAACCGCAGTCGGCACACGTGGAGCTGGGGCAGTCCCGACATTCTACCCATGTTCCAGCACGGTGCCGTACCTGGCCGGGTGGACGCATTCACCTACGGCGCAGAGCTTGAGGATTTCTCCTCGGATGCTATTGTGCTGGATCTTTGGGTGTTTGATCATGTCAAGGAGTTCTTTGCCGAGGCGCGCAAGAACAAGACGCTCAACGATGCGCTGAGGCAAGACAAGGTAGTGTTTTTCCTTCATCTGCTGGGACTAGACACTACCGGGCATTTCCACCGGCCGTATTCGAAGGAATACCTTAACAACCTCAAGGTCGTCGATAAGGGAGTGCAGGAAATTGTGAAATTGATTGAGGCCTTTTATGGCGACGACCGAACGGCCTTCGTCTTTACCGCCGACCATGGCATGAGTGACTGGGGCAGCCATGGCGACGGCCACCCCGACAACACGCGGACACCTCTCATCGCTTGGGGCTCAGGGGTCGCCAAGCCTCAGCTCTACCCGGGAGATGTCGCACCGGGACACGACGAGTTTTCGTCAGACTGGCATCTTGACCATGTCAGGAGACACGACGTTGCGCAAGCCGATGTCGCCGCGCTCATGGCCTACCTTGTCGGTACTGAGTTCCCAGCGAACTCGGTAGGTGAGCTGCCATTGTCATTCCTGGCCGCGGATATCAAGGAGAAAGCCGAGGCATCGCTCGTCAATGCGCGCGGTATTCTCGAGCAGTACCGCGTGAAGGAGGAGATGAAAAAGGCCACCGAATTGAGGTACAGACCTTACGAGCCCTTGAGCAACAAGGGTCTCGAGCCCGAAAGCCGGGTTGCTCACATCCAGCAGCTCATCGAGGCTGGGAACTATGAGGAGGCTATCGAGGAGTCAGCCGCCCTCATGAAAGTAGGCCTCGGCGGTCTCCGGTATCTGCAGACCTACGATTGGCTGTTCTTGAGGGCGCTCATCACTGTAGGGTATCTGGGATGGATGGTGTATGCTCTCACGACTGTCATCGACCTCCACGTATTGCACGGGCGTTTACAGCCCTCGAGAACGCTTTTTGGGGCTCTTATCTCGTCTTCGATCTTGACCGCACTCTATGCATCCTTTATTGTCTCGAAGTCTCCGCTTGCTTATTATGCGTATGCCTTCTTCCCTGTCTTCTTCTGGGAAGAGGTCTATGCGCGCCGGCAAAGCTTGGTGGAAGGCCGCAAACAGTTATTCGGACATATCGAATCAGGGGGGAGCCTTGCTTCGTTGGTATTCAATTTTGCAGTTTATGTCGGCATCATTGAGTCATTGGTATGGATACGATACTCCTTCCGTTCTGCTCGAAACCCGCGAACTAATATCTATAGGCTCTGGGCTACATCCACCGCGAGATTCTCACAATACTGTTCATCGTCGGCGCCTTTTGGCCTCTTGTCTATGGTCTCTCCTTCCTGCAGCAACACGCCGCGCTGTCCATCACGTGGCTCCTCTCCTGTCTCACCATGAGCACCTTCACATTACTTCCAGCCATGAAGACTGAGAATGTGAACTTGATGTTCGTTCTCCCGAACCACCTGTCTGATGAGGCAAGCTAACCGTATGCTCGTAGTATGGGTGGGGGCGCATTGATGGTTATTGTCGGCGTGTTATACCTGATCTTGGAAGATTTCGTCCTCGCCGGCTTTACGTGGCCGGCGAAGGGCTCTTCTCGCAACAACCTAGTTTCCCGGACTCTTGTGGGTATTCAGGTTGGCCTTACGCTCCTTGCTATGGTTGTCACTCGGTCGAGCGCCCTGTCGCTGCAGGCAAAGCAAGGACTTCCTCGCGGCAATCAGATTGTGGGCTGGGTTGTTCTGGGTGAGTTCGGCTAAGAAAAGTGATTTCTAGACTCGGCTAATCATGTTGCAGTCGCGTCCCTCCTCATGCCCGTGGCATACCGTCTGCAAGCCAACAACCATTACATGCACAGAATCATGGTCATTTTCCTCGCCTGCGCCCCAACATTCGTCATCCTCACCGTTTCCTACGAAGGACTGTTCTATGTCGCCTTCTCAGCGATCCTGGTCAGCTGGGTTCGCCTAGAGCATGCCATCTATATCCATTCCCAGCCCGAGCCAACCTGCTTCTCATCAACTAATGGCGCGGCGGACACATCGTCATCATCAGCGAACGGATCGGCAGCCCCCAAAGAGCAATCCCTCCTCAGCACCAAAACAACCCTCGCCTCGCCCTTCCGCCCACTCACCCTCCACGACGCCCGCGTCGCCCTCTTCTTCTTCGTCCTCCTGCAATCAGCATTCTTCAGCACGGGCAACATCGCCTCCGTCTCCTCCTTCAGCCTCGATAGCGTGTCCCGCCTCATCCCCATCTTTGACCCCTTCTCCCAGGGCGCCATGCTCATCCTCAAGATTATGATCCCATTCGCACTCGTCTCGGCAAACCTGGGCATCCTGAACAAACAGTTAGGCGTGGCACCCTCGGCACTGTTCATGGTCGTGATGGCTATCAGCGACGTCCTCACGCTCTACTTTTTTGGGTTGTCAAGGACGAAGGGTCCTGGCTTGAGATTGGCTCGACGATTAGTCACTTCGTGATTGCGAGTTTGCTGTGCGTATTTGTGGCGGCATTGGAGGGGGTCAGTGCCATGTTCATTGCCGGAGTCGAGGTCGGCGACGACGTGACAAGGGCGGTTGAAAATGGGGTTGTGGCGGAGGCATTGTCGGGAAAGACTAGTAGCGCGGCAGTCGAGCAATTGGCTGCTGGTGCTGAGGAATAGCGGTATGTAGACGCAGATATAGAGAAGGGTTATTGGAAAGTCCAAAGGTACCGTATAGCAGCCAATTAGAGTTGGAACTGGCCCGCCTCATCTGGCGTGATGACCCGGCATCGCGATGAGATCTCAGGTCTTGTACAATACAAGCCGTGTCTCACGTTACAGTTAGGGTGGCCGACCATGCGTTGTCGTGCCGAGCTTGTCGTTCCGAAGGCCACTATCCCCGTCCTGTTCCGGCTGCCCATCCTTATGCCGCCGTCGCATATGTTGCATCACTTCCGAGTCTCTACTCACTATGTAGAGTGAGGAGTGACAGGCCATCCTGCAGCTGGTAGGGTGGGCAGCCTGAAGTTACATTCCACCTATAGCAGGTGGCATGTCCGCTCTTGTTCACGATCACCACCCGGCTATTTATCGTTTGCGTTTGCAGAAAAGGGGTAGCTGAATTTGACGCTGTCGCGGAGCTTCCCGACAGAGCGAGGGGAAACCGCGGGGTAACCGGGGCTCGCTCCGACTCAAAGCTAATGGATCGTATAGTAACGTTATCTGGGGAAGCCTCCACAATCGTGTTGGTGACTCGGGTCTGGGATCCTTACTAGGTATCCTGCTTGGGGAAGACCATCCTCCTTTCTTCCTTGCCCCAGTGAGATGTGTGTGCCTCAAGCCGCCGGGGCATGAGGAGTGCCCGACTGTGAACATACAATGCAGGAATTCCCTATCGCGCATGGTTTTGTTGCCGCAACCATCTCGGACAGCACAAGACCAGAAACCAAGTCTTGCCACCGCCGTGCCCGTATGGTTTCGTCAGGAGGATGAGGGGGAGAGAGTGAGACTACTGTGATCCGATACATACTGCAAGTATGTAGAAGTACATGTACTAGTATGTACAAAACGGGATCGGCCGGAACAGTGGAGCAAGAAGCAGGAATTCGGATCCGGGACTCCGGCTTGACCGCAACCGGTCAAAGTCGCGAGTTCACCAACATTTCCGTCCAATTTCCTCGGTTCGATCCGCCGTGTTCTAAATAACAAATCCAAAGCCGGTGTCCCGCCGGATGCCACAGATTTTACCTCAAAACCCCCCACGAAGGCGGCCGGAACAGCGTCCAGACATGACAAGTCCAGAATGGTGTGCGGGCAGCGTGAAGGCCGAGAGTTGGATCTCAGGAATGGTGGTCGTGAGCCAAGAGGTTCCCCGGATTCATGGTTTCGGCCACCATTTCCTGAGCGGGCTGGACTTCCCGTGTGGTGAGTCTTGGCTGCACTTGGCCCAAGCGTCCATCCAACCCTTGCGGTGCCAGCTGACTTGTCTCCTGGCCCTCTTTGAAATGCGTCGCTGACACTTGGCTGTCACATGCAAGACAGTGTCCAGAATCCTCTAGGTACTGCCCCTTGTACCTTGTTCCAGGTTCCCGTCATGACGCTGCCCCTCCCGTCCTTCCGTTTGATGACTTGCTGCACCCATGCAAGGTTGGGACGAACAAACGAACAAGAAGCCGCTGGTTGAGTGCCGCCGGGATGGATTGGGCTACCTCGAGGCTACGTACAGAACGGTAGCAGACATCTGCTTGACTCTACACTACAAGCATAGGTTGTATGTATGTCCCAACCTACACCACGCTAGTGTAAGAATTAAAACGGTCTGCATGCCCCCTAAATAAACCTGCTCGCTGGGGTACCACCTGGAATCCGGGGTTAGACAGTGCCGCAAGTGGACACTGACCCGCTCTTCAAAGCACGCTGTATCGGACTTGTGCCTCGACACCGTTTTCGAAAGGCCAATTTGTCGCTCGCATCCCATCGTGATTCACATTCCAGGAGGGATCTACCAGACGGTTTCGCATAGACGCAACAACTTCGGTGTCCTACAACGCACCTATCTATCCCACCCGATGAGTGCATGCGGATAGCAAGATCGCAGCCTGTACAGGGTCGCTCGAAACATTCGGATTCATTTCCAGCGCGCAAGGACCATCGGCGGCGAGCTCGGTGGCGGGACACAGCGGGAGCGCCAGGTCGATCGATCCCGGAACCTTGTTTGTCGTCAGTTGAACTCCGAAAGCTAGTTCTTTCAACAACCTCCTCGCTCTCCTCAACGTGAAACAACCACTCTTCTTTCGGTCGCTCGCCAAGATGGAAGTCGAATCGACCCCTCCGGCAGGGATCACACCTCCGAAGCAGCCGTCGACCTCGCCGTCGCAACATTCCACTACTCCGTCGGCGTCGGCAGGTACGACCACAACGACGACAACGGCTGGTCACATAAGTTTCAGGAGGTCGGTCTTTTCGGTGTAGTATCTTGGGTCGCGGGGAGAAATCCGGGGCTGTTTGCGCTGACCAGGTCATTTCTTTGGAAATAAAGACAACGGGCTTCAAGAGCATGTGAGGTGAGCTTTTTGCCCTATTTATATGCTTGAGCTGGTAGACAAGTCGGGCGGTGGGTTTTGATGGGACCTCCAATGGGACCCGTCCGAGGCTCTCTGCGTATTGCGACTGCCTCGCCTATCTTGCCTCGGCTCATCCGCGCGTACCGGTTATCTGAGGATCACGAGCTAATAACCGTTCATCGTCTCCAGACATGTCATGCCCGCAAAGTACGGCGATCCCTCAGCCCATTGCAAGCTCGGCGCCACGTCTGCATCATACGTATTAGAGAGACCTGACATCAGACTCTTGCAGGTCCGCTGCGATGCTGCCAGCCTTGGCGTCCCGTGTACGAATTGTGTTGCTTTTCAGATCGAATGCCGCATCCCAACCCCGAAGAGGAAGAAGGCGCAGAACGCCGCTGTGCAATCGAGAGATTCGGACAGGTACATCACGCCCCGCCGAAGCCTCCGTTATCTCGGGCCTGTGGTCTGCCTCTTAGTGTTCCATCCCATGCTCTCTACGCCTGACAAACGATCATTCACCCTGCAAGCCACACGCTGAAGACCGTGATGCTAACCTGGGACCAGCGACCGGGGAGATCAGGACGACCGATCATCTCTTCCGCCTGGCGCAGCCGCCTTTCCGAACGGGACCCGACCGCCGGCTGTCTATCACACCCACGAAGGTACCCCATCAGTTGCCAACACGGAGGTCGAGCAACAGAAGAAGGACGAGTTCGACAACGCGGCACTTGCCAGTTACATGAACCTCGTCATGAAGCCCAAGTTCACGCGCGCGCCAATTACCGAAGCCGGGAGGGTGGCCTACCTGGGCGAATCATCCAACCTCACACTCCTGGTCCACGACCGCCAAAATGCTGGCGATGTGGTACACTACCCCTTGCCCGAGAACATCAGGGGCTCGAGGGCGCGCTTGACCGAGCTGGACAACGTCGAGATCGACATCTTGCACCAGCGAGGTGCTTTCCTCCTACCACCACGGGCTCTCTGCGACGAGCTGATCGACTCCTACTTCAAATGGGTCCATCCCATCGTTCCTGTGATCAACAAGACGAAGTTCATGCGTCGCTACAAGGATCCAAAGAACCCCCCGTCTTTGCTCCTGCTGCAGGCTATGCTGCTGGCTGGCTCGCGCGTGTGTACCAATCCACAGCTGATGGATGCAAACGGCTCGTCAACACCAGCTGCGTTGACCTTCTATAAGAGAGCCAAGGCCTTGTACGACGCGAACTACGAAGACGACCGAGTCACGATCGTACAGTCTCTCTTGTTGATGGGCTGGTACTGGGAAGGACCAGAGGACGTCACCAAGAATGTCTTCTACTGGACTCGCGTCGCCACCATCGTTGCGCAGGGCTCAGGGATGCACCGGAGCGTGGAGGGATCGCAGCTCAGCAAGTCGGATAAGAGGTTATGGAAGCGGATCTGGTGGTCCCTATTCACGAGAGATAGGTCCGTGGCTGTCGCGCTGGGCCGGCCGTGTCACATCAACCTTGACGACTCGGATGTTGAAATGTTGACAGAGGATGACTTTATCGAAGACGAACCCGATCAACCCAGCGACTATCCTCCGGACCCTATCCACGTACAGTTCTTTCTGCAGTACGTCAAGCTGTGCGAGATTATGGGGCTAGTTCTCTCCCAACAATATTCGGTCGCAGCAAAGGGACGACGGCACAATCCCATTGACCTGACACACAGCGACATGGCCCTTGCCGACTGGCTCTCAAACTGTCCCAAAATTGTGTATTGGGAGATGCCAAGGCATCACTTCTGGTCTGCCTTGCTCCATTCGAATTATTACACCACCCTCTGTTTGCTACATCGGGCACACATGCCGCCAACCGGCTCGCACAGATTTCCGGATGAATCTGGGTATCCGTCCAGAAATATCGCCTTTCAGGCGGCTGCCATGATCACATCAATCATCGAGAACCTTTCGGCCCGTGGGGAGCTACGGTATTGCCCGGCTTTTGTCGTCTATAGCTTGTTCTCGGCTCTCATCATGCATGTGTATCAGATGAGGTCACCAGTTCCCTCCATCCAACAGGTGACGCAGGACCGGATACGGACGTGCATGGGCGCACTGAAGGACGTCTCCAAGGTCTGGCTTGTGGGGAAGATGGTCCACACGCTGTTCGAGTCTATTCTTGGAAATAAGGTCCTGGAAGAGAGGCTACAGAAGGCGGCCGGCAAAAGACACCGCAAGGCACAGCAGAGTTTATCGTATCTGGAGCAGCAGCAGCAGCAGCAGCAACAGCAACAGCAACAGCAACAACTACATCCGCGCTACATGCACGAGCAGAAACGCAAATATGATGATATGGCCATCGACTTCAGTATGAGCACTCCTCAGCCGCCAGAATCGTATGAGCGCTCAAGGCCGCAGACACCGAGCGCTGCGACCAAGAACGAACCGGCGTCTGGTACGATGCCGCCTCCTACCAACGCATCGCCGCATGCGCGGAACGGCGATACGTTTATGGGAGGGACAGCATCGCGGCCCCACACGCGACCAGCAAGCCCTTTCCAACCGTCTTTCTCAGTGCCAGCGACACCTCCCGATCTGTACCTTGTCACGAGAAACTCACCGAACTTGTCTCAGTCAATCTGGGAAAACTTCCAACCGGATCAGCTGTTCCCAGAGAGCGTCAACGTACCGCTGTTTCAACCACTGTCACCTTCTCAACCGCACCAGACCCTCGACTCGCACACGATGGCGCAGATGCACGGCCAAAATATGCAGGGACAACCCGCCGATGGCGGACAGAGCTCGTTCGGCCAGGGCATGGCGAAGAGGGGAATGGGCGGGAGCCCATTGCAGCAGAATGCCATGCAGCCCAACATGGCTGGATTCCAGGGCCAAGGCCAGCAAGGCGGCAACTTATGGAACGGCTTCGACGCGCCCATGGTCGACGGGCAGAGTCCTAGTGATAGCTGGAGCACGAGCTCGGTACAGGGCCTGCCTGTGCCCACGGCGCTTAATGTGGAGGACTGGTGAGTGCCCCATCTCCTCGCCCTTTCGCCTCTAACAGACGGAATTTATAATCCTGACTTCGAATTAGGTTCCAATTCTTTGGTATAAACGGCGACCCCCTGCAGATGAACATGGATGGTGTTCCTATAGTCTAGGAGGAAGTATGGTCTGGGAGGCTTGGAAACTCAGGCGTTCATCCGGGCCGGAAATGAGAGTTTGTTGGATAGGCTCATTCCTACACCTGCACAACTGATTTATACGGTCATGGGTACTTGTATCGTATGTGGCTTAGGTGCAGCTCCAGTGAGTACTGGGATCCAGAAGAAGAAACCACCTACCTAATCGCTGCTTGCTCCAACGATCTTCGGCACTTAGGATGCACAACATCCTTGTCGAGATTGGGCCGCAGTTTGGGCCGCGCAACCGCCGTCGTGCAGTTGTCTCCGTACTGGCTGCCCAGGATTGGCACCTCGACCTGGAACGGAAGCCACCTACTCAATACTCAGCACATACATACCAGGAGGGGATAATGGGCATAGCTGTGGTTCGCGGCATCCATGGACCTGTAATTACCCCTCACGACGAATTAGACCCGTGCATAGATAAGTGTTCCTTATATACGGAGTCGTCAATGCCTAACTAAGTACATGCACATTCCCGTAGTATCAGATGGACGGATGCAAGTATGAGCGGCTGGGGCCAGCGGCCCGCTGTTGTAGGAGGGAAAATCCCGCATGGAGCCAAGGTGGCCGACTGGAACTAAGGTAAATACAGGGCATAACTCGACCTTTCTCGTGCCAGATCGGTATTGCTAGGGACCGTATTAGCGCCGCCAACTACGATGAAAACATGCGGCAAGGACGCTGGCATTGATGCGTTCGCCCTTAATATTGGCGTGGACGGCTATACCGAGTTACCGACTAGCAGCTTGACTATGCGTATTAGTCTGCTACTAACAACGGCATGAGGGTTTTCATCTCGTTTGACTTTAACTACCTAGTATAGCCCGTACTAGTATATATGATGTGCTTTTGGTTGGATATTGCTTGCAGTGTTTACCTCTTGTACGAGCATGGGTTGTCTTTTCTTTCCCTTGGGATGCTCCTTCCGTCCCTAACAGCATCCATAAGTCCAAATAGGCAGATATGGTTCGACTACATTTGACTGAAGACGGAACTTCAGCCTCGTTTAACGTTTTAGTTTCCTACTATCTGACTCTAAAATACACTTATATCTAGTGACTACGTTAGCGAAGATGGAGGAATTCGTCCTTAGTTGGGACGACACCGCGATTACTATAATTCCGCCGCCCCCCTCGTTTGAGTCCCCGCAGCCGCCGCAGCCGCCGCCGCTTCCTGTCCGCGTATTGACCAAGGTCACCATCGGTAATTCCCCCTTAAGAGGTGTCACAGGACAGGTCAACGCGATCCCACAGTGAATGTAACTCGTTGAAGAGCTTTTTGATTGCTTGTGCTAGTGCTGCTTCCTGCCCCGGTACGCAGTGGGCATGCCTGATGTCTTGTGTGAATGGAAAGAGTGATGTAGCCTTGCAGCTACGGCGAGATCGGACCCTAATCCCTTGCCTTCCTCTGACCCGAGTTGATGTGTCTACTCGATGCTACTGGCTGAGAGTGAACTGCTAATGTGTGGTGCTCGACTCTTGATACACTACTCTGTAATCTCTGTTCCTGGCAATGCTTTCGACGCTGGTTAATTCTCATCCAGGCTCACCCGTCCTTCCTTAAGCTTGCTATGCTCTCTACTGTCTATGCCCAATACCTCCTTACTCACTGTCTCCGCTGATATTTAACCTATCAACACTGTTAAGTCATATCTAACCTTGAGACTGCTTAGTTGATGCAAGCGCGGCTATATTGAGGGCCCGCCAAGCCCAGTCCTACGAGGACACGGGTATTCCTGAGGAGAGTGTCGGATGGACCTCCCACACTCGGCACCGAGATGCCTGCCGGATACCGAGTTGCGAAAAGTTCGGTCAACGTTTCACGGATGGGAGTTTCGCTTGTCACCTCAAGAGCGTGATGCACCAGGTATTGGAGTTCACATTATATACCAGCTTCTGTCTAAGTACTAGTATCTAACTAATCATGGTATATAGAAGCTCAAGCCGGTCCCCCCCATCCCGGTCACGGCCGCCCCGCTTGTGTTCAGAGCACCCAACAACGTTAAACGCCCACTGGAGGGCGAGCCTGCAGATCCCGCGAAGAGGGCGAGACGAGGTGATAGTAGCCTATAGTGTACCGGGGCGCATTGGGTTGGTGCCTATAAGATTCTCGACCGTTCCAACGATTGCTAACTTTTGGGCTCCGATACATCCATCTCTAACCCCCCGGTCGTGTGCCAGCGCTTCCCGGGAGTGTCTCGGAGCCAATCGCTGGAGATGAGTCGTTCACTGGGTTGACGTGCTGTGGCAGTCGTTGTTGGAGTTTGATTTCCTGTCTTCTCGAGGAAGAATCAGAGTCGGGCCGTGGGTCTGTTGCATCTGCCGCGCCGCAGAAAGACGGGAGACTGGGAGCTTAGTGGTTGGAACCAGTGAGACGGTGTGAAAGCGATGGGAAGTTGCAGCGAGAGGCTAGGCGCGCCAGCCAAGGAAGCGCGGCCAGAACAACCTGGAAGTTCCGGTGGTATCTGGGTGATGATTGACGGCTGCGGCAACATCGACTCAGGTGCAGCCTCATTGTTGCATCTAGACCAAGAAGAGTCATGCCGTGCATGCCTAGATCTGCGCTCCGGGTGCCTACTGTACACTAACCTGGAAGTCTTGGGCCCGGAAGCATGTCGTACTAGTAGATATGAAGGGCAAGCACTGTGTACCTAGTACTACCTGGGTCCAACATGTTGCGGCTAACAGCCGGACTGTGACATGGATCTTTGAGGTGACCAACCCCTCCACCGTCATGGGAGGGGCAGCCACCTAAGCGCGAACGTTTGTGAGCACCCCACAGCATGTGTCCCTGAGCTGCACCTCGTCCCAAGTTCGGCCGACCTGACGATCCGCCTTCCACTGCAGCCGTTATAATATTGAATGCGCCTAATGACTTCGTGTATACATGGTAGCTGGCAATAATCCGCCTTCGAACCCTCCGCTTGTCACGTCAGTAGCAGTCCCGGACGGAACATGCACAATAACTAGTGCCGAATAACTCGCAAACCCTTGTCTGACTCCCAGATTCTGGACGTAACCCTGGGCAGCGTCGCTCTGACGACCCCGCCTGGCTTGACCGCAGCGGTTTACTTCTCGTCCGCCATTATCTTTAGTCCAACTGTCAACCCTGGTGCTCCCTGAATTCACCCGTCAACAGTTCAGGATTTGCTGCGCGACGACGCCAGGGCAACAATAGCGACACCGGGCCCAAGATCGTCACGTCTGCCCTGCTCCTCGCCGGCTCACCACGCCCGCCCACCATGACGCAAACGCCCATGATTTCGGTGCCCCTCAAGGCCACCAACGAAATCGACTGGGTTACTCCGCTTAAGTCCTACATTCAGAACACATACGGCGACGACCCAGAGCGATATGCCGAGGAGTGCGCTACCCTGAACCGGCTACGGCAGGATATGCGGGGCGCTGGGAAGGACAGTACCGCGGGGAGGGATCTGCTGTACCGTTACTACGGCCAGCTCGAGCTCTTGGATTTGCGCTTCCCGGTCGATGAGCAGCATATTAGGGTCTCTTTTACTTGGTAATTAGTCCCCTGTCTCCCGAGCATGCTGTCGTGGCCTCGGTCCTCTAGTTCTAACCCTCTCTGGTGCAGGTTCGATGCGTTCACACACAAGCCCACGTCGCAGTACTCGCTTGCGTTCGAAAAGGCCTCGATCATCTTCAATATCTCGGCAGTCCTATCCTGCCATGCCGCCATCCAGACGCGAAGCCAAGAGTCGGGCCTCAAGCAGGCTTACCACTCCTTCCAGGCCTCGGCCGGAATGTTCACCTACATTAACGAAAACTTCTTGCATGCCCCTTCCTCCGACCTGAGTAGAGATACGGTGAAGACGCTCATAAACATCATGTTGGCCCAAGCCCAAGAAGTGTTCCTGGAGAAGCAGATTGGGGATCAGAAGAAAATCGGGCTCCTGGCGAAGCTGGCCAGCCAAGCTGCTACGCTGTATGCCCAGGCGCTGGAAGGGGTGCAGGAGAACGTCACCAAGGCGATATTCGAGAAGGTCTGGCTTTTGATGGTGCAGGTCAAGTTCAATTACATGACCTCGGTCGCCCAGTACTACCAGGCGCTTGCTGATGACGACGCCAACGCACACGGCATGGCCGTTGCCCGCCTCCAGGTCGCGGAGGGCCACGCACGGGACGCGAACAAGATTGCCAACAGTTTCCCAAGCTCTGTACCGCCTAGCTCAAACCTGACAACAGAGTGCAGCGCTATCTTGGCCGAGGTGACCAAAAGACACTTGTTAACGGTGCAGCAAAAGCTAAAGGAGTTGACAAAGGACAATGATTTCATCTACCATGACCCCGTGCCTGACGCAGCAGCCGTGCCCGCCGTCGCAAAGCTGCCCGCCGCGAAGCCGATTCCAGTCAGCGAGCTGTACGCCGGGCAGGATATCCAACGGATCACGGGGCCCGACCTATTCGCAAAGATAGTGCCGCTGGCAGTCACGGAGTCGGCGAGCCTATACGACGAAGAGAAGGCAAAACTAGTGAGAGCCGAGACGGAGAGGGTGGATACCGCGAACAGCGAGATGGCCGCAAGCCTGGATTATCTGAGGTTGCCCGGCGCCCTACAGGTTCTGAAGGGAGGGTTTAACCAGGAAATCCAACCCGAAGAGGACTTCCGAACATGGTGCGTCGATGTTTCTGACCACGAAGACCCTGCCGCGATATTCGACTTCCTACACTCGCAGAAGCAATCGATAGTGGCCATACTAGAGAGGAGCAGCAAGCAGTTGGACATGGAGGAGAGTGTGTGCGAGAAGATGAGGTCAAAATACGAGTCGGAATGGACGCAGCAGCCCAGCTCCCGGCTCACCACCACCCTGAGGAGCGATATACGGAATTACCGGGAAGCCCTGGAGGAAGCCAGTAACAGTGACCGCCAGCTAGCCGCGAAGCTGCGGCAGAATGAAAACGAGTTTGCTGAGATGCGTTCTGCCGCCGAGAGTGGCGAGATTGATGCCCTCTTTCAACGAGCCGTGAAGAAGGTGCGGAAGTCGAGCAGTGCCAACAGCCCGTCTACGGAGCCCAGTCTGCTGGACGCCGACTTTGACGATGGCGGGCCCACCGTTGTCGAGCAGATTGCAAAGGTGGAAGATATTCTCAAGAAGTTGAACCTCATCAAGAGAGAGCGCATCCAAGTGCTCAAGGACCTGAAGGAGAAGGTAAGCGAGGAGGCAACGCATGCTTTAGGGTAAGCCTTTGCTGACGGTGCTAGGCCCACAATGACGATATATCCCAAATCTTGATCTTGAATAAGAAGTCTATTGCCAACTATGAGCAACAGCTCTTCCAACAGGAGCTCGAGAAATACCGACCGTATCAGAATCGCCTGGTCCAGGCGACACATAAGCAAGCAGCCTTGATGCGGGAGCTAACCGTAGCTTTCAACGGCCTTTTGCAGGACAAGCGAGTCCGGGCGGAGCAGAGCAATTACGAGTCTTTCCAGCGCCAGAGGGGTGCGGTGATTAGCAAGTACAAGCGGGCGTACCAGGAGTTCTTGGATCTCGAAGCCGGCCTGCAGAGCGCAAAAGCCTGGTACAAGGAGATGAAGGAGACGGTAGAGAGCTTGGAGAAGAACGTCGAGACTTTCGTCAACAACCGACGGGCCGAGGGCGCCCAGCTGCTGAACCAGATCGAGCAGGACCGGGCCGCTAGCAAGAGTGCGCAAGCTGCGTTGGAACAGGAGCGGCTAAGGGGCCTTATGGAGCGCATGTCGATGGAGCAGCCACCGACTTCTCCGCAGCCAGCATCCACACGGCCAACGCCCGCTCCGCTCTCCTTCAGCTCGGCGCCCATGTATCCCAAGACAAACTTTGCCGGGCAATATCAGCTTCCCAGCTCACCTCCGCCGACACAAACGGCGGCTCCGCAGTCCTACATGCAGCAGTCGGGCCAGACTTTCACCTACAATCCTAGTTCCCACGGCCGCATTCCCGGGCCGACGTCACCTCCGCCAACACAAAGCACGTTCAACATCGGCCCCATGCGCCAGGGCCCCGCTTCTCCGCCGCCTACGCAAACGTCCTTCTCCCAGCCGACGAGATACAGCACATATGGCAATCCAGCCGTGATGTCTCCTCAGCAGCAGCAGCAGCAGCCACCAGCGCCGCAGCAACAACAACAGCAGCAGCAGCAGCAGCATGCCGCCTATATCCCACCCAACTTTGTGCCGCCTCCACCTCCGCCGGGACCACCGCCACTCGGACCCCAGCAAACAATACACTATGGGTACTATCCGGGTGATCCGAATGCGGGTCGGCCAGGGTCGGCGCAGCAGCACCCAGCGCAGGGACAGCAGGACCCGTGGGCTGGGTTGAGTGCTTGGAAATGAGGTCTACGCAGTATAGTTGGTATATGGAAAGGGGGGGCTTGCGAACACGGGTGTCACAAACATGGTTGCCCATTGCCGTAGGACCAGCTCAGATATTTCGGCTGACGGCAGAAGAGGAAGAGGAGGTCGGGCTGGACTGTGGCTGCTGCCCGGTCCACATGAAACATCGATGGAGGAACATACCTTGGGCGGTTGTGGCAGATGGACAGGGTTAGAGGGTAGACGCCGGCTTACGGCGGGGGAGTTGCATTAGATCCCAATGAGGCAAATTTATGAACGGATTACCTAGTATATGATGAACGACGCCTTGAAATGAGTGCCTGGTTCTTGATGGGAGGGACCAAGCACCCTTAGCGACGCAGTGGTGTCAAGGTAATGGTACCTGCGGCATACAGCAACGTAAGAATCTGGATATTTGCTCTGTTAAGGGAGAAATCTGTGTGTTTTCCCAACTACAGTCTGCCTAACCAGACTTTTTCACGGACCACTAGAGAACTAATGCCTTCCTTCTCGTGCGTCATTCCGCATATTCTCTACCATGCCTTCTTCCCTCAGCGAAGTGCCCCAATCCATCATTCAAGCCAGTAAACATCTAAAGCTGCGGGAGCCGCCCAACGCCACATCCTATCTAACCATGGAAGAGAAATAACAAGAGCCCCCCACCCCTGGCACCCCTTCGTACCTCTCATTCTGCCCGTATGTCCTTGCTCAGCTGCACAAGCAGTTCGACCATCTTGTTCGACACCTCGGTCGACCTGGGAATGTCATGTCCTCCGCCATGGTCATACAGCTTCCGATTGTCGCAGAGATACGCTAGCTGCAGGCTCGCCGGCCACCGGGGGTCCTTGGCGCCGTAGACATGCACCGTCGGGATCGTGATGCGCACGTCCTTAGGCATGGCAGTGAAGTCGAGCCCAAAGACGTCCTTCTCGTCCGGCAGCTCGTCGGGCTTGTGCAGCAGTCCCGCCGTATCGTCCCACAGGCCGACGCCAGGCTTGATCAGGTTCAGGTTCTCGGCCAGCTCCACCAGCTGCCCGGCCTTGTCCTTCATCATGCGCGACGTCAGGTCGTTGATGTCCTTCGCCCGCTGCGGCACGTCCACGCCCAGGTCCTCCAGCACGGGCAGCGGCACGCCGCCGCACACAAACACAGCCGCCTGGAAGGGCAGCGGTTGCTCGGGGGTTTCGCGGGCGTGGTACAGCAGGAAGCTGCTAATCAGCGAGCACCCCTGCGAGAACCCCATCACGATGTCGACGGCCCCGTGCTCCTCGATGTAGTCGGTCAGCCGCAGGTGGGCGCCCCGGATGGCGTCGACCGTCGGCTGTGTCCACCAGCCGTAGAATCCGTCCGAGTTGAAGAGCCGGTCGGTGCCTGGTGCGGGCGGGCAGGGGAAGGGTCCGTCGAGGAAGGTGAAGGTGAAGTTCGGGGGCAGTCGAGCGCGGAAAGCGGCTTTTTGGGGGGTGGATGGATGTTAGCTCAATGGTTGACTTTTAATATTGAGATTGGCACATTGAAGGAGTAGGCCAAGTATCACTATCCGAGTCGTTTCAAATTGGGGAGTGGGGGCGGAAGAGGAAGTGAGTATGTACTGACCAGTCTGGGCTCTGAAGATCTCGGCGCTTGTGCCCATACCGTGGAGGCAGAGAACCTTTATCTCCCTGACTTGTTCCGCCATGTTGTTGTTGTGGCGATGTGGGTTAGATGTATAGCGGTGTGGCATTCGTGGTGACCTTTGGTCGAGCGACGTCTTCCCCTTTCCGAAATAGCAATGGACCGGCGATGTTGAGCGAGAAATAAGCGGAAAGGCCGGAAACTAAGACTGCTCACTCATCAGCCCGCTCGAGGTAAGTGGCACGGGGCAGGAGCCGCTTGCAGTAGCAGACAAGAAGTGGTAGGAGCTACCATGGCCGGGTCATTACTAGTAGACCATCGTGTTTGAATTGTGGCAGGTGCATGTGTGATGGTACCTATCAAGTGCCAGTAGGTTGTAGTCGGGGAATCGGCTTCGTGGCTTGATAAATGGCATACCCAGCTTCGGGGTTCATTTGGAGACATCCGGAGCAAAAGCACCTGTAATCTCAACCTGTAAGATACTACCTAGGTCTGCGCCTCCTTCCGGCATCGGACTCCGAAGCGAAGCCGGGCCGGGCACTTCAAGCACTCAGCTTCGGACTTATTGGACGCTCGGAGACTTTCGCGCCGAGGGGTATGACAAAGTCAGATATCCCATCTATGATCGAGGAGTTCTGACAGTCAGATCGGTGTAACGAAAACTAGATGATACATCAAGATTTGTGGTCCTTTTGGTTTTCGCTAAGGACTCGTTATGTTGCCCAAGTGACTGTCAGCCATGCGGCTCGCATTGGAGAAATATATGTTTGAGAAAATCGCCACGGCGGTCAATGAATGATTGAATTACATAAGGTACCTACTCATCCCCGATACCCTTCTTTGGCTGCAGTCATGGACCCAGTCTAGTGCTGCTCCTCACCGTTTTCAACCTGGAAGTCACTTAGTCCGTATTACCGCAAACATCTTCGAAGCCGTTTGTTTTATATTTGAACACTTCACTCCGTTGAAGTCCGGTCTTGATTTTCATTGGATTCTGCTCCAACGAAGAAAGATTGAAAGATGATTGGTATATTGCCCCTAGGATGCGTCTATGGGTATATACCTAGTTGAAATATGTAGAACCTAATACTAACTCCTAAGTCTTCCATGCTAGAGCAAAGCCACACAGTAGATGGGATCAATGCCACAACCTTCTATTGCCATCACTCCTACGAACATCCAATCCCACATCTATAACGCTTTTAGGTTACCGCCATAATACCATCCAGAAAACCTGCTCGTAATGCCGGGGTCTTGTCGACCGCCTGTCCCCTGCCGCAACGTACCATGCACCAGAATCCATCGATCTATTTTGGCTTTGTCCGTAGAACTCGACAGGCCGCATGTTGGATCAAGCTTGGGTTCTGAGGCGTATGGCTCATTGGCTCCAGGTTTTTCGTCTAACTACTAGAGTACTAGGGGAAATACAGCACGCCATGCTGAAAGCGATAGGTGAACATGAATTTGCTAGCCTAGGTGTCAGTAAAGGATCTGCAGGTTCAAGCTCGAGATGGATCGCGAGTGTTTGAATTTTCGCGTTCGGATGGAGAACTGCAGAATGCATACGTCCTTCAACAGACCGGCTTCTTGATTCAGCGAGCAATGTAGGGGCACACAGTCCTCACAACGTTCACATAACTGAGCAAAGTGCCAAAGTCTCGATGGTCCTTGACGGACACTGTACCTGCTATTTAAGGCAGCCATTGTCACACTGTCGTTCGCAAGCCGCGATAGGCCCAGCATGGAGCTTAGGACATATCCTGTGTTTAAGTATTAGTTCGAGAGTGCTTGATTGGGTCGCATTTACGTATTTGGTTGATAGTCGCGACCAGGTCTCTCGAGTGTATCCTTTCATATTATATGTGCTATCCTGAGTCTTGAATCTCGGGCTCTTGGCAATCTTATGCTACTCGTAGGTGTGTGTATCTATCTTGGGAAATATCAGGGCTAGGGGGGTCATACAAATGGTCGCTTGGAATACTCTGCCCTGGCAGGCTCACCAAGTTCAGGTAGGGTGTATCTAACGAAGTTAAATGTTGGATTGTTTTACGTATTGAGCAGTACATAGTATTGCAGGCACCTTTGCGCGGCTCCGATCTCAACCCGCTACCCGGTGGGTTAGGTGTGGCAGTGCTGTGGGAGGAAACCACCAAATCGTCTTGGCATTGCATTTGACGGCACAAGAACAACCAAGGCCGGGCAGGTAGAACAATGGCCGGGCAGCCAAACAGACATGGTAAAACGTATCAAACTAGCCAAAACAGTGTTTTCTGGGCTTTTTGGGCCATTTTACATAGTTCCATAGATTCGGGGATCTCGAATTACCCTATTCCAAGTGCCCGTAGTCACATGCGCGCACGCGATAGCCCTGTCCGCTATGGTATGTCAACCGGGTTCGCGATAGGTAGGCCGATGGCATTCGCGATACGGTATGTTGACTGGGTTCGTGGTGCCGTAGATTGATGGTATTCGCGATCGGGTACGTCGACGGCATTCGCAATACGGTATGTCGGTGGTATTCGCGATCGGGTATATGGTGGCATTCGCGATCGGGTACGTCGACGGCATTCGTAATACGGTATGTCGGTGGTATTCGCGATCGGGTATGTCGACTGGGTTCGTGGTGCCGTAGGTCGACGGCGTTCGCGATACGGTAAGTCGGGTGGTATTCGCGATCGGGTATATCGGTGGCATTCGCGATCGGGTACGTCGACGGCATTCGCGATACGGTAAGTCGGGTGGTATTCGCGATCGGGTATGTTGACTGGGTTCGTGGTGCCGTAGATTGATCGCATTGCGATACGGTATGTTGGTGGCAATTGCGATACAGTATATCAGCCGGGTTCGCGATGCAGTATATCAACGGCATTCACAATAGAGTATACTAGTATTAACCACCTACGGTAGGCTTGTAATATGATATATTAGTTCTATTCGCATGGCACTACTAACTTAGTTAACATACTATATCGCAATTGCCACCAACATACCGTATCGCGAATGTCGTCGACCTACGGCACCACGAACCCAGTCGACATACCCGATCGCGAATGCCATCGACCTACATATCGCGAACCCGGTTGACATACCGCATCGCGAACCCAGTCAGGGTAATACGCGCGTGTATAGGGTATATTAGATGCGCAAATGGCTAGAATACCGTAATTCGAGGTCGTAGAATCCATAGAAATGCAATAAACCTATCAAGCCCTTCAAAAATGCTCTGTTTTGGCCAGTTTGATGCGTTCTACCATATCTGTTTGGCTGCCCGGCCATTGTTTTACTTGCCCGGCCTTTGTCGTTCTTACCTGTGCTGTCAAATGCAATGCCAAGACGACTTGGTGGTTTTCCTCCCACAGTGGCTGGGTGGGCAATGTGGGTCCTACTGTTTGACGTCACGTTTGGAGCATCCGCGCATCCCATCGATAAGCAACATGTGCGACCGAGACCATGGCTGACATGGGCGAGACGGAACTCGCGAGCGCAAGTACCATTGTAGGTGCGGCACCTCCGGACACGGCAGCCCAACGTCAACCGGCATCGCAGCAGCAGCAGCAGCAGCAACAGCAACAACAGCAGCCTCCGCAGCAACCACGGCCGCCCGAAGCCAAAGACACGCCAGAGCCCATCTTCCCGCCGCTGCATAATAATGCTGCCACGGATGCCGACTCGATTGCGTCGGGCGCCTCGGCTCCCTCGCGTGCCGGCGGCGGGGGTGTAGGGGATGACAATGACGAGGACGAACCGGCTGTCGCGCGGCCCTTTCACCGCAGTTCGAGCCCTGATCCGGCGTCACGCCCCGGCCTGGGCAGAACCGTCGAGGACGATGAAGATGACGATGGGGGCTTGCGCACTGGCGTCGCCGACGGAACGGGAGGGCCACGGCCGCGTCTCAAGTTGAAGCAGCAAATGCACCGGTACAGCCTGTATGAGACAGCGAGTCGCTTCTACATTGTCGGCGGCGATGTAACCGAGAAGCGCTACCGCATCCTCAAAATCGACCGCACCAACGAGGACGCCTCGGAGCTGAGCATGACCGACGACAAGACCGTCTACACACAGAAGGACATGAATCAACTGCTCGACACCATCGACGACGGCAACAAGGGGACCGGCGGACTGAGGCTGCGCTGCACAACCTGGGGTCTGCTGGGGTTCATCAAGTTCACAGGTCCCTATTACATGCTGCTGATCACCAAGAAAAGTACCGTCGCTATGATCGGCGGCCACTACATCTACCAGATCGACGGCACCGACCTCATTCCCCTGACATCGCCCAGCTTCAAGATGGACCAGCGCAACACCGAGGAGTCGCGCTTCCTGGGGATCCTCAACAATCTGGACCTGACGCGTTCCTTCTACTACAGCTACTCCTACGACATCACGCGAACCCTGCAGCACAATATCACCCGGGAGAGGACGGCCCTTCTCAACGGCCTTCCGTGCTCCGCAGATGACGACCTCAACTCCATGTTCGTTTGGAACAACCACTTGCTTCAGCCAGCCGCCAAAGTCCTCAATGCGCCTTTTGACTGGTGCCGGCCGATTATCCACGGCTATATCGACCAGGCTGCTGTGTCTGTCTACGGGAGGACAGCCCACATCACGATCATTGCTCGGAGAAGCAGATTCTTTGCGGGCGCCAGGTTCCTGAAGCGAGGAGCCAACGACCTGGGGTACGTGGCCAACGATGTCGAGACGGAGCAGATCGTTTCAGAAGCCATGACGACCTCGTTCCATGCGCCGGGTCCCAAGTTCTTTGCGAACCCTACGTACACCTCATACGTGCAGCATCGCGGCTCCATACCGCTCTACTGGACGCAGGACAACACGGGTGTCACGCCAAAGCCGCCGATAGAGTTGAACCTGGTAGACCCTTTCTACACCGCAGCAGCCCTGCATTTCGACAATCTCTTTGAGCGCTACGGTGCTCCCATCTATGTGCTGAACCTGATCAAGGCTCGTGAGCGGACGCCGCGCGAGAGCAAGTTGCTGGAAGAGTACACGCGCGCGATCGCCTACCTCAATCAGTTTCTACCCGCCGATAAGAAGATCATCTACCGTGCCTGGGACATGTCGCGCGCTGCCAAAAGCCGCGACCAGGACGTGATTGGCACGCTCGAGGCCATCGCCGAGGAAGTGGTCAAGGCAACGGACTTTTTCCAGAACGGTGACGGTCATACAGATCCGATTCGGGTGCAGAACGGCGTGGCACGTACGAACTGCATCGACTGCCTGGACCGGACCAACGCAGCTCAGTTTGTCATTGGGAAGCGAGCGCTGGGCCACCAACTCCATGCCCTCGGCATCTTGGGCGACACTACGATTGAGTACGATACAGATGCTGTGAATCTGTTCACCCACATGTACCACGACCACGGCGACACCATCGCCGTGCAGTATGGCGGGTCGCAGCTGGTCAACACGATGGAGACATACCGGAAGATCAACCAGTGGACCAGCCATTCGCGAGACATGATAGAGAGTTTCAAGCGCTACTACAACAACTCGTTCCTGGATGGCCAGCGCCAGGAAGCCTACAACTTGTTCTTGGGGAACTACATATTCGCGCAGGGACAGCCTATGCTGTGGGATCTGGCCACGGACTACTACCTTCATCACGAGGACCCCCGGACATGGCTGGAGAAGCGGAAGCGTGACTACATCAACTGGTACACGCCACAGTTTCTAGAAAAGCGCCTGCTCCCGCCGTACCCCCAAATCAAGCAAGCCACAGCCCGAAAGCCCATCTCAGCCTATGACGACTACTGGCTGGAATACTACCGCCCTTCCACCCTCTCCTCCTTCCCCAAGATGTTCCCCTACAAGATGAATTCCACCATCAAGTACATTCCCCTCAAGGCGACCCAGGACGGCCGGTACGACCTCAGCCCGTTTCGGGTGCGCAACGAGGCCGACGGCGATGCCCACGAGCGGAAGAAGGCCAAGAAGGAAGTGACTATAGTGGCCCCCCACGACTTCTCTCGGGTTGCCGACGATACCGAGAAGCCTATGACTCCTACTACACCTACAGTCAACGGTAACGGTGGCCGCCTGTCACTCCACCGCTGGCTGCACGAGAAACATCACCCCCACAGTCCCTATGCACACCACCATCGCCACTCCAGCCTCGAAAAGGATTCCTCATCCCCATTCAGTCACGACCACAACCATAACAACAACAGCGCAGATGAAGTTGCCACAGCCTCCCCACGCCACAGCCCTGGTTATCACCGTAGCAGTAGCAACCCGCACCATCATCAAGCACAACAACATCCGCAATCCCGCACCGGCAACGGGAGCGGAACCCCGACCACGACACCCAGTGAAAGGCCGCACCACCACCAGACCGCCCTCGAAAAGTCGCGCGCCGCCCAGTGGACCTTCACCCAGGTGGTGCACGACAGCCTCAACCCGTCCGTGACACCCGCCGAGGCCGCCGACTACGCGCGCTACGTGGCACACCCGTACAACCTGCCGCTGGTCGTGTCATCGGAGCTCCTCCCCTCCGAGGCGGAGGAGATCGAACCGGAGTATGTCCAGTATGTGGCCGGGAGTTGGCGGGACGAGGGGTTGGGTAGCCTTCCCAACTACGACGGTACCAACAACAGGGCGAATGGTTGGGCCGGGACTGGAGGTGGTGCAGGTCAGGGGAACGAGGAGAGAGAGAACGGGGAGGAGGCGTTGTCGGGAGACATGGCGCTGTATTTCGAGACGGTGCAAGTGCCGGAGAACCCGCTGACGGTCACGGAGGACGACGCGCTCAAGAAGCGGTACAAGGCGTATCGCAAGTGGCTGAGGGGCAAGAGCTTGTTTAAGCAGCAGCCGGTGGACTAGGAGATGCCGCCGACGCTGTCTGCTGCTGCTGCTGTGCTGTTAGGGTCTGGGAGCCGCGCTGGTCGCCATGGTGGTGATGAACGGGCTTCGTGGGGTGGCGAGTCCATTATCACAATGCCGGAGCAAAGCCCAGTCAGACCTCAAGATACAACTGACAACGGAAATGGGGAGTTCAGTTGGAGGGAGAGAAGAGCCCACCCAGACGAGGCTCTTTCTCCACTAGGGGCGCGACGTGCACCGAGAGATCGATCGCCCCCTCGGCTGTCTTTAGCACGGTGGATAAGGCTTTAACCGACGCTACCAGCTCCTGCTCTATCAGGCTATACGCCGCCTTTCCCTTTTTCTGCAAACACGCCGGTTGCTCCTTATCTTCTGCGGCTGAGTGTTCGTGTTCTAGCAGGTGCAACCAACAGAGCGCGAGGGCGTTGATGATTTCATCTTGCCAAGGCGACGCCGGGATCCGGGGCCAGCAGTTTGCGAGGACCGCCTGAAGCGCTTTGATCGCCGCGAGAAGCGTTTCCGGGACCACCGGCGCAAATGGGTCGGTTATGATGGACGAGAGGATTGGCACTAGATCCTGCCAACCGCCCTAGCATCAGCTTGAGATGGTATTGGAAGGGAGGCGCAAAATTGGAAGTGGTCGCTCACCTTGAGATGCTTCACGGCATGGACGCCCATCTCCTTCAATATCTCCGCCATCTGCTGGCAGAGAAGCTCCACAATGCGGACGTGGTCCTTGGCGTGGAAATACCCCGTGAACACACCCTCTCGGAGCATTTTGTCCAAGAGGCTGTTCTTCGGTTCTCTGCGCACGCCGTCCTTGCCGACGAGGGGCTGCTTGTTTGCCAGGCCGAGCAGCGCGCGGTAGGCTGGGCCGAGGAGCTGCACGGACTCGTCCTCGGGTGTTAGGCTGGGGAGGAAGGCTAGGGTGGGGAAGATGGCGTCCTCAAAGACCTTGGCCAGGCCCGTATCATGGAGCGTCTTGTCCGGGAACTTGGATAGGAAGTCGGACAGGATGAGGAGGCCCTGGCTGCGCACTGGCGTGGCGGAATCGTCGACCAGGGTCAGCAGGACCGGGATGAATAACGGCCAGTGTGTGGCGATGAGTGGGTTCTTTGACGATGGCGCGGATGGCGTTTGGGTTAGTTTCATGTTGCTTAGTACACGAGAGATAACCCCCAGTCTGTGATGCATTGGAAATTGAGCCCTGAAAGAAACTTACGTCTGCTTCCCGCACTGCCCATGCCAATGCCGGAATGGCCCGGTGGTCGGTGTATTTCCACGGTTTCGTCAAGGCCGTGTCGTCTGGGATGCTCTCGGCCCGGGTGGCTGCGCTGTCAGTGTACTCAGTCTTTCGGCCGGATGCCGTGATGGACGCTGGCTTAGACCTGGAGAAGAGAGGGCGTAGATAGCGTTGGAGGACGGTCTCGGTGATGAACTGTTCCTTGGTCGGACCGGCGGCATTGAAGTGCTGCTCGAGAAGGCTGTCTGCCCTCGTTCTGGCGTCGGGGCTTACCCATTGGTGTTTCTCGTCCGCGTAGAAGAGGAGGGTGAGGAGCACTTCGTCGCCCAGCGGAACCGAGTAGTTCCAAGTAAGGAGCGCTTCAAGGGCGGAGATGCCGAGGGTATAGGTGGACATGCAGTGCTGGGAAAGCTTGTCACGAGGTTTCGGGGCCTGGTTGAATACTGCTGTCACAATGAGCCTTCGTGGCGGAGGAGAGCCAGCGTGGATTCAGACATACCAGCGGCCATATCGTTATCTCGGCTCGCACTTCCATCTTGAGACACGGCGGGAGCGATGACTTGGGCAACGTTATTGGCGAGTTCTTGAACCGCTCCAAGGTCCTCCTCGTCTGTAGATGCCCCACGGATCCCGCCTTCACGCTTCAGGCAGACGAAGACAGATAGCAGCGCGGCCCTCACCATCTCTAGATCCTATGGACGGTCAGGCTACCGCGGCACAGGATAGATATAAGTGGGAGTGATGATGCGCGAACCCTTCCAGTTGCCGGTTTCGCCGCAGCAGCTTTGCCCAGGGGCTCCCTCGCTGCGTCCGCGAGATCTCTGAGTGTGAGCGATTCTGGCACATCTATCCATGTGACGCATGTCAGCAGCTGAGATGTAGATATACGGGTTGCATCCTACGCCAACATACACCGGGCTAGTTGCTTGCTTGCCGCCTCCCCCGGCAGGCTGAATCTGTCCAAGTCGCTAAGCACAGAGGCAGCGTCACGCACGATGGACTCGAACCAGGCCATTTCGATGTTGCAAGCGGACGCGCACTTGGGGCCGTCAGATACGAGGCTTGAGCGAGGGGTAAGTCCACAAACCTGGCGCCTTGGAGATGCGCGTGTGCTGGTGAGAATCATACCCTGCTTGGATTGTCGGATGTGTTGGTCCATGGATACAGTGCGACCAGAAAGCGCTGGAAATGGGTCAGGCAGGTCCTGTATTACACTGTACTTTCAGCGGGCTAGGCGCTAATCAAGGCAGCACAAGGGCAGGTACCTGTACTGTCAGGGTCTAGGGGTGGTGGAACTCGAATGCCCCTCTCCACTAAATCCAATTCTTTCAAATCGCGACGCTTTAAATAAAGCCACTACTACCTTATCGCAAACAGATTTCGATGGCAGCATCTGAGTGTCTTGTTCCGTCCAAAGCCCACTTAACGACCATTCCGCACTCAAGGGATCCCCAATTCCTGTTTCCTCCTGCGCACTTCGTCAATGGCGCCCGCCGGATCCTGCGCCCCTGGATTCCTAAACTGCCACGCCAGCGCTACGTTGAGTGCGGCACCCATCCAAACGCCGGGCTGCACACCCAGCTCCTTGGCCAGGATCTTGCCGTCCACCAAGCGCTTGAGCGACGGGGCGTTCATGACGTCCAGCTCGACAAGGTGGTCCAGGAACTGCTGCCACTCCGCCAACACTTGCTCCAGGGTGCCGCCTCCTCCTCCTCCTCCTCCTCCTCCTCCCTTGCTGCCTACTTCTCCTCGGATCTCCACATCAACGAGAATGGCATACAGCACCTGCAGCCGCCAGTTCCCGCCGCGGGAGTCCCACTCCCTGATCGTCATCCCAAAGCGGTCCCGTTCGTTCATTGATGGGCTCCTCTCGCGCACCACATCCCGGAGCTCGAGGATCGCGGCCCGGTGGCGGTGGGCGGCGGTGATGATGTCGCACAGCTTGTTGGGAGCCTTGAAGCCCCCTCTGGCCGCCTGCATAGGCAGCGGCAAGGCGGGCTTTCCTGGCGCCAGTGGCGGGTCGTCTGGCAGCTGCTCCCATGGGGTGAGGGTTGCTAACGACCAAGCGTAGTACCGCGCTTCTTCATTCGTGACGAGTAAGTCGTAGATGGATCCTGGAGTTTTGGTCGTCTCCAGCTGCTCCAGGGTCTCGTAAGCCGCCCGCCAGGTTGTCGTGTCTGGCCGGGGCATATCCTCGCGCTCCGGGTTCGTAAACACGGCGTGATAGAGTCCAAGCCTGTCGATAAGCCGTAGCGACTCGACCGGCCGTTTGCCTGCAAAGATGTCAATCTCCCCTACTTGACCGCCCAAAGATCCAGTGAATAAAATTCGAAACCCGAGAGAGCGCACGCACCTTTCAGCATCTTCTCCAGCTCCACCCCAATCCTCTCCCTGCTGATCTTGACCCTCAAGTTGCCCAGCACCCTCTCATCCGCCATGACCCTTTCGGCCTCCTCATCAATCTTGAACCCTAACCGACTCGCAAACCGCACCAGCCGCAGCACCCTCAACGGGTCGTCGAGAAACGTCTGCAGCGGCTCCATCGGCGTCCGAATCAGCCCCCTTTCCAAGTCGTCCAACCCGCCCACGAAGTCCTCCACCTCGCCCGTGTGCAGGTTATAGAACAGGGCATTGACACTCGCGTCCCGCCTGAGGGCATCCTCCTCGGCCGTGCCAAACTCCACGACGGGGTTCCTGCTATCCGCCGTGTAGGTCTCCTTCCTGAGATTCACAAAGTCCACGTCCAGGCCGCACAGCCGGATGGTGCTGGTGGCCAGGTGCTTGGACTTGTCCGGGTTGCGGGGCACCGTGTGCAGGCGGCCGATGTCCTCGGGCTGCAGGGCGTGGCGCTCGCGGTGGGCGGCTACGTCGCAGTAGTCGCGCAGGCGGTCGACAAAGGCCTCGCCCGTCATGGCGTTGATGGCCGTGTCGATGTCGTGCGACGTGATGCCCAGCAGCTTGTCGCGCACCCAGCCGCCCGCCCAGCGCAGAACGAGGCGGTCACGCGGCTGATGAGTTGCTGCTGCTGCTGCTGTTGTTGCATCGGTGCTACCATCAAAGTCATGGTCGTCGATGGATTTGGCCGCTTCGAGGAGGAGCGTCTTGAGCTGCTCCTCGCGGGCGTTGAGGGTGATGGTGGGCAAGGTACGTGCCCGCATACCCACCTGCCCAGACGTCCATGCGAGTACTTCGTGTTGTAGACGCTCCTTGGAGGCCATTGCGGTTCTCTTGGATGGTGAAGCAGTTGCTGAGGGTGGAGACGAAGTTTGATGGAGCTTGCGCTTCATGAGCATAAAAAAGTTCAGACTCCGTGGTGACTTGAGCGAGACGGGACGGATAAGCATGTGCACCGTCCTATAAGCTGCTCAGGCTCTCCCATGTAGACTGCAGAGTTGGAGTGACTCCTGCTTTGCCGGATGACTCTGATCTGAACTTTTGAAGTGCCAGGATTCCAGGAATCTTCACGGTGGCAGCAACAGACGAAGAAGAGCAGCTCACATGAAGCTGCAGATTCTGTTCCAAATGATATCCAGCTGAAAGGCAAAGTAGCCAATTTGGAAGCCAAAGCTGTAGTGATTGAGGCGGATCATTGAGTTGGGAAAGATCACAAGTTCAAGCTTGAAGACGACGCACAGTGGATGTACATACACATGACACTGTGTTTCACACCGTAAGAATCAGGTACCTTGAACGGATATGCGGGCACGCCCTATCCTGAATTACGGTTACACATCCAGGCCAAACCGTATCGTAAAGGAGCTTACAGAAGAGGATTGGGCCGACCTGCAACAGGAATCATCAACGTTTGCGGGGATAAAATTACCCACTTCTATACACAATACATAGAAATGGAAGGGGCGATGAGTGCTTGGGTATTAGATAGTTTAATTGAACGTGTTTTTATCGTTGTGATGCATCATGTCGTGGTGGCTTCTTTTTCGGATCTGGAACTGTAATTTTGGACAGGGCGTGGCGGGGTATGTTCGTATCGTAGTACAAGTACATACCACAGTACGGATAGTATCCAATGATCCAATCGAGAACTGAATGAAACCCTCCGCTAATGCGAGGCCGTCGTGCGTAGGAACGCTCCGTCACACTCTATTTTGTTCTATCGCACCCCATAGTAGCTACCACAGTAGAAAACCGCCCTAGCAAACTCCGACACATGCAGAACATCAAAACCACACCTCCCCTTTGTCCACGCAGCTCCCAACGACACGCTCTCTCATGCTGGTATCACCCCCGTCTCAACCAAGAACCGTGTCATACCACTTCTTGCGCCTTCGCCTGCTCCTCCTCTGCGGCCGGCGACAGACCGGCAGATTTGGGCGGCTCCTCGGCCTTCACAGGTTCAGGTTCAGGTTCAGGTTCAGGTTCGTCCAAAGCCAGATCAGCCCTCAAGTTCGGCAGGAACCGATCGATCCTCTTCCACGTCTCGTTCCACAGCTCTTCCCTTGCCGGGTTCTGGCTCGGCGGTACGAGGTACCCGTTGGTCGACATGATCAGGAGCACATTCTTCAGGTTCTCAGGCACAGCCTCCTCCTGCGCAAGACCTTGTCAGTCACACACGCTCTCTCGTCTCTCCCCTCCCCAAGTATCGGCTGCTTACCAGGCTATCTCCCTGTCCGCTATTCATCAACCGGTCCATGATCTCGATGATTTTTAGCCACAGGTCCAGCATGCCGTCCCACTCGGAGAGCATGACCAGGTACTGCAGGAACACCTTGGATAGCAGCGACGCCGCCTGTACGCGGGTCTCGCTCATGCCGTCGCGGTCCGAGGAGAACACCTCGGGCTTGAGCAGCCGCAGGATCAGCGGGAAGAGCACCTCGCTGAAGATGGCTGTCCACTCGCGGTGCTCTTCGTCGCCCGAAGTCAGTTCGGGCGAGAGGAGGGATCGTTGCAGCGAGCTGAAGGCCAGGTGGCGGATTTCGCGACACGGGTTGGTGCACTGTGTGGTGAGCGCCTGGAAGACCGGAAGCCAGTAGGCAGACCACGCTAGAGCATGGCAATAGGTTAGCAAAGCTAGTGATGGTCCGGCACATCATGGGGCACCAGGCGCTCACCTTCGCTGCTCTCCAGATGCGACTGCTTCATCAGGTGCGGGATGCGTGCTGTCATGCGATAAATGTTGTTGAGGGCCTTGACGCCGCGTTCAACAACAGCATTCTCGCTATTCCTAGTCAGCAAAGCATCACCCCCCAGAAAGGAAAACACCTCATTCAAGCTGAGGACCTACCTAGGCTTCTCCTGCTTGACAGGCCTTCCGCCCTTTCTCCCTTGCTTCCGATCATTCTTCTGCTCTGCCGCCGCACCCACACTCGCCATGGAAGCGAACTCGTTCAGCAGCGCCAGGGCGGCCTCGTAGTTGTCCGCCATGATGGCCGACGGAGTGCCCGAGACGCCGCTTTCTAGGATCTCAAACACAGCCGGGGCCGAGTCGGGGTGTGCAGCCAGAGTCTGCAGGATGACCCAGAAATCAGGCGACGTCATGATCTCGTTCCGGAGCGGGCACGGTTTTTCCGTGCAGATCTTGAGACCGCGTAGTATGAGGCCGGAAGCTTTGGGCAGGGTATCGCTGGGGAAGCTCGATACGGTGTGCAGCAGGACGGGGACACGGACGTAGTCGAAGTCCTGGGCGTTGCCGATCAGCAGCGACTCGCATTATAGAAGGGAAGCATCACTTACATAGCTGGCCTGGAGCAAGTTGAACAGGTAAAAGGTCGCCCGTTCGATGAGAATCGGGTGGTATCGGGACACGTCTCTCAAAATGGCCTGGACAGCTTCTACCACGCGCTTGCCCAGCAACTCTATCGTGCTCTCATCGCGGAGCGCCAGTACCGTGCAGAACTCGAGAATGTAGACTAGAGCAGGATCGTACACAGCGCTGCTATGCCACGACTTCTGCCCGTTGGCTTGGGATTGGGATGGGGGAATGTTTTCCGTCTTCACGGTGATCACGGTTGACCCAACATCCTCCGGGATCTGTTCCAGCAGAGTGTCGACTAAGGCCTCGAGGCTGTTGCTGGGGAGGAGGCTGGCACTTGTTAGGCAGGAGTTACAACCCGACGATCGCTGGTACTTACGCAATGTTGGCAAACACATCACCCATGTGGCATTGGTTCACGCAGTCCACGGTACACAGCGTACTCTCCAGCTCCTCATCCGACGGCTCAGGAGGGTCGTCGGCGGCATAGCTCGAAATGTACGACGTGAACGCCGCAAAGAGACCAGATTCGTTCTGTTTGGCGCCTCGGTCAATCACTTGCGACGGCGGCTGCAAGGGGATCGGCGGCAACGCGAGCTTGTCGGCCTCGGTAGAGAAGAAGGGGGGGATAAGCGAGTTGACGAAGAGGTTGAGCCATATCCGGATGATCTGTCGCACATTAGCACGTCTACGCCGTTCCGCGATGGCCAACCTAAACTCACATGCTTCCAGCTCTGCTTGATGACATGCTCCGAGCCGGTAATGACACGGAACAGCACCAGCGTAGCCAGCTGCGGCCGGACATCTCGCCCAAAGCGGACCGAGAGCTCGCTCACCATGACACTATTGTCCCCAACCTGCACCTCGGTGTTGAGCGACGTGTTCGAGAGTGCCTCGCTGCCCAGCGTCGAGATGTAGCTCAGCCGGTAGATGATCTCGTCCAGCGCCTCCGCGTTGCCGTATTTCGTCGCGATGCGGGCGCATTCGTCGAAACCAGTGATGACACGGGCATACACAGTATCATCGGTGGCCGACATGAAGACGAAGAAGAGACACGAGACGATGGGGTTCCATGTGGTGGCGAACATGTCGGCGTCGTAGATGCTGGTGTCGCACATCACGAGCCGGCCTGCCGCCTCTGTCTTGAGCAAGAGCTCCTTCCAAGCATAGTCAAAGGCGTGCTTGTTGTCATGCTCATCCGGAAGAATGATCTCGTTGGTCTTGATGGCGTCAAAGATATCCTGCAGGTACTCAGTGGGGAAATCTTCGCCACCGTTCTGTCCGCGGAGGTTGCGGGAAAAGTCGTCGAACTTCATGCGTGCCTGTGGCTTGACCTGTGGATTGTGCTGGTCGGTATTCAGCAAGATGATCGCGTACGTGAGGATGAAGACGGCGTCCTTGTTCGTTATCCCTTCGGGGACTGAACTAGAGCAGTACTTATCGGCGAACGAGTTGACGATACGCTCAATCAATGCAGACTCGCCGGGCAGACGGAAGGTTTCGAGAAGGGCTCGAAGCGCCTCGTCTACCCGCTTGCCCGTAAAGTCAAACTGGTTGATAAACGCATCCAGGATCGCCTCGTTGCCCTTCTTGGACAGGAACTCGCCGAGGATCTTCTTGTTTATCCTCGAAGTGCCTTTCAAGAACTTGGCAACGCACAACGGATCCGCGGCATCTTCGATCACGCCTTTTTCTTGTAGGTAGGCCAGCCCCCCTTTGGGTTTCTCATTGAACATGTTTGTTCCTTTGATGATGAGCCTTTTCCTGCGCCGCCTCTCCCTCAGCAGCTCCGGGTCAGGATACCCGTCAGTTTCCGGAGTCTGGTCTAGCCTCTCGGCAGTGAACTGTATAAACCGGAGCAATGCATCGAGACAGAGCGGGGGGACACTCGTCGTACTCCAGGTCGCAGAGTCCGGGAGCGCGTTCCTCGAGAGCAGCCCAATCAAGTCTTCGCAGAGATCCGCGCGGTCTTCGTCGCAGTCGTAGTTGACGAATAGCTCAACCATGAACGTCGGCATCCGGGCGAGGACGCCGATATTCTCCACCATGGCCTGCCGCGCATCCGGCTTGCGAGCACCACCCTCCAGCCCCAGCTTCTGGCGGTCCTTAACGGGCACAGGCGTGGAGCGGCCACTGCTGGCTTGTGATGCTGGCGGCTTCACCAGCTTGGGCGACTGTGGGATGCCAGAGTAGAGGCTTGGGTCGATGCCCGGTTCCCTGGGGATTTCGACCGCTGGGTGTAGGCAGGCCACAAGATACGAGAGGTACAGCTCCTGTTGCAACTTGAGCACACCCCTGCAGGTCGAGAGCAGGGTGGCGGCCACGATCAGGGCCTCCTGGAGGACGGCCATGTTGTCGGACCGCACGAGCTGGAAGAGGTAGCAGCAGAGCTGGTCTTCCGCAATCGTCGCCAGCGCGGGATGCCGGGCGATTGATGGGCCTGCTACTTCAAGCGCCACGTGAATGATGCGCAGAGCCATGACTCTCATCTGGTCGGGATGTCTGCGGTCGTGAGGATCAAGGAAGCTGACCAGCACCCGGAACAACTCCCGGATGGACGGTAGGGAATATGGCCGCAGGTCAACCGATGCGGCGCTTTCAGTAACCGAGCTTGTGCTCGGCCGGCCAACGTCCGCGCTTGGACTCCTAGGCGTTTCTGAACTACTGCTGGGCTTCTCCGAGCTTGACGACGGCCTCGCTTCCTCGGCGGCGGGCTCGGCCGCCTGACTCGACTCACTGACCTCAGCCACTTCAGCCGCAACCGCCGGAACATCGGTCCCGTTAGTAGCAGGATCCATGTTGACAGTGTCCATGTCCCCGCTCGTCTGTCGGTCCAGCGCCTCGCTCTCCTCACCGGCCTCCTCTTCGAGGTGCTTCAGATCTTCGAATATGATCTGCACCATACGCACCATCGAAGCCTCGGCGGTCCGGCGCAACACCTCCGAAAACCTCGGCCGCGAGCAAATGGTCAGGCCGCGCCCCATCATGTCACAGACGCTCTCGTCGCTTAGTATATCACCGCCCGGTCCCGACAACATATCCTCCATCAGATGCAGGATCATTAGCAGGACCACCTCCTCTTGCGCCGGATCGCTAATGTCGAACTGGCAGTGGGTGATGGCTGCAGACAATGACTGCATGGCGAGCGCAAAGCGGGGGGACATGGGCGCGACAAAACCGTAAGCGAGGAATTTCTGGATGGCCCTCAGCGCAAGGATCGTAACAGGAGCGGCGGTACCCTTCGCTTGGATGATCTGTAGGAAGGGGTAGAGTAGCACCAGGGAGTCGAATCTGTGTATATCTACCGGTTTTAGTCAGCAAAAGCCTCTGCTTGCCCATACCCTCTCTGCCCCATGGCCAAGTACCTTTGACGCCGGCCAGCTCTTGTCGCAACCTCCCAAATCCGGAGATCAGCGGGTTATCCTGCATGCTTTTGCCCTTCTTCCCCCGCAACCCCCACCTGTTCGCCGCGAGGTCGCCGGCACCATCTGTGTGCGCACCGGAAGCTGACCTGCGGTGCCGCGTGCCGGGGCCGGGAGGAACGAGTTGGATGAGGTTGGGGCTGCCGCCGAGAATGGCCGAGACGGACGAGTGCGGGGACCGGGCATGTTTCTGGATGGCCGAAGTAATGGCTATGCACTCGGATATGACGAGGGAGACTGGATCGACAGCCACCGACACCGGGCGGCTCCGGTATTGCATGCGCGAGGAGAGCAGCGGGTTCCGTCGAGCCGAAGGAGTCCCGAGTGCTGGCGAGACGGGAGCTTCTCTGGGCGCGACGAGCTGGGCAAGTCCGCTCATCCTGCGGCAAATACGACGCTCGCAAGTTCAGGCGCAGGTTAGAAGCCCGGAAATCCGGTGGTTGCGTTGTTGACCGGAGTCACAGCCCAGGGACGAGGCGAGCGTCGAGCAGACGGGACAAACTGTCCTTGTGACCGGGGCGCAGGGCGATAGGTAGTGATTTGAAGGTGTCAAGGCTCGGTTCCTGAGCGCAGAACACCAGTTTGACCCCAAAGCACCGTCTTTAGTAGCTCTCAGGAGACTTTCATACACTTCTCGAAGCCGTGTCGTCGGGGATTGGCGCGACCAGTTGGTGTTATAGAGAAGTGTTGGAACAACCATGAACCATCAAATGCTAGGTATCCTGCCATGATGAGAGAGCTGCCCATCCTTGCTCAAGCCGGCGGACACTTTGCTAGCCTTCTAGCCAATCACATGCCGTTGATATCCCCGCTCTCATCAGGGGTCGGCTAAGCGGCGACTACCGGCCCCGCCATTCACAGCTGCCCCTGGCAGTCCCAGACAACCGGCAAGGGGAAGGGCGTCCAAGAAGACTCGGGAGACCACGATGAGTGCCGTAGGAAAATTCAGACATTGTTGTCGTTTCGACCTGTCTCTATTCCTTGAAACCGTCCATTTCCTTAACCAAACCGACCAACGCCTCAGCCATGACAAGTAGTCTACATGATATTATTGTTGTGCCCCTTTTGTCTTCCCTTCCGGTTGAACATCTGAACATCTAAAGTGCCGTCGCCGTGGCAATCGATGTCGCGCCTTGTAACCGCTCCTTTCTCGATGTGCTTGCCTGTTGAAATAAGGCTGGATGCAAATGAAATAACCACCAGATGAAAGAACACGCTAACCACCAAGGCCAGCATCATGTTTTCCCATCCTCCACGCCATCCTTTCCTGCGTTCACTTTATCTCCTGTCTTGTCTTCCGTCTTGCCTTGTGCCTTGCCCGCAGCAACCTTGGCGTCAGTCTTATCCTCGGTACCTGCGGCGGGTGCTCCAGCACCAGTCTCTTTCTTCTCTTCGAGGGCAATGTTTGCCAGATCTGACTTGTCTTTCTCCCACTGCCCGGTGGCATCGCCGAAGGACTCCTTTAGCTTCATGGCCTTCTCGGCCTTTTCCTTCTCTGCTTCCTCGGCAGCAAGCTTCTCCCGCTCCATTTGCTGCGGCGCATCAGCATCGACCACCCCAAGTAGCAGTAAAGATAACACTCACCTCCATGTGCTTGATGTCGTCGACGCTAGGCTCGTATGTGTGCCAAATCGTGTAGTGAGGCAACCCAACAACAGAGAAGTCCATCCTCCTTGCCATCTGCAGCAAGATTAGCAAAGGTCTCGGCTCGTCTGATAGCAACCTCCAAGCCAACCTTTCCGAAGCCCTCTGTCTCGGCATGCTTTTCGAAGCTAAATGCCGGGAAGTGCACACCGTAGCGGAAAACCTTGGCCTTGGCCAAGATGCTTACGCCGCCAACGCCATCAAGCTCCATCTCCATGTCGGGGTCGCCAAACGGGTCGCGAAGATATGCCAGATGCGGCCGCCATGTCGCGTACTCGGCATAGCCCTCGACGATAACAGCGTCCTCGTCAAGCGTGTCGGCAAGTGCCAGCGCGGTCTCCGACTCCTGCCATGAATTGAGATCATACGGCTGCTCTCCTCCAAGCCATTCAGGGAGCGGACGCCAGACATCTGCACATTCAGTCAGCATACCAGATGTAAGCTTGCGATTTCCGGCGCAACCGGCAACTCACTGGGCACGATAACATCCTTGTTATGCCGCATCAGATCCTCCAAAATCGTGAAGGGTGCTGTCTCGACATCCACATCCCGCCAGTACACCCACGAGTGGTACGGCCGGAGCGCCGCGCTCAACAGCCAATTCCTCGCCCTTGCCATGAGCTTTCTCCTGCCCGCCTGTGCCGCAAACCCATGGCGGCTCTCGACGTCCTGGTTGACTACCTGGCCAAAGTCCTTCTCGATAATCGATATCTCCCCGAAAGGCATCTTCTCGTCCTCGCTCGCCTGGATCGCCTCCATGTTCTGGACCAATACCTCCAATGTCCTGTCCTTCGAATCCGACACCAAAAATGCCACGTCGATCAAGTGATGCGGGTACGTGAAGTTCTGCAGGTGCGAAAAGAACATGGGCAGATGTGGCTCCGCGTCGCGTAATGGTACGCACAGCAGAATACGCTCCTCGCGCTCCCAGCCCCGTGCCGTGCCCTGGACATTGGACAGGTCGTAGTACCGCGTCGTCTCGAGCTGGAAATCCTGGTCGTGCGCGAGCAGGCCGAGCGAGAAGATGGAGAGGGCGGAGCTGCCACGCCAGGAGAGGAGGATCAGGAAGAAGAGGACGGCAGCGACAATGGCGAGTCGCACGAAGGATTGAGTTCGTCTGCTACGATATGCTGATGCCGTGCCGCGCGGCTGGAATCTGGCCATCAGAGATTACTTTGTTAGCGGCAATGCTTAGAAGCATGTTGAATGAAGCCGATTGGGAACACAAGATGGCAGGTTGACAGGGTGACAGAGGGACGGGACGACTGCGAACCTGTGAGGAGAGATGTCGAACGTGCTGCCCCGCGGATATCCATTCGAATAGCCGCCCACATGGTGGCGGGGGGTCACCTTGGACCCCGAAGATGCGAACGGCAGCATTGATCGTGTCCCGATGCGGGTTCACTGCAGCGCCCGACAGGAAGCTTCTCCCTCGGCTGGTGCATGCGTTGCGGCAGCCGGCGTACGCACTTCGTAGCTCGACGGCCTGCGGGTGGTTCGGGATGGGACTTTTCGCAATTGGGCCGATCTTGAGAGATCACTGATCAGCACATGGTTAGTGGTCGTCGGGGGAGGTTGGCAATCGCAAGATCGGTTGTACGAAGTGTGGGCAAATGTGTCCGTAACAGCACGCCCCCCTAACAGTGGACTTCCCGTGGCGTTTCGTTTCTGGAAATCATCCCTGGTCAGGCTTGGCGCCGTGACGAACTCCCGGTTCAGATGAGATTCTCGCTAAATTGAGTGGACCAGGGCCTGACTGCCGAAGTACTGTCGGCACGCGTCACTTGTGCGCTAGGATCCAGGGCAATTCCGCGCAAAAAGTTGAGGGAGACACTTCCAATCAAAGTAATCCGTACTCCGTCCAATATGTCAATCTTGACACATATCCAGGAGATTTCTTTAGCTTCAGCATAGCTTGTGAACTGCAATCTGGTAAACAGTCCCATATTAGGATTGAACTCTTGCTATCTACTACAGAGGATCGTTCTTGTACTATAGAACCGCCTCTTATTCCCCATGGTATGGCCGACATTACGAGGCCATGGCACGGGTGTAGTGGCATGCCTTCCTTACCTGTGGATAGCCCGAGGATCAGTAATAGTCTTCGGGACAATTCTTCAATCTGGGGACGCGTTAGTGATCTTCCCCTGAAACTCGTAACCGCGTGAAGCCAGTATGATCATGAATCGAAGTTCAGACAAGCCAGTTTAACTCAGCCATACAAACCGGCCCGAGCCGACACGCACCATAACGGTGAATGCCAAGCCCGGACAACGGAAGCCAAATCACATCTCCGAAGAGACAACACCACAACTCGTCATCGCGCCCAAAGACGCTAAAGTGCGGATGAATGGCTCGGCCAGTACATATCGTTGAATGGATAGACTATTGTCATCATGGTGGAAGAAGCTGGTAGCCAAGAGATAGCGGTACATACCATCGTATCTGGGGGAGCAAGCCAAAGACTGCTGGACAAGGCGCACGCCACATATCTAGAACGGGTCAGCTGGGTTCAACGAGGCGATGGCCGAGTGAAGTTGACACGTAAGAGGACACATCAGAGATTTGTTTTTGGTATAGGGTTATCTTCATTCTTCTTCAGAAGCAGAACTGAAATAAAAAGATCTCATCATGATAGAAAGCGAGGTCTGGAAAGGAGGCGAGCGTTCTTACCTTGTATGCGGTGCTTGAAGATTGACGGTACAAGGTGGTCGAATACACTACTACTGCGAGGTCAGTTGAAAGCTGGTAACCCGACAGATAATATGAAGGCGACAATGATAGAAGCTGAGTCAGATGGTAGTGCATGTAGTTCGTTCGCTCATGGAAATCGCGTGAACTGTGGAAGTGAAATCATCATGAAAGGAATTGGGGAAGAAGATTGTTGACAGGTCGGGGCTTGACTTACTCTACCCACAGGGCATGATGATCCACGGAATCAGCTAAAGGGCAATTAGTGAGAGCGAGGACAGTAAGCACATCGCTGAGCATCAAAGCCCAAGCTGTTGTTGACCAGTTCGACAAGGTCGGTGAGCACACTGCGGACGGTAAGCTACCAGCAATGGAAACGCTGCGAGATGAGTCTTCGATCAGTTGGTTTGTAAAGCTAGTAGGAACCGCGATCGATCCGTATGGGCGTAAGAGGCAGCACTGCCAAACATCGTGCTACGCCAACCTGGCGATGGTTTTATAGAAAAGTAAAGAGAGACTGCACATCGGTTCCAAATTTTCAGTTTAAACTCTGCCAGGTCGGTGGGGCAGCATGTGGGTCCAAGCCCGTGAAGGCTAGCACTGCGGCAGTGTGTGGCTTGTCTCTTGCACAAATTGTGGCTTGCCCATTTTGAGGACCGCGATTCATCAAGCAAAGACCTTTCTGTCTGTCAAGCACTGCGATGACGGGCTAGCCAGCAGACTCTTCCATTACTCTCAATATCATCCTAAACACCACCCATCGTTCTTCCTTTTGTGTTTCGAGGAGTTTTACATCACAACTCTTCCTCGAACAGACACCGAGCGTCTGCAAAGTTGGAGTCTCAGTGACCGACCCTAGCCATGACTGACAGGAGACGGATCAACGGGCCTGCGGCGGCCACCATACCTCCCTTTTTTGAGGATGCAGGTCTTCAGGAACTCAAGTCCGCAAAGGTCCGATCACGGCCCCCAAATGTGATCCGAAAAATGTGTATGTGTCTTAGCACCCAGCAAATAGGGCTTTGCTGACCTTGCGAAGACCTCAAGACGGGTGTAACCCCATCCGCCTCTGGATCGGCCTATTTAGAGATTGAGACCTCAGCGAAACCCGGTGTGTCCGGGCTGAAACTGAGCTGCTCTGTTCACGGGCCACGATCGCTCCCAAGATCAAGTCCCTTCTCCCCTCACATTGTCCTCTCCACGCACGTCAAGTATGCCCCATTCGCAACGAAACAGAGACGCGGCTATCTCCGCGATCCCAGCGAGCGGGATCTCAGCATTCACCTTGAGGCTGCGCTCCGTGGTGCCATCATCGCTGACCGATGGCCCAAGAGCGGGGTTGACATCATCATCTCGATCATCGAGGGTGACCAAGACCGGGAAACGTCGAAGAGTCAGGGTGAGGAGGTGTGGGACATGATGAATGCATTGAGCGGTTGTATCACCGTAGCCTCTGCTGCGCTTGCCGACGCGGGTATTGACTGTGTTGACACAGTCGCAGGCGGTGTCGCTGCTCTGGTTCAAGATGCAGAGGATGCCTCTACGCCTAGCATCGTCGTTGATCCAATCCCCTCTGAGCATGAGAAGGTGTTGGCAGCTTGCTGCATTGCCTACCTGCCTACTCGAGACGAGGTGACAAACCTCTGGTTCAGGGGTGATCTGCCCGCCTCTGATATGGAGCTCTACACGAGCCTCGTCGAGAAAGGGGTGCAAGCGTCGAAATACGCAAACCGCGTCCTTGTCGAGTGTCTCAGCGAAACCGTTGGATGAGCTAGGCGCTAGTAGCAAACTACGATAATGGCGCCCGATCGCATACCGACTGAGTTTCTCCCATGAATCGCCGGTAAGGTTGCCAGCAAAAGAGAACACTCATACTAAGTTAATGCTCACTTATATGTGACAGGCTCGTGCCCTATGTACCTTATATTGGCATCACGTCATCTCCGTCATCCCCTTCCCGGCAATCGATAGTTGGATAAGACAGCCATAGCAGCTTATCCCGCGCTGCCATCACCCCGCAGCCATTGTCCGAGGTCGATTTTGGTGTGCCGACAAGCTGTGACTGTAAGTGCCTCAATACGAGGCTGTTGCAAACAGCTCTTCTCCCCACCGTATTCCAAGCAACCAACTCGCTTGACTATGTCGCAAAGAGGCCTGCCCAGCCGTGGCCCGTGGGGAAATCCGATTGCGGGGCGGGTTAACGTTACGTGTCTGTGGTTATCTGTGGCTATCTTGAACAATTCGGAGTCTTGATTATCCAGGGACTCGAAACGGGCGCTGAACCCGGTTCGGTGATTTTCCCGCCGATTGCGTGGCAAGAATACGAAGAAGGATTGGCAGATGGCAGCACTGTGTCAAAATGCATCTGAAACTGTCCTACTCTACATAGAAGAGATGAAAAGCAAGCAGATCCAGTACTGTGTGCCCCCCACACGGTCTTGTTTGCGGTCTCGCCAACAGTCTGCAATGAGACGATCCGGCGGGATCCACAGTGCGTGATGTCGCCACAAGCCTTGATAATGAAAAGACGCTAAAAGCCTGGGCAGCTGCATGATTCCAGTGGTGCCATCCAAGCGTCTTCCTACACTACCAAGTACGAAGCTGCCCAATTCCATCAAGTTCACGTCACGTCAGCCGTCAGCGCTGTGTACCTTCGTTTGACAACAATCTTCAGATCACACACTCGTTACCCTAACGCTTGCGATTCACTATACCGCTTCCTAATCAGATCGGTGGCAAGGATTCCGATTCACTCCTGCGCAGTCAATCGCTCCGTCATCCTCGGTGTCGAACTATCACTTTTGAATCACGATCCGACTTGATGTTACCACACCCCGTCAGTCCGCCTTAATCCGCTTTGCTCCGCATCGTCACGACTTCGGTTATCACAGTCGTCATTCGCACCAGCCGATTCGAATTGACCTCTCCGCGTGCTCTCGCGCGTGCTACCGCTTCCTCGTTCCATGGGTAAGAAGTGGCGATGGGGCGTCATTCTGGACGCTGGCTCGTCTGGGACTCGGCTACACATCTACCGATGGAAAGACCCTGAGAAAGCGCGCAAGAGCGCATCCGATAAGGACTTGCGCAGCTTGCCGGTATTGAAGACAGAAAAGAAGTGGACGAAGAAGAAGCGACCCGGCGTCTCGACGTTCGGCGACAAGGTTGCGGATGTAGGGCCAGATTACCTGCAGGAGTTAGTCGACCATGCGTTGCGCGTCATACCCGCAGACCAGGTTGAAGATACGCCGATTTTCCTTATGGCGACAGCGGGGATGCGGCTGCTTCCACAAGTCCAGCAGGTTGCTTTAACGCGCGAGATCTGTTCTTACCTGCGACAGAACACCCGATTCTCACTGCCCGACTGCGATTTGCACATCCAGGTCATCAAGGGAGAGACGGAAGGGTTATACGGCTGGATTGCTTCGAACTACCTTTTGGGTGGCTTCGACGATCCCTCACAGCATCAGCACGGCAAGGGGCATCACACGTACGGATTTCTGGATATGGGTGGGGCATCAGCACAGATCGCTTTTGCTCCCAATGCGACAGAAGCTGAGAAACACGCGAACGATCTAAAGCTACTGCGGCTGCGGATACTCGATGGTTCTCCGGTGGAGTACAGGGTCTTCACCGCGACGTGGCTGGGGTTTGGTGTCAACCAAGCTCGAGAGGCCTATCTCAAGAACCTCGAGGAGCAATATGTGGAGACCGAAGCCGAGCTGCCGGACCCATGCCTCCCAAAGGGCTTGCGGACAACTCTACGGGGGAACCCAGTTAGCGGCAGGAAGCCTGGAGTGCCAACTCTGATCGGCACCGGACAGTTTGACGAGTGTCTGCAGCTGACTTACCCACTACTCGGCAAGGACAAACCATGCAAAGACCAGCCCTGCTTGTTGAATGGGCAGCATGTTCCGGCCATTGACTTCGATGTCAACCATTTCATCGGCGTCTCGGAATATTGGCATACGACACACGGCGTTTTTGAGGGTAAGGGTGACAAAGCATATGACTTCGCGACATATCAGCAGAGAGTCAAGGACTTCTGCGGGCGGGGCTGGGAACAAATCCGATCCACACTAGACGACAGTGAGGTGAAGAACGCCCAGGAGGCGTGTTTTAAAGCCTCCTGGTTGATCAACGTGCTACACGAGGGGATTGGCATTCCCCGGATCGGCCTTGAGAAGCTTCCGTCGGCGAACGTATCCAAAGGCGCGCTAGAGCATGCCAAAGAGAAAGGGTTCCTCGACCCGTTCCAGCCGGTGGACAAGGTCGATGGTGTTGAAGTGAGCTGGACGCTGGGAAAGATGGTCCTGTACGCGGCCGGACAGATACCGCCCAAGAGCCGCGACGACCGGTATCCCGTCGGCTTCGGCAGCAATGTGGAAGGGACGCCGCACGACTTCCAGTTTGCCGGATCAAGCTGGAGGCCCATAAACGCGCACGGCAACCACACGAGCGACGACGACGACTGGGACCTCGATACCGAAGACATTCTCGACAAGGCCAGGTCCAAGTCCACGACCGGCTTCTTCGCCTTCATCCTTATCCTTCTCCTGTTCCTCTACTTCTTCCGCAAACGCGATAGGCGCATGCGTGTCTACAGCCGAGTCAACGCCGTCTTCCGCCGGCGCCGACCAGGAAACAGCCCGCGCAAGGGCGGCCCGCGGGGGCTCTCGGGGCTAGCAACGAAATGGTTTGGCGGTCGCTCCTCGGGCGGGCTGTACGAGCGCGTCATGGAGGAGGGCGATGCCGATCGTTTCGAGTTGGGCGATGTCGAGTCAGATGATAACGACTACTCGGACTCAACGAGCGAGGGGTCGAAGGCCTCGTCGAGACGGTTTGGGCTGTCCTCGGGCTTGGCCACGCCGCAGTTGGCTGACCACCACCATCATCATCACAACCAGGGCCGGTTTGACCGGCTGTCGCCAACTGTGTCCGCGCTGGATCGGAGCGGCCTGGTAGTGAGGACTGAGAGCCGCGAGCGGTTAACGCTGCCACCACATATCGGCTCGTCGGGCGTCGGGAGGAGGAGTAGGGCGGGGAGTCCGACGAGGTTGAAGAGTCCTTTGATGTCGCCGTTGCAAGAGACGTAGGATTGTCGCGATGTATGGTTGGCATGTTTGGGGAAGGGCTTTCTTGTTGTACTGGTGATTACGCTTTTAGTCACGTTATACTTCATCTGTTGGTGTTGATTTCTGGGGTGGGGGGGGGGGGGGGGGGGGGTGTGCTTGTTCTGAAAAGTTCTCGGCATCTTCCAGTTCTTGCAAGAGAGGCATGGCGGTTCGGAATAGGAGGAGTATGGGTTCCGAGCGGCGCGAAGGATTGTTTTTTCTACTCGAGTCGGCGTCATCTGGGATTTGTAGGTGCGGCGCCGTGCGCGGCTGTTGGATGAGCTGTTCGACCTTTACTGTACCTCATCTTATGAGGTCGCTGTTGTTATGATGCATGTCTACTTAGATTAGTGTATAATTCATGACAACGCCCATTTTGTCTAAACCATTTTGTCAACGCCCGAGGATCGCTTCGGAGACACCAATGCCCTCTCTCTTTCGAAGCACCCCCATCAGGAAATCCAGGTCGCCAGCATCTTCTCTCTATTTCACCCCCTTTCCCAGTAAGTAATCACCCCCTCCATTCCCACATTCCATGCACGCATCAATCATCCCTCTCCAGAAACCCCGGGTCAGTCCGCACCTTGTTTTCAAACTTCTTCCACCACTCTTCAAACGCCTTGAGGGGGACTACCTCCACCTGTCCCGCGGTGCCACTGAAGCTCGCCAGGAAGTTGAACGCGTTCTTGATGATGCGCTGCGCCAACACCAGCGTACTCGGCTGCTGACCCGTCCGGGCAGGCACAAGAGCGCCACTCGCCGCGTCACCGGTGGTGGTGGTGGTGGCGGTCTTCGAGCTGGAGTGTTCGGTCATCCTCGCTGCCACTGACTCGGCCGGCTCGATAGAGATCCCGATCACCACGCTCTCCCCCGGCGCTGTGTTGAGCTTGAACACGGCGCTTTCTTTGCCCGGGCCGATTCCGCCTAGGAAGTTGGAGTCGGGCGCCGTCTGCTCGGGCGACGTGGGCGGCGTCACGAGGTAGATTGCTGCGGCGGTGCCTGCGGGGAGGATGACGTCTGGGAGGACGAAGACGGCGATGTGGGAGAAGGGCTTTTGTGGTTGCGCCGGCCGGATGGCGTAAAGGAAGGATGTGGGCGTCGGGGCTTCGGTTGGGTTGATGATCATAGGTAGGCCTGCTGGAACGAGGCCGAATAGGGGTTGGGACATTGTGGATGACTGGATAGGTGTGCTGTGCCGGTGGTCCTCTCTAGTGATCCCAGGGTTGAGATGGGCTCAGACAGCTGCTCCTATGGACCCTGAACCAGCTGTCTCAGTCGGGCCAATTCGAAGACGAATCCCAACCTACCCTCCGGGCTCGCCGGACTAGGTAGATCCTACTGGAGTTACTGTAGGAAGTGTCGCTCCCCGGAAGTTGGAACCATACAAGTCACTGCTGCTCCCGTGAGCTCAGGAATTGCTCATTTGCAACTGTTGATCTCAGGCTTGGGCAAAACCAAACTATACCTTAACGTTGAACCGGCGAGTGGTTGCAAGTCAATGTTTGGTCCGTCACGTATGTCGTGTACTGTACAATTAACCCGTGGCCACGGTGACAAGCGTCCCGAGTTGCGACACAAACCCCAGGTCGAATTCCCCGTTCCTGGATTCCCGGCCCTCGCTTGTGTCCGGCCACGTGCGGGTTATTATTGCTGCGGTATAGCAATAGAAGCTGATTCGATGAGTTTTGTCTCGGTCTCTGTAGGCTCTGAGGTGGTTGGAGCTGTTGTGTCTGTTGAGCTGCAGAATCACCCACGAGTTTCTAGAGCGATCTAACTCCAGCCCTGGAGACTTGAAGCCGTCATCATCCCGCTGTGGCGGACCTAGTGGGGCCACCTGGCAACAGCGTCCTCTAGACACTACTGTCTGCCAGTGAGCTGTGCACTTTCATCGTTTCTATTCTGATAATCCACCAAAACCCCATTTCCAGCTGCCGCTGTTGAGGGGAAGCCATGAATTAAGCAACTTTGAGGCAGGAAGCCAAGAACAATGACTACACTACCGACGTGGGTACATAGCAGTAGAGCTTTCGAGTCTTGGACACCTCTGGTGGAATACAGAGTGACAGCCCCGGAGTGAGGGGCCACATCATCCTTCAATCTCTGCACTAAGGTACTAGTACTGGTAGTTATTACTTAACCACTCAGTGCAACGTTTATTATCCTCGTCCTGCCAACATCGATCCCTGCTGTAATTGCCGGTTGCTGTGTGACTACTCATGCTAGTACACCAAACACAGAAATCGGACAATCCGCTTGATAAGACAAAACATCGCGCGGGAGAATCGTCATGGTGCCTCGATATACCACTATTGATATCTTGAATAATTGCGATGGGTGAGTTCCCATCGCCCTTCTTCTACCCCTCTCCCGGTGGCCCACCCGGTGATGGTGGAGAGGCACGGGCATCAGGAAGAGACCTAAAGAAGGTTCGGAAGTATCGGAATGGTTGCTTACAGAGCACGCAGGTTCCCAGACCCTGAGAAGGATCCTCTCGGCCACGCGAAAGAGATGGGCAGGCTCTACACCCTCGTCTGGAAGGACAGCGAAGGGACGTTCCCCATCGGCTATGTCCCGCTCACGGTGCTAGAAGCGCTAGAAAACACCCCCGAGAGCATCAGGGGCCCCCTTGATGTTGACCATGAGGCCAGAACCATCTTGGCCTTCCAGGAGCCCGACACCGAAGAAGCCCGCACCAAGCTCGTGGGCCAACTGACGGCATACTGGCGTCAAAACCAGGCATTCCGCATCCTCAAGGGCTGGCGCGATGAGCTTTGGCCGGTCTACGGCCGCAACGGGGAACTGCTGTTCAGCATCGAGAGGGTGGCCATGGGACTCTTCGGGACCCCTCGCTTCGGCGTCCACATGATGGCCTTCATCCGCCGGAATGACGGCAACAGCCGCTATGACCTTAGATTCTGGGTCTCCAAGCGTGCCGCCACCAAGTCGTCGTACCCGGGTATGCTGGACAACACGGCCGCCGGCGGACTGATGACCAATGAAGATCCCTTTGAGTGCATCATCCGCGAAGCTGACGAAGAAGCGTCGTTGCCAGAGGACTTGGTGCGCAAACACGCCAAGGAAACCGGCACCATCACCTACATCTATATCACAGACGAGCGCGCCGGCGGTGAGCCCGGCTGGATCTACCCAGAGGTTGAATGGATTTATGATCTTGAGCTGCCCGCAGATGGGAGCGTCACCCCTTGTCCCAAGGACGGGGAGGTTGAGAGTTTCCGTCTACACACGGTGGAGGAGATCCAGGAGCAACTAGCCCAGGGGCTGTGGAAACCGAACTGCGCCATAGTGATGCTCGATTTCTTCGTCCGGCACGGGATATTGACGCCCGAAAACGAGCCGCACTATGATGAGTTCCGCGCTAGGTCGCACCGCTTCATCCCTTTCCCTGGGCCGCATTGGGCCCATTGGCAACATGCCTCTCCGCCGGAAAAGAGGTCATAAAGAGGAAGGACCGGGCAGCTCAAAAATAGGCGCGTCTTCCCCTGGGTATCGTTTTGTCTGACTCGCCAAGCTCCCCCCAAACCATTTGGTTGCCGTTTTCCTGAACGCCGAATATCCGAATTACATGTTTTTGCGCACCATATCGCAAAACGATCTATATCCTGCCGCACCCTCGTGAAGGGCCGATCATCGCTTCCGTACGAGAAGATAGACATAGTCCACCCGCAATGGCGTAAGCTTCTTGTACGGGCCCTCGAGTGACATCAAGAGGCCGCCAAAGGAAATATAAGCCTTGCTATTTTCCCGCCATGTCAGCCACCACCTCCGCCATCACGAGAAGAAACTCACATCGTCTTCCCATCCTCTGCATCCTCGAACTTATAGATCTTGCCGTAACAGACGTAATCGAAGATGTCCGCGAGCGTGGCGTCGCTGGCGCCGGCCTTGGCCACGTCGCGCCACCCGCGCTCGTCATCCTTGCTCCCGTCGTAGTGCAGCGAGGTCGCCAGCGCCACGTGCAGCTCGTCGTCCACCTTGCAAGGGAAAAGTTCCTTGTTGATGTCCAGGCTCATTATTATGCTCTTATCGTCTGACTTGCAGTAAATGCGATCCACTCGGTCGTACTTGGGCTCGCTGAGCCGCTCGACGCGGAAGTGGTCCTCGAAGAGCTGCGCGTCGGAAGAGATGCCGGACATTGTGGCTAGGATTCTGTGGGTGGAAAATGGGCCACTGGAGCCGAAGTCGTCGAGATGTGCAGCAGAACTATCTGGGGCTGGTGTGCGTGCGAAGCGAGAGGAACGAGGAGAGAACGGCTCTGTGAGTGCGAGTGCGACGGCGATGCTGAAGTTTGGGGGTTGGCAGAAAATTCCGAAAACGTTCAAGTTCAGCAGCAGGCCGGAAGGCTCCACAGATGACAGGGATGTGCTGCGCGGCCGGTCACGGCTGCATGTGGTGCCACCGATAAGGAGCTTTTGTGCCTTATCACACCCCTCCAACCCCTCCAAAAGGCTGAAGAGCGAACCTCTTTCACACTGGACGGCCATGTCATTCGTGAAGAGAAATACCGTGCTCTCAGCACGGCAAGGGCGGCCGCCCCCTCAGGCGAACCCGACGGCGGAGAAACCGCAGCTTCAAGTTGCGCCAGGAATCAGACCGTCGCCTTTGGATGGCAGGCCCACCACATCGACGGGGACGTCATCACTCGACCAACTCCTCGCCGGACATGGCGGGCTACCATTAGGCTCATGTCTGTTGATCGAAGAACAGGGCACCACCGATTTTGCCGGTGTTCTTCTACGATACTATGCCGCTCAGGGATTGGTACAAGGACACCACGTGCACGTTGTCGGCTTTCCCCCAGAATGGAGGCACCAACTTCCTGGTGTGGCGACTCTGGATGGCAAGACCAAGGCTACTCAGCCAGCACCGGCCCCCGAGGAGAAGATGAAGATCGCTTGGAGATATGAGGCGCTGGGACAAGCAGCTGGACCAGGAGCGGCTACCCGAGGAGACGCAGGCCAGGGGACATTCTGCCACTCGTTCGACCTCACCAAGCGCCTGTCGCCAAGCTCATGTAAAGGGACGCTGCATCCCACCCCCAGCACATGCCCACCACTTCTCGACCAAGGCATCCACGCCGCCCCAGTGTCTCCCTTTAAGACAATCATCAAACATCTACACGCCAAACTCTCAAGTTCCCCGCCAGCAGACATTCATCGGGTCGTTGTCCCCGGCCTCCTCCTTCCAGCGCTCTACCCCCCACAATGCGCCCAGCCATCCGAAGTCCTCCAGTTCCTCCACGGCCTACGATCTCTACTCCGACAGTACTCCACACAACTCACAGCAATCATCACGCTGCCGAACTCCCTCTTCCCACGATCTTCTGGCTTGGTCCGATGGATGGAACTTCTCTGCGACGGCGTCATCGAGTTAATCCCGCTTCCGGCGAATCCCAGCGCTCCACCTCCTTGCCCTGCTTCGTCGGCATCCGGATCCAGCGCTTCCGAGAAGGGTGACCAAGCCCAGGGTCTTCTCAAGGTCCATACACTGCCTGTGTATCACGAGAAGGGCGGCGGCAGTGACGCTGGGGCGAACTCGTTCCGAGAGACGCTGTCGTTTAGTTTGAGTGCGTCGCGGGGCTTGGTGATCAAGCCCTATAGTCTGCCACCGTTGGAGGGGGATGGAGAAGAGGAGACGAAGAAGGGTGGTGGGGAGAAAGGGGGGATTGATTTCTGAATGGGTTGTCGGCTTGAACCCCGGCGTGAACCGAACTTCTGACCATCATACAGCCAGACGTCATGGGGCTTGGCTACCTACTATGGAATGTAAGCTCTGGGGATGCGCCTTCTATGGGTGGAAATAAGGCCGCTACTAGATGGTTGGGGCACAACAACTTGTGGAATAGAGGTTGTTCCTGGCCGTCGAACCCTCGGAGCTTGGTTTGGTGGCACGAACATATCAGAGAAGTGACGGGATCTCACGATCACGACACAAATCTTGGACGCCTCGCCCCCATGACCTGAAACTTCTGTAAAAGGAGGGTGATGCTCCACGAATGTATCCCGGAGTAATAACCCTTGTAGTTGTAAGATTACGGTATTGGCGCGTAACAATTGAACAGACCCACAACAAACCGTATGTGGGGCACGAACTGGACCTGACCCAGCAATAAATTTTCAAGCCGCAAACCTCAAGAACATCTTCCTCTTCTTTCTCGTTGATGCACTGCTGCGTAGCGTAGCAGCAGCCCTGGCGTGCAAGGTTAGTGCTTTCTTCCTCTTCAGACCCTTTCAAGAACAAAATGATTATAACTATCGTATTCCAATCTGTCAATCCACTGAATTTCTGTGATGACCACATACGTGTCCAAGGCTTATGAACTATGCTCCCAACTTTCTCTCAGCGCAAATGTATCAGATGAATCGCTTCTAACCAAGTCGTAGGATTCCAGAGAGAAGTCTCTCGGGCAATGGATGCTACAGTTCCAGAACGGCGAGTCCGGATCTCGCGCATTGCAGGCCGGTACCTCATCTTCGACATTGAAGATGTCGTCTACATTCGCCGCCACCACGGCATCTGCGCGGTTTTGACAGGTACCATGCCGCAGAACCCAACGCAGAACCTCTTTCTTGGCCTCCCCGTCGAGCTGCACTCCGAAGAAGCCAAGCTGCTGGTTGACAAGGGCGTCGGCTATATCGCTGATGAGCTGACCGACCACCTGTCTCGGCTTTCTATCATGGATGGAAACTTACGCAAGGCCTACCTCCAACACATCAAGCAGCAGCGCAGGAACGCGCAGCAAGCCTTCGAGGAGGAGAAGGCAAAGATCCAGGCCAAGCATCAAGCGAAGCGCAAAGCAGCAGCCAAGCCAAATCCCACCGTCACAACCAACCCAGAAGAGGCATCTGCCATAGCAGAGAGCGGGCCCTCCTTGTTTGACCCATCAATGTCTCCCAACCCAGCAAAAGAAACCCGTCCCAAAGAAACCCTTCCCCCCTCCATCACGCCTACCACCAGCGCTCACCTTCTGCCCATCCCGTCCAATCCCGTCAGCACAGCAGTAGACCCCTCTTCGTCGTCTTACCCGCTGTACAAATATCTCAACTCCAGGGGGTATTACACCACGCCCGGCCTCCGCTTCGGCGGAGATTACAGCGTATACCCGGGGGATCCATTCCGGTACCATGCTCACCACATGGCCAACAGCTACGGGTGGGACGAGGAGATCCCCATGCTGGACCTCGTGATGAGCGGGCGACTGGGCACAGCGGTGAAGAAGAGTTTCCTTTTTGGAGCGGAGAAGCCTGGAAAGGAGGTCGGCGGCGCTGCTAAGGAGGAAGGAGGGCACGGTGAGGTGAGGGTCTTTTGTATCGAGTGGGCTGGTATGTGACAGATTCGAGTAGCCGAGATAAATGATACCCATGTTTACTCTTCCACTATTCCTGCCTGGCCATATGTTAGAGACGATGGGCTTGGGTTTGCAAGTTTCGCCAGTATCCATACTCAGGCTGGTAATCCGTACAAGTACAATACACTACTAGCAATGCCGCCAATGAACGTTCAAGTCACAATACCACGCTGAATATGCCACCGAACCTGTCTTCACAATGTGTTGAATTTCCGTCTCGGTTCCTCTTCCACACTACCAGGTACACAACCTCATCTTCCGGCACCCAAGACCTTGCCTAGCCGAAAGTGCCAAACCGAACGCCGCGGTTACAATGAATGAGTAAACGAAATCCACCTATGCCATGTCTCAACGACCCATTTCTATAGGGGAGAAAGCTAAGAAATGAACGATAATTACAAAATTGGTAAAATAGGCCGTAGCACCCTCGCTACGGCACATAAATCCGACTAAAGCTGATTACCTCCCTGCGACAACAGACGCACTTGTCAAAATTGTTCATAGCAAGCGACACGCGGCAGTCGTCGCACAGGCTGAGGCAGCGGCAGGGCCAGACAATAATTGTCCGCGGCGAGCTCTGGCACACCACGCACTGCGGCCCGTCTGGCCCCAAGCCGGCGGCGCCTGTGGCCCATGACGAATTCGCTGCTGCCGCTCCTCCTGCCGAAGACGGAGACGCGGCGCCGGACTTGGCTGCTGCGGCCGCGGCGCGGCGAGAGAGCAGAAGCTGCTCTAGCACGCGAGCCTCTTCCTCGGGCGTCATCTTCTCTGGGCCAGCTAGGCGTTGGCTGTGGACGAAGGCTTGGTTGTTGGTGAGCAGAACCTGCGCGCGCTGGCGCTGAAGTTGCTGCTTAAAGCGCGAGCGGGTCATGATGCCCTCGCTTGTGAGATGTGCGGCGAGAGCACGAGCCTCTTCTTGATCCTCGGGGCTTTTGGGATGCAGGAGCCGGGCGAGATCGGCGGCTGCGATCGGGGTATCGAGGAGAGGAGTGGATTCGCGTGATGCGCGGGCTGATGCTACGGCTGAGGCGAAGGATACGGGGCCGGGGTCGCGTTGAGTTGGCGTACGCTGGCCGTCGTCGAGATAACTATCACTCGCATGGTCAGATTCCCAGTCGAGCTCACTCGCTGTTTCGGTTGTTGATATGACGCTGGTCGTGTCGTCAAATTCCAGGCCATCGACTTCGGGGCTCCGAGTAGAGGGCGCATAGTCGCCGCTAGAATCGCTCTCCCCCCACCAGCCGTTCCTTAGGAAGTAGCTGTAGAGCTTCGAATCGACCTCTGCTTCATCGACACGAGCGTCACCGCCACTTCCTGTGATGATGGGGTCCATTTGGCTGCGAAGCTCAGCCTCCACATCGACCTCGTCGCTTCGGGGAATGGTGAAGAAAAGCTTCCCTTGCCCGGGTGACAGAACGTCAATGTTAAGCGTGCGGCCACCGCGGCCGGGCGCCTTCTTCGACGAAGTCTCGGGTTTGGGCCTCTGCGCCAAGGCTTGGAGCCAGCGTGGAGGCGTGCGCAAGCCTAGGACCCCGAGACACTTGATCGTTAACAATGCCCATGTAACGAGCAGCAGCTTGCAAATATGCAGCAAATACTCGAAGGCGATAAGCCACCTGGAGCTCCGTTCTGCAGCGCCCACACCGTCCCGCACCCTCCTACCGGCTGGATTACTCTTCTGTATTTGCTGCGCTGCCCTCTCCCTCGCGTAGCCATTTCCAGCACACTGCCTGTCTTTGACTGGTAAAAGGCCAATGGTACCGACAGCGTCGAATCGAGATCCGGGAATGCCGCCACCAATCCACTGCATCCTGAGCTCCTCCAGCTCGCGGAGCCTCTCGTCCTCCAACCATGTATATGGCTTTAGGTTCACTTGATGATCCTCATTGAGATAGACAGCCTCGCTCGCCATGGAGAGAGCAGCGAAGCCAGCGCGTAACAGGGCCGTGTAAAAATCCATATCCATTCGGATACGGATGTCGGCGAGCGACACATTCGCTTGCATGTTGCCATGGGCCCGAGCAAGACGCTGCCAAAGGCTCAACCGCTCGCCGTTGCGATCTCCTTCAGGTGAAGCCACGGCAGAGAGCATCAATGCTGAGACGTAGACTACCCCGCAGGCATAGATCCCCAGCAGGATGAGCACGTGCGGGATGAACCCAATAATACAGACGGTCGGGAATCTCAACAATCCTTGAGCCGAAGGATCGTCGACCGAGAAAGTGATGGCACTCCAGCCCATGCTCGCCATGAAGCAAAGTCCCCAGAAGGCTGTGCTGAGGAGCCGAAACTTGGCTTGCAGGTTGAAAACTCCGAGAATATGGCTTGTGAGATGACCCATGGCGGAGAGAAAGGCGATCAGAAGAACCTCTGGAGACGTGTTAACTCGTTTCATAATCATAGACCTAGTGAGGGCTATCTTAGAACCCAGTACTGCCTGCGATGAGGTGGTACGGTTGGTGAAGAGGCCCCATCCCAGCTGGTTGCCGATGGCAGCATCTGCCTCAGCGAAGGCGAGAGAGTGCTCGAACAGCGTAATGCCTGTCTCAGTAGCGTGCGGTCGACCCTGGACGCAGCAGGAGAGTAGGTCTATGAAATGGCTCAAGCAGAACGTTCCAAAGAGCGGCCAAAGCCGAGATAGAGAGCCGACCAGCTCGACCAGCTCCCCATCATCCCAAGGTACCATCCTTATGGAACGGCAAGAGTCCTCGTCAGTCGCCCCAAGCAGGAGGGAAGAGCTCAGGCCGTGGAGGAAGGGGTTCGGATGCGAGAACATCAGGTCAGAACTCTTGCTGGCATTGCCCCAACGCAGCTCGGCAAAGTTGGGAGAGGTCTGGCACTGGATCGACTGCAGGAGGCGCCGGGCTTGGAAGAGCAGGAGCAAGATGGGCCCGATCCGAAGAATCAACCGGACAGGCCATTGAAGCCGGAGTCTGCGACGAGTGGCGGCGAAGATGTGGGTGCGGTTAAATATGACAGCCATCGCGATGCAGCATAGCGCCCACTTGCTCGTCGCGTAGCTGAAGACGCTTCCCAAGCCCCTTGTGCCCTCCATCGAAAATCTTGAGACGAAAGATTGCGGGTCTTGGGCCGCGGTAGCGGCGACGGCGGCGGCTTCTGCCGCCATAGATGCGGAAGAAGCAGTCGACGGGGATCCGGTGAGTGTTTTAGCAAGGCTACCTGCCAGCGCCGTAGAAGCGGAAAAGAGGTCAGTATCGGTGGGGCCTGGGACGACTCGCTGGCCGAAGCCGTCGATTGCGTCTGTAAATGATATGAAGGAGCTAAATCGGCCTAGCTTCATGACCATGCGAGGCCCCGCCCAGAAAAGGTCTTCGAATGATGGTGCCAGCCGTGAGACATTCAACGCCACTCCAAGCTGCTGAGCTGTCCACGCTGTGAAGTTGTGCCAGGCACTCGCATTGTCCAAGGTCTGGGGAACCGCTGCTACGACGGTTTCCATCCCGTGTTCGATACCTCGGGCCAGAAGCCGGATGATTGTGCGGAAACAGACGGAAGGGCCGACCGTCCTGGCAACGAGAAAGAAAGCGTGCTGTCCTTAATTAAGCAACCGTGTTATGTTTCATTGGTCCGATCCCGCGGGTTGATCTTGCGTGTACATTGCAAGTTGAGAGTCCCTGTATGGGAAAGCTGACAGCTCAAGACCGGACCCGCGCTGTTGGATTTCGAGTGGCATGCGTGATGACATCCTGGCGCACCCGGACGTTATCAGCGGTGGATCCATCACTCGTGGGGCCATTCTGGTGCAGCGGGTGAACCCGATGATGCCGGCCTGATGTGGATCCCACCCAGGAAGGGGCCAGCTGCCTGGCAGTGCCAGCCCACTGAGACCGGGGCATTGGAGGCTTGGCATTTCTCACCACGCAAGCGCCGATGCTCCGTCTTTCAACAAGCTTTGTACGGAGTACCCTGGAATAAATAAACCCTCCTCGTCCGACTGAGCTGCTCAAGTCGCCATAAGCCCGCATAGCATACCTTAGCTTGCACAAGAGAAATGGCAGCCTCGCAGCAGCCCATCGCTACGTATGTGTCATTGCACTCCGACACATACAAGGCATCTCTTATATCTGCTGGGCGGCAAAACTAACCAACTCGCAGGGTCTACGTCCGCAATCTCGAAGAGCGCGTCAAGCCCGAGCCACTCAAGCAAGCGCTGCACGCGATCTTTTCGGAGTATGGCAACGTGATCGACATAGTCGCCAAGACAAATCTCAAGGCAAAGGGACAAGCCTTCGTCGTTTTCGACAAGGCCGAGTCAGCGCTGGCCGCTATCGAGGAGGTGCAGGGCTTCGAACTTTTTGACAAGCCGATGCAGGTCGCCCTGGCGCGTACCCGCAGCGATGCCACCGTGATGCGGAATGGCAGCGAAGAGGAGTTCGATGCCCACAAGCGCCGGCGAATGGCTGAAAAAGGTATGCAATCTCCTGTTTCTACCGCCCCTCGCCCCAACTCGCCGCTAACAACAGCACCCCACAGACAAGAAGAAGGCAATGGAATCCGCCGAAGAGCAGAAGCGCCTCAAGCGGCCCATGCCAGGCGCAGCTGCCGAGGCCGGCGTTCGTCCAGCCAAGAATGCCCGCGGCGCCGGCCTCAAGTCTACGGGAGCCGGGCCCACTGCCGTTGTCCCCGACGAGTATCTACCTCCCAACCGGATTCTGTTCGTCCAAAACCTGCCCGACGACTTCGACAAGGAGGCTCTTACGGCAATCTTTAGTCGCTTCGAGGGCTTCCGCGAAGTTCGTACGGTGCCTGGCCGCAGCGGTATTGCCTTCGTCGAATACGAAGCCGAGGCGGGTGCTATCACGGCTAAGGAGAACACCGCTGGAATGCCTCTGAAGAACGGCGAGAAGATTATGAAGGTGACCTACCAGCGGCAGTAGAGCGGTTGATATAGGAAGTCTTTTAGGTAAGGCGTTGGTGAGTTACGGATACAGGTCATATTTGGAACAACATCGTGACTTCTTAATGGAGATCTTAAAATGATAGGTACGGTGTGCAAAATACAAGCAACAAACAACTCCACGAATACGCCCGTGCCTTGCAAGATGACCTTATTGCCCCAGATCTTACACACAACCCTGTAACAGCGCCAAACATGACTTACCATGCGCGCTAGAAGATTACATCCTCGTCCTCTTCGGCGGCGAGAATATCAGCTGGCCCTGCCTGAGCTCCTTCCTCCGGAGCTTCGTTCTCGTCTTCGCGTTCCTCTTTTCTCTTTTTCATCTCCGCATAATCGGCCGCAGTGTCTCGTTGTTTCTTGCCGGCGACCTACGGGACATCAGTATGCGGCGTCTGAAGGGAGGTCAGTCAAGGCATGCCTTTTTAAGTCTGTAGAACTCCTCTCTGTCGAGTTCATCGAGCTCCGAGTTGATATCTACTCCGATGTCAGCGACCGCGGCCAACTACTCTCGAATACTCCTCGCGGGATTCTTACACTTGATAGTATTCTCTGTCCTCGGGATAATGACGTGCTCACTGCCTGCTGTCAGAGAATCATCACCCATCACACTAACAATACACTTACATAGCATTAACTAGCATCCGGTTAGCAACAATACTTTACTCCAACGCATCCAATCTATCAAGCTGACGGGGGTTGGGAAACGGGAGCTCACCTCTCCGATTAACGACCTTAATCACCTCGTCGAGAATCACAAACGCCGTCTGCAAGCTTGCAAGCTCAACCAGCGCCTCGACGGCCCTAGCGTACGTCTCGCGGCACCGCTGCACCTGCTGCCCGCCCTTCCCCAAGCCTGTCATAGCGAAGTCGTTGTTCCCCTCCGTCAGGTAGCTCTCAAACGCCGGGAGCAGCACTCCCGACACGTTGTCCTGCTTGGCGCGGATGCGGAAGCGCGCCGACCTGGCCGACTCCTGGATTTGGTACCCTATGTTGCCGCCCACGGCGTAGGTGACCTCGGCGAGGGAGAGAGAGGCGATCTGCATCACGCGGCCCATCTTTCGTTTCGCTTCATCGATGCGACGGGTTATCTCTGGAGTTCGGAACGTGTGTTAGTGGTGCAAATGGCATGGGAGGTTAGCGATAGGCTGGGTCGCAGTCGTACCTCGAAAGCGCCTGGACAGCGAAAGGAAACGTTGTAAGCCGGACGGTCAGACAAGGTGCAACAGGAAGGGCGGCATACTTCGTCAAGGCCTCGCTCTTTCTCTTGAGTAAGTCATGTCCTGTTTGGGCGCCCTGGAGTTTCGCCTTCATTATACCCAGGGACTGCCGTGTAGGGAAGACCGCTTCCCGGTCCTGGTATCCGATCAGCTATCATGTGTGGAGGGGTGCAGGAGCTGGACGAACGTACTGCCGCGCCGGACATTGTCACGATTCGCCAAAGGGAACAACGGGAAGAGGAGGAGGTTATCAGAGCTCTAAAAAGTAAATTGGGTGTGTTACAGAACCTGGAAATGGGCACTTGTCGACGGCGATGTAGCTTGATCGTAGGAAGGCTGCCGGCGGAGCTCAGGTTGGAGCTGTGATGCGGCAGCGACAAAGCGGAACCAACTGCTTGCCGCAACTGCATGTTACGTATGGACTTCCAATGGAAGCATTTATTAGTGCTGGTGCAGTGGCAGGTCGCCCCACCTAATCCCGCTCCCCTGCTGAGTTCTACCTAACGCTGATGAGTTCCCTACAGTACCTGTTACACAGTACGTCTCGTCCAACAATACACAGTACACAGTAAAGCGCGCCCAATCGCCAGAATTTGAAACGGCAGCGCGGAAACTCAGCAATCTCGCCGTTGCTGTTCCGCTGCCGTGAGTGCAACCTCTCCGTGGAACCTGGCAGTGATGTCACGGCAGCGCGCCAACTAAGTTTTCTCGCTCCTCTTTCCCATTCTCCAGCGTCGAAGGCACCCGTCGATTCCGTTGAGTTGCCCGACGCGCGGATCCCGAATGATGGATGCAAGCCTCACTTCCGCCCGCCAGCCAGACCTGGCGCTGGTGGTACGTTCGCTGGCTCGTCCCGTCACTCAGATTGATTCGGAGTTGCTGACGCCGTGTTTACAGTCCGAGGACGATTTCCCCTACGAGCAGGACATCCAACGGAATCCAGGAAGCACCAAGCCATGGCTGGCCTACATCGAGTATAAGCTTCAACATGGAACGCTCCGGGAGCAAGCGTTTGTCATGGAGAGGGCATGCATTCAGCTGCCGCGGTCGTACAAGCTGTGGAAAATGGTAGGTCTGCCGTCGCCCCTACTGCAAGAGTCACCCGTCCTAACTCACTCTAGTATCTCCGCTTTAGGACGAAGCATGTCGCTAAGCTCAACGCCGCTATCTTCGCCGCCGAGTATCAGAAAGTCAACGCACTGTTCGAGCGAGCGCTGATCCTCCTCAACAAGATGCCCAGGATATGGGAGATGTACCTCAAGTTCCTGATGCAGCAGCCGCTCGTGACACACACGCGGCACGCTTTCGACCGAGCGCTCCGGGCGCTTCCAATCACGCAGCACAATAGGATATGGGCGCTGTACCTGCCGTTCGCGAACTCCGCGGAAGGCATGACAGCGGTCAAGATCTGGCGGCGGTACATGCAAGTTCACCCGGAGGACGCCGAGGACTTCATCGAGCTGTTGGTCCAGACGGACCTGTACACCGAGGCGGCGAAGAAGTACATTGAGATCCTTGACAATCCCCGCTTCCAGAGCAAGAATGCCAAGGGTCACTATGAGTTGTGGAGCGAGATGGTGGATTTGCTCGTCGAGCATGCAGTCGACATCGAGGCAGGCCACGAGACGGGCATCGACGTGGAGGGTATCATCCGAAGTGGAATCGAACGATTCAGTGACCAAAGAGGCAAGCTGTGGTGCGGCTTGGCGACCTACTGGATCCGGCGGGGCAACTTCGAGCGGGCGAGGGATGTGTTCGAGGAGGGCATCACCACAGTCATGACGGTTCGGGATTTCACGTTGGTGTTCGACTCATACGCTGAGTTTGAGGAGTCCATCATTGGCGCGCTGATGGAGGTTGCTTCCACACGAGCCGAGAAGGGCGTGGTGGACGATGCAGCTGACTTCGACCTGGACATCCGCATGATGCGCTTTGAGCACCTTATGGACCGTCGGCCTTTCCTTCTCAACGACGTTCTGCTCCGGCAGAATCCGAACAATGTGACGGAATGGGAGAAGCGGGTAGCCTTGTGGGGCGACAACAAGGAGGAAGTAGTGCAGACGTACACTGATGCCATTGCCGCCATACAGCCTAAGAAGGCCGTCGGCGCATTCCACCAACTATGGTCCAACTACGCAAAGTTCTACGAGAAAGGTGGAGACTTGCGGAATGCCAGAATCATCATGGAGAAGGCGGTCAAGGTTCCGTTCAAGTCGGTGGCCGAACTTGCTGATATGTGGATCGAATGGGCCGAGATGGAACTCCGGAACGAGAACTTTGACGAGGCTGTCAGGATTATGGCCAAGGCGGTGCAAGCGCCCAAGAGGTCGACGGTAGACTACTTCGACGAGACCTTATCACCACAACAAAGGGTGCATAAGAGCTGGAAGCTGTGGAGCTTCTACGTCGACCTCGTGGAGAGTGTGAGCTCCCTCGAGGAGACCAAGAAGGTCTACGAGAGGATATTCGAGCTCCGAATCGCGACACCCCAAACCGTGGTGAACTACGCCAACCTTCTCGAGGAACACAAGTACTTCGAGGAATCGTTCAAAATCTACGAGCGCGGGCTCGACCTCTTCAGCTACCCGGTTGCGTTTGAGCTCTGGAATCTCTATCTAACCAAGGCAGTCGACCGCAAGATCAGCATTGAGCGGTTGAGGGACCTGTTTGAACAGGCAATCCTCGACTGCCCGCCAAAGTTCGCCAAGGTTATCTACCTCATGTACGGCAATCTCGAAGAGGAACGCGGCCTGGCACGCCATGCCATGCGCATCTATGAGCGCGCCACACGCGCCGTATCGGATGAAGACCGGGCAGACATGTTCAACTTCTACATAACGAAATCCGCCTCCAACTTCGGCCTGCCATCGACGCGGCCAATCTACGAGCGGGCCATCGCAACGTTGCCAGACAACGAGGCCCGCGACATGTGCCTCAAGTTTGCCGACATGGAGAAGAGGCTCGGCGAGATCGACCGAGCAAGAGCGATTTATGGACACGCGTCGCAGTTTTGCGACCCGCGGACGAACCCCGAGTTCTGGGCCAAATGGGAAAGCTTCGAGGTGCAGCACGGGAACGAGGACACGTTCAAAGAGATGCTGCGGATCAAGCGCAGCGTGCAGGCACAGTACAATACAGACGTCAATTTTATCGCCTCACAAGCGATCGCCAGAAGCAAGCAGCAAAGGTTACAAAACGGCGGCGGGGAGGTGGACCAGGAAGTTGTCGACGCAATGGAGCAGCTGGAGAGACAGGCTCGCGCGCCAGCAGGGTTTGTGGCTGCCTCGGACGGGATCAAGGGGAGCGTGCCCAGCCAGCCGGTCGAAGTATCCAACCCCGATGCCATCGACCTCGACGACATGGACGAATGACATGATTTTTGGTATCATAACGGCTTTCGGATGTATTCGTACCTTTGTGGGCGGATCCAAGACGGAACTTTCACGGGCGCGAAAGACGCCGGGAAGGATAAGGTTGTGTGGTATATCGCAACAGTCCCGAGTTGTTATCAGCTTTGAGCAGGCGCGGAAACAAGCCAATGAATATTACTACTTCTCCCTTTCTTCCCACATTTAGGTACGAGGCATCTTCCTGTTCGATATTTCCGTCCTGCCGATGACTTTATTCCGGTGTTCATCTGTACATACCTACATACCATGTCTAATATGCATATTCAATCCCACGCTCGAGCAGACCACTGAACTGTAACTGGAGGTCACGATACAGCTCCTACAACACCCCTCTTGATGCAGTCACCGCAACCAAACGAAGTCTGTACTGTCTTCTTATGTTTCCAATAAGCTCTGTTTTCTTCAACTCAACTAACTCCAGCTCCAAAAAGAAAAGGAAAAAAGAAAACCAAACAAAAAGGAAAGGAAAAAGCATCACGTCCGATATAGCCCATATAAACCCGAAGTCACAACTCGTATCTGCCCATGTTACATCACTTTTTAGCGAGCCCCATCTCTTCCAGCTTCTTGTAGTATTTCTCCGGGCGATTACTGTCAATGTGTCCGTCGCGCGAGCTGGGGACGGCGTAGATGGACCCCTTGCGCTTCTGGAAGCGAGAAGGCGGGACCTTGGACGCGTCTACACCTCGGACCACGACATCGATTAGCGTTGGTCTGTCTTTCGTTGCCTTTGATGGATTTCCTTTCGTCTTGTGGGGTTTGACGGATGGGCAGGGGGTGTTTGGTATGGTACAGGTAGCAGGAGGGGGAAATACAAGCCATGTGATCGGGAGGGTTAGATGGGAAAGGGGGAGGAACAGGAGATCGACAAAATGAATAATGGAAGCAAGGGCGGCGAGGACGTACCCCACTCGTCGCTATATCGTCGGTCCCTATCTGATGTCGGGACAGCCGGGCTCGCTACGGCCGGTTTCTCTGCGGCCGACGACGGGGACTGGTTGTTGGTTTGTTGAGTGCTAGATTCAACGCTCGCTGCGTTTTGCTTTCTGTCCTCTGCGGTGCGTTTAGTTAGGTCAGAATGTCCATGGGTTCATTCAGGGTGGGCTGGGAGCGAAGAGGTAAGCGAGGAGGACGCCATGCTCACCGGCCATTGCAGATAGATGTTTTCTATGAGATTTGGTAGCTAGGTGTCGATGGGCTACGAATATTTTGCAACCGACCACTGCGAAAGAAGAGATGAAGAAGGAGGTCTAAGAGGTTGTGTCCGTCACATCCACGAGGTGAATAAAGGTCGAAGTCTGAGCGCAGCTCGGAGCCGAGTCAACTGTATGTCTTATAGTGCGATCTAGACATCGGACGATCCACGCGATGGCCAATGCATGTGGCAGTTCGCCCCTGGCACAATCTAGGTCGCTCTTTCCTCCTCCCCTTCCAAGAACCCTTATTATTTCCATCGATCTACATGAACATGGCTGTCCTTCTTCGCCGATCAGCATGTACTTCCACGTCGGCTCTGTCATGTCCACCTCGGCGCTTTATGAGGCCATTTAGGGTTTCGACGATAGCTCAGGTCACTAGACGCTCAAGCAAGCAGTTCAGACTGAGGCAGTGCAACAGAGGCCCAGTCACAAATGATGCGCACTGTCAAGAGCCGTCAGTCTAGAGCTTCTGACGTCATGCTAGCTCTGAAGCTATGTCTTATAACGACCTCACCCCTCACGCGACTGAAACGATTGACCAGTTTCCCGAAGAGGTAATGCTTGCCTAGGTACTATTGGTACAACTGAAACCTACCTGACTCGGAGTTCACCGTGTACACAACAACAATACTGCCACCTGCTCGAGTCTGGCTACATGACAGTACGACTGAGTTCTGTATCCTTAAACTTGGGTAGGTGTTTGGTGCTTGGATCTCCAGAGTAGATGTGGCAATGCGAGATGCGTCATCTCTCCAGACTACACCATCGAGACCATGCATGCCCCGTAGGACTCGGTGAAAAGGAAGAAAATTGGACTGTAACTTCGTTCACACGGGAGCTCAGCTGGAAAGCGCCATAGATGGGAAACGGGGTTCCAAACACAGCGAGGACACCGCAGTTTAAGGGGGTTCTGAAGATCCTTGCTACGTCTGCAAAAGTAAACGCTTTTAGTCGGAATGAGCTTGTTTTAGGGCAAGAGGAGTACTTAAAAGGTATGAGAGCAAAATGTAAGAGTGCAAAAGGTGAGGTCGTGCCCGGGTTCGAACCGGGGTTATTGGAAAGTTTGACATTTTGACATCAGTCAAAATCCAAAGTGATAACCACTACACTACACAACCTTTCGCTGCTACTTTGCGAGCGCTGATTGGGCTCTTATAAAGTTTGCAAGGGAAGAAAGATGTCGGGTCAGGGTTATACCAAACAAAGTCGCCAGATCACCTCCACCAGAACATAACGGACTGAAAGACTCGGAAATGTAAATATATTCGGTTATCGTTATAATCCTCTACATATTGAACAGGGTCTCACGTGCATCAACCAAGTCTAAACCTCTAACCACACTGCTTGAATCGTCTTCTCTCATGCCCTACTTATCATGTCTGTTTGCGGTGGAGGACACCAGCGCCAGCCTGGAAACGGAAAAAAAAAGGGAGCATCAATCAGCCCATGTCCTAGCTGAAGAGCAGGAGTAAATGAACCCATCAGAACTTACTTGATGGCTGGGGAAGATCAACGTATCGGCGATAACGACATTCTGGCGCCGCCCTGCAACAAAGACGACGACCTCGGCAATGTCGTCGGGTGTCAGGGGATCGCAGCCACTACATCACGCAGTGTCAGGCACAGACAGGCACGCGACCAGAGAAGAGCTCCATGCTAAATAAGGCAAGGTAGAACGCTTACGCATAGACAGCATCCGCCTTGGACTTGTCTCCGTAAAACCGAACGACGGAGAATTCCTGGCCCCTTTGGTGTCAGTACCTCTTCGATCCATAACAACGACCCGATCAGACTCACCGTCTCAACCTGCCCGGGGTCAATCTCCATGACCCTGATGCGGGTGGCAATCAGCTCCTGGCGCAGAGCATCGGTGAAGGCGCGCACGGCAGCCTTGGTGGCGCAGTAGATGCTGCCGCCGGCGTAGGGCTCCCGTCCGGCAATGCTGCCAATGTTGATGATGTCGCCGGCGCCGCCGTCGGGCCGAGCCTTGAAGATGGGCAGGACGGCCTGGGTCATGTTGATCAGGCCGGTGACATTGGTCTGGAACATGACGTTGATGTCTTCCTCGGCAATCTCAGGTGCGCGGGCGACTGGGAGGAGCACGTTAGTCCCTTCTATCCTCATCCACTCCCACTCGCGGCCTCAAAAAGCGCTCGAAATCCGGACATTCCAAGCATACCTCCTTTGACCAGCCCCCTACAAATCATAACCCCGCGGTCAGCAACCAACTTGCCCATCACAACGTCTCCCCACCCAACGCATACACCAAACCGCTCACTTGAAGGAGGAACTCACGCATTGTTGACGAGCACATCAATGCTCCTGAACTCCTCAGGCAAGCCCCCGACAAAGCCCCGCACCTGCTCGGGATCGGCCACGTCCAGCGCGACGGGCAGCACCCTGACGCCGTCGCCAACTTCCTCCTTGATCTGCGCGGCAATCTCCTGCAGCCGGTCGACTCGCCGCGCCGTGAGGACCAGCTTCAGGTCCTTGGGCGCCGTGCGCGCAAACTCAAAGGCACAGCTCCGGCCGATGCCCGATGAGGCGCCCGTGATGACTATCGTCTTGCCCTCGAGGCGCTTGGCCATGGCGGCGGACATGGTTGTTCGCACTGCTGAAGCGGAGAAGAAGAAAGAGGAGGAGTAGGGTGTAGGTGTTGCCGGGAATACGGAACGAAAGTGGGGTCGGCAGTGGGAGTGAGCTTGAGCTTGGAACAGGAATCGTGCAGTGCTTATCACTTTTCTGGCGGTTGTTGCTGGTGTTGTTCGTGAGAACATCGCAGGAGACAAGGTATCTTATTTATTCAAGCCCGGGGAGGACTGGGTTGACAGCCGAACAGCCAACCCCCCGCGGAGTCGCCGTTGACGCCATCTCGTGGGCGGTCCACCTCCCTCAATACGGTATTGCCGGTGCCGGGCCGGCTCCGGAAAACGCCCCGCATTGCGCTCCATCGCATTCGCGCCGGCGATAAGCAGCTACCCCGCATTGCCTCAGCTTCCTCCTGGAATACGTGAGGTACGGTGGGTGGTAGCCGCCGCTCCAAGACATCCATCTCGGATAACACGAGCTATGCCGCAGCAGAGCTGGTTCAAGATTCTCTCAGTAAGGTAGGTACTTTACTATGTCCTGAACACCTTTCTATGAGCCGAGGAGCACTACCCCTTGAACATCCAAGTACTCGGGCATGGCAAATCCGCTAGCTCGGATTTCAGTCCGTTCTATCCAAGAACGCCAGTCTATATGGAGATGGTCCAACCAAGAAAAGCCATCCCTGTATGCGCAAGAATCGAACCTTAAGCAATGATCCAAGATAGGGCCTGAATCACTCCGTGGGGCCCGTATCCGAGTCCAGAGCTGCCTTTCTCCTCTCACCTTCCTCGAGATGCCGCTGCTTCATCATCTCCTCGAAAGAGACCCTGTTCCTGCGGCAGACCCCAAGAGTGCAGATGGTCGCGGCAGCGAGCACGGCGCAGCACACAATCATGTCCTCCTTCAGGGCGTCCGTGTACAGCCTCCTGATGAGCGCCCACTGCTCCGGCGCCAGGCTGTCTGATGCTAGGTTGGCAAGTGCCTCGGGCGGCACGCTCCCGCCGGCTAGCACCGCGCGGGTCTTGGTGCCCAGGATGGCCGACGACGCGGCAATGCCGATGCTGCCGCCAAAGATGCGGACCTGGGACATGATGCCTTGGGCAGAGGCTATTCCACCGGGTTTTGGTTAGCATCCCATATCATGGTCAGAGATAGAAGAGAAAAACAAAGAACAAAACCCACCATGCTCCCAAATGGGCGACTCCGTCAAAGCCAGCATGGTCGCGCCCGCAGCCGACAGCCCGAAACCGAGGCCAACAAACACCAGAAAGCCCAAGACCTTCGCCTCGATTTTACCTTCCTCCACAGAAGCAGACGCCGTCGTCTCGAGCGCACAGCCGAGTATCATCAGCGCGCACGCGGCAAGCAGCGTCTCCACGAACCGGACCTTCCTCCCTTCCTTGCCGCTGTTGATGGCGCCCGCCAGGGTCGTCCCGGCCGCGCTCGCGGCGAGCATGGGGAGCAGCATCAGCCCGGACTGCAGGGCGCTCCTGCCGTAGACAACCTGAAAGCGCACGGGGAAAGCGTAGATGCAGAGGAGGTAGGGGAAGCCCGTCAGCATGGTGTGCAGCACGGCGGCGACGTAGACGCGGTTGCGGAGCAGCACCGGCGGCAGGGCCATGGCGAGTTTGGGAGTGTTTTTATTGTTGTTACTGCTGCTGCTGTTGTTGCGGCGGGACAGCGACCATTGCCAGACGGCGAGCAGGCCGAGGGAGAGCACGCCGCAGAGGAGCGGGGCGAGGAAGACGGCCGAGGACCAGTTGGGCGATGCAGAGGCGTTTTGGAAGGGGAACACTATGAGAACGGCGGAGGCGATTCTGTATTGTTTTGGGGATGTATGTGTTAGCGGGTGGGTTGAAAAAGGGAAAGAAAAGATGAGAGAAGTGAAGAGGCGGACTCACAGGAGGAACGCGCCGATAAAGTCGACGTCTTTCCAGGCGCGGCGTTCCAGCGACGGGAGATGCCTCTTATCCGGCCAGGCGAGCATGAAGACGAGGAGGGAGAAGCCACCTACCGGTCCGCTGTGGGTGTGTTAGCAGAGCCCCGCGTGTGTGGATCAAAGAGTGGAAGCCTGGAAGGAACGACACGACATACTTGATCCAAAACACCCATCTCCAACTCGTGTACTGCGTGAGGATGCCTCCCAGAACAGGGCCCAACACCCCCGCGGAAGCTATCACTAATCCCACAAGACTTGCGATATGCTTCTGGAGATGAGTCGGCGTCAGCTCAGGAAGAGTGATCATCGAGACACTATACAGTCCTATGTCGCTTCACCATCAGCCCCTTAATTCCTTCCCCCCCGCCCGCTCCAAGGTAGCCCGAGCAGCAACTTACCAGACCCGCCCAACCCCTGGATCGCCCGAAAGGCGATGAGCTGCCCCATCGCCTGACTGAACCCGCACGCCAGCGAGAAGACGATGAACACGACGTAGGCAGAGATGAAGGCGACTCGGCGGCCGACGACGTCCGAGATGCGAGCGTAGAGCACGGCACAGCTGAGGTACGTGAGCGTGTAGGCCAGCGCGACCCAGTTGATGCTGTCGACGTCGCCGAACTCGACGGCGATGGTGAAGAGGGAAGTGGCGACGATGGAGGAGTCGAGCAAGGAGAGGAAGAGGCCGAGTGCGACTCTGAGGAACGTGTGTTGTCAGCCCTCCCCCTTTCGTGCGGAGAAAGAGGTGGTGGGTTAGGGCTGGTCGCCAGCCAAGGGGAGGAGGGCCTTACCCCGTTGACAGGGCGATGAGGCGTAGGCGTGGTATGTTTGGAGAGCCCAAGTCCTTTCCATCTGCGCCATTCTCGTCCGCTCCGGTCTGAGGCGCTTCGCTGTCGCTGGCAGCCGTAGATGTGAGTGCCGGTTCGGTAGAGAGTTGCTTTTCAGCGCCCGACTTATTCTTCGGCTCATCGTTGGGGGTCGCTTGTCCCATACCAAGCGATGCCATGGCGCTGAGAAAGTCCTGATCTGGACACAGATATCATGACGCCTCAAAGCCTGGCCGCCCAGTAGCAGCTGCGGACAGTTTATATATGTCATCCTTCGGGAGCTTCGGGCGGCGACCGAAGTTACAGCTGGGCCTGTTAGGGCTGTTGCGGCTTCACTTCGCCTTCGAGTTAACACTACTAGTCGTCATGGTTGGGCCAGCCCACATGTCAGCAGCAATGTCAGCGATCCGAGAATGCGAGCATGGCGGTATGCGAAGTCAATAGGGGTCCAGTTGGCTTGGGCCGAGTGCGAGGGCGATGGGTGAGCCTGGTGCCGTGCCCTCCCCTATGGTTCTAGTGGTCAATCCGAACGATTTGTCCAATACAAAGGCCGTCAATCGTCTACGGGTGTGTCTAAGCCTGGGGACCGCCAATGACATGGCGAGTAATACCGGAGATCGGAAGACTTTTCGGCCTATTATGATGTTTCCGGATGCATTCGACATCACCGCGCCGCTTCCCGGCCGCATTCGCACTCGCTAAACCCATCTCCCAGATCCCTTTGAATTGGGGCGTGCCAACCCTGTGATTGGTGGTCTTACGGCGCTAGTGACGCCGCGTCGAAAACTAACAGCCCTACGCAGATTGAAAATCCGAGCCTCAATCCACAGATGTTCATTCAATGTGGCATGATGGCCGTGAATGCGATAGTGCATGAGTGCGGTGTTCCATGACAGCGTACCTACCATCTTCCGTTCTCTTATCTGTCGATACAGAGTGTTAGTTATACAGAGTGTTGGCAAATCGGGGATTCCTCGGCCTGCTATTGTCCACGGTTTAGGTTACTGTAGCAACAGCTGAGAGAGGAAATACAACATCTCTCAGTATACCTCTACCTATTTCCGCTCGTGGGGATCCACCGTACAGGGTCGAGATATATAGATACAAGTGTATGGCCGAACGGAAGGTTTCTAGGCACTTTTCTCACTTCACGGAGTTTGACTTATCAAGACCGTGGGGGATGATGCTCACTTCAGAGGGGCATCCACCAACGGCGCCAAGACTGGTGATGGAGCAAAAATCAGCGAAAGACATACAACACCGAGGATTCCCCAGTCGTCACCGACCTGAGTACTAACTCGGCCCTTGGTAGCTTGACGAGGGCAGAGCGGACGGGATGCCGTACTTCCTACCAGGTATGGTCGTATGTAGGGGAAAACGGCAAAGGCGGCATTATATAGTATTCTATGTTGAAGCTGAAGAAGCGTGGTGTGGCCGGGCTCCTGCAGCATATTATGGCTCGGTTCAACTCTCCGTCAGTCTCATTTGTTGTCTTTAGTACTACATCGCGGTTGAAAGCCCCTTTACTCTCCCATGACCACTCCTACACTGCTTTATTGTACATGCACCCAAGTGCCTATCCCACTGTGTAGCAAAGCTACTTCGGAGAGTACAGGTGAATTTGGAGAGCAGAGGATTTTTCCTTAGTTCCTGGTCCGCGTTGAGCTATCTGAGGTGTGTACCGAGACCCAGCACTAAGCTATAGAGTATCGAAGCAGGTTCCATGGGCAGATGAGATGCGCAGCGGCAACCAGGGGTTTGTGGAAGCCGACTTGCTGATGCCTCGAATCATGCAACAAGCGTTCCCAACGAGTTGCGCGTGTGCTACGTATGTGCTACTGCATTTCATAATCAGCAGCGTGGTTTCTGTGTTGGTCGAGCGTTGATGTCAGCCGAACTTAATATAGCTCGGGGGTTGTGATTGTACCTCAAGTGACAGGACAAAAAGCTGACTCGACTACTGATTCCTCTTCTCATTCTCGTCTTTTTCCTTCTACATTTCCGGTTCTCTCAAGACACGACTACGACTGTTTGGTCCAATCGCTTCTTGAACTATGAGCGCGAAGAGCTCGAGGTACAGTTTGGGGCTCTGATTATGGTACTTTGCGCCTATTTACTGTCTGCTTTCCGAGGCCAATGTCAAAGACTTGTTGGGCAGTTCGGTTGGCTGGGGAATGGCAGGGTGGCCCAGTCGTCCTCTCACCAGGCAGTGTCTCCTCCTTGAGACGGTCATGTTAACGCAAGACAATCGAAGCATGCAGACCTCCTACACCACAGTTATGGTTATTCGAGCGTTTATATGACCTAGTGCTTTTTTTTTTGCTATCCCTAAGGTGTCGGTATTTGAGGCAGAGGTTCCCAGCTTCCGAAAAGGAAACATATAGAAGACGCAGAGGACTCGACAATGCTCAACGGACTTGCATCGTGCAGTAGTAGAGGAACTACATCCCTCTTCATCCCTGTACTCGCGCCAGAACGGACCTGACAGAGCTCACACTGAGTGTTAGCCTTTGTGATTGCTAGCCACGCCTGACACCAGCTGTTGGTTTTCTTTGGCTACCTACCTACTAGTCCGGTATCTTACGTAGGTATGCAACCTTTGACTTCGATAGTCAGCAATACTACAGGACCCTGAACCAATCTTCAATGGACAGTGGGAAGTGCAACTTGAATGTGGGCTGGCTAGAAGCTTAGCTCTTTAGGTTCGGCGACCAGACGTGTTGACGAGGAGACTTAAGAGAACGCTGAGGGAAGTATAGTACAATACTCTAGCCTTGAGATCCAAACTCGATACGTTCAGGACCGCAAGGGCTTGTTCCACATTCTAGTGACAGCCGGTTTCTCCAATGGCGATGCCAGAACTTAAACGTGCAGTTGCCACCGGGAGGGCGCCCTTCAGAACCAGAGTCTCATTTTTGACACGGTCTCTTCGGGCCCCGGCCCCGCCTCGACTTTGAGCTCTGATGCCAGGTCAGACTCTAGGTAGGGCGAGATATCCGAGTGCGCAGTTTGTATCTTGTAAGACCGATCTAGCGAGCCTGGATATGACAAGTCCATCATCCAGGCGACATCAACCACCAAGCTGCCAGAAATGTTCCAGAAGACGGGACATCGGATGCTGAATGTGAATTGGTCAGAACGGAGCACCAGCGGCCTCCAATACCGCCAGGCACGCCTAGCTTAACGGGGCCTGTTTTATGAGCGGAAGGAACAGCAAAGACCACTGGTACTGTGTAAGTACGTAAACCAAAAGCCTACGACCGAATGATACACGAAGTACCTGAGATATGTATGCCTTAGTACAGTAAAGTCCATTCGCTCGTCGTCTATCATCAATTCTAGCGGAACTGCCGGTCATACCACTGCAGTCGGGCAATTCTCAAAGACCTTACAAAGTACGGATTATTTACCCCGCATTCTCTACCCCTGCATGCACAGTTCAACGGTCAACCAAGCACAGCCAACCCAAGGATCGGTTTCCGGGTGCCATCGAGAATTCACACCGGTATAGCAGATTCCTCGCAAAGGAATATACTCCATCTCATCGTACACGTGTATGCTGTTTCTGACCATGCCGACCTGAAAGGGAAGGTGGTTGTCTGGTTCTTTTGTGATTCGGTAAGGGCTGGCCTGCATCGGCTTCCCCGCATTCCCATTTTTCTTATCCCCCAGCCTGCATTGTTACCCCGCACTCCCCAACAAATGCCTTGCAGGCTTCCCCACACTGTACACTCGGTACCTGAGGTGGTGTCTTGGCGGCCCCGGTCCCCCCGACTTGAGACTCCAGCACAACCGCGCTACGGGCCGCAAATCCAGATTGCCAAGCGGCATCGATGCTGAAGTCCCGAGTCATTTTCCCGCCCAATCGTATCTCGCCGTTTTCTCTGAATCGGGAAACCGTTCCTTTCCCTGTGTTCGCCCCTAAACCCCATGCAGCCGCCGCGGCGATTCAAGCATCACAACATACGCATCAAGATCAGTACTTCGACGTCATTAGGCAGCATGAGCCTTTCAGATGCCGAAGTATGACAGGGAAGAACGCATCTCTGGGCATGCGCCGGGCGGCATCTTCCTTCACTTGGCAGCGCGGATAGAAGGGGGGGAAATGGCGAACGTTGTTAGTATGGAATACTTAGTATGTACTAGTATTTACCCCCTCGCGCTGCTGAGAGCCGCCCGGATCGAATTAGCGCCCGACACCCCGTGTCTCCTCTCCTCTGCCAAGGGCGCCGTCATGAACGAAGTTGTTTTCGCGCCCTCCCCTAGCGTAGTGTATGTACACAGTAGACATCGCCTAGACCAGAGGTGGAGTCCCCGATGTAACACACACCGAGCTTAACGCCGGTCTTGTTCCTGTCTGCTACGCTGAAGTTCAGGGGGATATCGTCGATCACAGCCGCGATGAGTTAAGCACCCAGCCACATACACTACATAGCACGGCTTGGCGTTCTGGCGCATCGGCCCTGACATCCATGGTGGTAGCGGCCCACCAGAGAGCGTTCGAGAAGTGCGATGTCACCTCTCTTCATCAGGCAGGGGCAGGTTGACTGTCCCGTCTTTCCACGAGCTAGCGCCTTCTCGAGGGGACCTAACGCCGGTTGATTTCAGCACGTTCACCACAACTCTCGTTGAAGGGGTCTGCAGGAGTGCAATGCCATGGCACCGTGACGGTGCCGGGGAAAAGTCGAATCGGGAATGCCGGCAAATGGCACTGGGTGTCGTCATTGTGTAGAAAGAACCCTTCGCGAAGGCTTCCATCAATAGCCGGAGTCGCACAACGCAAGACCCGGGGTAATAAGGGGCGGCTGCATCTCAAAATGCGGGGAGGCTGGGGAAATCTAAAAGCGTCCAGCAGGTGGTCAGACGACGAAACAACAAGCCAACGTCGTCGTGCTCTTCTTCCGGGTATTCAACCCAGGGACGCGTGCCAGTTTTGCCCTGCCCAATCAATCTACGCCCGTCCTTTGGCCCGGAGTGCACGCCAAGGCCGATCAGAGAAGACAAAGCTGGGACAAGAAAGCACCTTGGTACTATTCGGCAAACTAAGTATAGACAGAAGAAGTAGAGTGATGCAAAACGCTTGCCACCTGTTTTTCCATTGCCGTCGCTCCCATCCAGAGTCCCAATTTTTCGCCAACCACACCTGATTTGTTCTGATCAGGCGCATATACATGATCCTAACCGACAATGCGCCCCTGGTATATCCGTCATCATTCAAAACAAAATGAGAAGTTCCCTTTCATCATAACACCCCGTAGCATACACCACACCACCGCAGTGCAACCGAGATAGTACTACCTAGTACTGCCTTTCCCATGCAGAAAAGACCCCCCCATAGGCACCGTGACACATCATAGACCCCTGTACCCCACATTTTTTCGTGGACATCAGCAAGAAATGTCGCCCGCCATCCCTTTTGGCCGTCCCGGGCCGAAAAGGCCTGCCAAGGCTTGCAAGGCAGGAAGTGAGGAGCAGAACAAGGACAAGAAAAAAAAAGGCGTGAGCACCAGCTCAGTGGACGTAGCCAAACCCATTCTGCTGCTGTTGATGGTGAGCAGCGTGATGGGCCATGAGACCACCGTAGTCCACACCCGTAGTAGTGGCAGCAGCAGTAGTAGTAGTAGAGCCCGTGTGGTAGAACTCGGCCGCCGCCGCAGCAGCAAGCGCAGACTCGTCAACGGGGCTGCCCAGGCTCATGGGTTGGTTGGGGGCCCAGTACATGCCGTCCAGATCGCCCCACAGGCCGCCCTCGGTGAGCAGGCCCATCATGCCCAGGCCGTCGACGGGCTCCAGGCCGATGGGGGACATGTGCATGCCGGCGGCGTCGGCGGCGCCTGGCGAGGGCATGAGCATGCCGTCGCCGGTGATGACGTGGATGGTCGAAGGGCTGCCCGGGACGACGCCGGGGCCGGGCCGCTGGTGCTGGGCGACGAGCTGGCGCGCGGCCTCGTACATGCGCCAGACGACCTCGCGGCTGCGGCGGGCGGCCAGCGACCAGTCCTCCATGACCTCAAGCAGGTCCAGCACGGCCTCGATCTGCTTGAGCCACTCGGGCACGCGCGGCGACCCCCACTGCCAGAAGACGCTGACCAGCGGCACCATGGCGGCCTGGTACAGGAACCAGACGGCGTTCCACCCGGACATCTGGTTGCGCGCCCACTCGCGCGCGATGTCGTCGATGGTCTGCGCCGCCAGGTCGCGGCACGTCTCGATGGCGGCCAGGTCGGCGTCGCACGCCTGCGTGTGCGGGTTGAGCCCGGACGAGGCGAGCGAGAGCAGGACGGGCCGGTGCAGGAGCATGCGCAGGTTCTGGTAGCGCCACTTCATGACGCAGCGCGCCATGTACAGCGGCTCGGCGCACGGGTCCGTCGTGCGCAGCAGCCACGGCAGGTTGGCGTACCAGGCGGCCAGCTGGCCGTCGAGGCTGCAGCGGTCCTCGGTGCGCAGGAGCGGCGTGATGGCGAGCATGTCCTGGATCTGCGTGGCGATCTTGCAGAACTTGATGTTCTCGATCAGCGGGAGCATGCCGGCCGCGTGCTGCGACGCGTCGCGTCCCGCGTTGACGCCGAACTCGGGCGGCCGGATGTTGATGGCGGGGCCCCAGCGGCCGAAGGATGGCCGGCCCATGGTCGTCGTGGCCCACGTGTCGAGGCAGAACAGGCTCCACCAGGTGCGCCGGCGCGTCTCGGCCACGGCAAGCGTGTCGTTGGTGCTGCCGCTGCTCTGGGCGAGGCTTTCGCGGTGCAGGCCGAGGGCGCTCGCCATGCGGATGGCGGCGCCGAGTACGGCGTTGGCCATGTTGGGCCGGTTGATGTAGTGCAGGTAGTAGCCGCCCATCAGCGCCAGCGCCTGCACCGTCTCGATGTGGCTGCTGCCGAAGGCGTCCAGCGGCAGGTGCTCCATGGCGCGGTTGTAGTAGTTGATGTGGTTGTAGTCGTCCGACTTCATGGCCGCGATGCTGCCCATGGCGAACACCATGTTGAGCAGCGCCAGCCACGGCGCGTCCGTCCGCTGCCCCTCAAGGTAGTCGGCCCGGAAGCTGCTCTCGTCCAGCATCGGCACGAAGACGTGGATGCGCTTGAAGTAGGCGTCGATCAGCGTCTGGCCCTTCCACGACCACGGGATCCGCTGCTGCGCGTCCTTGTTCGGCGCCGACGGCTTCTGCCGGACGGCGGGGAAGTTGTTGCTCATCTCGACGCCGCTCAGGGGCGCCGCCAGCGTGTTCCGCAGGCTCGGCTGCACCTTGAGCATGACCATCAGCGCCGCCTTGATGGACGAGGCGCCCAGGTAGGATGACTGCCGGTCCACAGAGAGCGAGAGCGCGTTGATGTCGTCGGCCTCGGCCGGGATCGGGTCCCTCCCGCGCCGCTCCTCGTCCCACTCGGTGTCCCGGGACGGAAGCTGCTCCAGGAGGTTCTCGGCCTTCGGCATCATGGTTGGTGAGCCGAGCTCGGAGAGCGGCGATGTGTGGATGGGCGGCGACGGCAACCCGCTGACCGATGTGTCGATCATGGGCCGGTCCAGGAGGTTGAGGAGCTCGTGCCGTGACAGGGGGAGGAGAGCCTGCACCTCGTGGTTCGGATAGAGCCGCTTCAGGATGGACCGGCATTCTTCGAGCGACTGTGACAGGGCCTCGAGGGTCTTGCGCGAGGGGATCACCCGTTGCCGGTGCTTGTCGTAGAAGCACCTCTTAGGTGCCCTGCTGGAGAGACACTGGCCGCATGGTTGCTGACCGTCGCACCGGCTGCAAGCGGAGACAAGCCCAGTCAGACCTCGCGCCAACGCCCCGTTGACATATGGCGTTTCCCAACTTACATCTTGCGCCTCTTGCACTCGGCGCAGGCATGTGGTGTCGTTATCCTCTTCGCCGTCCCCGTCCCGCTGGACTTTGCGCTGTCTTGTGAATCTATCGACGCTTTCCGTGGCGTGACTCCTTGGAAGGTGTGGAACATCCCTCCCTGTGTGGGAATTGGGATTGATGGAGCCATCGTGGAGGAGTCAAGGGGTATCTCGCAGAAGGTGTGTCAGGATATCGTTGAAAGAGCTGGCGCCTAGGTCGTGGTAATCCGTATGACGCCGGGGACGGAAGTGAGATGTGATTTATAGAGACTTTGTTGTTGACAAATTGTTGTACATGGAGGAATGTGAACGTCAACCCTGGATTCGAGCCTCTTGACGGCAGCCACATTAAACTAGACGTCGACACGAGCAGTGTTCGGTCGATGCGAGAACGTGGCGAGCAGATGCAGCCCATATATACCTTGAAGTCTACATTCATCGATGCCCCTGGGAGTTGGAGACGGGGGCTCCCCGAGATATGTGGGGAAAGTAAAGTCGGCTCCTTGGCCGCTCGGCGTTGTGTGGAGAACAGCGTCTCTCTGCGGGCCCAAGACTCCAAGTACCTTCGGTGTCTTCAACATATGTCCCGAGGTACCGTGGCAGCGTGGTATTTACCGCAGCAATGACTAAATGACGGTGTACCTAGCGTACACTAGTGGGCGCTTGTGCGGGACTCGCTGGTACCGTCCCATTGCCATCGCAATCTAGACGGATATGAGCCCCAGTATGTATAACTTCCTCAACTAAGGTTGATATCAAGTGTGCGAGGCAATGTCCAGCGCCCTGCCATGTTGCTGTGGTAGGTGGCGTCCGTCGGTGGTTCATGCCGTGTCCGTCGACTGGCAGCAAGCCACGAGGAACCTTGCGCTTCAGGTCAGGCACACGTTGGGCCCTGCACCAATGAGTGCATGGCCGAGTCTCAGGCGTGTGCGTGTGCGTGTGTACTGTGATACCCGAGCCCACATACTGAAATATCGGACCGAGTACTGTACTGGTACATACTCGTAACTCGTCACGCCTCACGCCCACCCGCTCTGCCGAAACGGCAGCTTGTGCGCTGGTGAGGGCGGTTCGTTTGGGCATCCAATGTACTGTACTGCCGCATGTACGCCCAGTCTGGGGAGCATGAGCCTTCGATCTCAGCCAGCCAGTGAGAGGCTCTCTGGGCGCTCGCGTTTCAGCGCCGGGGCCGGGGTGCATAAGTGATGGAGGGGAAGCGAAAGGTACAGTACCTATGTACAATCGTTACCGGCGAGGGATGCTGCAAGGCAGCACGTGAAGCGGGATAGCGGGACAGCGGGAACGAATAGTGTATCCTGACGATGTTGCAGTCGAGCATCGGTTGGCCGGGGTCGTCGAGCTGAAGTCAGGAGAGTATCGCGTGTAGTACAGCCACCCTACCGTGCTGTGTAGGGAGTTCATCTCACGTTGTTCTCTCTCTTGACTGACGTCCTTCGTGCACACGAGTTTAACACGAGCGATACTCTCCACCCTCTCCTTTCCCCTGCGTTCTGGAAGAGAGGAGCGAGATGAGAGGGATACCTCCACGCTAGAACATCGCACCACTGTTTCTGCGCTGAAGTTTTGGCCAGGGCTGCGCGTGGAATCCAGGAGTTCGAATTGGAGAACAGTGGGGAGCGCGCTTCTTGAGGGGAGGAAGGCGAGCTGGAAAGAGGGACCGTCGGGCCCAAGAAACTTCCTCCCAGGGGAGGGGGAACACCGCTGGGCTGTGGGGAAGCGACTCCCATGTCAGTGATCTGATTGGCGTCCGGCGTTGCTCAACGGCCAGTGCCTTGTCTTTGTCGATCTGCGCGCCACAGAGTGTGCTCCGATCAGGGCGGACAGGGGTGTTGGGTCCGGGGTGTCATGCCAGGTGGGCGTTGCGCTCGAGTTGCGATGTTTCCAACAAACAAAGCTACCGTGCACTTGGGCAAATTCGGCATGGCGGCGGTCAAAAACGACTATGGCGCGCCTAATGGAGAGGACATGCGCTCGAGCCCTCCAGCCGGTTCGTCGCCAGCTCATCCGGCGGATACGACGTCCCCAAGCGTGGGCACCTATCAAATGGCCTTCCTATAGACCTCACTTTGAGCGTACCAGAAAACCACGTTATGGTGAGCCGGTTCGTCGAGAAAAGGTCCAAAGTAGCCCTGGTATTTGCCCCCTGTGATGATGCAAAGGGGTAAGGCGGAGCTGAGGAACACAACGGCCGACTTCCATGTCGGGGCACCTTGGAAACTAAAAATGTGTGAATGTGCCGAACCAATGGTGTAGGTAGGTACTAGTAAGGGATCCTAAGGTAAGTTGGAAAGAAGACGGTTCTTCCAGTTGCAACGGCCCCATTCTCTGCAGGGCATCCACCGACGCGTTCGTCGCTAATAACGGAGAGCTTGCTTGGTCCGGCCGCACCGCCGTCTCGGCCTCAGACCTTAGGAGTGGAATCGGGACCCACGGAGTCCACGAATTTCGGCGCTCGCTCTGTGCCGTCTTACGTCCTGTCATTTCGGCGCCGCCGCGTGCTTTCGTGACGGAGGAGTCGGCAATGGGAATCCAACGAGATTATGCGTCAATTCGAGATCTGAATCTTGTTGGTTTTCCCTATTCCTTGATGTCGATTGCCGAGCATGGGTATGCGGAATGGAACACCGTTAAGTACGGGTATCGGCTTCCTGTGCGTACCGAACAAAACGTACAGTACGGACACCTCCTTGTCGTACAGCGTCTGAGTTTACCGGCTGTGCCGCGGGCGGGCAGGCTGGGTCGGCCAAGGCAAAAACATAAGGTACGTACATGCCTACAGACCCTGGAAGAAGTCACCAAAGTCTGTTCTCACCTTCTACTAACTACTTGTACTACTATTGTGTATGCGAAAGATCGCCATTTTCAAAGGTAGTCGAGCATTGGCTTGGTCAATCTGAACCATAATGCTCTGTCGGCAGACGGCTAGCCACACTAGGTTCCTGGTTGTTAATAGAGCTGAAATGACATGCGTACCTTACGTTCAGGCACATACCTGGTATTGTACCTATTGCTTGCAGTGGCTTCTAGGTTTATAGACGCTGTAACGTAATAGCAACTTCTCCGGGCATACTTTTACTGTTCAACTATGCCCGTACCATGTAATCCGTACCTTACACCGCCCGGCGAGTATGAGCCATCTGTGTAATCTGTAAGGTACTGTGTATCCGTAGACGGCTAGGCATAGCCGAGAGTGCGAGGGCAGAGTGGGTGCGGCTTCGCAAGAACCCTGCTCACGCCCTGCAACGCACGATCGAGGAGCCCCTGTCATCTCGGCTCCGGGTTCCAAAACGTTGTTTCTCCCCACATTTTTGTCACCCAATCAGAGTTGCAGAATCGCCTGGAATCACGGCAAGCGAGCCTAGCGCCGGTCGGCTGCGCTACCCCTGCCCCAACCACTGTGACCGCTGACCATCTGGGCAGCTCTCGATTCTGATCATCTTTGGCTCACCCAGTAAAGTTACCAACATGGTTAATGACTTCGATGTTACCGCCGCTAAATTTCGTGCGTTGTCTAACACGACTGCCGAATCTGGGGAAGCCATCGATCAATCGTCTAATCGCCTCCTCCAGTGGAACCTACCTTATGCCATCCGGTGAAAAAGTGGTGGCTTGCTCGGCGGAATAACCTCACGAAGTGGACCTTGCGAGCCCCTGTTCATTAGAGCTCAAGACCCGGGTCTTAAGCTTGAGAGACGACGGCCGCCAAACCCAAGAGGGTTTAACGCTAGCGGGTTTCGGCAGCCACATCGCGGCCTTTCCCCACGGTAGAGATCCAGGTCAAATAGGAATTCTACGCCGATAACCAGTCAACCCTTCGAGCGGTTCATGACAGATTAACTGGCGGCCATGGCAAATCCAGCCGTCCTAGCTCGATGCCCCCCTTTTGACATACCGCACAGACTGCGTTCTCTGCGCGTGTCCACTTTTCGACTCCTTCTCGAAGCCTGTCAACCGGTCGCGACAAAACGGACCTGCTGGTTTACTGCGTTAGTTACACCAGCCCGGCCGTCCCGAGTTGATTTGGCGAGACTGTCTGAGAGGCAAGTAGTATGCCGTTATTTTTATCAGTTCCAAGCCCAGCTCTAGCCGTCAGTGCCCGAGCCCGGACTTTCCCTACGCGGATTACGTCTCAGTGTGCTTTTCAGCAGTCATCACTATATCTCCCCCCGTTCCTGATCATATGACTGCTTTCTCATGGAGGGTGAGCCGCAGCCCCGGACGGCGCGGGTGTGTGGCTTTGGCGTGTGCGACTCCTCGCAACATCGCATTGATCGGCATGATGGGGCGCTGTTGCGGGGACCTTGAGGCTGGAAAGGCCCGGCTGGGGTCGGCATCATGGAAGGCTTGGACAGACCGACATTTGTGATGCCACCTCAGTTTCGGAAGATCGGGTTGCCATCGCCGGGAAGCCGGTCGTCCGTTCAGGGCCAGACAGCCCAGAAATACCTGGAAACATACGTCTCCCTGAGACTCGAGTAAATCACACCGCCCAGCAACGAATGTTATGGGCCTGATCCAGCAAGCAGGACAGAGACGGCGTCACGACCATCCTAAAATCCCTGATAGTATCTGAAGTCAGACTTGTCTATGCGGCCCGGAACAGGCAACCTTTCTACTACGTATGTATCAACTTCCAGGCAGGAGACGTCAGGAAGGCAACAACAGCCCGTATGGAGGAAGAAGGCTTCTAAGATCCGTAAAGCCTAAACTTTCCTCGAGACCTAGTGGATCGAGGTGGGCATCATGGGCTAGTTGCGTCTTGGAAACCCAACACCGGGTTGCCTTGGAATCAAACCTTGGCCTACCCGCCTACGCACCTTCGCTCTGCCTCTCTAACACTTAGTGGGCCGAAACACGCGTGAATTGGCAGATTGACATCTAATCGGGCTGCATCCCTCAACTCTATCTTTCCCGGCCCCCACCGATCATCCTGCTAATTGACCTCGCTGTTTTATTTTTATTTCTCTCACTTACACGTGTATACTCACCTCCCTATCAGCGGCTTTTTTGTGTTTTGTGCAGGACGGTCGATATTATGGCACGTCTCACATCAAACATGTAAACAGGAGCATGCGATTAGTAGACAGACGGTGAAGCATGACGCCACATCCTGTTACTTTTTCTTCTGTCGTCCATGCCCCTGCGCTCGGTGTTCTCTGGCTTGGTGCTGTGCCTGGCCAGGGCATTGGAATCAGCTGCCTTAGCTACTACCCCGAGGTACCACCTAGTACTTGTACATACATTACATGCACAGGTATCCGTACCTCACATTTAGCTGCATATGCAAGACGTCGAGTGCCTTTCCCTATCGGCCGAATTCATCCAGCTTTCCGCACAGCGCGTCGGAACAATCGTCACATTGATCCGCCAGAGCTGGTACCCTCACACGGCTGGTGACTTTGATGGACCACCGGTGCCCCTCCCTCTCCCCCAAAATCCTGTCCCCGAAACCACCGACGGCACCCCAGACTACACAACAGGAGCCCGAGGTCACTTGTCGCATCTTGTGGCTTGCAGCCCGGTCGAGCCAAGATCTGGTATCGGGCGCTCTTACCGGACCTGCTGACCACCATGACGAGATGGCTAAAGAGGCCGGCTGCCACCAAAGGTGGCTACCTACTGGGTACGATCAAAGAACACGATATCCTCACCGCAGTCTACTTGGACCCGGTTCAGCATTTTTTTTTCCATTCCAGACCCATCTGCCTGCCTCTCCTCGGTCGGCCATGAGATAGCAGCCGCTGGTGCCAAGTGGTACTCTTGGGGTGATGCAGCCAGTGAGCCAGCCCATCGCAGCATGAGGGTTCCATCTAGGCCCTGCGGTCCGAAGCGTGAAATATCTGCCCGGGTTAAAACTGACGGGAGTGGGGGACTACGTTGTGGGCAGAGGCACACACTGGCCTACCTGGATACCTACTGTGCATTACCCACTCATCTAGTGTATCAGACAGGGCTAAAAGATGCAAACCACGACACGACAGACCAAGGCTGTGAGTGCGACGAGCGCGACAGGACAAACACGCCAGGCCGAAGCCGTTCACGATGGTACTCTACAGTCTAGCTTTAAGTTACGCAGCACTGCGTATTCGAGGTGGAGAGGGTAATGATGAGGCAGTCTGCTTGCTACCTGCCGTGTTCTCACGACGTGAGCCATTGCTCTGCCCGGAGACATCGCTACCGCCAGTGCTTGTTGAGGAGGGAAATAGGCAGTTGACACATCATATCCACGTCAACTCATCTCGTCGTGATTGAGAGGGAACAATGATAAGCAGACAGGACATCACTTCTGACAACTTCAAATATAATAAACCATCCGCAACGTGGTTCCTCAGTGCTTGTCTTGTCGGCCAAGGCATGAAAACACCGTTATTAACCCGGATGTGCGAACTCCCAATGCCGAAATTCCCTCAGGCTGAGGAGGATAAAAGCAGAAGAAAGGCAAAGAAGCCTGTAAGCCAACCTTGACCCATGCAGCCCGTCGTCTATTTGTTCATTCATTCATTCCCCATCGCCGCTGTCTGTCTGTAGCCCGCGCGTTGTTTTCATTGTCGCAGCCAATGCACCTGTCCTGTCTACATCAATATGTCCGTTTCCCCTCTTCTCACCACTTCCTCTTTTCATTCCGGGAAGAAGCCCTCGGCTTCGAGTTCGCCGCGAGCCCATACCCGTTTGCTTAAAATTTCCGACCGGCTCAGTTCGCTACAGCATAGGCTCGCAGGTGCCAATGCTTCGCGAGATAACGTAGGTAGGGCAAGATAAGAGAGAGAGCCAGGCCATTCTGGCGCTTATACCCGGGACACGCCTGATCTCTCTTCCTTCCCGAGTTCCCTTTTCCCTACGCCTCCCACGCATCTATCCAACCATTCAGAGCTTCAAGACACCGGACCGGCTCTCGACTCCATCGAACACGCATGTGTTATCGATAGGTATGTACTGCTTCGTAATAATCTTGATCACCTCCTGAGCCACCATGCCTCCCGTTAGGGCGGCAATGTTGTGCAGCTCGCCTCCCCCGGCGCGTGCCACCTCCTCCGCGGCCTGCACCACCCGCTCGCTCTTCTCCGCGCCGGGCAGCTGCGCGGCGATGGCCGCTAGGATGGCGTCCACGGAGGGAGGCGAGTCTACGTGGTGGGCTGTGGCCTGCAGCGCGAGGTAGATCGGCATCAGGGAAAGCGAGGAGAATGTGGGAACTGCGTTCTCGTCGTCGGCGGACTCGCGCGCTGTTCAGCAGTGGCGAATGATACCCTGTTAGCCTTCCCCTTTTCCTCGGTCTTCTCCCCCTTTCTCGGTTCTTCCCCGCTCCCCTCCCTTACCCGCTCCGTTGAGATGGTCATTCTTGTCGGGGGAGAGGGTCGAGAACATGCAAGTGTGTGGAGGGAACAGGGTCTGGGCATACCTGCTGCTGACCTCAGGCGCTCTGCCCTGCTGTTCCTCGCGTCGCCTCCCCCTCCCGTAGCATTGATAAGCTTGACGGAGGCTGCGTTCTTGCAGAAGAGATCCACTTCTGCGGGATCGACGCGCTCGCCACCCGGCGCGGCCTGCACAGTCTGCAGTATCTCAGCTGCGTCCTTGCGGGCCTTGTCCTTGTAGATGTTCTGTAGCCGGATGTACACCGTCGACTGTGCTTTCATGTCGGGCACCTTGCCCGAAAGCGGCAAGCACTTGTGCTTGTCATAGAACTGCTTGACAGCGTCCGCGATGAGCCAGAACCCAGACCTCTGCTCCACCTGGCCAATGCCGTGTCAGCATACGGAAGACCGAGCCGAACATCTGATGGCCGAGAGACTTACAGGTTCCGTATGTTCGTACTCGAATATTTCTTTCAGGCCGGACGGTAGGGAAGGAGGTACAAGCGTTTTCAAAACGGCACCAGCTGCCTCGTCAAAATTCTCTTCGCCACCTTCCGGGTTATTGGTTCTTGCCGCACTCTGCACAATCTTCCGAAATTCGATCTTTTCCTTGTATGTTGCGGGGTACTTGCCGTCGTGTGCCGCCTTCCACTTCTCAAGATAGTGGAGAAGGATCACCACATATGGCAGGTGACCATGCTCATAGTTGTCTAGACCGTCAATATCCCTGGTCAGCTCGTCGGCGAAGGCTACCAACTCCGGCCATGGGGTCAACAGCCGCAGATCAGTCGTGGCTGTCTCGTCTGGATGCGTGTCGACAATGGGAAATGCTCCGGGAAGATTAATCTGAAAATACGAGTAAAACCCAGCTGAATGAATCGCCACGAGCGGGGTTTTGTGTCGCTGTCCATAATCCTGTATCTTCGAGAGCTGCTCTGGGCGGATTGGGTGTGTGTACATGATCACTGTGAACACCGAAGAGTCGGACAGGAGCGAGTCGAGCGTCTTCACGTTCTAGATGAACGTGAGTATGAGAGCTCCTTTGCAGGAGTTGAAACAAGTTCACAGCTCCTACCTACCTCATCCGGATACCATCCACCTTGCACGTCCGGGTTCAGCTCTGTGATGAGCTCTGTTAGGCTCTGGGACCGAAGCTTGCCCAGACAGCTGTCGTCCAGGAAGAAGTTGACGCCAAGATCGGCCTCGCTAACCTCTGCCTCGTCGTAGATGGCGAAGCGACCGATGCCTAGAGCAGGGGATCAGCACAGTTGCCCTGTCGAGTTGAACCAGCAGCACATACCGGGCAGTACGAGGTTCTTCAATGTCTCCGCGCCGACTGTCCCCGCCCCAGAGTTCAGCAACAATATGTTCGCTGACTCCAGTGCCGCCTGACCACTCGCAGCCCATAGCCGTAGCTGTCGGTCGTATTTGCGTTCCTTTTCTGAGGGACCGTGCAAGATTGGTGGTGTCTGGCTCATTACGATTTCCGTCATCTTGCTGCGACTCACGAGAAATCGTTCCACGGTGAGTAAGGAAGGCTGTCGTAAGCAGAATGAGAGGTACCTTAGGTCCGTTGATACTTTGTGGGGTTCTACTATCATGCATGTGGATCACCTGGCTGCACTTTGTTGGTCGCTGCGAATTACAGCCACATGGCGAAGATGAGGTACTGTGGCTGACTGTGGCTTGAATTCGAGGTTGATCCACAGTAACCGTTGTTGGGGTTTCCACTAACTTGGTTCTCCTAGAATTGCCAGTGAAGGTGAAGGAGGATTGTTCAATAAGACGAAAAATGCAGTGAATGTGAAAGCCAATTTCATTCACTCGATCCATTCCTTCGTGATTACATTACTAGTTAGGCGGCTTAACCTCCTCTGCGCCGAAGCTTGGACGGTGCCACTCGTCGAATCACTGGCTTGCTCCCAGCTTGGAAAGAGCGATGGCTGGGAATTGGGCCGCGACTTCCTCTGTGAGACGGCGCTGGATGGAGTGGACTCAGATCCAAGACTGGGGCTTCCTCCGACACTGGACGGGCTGCCATTGTTCTTTCACAACTTGAACCTAAACCCTCCCCATGCCAACACTGAACTTGGCTACCTAGAGATCCGACTTGCTTCTGCTGAGGGCCTGTACACGGCTGCTCTAGTTGACAGTGCAACATGGAACCGAATTTGAATTGCAATGTGCAAGAGTGTGGCGCTCAGCTCACAGGGCAGGCAGTTGTAACAGTGTGCAGGTGAGTGAGTGCCTGCTCTCACGATAGTGCTCCAACAGACAAACTGAACCAGTCCATGCACAGTCATGCCATCTGTCTGCAGTGCGCGAAGGGTAACGGGTTTGGAGACCAGCCGCCCTACACTTGCCCTGTCTGCAGGCAGCCTCTAAGTGCCGCGGAAGTCTGCGAACAGCAGCTCTATCCTTCTGAAGAGTGGAAATCGGTCGCTCTCTGCGGTCTCGGCCCAACCGTCGTCATGGAATGCGCAGGAAGAGCTCTAAGTTTCTGGTCGTATCAGATGGCGAACCAAATGTCTGTGCCCCTGATCAACCAGCCTTTGCTAGGCTCTAGCTTACCTATGGAAGCTCATGGCAAATACGGAAGAACAGCAACTTGAAGGATTATTGCGGAGAGCTTCAAGGGGAGATTCAGAATATCTGGGCCCAGGCAAACCAGAGAATCACCTCACTGACAACGAAGATGAAAGGTTCGCCATCCTCAGCAAACCTCTTCTTGCCAATGCCATTGACACCACCCAGGGATGGAACGGGAGGAGTATGAGCTCAGGCGGAAGTGTGAAGAGCTCCGTCTCGCCCTGGAGGACCGGACTAAAGAGCTCTCCCAATCTCGGGAGCTCTACAGCAAACTGAAGCATAGGGTTTTACTCAATCAGACCCAAGACATCGCTCCCGGCATTGCGAGATCACAAACCCCTGTTAATGCAGGCGCCGCTTTGGACGCGAGTCGTGGCCATACACCATCTCAACCTCCACGTCCCGGCATACCTGTCGCTGCCAGAGCCGGGGTGTCTAATTATTTCCCGGCCAGTCCCCGGTACTCAAAGACCCAGCCCAGTTCAAATGAGCGGTCGGAGTGGAACAAACCGGCGTTCTCTCACCGTAGGTGTTGCCTCCCATAACCTACACTCGTCGGTGGCAGCGAGCTAATTGTTGAGCAGCAACTGTGCCCGCCACACCATCCAGCAATCTACCGCTCAGAAATCCCAGCACCCCATCCGTTGCTTCCACACCGCGAACCGGGGTCAGGACGACATTTGCTCCCGGTTCGGGGCGGTTCCATCGGACAGCGAGTGGCTCCCAGTCCCAACCCCATTTTGCAGACAGATCAAGTGGTTTCTCGGCAGTTAAAACAGGTGTTGCTGGCTTGAAACGTCCGCTTGATGGGGGCAGTGCGGCTCTGTCCATGCCTTCTCTGGAGAGAATAGAAGGTGCATATCCTCGCTATCCGGAGCGACACGTCGAAGCTAACACAAATCAGCTATTCGGGGCACGCCTCGGGCGTCTTTGCAAATGACAACGAGAGCACCGTCCCACCTTCTTGAACCGCCAGCGTCAATCCTCCGCCGCCCCTAGCTTCAAATGCCACTCCTTGACGTGCCCAGTGTTCCATCGCCAACTCAACGGGGATGACAGTGGAAGCCAGCCAGAGCCTCCTTCGGCCCCAAGAGAGTAACATTGTACTCTTCGGCATCCTGATATCCGGCTTGCTGCATGTCCTGTGAGATCCCCTACGACCCGTCTGGAGGACATGAGGACATGTGGACCCAACTCACAGACAGAGAACGAGGCTGTGTTTCTGTGAATGGGAAGCCCCGTGTTCTGACAAGCTTTCAGGTGTCGGGCGTGGGATCGGCTGGTACGAGGACACTTCTCCGTGCGCTCGAGCCGTACCCGGATCAGCGGGGTTGTTTACTGCTTAGTGAACGCGATGTAGTGAGAAATTCGATGCGAGTGGATGTCCAAGTATTATGCTTCTTTCTGTTGCACAACAAAGCAGATTTGTTTGATCGACGAGGCCGAGCGGGAACGAGCTCACACAGGTTTCAAATGTGACTCTGCACCGATTACCACGCGCCGAATGCCGAACCAAAGCCGGAGGAAGGAACGGAAAGTTGCACGGTGAGGTGGACGCCAGTCTTGTTGGGGCACGATGTTGGGTACCGGTGGGAGAATTGGTTCATCTAACCATCTTCTAGGACGGACCTATAAGTCAACGCGGCTACCGAAGTCCGCAGAAAGATGAAGCGGCAACTGCAGAGAGATGTAGGCACTTGCGACTTGACGCTTGAATTTTCTCAAAATCTCTAACAATAACCCGGCAACATGGTGGCTGTGCCATGTCGACGACATAGAGAATGTGCTTGTGAAGGTCAACCGGAGTCTTCAAACAGTCGAATGAATCTGACGATTGGCCCGATGTGAGCTGCAAAACAAGCCAAGACTCGGTACAAGACCAAGATGGAGATCTGGAACTCCCTTCCCGGTATGGTCATGCAGCTTTTAAGGTTGCAGCGGCCGAAACTAAGTTTCAGAGGGCACCGGCTCTGATTATTCCCGTGAAGCTTAGAACAGCGGCCGCCATATCTGTTCCAAAACGAAACGATGCAGCACCGGAAGCGTATGCATCTTTCTTAGCACCACCGGATTCAGGCGCAAGTTGCCTTTCTAAAGGATTCCCTGAGTTGGCACATTAGACCGGGGAGAACGTCGCTGGGAGCCGCCGGTCTTTGTGATGTTAGGCTTTAGCCGCTGCACTGGTGATCTGAAGCCCGCAAACCCCGGGATCTTGGAGTCTACATATGATCTACGGATCAGGAAACGTCTCCGCACCATAATGAGAATGCGAGGGCTTCGCTCAAAGCTTAGTTGTGTGGAATTTCCGGGGTTGCTCTAAACAGAGCACGGACAAGGGGCCAGGGCGGCATCCCGAGAATCGATGGGAGATCTTGAAACAGGTCTAAGCCCACCATGTTTCTGGCACTTACAGCTATCACACATTCACACTTACCGTATACAGCTCAGCTTGCGATACTGTGTCATGATGCTGGCAGCTCATGACGCTGCAGCCCGTTGAGAGTTTGACAACGACGGACGATGAGGCTGGAGGCCCAACGGACAGGGCGCCAGACTTCGTGAGTCCTTCGACGAAGACATCTATATAATGGGCCTCGCCGGCCGCCATCCACAACCCAGAATAGCTTCATCCTCATCACAGTACCGTCCAGGAGACTAGCCAACCTCAGACCTACTAATTTCGATTCTTCTCCTGCAGGGCAGGTCTTGCTTATAATCCTACTATCTTAGTAGTTACCCATCCCCCCGTCCCATCCCATCGACTTTACGAAAACCCTAAAATGGCGTCCTCGGCGAAAACCTTCCTCACTCTCACCCTCCTTGCCGCAGCCGAGCTCGTGGCCGGCCATGGCGCCATCATCGGTGCCAAGGGCAACGCTGGAGGCAGCGGCATGGCCCTGGGCGTCGATACCAGCACGCCCCGGGACGGAACGCGCCGCAATCCGTTCCAGCAGGACAGCACCCGCTTCCGTGGCGCCTCGGCCGACACGGTGGGCGAGACGCTGGCCGGCGGAGACAACAATCTCGAGGCCGGTACCCAGGCCATCATGGCTGAGACGGGCGACTCGCTGCCCCAGGTCACGCCCGGCGGTGAGGTGACCATGACGCTGCATCAGGTGAACAGCGATGGCGCTGGTCCCTACACGTGCATGATCAACGCCGACGGCACAGCCGCGACCTGGTATGTTGTTCTCTTTACTACCCAGTACTTACTACTACCTTACCTACCTTACCACAACCAACAGACGGCTACTGTTTATCTATCCATCGCAAAGGATAGCACTAACGTCCCTCCAGGACTGACATCCAGGTCACCCAAAACGTCCCAGGCCGCAACTCGCGCAACCGGGTAAGCATTTCCTTCTTTCCCCCACGGGCCCCCCCGGCCCTTCTCCCTTATTATTCCCAAAGCGACTTGCTCCGTATGCTGACACAAGACTTTTTTTCCTTTTTTTAAAAAAAAGGACGGGTCAGAGACCGACCACCCCCTGACGGCCGCCATCCCGGCCGACCAGACCTGCACCGGCACCGTGGCCGGACAGGAGAACGTCTGCCTCGTCCGCTGCCAGAACGGGGCGCGTGCCGGGCCCTTCGGCGGCGTCGTCCCCGTGCAGATGGCCGACCCGGCGGCCGCCGCCGCGAATGGCAATGGCAATGGCACCACCAACGCAGGCGCGGGCGCGGCGGCTAAGGCCAGGCGCAGCCTCGCCAAGCGGCTGCGGGAGAACGGCATGAAGCTGGAGAAGCTGAAGCGCCGCGCTGTGGCGCTGGCCCAGGATGCCGGTGACCCGGATGTCCTGGCTGAGCTGTTGGAGGATTGTGAGTGAGTGACCGACGAGGGTGGGAGGGTTCTCTCGACGATGGGATAAAGATTGGATGGGTGGCTGCGGTGACTGGGAGGGGAGCGGGGCGCTTGTTTGAGTTGGAAAGGGGAATTTCGGTGGATGTTGTTCGTCTTGTGCTAACTATCGTTGTCCCCGTCTGTACACTACTATAATTGTATGCACCTTGACGGTGTTACATCTCCTCGCGTCAAGATCATCATGGTCGTAGTGTAGCCGTCCACCTCGCATAATCGAGTTGCTTTGGATCCGGTTCTGACGCGAAACATGCCAGTGGCACCATCATTTGCATCCCCTGAATCTTGAGTGGTCCAATTCCAGTGAACAACATGCTGCCTTGGGCTGCCACGCATCGTTCCGGATGTTTAGACTTCAGAGATGCCTGCATGGAACAGAAACAAGCCGTGTCAACCGTATCGAATTTGCTTTTCATGCGAGTACCCCGATTTGCTTTTCTCTACCTACCTAGACACCTTCGATCGACACCAAGATGCACCACAACACAAAGTAACATATGCTCGCTGACACCCTCCCTCGCCACGCTATGCAGCATACTAGCAGTCATGCATATACGGTCAAATCATCGTTGCCATCCTGTCACACCCTCTACAACGAATCGGGAAACTTGTCTCTAACAGGTGTCGAAGGTCCCTGTCGCTGCGACATGCTATACGGTGCCTAGTTGCCATTAGCATCTTGGAATAGGTTCACAGTCGCGCCAACGAGATGTTCCACTTACAAGCACTTCCTTTGCGCTGCATATCCGCCAAGCCAGCCGCCGCACATTCCCATCAGCAGGCACCACAGCAGGCGTAAACTCGACGCCGAACATGTGGCGAATGGCATAGACGACTCTCTTGGCGTACTTGCTGTCCCTCTCGACGTGTGCTCCGAACCTCTCGTCCACCGTGGACGGGGCGATGTCGGGATCGCGGTCAAGGCAGTTGCGAACGATAGGTAGAAGCGCGTCCTCTACCTCCTTGGCGCCAACGATGTCGCCGTTCTCATCGTCTACTTTCGGGATGCGCACCTCGAACGGCTCGGAGATGGACACGACGTTGTGGCCGCCGGCGTGGTGGTACCGGAACTCGAAGACACCCTGCGTCCACCACAGCTTATCGCCCTCAAACACCATCTCGCCCTGCACTAGATCCACGTTGGCTGGATCGGACGCTTCAACCGGCTGATCCGACGAGACGATGCCCTGATCCGTCGTGGTGTCGAACTGCCCGGGGCAAGTTGGCACCCACCGGCCCAGACTCGGAACTTCGGTCACCTCGCGGGATCGGTTGTCCGTCACCATGTACAGGCCAACCCAGTCTCTTTTACTGTGGTTTGCCGGCGCGGTCCACTTGACCCGGATGGGAGCGCCGTACTCGAACACCTTGGTCTTGACATGCTTGGCCACCCGCGCAGTTGGGCTCTCCTTGCCGGTGGCCTTCTCGTCGGCAGCCATCGACGGCGTCCCTTCCATAGAGATACTGTAGTGCTTGGGATCGTAGCCCGCGAGGTCGGGGGATATCCGGCTGAGAGTCAGACGGGCGGGATACTTGTTGAACAGGGCCGTTGTATCCCTGACAATGGTCGAGGGCCCGGTGGCCAGCTTCGAGCGGGCAGCATCAACAAAGTCGTCGACGAACTGCTTGGTCTCATCCAGCACCTTGTCCATGCTCATCTGCAAGCCTTTCACGGGCTCCGGGAGCGAGCGCTTGATGAACTTTGTCAGGCCGGCCTCCTTCCGGACCTTCTCGCCGTAGATCTTCTGCATGTGCGGCTTCTCCACGTACGAGATGAAGCCGAGGGTAAGAATATGGCCGATGAGGGCGATCATGAAGATGGCCCTGCTCCAGGTAATGAGCGCCATGCCCCACAGGCCCGCGGTGCCGATGACACGTTCGGGGTTGTTGAGGAAGCGGTAGATGGACTTGTACGTGAGCTTCCCGGTACTGTCGAAGAAGAAATCGCCGTAGAACCATCCAAACTCGCCAAGAGAGTCGTAGATGCTGGCGGCAGTCCAGATCTGCAGCGCGACCAGGCCCAGACCGACCACGTGCTTCAAGAGCACCCAGCCGTATCCCCAGTCTTCCGGATAGGTGTACATCTTCCAACACGCGGCGAGAAAAGAGGCATGGCACATTGTCATGCTCAGATGATACATGCCCTTCCATTGCAGCCAGGCCTCTCTCGGCGTCTCACCGAACTTGAGGAAGTGCCGGGTGAACATCTTCTCGTTGGACTGCTTAGTCAAAATGATACCGAGGCCGACCGAGTACCACAAGCGCCACAAAATGGCATTTGCTACAAAGAGGGTCTGGTAGATGGATGTAGACGGCGTGAGCATGGTCAAGGCGGCGAAGTAGCCGACGAGCAAGACGGCCGAGTAGTCCGTAGTGCGGAAGAAGTCAAAGTTCTTGAATCCCAGCAGGTTGTGGACGGGGAGAGGGGCGTCCGAGCTTGCCGCTGCTTCCTTTGAGAACTCGGCCGACGGTTCGGACTGACTGCTTGCTTCGGATACCGCCCGCTGGCGGGGTGGCGGCGGGTTGTATGTCTTCTCAATATGGGGGTTCTCGACAATGGCCAGGAAGGCGAATTGGGCAGCATGCGCCAGGATGGAGATGAACAAGACGTCGTAGCTCGCGGCCATCATGGAGATGCCATAGTACCCGGCGTAGCCGATGGAGTACATGGGGTGCGGGGCCATCTCAAACACACCATCGAAGGTCAGTTGCTGGTCGATGAGGTAGAAGAAGTCTGAAGAGAGAGTCAGCACCGGTGCTAACCCAAGATCCATGGCAAGGGGGCCGTCTGCTTACCTCCCCAGTACCAGGCATAGTCCTTGACGACTCTATGAGCGTCTAGCTTGACCCACAGATTGAAGCCAACAAGGGCAATGCCGGCGAACCAGCGAGCAAATGCCACGGTAAATCCCTCGCCGGCCGGCTTGTGGGCGCAAACAATGGCGAACAGACAGTATGATACAAAGTCACACATGAGGATCAGATCCACCACACGGCGAAACACAAGCCAGGTATTGTACTCGATGGGCGCCTCGGCCATCCGGTAGTCCTTGGGAATCTTCGCCTCGAGCTCGCGGCGGAGCAGATCGTAGAGCCACGGGCGCGGGTTGTTGCCGGTCGAGGGCTCCGCGAAGAGCCTCAGCCTCCTAGCCCAGGTGACCAGAAGTTTATAGTTGGACTGAACGGTCAAGAGGTACCCTATCCCCACGTTGTACGAGGCTCTCCAGAAGAGGAAGATGGCAGCGAAGACTGGGCGCTTGAGGCTCCATGGAAGGGCGTATGCCGCCCAGATGTGGAGGGCGAGGATGGCGAGCACCACGGCATCGGAAAGGTTCTTGGGTTCTCGCGGGTCGAGCAGCTGCGAAACCATGTCGTGGGTCTCGGGCACGACGAAGACCGTCCCATCGGGCGTGCGTCCGTAGGTTCTTTTGGGGCGGCCGTCGCCGTCGCCGTCTCCCTCTGCGAGGAGCTCGGTCTTGCTGTGTTCTTCAGGCGTGGCGTTGTCCTTCGAGGTTGACGGTGCTCGCGTGCGCTGGCGGATATTCTCGAGCCCCGCAAGCTCGCTTGTTGATGTGCTCATTTTTAGATCCCGGTGTTGAATACCGAGTTAGAGAAGACAAGCGTTGAGCTTTTCCAGCATCACCCGATCAGCAAGGATCGTGTTGACGTTGGAGTGGCTGAAGCGGTGGGAGGGGGGTACTGGGAGAGACGAGATGGCACGTGTGCCGCCGAGGACCATTGAGTCCCAACAGATGTCGTCACGTAACGCCAAGCCCAATTTAGCTCGTCTGTGCCGCTGGAACACAGGAAGGCGTGGCTATCTTGCCGCGACTTCTTCGGAGACGACGTCACAAGAAACAGCTGTTTTACTGCCGGCACCTGTGCGTGTCGAAGTCGCGGGATGGAATTGGCCAGTTGTTCTAGACCGGGGTTACTGCCCCCAAGCTTGTCCCAATTCACATGCCTCATAGCCATTGCGGGATCGCATGGGGGCTTTCCCCATCTTGACCAACCGCTGCTCACCGGGGACCTGGGGCAGTGGAGTTTTTCAGTTCTGGCGGAGGTTTCCGAGGCATTCCAAGCGATTGGATCGGATCGGTGATGCTGCATGTCACGTGTTTATGTTTGCGTTCAAATCAATCCTCTGTTGCTTCCCGATCGCGACAGGCGCAACACGTACGGTTTCTGAGCACACTCCGCCCATTTATTAGTATCTATGCATGGTTCTGCTAATGACCCGGCATTTCAGCTGTGACAAGCTAGTGTAGGAACGATCCTAGCAGGGCGGACATTTCCGTTGACGACTTGAAGTTTCACTGCGTTTGATGAGATTGTCATGCTTTCGCAACCGGACGGCTGCCCGCCACCTGTCCCTCAGCTGTCAATCCTCTGTCCACCACAGTACACCCCATGTTAGCTTCAGGGGTCCAGGAACATCGCATAAACACGATGGGGACAGCTTCCTTGGTCCCGGACTCCCGTACCGACTGGACGACGGATTGCTCTGGAAGAATACAACACTGCTGAGTTTTCTGGTGTTCCGAAAATATTTATGAGTCAAAGGTAGGTGGGTAGGCGCTAGGCTTGGGCAGAGGATGAAAACATAAAGCTCTTGGTGGCTCGTTTCCTGTCCCTTCAAGTTCCTGTTCCGTTCCGTTACTAGGGTGCCTCGAGCTCTGCTCCTAACGACCGAGCCAAGTCATAACGATACACAGTATACTCTGGGGAGAGTAGATCTTGGGCGAGAACAAGAGGAACCCCTCAGTTGCCATCCATCTAAATTCTTAATTTTCACAACTTCCATATCCACATCATCATCAATGGCTCGCCCGTTCTCATACTCCTCAACACCGGCAGCCGCCCCCTCTGAGGCGAAACCCCTTCCCGAGCCCGACATCATCGAAGAGCCACAAAGGCCAGGAACCTCCGGCACAGAAGCAGCGCTGAAAGTCACGCGCCGCCGCGCCTCCCAGAAACTGCGCCAGGCCGAGCGCGCCGAGCGCCTCTACCGCGCCAAGAAGCGCTCGGCCGCCACGCGCGCAAACTACGCCGACGCCAAAGACCATCTCCACCAGGCCAAGGAGCATTTCAAGCTCGGGGTCAAGTTGTTGGTCGCGGTCGTAAAGGGCGTCCCCTATGTGCTGAGGGAGAAGCACGAAGTGAAGCGGCTCAAGAGAGAGGAGGAAAAGAGAAAGAAGGTCATGGAGATGAAGCAACGCTTGGACGAGAAGCTGGCTGGTGCCGAGGGGAACGGTGACGAGGATCGGCCGGAGGGTGAGGAGAGCGTTGGAGTTCCTGCGGCTAAGGGGTCGCGGCGTTGATCTGGAGGCTGATGTTGATGGTTGAAGGCTGAAAGCGGTAATGAGGCTGAGAGACGGACAAGAGGAGGAGAGGAGTTATACCCACGCACACATCCTTCAGTTTCGGTCCCCCCCGTCGTTGTTTTCTTTTGTCAGTGTTTCTCTGTTTCCCTGCTCTTTCTTTTCCTTCGTTCGACTGGGACAGCGCTGGTTAACACAAACGCAGTTGATGTCCAGGTCTCACACTCACTGATATGGCACTCCTGGTGCGACAAACCCCCTCGACTGAGCCACGATATTTTATTTGTCCTTTTCCTATCATGTCCATCATTAATACCCTTTTCCTGTATCTAATGACTCGACGAGGCATGACTATGGTAAGAACGGGCGGCGCCATGGCCGGATGATCTTCCCATTCGGATGGGAGAGGGGTTCGTCGGATTGAGGAGTGTTTCTGGCTGTGTTATATTCCCCGGATTACCGCATGGCCCCGCGGTCAAGAGCAATTTGAGAGATTGGAGATTGCGGCGTTGGGATTCGTCTCGATTGTCTCTTTAGATAACCCATACCCAGCCCCTGCGCAACAAGAAGTGAGATATACCGACCCTGACCGTGATCCAGCCCACAAGAATGGAACCGCTTTTGATTTCCCAGTCTGGTTCCCATGCTCACCAACCTAAACCTCGTCCCACCTCATCTCAGGCCCCCTTCACTGGGCTTTCTTAGCAAACTCTACCCTCAGAATCAAATGCCGGAAACCGAAGCCATCCATCTTGTTGCAAGCTTTGACGGCATCGTTCCGATCCGCGTAGCTGATGAACGCAAAGCCCTTCGCCAGTCCAGTGTCGCGGTCCTTTGCAAGGAACACCCGGGTAACGCGACCGAACCGTTCGAACATGTCGCGCAATTCTTGCTCCTCGGCCATTTCGGAAACCTTGTGTGTGTAAAAGCAGAGTCAGTATACAACCGCCAGCCAACCGCACCCAGTAAGCCGAAATAACCCACGTTTGTAACCCGGAGGGTCGCAAGGTCGTCCCGCTCGCCGTATTTGCCTCCCATCCGCTCGCCGGCACCGGCGCCGGCCCGGTCGCCACGTAGCGCGGGCGGCACGTACGAGCCCTTCTTGCCGGCGCCGGCGGCACCTACAGCGGCACCTGGAGCTGCAAGATCATCGCCCATGCCAGCTGCGGGGTCGGCCGCACCAGCCTCGCCAATCGGCGCCATTGTGTCCTTGTACGGGCAGCGGGCAGTGAAATGCTCGCCGTTGCAGATACGGCACTTGACTTTCTTGTCCCGGAGCTTGTCTTTCATCGCTTGGGCGTTGGGGTCGTTGGCTTCATTCTTGGCCTCCTTCCGCCAGTTCACTGACGGCGTGAAGATGATGTTCTCGGCTACTGTCGTGGTGTTCGGATTGGGGCCGGGAGCGTCATTGGCGCTATCCCCAAACTTCTTCCAAGTCCTCCTTTCCGCCACGCGGGGGTTGATGACTTCGCGCCGGGTAACATTGCGCACACGACGTGTGACCTTGACCTTCTGACCCTGGTCATTGTACCGATATTCGATGATCGTCCAGGTACCGTCCTTGTTCTCTATCTTCTGGATCGGCGGAAGGTCGGCCGTCGTCTCCTCGAGCTCGTCGTCGTCCGCCCAGTCGTGCCTATGTCACAAGTGTAAGATTTCGCTTTGCGCGCGAGTTTGCCGGTACACTCACTTTCTTGGGGCTGCCATTTTCGCTAGATTTGAGCGTGTTTGAGGGTGCTGTTGCAGCGGGAAAGAATCTCGACCGTCGAAATTTTGGGTATGGATTACTTAGTGCGGGGCGAATTTTGGAATTTTGGTGGGTGCACACTTGAAGAGGCAACTTGCAAGTCGCATGTTTTGAGACGGATGTCCAACCAAAAAACCCAAGCCTGATTGTCTGCTTGAACAGCCCCAGCCCAGCTATTCGACGAGTAGTTTGTTACCTCTAAACGGAAAGCCTTCGTATTTTGCACGTTAATGCCTCCTACCGGAGACGTGTGCATTTCATGCTTTGTTGGTGGGAGGCTTTGCGCTACAGCATCTCCGGGGCTTGGCCTTGGACTTGGGACTAACAAACGCGGGAAGAATCATTATCAGCCAAATACCTTAGTATCATGCCAGGCATATCCGGAAACGTAGATAGAGGTCTCGGCTGCGTACAAAGGAAGCCACCACCCGTCTTACAAGCAATGGCCAGTTACACCCAGCCTCCACATCAACATTACTATCTGGGGAAAGGTAGATTACCTAAGTATATGGTAACAAGATATATAATAGGACATGGTATCGTCATCTGTCATCCACCGGGTATAGCTTTCCTCATCCCATTACCTCTTCCAACACCAGATTACACCACTAACACTAACACTTTGTTCTCGTTGACACCCCCTGCCCGTGAGGAGACGGCAAAGGAATACCCATTTGGACTGAGCGGCGTCCCTCACAATTTCATAAGGACGTCGCTCGTTACAAGGGTGATATATTGGACCACGGCCTGAATATTCCAAGCCGGTGCCCATTTCCAAGGGCTTGTTGGGGCATTATGATTTGATTCCCGCAGCATACCCTTGACAACGCCGGGCTCCGGCCCATCAGATGAAACCCGGCGGTGGGACGGCATTCATTTTCGCTTTCTGCGGAATAGGAGGAAGGGCCCTATTCGGCGGTGGAGCAGGCGGAGGACCGTCGGCAAGTTGCGACATGCTCCGTCGCTGTAGAAGCGACTGAGACTGTGAATCGGCCCTAAGATGCTGTGAAGACCTCGGCACTGGTCGAAGAGATGGTGTACGAGGTCGCTGGCCAAGGTCGGGTCGGATGAAAGGTGGTGGGGCAAGCGATGTAACGGGACCCTCGTCTTGCTGGGCTGAAGCAAAGCTCATGCGTCGGAGCCGTGTCCCTGGCTTTACTGTTGCTTTCATCCCCAGCCGATCACCCCCGTACGTGCCTAACGCCGACGTAGACCGAGGCATGTCATAGGTATCGGCCGGTAGAACTTTGGACGGGGAAACGCCATGGTGTCTTTCCCAGCCCTTGTCCGGTGACTGGATCGAGGATCTCCGATCCGTGTACAGAGCCATCCTCGACGCGTTCTCTTGCGCCGGTGCACCATTATTGCCGGTTGGGTTGTCCTGGACCTCTCGCTTCGTTATCCCACTCTCAAAGCGACGGCCCGTAGCTGGCGGGACGGACCCAGGGGAAGGAATGGCTGACAAAGGGCTCCCCGTACGTTCGGTTCCTGTGCCACCTCGACTGACAGATGACAAGGCGGGCGATGGCTGATCCTCCACCAGAGACAAGGGGCGTGGATTGATGGACAAGGCCGAGGGGGGCGGTCTCCGAGAGCTTGTGGTGCGTCCTAACGGAGACGAAGTCATTACTTGCGGCGGCTTTCCGGCATGGGCTCTCGCAGCGGAATACTGCTTGGCCGTGTTGTGAATGGCACTAGAGCTTTGCATAGGTTGTGATGCAGGAGTAGGTGGGATGGGGGCATCGTCTTGCCCAGCACTTGAGTTTGTTGACAGACGACGGAGAGATGGGTCCGAAACAACGCCCATCTCGATGACGTGATTGATGGTCTGCAGCGACTGTCTTCTATCGATGATTGCCATGGCGTTCGGCCGCAGTCTCGGTTGCGGCTGTTCCTCGAATTCCGACGGCTCCGGCGAATCAAGCTCTCCAAATGAATCCCGGATGGGGGAACATGTGGGCGACGAGCCGACGGATGTGATCATCGTCCTTTGGCCCCATGAATTGAATGAAAAGCGATTGGTGCTGTCCCTTAGGGCGTCGAGCTGCCTTCCGTCATGGGAGATGAAACTTGCCGTTGAATTGTCATCGAAGTAATCTTGTGCAGAGTCGAGATGGATATCCGGGCTTGACATGGGCGGGAATGGGTTCCAAGACTCATCGGGCGTCATAACGCGCGAGAACCGATCGGGATCCCTTACAACCAGCGTCCTTTGGCTTGTCTGGCCCTTCAGTTGCGGATCCTGGTCGCTGGCCTTCGGCTTGCCCGTTTCAGATAGAACCTTCCTGCCGCCCAGGGTTTCAATTTCTCGTCGGAGTACGGCGATCCAGCCCTCCATCTGTTCGGCGCTTTCGAAAACCATCAGAAACGTCGAAGCATGCCGCCTCTCCTGGCCCCGGAAAGGAAGCCGCGCACGGAGAGAAGTATGGGAACTAGGGGCACGATCCGGATCCGCGACCGACGATACCTGGAGCACCCAGTGGCGACCCGGGATAGCGTCACTTGCGAAGGCGGCCGAATCCTTCCCGAGTTGGAGAACCCTCTCCGGTAGTCGGTCATAAGTCCCTTCGCCTGCATACTGCAGCAGGTATCCCGACGTCACAAGAATGAAGACTTTACTGGTCCATTCAAACTTTGAGGCAGACCCAGATACATTCCTGCGATGCCTCCTCTTCGACTTCTCGCCTGTGCTCTCGTCCGGCGAATCAGGCGTGCCAGGGCGGAGGATGTTCGCCAGGGAGCCGCTGCTCCTGTGATTGTGCAGACGGAGAATGACTTCTGCGGGGACGGTGCATGCAGGGAGATGGGCGTGTTTGATTGCCTGCGGGTAAGCTTGGAACAGCGGAGGAGGATTCCAAGCCGAGATTCCATCGGGATGGAACTGTTGGCGTACGGTGCTTTCCGACTTCTTGTGTTTCAAGCTCTGGCCAGCCGGCGGCGGCTTGGAGGCCGGCAGAGAGACTTCCGATCGATGCCCCTGTGTGTGGTGCACGCCATACGGCCAGTTGATTTCTGCCAGCGAGGCTCGTAGACCTCCGGGCCTCTGAGAAACATCTCGCGGAGAACCCGGTCCACGATCCGCGTCAGACCCTCCTCTATTCCGGCCGAAAATGCTCCTTAGGCCCAACCTCGAATCCCTCCTGCGCGTCTTGTCTCCGAGCTCGGCCCGCAAAGGCACTCTAAAGGCCTCTCCCAGGTCGGCATGCGGATCAGGGGGCCGCGCCCTTCTCGGATGCGAAGGTTGAGTAGGGCTGACGTCCGGGCTGATATTGAGCATGGCCCCATAGGATGCCGGGGGCGGTGAGTCAGGCATAATGAATGAGACGGCGGATAGTATTCCACGTAAACAGCGAGAGGTGTTGACTTGTCGCGGCTTCCCGCTCAAGTCCGATCAGTCAAAACATGTGTGAGACAACGGATCGCCAAGCTCGCGGGGCACCGGCGAGGGGACGAGCATGTATAGAGTTGAGAGAATGGCGGCTGTCAAAAGAGGGTCCGCCGAGGAAGGTAAAATAATAAGAGAGAGAAAGAGCGGCGAGGATGAGACGGAGTGTCGACGTGTGACTAAGGTAGGTAAGCAAGAAAGAAATGATGCAGGCGCGTCCCAGCTTCGGCTGATGAGGGAACGCGGGATGCTGTGAATGGCGCAACGAGAGTGGATGATACGGCCCGCAAACTATAACCACGACTTGCCGAATATACGTCAGAGCGTAATTGCTGCGACGCTGATAAAATGGGAGGTACGGTCGGGAATGAGTGAACCGACGTAAGGAGAGAATAGGAATGGAACCCGAGCGTCGGATGGGAAGACTATTGTCTCCATATAAATTGCAATGGGGAAGGAAGAAACAGTGACAAGGTTGGGAAGCACCGTTGGACCACCCCCAGGGCAGGGGGCGGGTAGCCAACCGCTGTCGTCCTCCTGTCAAGAAACATCTCCCCTCGGTACTTCTGTGCTGGGGCATGATCTGCCGTGTAACAACCTGGACGATGGGCCAAACATCCTAGGATATTTATTGCCCGCAATTTGATGAACGGCGGTTTGCATCGAGACCATCTTTGCCTTGTCAACAACATAACCTTCCGGGTTTGCAGCATGAGCAAGCAGAATCTCCGTCGCGTATGTACAGTACCAGTACGCACAGGTGCCTAAGGTAGGTACCTACTCTAGATAAATACGGGGTGGGTTGGTTTCCGTGTATAAAGAAGAAGCATGAGGAAAAGAAATGATGACAGTAAAATTCTGAGCTTGAGTTACATCGACTATCATGCCCCTGGTCCCTGGTCGAATCGGCTTTGACCTCGGACAGGGTTCCGCTTGTCAATGTGGGTTCATTCAGGGGTATTGTTTCCGAACCAAACCCCAGGCTCTGGGCGCGTAAACCTGAACGATGATCTGAATTTTCGTCGCTTTGGTGAGAAGGATTTCCGAGTCGGCAACAAAGATTCTCCGCCGCAAGTTCTGGTTGAGTTCTACATTAGATGGAAGCTCGATCATGATCTGTAGACGTACGTTGATGTGCCTAAAGAAAAAAGGAAAGGAAGAAAGCAAAGTTCATGACTGGTCCCTACTGGCCTTTCGGCATTCATGACGAGGATGTCTTATAATTTTGTATTTTCGGTTTCCGGGACTCGTTCCGGGTGCATGGTAAGTGGGGATATGAAACGACCTTGGGCTTCCCCGTACCGCACAGCATCACCTTGCTCTCACGATCATCTCACTGTCAAACCCGCTAGGTCATGAGTCTGCTAGGTACCTCGCTATCCACCCGCCTAGACAGTAATCTAAGACTCTCAGCTGCGATGCATCGTAACCCGGAAGTTACACAATAAAAATCTGTTGACCGGCTTCCTGCACTGTTCGCTTCGCCAGTTTTCCGCATCCGACAGAGTCAGCTCAAGCAATTATCCGTGGATGAGACGAGGAGTAGGGTATTCCTGGACGCGGCGACCCGTCTGATTCCTGGCTCGCAGAACGAGCCTCGAGAAACGGGCAAGACAATGGATGATCTCTGATCCAGATCACGGTAGGGCGCAAATTCACTGCAGCCGAAGGATCAAGGAAGCAAACCTGACGACAGCCTACTGGGTGTCGTATCGTCCCGAAACACGCCGTTGAACAGATCAACAACAAAGCCCAGACCCAGCCACCGTGAGCTGTAAGGCACCCGCACATCCAGCCGTGTGGTGGGCTCGGGTGCCGGCTCTCGGCGTTCCTGCATTAGCGCCGCTCGCCCCGAAATTGGGCTGAATGTTGATTCGATGACGGCGAACGTCAATCTGTTGCCTGAGGCATGCTCCCTCGGGACCGATACCTTATCTCGGTCGTTGCTGTGCAGGTGTTCATCACGACAGTGCTCTCGTTCAGCCGTCAAAAACTCAAGGACGGTATTCTCATTATGTACATCTCACTTCACCGCCCTGGGAGATGGAAAGAGGACATCATCAGTGGTCATGCCAACCGTCAAGATGTCGGGTATGCAGGGTTGTCGGCTCGGCTATTCAAGGCTGTCAAGGCCGGCGGGACCCGGAGTCGGCGAGACAGCCCTACCGAGCGAACGACTCCACTAGGAACAAGGGGCGTTTTTGGAGGGTGCGAGATCTCAACTGTGATGGCCGGTTCCAAACCTTCGGGAGCAAGCAAGCGGAACACCGTGGCATTGAAGCAAGCCAAAACCGTTCGGCCTTTACCCGTCCTCACTTGCGCTCCTCTCAGGGATCGTTCGAAGTTGGGACTTGATGCTGTTCATTGGAAACCATGCAATGCTTCCAAACTGAGTGCGCAACGTGACACACGATCAGGGATATGACTCCAGAGAACAGCAAGAGGAAAAAGAAACAAGGCAAGAGAAGAAAACATGAAGACAGGGCTTTGACCGTCTCAACAGGCTCGCCTCGTACTCATACACTATACTAGTAGTCGAACATCACTCCCCACACACCGATCTCTTCCCAGTGCGCTAAGGTAGTCGCCCCTGAGTACCAGACCAGATACAACCCGTATCCATCAATAAGAGAACGAAGAATGCCTCAACTACAACGCATATGCGGGTTTGAGTCACTTCATCATGAATGAAAACAGACACCTGAACTCCCGGCCATGTTGCTTTACCCTCTACAGGAAACTGGCGCAATCCCCTAAGGAAAACCAAAGAAATCCGATAATTGCCGTTGCAAGGGGCCTCGACAGGCAACGTCGGGTGTTCAAGTATTTCGGCCTGGCCGCCAACCTCCACCATCCAAGGTGTTGTTCGCAACAGCCCTGTCGGGGAGATCTGGCGTCAGGCGAAAAGGCCAGTGGCTGCCCAATCTTTACTCTGTTTTGTCGTTCGCCGGCTGCGAAGCAGGAGTGGACGTCTGCCTAGCCGATTCATCTCCGGAGACCGACACTGAGCGGTTCAAATGTGAAGAATGGGACGGCTCGTGCGCAAGTGGCGCACCGGAGCCTTGCAGCTCTCCGAGTTGCCGCTCTGGTAAGGAAGTTAGCAAACTGGTCCCATTAACTACTGATGACGCCGTGTAAAACCGAGACTCACCCAACTCCCGGATTCGATGTCGAAGCATCTGGTTCTCGCGAATAAGCATCTGAGACTCCGCCTGATAGAAGGCGCTTTCATCGCGGCTTCCCAAGACAAACGGCTCCCCGCTGTCTGCGCTAATGGAAGTGGAGCGTAACCTGGGCGACGCGGTGCGACTCGGGGTTCTCGAGCGGTTACGCAAGTCGCCTCGGGCCATATCAAAGGAGCTACGCGGGAAGACGGGCGACCGTGGGAGAGAACCAGAGCTTGGGAAGAGCGGCCGCGGCGAAGAAGTCGATATCGGAAGGGGTACAGCTCGGTCGGATGCCTCGTCTCCCGAAACTGCCGACTCGCTCTGGGCCTGGTTCTGCTGCTGTTGGCGGTTGAGCTGCTCCTGCAGCCGCCGGATCTCAGCGAGGAGTCGGTTGACTTGGAACTCTTGCTCGTTCTCCAGTTCCTGGTGTAGTTCGCCAAGGCTAGGAGTTCGATTGTGGTGTGATGCAATCAGGCGAGGCGAGGCAGAAACAGTACGGGGACTAGATGCTTGATAATTGCTCTGCTGGTTGTCCGAGACGATCTCGCCGGGTGCCGGCATCGAAGGATCAGCGATCTGAAGATTCATGAGGACCTGGGAACGGCGGCGACTACTGCTTGGCGAGGGATGACGAGGAGACAAGGGCACATTTGGCGATCTTAAACCTGTAAAGATTTATCAGTCAAACCGCCGAGGTGTGACAGCGCCATGATGATGCATCTATACCTTCGACCGGCGCCTCACGCTGTAAACCAGCGTTCAGGGTGGCAGCAGCCTGGAGGGAGATTGATGGGTGTCTTGCAGGAGAGGCCGACAGAGGACCATCTCCATTCATGACATTTGCTTGCTCAGCGTTGGCCATGGCGGGCGAGCTGGAAGATATTACGGCGGTAGTTGACGGTTTCTGGCCTGCTAGGCTACAGTTCAGATGCTATGCAGAGTCGGTGACTGCGTGGCAGTGCGAGCAGACGCCAGTGAGCCGACAAAACGCCGGGTTCGGTAGCTGCAACTTGAACAATCGCTGAAATGGGCGTAACGGGTTGCAAGTTGCCCAAAAACGATTAACCGATAGGGTAATGTTTGCTTGGCTAATGTCAGAACTTCAGAAGCAGTGCGAAACTGAAGCCGTTGGTTGACAGTCCAGCTAGAGGTTGCACGATGTTTTCTCATCGGCCAGTCCTTTGCTTCCTTGCTCAAGTCGGTTGAGAGTGCAGTGGTGGCATGCTTTGTTGTTCCACTGTGAAGTGTATGTATGTTCCTAAGCCATCTCGTAACGGTGGGGTGGTTAGATGTCGGGAGCTCCCATGTGACGCAACAACAGGTCACAGCCACGGACATTGGTTGCCGGCGCAATTCCACTCAATAACCCTACCTTAGTTACGGGTATGTATTGTACAATACCTGACACCTGTATGTAAAACTTTACGCATCTTACATACTCTGCAGAAGACCGTGACGACAAAAGGCTATAGTTTTGTTGCCACAGATCTCCGCGATGACCCAGCTGACAAGTGCTCAGTGCTGCCTCGAACGATAATGTGTCAGCGCTACTACTATGTATAGTCAAGAGTTGGTTTGGTCTTCCCCATCGCCGGCCGTCTCGGCGGGTCTGCAGCCGCAATGACACGCGCCCTTACTTGAACCAGACCACAGCAGACCGCACCGATAGCAGCACCATCACGGAACAGGGGCGAAATACTGGATCAGGACCACCCACACATTTCCTTTCAGAGCCTTGGCCGGAACTAAATCAGTCGATCAGGAGACCAACTCCTACACTAATGGTACCAGTATTTCGTATATGTCATTTCACGCAAGGTGCTGAGCAATCGTTGAACGTATCCTCGGGCCTGCTAAATCCTCGAGCGAAGGGGGAGAAAAGCCATGCGTCCCGGCCCGAGGCTGCCGCACCCGTCGTTCTGGGCACAGACACCGGATTTGATCACGAACGGCATCCGATTCCAGCAGCATGCCTTTTCCCGCCCGTTCTCCCACACGCGGCCCCCGGCTGCCAAGGCCGATTTCACCCACGCGGTAATCGGCGGCGGCGTAGTCGGGCTCGCCATAGCGCAAGAGCTAGCTGTCCGGACCGGCGATTCGACCCTCTTGCTGGAACGGCACGGTGCAATCGGCACCGAAACCAGTTCGCGCAACTCCGAGGTGATCCATGCGGGCATCTACTACGGGCCATCATCGCTCAAGACCGAGCTTTGCATCCGCGGCAAGGACCAGCTCTACTCCTTCTGCGCTGCCCATGGCATACCGCACCGGCGCACGGGGAAATGGATCGTCGCGCAGAACGACGCCCAGCTGGCGGCCTTGCAGCAGATCCATGATTTCTGCACAAAGGAGATCCACGTCCCCATGCGATGGGTCGGCCCCGAGGAAGCTTCGCGGCGCGAACCCGCTGTGCGGGCCGAGAAGGGCATACTCGAGAGCCCCACGACGGGCATCGTCGACAGCCATGCACTGATGCTCTGCCTGCTCGGACGGTTTGAAGACGCGGGCGGAACGCTCGCCCTGAGCAGTGCTGTTGAGGGCATCACTCCTCTCGGCAGCAACGGTAACGAGGGATGGCAGCTCAGGGTGCGGGATGCATCCACCGGGGAGGTTTCGACGGTAACAGCCGGATCGCTGATCAACTCTGCGGGCCTGGGCGCGGTGGCCGTGCACAACATGATTGTCCCCCCGGAACGACGGAGGGAGATGTTTTATGCCAAGGGGAACTACTTCTCCTACGGGGCGTCGAGTCCCAGGGTGAGCACGCTGATCTACCCTGCGCCGGAGCCCGGTCACGGCGGGCTGGGGACGCACCTGACGCTGGACCTGGCCGGGCGCATCAAGTTCGGGCCGGATGTCGAGTGGGTTGACTCCCCAGACGACTTGGTTGTGAATCAGTCGCGGCTGGCGCAGACGGTCCGGGAGGTGAAGAAGTATCTCCCGGGACTGGATGAGACCCAGTTGCAGCCCGACTATGCCGGCATACGGCCGAAGCTGGGGAGGCAAGGCGCTGTGGCGCTCGGCAAAGGGTTTGTGGACTTTGTGATCCAGAAGGAGGAGGGCTACCAAGGGTGGGTCAACCTGCTAAACATTGAGAGCCCGGGGCTCACGAGTTGCCTGGCGATAGCAGAGAGAGTCAGGAGACTTTTATATACGTAAGCTCGAAACACAATACACAATGCGCGCTGAGAGCCATTCTGTGATCAACCCGAGTATTGCCTGGTCCTCGTTGCGTGCTGTAACCGATTTTTGATCCTATTAAACCTAGCGACGCCCGCCATAGCTGTTTACAGTCTGGGCTTTCTTTTCGCTTGTCCCTAACCCGACCTTGGATATTCCTAATGAGGTTGCCAAAATGCCGCGAACGCCAAGCATAACACCGGACCCATGCAATGCCGAGTCAGAACATTCATTTCTTTCCTAAGACAAAGTGATGCTCGGGGTAAATCTCCGCCCGAAAAGGTTGACACGGAACTCGTAAACGCCGCTCTCAGCTCCAACGAAGCTGGGAAGATGTTAGAGATCCCCGAACGGACCTTTGCCAATTACCGAGGGACATCACTTACAGTATAGCCCCATCGTCGCTCCAAGACAGTCCGGCCGTGTCATACGGCCCCGGACGGGAGTGCGGCGACACGAAGGTCCCGAAAACGCGCCGGGCCGGAGTCTCCTCCCATTCTCGCATGAGGTAAGTCGCTCTAGACCGCCGCGCCGAGTCAGCAAAGCCTCTGAAATCCACAATAAATGAGGGCACGGTGTCGTGAGGGGGATCGCCACCGGGTGAGGGGTCGTACAAAGCCTCCACGTTATCCCAGCTGCCTGGAGGATGGGGATTCGCGTTTGACATGAGGCGTGAGATCAGCGATCCGCGTCCGCTAGCCCCGGGTCCTGCATTCCCTAGGGCGGCGGTGCTTCCAGAGAAGGGGCTGGCTGCATACCGGCGTCTCTCGGCAGGCGGATCCTCTCGGGCCCGCAGACGTTCCTGGGTATCCCGGATACGCTCCCTCTGGTCACGTATATTATCCAGTATCTCGTTAACGGCGCGTGACACGCTTGCTGTACGCTCTCTTGTTCGGGGGCTTTCCGTTGTCCTAGCCGCTCTCTCGCCCCATGGGGTCCTCGTACTGGCAGCGGATCCGCCGCCGCCTCCATCGTGGCCACCGCTGGTGCTGCCATTCTCCCTGCCGTCTCTGTTTGATGTTGTCGACGAGTGCTGGCGTCGACGGACATCCTGGATCGCCTCCAAGACTGCTGTCTCTTCCGCGGTTAGCGGAACGTTGTAGCGTGCCAGTGCTCCTTCCCCCTCTGGATGCCGGTTGTGTCGACTCAGATCGACGGAAGTGTCCAGGGCGTTGGCGAAGCTCGACAATACACTCTCACTCCGGTCAAGTCGCTGTTCCAGGAGACGAGGGTCGATGGTACTTCGATCGTTTACCGCCAAATGCTCAAAGTCATTTTCCCTATCAAGGTACAAAATCTGGCGAGCGTCGAAACCTGTACGGATATCCGCCACGCCAACGCGGCCGCGGTCCTCAGTCCAGGCAAGAACGTCGGTGGTGCCGGGGGAGAACGCCATATCTCGCACCGCACCAAATTCTGCATTGGGCCGCGATGTTTCGAATGTCGTCAGCAGGGCCTCGGCTCCAGCCACATTCAGGGCTGTAGCATCGAATATCGAGATGGTCCCGTACTGGGTCCCCACTGCGAGGTATCTTCCGGTGCTGGAAAAGCAAGCTGCGAAGCTCCCTCTGCTGCCAGTCAGCAATCTGCGAATTAGACCCGCCTGCTGCGGTAGGGGACGGCCCTCCAAACCTGTTATCCGATTGATCATCTTTCCTCTGGCTCCGAAGTTGAATCCTGTCACAAGAACTCCATTCATACACCGGCCGATCGGTAGCACGCGAGAACATGCTAGTCGCGCCGCTTTTCGCCTTCCGCTCGTGCACATAGAGGTATGGATCATCGCTGATGGCGATGAGCAGTTGACCATCGGGAGATATGACCCCACGGTTCATATAATCGGGGTACGTGATCTTATCCAAGACCTCCTGGTCCTGCAGGCTGACCACCATCACAGACCTGTCATTGTGGGCTAGAACGGCGACGCCTTGTCGGTATGCCCCTTCGCACGGCTCGACAAGTGTCGGTGGGAACCAGAGTGTGATGCAATTGACCCTTTCTTTCCCAAAGGTAGTGCTCTGTGCCACAACGTTCTTATCGGAGCGGGCTTGCGCCAGCATGGAGGAGTTGGCCTCCGACAGGTTCAGGTTCAGCGAGAGCGGCAGCTGGTCGTCGGGCTGAATGTTGTTCTGTATGTTTGTCCCCACACGAAATGAACTGAATATCCCCAGTTCGCCTCCACAGCACACCCAGCCATTCCGCGCTACAAGACACCTGGGATTGAAAGATAATCGTTTGACGGTTTCGGTCTCGTGTGTCTTGGTATTCAGTTGCTGAATATAACAGCTCCGATTGTCCGTGCTCGGGACTGGAAAATAGACAGTATTCTGCCCATCAACCCCGATGAGGGACCGCAACTGCCAATGTCTGAGAACGAGGCGTTAGACAAACAAGGGAACGAAGGTGTAGTACGGTTGACGCTCAAAGGGGTCCGTCCAAACGTACTGCCAGCGGACACCGGTGCGGAAGTGTCGTCGGGGGTTCGCCAGGACAAGGTCCTCGGTCGGGTTGTAGCTGTATGAAGAAATGCCAATCAGCAGCCAGCATACGACGATGTGTTCATGTTCAGATTCGTTCGTACGGTAGGTTTTGGACGGCCATTGTGCCGAAGTCTTGGCGGATGGCTAGCGTGATGCGACCATCAAGGATGACGAGGGCTGATACTGCGGTGAAGGCGAAGAAGACCTTGGGCTTGATTTAGATCGCTGCAGCTTTGTGAATTAAAGAGCTCTGTCGAGGAAGTCGGGCGACACGTTTTTGGAGAGCAGGGAAGAAAGCGCATCACGACATGGTCGTCATCGCCGGCAAATGTGGAGTAGAACGCAACTTAAATGTTGCGCGAGGGCCAACAACCAGAGTGTGGCAAACGGTGACAGAACAGCGAAACTTAGGTAGGTAGTAGGTAAAAGATAGCTGATGAGCAACTGACTCCCTAAGTTCTCCTAGCTATCAAAGAGTGCAAAGACCTACTACAGTTAGTAGCCCGAGGCGAGCTCACATTGATTACCAAGTGCGGCACAACCAACAAAAGGTCTGATGTGCTGCCGCTGATGTTGTTGATACCTCCGTACCTAGGTAACTTACAGGTTACCCAGCACTACTTCGATGCGAGGTATGATTGTACGGGCATGTACAGTACAATACATGGGCACCACAAAACATGGGTACCTCACATGGCAACTTATTATTAGTGTAGGACGTGCTGTACTTCAGTTGCCTGTACCTTTTGCTGCAACAAGCAGTCACGGGATTTCCCGGTCGTTCCTCGTCCCGGGTTTTGACCCGCGTTTGCAGAACGCGGAGCAGCCTGAGACCTCTCACGGTCCGTGCTTGAGATAGATGCCCCACCCGCTAGCAAACGAGTGGGTGACGGTCAGTTTTCGAACGGTTTCGATGCTGCCTCTGAATTTTTTTTTCACTCCCCGTCTCCCATACAAAAGACCATTACCGATCCTCTATCACTCCCCTCCCTTCATCTCGATCAAATTCCACACTCCCATCCGTCTGTGGTTTGCTTCCTTCGCGGACCTGTGAACCCGCTTAAAGTGCTATTCGTTTTAATTAGAACTCAATCACAATGATGGCCACACGGCTTTCGCGTGCTGTAAGTCCCTCCGACAATCCATTCTGTCAGCTGGGTTATGCGATACTAACCTCCAGCGGCGTGCAGCTCCCCAGGGCAAGCTCAATAGCTTCCCGCTCCTCGGGCCTGCTTCGCAGGACGCCCGCCTTCTCGCGGTTTGAGTCCACAGATGAGAAGGTCAAGGGCGCTGTTATCGGTATTGATCTTGGTAAGTCGCTATCACTTGTGATGGCCCAATCAGATACTCATGCCAGTATTGTTTAGGCACAACAAACTCTGCCGTCGCCATCATGGAGGGCAAGACACCCAGGATCATTGAGAACTTGGAAGGTGCTCGGACAACACCGTCGGTTGTGGCCTTCGCTGAGGACGGCGAGCGGCTAGTCGGTGTTGCTGCGAAGCGCCAAGCTGTCGTCAACCCAGAAAACACCCTCTTCGCCACCAAGCGGTTAATTGGACGCAAGTTCACCGACCCCGAGGTGCAGCGTGATATCAAGGAGGTCCCCTACAAGATCGTCCAGCACACAAACGGCGATGCGTGGGTTGAGGCCCGCGGTCAGAAATACTCGCCCTCGCAGATTGGTGGCTTCGTCCTCCAAAAGATGAAGGAGACTGCCGAGGCTTACCTCAGCAAGCCCGTCAAGAACGCTGTCGTCACAGTTCCCGCCTACTTCAACGATTCTCAGCGTCAGGCCACCAAGGATGCTGGTCAAATTGCCGGCCTGAACGTCCTCCGTGTCGTCAACGAACCGACAGCCGCCGCCCTTGCCTACGGTCTGGAGAAGGAGCAGGATCGTGTTGTTGCGGTCTACGATCTCGGTGGTGGTACTTTCGATATCTCGGTCCTCGAGATCCAGAACGGCGTCTTCGAGGTCAAGTCGACCAACGGTGACACTCATCTTGGTGGTGAGGACTTCGACATCCACCTTGTTCGCCATCTCGTCCAACAATTCAAGAAGGAGTCCGGAATTGATCTCTCCAACGACCGCATGGCTATCCAGAGAATTCGCGAGGCTGCCGAGAAGGCGAAGATCGAGTTGTCTTCGTCTCTCCAGACCGATATCAATCTCCCCTTCATCACCGCTGATGCTTCCGGCCCCAAGCACATCAACCAGAAGCTTACCCGCGCTCAGCTGGAGGCGATGATGGACCCCCTCATCAAGAGGACAGTCGAGCCAGTCCGCAAGGCCCTGAAGGATGCCAACCTGCAGGCCAAGGATATCCAGGAGGTCATTCTCGTCGGTGGTATGACTCGCATGCCCAAGGTTTCGGAGTCCGTCAAGAGCATCTTCGGCCGTGACCCGGCCAAGTCGGTCAATCCAGATGAGGCTGTTGCCATTGGTGCCGCCATCCAGGGTGCGGTCCTCTCCGGTGAGGTCAAAGACCTGCTTCTCCTCGACGTTACCCCTCTCTCGCTTGGTATTGAGACCCTCGGCGGAGTCTTCACCCGCCTAATCAACCGCAACACCACCATCCCCACCAAGAAGTCCCAGGTTTTCTCTACCGCCGCCGACTTCCAGACTGCTGTCGAGATCAAGGTCTACCAGGGTGAGCGCGAGCTCGTTAAGGACAACAAGCTCCTCGGCAACTTCCAGCTCGTCGGCATTCCCCCGGCTCACCGTGGTGTGCCTCAGATCGAGGTCACCTTCGACATTGACGCCGACTCGATTGTCCACGTCCATGCTAAGGACAAGTCGACCAACAAGGACCAATCCATCACCATTGCCTCCGGCTCTGGCCTCTCAGAGTCTGAGATTCAACGCATGGTTGAGGACTCTGAGAAGTATGCCGAGCAGGACAAGGAGCGCAAGGCTGTCATCGAGACTGCCAACCGCGCCGACAGCGTTGTGAACGACACCGAGAAGGCCCTCAACGAGTATGCCGACAAGCTTGACAAGAGCGAGGCCGACCAGATCCGCGAGAAGATCACGTCTCTGCGGGAGTTCGTTGCCAAGGCCCAGTCCGGTGAGATCACTGCGACCGCGGCCGAGATCAAGGAGAAGACGGATGAGCTCCAGGTGGCCAGCCTGAACCTGTTCGACAAGATGCACAAGGCCCGTGCCGACTCTGGTGAGGCCAGCCAGAGCACGGAGGGCGCTGAGGGTGAGAAGAAGGACGAGAACAAGCCTTAAAACTTCATACCACGCCATTGACCTTTTATACCCCTCAACTTTCTTTCTCGTGTGTCTGACTAGGTTGGAGCGGTGTCCTCCAGTGTATATTTCTGTATTCATAACTTGCGTTTGCTGGACACTCATGAGGGTCATCCACGTGTTTACTTCGCAGGCGGCGGAAGGCGTTTGAGCATAAAATCTGCTGCTTTGTTTTGGGCAGGATCATCTCACGAATCTGATGATAAGGTGGGCTGGAACGGGGGAATGGGGGCTGGATAAAGCTGGCACACGGCGTGTTTGTAGATGTACACGATGACAAGAACAATGTAATCTGACTCCCCCCTCACTCTCCGGTGCCTCGATCGATGTGCGGCCGTCTAAGTGACTCGTGACATGAGGAATAACTTGCTGCTTGATGATGTTTTGTATGTCCGCTCAACGCATCCAGGGCCAGACTCGGGGCGGTTGTGATTGTTGCTGTTGTGGTTAATCCGTTCGATTGCGTCCAGGGTCCGTCAGCGGCAGCGCAATGGCAAGGGCATCGCGCATACATGTGTGCAACTCCTATAGCTGTACATGGTTTTGTACCTGTGGCGCAATGTAGACAGATGGCTACCCGAGGCTGCTGTGGCTTCCTTTGCACGATGCTCGATGAGGAGCAGATGGCTGAAGTGTATATTGCAATCCGCGTTAAAGCGGTCTGTACTTGGCATTTCACCTTTCGCCCCCGGTATATAGAAATGATTACCTTCCGAAACCAAACCAGCCCCGCTTCTGGGGCTTCGCCTCTGTTGCCGAGCCGGCCTTCTCCTGCGCCCTAGCTGCTTCTTTCACACCAGTTTCCTCCCGCCTGTGCGGGTACTCGATGTAATTCCAGGCTACGTCCAGGAACAGCGGCTTGACAGGGAAGGGCTCCAGCCGCGGAGGATAGACGACGATGTTGTCGAGGTCGACCCCGCCGGAGGGGTAGCCAGACAACTGGCTAGACAGGGGCTTCGCCGACACTGTCATTGCCGACTGAGGAGTGTGTGGTGCTCTAGTCTGGTTGAAGATCTCTACCAGGGCACGGCCGCGCTGTAACTCCCCGGTCAGGGTGTTATGAAGCAGGCTCATGTCGCGGTTGGTGACTTGGATGTTGCGGGGCGCGAAGGCGTCCTCTTCTTGGCTGGAAAGGGCCGGGACCGCAGCCTTGCATTGATCGAGGGCGTGCTTGATCAGGGCGAGCGAGTTGACGGCATTGCCTGCGATGGCGTGCGAGCGGGCAATTGCGAGGCATCTTGTCAACCAGTTAGTTCCTATGGGGACAGATGCAGAGGTGGTGTTACAGGGGGAACATACTTCAATGCGGTGAAGTACTGCGATGTAGCCTCTAGCCGTGCTGACAACTCCTGGTCGTTTGCCACGCCAGGAAGCTCCTTGATGGACTCGAGACTCTGCAAGATGCCATCGTACAGAACGACTTTCTCCTTCAACCTCGCAATCTGCCGACCGGGAGCTTCGTCCTTGCTCCTGTCTCCTGTTGATTCGTCCGCCTGTCTTTTTATTCGCGAAGGAACGCCGAACTCGAGCTTCATGCCATCATTTCCGCCAACAAGGACCCTGTTGCGGCCAATGCGCCAGCTGATCATCTCGTAGTTCACCGCTGTCCGCGTAATCTGCAGGCTCTGCATGCGCGGATCACCTTGCGTCACTCCCTCAGCCCTGAGCTCATCAATGGCTTGCTTCGTGGCATCGACAGCGTCCTGGCTGGCGTTCAGGATCTCGTCGTATGCCCCGGCCATGTCCTTGGGATGCAATGACGCAGCCGATGCCAGTTTCTCGGCCAACTGACCCCTTGCGGTACCTACAGCAGCCCAGGCGATCGCGATCGCGGCATCTTCGATCTTGACTTCCCTTCCACGCCACACCAGGGTCGTCGGAGCGCCCTCAGCTCCTTTCCTTGCGTCCGGATCGCCGTGCTCGAGTACAGCAGGATTCAGGCTCTTGACTCGATCTACCACTTCCGGGTCGGCGTGGTCAAAAGCCTTGCGTACAATGGCAGCGATGGGCTGCGTCCGGGGTATCTTCGCCTGGTACGCGGCGTAGCGAATCGATGGGTCGATGGTTTCGGAAAGAAGATCCCTGAAGGCGTCGCCCCTAGCGGAGGTCGCCAGGGCGCTGTATATGATACGGCAGACAGCGTAGCTCTTCAGACAAGGCTCCCAGCTCTGCTTCTCGAACAGGGCGGCTCCCCTAAGCAGGGCGGCGTAGGCGCGAGCATCGAGGATGTCCGTAGGGGAGGCGCCGCTGGTGGGGGATGAAAGGGCCTCCGAGAGCCCCTCGGCAGTGCGTGCGGCCTTTTCCAGTCGCGAGACGACGTGTGACCGAGCCTTGCTCGTCATGCCCTTGGTGTCAGCCGAGTGGGACGTCTTCATGGACATGGCATGGGCCCACGCTCGCTCGGCGGTCAGCAGCTGCAGGTAAACGTATCTAGGGGGAAGACACTCGGTCAGTCAGTGGCCGAGAAAGCAAAGACAGAACTTCAGCATACTCATGATTCTCGGCGATCTGCTCGGGCGTGACGGGGGCCCTGGGGTTGAATCTCCCGCGGTTCTTGGTCGCGATGTTGAGTTTCTTACGGCAGTTGAGCAGCTTGCCCGATAGCTGCGACCGGTATGTCGAGTAGTCGCCGTACAGCAAGGCCTTCTCCCTTAGGGAGACCATCGACTTGGTGATGTCCATTGCAGTAGAGCGCCTTAAGCGGGCAGAAGGCGTCTTGAATTCCTTGCCGTTCAGTCCCTTGTGTGCTTCGAATCTCGACCCCTCGAGCTCCTTTGGGGAGGTGGGGCTGGTTGAAATTCCCAGTCCACAATTAGTGACGACAAGGAAGGGTTAGGGTGTATGCTACGCAGCAGGGCTTGGCAGTATGTACGGAATAAGGTCTCTATGAAACAAACTACAGTAATTGCTTTGATGAGTAGGTATTTAGCTACCAGGTAATTCAGCAAGTTGACCATAGAAGTACGATTTCTACTGTTTCCATACAGGGCGCCAGTAGGCCCGAGATTCGACTGCAAAGCATACTTTTGACTGCGGCCCAAGAGTACAATACCATAGTAATATAGATATATTGTATTGTACCTGTGTAAGGCAGTCCGAAATGCTAGGTATCCTGTATTCAGTAAATACATATATAGTACGGAATACAATACCTTACTGTGATAGGTAGTTACCTCCTGCCGATGGCGCCACTTAACAAGTTGGAAGTTGGGACCCGTGTTACTCCACCGCCGACGGCGCCGGGTCCAAAATTTCTGGTCGCTTTTTCGGGACACGCCGCTCGCACCCAACAGCTTCCGGGTGATCTCTGGAGCGAGCCCGGTTATTTTTCTCCCGTGACTCCGAGTACGACGAGCTCAGTTTTCCAATAGACACCCAGGGGACTGCGAGGCGTCCACTATGACTCTGCGCGGCGGTGCGCATTTTGTTGTGCTTTTTCCTCGGAACACATAGCGGCAAGCCGTAGGGAACTCGCTTGAGGACAATGCGGCACTAGTCACACCGGCCGCTTCTTTGGTTATCTGGGATTGAGTAGATCGTCGCTTCTCGCGGAGTGCTCTAAACGCGATGCTGGAGAGGACAGCGACGAGCATCGAGCCGTGCAGCAGCAGCCTCCAGCGAGTTCTTCCGTCGGCCAGGTCTTGTTTGCAAAGCCGCCGCAAGCTCCATACCACGTTCTGGCACCATGGAGCTGCGGAGATGGAGCTCATCGACGCCTGCCAGGCCCTCATGCGCATGCCTCCCGCCCAGCCGACCTCTCATGCGCCGCCGACGAAACCCAACAAGCCGCCCGAGACGATGACAGCTTCCGGATTCCTCCTTGACTTCCTGTACCCGACCGGCACCGCAGCTCTTTTACGAAAGCCGTATCTGATACACCCGGTGCGCCTGGATCCGAGGCCGAGGACCTCAAGCCGCATGTCGCGTCTCTTCACCTCAGCGGTCTCTCGCCACTCGGATAATCCCTCGACCTCGCATGCGGCTGCGAGGGAGTCTGGCAGCCTAGGAGAAGCAGAGGAGCATGACGTCGGGAAGCAAAGATATCACGAGTATGACTTTGAAGATGAAGACGGCGATGAGGGTGGTGGCGAGGAAGGAGCTGAGGAAGGAGCTGAGGAAGAAGTCGGGTTCGCAGATCCAGAAGCGTTGCGGAAACTCCTATATTCCGACCACGCCGGCGCTTATGATCAGATCTTTCAGCTCTACGCGAATCTTGATCCGAGCCTGAAAGACGACTTCACAACCGATGTTCTCCTCGCCATTGCTCCGTCGACGCGCCCAATCGAAGCTTGGAGAGTTAACGACCTGTTTGCGCACTATCGAGTCGACGAGTGGACCGAGGACATAGTCCGTGCTGCGGTCAAGGCGCGGCTTTCATTGCACAATGTCCCAGAAGCCATGTCGATTTTCAGAACTGCAATGGAACAGCGTGGGTTTGGTCGAGCGTTGGACTACATTCTGTCCTACGGATTTGAGCTGTCGTCATGGGACTTGATTCTGGAAGCGTGGCAGCTGTACTTCAGCATCAAGGGGGAATCAGAACCTGTGTTTCAACCACCGAGTCAGACAACTACGCAGCCCGACGTTGAAGCGACGGATGCGCCAGGTCTGGAGGAGGTAGTCGAGTCAGAGCAGCTCGAAGACGTTGAACCCGATGCCACACCGGTGGCTGCGGCGGAACTACAGCCTTCTGCGGAACCGAAAGCGGCGGAGCCAGATGCCGAGTCGGCGCAACTGCAGAACGTCGAGTCTGTAGTCGCGCCATCAACCGAGCAGACCGCAAAGTCGATGCCTGAATCGACAGCGGTGGCAGCACTGAAGCCCGGGCAAGAGCCAGCATCTTCACAAGACACCCAGTTTGCTGTCGAGTCCGGGGTTGTGCAGGACGCAGGAGCCATTTCCCCGGCTGACTCTGCGGTTGAGGATAGTCCAGAGTCCCCGGTGAATCACGAGGCCGCAACCACACGAAGCACCGGGCTGGGAATCAGCTACCCGACTCTGGCTGCAACAGAGAACTTCGAGGTCAAAGTCAGGGAGCTGTACAAGTTCCTCGAAAACGATCCTGAGCGCCTGGACAAACGCACCGCGCTTGTCGATTCGTTTCTGAAACACATCGTCAGACATTCGTTGGACTTGTTCCGACCGTCGGATGTTATATTCATGCTAGACCGTGCCCGCGATCCGCTATCCTATGAGCGCTACATCATCCTCAACGCGGAGCAGGGGCGGAACAGGCTCGCGAGCGACCTCTACAAGAAGTACCGCGCGCTTCCCAATAAAGCGCGCGTGGCCGAGTCCGTCCTGCGTGTCATGATTGACATCTTCTTCCCACACAACGTCCATGGAATGGAACTGCTTCTGGAGGACTGGTACCGCGACTATGGCCGCCTGAATGAGAGGGCATACCATAAGTTCATGGCCTTCTATGCGGGACGTGGCGATATCAAGTCCATCATGCGGCTGGTCAAGGAGTATGCCAAACACTACGATGTCGAGGTCGAGAAAGATCCAAAGTGGGTCGCGAACCTCATGCATGCTCATGCGGTCCGGGGCGATCCAGAGGCAGCCCGCCATGTCATGGACAGTGCTGTTGAGAGATCCGGGGAGCCGCCCGAGGTGAAGCAATGGAACATCTTGCTGAACGCCTACGCGAAGGCAGGGGATTACGAAGGAGCCATCGATCTTTTTGCACACATTTGCAACGAATGCGAGCCAGACGACTACACGTTCGCCACCATGATGCACATGGCTGGCTTCCGCGGCGACCTTCAGTTCACTCTCGAACTCTTCCAGCTGGCAAGGGAGCGGAACATTGAGCCGAACGTGGCGATGATGCGGGCGTTGGCCGAGGCGTACTGCCAGAACGACCGGCATGCCGAGGCGGAGAAACTGTGCGTCCAGCTCACAAAGAGACGGGAAATCGCCGGCGACTATACTTTCCTCTGGAACGGGCTTCTTCGGCATAACGCGAGGCGGCGAGATCTGACCACGGTCAACCGGTTGCTCGAGCTTATGTCGTCGCTGGGGATCGCCTACAACCAGGAAACGTACAGTCAACTGATCCTGGCGCTGCTCTACGCCCGCCAGTCCCATCATGCCATGCACCTGCTCCGGGTAGCCCACCGCGAGGGCGTCTTCGAGCCTACGGCAGACCACTACGTCATGCTCATGGCGGCCTTCATCAACAGCGGCGAGCCGCACATGGCGCTCAGAACCAACGAGCTGATGGCCAAGATGAACTACCCTGAGTCGGCGATGCGCATGACCAAAGTCATCGACGCGCTGGGAAGATGGCAGCAGCTCCCTTCCAGCAAGCGGCGGGGCCTCCGCGGACAGCACTTCCTCAAGAGGATCCTGCGCGGTTTCTACGAGGCCATGAAGAGGGAGGAGCAGGGTGCGCCAGACGACGTCCGCTCGGTCGTCGGCCTCTACTCCAAAGTGATATTCATCTTGACGCAGATGCGCGAGTTCGCCACGGTGCAGCAAATCGTACAGCTCCACAACTCTCGGTATCCCTCCCGCGGCACCGAGGAGACCATCCCGCTCAAGCTGCTGCACAGCGTCATGCTCGCCGATTTCTACGAGAAGAAGTACGACCGCGTCAAGCAGACATGGGAGCTCATCCTCGAGAGATCAAGCGAGCGGTACCAGCCCGCCTCGGCTCACCTTGGCGCCGAGGACCCCACCGCGCCGCGCAAGCCGGTCATCTACGCCCAGCGCTTCCGGCTCTGCAACCCCCTCAAGACAATGCAACGCCTGTACCTCCAGACAGAAGACCCCGAAGGCCTTATGAACCTGGTCAGCACGGTCCGCGAGCGCGGCTTCGACCTCGACAGCAAGAACTGGAACTACCACGTCCAGGGCCTGGCCCGGCTCAAACAGTGGCGCCAGGCCTTCACCGTATGTGAAGAGGTGCTGATGCCTCAGTGGATGGGCTGGTACGCCGTGCGCGCCGAGGCGAAGGAGAAGAACCAGTTGCCGCTGGAACTGCGCCGTGCTGGCACCAACCCGGCCCGGCCGCGGCCCATTGCGCATACCCTGCTGATCCTGGCCAAGGAGTACATGGACCTGGAGCAGATGGCGCTCTGGTCGCACGAGGCAAATAGGGAGTTCAAGTTCATCACCGAAAACTGCCCCAAGACGGTGCACGCAGTGACCAGCATGGTACGGTCTGGGTCGCCGCTGGAGGCCGAGATACTCGGGGAAGAGAGGCGGGAGGAGTCCGACGTCATGGACACGGACTTGGATGGGCGGTGGCATGCCGAGAAGGTACAGGGCAGGGAGACCGAGGAGTTGCGAGCGCGAGGCGGGGGAAGGCCAGGGAAGCTGGTGAGACAGGCCACGCCGAAATGGGCAAGGAGCGCAAGGAGAACAGAGCAGGAGAACGTGCCGTATGATGATGTCTGGACACAGGGCGGATATCTGAATGTCGGCGATCCCGCGGCGCAGAAGAAGAAGGGGAGTCAAGCGGAATTGTCTGAGGAGGATATCCTCAGGCGGCTGAAGGGAGAAGGCGAAAAGTAAAGTGGTTAGTCCTTAGCTCTGCGTTGTATGATATAGTGCGTATGGGATGTGCTTGTATACATACATGTATGTACATGTACATTACCTTATATATCAACAACCGTGACTAAGTAGATCTGCACTTAGACATTCTATACATGTGGCAACCGCGAGTTGTGTAAAATGCATACCTAGTGAGCTTCTGGGCGCAATCGATGTTCACAGGTCGGTGACTTCCAGGTTATGTTACGAGTTGCAGGTGTCAAAGGGTTGAGCTTAAGGGACAGTGTAAGACTAGGAGCTGCACTTGGACTTAAAATAAGGCACCTTTCCTTACATCCTACCTTAGGTAGGTACCTTCAGGTAGGTAAATAACGTACCTAGCAGGTTGTCAAAGGCGGTCATGAGTGCAAGTACCTTACCTTATCTAGTTGTATGATCTTCCCGGATCTCCTACGGGAACTTGAAGGCGCGAAATTTGGGCTTGACTAGAATCTAGTACGGATTTTAAGAGAGTAGTACCTTAGTATTACATCGATGTTCAATGATCCCCGGCGAAAGACAAAGAGAGACCATGAGGGCAGGTTTCTCTGCAATTCGGAGCATGAAAATCTTGGGACATTCCACGAGGTATCTTACCCTCGATTGTTGTTGATCATGTTGGTTTCGTAAACAGTACCCGTACCCAACATTACGGATACAAGAAAACTACGCTAGTAGCAACCCCTGCTCTCAAGCTCCACGATACCGCCCGACGATTGATTTGAAGCTTCTAACAAAGTTTAGGTATCCAAGCTTGTGCAATTGACGTGACGAAGCTTCGACAACTCAAAGGAAAATCTTCACACCCTGTGCATCCCATGGAAACATCGACAGGAAACAGAAGATATCATCAACAATGCTGTTCTCAGAGGAGGACTCGCCTCACCTGAAAAGATGGATCGTCAAGCGACTTGAGAATATGTAGGTTCTTCCATGTGATCCGCTTTGGGACTGAGGAAAGTTAACATCTTGCGCCCGCTGCCACAGATCTGACGCCGATGCCGACGTGCTTGCCGATTACGTATTGGCTCTCTTGCGGCACGATGGCGACGTTAACGACGTGCGCAAACTTTGCGAGGCTGAAATACCCGACTTCCTCAAAGAAGGTAGGCGGACTTCATGGGGCCACCCTTAAGTGCACCATCTGGGTTCCGTGAGCTGACGCGCGCTTCCTGCAGACTCGTCCGTCTTTGTAAACGATGTGTTTGAGGCGCTCGCATACCGATCATATCTTCCTGGCGCCCCTCCCCCGCCTCCTAAACATGCGCCCCTTCCCGCCTCTGCCGGCGCTCAGCAACCCCCGGGCCTGCCCTACGACTTTACTCCGAGCAACCTAGTTCCGGCCTACCAACCGCCTTTCCGAAACGGGAGGAAGCGGGCATATGTCGACTGGGACGACCCGAACGCCCAGGGTGGCAGGGATGCTGGCTACGGTGGGATGGGGTTCAAGCAGCCTCGGCGAGGGGGATTTGGTGGCCCAGGGCCCAGACAGGACGGCCTGAATTCCTTTGGAGGGGGTGCGCCAACCGTTTCACCGTACCCTCCGCCTGGTCAATTACCTTCGCAAAGCGCGCCCGTCCCCTCAACGGTCGGATACTTTGACCCGAAGGGCGCCATGGACGCCTTGTATGGAATGAGTGTTGCGGCCGGCCACCCCATGCCCGAGCTCTTGTCGCACGACCGAGAGCAGCCTCCGGCAAGGAGAAGGAAGAAGTGTCGTGACTGGGAGAAGAAGGGCTACTGTCAGCGAGGGAGCAATTGCATGTTCGAGCACAGTGCTGACACGTTCTATTCCCCTCTCTTTGCTGGCCCCCCGTTTGGCGGTGTGCAGCCCGTGCCGCAGCCCTCAGCAGTTGAAGGTATGTGTTTCGTGGTTCGCAATACTAGAGATCAGCCTTTCAGGTCACCTGGTGGCTAATTCGCATGCAGAATATGACCCGACTAATGCTCTCATGCCCGATCTTCTGAACAGACCGGGCCCGCTCCAGGGGCAGCAGCTTTTCCCTGAGTCCGGCCAGCATCCGAGACAAAAAGGCGGCAGACACCATAGCCGTCAAAAACGAACTGAGAGAGCGCCTTTCTCCGCGGAGGGCCCTGTCTATGACAGGACGAAATCAACAATTGTTGTGGAAAACATCCCCGAAGAAAACTTCAGCGAAGGTCAGGTTAGGGACTTCTTTTCGCAGTTTGGCATGATTCTGGAGGTTTCGATGCAACCATATAAGAGATTGGCCATCGTGAAATTCGACAGCTGGGATTCCGCCAATGCGGCCTACCAGTCGCCGAAAGTCATCTTTGACAACCGCTTCGTCAAAGTCTACTGGCACAAGGGCGACGATCCTACACAAACCACCAGCGGCAGTGCATCCGGCAAAAAGAGGGCGCAATCTGCTAATGGCTCCTCCGCTAGCCCCGGAGCTGAGATCGATTTGGAAGAGTTTGCGAAGCAGCAAGAAGAAAAGCAAAAGGCGTTCGAGGAGAAGACAAAAAAGAGACAGGAACTAGAGCGGCAGCGCCAGGAGCTCGAGCAGAAGCAGAAAGAACTCATGGCTAAGCAGCTGGAGGAGAAGGCGAAACTAGCAGCCAGACTTGCCCGGTGCAATGGAACCAAAACCGACAACGCGAAGGACGAATCGGAATCGTCCAAGCCCATGACGCAGACGGAAGCGCTTCGTGCCCAGCTTGCAGCCCTCGAGGCAGAGGCAAGAGAGATGGGGATCGATCCGGATGCCATAGACGCCCCGTCGTCGTGGTCTCCTGCGTACGGACGGGGAAGAGGCGGATGGCGGGGGCCATCGCGCTACATGGCGCGCGGGTCGTACCGGGGAGGATATCGCGGGCGCGCTAATGTCCATGCCGCCTATGCGGCATACTCGCTTGATAACCGGCCCAAGAAGGTGGTCCTGACGGGTGTGGACTTCACCGTGTCTGAAAAGGACGAGACATTGCGCCAATACCTTTTCGTGAGTGCCATCTATCTCGGCACCCTTTTTACTTTGACGCTCGCCCGGGGAGACTAACATGTTGTATTTGCATTTTGCCAGGGTATTGGCGAATTCACTGATATTCAGACGGCCCCCACCTCAACAGAAATCACCTTCAAAGACCGCAAAACCGCCGAGAAATTCTTCAACTCGATCCTGCTGCACAACAAAGAGATTCCCGGAATCGAGGGCTCCCCGGTTGAGCTCGCCTGGGCCGGAGCCAACGGCTCGTCGGGCTCCGTTTCCACAACGCCGGGCGGCGGCTCGGCAAGGCCTACGGCAGCAACAGGCAAGAGCTCTGCCGGCACGGCCCCAGGATCACGACCGCCGCCGGCGGCACTGGCGGCACTGGCGCCAAGGACGAGGAAGTTACCGCGACCACGGACGACGCAACGGGTAGTAGCAGCGATAAGGACGTGCACATCCAGCTTGAGCGGCGACCGCAGGATCAAAACGAGATGGACTATGAGGTTGCGGACGAAGGTTCGTGGGGCTACTAGTAGTGCCAACCTGGATTTAGCCTCAGCTACCATATGAGTGCGACAAAAGTCTCTGCTGTCTGAGGGGGAGGCGGCTGGGGGTAGGGCCACGGAGGGGGGGGGGGGGGGGTCTGACCATCTGGGGATTGAGTACAACCCTGTTTCCGGTTACAGAGTCCCAAACTGGAGAGGGAGAGAAGGAGGTGTAAAGTGTCGTGTACACATATGGTGAATTGAGTGCAAATGTACCAAGTATTGTATGTACAGTACAACAACAACAACAACAACAACAACAACAACAACAGTAGCAACAACAGTAGCAACAACAGTAGCAACAACAGTAGCAACAACAGTAGCAACAACAGTAGCAACAACAGTAGCAACAACAGTAGCAACAACAGTAGCAACAACAGTAGCAACAACAGTAGCAACAACAGTAGCAACAACGGCAACAACAACAGCAACAACGGAGTGGAAGGACGAGATCGGCTTAGTTCGATAGGTACGTTAAGGCAGAATTGCACGAAGCAATGCTTAACAACCAATCTTGCGGAGCGTACTATAGTATGTACAAAGGTTTGGCTAGACCCTCTCCAGGTAGGAGGACTCCCTATCACATGTCTTCCTCGATCCCGTGTTCCATGGTGGGTGTCTTACACAAAGCCGGTTGAATCTCTCAACACCTTCATCCGACCAACACTCTCGACTCTGGTCAAATGTTTGGCTACTCTTGTTTGTTTATCAGCCACTGTTGAAGTCTCTCTTCCTGCATACATGAGAAAAATAAGATGCTACCTGAATTGCCCTGGGTATCGTTGAGATATCGGTGATGCTTGAAAACCTGGGGGTGGGCCATTCCTTCCCCCACCTGCCCCCCCCCTTGACTTCCCCGTTCTACCAGTTGATGATTGAATCCATCCCATCCTAATCCAACACGCCTGTCCGCCTTCTCTTTTTTGTTGAAAAACCAAGACCGACCTATTGGAAAATGCATGTTTGCCCCCTTTTTTTCATACGCATTCTTTTTGTTCGCCTAACCCCACCCACAAGAACGCCTTCCCATATGCATGCTGCTGTATGTTAAATATCGCTGAATTTTGCCTGCGGCGTTCAAATGCGCTTCTTCGTCCATTTCCCCTTTGGTCCAGTCCCACGTCTCGCCCCAGGCGGCGGATGGATAGGTGGATATTAAAATTGCCGTTTATGTTGAAGAGTAATTGCAGCCACGCAAATGTTGAAAGAGAAGTGTGCCATTCCAACCAGTCGGCTGGCTCGGTTGAGCGATCCAAGTCCGACCGAGAAGAGGATTTGACGATTGAATTATGCTGACGCCTCGACGCCATTAGCGGTAGCGTTCGGGACGTCTTTGGCCCCATTGGCACGAGGCTCCGGGACCTTGTCCAGGTTTGGTACTTCTAGGCCTTTCAAAACTTCGAAGATTGTCTCGCCACGGTGGAAGTCGTTATTCACTGCATGCCTATCAGCACCGCGCTCACCTACTGAAGAATAAATAGAGTCCTCGATCATCTTACCGATGTTGACCAGGTACCACGTGTTCATGATCTCCTCCAGGACTAGACGGCTAGGACTGCCGCCGTCGTAGCAGCGGGCCCATTCTGTGCCCAACTGGAAGGCCTCGTCCTTCCATGCGAGGAAGCTGATCCTCTCGACAATCGTCGGCTGGACAATTTCCTTCCCGGGAAAGACGCCCCAGGTGACAGCATTAGGCCCTTCGAATTGCGCGTTGGTCTCGAGATTGCCAGACTTGGTCACCGCGTGGTAGGTCAGGTCGGGATGGTTTTCGATACGGCGCTTGAGCTCCGGATAAAGCTCAGGTGAGACGAACATTTCGAGATAGGCTTTCTGGTAAACGTAGCCATTGGAAGGGCCCCAACCATGGACCGGGTGGCTTGACTTGACACCGTTGACAGCTGGTTGAGAATTCACGGTGATCAGCCCACGCCCGTTCAACTCAATCAAGTCGCTCTTGATTAGATCTGCCTCGTCCGCCACGGGTGCCTCGCTCCATGGGAGATAATCGATCTCCTTGTTTAGATATCGCACGAAAAGGTTGGCAATATCTCGGATGCAAGCAGGCTCCCCCCACTTCTTGCGGTTCTGCTCATTGCTACCGGTCAAGCCAATGCCGTAGGCATCCAGTTCACCGAAGGCTGGAGATCTAGAGTCGCCCCAACGACCATTGGGAAACTCGTCCCAATCCTGAGTGCGCGCGATGTACGACTTGTTGCGGTTGCGCCAGAAAATGGGGCGTACATCCTCGCTCCGACGGCCCAGACCCAGCGATTGCTTCCAGGGGAGCGCCTGCTTCCGGGGCCGCTCTGGCGACGGTAGCCAACTCAGCTCCTCTAGGACCATGCGAGTCGCCTGTGCAAGATTCATGGTGTAGAAGTGCAGATGGCGGATTCCCGCAGCGAGGATCTTGCGACACATGTCGGCCACGAGTGTCTTGCCGATTTCACGGACTGCCACATCGTCGTTCTTTATCGGTTCGAGCTTCGCCATCCAGTCCTCGGGGATCTTGCATTTCATATGGTTGGCGCGACGCAGGAAGCTGGCGTAGGTCGCAATGGGCATGATGCCAGGAACAATAGGCACGTTGATGCCGCGCTCCCTGACCCTTCCGACCCAGCGGATGAAATTGTCGGCATCGTAGAACATCTGGGTGACGATGAACGAAGCGCCCTCGTCAACCTTCTCCTTGAGGTGGTCGAGCAGCAGGTCTTCGTCCTTGTTATCGTCGCAGCCCTCGGGGTAACCGGCCACACCGATGTCGAAGTGGTTACCGTACATCTTGCGAATGTGTGCCACAAGGTCGCGGGCGTAACGGAAGCCGCCCTCGGTCGCCTCCCATTTCTCCTTGTCGCGTGGCGGGTCACCGCGGAGAGCTAGGATGTTGGTGCACCCGGCTTTGTATGCCTTCCTGAGGGCATCGTTGACCTTCTCCTCGCCCATGTCAGTGCATGTAAGGTGCATGCAAGCCTCGAGCCCCAGGTACGTCTGCGCCTGAACCACCATCTCGCAAGTCAGCTCGGCGATGCGGCCGCCGGCACCCCAGGTGATGTCGATGAACTTGGGGCCAAAGTTGTACATGCGCTCCATCCGGTCGTAGAGGTTCTGAACACCTTGGGCCGTCTTGGGCGGGAAATATTCGAACGAGAAGGACGGCTCGCCGGTCCTCTCGGCTTCCGCCAACATGTCCTTGATGTGCATTGTGGCAGGACGCTTCTAGCCCGGGTAGGGTCGGGTGTAAGAGGATCACAACTGCTGCTCGACAGACTAGAAAGTGAAGACCATCCAGTTAGCTTGAGTCACCGATCACCTCTCGGTCGATTGGCGAAGCGTGAGACTCCGAAATCTCAAAGGGAAAACCCGCGGCCGGGACGGAGAGTAGAGTGAACAGACGGCGGGGGGGATGTGTTTTACACAGGAGCTAGGCTCCTTGCACTTGGATCGCCAGGAGCAAGTGGGGACAGGGCAGTAACATGATAGAGACGGGAGGGGGAAAGGCGACAGAGACAGCGTACATGGTCAGACAATCTGGGAGGGTAGCTCAGCACATGCACGCTCCCTGCGGATCCAAGGGAGCAGCGTCCACACCGGGCACGTTGTGTACTGTGGGTGCCCGTAGACTATAATTAGAGGCGGTTGTTCCCGGGGCGTAGACGAAGGTTCTCGAAAACGTAGGGGAAAAAACGGTAGGAGGAAAAAGGAAGAGCAAAGGCGGCGCACATCATGGATGATGGAAGAGAGGTTCCCCCGCAAGGGCACCGGCGCTTTTCCACGCACTGTGCCAATGGGGGTGCAAGCCCAAATTCGCCGTACCCGGAGCTGGCCCCATTGGATTGGGTGACATCGATCGCCCGCCATTCCGATTCACCACCCACCCCACCTTTATGTGGACCGATTGAAAGGGACAGCGCAACCGTACCTAGTGTAGGAGAGAAGTTCTCCTGATGGGACCTGGATCGTAGTCAGATGGCAGAGGATATATTGAATCGTTCTGTGGACGATTACCTTGCTGCAATGACAGCGCAGCAGCAATCCATGAATCGCACTGTATTGGACGAACAGGAACCCAAGTGGCGGTCAACGGCCATCAAGATAGCATGAGGCTACCTCCCTATAAGCGTGTCTCTAACCATATGGAAGCACGACAGCGTATTCGTAATCCGTACACATCCGTAATAATGCCTGCTTCAACAATATTTAAGCTAGGTAATATTCCGCACATGACGAGGGTAACATTGAGCTTACCCGGAGAAGGCGTGGTCAATCTATAAGGCGGAAAGCTCTCGACATAACCGGGTTAACGGCCCCTTCATCGGCTATGCTAGACTTACAGTACCATCGTACATACAAACCATCATACATACCACTATACTCCGTATATCCTTCCTTACTTTATTAGCATGGTACGATACTATAGAGCTATACACGACGCGCAACTAAGTAGGCTCCGCAAGATGATATAAAGGAACAGCTTATAGTATCCTGGCTATTCTGCTATAGCCGAGCTCAAAAGTAAAGCTCGCATTACCGGGGAGTTATAGGGGAGTTGTACTATGCAAAAGGAGCCCTATAGGAGCAATAGGGTACGGAGTAAAATGTTGTGGACGAGCTGGGAATCGAACCCAGGACCTTTCGCATGCACTGGGGCATGCTAAGCGAACGCTCTACCAACTGAGCCACACGCCCTGATTGGTTGATTAAGGATTGGGGATTTGATACCAACATATCTATAGCGGCTTTCAACGCCTCCTTAATCGGACCACAACTTGTATGAATACTCTGCGCACGACTAGAAAGTCCTTCTGGTTTCCTAGGAGCATGTAGCGGGTGACAAAGGTTCTAAGGTAAGGGGAAGATGAATCGAAAAATGGAAATGACAAATGAACTGATCAGGAAAACCAGGCAAAGAACGAATAACCTAAGAGGAGAACGAGCTTGACAGGGAGGCCTCGTAACTGTCTACAAAACTCAGAGTTGTCCTCTACAATACCCTCGAACCCAGATGCAAGAATGGAAGCCGGGAGCGGACCGCTCTCAGGTACCTACTAGTAGTTCATCGCGCTTCTGCCGCAAAGGCTCTGAAACCAAAGCGTCGGCACACAATTTGGACGCCAGGAACGATGGACAACAATTCGACCCCCCTTGAGCATTTTTATCAAGGTGCATCTATGTTCCAAGCATGAGTATCAGTCGTTAAATAGTAAACACAAGCAGAGCGCTGCACAAGCCGCAAGCCGTCAACACCTCCCTTTGAGGCGTTTCACCGCGTAAGCCTCCACTACTACTTCCTACTATCTATCGCCGGCTGCGGGCGACTTCGACCGGCTCGCAATGCCCTTCCCCACGATCTTCTCGGTCCAATTCCACATCAGCGGACTCGAGCTCCTCTCACCACTCGTCCCTCTCTTTCCTGCACTATCCGCTCCAGCTTCCTTCTTCCGGCTCCGCCAGTGTGCCCCCTCGTCACTTTCGCCTTCACTGTCTACCCAGTCCCGATCGCTCCACGTTACCGAATCGAGCCTGTCCAGTGTCGGCCGAGGTGTGGTCGGCGATGCGAATCCGGGGCCGGCAGCAGGCGCAAAGACTCCGAGCGCATTGACCCCTCTACTGCTGCCGTTCTCACTCCTCGGGCTCGGTTTAGGCAGTTCTGGGACTATATCACCTTCCTCTCCTCGTTCGGCGGCCTCGTCATTGCCACCGACAGTAACGCCTTCCCCCTTGGCATTCTTTCTCATACCATGATCCCGTGTCTCCCGGCCCTGTTCATCAGGGCCTTCCGTGATCTTCTTCACCCGGTCCACATTCGGTTCGTCCTCGTCCCTCCGCCGCGCGATAGCGGTATCGCTGAAGTGCGCTTGCACGAGGTGCTCAATCACAGGCCAGCCGAAGGCGTTGGCGAAGGTACGGCGCACGATGATGTTGTTGTGCGCGTCGGGCTCCAGCTTGACGAGGACCTTGCGCCACGAAAGGCCGCGGTGATAGGCGCGGGCGATCTTCTCTTCAACGCGCATTTGTGAGGTGTCGATATCGAAGTCCGCGACTTCGTTGGTGTTGGTGTCAGCCGGTGGTGTGGCGACAATGTCTTTGTCTGATGTGTCAGTGTGGATGGTCGACCCATCACCCCCGCTGGCGTTATGTCTGTGGTAGGATGGCTGAGCTGCCGAGGGGCCCTTATGTCCCGGTGGTGGAGGTGACGGTGCCGAGGAGGCTTCACTTTGCGTGGTCCTCCGAGACGAACTCGAATTCTGTGTCCGGCGACGCAGGTTCAGGGGGCTCGAAGACCGCTGTTTCAGCGGTGGCGGCGGAATGTCAGATGGATGGTAGACGCGGTCATGGAAGATGGTCCGGGGACGTTTGGACGGGTCGATGAGGAATTCGACGGATGGTAACTTCGGGTTGAGCAGGTCGCCGGCGGACTCAAAGATGGTTGTCCTCGGCGGCGCCGTCATGCTTTCGGTCTCCTCAGTGAGCTCGTTTCCACTAGTCACCCTAGACTTGGACGATGTGGCAGAGTCGGACGCGGATAAGGCATCCGGCTTCAAGGTTTGGCTTCGCTGATAGATCTTGGTGACCTTGGGCGACGGAGCCGGCGGGTGCTTTGGGGTCTCGCTGCGGAAGAAGTTAAATATCCCGGCAAAGGGAAATGAATTCGTTGTGCTTGAGCTCTGCAGATGCTGCAGGTCCGAAGAAGTCGGTTCAAGTTCTCGGTAGGAGCTGGTCATTGGTCTGAGACTCTCCTGGTCGTCTTCCACCATGGCATTGGTCGGCGGCTGAGGGACTTCGTGAGAGTCTTCGGGCCGGCGCCGTGGCGGAGTCGTCTTATCCGAGCCACCGGTGGTCTCGTCTTTGTCTCCCACCTCTACCGGCGACCAGGGCACAAGTCTCGGAGTAGTGGCAGTTGCACCCGTCAGTTCGGCCCATCCGAACCCTACGACTGTCTCTACAAGGCCCGCCTCCCGCCGGGCTTTTTCCACTCGTCCCAGGCCTTGCCAGTCGAGGAAAAGGAGGCAACTTGTTCGGAGCGGCACGATGCCGTCGTTGACCACGTTGGAGTACACCGTCCTGTTACGGAACCTCTTGAGCGCCTTGTGCGCGGGACCAGTGGGTAGGATCCGGAGCAGCGGCTTGGACTCTGGCTGCGTCTCCCCGTAGACGCGCTTCTGGGCTTGTTCCCCAAGGTTGCTCACGAGGGCACCCCAACCGTTCCGCGCGATCGTCGGGGCTCTCCAGGTCAGTCCCAGGTCTTGGCCCGTTCTTCCCACCAAGCCAAAGTCCAAGGCGAATTTTACGTAGAGCGGGTTCTCGTGATTAAGCCCAAGAAACGGCGAAGCCAATGCAATGAAGTTGACGGGCTCAATCAGCCCGAAGAACTGCGGCGAGTGCTTCTGTATGTACGCTACAGCGTAGGTTTGTACCAGGCCGCCGAGGGAATGGCCGATGAAGCTGATCTTGGTGAACTTGTATAACCGCTTACCCCCGGGTGACGAGCCCTGATGGACCGAGCTGTGCCTATGCACCTCCTCGGCAGCCTTGCTCTGCGCGCTCGTCTTGAGCGTGTGGGCGATGGCTTCCGACGCTGCCTTGGCGGTAGGCAAGCAGGGTTGATCCGGGTAGGTCATAGACAAGATGTATCTCGCAAGCCGCTTCCCCAGGTACTTGATGCCCTTTTCAGTTTTCGTCGCATTCCCGGAGAAGCCGCGTACAATGACCTCCTCATCGTCATCGTCATCGTCAACGTCACCATCGTTATCAGGCATACCGTCTTCTCCTCCCTTCCCATCGTCTTCCTGACCATTGTGGCTCCCACTTGCGTCCTTCTCGGTACCAGGAGGAGTTGGGGTAGGGGTTTGACTGCTTCTCTCAGGAGCCTCCGTCGAGGCATCAACCCCACTGCTAGCGCGCCTCCTCGCAGCTCGTTCCCTAGCCTTGCGGGCTTTGGCGTCTATCCGGGCCTGCTTGACTGCTGCGTCAATGCTTTCCTTCAGAAACAGCATATCAGAGCCAAGGTTGCTGTGCAAGCCATGCGTGACCACAACCAGATGGACCTTTATCTGCTTATTCTTTGGCCACGGCCTTGCACTTTCGGGCTTCCCGCTCTTGGTCGCGGGTTCAACTGGCGCATCACCGCCCTCGCTTTCCCTGGCGCGGAGCCAGCCCATATCGTCCCATCCGGGGAGTTGCGGAGTATTCCACAGGGCCGCAGTGTCTTCCACTTTCAGGTGTACGGCTTTAGAGAAGACCCCCTTTGGCTGGGCTGGGTGGTGCTTCGACGCGCCTGCGCTCTGTTGAAAGTCGCTCACGCGCCCTGGCTGAGAGGCTTGCACCTGGCCCCCAAGGACGGGCAGGGCGGATCCCAGGTTCAGCGATTTCTCGTCGCGCGCCAACAGAATCTCATAGTGTACCGATGCCGAGCTGGAGAAGATGACCTGTGACGCAATCTCTATAACCCACGACACGCTGTCCTGGTTATGCTCTGGGCCCGCCCCGAAGTGCCCATGCTTGCTGCTGCCCTCGCCCGCGGCTTGGCGGATGTTGTCGGGCACGGCCAGGTGGCAGTTCCAAACGGCGCCGGCCTTGAGCATCGGTTCGAACTCCGGCACGCCATAGCGACGCGGGTCCTCGAACTTCTCGAAGGGCTTGAATGTTGATGGGTATGCGGCGACCGACAGCGTGTAGGGTCCGTGGACAAAGGCGGCGCGGAGAGCAATGGCGCTGGTGTTTTTGATGCGCAGGTACAAGAACTCGGGAGACGGGAGGATGTGGTCGGCCGAGGGCTTGTAGGTTACCGTGTAGCGCACCACCTCGCCGATCTTGACGCTGCCTGTTTGGTGGACGAGAAGCATTGTTGACATGCTGTGTCAATAGCCACAGCCGGGCACTCATTCATCAGGGGAACGCCAGCGTCTAAGGCGATCGAGGTGGTCACGAGGTTGCGCGTCCAGTATTCCGGGTCACGAAGCATTACTCCATCGTGCACGTTGGAAACAGCGCGATGCTGCCGTGCCTGTTCCGGGTATCCCGACAAGCGGTACAGAAACGTTGGGATCTGGGGTACTTCGGCCGGCGCCCGACGTTATCGAGCGGATGAAACAAGCCGACACCACGGAGCGAGCTTTGACTCGGCTGGACCCGGCGCTTTGGAATCGAAGCGCTTATTAGTGCTATGTAGATTAGCTTGGCTCTAACTTGGTTCTAACTTGGCGTGGTTGACGCAGCCTGTACGGACAAGATTGAACCCAGCGGTGACGGAGTTCTGCCCGACATTTGTGGGAACTCCCGTCACCAATGCTACGGGGGAAAATTAGTGGTGGGTACCTTCAGCTGGTAAGTTAGCATGTCGAGCAGCTACACTAACGTTACCAGGCTTCGGCTGGAAATCTGCTGTATCGGTATTCCATATAGCATGTACATTACAATACATGGCTGTACGGGTGCCACACCTCTTCTATTCAAGCTATTTCCCAGCCATGCGAATGAGATTCGGATAATCATGAGTTCTGCGACTGCTTGTGCCCTATAATTGCTATTCGAATATGGATAAGATCTCTGTAATGCGGGCGAATACGTATATACTGCGATACGGATAGATCACTTAAAGTTCGGTTATTGTACCGAAGCAAGTACCAGGTACTTAACGTGTACATACAATACCTATGACTGTATGGATTACTGTACATGTAATACATACGAAGTGCATCCGGACGATACTACCCATGGTATGGTAATTCGCCGTTCATGCCACCGCTCTCGCAGCTGAGCACGTGACAGAAGCCGCACGCTAGCAAGGGCCTAAGAGCAAGCTTGATTGACCGCCAACATTTTTTAGCCGGCAGTATTTTCGCCAGTCCACGGGACGAGACCCCTCCGCCGGCACCAAGACGAGCTCACCGACTAGTCCTCCTCCGACCCATCGAAGCGTCAGTCGGGCTGTTTTGATTGCAACAATGGGAAGACGGCCGAATGCGCTCATCCTGCAGTATTTCGAACGCGGACCGAAGCTGCAGGACCAAAGCAATCGCTATCCCCACACTTGCAAAGCGTGAGTTGCCGCTCTTTCTGCCCTCGATTCCCGCTCATTTCATTCTCTCGTGTTTCCACCGCTTGTTCGTCGGTGTCTTCCCGTATACCTAGCTAAGCATCTCTACCCACAGTTGCGGAGAGCACTTCCCGCGCGGCCGACTCGACAGCTTGACGAGCCACCTAACGAAGAAATGCCCTGCCATTTCCGAGGCCGAGCGAGTCAATGCTCTTCTAACCTTGTCAGGCATGAGCCATGCTTCGCAGAGGTTCCAGCAGAGCCACCAGGCCCAGGCTCGCGCGCAGGCCAATGGCTCTTCTGTCGATTTGCCCATGATGCAGCGCGACTGGACCGCCCTCGGAGTCCTCGCCGAAGTTTCGAGACAGATTGATTTGAATGAAAAGAACGACGACCGCGGGCAGCCCAATAGCGGACCCCCCCTTGCTGCCGCACAGCCCGGGGGCGGCCAGCCAGCAGAGCACTTTGAAATGCACGAACAATTTACTGTCGAGGACCCGCCGGTGAACCAGGAGATTGGCGCGCCTAAGGCAATTAAGCGTAAGTGCACAAATCGGCTGGGGAAGCGAGGAACAAGCTCCGCTAACCGTCATTCAGTGGAACCCCCATCACCGGAGGCGGAGCGAGTGCTCACTGCCGAAGAGCGGCTTCAAGAGATCCTGCGCACTGAGAATACCCACTCCGACTCTGCAAACATTACCATGGCTGCAGCTGCGACCGCGCGCCTGCACCCTGCCTACCTTGATCCCGAGATTCTCGGCGAAGAAGCCGCCGCTGCTGCCGAGGCGGCCACAGCTACTGCCAATGCTGCTGCCGTCGCTGCTGCCGCCGCCGCCGCGAACAACCTCCCTGCCGCCGACATGAGCGTGGCAGAAGAAGCTTCCTCAGTCTCTAGTACCCCCGCGATCCCAACAACGAGTGCTCCTCAACCTTGGGGCGAAATCACATATGCGACGGATTCTTTCCAGGCAAACATCATCAACAATAGCCCCATACAGATCACTACAGCTCCTCTCGGGAAAGGTGTCTTCCGTCTAGACAGCGGCCCCAACGGCGCCAAGTCTCGCCACTCCAGGGCACGGTTCAACGCAACCAGGAGAAAGGAGGTTCAAGAAGTGAGAAAGATTGGTGCCTGCATCCGATGCCGAGTCCTCAGAAAGACGTGCTCCCAGGGTTCGCCTTGTGATACTTGCCGGAAGGTCCTTTCCCCGAGAGTGTGGCGTTCCGGCTGCGTTCGCACAAAGTTCTCCGAGCAGCTGGATTTATACTCTGCCGGGGTCCAAATCGTTCTCGCCCAGGCGCGAGTAAACTCGCTCAAGCAAGCCATGAACCTCGCAAACCATGGCATAGTGGTTGAGGCCTGTCATTTTCCAGACTGTGCTCCCCGTCTGCAGCTCCAGGTCTTGCAGCGTGATCCTGACCGAGACGCCGAAGGAAAGCTTGTCGACGCGACGATCATAGAAGACAAACCGGCAAGTTATCCGATTGTCATGCTGGACAACGATAACCAAGACGTGCCGGCGAGAGTTGAGACATACATGCGCGAGATACTGCCTGACATGATCCGGCGCGAGCCCTCCCACTTCATGCAGGTTACACTACAGACAGCCGCGGATGTCGCCGGGAAGACAAATGATGAATTGCTCAAGAAGTCGCTTGAGTTGTGGGGTCTCGTAGAGATACTAGACCGAGAGCGTCAGTGGACAATCGACGCGAAATCATGGGCCGAGGATGCACCGGCCAGGTCCGTCAAGGAAGAGACCGACGGAGAGCTTTTTAATACCATCTGCCTGCAGCTCGCCGCCGCAGCGGAAAGGAAGGCTGCCGCTACCAGCAAGGCTCTCCTTACAGGAATGCAGCGCGTCCTGCAAGACAGCAAAGTCAAGATCGATTTCAACATGTACTTTGCCGTCCTGATTCTGTTGAACTGTGTTGAGAAGTCCAGCTGGGCCTTCAAGGCCTGGGAGCAAGAGAACTTGCGGCATCTGTGGCCGCTCGAGAAAGAACCGGTCAGCTTTGCACAACAGGGCTATGTCATTGCAAACCTCCTGCACATGCTCCTTGGAATTCGCAAGGCCCTTCCGCGGACCACGCGCCGCGAGATTGACGGGAAGTTGGTCACTGAGGAGGAGAACCCGGCGATTAGGGAATACTTTGAAGCGATCAACCTCGACTGTGAGTTGGCACACGGTGGTCGTAGGTCACTGCTGGCCTCAGCTAACAAGTCGTCTCAGTCGCCCAGGTCAAAGCAAAGCAGGAGCGTCCTGCGTTTTCTCCGACCGATTCCCGCTCATTCGAGCTTCTGTTCTGCTCCACCCTCCTTCTCCCGAACTCCGACCCTTGATCGAGGCCGGCCGCGCCGCTAAACGACCTAATACCGCGAGCTCCGCCTCTCTTTCCTTTGATTCTAGCTGTGAGGTCTCGCAGCATTTGTGTTCGGCGGCGGCTCATGGCTTTATGACTGAATACGCTCATGTACGATTATGAGAGGTGGTGGGGTGCCAAGGAATGCCCAAAGGGCAGCAATGGCTTCACTTCGAGATAAATGTAGGGGGTTTGTGGCATCGTTAGCAGACATGCTGCGATGCCGGTTGATGTAATTGTCGGGATAACGCTCTGTCATTGTGCAGAGCAATGGGGGGAGGGGGAAGGGGAGGGGGGAGGGGATACCAATGATCGTGTCACTGGTTCTGACCGCTGGCAAGCGGCAGAGGTATATTTTCCTGAATACATCAATGCTAATGTCCGATTCATCGTTTCACCACATTTCTATTATATGCTCCCCACGCTACCCCCTGTATCCCTTCTCTCCAGTGGCCCAGGACCCGGGCCGCTTCCACTTACAGACGCACCCCGACCAGTTGCCGACTTCTTGGGCTTTCTAAAGCAAGCAAACTCGCTCTTGCTCGCTTCTCGCAACCGCTTCAGCACGGCCCGCATCTCGGGCAGCTCGGCCTGCAGTCGCGCGCGGGCATCGTTGTCGGTGCGCCCGTCCAGCTCCTGGTAGATGGCGCTCTGCAGCTCCGAGGCGCGGTCGGTCGTGTAGTGGCTTAACGTCTGCGCTACAAACTCTACGTCTAGCGTCGCCTGCATGAGAGCTTCGAGGTTGTAGCGAGGCCGGGTCTTGAAAGCGTCGAGCAGCTCGCGGGAGACTTGCTCGAGCAGGTAGGAGAGCACTTCAGTGGTGAGGGAGGCGGCGGTTGTGGAGACCTGGGTGTGCACAAGAACTAGTCCCAGGAGGGCCTCGTAAACATACGGGCGGACCTCGCGCGGTTTGGAGCCGGGCGGCGGTAACCAGTCCGGAGACGAGACACCGGCGCGGATGACGCGCTTGAGCGAGTCGATGGAGGGGCGGGTGTAGGATTGGAAGAGACGGGCGTCGATCTGGCCGAGGACGTCGCGGATCGTCTTCGTTTCGTCAGTTAGCTTGACCGAGAAGGCATTCTCGAACTGCGTGTTCAGGCTCGGGACGACGTTGGAACGCAGCGCTTGAAGGTTGCTGAGAGTTAGAAGCATGCGGATGTTCTGGGAGGTTGATATTAGATATCAGTGACTCTGGAAGAAAGCTTGAGGCACGTAAGTTGAGGACGTACTCTATCCCCCGCATCTATCGTGCCTCCGCCGACAGCTGACGCCGAAAGCTGCGTGTTCGCCGGGTTATACAGCAAGACATATCCGTCGGCGTCCACAGTCCACTCGTCGTCCGTCTTCTTGGGGAAGCGCTCGGCGTTTTCCACCATCCCGCTGAGCGCCTTATAAAGAGTGGTCACGTATTGGCTACGAACCATCTGCAGCAGCTTCGTCGGCGGAGGGAGGACAATATCCCCTGCTCCCGGCTTCGACATGGCATCCGAGATGTAGAGGATCTTTTGCATCCCGCTGAGCAATGCACCCTCAAAAGCGGCAAAGCTGGCCGGCATCTTGGTCACGTCTCGACTATCCGGTGACCGGTTCCAGTCCTCCACGTACTTGATATTCTCCGCGTCCCTATTCCACGCCGCACAGAGCGCAGTCACACATCGTTCTCTCGCGACCCCCACCAGCGTCTTGATTCGCTCCAGCTCAGCGGTATCTCCTCTCCCCACTGGGGAAACAGACGCCATGTCCGACGCGCCCGACCCAACAAGGACGAGCATCTTGGAAAGGAAATGCACGCCGCTGAGAGAATTGGACCACGGCGGCCAAAAAGCAAACTTCTCCCAGGCCTCTCCTCTCTTTGGTGATGGAGGCGGCGGGTTGCTCGGATCAAGGTTGAAGCGGGGGTCCCTCGGTGAGAGAGAACTGGAGATGGAAGCGGCGCCGGGAGTGCCTGGCGAATGGGGTGGCATAGGGGACAACAGCAGCGAGAGATCCTCGGGGGGAGGTCCAGCAAAGAACATGAGAACGTTCTCCCGTAGCATGCTGATCAGCTCGACTGTGCCCTTCTGGAGATCTGTCGTGCCCTGCTGGGAAAGCCGGTGATGGTCTTGCGACTCCCCGTTGTAGCCGACCGGCAGAGTCCTCTGCGTCTTGCCATCAATGAATCCCTGCACCGTCTGCCAGAACTCGAGCACCTCGCCCAATATTCCCTGAGACGAGAGCAGGTTGGTTAGGAAACTAACGTTCATCTCCCAGAGCTCGACGACGTCGGCGGAGTCAAAGGTCTTCGACGTGGTCTCGATTGCCTGCCTTCCCAGCGTCCGCATATGAGATGCAATCGTTTGTGGGCTCGGCTTCTCCGCGTTCGCCAGTCGGCGCCGCAAGATCTCGATTTCGACCTTCGCTCGCTCAGCTGTGGACTGGATCTTGCTCTTTAGGTAGTCGTAGCGACTCAGCAGCCAGACCCAGATCGGATTGTCCTCGACACCCAGCTCCAAAAGAAGCGATATCAGCTCCATGTGCTGGTCGGTATCGTGCTGGCCTGCGTTATCTGCCTTCGCCATGTTGTAGGGAGAAATGAGTCTTCGCCATATGTCTCGCTTGAGGACTTGGATCTGTTCCTCAACATCGTGCCACATTCGCGCTGCCAGGAGGATACGGTACAGCTGGTCGTCGGTGGGTTGCGACGATCTGACCTCCTCGGCTAGCCGCTTCGCCTCGTCGGCGAACTTCCTCGCTTTCGTGTACTCCTCGACCAGAGTCTCGTGGTCCTTGCGCTTGATGCTGTCGGATATCGCCGCGCTCGTCTCTACATACTCTTTGTACTGGTCGAGACAAGAGGCCACCGTCTTGAGATGCTCTTCCTTCTCCCTTCCACCCAGCGCGGGCCCCCAGACATCCTCTGCCTTCGCCGAGACGTCCAGCAGTGGTGCTTTGATACCGAGAACCCCAAACTCGCTCTCCTTGATCAACGCATTCTTCCTACGAGGATCCGTTGCAGGCGAGTGGGGGCTGTTTAGGGGCTGGGGCCCGCTGCCACTCCGGAAGCTAGCCCTGCTGGCGTGACGCGAGTGGCCTCGAGCGCGCGTGGGCGTCGGATCGGCGCCGCGGTATTTCATCTCCTTGTACACATTATCGATGGTGGCTTTGGCGCGGACGAAGCGCTCAAAGTTGGACTCTACGAGAACCTTGAGCGACGCCGACTTCTGGTCGATAGACTTGGAGAGAACCTCGAGGCCGTTGATTAGAGATTGGGTGTCGGCCGTGGCATGCATCTGAGAGAGGAATAGGGCCGGCGAGAATGTTGTCGAAGAGAGGAGGAAGCGGTTGCCTGCCCACGGGCTACGTGTCAATCGCGCTGGCCGCTCTAGCGCTCCCCGTCTAAGCCTGACTCACGAAGCCTCAAGTCATCTTGCAGCGGAACGCCCAAGTGTTTTAGTGTCCGTACAACGCTGTCGGTGGTCCCAAGAGGGTCCGGCTCGTCCCTCTGCACCAGATTGCCGACGCCGCTGCCCGAGTTCTCAGACCCCGGGACAATACTGCTTCTGGTGCTTACAGCCCTTTCCAGGGCTTGGTACCTCGACTTCCTCCGGTTAGCCTTTTTTTTGCGGCTTCGTCCTCGGACACGTCGCTGTCGTTGTCCTTTTCGGCGGGCCATTGCCCCGGATTGAGCGTAGAGATCTGGTAGAAATCAAGGACCGTCCGCTCGAGATCAGCCATGATAGTCCGTATGAAGAGTGAGCTGCGCAACTCGGCGGCGAATCAATCGTATCGAAGTTGGATCTACCAACCCAGTACTAGTAGGGGCCGTGGGCTGTTGGGTTAGGTCAAGATGATACTGTACGGAGCACCTGGGATGTGTAGGTAGCAACTTGGAGCTGGAAGGTTACTGGAAGGTTACCGGCACAGCTCCACTTGTGGTCGATTGGACAGGGGTGTGACAGCCCCTCCGCTGGATGCTCCGCCTGAGGTTTCGCATTTTCTGCCGATTTAACAAGGCGGTGAGATGCTCTAGTTGGCGGGCTTACGGAGTATCACCGACGTAATGGCGGCTCGGCCTGTTGCCGCCGATGCAGGATCCCTGCAGTGCACGGTCCACTGCCGTTGTCCCGCAGCCAAAACCTGCATCAGAGGTGGATATTGGGTTGGTTGCAGTTGAATTCGGTTCAGTTTTTATCTGCGCATAAGACCTGCAGGACAAAACATCTCCTATACTCTCTCCCCTGGCAGGCCAATTTTAGGTGGCGTACCTGCGAGAGTATTTCCCGGTTCTCCCGTCTACACGGTACATATTAGAGAAGGACAGCGTCACAATGTTGGCCCTACGCTCGATTGCTGCTCCCGTGCAGCGACAATGCTTCCGTGCAGCTCCCCGTGCGGGCATCACGCTCGCTCTGCAGGTGCGACACTCTGCTGGGATTGTTAAGGGTCGGGAGATACCGGTGCTGACATCCCGCTTTCAGAATCGGAGACAGTACTCGTCACAAGATGCTGTCGCCAAGTTCAACGGACAGAAAGATGCACAGGTAAGCAACGGCTGGGTGTCAACCGCGGCACATGCTTGCTTGGCATGAAAATCACTCAACGCAGCGCGACGATAATACCCTTACGACACGAGCAACGCAGCTGAGACTTGCACACAGGGTCGCTATACCGTCAGCTTGATCGAGGGTGATGGCATTGGGCCCGAGATTGCCGTGGCCGTGAAGGACATTTTCGCTGCCGCCAAGGTCCGTCACCAACTCCTGCCCCGCCGATGTCACACGCAGCTCGACGAGGTGCTGATGAAATGCAGACCCCTATCGTTTGGGAACCCATCAATGTCGACCCTATCCTGAAGGACGGCAAGACGGCGATCCCAGATGCTGCTATCGAGAGTATCAGGAAGAACAAGATTGCCCTGAAGGGTCCCCTTGCCGTATGTGCAGACAGCCTCTTGACTCACTCCGAAGTGTCGCATCTCTAATGGTGGTTCCAGACCCCAATCGGCAAGGGCCACGTCTCTCTTAACCTCACACTCCGTCGGACATTCAATCTCTTCGCCAACCTGCGGCCCTGCCGGTCGGTTGCCGGATACAAGACCCCCTACGACAACGTCGACACCGTACTGATTCGCGAGAACACCGAGGGCGAGTACTCCGGAATCGAGCACGTTGTGGTGGATGGGGTCGTGCAGAGCATCAAGCTCATCACCCGTGAGGCCAGCGAGCGCGTCTTGCGGTTCGCCTTCCAGCACGCGCGATCCATTGGCCGCAAGAAGGTCCGCGTCGTGCACAAGGCCACCATCATGAAGATGAGCGACGGTCTCTTCCTCACCGTGGGCAACCAGATTGCCAAGGAGTTCCCTGATATCGAGTTCGATGCTGAGCTGCTGGACAACACCTGCCTGAAGATGACTACCGATCCCACCCCTTACAACGACAAAGTCCTGGTCATGCCCAACCTGTACGGCGACATTCTGTCCGACATGTGCGCTGGTCTGATTGGCGGCCTGGGTCTGACACCGTCCGGAAACATCGGTGACGAGTGCTCCATCTTCGAAGCCGTCCACGGGTCTGCCCCTGATATCGCCGGCAAGGGTCTCGCCAACCCTACCGCTTTGCTGCTCAGCTCCATGATGATGCTGAGGCACATGGGTCTGACCGACTATGCGGACCGTATTGAGAAGGCGGCCTTCGCCACGCTGGCGGAGGGCAAGGCTCTCACTGGTGACCTGGGTGGAAAGGCTAAGACGAGCGAGTTTGCGGCGGCCATCATCGAGAAGCTATGATATCCAATGTATAGATTGTACAGTACCAAGTATTCCAGCCATCTTTTCGATAGCATTTTGGCCGGTGGTTAACGTTTGATGATTATAATGACCCTCTTTTCTCCCGGCTGGGGATGGCCAGAGTCCCAGAGGCTTGCCAAGAGAACAACAGCCCGAGACATGTGTTAAGCTGTCCAAGGCTAAATACCAACGGAATTCTCAAGGTCCGGCTGCGCAAGACTGTTGTGCTTCCCGACAGGTTCCTGCCAGCCATCCAGACGGGAGTACGAGTCTTGGCCATTGTTGGTGCCTCGTCAGATCCGAATGCAATGTTAGGCGGACACTCAGATGTTACTTGGCAATCCCAACTCCCGAGCTCTAGCGAACTTTTCCGAACTCCGACTTTCCCAGCACCATGCCACGACTTCTAGGACGGAGTGGTAGGCCGTGGGTGAACAGAATGAATCTCGGCAACACTGCGAATATGTTCGGCAGTTGTCTACGTGACCCTTCCGAACGGCGAAGCTGCATCGTGTTTGGTCTGCCAAATTGAATATCCGGTTCGAGGACGGCAACTCAGCGAGAGCCATGGTCTTCTGAGTGAGAGATGAGAGTGTGAACGGCCATTTCCCTGGGGCCGAGCCTTGTGCTCTACCGGGCTGCTTGGCAAGTCGGCTCGGGTCACGGTCACCTCAAAGCGCGGGAGATGCCTCATCAGCTCCTCTGCTGCAAAATAGCACATACCATGGCAGTGTACTACCTTCTTCCCGCCATGGAACGTTTGCGTCATGCGCGAGAAAGAAAGCGAGAACTAGGTTGCCGAAGCCTTGACTGGGTGGATGAGACTGGGCTTCCAGGTTGCCGCAGCGGATATATACATCGCCGATACGGCGGATTCCTTCACCCGCTTTTCTTACGAGGGAAGTGTGCGACATCCGGATAGGCACACATACGCCCTATCAACTGAAGCGGTGATCTTGTCGTATGGCAGGAACATTGGGACCCCTCACGAGTGACCTCAACCAAGCAACCTGCAACGGGCTAGTCCATCCGATTACCAGAGACGAAAGTGGGATGCGAGACCCCAACCCCGAACCTTGGACACTGATGCCGTGCACAATACCTACGTCCGGTCACTCGTTCCATTAGATCTGTCGATCAACAATCGACTCGGGATCCTCATGGAATTGGTACTGGGAAAGGAGAACACGGAGGTTCTGGCTCTCCCCGGTTGGTCCTTCTGTGTTCTCATACCAAAAGAGAGATCAACCTCCAACCGGGCTCGAGACGAAGGAGTTAGAGCAGATCCAGTTCAATCGAGCGGCATCACTCGGTGGCTTGGGAGTGCCTAAACGGCTCAGAGAACGTAATGGATATAGGGTTTTGGAGTAATGCGCCCTTCAAAGGGATACACGTGTTCTGCATACCCGCGGGATGTGCCCGCCAAGCTTAACCTGAGATCGTTCGGACTCGCTTTCAGGGTGAATACTCTGCGGTCTCAGGAAGCTTCGGCGTGCTGCGGATGGTCCCACGTTTGGAAGTGCGGGAAGTGCGGGAAGGAAGAGGCGCGGAAGCAGGGGCAGGAGGGCCGAGACATTCCACATCCTCTTAGGGGGCCGGACGACGTTCTCGCCAAGATCTGTATGTCCCTGCCAGTATGTCAGCCATGAACGCCGTACACAGGGCAGGTGCCTGAACGCCTGAAGTTGTGGTGTAGTACCTTTTATCCATCTCCAAGACGGGAGAGGGTCCCGATGATACCAGGTACTAATCCAGGTAGGGGACGTGAATTTTATCAGATACCACCAGTGAAACGACACCTTGCTCACCGCCACTTACCAAACCGAGAATGACGGCGCTGTGTCATTGGATCAAGTCATTAACCTGGCTGGTATGTATCTGGTATGTATGGAGTATAAGGGACTTGTACCTTACATTGTTACATATCCAACTGCCAAACAGGACGTATTGAATGTATTGTATGTATTGTATGTATTGTACGTATCGTACGGAATCTGAACGCCCATGTGGGGTCTGAGACACCCCAGCTTCAAGAAGTTCAACTTGAAGACCTCAACAGGCGAGAACTTTATTGAGGCCCACATCGGTTTTGGGAAATCCATCACGCAACAACTGGACAGCCACGACCCGGTGAGCCCGGCAACTTATATCCCTGCAATCGTCAAACATGCCTCTGCCCAAAAATCACGCATTATCGTTGGTTGCACTGCATGCTGCTGCGTACATTCCATACGTACACTACACTAGGAGACCAAACACGTCGATCCTGCAAAAGCCACGCAGAGACGAACCTCCACTGCTCAACCAAGCATTGTGCAAAGCGGGCATGGTTGTCCAGTCTGTTCACCGACGCCAAGCCTTATAGCGAATTGAATGGCAACACCCGCGTTTCTCGTGCAGCAACCGGGGACACGATGAGCTGCCCGCCAGCACTGACAGGCTCTGTGGCTTTCCCAACTCGGATCCGTTTGGTGTCGAAACGGTTTCCGGAACGAGGTGGCCACGTCCGGAAACCGGAACCTGCAGAAAGCTGAAGCGTCTCCAGTAATCCAGGGCCGAAAGCATGCTCTGCTCTGCTCTCGGGGAGCTCGGCTCGCATGATGGAGGCATTCCCACTGGTCGGGCGACCATTTGCGAGTGCAGTCATGTGCCCCATGTGCGTCACTCTGTGCTCTGTCAAGCCCTCTTATCAATTACCTATAGTACCGCCCCCGAGTCATGTCTTGTGTGAAATAAGGGGCAACTGGCAACCTGGCAGTCACGTCTCGGGTTAGCGCTCTAGCTACTGAAGATCACCTGGATCCAGGTACGCGAGATGCAGGCGGCCTTGTCCGGGGAAACTCGATGCTGGTCTCGTTAATCGGTGTTATATACGCTAGATCGACTTGGCCCGTCAATTTTCTGGGGCGGACACAGACCCATACATGGGGACACTACATACTACACACTGCCGCTACACTACGGGCCCTCCATGGAAACACAACTCTACGCGGATTTGGCGCCCTAGGTACCTAGGCACTCTACATAGGTAAGCACCAGAGACTGGGGTCGTTTGAGGGAGGCTGCAGCCTCCCCAACAAGGATACCGGGGACGGGATTCGTGTGAGATTCGTGTGAGTGCGGCCGCCGTGGGTTCGCAAATAGCTCATTAAAAATAAGTTTGTTGATTAGGGCGCACTTTCCTGATACATTACACAGCATGTTCATCCTTACTTTCCACCTCCACCTGCGGCCTGACCCACAACCGACCTGCCTTTCCAGAACATAACCCGCATTCTAGTGACGGCTGGCTATCGGGGCAATGGGGTCATTGGCGCATCGAATGAGCCGCCCCGGACCAGACCTGTGTATATATCGTCCCCCGTACCTCCTCTCCCTCACCCCCAACCTTCCTCTCATGCCCCATTCTCGCTGCCCTTACAAAATCCCATTCCCACATCGCCCCTCCGCTGTTCTTGCCCACCACCACAGGGACACCCGCAATACACACCTCGTAACATCACACCACTCTCTTTAAAGATGCCTTCTTCTCACCACGAGGCGCTCAAGGCCACTCTTGAGAGCAAGGGCCTCAAGTTCCATATCAAGGCAGGCCAAGCCAAGTGGGAGGCAACTGTGCTGGACCGCGCCACCCAGTAAGCCCTCTCTTCCATGCTCTCTCCTAGCAGAATATTGAGACATCACACAGCGAGAGACGCAAGGCGGAGCGGCAGGACTCGTCTTCCTCCGTCTCGACGACCGCGAGTAGCTCTTCCTTTGCCACTACATCATCACGCTCGAGCACCAAGTCCCACTAGGGTTCGTCACTCTCGCCTCGGCCAACAAATAAAAGGGGAGGTCGTAGTTCGCCCCAGCAGGTTCCTTTCAGACAGCGACCAGACCCAGCAGTGAGCAGCTATCAGCTCGTTTCTTTGTACACGAATATACCCCAACCGGAGCCGGAAAGGAGTACGGACACAGTTCATTTTTACCCCCAAGTACACTAGGGTCAGATTGCGGCTGCGTCGGATCACAAAGGGCGGGTGGAAGGAGAGCATCCAAATCAGAGACGGTGGGGGTCCGGATCAACAGTGGATACGGTACCGTGAACTTGGTGGACCCTTCTGGGTGACCTCTTCGGATTTCGTGGTTACCGAGAGCTCGACATCTGCCTCTGACCGTCTAGTTTCCTTCTCTAGTGTCCTAATGGAAGAGGAAAGGCTGCCAAAAAAAAAAAAAAAAGACTCCTGGGCTGCTGTGTGCTCGTCGGCGTCCGTTACTTATGTCCCCCGTGAAGGACCGATGGATAACGAAGAATTCATCTCCACGGGGAAGATTCAAACACAATTGCGATGTGCATGTATGGACGTGAGTACAATACAGCAACACACGCTACCATGCACATAGGTACGCAGTGACATGCAGGTGCTGGCACGTGCGGGTTCTGGCTGCAGAGACGGAGGGGTCCGGAAAGCTTGTTTTCTGTCGCACCGTAGTGTAGGTACTGCCGCCCTTCAACACAAATACCATACCTTAGACACTGCGCATGCCATCATCTGCCGGCAACCCGGATTCGGAAACACCGTGACAGTTCTCAAATGAATGCAGGTGCTCCGCAGCTGTTAACACAGTGCTATGTACACGTGTATGACCTTCCATTGCTATGGAGTGTCCGGTGTTCTTCGGTAAGTGATAATACGGAAGATAAGGGCATCGGTGGCTAACGCTGCCGACATCCGACGGGAGCTCTGGAAATATGGAACCCGGAACCTGCAGTTTCCACGACCAGGCGCCAGTTCCAGTTGTCGGGCATACCTAATGTACAGTCAGGGTTCAAAAGTCTGTCACACCCCACATCAAAATCCCCCGCCACCCGTTTTCTAGGTCACCACAACCATCAACATATCTCTACATAACGCAACACCACCAACATTCCTAGCAAAATAAATATATACAGATAGAAGCCCTGGTTCTAGCCATCAATATTTTGTATACCAACCCCTAGCTTTCTGGACTGCAGCCAATCGCCGGGGTATTGAGTCAATGAGACTGTCAATTTGAGCCTGGTCAATTGCCCACCAACATGCCCGAAGACATCGAGTAAACTTAGCCATATCTAGCTAGTTTTTCTTGAGTAACCAGACATCTGGATATAGCTGCTCCATCCTCCGTTTTAATAGAGCCTATATATGCTCGATTGGATTAAGATCTGGGCTGTGGCCTGGCCAGTCGGGTAGGACCTCGATCATATGCTTCATTAGCCACTCGGTCGAGGATGCAGATGTATGTACTCGGGCATTATCCTGCTGGAAGTGCCGAGTACCATTGTAAATTAGAAGAAGATCCTTTTCCAATGCCTGCTGATAACTCCAAAAGCTATATCCTTCTTTTTACGGTGGTTGGTAGTCACGTTCCATGACAATAAGGTCGGTCCTCCCCCCTTTCCAAATGTGTGACGAAACCACAGGCAGTCCTGCATCTGAAAGGGTTCGCCGGTCGAAGGTATCTGCTGATCGGACTGTAGGTCTCGGTGAAGCCAAAAGGTTCACAACAATGCAAGCTGCAATGTCTGCACAGTAAGGTAGGGCTACTCTACTGTTTGTATTGCTCACTGGAGAACTCCCAGAGTCCTCCAGAAACGAGTGACTATATACTGGCTATCTTTGGGTGCTCTGTTGACTCCATCGAGAGCTTCCATTCCCTCGCGTTGATTGGCTTAGCTCCCTAAGCTCTCGTCTGCTCTCTAGAGCACCTTAGAGCTCCTTCTTATTGGTCCTAAATGATTGGTTCGGGTGTGCCCTGCGCCACCCGTCGGGTTGTCCCACCTGCAGCTGTCCTGTTGGCTTAATTCGTGACAAAATGCCACCCCAAATCATAATTGAAATCATACCTTTGCTATAGCTCTAGAGGTTGACGAAGCTCTTATCCCATTTTTGAGAAGGGAACCGGAAGACCTAAGTTGTTAGGTTGCTCGAATTGTTTTGGCAAGACGATTTGTCGGTGAAGATAGACTAGAGGTTAGTAAAATCCAAGGTTAACTTCCAAGTCACTTACTCGGATCAAGATCTCGATATCCTTCAACCAAAGGCAAGCAAATTAATATCTATCCTTTGCTACTGCCTTCGTCAATAGGATTCTCTTTTATATACGCCACTTGCGTATCCGATAATGGCGAAGAACCTAGTATATCGTTGATCGGGAGATGCGGCCATCCATAGTATTGATCAGCATCTAGGTTGTAAGCTAGGGACGCCGTTTAGCCAATTGTAGGATATACCGCTTTTCCCGACATGTAAGAATCTCTGGCTGGCCTGTTTGAGGCTTGGACTTAACAGTAGTGGATGATTCGAACCGTTGAAGGATGCGGTAGACAGCCGTCCTCTCGATGCGAAACGCGCGGGCAACGGCTGACTGGCTAGCCCCGGCTGCAACGGCACCTATAATAGCTGCACGTGCAGTCGGTGATAGTTCCTGGCTAGGTTGACGGCCGGCCGTCAATTTGGCCCCGATTTCGGCCAAATTGACCATGGTGGGCTAAAGTTGGGTTGGTTAGAAGATGGAAGATGGTGCGTGTCATGTCGCGACGCGCGTTTAATTGATGTGGGGTGTGACAGACTTTTGAACCCTGACTGTACCTACCGTACCTGTACCTACCTTAGGTAGATGAGGTATGTGAAGGTTCATGGAGGTGGACGTATCTACCTGGTAGGTTACACCAAGGCTATAGCTGATCAAGCTGAACCTGGAGAGGCTCAATATCGAACTTTCGTGTAACTCACCTGCAGGCCTTGTCTTTGTTTCAACGATCTAGTTACCCCGGTAGTTCGTCTGTGCCGAGTCATATCCTTGATGGCATCTACATGTATTGTCCCGGTCTTTGTACTGTATAAATAAGGCTAGGTCCCAGATACTGGTCCCGCACGCAGCTGAGCAGTAGAGTTCCATACAATTGCAGACTCGGGAGAAAAGGCAGCGGAGCAGACTTCAGTGAACATCAGACCCTGAATGCAGGCGCCATCAGTTTGCCCTCAGCTTGCCGTGCCCTACACGTTGGCGGAGCAGGGGCCTCTGACCCCGCCTTGCCGGAGCTGTCTACACTGTGCAGCCGTCATCGTCATGTAATAAGGTCTGTGTCCTGTGTACGTAAGCTTTTCGTCTGGGCGTCATCTATTAAAGGTTGCCGCTTCCTTCTCCCGTCCTCACTAGCTCAACCTCCCCGTTCCATACAGCTCGACGTCAAGAGCGTCGACCGATCAGCGAGTTGGATAGCAAGACGGGTCTTGTTGAAATGCCAGTACCGGTCGCGGCCAAAGGTGAGCACAGTTCACTTCCTGTCATTGCTGCCCGCTTGTGTTCCATGGTCCCGTCTGCCCCGCATATGGTGCGACTCGCAGCTAGGCTGCTAGGGCCGCCTGCTGCGGTGGCGAACGACACGCATCCATGATCCTCACCATTGCCCCCCAACAGTTTCCACGGCTATCAGGCCGCGGTCGGGCTGATTTTGCTCGGTCCCCTCCAAGCCAACCGACATTTATTAATTAAGCATCTTCAAAAACACACGATCGTCTCAAAATCCTGTGCTTTGTATTTACCTCTTCCCAAGTCTTTGCCCCACTCCGGCTTTGAACATGCCACCCGTTAACCAAAGACCTATTGCTGCAGTTGGCATTGCCGCAGCTTCGGTTGCCGTAGCGGCTGCTATTGCTATCTACGAAATCCCAGAGGTCCGTCGCGCGGCGGAAGAGCTTCGCAGACGTATCGCCATTGCGCTCCATTCGCTCGGTGACAATGTCGGCCCAAACAGGCGGGAGCCTCGCTTCAACCGCCCCGAGGACGCCGAAGGCTTTTACCATCCGTACGGCGTCGATGCAGATGAGGAGACTAGGAGGCGACAGCGGGAAGAGTTGATGTACTGGAATATGCGCCGGGAGGAGCAAAAACGGGCCGACAGTCAACGCTCTCGGTCGTCCACTCGGGGCTCAACCTTCGATGACTTCCTTCAGCCTGACCGGGCCGGCGAGACTGGAACATACGTCTTCAACACCGGGGCGAATGCCTGGGACACCGATTCGCCTAATGTCCTCCGCCGCCGGCTCAACAACGCCGAGGGTGTGCAGGGCCTTAATCCCTCGCTCCTCGCCAATCTTTTCGGCGATGAGCATAGCAGCTCTCCGGTAGAACCCGGCGAACTGGCGTTAACGTGCGGCGATGTCACTTCAGATGTCTATAACGCCACACCTCGTCTGCTGTCACCTGTACACTTGTCACCTGTACACTCGTCAGGGCAGCCTCTGACCGTGCAACCAGTGCCGGTGCCACCAGCGAGCGAGGTCCTCTTTGACTTCGCGGCCCACTCGTCATCGTCGGACGCCCGCAGCGAGCACGCCGCCGCTCTGACTCGGGAAGCCGCTCTTCGTCAACCGCACCCACAATCGCAACAGGAAATGAGCACCTCCACCACGACATCGCGCAGCACCACCGTTGACCGCGAGCTCGCCGAAGACGAGTACATGACGGCGGGCCAGGATGACCGAACCCGGGCTGATGCGTACGCCTCAATCCAGGCGTGGGCTCAGGGTGAGGGCATGGGGTTCTACTCCCCGCTGCTCAGCACGCCCGAGGCGCCGATCTCGGAGCCAGAGATCATCAGCGAGGGCCAGCTGACTCCGGCTGACTCGGCTTCGGTAGCGGAATCAGGGGTGGATGTCGCTAAGGACATGGCCTCAGCGAAGGGAGACGACTACGGTGTGATGACCGACACGGACGACGGGATACCCACGCCGACTAGTTGGTCTGAGATTGGGAGCGTGATCAGCGAGAGTGAGAGTGCGCTCCGTCCGTAGGGGGTGGGTTCTATGGTTTCGCTAGGCTTTATTAGTAGTAGATGAAGTGCCATCAACTTTCCTGCTTTTGGCATTCTTTGGGTCATGGGCGTTCGGGGTGGGTCTGAAACGGGATGGAACCAACTAGCAAAGAGGATGGGAACGGATCTGGCAGGTATCTTGGGTTTTTTATGTCTAGTTTGCGGCTTGGCTACGGAGTTTATCATGTCATGTTTGACAAAGGTTCCCCTTGTGTGCGTCCCTCCTAGTGGGTCGCCTCGGGGCTTTTGAATGCATATCAAATTCTCGAGGAACGTATCGCCAGCGTCGTCATTCTTCACCTAACGCACTACTATCTCGCCCTCGTAATATCTAGATATCATTGCCATTTGAGTTGTCGATGTAGTCGCTATAAAGCTTCTCGACTGATGACCCCAAGAGCTCCGGCCAGAAGGACTCGGTCTTGTACTTGCGCTGCCGGAGCTTCTCGTTGAGGCGCCGGATGGTGCCCTCGCCGAAGCGCGCCTCGAGGTATTCGAGGAAGTAAGCGGTATGCTGGTAGCCTCTGTCCCAACCTGCGTTCGTTACGGGAGAATGGTGAGCAATGTCTCGTTTGTTTGCGCTTCATCCCGATGATCTATCCCAATGTTGGGGGAGTGGTGAGGATGTCATGGGGCGGACTGCCACGAGGTACAGTACATGAGGTCGGAGGACAGAGATAGGCAACATACCTCCGTGAGTGTCCTTCTTCCAGTGCGGAGGGCTCAGCGCACACCTCAAGCGCACCCAGTCCGCGATGCCCTCGATCAGCCCGCCAGGACAGGTCCCTTGCGCGTTCCACTGGTAGCAATGCACTAACTCGTGCGTCAAGACACCGGTGATTTCGGATGTGAGACGCGAGGCTGGGCTGATCGAGTTGATGTAGTTCAGCGAGAAGTGGATCTCCTTGTGGTCATTGTCAAGGTCCGTCTTGGAGTTGGGGCCTTGAAGTCAGCAGGCTTTCCAAAGGACGTCTGGTCGGCGGGGTCAGCTCCTACTCCCGTTGTGTATGCAACGCCGGGCATATCACGGAGCACCAGCGTCACAGATCGGGTTGGTGGGACTGCTGTGTAAGGGTCGGCCGGCGCCCGGTACAGCAGTCGCAGAACGTTGTTCACCGCGGTGGAGAGGACTTTAGCTGCATTTACTGCGCCGAAAAACGCGACTGCGCCGGGATGGGCAACATCCTGGATTTTGAGGCGGAGCTTCGGCTGCGGGAATTCGCTGCTACCCGTCTCCAAGACCGGCGCGGACTCCGGAGCGGGCTCAACGACGCCCTTGGACCGGTCTGGCAGCGGAATCGGCGACTGCGCAGGGCCGTCATGTAGACTCGGCATAGGCGAGGGAACGGCCGCAGGCCGAGCACCAGGATCATTGTGCTGTTGCACAGTCATGGCGTAAACAGAAACTTGGGAAGGTCCAGTGGACAACGTGGATAGATAGGTACCTAGGTAGAGAGAAACCGTGACCTGGAGCAGCCGGTATCGAAAACTTGAAGCCAGTGAAGGAAAACAATGGAGTCGGCGGCGAACGCCGAAGGCTACATTATCTCAGGAAGGTAATGTACTTGTATAGTACCTTACCTACGGTAGGTATTGTACCTGCCTTCCATACGAGGGTGGTAGCAACATAATTGGATGAAGGTGTTGGAGATCCAGCACATCTACCCAGCACATCTACCCAGCACATCTACCCAGCACATCTACCCAGCACATCTACCCAGCAAATCTCCCTGGCAACGATTACATAGAGTGTTGTTGTACTACCTAGGTAGGCTTCTCTGTACGGTATTACTAGCACGGTATTGAGTTATAACATGGAAGACGCCTTTGAATGTCAACAAAGATCGGGGTGTGCGGGGCCGACAGTGATCGCCCGGCGCCAAGAAGAACTGCAAATTGACAAGCGCCCCTGCTCATCCCCCCACGGCTAGTTACACCAGTAACACCACAGGGGTTCTGGAAGGTCCCGCGATAGCTGATAGGTAGGTAATGGACGTTAATCAGCAGACATAACTGCCGTTCCATGTCTGTTTGGAATTTGTCGTCGGTTTTATTCTGATAAGTGCACCTGGTGAACATCGCCATTAACATAGTTCTCACAAGCTTGCGCGGACGTGTCTATACGTCTCCTCTGTTGCGCACTATTCTGGAATCACTGTGAGTGTATCTCGCGCCTGATTTGTGACCGAACCCGATCGGAGCGCTTCCATGCGCGAAGGTGCATGCTTTGTGTTTATGTTTTCTTTCTTCCCTTTTCAGCCCACATCTACGCCGAGATCTAACTAGCTTCCTCTTGCACAGGACTAGGTTTCCATTCTGACCCTACAACGCCGTGATCCTCTTCTTGAGGAGGAGATGGCGGAAAGAATTACCGATCAACAGGTCGCCGACCTCATTGCCATTTTGCGCACCGATGCCTCGTTTGATGCCAAGGCCCAGCAGGTCAATGCGGTCAAGTCCAGCATCAAGCAACACACAGTCCCTGAAACCTGCATTGTGCCTCTTTTCGAAGCGCTGCGTGCGGCCTCGAGCTCTCAGCATGGGCTGCTCACGAATTCCGGCTTCACAGCACTCAACCACCTCTTCACACGGCTAGCGCGGCAGGAGCCCAAGTATCTGGCGAAGGAGGGCGCTCGCGCATTGCCGTTGATTGTTGAGAAGCTGGGTGATCAAAAGGACAAGCTTCGCGCTCTGGCACACCAAATGCTCGCTACGCTCTACAAGGTGGCGCCCCTGGAGGTTGAACTCTCTGTGCGCAATACAGCAATGGTTGGGAAGAACGCAAGGGCGAAGGAAGCTAGCCTGCATTGGCTCCTGAGGGTAAGACCAGAGAGCGGATGCGCTTGGTTGAGCATATGAGCTAATTGAAGACGTAGATGCACCAAGAACATGGCCTCCAGTTCCGAGCCTACGTCCCAACACTGATGGAGCTGCTCGAGGACGCGGATGGGGGAGTGCGGGATACGGCCAAGTCCACCGTTATCGAGCTATTCAGGTATAATCCGCCCGTATTTGTCTTCCAAATTCGCCAAGGTACTGACATTTGCTCAGGACTGCACCCGGTGCTGCGAAATCCGATCTGAAAAAGCAGCTAAAGACCTTCAAGGTCCGCCCGGCCATCGAACAGGCGATCGTCAAAGCGCTTAACCCCGCAAGCGCTGCTCCGGCTTTACAGCCTGACAGTCTGGCTGAACGCCCCCCGTCGCGCATGGCCCACGCAGCAAGTGTATCCTCCGTCCCCGACCGTCCAGTGACTCCCGGGCTTGTGGACCACCGCGCTGAGGCGGTAGAGCCGTCATACGTGAACACATCGCGAGAGCTCGACGAAATATTGCGGGATATGCAACCTTACTTCGAGGACAAAGAAACAGAGCAGAACTGGTTGAAGCGCGAAGAGAGCATAGTCAAGCTGCGTCGGCTCGTGGCTGGGAATGCTGCGACCGATTTCAGCGATCAGTTTCTTTCAGGGCTTAGGACGCTACTGGATGGGATTCTCAAGGCTGTCAACTCGCTGCGGACCAGTCTCTCGAAGGAGGGCTGCAGCCTGGTCCAGGACATTGCGAGAGTGTACGGTCCAGCAATGGATCCTATGGTGGAACTGCTGATGCAGACCTTCATCAAGCTCGCCGCCGCGACCAAGAAAATTAGCTCCTCACTCGCCAACACCACGGTCAATGCTATCATCTCCAGGGCTACGTACAACACGCGGATCATGCAGCATGTGTGGATGGCATGCCAGGACAAAAACGTCCAGCCGCGGCTGTACGCTACCGGGTGGCTGGAAACACTGCTCAACAAGGAAGCTCACCACAAGAACCACGTGGAGCACACTGGTGGCCTGGACCTGATTGAGAAGTGCATCAAGAAAGGGCTTGTGGATCCCAATCCTGGCGTGAGAGAAAAGATGCGCGCGACTTACTGGACCTTCGCCCGTATTTGGCCGGCAAGGGCGGAGGCTATTATGGGCGGACTTGATCCGACCGCAGCAAGGCGGCTGCAAAAAGACCCTAACAACCCCAATTCGCCTAAGAAGTCGGAAGGGGAGGCCCGGCCTGGGATGGGTTTGTCCAAGAGCACAATGGGTACTTCAAAACCAAGTCTGCGCGACGCGATGCTCGCTCAGAAGAGAGCCATGACCACTAAGACACTCCTCGCGAGGCCGGGTTCAGCCATGTCGCACTTCTCCGCAGCGGCAGGATCATCTCAGGCGCCCGCAGCGACTGCCCCTTCCACCACTGCTCGCACGATACCAGAGTCCACCATCCTTACCTCCACGGGAGGGCTTTCTGGCGCCCCTGTCCGGCCGGGAAGGAGGAGGCCTGAAATGGCTGCCCGCCCTGCCACAGCGGGACCATACTCGGTGAGAAGCCATGACCAGCCGTCGGCTGAGCAGGGGAGCCCTCCCAGCAATGCCAAGGCGAAAGCAGTCACGCCCAAGTCAATCACTTCATCTCCAAAACGGACGGTCCCTAAGACGGTACGACCGAACCAACCTGCATCTCCGGCAGATTCTCATCTCTCCGCGCCCGTAAGGGCAGGGACGCCAAAAGGCTTAGCGTCTCCTCTGAGCACGCCCTCAAGGACTGTGCGACAAGCTTCCGTCCCGCCGTCCAGCAGCCCGTCAAAGGCGCATGAGGACTTCACCTTGGTCCTACCAACTGTGGCAGTACCTGCGGCCTCGCCGCCTAGGGAGGATCTGCCTCCGGCGAACCTGATTGACAACGAGCCAACGACTGGGAGTCCGTCTGGCACTCCTTCGCCTTCCCCGATTCCTAGAGCGTCATCCGCTGTGCCGGTCAGCCCCCCTCGGAGAGTCGCTTCTGCACCGGAGCCTGGAAGCCCAGTAGCCACCCCGCCAAGGATTGTCGATGCCGCGCTTCCCACTTCGGCTAGCTCCTCACGTTCTCTGAAAGTCTACGAGGATCCTGTTACCAGGGAGGAGGCGACACCGAAGCCTATCTTCGGGTCTGTCTTGGAAGATAGGCCAGTCAACGAGGACGCTTCCATCTTGCAACAAGTTAGCCAACGACAACAGAACGTCGAAGCCAACGGCCTTTCCCTTTCGCCCGAGAAAACCAAGCAGAACCTGCGTCTCTTTGACAGTGGCATCTCCAAGGTTCAGCAAAAGTCCCTCGACATCCACGGCTTCCGCAAGCTGCAGGCCATCATCCGCGACAGCGACTTCGGATCAGGCACCGCGCCGCTCATCAGCGACGATAAGTTCGACGCACTGACGTGCGGGCTTTTCGACTTCCTCGAGTCGCCACTCGCCCATCTTCCCCCGGAAAAAGCTCACGATGTGAAAACCCAGGTACTGGCGACGATCAAGCTACTCCTCAAACGCATGCGCCACTCATTCCAGCCACACGTGTCGCGCGGCCTAGAGAGCCTCCTGCGCGCCCGCGCTACCTATGAAGGAAGGACGCACATTGTGATCGGCCTGGACCTGCTCGCGTCAGAACTTGCCGCCCTAGGCGACGCGAGTGAGATCGTCATGGTGCTCTCGCGTATGCTGGCCGACATGGATGTCAATGCTCCCGGCACCAGCAGGTCGCTTAGCATGGGGTTGCACATTCTCACCGAGATGATGGATTCGCGCGGTGCCGCGTTTAGTCCGTCCGCCGCAGAGCTGGATGCTCTTGCTGCGCTGGCGGCGCGGTGTCTCGAAAGCCTAGATTCGGGGGTCCGCATGGACGCGGTGCTTCTGTGTGTTGCGCTGCATGCCCGGGTCGGGGATGCGCGGTTCTGGGAGGCTGTCAGGACGGTGAAGGACGATCCCAAAAGCTTAATTACGTACTATATTGCCAGGAGGAAACAGGAGATGGGCACGAGGCCCGTTGTTGGGCAAGCTGCTTAGAGGGCAGGCTTTGATGCGTTTGGTGTAAGGCTGCGTAGGATTCGATTGCGGTTTGGTCATCTTTTCGGTTCTAAAGGCTTGGATTAGAGCATGGTGCTCTGGTGCTTCGATGAAGGCAGAGTTCCGGACACTGCCCGTTCATGCTCTAGTCCTTTGTGTATCATTACTGTACTACTACGAGGGCGGGAGACGGGATAGGTGGTGTTGGGGAGCAGGAAAAACGGGGAACATCACATTGTGTACATACATGGCGTGGCATCCATAAATGGGCGGCGCGTGTTGGGCCCTGCAAATGGCTGCTTGGGCTGGCGTCTGGCTAGGATTGTTCTGCAGGCTACCTCAGGTAGTGCTGCGGCCGGCTTTGAGATGTGGATGGCCACCATCAGCGAGGTTTTCTCTGATATCAGGGGAGGATGCTTGATTTCCATACCTAGAATTACCGTTCAGTCCACTAAGCCCCTCTGACAATATTCTGTGTCACAGCAAAACCTCTCTCCTCTCCTCTTTAGATGGTTCTGGTGTCGGCTACGTAAGGTATCGTCGCCTCTTCTTTGGAAACCCGGGGTTTTGCAAAAGCCTACGGTACTCTATACCATACATATCCTAGGGCTCCTAGCCGTGTCTGACTGTCTGTACATACAAATCCGCCGTCGTCTGGACTCCTGATTCCTCTCGGAGCCCCTTTCTGTCTTGCGTCGGCTCCCTATTTCCCAGCAAGCCATGAGCTAGGCCGGAAAAGTTGAGCCATGCCTGCGGGTTGAACGGGCATAACAATTCACCGTACCCCTGCTTCGTAGCCGGAATGGAATCACTCGTTACTATGGTATGTGAAGGTTGCAGCTCGCCTATTGAACCGAGCAATTCATTGACGGCCGCGAGGTCTAGCCGCATCTTCCCAGAGAGCAAGAAACATGCCCGAAAAGTGAGTTGTTCTGCATCCAGCGTGCAACTAACCGAACCTCCCGCAACAACTTGAAGTTACTAAAACTCAAAAAGTCCTCCGTACAATACGAATAGTTACACGAAAGTTCTGGGCCCGGACAAAACAAAATCCCCAGAAGTCCGCAGAGCCAGGGTCCTACTCTGAAACGCCAAGAGACGGGCGTTCCTTATGAGGGTCAAGTTCATCTCATCGCAGATCATCGTAAGATCTCCTCCGCAACGTACCGGTAAATCTGAAAATTACGTACTTACACTGTACTGTGCGGTGCCATCTACCTTTCCTATCTGCGGACAGTGCCGAAGTGATCAAAGCTGCGACAGGTGGCGATTGCGAGGTACTGTGCGACCGTCAGAACGCCACGTAACACAAACATGTCTCGTGTTCCAACACACGGAACTTGAAACATATCTGAAGTACCTCGGTATATACTGTGTAGAACGGAGTGTTTGCGGAGTAGCTAGATGGTGTGATGTCCGGTCAGTATATACGGTATCTACTTTAGGTACTTGTACAATACCTCCGTACCCAACTACCTTACCTATGGAAAGGGTGACGTTAGTAATGTGCCCTTCTACACACTCAGGTAGGTACCTGGGCAACTTATACTGTACTGAGTAGGTATTCCATACTCAGATCAGCTATGATCCGTAAGGTACATACCTAGGTCCGTACTTGTGCAACACGGATTCAGATACGTCTGCGAACTCTTAGATATTCCTGCCACTTGGGACCTGAAAACCAAACAACAGATTAGTACCTAACGAGATCAGAGGCGCGAGGTGGCCGTCAGGGCTCAGCCTCTGTCAGACCATTGGTGCTTACCTTACCGTGTGCATGCCGCTCTATTCCTGCCATTGAAACGCCACTTCCATGCGTAGCTCCGGTAGGTTACCTAGGTACCCGCCGTCTTTTAGATATCATCGCAGCAGCTCCAACTCGGATCCCGGCCGTCTGGTAGCGTCACCTCACTCTGCGGGCCCGGGGCATAGCAGGCTTATAGCAGCCCTATCGTCTTGCGGCTGTCACTTGGGCGGAAGGGTAGCACAAGACAGATCTCGGCAGCTTAAGAGAACCGTGGAACAAGATGACACTAACATTAACTAGACGGCTTCGAGAAGAAATGCAGATCCTTTGTTCATGTATCAAACGCCCGTTTGGCCAACAGTGTAGAAGGAAAGAAGATGGCGGAACTTGACAGACGGGACGACAGACGGGACGACAGACGGGACTTTAAGGTTTGTGCCTCCAAAAGGCTAGGGCGCGCTGTGACAGACAAGACGGGCATTGATAATAAATCCAATGATTGCAGGCATATCCGTATTGGATAAAGCAACGAGCTAAGTATACCTAAGGTAGGTAACTTTCCTTAGCGTTTCTAGGCCCATTTGATCTCACCCCGAGGATTTCCCTTGACGCGGCTGCGATGTGGAGACCCGGTACTAGGTTTTGCCCTCAGGGGCGAACTGCGATTGGTTTCTGGTCTAGCCCCTGTTGGATGCCCCGGCCACCACACATTGAACCCCTGGGTCTTGGTCAACGGGCAGCGGAGGGCAGAGACAACTTGTTTCGGCGACCGTGCATTTCTTTCGTGCTCCGGATCTTGAGATCGGTCGATGTTTCGCTCGACCGCAGGCATCGCGACCGGTTTGGTTCTAACCTTGTTAGCAGTCTTTTGCTTTCGATCGCGATAGTCACCGCAACGGGGTTGATGGTCCGTACCGAGCTCGAGAGATCGCTGGATCGCAACTGCCCGGCCCGACCTCTCCACTCGCGCCGAAGACGAACGAACGCCTCCCGTTGACGGTCGCTGCATAGCGACCTGCCTACGTGGCGCCTTAGCGGACAATCACTCTTTTTCACACTGCTGCTTGCCCGTGCCGCCCTGACGACTCGAAGAATATCACGCAGTCGCAGGACACGGAGCATCGTCAGCTAGCCTCGACAGTGTCCCCGCCTCGTCGTTTCACGACCGCCGCCCGAATTCCAGCTCATTTTGCAGCGAAACACGACACGCTGCCCACCTCAACCAACCTCGTGTAGACAGCGACAGCTGCACCATTCTTTGTGTCCCATCATCCACGCCTTCGACACTGAACATCAACGGATCAAGCTGAGCAGGGCTGGGTTGGCGACGAACGTTACCCCTGAATGCGCCACCGCAACATTTAGGCTCTCTACCGGATACCGCCGCACCTCTATGCCCATTCTGGCCCCGGACTGTCTCTTTGTAGCCGGTGCACTGCCGGCTGGTCTTGTATCCTTGGGCACAACTTCGCATCGTCTAAGCAGCCATGGATGACTATCTGGATAGTCCTATGGACTCGGACGACGTCTTTCCCTGCAAAGGGTGCGGCGAGGTAGGTTTTGGCAGACTTGAGAGCTGCTTCTGAACTCTTTCTAACGATTCAATGCAACAGATCCTAGAGGAAGGCAAGGCCTTCGAGCTCGGTATGTTCCACGCAAAAAATACGACAGCGATACATGTTGGGAGATGCCTCGTTGCTGTGTACTAATTAGGTCCTTAGCTGGAAATCGATGGCATCTGGATTGCTTTCGGTGCAACACGTGCAACACACTCCTCGACTCGGACGCGAATTTGCTCCTCCTCGGCGATGGCTCCCTCATCTGCAACAATTGTACCTACAGCTGTAGCGCCTGCGGGAACAAGATCGAGGACCTCGCCATCCTGACGGGCGACCAGGCGTTCTGCGCAACCTGCTTCCGCTGTAGGAACTGCAAGAGGAAGATCGAGAATCTGCGCTATGCCAGGACATCCCACGGCATCTTTTGCATGAATTGCCACGAGTCGCTGATGGCGAGGCGGCGGAAGAAATCAAAGGCGGCAGCACAGGCGAAGCAACGGGAGAAAGATGCCTCGCCCATGATTACGGACAAATCTCTGCCCGCGCTACCGCCCAATGCAGTACCCCCTAATGCTTTCTCCACCGAACGCATGGCCCCGGATTCCGATACACCAACCGAGCTCTCACCACGTCCTCGCGCCGCCTATGGGCGACACGACTCGGTCTCTCGAAGCGGTTCGAGACCCGACCGCTCTCCTGAACGGATGCAGGACCCCGCGAAGGACCCCGCCCTGGCACCGTCCGCCTCGAGCTATCGGCACAACCGAAATTCGGCCCTCTTCACCGGGGACCTGAACAACGGAGACTCTGACGGGAGCTTCTTCATCCCCGTAGCGCTGGATCCCAGTCCCGCGCCGTCACTAACTCCTCAATCCATGTCCGACACGTTTGCAGATTCGAGTAGGAGGAACAAGGAAAGGGATTACTTCGGTCCGCCGAGGCCAACTCCGGAAAGGAGAACCACCGAGTCCCAGGCGTCGACGCCTCACATCGCATTTCAGGAAAAGGGAAGGCAACCATCTTCGGATTATGACATTCCCCAACAGGAGCGGCCGGCTCGCAGGCTCTCCAAGCGGAATGGAAATCCCAAGGCCTCTCCCAATCCGGCAGACGATGGCAAACCTTCTACCAAGTCACAGCCCAACGACGAGTTCAGGCTGCAAGACGCTCCTAAAAGCAAGAAATTGGGCAATTCCAGGAGCGACTCCATATCCAACAGTTCTTCGGACGCACCTACACCTGCCAAAGCACCTCCAGCGCCGCCACGGAACCGTGATGTTTCCAATACGACGAATACCGACTCCCCACGCCAGCCTGGTCCGGGCGACAAGGCGTCTCCGCCTCGGCCTTCGCAAGATTCTCGACGTAGAGAGGACGATGCTATTCGCCCATCATTGGACTCAATGACGTCCGGCCGAAATGAGGCATCTATCCCCCCGTCTATCGCGAGGAAGGAGGTCTCCCTGAGCCAGTCACGGAATGGTGAGTTGATATCGTCCGGACACACGGGAAATGGCGCCTACCTAACGCATGCGAAATCAGTTAACGGTAATGAGTCTGTTCCTCCGCCTCCACGCCCGGTACCCGAGACGAAGTTAAGCGACACATACATGCAGCCGAGGGCGCCGCCGCAACCCCCAAGTCAGGTATCCAAAGAGCCGGCGGTTTCGGTCACCGAAGTGCCAGAGCCAAAGGTGTCGCCGAAGCTGCCGCGCTGGAGCTCGGGCGGTGAGTTCAGCATGGACGAAGATATGGCTAGAATTCTAGGAACCGACGAGGGCTCATCATCAATTCTGCGGCGGGTGTCGAACGCTGTGCGGCACGGGCGGAGTAATAGCAACGAATCGGGCAACAATCACGGAAGGCTTGGTCATAGCAGGAGCGTGAGCGAGACAACGAGGGGGGCCGGGTCTCCCCGCTGGCCGAGGACACCGATTGCTGAAGATCAAACTGGGGCTCCGGATATCAGCAGCCCAATATCGCTCTCGGGGACAGGGCAGGACGACCCGGCGTTACTGAAACGGCAACTGAGGAACTCGGAGCAGCGCGTGGCAGAACTCGAGCGGCAGTTCAATACGGAGAAAGATCTCAAGAGCCTGAATAAGAAGCTCATCGAGAAGCGGAAGACGGTTTCGGTCTTGGACACACAGACTGAAATCATGATCCGGCAGATCGAGGTACTTGCTGGATACGTGGAGCGGGCTAAGAAGACCAATGAACCCATCGACCCTCGCGAGCTGGAGGAATCAGCCATCAAGGAATTTGTGCAAAAGCTGGAGAAGGTGAAACAGAACATGACGGCCGCGATTGAACAGCTTCACGCCGAGCGGGACGAGCTCTTGGAGGAGAAAGCTCAGGCGATTGCCGACCGAGATCGCGCTCTGCTTGAATTTGAGCAACTCTCATCCAAGAACGCGCAACTGGCCGATATGAACAACGACCTGACACACCAAATTCAGGAAAGGTTCAAGCAGCAAATCAACAACGGAGAAAGACCACCGAACGGCCTAGGCATCTATGGTCACGCCAAGGGCGTATCGTCGATATCAGTCAATCTGGATGCAGCGAGTCTGCAGACGGGCACAACCATGGTCGGTAACGATGGTGAGGAGCCGGTCGTCGAAGGACCGACTGTGGTCAACATCCGGAAGGGCCAGGTGAAGAAGTTCAATTGGAAGAAAGGCTCCAGCAAGGTTGCCCATAACATTTCCAAGGGCATTAATCGCGCAGCAGGCGCCTTCCAGCAGCAGGAGCAGAACCGTGTTCAGCAGCACCAAGGGTTGACGGGCGATAATATCGGCCTCCCCTATAATATGACAGTCGCACAGGTTGACTCGCCGGTTCCCATGGCTCCTCCAAGCGGGCCCAATCGATCCCAGACAGAAACCCAGCGACAGGGCTTTGGCTTCTTCAGCAAGAAACCCAACGTTCCAAAGTCGACCTCTGTCACCAACGTCTCCACGCCTGCGCCTCCTACCCCTGCGGAGGCTCCCAGCACCCTTTTCGGCTCCGACCTAGTCGAGCGGGCTGACTATGAACGTCGCCAGATCCCTAGCGTCGTTACGCGCTGCATCGAGGAGGTGGAGTTGCGCGGCATGGACATTGAGGGCATCTACAGGAAGACGGGAGGCAATTCCTTGGTCAAGATGATCCAGGAAGGGTTCGACAAGAGCGAGGACTTTGACATCTCGGATCCGTCCCTCGATATCACGGCTGTCACGAGCGTCTTGAAGCAATACTTCCGCAAGCTGCCCAACCCGCTGCTCACCTTTGAGGTGTATGACCGCATCTTGGAATCGAATGGTAAGTTTTGCTGTTCACCCTCACACCTACCGACCGACCTACCTGCCAGTCCAGACTTGTTGACGACTCTCTGCAGTGATACAGGACGAAACCGAGAGGTGCGCGCACATGAGAAAGACAATCAACATGCTCCCACCCAAACATCGAGACTGCCTCGAGTTTCTCATGTTCCACCTCGCTCGGGTGGCCAGCAGAGAGCGAGAGAACCTGGTATGTTTCTTCCAAGGAATCGTCTCTCTTTTCGCACAGAACGATGTCGCTAATCTGTTCTCTCCTTCAGATGTCTCCCAAGAACTTGGCCGTGGTTTTCGCGCCTACTATCATGCGCGACCACAGCCTCGAGAAGGAGATGACGGACATGCACGCGAAGAATGTGGCAGTGCAATTCCTAATCGAGAACAGCAACACCATCTTCGGCGAGGATTGACCTTCCTTATGGTTTTGAGAATAAAGAAAACTGGACAAACCGGTGGGATGTTTTCGTGCTTACGTGTGGCGACTTGTATATACCTTTGAGTTTTGCGCAGAGAGACCCCTTCTGCTTTCTTGGTTTTGTCCGGCCTGATCTTGGGCAAGAGCTCCTTCCTTTGTTTCCCCCTTCGGCCGATTCCCGGGCTTTGCCGGTGCACGGAACGGCAAAGGGTCCATATACCATGAGGCATTTCTGTTCGTTGTCAGGTTCTCTTGCTCCTCGAGCGTCTTACTAAGGGTTTCAAGTTTCCGATTGCTGGTATTGGTATGACATGACGAGCGTGGGTTGGCGTTCGGCGAGGCACGTAAGGTGGAATCTTCATTCTCAAGCTTGTTACCAGTACAGTCAGCCCGCCTCAAAGTGCCAGCGATCCGAATCATAACGATAATCTGGGTGTATGAACGATTAATACCCTGACCCGGCCGGATTTTGTATGTGAAACCGTCAGTCACTGATAAGGTAGTAGATACCTTAGTATTTGGGATATACTTCCGATCAAGTTTTCGGCTTATAGTCACCACATCAATCGTCATATCTAGGTACCCAAGGAGCCGCCAACCCTTACTGTAGTTTACTACTACTAGTCCTTGGCGCCTTTTGCTGGGATCGACCGATTCTTCTCTGCCCATCCCAGATATACTATAGTACATTGTGTATATACACTCACTCTTGCACAGATTTCTACCTTTCCGAGTACTAGTACTCTAGAGGGCGAATCTTTAACTGCTTCATAGTAATACATACATCAAAAGTCGACACCCTGGCAATGTGTGGGCCTGCCAGGACCCGGTCGTTGTGAAGAGGGCCGGTTGTATTACTATATGTACAAGTACATAGAGTACATATATGCCCTACATACCTAAGGTGCATACCACGCCCACAGTAGGTACACTACATAGACGGTCCCAGGTTCCTACCGTACGATTCCGACTCACCATTCCAGTCGGGCACGCTCAGGCTCGCTCCTCAAACCAATATTCCTTCTTGTCTGCCATCTCAGTTTCAATTCAGTGGCCAACCAGGTCCCGGGTATCATAATGGTAAAATGTCCATCTCCCATCTCATCCATCCACACAGGCTTCGTACCAGTAAGCTTAAACACTACAAGGTGAGATAGATGCCTTAGACAATATCAACTCAGTAATCCAGCTTCTCTTCTCCTCTTCTGGGGTTCACTTCTCCCCCATAACCTTCTTGACCCTCTCCAACAGCACCTTGCCCTCCCGCCCAATCTTCCGCTTCCCGTCCTTCCCAGGGGTTTTAGCCTTCGCCATCATCTTGCGATACCGCTCGCGCTCAGCAATGCGCTGCTGTCTCTCCTGCTCGCGCCGCGCAAGCTCGGCCGCGCGCTCCTCGGCCTGCTTCTTGGCGCGCTCGGCCGCCGCGAGTTCCCTGGCAAAGTAATCTGGCCGTTGTTTCCGGGGGTGTCTTCGCTGTTGACGGCGTTCCGGTCGTGCACCAGCGGTGTCTTCGCCTGACACTTGTTGGTCCGGCTGCTTTGGTTGAGACTCCTCGTTATCGAGCTTCGAGGGTTGGGAGGCCGAGCCCAGCATCGCTTGACGGTAGGGATGGATTTGGGCTGGTGCGGGGGGTGGAAAATCGTGCTCTTGCTGCTGCGGCTCTGAGCGAGCCGGTGCGCCGGCGCTGTCTTCTGCTTTTGTATTCTCTTCTGTCACTGTCTGTGTGGTTGTGGATGCAGTAGCCTGCTTTTGGTGCTCTGCCTTGATTTTGGCGTACTGCTTTTTGACCTTGGCTTTGGTAATGAGCTCTTTCTTGATCTTGGTCACTGAGAACAGCAAGTCAGTTGCGCGGTACGCTCTTCAGACTGCAAGACAACCTAGTCGAAGTAGCTGGCTTACCTTTGCGCCTCCATGGGCCATCGGGCAGATTTTCAGGTCCAACGCGGAAGCCATGTTTGGCCTTCTTCGGCTTCCTGGTATCCTCGGGCGCCGGTGATGTGCCCGCCTCGGAGATGGCATCTTCGTCGCGAGCGCGCTTGGCACACATGGCGGGCTGTAGAACACTGATGTTTTGATGACGGCTTTATACTCCAAGTTGTTCACCTCAAGTTCGTCCGAGTCGAATTCGCTTTTTGGCCGGGGGAGCTTGCGATAACGAAGGGAGCGGGGGCCGTTAACGTTATCAGCTTGGGCGGCGAATCCAATTCTCCACCAGCATCAAAACTAAAAGTGGCAGCAGATACAGTATGTATGTACAATGCAAGAATACCTACCTTAACTGCCGTACCTACCTTAGGTAGTACGTGAAGAAGATGTGTACGGAGTTAACTCCCTTACCTTATCTGTAACTGCCATAGAAGGGATCAACTACCAGGTACTACATGGTGTATTTATAGGTTATGTTACACCACACACTCAACGTTCCTTGGTAACTTACCAGAAGTTTGTTCTCAAGACAACAACACCCCTTTCAAATGTACACTAAGCAGCCACGGCGGCAGGATAGCTAGACAACTTACAGTACTAGTAGTGTTCATTGTGCAGACCATTTCCAAGCAAGATGGGAGGCATGAATGGGAAAACGTCCTCCCATTCTCACACTATTGCAGATTCTTACCGGTTCAGATTTGCTAAAGGCGCTGTATTTACGTATTCCAAATGTTAGTTCGTAAGTTACGCAATTGACCGTAAGTATGAGGTGCTAGTTCCAGGTTACGGTAAGTTGTGCTGTCGGCAGTATTCCAGTGACCCACGCGCGTCATTTCCCTCCGAGAACCCGACCATTTCCCGTCCCTCAATCGGCCTGGCGATCGGGCACTTCGCCGCGCTGCCTCATTACGGGAGGGCAATTAGGTTTTTGCGGTATTACCGTATCCATCCTCTAGTTCTTCCCCTGATGCTTAGTTCCCTACCTGTTCCATCCCAATATCTCTCCCTGAGCAATATACATTAGGTATCAACCTTACATGATTAACTACCTCCTACCTTCCGTACACTGGGCATGAAACTTAGGAATCAGGTCCACCCACCGTCTCAACTCCCATCAGATCAGGCGGACGAGGAGTAAGTGACTGTTCGCACCGCATACCACCCAAGTACAATTATACCGCCACCCACATTACGATTCTGAACAGCTGCTCCTCGTTTCGAGGGTCTACAGATGCCGTAGAGCCCTCAAGCTAGCCCCAAGTGAAAGTTGGTCACCGTGTTGTCTCCCGGCAAGCGCACCATCGCTGGTACAATACGCCAGATACAAAGACCCGAGACCAAGACCAGAAGAGAAGAGAAGAGAAGTTGCGTGTCGCGTGCGGTCCGGTCCCTGCTATGGAGTACGTTACACGTATGGATTCGTCGAGAATGATATAAATAGCTCTACTGGTGCCCAAAGGTGACCGAACCGTGTGTGCTCGACTCGTCCGACGTCGCCTCTGCGTCTGTCTTGCTCAGGTCGAAACCCTTGAGCTTCAAGCCCTTGCCAACCGTTGAGAGCTCAACCCTGGCAAGATGCCTATGTTGCATGAAGACGACTCGGGACGGGCCCGCTCTGGCGCTGCCGGGTCTCAGCACGCCGATTCGGCGCCGATTCCGATACAGGCTCGGCCAGGAAGGGGGGCTTGGTTGAACCGGCGGCTGTCCGAGGAGAGCATCCGCACTGAGCTGTGTGAAGGGCCCATTCCCGACAGCCGCCCCAAACTACTACCCTCGCCGCAACGGGATGTCTCCGATGTCTCCCGCGCCGAGCTCATAGAGCGCCTCAAGAAGGGCGATGTACATGTACAAGTACATCATCATGATTCTCAATGCCAGCGTTCCCAGATATGGCCGGCCGGGCAGCATCCCCAGCGTCTGTTCCCCCAGAGAAAGATGTCTTCGCCGCCTCGGACGCCTCAGTCCGAGGGGGAAGCGCCGCCGGGCTTGTTGCCGGCGCCAACGATAACCCCTGAGCGGCAGAAGCCAAGCCACGGCAAGCAGGCAATAATCGACCCTTTCCAAGAGGACGGAGTGAGCATTGGGCCTCCGCGATCAGCCCTCCACAGCGGCAACTTCACGCCTGTGATGTCTCCCGGCACTGCCGACGCTGAGAATCCTTCGAATCCTCCCTGTGCCGGCGGCCAAGGTCATCTCCGTTCGGGGCCTGCTGGATGGATGAGCACATCACCTCCGAGAGACTATACACCCTATCACTTGGTGAAAGAAACGGCCAGTTACAGAAGAGAGGCCTTCAGGTCTTGCAGTCCCTCTTCATTGAGTTCTTCGCTCTCGTCCAGTTTTGTTTACAAGCCGCCGACCAGTCCGTTGGTCCAATCGGAGACCAACGAGCAGCTTGACATGACGTTGCCCCTGAACGGCTCCCGCAATCCTCGGCGGCATACGCTCAACCTCTTCCACTCCCCGCTCGCGAATGCCACGGCGACTCTCAGAACCCACCCGTACCAGGCACACCAGCCGCGGCGGTCCCTGAATTCCACCCCCAACTTCTCGACGGGAACTTCGCCGCAGACTCCCGCAGTCTTCGGTCCTAGGCGACCATCGCTCGGCTCGGAAGCCTCGCCGTTGCATCACGCGTCCATGGTGGGATCCTACGAGGAAAGTATCCTCAGGGGCCGCATGTCTACGACGCCGTCCAAGCCCCTCGAGTTCCTGGCACAGATCGGCGTCTTGGGCCTCGGCAAGTGCAAGGCGAGCCTCCGCTGCCCGCGCCATCTGACGCTGCCTTTCTCTGCTGTCTTCTACAGCTATGCCGACAGCTCCAAAGGGACCGAGGACGGGCCGAGCCCTTACGTGGGACAGATCGACCTTGAACGTGGACTGCCGAGTCTGGAAGACGGCCAGCGATCGAGGAAGAAGCTTCAGTCCCGAGCCCAAGCCCGGAATGGCGTCGGAGAAGCAGATGCTGCCGCTGCCGCTCACGGCCCTTCGGTCGACCTCTCCGACGGCGAGGGCGGACCGAGGCCGACCACTTCCAAACGGCGCTCCCGGTCGCCCAAGGCGCCGCCGGGGGGCGGCTACCGGATCCCCGAAAAAGGCCAGCTACAGATCATCATCAAAAACCAAAACAAAACAGCCGTCAAGCTCTTCCTCGTGCCATACGACCTGGCAGGCATGGAGCCTGGTACGAAGACCTTCATCCGCCAACGCAGCTACTCGGCCGGCCCGGTCATCGAAGCCGACATCCCGGGCACCAGAGATGCTCCCACGACCGCAGCAGACCGCCCGATCCTGCGCTACCTCATTCACCTACATATTTGCTGCCTGTCCAAGGGGCGCTACTACCTGTACAAGTTCATCCGCGTCGTCTTCGCCAACCGCGTCCCCGACGACAAAGAGAAGCTCCGTAACGAGGTAACCTACCCGGAGCCGCGCTTCACGCCGTACAAGCCAGGCCGCGTGCTGCACCGCCCGCCCGCGCCCAACAACCCCCATCCTGCTGCAGCTGCCAGCAGTCTACCCCCAAGCGCACCTTTTGCCGCAGACCGCGACTTCCGCCGGCGCAGCGCCGGGGTCTCCATTTCCCAGGGGTACCCTGCACATCCATACCACCACCACTTCCTACAATCTCACAGTACTGCTACCAGTACACTTCTAGTAGGAGAACTTGAACGTCGCAACAGACCACCATCACCAGTCGCATTGGCCGCGCCATTCGGCATCTCTACCTCCATCGACCAGCGAGCAGAACCAGAACCAGAAGCAGAAGAGGAAGTTCCCAAGTGCGAAGAAGAGGACAAGAACTCCACGGCAACACCGCCGCCGATGCCCATGGCAATGCCTGGCGTCGAGATGACCGGCCGCTCCACCATAACACACCCTATCACTACTACCACTACTTCTACCACTACCGGATCCTGGTATCGATGCCGCGACAGTCGTGCACCGCCGCTGCATGCAAACTCTTCCCCAAACAAGCCGCGAGAGCCCTCCTTTCCTAGCCCTACACAGACGATAACAGCGACAACAACACCAACAACAACAATGAACGCCCTCAGCGATTATGGCAATACCAGTCTAGGGGCTTACGACAAGCTAAGCAAAGGTTACGTCGGCTACGGCGGCAGCGCCGATGGCAGGCGTCCTTCTGCGGAAGGGCTTTTGTCCAAGAGGCTCCGCTCCCTGGGCGTCGTTCAGCAGCAGCAGCAGCCTTCTGGGCCCGGACTCGGGGAGTGGGAAGACTGTTTGCCAATGGAACCCACGGATTGATTCCCAATCATGAAATGTTCAGATGAGGGTAGTGCGTGTGCTTGGGATGATTGGAGTAGTACTACCTAGTACTTTATTAACATGTAAACCTTATTTGGGCGTCTCGAGATTACTAGTACATGTACATACCAGATGCGATAAGGAAATTGGCTGTGCACAGGGAAGCGTCAAGGGTTAGAATAGGTACTACCTACTATAGGTACCTGTATTGTGCCTGACCCTTGGATGGCGACGTCAATCTAAATGTCATCAGCTAGCACTTGAAGAAATACGAAACATGTCTACAATAGGTAATCATTTACGGGATCCGGATGCCCTTCAACATGCACCTTCACTGCTTTTGACCGAGAGTTTGGTAAACGTGTAGTAGATCAGTTCGCAACTACAAACCAACCAGATGCAACACAATGCGGCAAGAAAGCTCTGTGGCGCCAGCAAAACTCTATGGGCTTTGGCTCTTCATCACAGCCCTCCATCCTCCTGTTTTGAGGTGCTTTCACACTCCTAAGTCCATCCGCCGCTGAAAAGCCACCGCGGCGGCGCGGCGCTTATAATGCCGCAGCCACGGAGCAGCGAGTTAAACCCCGGATCGGTAGGCCATGCTCAGAGCTTGTCATAGTACTGGCACAGTTCGTTAGTAAACAACATGGTACATCAGCTTTCGAGTTGGCACTTACGTTCTCCACGCCCGGAACCTCGACCTTGATACCCTTGCGCTTGCGCATCTCCTGAACAATGGCGCCAACCTTGGTAGAACTATCCAGAGGATCGCCACCAGGAAGAAGCTGCCAGTGGTCGAAGACAGACTGGGGGAAGGCCTGACCCGAGGTGGCCTGGCGCAGATCGCCGTTGAAGCCGAAAGACTCCATGACAGGTAGGTATGCCTTGACAGTGAACAATGGGGTACCTGGGCGCTGCTCCTCGGCGAAGACCTGACCTCTCCTGCGGTTGAGCACACTGTAGACACCACCCATGGCATTCTCGGGCACCTGGATTTCGACCAGGAAGACTGGCTCCATAAGGGCCGGCTCCGACATCAGCACCGACGCGTAGATCACGCGACGAGCAGTGGGGATGATCTGGCCGCCGCCACGGTGGATAGCATCGGCGTGCAGGGTAGCATCGAAGAGGTTGAACCGGATCGCGCGCATGGGCTCCTCGCCGACGGGTCCCTCACGAGTGGCCCACTGGAAACCGGAGACGACCGAGTCCTTGATTTCCTGGAGGTACTGAACGGCCCTGGTCGCATCAACGAGCAGGTTGGCACCGGTGGTATCGGGACCGAAAGCCCAAATCCTGCGGGCCTCGGTAACGTCCCAGCCGTAGTCGTCGGCCAGAATACGAGCACGGGCCTTGAAATCGTCGCGAGGACCGATCTTGCCGGCCTCGATCTCCTTGCAGAGCTCCTCGTCGAGCCTTGCAGCCCTCATGTAGAGACGGTTGTGCTTGTTGGGCGACTTGGAGAGCGCATCTCGGCTGGGGTCTGACTCGGAGCCATCCTTCATGATGGTCTCACGGTACTGCACGACAGGGTCCGAAATGATGAGGGGCACGCCGGCGTGGTCCTCCTCGAGATCCTTCAAGCAAATCTCGAGGTGGAGCTCACCAGCGCCAGCAACGACGTGCTCGCCGGACTCGTTGGTCATGGTGAGGACGCAAGGATCCGACTTGGACAGACGCTTGAGACCTTCGACGAGCTTCGGCAGATCCTGAGCGTTCTTGACCTGGACGGACCGCTGCACGACGGGCGAGACAGAGAACTTCATGACCTTCATGTTGTGGGCAGTCTCGCTCGTGGTGAGCGTACCAGACTTGAGCAGGAACTGGTCAATGCCGACCAGACCCACGATGTTACCGGCCGGCATGTCGTCGATGGGCTCGACCTTGCCGCCCATCATGAGGACGGTACGCTGGATGGCCTTGATGAACAAGTCCTCCTTCTTGCCGGGGGTGTAGTTGGGGCCCTGGATGCGGACCTTGAGACCGGAGCGGACGGTACCGGAGAAGACACGACCGAAGGCGTAGAAACGACCCTTATCCGAGGTGGGCACCATCTTGGAAACGTAGAGCATGAGCGGGCCCTTGGGGTTGCAGTCGCGGATGCTGATGGCAGCCTCATCATCGGGGGGGCCCTCGTACAGAGTCTCGGCACGGTACTTTTGAGCCGTCACGGGCGAGGGGAGGTGGAGAATCATCATCTCCAGCAGGCAGTCCGCGGCGGGCAGGAAGGTGCGCATGACAGCCTTGAGAAGCTGCTTGCCCTCCTTATCGCGATCCTCAGCGGCAAGCTTGAGGTTGAGCTTCTCGAGGAGAGTCGCGATCTCATCCTTCTTGAAGTTCATGACGGCAGCGAAAATCTTGAAGATAGGGTCCAGGATGAACTGGCAGAAGGCACGCTCAAGCTGCTTGCCCTCGTGAGTGCCGGTTTTGGACCACTTCTTGGTGGCGGGGTTGAAGTAGTTGTCACCCTGCAACCTGTTAGGACGTGGAAAGATTTTGCGGCCCACAAAGAAGCGCAGTGATCACTTACCCAGAGACGCTCCATCATCTTGTTCCGGTCAACACCAAACTTTTTGGCGTACCGGATGGCGAACTGACGGATGGTGAAAGCCCAGCCGTGGAGACCGGAGCCGAAGGCGACGGTACCCTTCTCAGGGTAGACCTGGACATCACCAAGAGCCTTGTCGAGGTAGGTCGAGATAATGACGTTGACCGACTCAATGGTACGCGAGAAGGACTGGTAGAGGTCCTCCTTCGAGACCTGGAGCTCGAGGAGCGCGCGGTCGACCTTGTTGATGATAACGACGGGCTTGATGCGCTCACCGAGGGCCTGCCGAAGCACAGTCTCGGTCTGGACGCACACACCCTCAACGGTGTCGACCACGACGAGAGCACCGTCGGTGACACGGAGTGCGGCCGTGACCTCAGAGGAGAAGTCAACGTGACCGGGGGAGTCGATCAGGTTGATAAGGAAGTCCTTTCCTGTCCCGACTGTTAGTTTCCTCATTGACCGAATCGGTTTTCCGAATGAGTGCCTACCGTTCGACTCCTGACCAACAATGTCCTTGAGATCCTCCTCGTCGGGCAGAGTGCCATAGAGGGAGATGGCCGTAGACTTGATGGTAATACCACGCTCTTGCTCATCAGCTCGGGTATCTGTCGCCCGAGCCTCTCCTGCCTTGCCGGAGGAGATGATACCGGCCTTGGCCAGGAGGGAGTCGGTCAGAGTGGACTTGCCGTGATCGACGTGCGCAATGACGGACATGTTGCGCACGTTCGTGGGCTTGTCCATCAAGGCCCGGATCTCCTCGATCGTGAAGCTGTTCAGCAGCCACGGTCAGTACCTTACTACTAACTACTGCCATCGGATGTCTGCCCTTATCTCCGGGGCGGGGCATCAGATCCAAACTCGCTCATTGCAACAAGAAACGACGAAGACGGGCGGCAGCACCCCGGGAACGGAAAGGTGACGGCGGAGCTTGATGGGCGACTTACTTGACCATTTTGGCGGTATTGACGGCAACTCTTTGAATGGGTTGAAGGTAGGTTGAGGGGAGGTTCAGGAAAGAATCTCTACTTCGAAGAGATTTCTATTCCCAGGTAAGCTAGAGCTTCAAGGCGCGCAAACCCGAGAGCTGAACGAGGTTCAGGCGGTCCTGCTCGGTGGATCAGCTATCAGCCCCAGACCGATAGCCAGAAAACAAGAGAAGGCTGGTAAAGAAAGGCGTCGAGGACAGTGGAATGTGCAAAGCCAGCTGCTCGGGCGCCTTTATTAATGAGGTTGCGAGGGAAAGAGAAAAACTGAAGCGCACAGCGGGGAGGGCCTAAGGAGGGGTAATGGAATGGTGGGGCAACGTTCCTGTGGTCTTGTATGGATCCCTGCACTTTGTGCGTCGGCTGATGTAACTGGCCCGGGCGAGGGTCAAGCCCTGTTTCTGACCAAAGGGAAGAAAACCCCCGCGATAAAAGTGAAGATTTCGCTGATGGGAGAACATACCTACCTACGGTACCTTGACTCCAGCGGAGTGTACTGATTTGCTGGTTTGCAAGACCGGAAGAGATGATAAGAAGGCCGAAGCTCGAATCTGGTGAGGACGGAGCACAACAAGGAAAGTATGTAGTGTTGGGATGGAGGTTCGAAGGCACTGAGGGCTCACCTCAAGCTCTTCTTCTACCTAGGATACCAGCACCGACCTGAGCATGAGCAGTTGGAGCTTGGGCCCTCTGAGAATTCGCCGCCTTGTCACTCGGCGTTCAGCTGTGTTCAGTGATCCTGCCAGTGCAGATCATGAGTCCACTCGGCGTGACGCACACACGCAATCGACTCGATCGAGTCATGCTCGAGTCATGCTTTATAGTACGATGGAAAGCTGAGATCAACACACACTCGGGATTGAGACCTTGAGGAGATTTGCCGCTGCAATGAAAATAGCGATCCTCTCATTGTGCCGAGTTGCCACCCGGAAAGAAATGGACTCCAGATGTCCATTTATACAAATCTATGCCGTCAAAACCGCGATTCCTCTGTCAAACACCAACGCAATGCTTCACTAGCCGATGTGCACACATAACCATAGCACGTCCGGGTCTCAGGCGGGTATCAGAGACGGTGCGCCATCACCCAACGCTCAGGCCTGCAGCCAGCGAAGCCGGCAACTGTCGGGATGGTTCATCTTCCCCACACGTTTTGGAATTCCTCAGCCTCCTCGCCATCAAGACCATAATGCACATCTGTGCTCTGTCCCACCACATCGCTTTCTTCGCCAGATTCCTCCCCTGTTTTGCCATCATGCTCTTGCACCGGTCCGCCTCGCCGGCCGTAAGTAGTATTGTCTTGTTGAGGTTTGTGCTGTCCGCTGTCTGTGTCGACCTTGAAATCGTCCTTCGTCAGGTCCGGATGTGTGCCGATTGTGGGGCCATAGGCAATTTCAAGCGGATCCTTGCCCGATTCATGGGTCGAGCTAGGACTTTGAGCATCTGCAAGTGCTTTCTTCTTGCCCTTCTTATCCCCGACTCCTGCCTGGGGACCTGCGGGTGCCTCCTTTTTCCGTCTTTCAAGAGGAGCATCGGGGTTGAGGGTCGGCACCGAACTGGACGACGAGCGCTGGTAGAAGCTGCCAGTGGGCGTGTGCTGATAAAGACTGGGATGAGGCGACATATAACGCGCACTTGCCGGTTCACTTGCCGTGATGACAGGATACTAAGCGTGCTGTTAGTTGAGGGCGTTCCGCAGGTATAAGTGCACTATTGGAAAGAAAAAGACATCGACGCACATTCCAATCCCCGTACTCGAGCTTTCTTGCTCTCTCATACAGAAGCTCCTCGTCTGGGTCGAGCACGAGCTCGTCGAGGCTATTGGTGTGTGGAGATAGAGAGCCGTTTCTCCTACTCGGCCCGCCGTTTGCGCCCAAGAGTGGTGTTGTTTGATTGATCTCGTCTGGCCGCGGGATCCAATACTTCCCCTTGCCTCCCCGTTCATACCGCATCCCTTCTTTTATCCGAGCCAGCCGTGACCGAGAGGCTTCATGAGCCATGATCTTGTCTCCGGAATCAAAGATGCGGTACCCGTATTTGTCGCCCGAGAAGGTTTCCTTGGAGTCCTGGATGAGGTCACGGATTCCGAAGGCGTCCCTGGCCGCGTACCATACCGGCATCCTTGCCGAAGCAATCCTGTTGTCGGCGAAATCATGCCACGAGAAGGCATACCAATGAGCAATAGCGAATGCCGGCATCTCGATGCAAATCAGAAAGTCCTGGATGGCTGCGGCGAGATTGTCGGGGGTATAGCCCTCTACTTGATCCGGTATAGCGCCCAGCCAGACGAGGATTGACAGGAAGAAACCCTGCCAGTAGGAAGCAAAGATGATAAGTTTGACGCATAGGAACTTGGGCACCGGCCGGAAGGGCTTCAGATCATTGTGCATGCAGACCCAAAATAGCCCCAACGAGTAGAGGCTGACGGTGACGCTGAGGTTGTAGACGATTCCGCTCCAGAAGTAACCCGACTTCAGCCCAATATAGCCCTCCTGGTATGTCCCAGTTGCCTTCATGACTATCGCTGCAACAGCCAGGATTGGTTTTAGCCACGCATACTGCAAGATACCCCGTTTCACGGCGAGGAAAGTGTGAGGATCCGATATGTCGACCCGGGGAAGAACATGGTTAAGCGGCCAGAGGTGATGGACCGGTTCTCGACCGTGTGTCATGATGATGAGTGCCCGTTCACCGCTGAGGTAGTTGATCAACAACTGGAAGAAGGTGTAGATTGTGAAGGCCTAGTAACCATGGTAAGCTTCCATGGACCGGGAGTATCAGTATTAAGGAGAGTGAAGTACCTCGTAAATGTCCCGTATAGGGTCGAGAATATCCGCAGCTGTGCGGGAGACCATGCTGGTCCAGGAAGCGACCGAGTATATGGGGACCCTAGCCATTGCTTAGCAATAGCACCATAACCATTCACGGTGCAGAGAGGGAAACCCGTACATGAGAAGTATGCGGACGACGTATCGCTGCAGCAGTGGCTTCCGATAGTTCTTGCTGTGTCGCCGCGGTCAGCACTTGCTCGCCGGAGATGCATCCGTCCGGAGGGTTCTCACGTCTGTAACCATATCGCCCTATCTCAAGGAGGTGTGTCAGCTTTCTAGCAGCAGACGGACGCGGAGGTGACGGAGAGCGCATCTTACACCATGGAGAGCAGGGTCGCGGCGATAGACGCGACTCCCGCGATCACGGTCGCTGCCGCCTCAAACTTCTGCCCTGTGCCTCCAGTCATGGTTGCTGGGCAGCTAGGAGCATAAAGCGGTGAGGCGGATTACCGAGCAGTTCATGAAACGGCCATCAGGCTGGACACACAGAGAACGTGTCGTTGAGGACTGAAGCTCTTGCGGGGCGGGATTGATGACGACGCCGTCGAAGCAGAGGAAGCTGCAATGCAACTTACGGCTCGAGCGTCTAAAGGAACAGTGTGGGCCCGCCCACAAGGCTGGGGGCCTCACAGGATCCACTGGACAGTTTCCGCGTGGGCTGGTGGGGCCAGGCCCTGGTAGGAGGAACTGAAGTTAACCAATGGAACAACCCCTTGCACGACAGCTGCAGGTGCTCCCAGGCTGGCTCGAGGCTGGTAATCTTCTAGAGCTTCCACGCGCCTGCAAGCGATTCCTGGTCGCGCTTGCCCGGTCCCATCTGATCCGGATGAGATGCAGACAAGCTGAACCGTCTCAGTTCCGATCGATCCACTATGCGTTAGCAATTGAGCCTTCGTTTCCGCCGTTTTTGCTCCTCTCCTGCTCCGAAACGAGGGAATGGCGGGGATCATAACCCGAGTCATTGGGGTCCAGGTCGTTGAGGAGAGAGCTTCCTGTTCCTGTGCCTGTCCCCGGTGAATATGTCAAGCGGCGGCTTCTTTTCGGGCAATGGCGCCGAATTCCATCCGTACGCAATGTCCCCCCCAGCTTCGCTCACATGCAGGAACCAGAACCAATGCTGACGGCTCAATTTCTCTAGCCACTTCCTTGGGATCCTCATTGGATGCGGCGTGCTGTAAGTGTTCCGGGTGCTGGAACCGCAACTCTTCGCCTCCTGACTGAAAACAGTTCGGTATTCTCCCTGCTGTACTTCAACCGAGTATTCGCGTCCGTTGTTTCCTGGGGGATACGAACATACACGTGGCACCAGTACGGAGTCTACGTCGACATCCAGGCCCTCCAGATTTCCTTGCTCGCCGGTCGTATCTTCTTCACAGGCCTTCGATATCACGGCAACAATGAGACAATATTGGTCCAGAACGGGCACATTACCTGGGCGTACTGGCTGCGAAGGGTCCGAGACGTGGATGTCGGAAAGAGGAAACGGACCGACAAAGACTCGGCTTCTGCCGAAACGGACGTCTCTGCAAAGCTGCCATGTCGGGTCAAGGTCTCCTTGAAGGGCCTGGAATGGTTCATTTACAACCGGAGTCCTGCCTACGACTCTATCCTGTCCGGACTTACAGATACCGCAGAGGGCCGTCAGGAGGCGGATCCAACCCAAGGGGATTCTGGAACAACAGCGCCAGAACCTTTGGCGCAGCTGCGACAGAGACGGCGGGGACGGCAGGGGCGGGAATCAGGTGGTGGTCAAGACGATGACGCCGGCAATGACTTAGAGGGGAACCTTGCGCCGACGCCTAGCTCCTCTTTCTCCCAGCACTATGGAGAGCAACATGAGCATTGCGTGGAGGAGGATGCGGAGTTGCCGTCGACCCTACAGCTTCTTCCGATCCACTTAGAATGCGATCGAGCAGCGCTTGTGATGGGCAACGAGAACACCAAAGGTATCCTGATTGTGAAAGCAAACTCGTTGTCGGGGGAAATAGATGCTTCGGACACCGACTCCCCTGACCCCTACCGTCAATACTTCCGATTTAAGTTCAAGCATCCGGTGATTGAAATGAAAGAGAATATGGATTTCAAGGAAGAGCAACCCGACCGGGCCCTTCGAGACAAACAGGCCGCTCAAGGATCGTTGTCCCGCCCTAAGCGGTCGTTTCTCTACTGGCAGCGGCGGAGGTTACGGGAAGGGCTCCGGGGCCTGGTTCCGTTCCTGAACCGGTCGGTCGAGTCTCTTTCCCCGTCCAGCAGGGAGATCGGGACCGCTGCCAGCCAAGTCCCCGGGTCGGGACGTTGGCAGGGATTGTCTCGGTATCTGTCTGATGACGCCGAAGACCAGAAGTCACGATGGGCGTCGTGCGAGTATGCTGCAGTGCCAACCCTCCTGGACAGTCCTGAAGCGTCATTGACCATATTCTGGGACGTGGCTGGCAAGGTCAGGCCCAGGCCGGCGCCACTGCCGGAGAAAGCGCCCGGACAGGCAGCCAACATCAACGGCGCCGAGCCCCCTGCATGGGCCATCCATCTGTCTATTAACGGTGGCTCCATCAACTACGGGCCGTGGGCCGACAGACACCGAGCGGACCTGCAGCGCATCTTCGTCCCGAGCCTCTGTAAGGATGCGGTTCCTGCCCGTCAGCTCCCCCCGGGCGCCTATCGAGTCCCTACTCAGTTCAGGATCTACGTGGAACTCACCGACACTGCTACCATGCGCATTCCATTGAGAGAGGCATCTAAGAACTGGCGGTGGCAAGGCAAAGAGCACAACCCGAAGAAGCCGCACAGCCATGGCACACGCAGGGCTCGTCGATCTAAGAAATCAGACCAGCTCGGCGACTTGCACCAGCGGCCCTATGGGTGGCTCGACTTCAGGATCCCCGCCAATGCCACCATGTCCTATTCGATGGACATGGTCGCGGGCCTGGCCGGGTACGCCAACACGCTCAACCTGGACTTGCCCAGCACCGAACTCTCCACAAGTATCAACCATGAGCTGCTCTGGAGGTCTGGGCGGCAGAGGATATCCTGCGATCTCTCTACGCCGTTGTGCTGGAATGCTCTTCGCCAATGGCATTTCAATGTGACCGCCGATGATCTGGAGCTCTACATCCTGCGAGAACATGTCTTTCTTCTGATCGATCTGGTTGACGATTGGACAAGTGGGCCACCAGTCGAATACTTGGTTTTCACCCCCTTCAAGTACCATCTCAACCTCCATCTCCGAAACATCCGGCTGTTGTTGAATCTCAACGATGCGAACATTGTCAACAATCCAACCGACTTCGAAGATAACACGTATCTGATCATCTCTAGCCCTCTTCTCAAGATTGGGACATGTATCCCCATCGATACGTTTAAACCCAGCAAAAACGCCATTCCCTTCGATATCCGCGCAGACACGGCGGCCATCGATCTTCATGTGCCTCCCTGGAACACTCAGGCGCCGTTTCTCGCCTCCAAAGAGGTTGGGCGTCTAGAGAGCTTGGTTGTTGATGGCACGTATCACTACAATGCGACTACTTCGCCGGCAAACACCGATACCTTGGTTCTCAACATCAGCGGACAGTCGCCGACTGCGCATCTGCATGGGTTCACCATCCGGTATTTCCTCAAGGTCAAGGACAACTATTTCGGCGAGGACATCCACTTCAAGACGCTCGAGGAATACCAGGACATGTTGCGCTTGACAGAGAGCGATCGGAGTGTCGGTGCTGCCAGCAAGCCACCGCCTAAGAAATCGAATGACTTGGATGTCATACTCAGCGTCAGGGCCGACGATCCGAAGGTCTTGCTCCCGGCCAATCTGTATTCCGCTCAGCGCCACATACAGATCGACGCCGCGTGTTTGTGCCTCGATCTGCGCTTCACCAACTACTACATGGACATGGACTTGGTCGTAGCCCCGCTCAACCTTTCCTTGGGCAACAGCGAGTCTGGAGCGGAAACGCCGATCAGCGCCACGTCGAGCACGCAGATGTTCATAGACGGCCTGGATATCTACGGCCATCGCCTCTTCGGCCTCCCTCCCACGGAACCGACGTACATGTGTAACTGGGACATCTCGGTGGGGGCTGTTACTGGCGAGTGCACCGCCGAGTTCCTGACCACCCTCGCCAGCGCAGGAAAGGCCTTCGCGTTCACATTCGACGATGATGAAAACGCGCTGATCCCCTTCTCCTCCATCGTGGTGTACGACGTCACCTTCCTTCGGGTCTTTGTGCGTTCGGTTCGTCTTTGGCTGCATGTGGACGATGCCGCATTCCTCTTTTCGACGGGCGCAGTTGATGTCAACTACAACGACTGGGCCCGGTCACACTATTCTCGCAGAGCCGACATCAACATCCCGCACGTCAAACTCTCGTGCCTTAACGCGGAGTCGGCCGCGAGACACAAGGCCCGATCCCAATCCCAGCAAATGGTTGTCGAGGCGGACGCGCTGGTAGAGACGTGCGTGCGAGTTGCGATCATTGGCCGAAAAGCCAACTTCTCGAAGGAGAGAAAGCTTCAGCAAGAATTGGTTCGTAAGCACGACCAGCGAACCCGTAGGACACCGTTTCTCGTTATCCCAGGCCTGCTAGGAGAGGGCTATGAACCTGTTGCCGTGGACCCTCCCGCACAAAGTGTCCCGGCGATTCCCGTGCCGGCCCGCCCAGAAGATGGCGAGGAGGATGGGTTGTCGTTCCACTCGAAGCCGAGTTCAAATCGCTCGCAGGGCCGCCTGCGTCACAAATCTTCGTTTCTATCGCTCGTCAGTTCGGCACCGAGCAGTGTGCTCAAGCCTTTTGGCACGAGACGGTCAAGCGGGAGGGCGAGAGCCACGGAACGTCTGGATACTCAGCCCCCTGTGCGCACCCAGTGTGAAGCCAAGGGAAACTTGGCCATACCAGTGCCGGAACTTTCTCCATCCACCCGGCATTCCGCTACCTTCTACAGCATGCAGGGAGACTCGGCTGAGCAGCAAGACGTTGTCCACAACACGGTTGCTTTCTCAAGCCAGTACTTTCCACCTTACTTTCCTCTCGAGGCTACTACACCTGGTCACGCGGAAGCATTGATGCAAAGCATCGAAGTGGACGAGGACTACACGGGCTTGGACCCAGTAGCCTTTGAGCTGGAGGATGTCGACTCGAATCTCCTGAGCGAGGACTATGCCTACTCGAGCGTTCTGCTTGAGTTTCCGTCCGGCCTGAGAGCGTTTTGCAACCCTACTGCGTTACGATATGTTGCAAGCTTGCTCTCTGCTCTGCAGAGCACCGAACCTGACGATATTTTGGACTCACTCCAGATAAGCGCCATGAAGGAGATCTTCGCCAAGCAGAGGGACCAGAAGATGAACGGATGTGTCGACGACCTGCTAATCAAAATGCCGCATGCCTCTTTGCGTCTCCTCAACGTTCCCGATGCAGATTCCCTGGGCCAGCCAGCCGACGAGCAGGATCAGTTTGATGTTACATTCACCAAGTTCTCCTTCTCATCCCGGTCTCGAGCCACATGGCAGGATCCCTTAAAGCCGCAGTCGAAAGAAGGCCGCAATTCGTTCCACTTACGGCTCGATTCCATGCAAATCTCAGCAGCTGAGAGACTCCGCAGCATGGACAGCGCACCGGCAGCTGCACTTGTTCGAATTGACTCTGTACTGGCATCGATGGGAACCAAGGATATCATGTACTTCGATGTTGAAGTCGGCAGCATCCATGGCAGCACGTCCTCTGGGAAGATAGATTACCTGGCGCCCTTGGCTCGTCGTGCAGGCACCCTGGGATCCGACCTTGGGAGGCTCTTCTCCGAAGTCTCGTCGCGAGAAAAGGCGACGGTCCAAAACCTAGTGCATCGCCTCGTCGTCACTGGCCAGGAAACTCCGGATCCGACTTTCCTAATAAGGCCTTCTGCCGTCCTCCGTTCTGCTCGCCAACATCTGCGAACCTTCGACTCGTGGAAGCTCCTCATGCGTCTCCGTCAGATCTGGAGATCCATCGCGCCAAGCAAAGGAGAACAGATCAGGCTCGATTGTCTCGGTCCTTCATCGGCCCCAGCGGCCAGCCTGAGACGTGAAATAATCACGGCATTCGAGAACTGGAGGAGCTGGGACCTGGAGAATGTCGAGGAGAGCATGCTCCTAAACGCACTGTTTGGGTCATCACCCAATCGTTCGATGACGGACTCTCCGGACAAACCGACCCTCGCCGTTGTCAGGATCAGGCAGCTCCAGCTTGCACTTAACCCAGGACCAAAGCAAAACGAGCTCACCGTGGTAGAGTTGACTACAAGACTCGAGCACAAGCCAACAATGGGAAGCAAGTATAGAGACAACCTCAACACGGGGGTGGCCGGTCCATCAACCGTCCTGAGCGTCTCTTGTGAGGATGCTGTTGTCGGGCTGAACTGGGAACTGTGCGAGCTAGCAGACAGTGTGTTGAAGCTAGCCAGGAGCATGCAATCCCAAGCTCCTGCTGAGCCAGAGAAAAAAGATGCCGCAGTGTCGACCGCGGCAAAACAAGCCTCGGCGGGAACGATGCACTGTGTTTTGTCTCTAGGACATGGGTCGTTGACCATGGAGGCCGTCAACCTCTACTCCAGCTCCTTCAGTCACGGAGTTCATGCGTCCGTACTGGTCAGGAGGGGGCCGGACAACATATCAGACACGAGCCTGATTCTCAGCTGCGACTCACTCACGTCGAGTCTCCGCAGCCATCACCAGAGACTGGCAAAGATGGTCCTGGAGGAAGCGAGTGTCTTTGTCTCACACGAGTTGCGAGCAAGCCGGACGACAGACTCCCACACGGTGAAGACGGCGGCCAGTAACCGGTATATGAGCCTGACTGTCAAGCAGGACCCCATCACGTTGGCCGAGGTCCTCGACCTCCTGGTCCGGGACGAGTTTGCCCAACTGTACAGGCTGAAAGCCCAACTTGGCGCGTCATCTCGGCCTGCCTCCCCGCGGCCCAGAAGGATCACGGATCGCTTGTCTGCATTCCGAGTCAACGTGGCGCTGTTCATGGACCGGTATACCATCAGCCTGCCGCTGTTGCGCTCTCTCACGTATACCATCCACGGAACTGTCTCCAGGGCCGCAATGGCCGCGAACTTTGGCCGGGAGATCATCTTCGATTTCGACATCAAGGAGAACTCTCACGATGTGCAGGTCATTGTCAACAACGCTGCCCGGAGTATTTCGCTCCTTCAAATTCCGCCGACCAACGGACGGATTAGGAGCCACATGGAATCAGGGGAGCACTCGATCAGTGTTTTCGCATCCGTCGAGCTGGTGCAGCTGGACGCCTCGGCCGTGTACAGCCTGCTGTCGGCCCTGAACCGGCCCGAGACGTCCAGTGTCGTCAGCGAGCTGCAGCAGCAGGCCAAGGTCATACAGGAGCACATAGCTGAGGTTACTGGGGGAGCACCAGAACCGGCTGCGGCGGCGACCGAGACAGGGTCCAAGTCCCCAGCCCCGGCCCTGGCGTACGCCGCCAACCTAACCTTTGCTGGGCTGGAGGTGTTTGGAAACAGTCCCCTGAAATCCGCGAGCGGGCAGTCGGCGCACATCTCATTCGCCCTCGGCAGCATTCATCTGGGCCTCTCCAACAAGGTGGATCCGGACGGCCCGTTGCTGACGTACCCGGAAGTCAGCGTCAACCTGCGCCGCATCGCCTTCGAGATCCAGAGAGGAAGCGCTGAAGCCATGAAATCTTGCGGCAACATTGCACTTGGAGCCCTCATTTCAGCCTCGTCGCGAGCTGGGGAGGACGGCAAGGACAGGAGGTTCTTCCACGTCAAGAGCGACGCATCCGAGGTGAACCTGTCTCCCGACACCATCTCCACCGTCGTCGATGTCCTGGGCTACATGGGCGATAAGATCAAGGACCTGGACACTTCCCGAGAGCTCGAGTATCTGCGCAGGCTCAGACAGTCTAGGCCGCGCATTGCCCTCAACGACGCAGAGACGGACGAGGAAACCGACATCATCGACGCCTTCCTCTCTTCCATCACGTACAGCTTCGAGGTCTGCAATATCCAGATGGCCTGGATGGTCAACAGGGCAGACGAGAAGCCGACTGCCGGCAAGGATGACCTTGTCCTCTGCCTTCGGAAGATCGAGCTCGGCACGCGGACGAGGAACTCGGCACGGCTAGCCATCGAAGCTCTGCAGCTCCAGATGGTCAGCCCATCGCAGGACAGGATTGCGCGGACGGCCAACTCGGCATTGCTGCCCGAGGTCATCTTTAACGTCGCCTACGTGTCCACGGCCGATGCTCGCCACCTCGCTTTCCAGGCTATCGGCAAGCCGCTGGACGTGCGGCTGGCGTCGGGCTTCATAATCCCGGCGGCCCACCTGAACGACTCCATCACGCTGTCGTTGAAAAACATACAACAAGCCTCCCAGAACTGGAACCCTGCCGTCCGCAGGCCACAGCCGGCGAGCGCAAAGCCGCCACCAGCGGACGTGCCGCGGAAGAGCATCCTCGGGGGCAAGCGGCTGGAATCCCTGTTGGTTGATGCCGACTTTGCCGGAGCTGTCGTGCACCTGACGGGCCAAAAGGCGCCGGAGGACCTGGTCTCGGCGACGACATCGGCCCGGCCGAAACAAGGGCAGCTGGGTCCCGACGAGACTATGGCCCGCACAACGCTGAAGTCGCCGGGCCTGGCCTTGAAGTTGGAGTTCCGGGACAACGGCAAAGACGACCCGTCGCTCCATGCCGAGGTCAAGATCGATGCTTCCAGCAACATCCTCTATCCGTCTGTGGTGCCGTTGGTCATGGACATCAGCAACAGCATCACCAAGGTAGTGAGCGGCCGTGGCGACGGCACGAAGGACATGCCACATGTGCCGGGGCGGGAGGCTGCTGCCGCCAAGGTCAAGCTTCCCGAGGAGGACAGCTTCCTGACTGCCGACCCCTCGGCCGTTCTGGGCCGGACAAAGCTCAATATAGGCTTGCGCATCTGCAAGCAAGAGTTCTCGCTGAGCTGCCAGCCGATTGCCCGGGTGGCGGCCACTGCCAGCTTCGATGATGTCTACTTCACCGCCAACACGGTCCGGTCGACGGACCAGGGCAACTTCTTTGCCATCTCGGGAGCCTTCACCAATCTGCAGGCCTCGGTGCAACACGTCTACTCGAGGGAGTCCACCGGCAGCTTCAGGGTGCAGTCCATGGTGCTCTCTTTCCTGAACAGTAAGCATGTCAGCGGCAGCAGCGGCGTGTCGGCCATCCTAAAGGTCAGCCCCATGGAGGTGTCGGTCAACGCCAAGCAGCTCCAGGATTTTATGCTCTTCCGGGAGATTTGGCTTCCCGGCAAGGTTGCAGACGCCGCTTCTGCAGGCCCCGGCCCCGTGGCGAAGCTCGTCACCGAGACATCCCAGGGCCATCTTGTGCAGCGCTACCAGCAGGTAGCCGCGACCGCCGCCTTCCCCTGGACTGCCAGCATCTCCATCTCGGCGCTCAAGATTGTCGTGGACCTGGGCCAGGCCTTGGGCAGGTCGACGTTTTCCATCAACGACTTCTGGATCTCGTCCAAGAAGACGTCGGACTGGGAGCAGAATCTGTGCCTGGGGTTCAGCATGATCGGCATTGAGAGCAGCGGCAGAATGAGTGGCTTCGTCGCCCTCGAGAACTTCCGGCTACGCACATCCATAGAGTGGCCCGAGAGGGAGCAAGCACTCAACGAGACGCCGCTAGTCCAGGCGTCGGTAGGTTTCAGCCAGTTCAGGGTCAAGGCCGCCTTTGACTATCAGGCCTTCCTCGTGGCGGATATCACTTCATTGGGATTCCTCATGTACAATGTCCGTCGCAGCCGGGACGGTAGTGGAGACCGGCTAGTGGCCGTCTTGGACGGTGAGGCGGTCCAGGTGTTTGGCACGACAACGTCGGCCGCGCAAGGCGTCGCGCTGTACCAAGCCTTTCAGCGGCTGGTGCAGGAGCGCAAGGCCAACTTTGAGACATCGCTCAAGGAGATTGAAAAGTACATGAAGCGGAAGTCTTTCGCGGCCCCCGCCAGCGTGATGCAGCGGCTCAGCATCCCCAAGTCGGGGCCCTCGGGCGATGATGTGCTCCTCAAGTCGCCCATCTCGCTCGACACGGACGTCGTGGTCACTCTCAAAGCCGTCAACCTGGGCGTCTTTCCCGGCAGCTTCTCCGATCACCAGGTGTTCAAGATTGAAGCGCTGAACGCGCAAGCCCGCTTCGCCGCCTCGGTCCAAGACGACGGTCGTGTCCAGAGCATTCTGGGCCTCACGCTCGGCCAGCTGCGCATAGGTCTCGCGGGCGTGCGGACGCCGAGCGGCCCGCCCAAGACGCTAAGCGAGCTCTCGGTTGAAGACGTGGTGCAGAGCGCGACGGGCTCCCGCGGGGGAACCATCCTCAAGGTGCCCAAGGTCGAGGCCGTCATGCAGACGTGGCAGCGGTCCGAGTCGAAGCGCATCGACTACATCTTCAAGAGCGCCTTCGAGGGCAAGGTCGAGGTCGGATGGAACTACAGCCGCATCAGCTACATCCGCGGCATGTGGGCCAACCACTCCAAGACACTCGCCCAGACCTGGGGCCGGGAGCTGCCAAACGTGACAGCCATCCGACTGACGGGAGTTCTGCCCGAGACGGCCACAACAACAGCAGCAGCAGCAGCAGCAGATACAAAGCCGGAACAGACACAGGCTGAAGAAGTACAGAAGCAGACGAACAAGATCACGGCCGAGGTCAACGTGCCTCAGTCCAAATACGAATATGTCGCGCTCGAGCCGCCTGTCATCGAGACGCCGCAGCTGCGCGACATGGGGGAGGCCACGCCGCCGCTCGAGTGGATCGGCCTGAACCGGGATCGGCTGCCCAACCTGACGCATCAGATCGTCATTGTGACGCTGCTGGAGCTGGCGGGCGAAGTGGAGGATGCCTATGAGAGAATCTTGGGGAGTACCTAGATGACCTTTCTCTCCCCACCTCATTCTTTTTTTCCTGTCCATTTCTTCTCTCTCTCGTTTATTCGACTTCTCTTGTGTTATGGTGTTAGACTGGAAGTGGGACAGGTTGGTTCTGGGATAATATGGGATGGGAATAAACATTGGGGGTCTGTACTAGGATATTGTGATATCAATGTTTATTAATATGCTCCCCGTTTTAGTAGATCTTGTAGTGCTTGTCTGTTCAAGCATGGCCATGCGTTTGTAACACGCAAACCAAATTGACGGTATATTCGCTGCCGTCCGCTGCGTTGTTGCTTGCCGCTGCGTTGTTGCTTGGTGATTTGTCGAGACTCCCGCTTCCCGTTCGAACTGGAACCTGGTCCAGGTGAGAGAGAGCGGTCTTTGCCTGGTTTGGACACCACACACTAGGTTGTACAATACATGACTTGTGTTTTGATGCCAGATGTTACAGGATTTGTACATGCCTGCAATCTTGCACACGGGAAGCTGCATTTGCGCACTTGGCCCTCTTCTTCGTGTCGCTCCAATGGCTATGGTGACCCTCTCGGACGATGAACCGCTGCCTCGAGATGAGGTATTTGCACTTGGTCCTGGTACAATAATCGCCGGGTAGTATGTACCTATGTGTTGTCCATACATACAATACAGCGTTGATTATGACTATTGATTCAGCGTACTATTTCTAAAACGCTACGTGTATAGCCTTATCTTGCTTCTCATTGCCCACCTACTAGTAACTAACCACCCGAGTAGGCAGTTGTATTGTAGCCGAGACTCGTTGAGAGGAAAGGCAAAAGGCGAAATACGAAGGAATAGAAGGTCTCGCAGCAAACGCAAAACAAATCAAAAACCAACGGACTCGGATCCAGTGTCTAAGCTCCCCCGTTTCCGCTAATTAGCGTTATGAAAGACCGAAAAAACGCCGCCAGGTCCCCCGTGTTCGCCGCTAATGACACAATCCCATATGTACAGTACGGTACATTGGGTCTGCAGAACTAATGCAAGCCCAGGCATGCTCGACTCCTTCAACAAAGTGTTGTTCAGTTGGAGCCCAGCAACCGCTAGCGCTCACTCACCAGTGCCGTCGTGGTCGGCGGGGTACCCTTTACGTGCATCTCTGTCAGCGAAAACTCTAGAATTGGGCAAAGGCAAGAGGACAGGAAGGAAAGCTTACACCATGAACACACCGCAATGATGATATATAAACACATTAGCAGCATGCCCTCGAGCCAGTGGCTCTTGCCGTCGGCGATGAGGTAGTTCACAAGAAGGACGGCCACAAAGAGGACGGCGACTTGGAACAGATCGAAGTTGAGCGCCATCTGGTCCAGGCCCATGCCCCAGCCGATGATAACAAGCAGCGGGATGATGAACAGGGCAACCTGCATGCTGGAACCGATGGCCACGCCGATGGCCAGGTCCATCTTGTCCTTGATGGCAACCGTGACGGCGGTGGCGTGCTCGGCAGCATTGCCGACGATAGGGAGCAGAATCAGACCCACGAACTCCTCGCTGACGGCCCCGCCCGCTGTCACGGCGCTGATGCTGTCGACCATGTACTCGGCGCAGAAAGCGATGATGACCGTGGAGAGGGCCAGCGTGGCGACGGCGACCAGGAAGTGCAGCTGCGGCTCCTCGCCTTCCTCGTCCTCGTCGTCGCCCTGCAGGTTCCGGCGGGGCGGGTTGGTCACCAGGCTGCGCATTCTTTCGTTCTGGGTCTGCGACGAAGGGAGACCGTGGCCGCCCATGAAGCCGGCGGGGGCGACGAAACCCTGGGCGACGGCACCGTCCTTGAGTGTGGCGGGGCCGGCGTGGAAGGGGTTGCTGAAGGGCTTGGCCTCGACCTTTTGAGACTGTTCGGCGAAGACCTTGGAGTGTGTCTTGAGCTGGAACAACAGATACGCGCCGTAGACGACCAGCAGGATGACCGAAGTGCCGCGCGACAGCTTGGCGATGTCGGATTGCCGGTTTCCGACGCCGTCGGTGGCGAGGTCGAACACGGTGGGGACGATGACGGCTGCTACGGCCAGGGCGAGCAGGCTGGCGGCGGTCTGGGCGACAGTCGTGTTGAAGTATTGTTCCTGGCGACGGAGACCGCCAAAGAAGAAGCACATGCCCATGACGAGGAGCAGGTTGGAGAGTATGCTGCCGACCAGGGAAGTCTGGACAATGACCACTTCGTTGTGGACCAAGGCAATGATAGCGATGATCAGTTCGACCGCGTTGCTGAAAGAACATCTCTAGTCAGCATAACCGCACTTCCATCTACGCTCTCCGCACCCTAACGTACCCAAACGTCGCATTCAAGAGCCCGCCGATGGTCTCGCCCGTCCGCAGGGCAATCTCCTCCGTAGCAAAGCCGAGCATAGCAGCCAGCGGCACGATGGCGATAAAGTTGACGACAAAGACGGCGATCCGGTTGACTTGCGGGACATAGTTGATCGCAATCCCCGCCGGTGCCGCAACCAGGAGGACGTTGATCCAAGAGTTGAAGAGAGTGCGCTGAAGCTGATTCCGGACGGTGAACGGCTCCTTTGGCGTCAAGTGTTTGAAGAAGGTGTGCGACTTCTTCGCCTTTTCGGGCTCCTTGACGTTGTCTGCCGTACTACTAGACGACTCGTCTCTGCCCGTGGTCCTCTGCCGCATGACCCCCTGCGTTATCGTCGCCGGGCCCGTCTCGGCCCCTTGTTCTTGGTCCGGCATATCGGCTTGCCGAAGCTGTGTGCTAGACTCCCCCGATGCTGGCCGGGGGCCCAGCATGTCCTTGGCCTCGCTATCGGATGTTGTCGGGGGTTGGGGCGCGGTGTTGTGCGGTGCAAGTGGCTGCCCTTCGAGGTCGTTGCCGGTTTGGTATCCCGGCGGAAGCGACCCAGTGCGCTTATGTGGGAATATATTCCAGGGCGAGTCGTGAGACGCTTCCCTGAACGCCGCCATCCTGGTCCTGTAGCCGTTGTCTGCGCCGTTGTTAATCCCAGCAACAACCTCTCCCCTGGTTGTTGAGACACCATTCGGAGGGCACTTACAGGTCGTCATTGTACTGGTGGTATCTCAGCGCCTTCGGTTGGCGCCCAGGGGAAGGGTTTGCTTCTGCTGAGAAAGAGCTGGTGTCTCGGAGATCCCGGTTGGTGTCGGTGGAATTGCTCACGGGGGGTGCAGTGACTGCCGTCACTGAAATGCGCGAGCGCCAGACGGTTAGCCGAATGCTTTTATACACGGGCAGGCTAAAACCCCTTCCAGCTCCATTGGAGAACAAAAGGTCGGCCTACCGTTGACCTATCACCCAGGGTCCGGATAGATATAACGCTGCAAGTCCACAGTCAGTAGTCTGCCTCGACAAAGCTGGAGCGGAGTGTATGCCGCAGTCTATCTGCCTTTGTGGGTTCAGTGTTCACCGCGTTGCCACTGCACTGCCCTGACAACGGTACAGTACTGAGCACTGTACAGGTCACAGTAGAGAACGTTATTATGGAATCATTCGGAGGGCTCACCTCAATGGACCTCAATGGTGATGCGTGACTTTCGTACTGAAAGGTGCTGCTCGGCTGGACCTTGTTGGTTCTTTAAGATCTGCCCAACTGACCATTGAACGTGGGTGCGGGTGCTTGCAGGAAGCGTGCAAAATGTCCGATGCACAAGTCCGAGAAAAGATAACTGCTCATCCAATTCCTCTCGCACATCAGAGCCAACGTAGTTTCCAGAGAGTAATGGGGGAATGCCCAAAGGATTATGTCCTCGATCCAACGAAGTCGGAAGTCAGGAGAACTAACGGCGCCCCCTGTTGGTGTTTCGCCAAAAACATAATGCCCCAATTAGCCCGGGGGCAGCGCTGCTCATTATTACGCCGTGACGTATTGCCCCGCGTACCTGCTTTACCTTGGTCGTAGCGCAGGCGCTCAATTTGCGACGGCGGACAATTTCTTCCATCCCAGATATCATGACGTACGGCGCACGGCCAAGAGCTCAACCCCAGTCTCACAGAACCAAAGGCCGTACAAGCTTTGAAGAAGCATTGGCCAAGAAATGCTTGTTGGCCTTCCTGCCTCCTCCAAGGTCTGGGCAGAAAGGCTCCCCACAGTTACGTAATTCTGCAGTTTCAGGCGGCACCGTGAGAATTCAACTCGGTACACTTTGGTTGGTGCCGAGAACCCAATCGATTGCTGTGTCGCTTGTCATGGCGTGGATGTTCCAGACCCGCCTCCAAATAAAGGAGGCCTCCTTGCCTGCCGCGTGCGATGCTGCTGCGGTAAACTCCAGGGCAAATGACAACGAAACACATCATGCCTTGCCCACATGATGACTCTAGGGACAAGCGGCATTCACGGACAGGTCAACCAAGTGTTTGCTAACTTAATAAATGCTGATCAGCAAACCATTTTCAAGCCCCATTGTGATCTATGGCAGTGAATGGGCTAGAGTTGCCAGAGGGGAGGGGATTCCAAAATACAAGTAAAATACCACCTGTTACCCTGTACCGGTATGTAGACATTCGGATTGGACAAGACACTGCAAACCTGAATCATTCATGTACTATTATTTTATATATGGCATACATCAGGTAGGTAGTATCTTAGTACCTACCATACGTACCTAGCCCTGTCCCTTGTCCCTATCCTGGCCGACCATGCCCCTCAACCCACCAATAATGCCCTCATACTGCACGCTGCCCCGCCTCAACAGCTGCGACGCAGACATGAATGCCGGACTGGGGCTTCCCGCTCTTGGGCTTACCCCGACCGCGGCGTGTACCTCGCTCATACCCGACCCAGCCATCGCTCCGGCAGAGGCTGCAGTCGCCGTGGAAGAGGCCGCCAACAGGCCGGGCGGCAGCCCCAAGGCCGGTATGTCCGCCCCGCTTGTTACCGCAGCTTGGGCAGCGGCAAACGCAGGCGTCGACGCAGGTGCTGCCGTCTTCAACTCCCCATAGAAGGCCTCTAACCCCCTTGCGTCCTGACAGAAAGCTTCCAGCTCCTCTTTAATCGACTCCGGCTCTTGGGCTGCCGTCAAGGTCACGGTTGGCCATGTCGCGCCCGCACCGGCAGCGGTAGCTAGTCCTTGCTTGAACTGGCCTTGGCCCCCCGGGGGCCCGGACAGGACCGGCCGAAGGGAGGGTGAGAGCAGGGAAGAACCAGAGATTGGTTTCAGCGCCGGAGATGACACTGGAGTGGAAAGCGGGTTGGGCGGGATGCCGTAGGGGGTGTATGCGCCTGAGCCTGTTGTGAGGGCGCGTACGGCGTTGCTCGCGCCCGACCCCGAGCTGCCGCCGGCCATGCTGGCGCTACCGCTGCCCACCGCCTGCTGCTTTCCACGAAGTTCCTTTTGGATTTCCTTTTCCTGTGCGGCAGCTGCTCGGCTATTGTAGAGCCTGTTGGCCAGTAGGAGAAAGTCGCCCTCGTCGGTGATCTCGGCCAGGATGGACCCAGACCGGTGGATATACTGTGTGTACTTGTAATCGGGCCTGCCCCAGGAGTAGGACACGTCCACGTCGCTGGGGAAGCTCGCAGCCGCCTCCATGTCGAGGACGAAGTCGAACTTCCGGAGGATGGCTTTCTGGTAGAAGTGCCTTCCGGGTTGCGCCTGCGGACCAAACGAGTTGGGGTCGTAGTAGGTGACGGGCGACTGATCTGGCGGTGGCGCGGCAAGCTTGATCAGGTACGGTCGCCGGAATGGATTGATCTTGCTGATGGTGCACGCCTCGGCAATGGGAACCTCGACAAGCCGGAGGCCGTGCTGGCCGGCCTCGCGGCTCCAGTTCTCGATGGCGTCTTCCACCAGCTTCGCCGTCACGTTCATCCAGTCCACCCGGATGTGGTAGCAGTTGTCCGGGTTATGTAGCCGATCGTAGTGCAACTCGATGATCTCCGGGCGGTACGACCGTCTCCTGTGATCCACGTCGTATTTGATGGCCCGGCTCAGCACCACTTTCGGCTTCTTGCCACCTGTCGTGGCTGTTGCTGTAGGCGTCACCGAGCCCGACGTCTGCGAGTCTTCTTCGTGGATCGACGTTGGGCGGGAAAGGCCGGGGCGTGCGTCTCGCGGCGCCTGCTCGCCTATCGGCGTCGAGGGTACAGACCCCTGGCCCCGTCTGGTGTTGAACCAACCTGGCGGGTGCGGCTTGGCATACTCGCTGCTGATCTGGTAGAAGTACTGCCCGTCTCGGAACGGATGTCGCTTCTCGACGTGCACAAACAAGCCGCCGCTCTCCCGCTTGCCCTCTTTATCCTTCTCATCGGAGACCATAAGACGGTTGCCCAGCGCTTCGGCCTCCTCGCGGTCTTCCAGGTCCTCAAAGTTATCCAGAAGCCAAGTGGTCATGTCCGACCCGATGAAACAGTTGTAGTGCAGCCGAAAGTGCCAACGTCGATTCTGCATTCGAACTCCGCCCTGGTCCACCGGCTGCTGAATGGCCTCGGCGAGTGCGGCCAGATTGATGTTCTTTTTGGAGAACTGCTCCCTGCTTCGCACGAGCTGCCCTTTGCGGTCCTGGCTCTCCAAGAGAGGCAGCGTCTCAAGTTCGGCAGCAATGACAGTAGAAGGGTCCTCTGTTTTGTAGACAATGTCTAAGGGGTTCATATCCTTCTTCCTTCGCGTCCCGGAGCCCTGGAGCCGCCGTTCGTTCGGCGGGATGTAGCGATGTCTCTGCCACGTCTGGGCGAGTTTTCGGATGCCTTCGATGCGAACCTCTTCCTCATTGTCGCCGCTATCCGTTCCGGACACAGACGAGTGTCGGCCCGTCACAGGAATCAAGACAAATCTGGCGCGCCAAAATCTGAGATGCTCGGTGAGCTCTTCGTTGTGACCAGCAACAAACGCGTCGATGTAATTCCAGTTCCTCTCCGATTTTGGCGCAACAAGTTCGAACTCGCTCGTCTGGTAGCTGGGATCCAATAGCGTCCGGATCGCCGGTTTGTACAACGGCAGTCCGCCGTATGACTGCATAAATGGGTCGGTCGGCTTTCGAACGAAGATGTTGACTTCGACCTCGGTACCATTAACGCAGGATAGTTGATGGATGGTATTACCGACGGACATGAAGATACTGGTGCCGTCCTCCATCATATGGTCGCGCGAGAAGATGTCGGCAACCTTGACCTGCTTCTGGCCGAACGCCCTGGCAACGGCCGGGCCAACGACAATCTGAAACCCCTGAGAGAACCGCAGACTGACCAGCTCGCGCAGCAATTCGTCACGAGACCTGGGCTCTTCCAAGGTCTCGTCGTCGAAATTCTGAGACACGTTGTAAGGGTGGCGCTCGTACTCGGTTTCAAACTGCGCCTTGGACGGGAAATACTCTGACGTGAGGGGCACGGCGGCCGGTGAGCATAGACTCTTCCACTTCATGACCCTCATTTCTTGCGGTCTGGGGAAGACGTGCTGCCAACGGCTGTAAAGCATGGCCATGTCCACCTCGTTCGTGTCCGGATTCGACGGATTGAGCACGGTCAGCCAGGGCGAGAGCGCCTCCTTGGGCGACAGAGTTGATGGCAGTTCGGGGATGGCTCCCGCGAGCAGCTTTGAATTGTACAGCTTCTTGGCATCCTCTGCCATGATCGCGTTCGAATATTGGATATCGCGGCTCTGGCCAACGGGCTCGGGACGGAGAGTCGTTGCGAGAATGGAGCCAGACAGCATCTTGGCCGCGGGCTCGTTTCCTTGTGGATTGGTTCTGATCAAGATCGGCCTAGTGGGCGTAGTAGGCGTGCCTATGGATAACTGAGGCCCTGCCGGAAAAGCGAACGGCGAGAGGCCGGCCTGGGACGACGCCGTTGTCGGCGTTCCGACGGTCATCTTATGGGATGACGAAGGTCGCTGTCCCGTCTTCACTGGGGTCATCCGTAGATCCTGCGAGCTGCGAGAGTGCGCCACTGATTTGGAAGCGCCCACGTTTTCCATGCTCACCTCGGCGGTGGCTACCTTGGGAGCGGCAATACCAAAACCCCGGTTTCCTAGGCTGATTTGGCGCATGAATTTTTGGGGCTTTGGGGATGATGGTGCGGGCTTGGGCTCAGCAGGCTTGGTGGGCTCGACGCTTGTGTTTCTCCGGTGTATTGAGGGAACATCTAATCTCTCAGACGCCGAAAGATAATAGGGAGGGGGCTCTGGGTGTGTCTGTTGGAAAGCTGTTGGAGGTCGCTGCTCTGCCCAGGACGTCCCGAAGAGGCTGGCGGCGTCCTCCACAGCTCGCCCCCGTGGAGTGTCCTCTTGGTCGCGGCCATTCCTGGGAGAACTGGCGCTCCGGCGGGAGGGCAGACGCGCCCTACAGTTGTCGTATTCTTGCAGTTTCCTCCATAAAGACCTGTCACCAGGCTTACTATGTCGGTCAGGAGCAAACTTCTGGAACCCGAAGACATGGTCGAACAGGGTTTCTGGGACCCGGGTATTCTTGACGATGATATTTCCTTGGAGGTCAAAGTGCGGTTTGGAAACCTGGCTTTCTAGCACCGCCTTAAGGGGGAAGCAAGGGTCCGTGTGCAGCGGCTTGGTCTCGATTTCGTTTGTTTCCATGACGCTTCTCATTTGCAAGTCATACATGCGGCACCGGATTGGGAATTCGTCACCCGACTGAGTGTGTGCGGCGTCTGAGACTGATAGAGCTATGCCCTGGTATGATAACTCCTCCTCGGAGGCACCGGTCCAGTATGAGACGTGAAGCCACTGGGGTATGGCCGAGACCCACTCCTCCTCTGCGAATGCGGAAGCAGGACCAGACGGTTCACCATGGCGCATACCGTCGATCCTCTTGCTCGGCGAGTACGAGCCAGCGAGGCTGCTGTAGCTTCCAAATGCGAGGCTCGTTTGCTTCGGCGTGCTCCCGTGGCTAAGGTTTACCTTGGTCCTGCGCTGGACATGGCCGGATTGATGATACGGGTTGCGGTATCGGAAAAGGGGCACTGAATGCAGTGGAACCTTGGGGATGCAAATCAGGTCAATACCAATGCCGTTTCCCACAATCGCCTCGGTGGTGCGGCGCAGCGCTTCGTACTCGACCTCGAACACGCCGGGGCTAGGACTGATGACCGCCACCGAGACGCCAGTCCTAGTCAAGTCCCGGTCGATATAGTCGCGGGCGAACAACGACGAGGCCATGTTGATTGCTTCGAGGAAATTCCCGTGAATGGCTCGCGACGCCTCGGCCTTGATTCGGTTCAGTAGCAGCTCTCGGTCACCGGGTTCCTCCGTGGCTGCGGATGATGCCATGGCCTTCTGATGATAGGTGCTGATATCTTTGCGGAAGTAGTTGAACTCGCGTTTAAGCTGATGGAGGATTTTGGTCCACTCTCCGCTCCCCATCTCGCTGACTACGACGCGGTAAAAGTCCTTGTAAGGGCGGCGATCCCCGGATGCCTGGATCCCAGTGTAGTAGCCGTCGTGGACCGAAGCACTTGCTAGCTCGGTGGAAATGCCCGTGTCGTATTCAACGCGGGCAAACAAGACGATGGTGACCAGGTGCTTGACCCGCATGGCGGCCCACTTCTTGAACAGGGCCGGCAGGAAGCCGTTGACGACCTTATTGAATGTGATCTCGCCCGACCCGTCGGGGTCAAAATCCCACATCTCACGGGCCATCTGGATGAAGAGCACATACCGGGCGGACTCGCTGCGGAAGATGGGCTTCGTGTCGCGGCCAAAGAAGGCGGACTGGACCTTGCGCCCATCGACATAGACAGTGGTGACCTGGGCTTTGACGGTGCCCATGAACAGGACCATCTGGCCTTTGTAGACGGTCCGCTCGGCCAGCTCTCCGACAGCCATCCGCCACATGTCGGCCCGCGAGAGATACTGGTCTCGGAAGCAGAGCTCAACGTGAGATGCCTCTATCGCGGGGTTACTGGCGTCGATCTGGAGATGTGTCAAAAACACACAAGGTTAGGGTTCCAGCCGGACAGCGAGGAAACCGGCAGCTGCACATACCGGAGTGACAGTGACTTGGGTGCCCTTTCTCATGCCAAAGACATCGGCTATGTGCTTTGCGACGTAGACCTCGACAGTGGAATAGCGCGCCTTCAGTTCCCTGGGCATGTCCTTGGCCACGCAGATGTAGCGGCTCCTCTCGGGACACGCTGCGGAAGCGCCATCCTTGCCGTCTTGGAGGTGCGGCTTGTAGTGCGAATTCTGGGACGGCTTGTCCGAGTCGGCCTTCACCACGTCGATGGCCACGAGGCTGCCGGGTTTGACATCATCTCCGATCACGTCGAGATTGAGGAGCACCTCATCGCGGGCAAAAGACTCGTTGACGGTGACGGTCCATCGCCTCTCAGCGCGCAGGCGAGACGACAAGCGAGATGCCGGGCGCTCGCGGATGGTAGAATTGCTCGAGAGGGTGTCGCCGGGCGAGTTCGAATATGCCTTCTCAATAGAACGGTCGAGACTAGACCTGCTGATTTGGCGGAGATGGTTTGGCCAGTTCGGGCCCCTCGGTACGCGCGTCCCAGACATGGAGGTTGCCCATAAATCCCAGTCCCTGGGAAGTTTTGCTAGTGCTGCAGTGCCGTCGACTGATCATAGCGCACAGCTGGGCACAGTCGACCTAGTAGGGGCGGGAAATGGGAAGGTGCGACCTGAAGGATACCTTAACCTACTGCAGCAAGCTTCAAGGATGGCGTCAATCGGCGCGGTCCACAAGCCGGCAGAATCTGTGGGGATTCATTACACCGCCTTCCTTTAGGGGCTTGTCCGCCCCATGTCGTTGCACCGCCAAGACGGATGGGGCCCCACTGTTTTCCGATCTTACCATCATATCCCTGTCTCGGCGCTCCACAGATCTGACATGCGGGACGATCAATCAAACCCGCATGGCGAGCCACATCACACCGGTGAACCGGGCTCATCCCATGGCCAGGTATGACTTCCATATGATATATCATGGCCTCCCAGACCGAATTGGACCAAACAAACCGTGCTCCACCTCCTTCCAGAGATAACATTAACAGCGGCGTGCTGCAGTCACAACTCACAAGACACTCCGAAGTTCTAGGTAAAGGAAACTGTTCAGCACCAGCCCTAGCCGTGATACCTCCCAGGTAGCATCTACCTACCTTACCCTACCGGTACCTTGGACTATGCTTCTGCTGTATGTGGTGTACATGGACGCAGCACAATGGCAGAACACGATGGCCTTGGCGCTGTGAAACACTTGCATGAATCTTCTCGCTTGCCATACATGTACGGTGTACCCCTATTTCCGTCCCTTGGCCCCCCTGAGGACACCTCAACCACATCCCAAAAGGTCAACACCACGTGTTAGAGACTTGGGATTATCTCGATGACAGACTCCAACAGTCTTGCGCATCACAAGGGGTTTATGTCGCGCGGAGTACGAGCCAGGTCGCCATGCGCCCTCTGTTGCCCCCTTCGTGTACTTTCTGCCGGGGCCTGGTGCTTTGCTGTACTCTCTCCCATGTCACAGCCTTCCGGTCCCGGCCGGGAAGTGACATTGGGTCCCCTGGGCTGCCCTCAGGGTTCACGATGGCACGGCCGCGGGGCGCGGAGAAGTCGACGACTAAGCAGTATCGCGAATAAACAGATCGGACCGACGACTAAGCGGCTCCTTGTTCTCTGCTCGTGCACATCCGTCATGCGGGTGCGGCCTACTGCGTCCCTTCTTTTTGTTCTGACTCTGAGCTCTGTTCCACCGACCGCAAGATTAAATCCACAGCAGCAACCAACAGATCGCCCGCAGGAGGTATATATCACTGCTGCCCATAGTTCACCGGTCCTCTCGCTGACTATCACTTCCAAGAAGACTATCAAAGCAAGAGCCAATACCCATCCCATACCAGTTACCCAACCGTACTCCTCCGCCATGGCGAAAAGGCTCTCCGACCGCCAGAAGGTCACGGCGGCGATCACCATATCGTTCGCCTTCTTCCTCTTCGAGATTGGAGGTTCGTAGCGTAGAAAGATTGACGTCCGCACACGGCGTGAAACGGAAGTGCTGACCGATCTTTAGTGGCCTTCAAGACGGGCAGTCTGGCGTTGATGGCCGACGCCTTTCATTATGTGAGCCGGCCTTCCCCAACAGACAAGTGGCTATCACTCATGGGCTATACTGACGATGCTCAAATTAGCTGAGCGACATTGCCAGCTTTGCTGTCACGCTCACTGCAATTATCGTACGTCTCGTTCTTTCCCGTCGGTTGTCGCAGGCACTACTGGTACTTAGGTAGCATGCCCAGGCAGAGGAGCCGAGCTGACCAGTGCGCCAGATGTCCGAGAAGTCCCAGCATCGCCAGGACTTCTCGTATGGTTGGCAGCGGGCCCGTCTTCTCGGTGGCTTCTTTAACGGGGCCGTCCTGCTTGCTCTCGGCATTGGCATCTTCATCCAGTCCGTCGAACGGTTCGTTACCCTCCGCGATATCGAGCATGCAAAGCTAGTCTTGATCACGGGCTGCGTGGGCTTCGGGTTGAATGCGGCCAGCGCTCTTTTCCTGCATGGTAAAATCCTGCCCCTGGCCAGCCCCTGAATCCCCCCAACCGCTGACCTGTCCTAGAGCATCACCATCACCACCACCACCCAGACCCGGATCCAACTCAGGAGCCGGACTTTGAGATCAGCAGCGGATCTAGCAGCACCTCCGGCATCGTCTGTCCAACTCGTACTCCCGAGCAACAACCCAGCCGGCGCAGAAACTGTCACGCCGGGCACCGCCACGTCCGGCACTCGGTCAAGCCGCCCGGCAGAGATCTTGGGATGGTCGGTGCCTTCCTCCATGTCATTGGCGATATGGCAACCAACCTTGGCGTCATCCTTGCCGCGGCCGTTATGTGGAAGACATCCTCGCCGGCCAGATTCTACGCAGACCCTGCCATCGGCATGGCCATCGCGCTTCTGATTTTCTTCTCGGCAGTCCCCTTGGTCAGGCGCAGCGGAGAGATCCTGCTGCAGAGTGCCCCAGAAGGTGTCAAGCTCGAGGACATCAAGCACGACATTGAGAAGGTACGAATCTCAGTTTTGTTGAAGCCCAACAGTCCGAGGAACAAATAATCGCATCAGATCAGACAAGGAGACGAAAAGCGGCTAACCTTGAACAGATCCCGGGCGTCCACGGCGTTCACGAGCTGCACGTCTGGCGCCTCGACCAGAAGAAGGCCGTCGCATCGGCCCACATCCTAGTTTCCGATCCCGATGTGGCTCGTTTTATGGAGACAGCGGAGACAATTAGGGAGTGTCTCCATGCCTATGGTATCCATTCAACGACGCTCCAGCCGGAGATGCTGCTTCCTGTAGTCCGAGTCGTCGGGGGAACACCTCTCAATGATATCAGCGACCCCTGCCAGCTCATGTGCGGCAAGGGCATGTGCGAGCACCTGCATTGCTGCAACAAGGAGTGAAGAGGGCTGATTTGATTTCGGCAGAGCTGTCTCGGGACAGTTGGCTTTTCCCTTAACTGTGGTGAGCCGGTTTTCGTTCAGTTCAAAGGAGCAGGGAGCAGGGAACATGGTACAAGGAGCAGGAGGTTATGAAGGGCGATCAATTCGAATTCAACGTTTGTACAGAACATTGAGTTACATGGCACCGAAGGGTTACAACGAGCGCTGTGTTGAGCACGTACCACACACACGATTACACCCTTTCCAGGTTGTTTCCAGTGTGGTCACCCCCATCTACGCGCCAAAAGCTATATCTCACACCCCACCTTGCTTGCACCCGCACGGCGGAGGATGAAAGAGGTGCCCCCGCCTTCGGCGCACAAAGGAGGCGTACAGGCCGCCGGCAGCGTACACGGCGATGACACTGATGACCACGGGCCACTGAAACTGATCCGGCCGGGAGAAGACGATGGTAGCCACGTACGAGAGCAGTTCGAACAGGTTCTGAAACGAGGCCTCCGCCGTCGAAAAGGTCCCGCGAAGCTCGGCTTCGACCTCCTGCGCGTTGCAAGAAGAAGTTGTTAGAGTCAGCCGTGATGCAAAACGAATCGACACCTAAGGTACTAGTACCTAAGGCATAATATAATAATAAGGTACTTAGCACTCACGTCCTGGACGATGTTCTGCGCACACAAGTCGTAGCCCCAAAGGCCGACGCGGCTGAGGGCAACGCCGACGGCGAGGCCCGTGGCCGAGATGGCGCTGTTCGTGCCCATGCCGGAGAAGTCGGCAAAGAACCAGCTGATCCCGGCCGCGAGCCAGACCATTTGCCAGCAGAGACTCCAGATGCCGCCCCGGACAACCCCGATCCGCTCCATCAGGCGGGGTGCTATCCACGTGGCGCTCAGCTCGAAGACGGTGCTCACCGTGCGGGCGATGCCCACGTGCAGGGAGTTGTACCCCACCGAGAGGAGATACGTGATCATCTGGCCGGAGAAGGAGAGCACGGTGAGGTAGAGAAGGGTAAGCGAGAAGGAGGGGAGGAAGGCTGCGTGGCGGAAGTAGAAAGGCAGAGACGATACGGGAAGAACATGGGATATTGATGGCCTCAGCCAAGCGCCGGTCGACGGCCTTGTTGAAGGCGGCAGTTCGTTGTCGGAAGCCGCCGGCCCTCTCGCTAGCGAGGGCACTTGCTTGTAGACCTACATACAGTCGTCAGTTTGTATTCCCTCACAGGTTCCGCGCGCGGCGATGCTGCTGTGTATTGTATAGTATTGTACAGTACCTGAGCTATGCATATGTACTCAACAAGGACCGATACGAGATTCATGGCAAGCGTGGCAATGATGGCGACCAGCGTGGACGATATCGCTATGGTAGAGATGGCCAGTGGTCCTAGCAGCTTGCAGACAAGATCAATCCGCCGTACTCGAGCATTCAGTACTGCCCTAGGTCAGCGCGGCGGAACGACGGTAGCTTGGGCCTCACGACACAGACCTCGCCGGGCCAGTTCATCCCCTTCGGTGATCACGGCCGCCTACATAACCCAAGAGGAGCCAGCAAAGTGGTCAGCAAGTTGCAGTCTGCACTGCACGCGCCCTCACGGCCTTACCCAGTCTCTCTCGACGGCCACCAGGTTCATCAGCGAGCACAGCTTCTCGACACAGGCGAGGATGACAGCCAACGCGAACAGGCCGTCGCCGAGCCTCGCAGCCATCCGCCGGCCCCGCCGTTCCAGGGCCCAGAACAGCGCGCAGCTCGCGGCCACCGCAAGGCGCTGCCCAATGATGGACGCCCGGACCACCGCCAGACGGTCGCCCTTGTCGATCAGCCGCCCGACCGGCCGCGCCAGCACGATGGCCGCGCCGCTGCGGGCCAGCGCGTAGACCGACATCGGGAGCAGCGTGTCCGGGAAGATGGACGCCAGGAAGAGGACCGCGGCGAACTCGAACAGCCGGGAGTTCCACGTCGAGAGGAAGTGGGACGTGTACAGTCGCACTTCGAGAGATCTCGGCACCGTGTCGCGATACCGGCCGGCATGTTGGCGACTGCCCACGCCGCCGGCCTCCACAGTCATTACCGGCTCCGTGACGTACCCCTCGGAGATGGCGCATGCGGGGACGGCCGGCTGTTGTTGTGCTGTGAGGGTACCGCTTTGGGGTCCATTTCGGAGTGCTGGAAGTTCGACTGCCGTACCAGATCCAGGCGCGGCGCCAGATGATGGACTTAGCCAGTCCCTCATGGTTCTAGGAGGCCTCGTGCCAAAACATACGTCCCCTGTGTTGTTGAATTGCTTCCGTTGTGCCCGCGTGTGGACTACTGTGATCTGGGTAGGTGTGCACTCGAACTCTGTTCGAACCTCGCTCGATAGAGAGCGGAATCGTGGTCATCCCGCTGCGGTTAACGGAACAGGCGAACAAACAAGCTCCACACCAACTCTTTGGGCTCGGCGCTAGCTGTTGACTCGCGGGCCGGTGCCAAGGAGCACTCACATCGCAATGATGGCATGCCGTAGCATCCCGGCAGAATGAGGGCGACGACGCAGTTCTTCCGTCATCATGATTCAGCGGCATCACTGTGTTCACCAATGAATGAGACGCCGGCGGCCAGATACTGGCGGTGCGTCTGGATAGTTCCACGGTCTCTACCCCAAGGCGCCCACCATAGTAACTCGCAAGGACAGGGCATTGAGCACATGGAAACAAGCGGGATTGCAATAGGTACTCCGTACTTCAATCAGTCGTGTGCTTCTTGGAAACTTGAATCTAAGTGTAAGTTCCGAATTGATCCGTCTTGCCGTTGACGACACCAGAAAAGAAGGAAGTCGCTCTGCCTTTTCTGGCCCACGAGCGCGGGCCAGACGGCCGGAACCGTCCGGCTATACCAGGTAGTATTTGTGACACCCCTTCCTCCGAGACGGAACAAACAGAGGTGGGAAGCCAGATTGATGAACTGCACACGAGTTGCCGGTCGCTATCACAGAGAAACAGGAACGGCATGCTCGAAAATCCTCGGCGAGACGGGATGGGGCTCTTCTGGGCTCGCTGGCAGGAGAAAAATCCATCCATCGAGTTCAACTTATTTAGCCATGTGAACGTGGACAGTTGACAACTGGACAGCCTGCTCGAGACAGCTCGGAAGGACAACCGACGGACGACGGTCCGCTGCAACCTCGGGAGACTCGACAAATACTGTACATAACGTTAACAAGGTAGCACTCCAAATAAGTGGCGCTCGTCCCGGATGGCTGGCCTCGCACTAGGTACCTGTAGTTTTGATCTTCCGGGCGAGGATACGGTTTGTCCGGAAGGCGATAAAAGAATCCAAGACAAGGAAAAAAAGGTATCGAAAACTCAATGCCAGATCAGCGTTCCGATGCAGCAACGCCGCTACAAACGGGTGGATCGTGGTCAGATTCCGTTACCTGCATTGACTGGTCGTACCTGGTTTCCTTGTGGATTGATGTCGTGCAGTCACCGTGTCTGCATGGATCTCATTAGGGCGCAAGTTCATGAGCATTGTGGCTCCGAAGAACCCCGAGATTGGCGCGAGGCAATTCTTGGGGCTTTGCGCGGTAAGTCATGACATCCGTGAGGTGTGCAGCCCTGCCCAACCCGCAAATTGGCTCCACTTCTCTGCAGCAACCCCTCTGGTCGAGCCGCTTCCATTTGGCAAGCTCGGCGTCCCAGCGGGCCCCGGCCGCCCCACTCCCGTCACTCCAAAGACCTGCCCTGTACCTTAAGTCTTCGGGGCCTGCAGCCCACCTCACTGCCGTCCACTGCCGTCCACTGCCGCAGCAAGCTGGCCGCGCGCAATGCGGCCGTTTTAGCTATCAACCGCCGCTTTCGTCGTCACCGCCATTCCGGAATTTGGGACCCCGCCAAAACCCACCGCAAACAAGTAGATGGTGTAGACAGGCAACGCCAGAGCCGCGCGAAGCGTGATTTCCAGGTTTACCAGAGGATTCCACTCCGGGCACCGCACCCCTTGCTCTTCAGGTTTGCTTGCTCCTCCTGCTGTTGCTTTCTCTCTGGGGTTCCCTCGCCTGCAAAGCCCCAGTCGTCTCGGGAAATTCTCCACACTGCCAGGCTAGTTAGGTATGTAAAACCCACTCGTCAAGTTGTTGCACGGCGTTGTTGTTACCAGGTGCCACTCAAGGAGCAATCCGCTAACCGCTCGGAAAGACAAGCGAAACTGCTGGGAAACTGCCATTAGCAACCTCAGCCCCGGCAGTCGTCGCAGTCCGCCGTCGCTCCGGACCACGCAGGCCCTTTTCGTCTGGTCCGGTCCGGTCTGATCTCAGCACATTGGGTCATTGCCTCGCGCGACGCGGTGGACATCAAGCTTGCCACAGGCCGCCCCAAAGAGGAGGCCGGCTGCTCTAGGACGCTTGAAAAACGGTATCATCACCTGCTCTCGTGGCGCCCCGCGCGCTTCCGCTCAGTGTGCCCGCCTCGCGACGAGAGGCAAGGGCACAGGAAGCGTGTCTCTCTATCTAATCGACCCGGCGCGCTCAGGGCCACTCCTGCTGCTAGATAAGGCGTGCTACCTATGCGAGTTGCCGATTCAACTGTCCAACGCCGGACTGCGTTCATCAATTGCTCCCCTTTCCCGCATCTCAGAGCAGCACCCCTCCCATGGCGACTCCGCCCACCCCACCGGCGACGATGCTGACCCAGCGCGTGGCTGCCGTCTGAACCGCTGAAAGAAACAGACGCTCAGGACTAGGACTCGCTCCGCGAGGCTTCCGCATCTCAGCTTCCCGCCAGCTTGCTCAATCCTCCTAGGGATGCTCGGGAAGCTCTTCAATCTCGGCGCTGGCTCCGGGTCCGGGGCACCGCCCTCTCCCCAACCCTTTTCGCAGAGGCCTATGCCACTCGAATCGGTCCATGAAGATATCCATACGCGGCACTTGCTCTTCCCGGATCCGCAGGACCTATACGAGCAACGTGCCAACCAGCTGTACCCCTTATCCAGCGGCGCCACCACCCCCACCGGCGCTTCGACGGCAGCCTTCGACTACAATGCCGACGTTGAGCTTGACGTCCGCGATGTCCGCATCATTATCATGCAGGACGCCCTGAGCTCCGTTGCCGCCTCTCTCCTCTATGACAGCCAACCTCCGCCGCCCATCCCGGCCGCGTCCGTCGACCGGCCTTCCGCGACTGCGGGTTCTTATTCCGTTCAAGAGCCGCGTCGGGGCCCTGTCTCTCCGCGGAAATCCAGTCTCAGTTACTCCCAGCGGCCAGTCGTCATCCAGCCTGGCAGCCCCAAGGTACGCCAGGGCGCCTTTGATCGGAGACCTTCGGTCCACAGTCGCAGCCAGGCTTTCAACGAGAGTGAGTCTCAGCGCGCGTGGCGCGAGTACCGCGAAGAGCTAGCCACCTTCTCCAGCTGCATCTTCGGCAACTCGGAGCTCATGGCATACAAGGGCACTTCTACCAAAGTCCATGTCGTGCCGTCAGACGTCCGGTCGAGCGAGACCACCTCGGCGCTCGGAGACGGGCGTGGTTCCTTGGGCAGGTCCACCATGAGGGCAAGCCGCCTCTCGCAGTCATTCTCCTCGGAAAACCCCCCTCCGTTCCCTACACCTCCTACCCCAGGCGGGACAGGGCGCCTTCAGGACCGAAAGAAAGTGTTGATCACGAGGCTGTTTCCAGTCAGCCTCCCGCTCGACGGGGACCTGCCACCTCTCCACGAGGTCATGTCCGAAGAGACCACAGGCTATCCCTTTCCCCCGGGCACGGAGGATGCGAAGGCCAAGAAGAAGAAGCTACAGCCGAGGCAAAAGCGAACCCCCATGTACGCCGTGGCCCTCATCATTACCCTGCCTCCTTCGCCCTCGCATTCTACTCCGGCCACGTTGCGATCGGGCTTCAAAGGATCCGGCTCGTATACCGAGGGGGACTCCTTTCCATCATCGTTCAATTCCTCACGGCGCCATGGATGGACGTCGACGGGCCAAGGCGGGTTTGGCGCGCCTGACTCGTTCGAGACAAACTACGGCAGTGACATGGAGGATCAAATCGACGCCATCACGCAGCACTGGGACATCATCATGCGGACCTTGAGCCGCCTGCAATCTGTTGTTGCCACCACGCTGTTTGCGATGCTCCGGCAGGCCGATATTGCATCCCGGACCCGCTTCCTACTTTGTCTCTTCAGTTCGCCAGGGGTTCTACTTCTACAGTATCTGGCCGGCGCGGCGAAGATGGACAACCGGTCATGCCTCACAAGACGAACGCGAAGCACATTACGTTGCTCCCCAACTGCTTGCTTGACAATCGGAACATTAACGCCGAGGTCGATGCGGCGAAGACGCGGATCGTCGCCGGGATTCGGGCCTCTCGCGTGACGACGGGGCAGAATCGTTGGCCGATCTGGCGAGAGGAGGCTCGCCGGGTGGCTAAGTGGGCCGGCGGCAGAGACCAGGGCTTCTTTTTCTTCAACCTTCTCACAGCGTTTCTCGCAACGCATACCGACTGGCTCCAGGCACTGAGTCCTCCGGCATACCGCCGTCAGCATCTCGCCCAGCAACAGCAGAGAGCCAGGTCGGAGGAAGACGCCTTGCTGCCTGCTCGGACAATCATCTTGAGCGACGACAAGATAGCGGCGCGGCGGTTGGTATTTCTGCTATCTGCCTTCCTGCCAGCGTCTCAGTCGGTACCAGGTGCCCGGAGCCACCGACCAAGCACGCCCGCATCTTTGGGTGCGCTGTCACAGTCTCCCCCGGCTTTCGTCGTCCCCATCCTGAAGGAAGAGTCGTTGCGCAGGAAGATGAACCGCCGTACAGGCTCGCGGCTGCCGTCCCATTCCCGCAACTTGAGCTTACAGGCGCACAACATGCGAGGCGGTGGTGTTCCTCCTCCATTGGCCCACCTAAGCATGGAGGGCCGGCACGAGAGGTGGCCCTCCGATACCGCTTCGATCCGGACTAGTCATCTGCCTATCCGCGGGGGAGATACAAACACGAGGAAGAGCAGTGCCGTTACCACCGCCACAATCACCCCCGAGACCAGCATTCCCCACTTTTCGACAGTTCACAGAGCCGACATAATCTCCCAGGGACGTCCAGGGAGCAGCAACAGCGTCGCCGCCGATGACTTGAAGCGACTTACCCGAGATGAGAACCCCGGATCTCAGGGTACTGGCCCCGGTGAACGCAGACAGAGCTCAAGATGGAGTGTTCTTAGCGGCCTCTGGAACGGACGTAGGAGAGACTCGACGAGCAACTACCCTGGACCGAATGACAGGCGGGTGGGGAGCTCCGTCTCGCCCGCGGTCGCACGACAGCCTTCGATCAGCGCACCTTCCAAAACGACGCCAGAAGTCCAGACTGCCGGGGGCTCGCCGGCTGAGCAAACCGGCGATACCCCCGGCAATACCACCCCAAGCCCCAGAGATTCCGCACCCCCTCTCCGGACATCTGCAAGCGACAGCTTGGGCCTCTCCGAGCAAGCAAGTGCCGTGCAGAAGACACAGAGGACTCCAGACCCGTCTGGGGCCTTTGCGTCACCAGTGAAGACTTCCATCAACGTGGATGATGGTGTCATTGATGTGGAGGTTCCGCTGCCAGATTTCGTCACTTCGTTCGAAAGTGCCGTGAGCTCGCCATCGAGCAGCGGTTATCTGTCGGCGTCGGGCTTTGGCAGCGGCCTGGACGCGTTTGAGCAGTCATTCCGCTTCGCTGCTGACGGAGATGTGCCGCCGAATGTCGCCGGCTGGTTGCAGAATTACCACCCGGATTTCGTTCTGCAGGCACTACCAGCTCATCATGATGTCCGCGAGCGAATCAGGGCATCAATGCGCGCTGAGCCGAACCCGCCGATACCAAGCACACACCCATCGGCGGACTCGACGGAGAGATGGATCGACGTCACCTCGGCTGTCGTGGCCGACACAACCACATTCACCGTGACACGCCTACGCTACCGTCGCCTAGTCAAGGTGATACAACCCGGTGCCGCAGAGCTGAACCAGAACCCTGCACCTGCGACACCGTCCTCCACCACATGCAGCACGACACCGTCGACACCAACGACGGCGGGTCTGATGCCCTACGAGGTGCAGCTGAAAGAGGAGTTCATCGAAGAGCGGATTGTCGCTTTCGACGATGTGCTGACCGAAGCCGTGGAGCGGGTCATCGCCGCGGCTGGGACCGATTCCACGGTGAGCAAGGTCGGCTCGACCAGCTCATCCAGGTCGACCAGTAAACGCAGGGAGAGGGAGGCTCAGAGGGAGAGGAGGGATAGCCTGCCGAGCGGGTCGGATGTGCGGGCTTGCCCCAACCCAAGCCAAGGTCACAGTCAAGGTCAGGCCCTCCAAGGCTTTTTGCTTGCCGGCCCGCAAGAGGTGCCACGATCGCAGTGCAAGACTGTCCTGCTGTCAGCGCTAGAGGATGTCATTCAGGACGTAATTACTGAGAGGGAAGAACAGCTGGGGCAGCAGCAGCAGCAGCAGCAGCAGCAGCAGCAGCCAAGGGGACAGCAAAGAGAGAGAGAGCGGGAAAGAGAAAGAGAAAGAGAAAGGGAGAGCCCACTGCGCGAGGCGGTCAGGGGCTGGATGGAGAGCATGGATCTTGGCGATTAGGACCACTTGATACCCCATTACCCTTCTCCTATTCTTTTTCTATCTTGTTCCTCCGCGTCAGGAACGTTATGCCGGCGCCAAAGGAGCGTACTAGGCAGTGGTTCGTTCAACATCCATGGTGGCTGCGTTGGAATCAGCTTTGGTGGTCTCGTCGTATTATTAACTTTCAACATCACCCACTTTCGTGGTAATCATCATATGATAACTCAGGAGAACTCTTGTTACCCAAGCAGGTCCGCCCTCACATTGAGTTCTGCTGCTGTCAGGTATTGTATAATACCTGGTGCTCTTCTGCCCTCCCGTAATTCGCCATGGTTCCCCTTCAACCACACTGCAGCAAAGCCACATCAGCTTTACTCCTGGCCTTCACGGTCCCCCGAGTCTAGCGTGTCTTTACATAGCTAGAGCGTACCGGGCCTACAGCAAGCGCGGTATCTGCGCCAGTCTGCCGCTGAACAGTAAGAGACCTTAGTAAGCGGTGTGCTTACACCCTTCGCAGCATCCTGTCCTGGTTGCTTCTTGGTTCCTGGATCCCTGGTTTACAGGTAACCGCAGCGTCTGAACGGCGTAACCTCGGGTCCGTAGGACAATGGTCGAAGCGTTCAGGGTCTACGGCGGTCTGGGTCTAACTAGGGTCTTTGCTAATAAAAGAGACGGAGCGAGAAAAGTAGTATGGCGGCGAGAGCTACGTTACCTTGGGTCGCAGTGCGGCCGAGCCTCATCATCAGGACCCTGAACTCTCTTGTCCCTACATCTATGTCACCTAATATCTTCTTGTTGGCTCAGCCGCTGTTTCGCAACCATGGATGCCATGGAGGCGGCGCGCGGCCCAAGCACCGTTGTTGAGCGATATAAGGTATACAGGTCTAGTTATATATGTACGCAGACAGTGCGTCCAGGTTGCCGTTCCCCTTCCACTTGTCCCGACTACCAAACCACATACATATATCAGGTTGGTCGGTTGGTTACGATGCGTGCTATGGAAAGCGCTACTAGTGCATCCGTACATGCGGTATCTACGGGCTTCGCGAGGCGTCGGGTCTTGTGTTATCTAGTGTACTGTGTACTATGTAAGGTATGAGAGCCCAGAGTCCCCGGCCCTTGACCAAATCGGTTGTCAGCTGCATGCCAATGCTCAATCGCATCGAATCGCATGGGCCGTTGAATGGGACGTTTGAGCTTAGGTAGTTTTAGGGTCGCACCATCGGCTGGCGGCGGATAAAACGACGGGTAAATTCATCAGTGGCCGTTGCGTAGCAGTGGGATGGGCAAGTCCCGGCGTTAAGACCTCGGCCTCGCACACACCTCCTAGCATAGGTGTACCGTGGAATGCCAGCACCTGGAAACTACCTTTGGTTGTGAAAGTCTAACCGTTTTGTGGCGGAATGCTCAGAAGTCTGACTGTGCAGTGCTCGCTACGTTTTACAGTGTGGTCGGAGTCGTCTCCAGTTCCATAGAGCAAAGGGTGGCCAGATCCTGTGATGTTATGTACCATAAGAGGAGCCGGGGCTGTATTGCACCGACTTCCCACAGTCAGAAATGCATATGTGCAGCAAACTACGAGTACCCCATGAAACCAAAGCGACTATCTCGAAGAACGGTGAATGATGATTGAGAATTGCGAGCAAAGCAGGGGAGGAGGCGGAAAAGGAGGAAGATAAGTCACAAAAAAAGACCCAAAAGGAAACGTGGTAGACGAGTAATGGAAAGTCTCCAAGTTTGGTGAGTATGAAGTACCTTACTACGGTGAATCTATGACAGATACCGCCAATGGATGAACCATGCCATACACCGGAAGAGCTGTTGGCAATGCCGCTTGGCATTGTATTCCTGCCTGTAGAGGTGACATTGACCGGGTTGCTGTTCCATGACGTTAGAGCCTCAAGGCCCGGCGTTGCCGCCGTGAGCGAAGGCTCGGTCTTGGCCCCACGCGTTTGCATCACGGGCTCGGGTTTCCATTTTCGTCAAGGTATGTTTGCAGCGGTTCATGTGTAGCGCCGCTCTGCGCGGACTAGAATGTCACTCCTGGGACAACATGTGTATCTCTGGATCGAAGCTAAGCGAGATTGGCTTACTGCGTAGTGTACGCTTGAATGTACAATAGTAATCTATACACTTCAGGGACATGTGTAGGGAGCACCGGCCATGGATTCCAGGGGCGCATTTCGTTGAGCGGCCGGCCGAGCAGTTCTGCTCGGCCATTGAACTCGTGGGCAAGGCCTTCCCCGCCTTTTTCTCCGCGCTTGGCCCCGCTAAATCTGCCGCGCCCCTGCATTGATGTTCCGTGTGGATCGGCGAGACCCACTTCCTACTGGTACCTTCTTCCACTTTCATCCTTCGAGCACTGCATCACAAAAGGAGTGGGCGGAAGAAGAGACGGTCGAACATGGCCTTTGCGACTCGGCGCATTCGATGATCTGATCCGCCAAGTCCCAGCAATCCGGAATGTGCTGGTGCTCTTACAACGCCATTTTGACACACGCTTGTCTTCCCTCTGACGCTGCCTAGCCAGGATTCCGTCTTTGGGACGGGGAAACAATCCCGCACTAATGGAGCCGGATTAGATTAAAACATCCATGGATCAGCAGTCAAAAACACCACTGGACCTCCAGGGGGCTGACTGGCCAGCCATGCGGAATGTCGCCCAACGCATCCCGCTTCCTGATTGCTCTTGGCTGCAAGGAGCTCTGCATTCGTCCCGATGGTCCCGGCAACGCGGGCCCAAATGATGGCGACAATGCGGCATTGAGGTAGGTTAGCGGAACTCATCGCGCACAATGCACAAAGCCCCTGTGGCGTTTGTGAGAGTCACGGCCCGAAGAGCCCCCATTGTTCCGCTTGTCTTGCTGTTCGATGTGCGACGATCGGTATTATAAGGGACCCTCCGCCAGCGCTGTGAAGGCCCGGTATTCGGAGCATGTGTTGTATTTACATTCCTGTCGACCAACCATATAGTGCAAACCCACGCCAGGACATACTTACAATATACTGCAGCACACATAGACTACCTACAAGGCATCTAGTTTCCGCCTCTACTACACTAATTCTCACCATGCGGACTGCCTACGGCATCACCCTCGCACTCTCTGCGAGCCTCCGGCTGACGAGTGCCGCTCCGTATGGCGGATCCTCACTCCTTTACGTCACAACCTATCCGGTCGCAGATGAGCTCGGCAAGGTTCTTACGCTCAAGTTGGACGGGGCGAAACTGCAATCTGTGGCCGAGTCTGACAGCTGCGGGCCCTATCCCTCTTGGTTGACGCAGGCCGGCACCATCCTTTACTGCGTCAATGAGGCCTGGGGCGGGGACCATGGCGACCTTGCAGCACTCAAGATCGGCGCCGACCTTAACCTCACCAAACTGAGCGGAGGCACGACTGTGGGAGGCCCGGTGAGCACCATCGTCTACGGCGCCGGTGGCCGTGGATTGGCCATTGCCGACTAGTAAGTAATTCAAACCCGAGGATGGAACAGCGCAGACTGACACACCCCCTTATAGCGCTGGAGGTGGCATCAACACTTTCAACATTTCCAATCCAGCGGCTATTGTGCCGCTGCATAGTCAGGTCTTTCCCAGCCCCCCCGACAACCGTCCCGACCCTCAGAATCAGGCCCGCCCTCACGAGGCCGTCCTTGATCCCACTGGCAACTTCCTCGTCTTCCCTGATTTGGGTGCCGATCTCCTCCGTACGTTCAGGGTCGACAAGAAGACCCTGGAGCTCACCGAGTCGGTGCGTATCCCTCCATATGTCCTACCCACATATCAAGGACACCGCGAGAGAGAGAGGCTAACCGTTTCTGTAGAAGGTCTACGAATTCGCCCGAGGAACCGGACCGAGGCACGCGGTCTTCCTCAAGTCGGGCCCTAAGACGTTCCTCTACGTCGTCTGCGAGCTCGGAAACCTGCTCCAGGGCTTTGTCGTGACCTACACCGCCGACAAGACTCTCAGCTTCACTCAGATCCACAACAGCACCACGCACGGCGACAGCAATCCGATCCCGGCGGGCACCTCGGCCGCCGAGATCACGCTTTCCGTAAGTGAACCCATCACCTGTCCTTCCCTCGTGCGAGTCCTAAGAGTAGATGCTCTAACATGCCGCCATCATCACCAAAACAGCCCGACAACAAATTCCTCACCCTCTCCTCCCGCAACGAGAAATCCCTGCAGTATACCCTCGCCAACGGCACCACGGTGCCCTCGGACCCCCTCATCACCTTCGCAATCAACGCCGCGACCGGCGCGCTCACTCACGTTCAGACGGCACCGGCCGGCGGCATCAACCCGCGACACTTCTCCTTCAACAAGGACGGCTCGCGCGTCGCCTCGGCGCTGCAGTCGGACGGCCGCATCGTCGTTTTTAAGCGCGATGTCGTGTCAGGCAAGATCGGCAACACTGTAGCCGAGGTAGATGTTCCGGGGATGCCTAACTTTGCTATGTTCGCGCACTAGGGGGGGCAGCAGTTTGAGGGGTAGTTTGAGGGGTCAGGGAAACGGGCCGGCGTTCTTTTCGTGTGCTTTATTCTGTATTCTTGCTTTTTATGCATTATAACGCGTTGCGCAACCTTGGCTGTCCAGGGCCAGCAAGGTGGTGGGGGGTGAGACGAAAAGTGCCCTCATCAAAGAACGGGAATGGTGAAAAGGAAGCATTGCCCAGCCAAAAAGTCCGGACGCACCTCGGAGCAAAAGTAGCATCATTTCATTCGTGGACTAACTAACACCACGCCGAATCCCCGCCTGGCCGGAAAGTTCCCCGTGTCAACTGTCTTGAGCCCGGGTCCCAGTACGGTGCAGTGTGCTTGATGTGAAACCGGGAGCACGCGCGATCTTGACCCACCAAGCAGCCTTATAGCTCCGTCTCATCTCATCTCTTGCTGATCAGATTCCCAAAACACGTGGCGGTCGGTCCGGAGAGGGCAAATCTGGGGAGCCGCTGGCATTCACAACACCAGAGTCCAGACGACCTTGGCTTCATCACCGTACACTAGTGTCCCATTCCACAGTAGGGAGCGCCAACAAGGAACGATCCAATGTGGAACTCAGCACCGACATGATTCACGACATGATGAGCTGGGGTCCCGGCAACCGGGGAACCTCGGCTCCCGTCCGCGGCGTCCCGGCTCCGGGCGGCCCGTATGGATGACTTATTGACTTCCAGGTTGTGCTCAACGTATGACATGCATGTAGCTCTAGGACATGGAGTGTACTGTACACGTATGGCCTGATGTTACGGAGAACGGCCATCTCTCTCGTACATACAGGGGTAATGTGGATCTCCCGGCCTTCGTAGGAAGGGTCTAGGTACCTAGTGAGTACGCAGGATACCGCGAAGGGAGTGCAATCATTGCAGTGGCGGATGGATGGATCGCCTCCTATCGCTCGCATAGCCCGGCAGGATCACGAATGGCAGATGTGGGCGATTCTTGTAAGATTCAAGATAAGGACAGTCCGGCCCAAGGGAAAAAGAGGGCTTACATCACGGTGTTGGCGTTCCGGTCAAGATGAGAGGGGTAATCGTTGAAAAGCCGGGAGCGAGGCACAGCGAGCAGAGTGTGGCCAGACAGGTTTGCTTGCGGGGCAGTCTCCGAGGAGAGGAAAGCCGAACCGGTCCGCGGGGGAGGGTTCGTCTTGTGAGTCCCCCGCGAGACTGGGGAGACCAGCAGGTTTCCGACGAGTGGGAAGTGGCGGCTGCTGTCGGTAATCGTCTGCAGAGACATTGCCCGTTACGCCCGATCGGGGCCCGACAACCGCGCTCGGATGCTACGTGAACTGTGAACATAGTGTAAGCGTGCATCACCGAAGGGGAAATCACCCGTGACATCAAGTCTGCGCCACGCGAAATACTGTGTACTGTAGTAACCGCTGTCGGTGATCACGCCTCACTGGTGCCCTCCCCCGCGCTGACGAGTGCTCGGCGCCGCAAGGGACGCCGCCTCCGCGGCCATAATGTTCTACTTGCTGGAGAAGGCAGGCACTGCAGGCTGGATTAGGAAGATCTTGAATCACCGCGTGTGAATCACTCTGTCAGCCGCACCGCAGAAGCTACCAAAACAGGAGTTGACAAGCGCCCCCTTCACCCCCCCCCCCCCCCCCCCCCCCCCCCCCCCGACGAGCGGCTCACTGTGGTCGTAACGGTGAGCGGTTGTGGCGTGTGACGATTAATATATCACGGTGGGTTCGGAAAGTCCCATGATCAGTGACTCCGTTACATGCCTACGTAAGTACTGTACATACCTACCCACTACCCAGCCGTTTCCAGGAGCTCGGGTAGCCGAGAGTCTGTGTCTCTGAGAAGCCAACACTGACGAGGCTCAACACTGCTGACCAAGGTCCCCCCCGAGATAGAGAGACCATGTTGCGGAAGGGGAGGGAGAGGTCCGAGCTTGAAATCATATGCGGTATCACCAAGCCCATTATTACCCTTGAGCATTATGCGAGCTGCGGCAAGGTTTGCGGAACGCCGTGGGAAAAGTGCGTTGTTTGACCTTGACATCTTCAAAAATGCTACAATACCTGGACCCAGCATTCGTCAGATCCACCCCGACCCCAACAAAGTTGCCGTCTGGCCGCTGGGCGAGATGGTGGTCGTGTGCTATGCCAGTGGTTTAATTGCATGCATTCGGACCGACAGCCCCGCTTTCTAGTTTCTACTGCCAGTCACAACCGCTGTTCACCGGACGCCGACACGCTTGCTACACCGCGGATGCACGTGAGTTTCGCGATTGACGTACCGTACATAGTGGATATATGCTTGTATGTACTACTAGTATGTATCATACTAGTACTATATGTACCTAAATACAGAATTTCCCATACGAGTGTAGTACTAAAGTTAGGTACTGTATGGAGAGGAACGCTTCCAAGTTGTGGATCCAGCTCCGAAGTCCAACATCGCATCTCAAGTCCGAGTCCAGAGAGTTTGGGATAGCGAAGTCGTGTTTTCAATGTACGACGCTCGCTTATCGGCGACGGGCTTGCGGTTGTTACCCAAGGACATCACAGGCACGTCAAGCGATCCCAGGCGCTTCATTCCACTCGGTTCTTGTTGATGCGCTCCTGGTTGCGACGAAACTCCAACCTCTGCAATATCTCGGTTACCCGAAATAGTAGGTACTAGTAGGTGGCTTGACTTTGCCAGCCTCGCTGACAGAAGTGATTTTGAAGTCGACCGCAGTCCTCCCCGGGCGTTCTTCGTTGGCGAGCGAGCCTGCTTGCAAAAGTTACCTGCCTTATACCTACTACCTAGTAATCTGAAGTCACACATGGCATCCATTGGCACACGCGTGGCGGGGAGCGTCGGCCCCGTTCACATGACTCTAGGACATATGTACCCCGGGCCCCAATAATGCGGAACTCCAGCAGTCAACGCGGCAGCGACAATCCCGCAAGCTTCGCCAAACGTACAATTACATGTACAGAACTCCCATGGACTCGTGCGCCGCGCCGATGGACGGTGGTCTCAGCAATGCAGACCCGGTAGGATGCAGCACGCGGGGACCGACGCCTGTCCCGTGGGCTGCTGGCGCCGGCGATCAGCAACCAGGCTTGGAAGCGCCTGTGTGGGGTAGAATTCGCAACTGCTTCTCGAAGGCTTCTCCACGACCAAGCCGCGGTGATGGACAACAATGCGGAGAGCTCAAGTCTGGGGCTGACGTGGTTCGACAACTCATCAAGCGATTGCGAGGACCAGCGCCGGCAGGTGCCGGATTTATGCTAAATCGATGGCTGCAAGGATGGATTGTCAAAGCTCGCAGGGTATGCCGCCCGTTGAATGTTGTGCACCGTACGTACCTTATGTATCCATCCTTAAAGGATTCTCTATAAGGCTGGCATGACCCACTCGAAGCCGCGTTGGGATAGTGTACCGTGAAAAGATGTTGAATAGCGTCCATGCTTCGAGAGTGTGGACGGCATTATCGATGAAGGGTAGTCTGTGGGGCAGCAAAACGATGCATATTGAGGTGGAAGGCAGGAAAGGGATGCTGAATCCAATATCAATGCGGGGATTTGATAGGCACTACACTAGGTTGAGTTAGACCATGATAGTACGGAAGTATATGTATTGTACAAGCGGGCCGTGTCTCAAGCTCCCACCCTAAGTTGTCGATGTTCGAGGTCCAAGGAGCAAAGCTGTAGAGACTGAGATACCGGTTGAGCTGCCCGAGACGAGCGTGTAGGAAGAGGACAGCATAATTATATTATCCTGTTAAAAGCCGGGGTCTAGCATTGATAATACGGGGAGTATAGCGAGATTCCTCCACTTTGTATTCCACCTGATTGCCCGTTATCCGTTATCCGATCTCGAAAGCTCAAGGCAGCTAAGAACTAAATAGGTACTTTCTCTTTGAAGGAGGAGCTCAACGCTCATCAGTGCTCATCGGGGTCTAGGGTAAAGCCTGCTTTTGTCAGCGAGTTGAAGGTCCTCCCTTATTGCACAGCAATCCGCTTTCCAGCGTCAGAGTACCTAAATCCAACAGTTTAAGCTGCCCGATGAAGTTGTTCGACTCAGTTTCCGGTCTAGTTGTACTGAGTACCTTATTTGGAGTCGAAGGTCCAAGACCCCACCTCCCCCGCGTTTTTTGTTCCTCGCCCTTCATTTCCTCCTCCTCCGCAATGACCCACTCACCGTGTCCTCGCTTGGACCCGGGCGATTGACATGGCACACCAGTCTCTGCTAGCCATGGCCCGAATTGTACCCCCATGGATCGCTTCATGCAGCTTAACAGGAAAACGAGAAGGGGTTTGGCGAGGTCGGGCATCGCTGAAGGGTGCCAGATCCGCTCTCGAACCTGGTCGCTTATTATGTAGCTCAAGCACACCGAACACGTTCCCCATGGCGCCACAGGGCACCCGATGAAAGCGACATTTAACGTACCCCACAATGCACCTTCTTTCGAGTGTCCCCTGCAACCCTCGACAAGGGGAGCCTACCACGAGCCTACCAGACGCCGCTCGTTGTCGTACCCGTCCGCACTAGCGCATGGCATTCTGTTCCCACCGTCACCGTCTCCGTTTTAATCACGATAGTTAACCAGTACAGCCACAGGCAGTGCTCCCCCGCAAAGATTGGCAGTTTTGCGTTAGTGTACAGCGTGATTGTACAGTTTCAGGTACTCTGAATCGGACACACCACGCATCCGACCCTTGCGAGACCTGGGCCGGTTGAAGGTGATTCCGGGGTCAGGCGGTATTCGTCCGGTACAGGATGTACAATACCTCCCCAGTAAAAGTACATACGGTACCCTTCCCCTTGCCGCTGACTCCCTAGCCAGTCGGTCGGTTTCGGCACAGGCTGACCCTGTGTGATGGATCAAATATGAATCCTCCACTTCCGTTCCCAAGATCCCGGAGAAGCTTCCCACCTTCCCTCACCAACCTACCCGCCTGACCTGAAGCATCAACGCGCCAACCATTCACCGCCCAACAACTCGGCACTGGCTTCCTCGTCTTACTTGGTAGCTGCCTAATGATGCGAGTTCAACAGCGAACAACGAGTCATAGGGTCTACGGTGTTTGCTGTGTTTGAATCGTCGCCAGTTGTGCTGCGAGCAGCCGCTATTGCTGACTAGTGGCTGCTAAGTGGTGGGGAGGCACTGAACAACAACAGGATTTCAGACACGTCTCCGTGTAACTTGGGCGCTTGCAAACATAGCTACCCCAAAGGTGGTCGCACCTCGAGAATAGCCATTTCGGCATGCCATCCTCCAACGGCGATTCTCCACACTCGGCAACGGCGGCCATGGCAGCGTCTGCTGGTGCCACTGCCGTCAGGCAGTTTCCATCATTGCCCAACCGGGACTTTACGGTCGAGATCCCTTCGCCTCAGCTCCCTGCCGGTGCCAATGGCACGCACTCACTCAAGTCACCAAATTCACTGAAGTCGGCACGAACTCCGAGCTTTAGCAGGGAGGGCATACTCGGCGCGGCTCAGAAGGCCCGAAATCTGTCCCAGCCATCCGAGAACCGGTCGGAGACCGTTCCGAACGGTATCGTCAAATCCACGAGCGAGGAGAGCATCAATGGCCTCAATCCGCTGAAGAGAAGAAACACGTCTGACGCAGGTGTCGACTATCCGAGGCGGAGGGCGACAATTGCTGTATGTGACCTCTCCGTTTAGTCGGGTGTCTGTGCTGACTGGTTTGTAGTGCGAAGTGTGTCGCTCAAGGAAGTCGCGATGCGATGGAACGAAGCCCAAGTGCAAGCTCTGTACGGAGCTTGGTGCGGAATGCATCTACCGAGAGCCTGGCATCAAGCTGGATGCCGGAGACAAGCTCATTCTCGAGCGCCTGAATAGGATCGAGAACCTGCTTCAGATGAACTTGGTTGGGCACGCCAATGGCATTAATCTGTCACACGACTCGCCGAACATGAGCAACGGCACTGCCTTGAGCGGCGACAATCTCATGATGCAGAATGCAAGCAATTTTGTCTCCATCATCCCGAGCGGCGGCCTCGGCACCTGGTCTGCCACAGCCACTAACATCTCGACTATGCCTAAGGTGCACACGAACGCGGCTCTCCACCTGCTGCAATGGCCGCTGATTCGAGACCTCGTCTCACGACCGTATGACCCCCAAATCCTGCTCCAGCTCGAGATGGCTCGCGAACCTCTGCACTCGCTCGCCAAGACGCCCTGCGTGGATTTGTCGAACACGAACGCGTACATCGAGGCCTACTTTGACCGGGTCAACGTCTGGTATGCCTGCGTCAACCCGTACACGTGGCGGAGCCACTACCGGATCGCACTGTCAAATGGTTTCAGAGAAGGCCCGGAAAGTTGCATTGTGCTCCTCGTCTTGGCCCTCGGGCAGGCCAGCTTGAGGGGGAGCATATCGAGGATCGTACCACACGAGGATCCCCCGGGACTTCAGTACTTTACCGCTGCTTGGTCGCTGCTGCCCGGCATGATGACCTCCAACAGCGTGCTCGCGGCACAGTGTCACCTGCTTGCCGCTGCCTACCTATTCTACTTGGTGAGGCCACTGGAAGCCTGGAACTTGCTCTGCACCACGAGCACGAAGCTGCAGCTCCTGCTCATGACGCCGAATAGAGTGCCTGCCGACCAGAGAGAGTTGATTGAGAGAATCTACTGGAACTCGCTCCTCTTCGAGAGCGACCTACTGGCAGAGCTGGATCTACCGCACTCGGGAGTCGTGGCCTTCGAAGAGAACGTCGGGTTGCCGTGCGGCTTTGAGGGAGATGAGCAAGAAGCAGTCGGACGAGATGACCTATGGTACTTCTTGGCCGAGATCGCATTGCGACGTCTCCTGAACCGCGTCAGCCAACTCATCTACTCCAAGGACTCGATGGCGTCGACAACAAGTCTGGAGCCGGTGGTTGCCGAGCTGGACTTCCAGCTGACGCAGTGGTACGAGAGCCTGCCCGTCCCGCTGCAGTTCCCCTTCACGCGTACGATGCTTCCGGATCCGGTGCAGACGGTGCTGCGGTTGCGATTCTTTGCCTGTCGAACCATCATCTACCGGCCCTACATCCTAGCGGTTCTAGACAACGAACAGGCGATATTGGATCCCGCGGTGCGGGACAGTTGCACCAAGTGCCTCGAGGCCTCCATTCGGCAATTGGAGCATATTACTGCACAGTAAGTCAATTCCTGTCTTTCCCATTGGCTGACCCCGCAGTCCCAATCTAACGAATTGGCCGCAGTCACGCCGGGCACATGCCGTACCTTTGGCAAGGTGCTCTCTCCATCGTCTCGCAGACACTTCTCGTCATGGGCGCCACAATGTCACCGTCGCTGTCTGCTATTCTCTGCAGCCTGGTGCCACATCGCGAGGCTATCGACCAGATCATCAACGACGTAGTCATGGAGATTGAGCGCTATGCCGTCCTCTCGCCCAGCCTCAGCCTCTCAGCCGAGATCATCAAGGAAGCCGAAGTCAGACGTCGGACCTTCCTGAGCGGTTGATCCGTGTACAGGGGTATGACGTCCCCCGCACAACCATCGCGAACATGCATGGGCCTGATCGCAGACATGGCAGCAAGCATCTCTCGCCTAACTCATACTCGACCACGCTTCCGGCGCACTGGGAAAGGTACCACCCCCTTGCACCTCGAATACCCCACGACCTGCAGCTCGCTTATTGCGAGTACATGGAGCAGCTGCACATCCGGCGCGAACTCCCCGGAACCCGCGAGCACTCCTATCAGCATACCCGGTTGATTTCCGAAAGTTCGGTACCTGCTCACTAAAGGCGCCCGCAAACCTGATTAACTTTGCGAGGAGCCGGTCACTGTGTGGCGTTGACCACACGCCTGAGGCGCCATAGTCCTCGTGTGCCCCCGGGCAGTTATGATGTGGGATCAGGTTGAAAACAGAGCAGCTCATCATCGCCATCTACGGACAGACCCCGGTTTACGGTCTGCTGCCCCCGAACGCCCGGCAAGACGGGCAGACAGGATACCGGGACTACGCCGCGATGGTACCAGAGGGCCCTACCTCAGCATCGGGGTCAAGGTTCGTCCAAGAGCAAAGGGACCCAGGGAAATGGCGCAGATCTTTTGGGGTTACACACTGCTTCACTCAGAACGAACTGGGAATGCCGTATGTCGGAGGTGGCTACGGATGACCTTGGATACGGATATGACGGGCCGAGATCCCGCTCCTTGTTTCCCCAACCCCGCTCCCCGCATTCTTTTCTTCATGCAACCCATTACGGAAATCATCCGGTCGGGCGCACTTCTCCTTTTTCTTTTGGACATTGGCCGTTCTGGGTTATCGTCCATTTAGGTCTATCAGTGTCATGGGGGCGTGGAGGGGGGTAAAACTGGCTGGAAATACAACACTACCGTTTGGTATTTGGATGGCATACCCTTTGAGGAGGATTACGTTTGCGGGCTTGGGTTGATCTTCTCAGCGATATTTGGTGTTCAAGTTATCTCAAATGCTGGATATATCCCCGGGGTCACACGTAGCATGAGACGAAGATGTATTAGGTTAGCGAAGCCACGTGAATCAACTTATATATATATGCCTCGCACGGCTTCACCCTTCCTCGGCCTGATCCAGGGTATCATCGAGGACTTGCTGATTTATCAACCAAATTGCAGACAGCTAACAGCATGCCAAAGGAACAATGTCGGCGTCACTTTGACCCCTATTTTTAAACCTACAGTATTTACCCCGTTTCCCTTGCCGATCACTTCAACCGCCGCAACGGTGTGTTGCGGGGTTGTTATGGCTTGCCACAAGATTGCCCATGGGACGGGCATCGTTACGCCGTATTTGGAAAGGAAATGTTGAAGAAAATCAATCTTGAGGTATAATCAACCAATGCAAGTACCCTGAGAGTGAGCATTCTTTGGTCTAGGCATTCCTGACTTTGCCTAGTGTCTATCCTAGAGTGACTGGAGGAGCAGGCGAGGCGCGGGTTGCACGCCCAAGGCTAGTATTGTTTGGTTTCCACGGTCGTGGTCCCCCGTTTCGTACACGGAATCAGCATAAGATGTGAGGCGTCTCAGCTGGTCGGAGTCCTTACACTACGGAATGAGGGCTGATGAGCTGATGAATCCGTAAGCACGTCACATCTCAGGGAGCTGTTGGGAGTGTCTGTCATCGGGAAGACGGCCAGGTCTCTTCCAATCTGAAATAAGTACCAGGTAAATAAGTGTTCGCCCAAGGTTAGAGAAAAATAGAGCAGGGGAATGGAAATGAAGAGGAAGAAAGTGAACGACACCAAGCAGCCCAGGAAGTCGCTACCAATCCTTCCCAGGCAAGCCTGAAGACTCATGTATTGTACGAAACATGGTTCGGCTTGTGTAGCTTCAAAAAGAATATCTCGCAGCTTAGTCTAGTTATGATCATGGCCCAAGCCCATGGGAACCAGATCTAAGGTTCACCAGGCGCGATAAGCACATGCAGGTGGACGGATCCCTCTTCGGAGAGGCTGGCGACCGTTTCCCTAACGGCGAAAAGGGGTACCTGGTAGCTACACCCACTCCCACAGTTGCTCAACCGTCGAACTCGTAAGGTCGTAAGAATAGCGTAGGTTTAAAGGGGGATGTAGAAAACGTGTCAGACAGATATACCTTATGCACTAAGTGTCAAGCTGCATAAGGCTATTCCCGCCGGCCTGCTGCCGAGATCCGAGACGGCCCGGTGAGCAATCCACTAGGACTGTAAATAGGACCGGGCTTAAAATCTCGCCGCCCTGCATCTGCGTATCGTCGCCGGTGGGATTCATAATTGAGTCTGGTGGCGGCCGGAATTTCACTGCTGGACTTGCAAGGACCGGGCTTCCTTACCTCTCGACGCCACCGAGAACAGAAAGAAGCTGGATGAGGAGGGCACTTGAAGCTGTAGATACCCACGGATTCCGTGGGTAGGGCGCATTAGTTCCGGTGGCATGTCCGATGCTGGAAAGTGACCGGTCTGAATGCGCAGGGGCAAATGTCAAGCCTGGGCTCCTCCCGAACGGGATTCCTGCTACTACTATAGCATCACGGCAGGTGCAGTGGGATTCATCCGAAGCTTCAACATCAGACGACAATATAGGAACTGAGCCAAACAGGTCATTTGAAGCCGTTTTTTTGAACGCCTCCAGAAAGTAGCGCGTTTCGAAGATCTGAAACCCCCTGATACCATGACCTCAATCATTTCTCTTTTCCCCTTATCGTCTTGATATTACATAGAATGCTGTCGGTGTCGGTTTGAGAGGCGGGCTCGAGCGGGGCTGCACCGGCCGATCGCGTCCCGACGTCGATCCGTGTGGGGCCGAATTGGCAAGGGCCGCCCGCCGGCTGCGGGGGTTTAGTGAACCGCGGGCGGCGGGGCCGCTTGTTGCTGCGTTTTGGGACCAGGACATTGGGACCTGCCAACCAAGGAATGTATAATAGGATGGCTCTTTGAAACAAAGCACCGAGAGAACTTCAGAACTTCTGCTCATTCCTTTGAAATTAGACGATCAAGCTTTCAGGAGCAGGCCGGCCGGGCGACCATGCCAGACGCAACAGCATCGATATTGGAGTCACGTGATACGTCACACCTCTAGCCCCGGTTGGCTTATATCCTAGTACCCTGCCTTATAGATGAAGGATCGATGGTGATCACACTTTGCGGCCGCCAGCTGGGCTGAGTGCTGCCGAGTCTGCGCTGATGTTCTTTGGTGGATCTGGGCGAAACCTCGGCCCCTGATACCCAAATTGAAGTTGGGAGGGCAATTGGGCACTGTGCAAGCTGCGACCCGGCGACTGACCAAAGTCGCGGGGCTGGTGTGGAGCTTTTACGAATGGAAGGTAATAAGGCACCTCCACCACAGGAGCACGCTGGCACTTGAGGTGCACATACCCATGTCGTCGTCTCATCACCCCTCACCTCATCACCGTTCGTCCTACATCCCCAACCTCGTGGTCTCCCTCACTTTCCTCCATCGGCGGTGCCCAAAGCCCTCAAGCACATTCCGAGTTTGCAACAGCGGGCCTTGTCGGGCTTCTGTCAGGCTTTCACGGGATTCTGCTGCATGCCGCGGGCTCCAGCCTGAGCCGGGGTTTGCTAGCCTGGTCGGAGGAGTCGCGTTGAGTTGGCAATGCAAGAGCAGCACCCGCAAGCCCAATCGCCGTCGGCGCACCTGTAGACCCGCCTTTGCCCGGCCAACCACGCCCATCCAGCTGGCGGGCGCTCAAGGCTCAAATCCTAGACCTCTTGTGCCCTAGGGAAAACTGCCAGACTAATACCGCAACCACCACGGGTCTTGTCATACTCGAACTCGAATGCCGCTGCGACGGCAGGGCTGAACGCAGGACGAATGGCCGACGCCGAGCAGCAGCAGGGCGGGCCCAGCACCTCGCGACGGAGGAAGCTCACCGGCAAATCGAAGGCTCGGCCCGCAAATGATTGGTCACGAAGCGGCGAGCCACAGTCCCGTGCGTCGCCTCGCTCGAAACGCCACGGAGATATAGACATAGACATTGTCGAGTCGTCTTCAGACGACGACGCCCCCAACGCGAGAGCGTTGCCCAGGAAGCATTCTCGTCGACGACGTCCGCAGGCCCCGAGTTCCACAACCTCGGACACGGCATCCGACACGACCGCTCCGGCCAAGACCCCGCAGCGGTCGTCGCTCAGGGGAACGGGAGGGCCCAAGAGCATGCGGGTGCCCAACGCGTCCGTGCCTGTGCTGGACACGGCACCTGCCCCGTCGCACCATCGGCGCCCAACCTGCATCATTGAGGAGGAGGACGATGATGACACCGACGATCTGGCGCCGTCCGGGCCCTCTAGGCCCGTGAGCCGCCAGACCATATCCCGCCGCGACACCAGCCCCCGTTCTGCTCCCCGCTATCGGTCGACCCCGGAGTCCCGCCGCTCACCGAGAACCTCCGTGTCCGACTCCGAGGACGACACTGAGGCCACCTCCGACTCCGACGAGGAACAGATAATTCGGCCCCGAGGCAAACACCTCCCACCACCTGCTCCGGTTGCCCCGCCCGTTCCGTCTGCGCCTCCCGCTGCCGCTGTCCATAATTCGGTCCGGGAACGCTCAAGCCGACGCCCAGAAATGGTGTACGAGGAGGATGGCGACGGCACTTCGCGATACACCCGCTCTGTAGCCAGGCATCGGTCGCTATCCCGCCCCGCTTCAAGCGGCCAGGACCACTATCGGCGGCCCAGAGACATTACTATCTCGAGCCCTCCAAGCCTGGATGAAACACGAACACGGTCTCGCTCGAGATCCAAAAGGTAGTAGTTGCGCAGCAGCTGTTGTCTGCCGACAAGGCCTCGGAACCAATCTGCTAACGATTACACCTTGCAGTGCTCGCCCGTCACGGAGGCACTATGATTCCGACGTCTATGTTTCTTCAAGGCCTCCCTCGTCCTTCAAGCGGCCCCATGCCGCGTCATCCTACAGCCTCGGGTCCTCCAAGCATTCGACTTTCCATGTCGACCTCTCAACACCCCCTGCTCGTCCTTCCCATCTGGACAAACCGGCCGAACGGTCAGTGCCTGCCCGAGATTGGTTGAATCACTCCCCATTCTGACCTGGCTCTAGCACTACCAAGTGTGCTCTTTGCCGAGAGGGGGATATCCCCGTCAGCAAGACAGCAAAACTCAAATGCTGTCATCGGATATGCCACTCGTGCCTCCGCAAGGTCTTCAGGCTGTCCCTCACCGATCCGCAGCACATGCCTCCTCGATGCTGCACCGCTGATAACATTCCCGTCGAATACGTCGACAAACTGTTCGATTCCAGGTTCAAGAGGGAGTGGAATCAGAGATACCGGGAGTATGCCAGTAGGAACCGCATCCTTTGCCCGTTCTCGCGATGCGGCGAGTTGATCAGGCCCGAGGACATGCGCCGCGAAGGCGGCCGCTGGTACGGTAAGTGCAGTCGCTGCAAGACCAAGGTCTGCGGATCTTGCAGTGGCAAGTGGCACCGCCAACCCGAGTGTCCGAGAGATGATGAGGCCATGCAGTTCTTGGAGCAAGCGAGGCAAGAATTGTCACAGCGCTGTCATCGCTGCAAGGCCCTGGTGGAGGTCAAGGATGGCCGAAATCATATGACCTGGTTAGAGCTTCCCTTCTGTTCCTGTCCTTGTTTTCCCGCGACCTCCCCTTCCATCGTTTTGCTCATCTTCCCATTGTTCTTACTGACGTCTCCCTTCTTATATATAGCCGGTGTGGCGCTGAGTCCTGCTTAGTATGTGGAGGCAAGTGGAAGAGCTGTAAATGTCCCTGGTTTAAGTACGACCCGTTTGAGGTCGAGACGATGACCTCTGCACGACCGAACCCATTCGCCTCCCGTCCGGGCTCACCTCGTGAGTTTCAGTCGGATTTCGGACCTCTCCCAGCCGCCGCCGCCCGTACGGGGCCATCAAGCTATGAGGATGACGCATATGTGCGTCGGTTGGATGAGCAGCGCGATGACGTTCTGGCGCGTAGGATGCATTCATTTGACGCTTTTGGTCATCATCATGGTAGTCACGCCGGCCTCGATCGGGCCAGGGAAGATTACGAGTTCGAAGAGGCCCGTGATCCTCGCGACCGGCGCCGGCGGATAGAGGCGCGGGACTATGCAGCCTCATTCATGGATGATGATTACCACCGCCGAGCTGCAACTGTGGTCGCCCCGTCGCCCCCGCAGCCGCCAGTGCCAGCCGTACCGCCCCCTCCACGCTCAGCGTTTGAGCCTCCCACGCGTCCCGGTTTCGATCGTCCGACGTCCGGTTTCGATTATGCTCCTGCAGTCCACCGGAGTCGAGGAATGCGCTACGCCTCGCCGGATAGATATGACGACTACATGACGGAGAATTACACGCCCGACAAGCGACGTGCTCGCTCGCCCGACTGGCATGAATCTCACCATGATCGGGAACCTCGATCTCGAGACAGGCGACACACGTTTCCCTCGGAGTCTCGGCCTGTGTCGCCCGAAGCGTGGCAACAGCTGCCCACACGCTACCCCTCGCCCGAGCGGGCGATGTTGCCCACTGAGGAGAGGCGGCTCCCCCCGTCGCCGGATAGACGGCGAGACACATCGCTCGACAGACGTCTCGCGGGCCGGTTTAAAACGGAGAGCAGACAGAGTCCCACGGCTGCGACTGGCCCAGTTGGCGGTGTTGGGCCGGCGGGCTCTGTTGGTCCAGTTGGTCCGCTCGGTCCTCTGACACACATGCGCGCTCCGCCGCCTCCGTCGCGAGCTGCCACCCATGTCGGTGTGGGTATGCCCATGGCGCCTGGACCTCCTCTCGGCATCCATGGGTCTGCGCCATCGGTGCCCCCGCTCCGAAGACACCACACCATGGACGAAGAGGTCTACGGCCCGGGTGGGGTTTTACACGGAGCTGCCGGACCCCCGCCTGTGGACTGGTTCGGGCCTCCCCCACATGCTCCTCATCCGCATCACCCTGCTGGGCAGCCTGCCTCCCATGTTCCTCCCTCGATGGGTATGATGCATCCCGCGATGCATGATATGAATATGATGGATATCAATGGGGGTTCGCCGCGCGCACCGCACGTAAAGAGACGTCCGCCGCAGGCTCATCGCGAACATAACAAGTATGAGGCGCCGAGGCCGTCGGTGTTGGCTGGGTTGGCCGGCATAGGTAGGGGCGTGCATCGGGTTTCCGAATGGGTCAATTACGTTGAGCCGGGGCCGCCCGATGCGGACCAAATGCCTGCGGTCGTGCAATAGCATAAGCGGCTTTCTTGATGCGAATTGGATTCGGCTTGAATTTTCTTTATTTGCTGGCAGTTCACTTTTGGATTTTCATGGTCTTCTACTCATCTCTCACATCATCTATCATCCGTTTGGCTTTTGCTTTGAGCCGAGTGTGGGCCGTTCTTGTTTATTGTTCGTTCGTCACGGACTAGTTAAGGGTGCACGGGAGATATTCGGCATCGGAAAGGATATGGGTCACGACGCTATGATTAAAATACCAGTATGGTATGAAATGTTGCATGCGTACGTTTTCTCCTTTGTATATGGGCTGTCAAGGGAAGTGTGGATTGGGCCAGGTGTGGGAGGGGGTTCTACCGAAAATACGCCACGGGCGGTTAACAAACTACGGAGGTTACCGGCAAAAGTTTTCCAAGTGGGCCAGGTACTGGCAAAGGTGGCCCACCACCCCCTCGATGTACCTTCGCCATGACAGCGCGTCGCATGCGCAACAGTCAATTCAGAAAGGAATATACATTCCGTTGGCATCAATAACTGCCTGTTGCCGTATGGGCATTGTATCTATATACTCCCTTAGAAATTCCTTAGGGACTATATCCTACGCAGCGCGTACTGCCTCTCGCAGTTGATCGTATAATATCTTTGCTAGGTAGTTAGCTATAATATAATCCTTTATCTAGTTCTATATATTCTCGATAGGATTCAAATCAGGGCTAAACAGGGGATAGGAATAAACAGAGATCCCTCGAGCCTCGAGCTTCTTATATATCACTTGCATAGAATAAGGAAAGGCATTGTTATATATGAATACCTGACCTGGATAGAGATAAAACCACCCGTTAATAAGAGGGACTATTCTCTCTATATATTTCTCTAAAGTGATCGTCCCCTAATCTTTCTCCTAAAAAAGAGAAGGCCCTTTGCTATATTTTACTAAGTACGACCCCTAGAACATCTATCCTTTTAGCCGTAGTTTGCGCTCGACAATGCAAGTGGGATTGTATGCTTCATTTTGACGGCGTATGACCTAGACCTTTCGATGGTGTCATGAACTAACCTGCAGAGGCCGGTGGGGGCCGACCTGCATGGTCAACGGGCGGCGCCCGTACCCAATCATTACAAGGAAGAAAGAACCAATGAGGATTAAGGAAATCAGGAACAATGCCAAGAACGATTGTTCCTGGGGAACAACGCCAAGGAACGTTGTTCCAGATGGAACAATGGGAACGACAATTGTTCCAAATGTTCCAAAAGATCTAGGTACGGGATACCTAGGGGAGGAAGCTGTATATAGTTCTACCATTCCACCACTCGTTCAGATAGCTAGCTTCCTCAGCGAGCAATTACAAGCAATAGCCCATACCTATTGTGCAGACATTGCGGCAAGCATTGTTGTGAACCTTTTGGCTTCACCGAGACCTACAGTCCGACCAGCAGTTACCTTCGACCGGCGAACCCTCTCAGAGGCAGGACTGCCTGTGGTTTCGTCACAGATGGGTACTAGCAATTACCCAGGTCTCGTCGGTCTAGAGGATTTCGTAATATCGCTTGAGGGGCTAGTATATACGCTTAACAGCGTCGTTAAGGCGGAGTTGTCGGTTCTTCTCAGTAATCGGAGGCTTTCGGTATATAATATAACGTTTAAAGCCAGCGTTGCGAAGAGTATAACGGATGGCGTACTTTGAACAATCCTAACCAAGAGTAAGAGGAATCTTCGGGTAAGGTATTTGGCGAGAGGCTTTCGAGGAGGTAATAAAGGCAATTAGCTCTTTAATCTATTTAGGATTAAGAAGGCTAGGTCGGCCAGAGCGTTTTTTTGGCGTAACATTTGGAGCGCGGTAGGTATGTCCAACTTGGTCGTAAGTAAGCCCAAGTTATACGACGATTTGATCGTACGACAGGCTAAAATTGCGGAGGGTTTGAACTTGAAGCCGCTCATCGCGGGAAAGATCACAGCTCTTGAAACGCTGGCTGGGTGGCGTAGAGGGGGGCTCCATTGAAGGTGATGGTGTTGGTGATGACTGTTGCGCATGCGACGCGCTGTCATGGCGAAGGTACATCGAGGGGGTGGTGGACCACCTTTGCCAGTACCTGGCCCACTTGGAAAACTTTTGCCGGTAACCTCCGTACCTACTGAAAAACAGCAATCCTCTTGGCCCAGGCAGAGAGGCTTTCTTATATATCTAACACTATCTCTCCATGGCGGATGCATATAATATCTGTTTTGCACTCATCCAGTGACATCTGATATGCCAATGGCGGCTGTGGGCCAGAGCTGAGAAGAACTACGAAGCACCGATGCCTACCAGTCACTGTAGCTGCATATGTCGTCGTTTGGCTGCGTTATGATGCGAGTTCTCGAAAAGAATCCCCGGAAATTCATGTAATGGAGGGGGTATATAATGCGGCACAACAAAGCAAAAAACACGATAGTCTAACGACGCCTGTGTCATTTGCTACGCAAGGAAATTCTACTCGACTGCCAGATCCACGCGTACCCATTTGATTCACCTCTTGGCCCTCTTGGTCGGCCGCGCATTCTTCTCTTTGCGCCTCTCCTTGAGCTGCCGCGCCTTGCGGATGTCGGTTGCGCTCTTGAGCTCCCGCCGGCTGCCCTCGCCGTCCTTGTACTTGCCGATGCGCTTCTCGCGCGCCTCGGCCACGCGCTTCTTACGCACGTGGTAGTCGTCGCGGTATTTGTCCGCGTCCTTGGGCGCCTTCTCCTGCTTGTGCTTGAACCGATGGGCGCCGGACTGGGACGACGCGAAGCTGCGGACCAGTTGGGCCTTCTCGGCCTCGCCTACATGCGGTAACCGGCCCAGCTTGTGCGCGCGCCGCCATTTGTCGAAGCGTCCGCTCTGGAACGAGGCGGCGATCTTGACGCCGGACTCGCCGCGTATCATCTTGGCGCCGCGCGAACCGTCCTCGTCGTTGGTGCGCGAGACGTACTTGCTATGACGCTTGTCCCAGCGCATCTTGGGTCGGCTGGGCAGGCCAAAGGCTTTGGCCCCCTCATCGTTCGTCAGGTCCATGGCGGCGTCGCGGGCGGCTTCGACGAAGTGTGATGCCTGTGAACCTGAGTGGACGCCGTATGCGCGTTCTTCGGCCACGCTGGTGGTGCGAGGCGTGTAGGACATGAACACCTCGGGGTCTTGGAAGGAACTCTGGCCCTTTGTTGCCTTTCCACTGCTTGTTACGGTGACCTCCAGCTCCGAATCGGAATCCTCATCATCCTCCCACGCCCCGTCGACATCCTCGCCGCCTGCATCTTCTTCGGACTCCTCAGGATCCCCTCCACTAGCTTGCGCTGGTGGTTGGTCGGCAGCGTCTGTCATCCCAGCGTTCTTCATCCCAGCGTCCTCTTCCTCCCGCTTGCTTGTCCTCCGTGGGCCAACCATTGCCCGGAAACTGCGCATAACCTCTGCGGCCTTGTTCCGCGAGGACTTGCCCTTGGGCCCTATCTCAAAGATGGTCTCCTGTGGCTTGAAGCCGCTGATTTTCGAGAGCAGGCTCTCCCTGGCCTCTTCAGCTTGCGCAGCCGACTCTCCAAACAGAGCATGTAGTTGGGTCCAGCCCTTGGATGCAACGATTTCTCGAGCCCGCTTGGCACTCTGGCTCGATGCCGAGTTTCTGGTCTTCATGTACAGCTTTTCGGCCTTGATCGTAACCCCCTTCAGTGCCCGGATATCATCGCTCTCATTGAGCACTTTGTTCACCCACTCTGTATTGTTTTCGAGCTCGGCTCTAACTAGCGAGCCGACCACAACATCTTGGGCAAAGGACGGCTCCTTAGCTTCCTGTCCAAGCACCAACTTCCTCCCAAGGAAGAGTTGGAGGTCGAGAAGGTAGGGAAGGTCCGACTCCCTAACGAGAGCATAAGCCCAACCGCGCTGACCAGCACGCGCTGTTCGGCCGACACGGTGGACGAAGACTTTCGGCTGAGGGGGGAAGTCGTAGTTGATGACGTTGGCGAGCACAGGGATATCGATGCCGCGCGCTGCTACATCCGTGACCACCAGGATGTTTGTCCTCCCCTTCCTAAAACTGTCGACTTGGATCTTTCGGGCGGTTTGATCGAGTGAGCCGTATACGTACGACACAGAAAAGCCTGCATGGCGCAGCAGGTTCGCGAGATATTCAACATGATGTTTGGTGGCTGTGAATATGATAGTTGAATGCTCAGTCGGCTTCTCTTTGTAATTGGTTTTGTCCGAGCCGCGTTTTCTCTTCTTTGACTGTCGTTCTTCGTCCTGCTGCGCGCCTGCCGGCGGCCCCAACGGCATTTTTATGACATCGTGAAGGATATGGAGCAGGGCGCCTTCCTTCTCTCCGCCCTTGACCGAGAAAAAGGCGCTCTCAAGGTCGGGCGAGACTTTGGTCTCAGCATCTAGGCGCACCAAGCTCGGCTCTTGCAGGCCTGCTCTGGCGAATTCGACCAGGGACGATGGCAAAGTGGCTGAAAAGAGCAGCGTCTGTCTGGATGGAGGCAGCGCATGCAATATCTCTGTGAGCTGAGCGGCGAATCCCATTTCGAAGAGGCGGTCGGCCTCGTCGAAGACGACGTATTTGATGGATGAGAGATCCAGGGACATCTCGACCTTCAGGTGCAGGAACCGACCGGGTGTGGCAATGACGATATCCGGATTGGCAGCCATGAGGCCGAATTGCTCCTCCAAGCTGTCACCACCGACTAGCAAAACCGTCTTCAGATCCGTTCCCTTGCCCAGCTCTTTGACAACCTTCAAAGTCTGCAAGGCCAGCTCGCGCGAGGGGGACAGAACGAGCGCCCTGGCACCAACTCTTGCGCTGTGGGCCTTGAGACGCTCTATCATCGGGATAACGAACGCGGCCGTCTTGCCGGAACCTGTCCGAGCCATTCCCACGACATCGCGCCGCTCGAGGATTAGGGGGATCGCCTTCCGCTGGATGGGGGTGGGGACGGAAAAGCCTTTCCGCGTGATGGCTCTCAAGAGATTGGCGTTGAGACCTGGCAGAAGTGTCAGCCTCAAGCACACACGCAGCTCGACAGGGGCAATGATCACTCACCCATGGCCTGGAAGCCGCCGCCCTTTTTGACCGTTTTGCCCTGCAGGTTGGAGCTCTTGCGGTTTGAGCTCCGCTGCTGCATGGCAATGAAGGCCTCGTCGCCGGCGCCATCGTCTGAATCGCCATCGCCGGCCGTCTGCAAGATGTCGCCGAAATCAAGGTCGGCGGCGGCGGCGGCGGCAGGTTTCTTGCTCACTTCCGCATCGCTGTCGCTGCCGCTGTCGGCTTCCTTTGCAAACAGGGACCCGGCGATATCGACCTCGTTTTCGGACAGAGCCGGGGATGCTGCTCTTCTCGGCATGGCGGAGCGTTGCTACTGTACGGGGTACAGTCTGAGGTGCCGGGGAGGTGAAGCTCCTGGTGCCATGAGTTTTCTGAAAGCCAGCCAGATTTTAGCGGGGCGGCAATTCTTATCGCTGGCTTATCACTCCAGATCAAGCGTTCCGAGGTGCCATCTAATGCTGTGACAGAACTTTACTATACATACAGTACCATACGTTATAGCTAGCGAGGCACTCCATCTCTTCCATGCACCGCGGGGGCTGATCACATATATCATGCCAATACCTAATTCTGTGTACAAGTCACCGCCCCATTGGCTCCCGTTTGTCTTTTGATGTATGCTTTCAGAATTGGTGTCTGAGAGGATCACAAGAGCTACTGTGATACTTTGGAGTGACACACTGGTTGCAATGTGGGTCCAAGAATCGCGGACTCTGGGCGTTACACACCCGTACTGTATGACGGATTATGTATCGTACACACACTGTGCCGCGAAACCCAGCCGTAATCGGCAGGCCCTCCGATCAACTCTCGACTGCACCACATCTACGGAGTAGAAGCCGAGTACTGGATCATCAGGTTCTCCACATACGAAGGACACACACGCACGCACGCGGGTTGAACTGCCAACAGCTCGCCGGTCAACAACATAAGGCTCAGCATCTCGGTCGCAATATTCTCATCTCCAGGATTCACGTCAATATTCCAGTCTCGAGGCTACGGAAGCAGCCAAGATGGCTACCAAGGACGACACCCCCGTCGACACGCGAGATGCGCTGGAAGTGATCGAGTCGGAGGCTAAAGAATTGGAAAAGGTGCGCCGGAAACATACGTATCCTCGTCGCCCATACGGTTGCTGACACGGTTATCTAGGATGCCGAGATCGACCGCATCTTGAGAGCCTTCCGGCTCGATGCGTGAGTCTTCCACCCATCCGTTGTGCCGCCGAGCTTTTCCAATGCTAGCCAGACGACTAACACCCGCGGTTCACCAGCTATGCAGTGCTCGGCCTCAAGCCCGGCGTGCCCGAATCCGACATCAAGAACACCTACCGGAAAAAGTCCCTGCTTATCCACCCGGATAAGACCAAGAACCCTCGCGCACCGGACGCATTCGACCGGCTAAAGAAGGCCCAGACCGAACTGATGGACGAGAAGCATCGCAAGAACCTGGACGAGGCCATCGCGGACGCGCGCATGCTGGTCATGCGCGAGAACAAGTGGACGGTCGACAGCCCGGAGCTGAAGACGGAAGAGTTCGAGCGCAAGTGGGTCGACAAGACCAAGTTTGTGCTGATCGAGAACGAGCAGCGGCGGCAGAGGCAGATGAAGGCGCAGATGCAGGAAGAAGGGCGCGAGCAGCGGAGGCAGGAGCAGGAGGCCGAGGCGAGGCGCCGCAAGAGGCAGCACGAGGAGGACTGGGAGGCGACGAGGGACCAGCGGATCAGTAGCTGGCGCCAATTTCAGAAAAAGAAGACGGGAGGGGAGGAGGGTCCGGCGAAAAAGAAGAAGATGAAGCCGATCGGTTGAGGAACTCGTCGACCGGGTCTTCTTGTTCTCCTTCTTGGTGTTGGTGTTGTTGTTCCATGCGAGCTGGACCTGCTGGCGTTCCTAGGGGAAGTTATACGGTTGGAGAAGAGGTTATTTTCAGTGAGTTTTATGTCCGGAGGCAGGGCGCGCTTGATTTGACCCTGACCAACAAAAAGGCCCTTCGACGCAAATCAGTACTCCGGCACGAGAGACTCCCTATCTAGGAAAAAGCCGTCGAGGATATATTATCACTGTTAATCAAGTGGACGGTCTGTGATTCCTGCTGGTCCCGCGTGATATCACAACCATATTGACTTTTATCTCATAACAGCCACCCAGCAGGCGCCTTCGACCTGGTACGTAATGAGGGGGCTGACAAGAACAAGCACGCATATCGAAAGTATACGGTAAGTTTGCATGCGCCTGGTTCGGGAGGCGATGACACCTTGCTCTTCGCCGAAGTTCTCGCGTTATCCGCCAAAACACCTCATCTTGGTGCGTGCTTCTTCTTATACTGTACAAACCTGCCCAGATTCAACAGCGCCTCATCCGCCCTCGTTCTCAGCTCGCCCTGCGTCCTCTTATCGATCCCCTTTGCCAAAGCCTTCATCTTGGGCACAAACTCCTCGAGGTGCTTCAGAAAGTCGTGTTTCCAGAACACCTCCTTGTCGCATGGCACCTCCTCATCCCCGTATATGTCAAACAGCTGGTTCAGGGCCTCGATGATATCCGCCGCCGGTGCTTGAGACGCACCCTCGCCGCTGAGAAGCGTCATCAGAAATACGCCCACCTCGCGGTTCACCTCGAGCGGCGCCGGGTCCCGCGCTAATGAGCCTAGCACGCCGATGCACTTGACGCCGAGGCCCTGGAAAGGATCGCGTGCTTCGGTATCTTCCTCATTCGCTTCGGGTTGTTGCTGAGCCTGCCCCTTGGAGGCGAGGTACAGGGATATGAATTTCCGGTGCGGCGCACCGTCTGTGGGGGTCTCGCCGTTCAGGGTGCGGGCGACAGCCCAGGCGAGGCTGGTCACCTGTGTCGCGAGCTTCAGGTCTGCGCTGTCGGCCTCGAGGATGGGTGCTACCGTCTTGCGCCAGATCTTCTTGGCGACGGGGTACCAGGCGCCGTGGATGTTAGCGTTTTCGCCGTTGGCGAATTCGAGGCATGATATGGTCCAGGCGAGGTTGTTGAGCGCGGATAAGGAACGAGACTGGATACTCAGCGTCTCCTCGCTATCGACTGGGATATTGGATAGCCGGGTGAGTTGTGGCACAGCGTGTTGGATGAGTTCGCGCAGGGTTGGTAGGTCCTCGAGATCGCCCGCGCCCGAGCCCTCTCCACCCGTGACGCGGTCCATATCGGATTCAATGTCCGAATCGATCGAGTCGTCGTCCGCTTCCCCTTCGGCATCGTCATCCTCCCTTGCCTTCCCCCCTTCGGCGTCCGCATCGGATCCTTGATCGACGTCCATTGCGTCTGCGTCCTCGAAGCCATTCCACTCGTCAGCCTTGGAAGGTTCAGCCGGTGCACGGTTGCCCTTCTCGAGCGTTTGCTGGAAGTCCGTCCCGATGGATGCCAGTATTTCCAGAGCGACTTGCGCAACCCCAGCATGGCTGGAGCTGCCGTTGGCGGTTGTGCCATTTGGCGTGACTTGTTCCAGGGCGCGCGCCAGGCTAGCAATGAGGACCGCATCACACGCGCCGTCCTTTCCAGGGCTGTAGTCGAGCCATTGCAGTGATATGAAGACATTATGGAGGACACCGCAGGAGAGCACAGCTCTCGGGCCAGTTCCTGTTGAGAGTTTCAGGAGGGCGTCGTAGCATCGTGTCTCCTGGTCATTCGTCATGGCTTGTCCCAGCTGGAGGCTGTCCTCTGATAATGTCATGAGACAGGAGAGGGCTTCCTCATACACTTCCTGAGGCGCTACGTCTGTCGACGCCAATCGAAATAGGAGCCGCAGTGCGGTGTGGTTTGCAACTATGGCGTTCAAGATCTCTTCCCGAGCCAGTGCTAAAAGATTGAGGAGCGTGAGCAAGGAGCCTGTGATGTCCCATACTAGACGCTGCTGAGCCTTCAGCAGCTTGGAAAAAGCCGGCTCGGTTGCCGTGAGGGTTTCAAGAATCTATGCCAAAATCAGCTTCGGAGAAATCTTACCACTACCAACCAAGATTCCTCACCGTCGTAGCAGCATGCTCAATCGCGGTCAGAACATCAAGCCTGTACAAGTGTACGCAAAAGTCTGCCTCCTCCTCCTGGGCCAGGACCTTCAAAATCTCCCAGCCTGCTGAGCGGCTGTCGATGCTGTTGTCGGTAAGCGTTTCGGTGAGCACGACATGGACGACCTGTTCCCGAAGGAGGAGCTTCCTGCATTTGGCGTCCTGGACGATGTTGGCTATGGCGCCAGCAGCTGCTGTCCTGGACTTCGGGTCGGGTGATTTGAGGTCCTTCAACACCGGCAAGATCTTGCTCTCACGGAGCTTGGCGAGCTCCGGATCCGACGGTGGCTTGACGGGCTTCGCGATCGGATCAGCGCGATTTGCCCGCACTCTGTTGCGTCTGGCTTTACCCATGGTTGCAACGGTATTGGTAGGTTATGAGGAGGCACAAAATATCCAGACTCGTGATGTATTCTCAGCACGTCACCCGCTATGAAGTACCATGGAGAACTGCGAAGAAAATTATACCCGAGAAAAACTGCCCCTCTAGCCCCACCGTTCCCGCGACAAGGGACCGAGCTGCAGGGCTGCGGCGGCATCTGAGACCCCTGCCAGTGGGGTGAGCTTTGAAGAGTGGAGATGGCGCTCACTGACCTAGTGACGCACGGACGCTCCAAACCATGTCTCCAGCTATTATAGTACATGTGTTCGCTGGATAAAGTTGAACTTCGAGACCTACTCTGTACACAGTAAAACATTCCATTGTGTGATGGCGTCGTCCTGACGCTGCTTAGCCCGACTCAGATGCATCAAGCGCCAGAATTAGGCTTACATACTTCGATGACGACCAGTTGTTGTGTCGACCAGTGAAGCGCCATCCAGCGCACCAGGGAAAACTCATCCACCCGCTTTCGGTGCGCCCTGAAGACTGTTTGGTACGCTGCGCGGTGAATATGCGGGTCAACATGGGATCAATGTTCCTAAGCGATGAGGAGTTGGGCAAGAAGGACGATGACCACAAGCCAACTAAGGTTTCCACGATCCGCCCCCCCCAATGGAGTGTTGCGACCGGGGGCCCGCCTCGCAAGATACTGAAGAGGCTCGCGATCGCCTTGGCACTGGGCGTCTTCGTCTATCTGTTTGTTCGCAACCTGCCCAGCGACGTCCCTGTTCGGGACCTCCGCCGCCCCGTGTATAGGCCTGAAGTCCTCTCGGATACGCTACGTGCGCCGGGGCCAATGCCGAAGCTCAAGTCGGACGGGAAAGCGCCGAGGCCACCGAGGCCGGTCTCTCCACCACCGGCGCCTCCTCGGTCAGCTCCCGCAGCCCCGGAGGGCTCCTACAATGGACCCCTCATCTTCCCCAAGCTTCTCTCCTCTCTTCAAGCCATATACGGCACCGGCGGGTCCCAGACCTTGAACAAGAACGTTCTGTTTGCCGCTGCAAGCCTGAAGAGTGCTGCCCTGCTTCTTCCCATTGCCTGCAAGATGGGAGGGGAGCTGAGGAACTATGTGCACTTCGCATTGCTTGGCGGAAGTGAGGTCGACATGGCGGAACTGCGTACCATCAATGGCATCGAGGAGTCTTGCCATGTCATATTTCACGGTATGGTACATTCTACAACAGGCCGCCGCTTCAAGGGACCGTCGGAACTGACCTAGGATCAGACGCCCGCCCGGATGCCGCGGCAACTTCGACTACAGAGCGCTTGAGGCTCAGCACCATCCGCGCTCTATGTGAGTCAACTGCTCGAGGGGCTTGTCGACGGATTCTGACTGCTTTGCAGATCATATCAACAACTACATGCATCCGCAGGCCCTTCTCGTTGATGCCTCCTCGGCAGAGGAGGGCTATTTCCTCTCCGCTGCGAGGAAACAAGCTCCGGTTTCGAAGATACCTCTGATTGAATTGCCCGAGAACGCCCATTCGAGGCTTGGCTGGATAACCAAACTGGATAGCTCGTCGTTAGCGGCGTGGGACAAGATCAGCATTGACATCTTGATCCACGCAGCTCCCGGTGGCTCTGGAAACATCATCCAGTTGCTCAAGTCGTTGTCGGCAGCCGACTTCTCGGCCAGTTCCACTCCACATTTGACCATCGAACTGCCACATGGCATTGATCGTGCCACGACCGAGTTCCTGAGGACTTTTCAATGGCCCCCAGGCCGCTTCAGGCAGCCCTCCCGTCCCCGGCAGTTCACTCTCAGGCATCGCATACCCCGCGGCAGACTGACCGAGGAGGAGAATTCAGTGCGCTTCCTCGAGTCGTTCTGGCCTGCCAGCCCGAAATACTCCCACGTCCTGGTCCTCTCACCGCAGGCCCAGTTGTCACCTCAGTTCTTTCACTGTGAGTAAATCTATCATCTGCTCGCTTGCGTCGTGCCATTTCTGAAATTGAGTTGCCAGACCTGAAGTATGCTGTGCTGCAGTACCTATATTCAGGCGCCGCCCTTGTCCAGGATTGGGACTCAAGGCTCCTTGGCATTAGCCTTGATCTGCCCTCGACGCACCTGGATGGCTCCAAGCCATTTCGGGCCCCTTCAGGAAAGGGAACAACTAGTCCACCGGGCGCATCCGCCAGTGCTCCTACCCCCTTCCTCTGGCAGGCACCCAACAGTAACGCTGCGCTCTTTACGGGACAAAAATGGGCTGAGCTACACGCGCTGGTTTCCAACTTGCTCGAGTTCCAACACCGGACACAATCACTAGCTCCATTCTTCACCACCAAGCTCGTCAGTAAGAGATATCCCTCATGGCTGGAACACGCCCTGAAACTGTCCCGCGCTCGCGGCTACTGGATGCTCTACCCGAGCGAGGCGATGGCAAAAAGCCTAGCAACCATACACAACGAACTCTACAGAGCGCCGGAAGAATATGAGACGGAACTTGAGAAAGGGATGCTAGAGGATAACACTGAGTTACCCCTCTTGGGGAGAACGCTTTTCGAAAGCTTGCCGGCCGGTGGATCATTGCCGCCGTTCGACGAAATGCCGCTTCTGCAATGGAACGGGGCGACGACGAGACTCTCGGACCTGGATGATGCTGCGACTGATTATGCGAGCGATTTCAGACGTGCGGTAGGGGGCTGCCAGGAACTGGCCCCCGAGGACATACTCCCGAAGACATCAATGAAGGACTTGTTCTGTACAAAGGACAATTGAACGACCGGTTGCGTTTTCCATGAACACGCCGGACTCCTGAACCCATAGTCGTGCACTAGGCATCCGCTTGCTCGTTCAACTTGTTAATAACAAGCAGCGCCACGCAGGAGCCGAAAATGCATAAGGCTATCGTGCCCATGACCTAGGCACCGTCAGCCAAACCCATACATCACTCTCTACTTCAGACCAGGAAATGTACCATTTGCGTCTTCCACCCGCTCTGCACAATGGCCGCCCGCCGACTGTACTTGTTGACAGTTCCTAAAGGAGGTGATCAGCCATGCGACATGCACTAGTATGTTCGGTACAACGCATCACTTCTACACGGGAAAGGATCCGAGGGAAGAAGAGAAGTATGAAGACGCATACTGGTGTAATTTGCAATTCCTACCCCCAGGCATGTCACCGACAGCGCCCAGAAAATGGCCCCCAGGGGTTTGGCCATGCGCAGCTCCGTTTCCGAAGCCGTCTTGCGCAGGTGGAAGGACAGCACGATGGCGACAGCTACGACGGACATGTAGATGGAAAGTCGGAGGTATGAGAGGAAGGCTAGGGCGTATGATATTATTATTAGCATGGCCGACGGCCACTTTTACTAGGACGACCGTCAGGTGGTAGGTCAAGGGCATACTTCGCTCGTTGGCCGCGTGGTCGCGGCAGTCGCTCGACTCATTGTCGAAGAGCAACGGCCCCAGCAGTGGTGGGAGGCAGAAGGCATTCTGGAGCTGGCCAAGGCTGCAACATACTGATTGTTAGAATGTGGTGCGTGTTGGAGTACACGGATGCGATGTCACGGGTGCCTACTCTCGCATCTCGCCCACGTCAACCGGGTGTGTGAGTGAGGTTAGCGGGGCGCAGCATGATGCTTGGGCATCCTCTTCGTCGGTAATGGATACTGTTATGGGTGTTGGCATTCTGACTTGGGTCGGCGTCTATTCATGGGCATGGGGATTTCCCAGTCCAAGTTGATGAAGGAGTGAGGTGAGGTTCGTGAGTTGGGATGCTACGATGTAGGGCAGTTGCTGCAGCTGTGTTAGCAATCCACTTTTAAGGGTAGCTGGCCAATCGAACTCTCATCTCCGTATAAGTTAATGGTTTGGAAGGCCCGAAGGTTACACTTACCACTCACCACCTTGGGTAGTAACTTCCTCCTAGGTAATTCTTATTTCCCAAGTACATGGGACAAAGCGCTATTCCAAAATCTTACATTCATACCCCAAAGAAGTCCTCTAGCAGAAAGGCGAGACCGGGTGTCGTCAGTACCGTACTGTCTAAACTCCGACGGGGGCATCGGTCGGCTCCACTTACGGTTGCTGCCTGCGGGGCACGCGTTGAGTGGTTGCTGCTCGGCGCGTCACTGCGCGTCTTCCAAAGACCAGTCTTCCGCCCCGCCACCAAGTGAGCGATCACACAAAAACATCGGACAACCTTGGCCATCATGAGTACGCCGGCAACCCAGCGTGATTACAAGACTTGATCGGTTTTCTAACTGCTTATCAGCATCATATGGTGGTTATCAACGAACAGGCTATGGTGCCCAAGGCGGCGAAGATGGTGGCGGCTACATGGTCGCATCACAGCAGGGCAGCCAAAGCCAGGGCCAGGGCGGCGAGAAAAAGGTATTCCTCGGTTCCAGACTCCTTCTTCTCCCTGCTCTCGCTAACCCCGTCCTCCTGGAAACAAGTGGGCAAATGAATCTCTCCGGCCCATAACCATCAAACAACTGATCGACTGCAAAGAAGCCTACCCAAAGGCCGAACTGGCTGTCGACGGGCTACCGACCACCCAAGTGACGCTGGTCGGCCAGATACGCTCAATCAACCAGCAGACGGTCAACGTGACGTACCGCATCGACGACGGCACAGGCATTATCAACGTGAAGAAGTGGATCGACGCCGACAAGGCCGACTCGGCGCCGAGCTTCGCCCTTGACACGTACGTGCGCGTCTACGGCCGCCTCACCACCTGGGACGGCCGCAAGCACGTGGGCGCCCACTACATCCGCGCGATCGAGGACTTCAACGAGGTCAACTATCACCTGCTCGAGGCCACGTATGTGCATCTGGCCTTGACCAGGGTCGCCGAGGGAGGAGAGCATCAGCAGCAGGGCCAGATGGGCGCGGCAGATGGCGGTGACGGCATGTTTGTGGACGACGGCTATGGAGGCGGCGGCGGCGGCGGCGGCGGGGCAGACTCGCACACCATCAGGCTGCGGCTCGGGCCCTGCTCGAGGAACGCGAACGCCATCTACCGATATCTGGCCAACTCCGCGGGTGACGCTCAGCACCTCAACCAAGTGGCGGCAGGCACGGGCATATCGGTCAGGGATATCTTGGCCGCGGCGGACGAGTTGGTGAACCAGGGCCTGATTTACACCACTGAGAATGACGAGACATGGGCCATCCTGGACTTGTAATGCGTCAATGTTGGACGCTCGTTGGTGGCATGGGCGCCTCGGATGCAACAGGATTTGGGAAGGAGATGCATTTCGTGAGGAATACCACATTGCGCCGGCTGTCGGGCGCATTACGTAACTTCCATACTCGGTTTATGTTGATAAAAAAGGTACGAGTAGAGCTGGCATTTGTTACTTCTGCGCGTTCACGGAGGGATGCCGGTAGAAGATAACCGTTCATTCCAAGCTTCCCTGCTATCTAAAGGAGTGCTGTATTGGAACGGGATTGGCTCTCGAGGTCAGAGACGAGCTCAAAAGCCCATCCGAGGCGCCTCTCCAAGCGCCATACATACGTAGGACAGAACGTCAATCCGCATGTTGAATGCGGCAACCACTTCAAGCCAGCCACTGCGTGGCCGTTGCGTGGGTTCAAGTGAATCGAACTTGAAACAGCAAAAAAAAAAAAAAAAAAAAAAAAAAAAAAAAAAAAAAAAAAAAAAAGGAAAGAAAGCACGAACACACCTCACTCATAACCATGGACAAACTCTGGCGGGCTCTCAACAACAAACCACCAATCACTCAACCCATCAAACCCTTGTTACCGGCAACAAACTTCTTGACCCTCGGACTCGGGCTAGGGTGAGCGACCTTGCAACCGGGTACGCGGGGCTCACGAACCATGATGGACAGACGGACCGGGACGGGGCCGCGCTCGAGGAAGACGTCCCGCTTGACGTGGAAGCCAAACTTCTCATAGTAGGCATTGTTCGCCTGTGAGCTCGACTCAAGGTACATCGGGCGGTTTTCGGCGTCGGCCTGGGGTCTTGGATCAGTAGGCAGGTCCTCCTCTTCTCGTGAACAAGGGAGGAGAAAGGAAGAAGGGGAAGAAATAAAGAAAAAAAGAAAAAAGTGAGAGAAAAGGGAAAAGAAAAAGGAAAGAAAGAATGTACAGCAAGAAGTATCCTTAATCAAACTTACCCGCGCCATCATGTCCTGCAGCAACCTGGCGGCGTATCCTCTGCCCCGCGAGTTGGGCTTGGTGCCCAGGTAAACCAGGTACCAGGCGTCGTGGTCCCGGTCGCCGAGAACCTCGGCCTTGGTGTCGTGCAGCAGGGGCAGGATCTCCTGGAAGTAGCGCTTCTTCCCTTCGGGCGAGAGCTGGAAGTAGAGTCTCCACATACCGCTCCGGAGCTGCGTCCACCACCCGTCTAGGTGTTTACCGGGAGGCACCCTGCAGGAAGAAAGAAGAGAAATGTCAACGGTTTGGTTCCCATGCCCGAAACCAACTTACTGTCCTGGTTCCTTGTCTGTGATCTGTGCTGAACTCATTGCAGGGAATAATGGTGAAAATGCATACCAGAGCGCCACGCTGTCGTACTCGGGCCCAACTGCGGTGACGAGGCCGCTCATGCAGTGGGACGCGACCGTGTAGGTCAGGATGTCGACATGCAGCTTCCACTTGCCTTCCTCGGTCGACATGCCGCCTCCGTCTCTGGGTCGACCGTGCATGTCGCCGGGGTTGTCGTCGACGAGGTACTGGGCGTAATCGTCAGCAGCAAAGGCGTGCGCCAGCGTGAGCGCCGCCTCCCTACATTCCGACATGCCGACGACACGCACAGCTTCTTTCCACCTGGCCGGGATCAAGGATCGCTTCTTGAGCGCTGTCGTGACCACGGTCACCGAGGCAGGCGCGGTAGTCGCGGTACTGCTTGTACTCGTACTCGTGCTGCTGCTTACGGAAGACGCCATGCTGGGTAGTTGTCTCGCTTCACGCTAGATTTACTAGACCAAAGGGTGTCAGGCCAGGCACGATATCAGGCCAACCAAGGTGAAGCAAGGGCAGGACGGACTCTGTTGGTTTACTTGATATATTCTGAATACTATCGCCCGTATGGACTCTCGACAGTTGTGTCCTCGAGATGGGCATGAACCTGGACGGATGGCGCAGACAGTTGAGGGCGGCCCGAGTGTCAGCAGACATCAATGTCGTCTTCTGTTCGTTGATTTTCGGCGCGGCCGGGGTGGAAGGGGAGGTTGCGGTGTAAAGAGTGACAGAGGTCAGTCGAAGTTGAGGCTTTGAGATTGGAAGGGATAATTTGTCTGGTCACACAACGCAGACACAAACAAGACACAACACGCCGATGGAGAGAGGGGGCTGCTTGATTCGCGAGCGGAACGATGTGGGAACGTCGGCAGAGGCAGCAGGCCGCTGTGCCCTTCTTAGGAAGACTGGATTGCCCCCTGGATGGGGGACTGTATAAGTGGTTTTGATGTAACGTGCTACACTCATTCAACAGGATGGAGAGATGTGCTGTGCCAGGCCAAACCAGAGACAGAGGAAAGCGAAGAGCGGCAAGGCTTGATTAAGTACTAGTAGGCAGTCAGGGAGACTAACAATTTGTGAGACATGGCGGACAGGATGGGAGGACACGAGCGTAACATGCTCCATGCTCTCATGCTCCCCCAACCGCAGGGCGGCAGATATCCCACCAACAATCAAGTGCACTCGCACATGCGGCTGCCTGTCCACGTCTTCTTTGTCTTTTGCCAGTTGTCAAGTACGGATGTCGTCGTCTTGGTCCAAGGGATCATCGTCGGACAAGGGTGCCGGAAGCACCCGGGGCGTCAGGGCGGCCGCCGTCGATTGGCTATTATCGGCTGCTCGCAGGCGGGGATACGAGCGGCAGACGCCGGGGGCCCGTTTCGTCCGTCGGCCGGAGTGGGGTTGGTAGCAGCCGGGGTCCGGGGGAGGCCAGCACGGTTCGTCCCATCGATAATGTTCCTGCACGTGCCCAGACTTGGTATTTACAGTGTGTATGTAAAAGCCTCGTCGGTGCGAGTTCGAGTTGGCTGGGATGGGATTGGGAAGGTCTTCGGCGGTGTGGGTCCCACAGGTGGGCCCTGCAAGTAACGCTTGGGTATGTCTGTCCACTTCCAATCACGACCCATGGCCTCCCAATGCTGTGGAACAGTTCCATTCACCGATGGCTCCGTGTGCATGGGGGTATGCAAGGCGGTCAGCTGACGCCGTCAGTGATCTATCCATGTCGACGACCTGTTCCCTGATCCGGTGAGAGTGGCGTCATGATAAGAAACCGAGGCATTCGAATGCATACAGGAGACCGTGGATCCATGTTCTTCAAAAAGCCACCGACAGCCTTGCGTACCTAGTTTCAGTAGTGTTCTCTCCTCACGACGCATGCTTTGCTCCGGAGCGACTCTCGCTGAAATTCGCAAAAAGCTTGGTCGTTATGCGGTTTCCTTCCTCCATCTAACTCTTGAATAGAAACACGATCCTCGCCATTCGTCCCCTCGGATTATGCAAGGTGTAGAAAAGGGAGGCAGGGGGGCTCTTTGCGCGGTTTATTACATGCCGTCGCTGAAACAGAGCGGATATCTCGGAATAAAAATGATTAGGTAGAGAAGTGGGATGCATAGGTAGTGAAGGCCACTTATTAGGCCAATCCACTCCTTGGCCTGCAGATTCGCACGGAGCACGAACGGACCCGCGCGTACAGTAGCTCATTCTTTACATGCGTCGAATCTGCTGCTCGTTCATGTACTTCTCGAGGCCCGAATCGAGATGTGCCCACCACTCGAAGAGCATCGAGTTGCAAATAAGCTTAAACCAAGGCGTGAACTTGAGGCTGGGATCCTCGAACAGCTGCTTCAGACGGTCGGCGGAGACGTATTGTGTCGCTTGCACCTCGTTCTCGTTGATGTTGAGGTCGACATTGGCCTTGATGAATAGGATGTAGTCGACTGTGGGAACCTGTCAGCATTTCTGCATTCTGCACGAGGGCGCGGGATGTGCATGGACTGCTCACTCTCATGCTCGCCCCATTGGCCGTTGCTCGGAGCCTTGTAGTGGATGCGGGTGAGGAAGTGGAACTGGTCCAAAGGTACCTGCTCCTTCTTGATACCGAGCTCATGCTCCAGCTTCCGCTGCGCGGCGTGCTTCACGCCAAGAATGGATTCCGGTAGGGTTGAGCCAGTCTCGTTTGACACATTCAGCGGGTGCGAGCAGCAGGTGTTCGTCCACATGTCGGGGAAGGTGATCTTTTCCGATGCGCGCTGCTGCAGGAGCAGCTCGTTCTTGTCGTTGAATAGGAATACAGAGAACGCTCTGTGAAGGAGGCCCTTTTCGATATTCGTCATGAGGTGACCTACCGGCGAGGACATCCCCAGTCAGCACGGTGTGTTCCCCCTTGGTTTGCGATCCCAGCCCAGCCTTCCAAATTCCGGGCTACCATGCGGCGACTTACATAGCTTTTTGCTGGCGGTACCGATCGGCTTGTCGTCCTCATCCAAGACGATGCATACCTCATCCATCAGGCGAATCTGCTCCTCATCATGGCCCTCAAGCGCCTCCCCGCTCGTGTCGATGTCGGGGAAAAGGCGGAGGATCGTGTCGGCCGTGATCGGCGCGGCGCGAGTCTCGGTAGCGATGGTCGACATCGTACTGGCAGACACCTGGGCTACAGCTCTCGGTCGTGGACGTAGGTAGGAATGCCGAGAACTTGAGCAGTCCGTCGCGCCTATCCGTAGGGGGTTTTGAGGTCGCTGCTTCGGTGGGGCCGAACAAAGATATGGATGCTGGGTTCTTCGAAATCAACTTGCCCCGACAATTCTAACGTTATTCCCTTTTGGGCATGGCGGGGGCATGGGCCATGCAGCATTTCGGAGTTCCGACTCCGGGGGCCGGCAGTGGATCCAACAGGCACAGGCCAGGCCTAGGCCCGACTCCGTCCCAGGCAGCGGACTGCATTGTGCAACTGCCGCTGACAACCCAAGGTACCTAGTATGTAAAGCAAAGACCGCCGCGCCGCTCCAATTCTCACTCACGGTCACTTGGGCTTACTCAGGCACGTCGGGCCTGCCATAGGACAGCCTACAGCAAGCAAGTCAGTATTGCTCGCCAGTTGAGCTTGAGGCTGTACTAGGTACAGCCTACTATACAGGCCGGCCCAGCCAACGTCAACGATGATCTGGGTTTACCCAGAGTCCAGAGCGAGCACAGCACATGAATCTGCCTCAAAGTCATAGACTCATAGTACTGGGTTCACGCCCCATACTGCCACAGCTCGGTCACCTCGTCGCCTGGTTAGGGTGCATTTCGCGTAGTAGTTTTGCTCCCCTCCTTGCATGTCTTCCAGCTCCCATTTATACACTCCCGGGTATTACCCTGTCGCATTTCGGTGCTCGGCCTCTTTCGCCGCCTGGTGCCAATCGACGCGCAATATGAAGAGATATTCAGCCAGCGAGACGCTGTAGTAGGGTCAGAAGAGTCGCACTCGGAAGCGGTTGATTTCGAAGACACTCACAGCAATAGACCGACGGTCACGCCGAACCACAGACCGGGGAGCTTCCAGTCAAGGCCGAAACCAAAACCGAAGGAGATGGGCAGCGCGACCAGGTAATAGCAAACCAGATTGGCATACCCCCCAAACTCCTGCCGCCCGACGCCTCGCAGCAGTCCGTGCGACACGGCAGCCATGCCATCAAACAGCTGCATCACGGCACAGACGGGGAGTGTATGCGCGACCAGCTCGATGACCTCGCGGTCCTGCGTGAACAGCAACGGTATGTGGTACCGGAAAACCGCCAGGAGGGTCACGTTGAACAAGCCCACCAAGAACCCGCCCACAACAGTCTGTTTGGCCCCGTCAGCCGCGCTGTCCGGGAGGTTGAATCGTCGAATCACAGGAGACGGCATAAACTCACCACTCTGGCCGAGGTCTTCGCTGCATCGACCAGCTTGGCGCCAATGAGATTGGCAACCCGCGTTGAGCCGGCAATGGATAGTGGGAACGGAATCTGAAAGGTGGTCGAGGTAACCGTCACGAGGACGCTCTGCGCTGCCAGGATCGCGACTCCCATCCTTCCGGATGCGAGCGTGAGGATCTCAAAGGCGAACCACTCGGCCACCACCATGACCATGCCGGGCAGGGCGAGCCTAATCATGGGGCCCCAGTTCTTCAAGGCCGCCTTTCTAAACCCGCCCCAAGCCTGCGAGCCGTCTATCTGCCAGACATAGAGAAAAAGGAGCAGAGGCAGCATGTTCTGCGTAATGGCCACGGCCAGCGGGGCGCCAATGTATCCCCAGCCAAACTTCCAGACGAACAGCCAGTTCATCAGGATGTTTGCCGGTGCAGCGATCAGAAGCACGTACGTCGTCGCGTGGAACAAGCCCTGCGCCTGGACGAACCTCTTGCCGCCTTCGAACGCCGCGTAGGCGGGTGCGCCAAACAGAGTGATGCGCAGGTAGGTCGCGGCCAGCGCAGCACTGTCCTTCTCGATCATCATAGCCAAGATCGGCTCGGCGTTCAGCCAGACCACAGCCACGGGGATCAGCAGCAGAAGCAAGAAATACGTCATCCGCTGCAACTGCAACCCGACCAGGTGCTTGTGTCCCGAACCAAAAGCTTGCGCGCACAGCGTGTCGAGGCTCGTCGCCAGCCCCTGGATGGGTGCGTAACACGTGATATTCGCCGTCATGGTCGCCAGCGAGACCGCCCCGAGCTCGAGCCTGCCCAGCCTGCCGACGGCGAAGATGGACGCCACGTTGAGCGAGTACTGCAATAAGAAGGTCACGATCAGCGACCGGGAATAGACGGCGATGGTCTTGGCCTCGCGCTGCCATGTGGTCTTGATCTGGCCCGCAGCCACGGCAGCCTCCCACTGCTCGTTCAGGCTCTGCCCAGCAGAAGACCGGCGGTGTGCGAGCAGGGGCGCCCTCTCGTCCGGAACAACCACGATCCGCGGCGGCTGGGCTTCTTCGTCTCCACTTGGCAGCGGCACCTTGGTGCTGAACAGCCGCTTATACAATGCCGAAGCGCGCCCGGTAATCCCCTTCTGGGGAGCATGGACGGGGTGTTTGGGCGGGAGGATGTGGTTGTCCCGGAGGAGGGAGCGCTCTGCGTCACGGCTGCGCGTGCGCTCCGATCTCGTGAGAGGCTGCTCTTCGAGACCTCCCGGGCCAGCAAGCGCCGGCCGCGTGGTGCCGAAGGCGATGCCGCTTGGCCGGCGGTACAACGTGGGGCCGTGGGTGGCAGCTAAGTCCTCGTCCTCGTCCTCGTCCACGGCTTCCGTATCAATGGCGTCTTGGTCATCCTCATCGGAGCACTGGGCCAGGTCCCGCGCCAGCACTTCCTGCGCCAGTGGTGAGGCTGAGCGGAAAGAGGAGGCGAAGGCTGAATGCATGTCATTGTGGTGGCGGCCATTACTGGTGCCTCCAGAATTGTTCCGCGGCGGGATTGGTTGACCTCCCGGGCTGGAAGCCATTTTGGAAACCTCCGCTAACAAAAGGGTTGAGACCTCGTAAGGTTTGAAGCCCCGGGCTTGTGTAACGAAGACTCGGAACCGGATGTGACGTCGGAGAACTTATATAGTTCGACTCAATCCGATGAGCTCCGGGAATTCGGGATGAATCAGACTCCGTCTGGGCGTGAGTCAAGATGACTCGGATGCACGTGCCAAGCAGCAATATAGGTGGAAGCTCAGTTATGTTGCTGAGGAAACGGAAGAAATACTACGTTCCAAAAACGCCACTCATGGTTTAAGTTACTACTAGTAACTTATAAGTTCGGAGGGTCAATCCGCCACCGGCGGTGAGGTTGGCGAAGTGTGAACCAAAGGGCGTACTTTCCGTGAGGAGTCAGGACTACCTGAGGTTCGGTACTAGTAGTACTCGTATTGCATCTACAGCCTACTAGTACCTCTTATGTATGCTACACCCTAACCCTCAAGCTTTCCGGAACTACTGTGTAGAGGGTTCGAGACTTCAGTTCACCCAGGTAAACCTGTGAGGTGATGCCACTGGGGCAGCTTATCGCCCCGCTAACCCCCGATTAGAAGGCGGTAAATCACTACAAAACGGGCGAAATTCCATGTGAAGCGTTTCCCAACCCACTGGTAACGACCAATGAGTGCATATCACAGCGACTAATGCGCAGTGGCAGTGGAGGATGGGAAAGCGGTCATCTCGTGGGCCGGACGGCGCGATTGTGCCCCGAAAGAGGCAGAAGGTAGTCCATGAAGCGCCGACCTCAGAAGAGATCCACGCGAGCAGACAACTGCAACAACTGCTCTCCTTCAGTCAGGACCCAGTACGCGCGCGTCACGGTGCGTATGAGTTCTCGTCTCCCAGACGATACTGTTGTATGGCCAGAGCAAGCAATTGACCTCTATAACATAGGCCTTCAATCCTTCAAGCTCTTCCTCGACGAACTGCTCAGCCTCGACGGCAAAGATGGCGACCGTTTCAGGATTCTCCGCGGCTTTTTGGACGCCGCAAAACCTGCCGAGGACGACGAGAACCCCGTGTATCTGCCAGAGGTCATGCAAACATGGAGCTATGGTGGCCAGACCAACAACGACAACATCATGTCGGCTGTGCCCGTTGTGCTTGCCCTGCTGCTGAAGCTGCTCTCGCAGTCCCTCGATACGGTGCAGTACGGCCTGGGCATTTGCAGGACCCTTTTGCAGAAGCGGCAGCAAGAACTTATTGCCCGAAACCTCGCAGCCGACAAGGGCAAGGCATTTATCATATCCCCAACCCTGAGGATGCTAAGGGAGTCCGTCAGCTTTGATGGGGGGGCCATCGCGAGGCCGCTGTTTCGGGCCAGGGCGTCTATGCTCAAGTCGCTGGCACGGAACATGGGCATTGTCCACGTGGGAGACGAGGCTGAGGATGCCAAGCGGCCTTCTACTAGGACCAATGCCGTTCTGTTCTTCCTCAGCGCTCTCAGGTTCCTCCATCCCGAGGCCAAGAAGGAACTGCTCTCGCAGAGAGACATTGTTGCCGCGCTGACGCGAGATGTCAAGCAGGATCCGCCATACGTCGTCCGTGAGCTTCTAGCCGGGCTACGGAGCCACGTCCTGCTCGATGACAAGCTCCCACGCGAGGCCAAGGCGAGTTTGCTGACTACATCTACGCTCACCCGTCTGTCGGCGCTGTATCAGTACCGCTTAGACACGCCCGCTGAAGACGAGCCATCCATTGCCGATATCGCCCACGAATTCCTCATGACCGCGTGCACCAACCCTTCTTGCGGCGTGCTGAGGCAGGATTCGGGTTTTTACCCCCGAGAGATTGACCCGAATGCCGCCATCCCGAGCGCCCAGCTCGACGACCTGGGATTGGAAGCCATCGTGTGGATGAACAAGTTCAAGAACGAGGTGCCGGTCCGGAATTACGCACTATCAAACTTCGTATTGAACCTGCGGCCATGGTCGAGCATTAAGCAGGCCGAGCTTCTCACCTCGATCTTCAGGGTCGCCCCTGAAATCGTGGCCCCCTATTTCCTCAACAACAAGTCCTTTACATTCGAGCCGAAGCTGTCGGCGACATGGATTGGTTATGCCGCTTTTCTCTTCAACACCGTCACACTCCCCATACCTGACTACTTCTGCCGATCAACGGGCTTCCCCGAACTGCCTCCGCCAACCTCCATCGTCATTGACAATATTCTACCTCCTCCGCTGAACCAGAAGGCATTATCCCGGTGCTTGGCGAACAAGTCAAACATGATCTCTTTCTTCGCCACGCGGATACTAGTGGTTGCGATAGAGAAGCTAGACGCTGCGATCAAGATGCATCAGGATCCTTCTCATTCAAGCAAGACTGTCTGGGCCGAGGCTGCGCGGAGGCTTGTTGACGAGTTCTGCCAGCGGAGCCCTGGGATCAAGGACATGATCAACGCATACCGCTCAATACCCGAGGGCGATGTGCTGCAGCGCGAAGCGGCAAGTCGGCTGCTGCGCCTCTGCTATGAGGTGCTGCCGCAAGTCGCTCTCATGGCCAAGTTTGACGTCTCTCCTTTCCTCGAGACGTCACTCGGCCGCCTGTCGAAGCAAGAGGTGGACGACTGTAGGGACACTGCGTTGAGCCTGAAGGAGCTGGAAAACCTACTTGCCATCGCCGGATATTCCCCTGGAATGCGCTGGTTTGCAGCCTCCGAGGCGCTGTCACTGTCGCCCTTCACGCTACTCTTAAAAGTCTGTGTCGATACGCCCGATGGCGTGACGCTAGAGACAATACGACAGGTGCTCAACTTCGTTGCCGTTGAGCAGCAGCTGGTGCCTGCAGATGAAACTCACCCCGGGCTACTTGCTTTGCTTGAAGCACTGCAGGCCCTGCGCCAGTCAGCTCCAAATTCAGTCGCGCTCGTCTGGCCGTTCCTGGACAATTGCCTCACTCGTTGTGCGAACGCTCCTGTCAAGTACGTTGAAAAGATGCAGGACCTGGTAAACGAGGCAGGCCTTTCTGGAGGCTCTGTCAGTCCGATTGCAATGGCCATGCTAGAGCAGTTGCCATTCGTCGCGGCAAAGGAGGGAGAGGGGGCGCGGACGACGCTCCGGGCCTTGGGTCGCTTTTTGCCCAAATTTCTGGGCCTTTCGGCAGTTGCGGGGGAGAGCAAACCATTGCTCGACTTGCTCTTCTCGAAAATGGTCACACACCTTGCCGATAGCAAGGGCAAACTGGCAAAGGCCGGGGTGCCGGAGGGCCTTCGATTCCAACACAACCCTTGGCCGCCAGTTTCAGAGGCCAGGGCGGGAGAGACCAAGCACCCGGCGGCCAGCCAGGAGAACGGAAAGTCGGAAGTGATTTTGGACGCCGAAACCTTGGAGAACACCCTACATACACCGGATGGCCTGGAGGCGGATAACTCGGCTTTAACGAAGTGGTCGACGAAAACGGCGGATGAGCTTGTTGATGAGGGCTATCTTACGTCCCTCATGGCGCTGCTCGTCTCTGAGCACACGAGCATACGAAAAGAAGCACTTGTCAACATCCTGAAGGCAGCCGCGAAGATCAAGCAGTCGGAGTATGATGAGAAAGAGCAGGTCTGGCTGCTCCTCTCGGAGCTCGCCGAGACAGCCAGGGACCACATCAACGAGGGGCCGCTGCCGAGCCCATTGGCGTCCTTTGGTTGTCATGCACTCAACGTCCTGCGCGATCCGCTTTCGAGTCTTTATCCCAAGGTCAACACCTTTCTCACGCGTGGCCCGCTCTGGAATCTGGACAGGCTCCCACTGGTGGACGAAATCCTGTCAAAGGAACCCATCGTCGGAGATACGTTCTACGCCCAAACGAACTGGCTCCTAGGGTATCTCATCGATGGGCTACGGACTCCGCGCGATCTTGACCTGTTTCATAAGAAACGCGCCAAGGGGCCGATCTTCGAGCGGATCCTTGCCTTGGCCGTGAATCCCTATCTGAGGCTGCCGCTCCGGACGCACGTCTTGAGGTTGCTGTATCGGGCTACCTGCATTGAAGGGGGCAGCACGACCCTGACGACGAGGTTTGGCATTCTGAATTGGTTGGAGGCGAGACAAGCTAGTTCTACAGATAGCAGCGAAGCGGCGCTATACGGTGCGTTGCGTTGGAGGATATGGGAGACGTGCGATCAAGGAAGGCTTAAGACTTGGAGTAGGGGAGGGCTGGAGATTTAGATCTTGAAACAATGCGAAGTCACAGCCAAACTGAAACCCCTAAATAAAAGGGCCTCCCTTTGCCATCCTCGCCTTATTCGTTGGTATTGTACTTGTCGAGTTGAGCTGCAATCATAAGCGCGGCGAGAAGATCCGTGGGGGGGGGTTGGTTTAAACCCCAAAATGGGATGGAACGCAGACTCGGCTGAGGCCGGATTCAATAGCGGTTGCCTCTGCGACTGTCTGTCTTCTGTAGCTCGATGGTGCAGTTCTGGTTTTGACTCCGTGAACGTAATAATTGAATGCTTCATTCCACGAGTCAAAGTGTCAAAGGGAGCCGGGAAGTGACAACCTATAGCCTGTAGTCTCTTGACCCAAGGACCAATAACACAAAATTCTGACAGTAGCGATCCAATCTGTCTTGGAGCTACCTGGTACCTTAGTTGCGTAATATCAAGCAAGGCGTGGCTAGTATAGACCTGAGGCGAAGGGACAAGATGTGTATTGTACCTACACTAGACATCCTTCCCTCCATTGATTTCACGGCCGAGCTCAGATTTCATGCACTTGTGCGGAATCCGTAGTTACTGTAAGACGGACCAGTCACTCGCCGCAGTCCGTACAGTGATATAGTACTGCCCGTGTACTGCGTAGCTGTTGTACAGCACCTAGGTATATAGTACCCCTCATACTTCATTTATATCGTATATTAGGTATATACGTGACACCGTGGAGTGGGCCTAACATTATCGCTGGTTCAGGCTAGAGCAGTTTCGTTACTGATTGCCTCGGCCTCCGTAGCTAGCCAACCCACCTGGTGCCACCACATGGGGCCCAGCAAACAACACTGCAGCAGGCCAAATCCAAAACCACCTCCTCCATCTTTGAGAACAGGTCCCAAATCACAATTCCCTCGACCATCGACGAATAATACATCCCGCTATTGCCGCCGTCTAGCCAGTCCAGTGTTCTTCCCCAGCGAAAGTTTGACCAAAATCACATCTCTAGAATTGCGGCATCTGCCCAAATACAACCGATTCGCTCTGCCAACCGAATACACACACGCACGGCGCCACCCCTCTGACCGCATCTCATCACTGACTTTCCCAGCCCAACAATAGCCGGGGAGCGCCCGGCGTAACGCATGCAGACAACGTCGCAGCCTTGAGCTGATGGTCGTTGCATACGTCTTTTATTATGGCAGGTCGATACTCGACAGAGTTTCTGCTGCATCTACGCCAGTCGCCGCTATGCGTCAAGCCTCCAAATCTGCCCCCTCCCGAGGAGTGGATGGGGTACGTTGCTATGCTGCCAGGCCTGTCAGTTCTTGTACGCCTTGTTTCTGACGTTTCTTCCACAGGCCACCCCCGGAGACCATTCGCAACCAACAAAAGGCAGCCAATGATCGTACCAAAGGCGGTGACAATCTGCTCCTGAACCAAGACAATCGGCGGGGGCCGCACGACCGCGGTGGGCCCAGAAATGCAGCAAGTATGCCTCGCTCCCTCATATGATCCACGTCCGATAATGCTTGACGCTTTCTCTGCTCCTTGAGTGTCCTTGCCCTGGCTGACCGTCGTCGCACAGATCCCGACGAACTTATCCTCGGCCCGCCGCGCACGAGTTTCGCATCTGCCACCTCCATCCGCAACCCCCGACCCGGAGATGTCGAGAAGGGATTCAGGGACTCGGAGCGGCAGGATCGTGCTGACCGCTTTAACTTCCGCAACCGCGCCAACGACTCGGAGAGCGGCGGCGACAGATTTGGCAGAACTGCTAGGGACGACCGCAACAACGGTTTCCGGCGGCGCGGTGATCAAGATCAAGACAGTGAGGGCTGGAGCACCGTGAAACCGCGTAAGAGCTTTGGTAACGAGGGTGCCGAGCGTTTCCATGGACGCATGGGTGGTGTCGGCGCTGGCGACCGCTTTGGTGGCCGGGACGACCGACGGTTACGCGACCGCGATGACCGAGAGAGTGGAGACCGCCAAAACCGGAGCCGCAACTTTGACCATCGCTTGCGGGACCAGGATGGCGACGAGCCTGATACCCCGCGCAGAAATGGACTGGCGCGGGGCAAGTCAGATTTGTGGTTCAGGGAGAATCCGACGGGCAACGGCAATGATGCTCCCATGTCCCAGCGAGAACGCATTGACAGGATCAAGAGCTGGCGCGACAGAGACCCCGAGGACAGGCCGAACGATCGGCACGGCGACCGAAACGACCGGAACTACGAGCGGAGGTGGGACCGTGACCGCCAGGGCCGTATCGAGAACGACCCCGAGTGGCTTGACGAGCCCGCCGAGGAGAAAGCACAGGGCCATACGGAGGAGGACTTCAAGAAGTTCATGGAAGAAATGAAGGCCGCCAAAGGTGGCGCTGCCCCGAAGCCGGAAGAGAAGCCGGCCATGACCTTCGACGAGCCTGCCACTAGCACCGCTGCCGAGACCGAGCAAAAGGTCGTCTCGGCGCCCGCCATAGACCAGGGCCCAGACAAGTTCTTTGCCACCTATGGCAGCACCACCATTGATGTGAATGCTGCCGTTGTTGAAGCCAAGGATGCGGCGAAAGCAAGAGCAGGCAAGTCTTCGAGATTCATGGCTTTCCTGGCTCCCCAAGACGATAGCCGAGCAAAGACAGAGCCGACAACACCCGCAGCAGGAATTCCTCAGCCCGGCGAGAAGGCTACGGCGCCGCCACAACAAAGGGATGCCGAAAAGGAAGCATTTGCCCTTCTACTTCAGAAGCTACAGCGGTCAGGGATTGGCTCGGCACCTCAGCCGAGCGTTCCGCCGGCTCAGACAGCCCCCAACAAGTTCGCCGAGGCCCAGTTCCAGGAGCTCCAGCAGAAGAGTGCGGTTGCGTCCCCGGAGCCGTTTCAGCAATACGGTAACAATGATAGACGCGAGGATCCGCGTATGCGTCAACACTCGATTCATGACATGCTGTCGCCCCGACCAGTCGGCCTCCCAGGGCCCCCTCCCCCCGTTACGCGGCCGGAACAGGCCTTGCAGGATCTCCTCGCTCAGCGGCATCATTTTCCCAGCCAAGCGAATGCACGTGCGGCTCAGAACGTCATCGCGGTCAACCGCAATACGGAGTTCCTTATGGGTCTCATGCAGAGCCATCGCGACGCCCCCGAACCACCCCGCACCGAACAGCTTCTCCTCCGTATGCCGCAGCCCACCAAACAGGTATCGCTGGCCAGCGTACCGGACCGCGAGCAAGACTATCACCGTGAGCGAAGCGCGTCCCAGCGGCAGCCACTGCGCGGCCAGAGTGGCCCGCCGGGCTTCCTCGACGACAACCAGTTCCACCCTGGAGATGTCGAGACCCGTCCGCCCCCGCAACCCACACAGATCCTGCAGCGCCCGCATGCGCCGCCTGGTCTGGACCATCAGATGCACCCCTTCGTCATGGGCGGAGTCAACCCCGCAGCCGCAGCGGCTGCAGCACAGATGCCTCCTCAGCGGCCCATGATTCCACCCCCCGGCCTCCTCAACAATGGACCGCGCAATGTCCCGATGCCGGGCATGTTCCCACCCAACTTCCCCCCTCCGCACGCTCACGGACACGGAGGCCCAGGCGGACCGGGCAGCTTTGCCCCTGGACCCCCTCATTCTGCTCATGGCGGTGCACCGCCCCCTCCTGATGGGTTGGTTGGCCCGCCTCCCCAGCCCGGTCCACAGCGCTCCATGCAGCCACCTCCGGGCTTCTTCGGCGGCCCTCCCCCGCCGGGGTTCTTGCCACACCTTGGCATGGCAGGCGGTGGCGGATTCCAGGGACCGGACGGTCCGCAACCCCCGAGTGCAGGACCAGGCCCCTTTAGAGGGGTGCCAAGCCCGTTTGACAGATTGGAGCAGATCGCAGCGATGGAGAGACGGGGCATGCTGCCTCCGGGAGGTTATAGGGGTCCTTGAGCGATTCCGACTTTAGGGATCATGGAAGGTCGTGAAGCTCAGCGGGGTATTGCTTCCTTCCCTCCTTAGCGTACCCAGCGACCTAGGCTTTCGGAACTTCGGCGGTACTGAGATAAAAGACAATTAGTGGCAAGGGGAGGAGCGGGTTGGTCGAGCATGGACAAGCGGACAGGAGCAGTTGAAGCAAAGCTGTGTAAGGATCGGACGAGCACTCATGTAGATGTTGTAATGGTGTCTCGATATGTGGTTACGTTGATATACCCGCGCCTCATTGCTGTATAATCCTGTGCCTGGCCGGGTTGAGCCGAGCTGATGGGACTGGCTCGAGCAGAGGAAGGAAAAGAAAGAGCAGTCGCCTAGAGGAACTTGTATAAGTGCTCCTGTATGTACTGACTAGCCGCAGATGGTTTACATACATACATGTGAGGCCGATTCTGCCCCTTGGAATCGGGATTCCCAAGCCTCGAAGGTATCTTCAAGAGAACCTCTGGTAGGTACCTGTAATGTAACTTACGCACTCGATCAGGTATCAATCACATGATTGGTTGTCAGTCGGCGTGCGGGGCGACCGTGCGATGTGGTGCAGGGGTCCATTAATGGCTGGGGAAGTTCCCGTCCACCCCTGTGCTTGCCTGCCACTTCACTGGATCGCCCGCGGTAGCCTCGGCATGTGCCATCCATGCTTCCGACGAACAAACGCCGGTGACGACCAAGTGCTGCGCCATTCAACGGCATTCGGTCAGGTTCGATGATGGCAAGCTAGTTCGATACCTTTACATACCTTACACTGGTATTGGGAAATACCAAAATCACAGAAGTTGCAGTAAACTCGATCTCACGCTATTCCATCTCGTGTGTGTGCGACGGTTTTCTCTATCAGCCATTTCGGCATCTTGACGGCGTGTGGCATTAGCAACCCGTGATCGCCCTCGGCACCGCGATTCGAGATGGCTCGGACACAGACGGCAACTCTCCCAATCATCCCACTCCCGCGAGACAGCGTGCTTCTGCCGGGCGTTGTCCAGCGCATACCGGTTTCGTCGACTCGCCCGGACATCGCTTCACTGCTTGCGGCTGTCTACACCCGCGCTGCCTCCAAGACACCCAACGGGCGCATCGACACCGTTCCTATCGCCTGCGTCCCGCTCGCCTCCCCATTCCTGGGCCCCAACGGCCAGCTCCTGATCCAAGATGGCGAGAAAGCGGTGAGCCCGGACCGCGGGGATGTCGATCCGGCCAAGGCATCCAAGGCCGACCTCTTCGTGTGGGGTGTCGCTGCAAAGATCACGGGCGTGGAGGGGCGCGGCACGGGAGAGTTTACATTACTCGTCGAGGGTGTCATGCGCGTCCAGCTAGAAAAGGTGTACCGTGAAAAGCCGTACCTAGAGGGCAAAGTGGTCTATTATCAGGAGGAGGACGGCCGCACGGACTCGGAACTAGAGGAGCTCTTTCAGCATCTGAAGCTTCTCTCCAGGGAGCTTGTTGCGATACTCAGGCTGTCGTCCATCCTCCCTCGCCCTAATGGGGCTCCGGCACTGTCGCCCTTGCTGGCCCGCCGCCTCGACCTCTTCATCACGAAACAGAAGCAACCCGGCGCGCTCGCCGACTTTATGGCCAACATCGTGGACAGCTCGTACGAGGAGAAGCTCCAGGTGCTGGCGCTAGTGGACGTCAAGGAGAGAGTCAAGAAAGTCATTGAGCTGCTCGACCGCCAAGTCGGCTCCATCAAGAACAACATCAAGATCACGGCCGTCACCACAACAACATTGCCGTTCATCGACCCCGATGCAGCAAAGAGCGAGATCGATAGGATACGTAGATCCAACCGAGCAGGGACACCCGTCAAGGTCGGCACGCCGGGAGCGGGCATGCCGTTTCCCGCGCCGCCCGGATTTACCGGCCGGCGCGGTGCAAGCCCGGAGGAGGACGACCAGGAACCCAACGAGCTTGACGAGCTGCAAAAGAAGCTCGACGCTGCAGGGCTGTCCCCGGAGGCTGCCAAGGTTGCCGACAGGGAGATCAAGCGGCTGAGAAAGATCCATCCCGCTCAAGCTGAGTATGCCGTCACGCGGACATACCTCGAGACGCTAGCGGAGATCCCTTGGACGACAACCACAGACGACCGGCTGGGCCCGCAGACGCTCACCAGAGCGCGCAGGCAGCTGGACGACGACCACTACGGCCTCGAGAAGGTCAAGAAACGGCTTCTGGAATATCTCGCCGTCCTCAGGCTGAAGCAGTCCATCAACGACGACGTCGATGCCCAGATCAAGAAGGTCGAGGAGGAGCTTGGTGCGGTGGAGGCAGCGCACAAAGAACAAAAGGAACACAAGGACGGCAATGCCGATGCTTCCTTGTCCGATCCCAGCTTGGAGGAGAAGATCAAAGCCAGCACCGCAAAGCTAGAGGTCCTGAGGAGTAAGCGTATGGTGGACAAGTCGCCAATCCTGCTACTCGTCGGGCCACCCGGGGTCGGCAAGACCAGTCTGGCACGATCCGTCGCCATTGCGCTGGGAAGGAAGTTCCACCGCATTTCCCTGGGCGGCGTCAGGGATGAGGCCGAGATCCGCGGGCACCGGCGCACCTACGTCGCCGCCATGCCCGGCCTCATCGTCCAAGGGCTGAAGAAAGTGGGCGTTGCGAACCCGGTGTTTCTGCTGGACGAGATCGACAAAGTGGGCGGCTCCAGCGCGCACGGCGACCCATCCGCCGCGATGCTGGAGGTGCTAGACCCGGAGCAGAACCACACCTTCACCGACCACTACGTCAACATCCCCATCGACCTCAGCAAGGTCTTGTTCATTGCTACGGCCAACACTCTCGACACGATCCCGCCGCCGCTCCTCGACCGTATGGAGACCATCTACATCCCCGGCTACACCACCCTGGAGAAGCGGCACATCGCCATGCAACACCTGGTGCCGAAGCAGATCCGCGTGAACGGACTCAGCGAGGACCAAGTAGTCTTCACCGAGGAGGTCGTGTCCAAAATCATCGAGTCGTACACCCGGGAAGCGGGTGTGCGCAATCTCGAACGCGAGATTTCCTCTGTCTTGCGTGGCAAGGCAGTCGAGTATGCCGACGCCAAGGACGCAGGCCACCCAGAGAAATACAACCCGCGCCTCGGCGTCGACGACCTGGAGCGATTCCTGGGCATAGAGAAGTTTGAGGAGGAGATCGCCGAAAAGACGAGTCGGCCGGGCATCGTGACGGGCCTGGTCGCCTACAGCTCGGGTGGCAACGGCAGCATTCTCTTCATCGAGGTGGCCGACATGCCGGGCCCCGGCACGGTGCAGCTGACGGGCAAGCTGGGAGATGTCCTGAAGGAGAGCGTCGAGGTGGCACTGAGCTGGGTGAAGGCGCATGCCTACGAGCTCGGCCTGGCGCGGAGCCCGACTGAGAATATCATGAAGGACCGGAGCATCCACGTGCATTGCCCGTCCGGGTCGATACCCAAGGACGGGCCCAGCAGCGGCATTGCCCAGGCCATCGCACTCATCTCCCTGTTCTCTGGCAAGGCGGTGCCGCCTACCATGGCGATGACTGTAAGTCAATTATTCCCCATTTTGTTTCCTTGTTCCGGGAATCTCCGCCCTCGGAGAGTTGGTTCCCCCTTACGTCCGTTTCAAACCCCATTCATCCGGGACGGCTCGCGGCTGACACGACATCTCACCTCGTTGCACGACACACAGGGCGAAATCTCCCTTCGCGGACGCATCACGGCCGTCGGAGGAATCAAGGAGAAGCTGATCGGAGCCCTCCGGGCGGGTGTCAAGACGGTGCTACTTCCGGCGCAGAACCGCAAGGATGTCAAGGACCTGCCCCAGGAGGTAAAGGACGGGATAGAGATTGTCCACGTCAGGTATGTCTCGACCCAATTAAGAAAATCTGTTCCGGGAGGGGTGAAGAGCCCGAAACGGGGAAGAAAAACGAGAGCCATTGTCTTGCTAACTCCTCGTCCACAGCCACATCTGGGAAGCCATCCGTCATGTGTGGCCTGACGGCCAGTGGCCCGGCGAGCGGGAAACCCGCACCGTTCAGAGCCGGCTCTGAATGAATGAAAATACAAGCGAGGACAAATCCGCCTTCTTTCCCCCTTTTCTTCGGTGGGGTGATGGGGAGACGCAAAGACTTGTTGTGTTGCCGTGGCAAGCGAAGGCGGTGGGCCTTGGGGGTTCCACGGCAGCAGCATCTCATCTTGCGGTGCTCGCGAGCTCCCTCGCTTCGCCCATGCTTCGATTGCGGGGGTGGCGTTGCGATTCCACGGGTTGGGGGTTGGTGGCCGTGCGCTGTGTAGGATATATTGCCGCTACATGTGCCAGACAAGACCTCCTACGTGTCTCACTTTGGAGGGGAAGAGGCTTGGTTACGCAGCGACGCGGTGCTTTCTGCTTTTTTGTTCCTTTTTGCTTGGGTCGCTGGTTTCATCTCTCATTACGGTCCAGAAAGGGTGCATAGCAAACGTCGTACAATGTGGTTTGTTTACTTTCCTCCCTTTTTGTCCCTTTTCCCTGGCGGTGTGTAGGTCCAGCATTGAGGTGCTCAAGCGTCGAATCTAGCCGTTCCTTTTTCCTCCACTGTCCTCGCCCTCCGGGTGCACTGCGAATCTGCTTGCCTACCAACGACCTTTCCCGAGAGTCTGCCTCGGCTCTCATTACCCCGGTTGGTGTCCTGATCCGTCGTGGTGGCGGACGTGACGGCGCTGGCGAGATGAGACGTGATCAGAATGGAAAACTGACCGCTCCGATGTCTCGGATGCCGTTTGTCGCAGAACCCGACATGGTCTGACCCATGGTCACACTAGATCTTGTGTGCTTGGGCTTGTCGTGCGATGCTGAGAAAGCGGGTGGTTGCAGTCCAGCTCCCCTTGCCGGAAGCCGAGGCTAGGCTCAGGATTGTGGTGGTTTTGGTATGCAGTCTTGTGTTTTTGTTTTGGTCCGCCTTGCCTACCTAGTCGACAAACAATGCGGTTTTTTCAAGGGGCTGGGCAGGAAGGATATACGGGTACCGGTGGGTGTAAAAAGCATCAAGGCTTCTGTAGAAGGGATACACTATCTTGTATGTGTGCATCCTTGTTACGGATGGTAGCTCCTTGACGGCTGTCTGGAGGCGAGAAGGGGGAGGAAAAGAGAGAAGGCAGCAAGCGGATCGGACACAGCACGATCACATCATGATCACAGAATTATCCACCAGAACTTGATCACATCTCGAGCGCTGCTATTTTCCCGATCCGTGGTTGTCCCTTGCGTCATGATATCGTCGTGCTCCCTGCGCTGTTCTGGCGTGCCAGGTCAGTCTACGGTGTGGTACCGTGACTCTCGCTTGACGGCAGCTCCCTCCTCATGTTCCTGAACGCTGAATCCATCCGCTATTAGCGAACTTGTACAGGCATGGCGCGACCCAGGCCCACCCCTTGCACGCGCCCGATGGGACTACCGGTTGAGAGGGTCGGCCGGCAACAGAGCCGGCGACCCTCTCCAGTTTCCATCGGTCAATATTGGGTCGGGGTTCTGCTGTAAAGGTGTCCGGCCTGGGACCGAGATAGCGGGCCCGGCTCCGACGTGAAGAATGGAATACCGATCGGCCGTCACCAGACTTGCCGCGCGGATACTCGGCCGCAGCAATAGAACGAAGGGTGGCCGGATACCGACTTATGCTGGTGGCCTTCTTCATTCCTTTGGCTTCTTCTTGACTGCCGGGCGCCGGCGACATCATGATGATGCACCACAGCGATGGCACAAAGGTAGCACAAGTGTCCCCTCACGTCTCCAGCGTTGTAAACAGGTGCAATAGGGGACGGAACGGAGGATTAGTGTCGCAAACTGCCCCGTATACACTTGAGTATCAGGCTCAGGGTACCTCAGGGTACCGCAAAGTCTGCTGCCTCGGGCTCATCGTCTTGCCCTTCCTGTTTCTCATGCAACCCCCGAGATCCATCACACCCACAAACTTGGCCAATTACCGAAAAGGTTTCCGCCTCCCAGCCGACTTGTTGGTGACTGACTCGGCAATACCAATGGCTTGGACCGGCGCTCTTCGCTCGTCCGGCAGAGTAGACTCGGACAGGCGATGCCCGCGGAGGCCCGAAATTGGCTCCGCTCTCGGTTGTGAGACCCAAACCCTCCTCTGTCCTCGGGCTGGGATGACCTCGAACAAGTTGTCGCGCATCAGCTGTGCAGCCATGTCCTCCACCCTCGCCGATCTCAGACAGCCTAATGGGATCAAGATCTGTGGTACCGACTGCAGTGCATGGTAAGAGGTAAGGTAGTGACTGGCATCTAGCTGATTGCAATCAAAACCATCATTAGGGGCGCGACATGCCAGCCGACAGTCAGCCCGCTTGGCCTTCTTGGCCCTCGAGGCTCCGCAAAGGCAGATAGCCGCTGGCGTACGGTGCAATGAAACAACCGCCGGTGGTGGTGGTGGTGGTGGTAGGTAATGTCCCGGCTCGCGAAGACACCTTGACTTCAGTTGGCCACACCCCTTTTGGAACCCCTGAGACGCCGTGCCGTGATGCGATCAGGGACCGTGGCGTAAATGCCGAGGTGATTGTCTGGACGTCCTTTAATCTCGGCACCTTTGGATGGTGCAGCGTGTTGTACTGTACCGTGTAAGCGCCATGAGAAGGCAGCCAGCCAACTACGAGCAGCCAGGAAATCCTCTGCAGAGTGCGGCCGACCTCGATCAATCAGCCCGGGGAAGCGAGGCGGATTATTGTCGCAGCGTGGATCATGTAAAATGGAACATTTGGTCGAACTTGCTCTCGGATCGCGTGCCCACGCGTGTTACGGATGCACCCAATATCATCCAGGGGCACGCGGACCCATGCTATCCCGCAACCTAGCAATGCACGCTGGAACGCCACGGCGGAATTGTTGGGAAAGAAATAGCTTAATCTCCATTGTGCGGGGATCGAGCTTAAAAGGGGGAGTATCAGTATGGATCCCGACAATGTCATCTGTTGGGAGTCATCTCATCAGTCAGAAGTCAGAACCCTTGCTGTCGGATCTTTTTTCTTTTTTGGCGGCGACGATCATATCCGGGGCCGACGAGCCCCACCGATTTGCTCCGTCCGCGATCCTGGAAAATACACTAGTACAATGTAAGATACCCCACACAGTCAAGCAAAACCTGTATCTGAAGGACGGCCTGGGAGGGAGCCGTAAATACAACATGATGGTCGCAAGGCCAGGAACGTACGCGTTTGGAAGCCCGGTTCGTGAGTGAAAGTAAAGTGGCAGGTGCTAACGTTATTGTGCACCTGTGGGTAAGGAGGTGAGGTAGGATGCCGTGGTGCAGTACTGTACGGTAGGTAGTAGTAGTACACACATAGCGTACGGAATACGCTTATATGGTATTGTACATGTACTGTACGTATAGCGGTAGGTAGGTAGTTTCGGCGGGCACCATCTCGCAGGCGATACGAGTACACTCTGCATGTAAAGGTACTACCTACCGTAGTCACCTTGTCTGGTGCATTCCGTCAGGGGAGAGGGTTTGGACGATCCGCTCTTGTGCGAATTGTATGTACGGAGTACTGATCAAGGTACCTGATGTAAGGTAGTAGGGCTTGAAAGGGTGATGCCCTGCGGCATATTGCCGCCCATGAGAACCGTGATGAGAAATCCCCTGGTCCCCTGGCGGGAAATGACCCCCGAAGCTTGCTACCCCCGCTTAAGCGTCTTAACTCTCGACAGATTCTCTATCTATCCTTATTATAGGAGATGCGAATTGCATTAGGTAGTGGTAAAATATAGGAAGGCTCAATCATGCTGGGATCGTCCCGAGGGACCACTATGTATGGACCTAGGTGTACTACTGTGCTCCCTATGCGGCTGATCGTCCCGTTCAAGCGCTCCTGTTTTGCGCTGGCAGAGGAACATCTTGCTGCAAAGAGGTGTTGAGTTTGACAGAGTCTGACACGCCGCAGGTGCAGTAGCAGTGCATGTGCATGGTGCCAGTGGGGTGCGTTAGGCAGGTCAGAGAGTTAATAAAATGACTTTCCTGAACGGGCAACAGTTTGCTGCATCTGACCCAAAGTGCTCCGACTAACGAAGTGCATGCAAATGGACGGACCTCGCGTTTGATCAACCTACGGATACTTGGTACCTTCCGTGGATCGTGACAATTTGAAGTGTACCTAGTATCGGGCGTATGTACACAGTACATGCACCTACATTACCTTCCAGGTTATCGGAAGCTTACTTGAAGCTTACAGATCATGTCGGGCAAGCGAAACCAAAGCGGCTTGATAAGGGAACGACAGAGATTGCGAACGACGTCCCTTCTTCCTTGTTAGCGCCAACGGCCGTGGTTCGCGCAGCACGATGTATTCTGCCTAGCGGGCCCGGCTCGGCAATCCCCCGTAGCGAAATCTCCGAGGGCAAGTCCGTGTCCGCTCGGATGTGTTCACCTGGCACAGCGAGGCTAGCTGTCACCGGGCCAAACCACGGTCACACAGGCGGGCTGGAGCGACAGTGCTCGCTGTCGGAGAGGAGTTCGTTGCTTTGAAGGATCTCTGATCGGGAAGCCGTTACCACGGCCCGGATATGCATGGTCATGCACACCGCTACCCCTGACCTATATTTGCCCAATTTATGGGGTATTGCAAATTGGTTGATCTGACATGGGTCTGGATCTGATCAATTCTGCGGGTGGGCCACGCTCCACTCAGTATTTTACATAATTTAGTACTAGTATGTACAATACACCATCGAGATAGCTATCATACGGAGTAAGTTTCTTAGTGTATCCAACAATTTGTGCGCATGTTGGAACGATCTTCCGCTCCTCAAGATGAGTCAAGCGTGAAAATGGGTTATCAAGCACATCCGAACTTATTTACTGGTATCAATCGTGTGACGATAAGACCTCAGCATCATTGAATTGTGAGCGCGGCAGAGAGCGGTTCCCAGCGGTAAATGCCTGGTACCGTACATTGCTGTTGACTGATGAAGACATCCTCTGTCTAACAACCACCCCGCCATTCTTCCTCCACAACGATGGATTAAGGAGGAGTTGAACTGACCTACTTCCCGCTTACAGACCCTCAGCCGCTAAGACCTGGTTCGCATAGATGGGACACGCATAAACTACCCGCATGAGCTGTGATATGCGGCGCGACGGCCGCATTTGATGGGATGAAATGAGCGTTGCAGTCACACGCTACCGACGCGTCCGATCTTGGGAGCCGCATTACCGAGGATCCCCAGGATGAAGCGGTATGAGCGCGAGATGGAAGTCCTGTCATTGCATGAACACCGCGGCTCGAACTTCATGAGGTGCAATATACGTGGCAGAAGATGCTCGCGAGTAGCTACAACCGGCGACACGCACACGAATGCGTAGCGTGCGAGGTACTGTACCTGTTGGACTTGTATTGCACAGCACCTATAGCAGCATCGATAACACCCGGGATCAAAGCGTAGTAGCCAGGGTATTCGTGTAGGGCTGGGCGCCCCCCTCCTATGATGCGTCTGAATCGGACTCTCTGCACGTCGACCTGGGATTCGGCATTGGCAAGGCAGCACAATAGGACCCAGAGTCTGCAAGGCGAAATCATTGCGTTGGTGCACGCTTATGCCGTTCGTCGTTCGTCGTTTATTATCCAGGTATCCATGAGCTGACCCGGCAGTACCGCACGTTACGTTATTTACTGTACAAGTACATACCTACTCTCCCCTACCACATTAATAGGATCTGTCAGGGTCGCTTACTTCCGGAGACGAAGACTTACCCCGACTGCTGTTCAAGCCTGAGGGCGATCAGACAATCGCCGCGGGTCTTTTCCGGTTTACCGCCACTTTGCTATGGGCTGTCAGAAATGGAAGCTATCTAGTACTTCCTGGATACGTAACCCTTCACACACCAGTAATACAGCTGGTTAAGGGTCTTCATCAGAGTTCCCGTTTCTCACCCGGTTAAATGCTCGTTCTTGGACCGGAAGTCAGACTGGAAATGTACGGATCTGTCAAGCAGAGACCACTACTATAAGAAGCGAGGTGCTGGGATTTGCAGCGGCCTTGGCTCCGATGCTCGCTCAGAGCAGGCATGTACGGATTACTGTATTCCGTACCATGGAAGCATGTCCAGATGAAGCACGTATGTGCCCTCAGACCCATGGCTTGTGCGGCCATGAGGTGCCGTGTGCATGCTGAACCGACGCAGCGGAAACGTTGATCTGCAGTTTGCTGCGAATGGGCTAAAATAATCAAGGTAGGCGAGCCCACTGCAAGTTGATTTCGAAGCCAATCATTTCCCGCATGACATCTGGGGCGTACCGAGTTCGCGGTTTGTGCTCCCACCCGGCCAGGACGGCTATGCGCATTGGCGTTGTTGTAGCTAGCGGGAGCCTGGTGAAGACACCGACTGCAGATGCCCTCAGATCGCATCACCCAACTGAACCTGTTAACAAGGAGTCAGGCCGTCGGGCAGAATGTATAGCTGTGTAAGGTATTGTGCATTATGGTATGTAACGTATGAACTGACCGTACCATACCGGTAGATGCCGTTCTTGGCGCTAGGAGCTAGGTAAGGCGTGGTAAGGGTACCTCCGTAGGTAGTTTTTTAATCGCGCAGGTATTGTAACTACCTATGTAAGGTACTTTATCTTATCGGAGCGGGCAGACCTTACTACAGCGAGTTATTGCATCACGACCTGCTTCCACACACGCTCACAGTTCAGTGTAAATCCACTAGTCGCAGTGGCGCCTTCCCTCCAGGGAACATTGGCTTCCAGGTGCAGTGCGCACCTCATCTATGGCAGCAACAGGAACGCTCCCACAGAGCTGCCTGCCAAGCTTCCCCCCTTCCAGGTTTACAGCGACCATCAGGTCCATTACGATCATAGGTGGATGTCAGTGCGGGTTCATCCGCTAGTGATCGATTTTATAGTATGCGGGACATCACAGGCTCCTCGAGGGTCGACTCGACCTGGTCGCAGCTCAGACACGCTAACTATTTACGCAACCCCATGTTGCATTTGTTCATTTCCCTTCCGTTGCTCCGGCGGCGCCATTAAAAAAAGATCAGACCAACTGCCCGCCCTGTGGAGGGCCTTCGACGAGAGGTCCACCGAACATCGCAACGCAGGTTCCCCAAGGCCAGCTTGCGAGTACGTATCTACATAGTTAGTGCGGGAGCTGCGTGGCGGGCCCGGATCCGAAGCCGCTCCATGGCAGATTTTCGCGAAGCACCCACCTATCGACAGCTAGGGATTCTGGCGGGTGATTCCGGTTCAAAGCCGGCCACATCTTGGGTTGTTGGCTGCGAGTGGCCCGTGGCTGCGCACCCAACCTGGCGAGCCTGGTTCGCGGTGTTGAGGCTAGTTAACGCTGGTGACCCGGTCTGACTGGCGCTTAAAACTTGGGACGGGACACGGAACATCAACGGATGTGTCGAGGCACCTTTCCATGTGCTTGGAGCTTGTGCTGCATCTGGCTTCCACCATCGCAGACACTTCAGTGCTTAACGTGGTCGACGGGGCGCACGAACCGGCATCGCGTAGTGGCACGGCACCCAATAGTTGACGACACCTTCAAAGCCCTCCTGCATGCTGGGCACCCCGGCATGCCCCAGTTCCACTATCTGCGACGGTACTGGCGCAGGCATATTAACCGTGAAAGCAGGGAGGCACCCGAGCCAGAAGGGCACGTTCTCCCCTTTCGTTGCAGAGACCGCCGGGACTTGACGGCTGGCCAGCCTGGACAAGCTGGCGTTCTAACTACTGTGTAGGTGCCGCCCCGTGCTCCTCTGGACGTATGGGCTGCATATACTACACATCGTACACAGTACTATACATACAAGCAATTACGGAGGTACATATGTACATGGCTCCAGCTTCCCTGACGGCCGTCACCTCCAAGCCTAATTTGACAGGGTCTTGACGGGGACTAGCTTGGTCTAGGTACCCTTCGATCTTCGCCAACCTTTGGACGGCCACGCTGAACCGGGGTCCTGACTGCACCGCTATCCCTGTTCCATCCGGGCCCCATCCCAATTGCGCTGGTGTCTTTAACTCGCACAAAACCCACTTGCATGCCACTGACAGCAAATCTCTCTCTCCCCAGTCTCGAGCAAGCTGCCCTCGCTTGCGTTTCCAGGCCACGGTTCCGAGGACCAACACACGTAGGCGCGAGGCGACCCTCCCCCCATCACCGGCCTACCCAAGAGTCCGGTTGCCGCTCCCGCTCGGCTCGGCTCACACTCTCGCCCCATGTCACGGGAGACGAACTGGTGACGGGACCGGGCCTGCAGCTCTCCGAGAGCTTCTCTATCGCACCAGCACCGCCCGCTGCATGCCGTGCCACTAGCCGGACCCCCAAGATCACTGGAGCACTAGAGGGGATCACATCGCGGCATCTTGTCCGACCCAGCCATCTTGTCTAGGTAGTCATAGTGGCTCACTCCTTGTCACTTCTATCAGCTTTGCCCGCCCCATTCGGCCGCACCTAACCCCTCCGGATCCAAAAAGTCCCGGTGGCTTAGCGCGAACAGCTGGAGTCGCTGCAAGTCCATCGTGACTACTAGTATCGACAAAGGACTCGGGTCGCGAGCTCTTGCTGTGCAGGACAGCCACCTGCATCGGCCGCCCATCTAAGAGCCTCCGCAACACAGCACACCCCATGCGCGGCGCCCCGTGCCCAGTCAACGGTTTATGCTGCAGACAGGATATTCACCTCCCAGACCACACGCTGAGACGTGAGGGACTTCGGGCCATTGTCGAAGACGGCCAGCAGCACGGCTTCTCCCACCGCATTGGGTGATGTCGCTCGTCCTTTCCACGTTCCGGGCACGATTCGGAAGCTTGCCTCCCCTCGCGTTGACGGCATTGGGACCGGCCCCTGGAGCGCCGTCTCCCCTTCGCCGGCCGGGAGACGTTCGAAACAGCCGGCCCCATCCGCGGCCCTAGCCACACCTAGCCACACCTTCTCCATGCGGGCACTCGGCCGCCGAGGCGACAAACATTGGACGTCTTTCGGCCAGCGCCGCGGCTTATCGGACACGGCGCGCTTCAGCCTCGACCTGACACGGACCAGAGCCGACTGCAGAGGTGCTGCTGGTCCGGGAAGCTATCCGTCTCCGCCCATGTCGGGATCTCCACCGCCACCCCCTAAAACCAGCCACGAGGTTGCCGAACGGAGTCAGGGCCCGTATCTGGGGAGGACACAGAGCGACGCGGGGCCGCAGAGGGGAGTCACGGGTGGGACGCATCCGTTCTCTTCGGATACTCTGGAACCGGGGCTGTACCCTTCGAGTTTTCCTCGACTCGAAGGATCAACAACACAGTCGCAGCGGCCTTACGCTGAACAGCTGGGCCAGATCGCCGCTCAACCAGCAGCCTACCTGTCCGGACCGGGGGCTGGGCCAGGCCCGAGTCACCCGGGCCCGCTACCTGCTCTGCAAACGTATGCTGCGGCGACGCATCATCCCATTGCGGACCCTCTCCGCAACACACCGCCCAAGCCACAACGAAAAACGAAGGGACATGTTGCCTCAGCCTGCGTGCCTTGCAAGAAGGCCCACCTCCGGTTCGTCCCCAAACTCCGTCCACCGTCAATCGGCTCCTTACTGTGAGCACTAACGGTTGATAGATGTGACGGTATGTACTCAATTCCAGCTCGTCTCTCTCCGGTGTCGAAAGAAACGCGAAGCAAGCAGACAGGAACAGCCGGGCAAGCACGAGTTTGCACTGGACGTATGCGGCCCGCGGCTTTGGTTCTTTGAATCGATTGGCATGATTATTGTCAAGCCGTTCTAGGATGATCTAAACGCGGGCATCGGCAGCAGTGCCAAGCACGACGCGATGTCAAGCCGCAGATCACATCGCACTGATGCAACTACTCAAGATGAGACGGCTATGGTCTGGTCATCGATATGCTGCTTATTATGGAGCCGAAATGCTGCAGGAACGGGTGAGGGTTGGTTCTCAAGCGAGTTCTCTGTCCTTTCCGTGCTCGGTACTGCGAAGCGGATGCCGAGCCCTACGGCAAGCCGGCCCGCTGCTATTGAAGTATGGTGGGATTTTCGGAGATCGGCAACACTCGGCCCCTTTTGTCCGCCTCAGCGCAGTTTAGCCAAGATGAAGCATCAGCACAAAGGGGCCAAAAGGGTTGTGCGGGTTGCTGGGACCCGTGCCTGCTGAAAACCATGGCGGAGCAAATGGATGGAATGTGTCGGGCTATCACCAGATGCGGCGCACAATCCAAGTGGTGCGGCGCAACTTATGGCTCTACAGGTCCCAGTCGGGCACCTATGTCGCTGGCTACCGCGTCTGAGGACCGGCCAACATCTCGGGTTCTAGTGATCCCTGAGGCCAGCCTTTCGCAAACGCCCATCCATCTCGGTTGACTGCTTCACAAGTCTTAGTTTCTGCCTGGCAGGCTCGCTGACTACCTAGTCGATAGCCCAGCGACCGTGTTCGAGATGTATCAGCACCAACAAGGAAGGGGCCTGCGTCGACGTGCAGCACAAGAAACGCGGACGGCCCCGTTTGCGAGATGATGGCCAGCCAAAACACGAGGCTGCACGATATGGGAGTGGCGCGGATGCCATGAGAAGGCCGCTTTCGTCGGCGTATGGCCCGGGCCCAGCGCTGGGTATGGTTTACGATGACCCCCTCCGTCGGACCCAATCATACCGCGTGCTGAAATCACAACCAGCCGAGTCGATCACCCCGCGGTTCCCGGAGCGCGGCCTGGCGTCCGATGCAAACCTATACGCCCCTCCATTGTCACTCAGCACCGCAAGAGCTCCCGAGGAGGTTGTCGCTTTCCTGACGATCAATCTCGAGTTCTCAAGGGCCTCAGCTCCGTTCCTGGGCGCGATAGGTCGCACATTAGTAAGGGGACTAAATCTTGCGGATGTGGTGGTGCCGGAAGAGCGTGCCCGGGCTTCCAGGCTGCAGCAACAAGCGCAGGAGGAGCAAACCAGACAGGAGCCAACATATCTGCCACCGATACTCAGTGAGCGAAGTGACAACGTGATGCAGAGCCTCAGCTTCAATCCCGAAGAGGTCTCGAGATATCCGCTCCACTGGTCCGAGACTTTCTGCTTCCTGGGCGACGACGGGCAAGCACGCCGGATTTCGGCCCGCGCGGGACTCGCCACGCGGAACTCGATATACTTTGTCGTGCTCCTGCTGGATAGGATGGTACCTCATCCGTCTTATCCCACACCATCACCTAGCGCGAGGGATATGGGCGGCTCACTGGAAACAGGGCTGCAGCTGTATTCGCAGCCGACACCCCTCTCGGCCACGTTCGATCCGAGGCAATGGAGGCTGGGTGACCCCGGTTACGATCCTGGGCAACCTGGGCAACCTGGGCAACCTGGGCAACCTGGGCCGCATGCAGCGCCGGCGCACATGTTTCCGCCTCCAAGCCCGGGTCTCCCGTCGGCTTATAGCTCGTCTCCCGGCAGACCCGACTACCCCACCACGCCGAGGACTTATCGGGCCCCAAGAAGCGAGATGTATCCAGCGGGCCGCCCGCACCAACCGGCCGCCGGGTACCAGCTTCCGCCCCTTCCAAGAATAAGAAGCCCGCCGGCGGCTGCCGCTCAACAGTTCGAGCCGTCACAGCGACAGCCGCCCCGGCCACCACCGCCTCCCTATGAAGCCCGGGAAGACCGATCTCGTATAGGCATTGGCGGCCTGCTTGAGCAACCGCCCTCGACGAAAAGCCCATGACAAAGGTGGCTGGGGCGCAAAGACCGTGGCGGCTAACCGAGATTTCGTTGGCTCGTCGATGGGTGCTGTTCCCGGAAGTATGGAAAGGAGATGGTGGGGGCAAAGAAAAGAAAGAAAGAAAAGGGGTGTCCGAGAGTAAACCCCCAAGGGCCATTCTTGGGGTTGACGTTCCGCTTCATGATGGGCTTCCTTCTTTTTTTCGAGGTCATATATTGTTTTGATGATACCACTGTATATCCTTCGGACATTTAACCTTTTATATCAAGCGTAATTTTGGTGAGCGATCATCATTGTTGTCGGGAATTCGGCGGCAGTCGGACAGCGGGGAACCCTCAAGCATCCTCTTTGTCGTTTTTGGTGTTGGTTGATGTCAGTCTTCTCGCAAGATTCATGTTCCGCCTTCAGGTAGCCTTCTTCGGGAAAGCCAACGCTGAGACCCCGGGCGGTTGTCTGGCGTCGGGAGCCATGCCTTCGAGATATGGCCTGGCGAATTCGGTACTTGTATCCTAGGTCTTCGAGGATTTTGATCCGTGTTGGATGTGATGAGGACCTGAGGCCAAGGACTGAAATAGCATGAGACTGAAAAAGGAGAGCGGGCAGATGTACATACCTCCTGGTAGGGAGGGGGCACGTTGGGTTAAGCTTAGTTATGCTCGCAGCGGAGTTTCCAGCCAACCGGAGCCGTGGCCCGTGACGGGACTTATTAATTAGTCGACGGACCAAGGGAAGTAATTTGAGGAGAGAAGACTCATGGGAACAGGGGCTCTGAACAAGCAAGGGTCAAGGCAATCAGAAAAGATCTGACTACCTACCTACCAGTGTGTGTCTCCCCAGGCTCCCCCTTTGGGCGATTCAGAATCTGGCCGCCGGATCTGATCTTATGAAGAACAAAACCACTTGTGGAATCGTGCATGATGGCAGCAACCCATCTCCGGATGTGCCGGACACCCTGCTTCTTAACTGCTAAAACCATGGCTCGGACAGGTATGAATGATATCCAGCACTATCCGGCTAAGCTCATGCCTCATGGCGTCGTGGGTATATACCTTATGTAGTCTCGCATCGTGGAAGTTGCATATGTAGGACGTAATCTCCTGGCCATACGGAAGCAAGAGCGAGAACCGTCGGAGATTCGTCAGTTGCCGATGCATCATGCATGGCCGCTTTAGACCCCGCGATTTGCAGATCGGACCCTGTTTTCAAGATTCGACGCTTCTGGACGTCCGAGTGTTGCACAATGCTGCCAATCACATTGGTTTGGAAGGACGAAAAAGGTCAAAGCAGCGATGGGATGACTTCCAGCCTTGCATTCGCGGGAGCGTTGAATGGTGTTTTAGAGCCTTTTGTGATATAATCGAATGTTTATCCAAACGGACTATCAAATCAAATGACAACAAAAGACATATCGTAGTCATGGCCATGCTCTATCCAAACCTAGAGTAACCAAGCGGGTAAGGATAGAAATGAACTGTGTGCCGTGTTGTTCCGCAATAGACCTTCATGGACCTGCTGCTCGTTTGCCAATCTGGTCTATACAACCGAAGCTCATGTGCGCTCGTCAGGTAATCGAAATCTACAGGGTGTGAAGCGAAAGGAAAAGGGGGGATGTGGGTAGCGGTCTCTTGTGAGCAGCCCAAAGCCTCATGCTAGATGAGAGACTGCAACCTGAGCAGGGTTCTTATGTTCCCTGACAATCAGAACCATCAGACGGATGGTTCGACTCGCCGTCAGTAGAGTGGCCTGGCTCAGCTCTTTCTCGAGGACCACCAAGAGACGTGGCCGTCCCATTATTACCCATCCCCGGTGGTCGCCGCCTGCTTGCTCTGAAGGCGAGTGTACCCGGCGTCCATTGGGTAACGAGGGCATCGCCAGGACTGGCAGTGGGAGCGCCGTTGGCCGAGTTGGCGTGCGATGTCCTCGCGGATGACGAGGCCGAAGATTCCGACGATACTGCAATGGGCGCGCGTGGCGATTGCGACGTGGACATGCGATCCAGCTCCTCGGTGAGCTTATCCCGCTTTGGAAGGGGCTCATCTGCTGCTTCGCTGTCGCGTGGTCGTTTCACGCCATGAACGACACCCCTCAGTGCATCGCCGCTTGCTTCGGTAGCAGCAATGAGGTCCCTCAGTACGTCTTCGGCAGGGACACGGTCACTCTGGGATAGCTGGGATGACGGCGGTGATGAAAACAGCGAGGAGATGGAGTTCGCTGTCGCTTGTCGTGCCAAGGACGGCTCGACGGCTCTCGAGGGCGAGCGCCGCACCGATGATGAGCGCGATTGTCTGTAGACGGTCAGACAAAGGGTCGCACAAGCGTTGTTTACGGTGGCTTACCTGTTGCTGGCAGAATCAAGGTGGACCTGGACTGACGAATTGCCCTCACTTGTAGCCGGGTCGGGGCTCGAGAGTCGCTGCATATCCCGCGGTGAATCCTTTGCCATGCTGTCGTGACCGAGAAGACGGTGAAGCCTTTCCGGACCTATATCAACTCGGGTTGCATCATCCATGCAGATGCATGCAGATGCGGGATGGCAGCACCTCGATGCGGCCCGATCCTCATACTTAAAGCTACATGCTCAGATGTAAACGGTCGCTGGACCGGAGAATCAAGGCGGGCAACACCTCCTCACCCGGTAGCTTGCGAGCGCCCCACTGGGGAGCCTTCCCGAGAGCCTGCGTGGGACCGCAGGGCTGCAGGATGCGGGCATATGCAAGTGAGAGCGGGAGCGGCACGTCGCCGACTGCAGGATGCAACTCTATCTTGAGGTGGTGCCCACTTCGAGTACTTGGTTGGCACGGCCACATGACACAGACCGAATCTCCGGAGTCGGCAGTTCGTTGGTTTGAGTTTCTGAGATACCTCGCACCGGCACAGTACCTGGGAAAAGGGAGGAAATCCAGTCCATCATCTTTTCGTCCGGAGTGTTGGTGCGCTCAGCCCCTCGCGAGCTGTGGCTTGGTAGCTGAGAAAGCTGAAGCCTGGCCCGGGCAGAGCGGAGACTGATACAGTTATCGCCAATACGCAGTGCCCCCACCGTGAGATCCTTCAAGGGTAATGATGCAGGATGTGCGTGTGGGTGGGTGTAGTTAGGATATTGGGTTGCTGTTCTGTCAAGCTCATTGCTCTGTATGTTATCCGTACTGGCTTGCATGACACATCATTGCGCTGCCGGTGCTCGACAAATCGGGACTCTGTAGCACTCATCACGAAGCTGCGAACTGGCATCAATGCAGGAAGGCTACCTTGCGGCTGCATGACAAGCTTCTTGGTTCTTGCGCTGCACTGGTCCGGCTACCAAGTATGTTCAGAAGGATAGAAGCCCGGGTGAGGATCTACAACTACCTAGGTGGGTTGTTTCTAGTGTATTGTACGTCCGTGTTACCACCTCAGGTATTGTACAGTAATATGCGTAACGGCGGGGGAACCCTCCCCCCTAATGTCAAGCCCACTATTCCGTTCTGGGCCTAACCTGCCTGGATCCATCATCCGATAGGTCATGCATGGGAGACGGATGAGGGATTCAGCACGGACCATCTGCTTGATTCTTGAAGCTTGGGCCAACCGATGACCGTCAGTGAGGAAGTTGCAACCTGCCTCGAACCTGCTTGTTATCCCAGGTAGGTAGTAGGTACCGCATACACAATACGGATTCCGAACTATCAGACTATGGTTGCCTAATAACTTACGCACATCGGTTTCGGAGTGTGATGCGTTTTTTTTACCCTGGTCTAGCTGAACCGCATCCTGAGCGGCCGCCACTCACCAGCCCAAGGCACACCTGAGAACTTGAAGTCTTATTGAAACTGGCCAGTTTTAGCCCCCGCGCGACCTTCCTCACCAACCCAGAGCCACGCCGCAATTGGTAAGATGAGTGATGCGATGGAGGTAGATGCCCCCCGCGGCGCCAAGCGGAAAGCCGATGTACTTGACGACACTGCCACTCCTCGTCGGATCAAGGTATGGTGGCATCACTGGCAACGTTTGGTTTGGCCATGGCCCGGTTGCTGAACCCGCTTCCGACCAGGCGCTCGACCAGGATGTAGTAAACAAGATCGCCGCCGGGGAAATCATCGTCGCACCGGTGCACGCGCTGAAGGAGTTGATGGAGAATGCCGTGGACGCAGGATCTACGTCCATCGAGGTTGTCGTAAAGGATGGAGGCCTCAAGCTGCTGCAAATCACCGATAACGGCTGCGGCATTGATGTGTGACTGCCCTTGCTTCCCCCCATCCCGTTATCCGTAACCCGCGCATCATTGCTTACCGAGTAAACAAACAGAAAGAAGACCTTCCCGTACTGTGTGAGCGCTTCACCACCTCCAAGTTGCAGAAGTTTGAGGACCTCCAGACCATCGCCACCTATGGCTTCCGCGGAGAGGCTCTGGCCAGCATCAGCCACATTGCGCATCTCACAGTAACCACCAAGACGCGGGACTCCAATTGTGCCTGGCGGGCCTACTATGACGGCGGGAAACTGGTGCCTGCGAAGCCTGGCCAGTCGCCTGACCCGAAGCCCGTGGCAGGCCGGCAGGGCACGCAGATCACAGTCGACGACCTCTTCTACAACGTGCCTACACGGCGGCGCGCCTTCCGCTCCGCTTCGGACGAGTACAACAAAATCATTGACATGGTTGGGCGGTACGCGATCCACTGCTCCAGCGTCGCCTTTTCTTGTAAGAAGCATGGCGAGTCTTCGACAAGCATTGCCGTGCAGGCCAACGCCTCCTGCGTCGACAGGATAAGGCAGATCTACGGGAGCAGCATTTCGAACGAGCTCACCGAGTTCTCCACCTCCGATGACCGCTGGGCGTTCCAGGCTTGGGGTCTAGCCACCAATGCCAATTACAGTACCAAAAAGACGACGATTCTCCTGTTCATCAACCACAGGTGTGTTGAGTCGTCCAATATCCGGAGAGCTATTGAGCAGACATACTCGGCTTTCCTCCCCAAAAATGGCCACCCTTTTGTGTATCTGAGCCTCGAGATCGACCCGCGTCGCGTAGATGTGAACGTCCATCCCACAAAGAGGGAGGTGAACTTCCTCAACGAGGACGAAATCATCCAAGCCATCTGCGAGCACATCCGCTCAAAACTGGCCGCGGTCGATGCCAGCCGCACATTTCTCACGCAAAGCCTACTGCCGGGTGGCACCTGGCCAGGCCCATCCCTCGACCAACAGCAGTCCGCGGCTGCGGCTCCTGCTTCCAAGACAAGTGGCGGATCCGCCCGAAGGACTTCGGCCCGCCCAAACGAGAACAATCTGGTGCGGACAGACACCAACCTGCGCAAGATTACCAGCATGTTGCCTCCGGCGGCGGGTGCTGGTGCCGGTGTGTTGACGTCTGGTGTTCGGACACCCCACAACGGTGATGCCGAGACGGTCGAGTACGAGACGGTCGACCGTGACGTGACGGCCTGCCGCCTCATCAGCATCCGCGAGCTGCGTGCTGCGGTCCGGGAGGCTATGCACCACGAGCTGACCGAGATATTCGCAAACCACACCTTCGTCGGCGTGGTCGACGAGCGGCGGCGCCTGGCTGCCATCCAGGGCGGCGTCAAGCTGTACCTGGTCGACTACGGCCGAGTCTGCTTCGAGTACTTCTACCAGCTGGGTCTGACCGACTTTGGCAATTTTGGCGTTGTCCGCTTTAGCCCTCCGCTCGATCTGACGGAGCTGCTCACCCTGGCTGCCCAGCAGGAGAAGGATGCCGTCGCCACGGGGGATGGTGACAACGACAACGACAACGACAACGACAACGACAACGGCAACGGCAAGGATGAAGCTGAAGATTTCGATGTTGCCGAGATTGTCGACCTAGTCGCCCAGCAGCTAATTGAGCGGCGCGAGATGCTGCTCGAGTACTTCTCGCTCGAGATCTCCCCCACCGGCGAGCTGCTCAGTATCCCGCTGTTGGTGAAGGGATACACGCCGGCCATCGCCAAGCTGCCGCACTTCCTCCTGCGGTTGGGTCCGCATGTGAACTGGACCGAGGAGAAAGCATGCTTCGAGAGTTTCCTCAAGGAGCTCGCGTCGTTTTATGTCCCCGAGCAGCTCCCCGCCACTGCACCCAAGAGTGACGAGAGCGCTGCCGCCGACCGGATGGACATTGAAGATGACGACATCAAGGCCCGCCGGGGCCATGTTCTCTGGGCTGTCGAGCATGTCCTCTTCCCGGCGTTCAAGGCCAGGCTGGTGGCCACCAAGTCGCTGATGCAGGGGTCCATACTCGAGGTTGCCAACCTGAAGGGATTGTATCGCGTATTTGAGCGGTGTTAGTGACTGGCGTTTTTGCTCTGTCCGGATCAACGCACTTGGGCTTGTTGTTTGCTTTCGAGGTTCTGGTGTTCACAGGCGTGGCTGGGTAATGGTGCTCGGACCGGTTGATGGCATTGCTGGTACCTAGGATAATAAGGCCGGAGTTAGCTTTGTCCTAGTGACCAGCTGGTATGGCGTGTAGATGAATGGGTACTTATGTTTCTGACTCTTAGATCTTCTATCCGGTCCTCAGGGATTCCTTTGTACTGACTTGTATGTATGTACGTACATACCTACATACATGCATGCATACACACTACGTTTTGCAGACTGAACTCGTTATGGTGTGTGGGCAGGAGGAAAGCCTCGAAAAAAAGTATCATCGCTGTTGAAGTGGTATCTCGATGCTGCAGCCCTCCCACCATCCGCCCCCATCCATCCGTCTGTTCATGTTATCATGTTACATGTCATACAATGGTGGTAATGGCCCGTCAAACTTCGTCCCTACCTCAGACACATCGGTCATCAAACATGCCCCACGTGGACCCTCCTACCGCCAAGAGATAGACAAAACGGGCGCACCATGCTATGCACATGAGTTCCAGCCCAATCCCCAAGGCCATGTCCGGGAACAATCAAACCGCGAGATATAAATGGAAAAGGAAGAGGCCGAAACCATAATCACACCCCAGGTGTCTGCGCCTGCACCTGCGCCTGCGCCTGCTGTTGGCTCTGTCCCTGCCCCTGCACCAGCCCCAGAAACGCCGCCGGAACCTTGGGCAAGGCCACGCCCGACTGCTGAGGCGACCCGGCTGCTGACGCCGTCGCGGAGCTCGCGGGCGGTACCGGAGTCAGAGGAAGGAAGCCGCCGTCGCGGGACCGCATCCTGCGCATTCGCAGCGGGCGTATGACGTTTTCCAGGAAGAAGGAGCCGTTGGGGGCGCCGAAGGCCCCCTCGCCATTGGAGGTGCCGGGCCGCCCGTCCTCGTCGCCGTCGGAGAAGATGTCGTCGGTGAACTCGTCGTCCGAGGTCAGGTCGCCAGATGCCAGCTGCCCATGCAACGCCGGTGCAGACGGGGAGGTGACGGAGCGGGTGTGTAGGCCTGGGCGGTTGGGCGGGGTGATTGCTGTAGCAGTGGTAACGTTGCTATTGCTATTGCTATTGCTATTGTTGGCCGTTGCGCCGCTGACGCCGACGTTAAAGGCGCCCGGGTTCATTGTGTTGTTGTTTGTCGGAACGCCTCCGCCGCCTCCTTCGCGCGGCATGAGGATGGGCCGATCGGCAAAGCCGTTGTGGAAGGACGCGTTGCTGTTGCTGGACACCTGGTGCAGGATCGGGAGGACCTGCTCATCGTACACCTGAGCCCCAGACTCGAATGTGTCGGGCGAGAATTCAGTCACGGTGCGCGACGACCTGCCTTCGCTTGGCGAGCTAGTTGGCAGGTCCTCGAAGAAGTCGTCCAGGCTGTCGAGCTTCGAGAACAGGTCTCCCATGGGCACGTCAGGCCGCCCGTCGTCCGACAACATGGTGTCGGCACGGTCCAGAGACCCCGGGAAATATCCATAGGGGAAGTCCTCGGTGTGGAACTCGACTTCGGGCGTCATCACTTGTTGGGCAACAAGACCGCCGTCGCTCTGGCACATGTAGAAGGCCGCGTGGATGTTGGAACGCGTCGATTCTGTTTTCCGCGCGGGCATAGGGATAGCCCACCCGGAGGCTTCGGGAATGCCGAAGAGGCTCTGCGTTCGCTCGTATTCTTTCCGGACCGCCTTTGACGTCGGCCGCGTCATGCTCATGCGAAGGTGGTGTTTGTCCATCGAGGACCCGGACATGGTCATGATGTTGTCCAGGACTCCCAGGGCTTCCATGCAGTACTCGGTCTGCAGCAGCCGCAACAGAGGGGAGATCATGTCGGAGCCGTGGCCGGCAATCTCGGGATTCTTCATGTCCACCTCGGGAATCACCGCCCGCAGAATGCGCATAGTCTTGATCTTGACCCACGACGTCGCGTTGGTGAGCAGTCCCATCAGCATGGTGAGCATGCGAAACTCCAGCCTGGGGAGGAACCGCTCTCGTAGGGCCGCGAAGAGGTCGGCAATCAGGTCGCCGTCGGACTGGTACTTCGACGCCAGGTAATTGTCGAGCACCACGGCCACAGTCTCTAGGCCCTGTTCGTCCGCGGCCGCCATGAGCGTCTCAGCTGTCTGCACAACGCCGCCGTCAAGAACATCCTGGTCCATGGCGTGCAGGAAGCGCGGGAGATTGGCTATGACTGCGAAGAAGAGCCGGCTCGGATCGCCGATCAGAGCATCGTCGGGAAGCTGGATGAGCTTCTCCAGCGTGCGCAGCGTCACTTCCAGGCACGTGGACGACCGCAGGCCTTTGTACAGCAGCGGTTGCAAGCCTTCGAACGTTCCATCCCACTTGGAGGGTTGGCCGTCGTACAGCAGCCGTCGCACGGCGGCCGAGCGGAAGTCGAGCTTATCCAGAAACTCGTTGAGCATCTCGGCAGCCTCGAGGAACTCGCACTCGTTGATAGATTCCAAGCAGGCGCACGTGGTCCAGAACAGCTGTGGAAGCGCCAGGAGCTTGTCGGCGTCGAGCTTCACGATCAAGGTCTTGAGCGTCGTCAGGATCTCCATCGAGAAAGTCTGGATCTCGGTGTCTTCGTCCGCGACGGTGTTGGACAGACGGGCGAGCATGTCTCCGAGCATGTGATGGTCGAGCGAGGTGAGGATGCATCGGAAGATCTGGAAAGACCGGCAAGCAAGATGTCGAACCGGACAGGAGGTAGCCCACGTGAGCGAGAGCCGGCCCCACTGGTCCTTGATGCCGGGGAAGCGTAGCTCGAACGTCTTGACAACCTCGGACGTCAGGTACTCCATGCTGGGAGGCACCTTGTTGTCGCGCCCGTCGCCCTTGCCGTTGCTGTCCTCGTAGCCCCACACGACAGACTTGTCGTGGCGGCGGATGGCATCGACCAAGCTCTCGATCCACTGCCTGGTGGCTGCCGGGGTGTCGTCGTCAAGGTTTGCGATCACCAGCTCGTGGATGAGGTGCACCAGCATCTCGCGAGCTTGCTCCTGGACAAGCGGCGTGTAGTGGTCCCAGAGAACCGTGGTCACCTGCAGGAGAACCGGGATGCTGTCGGCGGCAAGACTGACGGGCGCCACCATCAGGTCCACCAGCAGAATGAGCGAGAGGTGGCCGAGGGAAAAGCCGGCCTGCTTCGTGCCCATGGGCAGCGCCTCCGAGAGGTCGGCGCAGTAAGGAAGCATGTTGATGTCGGGAGGCGGCGGAACGGCCTCGCGCTTCTCGTTGGGCACCATGGCCTTGGGAGTGATCTGGAGCAGCAGGAACTCGACCACCCGGTCCCCGGGCGTCGTGTTGGTGCTGGCCAGGAAGACGACAATCTGCTTCGCGTACTCAACGAAGTTCTGCTCCCTCCGCTCCAGGCACAGAGACATGATGAAGTCGAGAATGAGCCGCACGTTCCCGGGATGCGGCCCCGTTGCCAATGCCTGCCAGAGCGCTTGCACCTCGTTGTGCAGCGTGGCGCTGGACTTGATGGTGATCTCCAGCAGGTTGGCCAGGAGCACGTACGACTGTGCAACGGGCCCGCCGTTGGGGTCTACCTTGAGCTCCACCGCCTGGATCCACGGGAGGATGACGGCGATTACGTTCTTCTGTGCAGTAGCTTGCTGCTCCTTGAAATAGAAGGTGAACTCGGAAAAGATGTGGAATGCCAGTTCCGTGTGCTGCTTGGCCAGCCGCTTGGAGATCTCGAACTGGGCGAGCTTGTAGACGGCCTTGGTCTTGTCCGAGATGCTGATGTCAAAGTCCTGGATCTTGGAGCTCCGAGGCTGCGGCTGTCGTTCCTCGAGTGCTTTGAGCAGGTGCGCGGCCCTGGACCGGATAGCGCTCTGGTCATTGCCCAGCATGAAGAGGCAGAGACCGAGGAGTTTCCAGAACGGAGTTGGGTACCCGGGGTGCTCCAGGAGCACCTCTGTCACCGCGGTGAAGTAGCTCTCCAGCATCTTGGGAGCCTCGGCGAGATAGCACCTCGAGATGCAGTGCTCGAGCAGATAGGGGAATTCCTGGTTGTGGACAATCAGGTTCTTCAGTGCTCTCCTGCCGATGACGTTGACGCGATCGCTCCCCGAGTTGAAGATGGCCTCGATCCAGGCAAGCATTCGCCGCACATCGAACTGAGACGCGCCGCTCTCGGTGGTGGCACTAACGGGACCGCCGCAGAGCGCAGCCATGGCGCTGAGAGCAGCCGTTCGGAGGTTCCTCTTCTCGATTTCCATCGCCGCTGTCACTGTGCCTCGTTCGCCAGCCGCCTTCTGGTCGATGACGGACTGCCTCATGTTGTCCTCTCTCTGACGAATCTGCAGCTGGTTGGGGGAGAAGCCACACCAGTCTTCCATGAGGGCGAAGGCCGACTTTCGAGCCTCGAACGTCATCCAGCGTGACGGGTCCTTTGTGCGGTTGATGCCCTCAAAGAGCTCCTCCATGAGGCCGCAGTAGTGTCGCCTGAGCTGTTGGAATCCCCAGTCCATCTGGACCTCGCCGTTGTTCAGGAAGCGCTTCAGGTCCCGGGTGTATGCCACCAGATTGTCCAGGACCCAGTCGTCCTGGTAGACCTGCGGCTCTCGCAAGAAGTGCGACGTGAGCTTGTAGATGTGCGTGATCTCGGTCCGCAGCAGGTCCATTTTGCGGTTCCGGCGCGGACTGCTGTTGGTGCGCTGGTGAATGCGCGCGACTGCGTCATCATTGCAGCGGGAGACTTGGCCCTGGAGCTCCTCGAGGAGCGTGCGGTAGATGTGGATGTTGATGGAGCCCATGGCGACAACTACCGCCTCCCGAACAGGGCCCGACGAAACGGAGAGCAATGGGTTCAGGTATTTGAAGAGCGTCCTGGCCGACCCGATCTTCTCAGCAGCCGACGACGCCTTGGAGCCGCTTCGACCGTGTTGGCCGTTTTGCGATCCGGCGGCCTGGGCGCTTCCTGGGTCGGCCAGGGTGGTGCAGGCGAACACGAGATATAGCTTCCATTGCTCGACCACCACTTCCGGGTGGGTGGTGGGTGTCTTGCCCGCCATCCGAGCACTGCCTGGCTCCGCATAGTGCTGCCCGCGAGGCTCTCGTGGCGGTTCGGAAAGCACTGTAATGACCTTGTACAGCTGCAGGATCCTCTCGCAGATGAGGTCCCGAGTGAGCGTGATGGCGAAGGGACATCTGTCGAAGGCTATGCGGATGAAATTGGGGAAGATCTTGAACCACAGTGCCGTGTCGTACGAACCGTCGCTGGTGCACAGCTCAATGAGCGCTCCTTGGCTGTTGGTGTTCTGCATGCCCCGTTGCAGCCTGCTCCGTTCGCCCACGGAGAGCTGCTCGTCATTAAAGCTCATGACCTGCATCGAGTCGTTCTCCAGAATGTCGATGAGTCTCGGGGTGTCCTTCTCGCGGCCGCTCGGCTTCCGCAGGACCGCGTCGAACTCGGTGATCAGGCGCAGTACGTTGACGGCACAGAACCGGACCCTCTTGGACTGCGAGCAGAGGAAGAACAGGCCGTGTGCCTCTACCTGGTCGACCTCTGCCCAGACGCTGGAGAGGTCAAGCTTGATGCCCCTCTTCTCGGCTACGCTTGATTCGCCGCTCTCGTCGGCGGCACTCTTAGTCTTCTGCCTGATCTCGTCAATCCAAATGTGGAGAAGCTCGATGTAAAGCATGAGCGTCTTCTCGATGTGCCCCGGTCCGAGCATCCCTCCATCCGACATGGTCGAGTAGCGATCATCGAAATTGAAGATGAACCGCGCAAATCCCATCGTAACTTGATGGGCGTGGGACTGGCGGGCAATCGCTTTCAGGGACTGCGCAGACGACTCGGCAATGTTGGCTTGAACGTGTGCCGTCCCGGTGCAGAGAAGGTTGATCAACGTGTTGAAGGGTATGTCGGGCGACAGGCACCGCGGGAGAGCCTGTACTGCCACATGCAGCAGCTCGTAGAAGGCTTGCTTCTGCTCTTGAGGGCTGGGATGGTCATCTCTCCGCGAGAAGTTGAAGGTCTCAGCGATTGGGGTTTTCGGTCCCGGGCTATTGAACTTCTCGATCTTGTCAAACTTCTCGTCCAGGGCAGCCTGGCCACCAAAGGTGTTGTCACAGATGATGGCGATCTTGCCGAGGATCTCGCAGAACCTGGCGTAGTAGTCCTTAACGCTGTCGGTGAGTGCGGAGACCAGCACGGGCCGAGAGACTCGCTCGCCCCCGGACAAGGCTGCCCAGGCCGCAGAAGGGTGGCCAGGAGGCAAACCGATGACTGGCGACGCCGGGGGCACACGTTCCGCAACCGAAGGCAGAGCATACGACTGCGGGAAGGGAGGCCTACCCATGTCCCCCTTCTCGAGATCGGACATGACGGTGAGGAAGGCGCGAATTCCCACGACCATTCGGTCTGGATCGAGCTGCTCGATCTTGAGCTCCTTGTTGTTGTTGTTGTTGTTGTTGTTGTTGTTGTTGTTGGAGGTGAAGAGGTCGGCATTGACCAGGGGGAAGATAATTGTCCTGAAACAGTATTCTGGGTGTTTATACCCGATGAACCTGATGATCTGAATCATCGGGTCAATGACGGCGGGATCTGCCGCGCTGAACGCCCGCTTGGTGTTGGGCAGGACCAACTTCAGCACTTCGTCTAGCTTCCTGGTCACGCCCGCGGAAGTGTCGCTCGTGCGGTAGAGGTACGTCCACACGAGCCTCGAAATGACTTGCAAGCACAGCGGGCGGCAGCTGCGGTCTCTAAACCGCTGCTGCAACGGGTAAATCAACTGCAGCCACTGACTTGCAAAGGTATCCGGCGGGGAGACGCACAGCATGGTGGCCGTCAAGGGGAAGGTGTAGTACCAATGCCGCGGCTTGACGAACATCTGGGCCAGCCTGGGTCCAACGGTGGCCAGGACCTCGTTCCACTTCGGGTGCGCAATGTTACTGTTTGCAGCCTTGGCCGCTATGGGAAGAACAAGCATATCGAGCACCTCGCAGAAGGCTGCTTTTACTTTGCGGCCATGGGACCGACTGAACAACTTCCCCAGCGAAGCCATGAACTCACAGGACCGGTCCCAGGCATCCTCGGGGACCGTCTTTATTCGGAGGTGCTTCATACCGCCTAAGACGAGCTCCACCTTGCTCTCAATGTCCCGGGACGCGGATGACTCTCTCTTGATGGCAGCGAGCTCCTGCAACGACCGGTCAAGGTCGCTGATGAAGCGGTCAGTCACGGTATTAAAGCTGATCTCGCTCATCGCGCCTAGGAGCTGAGCGAAGAGATTCCAATTAGACAGTTTGAGTGAGGAGACCATGAGCTGCTCGGTATCCGAGATCTTCAGCTGGCCGAATATGATGTTTTCGAGCTTATCCTCCATTTCTGGTGTGATGGAGGCCAGCGTGCTCTGCGTCATGACTTCCAGGAGGACACGACACAGTACGTAGATGGAGACAGTTGAGCGGCGCTCCGCATGAGCAACGTATTCCTGCTTCGCAGCCAGAGACACTTGCGTTCCGGGGTTCGGGTCAGGAGCGGTGCCCGCCGCGCCCGGCTGCACCGGTTCGGTGTTGCGCCGCTGCAGCGGCCCGGGGGGAGAGTAGATGCGCAACTGCTGAAGTTGGGTCCTAGCCTCATTGGCGGCATCGCTCTTGCTCTTCCTCCAGAGCATCATCAAGTCGATCAGCGGCTTCGGCTTCTGCTTGGAAATGTGGCCCAGCGCCGAGATGAGCTGGTCGAAGGCTGGATCTACTCCGGGACCGCAGATCTGCTCTACCTGAGGCTCTGGGTCAAAAGGCACGGTGATGCACTCGTTCAACTTCTCCTCTGCCTGCGCGATGAAGGAGGTGAACAAAACATGGAGTGCATACTCTCCAACCGTCTTCTGCTCGTCCCTGTGATGGCGCGACGAGTGTGAGTGGTGATGGCTGTGGTCGCGCCGAGACCTCCCACTGTGCCTCCTCTCCATCTTCCCTCGCGCGGGCAGCTGGCCACCCATCTCGCCGCCGCCGGCGGGGGCACTTCTTTCGGAAAGGTTGGACGCAGACGCGAGGGTGGTCCCAGACAGGGCAGTGGCCGGCCGCGACGCTGTCGAGGCATCACTATCGAGACGTGGGAAAGAGTGCAGCTCTGCCCTTTCCGGGCTAAGGCCGGTACCGGCTGCTGCTATCATCTGCGGGCTGAGAGGACTGGACGCCGAACTGGCGAGGCTCCCGTTTCTGGAGTGGTGTATACCAATGCCATGGACAATCGATGTCTGTCTGTGATGTCGGTGGGACGATACCTTCGGGTCAATAACACGCTCTGTCACGCCGTTGATTGCACTCCGCGGCGCCGCGGCATGGGAGCGAGGTGGCTGCGCCTGGGCCTGGGCGGCAATGTCAGGACGTTGGAGCTTCTCGATGGACGACTCGCGCGAGTGGGCAACGCTTTTGGATCCTAGGACTACAGGGCGTATCGTTTTCTGCCAATCCTCTTCATCCGCTTCGTCAAGCCGAGAGACGGCGCGAGGCGAGAACTTCAATGGCTCGTGGTCAGGCAGCGTCGTCTGAGACGGAGCTGTGGTGGTCCCGAGTCAGCATTGAGTTGCCCACATTGTACAGTGTATATCCATGCTCCACATTGCCCTCTGAAACAGACAGCACACAGTCATGGCTCAGGGCCAGCTCTGACACTCCATGTTCCCCTGGGTATTGCGCCGAGCCAGATGCCCCGCGGAATTCAGTTGAAACCGGACGGAGACGGAAAAACGCCAATAGAAGTGAGGGGTCTCAGCTCACTCTTACTAAGGAGCACAACATCTCAGAGTTGGAATTTGTGGCCAACGCGGATTTGACGAAGATGGAAAAATAATAATAAACTCACCCATTTTCCAGGAGTCACGTCTTGCATGGTCCGCGCCCCAGTACGTCGCGTCTTGACACTAATAGCGAGACAAAGACACGGGAGGGCTGGCGCGTTGGACTTCCGATTCCAGGAAGCAACGACTCGGGCACCGTCCGGTATGGGCGGTCGCTCGAAGGACTCGATGTAGAAGTTAGGCGCAGCCTGACAGACATCCATGGATGAGCGGATCCATTGCCGCTGCAGCCTGCAGGGCTGCCAGAGAAGAGCGGAGCCTCTCCGGACCGCGACAGCAGAAGCAGCCAATGACTGAGCGACAATTGCACTCCGAGACTGCCTGCCTCGGCACCCACAGAACAGATCGACCAATCATCACAGCTCATCGAAAGACCCAGCGGGTCGGGCAGGGCTCAGGCTCCCCAGGACCAGGGGCCAGGGGATCGGTTGGAGAAGGGGACAGAGAGAGCCTGTGGGCTTTTATGTATATAGGTCGTTGCCTTTTCTTTTGTGTACACGAGTAAGTTGGAGGCGCAGTGACGTCCAAAGTTCGATCATCACACGATACATATCCCATTCCGCTTTGCCCGTCGGGTCACTCGAGTGGCCCCGCTGCAGTGTCAGCGTTCAGAGGACGATCGGGGACTACCAGCTTCCATATTTCGACCAGAGGGAGACCGCCAGCTATAAACCCACCACTGTCGCTGATGCACAGTACGGAATAACGTTACGCACGAAGGTACGGAATACCTTAGGTAGTGTAGAACCTGGAACGGCCCTGGTCTAGTAATGTCGTTACCCAGGGACGGGAGGTCGAACAACCGTTGCAGGGGGACGGAACATTTAATAGCCGGCGTAAGGCCCACCACTCTTCTCCTCCGGTTCAAAGCACTAAACCTGGACTGACATAACGATTACGATGCATGCAATGGAACCACCTCACCCTGGAGTTTGGCGCGTGCATTCAATTCAAGTTGTTTTCGGTAGCAATCCGAGTCATTGCCACTGTGTTAAGGTAGCGTTCATCTGATGGCTTGGTCGCCGGTGCACGTCGCAGCAACGGTCATCGGATGAGGGGGTGAGAACTCCAGGAAGTGGCCAGATGTCCGCATTTTGTGAGTTCCTTGGCTTCCGCGTGCTTCCACCGATCTCTGCCGGACTACCTGGTGGGGTGGGGAACCAAGCCGTGCCGCGACTCCAGTCTCGCTGCGACTCTTCTGCCGAGCTGCGCGGGGACAAAGTCTTCTCCGCTGTGCTCTTACACTAGCCGGAGGAAATCGCATTGTGTCCGGGCTGCCCTACACTTTGGTAGGGAGCGCAGCAGTTGAGCGGCGGACCCGAGTGGGACTTTTGGCGTCTTCAACAATCCGGGCCGGACCCCAGTCTATTAGTACGGGCGACCTATGCGGGGCGAAGAATCGGTCCGCCTCCGTCTCCAACCGTCATTACAAGTTCACACAGTAGCTGGCTACTCCCCACGCAGTGCTCTCCATCATAGAAGCAAGATAAATAGGAGAAAAAGAACAGACAAGCTCAAAGTAGACAGATAGCTTTCTCAGCATCCATGATTGCAGGAGCAGTCCCTTACGGAACCGCGGGAGGGTAACAACGGACGCTGTTCGGAAGTTATGGCTCGACATGATTGAACAGCAAACAATGCCGGTTCGGACAGCCAGAAGCTGACATTCATGGATGTGCCTGACTACAGTACCTACCTACCTAGGTAGATACATGTACATGTGCGTATCGTTCCCCTTTGCAATCCCGTCTTCCGCGCAGGATGCCTTGCTTACCGCTTACGTGTGCAACACTCCCTGGTAAGGTGTAGGGTAGTGCGGTAATGCGATTGCAGCACAGTCTGGGGCTATCATGACTGATCGGAGCCTTCCGGGGACCAGACCAGACTGCTTCTTCCAATTCCAGGTTGCACCTGGACGTCGTTCTTGAGTCGAGAGTTCCATTCTCAATGTGCAGCATTCAGATGCAGGGTGTAGGTTGTGGTCAAGCCTGCCCACTTGTTTGACAACCAGGCCCTAACCTAATAGGTCAGCGCATTGCTTGGAGGAAGTCCGGGCCCGGATGCAAGCGAGTGGGCCATGCCCATTGCCCATGCCACTGTAGGTAAACTTATCTGGCGATAAAAAGGGAAGAGCGCTGCAAGTCCTAAATTTCTACCGCCTCTTGACCTCTACCCCCTTTTCGTGCCGTGTCGCCTTTGACTACTCGCTTCTCCGTTCGGTGCATCCGTATTGCCGCCTGTTCTCCGGGGTTAATTGGTTTTTTTGTAATAGAACCTGCGGCAGCCTCACGACGCTCGCAGTTTTTGCCTTTGTTGTCTCCCCGCTCCACTGCGTTTCGTGTGTGTCCGTTTCCTTCGGACCAGAGCATTGGCGCTGCCGCGCCGGTCGGGCCGTCCCCATTCCCGAATCCCGCGGTTAACGTTTCCCGCCGACGCAGACGCATCGGATCCGGTCTCCGGGGAATCAGGTTCGTTATCAGGAGACGGATGCACTCGGCCGGATTTCAGAAGTCTGAAAGCCCTCTGCGTCACGTCTGAGGTTCAACAGTAAAGTGAAGGAGTCGTCGACCCCCAGCCCGCGTCAAAAAGCCAACGCGGCCTCCTCCTCCCCTTCCAGTCTCTTCCGGTACCACTGGTCTCAACAACGTCAAGATGGCCGAACTCGACACATTGGACATCATTGTCCTGGCCGCCATCCTTCTTGGGACGGTGGCCTACTTCACCAAGGGCAAGATGTGGGGCGTCACAAAAGACCCGTATGCGAACTCGTTCTCAGCTGCCAATGGCACCAAGGCCGGCAAGACCAGGAATATCATCGAGAAGATGGAGGAGTCGGGGAAGAACTGCATAATCTTCTACGGATCGCAGACTGGCACCGCTGAGGATTACGCGTCGAGACTCGCCAAAGAGGGCAAGAGCCGTTTCGGCCTCGAGACCATGGTTGCTGATCTGGAAGATTACGACTACGAGAATCTCGACGCCATCCCCAACGACAAGGTCGTCATGTTTGTGCTGGCTACATACGGCGAGGGCGAGCCGACGGATAACGCGGTTGACTTCTACGAATTCATCACTAGCGAGAGCCCGTCCTTCTCGCTCGACAACGACCCTCCTCTCGGCAACCTGAACTACGTAGCCTTTGGTCTGGGCAACAACACGTACGAGCATTACAACTCCATGGTGCGCAATGTCAACAAAGCGCTGCAGAAACTGGGTGCGCACCGCATCGGAGAGGCCGGCGAGGGAGACGACGGCGCTGGCACCATGGAAGAGGATTTCTTGGCTTGGAAGGACCCGATGTGGAAGGCTCTGGCGGAGAAGATGGGCTTGGAGGAGCGCGAGGCTGTCTACGAGCCCGTGTTTGGCATTGTTGAACGGGACAATCTCACGCTCGACGCGCCCGAGGTTTACCTTGGCGAGCCCAATAAGATGCATCTCGACGGAACCCCGAAGGGTCCCTTCAATGCCCACAACCCCTACATTGCCCCCATCCAGAAGTCGTACGAGCTGTTCAACGTCAAGGATCGCAACTGTCTTCACATGGAAATCGACATCAGTGGCTCAAACTTGAGCTACCAGACTGGCGATCATATCGCTGTTTGGCCCACCAACGCCGGCGAGGAGGTCGACCGCTTTTTGGATATCTTCGACCTGACCAGCAAGCGGCACAATGTCATCAGCGTTAAGGCCCTGGAGCCCACGGCAAAGGTCCCCTTCCCGACGCCGACCACCTACGACGCCATCGTGCGCTACCACATGGAAATCTGCGCACCCGTCTCCCGCCAGTTCATCGCCACACTCGCTGCGTTCGCCCCTGACGAGGAGGCCAAGGCTGAGATGACCACACTGGGCAGCGACAAGGACTACTTCCACTCCAAGGTCAACGTGCAGTATCTCAATATTGCTCGTCTCCTGGCCATCGTCAGCAAAGGCAAAAAGTGGACCAACGTCCCGTTTTCCGCTATCATTGAAGGGATCACCAAGCTGCAGCCGCGCTACTACTCCATCTCGTCTTCCTCTCTAGAGCAGCCCAAGATGATTTCCATTACTGCAGTAGTCGAGACGCAGGACCTCCCTGGTCGTGGAGACCCATTCAGGGGTGTCGCGACGAACTATCTCCTCGCTCTCAAGGAAAAGCAGAACGGTGATCCCAACCCGAGTCCTTTTGGCCTGACGTACGAGATCATGGGACCTCGCAACAAGTACGATGGTATCCACGTCCCAGTCCATGTTCGACACTCCAATTTCAAGCTCCCCTCGGATCCGACCAAGCCAGTCATCATGGTCGGCCCCGGTACCGGTGTCGCGCCCTTCAGAGGATTCGTCCGTGAGAGGAAAAGGATGGTCGAGAACGGCCAGGACGTTGGCAAGACCATCCTCTTCTTCGGCTGTCGCAAATCGACCGAGGACTTCATGTATGAGAAGGAATGGGAGGTGAGTGGTGACCCCTGAACCCGCTCCCCGCGGAGAGACCCGATGGATTCTAACCCCTCTACAGGAAGCCAAGAAGGTCCTTGGTGACCAGTTCGAACTTGTGCTCGCTTTCTCCCGTGAGGGCCCCAAAAAGGTCTACGTCCAGCACCGGTTGAAGGAACGCGCCAAGGAGATCAACGAGCTGTTGCAACAAAAGGCTTACTTCTACGTCTGCGGTGACGCCGCCAACATGGCGCGCGAGGTCAATGCCGTCCTGGCGCAGATTCTCTCTAGCGAGCGGGGCATTTCAGAAGAGCGGGCGGAGGAGATTGTTAAGCAGATGAGGGCGGCAAACCAGTACCAGGTACGTCTCCGATCTTTTCTCCCTGGACTATATCCAATCACTAATTCCATAACAGGAGGACGTGTGGTCGTAGATACTATACGTAAACAGGTTAGCGGGATGTGTAAACGGCAACGGCGCTGGGGTTAGGGCAACGTTAGCGATTTTGCATCTGGGCTCTGGGATAGAAGGAGTCAGAGAGAGGTATGTCCATATTATACAGCGTTGCTCTCGGCTGGCCCTTAGAATAATGTGTTTTTTTCTTTTTCGTTTACAAATCCCCTTACCCGAGCAACTTGTTGTAGCAAGTAGTGTTATGCTTGCATCCCTCGCCAAACTCTTCTCTGGCAACACGACAATACACAATGGATTCCTCATGAAGAATGTTTTTCCCTTTCAGGCTGTTGTACGCCTCTGACAGAGGCAGGCGCCGTGCTTGGTGCATCCCTTTAGTGGAAGCAACTGAGCGGCCACGATGTTCATGTCTCAAACTATATGCCGAGACTGTGGCTTGCCCCGCTCTCTCCTCAAACCCCTTCTCCGGTAACTAGGTACCTACAGTACCTACCTTACCACAGTACAGATCTGGAACGCCGCTTTCCGCAGGTCCCGAGTGGCGCCCATGAGCTGATGGTCTCCCGATCCCAGCTCAGAACGGGAAACCCGGTAAACGACGACACCTTTTCAAGAGAACAGCTGGACGCCCGCCCTGCCTGCTTTCTCCCCTGTGTCTCGGAGTTCATTCCCTGCTTGGCACGGATCGTGGTTCCTACCCACCCGGTGACCAGAGAAAGGGCAAGAGAGCGGGATAATTCGAAGGTTCACAGCTCTGAGCAGATCCTCTGTTGCTTTCGGACGGCAATGCTTGGGAATGGGAATGCAACCACTGTCGGCCTAAGGTGGTGGCTTTGAAGCAGGCTGGGTTCCAGCCACTGGACGATATGTTATCTGTGCACATGCTTTGGAACAAAATGCGAGAAGCAGGGTGGGAAAGCATGCAGTCTCTTCATGCCTTTTTACTGCTGGGTTCGCGCAGTTACTAAAGGACAAGGTTGATCGTATGTGTGCACCAAACACACGACTAGATTCCCTATCCCTAGTTGAGCAAAGCAACCAATGGGAAGCCGACAGTCTGCTGACACGACCCGTCATCAGTGCTCCGGAGCAGCCGACATCCGCCGTGAACGCGGCGCTTGTTTGAAAGAGGGTCATAAGCCCAAGAACGGCCGATGTCGCTATGCAAAGATGTAGTGAAAAGCCCAGGGGGGAATTGGATTCTCATTCTGTTGACCTGCATCCGGTCACCACGTCTGAGACCAGCTGTGAATGTCAGCAGCCAGCGACTCCAAGGACGCAGAGCTGTGCTCAAGGGACTGGGGACCTACCTGCCTTAGACGGAGTGTGAAGATGGTGGCGGCAGAGAGGGGTTGTTCCTGCTGTACCACCATCGATACTCCCAGATCGGTCCTTGTGCATTCACCTTACTTCCCACGCCATCACAACGCCAGGTCCCAAAGTGGTCTGCTCGGGCAAGGAGGCTTCTTCTTGCTCCCTTTCACTACCAATCAGCGGCTTGGTGTGGAAGGCTCTGCGCCGGATGCGATAGTGATCGTCCCATGTCTTCGGTCCAGCCGACCGTCCTCCTCCCTCTTCCGCATCCCCTGTCCCCATCTCTCAGGGCTGTCCGTATGTAGCTGCCCGTTCGGAGAGCTCTCCGCGGCGATGGTGGGATGACGGTGGCTTACCTCGCCTTCGGATAATCCCGCCGACGGAAGACGAACCAGTGCATCGCGGGGTCCGATCTAGTAGATCGGCACCTAATCGCCTTGGGTACTAAAGATGTGTGAGCCCTCTGGATGTTGACAAGGAGCCTGATCGTCCGGTTATCCCCATTCTCCCCTCTATTGTTGACTCTGCCTGACCCTCTCCAACATCCTTAGCAGCATATTCGATCGTGGCATCCTTCTACCTGCCGAGGTCCGTGCCACTCGGGACAAACAGACCACTGGGAACTTAGCCTCTTGACGAGAGCAGCTTCGTTGTCGATGCGTCGGAGGTTTACGTCGATTCACATGGATGTGAAGCATCTGTAGGAAACGCAGGTCAGCCCCCATCAGAGCAAAAGCAATGTGCAGCACTCTAACTATTCCACCGATAGTTATCCTCTACCCTTATGGGATATTGAAGCCAACAGCATACGTCAGAGAGGCATTCTTAGATGTTGGCATATCACCGTGGTGAACGGTCTAGCGGCAACTTTGAGAGACTTCTCGAACGGAAGACAGAAGCCGCTCAAACTTCGATTGGACAGTCCTGATTATTGTTTTAGCTTTGCGGTGCAGACGCCTCGATTTCCCTACGTTCCTTCTATCATTGTGGACGGTGGCCTTCGTGAGCAGGTCGAGCTTGATGCGACTGTGATTTCTCGAGAGGCCGAGTCGAAAGGCAGGTGCAAGGGCCGCAGGCAATCCACAGGAGGCACAGAACGTAACGGCAGTTTTGACACACCAGACAGTTCGTCAAAGCAGGAAGACCCAAAGGTGTTGACCTGAGCCTTGAACAACAGGCTGGCCGTCGCTTTCTATGATTGACGGAAGGTTCAGGCATTCCGGAAGGCAGCGGGCGTGGTTGGTGACGAACCTGCCAAAGACCCTCCAAACTCGGAGTCCGTTGTTGCAGAGGTCGCTCTTGCCTTACCCTCGCTCGACTTTGTAACTTCCTCCGTCGCTGTTACTAGACGGACAACAAGCCTAGTCCTTGGTTTCCTCCAAAACTCAGATTCCCGGGACCGAGCGTCTTCAAGGAGTCACGAACTGCATCCATCGCCAGCATCGATCGGCATCGCTAAGACTCATTGCTTCCCAGTTTCTTTAGGGCAACCAACACTCCTCACAGGTCTGGTGAGTTGACCGTCATTTCCTTTTATGGAATACACTTCTTTCCGTCTCGTCTCGTCTCGTTCTGCTGGCACCATCACATGCAAACGCTATCACTGCACTTGCTTCGAAACGCCCCTTATCAACATACCACGCTCCTTCCCAGACTGCAGACTGCTGGACGTGACTCCCTCTGCACCACCCGGGCACTTGGAACACGGGCTCCACGCTCCTTTTAAAAGGGCCTTACTCTCCTTCTTCCAGGCAGGAAGATTTTGGACTTTCGTGGACTCTGTCTCCGATCATTACAGCATCACTCCCATCCCAGAGCACCGCAATCTCTTCCATTCATCTTGCTGATAGCTCGATCCATCTTCTTACTCCCTCTCACTCTCGCTTGCATTCGACTCTTTGGTTCTAACTTCCTCCGTCGCCGTTGAATGGATCAGTTTCTTGTCGTCAAAGCATCTCACTGATTCTGCTACCACTGGCCAGGGTCTATTTTGGAGGTGAGTCCGCGTACTAACGCGCGTCCCCCGTCCCGGTCGCGTCCTGGCAGCTTCAAGCAGACGCGTTCCTCTCGCGAAGTATTTGCTCGGGGTTTTCTTTCGATTATGCCTGACTTCTGCATTGTTCTTCTCCCTTCTTCCTTTCGACGACTTCCTTCACCCATCGTCTTCCCCCCAAGTCCCCTTACCTTCGTGCATCTTCCTCTCATCACTGCCCGAACGATCCAATATCTGTCCCCGGCCTCTTGTTCCAATACTTTGCATCTCGAATCCTCATTGTGTAGCATTACAACATGGCGTCTGACTCAGGCACTAACCGACTTCACACAGAAGTCCACATCAGAATCACGCTTGTTCAAGGTAAGTACTGTGATCACTTTCATCAGAGGAGCCCGCTTTCCCAACCGCGGTCAAGTGGGACAACAAAGCTCACAATGGTCATCAGGCCGTGTCGATACAATGACTCACTTTCGCACGACCGGTGCTGTTTCCGACACTGGCAATAATCGCCATGCGTCTTATTCAGCCTACTTGGGCACTCAGCTGGGAAATCCCGCGCAGCATGATGTTTCGGCTCCCCATGGCCAGCATGTCGGTCATTCGGATGCCATCGGTGCGGTCATGAACCAGTTTAGCACCCTTGCCCTTCCTGCTGGTCCTGGTTCCAGCATTTCGCAGCATATGCAGGCACACCATGCGTACTGTGCCCCTCAGGACCAGGCTTTGGCCTACCAGGGCTACTCGGTCCCGCTCCATGTTGGCATTACTCCCGAGGCGGCGTACCCGTTCGGCGTGTCTGGACAATTCCCGGTCCAGAGTGGCTTCGCCCCGTTGCCGGTCCCGTACCATACCATGCCTTACACGCCTGGTCGTGTTGCCTCGTTCGCGGACCGCAGCACAGACGTTCCTGGCTTGGAGAACCGCCGCGGTTCTTATTCCACCACCGAGTCCACTCCGGCAACCCCCTTCTTTGGCAGCGCGTCTGAGCGGGGCGGTGCGTCGAGGGTTGCGGTCTTTCGCTCGAGCTATAATACACCCTCCCCCGAGCAGATTGTGGCACCCAAGGCGCCTCAGCCCATTGATGAAGATCTCCTTGCCTTGCTCAAGCAGGATCCTCCCATCCCTGAGGCTGTGCCGGCTGTTTTCACACCTCCCAGCCACACAAAGTCCATTGAGCAATGCCTGGAGAATAGAATCCACGGCAATCGCAATGTTTACATTCGTGGCCTCCACCCGACCACCGACGATGAGCTCCTGCTCAAGTATGCGTCTCGCTTTGGTAAGGTGGAGCAGAGCAAGGCCATCATCGACACATCTACCGGTGCTTGCAAAGGGTATGTGTCCTTCCCACCGCCGATGACGGCCTGCGCTGACATTGTGCAGATTTGGATTCGCAAAGTTTGCGGACGTCCGTGACTCTGAGAAGTGTATTCGTGGCTTCTATTATCTTGGCTATGAGGTTGGCTTCGCTCGGGTTCGTCTTGACAGTTGCGGCTTCCAGCATGCTTGACCAAGACTGACCAAATGATCTAGGAGAGCTTCAATGCCAGACTCAAGGCTGAGGGCGACGATACGTCGACGAACCTGTATTTGTCCAACCTTCCGAAGCGTCTGAACGAGTCGGTAAGTTTGGGGCGGCTTCTGTTTGATACTACAGGTCTCTGACGTTTGCTAGGAACTCAATGCCATTTTTGCTGGCTACCACATCGTCTCCAGCAAGATCCTCCGTGACAGCATGGGCAACAGCCGCGGTGTCGGATTCGCTCGGTCAGTCAGGCAATCTATGCCCAAAGTTATTGAATGTTCACACTGACTCTTGGACAGGTTTGAGACCCGTGAGGAGTGCGAGGAAATTATCAAGAAGTACCACGGTGCTGCCATTGGCGAAGAGGGAATGCTGATGCAGGTCCGCTATGCGGACACGCCCGCCCAGAAGGAGCTGAAGCGCATCACCGCCGAGCGTCGTCAGTTCCGCACGAATGAGTACAACATTGGTGCTTACGGCACTGCCGATGTCGGAATCCACCCGAGCATTTACAACCCCGGCCCGTGGAACCGCCGTGCTGCCAGCATGGGAGCTAACGGGTGAGTTGTCTCGTCTGGTCAAAGTGTGACGTGAGACTGCGGCTAACTCATGGCTACCTAGCCTCTTTGGTCCCCGCGTTGCTGTTCGTACCAACCTCGGCAGCAGCGTGAGTGTGGGCTCCATGACGGGTCAGGGCATGGGACATACCCCCAAGTACGACCAGCACCACTTGACTGTGCGGGTGTCCAAGCATCCCTACTAATACCATTACAGGCAGACCACCTCGGTGCCTGGCACGACATCCTCTGACGATGGCTTGGGTGGTGACGGTGCCACAGTCGTTGACTCGCCGACGATCAAGCTAGAGAAGAGCAGCACCCAGTCGTCCCCTACCGTCAGGAAGGAGAAGGCCTAGATGGCTCGACCAGCTTCGCCATGACACAGTATCATGTTTACGGGTTGTGGAAGCATTGTAGGAATTTTGTTGGAACTGACTTTCCTTATCTCAAAGGGTTGTCGCAACGATATCGGATACGTGACTATCGTCATCTTGTTTTCTTTTGCTATGGTCACAACGACCTCGGAATGGACGTTGAGTCGGTTTCAGGGCAAAAGTGGTTGTCAGCTCACATAATGAACTCTCTACCATGTCAAAAAGGAGCAGAGTGATATTAGGCGATGGATCCTTATTTGGTAGCGGAGGTAGTGTTATGGGCAGCCACCAATATTTCTCTTTGTACCTTGTTTAGCCATTCAAAGGAGAGATGGACTTCAATCATGAAGCAGAGCATTTCAGTACCAGCCGAATGGAAGAGATGGTGTCATTTGTGCAGGGCCCCAAGGCTGCCGGCCAACTGCTTGATCGGTGCGTGATTGCTATGTGGATGAGGATACTCGACGTCGGCAATGCTTCAGGATCACTTGTGCAAGGGCGGTGGGACGAAGACAGGACTAGAGGCATGTCGGATTGTTTGAGATGCTTACTTAACTCTTCACGTCCCATCGTTTATTGTTAGCTTTTCTAAGCCTTCTTCGCTCCCTAGAGGTACAGAAACAAGGTCGCCAATGACCAGGGGTCGCCCTTCACCATCATCAGTGTCACCAACATCACTCCCACTCTCTTCCTCCTCATCCGACTCATCTTCCAAATCGTCCTCCGAGCCGCCTGCGTCGCCGTTGGAGTTGGCTTGCTGCTCGCGGATGGCAGCCTCCAAATCCTTGGCCATCTTCTTGGTAAAGCCCGACGCTTCTGCAGCAGCATCTAACCTCCTCGCGCCGTCCCGACCAACGGTCTTCTTGGCATCCTTGAAGAAGGGGCCCGGAGTGGTGCTCACGAAATGGAAGCGTCGGGAGAAGAAGCGCTTGATGCATTCGACATCGCGGTCAAAGTACATTTCGGCGTTGGCGTGGTCCATCGAGACCATCTGGGGGAAGTCGATTATGATCGGGGTCAGGGTGATTTTGTCCGGGTCCTGCGCGTCCTTGTCCTCGCGGATCAGGATGTTGAATTCATTGAAATCGCCGTGTATTAGGCCGTGCTTGGCGAGGCGGAGGATGAGGTCGATGAGCTCGGCGTAGAGACCCGCGGGATCGGGGACCGACGAGACCTGGCGCATGGGCATCGCGTCGATTAGACTCATCACAATCGTGTGCCGGGATTGGGCGATAGGTTCGGGCACGGGAAAGCCCTCCTCTCGAAGTGCCTGCATGAAGGCGTACTCTTTGATGGCAGCTAGCCGGGAGAGGTACATCCAGGAGCCCGAGGCACGGTTCTTGAGGTAGTCACGGTTGGCCTTGACGGTGCGGAACGAGATGCGGCCGAGGCGGTGGATCTTGAGCACCTTCTGCGTGCCCTTGTCGTCGGCCACGATCATGATGTCGCTCTCCTTGCCGACGCCGATGCGACTGCCGACGCTGTACACGTGCTTGCGCGCGGCGTGGGTGTGGAGGGCGAGATAGTCCAGGCCACCATAAGTGAGGCGGTAGCCGTCGTACTTGGCTTCCTTCATGCGCGCGATCAGGCCGACTTTGGCCAGGGCAGATATGGATTTGTGCACGCCGCTGGCACCACCCTTGAGGCGGGCTATCCTCTCGATCAGCGGGGTTGGCACAATCTCGTGGTTCTTGCCGCCCATCTCTACCTGTGCAGACACGGGTCCGGGGGTGTTAGTGGGTTGTGGGATGCGAGAAGATGATAGCTGCGGGAAACAAACCGCTGTTAACACCCGCCAATCCTCCGCGGTCAGATGGCGCATGGCCCTCGTGTCTAACTTCATGGTTGCGAAGCTGTAGAGGTGCTGTCGCAAGGGATATTTGTTGTTGCTTGGACGGTCGATTACCCTACAAGCCCATGCGATGGAATATTAAACTGACGTTTCATCAAGGAGAGCCCCTCCAAAGTCTAGCTCACCCACTAAAATCTGCCCACGATAAGATCCCGCTTGTATCAGTGATAAGATAACTACCCTTAAGGTAAAGCACCAGAGGAACGGAAATTGTTAGTGCTGGGGCGGGGCTGGTGGTCGGCCCAGGAGCCCACCTAGCTCAGAGCAAGGGCGGGCCGGCTCGGTGGAGAGCTGACCGCTGGTTGGGCGCCTCGCCGCCAGGCGGCAAGCAGCATCGCGTAACCAAAGCTGCCTGCCTTGCTCGCCCGAAATTGCTAAGCTCGGCTGCATTCAGTTCCCAAGTTGATCATCAACCAACATCGAAAACAACACTAGAGGACAATTGACGTCGAAAACGGGGTAAATAGGGCGCCAATCTTGAAAGGGCAAAGGACCGCCATCTCCGTCTTCGATCACCATTGACATCTCATTGAAACCTCAGCCCGTTCGCAGCGCACCTGACTGAGCTTGGGGCCCATCTCCTGCCATCCAACAACACGACCATGGCGCAAGAAAGCGATCTCTCCAAGACCGTGGATAAGGGCAAGGGGAAGGCCGTCGACGATGAGACACCCAAGGACAAGACCGGACAGCCCGTGGCGAACGGCAAGAAGGACGAGGATAAGGCCGAGTGTTTGTTTTCCCCCGCCCTGCGCCGGCCCTTGCCCTGCGCCTCTAGGTCTGGGCTGTACTGACTGTCAGGACCAGCCTCAGAGGAGCTCAGTGAAGAGGATCAGCAGCTGAAGGGTGAGCTCGACATGCTTGTTGAGCGGTTGACGGTGCGTCGCCACCCCGCCATCGCCTGCCCCTGGACGGAACTGACCCTCGTTGGCGTCGCAGGAATCAGATGCGACGCTGTACAAGCCGGCCCTGGAGGCCATGAAGACATTTATAAAGACCTCGACGTCCTCCATGACCGCCGTCCCAAAACCGTTAAAATTCCTACGGCCGCACTACGAGACCATGACGAAGCTCTACGACGAATGGCCGGCGGGTGACGACAAGAACTCATTGGCCGACGTGTTATCCGTGATTGGCATGACCTTCTCCGACGAGGAGCGCCAGGATACCCTGAAGTACCGGCTGCTCGCCCCTACACAAGACATCGGCTCCTGGGGTCACGAATACGTCCGCCATCTCGCGCTCGAAATCGGCGAGGTTTACGCCAAGCGTATTGCGGCGGACGAGCCGACCGCCGACCTCGTGGACCTTGCGCTGAGCCTCGTGCCCCTCTTCCTCAAGAGCAACCAGGAGGCGGATGCCGTCGACCTGATGAGCGAGCTCGAGATTATCGAGGAGCTCCCCAAGTTTGTTGACGAGAACACTTACGGAAGGGTCTGTCTGTACATGGTCTCGATGGTCAACCTGCTCACGTACCCGGACAATGAGCAGTTCCTCCGGGTAGCGCACGGTATCTACAAGACTTACAAGCAATACACCCAGGCCATGGTGCTCGCCATCAGGCTCAACGACTACGACCTTATCTCAGCCGACTTCCATGACGCGCCGGACGCTGCGCTTAAGAAGCAGCTTGCCTTCCTGGTCGCCCGGCAGAGGATATGTATTGACCACCCTAGGGAAACTGCGGATGATGAGGAGATTGTTGAGTGTCTCGGAAACGTGAAGCTGCCGGAGCATTTCAAGGCGCTCGGCAAGGAGCTCAATATTCTAGAGCCTAAGACAACAGAGGATATCTACAAGAGCCACCTAGAGAGCAGCCGTGTGGCCGGCATGACGAACTTCGACTCGGCCCGTAACAACCTGGCGGCTGCCTTTGTCAACGCGTTCGTGAATGCAGGGTTCGGAAACGACAAGATGATGCTGGTGGACAAGGACAAGGAGAGCTGGGTGTGGAAGACCAAGGAGGAGGGCATGATGTCGACGGTCGCCTCTCTGGGGACGCTGCTGATGTGGGATATTGAGAGCGGCCTAGACCAGGTGGACAAGTACACCTATCTCGACGAGGAGCAGATCCAAGCCGGCGCCTACCTCGCGATCGGCATCATGAACTCGGGCGTGAGGTTGGACTCGGAGCCTGCACTGGCTCTTCTGGCCGACAATGACAAGCTCAACCACAAGAACCCCCTGATCCGGGTAGCCGCCATCATGGGTCTCGGCCTCTCCTACGCCGGCTCCAACAAGGAAGAGATCCTGAGCTTCCTCCTGCCGCTCATTGCCGATACCTCTCAGGAGATGCGCGTATCAGCAATGGCTGCCCTGGCTTGCGGGTTGGTGTTTGTCGGATCTTCCAATTCGGAGGCCGGCGAGGCCATCATAATGACCTTGCTAGACGAGGAGCGGAAGAGCCAGCTGACGGACAAGTGGACCCGCTTCCTCGCGCTCGGTCTCGGCCTGCTCTACTTTGGTCGCCAGGAGGAGGTGGACGTTGTCCTCGAGACGCTGAAGGTGGTTGAGCACCCTATGGCGAAGGCGACATCGGTTCTCGCGTCAATCTGTGCCTGGGCCGGCACCGGTGCGGTTCTCAAGATCCAGGAGCTTCTCCACGTCTGCAACGAGCACATGGAGAAGTCAGACGAGAAGAAGGGCGATGAGCTGCTGCAGGCTTACGCCGTGATTGGCATCGGGCTGATTGCCATGGGTGAGGATATTGGTCAGGACATGGTCCTCCGCCACTTCGGCCACCTCATGCACTATGGCGAAGCCAACATCCGCCGAGCAGTCCCCCTGGCCATGGGTCTCGTCAGCCCCAGCAACCCGCAGATGAAGATCTACGACACGCTCTCCCGGTACAGCCACGACAACGACAATGAGGTGGCCATCAACGCCATCTTCGCGATGGGCCTGTTGGGCGCCGGGACGAACAACGCGAGGTTGGCGCAACTGTTGCGCCAGCTCGCGAGCTACTACCATAGGGATCAGGAGTCGCTGTTCATGGTGCGCATCGCCCAGGGCCTCTTGCACATGGGCAAGGGCACGCTCTCCATCAATCCCTTCCACACCGACCGGCAGATCCTCTCGCGCGTCTCGGCCGCGGGTCTCCTCACTGTGCTGGTGGCAATGATCGACGCCAAGCAGTTCATCACGTCCAGCTCGCACTACCTGCTTTATTTCCTCGTCACCGCCATGCACCCGCGCTTCCTGGTCACTCTGGACGAGAACCTCAAGCCGCTGACAGTCAACGTGCGCGTTGGCCAGGCGGTCGACGTGGTCGGCCAGGCCGGTCGCCCCAAGACCATCACGGGCTGGCAGACGCAGAGCACTCCGGTGCTGCTGGCATATGGTGAGCGTGCTGAGCTCGAAGACGAGGAGTATATTAGCCTCAGCAGCACCCTCGAGGGGCTGGTCATTCTACGCAAGGTTCGTTGAAGACGTTCTCATGCCAATCGATCGATCCTGTGGGCCGAACAAGGCTAACCTGGCATAACAGAACCCGGAGTGGGAAGATGGTAAATAAAAGCAGCGGCGCCCGTCTCAAATCAAAATGACAGCAGAAGAGAGAAGGCTTCCCGGTTGGAGGTGGGATGATGTATGTGTACAAGTACAATAAATGAGCGTTGCCGGAAAATCCTACAGACTGGGACAGGAGGGCAAACCGCCGAATGGCAGCCCAAGGTGGCTTCTGGTTTCTAAATGGTACCTAGACAACGCCAGAAGTAGCATCCTTCTTGACGTGGCTATCTCGTGGTTGTGCGTCTCTATACTGGCGGCTGGTTGGATGACCTGGATATTCACTGTCCGTAGGCGGGCTCATAAGCGCTCGATTGACATCTGATTCCGCCTCTTTCTTTCCTGTCTTCTTTCCTCTCGCGGAACAAGCCCACGTTCTATTTCGGGGGGCGCATAGCAGCGACGGGATGCTTAACTAGTAAGCCGAAGGATACGGGTAGTATATCTGTCGGATACAAACCCTCGTGAGGAAGGGAACCTTTCTTCCATTTCGAGCTCTCTCGCCACTAGGTAGCGATATCGCCGGAGACGAGAATACCTTAGCTACCTATCTATTTACTTATCTGGCTGCCTGTTCCCCAGGTACTAGTAGCTATCCACACAGGCCGAGAACTCCTTGCTTTGATTAGGGAACTATACAGAGACTCCGCGGCAGACAGGTGAAATGTGCGAAATAGACGACGGAGAGAGAGAGACGCCGATATCTGTGGGAGTATATGTTCCGGCCCTCTTTTTCCATACAAAATAAACAAGATCCATCTCACCAGAGCGCTCGCTTCCATACCACTACACAAGGCTAGGTAGGGAACAGCCACCAACTGAAACCCCGGCCAGCTCTACTTGCTAGATTATTTCTTAAGGCCAAAGAGATTCCTCTTCTTCTTCTCCTTATCCTTCTTCTTCCCGCCATCCGCCGACCCACTCGTGCCCGGCCGCAGCTCCGGATTCGACCCACCACCACCACCACCGCCGCCGCCACTGCTGTGGAGCGTCATACCGGCAAGCGCCTTGACTGGCGGGCGAGGTCCGGTGGGCGGCATCTGTCGTCCCATGCCCATGCCGACTTGGGCGTGCGGCGGAGCACCACCGTGAGGCTGTTGATGAGCGTGCGGTTGTGGCTGTGGCTGGCGGATGGCTGGCGGAGGGGGTGCAGGCTTCTCAAATAGGTGGGCGGGCGCCTTCGGAGGTGGGCGGTCCATGGGCAGATCGAGGCGTCGACGGTCGGTCTTGAGCACGCGCAGGTCGGCGAGGAATTTCCCCGGGGTGACCATGTGGCTCGTGGCGAGGAAGACGTCGCGGTTGTGCTTCTCGGAGACATCGTAGCAGGCGCGCGCCTCGGAGTAGGTGGCGCCGCCGGCGACAAAGACGATGATGCGCTGGCGGCTTTCGACCTGGCGCCGGTTGGCCGAGGCCCAGCGCGGGGCGGCCGAGCGGAGGGAGGCTTGGTGGTTGAGGGCTTCGGCGGCGCCCGCGTCGGCGGGGGGCACGACGTAGGGGAAGAGTGTTGTGTCAAGATCGCCTGCGCATACGCGTTCAAGCATGTGCTTGACTGCGGGCTCGAAGCGGGAGAGCGCGTACTCCTCGTCTGGCACCATGTTCTTCGTGTTGGGCGGGAAGAGTGGCGGGACGGGCTGGCGGGCTTCCTTGAGGTTTTCCTTGAGCGGACGGCCGCCGAGAAGGTCGAAGTTCTCGATGACGGCCTGATCCGTGCTGTCGCGCGATCGCTGCAGTGACGCGTGCCATAGGAGTCGGCTGATGTCCTTGTCGATCATCCCATCGCGGTACAGCGCGTAGATGGCGATCAGGCGTAACCGATCTGCCGGGGCGACGTCCGGGTCGTCCAACAGGCGAACAACCTGGTCCAACACGTTCTTGGGCTTCTTGTACTCCTCGTCGAGGCCGGTGGCCAGGGTCTGTTCGACCGAGGCAAGGTCCGCAAGCTTGTATTTCTGGAAGATGTTCATGGCCTCCTGTGCCATGGTGAGGTGGAGCGAGTAGGCCTGTTTCATCTCCTGGAACTGTGGCAGGCCTGCCAGCATGTCCCTGATGTCGTTGAGGCTCGTCTGCTGGGCGTCCTTTCCTGCAAAATTCGGGTTCTGGTCTAGGAACTTCTGGAAGTCGCTCATGAGCTTGTCGATCGTATCCTTCATGTGGCGGTGCCTGTTGTTGACCCAAACGCTATCCTTTTCGACGAGCTCCATATCCTTTTCTTCGGCAGCAGGCGTGCCTTCGTTGACCGTCATGTGGAACGTCACTTTGCCGTCCTCCTGGTCCTTGATGGGAAGCAGATCATGGGCCATGGCTTGGTAGGTGAATTCGTGCACCAGCGGGGCCATCAGATCCATTGACCGGTCTGTGACGAGGAGCACCGACTGCGGCCGCTGTGACGGAGGGGGGAAGGCCTGGTCCCATTGTCGATAGCGGTCTAGCTCCATCTGGACGAAGCGAGCCAGGTGCATGCATAGTACGCTGGCTTCATGTCTGGCGTGTTCCGGCGGCTGGTAGTAACGGACTTTGGGTGCCTCTTGCAGCGTTATGCAGACGGAGACAATCTGAAAGGCGACCTCTTCTTAGCCAAACAAAACGAACGCACCCTCCCATATCGTGCCCATTCGAGCTCGTACCTTTGACGCTAGTGTCCGCAAGTGCTGTGCTACAAGGTCGTTACACGTAGGGTTGTACAGGACGAGGAAGCTCGAGGGGTCCTGGAAGGTGACAAGGTGCGACTCGCGGGGGTAGAAGTCGACGAGCAGGAGATCAGGTGGGCCTACAAGCTGCAGATGAGCACACTATGGCCACCCATCACGACGTAAACGAGCGATATGGCGTACCTCCCATCTGGCCCCGAGCCACATCCAGTCGACGTTGCAGCGCATCGGGCAGGTGGCCGGTCCAGATCACATAGCCCCTCCTGTACCGACGGCGCTCGAAGTCGGCAAGGAGACACTCGACAATGTGTGGCTGGGGTGACAGGAAATAGATGGCATCCATATCCGGATTCACCTCCCTCCGCTCCTCGATGCGCTCGATATCTGGGGTCCCGTTTAGCGGTGGGCGGCCTTTGCCAGGTGGGAAGACTGGGCCCTACTGGCGATATTGTGGTTGAGAATGTCATCTTCGCTGACAGAGCTGTCGATGATCCTCTTCGCGGTCTCGTCTATTACCAGGACTTTCCACTACAGGCACGCGACACTGTCAGCGCGGGGCTCTTCTCCGTTCGAGGCGCGGCAAGGGTTTGCAGGTCGGCGTACATCGTTCTGGGCAGTTCTCCGGATAGCCTCGATAATTGCTGACGGGAGGCAGTCAGAAATGACACGACATGCTTAGAGCCGGGAACGATGGCATGCATACCCTTGCCATGCTCCTTGATGATGGAGAAGCCGTCCATGGCGGCGCGGTGAACACTGAAGCCCAAGTCCAGCTCAAGCACGAACGGTGAAAGGCGATCGAAAAGCCCTATTGACAGCGCAGGCTCGGTCGGGCAAGGGCAGCATGTGAGAAGCTAGCAGAGGGGCAGGCGAGGAAGCTCAAGGCGGTCAATGCTGGATCGCAAGTCGCCAACAACTTCGAAACACGGAGCGGACAGCTTGTCGGCCTGTCGGCCTGTTGCAACTCGCAACGACAACATGGTGGGGTGCCCGCTGTGCCTGAGCAGCGATTCGGCACTATGGGCCCTAACCCTTATCCGGCACCGCCTGTATCGCTCACACCGTATGTACAGTAAGTAGTATTCAAGTGAAACAGTTCAAGTTTAGAGCCGTGGAATTTCAGTATCGAACTCTCGAGAACCCAATCTGCCCAGTGTCGGCCAGCAAATCCGCGACTGCCTAATAATCTACCTGGGTAGGTAAGTAGCACATAGGGAGGTGCGGGTGCCTGGTCATCTGGGGTTCTTTCGCCCCAGCCTCAAACGTGCTTCGCTGCCCGAGAAATACGGGAAGCTGTCGTTCTCTTGACGCGATCGCCTCTCTTCTTCCTCTTTTTGCCGTTGAAGTCCACTGGCACAGCTGCCCAAAAAGAAGGGGAACTCTTCACGACCCAGAGAGTCAGGGACAGAACATGACCAAGTAGCGAAAGTCACCCTTCCAAGTAGAGTCCGTACTTACTCGCGGGGAGCAGGCTCTCGTTTCCGACGGGGCAAGATGGGAGGCCTATGATTATGGTTACCAGAGACTGCTGGATGCCGGCGTCGAATAGAACGGTGTTGAGCTGGACTCGGAACGCTCTTCCACAGGAGATGGTTCATCTTCGGAATATCATGCCGGCTCCAATTCACCTCAGGATCCTCCCACACAGCACCACATCCTCTCCCAGCGGACACCACTTCACACCTGTCAACCTTACCGGCTGTGCCGGCTGACCATGCTCCCCAACAGTCCTCGCCGGTGACACCACCACGCCACCTTGACCCAGCCAAGTCGGCGCAATTGTCACAATAACCGAGTCTACCAGCCCGTTGCCCGGTGACGCTAGCAGCGAGTTGATCACTTCACCTCCCCCCTCGATCATCACGCTCTCCAACCCCTCCCGCTTCAGCAAGCCAAGCACATCCACCCACTCAAACCTCCCGCCTTCCGCCCTCGCCTCAAGCGGGATATACTTACCGCCGACTTCTTCCACCACCCTCCGCCGCGCCTCATCCACCACCACTCCTGTCCCATCCCCATGATCGCCCGCAACCAGCACCCACGGCCCCAGGCCCTTGCCCGCCCTCGCAACCCGGACAGCCTTACTCCCTTCATGCACGGACCACCTCCCGCGCGGATCCAGCACGATCGGCCTGGGCTGCCGTCTCGGATCCAGCAAGCGCGAGTTCAGCCCCGGGTCGTCCGCAACCGCCGTGCCGGCGCCCACCAGGATGGCGTCGTGGTGCGCCCGCAGGAAGTGGGTCATGGCCTTGGACTGCGGGCCGGACAGCGCCGTGCGGACTCCCGGGGCCAGGGCCAGGGATGTGTCTAGGGACTGTGCGTAGGTCAGAGTTACGTGCGGGTATTTTCGCGGCTCTTGCAGGGTTTGGGTGGTGGGCGTGGAAGGGGGTAGATAGGGGGTGATGAGGGCGCGGGCTTCGGAAGGGAAGCTGAGGGTTTCCTGTTCTCGAGGTTCTTGTTCACGGGGCGGTGTCATGGTAGGCTTTTTGTAGTTGTTGGTAAAAGGGGGCGGGCCTCGGTATTGGGAAGAGGATACTTAAAGGTTGATGCGAGAGGGTTTTGGTGTTGTGTGTGACGAGGGTTCGTACAGTACGCGGTGTAATACACTAAGATGCGAAGAAGGTTCAATGGACAAACCCCTGCCAAGCCTCGTAACGTCATACCAAGGGTAACGAAAGTGTCAGGAATGGGTCATACAGTGAGATTTTGTGGCCCAATGGATGTGTATGACGTCCAGAGTAACGTAAGATAGGTAAGTTCTTCCCGATAACGTGACCGGTCATACCAGGTATTGCCTAAGGTTAACTGCGGCTGTATATTACATGGTATCGACGTTGTAAGTTGCCACTGCTTCTTGATGTACAGCCTGTACTGGTATGTAGTACTACTGGAATAAACGTCCAAGAACGTTGCTGTATAATAGAATGTGCACTCAAAATAAAGAAGCGCCTGCATCGAGGCGCTAACGCTGCATATGCGCCGGTGACACATGATTGGAGACAACGGTTGATGTGTTTCATCAGCATCCGTCATCAACTGGTCATTTCTTCGCTTCAAGCGCAATGCGACACTAGCGGGCTTGTTCCCCAACTATGTGCTGGGTACAGAACGCCATCGCCAACAAGGGGTGTTGATGGGCGAACCACAGATCGCTGTGATAAAGCAAGGGCTGGTAACTTAGTGTACCACAGTACCTAATCATCGGATCTTTGCGCCCCTGGCACTGCGGAGCCGAACCGGCGGTTGAACAGGGTAAAACTATCGAGAACCGACGGTTGCTCGAGTACCGCTCTTCCAATTACGGGTCAATTAGAATGATCCTACCCTCGCCTTGCCTCAGTATGACATTGGACATCGAACCGCTGACGCGGTAGGCGACATCCATAAAGTGAAAAGTACAGTAATCGATCGATCCGGTCTCGACCGGAACGGCCGGGACTGTGGGTATCCGAAGACTCGCAGGACAGTGGGGCTGCTTTATTAGGTTAGGGTACCTAGGTACTAGGTACTTACTTGGGGTCTTGGACAACGCATGTTTCTGGAGTATGTCCCTAGTGTAGATTTAGAGCCGGTTCCGGTTTCAACAACAAAGGCACACAGCCACCTTTCGCCACGCAATACAGGCAAGGGCAAACGGATCTTACATCCAACCACTGCCCACGAACCAGCTCGCTCTTAGCTCTTACACTATTCACCTCCAGTGACTTGAGCGACAGTAAACACTGCCCTTACTAGCGAGTAGCGACAAGCTTCGGCCGCCGATCACAATCCAACCTTCCTTTTGAGCCGGTCCGTCGCCAGCAAGCCAGCACACCACCCAACGCTCCCACTACCGCGCAAATACCATTCAAACTACCCTAAACAACCTTAAACAACCTTCTCGCAAACAAAGTCAACAGCGAACAAGAAAGATGTCCCACAAGCACGACGAACCCCCGGCTTACCCCAACCCGCCGCAGCCATCTTACTACCAGGGCGGCGCTCCGCAACCTCCGTACCACAGCTACCCCGGCGGAGGCGATCAGGGCGGTGCCGCGCAGGGCTACTACCAGCAGCAGCCACAGATGGGCTACGGCTCGCCGCCGCCGGGCGCACAGGGCTATTACGCCGCCGGACCGTATCCGCCGCCTGGGCAGCCGGTCGGAGGGTACTACGCTGCTCCGCAGCAGCAGCGGAAGAGTGGACCGGTAGGCTTTCCCCTTCTTACTGACTGGCTAAATTGCAGACGGATATGCTGACGAGAGAGACGGGGCAGGGCTTCTTCGAGGCGTGTCTTGCCGGCATGGCGTGTTGTTGCTGCCTGGATATCTTGTTCTAGACGATCTGCGAACGCGCGCGAGTCAAAGCAAAGAAAGGAACACCCAGCGCTTGATACCCCAAAATAGGAAGAAGCGGTAGGAGCCACGAGAGGGACACGCAGTTCGATTCCCGGCGCCTCTACGGCTATAGGCCTTAACGGAACTGTGACATTCACGCATAAACGGATTGGCTGCGATGATGCAATCACCAGAAACGAAATGAGCGGGGCGAGGAAGCCCGACGAACACGGGCCCAGGACAAGGCACCGCGATACAAGGGGCGCAGGATACGTCACGTCACGGCACAGCACGGGATGGGTATATGAGGAGGCTTGGTCAGGACGATTTCCTATGTCCGCGGTTTCATGGTTACTGCCTTCCTCGATACAGCTTGTAATTATGCAGGTATCTGTTTCCTTTAGGGGGGGTGTGTTCTAGGATCGCCACGAAGTGGTAATGATCGGGATCTATGCTCTTCAAACCGATACTCGGATGTTGTTAGGTTTAGGACCTCAGCGATTGTGCGAACGGCATTGTCATAGAGTGGCATATAACCGCTCAAAGTTGTCGCTCGCCTCCTGGACCCAGTCGTGCGAATAGATCATTTTCTGAACGTCCGGACTGGCCCACTTGTCCGGCACCGAGCCGGTCTTGCCGTTCTGGCGGAACTCGCGATCCCGCTCCTCCTTGGCCTTGCCCTCCCCGAGATGCAAGATGCGCCCAGAGTGGGCGGCCAGAGCCACCAACTCACTGCAGTGCGGCTTGCGCAGCAGCTCGTACACCTTGAGCGTCTTGGTGATGGTCTCGGGATCGTGCATCTTGTCCGCGGGTATCTTGCTGACGACTTCGGCCAGAACAGCACCGTCCTCGATCGCCATTGCCGCGCCCTGGCTAAGGTGCGGCAACGTAGCGTGGCACGCATCACCTAGAAGCGCGACCGACCCGTGCACCCACGTCGGCAGCGGCTTGTGCACGCGCAGCTTCCACTCGCACACCTCGCCGTCCGGCACGAGGTTGAGCATGCGGTGTACGAGCGGGCAGAAGTCTTCGAACACCTTCAGCATCTCTGACTTGGAACCCTTGGTGGTGTAGGTCGCGTTGGTGGCCGAGGCAAAGTTGGTATCGGGCTGCGCCGACGACAGGTTGTAGATGTTCTTGTTGCTGACGGGGTACGCGATGATGTGGCGCCTCTCGCCGACCCAGCGCACTACCGTGTCGCTGTTGAGGAGCTCGAGCATCTCCGGGTCGTGCTCCATCTCGGAGCGCTTGAGCATGATGCGGTATGCGGCCTGGCCCGTGTCTTCCTCCTGCGACTCCGTGCCGAGCTCGGCGAGCATCTGCGTGCGGGTCCTGGACTTGATGCCATCGGACGCCAGCAGGACATCGGCTTCCACCGTGTACTCGTCACTGTCGCGCGGCTTGACCGTGATGACGGCCTTGGGCGAGAATGAGTTGACCTTGACCAGCGACGTGGAGAAGTGGAACTTGATGGCGCTCTGCTTCCTGCACCCGTTGAACAGGCCGCCTGCGAGCGACGACCGGTGTCCCGTGCAGTGAGGGAACCCGTACTTCTCTTCGATGTCCGGCATATCCACGTGCGAGAGCTCAGCATTAGTGCTGCCCTCTGTTCGAACTATGAGATGCTTGGCTCAGTCAGGGAGGTGGCTTGGGGCGGACTCACGCCTTATGCTGGTCCCCTTGACGTTCGTTGCCTCTGCGAAGATCTCATCCCAGCATCCGAGACGGTGGAGCACACGGACGACATTGGGTGGCAACTGGATGCCGGCGCCGACAAAGCCCAGGTTTGACGCCGTCTCAAAGACGTCGATGTTCTTGAAGCCCTTCTTTGCGAAGGCGAGCGCGGTCCCCAGCCCTCCCATGCCTACCGAGTGTGTCAACGGACGTTGTCTGAGCGGGCCCGCGCGTTGGGTTCCGGATAGGGGTCGGAGACGCTTACCTGCACCGATAATGACGATGCGAAGATCACGGACGTCCGCCATCGCTGGCGACTTGATGAGATAATATATTGTCTAGTTGAATGTCTAAGCTGTATAAAGGTGGAACTAGGGGAGAGTCTGACTGGGCCGAGTACTGGGGTTGCTCGACAAGAGGAACCAAGGGATGTGGTTCAGACACGACGGTGCTGTGGCATGACACGGTTCGGCTAAACAAGGTGGTGCCTTCTTCACTATTTATATTTGAGGGCCGCGATATCCCGGAGTCCGGTCAATCCACCCCTCGGCACCTGCTCTCGCACACAGGACGCAGACACACCTCAGCCCACCGCGGTTCGTCATGGCAGGCGGCGCTAAATCGGAGTGGGGCGTTGGCTTGCGATGCCCCTTCGACCGGTACCTCCGTCATGGATCACATTTCTGCCACATACTTCCGTGCCTCATAATAGGACGTTGTTCTGTTGGAGGTATGCGGGACGGAGGCATGCGGCGGAATGTGGGGTGGGAGATCGGTTTTGCGGGGAAGAAACTAGCCCCGGGTGAAATCTGGAACCGCCGCATCCTGGGAACCGCATCGACCTGGGAAAATGGATTTGCCGATACAAAAGCCCGAGGCCTGGCTCACGGGGTGACGGGGCATCACCCCTGGGCCCGGATCCAGGCACCATAACATCGTCGACTGTGACATAACTAAGGCAATTGAGCCATGAGCCGTCGTTCGAGGCCGTGCTGTTTTTATCATCTTCATCCAGGGTGCGAATGGCTTCGGCCGGTGAAGAAAATTAACTTAGAAGGTGTGGTAGAAGTTCGACTTCTCCCAGTGTCCATTTTTACGGTTCGGAGCTTGAAAAATCCCCCGCAATCCAACTTCGGTGGGGTCCCAGCCTCAGCGGCCTCATCGCCCATTGACTTTTGTTGTGCTTTGAATGTGTACGGTATGCTCAGACCTTTGGTAGACAAACGCCGCCAAATACTGTACTCGAGTTAGGTCTCACCGTTAGCTGATTGCATGATGTACCCACCTATTTGATTATCAACGTGCCTTTGTTGAGATGCAATGATGGAAAGCGACAGGACAGGACAACATGAAGGCAGCGGCGCGTTATGCGTAACGCCGACATTGCGTCACTGCACATTAGTAGCACCGCGACATTCTGTGACTCGCAACCTTGACAGCTGAATTGTCGTCTATGTCTGCAACATATCCAGTGCCGCAGTAGCAACAATACACATAGTCGTAAGTCGAATGGCAACTGATTTGCGCACACAAGCCCGTCCACAGGACCGTCTTGTGAAACAGTGCTGTATGTCTCAAACCGGCAAACCGGCAGCAAACGGGTCGGCTTGCGGCGCCGAGCACGTGCGTTGAAGAAATCCGCCCCGGTCGGGCTAAGGTACGGTATCTAAGATCGAACAATGCTACATACAAAGAGCGAATCTCGGGCCAATGGCGCGGCAGTCTAGGAAGAAGGTAATTAAAAAGGAGTACTGAAAGGAGATAAAAATAACAAGCTCAAGAAAAGCGCGCGTCTGTCTGTACATAGAAGCATAGCCCTTAGATAAACCGTCGGAGTGCTCACCACCGACCATTGTTACCAGTATCTTGACCCGCCAGCTAATAATGGACCCTGGAAACTTGGCGGTTGAAATGACCAGTCACATAGCAGAGCTGAGAAAAGAGAGCCGCCGACGTCACTACGAACGTGTCAATCGCAGCCAATCGAAATTCCTGAGCCTTCCCAAATGTGTTTCAGACGAACAGGTCCCCTTGTCCAGTTCGCATCTTTGGGCAAAGCACCATTGAGTTTCAGGCCTGTGCCCCGGCCGAATGACCTCACAATTAGCGTGTGTACACTTCGATGGGTGGGAGGCCACCAAAACCAAGACCATGCCCCTGTCCTTTCAACCATGGTTTTTGGCGATGGATGTCTTGGCCGCTCTGCTCTCTTTCCGTTTGATCGTGGCAGATGTCGCGTGGCACCGCCCAAATTCTGTTCTCGTTCATCTCAACACAACCTGACAAGCTGATACAGGTCTTGTGTGTTCGCTTGCTCGTGGTTCCCGCGCACGACTAAAACGTAGAGCAGCCCCTTAGCTTCCACTCACCGCCACTACTAGTACCTACCTTACTTTAGTTTCCTTGCCCCCTTCGAGACGACAACCAAGGAGTGCCTTCAAGGTCCTACATCCCACTTTCGTGGGCCAGAGCGCATGGACAGCCGCTGAGGTGGCCGTTGTACTCGCGGGGGTGGAAATTAAGGCATTCTTTTCGAGAAAGAATTACATCACAACATCACGATGAGTAGCACAGGGCTATCGACGTCGGCAACGGTGTCGGCGTCTTCTTCGACATCGGCGGCACCGGCGGCAACCTCGTCTACGGTGCCAGAGGGTGCCGGTTCGGCTCAGCAGTCAACGGGCATCAGCCTGATCGCGTTCGTGACTGCCTTGGCCGCCTCGTTGATAGTCTTCGGCATCCAGATGGGATTCTTCTTGCTGCTGCGGAACAAGCTCGTCAGAATATTGTGGGTGTACCTGTTATTCCCCGCCGAACAGAGTATAGCACTGACAGATTGACCCGACGGCCAGCAAGCCAAAAACTTACCTCGTGCCCGAACGAGAAAGAACCGATTCGCCGCCCGCCAATCATCTAGCTCTAGCATACAAACTCATGAGTTTCGAAGACCGCGAGATCATCAAGAAGTGTGGTCTTGACGCCTACTTCTTCCTGCGCTACTTGCAGACTCTATTGATCATTTTCATCCCCATCGCCGTGGTGGTGATTCCCATCCTGGTACCGCTCAACTACATCGGCGGCCTTGGACACGATGTCGTCAACAACACCCTCAGCAATACCAGCAGCACGGTTCCCACGGGCTTGGACACTCTCGCCTGGGGTAACATCGCCCCGACCAAGCAACATCGACGTTGGGCTCACCTCGTTCTTGCCCTTCTTGTCATCTTGTGGGTCTGCGGCGTCTTTTTCGCCGAGTTGAGAGTCTATGTCAAGATCCGGCAGGACTATCTGACGAGTGCGGAGCATCGTCTGCGGGCTTCGGCAAACACGGTGCTCGTGAGCTCCATCCCGGACAAGTGGCTCTCTGAGGAGGCCTTGAGAGGTCTGTTTGACGTGTTCCCCGGGGGCATTAGAAATGTCTGGATCACCCGGGACTTCACGGCGCTCCTCACTAAAATCCATCAGCGCGCCGCTGTTCACAAGAAGCTGGAGGAGGCAGAGAGCGAGCTTATCCGCATGGCTAAGAAGAAGCAACTGAAGCAGGCGAGAGAAGGCGGCCTGATCCACAGGATGATGGCCGAGAGCAGGACCGACAGAGCGGAGCGCAAGAAGGCGGAGGACGCGGAGGCCCAGCGACGTGCCGAAGGTGCCGGGGGCTTGAGCGCCAACACGCCGCATGTGCCGCAGACTGTACCGGAGGTGGTCGCCGATGGGAAGAGCGACACAGATTTGAGCGATATCCAGGAGGGGGAGAGCAGCAGCGAAAATGAGAAGTCCCAGGGCCGCAAGAACCCATTCGCAAAGATCGGGGAGGGTCTGGGCAAGGGCGTCGCTGTCGTAGGCGGAGCCGGTTTGGGACTCATCGGAGGCGTGAAGGCCCTCCCGAGGGGCATCGGCCAGGAACTGGATACGACCGCCGGCTTTGACTTTGCCGGAGCCGGCAATCGACGCGAACCTCTTTCGGCAACGACGAGCGATGCCGATTCTCCCCGACGGGGCCACATGGCGGCCGATGACGAGGATAGGCCGAAGACGTCGTTTGCATCAGAAGCACCCCTGACGGACAATACTCGGCACGCTCACACATCGTCGGACGTCTCGCAAGAGTCGCATACCAAGGAGGAGACATTCGCCCCGCGTAGCTTTGGCAACACAACTCGCCGGCCCACTAATATGGACGAGATGGTTGTCACCGAGAAGACGCGGTGGTATGAGTTTTGGAAGCCGCCAACCGGAAGCTATGCATCTCCCATTCCCCAGGGCGCCGATAAAGGCGACTATCCGTGGAAGAAGGAGAAGAAGACGTTCTGGCAGCTTGTCAAAGGATCGATCCCCTTCCTTGGTGGCGGCGAGCCGCCGGTCGAGTATCCAGCGGCGTACACCCGTGACTACGCAAGCCAACCAGAGGACGACGCCGAGTGGAGGAAATGGCTGAAGCCAGAGGAGCGTCCCCACCACCGCATCGCCAGATTTCAGAACACGCCGTCGTGGCTCCCCGCACTTCCCCTGGTCAACAAGAAGGTGGACACCATCTACTGGTGCCGCGCCGAGCTGGCCCGGCTGAACCTGGAGATTGAAGAGGACCAACAGCACCCGGAACGCTACCCGGCCATGAATGCGGCCTTCATCCAGTTCAACCATCAAGTCGCCGCTCACATGGCCTGCCAGTCTGTGATCCACCATATCCCGAAACGGATGGCGCCTCGCATGGTGGAGATCTCGCCTGACGACGTCATCTGGGACAACATGGCCATCTCGTGGTGGGGCGAGTGGGCGAGGCGCGCCATTGTATTCGCCCTTGTGTCGGCCATGGTCATTCTCTGGGCCTTCCCCGTGGCCTGGACTGCTTCCCTCTCCCAGATCGACGCCCTGGTTGCGAAATACGACTGGCTCCGGTTCCTGGTGGAGAACGAGATACTCAATAATGCCATCAAGGCGATTGCTGGTGTCTTGCCCGCGCTGGTCCTGTCCATCATTCTAGCGCTGGTCCCTGTCGTGCTTGGCCTCCTGGCCCAGTGGCAGGGATCCAAGACGGGCTCCCAGAAGTCGGAAGCCGTCCAGATCTACTACTTTGCCTTCCTGTTCGTCCAGGTCTTCTTGGTCGTCTCGATCGCCTCCGGTACGCTACAGACTCTCGCCAATGTTGGGTCGAACATCGCGTCCACGCCACAGGTGCTGGCTGTCAATCTTCCGAAGGCGGCGAACTACTTCTTCGCATACATGATTCTTCAGGCGCTGTCGACGAGCTCGGGAACCCTGCTACAGATCGGCACCCTTGTCGTCTGGTACTTCTGGGCGCGCATCGTCGACAACACGGCCCGGGCGAAATGGACGCGCAACACCAAGCTGCCGAACGTCCAGTGGGGGTCGTTTTTCCCCGTCTACACGAACTTCGCCTGTATCGCCCTCATCTACTCGATTGTCGCTCCGCTCATCGCCATCTTCGCCATCATCACCTTCAGCCTGCTCTGGGTTGCGCACCGCTACAATATGCTCTACGTCACTCGGTTCCGGACCGACACGTTCGGCGTGCTCTACCCGCGGGCCATCAACCAGACGTTCACGGGGCTCTACGTCATGGAGCTCTGCCTGATCGGCCTCTTCTTCCTGGCCGAGGACGAGAAGGGGGATCAGGTGTGCTTCCCGCAAGCCATCGTCATGATCGTCGCGCTCGCCCTGACAGCGCTCTACCAGTACGTGCTCAACAGCTCCTTCGGGCCCCTCCTGCGCTACCTCCCCATCACCTTCGAAGATGAGGCCGTCCTCCGTGATGAAGCCTTCCACCGCGCCCAGGCTCGCCGCCTCGGCCTGCTCGCCGAGGACGAGGACGAGGCTGCGGCCCTCAACAGGTCTGCCACGGTCGCCGCCGCAGGCGATGACATTGAGCTCGAAAAGCTGGGCGGCAGGGGCCACAGCCGAACCGGCTCCGTCCTTGGCAAGTTCGGGCGGCCCGTCAGGCATGCCGGCACGTGGGCGGCGCGCGGGGGCAAGCAGATCCGCGCGGCGACCTTCGGAAAGGCGGAGGAGGGCATCCGCACGGCAACCCAGTACCGCAAGACGCGCCGGCAGAAGGACCTGGAGGCGCAGCGGGCGATGGGTGAGGCGCTCTACGGCGGCTACTGCGACGTCATCGAGGACCTGACGCCCGAGGAGAGGGACGTGCTGGTCAGGAAGGCGTTCCAGCACTCGGCGCTCCGGGCGAGGAGGCCGGTGGTCTGGATCCCGCGGGACGATATCGGCGTGAGTGATGATGAGATCCGGAGAACGAACGAGTTTAGCGAGTGGATCTCGATTACGAATGAGGGGACTGCGCTGGATAGCAAAGTCAGGGTGCTCTACGGGAGAAATCCGCCGGACTTTTCGGAGGCGGATCTCATTAATCTCTGATGGAAAGGCAAGGCGTATGTATAATGAAAGCGCATACATATAGGTAGGGAGAGGGAAATACCCCGGCGTTTCGAGTGGGTTTTGTTTGTCTTCTCGGCGGGAGCATAAGAGTCTAGGTGAAGAGGCATAGAGGGCTTTGCGTAGACATGGATGCATATACGGTAGCATATATCTATACGGATACGGGTTGAAAGAACGACCTGCCATATACGTCTGTTGCATTCTGGTGCGTGGTTCGCGCTGCAATCTGAGCCAAGCTTGGCCTTGCTGAGACAAAAAAAAAAAAAAAAAAAAAAAAAAAAAAACCGAACCTCTTGGTGTCCGGGTAGAGAGTACAAGAATGCGCGCTGTTATAATTTCAGCACACAGCTATCATACATTTGGATGCAGGCCTCCTATTAAATCATGGTTTGAAGCAAGCGGTTACTGATGCATGATTTCGCTCCGTTACGGAGTTCTTTCCGTTCCCCCTTTTTAACCGTTCGCTCCATCCTCACCCACCCGGCATCACGGTATAGCAAACTAACCCTTCACTTCCTTCTTCCCCGACCTCGCCGGCAAACCGCTCCTCACAAAAGGGCCCAGCACCAGCGCACCCAGCAGGCACATCAGCGTGGCCCACAGCTGGAAGGCGCCCGCGAGCATCGCCCCGGGCGTCATGGACACAAACTTCAGAAACTCGTTCACCTGGTACAGGTCCTCCTGCTTGGTGATGTAATACCGTGTGGTCATGGAGCCGGACTTCGCATCTTCCTTCCCTCCATGCTTGGCCGTCGTAGGCGAGGGCGGAGGCGAGGCCTCGCCCTTGGCGACGGAAGCATAGCTCGGTTCAGTGCCCTCCTGAACGGCATGCAGCTTTTCCTCGGCGGCATGGTAGGGCGGCGGCGGCGGCTGGTTTTCCTGCAACTCGGAGGATGTCGGTTCCGAGACCGGGCGTAGGTGCAGCGCCGTGACGAGGCTCACCGGGCTGCGGTGGAAGGGAATGAACCATATGGAGAAAATCTGGAAGATCCTCAGGTAGACGATGTTGGTTTGCTCATCAAAGGCTGTGTGGGTTGGTCGAGGCGGGGTGGTGATTAGCTAAGGGATCCCAGGTGACCATCGATTGATTCCCCGGTTTTGAGGAATGCAATCGCTCAACACTTACCGCATGACTCGATCTCCAAACTGATCTTGGGACTGAGGATTTTGTCTATCAGAGAGCAGAGTTAATCCCTTTGGCCGTGATTTTTAGGACAGCGGCTATGCGCGGACTTACACCTGCACAAACTGTCAGCAACTGACCACCAGCGGCCGGCAGCTCCCCAAACTCACCATCGGTAGATCGCTGCGATCAGCATTCGGGAGTCTAGCTCCCCGAGAACAGGCACATGTACGTTCTTAAACGACGGCACACGGCAGAAGGGGTGCTCGAAGGTGGCGCCCGGGGCGTAGTAGCGGTAGATGGCTTCGAGCTGCTCATCTGGTGGTCCCTGGGTGAGTGTTTTGACAACTCTCTTGATATCCGAAGCTGTGGACAAAAGAGGGTTAGACATTGTTAGCTCAACAGCCCCATGACGGGAGGTAGGCACTCAGAAAAAGTATTCATACCGGGATTCTCCATGCTGGTTCGTTGGTCGAGACAACACGCGATAAATGGGAACAATTCACGCCTTGTAGTATTCGGGACTGTTGGCTGTCGTGATCAAAAAAGGGAAAAAAGGGGCAGACAAGAAATTGAGAGGAAGAGCTTTGGGACTGTCAGAGCCGGCCATGATGTATCGAGTTGATGGTAGTGTATGACACTTTCCTCGGCAATCTCCTGTGAGCTGCCCTGGTGATGTCATTGTTACCTGTATCAATGCACTCCGTCCAGCCAGCCCCACAGCATGTGAAATAGAACCCCTGCACTCTGGTGGGACGGGATCGGAAGATGCACCCGGCACATGCAATTACTATGACCAATTGCCGGTATGCTTCTCAGCCAAATCAGAAAAAAAGCAGATATGGGCGACAAAGCTTCTAGTCGACCCCGAGACCGAAACTAATGATTACCTAGGTAGGTTTGAAAGTACCTATACGTGATCTGCTCAACATATCAAACACCAGCACGGGCTGCATGCGGTAGAAGCAAGTACTACAAAGTAGGAAGATGCCCCAGACTGAGACTGCACGCCTGCACAGAACGCATCTAAATCACCCAACCAACCCATTGACCCAACATACGCCGCCTTCCCTTTGTGCTATACCTTGAACCCACGTACCTCCTTGTTCGCGAGGATATACAGTACCACCAAGAACACACGAAATCAAAACAGCCATTGCGGTCAGACATGCCACAACAAGGAGGGCCGTCGTGCCTGGAGAGGAGCGAACCGCTGGGAAACGGGGCCGCAAACGGAGCACGCTTTCCTCCCTTTCCACCCTGCTCACTACAAGTTCCTCGCCTCACCTCCGATGGCTTGCCGACCTCCTGACCTCCACAAACGTGGCATCCCCGCCAGCAAACCGGTCCGGATCGACCTCCCTAAACCCGCTCGACCTCCTCTCCCGACTCCGATACCTCGCCCTCGGCGGACTATGCTCCTCAATCACGACCACCTCATCCTCGGTGCCCCCCTCGCTGGACGGCACTCTGCGCACCCTACTGACACTCCGCCTCCTCTCTTCCGTGCTCACGACCCTCTCGACCCTCGCGCCGGGCGGCGGCGACACGCCCCTGACGACCTCCTCGACAACGACGGCCCCGCCACCGCCGGCGGCACGGACACGGCTGGTACTGTGCCGTCTCCGAATCTCAACCGTCTCCTGCCGGCGCCTTTCCCTGCTCCGTTCCCTGTGCCGATGGCGACGGCTCTTGCGCGTGACGACCGAGGCCGTGCCCTCGGTGAACGTTGTCGCCGTGTCGCTCGTGCTGCTGACCCCGCGCCGCCCGACGCCGCCGTTGATGCAGACATAGAGGAGCCAGAGCAGGAGAATGAAGCCTGCGACCGAGCCGAGGACGATGCCCGCCACGGCGCCCGGCTGGGGGCCCGTGTTGAGGGAGCCGTAGAAGGCCGGGATCGTGGAGGTTTGGACTGGAGCCGCGGTTTGCGTTGAGGTCTGGGTCACTGTGAATTGCTGGCGGGCGAGGAGCTGCAGGGTCTCGGAAGGGGTGCCGACGCCGGGGACGGGATGGGCGTCGGGATCGGATACGGGCGGTTGCGCGGATATGGGTGCAGGTTCTGCTGCCGCTGCCGCTGCCGCTCGAGGCTGCTGGACTGCTGGCGCCATTGCGCCGGGGGCCCGACGATCAGGACGACTTGAATACTTTAACCAGCCTCCGAACGCGTGTCTCAATAGGCAACTGCTGCCGCGGGTCGATGCGCTTGTGCCTCGACTTGGGCCGGGTCAAGCGCGACGCTGCAGTTCGGGGTGGCGAAAGGACGGCTCGTCTGGTTGACTAACAAGCCTAGAAGTGGGTGACTGCGCACAAGCCGGGTACGTCTCAGGGCCAAGGAGCGGTCGATCAGATGCGTCAGTGGGGGTTGCGATCTGGGACAGAAGCCTAGGTGGTCTGGCCAGCGACCGCGGCCGGACCTTAATAAGAGAACAACGACAGATAGCTGCGCTGCGATGCCGGGCAGCAGTTCAAAGCTACTTGCAGGCACAACGACGACCTCGCAACACCGGGTAGGTCGCTAGGTCAAGTGTCGGGTTTTGAGCGTTGGGAACAACGGTGAGCCAGGATGGCCTGCTGAACTGTGTTTCCCTGCAACTTAAAAGCGACGCACCTGAGCAACTAGAAAAAAAGAAAGCCGCCGGCAACCCTACCTGTTGGTTTCATGGGCGAATCCCTCCTTGAGCGAAATCCCATCCGCGCCGCAGGAGGGGGAGGCTGGGAAGGCGGCTGGCGGCCCACCCTAGCTGGTTAATAAACGGCGAGGCATTGACAAGGATCTCAACGGCTTGGCACAGGCACCGTGAGCGAACCACTGCACCCCATTCTCCGATCTGCGAGTCCACCTACCCTTCCTTCGTCGAGAATCCCAACCTAGGTACTCTATTCGGTTCGAGACTTCGATATCTCGCTGTGGCGTCTACGGACATCTCAGGTTCTCCTGTACACACTGTTATGACTGCGGTGAGCAGTTCGCCCAGTGGCCATCAACTTCTCCCTTTTCCTTGCGCGGTATGCGCAAAGGCCTAATAAGGAATCGGCCTGAGTTTTCAGTAGTCAAGGTACATGATTATTCGTCATCAGACCATTCCAAGGCCCTGGAACCCGACACCCCAGCTTCTTATCCTTTTTATCAGCCTTGTCATCCTTCCTGTCATTATGTTCTTTCCGCACCCCTCCTGGATAGCCCATTCATCAGGAGAACGTCTTGGCGGAGGGGGCCATATTTCAACGACTCACCTCGACCAAAGGGTCGCTCAGTACGTTGTCCTGATGGACTCAATGGGGGCTGAGACACGGACGCGTGCGAGGCCGGCGTCGGCTCCGCCATCGGGGGCTCTGGACTCTGGACTAAACTCTCAGCAAGGTCTGCGTCCGAGAACCTCCCCTGTCGGTTCCGGCTCGCTGCTGGCCCTTTTGCCATGCGCAGCGATCCGCTGTCGCCGCCGGCTGATGAATTTGGAACAGGCCTAACCCCCCCTCTGTTCGATATCGCTCTGTAGATCCAACAATGTTGATTGGAGCGCTGCGTACTTCTTCATGAGGGCACTATGCTGCTTTTCGAGCTCGGTATTTTTGCTCGGAGTGATGAAAGGCTGCTCTGGTACGCCGCTGCGACATCGATGGCCGATCTTCTCGGCTGATCCTGCAGTGCTTTGGCGAGCTGTGCTTTCAGGTCCTCTATTCGACTCTTGTAGTGGCGTTCTGCCTCCTGCAGTTGTTTCTCTCGAGCAGCAACCTCCAACACCATTTCTTGTGCCCGGGCCTGCGCCGCAGCTGCCTCCTGCGCGGCAGTCTGTAGCTTCGCCTCCTTGCCCTGGAACTCCCGTTCTGAGGCGGAAAGGCGGGCGATTTCAGTCTTCAGCTTTTCGATCATGGCTGTACTGATATCAACCGCCTCGAGATTCTGTTCTGACTCGAGTCTCTTCTTCTCTGCCTCTCCGACGATCCGCCGCAAGTTCTCGCATTCCGCTTGTACCTTCCCCAGCTGCTGCCTCAACTCGTTACCTTCTGCATTCCATTTCTTCTGCTCCTCACGCAGCACCCGCAGCTTGTTTGACAGGTCGCTCTCCCACTTCTTGGCCATATTTCGCCGATTATCAAATTCCTTCCTAATCTGCGCCTCGCATTTCTTGGCCTCATCGAGCCGCTGCTTCAAGCTGCGGTTCGCCATGATCAGGTTCTGTGTTTCAGCCTCTGTGGCAGACACCCTGATTTGTCGTCGCCGCAGCTCGCCCATGTGTACCATGTGTTGCTGCTTGATGAATCTTTCATATTGCAGGTCGTTGATAAGTCGAAGCCGGTGGTGCTGGAGAACATCAAGCTGATCGCCCGGTTCAACGCTGGGCCCCACTTCGTGCCCTGAGTCTTCGACTAGCGCGGAATGCCCTGGGCTTTTCTCGCCTGCTTGCTCTTGAGAGTTGAGCAATAGGGATGGCACGCTGTCGTTGGCAAGCGACTGGTGGATTTCTGATTTTGCCGCAACATTTACAGGAATTGCGTTCCGTGCATCATCGCGAGACTGTGGCTGGCTCTGATCGGATGGCAGAATCGGGCCATCATCGGCGTGCCCCTGACTCTTGAACTCGTCCTCTGCCGGTGGATGGCTGGATTGTGACCCCCGGCGAATCGAAGGACTATGAGCTCCGCTGACGGATATGGATCCCGCAGAGAACGCTTGGCGTGATAAATCGCCATGGATGGAGCTGCCGAGGAGAGCAGAGTCTAAGCCTTCCGGATCCGGGCCATCGCCCATCAGCGAGCCTGACGATCCTGGAAGCGGTGTGGCCGGACGTGCACGGGAGTGGCCGGATGTGTTATTTATAACCAAAGCCATGCAGTCCGCAAGCACTTCATCACCTTCGGTCTTGATCCAGCGGCTCATGTCCGTCTTTTCAGATTCAATGGTGAAGTTATAGAAATTCGGATGTAGAAGGTGCTGCTTCCTGAACGGTTCGGACCGGTCCCGGATCTCCATAGCCTGGACGTCGATGTCCTCGTCATTGTTGGCGTGGCGAAGATACCTCTGAGGCTTGCGAATGTACTCGACGAAGTTAATGGGGTACAAGCCATAGAGCACGGTGAAGTAATGCGGCAGATAGGACAGGGAGTGCCCGTCATGGTCCGGATCCAGCAGAGACTTATCCCAGTGAAGCCCAGCTCCCACCTCCCCGTTATCCACGCCCATCTCAGTATGTTGCTGGGTAAAGTAGGAATCTCGGTCCCAGAACAGCAGCCGAGCATAGATGTTGAAGAGTGTGGGGAGAAAAGGAACCAGGGAGCTTGCTATAAACGGAAGAATCATGATTAAAGTTATGAGAGCTAGGTTAACCGTCGCGGTCGATTCGTCCTTTTGGAGCGAGTGTAAGATGTTGACGAAGAGGGGAGTCTGGAGAATGACATGTAGATGCGGGGGGCCACTCGACACGAACCCGCAGAGAAGGCTCAGGGCCGAGTTGCGATGCTCTTTCTTGACAAGGAAGCCATTCAAAGCATTCATGAAACCCTTGGGGTCCTTTTTGCCAAATGCCATCAGAGCGTCATTGATCATCTGCTCCTTGAGGTCGGTGGAGGGGCGGAGATCCGGCTGGGTCTCGCGTAGCTCAGTCCACCTCGTGAGCAGCCGGTTGATGAGTGGCGCCAGACCTTCCTCGCTCCACGCGGCAGACTCGTCATATTCATCGGCCGAGAGTAGGTCGAGCGTATGGTCCATCACCTCCCTCGCCAATCCCTTCTCCTGCCCAACATAGTCTAACACCGGGTCGAGAAGCTTGTCCCACCATTTGAAGACACGCGCCGGCGTTCCAAGCCCTGGACGAAGCCGCCGCAGAATAGCGAGGAAGGCGGCGTATCGTTCCGGGTGGTCTTGCACGACCTTCTCCCATAGAGCAAGCAACTCATCGCCGAGCCGCTCCCCCGAACCTTCATCGGGTATTCCATGCTTTTCAAGGTAGCTAGTAATAGTACCGTTTATCTCGGCGGGGAGAGGGAGGGAGGGGGCCTGGAGGAAGCTATTGAGCGCTTTGGCGAGGTCCTTGGAAGACCTGGATTGGAGACAAGCGGTCAGCAAGCAGGCCCTCACAGCAGAGCCGCTTGCATCGATCGACTGGTGACATGCTCGGCGACGGAAACCATGAAGCGACGAACTCACCCGGATGAAGTCATCCTAACAGACACGGATCCCGGGTCATTGGGAAAGGATCGGGTTCTGGGCAGCAGATGCAGCAGATGCAGCAGATCTGATGTGACCCAAAAGGCTGCGGACGTGTTTTGACGAGCGTGGAAATAGCTCAGTTGAAGCAGCGCGCTGGAACATGGAAGCCGAGGACACAGCCACGTCCTGAGCCAACACCTGCTGTGGTGCCCGATCGATCGTTCCCTTGTGAAATGGTTGGAGCAGGATTCCTCTTTCGTTCTTGTTGGGCTGAGTTCTGATCAAGCTTCCAGGTTTGCTGCAACTCCACAACTAACGCTTGCAGGATACCTTAACGTATGTATTAATCGTAAATTCACCGTATTTCACTCTGGACCGCCAGGGTTTAACCGCTTGGCAGGGCGGATACTAGCGCCAGCTACTTCGTACACACCAAGCTGTAGTTATATAGCAACTAGTAGGTTGTGTGCAGTGCGCTAGTACGCAATGAACAACATCACGGTTGGCAGGATAGACGGATATAAGATCCAGTCGACTTCCACTTGAAGGCTGAATTTCATTGCAGTTCTCAGCGATTTGTCCAGTCCTAACTCCCTACATACTAGCCCACACCACCTGGTAGCGAATCAAAGTATGTATGTATTGTACAGTACCTTTATTCCTGGTACATTAACCAACAAAACAGCTGTAAGGCAGGGGGACTGATATACGGATACATGGTATATATTACACCGGCCAGGGAGCCTGGAGCAGACTAAGTTCTTCCAAGCTGCGATGAGATCTACCGTACCTAGGCTATGCTCGCATAGTGTATGCTGTTCTTTCCCCTAACATGCAAGCTGGTTGCCATCAGAGTTCAGGTGTGTGGCTGATGCAGGTGGCAGGTGTTCCGAAGATGCGTAGACACCGGCTATGTGCAATGGAACGCCCTCGTCAATTATGCTACGCAGTGCTAACGCCAAGAAGTCCGTCAAGAAGCCCCATCGCAGCATGCGGCCCAAGCTTTCTCAAGACTCAGAGTCAGAAGAGAGCCTGTGAGTTGGTTACATGGCTCGCATGGTCAGTGCTCCTGCCTGACCCCGCACCGCTAAATGAGAGTGGGGCTTTACCCCAGACCTTCCGATGCATCGTGTGAGGAACGAGCAATGCCCCTCCTCTTGTGGGGTCCCGTCATGCATTGAGGGCTCTCTCGTGACTGACCTGATCAAGACACAAAAGCGCCGTGTATCCCTCTTGTTGAGCACACTTGCACTTCCCTCAAGCACTCTACAGCCTTCCTCTCCATCTCTACCCATTCGATTCCACCACACTTTCACTAGCTCAAAGGAAACGGGGTATTACCACTTATACCCTCGCAACAGCTTGAGGACCCAAGTATTAACCCTCGTTCGTCTTACCCCATCAATCCAGGTTGCCAAAGATGGACACCAAGACGTCCGCAGTGGCAGACGAGCCGATTCAGGTCCTCTTTGCCCTGCATGATGGATTCGACCTCATGGACTTCGCTGGTCCTTGCGAGGTCTTAACCACCGCCCTGCATGATTCCAAAGACCCCAGTGAGTTACCATGGCCGGAGTGCCTCTGCCAACCCCGCAGTTTCTTTGACCGCGTCGCGGCTGTCCCCTCTGCAACCCGACTTGAGCGCTCGTGTCCCCTAGGGACATGTGAATGCTAAGGGCAAGCCCTTGATTACACGATGGCTCAAGGTGCAGTGCTGACCGGGTCTTGCTGAGCAGCTTCCAAGGCCTTTGAGATTACCATTGCTGGAGGCGAGTCTCAAGACAAACTCCAAGTGCTCTCCGACCAGGGCGTCCTCATCAACTCCCATGTGACGTGGGATGAGGCTCACAAACGTCTCAAAGAGTTTGACACTCTCATCGTTGTGGGCGGCAGCTCCGATAAGGTTCTGAAGAACAATGCCGAACCACTAAACCTCATCTCGGCCTACAAGACGCTCCAAGAGGACGACGTCAGCCGCGAGCGCACACTGTTATCTGTCTGCACTGGAGCCCTATTCCTGGCGAAGCAGGCAATCCTCCCGGGTCTTCATGCAACCACCCATCCTGACTACTTCATCAAGTTTGAAAACCTGTGCGCTGAGGTGACCAAGCGGGATCTGAGCGACCATACAACCCTCAACGAGGAGGCCCGTTATGTCGTGAATAATCTGCGATTCCCTGTCGAGGATGAGGACCAGAGCCCATACATTCGGCGCAAGTCGGATGCAGGTCGGCGCCCTAGTAATGCGCGGTATGTATGGGCTGGTGAAAGCTTATGCTTATTCGCCCTCAATAAAGGAGATTCCTAGTGCCTTAGGTTGCCAGCTAACAGGAGTCACAGGAAAGGGTCAATGTCCTTCAAGAACGCTTCACGGAGAGAGTCAATTGCTCGGCGTCAGGAGATGCGCCTGGGCGGCCTTCGTGTGATTACAAGCGGGGGTGTTGCCTCTGGAATGGATGCAGCTCTGTATCTGGTTAGCATCCTGGTTTCGGAGGAGTCAGCCAACGAGGTAGCCCGGCTCATGCAGTTGACCTGGACTAAGGGCGTCGTCGTTGATGGCATTGACGTGTAAGTTCGACAGCGATTAGACTCGCGAGATGGCGTCGCGGAGCGATTTTGCTGCATGATATCGACTGGGTTAGGATCTAGTTAGTGCACATTGAGAGCGAATGTAAGAGTTACGAAGTGCTTTGTTTTACGTACAGGACACCCTATTAGTTGGAGATCTTCCCGTTCCAGGTTTCGACTTGGAAGGTTCCATGTGATATAGGTATGGTGAAGGTTATGCTGCATTCGTCGAATGATGGAACGAACCTTCACAGTGGAGATGTGGTGTGGGCTAACCCACTTTTCCTTAGCTTGCGCGGTGTGCCAACTGCATCGGTCCGGCGGGCGTTTGTTGCGGAAAATCTGGCTGTTAAACCGTTGCCCACGCGACTATAGAAGCGGGTTGATGAAGCATCTGTCGATTCCAGATAGACACCACACATACCAAAGTCACAATGGCAACACCAACAGCGGCAGTAGCAGAGGCAGTAACCCAACAGCTGCCGCGCAGATTCGGCAACAAGCAAATCTTCCTGTACGGGCGACGCCTTCCGGATGCGGTGCCTGTGTTAGATGCTGATTCCATTACCCCAGACCTAACCATGTCATTGCCTTCATCCGTCCGAAGCCGAAGCAGCCGCCAAACCTAGCGACATTCGTGGTGCCGCTCGAGTTCAACAAGCTGGATCTGCGGGATTATCTCTACCACGCCTACAATGTCGAGGTGACCTCGGTGCGTTCCTTTATCAACCAGCCAGCGCCGAGGCAAAAGAACGGCAACATCGGCAAGTGGTACCGGCCACGCTCGCAAAAGATGATGATCGCCGAGCTCGTGAAGCCGTTCGTCTGGCCGGATCCGCCTGAGGAGAAGGACCGGGAGCCGTTCGACTACAAGATCTTCAAGAAGATGGAGCACGAGCGGACGAAAAGTATGGAGCGCCATATGGACCCTGCGAACATCCCGCTGCGAACACAGACACCGACAGACGAGGTGCGGGCAGCGCTCAAGAAGCAGGCAAAGGAGTTTCTAGACTCAGGCGAGTGGTCGAATGGGCGGAAAGGGGATGACAAGTGGACGGAGGTGGAGACGGATGTCCCAGTGTCAGAAGGGAAAGTAATGAATAAAGAATAGATGACGATGGGGTTACGGCACAGAAAGGGGACTTTCAGTAGGGTGCTGCTGGTAGGAACTTTGGCATAGTAGGAAGGAACCAGCCACGGTGGGATGTATCATAGCATGGAATAGAGGTGTGGACACGGGTGGACAATTGTGTGTACAATATCGAGGCGCGTCCCAGCGTCATAACTTATCACAGCTTTCTTGCTCTCCCCGATCAACCCAGAACTCCCTTCTCTGGAACAGCAAGACATCATCTCCCCAAGCCCACCACCCTGCTGTCAGATTCCTCGCAAACAATTCCAGCGCTTCATACGGCGCCGGCAGGATTTCCTCGAACAGACACCTCAGATTGGGCTTCCGAGAATGTGTGTCTGGCACCGCAACAACGACCTTACCCTCTAGCGCTCCCCTCCGCATCCCCTCCCCGCCCCTCTCCCCGGCCCCAGCATCACCCCTCTTCCGGGCAATAAGCAGCCGCTCCCAAGGCTTCCTCCACCCAGACTCAACAGGGACCACGGGCTCACCGGACGTAGTAACTTTTAGCCAAGTCCACTCCCCGATCAGCTCGACATCCCATTCCGCAAACACCCCAGTCTGGGGCGTCGTCAACAGCTCGCAGAAGCGCGCCGCATTGGTTACCCACACGGCGACAAGTCCGCCCGGGGCAAGCCGCGAGGCCACGGGGATCTGGCTCAGCAACCGCCGGATGGAGGTGAGGTCTGAGGCCGGGGAATAGGCGCCGGGGCCGGCGCGCTTGCGTTTGGCGGAGCGGTTCGGCCAGGGCGGGTCCAGGACAATGAGGTTGAATTGCTGGGGTGCTGTGAGGGAGAGGAAGGCTGTCGTGTGGGAGGATACTGTGCCCAGGACGGGGTGGCAATTGGGCGGGAGGTAGTAGAGGGAAGGGTCCGGAGTGGTGGAAGAGGTTTCCGCCGCTATTGCGGGAGACGGTGGTGAAGAAGGAGCATTTGAGCTTACTTGGTGTTTCGCGGGCGGAGCGGATATTCGTGGTAAGCTCCAGGGCCCGCCATATGACCTGTTGATCTCCTCTAGGGCTGATTCAACCGCTGCCCGAGTCATCAGCTCAGCTACTTGTGCTGAGGGGGACGACGCCGGCTGTCCGCGTCCGCCCGCCCGTGGTTCCGGTGTCGGGAATGGACATGCCGGCGGTGGCGCCGAGATCAGCCTGCGCAGCTCTTTGGGGGTTTCTCCATCTGCGCCTGACAGTTCGCTGGATGGGACCTGCGCTTCTTCGATTGACCGCGGGAGATCCAACAAAACCACTGTTTTGCGGTCGTTTTGCCAGAGAATACACGACGCAGTCATCTCATCGGTGGGCTGTTTCGAGCTGGGATGTTCCGCGCCTTGCCTGGAAGGATCTGGGCTCGCTGGGGAACAAGCATGCCAAGGGGACTTGTGAAGACCGCAATGTGGGGCCAAGCAGGGTCGCGTGATGTCTGGTTGGCCCCTTTTTCAAGTCCAGCGGGCCGGGGTGTCGGTAATCCTCGGCTTCGTGGAGGCGGGGGCCTGGGGCTTCGGCCGGACGCTTTAAAAAGCTCGATGTGTGATAGGAATGACGTTTTCGGTGTTGCATTTCCGGGATTTTCGACCTGTTCACATCGCCAGCACCAAACACATCCGCGCCCACGGGCTTCGCGCAGTCCGAAACAACAGCATCTACCGTTGCGCACCGTCTTCAGAGCATTGGCTGCTGCTTCGAATCGAACATTGACAATCACTCACACGGCCCCGCGTGATGCACTTATAGCGCGCCGTACCGATCCGTCCGATTCTCCGAGAGCCCCTCGTCGCCAACAGCGGAGTGAATTCTAACTGGAGCTCGAATGCCCCCGGCCCTCATGAGCCATGCCTCCATGCCGGGGGTCTTGCCATCCCAGCATCTGAGAGAGGCTACCGATGTTCGGCGCGCCGCGGTGGCCTCGACGAAAGAGCCTGCTGTTTGTCCGACGGACGACGAGGCGCAAGTCCCGCGCAAAGTATCTCAGAACAAGCGGAACCTTGATTACGTATGGAGGTCAGGCGTAGCAGGAGGTTTTGCTGGCTGCGCGGTAGGTGGCTCGCTTCTTCTAGGCGTATCTGAACAGTCCCAGGGTTACTGACGCCCGGGCGCAGGCCAAATCGATTGTCGCTCCGCTCGACCGAGTGAAGATTCTCTTCCAGTCTCACAACCCACAATTCGTCAAATACGCAGGGTCATGGTTCGGTGTAGGAGCGGCAATCAAGGAGATCTATCAGCAGGACGGACCGCTGGGGTTATTTCGAGGCCACTCGGCCACCTTGTTGAGGATCTTTCCCTACGCTGCGATCAAGTTTATCGCATACGAACAGATCAGAGCCATCATCATTCCCCAGAGAGACAAGGAAACGCCGTTCCGGCGCCTCATCAGCGGTTCGCTGGCAGGCGTCACATCCGTCTTCTTCACATACCCCTTGGAGGTCATCCGAGTGCGGCTGGCGTTTGAGACTAGGAAGGATGGCCGATCGTCGCTCCGATCAATATGCAGACAGATATATAACGAAGGCCAGTTTCGGAAACCGCCACCCGCAGCGGACCTACCTGTAGCTTCAGCGATCCGCGCTGCGGCTACAAGCCCCTCAACGCCCGCGCAAGCCGTGGCCCCCAGCTTCGGACTGGTCAACTTCTACCGTGGTTTCTCCCCAACGCTTCTTGGCATGCTCCCCTACGCTGGCATGTCCTTCCTCACACACGACACGGTAGGCGACCTGCTTCGCCACCGCAAAATCGCCCAGTATACTACGCTCCCGAAGCCGGAAAATTCGCCGCCAGGCAAGCCAGCGCCCCTCCGACCCTGGGCCGAGCTGTTTGCCGGCGGCGTGGCAGGGCTTGTCTCGCAGACGGCGTCGTATCCGTTGGAGGTGATCAGGAGGCGCATGCAGGTTGGTGGTGCAGTTGGCGATGGCCGCCGGTTGCGCATCGGCGAGACGGCGAGGCTTATCATGCGGGAGGCCGGCTTCCGGGGCTTTTTCGTGGGCTTGACGATTGGCTACGCCAAGGTAGTGCCTATGGCGGCGACGAGCTTTTACACCTATGAGCGCCTCAAGACGTGGTTCGGCATTTAAAGGCCTCAGTTTTCCTATTCTCCTGTACCAACGGCATGAGTGGCGTTCTTGTTTGAGGTTCCCAGTTCTCTTTTTGCATACGAATCCTGTCGTCCAGTCACATAGACGCTTTATACGGGATACAATGACATACCCCCTTACCCAACAGACCCGGAGATGTTTGGTAGCTGCGTATATTGCTATTGCCTTCGCCCCCGTTGACATTGGGCCCTTGCTGTCCTTTTGGCGGAGGTCAGTCAACCCTTGCGGAAGGCTTAACTCTGCTGATTCACGTGTTAGTCGGATATGGAAGAATGAAAGGAGAAGGCTCCACAACAGCAGAAGAAATCAACCGTTAAGGTTGCTGTTCATGACGGGAAAAGTCCTAGTGCACCTACCTAGCACGTGCCTAGGTAGGTAGCTGCCACGGTACGGTGATGGAGGTGTAGCCCAAGGGGCGGCGGAATCGGTGAAAGGGTGCAGTGTCGACGTGACATCGAAGTATTGGGTAAAGATATGGTGTGTACGGAAGTACGTAGGTAACTCGTAAGTGACTCCCGCAATACCTACCTACAGTACGTGTCCAAAAGTCTGGAGCACCCCACATTAATTAAACGCGCATCGCGACACGACACCCCCCATCATCAACCTTCCAACCAACAGAAATACAGCCCACCATGTTCAATTTGGCCGAGCTTGGTGCCAAATTGACGGTCGGCCGTCAGCCTGGCCAGGAGTTATCACCAGCTGCACGTGCAGCCATTGCTGGTGCCGTTGCAGCGGGGGCTAGCCAGACGGCTGTTGCCAACGCGTTTTCCATCAGCCGTCGTGCAGTCCAACTGTCACTTCAACGCTTCGAATCTTCTACCACCTTTGAATCCAAGCCTAGAACTGGCCGGCCAGAGATTCTTACGCGTCGGGAGAAGCGGTACATCATCCAACTTGCAAAGCGGAAGCCCTGCCTTACAACGCAACTGCTCACTAATATAGTTGATGCTCGGATCTCTCGATCAACAGTGCGCCGAGTTCTCCGCCATCATCGAATGCGCAAGTGGCGTGCACAAAAGAGAATTCCATTGACAAAGGCTGTAGCAATGGCCAGATATAAGTTTGCTTGTCTTTGGTTAGAGAATCTCGAGGTGCTAATGCAAGTAAGTGACTCTGAAGTTTACCCTTGAATCTATTGACCAACCTCTAGTCTATCTTCACCGACGAATCGTCTTGCCAGAACAATTCAAGTAGCCTAGCAGCTTAGGCATTCCGGTTCCCTTCTCAAAAATAGGATAAGAACTTTATTAATATACAAAGTCATGGTAAAGGCACTATCTCGATTATAATCTGGACAGGAATCTGGAAAGGGGGGAGGACTGACCTTATAGTCATGGAACGTGACTATCAACCACCGCAAAAAGGGGGATATAGCTCTTGGAGCTATCAGTGGGCATTGGAAAAGGGCCTTCTTCCAGTTTACGATGGTACAAGGCATTTCCAGCAGGATAACGCCCGGGTCTATACATTGTTATCCTCGACCGAGTGGCTCCTAAATCATATGATTGAGGTCCTTGAAGACTGGCCTGCTCATAGCCCAGATCTTAACCCTATTGAGCATATGTGGGCTCTATTGAAACGGAGGATGAAGCAGGAATATCCAGACATCTGGTTACTCAAGAAGAACCACGTAGATATTGCTGAGTTTACTAGATGTCTTCGGCGTTGTTGGTGGTCAATTGACCAGGCTCAGATTGACAGGCTGGTCGACTCAATACCCCGGCGATTGGCTGCAGTCAAGAAAGCCAGGGGTTGGTATACAAAATATTAATGGCTAGAACCAGGGCTTTAAACTGTATATATCTGCATTGCTAGAAATTCATTTGGTGGAACGTTATTGTAGGATAGGTGTCTTGGTCATGATGTCAAAAATCGTGTGGCGCGGGGTGGTTGGTGCGGGGTGCTCCAGACTTTTGGACACGTACTGTAGGTAGTCAGCGGTATCCGTAACTTACACAGTACAAACCAATCTTCCGATTGGAGGACAAGCAGCCAAGCGTAACCCCTGTAAATTGAACGCGCTGACCCATTGAAACGCGTTATGTTGAGCCGTTCAGCTCTTTTCACATGCGCGAGGAGGTATCTCAACACAACCCCTATGCTGCGAGACTGTTCTGACCAGAACCTTGGTCCTTGAGAAAAGGATGCCAAGAAGCAACGGCACCAATGCAGCCAGGAAGCGCACAAGATCACAGAACGAGGAGGACCTCTCATCTACAGCCAAGAAACGCCGCATCAAGTCATCAGAAGACTCGCCCGCTACTGATGGTGGCGCAAGTCAGGCACGCGAAGTGTCATCAACTGCAAACAAGCCTTTGGGGCGCACCCGTCGGGTGCTGACTGCACGAGCCGCCAACGGTACATCTGCAGACCCGCGAAAAGAGGAAACAGAATCGGCGAAGCGACCCGCTCATCACACCAAGGGCCAAACGGCCAGCAAAGAATTGCAGTCTTCAATCGGCTTCGAGAAGAGCAGTGCGTATGACGTGCCGGACTCGGGTGAGGATGAGCTGAGCACTGCCGGCGTTACCGGACGGGTCAAGCGTCAGAGACCTTGCGGTGCACAAACTGCCAGGGATACAATCGATTCCTCGGTCGCCGTGAGAGGGAACGGGCCCTGGAAGAAGAGACGTGGACGGCCCAGTAAGCGGGATCGCGAAGTTCAAGCCCAAGCAGAGACCGGGAGCGCTTCATTCAAGGAGGCGCCAGCCGGCCCAAAGGCAGCTCAACTGCCTAGACAGTCAATCGGCCGCGAGGGTCCGCCTTGCGACTCTCCCCATGCTCAAATCCAGGAAGTCGACGACGATGGTGCAGCTACGGATGATCTGCGAGTCGACAAGACGGGCCGAACAAGGAGCACAGCAAACGGAAAGCCAGCGCATAAACCTGAAGTACCGAAAGGGATTCTGACGCCTCGGAAGCCGAAAGATGACGTCGGTCGCCAGCAGAAACGCGTAGCGTTTGACGACGGGGCCGATGAGGAAGCAGTAGAGGAGCTGGCGGCCCAGACACCGTCACGATCGGCCAGGAAGCACAGTCAAAAGGCTAAGACCGTGGATGAACCGCAGCTCGACCATGAACTCGAAGACGCCAAACAGGCCTCGGACGAAGAATCCGGTGGTGACGAAGTAGACTATGACGCAGTTTGTGCCATTTGCTCCCGGCCGGATTCCACGCCGGAGAACGACATCGTCTTTTGCGACAACTGTGACATAGCCGTGCACCAAGAGTGCTACGGGCTCGCCGAGATCCCAGAGGGCGACTGGCTTTGCCGCAGCTGCTCGCAGGACGATGCCAGCTCGGCGACCCTTGGCGCGGCAAGTAGGACAAATGCCCCTGCGGTTGTCGCGCAAGAGAATCAGAGACCGAACGTCCCAAACTTCGAGCAGCACCTCCGAGCAGCACAGCGGGTGCTGCTCGACCGCTGCGCAGGCCGGCGTCGGATCAAGCTTCGTGGGCAGGACGAGGCATACGAGAAAGCCTACCGGCTGGTGGAGCAGACAGTTGTGGCGGGCGAGGGAAACTCAATGATGGTGATAGGTGCGCGCGGGTGCGGCAAGACTACGGTAAGCCTCTTCCACATTTGCTTGAAGAACGGTTAAGCTAAGTGGGCGTGCGATCGCAGTTGGTTGAGACTATCATAACCGAGATGTCGAAGCGCCACGACGACCAGTTCCACGTTGTCAGGCTGAACGGGTTTATTCACACCGACGATAAGCTGGCTCTGCGGGAAATATGGCGGCAGCTGGGCAAGGAAATGGAGGTTGAGGATGAGCTCGTCAACCAGGCATGTCAACTGGCAGTCCACGAACACCCTGACCTTTACTGACACACGCAGACCACCAACTACGCCGACACTATGGCATCTCTTCTCGCTCTGTTGTCGCATCCCTCCGAGATAGCGGAGACTCAGGACGGCATCACATCCAAATCGATCATCTTTGTGATCGACGAGTTCGACCTGTTCGCCACACATGCTCGGCAGACGCTGCTTTACAACCTGTTCGACATTGCGCAGGCAAGAAAGGCGCCCATAGCTGTGCTGGGGCTGACGACGAGGATTGATGTGGTGGAGAGCCTGGAGAAGAGAGTCAAGAGTCGGTTCAGCCACAGATATGTCTACTTGTCTCTGCCAAAGAGCCTTCCTGCGTACTGGGACGTATGTAGGCAGGGGCTCACTGTCGATGACGAGGACATGGTCCTGGAGGGTATCGACCCGAAATTGAAGGGCCACCGTTCCTTCTGGGACTGGTGGAACGGGATGCTTGAAGTAAGCACGGCCCTTCTCTCGCTGCTTGGTGCTTATGTCAGCTTCGAGTGCCTACTGCTAACCTGGAACTACCAATCAATCGCAGTCTCTCCATAACACGCAGGGATTCGTGGACCACCTGGAGTCGCACTTTTATAACACGAAATCGGTCTCGGCATTTCTGACCACGTGTATCGTGCCACTGGCAGCGCTCTCTCCCGCGGCGCCGTCACTGCAGATGCCTCCAGCCACGGGGCCTAGTGTGTCGCTGGAAGCGGCCGACTCGAAACTGCATCTCCTCGGCTCGCTGTCGGACCTAGACCTGTCGATGCTCATCGCGGCTGCGCGGCTGGACATTGTGGCGCACACCGACACGGTTAACTTCGCCATGGCGTACGACGAGTACACGTCGCTGATGGGCAGGCAGCGGGTGCAGTCAGCGAGCTCCGGCATGTTGGCGCTCGGGGGCGGAGCGCGGGTGTGGGGCCGCGGCCCGGCAGGCATTGCATGGGAGCGCCTGGTTACACTCGGCTTGCTTGTTCCGGCGGCAGCGGGCGGAAGGGGCACTGCCGGCTTGGGTGGGTTGGATGCCAAGATGTGGAAGGTGGATGTCGCGCTCGAAGAGATTCCGGCGGTGACGAAGCTAAATGCGGTCCTGGCGCGATGGTGCCGGGAGATTTGACCACTGCCCCTAATAGGAAATTTGCGCCAAGCCTTGCAGAGCCAAATCAATCGTGCAGCTGCAGCACCAGGGGTCCAACAGATCCTGCAGAATGAACGCCGTCCACCCATCCAGCATAGTCGTTTGAATCGGCAAGTACATGTACGCGAGTTCCTGGAGTGGCCAATGCTCGCTCATTCCGGGTAGGCGCCCCTGCTCGGGCACTTGAGCTGCCAGTTTATTTTCGGATGCACCGCCTCCCGCTCCCACGTGGTTGTGTCGCATCAGCCCATCACAGCCAAGACAAGGGGTCCAAGAGTTTGGCGGAGGATGGACAATGCGCCACTTCCAACGACGAGAAGCCCGAGTCGGATCGGGTTACAGCCGCCTGGCGCTGCAAATTGACGATTATTATCTACGCTATGATTGACTGTATATTATATACAACCCTATACTTGCCCGCAAAGCAGAAAGGAACTGCTGGCTTCCCGGGCTTGGCCTCCCATCTGAGCTTGAACGTGACGTTATCAGCGGTTGTTTTATGGTCGTTTGGCATTTGGCAGTTACCCAATTTGGCACTTACACGAGACAGCCATGTCGAAGCGCACAGTATTCACCACCATCACGCCGCTCCCAGCAGGCCTCACACGGCAGACCGTCCTGGATTTCCTTCATGACCATGAGGAGATGATCGATTTGAATCCTTTGGTCAAGGAGCGCCACCCAATCTCGCCACCACCTCACGCCTCGGCGGACGAACAACGCTGTCAATGGTACTCTCTGACAGACAAGATCTCGTATTTCCCGGGAGTGGCTGGTGATGTCACCTACACATGTGCTTTCAACGACTTGCCCACTGGACTACAGACACACTGCTATGCGCCTGCTGGGCTGAGTACGTGAAGACATCCATATCCTTCGGCACTTGGCGCGTTCGAGCCAAAACGGCTGATAACTGTGACAGCAATCCGCGACAAATGGACCGTCGGTGGCTCCCTCCCCGGTGAGCAAGCGCAGCCTGTCGAGCTCGGCCTCCGGGTGCCTTCAACAGGACTCTATCTCCGCGAGGACGTCGATATGCGCTGCAACGTGGTCATGACGAGCTTCGTGAAGAAGACGCTCAAAAGGTCGCACGCTGCACTTGTCGACCGGCTCAAGGTCAAAGCCCAGATTGCTAGCACGAGCGCCGGCAGACGCGGGTCAAGGAGCATCAGCAGCCAGCAGTATCATCATCCCTTCGCATCCGCTCCGTCGAGCCGCAGCTCCTCGGTCGTCAGCGCCTCCTCTTCTACCTCAGTCTACAGCACGGATGGCGGCTCGCTATGGTCACCTACGACAAGCAGCGTGGGAACAAGCCCGGCACCGTCCTCCAAAAGCCCGCCGGTCACGTACAACAACAGCAATTACCAGAACGAAGCCCAGTACAGGGCAGCCGAATACGCCGCGTCGCAGCCAAGAACCCTTCGCTCTCCGGCCCCTGAATCTGTATCCGTCCCATTGCGGAAACCGATGCCAAAACAAGAGCCAACAACGCCCTTTCTCCGCCCGGATCAGCCCGACGACTGGCCGCTGCGGTCACAACCACCGCCACGGCTTCCAGACTGGTCGCCGAAGCCGGAGCCTTCCGCTCAGCGGCCAAGGCCGCAGAACCAGCTGTGCTTTTCCGCGTACAGGCCGCCTGCTCCTGGGCAGCGTCAGCCGAACACCACAGAAACTGTTATAATTACCGATACCAATCCTCCCGCCAACGTCACCCGCAACGGTACCGCGGCGCTGCCGGATGACGCCCTCTGGCAGGCTCTAGGCGGCGGCCGTCTCAGAGCGAGTAGTCTGAAGGCTATCGCTAGTGACTATCACTCCAGGGACCGAAGCCATAGCCAGGGCAGCTGTCACCAGGATTACCCGCAAATGAGCCCCTACGACGATGAGAGTGACAGCGGGGTTGTTGTTGGCTTGGGCATGGTGGGTGCGATGCGGCCGGTGAGCATGCCCCCGCCGCTGAAGACGCGGGCTCCGCTGGTGGCCAGGGTGGATCAGCCTTTTGTTGCTCAGTTGGAATGAGGATGGCTTCCAAATTGTGCAGCGAAGTGCCCGGAAATGGAAAAGGTATCTTCGTATCGAACTACTACCTCGAGATTGGGCAGCCCATGTGATCTGCGAGAACAGTGCATTGGGAGAAAGGACCAGTTGGAGCAGAGACTGCTGCGTTCGATACCCCTGGGAAATATAAAGGCTATAGCCGTTTCTCGTCCTGTAGTTAATGGTTCTCCGTTATGTGATCCAGGTTGTCATCTGTTGTGTCGGGTTCTTCTAAGGCATGGATGGAAGTGCACAGCTAGTGAAAGAGAATCCAAATGTCTCGGAACGATAACCAGGAATTGCCGCGAAGACACCGGAAGCCGGGAAAAGCGGAAAACTGAACCCAAGCTTGACTAGGTAGTGAGCAACTACTGGTACGTCAGATCCCATTCAAGGAACGCTGACTTGAACGTCTCGGACACAAACCCTCACAACAGAAGCCCAATTACAACCCCAACAGCACACCACACAGCCTCTACCTCGACCTCCAACATCATCGTCAGCAGCCCTGACCCTAGACACAGCAACAAAATGGGTCGGTCGAACACGCCCGGAACCCGACAGGGGGCCACTGAATACGAGGCTGATGAGCGCGACGGTGGGTTGCTGCGGCCGTGGGGTGGCGCGATGCATGTTTCGTTTCTTGGTGGGCTGGCCTATATAGCAGGCCTTAGCTGTTCGTCTTGATTCTGGGATGCGGGAACTGGCCCGTCAGAGGAGAACGGGATTCGGAACCCATGGCGGACCCGGAAAGAGACGAGAAAGGGGTGTCGTTGTTTGTCAGATAGCTAAAGCGCGACCGAGAGAGCATGTCAAGAATTCTCGGAGAGAGATGCTGGGCACTGCTGTTTCATGCTCTTCTTTCAACCATGGGAATGTCAAGGAGGCCAAAAATGAGCCGCTGGACCTGCCCCAGGAACCATCCCAGGATGAAAACAACCGCACTATCCTGAGCAACCGGCCGCAAGAATGCCCGGCCAAGGCTGCGTAGACGGCAATCTAGAAAGCCGCTGGGATGACGAAGCTGCATCCCACTCATCCAAGGCAGGACCCAAAGTCACCACATTCCACGCGGCGCAAGTCAACAATAGCATTGTTGGTGCTAATCCCCTGATCCCAATGAAATAGAGTTCTGCCAAAGTCCGCTTTTCGTCTGCCTGCAGGTTTCATGGGATCATCAAGCAGCATCACCCGGACCGATTCAGCCTTCCCGAGTTTAAATGCCACCCTCCGTGACGCTCTTCCACCCCACTCTTTGATTCTTCCGTCCCCGCTCCATCCCACCTGCGACATAGAACACCTTGCTCGACGGCGTCAAGCGCTAACCCATCCATATGACAGAGGAGAGAAAAGAGTACCATGTGAATGCTCATGATCCGCTCTCTAGTCTATCCCGTCACCTCCCTCAAACGCCAAATTTTCATCAACACCGCGACAAAAGAGAGCATAGCAGAGGCATTAAGTATCAACGCATCGGGGTATCGGGAACAAAGCATCAAGCGCTTCCTCATGCAGAGAGAAAATGCAATGCACCCCGGGCCCCGATGACAGTGCAAAACAGAACGTTGATGCTATTGGAACCAACGCAACGGCCAAGCATCATAGAACAATTCGCCTGCTCTGTGCAGGTCGCAGCTCCTCGAAAGGTCGACTGGCCCACAGCCGTCTTATCGACGGTACCCTAGCCAGTCATTTGCGGTTAGACCTGCTCTGGCTGCGCTCGGGAACGCGGGTTTGGGACTGAGTCGTCGTGATGGCGTCAAAGTCGTAGTTCTTGAGCGTCTGCTCATACTTGGGACTGCGCAGGAACTTCGGGACCGAATCCTGTTCGTACGTCAGCGGCTTGTGTCTACAACAAGGATCCACTCGATCAGAGGTCGGCTTACACTCGCCATCAGCTTGAAGACGGCATTCTGCGCGTCCTCAAAGAGAGCTGTAACTTCGTGAAGGGTGTCGATCATGGCAACATCCTGTCCTACCGCCTTGGTCATCCGCGTCGCGAGGTTGTTCCGCAGCTGGTGATCGATGTTCAGCTCGCAGGGCAAACCAGGCGCCAAGAACGCGTTGTAGATTCCATATGCCTGGGCCATGATCTCCTTGATCCCATCAAGCGACACGGCACTGTTGGAACCCTTCTGCACGCTCCTGATCGCTTGCCTGCATTGCCGGACGAAGTCGTCCACGTCAAGATAGAAGGACAGGTTCTCTTCGCAATGAGTCTCGCGGAGGTTCTCGCGGAAGAGCAACCTCAAGGCAGGATCGTTCAGAATCTTGTCCAGCCGCTGTGTGTTGGAGTCCCGGGCTATGCCGCCAGCTCGCGTAGCCGAGAGGCCCTCGCTCTCCGACGCACGTCCTCGGGTGCTGGGGTTGAGGAGCTCGTGACCCTTCGCCGTCACCTGGTAGATTGCGTGCTTGGTGGGCTGGAAGAGATTGTGGGCCGGGTTTGCGGCCATGTAATTCCGATCCTGTTGCACGGCTTGTATGAGATCGTATTCCACAAAGAGCGAGGCAATTTCGATTGTTTCCCTCCTGTCGACCGTAGTGCAGCAATCCATCAGCCAGTCCGTCGCTGCTTTTCCGGTGAACGTCTCTTTGTACGTCTTGCCGCCGATTTTGCGTTCCTGCGCCATCTTGACCCCAGTAAGACCGTCCTTGTAATCGCTCAGCGAGTCTGAATCAGCCGAGTTCACGCTCGACTTGATGTTGGGGCCATTCGCGCCGATAAACCTCCGAAAGATGACCTCGATCGTGCCCCGGTCTGTTACCAGCTTATCCGTTTGTCCGTCCCGCTCCAGGGTCACCAGCTGCGGCATAGCCGTGCCGACGAGCTCGGCAACTTGCTTCTGCTGAATGCCGTTTCGGGAACAAAAGCGGTCCAGGATACAGATGCCCTTGGGGGTCAGCTGCCAGACCGACCCCTTCATTGTGTATACCTGCTGATACCTCCCATCTGCGGACTCGATGAATCTTGCCTCGAGAAACCGCTGGCAGATTGAGCGCGCCATGTCCTTAGCCATCGAAAAGGTTGTCGTCGTAGTAGTCGTTACAATCCTTGATGGGTCCTTCGGGTCTGGCATCCGGTTTGACTGGGAGAATTTGAGCGAGCCCAGGTTGTTGATGGCATCCTCGGAAAGAAATGTATGTTCCACCTTGGTAAGCCGCACCCGATGCGCTGACAGTGGCAAAAGGCTGACTATCAGGGTCGAGAAGAGGTCCTTGAAATCCTGGTGGCAAGTCTTCGGGTCAGCGTCGCGATTCCACATGACAGCATAAATCGACCGTGTCCATGCCAACGTCCGCCGAACCCGGGGCTCTATCACAAGCACTTACCCTGGTGAACGGACGATCATCGTCCGTCATGCGTAATAGCCGCGACGATGTTTGATGCATCTTGTTGTCAAGGCCAGGAAGGCGGGTCGGCTCGGGAAGAGAGGGGTCCGTCTCGCTGTATGGTTGAGAAGGAGGATTGCCGACAAGTAGAGTCGGGCTTGGCTGCTTGCCTTCGACGAGCGTCAGCCTCGTAGACGGAGCGTACTTGGAGGTCGGCCTGGCGGTGCGGAATCCCCCGTCCGGGCTGGATTGGGCGCCGGCGAGCAACTCGGGCCCGGTCGAAATGCGGCTCAGCGATTGGCGCGGCCGGACCCGTGGTTCAGTGATACCGGCGATAGTCCTGTCAACAAATGCTAAAAAGCCACCGGTCCGCTGCGAGCTGATTGACTGGTGGCTCAAGTGATGTGGACGGTGGGTGCTGCTGGAGGTGGAGGTGGAGGAATGGTCAACGCGAGAGGCAGCCCAGGAGGGATTCGACGGCGATCGGTTGCGGGAGGCGGCGTTGATAGGCTCTCGGACAGGATGAGGGCTCGGTGTTACTTCAGAAATTGGAGATGATTGGGACGAATTGGACGTCGCGGCCATCTAACAACCAGCGACTAAGAACTGGGCGCCAGTAGAATATGATGGGGGACGGGTTGCGTTCGTGTGCGGCGCCGAAACTGGGCAGCGTCGGTTCAAATATAAGAGGGACGCCCGGCATAACAGCGAGCAAAAACGTGGAGCGGGCCCGGACGGCTGCGAGGGGAGCGAACAATGAACTGCAGGCCAGGTGCAGCGTGGTGTGTGGGGACCCAGCGCATGGCAATCCTTGTGGCTTTGTACAGGTACAGGTACCCCAGCAAATCTGATGGGTGAGCTGTGGATCACACGGCGGAAACTGCCCGCCCATGCTGCTTGGCGCTTGGCGTCTGGCTGTCCGGCAACGCTCTTGTTCTGTTCGGCTGGGATTGTATGTACACAGTAGAATCGTTTGTAGACCAGGAGACTACTAGGTACCTTCATCACTCGAAGGGTAGGCAATACGGGAAGTGAGTTCTGATGTTTTATCTGACGCCGGAGATCGACGTATTCTTAAAACCTTCGTAAGAGAGCGTGAGTGACCGTACCAGTTACCACCTGCAAGGCCCCTCATTCTTCTGCAGACCGCAACATGAACTGCTCCACAGAGCACCAGTCACGGTTCCACCAGGCTATTCTGCACGTTTCTCCGTTTTCTATCGCGATTTGTGAGAGAGTACACTACAGTTCAATGGGAGAAGGGGGGTGAATTTCACTGTGAGGACTGGGAAGCATACCATGCGCGTTAGATAAAAAGAAAACCATAACACGTGAACATCTCGGAACGCGAGGTGAGGTGGTCATGAAATCGTGTACGGGACCTTACGAGATGGTTGCGATCGGCGTCTCACCTTGTAATACCATAGTTACAGTACAAGCTCGGCCGGAGTTAGCGGCAGAAACAACCATAACGGATGATAGGTTTGTGAGGTTTGTGTTGTGCCATCCACGTGGTCAGTGCTCAGGCCACGTTATTTAATGGTCAGCAAGCCGAGGTATTGTATGTACTATAAACTACCCCTGTGTATTACTTACATGAATAGAATAGGCACTATATGTACAATACTACATAGACGCAGGGTGGGGATAATAAGGTCATAGTCGAACCACAACAGTGTACCTAATAAGAACCTACCAGGAAGATAAGCATCTCATGAACAGGAGCTAGCCGGTGCAGTGAGATTCACCATCGGGAAAAGAAGACGGCCGGTAGTTGGCAATTTGCCTAGGACATGTGAGGAGGCATAAAGATAATGTTGACCCCAGCGAGGGGAAGAAAGAGAACGGCGGTCAAGCGGTGAAAGTGCTCCAACAGCCTGGTGGAGCCGCTTCGAAATTTGCTGGCGAGTTCCGCTTGGTGGGTGGTAAAGAATCATACTCCGTACAGAGTGAAAGAAAAAGTTCCTGTCTCTCGACGCGACAAAAGTTTCACAGCAAGATCTGCGCGTGGCTTCAGGGATTAATCCACGAGGTCTCACCTGCTTTGAGCGGAGGCCCTGCAGCCACGCTGTTCCATGCAGCATCTCAGGCTGTGCGAGACTGCGAGTTGGGATTTCCAAGGGTCCGTGCTTGCATTTCACTCAGTCTAGGTAACACTCCTCTCGTACCGTGTACATGTACATACGAATTTGTGGGACTAAAATGCTACCGTGAACCAGGTGGAAAAAGGCATGGCTCATGTCACTCCCTTTCCAGGAACTTGCTTGACTCGTCTCACATAAGTGGGGTGTAGTCTTCACTTTTACCCACCGCCTGCCCCTCACCACTTGGTTGGCGACAACCAAACTCGTACGTTTGTTTCCAGACCAAATACGATAACTTGGTGGGTTGTGAGCATGTTAGGAATAGACTTTTTTCAGAGCTTGTGAAGAATCGGCACAGCCCGCCTCTACATAGCACTAAAATCCGTCTATGATGGAGCTCGACGCACACTCCCCGCGCCAAACACCACAGCTAGTCCCACGGTCAGTGATTCCATGTATTGTGCCGCTGTGGACATCCGCGATCCGCGCAGATAAGTCCGACCATCGGACCGGCTTGTGATGTCGGCACCGGAGCCCCACACCTGGCAAGGGCTTCAAGCCTTCGATCCACTCAATCACCTTATGCAAAGTATGGTATCTTGTACTCGTATGTAGACAGCAGATGGAAATAACAACTTGACACCGAGAATATCAGGGCGGGGGGGGGGGGGGGGCTCGAGGCGGGGTAAGTTTGGGCCCTACACCTGTTACACTTACTGGCAGGTGCAGAGTTGCTTCTTCTTGTACATACCAACTATGGAAGCCTGACTAAAGGTCATCATAGGAAAAGTAATAGTTCTTGTATATCTGTCAAAAGCATTGTCGGCAGATGGGAGGACTAGACAGACTACCTACTTATGAATATCGGAATAACGTGGCAGATGATATATCCTGTATGAGCCCGGTGGACAACTGAGAAAAGTGTCAATAGCCAATATCAGGTACTACTAGTAGTACCCGCAGTGTCTGGCAGCCACAAATCGCGATGTCGGAAAGCAGCATAGTTTGCGGGTAAGATCGCTCAAGGATCTAATAAGTGTGTCTAATAACGTTAGCTAAGCTCAAAGGGTCAGAGAGGGACACAGCCTGGAGATATCGCTGTCTTACACCACCCTTATTGGATCCAATGGTAGAAGTCTTTGTACAATACACCGAGTCCCATCCGTAGGAACTCCCGGCGCTCGGGTTTGATGTTTCACCATCTGCAGCCCTCGTTCAGAACGAGACTGGTCACCACTTTCCACTCCTAGTACACAATAGGCAGTTGACAATGACGAGATGGCGCGTTTGGCCCTTCAAACCAGAAATAGCAAAAGGCAGTACCTAGTTGCCGGAGACTAGGTGGCCATCCTAACGAGTGTTCCCCGGAATACGGCTTTGACTGCACAAACCCACAAAATTATAAATGAGCGAAAAGTTACGGCACTCCTTGGTAGGTGTCGCCCAGTTGTTTTGTCCAGGTAGATCTACATATAGTATATACTGCAATCCACGCCGTTGTGGTGCAATGACGCCGGCAAGCCCCTCGTCGTCGGCGTGTCCGTGTTTATTGCGTAGTCTGCTTATTTCTTCCCTGGTCTAATCACTGTGGATGATAATCAACACGAAGTTGTCGTGCCTGGGGAAGTTACATAAGAATCATGCGATGCGCTATATATTACCAAGGAGTATTCCGTACATAGCTTATATACATATATCGTACGGATATTCCTCATCTTTTCATACATAATCCATCTGGGTAGCTCGTGCTTCGAAGTTGGTACTTCAACGCCACCACCTTCAACTCACCGATCAGACTGGGTGTGGCCAAGCCCCGCAAGCTTGCCTTCATCCCACCAGAGAGTAGCATTCAATTGGCCCCTTCCGCCCGTAACTTCTACAATACAACTTGCACTGTTAAGGTCTAAGGGGTAAGTACATATATCTCAGCTTTCAGGTAAGTTCTTGTACCAACACAGTGACTACGGTACCTAACCTCCCGGGAGATTGGAAACCACACCGGAGAATGCTGAGGGAACATGAACGTTACGTAGAATCAGGTATGAGCAAAGCCAGGCAGAAACACAGAACTTACGGCTGCAGCGGCGAGCAAGTCGCACCCAATGGCTAATAAAGGAACCTCCGGGTTGGAGGGTTCCGACGGGAGATCCAGAAGTGCAAAATTTGTCGGGCAACTTGAGCCGTATTGTACCTGGGGTATGTACTGGTACAATCGGCCCCGGCCGGGAAATAAGCCACGTGAACCAGCATTTTCATCCTTCCGAGGAAGAAAAGGAGGGAAAAGCTTGGGAGGTGGGGCAGGCCACGTGGTTAGCGGCAGCCGCCGCAAGGCAGAAGCTCCGGAACCTGAGCAGTGGAGTGGGGTGCGCAGGAATTCCTGATCAGGAGGGCCCAGACGTTCTGCTTACATGCATACAGTAATCCGTGCATAATGGTCGGATGTCGCATGCATTGGTGGTCGGAATATCCGTACGGTTTCTACGTGAAACGGTGCCCAGAAATAGACGAGACTAAACTAGTGTACGTTACCTTGTGGGTTACGGAGTACGTAACCGGGTACCATAACACCTATTGCTGCGAAGCACATCTCTAGAACTTGCAAGGCCTTACTGCAGTCTCTTGCCTTACGGATATAATACATACTAGTACCTACCTACACGTGTAGTGCTAATGGAAGATAACGCGAGCTGCTAATCAGTATTGACCCCAGTAATCCGAGATTCCATCACGGCACATGGCATAAAAGGCCGGGCGCTCCCTTGCCGCAGCTCCAGCACATCAACCAGCCAGTCGCCATTCCCGGTCACAACGCGGATCTCGTGAGACGGATGCGCGAGCAATACCTATCTATGTAAAGACACAAAGCGGTGGAACACTCTGCATGATGAGGTGCTCTCAGCGTCACCGTTTATGCGTCGCACTGGACCGTTGAGGGCACACGACAGGAACATGTCACAAACGCTGCGTCGCAAATACTAGTACTAGCAGCAATAAGCGAAATGACGGACGCAGGCGGGTCCCGCACCGCTAACGGTCGTGCCACGCATTCCACGAGGCTGCTTTTTTGTCAGAGATCGAACCCTGAAGTCAAACACCATCCTGGCACACACGATGCTCTCCACAGCAGCTGATCCTCCTTTCCGCGAGCTCCGAGGCTTCTAGAAGGAATCTACCTACCCCGGCCGCCCACATCCCGGTCCTCAGGTTGATGAGAAGGCGGCGGTTCGGCTGTTTGTCGTTTCACGATGGCCGATTTCATCCAGGGTCTTGAGTCTTGACAAATTGATGACAACTGACTAGGGGAGCTGGGTGGATGGATGTTGTTCTCGTTCCTCTACAACTCCTTTCGCGTTCGCCTGACCGCCGACTCACCGCTACAATTCGAAGATGGTTGACTGTGCGGTGCCAAGGGAATGGGAATGGGCCCAACTCGTTTCGCTGGACGCCATCCTCAGTGGAGGCACCCTGCAGTATCCCTTCGTACGCTATTTACTCACTGACTGGACTACAGGTCTCGGATGGCCTTGGCGTTCTCGATCTGTCTACGGAGACGTTCGGGCGGTGGTTTACAATCCCGGGCGACAACAGCTTACGGCGGTGGCAGTGACCGTCCCATAACGACGCTTTGGTGTCCGGGGAGGTCGACCTCTTCCCCGACGAGTTGGTGATGCGCAGCCGGAGTCATTGTGTAGCCCAATGAAGGGGACCGGTGGGTGGGCTACCTGTTCTTCAGGCGACTAACACAGTAGACCGTGACTCATTCCGATCTCCCCAGTAGACGTCTGACAGTAGGTATGTACTATATGTATTGTATTGTAAGCATAATGGATACACAGCGGATGCTGCCAACATTTTCATGCTCTGTTCCATTCCGGCTATGCCTGAATCGCAGAATCTGAGTTTTGTGCGAGGCATGGACCCGATATAATGGCGTCCACTCTACCAAGTAATTGTCCACCAGCAAGCGGTCCCAGAGTTTAGCCATTGCTCGCATGCAGTTGTTAACAGAGCAAGTCATCAACGACCCGGCAGCTCGTACATACACAACCTTACTACGGATACACTATATGGCCCGAGCTCTATCCTGAAGCAGCCAATGGCGGTTGTCGATCGCCCATGTGGCGCCGTTGCGGTAGGTTGGTTTCAAGCTCTGCGGCTCAGCCGGTGACGACTGGCTAACAAACACATAAAGTACTCCTTATCTTACTACTCTGTCCTGCGCAGGTGGCGAGTGCACCATGACAGAATCGACGCAATCGAATCTAGTGTAAAGTAATCAGGCGTCACATATTCACCTCCCCAGATTCGACTTCGCTCTTCGCCTTATTATCAAATGCCGAGCAGATAAGCTCCCAGGCTACCCTATGCCCACGGTAGATGCCGCGCAGGGTTGATCCTGAAACGCGGAAGCAGTCTAGAACCCGACGCAAGCAACGACCGCTCCGGGAACGGAACAATGCCCCAATCCGTCGTTTCCGACTTGGACTCACACAACGGTCGCTGCGACCACGGTCACCACCGCCAGCGCCAACACTGCGGAGACGCTAGAGCCCGCTCCCGCTCGCAGCGTCACCAGTCTCCATGTACATGTAGTACCCCGCGCGGGGATGGTCGGTACCAGACCGCCCGGCGCCGGCCACCCTCCCGCTCCCCGTCATGCGCGTCAGCATGTTCCTTGTCGACCTACAGCACCGGCAACGGCAACGGCAACAACAAAGCCCTCGTGCCCCACGACCACCACCACTGTCCTCCCTCAAGGACAGGGGAGCTCGCCCGCACCCGATCCCCCTCCCGACGCCGGGTTTCCATGGACAGCGGGCCGGAGGAATACACCGTCTACCCGGACGGGCGAATCCGCGAGCACAGCCACGACCATAAGCGGGGGAGATACCGGAGCCGCGACCAGGCTCGCAGGGACCGCCGGACTCGGCGTTGGAGCAGGAGCAGGAGCAGGAGCAGGAGCAGGAGCAGGAGCAGGGACGTGCGTGGCGGTCGGTACCGGTACTGGCACAGGGATGGGAGGCAGCGATCGAAGGAGGATGGCAAGGGGCTGTTGATTGCTGCGTTGGTATTTGTGGCAGGGATGATACTGTGTTCTGATTGACCGTTGTTTTCGAGGCGCTTGGAGTTGAGGACATGGAATATGATACCACTTGTTATGGGCGTGTGCAGGTGTGCAGAGTTGCACGTAAGCTCGGGAAGCACATCCTCTGGCGTTTCGGATTTGGAAAGAGAGGGATTTCAAGGATACCATGAGATATCATTGTCTCCAAAGTCCCGTTGTTTCGCACGCCAGGCTGTTCATACCCCGAACTCCTGATCTCCCACCTGTATGTAATAACCCGTCAGAAACGCCGTCCCCCAGAAACGTCAAGCTTGTGCCCCTATGTGATACAGATTGATTATTTTTATCGGGTATACAATACCCAGGTCTCAGATTGAGCTCGGCGCAGCATCTTTACGCCATCCCTTGGCCCGCATATTCGCCTCGATCCCCTTCCAGATGGCCTCGACCACCTCCCTGTCCCGCCACCGACTAGTCTCGGCCCCGGGCTGCCCGGGATCCCTCCACTTCTCGACCGAGCACGCGAGCACCTTATGCCCGAACCCACGGACCGCCTCGGGCAGCTGCTCCCCCCGCCAACCCAGGTAGACGCCCAGCACATGCTTGAATAGCTCGTTGGGGTTGCTCCACCGGTAGTTCTTGAACTGCCACGCCTGCCCCGTCGTGAAAACTGCCACCACGCGGTTCCAGTATTCTGGCTTGAACTGCTCCGGGCCCTCGACCAGGATGAAGCGCATGGGTCGCGACGGGTCGATGTCCTTGAGCGTGCGGGAGATATGCAGCATTGTGGAGGTCGAGTTGTGATCCGGGGGCGTGTAGCGGCCGCCCTCGAGGAAGGCCTTGGCGTTGGACATGCGCAGGAGGGAGGAGGCCGAGGGCGAGAGGAGGATGATGGGGTCGGGTCGGCGAGCCGGCTTTTGGTTGAGCGCAAGGGGCGCGCCGCTGCCGGCGCCGGCGGCGAAGGGAGGGCCACCTGGTTTGCGCGCCATGAAGGGCGCAGCGAGCTTGCGCACGTGGGAGAAGTCCTTGGGGTTCGAGGGTTAGGCCATACAGTCAACGAGGGGAGGGGGTGGTGGATGACGACTCACAGTTGGCTTGATCCCCCTGAGGACGGTATTCCGGTCTCCCATGCGACGCTCCCCATTGTAAATCTGCGCCAGGCGGGGATCTAGCGTCCCGCGTCCTGCGCGACCTGGCACGGCTGGCGCAGCCTTCACTGTCGCAGCAGCACCGGCCCCTGTCGCAGCACCCTTATCGCCGGGCAGAGGCTTGATGAACTCGCTCTCCTCTTGGGCGCCCTCCAGGAAGGTAAACAGCACGAGACGCTCGACGAAGGCAAACATGTGCACGGCTGTGGAGCCAGCCATCTCCTCATTAAGTTTGGTGGCAACGGCATTGTACTCGGGAATGGCGAAGTCGCGGTTCAGCCACGCAAAGTAGATGGAACGCACGTCGACAGCTTTACCTTCGGTCGACGTAAAGCGCGTCGGCGTATCAATTGGCATTGCGATACGGGTCGGTTGGGTGAAGACGAGATGAGTGGCCTTGGATAGCGGCGCTTCTTCCGACGAGTCGGCGGACGCGGTTGGGATGATCTTGCTGCCCGCCGCGATGGCCTGCCGCAGCAGCAAGAGCGGATCATCGGTCGACGCCATATGTATTCGCTTCCACGATGCGTGTGCGACAACTCAGTGCCCCCTATCTCAAGTTAGACTCGATGGCGCGGGAGGCAGGGTGCAGGGTGGTGCAGAGTGCAGGCGTCTCGGCTCGGTCGACGATGGTGATCGGAGTCGCGTTCGATGGCTCAAGGCTGCAGATGCAGAGGCCCACTTTTTCGCCGCGCTCCGGAAGGCTGAGTTGAGAGGACGAAGACGCTCGGACCATCTCGTTTTCCTTACTGCACCTAGGTGCCTGCCTTACTTTTGACGACTCGATAAGGTATTTCCGACTTCAGTGATTCAATCTACGAGTAGGCTGCTAGCCTCTAGGCACTATTATGGATAGGTACCTACTATCAAGCAGGGGCAAAATCTTCTGGTTGGAGTAATAGTTCTCTTTAGCAACGTCGTTACTTCTTGACGGTTTGTGACAACCAAGACGAACCCATTGCCAGAACACAAAAGCTGGATTCGTGTAGAACAGTTGATGTACCGACTTCTGTGTCGAAAGTAACGTGAGTGACGTAACTGAGGTAGTCTTTGTTGTGGGGCGGTTTGGAGCTTACCATGTGAGTTGACGTTATTTGTGCTCGTGTGCTATTGCTAGCTGTAAAGGCACTCTATTGTTGCTCTTCACTAGGTAGGTAACATGAAGTCTAGACTCCCAAGGATAACCACGAAGTGTAATATTTGCGTAGCTTCCCGCAGGCGACTCGGCCACATCACAACATAGGATATCTGACACCCTCGGCTGTGGACTGCTGAATAGAAGTCACCGTTGCTAGGAAGGCACACTTCTAAAAAGGCATTCGACATACTAATGGTCGTCATAAAGTCGCTCACTTCCAGGTGGTATGGTAAGTGGGAGAATCATCTAGTCTCAACGGAGTAAACACGAAATCGTCTAGGGGCTGACATGGCGGCCCAAGCTGTACATAGGTACATCGACACCGGCTGTCTATAACAGCGGGACCCCTCCAGCGGACCTAGACAACCACCCCCTAAACAGCTCAGTATCCATCCAGAGCCTCCTCGAACACTCAAGTTCGGTCTGGAGATTCTCGTTTTCTGGTTCCACATTGTCTCGTGGGGTCGTGGGCCCCATCCGTCATCTTCTTTGAATTTCGACCTCGCGACCATGGTCACCCGGGGCCCGGACACTCGTTCAACGTGAGACATCGAGCCGGTGAAGTGACAATGCCACCCAATCCAAAGTCGACATAGTGATCGCTTTGCCGGACAAGCGCGCCAGCTGAACAACCCACCCCACGCGGAGAGAAAGGGTGTTTAGGAGAATGAGATGACCTATTTGGCTTCTCCGCCGATGGCAGAGCAAGCGCAAACAAATGCACATGCCAAATAACGAGTCTCATGAGTCGACCAGCATTGTGTCGTCGCCGTCAAATGCTGGCCCTGGTTGCTCAGCCGGGACACCCCTTCCTCGCCCGGCGAGGAGCTCTCGCCTGATCTCAGGGGCAATTTTCTCGTGGCCATGGTTTAGCAAAAGGTCTAAGAGCGCCTCTCTCTGATCTTCAGTGACTGTAGGGAATAATGTGAGCATTACCGACAGTAGCACCGACTCCCCTTAGAAGGTCACTCACTATCATTGCGATATCGTTGCGCGAACACAAGCATGCACTGGTGAAAGATGACGGGCAGGGCCTTGGGGGCAGCATCTCCATCTCTGGCAGAAGCTGCATACCGGAGGAAATGGAAGACAAGAGAGTCCACGCATTGCCACGCTGTCGAATCCGTGTTAGCTCCGGTGGACCAGACAGGAAGACGGCCAAATCAGAATGGACGTACGTAAAGCATATCGCTTCTCCAGAAGGACCTTGAGCATATAGTTTGTCGCGCTGACGCACTCTGATTGCTGCGAGGCCTGCTCTGCAGCAATATCACACAGCGTCTTGATGGCTGCGGCTGAATGAAGCACAGGGATAGACACTCGAGCCAGTACAGCGGAGATGATTTGTGCTTCTCGCAATGTGCAAGTGCCTTGGACAAGCGTTAGCACTGCGGTACAAATCCCATGATGGAGACTGGAGCGGCTTACCAGATGCTGCCAACGGGAACAGGAAACCTGAAGAGGACAGTCTCAGTTAGCAACATAATATGCCAAGCTCCGTTGAGCGGACTAACCCTTGAAGAAGCCGGCCGGCTTGAACAGGCCCCTCTTCAAACAGTTGAACAAATGAACATTGAGTTTCTTGTTCTCGTAGATATCTTCGCGGACGCGCTCCAGAATGACCATCTCCATGAAGCGCTGGACGACCAGTGGTTTGGCGGAGACAAAGATTCTTGTCGCAGCGTAGCAAGCATTTGGAGTCCTGAAAGCCTCTAGTCAGCTACGCTCTCTCTCGCTCTCTCTCTCGAATGTGCAAGTGCTCCGCATGTTGTACCATAAGTCTGGGCGCGTGATTTGGAGAATATCTTCCCAATGTGGTATTTGTGGCAAGATCTTGAACGGTTTTGGCAAGGGACCAGACTTGTACCGCGCAAGGATGAGCCCAATCCTAGTGTCATGTCAGTATACCAAGATCTCCTGTTCTTCGCCGTAGTAGATCCCAGACGCACTTGGTATAGACTTCGATAACCTTTGGTGGTAATTCATAGTCCTCCTCAACCGGGTTGTGCTGCTCCTGCCGTCCGCCTTGCGTAGCCTCCTTCTCCGCAATCTTGGCCAGGATGAGGTCGGCCAGATTCGTCCCTGCCGCACTCTGGTCCTCTGCATGATCACTTGGCTTCCCGTCCCAGCCGTTTGTCAGTAGGGGATCGTCGTTCATTGTGGGCGTAATGAACTTGTTGAATGTCTCGAGGTCGGCCGCATCGATCTCAATCTCCTCAACAACATCCTCTTCATCCCCCCACGCCTCTTCGTTGGCAAATTCCTGCTCCTCCTGGTCGCTACCGTCCTCCAGCCGAGACGGGTCAAAATCGAAGGCTGATGGGCCAGATGGATCTTTCGTGCGGGGGCCAGACTGAAGTCCCTCCTCATCTATGAGGTCGCGGCTCATGGCCAGGATCTTGCGGGAAGCCTTGGCGTCGACATAGGCCTGCTCTTCAGCCTGCTTCCTGTCCGCCCGTTTCGAAGGCCTTCCTTCCCTGTTCTTAAGGAGCCCAGTTGCAAGGAGGTCATCTTCGAGAGGATTGTGGCGTCTCTTTTGAGACAAGCTCGCTGTTGTGGCTTTCGGCATCGTGTAGTGGTGTAGTCCGTCCGCTGGATCTTTTTTCTTTTTCCCGAATTGTCGTCTGCCAGATGTGCCAGACCGCTTTGGCGTAGGCTATCTTCAGGCCTGAGTTGTCTGGAATTTTTCGTTCACTTCACACAAAACCTAGTCGCCAAGTGTGGGGTCTGCTACGGGCGCGCAAGGAAATCAATTGGCTGGACCCCGGCTGATAAACGGAAATATAATCAACCGGGGAGTGGTGGTCCCTTATCGGGAAGTGCGCTCAGCTGCGATACGTCAGACTTGACTTATCGATAACAGAATGCCCCTCGTTGCCCCGCGGAGCTCCCACAGGAACTCGATCTGTCAATCAAGTTGCAAGTTGAAATTTGCAGCTGTGTGCGACAACAAGGAGTTCAGTTACCAATACTGTTTCCCATATGTCAATACCTAACTCTTACCAACGTCAATAGAAATCATGCCCACAGAACTTGAAGAGGTAAACGCATCGCCTTGACCAGGCTCCAGAGACTACCTTACATGAGCTGACACCATAGCATGTCTGCAGCTTGTGGGGTTCATCGGCCACCCAAACCCCCAAATTCGCAAACTGGCCACTGAGAATCTGGTGCCGTATTCAACATCACAGCCCTCTATTTTCAAAAGCGAGGAGCTGCTTCCTGTTAAGCATCTCAAGTTTTTGATCAATGATCATCCAGTGAGACCTCCACGTCACCTCGTAGATCCAGGCCTATTGCTGAGCGGTTGTGGTAGACCATAGCAGAACACGCTTTGACGATTCTGGTCAATCTCACGGCAGATTCGAAGATCCTTGAATATGTAGCAACCGACGACAGATTCCTCGGTACCCTCCTTAGTTATCTCGTTGTATGTATGTTGGTCGAACCACGGCCGCTCCGCCCCAAACGACCATGGGAACGACGCTGACCAGGGGATATGGGCCCCGATTCCAGGTCCCGGCGGAACCTAATGCCAATGTGCTGGCTATGCTCCTTGCAAATATGGCAAAATGGGACGGTTTGAAGAGTATTGCAGCTCGCAAACAGGATCCTCCCAAGGAGCTGCAGTCGAACGAGCTGGTACTCAACCAGCTCCTCGATCTTTTCGTGAAAGGGGCCGATGGCACGTATAACGAACACGCCAACTTCGACTATCTTGCCTATGTCTTTGCGGACCTCTCGAAGCACGCTGAAATACGACAGTTCTTCCTCACAAAGCAAGATTACGACGGCGACGTTCCGCTGAACAAACTCAGAGTGTTCACGGAGCATAAGTCGGATATCAGAAGGAAGGGAGTGGCGAGCACCATCAAGAATGTGGCGTTCGACGTACCGGCACACCCGGCTTTCCTCGACGAAGGCCAAGTCAACATCCTGCCTTACATTCTGTTGCCGATCACCGGGAATGAGGAATACGATGTAGAAGAAACGATGGAGATGCTTCCGGAACTGCAGTTGCTGCCTCCCGACAAGCAGAGGGATCCAGATCCCAGCATCGTGCAGACACACGTCGAGACGCTGACGCTTTTGACGACCACGAGGGTAGGGAGAGATCTGATGAGGCGTGTCAATGTGTATCCGATCATTCGAGAGACGCATCTGCGTGTCGACGACGAGGGTGTCCGCGAAGCCTGTGAGCGGTTAGTGCAAGTGCTGATGCGAGATGAAGCAGAACCTGAGGCGGAAGCGGCGGCCGAGAGCGACGAGGATGACAGAATAGTCGAAGTCTAGCGCAGTCAAGCCAATCTGAACTGAAGAGGTGGTCTGCTGCAAGAGCCAGTACAGCTCCGGAAAGAACTCGCGTGCTCTGTTTCCCGCTACGGCGGCGGCTGTGTGTCCGGTGGCATTCCAATGACCTAATGCGAGCCAAGCACGACAAGCCACGGGACACGACAAGCAATAAAGCTTAACTGGCGCAGCGGTGCGACACTGGCTTCTCAATTCCTTCTCTTTTCATTATAGCGCACGCCTCTCGTTTCAACAAACCGACGACCAGAAAAGCAGCAAAATCAATAGTTTCTCGAAATCAGAAGACGTATGGTGTCAGCTTCGAAACCAGTTACATGCCCGCGATTTGACACGGCCGCCATGTGCAAGCGTGCCACCGCACTGGCAGCTCGTGCGTCGACCTTGGCTTTCCATTGGCTGGGGCGTTCCTGTCGGTCGTCTATCTGTTTGCGGCAAGGTCGACACTGCCTCTCACGACCTCCAAATGATACGGGAAACATGCCGTCCTTTTCCTCTTATAAAGGCAGACTGACAAGTTTCTGTAAGGGACTCCATCTTAGCATCATACATAATGATCCCGACGGGACAAGAGACTTGGCGATGTATGCCCAGAGATGGCCAAGTCTTGCCAAGTGGCCCGAGCGACGACTTACCCACGCGGGTTGTGAAGAAGCTTCTGCGCCAGAACTGTCCGCGCAAATAGGGCCGAGTCTTCCAGACCATTGCTCAACTTGGCTGCATGTGAAGTTCTCTCGGGTGGAGAATTGAACGGAAACCTCCGACAAATGAGAGCCCGCCATCCCGCAACGTGGTCGGACGGCGATTATCATTCGTGGGGCAAAACCCTGTCCCGAGCATGCACACGATCTCCACTACCCTTGCCGGGCGGGTCCCGGGCGGATATACGGGGTGGGTGTCCCCACTAGACGCGACTTGCCGCTTCTGGAAGCATACCGGCGAGGCGATTGGTCCATTGCTGCCTTTTACGTCGCTCGAGAACTTGCAAGCAACCCTCAATTTATCGAGCTGCCTCGAATTCTCTGTCTTACTGGCTGCCGAGCCCAGGTTGCCAGGGGCGGTGACCGAGAGGCAGATTTGGAAATCGGCTCTGGAGACTGCGATGGCAACATTCCCGCCGAGTGTTTCAACCATCAAGCAGCCTTCCATTCGGGGCCTCAGCTTTACGTCCGCTCACTAACGCATGAATATACCGGAAATGTTCTGCGGTGCAGCAGCCTGGTCGATGCCCAGATATGCCCAGAGATGGGCGCCCAGACGGGTGATGGCGGGGCAGTACAGGCATGCCTCCGTGAATATGATCCCCGGTGCGGTAGACGAAAAGACCTTTTTAAACCTGCGATCAGTCTGAAGAATCTGTAATTTCAAGGCACAGCTCGCGGCTGATTGCTGCCGAACTTTCCGCTCTATTAGCTTCTACGCGCAGGAAGATGCGTGTGGTGATGCCGTGTTGCTTCGCCACGTGCGATATCTTTGCATTCCCAGGGGCCCAGGAAACGGGAACGGCCACCGAGGGTGGGGTGGATTTGTCTAGCATTGTTGGGCATGAGGAGAGGAAAAGGCCACTAGCTCGGCCTTGCATGACCCTGCATCCCATGTATTGGACCAACCGCAGACTGAAGGTGCGGCAGGCACGCGAGCAGGATTCGTCGACTGCTCCGTGCCTTCGGCTGAAGGCAAATGGCAAACATGCAACTGCACTCCTAATATAATCTTGGGCTGACCCTCGACCGAATTGTTTCGCTTCCGTCTTCCCGTCCCTCCAGTCATTTATCAACGGACTCCGCGACCCGGTCAGCCTCGGGTAGATCATTTGCGATCTATCCATCCTGCCGCTTCCCTTCCTATCTCTACTCTCTCCCTTCCGTCTCCTTCACCACACACACAGGCTACCTTAGCCATGGCGGCCACAACGAAGACGTCGGGTGGCAACAATGCCTATCACAACTTCCACAACGATTTCGCTCACGTCCAAGATGTCAACGAGCGGAGACGTCTCGCCCTCGCCGAGGTCGACCGCGCTCCGTTCGGCTGGTACCACGTCCGCGCCATTGTCGTCGCTGGTGTCGGCTTCTTCACGGATTCCTACGATATCTTCACTGTCTCGCTCCTGACGCTGATGCTTGGCGTCGTCTACTACCCCGGCGTTGGCCAGATGCCCACCAGCTCCGACACGGCCATCAAGCTCGCGACCTCGGCGGGCACCGTCATCGGCCAGCTCGGCTTCGGAGCCCTCGCTGACGTCGTCGGCCGGAAGCGCATGTACGGTCTCGAGCTCATTGTGATCATCTTCGCCACCCTCGCCCAGGCCTTGTCGTCAAACTCCCCCTCGATGAACATTGTCGGTGTCATCATCTTCTGGCGTGTCCTCCAGGGAGTCGGCATCGGCGGCGACTACCCGCTCTCGAGCATCATCACTTCAGAGTTCGCCACGACAAAGTGGAGAGGTGCCATGATGGCCGCTGTGTTTGCCATGCAGGGCCTCGGTCAGCTTTGCGCTGCATTCGTCATGCTCTTCCTAACCCTTGGCTTCAAGTCCTCGCTGGAAGGTTCCACCAAGCTCGCCAACTGCACCGGTGGCTGCGCCGAGGCCGTCGACAAGATGTGGAGGACCCTGATCGGTTTCGGCGCTGTCCCCGGCTGCATCGCGCTCTACTACCGCCTGACCATCCCCGAGACCCCGCGCTACACTTTCGATGTCAAGCTCGACGTCGAGAAGGCCGAGGGCGATGCTATGGCCTATCTGAAAGGCAAGTCTTCTGGCGTCACCGACGAGGTTTCGCGCGCCGCCGCCCAGAAGCAGGCCCTCGAGCAGATGAGCACGCCGAAGGCCAGCTGGGGCGACTTCTTCCGTCATTATTCCAAGCGCAAGAATGCCATGCTCTTGGCTGGGTAAGTCCATCTCGCGCACACAACTTGAATATTCATCAGCACCTCTCGACTGACACATATCTCTCCCCCGCCCCTCAGTACCGCCCTGTCTTGGTGCTTCCTTGATATCGCCTATTACGGTGTCTCGCTCAACAACGCCGTCATCCTCGAGGTCATCGGCTACTCGACCAAGGGCGCCAAGAGCACGTACGAAATCCTGTACAACACGGCCGTCGGAAACCTTATCATCGTGTTGGCGGGTGCCGTGCCAGGGTACTGGGTGACTGTCTTCACCGTCGACCGGATCGGCCGCAAGCCGATCCAGTTCATGGGTTTCGGCATCCTGACCATCCTCTTCATCGTCATGGGCTTCGCCTACTTCCACATCTCGCCCAACGGCCTGCTCGCCATATTCGTGCTCGCCCAATTCTTCTTCAACTTCGGCCCCAACGCCACAACCTTCATCGTGCCCGGCGAGTGCTTCCCTACGCGTTACCGCTCTACCTCCCACGGCATCTCGGCCGCCTCGGGTAAGATCGGCTCCATTATCGGCCAGGGCGCCATCGCTCCGCTGCGCACTCGCGGCGCCACCAAGGCAAACGCGAATCCGTGGATGGACCATGTCCTTGAGATCTATGCCCTGTTTATGCTGCTCGGCGTCGGCACCACTGCGCTGATCAAGGAGACGAAGCGCAAGACGCTCGAAGAGCTGGCCGAGGACAGTGATGAGGACCAGGGCCTGCCGACCGTCGAGAACAACACGAGGGTTCCTACCGCTAACGGCAGTGGGGATGACATTGAGAAGGTCCACGACAGTAAATAACTAGGAGGGGGCTGGGGGTTGGAGTTGTGATGTATGATGTAATGGTCGGGAAAAAGAATGATTCCCAACTCCACGTCTATCTATTTTTCTTTTTCTTTTTCTTTCTTATCCTCTATCTTCTCGGTATGCAGGAAATCAGTTCTTAATCTGGCATAGCGAGGGCTACGAGTGCGCAGCTGGACGCAATCGTTCTGTTAGATTTCAGGTTAGACCTGTGAGCAAGTTTCTCGAGGTCGTCCAACACCGAACAAAAATAATGAGATACCAATATCAGACCTCACCGTACTGTATGCTTCAGGCGGGAATTTCTGTGTTGCGTCATCTTTACTCCTTACGTGCGCCCTATGTCAAGTTTCTCGATAGGATTACACAAGACCCCAGGCCGAACCTATTCGTCCGAAACGCCATGGCATTGTCATTTCTAGGGTATTATTCTATGTATATACAGAGGAAGAGAGATATGTCTATGTACATGTACATCGAAAATGAAGCACCACAGCTTGTTTGAGCATGCCATGCTTCTGCTTTAGGCGTCCGGAACGGCGCGTTAGATGGCCCAAGACCCACTCATCCGTCATATGAATCTGGGAGTTCGAGAACCAGCTGAGCGCTATCACATCCCGCCACCTCTCGAACCACTGCCTCACGAGGCTCAATCATGCCATTCATAAGCACCATCCAAGGAGAATAGAAATGAAGCCCGGACCGGCGAAGATCTCAACCGAAACGCCACTTATTCTCCACGTCCGTCGGATCCCCTCAACCCAACACTGCTTGCAGAGCCCCCATGGCACTCCGAGTATGCGCCAGAGTCTCGAACCAGAACCCAGACCAACTCAGCCACACCCCCGGAGCCATGCCATCCACCCACGTCAGTTGTGCTCGTCATCATCAAACCTCATTATCATCATCATCATCAGATCCCCGCATCCTCCTGACCAAACGCTCCCTCTCCTCCATCACCACTCCCTTGCTGCCGTTGCTGCGGCGGCTGGATCCCGCCACCAAAGAAAAACCCGTCAAATAGGTCCAGCTGCTGGCCATCTGAGCCGTCCCATCCAAGCCCGAAGCCCAGGTCCATCTGGATATCGGCTAATCCACTGAAGTCGACACCGTCCGTCCCTGTGGCAGCTCCAGCGTTGTTGTTGTTGCTGCTGTTGGTGGCGGCGGAGGGATCCAGGCTCTGCAGGAATTCCATGCCCTGCAGCTCACTGAACGATAGTGAGCCCGGGCTGAGGTTTTGTTGTTGTTGTTGTCGCTGCCGCTGCCGCTGTTGCTGTTGGGCTACTGTTGGTGAGGCCATGCTTGCAATGGGAGAGCTCTGCTGCTGCTGCGCTTCCGGAGTGACAGGGTTGTTTCTGTCGGCGGAGCTACCGTTGCTGCGCGCCAGATCGTGTAGATTGCGCATCAGTGACAGGCCGTCTGGCTCCGGCTTGACGGCGGAAGCACCAGGGAGACGGTATTGCGCGCCGAGCTGGACGGCGGATAGCAGCGAGGCACTGTCGGAGTACACATCTGAGGCGCCCGCCGAGGTTAGGTCCATGGATTTCGGGAGGCGGTGGCGTTTGTGCTGGGGCTTGCCCGACATAGATGCGCTGTCGCTCCTCGAGCTCCACTCGAGTCGGCTGGGGTCGAGGCTATTTCTGGAGCTAGAAGACCCGTTGTTGAGCTGCCCGGACTGGTACTGCTGGCCGAAGCCACCGGAAGCGTTGACCATTCTGAGCGTGGCCTTGACCGTTCTTTCGAACGCGTCTCGGCATGCCTCCGCAGGCGGGCACTTGTCTATGAAATCCCTGAAGACAGAGGTTGCCGCAAGGACAGTGAAGTCCACTTCATCCATGGTCTGCGGTTATGAGTTAGCAGCAACCCCCGATCGGTGGAAGTACAAAGGGGTGTCGGGTGGCCTACCAGTCGGCTTCTGACGATGGGAGAATGCCAGATGGCGTAGAGATAGGAGATTCCGGCCACGAATAGATGGTGCGTGGTCAGGTAGGTGTGGTTGACCAAGCCCACCACATGCAGCTGACGATACAGCCGCATGATCCTCTGGCCGGCCTCGGCAACCTTGAGATAGACGCGGTCTTCGTCCTCACGAAGCTCTGCGTTGTACACGGCCGGGCTGTTCACCTCCCTTGACGGGTCATACTCGCCCTCGAATACCGTCGGCACGCTCAAGCTCTGCCTGTAGAGCATAATGACGGCCTGCCAATAGTTCAGGTCGAGGAACTCGGTAGAGAAGGCTACGCCTGTCTCATGCTTTTCCGGCGCCGAGTTCTTCCACTCCCACAACCTCTTGTCAATGTCGATCCGCCACGACCGGAACGAGTCGAACTTGGACAGGAAAGGCGAGGGAAGGTCCGTATGCATGTACGGGTTCAGTACGTTCTGCCCGCTCGCCCGAGCGCTCTGGGCCTGCCGGAACTGCAAGACCTGGAGGATCTCGGACTGAAGGAGTCTCAGGCGGAAGTAGTGGTGCGCGACCAGCTTGTAGGTCGGCCGCAGCATCTCTTGCGGCGGCTGCACGATGCCATCGGGCGTGATGTATCGATCCTCCAGGAGGGACGGAAACTCGGTCGTGATGACCTGGTCGGAGACGCCAAAGGGGCGGCTGACGCAGATGCTGACCAGGCGGTCAAGCGAATAGGTGCACCACCAGAGGCGCCGCTTGAGATCGCGCACATATTCCCGCCTCCCTCTCTCCCTGGCCGCCGCCGCCGCCGCCTCCTTCTGCGGTGGTGGCGGGTCACCCAGGCCAGATTCCAGGTCCTTACCGTCCTCGTAGTGCAGCCCCAGATCGATGGCCAGCCTGACTGCCACGCCGATGATGTACCACAGCCCAGGAGGCACAGGTCTGAGCAGTGCGAAGTTCGCGAGGAGCAGCACCGCCTGCAAGTCCTTCAGACTACTGCCGCTCCCCAGACAAGCCTCAAGATGGAGAATGGCGCTGGCGTGGTACTCTTCTGGCTGACACTGCCGCGACCCGGGAGGGTCGGTGGCATCGGCAGGGGTCGGTTCGCCCTTGGAGTCGCCCACGATGATGCCGGCCCCGATTGCAAATACCATATTGAGCACATACAGCTCCCGAGGGCCCCGCGCTCGGCCTTCGTCGGCGTACGCTCGTTCGAACATTTCCATAAACTCGCCCTTGTGTAGGATGGGGATCTGGGGGTTAGCATGCTCAAAGTACAGTCTGGCCAGCCTCAGCCCGAGCGCCTGATCAGGAAAGGTTGCCGGGTGGATGGTTGGCCTGGTGTGCAAGCCAAAGAAGGAATCCCGCATCGACGTGCCGGGGCCCGCGGCCGCGCCATTAGCGCTGGGGGCGGGCTTGGATGGTCGCACGCCTCCCTTGTCCGAATTTGACTTCTGGTCCGAGACGGACGACTGCAGCGCGGCAAAGACCACGCGTGCGAAGGATATCCCCGATGTCGACCCGAGGTAGCGATTGTTGGACACACCCGAATCGCCGTAAGCGCCGCTTCTCGAAGCTCTCCTCTGCAATCTAGTCCCGACATCACCGCTACCGTCTCTCCCCCACCGCCACTTGCGCCCTCGGTTCCTTCCGAGTAGGCCGACTGCCCAGCCTCCGTGGGCGACCGGACACTGCTGCTCGACCCATGGCCCGACTTGGAGCAGTAGTCAAGGTTCTGTGCCGGGGGGAAGGCGACGTTGTTGGCCGTGAGGAGCCCCTCGAGCTGCTCAACCCGCTTCTCGAGATAGAAGATATAACTCCTCGGTATCTCCCTCTTGGTGATGGGGTCGTACCCAACACAGGCGACACTGGCCTTCTCGCAGCTCGCGCAGCTCGGCAGCCTCTGGTCGCAACGGTTCTTGCGCAACCGGCACCGGTTGCAAGCGCTTACGTTGCGGAAGCTGCTGCTCTGCCCGATCCTCCCCGCTGCACCACTAGTGCCGCTGTGGCCTAGCAGCAAGCCTTCATGGAGATGCTCGCCGGTCGGAGTGGTTGCTCCGGCAGACGGTAACGATGTTGGAGAATCTTTATCGGGAGATGATTGGCGCGCGCGCTTCGATGGTTGGAGGTCCGGGGACGGAGGGATGCGCTCGGGTGCCGACATTGTTTCCCTGCAGCGCTTCTGAGACATCGAGTCGGCGTGCGGATCGGTGATTCGGCGATGCGGGCTGCGGCCCGATGCGAGAATCAAGGTCCTGGAGCCGGAGCTGCCCGGATGGTCGTGGCACGGCAACCTGTCTCGAGGCGCCGCCGCCTGTCGGTGTCGCGCCGTGGAAGAGCGGCCGGCCGTGATGCGCTCTCTTCAAGCTGAACCCCCAGCGGCCTTCCGGTATGCTCTAATCAAGCTCTGCGCGGCTGCAAAGGCTTGGGTCCATGCTCGAGTTCCGAACGGAAATCTATCCGGTGTCTCAATTGCACCTGGTTTAAAAATTACTTAGTCCGTAGATATGCCGTTGACGCTGATCTCTTCGCTTTTGGGGGCTCTCAGGCCGGGTGGTCCTGGTTTGGCAATTGAATTGAGACTAGTCGAGAGATCACATGGGACGGCGGATCGGGCGACGTCGAACTAGCAAGCCGGATCGCGAGGCGGTGCAGCCGGTGTCTCGGAGGTGGTGCTCATCACAAATGGATGTCCCAAAGCGATGTGGATTTGGGCAAAAAGGCGCCTGCCAAGAGCTTGCCTTTGCCGCCTTTGCGGAGATTCCGCGTGGGATCTACGACAGCTTGTTAGGCGAGGGACCCCACTCAAAAGTCGCGCCTCATCCAGGCGGGAAGCAGTGCTGCTGTCTGGGCGTGTCGGCGATAAGGGTGAAGATACAATCGCCAACAGGTAGGAACCCTCGTTTCTCGCACAGGCAACGCCTCACATGTAAAGGTTGGGTAGGTCAGTAGGTAATGAAAAGGGCTTAGACTCCGATGCGCGGTTGCAATGACTCGCCAGAGGTCCCGAGGCTGTGTAATGTAATGTGCCGTACATGTTGTACAAAGGCAATACACAATGTTGTGACACCCCCGGAAGTTGCAGCCGGTTACCCAGGCCTGTAACTCCCTAGGTTAGGTAGGTACCTAGGCAAGGTAAAGATGAAAGCACGCAGGCTAACTCGGTACGTAGCTCACTCCCTGTTCGGTACCTAACTGATTCAGAACTCGATCTCAGAAAGCCATGCTCATTGAGCCGCGGCCCGCTACAGTTGATCATCATGACAACCTAGACACTAACTAAGGTAGGTAAGTAGCTAAGTAGGTACCCTGGCTCAGCCCGTGGGAAGGGGCCGTGAAATCTGCCTGCCAACCTATGAAATTGTCGCCCAAGCCAGAGCGCCAGCCGATGAGGAAGGGAAGAAGAAACCAAAGTGCGATTTGGGACATGATAGGAGAAAAGGGGTATATCGTAAGCTGAGAGATCAACGACCAAAAACAAAACCAGAAACAGTCCGCCAGCTGCCATGTCAAACAAGCTGTATGATTATGCCCTGGCTCTCGCGATAGCCGGGCGATAAGCATATGGCAATAGCTCCTCCAATCCAGACCGCGCCAACTCTCCACCGGCCATTGACTTGAGCATCAGAAAGAAAGAAGAGTCCATCGCAACCAGGCATGTGAATAAGCAAAGCCGCTGCGGAACAAGGTGTATGCTCCGCATATAACTCCCGGGAATTCGTTCGCTTGTAGCACCACCGGTCTATCCCAATGAATCATGATTCGTTAAAATCGAGAACGTCCGTAACTCCGTAGAAAAAAAGAGAGAGAGAGAGAGAGATTAGAGATTAGAAAGACGCTGTGGGCGACATCAAGGGCGCAGGATTGCGCCCGGAGAAATCCGGCCAGATGATCCCTGGATCTCCCTGAGCTAGGCAAGAAGAGGGAGATTGACACGTTAGGTCCGTTGCAGGCACGTTCTTTCGCCGTCTGTCTGCCTCTCATCCATCCTTACGCCAGCCCAGGAGCTCTGCGATTCGGGTGCGGCCTCAACGTCTTCTTTCTCGTCCATCCTTCCCCGAGGTTCCGTGATGCTCAAACCGATGTAAGCCCCCGCGATTGTTACCAAGCCTGTGGTCCACCAAGACAGGATCGAGTAGCCGCTTTCCAATCCCAAGCTGTACAGGAGCCCGGACACGATGGGCCCTAGCGCGCGACATAAGCTGGCCGTCGATGCAGCCGCGCCGTTGATGGTGCCCAGAGTCAGCGTTGTCGGGGCTGAGTTGGTGATGAGGATGGCGTTGCTTGGGTACGCTAGTGTCGAGAACGTGCACTTCCACACCACCAGGATATAAACACTGGCCATGCGGAGGCTCTCCGGGAGGAGGACGATGTACGGCGTTGAGAAATAGAGTAGCGGGTACAGCACGGACATGAGCTTGAAAAGTCGAAGCGGGCCCAGCCTTTCGGTAATCAAGGGAAACATAAAATGCGTCGACAACATTGAATAGATCCCCTGGACGGACAGTATGACGCCAATCGTTCGCGCGTCCAAGCCGAAGCCGTCTGCGAACTTGAAGGGCAGAGAGGTGGGCATCCGATGTTCGGGCGGGTTCGTGCTGAGGAAGACTGGGAGCAACGAGTCGAAAACCATGGTATGGCTGGCGTGTGTCAGTCTCGAGATGGGAAATGCGGGCTCGAGCAACTTACAACGCCAGGATGCCATAAGAGGCAATGATGGTGAGAACCGGCTTGGTAAAGATCCCTGTCACCGGTTTCGCTTCCTCGGCGTCGGTCAGTTCTTCCTGCGAACTACCTGATGCCGACGATGGGCCAGCGGAGACCTTTCCGGTGAGATATCCGGGAAGGGACTCCGTTTCCATCAGGAGCGGTTGCCCCTCGCCGTCACTGGCTGGCAGTTTGCCTTTGGACTTATCGCTTCGTCCTGGCAGCAGCGAGAGCAGATAGTTGCCGAGCTCCCGCCCACGATCGCGACACAGCTTCTTCTCCGCGTGCGTCTCCTCCAGAAACAGGACGCCAATGACGACTCCGACCGAGACACAGATGGCACTGAACAGATTCGGCAAAAGATAAGGAAACCGATCCCAGATACTGCCTGGCGCGAAGACAGAGGGTAGGCTTTCAACCGGCTTGGCAAGTGCACCTCCAATCATGGGTCCCACGATCGAGCTGGCAGAATGGTTAGTGCTACTGCTCGCAAAGCTTCCTGAGTCTTGCGAGGCACGCTCCGACTTACCCGATGCACCAGACCAGCGGCATGACCGCGTACGCCCGAGCTGAGCCTCATGTTAGCCGCCATGTCTTGCCTCCTTTCGATGTTTTCATCGGCTGGTAGCCACCCACGTTGATGTTCCTTGACCGTGACGAGCTCGCCCACGGTTGTCTGGAGCACAGCGATGTTGCTTCTGCCGTCAGCCTGGCCCAGAGTTCCTGCATCTACCGGTAGAGCATACCCGTTCAGAAACCCGCCGAGTGCGCGCGCAAGCAGTGCGACCTGGAGGTTCGGTGCAAAGCCGAAGATAAGAACGCTCAAGCCAGTCCCGGCCATTCCCATGAGGAGCACGGGTTTCCGACCGACTTTGTCACTGAGTCTTCCCCAGAAGACGCTGGTCGAGAACTCGGCAAAAGTAAACGCCGAGGTTACCATGCCGGCATAGAAGGATATCTGGCTCTCATCATCGGTGAAGTTGAAGTCCTTTACCATGTGATAGATGTATGGGAAGATGGACATGAAAGCGATGGGTTCGCATATCCGGCAAAGAGCTGGCACCGAGTTAGATCAAAGCAACCTCTGCATTGGCGCTCTTGGCTTACAGAGAATCAGCAACTGTCTCGAGGGATATGGGGGCAATTCCCGTGTGGCCATGCCACGACTCCTTCGGGGCTTCATGGTCGATGAATTATTTTGCGTGACGGAGCCTTGAAAAGTCGGTGGTGCTGGAGGCGTCAGGGGCGCCGAGGGACTTCGAGCACAGATAATAGCAACTCGAGAACCGGTTTGGAGCTTATACTTGTTCGTTCTGGTCGGCCGGGGGATATACCTCGTGGCGGCAATCTATATTGGATGGAAGGTGGGAAAGGGGTCCAGTTCCCGTGATTACAAAAGGCCGGCCACCACTAGGTGTAGGAGAACGGAGAGGAGTCAAGAGTTGAGAAAGAGGTGGGAACGAACATCTACGGGCGGGTGTATAAGTATTTTTTCCGTTGGAAAAGGGCGACGCAATCCACCGAGACCAGATCGCATGGTGAGCATCCCCCCTGGAAGCTGGCCAAGGGTGCGGGAAGGGCTGAGAAGAGGTCACCGGATCACCCATCTGACTGTGTGGGGGACCCTTGCCCACGACATGGGAAGGAACCTGAAAACCAAGAATAAAAAAAAACACTCTGAAGGAGAACAATGAAACAGCGGTGACAAGCGCCCGCTCTCTTGGTTTTGCCCAAGGACGATCCCGGGGGAGCACTACTCCGGAGTAGGTAAGCTCAGGTAATACGGGGCATGCCCTGCGGGTATGTACATACTGTAGCATTGTACATACAGTACATGTATACACACCACTAGGTGTTGTACAAGTACATACGGGCTGGGCTGTACAATACAACGTGAAAAGCGGATAGCTTCGACTGCCATCCCAAATCCTGGGCTTGGACTTTGGCCCAGGCTTGGCACGCCCTGGATGACTGGCGCCCGATTGCGACTTTGCCTGGCCCATCCCTGTTGCCTCCGTCCATGCTGTGCAGTCTGCAGGGATCCACGGATGGGGTCAATGGGTTCGTCACCGTTTCGCTGGGACACGGCACAAGGCTCGGTCGACATCAGGTCCGAAAAGGCACCTCATCATTGGATACGGTTGGATACGGCCCCGATACCACGGTCGGTTCTCCGCTGCGCGCAGTGGCAGTAACCGCCACACAGAAGAGGATGTTTGGCGGCGAGACGGGAATGACGGCCTATCGCGAGAAGAAAGCGACGCTTGGTTGCACCACGGGGTTCAAGGTTGTGGTGTGCGCACTCGGGTAAGGTTCGATGCATGCCGCGGGTTTTGCCCCGTGCGGCGGGATGTTACTCGGGCAGTTTGTTGAGCCGGCATGTCTTGGGAAGGTGATCGCACAGCAGCAAGGAACAGACCGCTTTCGCGGAAACTCTCTTGAAGCAGCCATGTGCCATGTCCAGCCTGATGAGCAGACTGATGGCCCGCTGGCGGGTGTTTCGGAAGAATGGAGGTGGGCATCTTGCTGACCGTGTGTGAGCGGACGACGCCCGTGTCCCGGGCCCGGCCTGATACCACCAACCAGCGGGGGAGGTCGCAACCCGCGGCTCTACCCACCAGCTCCCCCGCTTATGAGGCTGTTCCTGCTCGCTTCTGTATCGCCGCGGCGAAGCGCTGCGAATCCGGTGCTTGAGCCGTGGGGTGTAACGGAAAGAGATCCGGAGGTTGCCCCAGGGGATGAGAAGTGAGGCGGTGTTGCCTTGTTTGCTGCTCGTGAGTTTTTCTTCCATTGCAGATTGAAACTAGCAAGCGGCCCTCGCTGAACACGAAGTGAAGCGATGGGACCCAAACCCAAGACGGCACGGCTGCATCGATACCCACGCATCCTGCCTGCACCCCAGGCGGTGATACATAACGTACGGTATTGTACATAGGTTATGGAATCATCGCAGAGGGCTGCGCGCGAGGCGCGGCTTCATCGGCCCTTGGTCACGGCTCGCCGGACATAGTGGGCCGCGGATGTTGTCCTGGCTGCTACGGACGAACCTGAACCGAAATGGGCGATGGTTAACCGCGTTGGCTGGGTTGATTGGGCCGCGACTCGAGAGGCGGTGAATTGTCGACGATGCCGGAACCCGGAGAATTGTGGGTCTAGCATGTGGGGACAGCCGACAGATGGCCAAGATTGTGGAACGGCGATGACCAGAAGTACCCTACCGATGACAAAAAGGCAGGTACGATGAGCCGCACGCTGCCCAACATAGGCACTGCACTGTGACGAGATTCGGATTCACCGACCGAGCTCGATCCCCTTCGTACTTTCCTTACAGAGTCAGCATCGACACTGACGCAGCAGCCTGGGGCGGACCGACTGCGTGAATGCCTGGGCGTGCCGTCAAACCAATCCGGTTTCCGGAAAGGCAAGCGGAAGCTGCGACGCCGAGCCTGTCGCTGTCGTTGAGGATGGGACGCCCACGATCAAGTGAGTGTTGACCTGGGGAGGAGCATGACCATACGTTGCAGCGCGAGCAACCCAACGGTCCCAACCTGGTGCCGTACAATGGCTCGGGCCTGCAAAAGGCTCACGTCACGGCCCTGATGTGGACTATCACGACACTTACCGCTCGGTATTTCCGTATAAGCCACCCCAAGAAACATCGAAAGGTTGGAGCTTTCTGTATAGGTAATCAGACGCCATGGCCGGTCGCTACGCTTCCGCGATGTTGGACACAATGGAGCAAGGATGGGCTTGCCCGGGCAAATGCATTCCTGCGCGCACATCAGACCAAAGGGCCCCTGCTCCTTTTCCAGGCTGTGGAATAACCGAGCAAAACGAGAGCCTGGAGGACTGGAAGCACCAATAGTGTAGAGCCGCTTGACAATCTCCATGTCTGTCAGCCGAATCACCCTGCAGTCAGAGACAGCACAGCCGATGGGCATGAGCGTCTTGCCAATTGAAAAGCAGATGTGGCCTGCAATTTCCAAGGAATTACAGTATCGATGTGCGGCAACTCTGCTGATGGGCCGACAGGGCTCCGAGTTCAGCCAGGCTTGAGGCAGGGCGCCCCGGTTGTCGCCGGCTCATCCTCTGTGATGGTAAGAGAGCACTCGGGAACTGGACTGCTTGCAATCACGAGCTGACAGTCACATAGGTAACTAAGTAGATAGGTACTTATCATACCTACCTAGGGACCTACGAGGTAGATACCACTGGTGCCCTGATGCAGCAACAGCAACTGAACGCAAGGATGCAAGCGACAGGCGAGGGCCGGACTCAGGTATTATGCATGTACTGTACGGTACTAACGCAAGGTAGTAGAATATATTTCCCGTACCCCTGTACGGTAACATTATCTATGTTGCTTCTTTTCTGCGCACAATTGTCAGCGCAGTGGCTTCCATGTCCTGAATCTCCAAAACTACGGTGGTACCTATATATCTACATTGCAATGAGCTACTAGTACCAAGCAAGTCCATCAGAATTCTAGCGGTAACAGAGTATCAAATGGCAGCCATGGCATCACAAGGGTGAAAGTGTGGTTGGATATTTCCCCAATCCCCATTCCTTCCCTCTCTCATCTCGAAAACCCATGATCTCCACTTGAGATGCTGTGTCCTCCACTACGTGGGATTGAGGCGTTAGAAGAAGCAAGAATATTTTCTATTACACGAGCACGATTCTTAATAGCTTCCATGTTGTGTGCAGCAAGCCGCCCAGAAAGAACGCTCACGATCTAGCCACATACATACGTGATAGCATAGGGTACCGTACAAGATATCTCAAGAAACCCGTATGATACGGTGTACATGTGTATCGTACGATGACACGTGCCAGTGGGTCAGTCCAACCGGGGAGCAATCCGGAGACGATCACTCGGCTTGGCATTTTCAGGCGCTTCGGTAGCTGCAGTTGGAGACATCATTACTCTGGAATTACCCACCCTCATTGTATGTGAAGCTGGGAATTGGTGATCGATCACCCCATCTGCGTAGATGCAGCAAACAGCCACATCGCTTCTCATGAGAAACCGTGGGGGCAGACCGGTGTGTAGCAGGCAGGCAGTGACCATGTCAACCTCATGGGGACAGAAATGGTTCCCGTGGTTTCGAGGACCTGACCAAAGAGGTCTTTCTGGATACTCCGTACCTATACCTCTTTTCAGTTTCCTACCGTCAATATAGGGTAGACGAACATAGCCCCCAAAGGAGTACAACGGGGTCTCCGCAAATGGACGATTTTAGGGTGGAGAGAAAGAATAAATCCTGTTCACTTCTATACGGATACACGTAGAAGTACAGGTCATTATAATACTAGCTATTGTATGTACGTACATAGTAATAGTACCTTACCTACATGATTCCCATAGATCTTTGGAACGGGAGATCTGATGAGGGTTGGCTCCGCTCAGCAGGGGATCCATGTCAGCCTTGCTCGCTTCCAGATTGTCGGGCCGGGGTCGAGTTTCGAAGCAAAAGCCCTGCACCAATCGGCACACAATATGCCCCAGTTCCAAGCCAAATTCACTCCAAATCCTCGCCCGATGTTCCTGGCAGCTGCAGACTGCCTTTGACCTGTCAGATTCTGTTGGGCGAGATTCCACACGGCGTGGCTCGGCCACTTTCAGTAGCAGTACTGTACATATCTAGGTAAGTACACGTACCTAGTACTCTCCGGTTACTACATGTACTAGTACTAGTTAATGCCAGTGTATTTACAATGTGCAGAAGTCGTCATGCTCAAGATCGTCACAGAACTTTTTGCCGAAATTGCGGCTGAAGGGTGGATCGCTCACAGCAACTTACTCGACAAGTTTTTTTTTTTTCAAATCCGTCCTCTCAACCTGATTGGGTCACGCTTCCCGCACCGTCTCAAGCACGCAGCCAAAGTAAATCATGTGCCTCAGGTGCTATTAGTTCCGTCCTACCACAGTTGATGTCAGGACTCAAAATATCGACTTGCCAAGGCAGCCACGCTTCTGCAACAGCATGTCGGTATACACAGTACATGGTGATGCGATAAAAGTTACTGCCCTTCGAGCGAAGCCGGTCTTGGTGCTGAGGATCATCCAACACAGAACTGAGGCGGAATGGTGGCGGCGGTCAATGCTGTGCTATCTCCCGATCACGGGATTTTGAAATCAAGGCTCTCACCAGCCCTTCCTTGTTAACCTCTTCGTACGAGGCCATGGGGAAGATCCGAGTGGGTGGTTAATAACGCACAGTGGGCTGACTCGTGGCGTTTCGAGTCGTTTCGAAAAGTGGGTCTGCAAGACCGCGGTCGCTCATCCGACAAGACGGGATCCATCGGGTCGGATCCGGCACAGAACACCGGACGAAACTCCACCGAAACGGCAACTTCACCGCCTGCTGGGATCTCTGCAGTGCAACCCAACACTTCCGCGCTGACGGCACGCCGGCAATTCCGAAGCTACACTACATCCCGCCGAGGAGGAGACTCGCATCTTGCGTGGGCACGATCTGTGAAGGAGACATCCCTCGATATGTCGTCTGGTCTGTTTCAAGAAGTGGGTACTTCTTCTTCCTCTAGCCATCTCTTCTCTACTAGCAGGTGGTGTATATTGGCAGGCAGTGAGGTGATGAGAGATGTCAGCAGGAGTCGGATCCGGAGGGCAGTTCCAGTTTCCCGGCCCCGGATGCGGGCCACATTGACTTGCGGCTACCGACTACAGGAGACCGTCGACCACACTACGTGAAATTGATGTCCAGTACACACATGCCTGGCGTCTTCAGGTTGTAACCGCCACACCTCCCCACCAGTGCTGTGGTGCGGGGTGGTGGTAGGCCTGCTCCGCACAGACAGTTTTACCACCGGCCGCACGTCTGCAAGAAGTTCACCTGCAACCAATGGCGTACTGAGCGTCGCCGCCGAGCCGCAAGGCTTGTTGTCGGATGCGGGAGGCTATGGGAGGTTTGCCCAGTCACATGAGACGCGGGATGGGCGGCCGAGCTGATCCTAACATGGTATCCCGTTTGCATCTGCCGCCGGAGCGGGCAGACCGCCATCCTGTAGCTGCGGGCGGCCCGATCTGACCCAGCATGGCGGTTTGGGCTGATGTGAAGCGCCGGCATGACGCACCTTCAGCTCAGCAGATCAGGCTGCCGAGTGATCCGTGTGCTCATTCTTTCCCTCGGTTTTCCAATGCAGCTGCAGGACCTTGCCTTAGGTCGACGCGGGTGGTCTCGCACTGCCTGTTCCCCAACTTTTAGGTTCCCTCCTTAGCGCGCTGCGCGCAGGTAAACAGCGCCAACGCGCCTTCCCGTCGATGCTTCCTTCGAATTCTGACAGGACTGCCCTCCGCACCATATCGGAGCCTGCGGTTGAGAAAACCAACAAGCCACCCTTCGACTTGCTCACCGGCTATTGCGCCCGATTTTGCCGACACCGCTGTCGCCCTAATGGGACGAACAGGTCGAACCCGCACTCATGGCTCGGCGACTCGGTCCGAGCATTCGGCTCCATCTATGAGCTCAATTCCGGAGTATAGTCCGTTGATGAGTCACATCCCAGTCTGATCCCCTCGGGTCTCTATCTCGGCCTCCTACCCAAGATTCCAAGTAGCCCTCGTGGGACCCCTGCATTCGCTCGCTATCTCAGTCCGGGCGCACTATGATCCGTTATACTTTTCGAGACGGAGACTTGGAACACCGCAACTGTCTTACCGGTGCAAGTGTGGAGAGCTACACAGACAGACACCCATACTTCTCCGCACCGATCTCTGAAATAACAGCAGGGACATCTTTTGGGGCGCATTCAGCAGCAGCCACCAGGAACTGGAGCGTTTCTCGTGGCCGGTCTCCCGCCAACTCATCGATCAGGCCATACCCAAGCCGTGCCGTGCTGAGTCCTTTCACTGATGCCGCAGCCTTCACCGGTCTGCGACGCTGGAGCGGGGCGATTCGCGGACGCAAAGCATGTGGGTTGCAATGCCGCAATGTAGGGACCTCACCGAGCTGTGGTGGCTGGACGAGACATTTGCGACCACCTATCACAGCTCGCTGCGTCCTATGGTGTTCCGCGCCCACGTCGCACAACTGGGTGACCCTGCCACCCCTCCATCTCAGCCGTGCTGGAGTGCACGAAGTCACTAATTCACATTTGGGTCATCTATCTCATCGGGCCGCGGAAGAGCAGTCCAACATGCTGCATAGTCGCCGGCACGACGCCGAAGCTTGGCGGGGCGGATCTCTCATCGGGACAACTACTGAGTTGTCATACGGTAGGTTACGGAAGCCGTTCTTCCAACGTCCAACTGTTTTAAGGGCTTAAACGCAGGAGAGGTCAACTGCCCGATTTGTCCACATATCCCCCCCGACCGTCCTTCGCCCTTCCCATGTGACCTCTACGCAGTGTCTCGCCCCTTGACGGCCCTAGACAGAGAACGATGGCAAGAGCGACCAGTCTCGATGAGAAAAATGGTTCTGGCGGTATGCATCAGAAGTGAGGACCGAGTCCAGAACAAATGGATCGAAGGGACTAGATGCGTATCTACACCTTTGAGCGTTGAACTTGCAAGCAGAAACAAACGCCTGAATATCACGGGTCTCTGAGCCGAACCCACTCTCATACGATAGTACTAAGGTAGTATGATATAGGCGTTTGTCTGAGATTGTGTACAAACCTTCCAGGCTGGTTCCTTCCAGCTTCCTTGGTTGTACTACACCGGCATGGTAGGTACTACTAGTAGCTAGTACCGACTTGGTCCGTACTTTCACTTGGTACCGGCAGTACTCAAATCTAGACGACATCGGGAGATGAACCACTAGCCGAGCAGCGCCGTTAGCCAACCAGACAACTGAGGTTTCGGCCAGCTGGCATGGTAATAGGGAAGGGAACCAGGAGGGCGGCAGCTAGGGTATGCTACTGTCATTGTGTAAGTGTCGCGGAATGGGTTCCGAGTGGAGCCCTAGAACATACATGCAAAGGGTACTACCTGGTAGTACCTCCCAGTGTAACTTACATATACAGGTATGTATAGGAATGAGTCGCTACAACGCAAGAACCTAGCTTAGAAAGGCGGTGGTTGGCCGAGCGAAGCAGTTCCACACACGAATAGCGTCAAGGGTTCGGAGAACAATTTCTTGCAACAAGTCGTGCTCCAAGCAGAAGGCCATGTGGAGGTGGATGATGGGATTCCTCAAGAGCGCTCAAGAGGAACCTTCCAGGTCCCAGACGGGTGCGGTGCCCAGGTCAACCCCACTTTGCCCCGCTATGGACGGCCGAGGGGTGACACACTCGACCTCTCGTTCCCTGCCATCTTCAACGTTGCTCCCCCCCATTCTTTGAGACAGGCCTGCCATCGTCACACCCAGTGCTACAGTTCCGGAGGTGTAGCATCTGATTATCAGCTGATCAGTTCGTGAACTGCAAGAGAAGCACAACACAAACAGCGGGAAGCGGCGGGGCCGACGACACGCCAACTCGCGCTCAACATGGGAAAGAAAGGCGGCGCAGAGGGCAACAGCAAGAAGGCCGCGGGTCAGGCTCGCAAGGCCGAGACCGCTGCGAAGAAAGCGGCCGCCGCCGATGCAGAGCGAGCAGCTGCTGAAGCGGCCAAGTGGGATAAGGGGGCCAAGAGCAATGCCAAAAAGTGAGTCCGGTATTCCCTGCTCTGTTTGTTGCTCTCCATTCCTCCGCCGCGCTTGGTGCGGCTTGCCGCCGGGACTGTAGACCCGGCCAGCAGTTTGCGAGACGGCCGGTAGCACTCCATCTGGTGTAGCTGCTGCATGTCTCTCAAGTCCGCCACCTCGAATCACAAGGCGCACACAGAGCAAGGACCCAAGGCCTGGCCATTGACTTAACTGGCTAGTTACATCGGCACCAAGTTCATTCTGGAATGGGCACAAACGGGAGAACGGCCGGGGTGACAGCTACTGACCTTTCCGGATCACCAAACTAGGGAAGCAGAAGCAGCAAAGAAGGCAGAACTAGCGCGGAAGAAAGCAGAAAAGGAGGCCCTGCTTGCAGAAGAAGAGAAGAGCTTGCCATCACGATCGACGCCCAAGAATTCTAAGACGGCGGTCAAGAAGACGAGGGGCCTAGATCTATCACAGCTTGACAGCGACAGCGGTGGAGCCCTGCCGGCCTTGAGTGCATCGGGTATTGACAACGCCTTGGACGCGCTGTCGCTGACGTCCCAGTCGGAAGCCAAGATTGACCGACACCCTGAGAGGCGCTTCAAGGCAGCCTACGCCCAGTTCGAGGAGCGACGCCTCAAGGAGATGGAGACGGACGGCAGCGGTGCGGGACTCCGGCTTAACCAGAAGAAGGAGAGGATCAAGAAGGAGTTCGAGCGCAGCCCCGAGAATCCGTTCAATCAGCTTTCTGCCCGCTACGACGCGTCGAAGGAAGAGCTAGCACAACTCAAAGAACAGGAAAGGATCAAGATCGAGGCTCGCCTTACATCCAATCCCTGAGAGTAGGGCACCGCCATATGGGCGAGAGTCCGAGAAAAAGAGGGGTAGATCTGCTAGGGGCTTCATGCGTGCGGCCCGGACGGGAAGCGACGGGGCATAGCGAACACGTCTAGCCGAGGCGATTGTCCAATGGTGGTCTCTCAGCCCATCCCGGAACTGACTGTTCGGTTTGGATTGGAAGTGGCCAGAACCAACAAGCGGTGGGCACAGTGCATGGACAAGCTGAGAAGATGGCCATATTGCATTAGCTATAGGTAGGCTCAGCGACTCTGTAGCGAACTAGCCATTGTGAAGGGCCGGCGAGGTGCCGAGGCGCGTCGGTGGCTGCAGTGCGGATACTGCGAAAACCCGGTTGAATGCATGTCTCACTCTGTTTGTCGAGTCTGAACTTCAGGTATCTGACCAGTGGGTTGGTGGCGAGTTTTGACCATCCTCGAGCCACCCAAGAGCCCTTCCTCCAAGTGAACGCCGCTCGGCAAGACAATGCGATGCGAAACTGGAACCCACCTCAAGGTAGGGCTTGACGACGACCCAGGTTTCATTACTACTACTAGTACTCTACTATAGTATTACGTATAGTCCCTTACCTGTACGGTAGCAATACAGGTAATGTACGAGGTACTGGGTCGCAGTTAAGAAGCAGGACCCTAACCCTTGATCAAATCTTGGTTCCACTGCAACTTGAAGCTTCAAGCTTGGCGTTGACGCCGCATGAACCTTGATGTCGCCGATTCACGACACCACGACGCGTTATCACGGATCTATCGTCCTATACACTTCCCTCTCCTACAAATCGCGCATTTGCTTTCCACACTAAATATCAAATCTATTCATGGACTATCAGAAAAATGCGAACGCGAATGTCCTCGCCCATGGAGACAAAAATGGGCATTCTGCCCACTGTGAAGCGGCATCACCTTCTTGCTGAGTTGTATGTTTTGCCTGGGGCGAGAGATGCTTTCGTCTGTCCATACATCCAAGGAGCTAACTTCATGACTTCTCTCCCCACAGTGCCGGTCTCAAGCAAGCTTGTCCGCAAGGCGTCTTCGTCAGTCTCACACCGGGCGATCCGAGCCTGTGGTCGGGCGTCATCTTTGTCCGCAAAGGTTCGTTCGGCTCCCCTGTTCTCTTCGTTTTCTCGCCCTACTACTGCTGCTATATGGCTGCCCTCTCCTAAAGAGAGGGGGATGGAAAGCTTGTCCTTCTAACACAGTAGAGAGGGGAGCTGAGAGGAAATAGGCCCCTACGCCCCTGCGATCCTGCGCTTCCACATCTCGTTTCCCGACACCTACCCCTCCCTCCCGCCACTCGTCACCTTCTCGACCGACATGTTCCACCCGCTCATCACGCCGCTGACCACCTACATGTATTCGACCGATGTCCAAGATGGCGGGACGGCGAGTGCGTCCGACGAGGAAAGGTTGCCGCCAGGGGGTTTCAGCTTGAGGCACGGGTTTCCCGGATGGTTTGGGCGGGGGAGTAGGGCGCAAGCTCAGAAGAGGAATGTGAGTGGTGGACGAGGAGGTGGAGGTGGAGGTGGAGGTGATGTGATGACGCCGCCTAGGGCGGTGGCTACGGCCACTGGGACAACCCCTGGCTCGATTGAGTCGGGGAACTCGGTGTTGTCAACTGCTTCTTTAGCGCCGGGGTATGCACAGACCGGGAGGAGGGATGTGTCGACGTACGAGGTGCTGCGGTATATACGGAGCTCGTTTGACGACGAGGATGTGCTAGACTCAGTGCCGCTTGACGCTGCGGGGAATCCGGGAGCGTGGCATGCTTGGAGGACGCATCGGAGGCAGACCGCGGGGAAGGCATTGCCGGGCCAGAGTGATCTTCCCAGTATCGAGGGGGATGTCCCGGGAGAGTCGGCACCTGTCACTGGTCCTGTCCCCGCTTCGGCGAGACGGCCTGAGGAATGGAATTGGGAAGGGGTTTGGGAGGAGAGGGTTAAGCGAGGGATTGCAGCGAGCTTATCCGAGGGAGTGTTGTACGGGAATGCGGGGACGACAGATGAACTAGTACGTCGTTTGTTCCGTTTGTCGTGGTTTGCTGGTCTGGACTCTCGGTTGCTGACGTTGCTGCAGATTAACTTTCTCAGCATGGAGGAGGCCGAAGTCGAACAGGTGAAGTCCAACTTGCTTCGGACGCTTGGCGCGGCTGCGTAGGCAGCGGGATCTACGGATCATTGGCATGCAGCTTGCTCCCCCCCTGATGGTCGGATGCACAGGTAGTGCCTTCCAGGTTCAACGAGAGCGGGCATCCATGGATGGACATGCGCTTCTGCCTCGCGCAGCGAAACGAACCGACAGCTCTCCGAACTAAGTAATGCCTGAATGGCACCATTTCCGGCCAAGCTACAGCGCTTCGTCGGCATGGTTAGCGATGGATACGGCTTAACGTCTAACACTCAGACCTTATTCTTCTGATATATATTTGCCTTGCAGCTTTTGTTGGTCGATATTGTGGATACATACAGATTCTTTGTCGGTCTATGTTCCTCCTACTAGCAGTGAGGAGCCGGTCGTTTCGGACTGTAGGGAAAGTCTCGCTGGACTCTAGGTACATCCACCACATCAACATCACACGACGCAGCATATGGTTAATTACGAGTGCATGCCTAGAGTGTTCAGCGGGGGGTTTCCCGCAGTCCGAAAACACCGGCTCCTAGTAAGACCTATGGGTGTTATGCGGGCACGCGGACCGCTGGCGGCCGAAACCTCGGATTATGTTTCAGATGTATTGTATATAACACATATATACAGGACAACTGCTGTTTTGTTTGTGAAGGTAGCGCGGAACTTGAGGCAGGGCTCGGCCCTGTGTTGAAAAGTCAAATAAGGCGCCCATGACGCTTAACGTATCTTATAAGCGAGCGGGACATATAAGCGAGCGGGACATATAAGCGAGCGGGACATATAAGCGAGCGGGACATATAAGCGAGCGGGACATATAAGCGAGCGGGACATATAAGCGAGCGGGACATATAAGCGAGCGGGACATATAAGCGAGCGGGACACTAAGTTCTTAGCACGACGCGTCCTTCTTCATCCACCTCCAACAACGCGTTTTTCCTACAACTAAAGATGTCTTCCACTTCAAAGGAAGCTAGGATAACCTTGGCCCTCAAAGCTCTTGAAAATGATACGAAACTAAGCCTCCGAGCCGCGGCCAAGCTCTATAACGTGCCAGTTTCAACCCTCGGCTACCGACGTACCGGCCGGCCTATACGACGCGATCTTCCAGCTAACTTACGGAAGCTTACCGATCTAGAAGAGAAGGCTATAGTCCAGTATATAACTGAGCTATCTGAGCGAGCTTTTCTACCAAGGCTATGTAGTGTAGAAGATATGGCCAACTAACTGCTACGCGTACGCGACGCGCCCCCTGTCGGCAAGCTCTGAGCTTATAACTTCGTTAAACGCTAGCCCGCTCTCTGTACGCGTTGGTTATGTCGATACGACTACCAGAGGGCCAAGTGCGAGGACCTAGAGGTTATTGGCGAGTGGTTTGCGCTCGTATAGAATGTCAAGGCCAAGCACGGCATTATAGATGACGATATCTACAACTTCGACGAGACTAGGTTTATAATGGGTATTATCTTCCCAGGCATAGTAGTTACGACCTCTGATGGCCGTAGCAAGGCAAAGCTGGCCCAGCTTGGTAACCGCGAGTGGGCTACGGTAATCCAGAGAGTTAATGCCCTCGGCTAGGCTATCCTACCCTTTATTATCTTGGTCGCGCAATATTACCTCGCCAACTGGTATCAAGAGTATAACCTCCCGGCTGACTGGCGTATCGCGACCACCGAGAACGGCTGGACTACCAATGCCGTAGGCCTCGATTGGATCAAGCACTTTGACTTTCATATAGCACCCTGTATAAAGGGCAAATATCAGTTATTAATCCTCAACGGCTACGAGAACTACCACTCGACTGAATTCGAGCTCTACTGCTAGGAGCATTATATTATCACACTCTATGCCTCTGCATTCCTCTTACCTCCTCTAGCCACTCGATGTTAGCTGCTTTAGGCTGCTGAAGCAGGCGTACGGTCGCTAGGTCGAGGACTTAATACACATGCATATCAACTATATAAGCAAGCTCGAGTTCCTCTATGCCTTCCGCAAGGCCTTCTTCGCCTCTATGGCGGAGAAGAATATATAGGATGGCTTTATCGGTGCTGGCCTTATGCCGTACGATCTAGAGAGGGTACTTTCTAAGCTGGATATCAAGCTTCGTATACCAATACCCCTAACCTTATAGCCTAGTGTCACGAATTAAGCCAATAGGACAGCTGCAGGTGGGACAACCCGACAGGTGGCGCAGGGCGCACCCGAACCAATCATTTAGGACCAATAAGAAGGAGCTCTAAGGTGCTCTAGAGAGCAGACGAGAGCTTCGGGAGCTAAGCCAATCAACGCGAGGGAATGGAAGCTCTCGATAGAGTCAATAGAGCACCGAGCTCTAGGGAGCTCTATAGAGCATATGAGAGCACCCAAAGATAGCCAGTATATAGTCACTCGTTCTAGAGGACTCTGGGAGTTCTCCAGTAAGCAATATAAGCAATAGCCTCTACCTATTATACAGATATTGCGACAAGCATTGTTATGAACCTTTTGGCTTTACCAAGACCTATAGTCCGACTAATAGTACCTTCGACCGGCGAACCCTTTCAGAGGCAGGACTGCCTGTGGTTTCGTCACACTTAGCACTATATAGTCTTAGGTCTTCCAGACACTATATAACTCCCGGGAAGCTAATATACAGTCTACACCCATCAAGACTTGTATTGCCAACCATCAAAATAGCTCCCCAACCTCGATGTTGGCTGCTGTGGACCAGTTGGCCAAGGGTATAATGGCTATAATGCACCAGATGGCTCTTCTTCGCGCCGAGGTCTCTTCGCTCCGCAAGGCCAACGAGGCACTCAGCAAGCGCCGGAGAGCCAAAAGAACACGCGTGCAGCTTGGAGGATCGCTTGCGGTATAAGATGCAAAGGATCTACTGGACCAGAAGGCCGTGGCTGGGGAGATGGCGCAAGAAAAGGAGCCGGATAGTGGTGGTGCAGGGGGGGCTCGTACGAAGGTTCGGTGCTGTGGTGTGTGCGGCAAGCCTGGCCATAATGCCTGTACGTGCCAGGAGGTTGTAGAAGGGTCTGATTCAGCTGTTTCTGATGTAATTGTAGTTGGTTAATGGTCTTATTGTATTGCAATTGAGGATGGTTGTTGTAGAGTGGTGGAGAGTGTCCCGCTCGCTTATATGTCCCGCTCGCTTATATGTCCCGCTCGCTTATAAGATACGTTAATTCAACGTTCAATGATAAAGTATCTAATTTGAATACTTAATAGGCTCGTTGTTATAAGCACTTTTTCTAGCCAGAAAACTGCCTCTTCTGACGTTGAGGCTGATATCTTGCGACCCTGTCTCAGGCTAATACTAGTAAGTACCTTACGTAAATAAGCTCGATTCCTCTTAGGCTACCTAGATAATGGAGGCGTACAGCGACGTCGTTGGCAGCCGGACAGATGCGACTACTACATTGCTAAGATAGTATCTTCCTCTTAGCTTCACTTTCTGATCTTATCTTCTATTTTGCCTCTTTCCCGTTTTCCGTTCCATATCTTTTCGACCAGACTTTACTTGCTTCGCTTGGGGTGCAACTTGTACAATATGACGTCCACATAACGATCAGATTCTTGTTCCCGTCCACAATTTATAAAATAGAAGATCGTTATTACCTGGGCATTGACTTGAACCAATGGATCTTTTAGTTGGTCAATATACAATTGATCGTTATATTTGGAGTAGGAAGCAGCCAGTGTTAAATGATTGAATTTAGACTGTGCGCATAGCATGGTGGTACATACTAGTAGCAATTCATATTCGGAAAGGTGCCCTCGGTCCTTGTCATCGAGCTGAGGGACGGCGGCGCCTGCCATGAAACTTGAGGACCCGGGCCATGTTAGGTGGGACGCATCTGCCATATATGAAGAGCTTGTTAGGGCGACTTATCTCATACAGAAGAGACTGGTCACGCTGGAACTGGTTCCCATTCTAAAGGTCGCTTTGCTCAAAAGCTCGTTGCTTGTAGTGCTGTACCGCATGCCCTCAATCATAGTGGCGTTACTATGCCCGGAGGTTAAGTACTAGTACGAAGGCGGCCGCGGTGTGCATTCCTTCCTGCCTAAGGTGCCTTACTTCAGGTAGGGACTACTAATAGTACCTATACAGAACTTGAAATTTGCCCAGGCGAAACGGACTTATCGGCCCGAAATGAACATAGACTGTGGAATGATTGCAGCTCAAAAACAGATTCAAAGACTCTATGGTCTATACCAGTAAGACAGTCTGTACCTGAGCTACGAGCTTCCAGGTAGTGACGTTACCTTCCAAGGATGGTGTTATCGTGACGAGCACATGGCAGCAATTACGGTACTTACTTAGGTGTACCTACCTTACCTATCTTAGGTATCAGCTACACTCAATGGAAAGCTCTGCTCCGGTGTAATGGTCTTATGGTCGGGTAGTCGCGCTGCGGTACGGCATATGGCCGGGCCGCTACGAAGCTTGCCCAGGTGGCTTGACGAGGCTATAATAGTGTCTGAAAGTCCAGCTCTAAGTGTCTGATTTGACCTGCATGCGCGGGTCGACTACGAGTAACGTTATGCCTTTCTGATACTACTTACTACCGAATTTTCCTCCTCAGGGTTGCGTTGTAGCTATGCCGGAGTATAATCAGCCTGGAGACCCATCTCTTTGGGCCGACGCGCCGAGGCCGTTGCACATCACAAAGCAATCAGCGCAAGGGAGAAATTCCCGTTGCCTCAACCATGAGAGTGACGCCTCGGACGGGCCCATGGACAGTCCACCAGCGCCACCGGGCGGTAATCGATCCCTGACCATACCAAAGAGAGGAGACCGGGATACGGATCGCTACAGAAAGAAGGGATCCAAGGCCACGGAGGATACACGTCCAAGTACATGTACCCTGTCGCCGTTCCGCGCTTCCGAGGGCGATGCAAGAACTTTGCATGCACCCCGGTCAACAGGGCCTGTCCCCCCTATTGGCTCTCCCTCTTTCCCGGACCCGTTGGTTTTGATACCCAGGATCATTGTCACCCCCGAATACCAGGCGGTCGACGAGGGTGCTTCAATGCTCTGGGCAGCTGTGCAGCTTTCCACCGGGGGAGGCCGCGGTCATGAGATGTCTTCATCAGGTGAGCGTACACTAGTAGCTGTTACAAGTAATGACGACCACACATCTGACATCTTTCAAGATGCATTGCGGTACGGTTTCTTGTATGACGTCTCGATCGACATATTGCCTGCCGCGAAGAGCACCATCTTGGAGGTGCTGGGTGATAAAGCATGCAAAAGGTGAGTCCTCATCATCCACGCCACTCCCAGTCCTCGAGTTGTCGCTGAACTCGAGAGCGGGTGAATATCTAGAGCGATTCTTTATACTGGGTCTCGAATCCTCTTGGTGGTACGCGTCCGCCTTCCGCCAGCGGTCTGCTCCTCAGCTGCGCGCACAAATAGCCGCCGAAAACCCGACGAGCTCATCGAGGACCTCGAGCGCCACCTCGGCGGTACGACGACCGAGTATCTCCACGTCCACGTGAGTTACCGTCACTCCAGCTTCCCGGAGAGGCATACGCAGCCGATGGGCACACGCCATACCCCGGAGTCTGATGGCGTCGATTTTCTGCGGACCATGATCCAGACTACTGCCACGGCGACCATAAAGAGGCATAACTCCGAGTCGCCATGGTCGCCACAGCCCCAGACGCCACGGCCAAACCCGCTGTTTACAATCATGGCCTCACACTAGGGAACCGAGAGCGCACACGCGGTGATGCAGCGGGTTATACACTCCAGATCTATGCCCGGGTCGCCCGCGCCAAAACAGAAGAACAGCCAGGAGACACTCCGTCCCGCTCCATGCCCGCCAACCCGACCAGCACGCCAAGTGCCCAGACGCATGACTAGCCTGAAAACGGTCTCGCTGCTCTCGCCCATCACAGCACAACAGGGTGGATTAGATGGCACCGCGCCGGAACATGGGCCTGCAGCCGAGGTCAGACACGCCCAGAGAGCAGCGTCAAGCAGGACGGGAACCCGGCAGAGCTCCTTGGCAACCCCTACCATGACGCCGACATCTATAGTAGCACCTGCGACGAGCCCCGGAAGGAAGAATAGCTACCGCCTGAGCAGGGCCAAGAAGGCAGCATTCGTCTCACAAGTCTCGTCGTCCCCCAGCGGACCGTCTTCGTCATCAACGCCGTCTTCTTCCTCGCCTGCAAAGAACAGAAGTAGGAGGAGCGCGAGTCCTACTACCCCTGTCGTGGCGGATGTGAAGATGATAGGAGGGCCCCGACAAGAGAAAGCCGGCCGGCCAGAGAAGAGGACCGCGCCGCCTGTGGGAGGTGCCCGAGGGAGGAGCAGTAATGGTGTCGGTAGTGATAATGCCAAGGCCAAGAAGGAGAACCGGAAGGATCGGGGGTGGAGTTGGGTCAGTTGGTGGCAATGAAAAAGCAGCAATGTGCGTCCGTAGTAAGAGTTCGTGATGGCGGCAGTTTTGATCTGTCTTTGCCGCCAAGTAATTGTTAGCACTGGATCGGTTCTGTACCTATACAGAAGCCAAAACGCAACATGCATTGATAGTTTTAATTTCGCCCGTTCATTTCCCAGTCACTTCGATCTTTTTCTGCTCTGCCGCATCCGGCCTTGCCTCGTCCCGCAGTCCCCAATCCTGCTGCTTCATCCCCACCGGATTCCCATCGTCGTCGAACTCGGCCCACCGGAAGAACTCACACGCCTCCTTCCCGGGCACATTCCCTGCGTAACACATCCAGAAATACCGCCCCCAGTTCTCCCTCTTCTTCGTCACCACCCTCAGCACGGCCGGCACGCCGCATGGGCACCGCGGCGTGTTCCGCGGGTGGAAGCCCGCCCGGTAGTGCCGGTACGTGATATTGATACGCCTCGACCCGGCCACCGGGTGCGGATCAATGGCCAGCGCAGGGCTCACGCTGTGCTTCCACTCCTCCTGCATGTCGGCATGCATGACCAGGAGGGAGTTGTGCGGCAGGTGGATGGCGATCTGACCCGCTAGATCGGGCTTGTTAGGTTTGTCTGGTTCGTCGTCTGGGACGATGCGGCGCACACGGAACTCGCGCGTCACCCCGAGCGATAGGGAGCCGATGACGGCGCGCGGGCCGAGGTAGGTGAGTCGGTCGCTGTGCCAACCGACGTTCTCCTGCGGGCCGTTGTAGCAGTTGACAAAGGCTGCGTTGGGCGTCCACGGTTCGGGAGATTGGTATCGGAGCTTCTTGCCGCCGTAGTGGGTGCGGATGCGATCTTGAATCTCCTTGTTGACCGCTTCCTGAACGCGCGCCCTGACTCGCTCCAGCTGCGGCGTGAGCGTTCTGACATCCTGCGTCCTCTTGTCAGCACATGCTTGGTGAGAAACAGGCCATGGGAAATCGCACCGTCAACTTCATGCCGTTGTATATATACTCATGCTTCTGCTCCTGCAGCTCCTTGTAGCTGCCCACATAGAAACCGGAGGTGTGCGGACTCGAGACCACATTGTCAAAGAGCTTGAAGGTAATCTTCTCGAACGTTTTGGACTCCTCCAGTAGCTCCAACAAGAGGGAGTCCGCTTGCTCAGCAGGCAGGAAGTTGTGGATGATGGTGCAAGGCGTATGCTCGCTGATATCGATAGGATCGTAGAGGTGCAGCGTCGCCCCTTTTCGAGACAGCAACTTGGCCCGCTTGGAGGAGGGGGACGAGCCGGAGCTCGGCGAAGCGAGGCCGAAGGACCGCAGCGAAGATTGTGCAGCGACCGTACTGCTACCACCCGTCTTCTTCGGCAGCAGAGGCGTCTTCAAGGCCTGCGAGGTCGCCCCCACGTCGCCATCGTGGGCAAGCAGAATGTCGAGGAGCGTCTCCTGGTCAGAATGCGGGTGAAGCGACGACAAGATGGCCAGCTTCATGTCGGTCGAGTCCTCATGCGCATCATTGCCGGGCGTAGCGGATGATTCTGAATCTGGGCGCGACTTCCGTTTCTTCCTCGTCACGAAGGCATCCATCTCGGCTCTCCGACTTGGCTAGGCCGAATTTTATCTGGGCCCGTGCGGCGTATCGCAATGCATGCCATAACTCGTGAAACGACCTCGTCCTCGATTTGGACGACCAGATCGAGTTGACGCGTGTTGTCGTTGCAGCGAGTTGGAAGGGCGTAAAAGTGTGGGGTGCAATGACACGCGGGTGCACGTGATTCGAAACCGAAGACTGGCAGTATGTAATAAAAGCGCTTCAACCGGCGCCGCGTAACGTCATCGTTAAAGTTACATCCACAAGCGCCAAAAGAAGCCGAGGTTTCGGCCCCACCAAGCTAGCTCCCGAACTCCATCCATTGCATAGTAGCACAACCCCTCGCAGCCCGGTCAAGTCGTGCGCGCATTGCGTAGCAGTCAACGGCGATCCGGCGATGGCGTCGATGCTAGAATTTCGCACGCCGGGCTTCAACCCGTATGCGGTCAAGTACTCTCCATACGACGACTCGCGACTCGCAGTTGCTGCATCCGCAAATTATGGCATTGTCGGTAACGGGCGCGTCTTTGCGCTACGCCTAGGCCCCACGGGCATCCGGCTCGAGAAGGCATTCGAGACCAACGACGCCCTCTACGATCTGGCCTGGTCCGAAATCAACGAGAATCAGCTCGTGGTCGCGTGCGGCGATGGCTCAATTAAACTCTTCGACCTCGCGGCCGGAGATTTTCCTCTCATGAATTTCGCTGAGCACAAGCGCGAGGCCTTCTCCGTTTGCTGGAACCCAATTGCAAAAGACCTCTTCATTTCGAGCTCCTGGGATGGCACCATCAAAGTTGTGAGTCTTTCAAATTCAGCCTTGTCCCTTTACCGTTCGCCTCTCCTAACCGACTGTTGCGCGCGTACAGTGGTCTCCCTCGCGCCCGACATCGATCAAGACCCTGCCTGTCGGCAGCTGCACGTATTCGGCCTGCTTCTCGCCGACCAATCCGGGGATCATTTCCAGCGTGTCGTCCGATTCGCACATTCGCATCTTCGACCTGCGCACTCCGGTCACGGCCAAGTACCATCTCACCAGCACCATTCCCGTCCACGCCCCCCCGCAAGGTCACGGCCTCTCCAACGGGCTGACCGCTCTCAAGGGCTCGGCGCCGGCCGAGATCCTGACCCACGACTGGAACAAATATCGGGACACGGTTATTGCGACGGGCGGCGTCGACCGCGTCGTGCGCACCTTCGACATCCGCAACCCGGCCGGCGGCCCCCTCTCCGCGCTTCTCGGCCACGGATATGCGGTGCGAAGACTGGCGTGGAGCCCGCACGCGAGCGACGTGCTCGCAACCGCGAGCTACGACATGACGGTGCGCGTGTGGTCGGACGGGTCGATGGCCGTGGCTGCACCGCCGGCGAGCGGTACTGGCCAGGCTCCTATCCCCGGCGTGGGCACGCAACTGGGTGTCATGAACCGGCACTCCGAGTTTGCGACGGGCGTAGACTGGTGCCTGTTCGGCACGGGCGGATGGCTCGCGTCGGCCGGGTGGGACCAGCGCGTGCTGGTGTGGGATGCCCATACCCTGCTGCGCGGGTGAATCTGCCAACGAGTCGCTCTTCTGTTCTTCATGGGCCTGCTGCTCTGCTTACTTCGTTTTCAATTGTAACTATACTAGTAACGTCCTACGCGCAGGGTTGTGGCAGCTCAGGGTTCTTCTGGTTTTGGGGCAACGCTTCAGACCAGAGCTATGTGATCTTGCTACGACCATATGGGTGCGTGTAGAGGACGATAACTCGAAGATGATACCCCGCGCCGGAGAGGAGGGATGGGAAGGCAGGAGGTGGCGCGACAAGCGTTGGAAAAGGTCGGGTCAGGATACAGGGGCGAGGCCCCCGGTGGGACACAGGATCTTAAAGAACGGTGTTGACTACTACAGCGAGTCTGGAAGGGGTATCGGACGCGAGTAAAAGTACGAAGACCCGGCGTTTATGGCAAAGACTGGGGTCCGACATGTGAGACCTTCATCGAGTACTATTGTTTGCATTAGAGTTGCCTAGACGGCTAGGTGCTCAAAGGTGGTACTGTACAATACATAAAGGGGGTTCGACCGACCACAGAATAACTGGTTACTCGCCCAGGATGGTAGTCTAAATCAACCGACTATGACCAACATGGACAATTCACTCGCAAAGTCGAGAGCCCGAGTCCACTGACATGCACTTCATTACTTTTCTCTCTATCATACAGGAGGATTTGACAGAAATGTAGAAGACGTTGAGAGATGCGTTTGGTTGACCCCCCGCCAACCCCCCCCGACCCAAGCGTAGAAAATGAAACCCCTCATCTAGTCCCAGAAACCAGCAAACTCCCTAGATGACGAATATACAATCCCCCCCTTTCCCCCTGTACGTGTTCGTTTCTCCTTTTTGTTTGTATCGTGTAGTGGCGTGCTCCGTCTCTCAAAGGGGAGTGACGTTTGAATTTCCACCACACTCGCTTGACTGAAGGATTTCCCTTCAGTAAAGGACTGGTACCGACAGAAAAAGGCCAGGAATATGCTATGATACAGATACAAACGCCCGGAGCCGGGAAGTCGTTCAAAGAACAAGGGCATAAGGAGCCCGGTTCATGCTTTCAGCGGTCTAAAACGTGGCGGGAGGCTTCCGTCCACCTCTCCTGCTTTCGCTTTGAGCGACGCGTTCCATCCTCTCGAAATCATCTCGGGGGGGACGGCGCTCACGATGCTCAAACTGGCCGCGACCGTAGCCTCTTCCGCGACGGTCGCCGCCGCCACCGTAAGAACCACGACGGTCGCCGCCACCACCATAAGAACCTCCACCATAAGAACCGCCATGAGGTTTTCGGGGAGCAGGGATGTCAGCGATTCGTAGCCCTGCGGATACACCGACCAGACGAGCCGTCGACGGCGAGACAGCCGGTGGCTCCTCCATGCCCCAGGTGTACTTGGCCATGTTGTTGCATTCGGTCACCAGCTCGCGCGTGTCAACCTCGCTAAAGGCGCCTACGAGAAATGCGCGGTAGGCCTCTTGCTTCAACTCATAGCCAACCTTATCGCTCGCCTGTTGAATCTGGATGAAAGTTTCCGGAAGCGTGCTGGCTTTGCTCACGTCGATAGACGCAGATTCCAGGTCGGTGCAGCGTTGGATCGGCAAGCCTGGAAGCCGCGACCTCGCCGCGGGGATCTCGATATCAGCTGCCAGGAGGTAGGCTTTGCCCTCCTTGCCAGCTCGCCCCGTTCGCCCGATGCGGTGAATGTAGGTGTCCCGATCGCGGGGGAGGTGCATTTGTATGACATGGGTCACGTTGGGGAAATCCATGCCTCTGGCCGAGACATCAGATGAGAAGAGAATTGCAGAGGAAGCCTGCCTGAACTCATCAGCGCTCCTGCTTCGCTGGCCCTGTGCTAGCCTGGAGTGGATCTCATAGACGCGAGGAATCGAGCGGTCATCGTATCTGAGACTTCTAAACATCCGCGAGTAGGTTATGACTGCTGCCGTGGTGGGTAGAAAAACGATGGCCTTAATCGGTTGCCCCGCTGAGCTTCCCTCACGGCGAATCAACTCCAGGAGCGTAGGAGCGACGTTCTCAAAGCCGCGGCATGGGACGATGAATTGCGGCACCCTCTCGTGTGTTGGCACCTCGTCCGCCTTTACGGTCTGGACGAACTCAAAGTTGGTCGGGTTGATGAATTGGCGGGCCACGCCAACCACATTTTTGGGCAGGGTCGCTGAGTATAGGAGGGTCTGACGGGGCACGCTGCTCCGATCGGGCAGGAGGGTAAGGATGTTTTCAAGCTCAAGCTTGAAACCGACCTCCAGCATGCGATCGGCTTCATCCAGCACCAGGGCAGCAAGGTTGGGTGCTGCAATACCGGAGGACGGGTCCGAGAGAAGGTCGTGCAGACGGCCGGGAGTGGCGACCATCAAATGGCAGCCCTCAATGCGGGTCTTGCGAAGCATCATGTTCTTCTGCGTGCCGCCAACGGCGGTCTGGACAATGACACCGGTCCCTTTGCAGAGCCGTCTTGCTTCGACGCCAATCTGCTCGGCAAGCTCACGAGTAGGCGACATGACTATAGCGCGGATATTGTCGCAACTCTTCCGGCCTCTGGAGGGCCGGGCTAGATCCGGATCGGCATCGATAATCCTCTGAATGACAGGGACGAGGAATGCAAGTGTCTTGCCGGTGCCGGTCTTTGCTTGCGCGACCCTGAATCGGCATGTTTAGTCTCGCGCACCTCGCCAACATAGAGGAAAAGGGGTCGACCTACACGTCCTTCCCGAGCAGAGCGGGCCTGATCGTCATGGTTTGGACGTCTGTCATAGTCTCATACTTCATATCCTGTGTGATGGCGCGGACGATGTGCTCATGCACGTTGAGCCGTGAAAGATCTTCGAAACGGGAAATGGGGCCGGGCGCGGCATCAGTCGACAATTGTTCGGCGGCGGACTCGCTGGAGTAGAGCCGTAGCAGGGAAGGCGTGAAACGATACACGGCAGCAACATTCCTCGAGGGTCGCGAGAGCGCGAGCGCGGCCGAAGATGCTCTGAAGGCCACCTGGGCAGGGCGCGCGACGAGGGCGACGCGGCTTGCGGCCGCCTGCCGCAAAAGGCTGGTCTTCATCATGACGACGACCAAAGGTGTGTGTGCTGTGTTGAAGCCCGTCAACTATTTGCCGCTCGGTGGTTTTCCGAAAGCGGGTGATGGGCAACTGGAATATGGATGGCTTCCAGGTATTCAGGGTCTGCGGGATAGAGGGAGAGGCGGAAAGAAAATTTCCAACATTGCAGTTATCGTTTATCTTATCAGGGGTACTAACTACTAAGCGCTGCTAAGTACGAGTAGCCCAGTGCCCACAAGTCCGCCCGAGTGGCCCGTTTTCACAACAAGGGTCCAGACTGACTACTAGTTCGGTAATACTTCGTAAGGCACTGCTAGTATTTCCAGCGCGTTGTGCAACACCACACATGAGGGGCAAAGTCACAATACATACGGATTACATGTTCAACGTTACGTAAAATACTAAGTCGTCGACACTATTACTCTTTCGCTGTAGCCACTTTGCCCCTCGAGGGTCCCGACATCTCCATCTGCATGCCTTCCGCAAATTCGGTAACCGCACCCATGAAGCCCTGCGCGGTGTACACAAACAGTGAAAGAAGGGCTCCGCCAATGGCGGTGTGGCCGAGATTCCGAAACGCTCCGTCAAGGCTCGTGATCAGTCGTGATGCCGCTAAGGTCAACCGTGGGATGTAGTGTCGTTCTTGCTCCAGCTGATACGCCTTGCCGGCGAAAGCGACTATCTCCGGGATGATCCGTGTGAACATTGAATATAGCCAGCCAAGGATGAAGAAGATGACGACGTGTACCCCGTTCCGGTTGACGCTCCCGCGGCAGGCGCACTGCGGCTGACTCGGCGCGAAAGACTTCGTCGTGGTGTCCGCCATCGCCGGCGGCATGGCGTGGTGGAGTATCGCTGTTTCGACAGGGGCTAGGTCGGCAGGCAGGCCCCTAAGCAGGTGCTGGACGCCAGTGATGTACGTCCATCGCTCGAACTCTGGATCATGGTCGTGGCCGGCATACTGACTGCCGACTTGCTCGCGGCCCGAGTTGAGGATAAGGTCAAGACCTAGAGGATATAGTGTTAGTTGGACTATCCACGCAGTACTCACCGCAGCAATGGATACATACCTTGACTGCCGGCCCTCCAGTTGATCCCCGAGGCCTGGGACGCTACTCCCATTCCGGTAGCCATATAGCTAACCATCGAGACATAGAACTTGGCTCTGGCGTATGCGTTATCTAGCATACATCGGTCGGCTTCGGCCCCAGCTTCGGTTTTGACGTCAGCTTCTGCTTCGACTTGTTCGCTGGCCATTGCCCCCGCGTTTCGCTCAGTGGTGTCCGCTTCCCTGACGGTCTGCATCCTCGCAGCCTTACTGGACTCTTCCGTGTGGTGGTTTGTATTGGAGCCACGCTTCTCTGGAAGAAAGGTGCCGAGGACGCAGTTCTGGACGTTCTCCGGCAGCACTGACTCCGCCAAACCGATAGCCAGACCGATACCGGGCCGCCAAACGAAGGTCTCGAAGAATCGCTGTGTAAAGGATACAGTGGTGTTCCTGAGAGCCATTCTGCCGCTTGCGAAATATCGCAGGTTTGAATTCGGCCAACCGGAAGCTATGGCAATGTTTCGTTGTGTGGATGGACGAAACAGGTGACGGACGCTGGACGAGGTTGGGGATTTAAAGACGCGACGAAGTGCAGAGCAGCGTACGCAGGGGAGCACCCTTGTTAACATGGAGACGCCGTGCGCATCTTGCCACCTGCGTCTAGTCTGATGGTGTCCAAATATGTCGGTGCGTTCCTGGAGTCATCAGACGAAACCGGATGTGGCATATACACACCGGCCATGCCTGGACATAAAGAGGGCTATTCCTGAGCGCCTGGTTTCTATGAGAAACAGCTACATATGCGCAGTTAATTCCTATGTCCTCAACCGTATAAGCAGGGGCGTATGTGAGAGTACGGAGTACTAGCATCGCTTATTATAAGTATTGTGTCAACCCTGCGTCACGGCCGTTGAAGGTGTCGTCTACAAAGTACTAGTAGTACCACACGTGTAGTACGGTTTATAAAAGAAGCATGTGATTCAGTTGTTTCAGGCAAAGGCAAAGTGGGACACTCTGTTTCCGGTCCAAGGCCCAAGCGGTTTTTTAATTCAACCCGCCAAGCAGAAGTTAGGCCAGAACATGTGCAGCCTGACCGCGGGCCGCTCCTCCGACTCGATCCGATCTTATACATGGGGATATGTATTGTACAACTTTTTCGGGGACACCGCAAAAGCGTCGACCAACAAACTGGCTAACGCCAGACGGCAATGTGTAGAGGACAGTCATCCAGTCCATTGAGAGTTTACCAGGGAAGAGGGTACTACTTACCTACCTATGCTTGATGCCTGACTCCCAGGCGCTGCAGTGTCATCTCAACGCGAAGGTATCACTATCAACTGCATCCACATGTGTGATGGCTTCCCATTCTTTACATGGCCCCCGGTTAGCGGCGAACCTGGAATTGCAGCGCTCGGCTGAAGAATATGGACAACTAACAGACTCTGTATGTAGTTCGGTGGCGTGAAGTGGTGCATTCATAAGTCCCAGAATCACCCAAATCCGATTACGCCGTTCAATTTACCCCCATAGCCTTGGCCTTCTCAGCAGCAATCTTAGCCTCCATCTTCCTCCTCGCCTCAAGAATCATCTGGTCTCTCCGCCTCTGCAGCAACGACTGCCTCTCCTCGGGCTTCGAACTCCAACCCTTGCCGTTCTCTGGCTCGTTTGCCGGGGCGTTGAGCTTATCCTGCAGATTGTACCGCGTAATAAGATCCGGGTGGCCAGATCCAGCAGCGGGCTTCGGTTGCGAGGTGGGGTTGTTATTGTTGTTGTCGTTCCTGTTCGTGCCTGGAGGAATCGGAGGCTGAAATGTTATGGGCGGCTATAAACTACTGCTTTAGCTACTAGTACTGAATCTAACGAATTTGAGGGAAAAGGAGAGAACATGGAGAAACGCACCGTCTCCAACAGCCCAACCAAAACCCTCTCCGACGTCGCTTGGAGGTTCCCTCCCGTTCTATGCAAGTTCCACAGCGCTGTCCTCCGATCTACGTACGGAAACATCTGCATTATCCTCTCCGCGGCCGCCTCGCGCTGGCGCATGACTGCGGCCGGCTCCTCCCTCGGCGGTGACGATCTCCCAGCAGGGGGCGCAAAAAATAGGTAGCGTATTATCAACCCCGACAGAACCGCTACCAGAAACAGCGACGGCAGAGAAATCTGTTGTCCATCGTCGGTGGCCATGGTCTCCGTCGCTGGGCTTTGCCGGTTGCGGCAGTGCTTGGTTAATCGTCGAGTGTTGAATGCTTGCTGCTAGGTAAGAACTTGGGATCGAGATGCAGAACGCAGACCGGGAAAGGATGCGGGATAACCTTGAGCGGTTGGAAAGTGGTGCGACAGTGATGTGGTGTCCAGTGGTGACGCGATGATCACTGCGCGACTCGCCACCGTGGCAGCCTTGCACCTCCGACCTGCGTCGCGCGGCAGAAAGGGTGCAATTGAATCGAGCCTGAGCGAAGGAATTCCGGAATGCAGCCAGCTATTCGAACAAACTCAGGACAGCCGAAAAGGGAATGCTTGCACTCGCCGCTGATGCAGCTGCTCGAGGGCCTTGTGGTTCGTTTCCGTCTAGATGGAGTTCGCTGGAATCCAGTCAGCGCTGAACGTTCTCTCGGTAGTGCCGGGAGTCGGAACACGAAACTTACCTGTATGTTACGAGCATGCCAGTATCTGACCTTGGGCCCCACCTGCCTCTTTGTTATTTGATTACTTCACTCCCTACCGTAGGTAATGATTACGGACTTCGAGTTACCTTACTACTCCCTCCGTACATAAGTAGCTGCTGGTAGGTACCGCACCTACCTTACATGTACAAGACATGGACGTCGCGCCTTTCAGAAAGCCAGTTGAAAACCTCAACTGGGCATCCATATTGTAAGAGCATCCCCGAAAGGCGCTCGTGTCATATTCATTCTTGCGCCAATTCCTGCTTCATAATTTTCCCGCGGGACACTCCCGTCCCTAGGCACGAGGTACCTTACAAACATGCGTAACCCTGTTTCCCTGCAGCCTTGCCCTGTGCAGACACTTTGTGCGCCTTGTTTTCGTTTGCCGTCCTCGGCAACGCAAGATCCAAAGATTCAGGCCCCTAAGCTTTGCAGCTGAGCAGTGGGCGTGGTATCGAGATCTGCGTATTGCAGCATCAGCTCTCGCTGCCCAAAAGAAGTCAGTAACAATAGATCATCATCGATTGAGGAGATTTGTTAAACCCATACCCGCTCCTTGCGCCAGTTGACTGTGTCCCAGACAATGTAGTAGCCGCGCTCGTGCCCAGGGCCGAGATTTTGAGGCGCCATGATGTCGTCTTTGGTCAACCAGAACTGGTATTTCTTGTGCCACCTCCAGTTGCGGTTGTTTAGCTCGATTGCCGCCATCTGCTGCTTGATGTCCCGTGGACAACTGTAGAAGATCCACATCAAGGTTTCCTCGTTGAAGCTCGAAATCTTGGCCTCAATCGGCTGCACATTCTTAACATGGTAGCAGTCTGGAAGACGGAACTTCGGCACGGGTGATCTCGGTGGAACGTCGTCGAAGAGTGAATAGACCTTTGTCGACAATGTACTAAAAAGAAATAAGTCTTGAGCCGAGTCACCCTGCGCCATAAGCCACTTACTCTGTCGAACGCATGTCCACCCCCAGCAACGACGGATCGATGCCGCATGTCAGCGCGTTGTAATCGGGAAAATTGTTCATCAAGGTCCGGAGACCCTTAAGCCCCCATTTATCAATGAGCGCCATCCCTTCAAGCGGATCCTGTACTTGGTTGGTTGGTGGCTTCTCTTCGTCCTTGCCTTTGCCTGTTGGGGCATCGTTGCCGATGGCGCCCAGGGGGTTTCTCCCGCCTACCCCGTCCGCCGGCTCCTCGCGATAACCCGCTGGCTTCTGGCGCGGTTCGTCCTCACCGACCGGGCTGCGAAGATCCTGGGGTCGCCCTATCGCAGTTGGAGAGCGGACGTCTGCGGTGCGTGACGTTGCAGAGAGCGCACTCAATAACCCGTTACCTGCGCGACTGGCGTGCATGGCTGACCCGGCCGCCGAACCAGGAGCGCCGAACCCCAGGTTTGACATCAGATTCCCCCCGCGATCCTGCCCGCCGATCTCTCCATTCGCTGCACGGTTTAGCGGCGGAAATTCGTCGGTCACGCTCGACAGTGATTGAGACGCTTGCGCGGTGTTTCCTTGGTTGCCAAATCTGAACGAACCCTGGCCAGTCGACAGGCGGGAGGCAAACAGATCGTCTTGCTGGGTCTGCTGCGATGAAAGCGGGGTTCCTGCTCCTCGGTGTATCCCTCCGCCGAGATTTCGTGGCCCTTGTGCTGACCACATTGATGTTTGCGCTGTTGAGGTGAGCTGGGACGTATTGGACAAGGATGGAAACTCCCTGAGGAAGAGCGGCTGGTTAGCACTTGTTCCTCTAGTCTGATGACCGGATCAGACTGGCTGAGAGTCCGATGGAGCGACTTAGTGAAGGAAAAAGCCCTAGTACCCCTTCACGATAGATGCATAGGGTAACCCTTCAGCGGGTCCATGAAACTCTTCCGCAACGTTCGTCTCCTTCACTTTCATGGAAAGTCTGAGTTTCGTTTGCTGAAGCGGCGCCATTCCTGGCTCGGCTCCTCAAGCGGAGAGCTCCTCGAGATGGAACACGCACCGCGTGTTTGTGCAGAGAAGAGACTGAGGAGCAAGGGAGATGACGTAAAGCGAACGCGCTCGAGGAGCGGCGGATTTCATGAAGGGGTGGAAGATGGAAACGGGTCAAAATAGCGTAGGGGCCGGCGTGCGCCTTTGTGGGCGGTCGGGACCGCAAAGTTGCGCAAAAAGATCGGACCAAGAGTGCCACACAGACAAAAAAAGTGCGACTTACGATAAATCCAAAGGGGTGGCCGGCTGTGACCCCGTCAAGCTTTGCGCAAAGCTGACATTCCCCCCTATTTGCCTGGCGGCGCCCGGGGGAACGCTTGCGCTCCCTCCCATAGGCATCCCGCCGAACCACCCCGGCCCATTTCCTATCGGCCCTGCAGCCAGAGATGTCAGCGATTGTCACCATGCCCATGGATGCAAAGCGCCGCGCAGCGCGGTGAGCCTCCTAACCTATCTTCCCGTTCGGTAACCTATTCGCCAAGGCCCGACCCGATTGTTGTTGTTGCTGCTGCTGCTGCTGCTGGCCACCGAATCCGCCGCCGGGTACGCCGCGGAGCGATTGTGGTACAGCGCCTGATATCCCAAGGTGCGTCAGTGTTATTTTCATCCAAGCGACGGTCGTGATGGATCATGAACATAAGAGGTGCCGACAAGGAGTCGCAATAGGTGCTTCGAGGGACTTCGGCGACATGATTCGACCATTCCAACAGCACCCTGCTATTGAAAACGGTGCGAAGAACTGAGCTCGGATCAAAGATTGAAAAGAGAGCTCTGCTGTGAGAGTTGCTTCGGTTCCGTGATTGTTCGCAGGGGCAGTCTTGACACGGCAGCGCCCTCGAACCGCACCGTGCCCTCAACCCCCCAGATTCCAGATTGGAGCAAGGCCATTCTGGCCAACCTAACGGCAGACCCGATGGTGTCTATAAACTGCGAGGGAGGCGCTTAGGGCCGCGACATGGCGAGGTCCAAGCGGGTCAAGGAGCAGGCGGGGCACGGGGACAAGAGGGACCGGGATCGTAGAAGGACGCGGCACCGCCACCACCATACCTGGTCGATTCATCATGGGAATTGTCTCTTGGGCTTGTTATGCCCGTTCGTCGGGAATATAAGTCGTTGTGGTGCGTGTTCGACACCGAATTGTCTATATCGTCCACGCGGCGGGCGTTGGAGGCTGCGAGCAGGTCGAAGATGGGGGGTTGTCGTTGGGGCTGCGGCTGCAAACGCTTGACAAGGCTGTCAACCTTGGAATTGCCGCTTCCAGGTGACAAGGGCACATGCGACAGGGCCGCATGAGGTCCGTGCTCGCCGACAGGGTGAGTAAATTACAGTTGCGCCATCCTACTACGGTATGGTATTGCACCGTCAGGTTACCATACGACAGAGTACCTAGGTAACAGCAAGTAATGACTAAGCTCAGTGCATCCAGCATTCGCTTGTTCAGCGTTTAGCTATTGCTGCGCCGTGAGCTGCCAGCCAACCTCTCAACGCCGCGCATCTCGAAGCATACCAGAAGACCACGCCGCTGATTCTCTCCGGACAGCACACAGCATTCGCCATCAATACCAATTCATTGGCCAACAGGTTGCGATAATCTGGAATACCCATTACCATAATCTTGCAACATGGCCAACGGGTACGAAGCCACCATTCGACCTTCACTTGTGGAATCGCATGCCAAACTAACACCAACCCCAACCCCTGCAGTTGGAGCATCTTCATCGGTCTGGTGATTGTCATCGCCATGTGCCTAGCTGCATGGTTCTTTGCACCCAAGGGCGAGAATCAAGTGTAAGCCTCTTCCATCTCGATGCTCTCCGACGGCAGCCGTCCGTGACGATCTCCCGCGCTGACTCGTCTTCAACTAAGGCTTTGGCGCTCCTCCATTATCCTCTCGATCGTCAGCTGCTTCCTCATGTGGGCGATTACGTTTCTATCGCAACTTCACCCCCTTATCGAGCCGAGACGGTCGGATCTACGTAAGGAATACATCCACCACTAAGCTATACTTCATGCGGAAGAGTGGCATTGGCGCGAGAGGACTTGGACAAGTCAACCTTGTTGTACGAATACCCACATGGCATTCAATACAGATCGGAACGGCGTTTGGGCGGACGGGTATATTGCGGGTTTGGATTTTATACTGGGCGGGTTGTTTGGACTGTACATGCAGTATCCTGCACCGTGGAGGCTTGCTCTTACAACGTGCATTATATCAAGAAAGAATTAACGAGCACGATACACCAGGTCTTAAGCTGTGAAGACACCCAGCCGACGAAGTTCAAAGACCAAAGAAAGTCAAGACGGCATGTCTGGCTACTAACCAACAGCCAACCTACCGGCCCACTCCCTAATATAAATTAACATAGCAACAAACGCCCTTCCGTCCTCTGCGACTCCCGTATCTCCAGCCGAGTCCACTCCTCCCAGCCCCGCGGCCCAGAGGACCGCTCTTCCCATCGCCCAACGACTGACGGCCCCAGCAGTCGCCAGCAGCGTAGCCACCCCGTACCCACAATCCAGCAGAATCTTGAGGGCCTCGACGTTGTTCGCCACAACTGCCCATCCCAATGACCGTGCGGCGGCAGGCACGTCGTACTCCCATATGACCATCAGGATGGGGAACAGCTTGGTGGAGGACGACACGAGCAGCGCAGTGGAGACGGAGTTGGGTCTAGGATAGCGCGGGAGGATGCCGAGCACCGCGAGCGGCGAGTAGCGGGACGAGGTGAGGAAGCGGATGGAACCGTGGAAGGCTATGGTCGAGAGAGTGCAGAAGAGTACTTAAAAGAAACAAGACAAGGGGTTAGTTCCAGCGAAGGAGGCAAGGAAGCGAGGGAGGCGGGAACGGCGTACGGAAGAACACGTATTGGAAGACTATCGGCTGCTGCGCGAGCCGGCCAAAGTTACTGTTATCCGTACCGGAGGGATCGGTGTCGGGGACCGCCCGGCGCTCGATGCGTGCCCAAGTGAGGTAGACGTCGAAAAGCAGGAGGAGGATGCCAAGGCGGATGATGGAGGGCTGTCCGGTGCTTAGTCTCCTGCTCCTCATGGATAAAAGCGCAACTACACCCATCTACAAACGGGGAGAACTCACTGCGAACTCATCTTCATCCTTCATTAAGGTATTGTGCAGCAAATGCCTATACACCTATTCTCCAAACCTCGCATCAGCCACCGTCCTCTCTGTCTCTCACTGGGCCCTGGCTAGGTAACGTAACGGGTATCGCCCACCTGCGGCTTGATCAGAACGAGGTCGATGAACAAGACAACGAAGTCATGCTCGACATATTTGTCGCAGAAGCGCCCGCAGTTCTTGCACACTGTCAGCCGGATATTGTGCCCGCCTGACTTGTCGCCTCCACCCTCGCGCCAGAGCGTCTTGACCGGGTGTCGGCACTCAATGCAGATCGGCATCGTATTTGCGGCATTTGTGTAATCTTTGCTCGCTGGGGAAGGGAAGGGTGACGGTCTTGTCGCCGCCCGTGTCAGTCTGCGCGGGGAATAGTAAGTATTAGTACCAGTAGAAGTAGTACTAGTAGTAGCTGCTGTTTGCGCAATTGGTTTGGCGGTGGTTGCGATCGCTCGTGGTCCAAGTGCTCTGATAAGAGCTTATCGGACTAAGCTCCGGCTCCAATATACTCCAACAGAATCCGGAGCACGAACCCATAATAATGAGCACAGCTTACCTGGATGAATGGATGCCAGTACTAAAACGCTGTACATGGCAAAGCGGGCAGAAGGCTAGAAATCAAATGACTTCAGTGGATCATACATTGTGCCACGGAAGCCACCCATAATACAAGAACAACACGAACAATGACAGCAACGGGCATTAGTTCAAGTTGCGTGCCTCTCATCAAGTTTGCACGAGAGCTACATGCTTGACGAACCCCAGCTTGCCATGCCATTGCCCGCGTGGCAGTGGCCATCTGTGCCTATATACAGAAAAAGCGCCCCAGTTTATAGCCTTGAGCCCCGTTAAATAATGATGTCACTGTATAAAAACGCCCGCAGCGCAATGCTAAGTTATCCCAGAGGACGGCACACCAGGTCTAGAATGAGCTGGATCGCCGTGTACAGAAAGATCCAGAAACTGTTCTCAGTTCCCCTAGTCCGCCTTCTTGTTCCCGCCCAGCGCAGCATTACTGCTACGACTCCTGACGCCCCCACCCAGTTGTTCCAAACCTCTCCCCGAAGCAGATCCGCCCGGCGAACCGCGGCCGGATGCGGGCGCCGAAAGGGCGCTAAGCAAACCTCCAGTATCCCACATCGACGAATCATGCCGCCCATCGTCGCTCCCCGTATCCGTCAACTCAATGAGATCCCCACCCAACTCGGGCACGCCACCGCCACCGCCACCGCCACCGCCAGGAGGCCTTCCCCGCGGGCCGATCACAGGGGTAAGCGGGCCCTGTCTGGCGCGCTCAAAAGCACCCCGTAGCCACGTCTCGATCGCAGCGGCAGCCTTGTCCAGCCCGGTGCCTTGCCGGCTGGTGGAGGCGGCATCACGCCCCTCTTCAAAGGGGCTTTCGACGATGGCGACATGCTCGTCTGGGTTGGTGAAGCCGAAACTGGCGCTCTCCGACCCCATGACAGACATGGACGGGAGAGAGTCGATGTTCAGCCCGGGCAGGTGCTTGTTGGTCCACGTGTTGAAATAGTCTGTCTCCGGACCGGGGGCTCGGACATGTCTGCCGAGCGAGCCGACGCCGCCTGGCCGGCGCATCCATGCTGGGCGAGGGTCATCGGTGCCGCTGCCGGCACTGCTGAGGCGGGTTCGCGGTGCGGAGCTGGTGTGTGTACCACGGTTCGAAAGGAGGCTTGGTCGTCGCGAGGAGGTGCTTCGCGGACTTTCGATGGCTGACTCGGAGACGGTAACGCTTGGTAGCTCGGTGGAGGCGCGCGGGGTGGACAGCGTCGATGTAGTGCGTATGCTTTTCTTCCTGCGTGGCGGGAAGTAACCGAGTGCTTTGCGCGGTACTCTCGCCACTTCAACCGGGTATGGGTGAGAGTCTATAGCCACCCATCTCACGTGAGCCCATGGTCTGTCATCATCGCCTGGTCTCGTCTGATCCGGTCCGTGGTCCTTTCTGAAGTTGGGAAAGTATTCACTTCGCGTTGCTTGGTTTTCCTGGCCAAAGGGGTCTGTTGCATCCGGCGTCTGCGAGGAAAGGAGATCAACCCTCGATGACGGGTTCGTAGGAGGGGCGCAAGGGCGGCCCTTGACCTCGCACGCCTCTACCGGTATTGCCAACCACTTCCGTACTTGGATATTATCCCGCGACCATAGCCCGTTGGCCCTTCGGAAGCTGTCCTCCCGGCATCTGTACTTCAGAACGATACCTGCGTACGTGTCCGTAGCTTGGACGTGGTGAATATAGGCCAAGTACTCTTCCGCCTCCTGCGTCTGCGCCGTCCGCCTGAGGTCCTCGTCTGAGCTCCGTTTCTTGAACCTGCCTGCCACGTCCAGCCCTCCGTTAACGCCATCATGGCTCTCAAGCACGCTTGCAGTCCGCATAACCTTCAATGCGGCTGCCCTTTTCGCGAGCGATCCTGCAGCAACGTCATCTGCACGCGGCCTTCCTTCGGCTGTTGGTGTCGGACCCCAGCTACCATCCATCCCATCATCTCGATAACTGGCTTGCCGGGTGGTCGTGGGTCGTACTCTCCCGCTTCCATCCCTACTGCGTGGCCGATTCGCCTCACCGCCAAATCCCGACGCTCCGCTTCCTAGCAGCGAAGACGCCAACTCCTGTACTGAAGCCCAGCTCGGCGTCCACGAACTATCAAGCAATCCACGGCCGACGCCCGGGGTCTTGCCTCGAACGACAGAGCGGACAACTTCAGTCCCGGAATTGTTCCTCCCTGTGACCGAACCAACTTGTGTAGATGGAATTGGTGTGGCACCTCGGCTGGGCGTACGACTGGCGCTGGGGAGAGCGGAAGACGACCCCGCGTCGTCTTGGGTGCTGAGGAGGCGACGAGCCCGCGGACGTACGGATGCCGTGTCCAAATCTTGTGTGGCGGGCCGGAATGTGCTGGAGGACGAACTCCGCGAAGGGATCATTGCCTCGGGCATCCTCCCAACCATGCCGGGGGCCTCGACACGCGGCAATGGCGGCGGTAACAGATAAGCATCAGATCGTGCCCGGTCCAACCATTGGATGCTGCGCTCTATGACGGCGCGCTACTGGTCGTGTCGTAGGAATCAGTGTTAGACGTCGATCAGATTGCTGAGCGGTCAGTCGCAGCTTCGATCGACTCGCCTGGTGGTTAGCCAGGTTGTGGGATGGTACGCAGGTCAGCCGTATCCGTACTGTGTGGCAGCCGGGAGTTCAGTTGGTTAAATGACCCTCGCCTGTGACGGGAGCATCCGCTAGATGGGATTGAGGCACGGATTGGCCCAAGAATCACACAATACATTCGCGCGATACAGAAAAGTGTTCGTTGAGAGAGCTCCCGGGGCGGAAGGCATATCTCCAGCGCTAGAGAAAGCGTACGTATCCCCTTGATAGGTAGGTTGAATGCCAGGCCCATTCCAAGTCGGGGGGCAGCGGCGGCTGTGGCGCCCCTGGAGCGTGGTCCGGGGAGCCTTGTGCAAGCCGATCTTGTGTGTTTGAGCAAGGTGGCCAATGACCGCCAAGCCAGCGCTAGCGACGCCCGTCCCGATGATGCAACTGTTGTGCAAGGCGGGCATACTGTCAGCTTTCCAACGGCTGAATTCCCCCGTTCAGAGAGCCGTATATTGCTCTGTATGAGAGTGATGGTAGTCTAAATTCGGGTACGGATCACCTGTATATACGTCTTCACCGCAATCCGAGATCCAGGTTTATCGTGGCATTTTGATTCTCAAGTTTGGGAGGTTTTGTACCAATGTAAGATACTAAGGTATGTAACAAACAGTAAACGTCGCATCACAGTGCACTTCTGCTCGCTTGGCCCGAAACCGTACCTTCCTACGTAATACAGTATTTAACAGTATCCATGTTACCATCAGGTCCCCGATGCACGAGCCACCCCGCTGCGGGGCGACAGGTTGAGCAGAAGTAAACAAATAAGAACTACTACCACAGAGGAGGGGCGCGACGTGTCTCTGAAAGGGCTTTGGGGGATTTTGCGCGCCTGCCCCGGAACCCCGAACGGATCGACGGCCAACAACAGTACGCGGATTACTCCGCCGACGCCACCATGAGAGTGACGGAATTGATTATCGACGTAAGTCTCGGGTAGACTGCGTTGGTTTGGCGACAGCAACTGACCTCGAACAGGGCTTCAAGTCGTATGCCGTGCGGACGGTGATATCAGGATGGTAATGTTTCGCGGCGCTGGAAGGTTTGGCAAGCGCTGATAATGGTTGCAGGGACGAGAGCTTCAACTCCATCACCGGCCTCAACGGCAGTGGCAAGTCCAACATCTTGGACGCCATCTGCTTTGTACTGGGCATCACCAACATGTCCACTGTCCGAGCTCAGAACCTGCAGGTGAGGCAGACACTCGAACCTCGCCATAGGTCTGGGACCTTCTAGCTGATCGGCATTGCGCCTCCAGGACCTTATCTACAAGCGCGGACAGGCAGGCGTCACCAAGGCCAGCGTCACGATCGTATTCGACAACAGAGACAAGAAGCGTTCCCCCATCGGATTTGAGGAATATGCGACCATCAGTGTGACCCGGCAGATCGTGCTTGGTGGGACCACGAAATACCTGATCAACGGCCACCGTGCCCAGCAACAGACCGTCCAGAACCTGTTCCAATCGGTCCAGCTGAATATCAACAATCCCAATTTCCTGATTATGCAAGGACGCATCACCAAGGTGCTGAACATGAAAGCCGTCGAGATTCTCGCCATGATCGAGGAGGCGGCGGGCACGAGGATGTTCGAGGATCGGAGGGACAAGGCGCTGAAGACGATGGCAAAGAAGGACCTGAAACTCCAGGAAATCACCGAGCTGCTCCGCGATGAGATTGAACCGAAGCTTGAAAAATTACGAACTGAAAAGCGCGCCTTTCTCGACTTTCAGCAGACGCAAAACGACCTCGAGCGGCTGACTCGGGTCGTGGTGGCTCACGACTATGTGCGGTGTCAGGAGAAGTTGAAGCAATCGGCCTCGGACCTCGAAGCAAAACGGCAGCGTGAGAAGGACCTGGAGGAGTCAGCCGCACGACTCAAGAGTGAAATATCCAATCTAGAGGAGGATTTGCAACGGGTCAAGGCGCAACGCGACAAGGAACTCCGGAAAGGCGGCAAGGCGCAGGCGCTCGAGGAGGCGGTGAAGAAGCACGCCAACGAGCTGGTTCGTCTGGCAACCGCAGCCGATCTCAAGCGCAGCAGCATGTCGGAAGAACAGGAGCGGAGGGTAGCAGGTGAGAAGACGGTTGCGGAGCTGGAGGCGACCTTAAAGGAGAAGACGAAGGCGTACGAGAAGATCAAAGCAAAGTACGACGCAGCCAAGGAGGCAGCGGAGAAGCAGAGACAGGAAGCAGAATCCAAGGAAGAACTGCTCCAGACTCTACAAACCGGTGTTGCGTCCAAGGAAGGTCAGGAAAGCGGATACCAGGGGCAACTGCAAGACGCGAGGAACCGCGCCACGGCAGCTGTGACGGAGCAGGAACAGGCGAAGCTCAAGATCGCTCATCTCGAGAAGCGCATCAAAGAGGAGGAGCCGCGTGCGATGAAGGCAAGGGACCAAAATGCTGTCCTGCTCAAGGACATCGAGGGCCTCAAGCAGCAGGCCCAGCGGCTGGAGAAAGAGCTGGGGAAACTCGGCTTCCAACCAGGGTCAGAGCAGGAGATGTACAAGCAAGAAGCCTTGCTGCAGCAGACCATCCGGAACCTACGACAGGAGTCCGATGCGCTGAAGCGCAGGGTCGCCAACATTGACTTCCACTACGCAGATCCAGTGCCCAACTTTGACCGGTCCAAGGTCAAAGGCCTGGTGGCGCAGCTGTTCACCCTTGACAAGCAGTTCTCGCAAGCGGCCACGGCCCTCGAGATCTGCGCTGGTGGGCGGCTGTACAATGTGGTGGTCGACAACGAAGTCACAGGCACACAGCTGCTGCAGGGTGGAAGGCTCCGGAAGCGGGTGACCATCATCCCCTTGAACAAAATCGCCGCCTTCCGAGCATCTGCACAGACCATTGCTACCGCACAGAGAATTGCACCGGGCAAGGTTGATCTGGCGCTGTCCCTTGTCGGGTACGATGAAGAAGTCTCGGCCGCCATGGAGTACGTGTTCGGCAACACTCTGGTCTGTGCAGATGCCGACACAGCAAAGAGGGTGACATTTGACCCCAACGTAAGGATGCGGAGTATCACGTTGGAGGGCGATGCTTACGATCCCTCGGGCACGCTTTCTGGCGGCAGCGCTCCCAACTCAAGTGGTGTTCTGATTACGCTGCAGAAGCTCAACGAGATCACCAGGCAACTCAGAGAAGCTGAAGCATCACTTGGCCAGCTGCAGTCGCAGATTGCGCGGGAAAAGTCCAAGCTCGACCAGGCCAAGAAGCTGAAACAGGAACTGGACCTCAAGATGCACGAGGTCAAGCTTGCTGAGCAGCAAATCAGCGGTAACTCGTCATCATCCATCATCCAGGAGGTGGAAAAGATGAAAGAGACGATTGCGCAGCTCAAGCAGTCAGTCGTCGATGCCAAGCAAAGGCAGGCCGAGGCCAGTGCCGACATCAAGAGGATTGAGAAGGACATGAAGGACTTCGACAACAACAAGGACGCCAAGCTCATCGAGCTCCAGGCTTCCGTCGACAAGCTCCGTGCGTCCCTTGAGAAGATGGCAGCATCAAACAAGGCGCTCCAGAAGGAGCTCCAGACGGCGCAGCTCGACTCGGAACAGGTCTCGGGCGACCTCGCTGCGGCGCGAGAACAGCTCCAGGAAATGGACCTCGCCCTCAAGGCCCAACGGGAAGAGGTGGAGGGACTCGTCGCGCAGCAAAAGAAGGTCAAGGAAGTGCACGATGCGGCGCAGGCGCAACTGGACGAGGAGCGCACCAAGCTGCACGTCTTTGACGACGAGCTCCGCGCGCTGGAGGAAGCCATCCGGTCCAAAAACGCGCGCATCACCGAGGAAGGCCTCGAGAAGCAAAAGCTGGGCCACCAGATCGAAAAGTTCCACAAGGAGCAGCAGACGGCAGCGCAAATGGTGGCGAAGATGGAGGAAGAGCACGAGTGGATCGCCGACGCGCGCGACCAGTTCGGCCGCACGGGCACGCCCTACGACTTCAAGGGCCAGAACATTGCGGAATGCAAGGCGACGCACAAGAACCTGCTCGAGCGCAGCCAGGGCCTGCGCAAGAAAATCAACCCCAAGGTCATGAATATGATCGACAGCGTCGAGAAGAAGGAGATGTCGCTCAAGCACATGATGCGGACCGTCATCCGCGACAAACGCAAGATCGAGGAGACCATCATCAGCCTCGACGACTACAAGAAGAAGGCGCTGCAGGAGACGTGGCAGAAGGTCAACGCCGACTTCGGCCAGATCTTTTCCGAGCTGCTGCCGGGTAGCTTCGCGAAGCTGGATCCACCCGAGGGCAAGACCATCTCGGATGGCCTCGAAGTGAAGGTCAGCCTCGGCAAGGTCTGGAAGCAGAGCCTGACCGAGCTAAGCGGAGGTCAACGGTTTGTTTTCCCCTCTCCCTCTCTTTCCCCGTGCCCAAGTCCGCGCCAACTAAGCTAACCTTTCCTCCCCTCCCTGATTTGCCAGGTCGCTAATCGCCCTCTCGTTGATCATGGCGCTCCTGCAATTCAAGCCAGCACCCATGTACATCCTGGACGAGGTCGATGCCGCGCTCGACCTCTCGCACACGCAGAATATCGGGCGCCTCATCAAGACGCGCTTCAGGGGCTCCCAGTTCATTGTCGTCTCGCTCAAGGACGGTATGTTCCAGAACGCCAACCGCATCTTCAGGACGCGGTTCAGCGAGGGCACCAGTATGGTACAGGCGCTCACGCCGGCGGATCTGAAGTGAGCCTCCTTTGTGTGGCACGCGAGGGCAAGGGGACGTGGGATGTTTTAGCTCAGAGGGAAGGAAGGAGGCATGGGGTGCGAGTGAGACGACGAGTTGGGCTATGTTGGCTCTATGGTTTCCTCTGGGACATAGGTGTGGCGTACTGGCTTGGCTCCCCGGATGACTGAGGCGATATTATTATTATGTATGATGACGGGATGGTCCGGTATACAACTTTGGCTAGGCTATGGGTAGGCTCGCGTCCGGTTTGTTCATGGGTGCTTCTCGTGCTTCTCACATGTGTTGTGGCTTTTCTGTTCAGTTGCCCGTACGTCTATGGTTCTATGTATCTAGATGTATCCGGATCTGCCTTCTCAATGCTGATGATCCCTCGTCTATTGGCGGATATATACGTGGGAGCCTCGGTCCAACACCTCTACCGACATCCCCACCTCGACCCAACTTTCCAGTCCCTCCTCGGAGGACGTCTTGGAATATAAAGGCGTCAGTTGCATGCCCAGGCAGCCCATGCTTGTCGCGCCTTCGTCGACATCTCTGTACTTCCTCAGAGACCTATCTGGTTCTACCGGGTGACGGTATCCAGTGTCTTGGTCTACGTTTGGCATTTTGCAGCTAAAGAAAGGGATGTATCAGTCAACGGTCAGAGTTCTGTGGATCCTCGAATGGATATTCGCTTTGCCGAGAGACACGGATACGCACCGGACAGTTCGGCAAGACACGTGGAATGTTGAGGCTTCCCGCCTACTGCCGGGACCCGGGATGAACCGGATCTTCCTCCAGGTGTCTTCATCATAAGGGGCATCTCCGCCGTCCACTGTTGTATGAACACCATGTTAGTATTAGTCGTTGTGGAGCGACGGTGGCTCTACACTGTACAGTATGTCAAGGTACACAAGGGGATCGTTCGGGCGAAAGTGGAACACTGAGGCGGACTCCACTCCCAACCTGTACGTAGTGTACGGTTAATAATAAGTCAAGAAAAACTCACCTATGATGTTAGCCCGGAACCGCCTGGGATCCAGGGCCGGGAGCGTGTCGTCCTTGTCGATCTTGGCATCGAAATCTCGAACGCTGGTCAGGTTCAGGAGGTGCAGGGGATACTACACGGTCGTTTCCAACATCCATAGTTAGTTATTAGTAACCATATAGGCCTCCACCTCCGGAGCTAAAGTAGCGACAATCAGACCATTTTTGTCGAGATAGGGGGTTGCGCGCGCGCCGGGGGGGGGGAAGTGAGATGGCCGGAAGGGAAGACGGGTTGGGGAGCTGGTGGTGATCCTCACAGCATCTTGGAACCCAGTGACGGGTTGGTAGCCGGCCTCGTCCTTGGTCGGGGCACAACGGTAGACGTTTCGTAATCGGTCCGGGTCGATGCGGAAGATGCCGAGTCTGTTGCTCACGCCAAGGTAGAGACCCAGCTCCCGAGGCAGCTCCGCTTCCAGATTAAGCGCCGTCACCGTGTCGCGCCAGATGGTCACATCCTCGTAAGCATAGCCGAGGGCCGCGATGTCCTCCCGGGATGGGAAGGCGACGGGCAAAAGGAACTCCTTCTCTGGCCGTGCGCTCCATCCGCGCGCAATCTTAGCCGCCGCCCAGCTCACGAGGCCGCGGAGACCGGGTTCCTGCCAGGGGAAGCGGACGAGCAGGAACGGCTCCGCAACCTTGGAGGACTGCCCGCGGGCTTTGATGATGTCCGGAACGAACAGCTCCGCCTGGACGGTTGCGAGGAGCGGAAACTGCCGTTGGGTGATGAAGTGCCATGAGCCTGAGTGTGATGATGGTGCTTCCTTCTCGCCAGCACTATGCACGTCCACCGGGAAGGCGCTCTTCAGCTGGGCGAACGTGTAGATGCGGTCAAACTCGAGGCCCGTCGGCAGCACCTTGCTCTGGCTGACCTCGATGCCCCTGCACGACTTGAGCGGGTAGATCCAGAGGCTGCTGATTTTCCCCGAGCTTGATTCGCCGCCCTTCGCCCCATTAGAGCTCGCAGCAGCGCCTTGTTGCTGACCCGTCAGGCCTGTTCGCGCCGGCCGGAGGCCGATTTGAGTATGTGTTTCAAGGAGAGCATCGCGCTTAGAAGGCGGGACCGGCGGAAAGAAAGTGAGGAGAGGGACAAAAAAGAGGAGAATGGTGATGATAAGGAGGAAAGCGCCTGAGCCGTCAATCGCCGGTCCGCCGCGTGGCACCGCCGTGCTTCCGTCCATTGCCGATTCGTTGGAAGTCGGTTGCTGCCGAATATCTGCTCGGGTAACGGGTTGCAGGCTCGTAGGAGCACGGCAACTCGCAGCAATATGTATTGTATGTACTGTATCGTACATAAGGTACATACATACCGTACCTACGGGACTTACAGAACACAGACTGACTTCTCAGTTTTAAGTTGTAACTTACGATATCATAACGGAACAGTCTAAGTACTAGCAGGCGAACATGGAAATACATACCGTACCTACCTAATGGTAAAGCTGTATTGTACGGTATATTAACTACAAGGGCTGGGACCGTGGTGTAAGAGCCGTGTAATTTGTAAACAAACATGTGCACTAGTCATTGTGTGTGAAAAACATGTATTAGGCTGGTGGTGAGTCTCATCTAGCATGCCTACCTAAGGTAGCTAACGTTTTGCCAAAAAAAAAAAAAAATAAAAAAAATAAAAAAAAAAAACAAAGAAAAGAGAGGGAAAGGAAAAGAAGGAAGAAAAAACTCTTGAGGCACAAGATAAGGCCCCTAAGGACAGCATTGTGCGGGAATTAACCTAGAACGTAGGGAACGTGGATAAGGAGATGAGACACGTATCTGAGACGCCTCGGATTGAAGCAGGTAAGACAACGCTATGCTATGATATTGTGTACCTTCTTACCACAATAAAGAGTTAAGGTCCATCGAGGTATGTCCACCGGCTGCGAGAGAGACTCAGGATGGAATCGGGCCCTTTGAGCGTTCTCCTAATCGACCGTCATCATCAGTATTAGTAGACCTCAGCGAAGAGCTACCGAAGCTGGACGGACGTCGACTCCCCAAGTCAACTCGACCTATTACTGTACCTCCGTGGTAGCACTTGGTAGCACTGGTAGAGGGCGGGTAGGTTGGTTCCCAGCGGATGTGGCCCCCAATTGACCCGGCAATTCGATGTAGGGCTGCATTTTAACCCCGCCGACCCGATTCGCTAGCGGTCCCCGAATAAGATATCGCCAGAAAACCGTCGTTCTGATTGGACTCAGCGCCTTACCGTCGGCCGGGTCCGTACGAAGCGCCTTCCGGGATCCCGCCCCGAGCAGCTGGTCTACTGGGTAGCAGGAATGGCGAGGCCGATGCATGTGATGATAAATTAACTGAACCCTGAATCCATCTCTTAGCTGGTCCTGGAAGCCTGGGTCATGCAAGCTCGATTTCTCGGTGAGGAATTGTAGGTACTTGTACAATACGTGCATACATACAATATAATATGCGCATCAAGCAGTGTAACGGGAAGGGGAGAGCTTGTCAATTAAATCTAGTAGGCTCCGGTAGTAGGTAACCTGCAGTGCGAGTCTGTGCGAGAGGCCGTCTTTTCAACATTCTTGTGACGAGTTAGCCGTACCATTCCAATGTGTTCCATCCGGATAACTACGTAGACGGCGATGGGGAAGGGAGCCCACCCGGACAATTGGTTTTTGGAAATGCCAGACAGCTTCTCTACTCTACCGCTTTGACCTCCGTCAACGAAGGCACCACAAGCTAGGCAGAACACGTGGATATGTTGGTAGTAATAACAACCAAGAGGACGCCTAGACAGTTCTGATGCTAGCAGAGACTGCACCGGACTCCTCCCCTACTATGGGGAGAGGGCAAGGGAGAGCCTTGCTGCGGTCCGCCTCATTGTCAGCTCTGCCGAAACCAATATGCTCCGACTAACTATAAAAGAGGCACTCCGTCATATCACGGCGAACAAGTGCCTTCCCACCCCTGGAAAGCGAGGGACGATGTCTAGGAAATTTGGAAGCGCCGGGAAAGCTGTCGATGGGAGAAGTGGCGGAGGGCACCTTAGCATCTGGCGGCTTTGATTCCGACGACCAGTCCGCGAAATCAGCTGTGCTATCGCCAGCTGCCTGTCCATCACACGCTTGGGGCGGGACAGCTCAGAGATCCCCAATAACAACTTCAAGAAGATAGGAGTTGGGATGGTTCACATGCCGGCCCGATGCTAGGTATATATGGGACATGATCGACAAGATCAACAACGGCAGGGGCCCGGGATTCCATTCTCCCTTTCAAGTGCTCTGCTCGAGCTATGGTACGCATCAGCAATTGGCATCAAGGAAACTGGTGTAGGAGATGGAAATTGCAGCTCAATGCAAAAGTGGCCGAAAGGCGAAGTACGGAGTACCACATAGAAAAGCTAAACGTCTCTTGCCTAGGTATTCAAGTCATTGATATCAGGGGCGTAAGAGCGAGAAGTTCGTGCAAAGGAAAGGAGTAGCGAGTCCGTCGATTCATGCAACTGTTCAGGCCGAGATAACACAGATGGCGCTAGAGCAGGGCCCCTGCCAGGACGGGGCAGCTGGCACCATGGAAACCGAACTCCGCTCCCTCACCGTTGAAGGGAAGAAGCCCGGCCACGCCAGTCAGCCCGGGAGGTTCCACCAACGGAAGGAACACCGCCCCGATCAGATTGACGTCGCATGAACTTGGCTCATTCCGATTTCAAACCCACCAGCCAATATTCATTTCACCGATTTGCGGGCCACGGCTTTCGAGAAGCTTAATACGAGCCATGAACCACCGCACCGGGCCACCTGCACCGGCAACGGCCTCGGCAATGATGTGCCGTATGTGCCACGGCAATGTGTAGTGTAGGAGAGCTGTGCCCGTGATTTCATGTAGTAGGAAAAGGTTTACAAGAGGTGTCCCCAGCTGCATATGAAGACGACCGCACCTGTGCTTTCAGCAATGGATTAGGTTTTGCTGATGACGATGCTATTGCCATTACCGCGGGTGAGCGGGAAGCTCTTTCCGCATGCCAACAACCTGGAAACTGATGAATTTGCATCATCCATGGATGCATACAAACCTACACTAGATCCAACGTTGCCCCCAACGATCCGGACGTCTGTCTCACTTTTTCATATCTCAACCTGCAAGTCTACCATGTAGCAACATCTTTTTCCGAAATGGTCCGGCCTCGAACTGCTGGCGCCCTGTGGACAAGTCATCCCCATGCCAGCAATCCTGGATCCCTCATGCGCCAATGCAATAATCGTCGCCCCATACGATGATTTATTTCCGGAATCCCTCAGCCGGAGGAAGATCGGTGCTGTACTCCGTACAGTACATACACCTAGTACGTCGTAGCCGCGGACAGCTCCCTACCCGGGTTGATGAGCACCTTGCGGCCCGGTCCCCAAGGGTATGCAATTTACGGCCGCGTAATAAAAGTCATCGTTCGATAAGTTCACTGCAGCAAAGCCAAGATTAGTTTATTGAGCAGACCACATTCCGTCTTCCTCTGGTACACGCCATCTATTGGCTGAAGCCCGGCGCTCCCCACAGCACCGCCCCGGATCAGATCTCACTTGTGATGTTCCAATTTGTGTTCTCCTCCCGCAGTAGTGTTCTATGCTGCTTTGCCGGCCGCTGGTCCGTGCGACACGCCCGATAAATCCGGCTGCATGTGGTATCTGACCAGTCCTCAGCAAGGCTTCTCGGCTCACATACCTTTTGAGGATGTTGGGCGCATCAGCTCCTACACTACGAGTGTCGAATCCCACGTTTGTGCCGGCACGGTGCCTCTACTGCGTAGTAATATACACTACGTGTATCCAGATCCGGATCCACGGGGCACGGCGGTTGTATGTAGTGTAGTACACGCCTAGTTGTAGCGGCGCATCTCCTGCATTGCTGCATCCTGATTATCTCACGCCTCGGGATCAGATCGTCTCCACCGTTGCCGCGGGCCAGCTTCACATTCGGGACAATGGGCGACGAGGATCCCGGGGAGTGCAGGCCCGATGTTCGCGGGCCAAGCAAGGGCCCATTGGCTAACTTTTGTAGGCGCCCTTCCCGCTGCAAGGACTCGCCCCGGTCATGTATCTGGCAATCTGCCATCCTGGAAAGCTGGGAAACGCTCTAGACCTGGTGCAAAGCCGTGAATGTCGTCAAGAACTTCGCAGCACGCTACTAACGGTAGTTATGGCGTGTCATCCCTTTGGAAGCCCTCCTTCTTTTCGAGGCGTCCAGCATGGGAGCCATGTGCTCGCCGCGCCATCCCATGTCTCAGTCCGCAAGGATCCACCACATGGCGCCGTATGGAGCACGACCGCGGCAAGGGACCCAGCTGTGACCGCGGCTGGCATCGCCAGTGTAGCGCACACCACCCATGCAAACGGTTGTTTTGTTGTATCAGAGAATGCGCCGGCGGCCCTGAACATATCGGTTGAAGCGCGAATATGAGGAGGGGCCATCTGCACATTCTGCAGTAGTCCGCTGCTAGTTGCCGCCGATCAAACGATGTCCTGCCTCGCGTCTGTCCAAGTTCACGAACGAGAACCATATACGGCACCTCTGCGATCTTATCCCCAACCGGCACACTGAGAATCAAGTCGGTGATTGAAGAGACACGGGGCGGGGTTTGTTTGTATGTATGGAATATATCTGTACTACGGTATGTAGTACAGTACCTATACGGTCACCTTCCTGTCGTGATCGTTGAGATGTTGGGACGCATCTAGCTCACTTTTAGTGCGCCTTATTAATGTAGGTACTACCCCGGTCAAGCGAAATGCGCTAGCAGAACTAACATTACCTCACTCCGTACAACTGCAGAGACTTCTGCCGCCTTCTACCGGGACCCCGGCGAGGGCGGGAGAAGCTCCTCCTGTCCTATGGTAGCGGAGGTTTGACAGTTGAGACTTGCGGGAAAGAACGACGGGACTACACAGTATGGACTACGCATGCACTGTACATATAGGTACTGTACAATACACACGTCCCGGCAGAGCTTCCATATTGCGAGACCCTTGGGGTTGCGGGAAGCACCGAATCGACCTGTGCAGAGACAGCCCGACGGGACTACTTTCGACGATGGCATGTGATGGAACTCTCCGGCTAATTTTTGAGCGTCTGGGCCCTTCGCTGTATTGACTTCCCGAGAGGCTGGCTCATCAATCCGTTCGTGACAGCTAATCAACGCGCTAACGTTAGTGCAGAAGAAGTTACGGCTCGGACCAGATCAGGGTTAACCCCCTAGCCTGGGCACCCCCCTACCGCGCACGCCTCCTGGACCAGGCTGGGGTCAAGCTGATCCTGGATGAGGCCCCATTATGGTCCCCATCGCTCCCCCATGGCCGTTAGCCTTGGGTCTCTGCTTATCGAACGATCGACTGGGTAATGAGATCGAGGGTCGAGCTGGGCGAGCTTATCCCTTGCAACAGTACACAGTACTTTACAACAGCAGCTCCCCGTGCCCTGCTCTCACAATATCGGTCTCCCTTCCTGGACGGGCCATCCGTCTTCTACACGACAACGCCGACAAGGCCGGGCAACCCACCGTTGCATTCATCACTTGCCATTTTGGGGTCTTTCCCGCGTCACGCCCTGTAGGTAGGTATGTACATAAAAACATACATACAGTGCCTCTAACGACCTCCGCTTTGGCCCCCATCCTATGCCGTACAACACCTAATGCCGAAGAGTAATAGTAACTCTCGGAGCAAGTCTGGTTAAGTCTGGTCAAGTCTGTTGTGTCTACCTCGTCCGTCGTCCATCGTCCCTCGATCATCGCTGGACGGTAACATTCCGCACCGGGCGTGTTGACTTGCTCTTGGCAGCTCGAAGGAGGCACCTAGGTACGTAGGAGACACGCACCGCCAGCGGCTACCCCTTGTCCTGACCTTGTTGAGGGCTCACGTCAAAGCTACCTGCAACCAGAACCGCCCCCCGCCTGTGCACACTGCAGGCTCCTCACGGCTGTCTCCGCTCCAGCCAGCATCGGTGCCAGCCTCTCCCCTACCACGGTTGCGCAACACAAACTCGTACTGTGGGTAATAAGGGTGGGTGAGTGTCCGGGGTAGTAGGGTGTGGTTATCCTGGCTCGCCTGGCCCGTATTTCTTCATCTGGTCAACGATTGCTCAGTGGTATCCCGCCTGCATACCCACGCTCGTACCAAGAATCGACCTGCCTTCGCAGCAGATCGCATCGCATCTTGTGATTCCTCCCCCCCACCGCGGGCCACCAGCGAGCAATCCCTACACTATCGACCCAGAAGCGCCGGGGCACTGGCAGTCTCTCACGCCTCTTGACCCTGAAGCTTGTGCGAGCGGCCTGCTTAGGTACATACTGTGTACGCATCTGGCTGTCAGCGGCCCGCCCTCACCCGTTTTCCAACACAACCCTCCAACGGAGCTCACAGCTGAGCTCCACGAAGGGTTCGCCACCTAAACATACCTACCGCAGTACGGTACATAGTACCTACCTAGCTCGACCGGCATCTTCTAACCGACGGCATACCTACACAGTACTGTACAAGTACATACTCAACAGCCCGGACCCATAATTGCACAGGGCCTCGTTCGACTCCTCTCTGGGCCCTGGCGCTCTCTGCCAACCTGCCCCCCGTTGCAAGAGCCAGGGGTGTGCTTGATTCTTCGCATCTCGACGGAGTACGACGGAGTACTGTACCCTATATTCCAAGGCTCACCGGCTTCCTTGGATCCAGTACCAATATCGGGGATACTTCTTGAATGGTATTCGGGGTGGAAGCACTGGCTGTAGTAAGAACGCAGTCATCGGCAAGGGTTCATTCTTTTTATTTTTTTAATTCTTTGTTCTTTTACTGCCTTCCCCTCCTCGACCTGATCCTGCTTCCTCTTCCGTGGAACATTCCGCCGTGGCCTACGACAGTTTTTTTTTTTTTTTTTTGAAGTGGCTGCCACAAGCATTTTGGGCTCGGGGTCCTCATAAAGCGTTGGTCGGCGTGTTCGCTCCGTCCTGGCTGCCACCGTTGTTCTCCCGTCGACACGGGCAGTCTGGATGGTTCTGCTGCCAAGATAAAATTCGCCATACAACGAACGCGCCGTCTCTGACATAGGCAGCACCTGCCGAGTTCCCCATGGTGTGGGCAGGCAACGGGATCCGACGCCAGGATATACCGACCGCCAGCGTCTCAGCATCCGCGATGGGCGACTACTACCAGCACTTCCTCTCCTCCATGATGGGGGTCGGGGGGCAGCCGTACGCAGGGCATCCGGGCCAGATGCCGCAGCCTCCGGTTGTGCCGATGGGCGCTTCTTCGGCCCCCAGTCCGTATCAAAGCCTCGGCTACTTCACGGGCTTCCCGGAGCCGATCATGTTCAACGCGCCCAAGGCGCAGAGAAGCAGGAGGAAATCCGCCCCGGGTCTCGACCATATCAAGCATCGCCGCACCAGGTCTGGCTGCTACACGTGTCGCAGCCGGCGTGTGAAGGTATGTTCAAGCCCGCCCGCGAAGCCCACGTTCGAGTCTGACAGGCTTTTATAGTGCGATGAGACCCATCCGATCTGCGAAAGTTCGTTCAGCATCCGCTGCGTCAAACCACGTCGAGCCTTACGGACAGTCGTGCTAACCGCTGTGTGTAGGATGCAGGAAGGGAAAGAGAGAATGTGTCTACCCAGAACCACCGCAGCCAAAGGGTTCCCGGCAGAGTCCCGGGCCAAGTCGGCAGCCGAGCCCGAGTTCTTCCCGCGGCGACGACGACGACGAGGTCGAGCATGACACCAAGCTGGACCCCATCATGGACGAGGACGAGGACGAGCCGGGGAGCGCCACGTCGCAGACATCGATGCCAACCTTCCCTCTGCGACGGTCCAGTACGACGTCCTCGTTCGGTCGCCAGCGTGCTGTTGCCGGTCACCGTCAGGGGTCGGAGACGCCTTCGTTCGAAGGGAACAAGTCCTCCTCCCCGGCGCTCTCGTCGGGCACTACCACGAGAACACAGACGCCCTCCGGCGGCTTGCATTGCCCCGACGCTGCGGCGAGCATCACGCCGCCTGCACGGCCCGACTGGACATTTCTCCCGCACGAGCTGCAGTTCTACCTCAACTACTTCTACGACAACATCAGCCACTACCACTACTGCATGGTGAACGACGCAGACGACTTCTTCCGCACCGTGCTCATCGGGCTAGCGCTTCGTAACGATGCGCTACTCTACGGCGTCGTGGGCTTTTCGGCATACCACCACGCTCTGAACAACCCGAACGGAAGGATCAACGACTTTCTTCAGTACTACAGCCACAGCGTCACGCTGCTCCTGGAGTGTCTGAAGAAGGAAGAGAAGTACAGCATAGGCACGCTGTTGACGATCCTGCAGCTTGCGACGATCGAGGTGAGCGCTCCTCCCGAGAAAAGAAAACAAAAAAAAACCGAAGCATCGGGCCTGAACGCTCCGGCAGTTGCTAACGGCTAGGTTGGCGGGGCGGGAAAAAAAGGAATACTTGGGCGACTGGGTTAACCTCATGGGCCACCAGAAGGCAGCGTTCGAGGTGCTGACGCACAATTTCACGGCGCAGTCGATCATGCAGACACCGCTGGGTCGCGTGGCTCTGATGTGGTATGCGCGCTTCGACATCTTCATCGGCATCATGGGCAGCTTCGGGACCTCGCTCTCTCGGGAGTGGTACCTAGCCTCGGCGGAGTACTACGAGGCGCGAGCCGCGGCCGAACCGCACAACGTGGGCTGGAAGATCGAGGCATGCTCGGCACGCGTGCGGCTGAACTCGATGGAGATGTGCTTGCTCTTTGCCAAAGGCGCCAAGAGGGAAGTCACCGAGGAGGAGTACGGCGCTGAGCACCGCAAGCTGTCCGCCGTCTGGGACAGCTGGAAGGACAGCTGGGATCCGGCCCTGACCGACGCCGCCTTTCTCGTGACCGAATTTCCCGGCGGCCAGACGCCGGACCCGAACGACATCGTGAGCCCGTTTGCGCCGGGCGTCCTGTTCCGGCCCCCACTGTTCGCCTCGACGCTCATGAAGTGCGAATACCACTCGATTGCGCTGATGCACGCCAGCCAGACTGCTGGGAAGCTCACCGACGACGATCGCGCCCGCTTGATGGAGCACGCATATGCCGTGTGCCAGATCTCCGAGACGGTCGAGCAGTGGCCCGACAGTCCGCCGGGCAGCCTGATCCTGTTGCACTCCTGTCTTGCCATTGCCGCGCTCTATCTGCCACAGGATGCGAGGCATCACATGTGGGTCAGGAGGAAGCTTGCCTTGTTTGAGACCAAGGGGTGAGTTCTTGTCTTGACTTTGACCGAGTACCAAGGTTCCTCTCGAGATGCCATTTAGTTACTGACGCTGGGACTGTTCGCATACAAACAATTAGATACATATCCCCCGTTACGATGCGTACACGCATGGCACAACTCTTCGGCGACGAGAGCTGCCTCCGGTGGTGGCTCCCGGACGACGAGGGCTTTACCCCGCTGCTGCAGAACATTCGGGCCATTGCCGACGAACGCAACGCCATGGCCTTGTCGACACAGCAGGAGAGCTTGACACAGATCCGCCACGTCTTCTCTCGGATGCAGATTGGACCAGAGGAGGCGCCTGCGCCTGCGCAGGGCGACGACGCCGCGCGTACGGGCGGAAAGGATGACCCGACGATGGGTTGAACACCGCACCAGGTGGACGGAAGGCGAGGTCGGAGGTTGGGTGGATACAAGCTTGGTACACCGGCAATGGTTTCCAAGATTGCGAAGGGGTGAGGCGTCAGGGGCGGAAAACACGCCGTCGTGGTTGTCGTTCCGACCATCCGGGCGCTTACCAACCTGGAGTCATCACATCATCCCCGGCCTTCTCGAGCAGAAGTGGCCCCCGCGACGCGGGCCCGGTTGACGTCCGATGCCGGCTCTCTTTCCACGACGCCAAAGTGGTCCCCTGGACAATTTCCTGGGACCCGGTAATGCGGCCCTGCGACGTCACATCTCGCTGCTAATGCAGGGGGCCAGACGCTGGGATCGCCGCTTGCACCGTTTTGCTCACCTGAAACAAGCCGTGGGACCTTGGCAACCGGTGGGGACCCACCCCTTCGGCATTCCGTGCCCCCCGTTCGACCCCACATTTCTCTCCACTTCCCACGCGCGACAACACAATGATTGCCCGGCCGAGAACCGCAACACCAAATCGGACGAACCATGTCACACTCGGACACCCAGGGAGCAATCCGTGTCAAATTCTCCTCAGACCCATGTGCCAGGCGCTCGGCTTCAATGGCCATGTGCCGTGGTTCCAGCTCGTCCACAACTTGGGTCGACACTACTACGGACACGCCACCCCGTAAGAAGCTAATAAGATTCGGGGAAGTCGGGAGGCCAGCCCGTTCACTTTGCCGGGACAGATCCTTACGACGTTACCGCCTTCGTATCCACGCATTCACTCCCTATCTCAGTTATCCTTCGCCGCGGCTTCGACCTCACCTCTCTTCTTTTACGTTCAATCCCCCACACGTGGCGGCATCATCTCGGAATCCTGGATTAACTTCACTTCTCGTCGTGTATATTTAACATTACCCTTTGCCATACTTGGCTTTATCTATTTCTCTCCGCTGTATAAACTCATAGTGTTTTTTTTTTGTTCTTGCACATAATTCATACACTGCACTGAAGCCATGTATTGTACTACTCTGCAGACTTTCACCCGCGGAACCTTCTTCATCTTGAGGTACTACAGGTAGTTAAAAGTGACACGCCCTCCCGTGCATGTACAATACCCGTTACCCTTCCCCATTCCCGAATATTTTCTCGAGTTATATTATCAGAACACAACGAGACAGGCCGCCGTTTTCCAGGCAGGGCCACACATGTGATGGGGTGGTATTGACAGAGAGCGGCAAGCACCAGGTATGCTAATTATGTATACAAATCACACAACTATTTAAAAAACATGAGATAGCAAGAGTGCCTCGCGGAAAGGCAAAAAAGTACCTAGGAGAGGAAAACGCTGGAGAAGACGGCTGCCGGAACACATGCAGAAAGGCAATAGCAATGCCTCCAGAATAGAAGGGCTCTCCGTCTCTGGCTTCGCCTGTATGGCCACTGGGATCCAGCGCGCCCTCAACACGATTTTGCGATTGCAAACTAATGGATGCAATACGTCATATGGCACAAAGGCGCTGCTCTCATTGATTTAACCATGGCTATCAAGTCAGAGGGGGCAAGCGCCAGAGCGAGTACTATAGATCTGTCCGCCCACATCTAGTCATCCTGACCCGCCTTCTCCTCGGCCCCCGTTGGCTGCTGCTGCACATCTCCTTGTTCTTCCTGCCCTTTGCTCTCGACAGCTTGCTCCTCGGGTTTGTCCGGCGAAGACGCCACCTCACCGGCATCCTTCCCTGCTTCTTCTGCTTTCGCCCTTGCCTCCGTCTCGTTGGCAACGTCTTTGTCCTCGTCACCGGCGGCCTGGCTCTCTGTACTAGGGTCTTCCGCTTCCGCGGCAAGCGGCTGTGATGCTGATTCCTCCGGTTTGGCGTCGCCCGCTTCTATCTCTCCCGTCACCCCGCCAGATGACGGTGTGTCGATGCCTTCGACGTCAAAAGCCGACAGCGCCGCTTGGTTTCCGGTGTCTTCCATCACTCTGGCGGGCTCGTCATCGGCAGCGGCCAGTTTCTCGGCTTGTTGCGGTTCCTCGACCGCCTCCGCTGCGGATGGCGTCTCCTCTAATGCCAGCTCAGGTTCGGGCTCGGCATCCAGGTGCATTTCCGGCGCGGGCGCAAGCTCGGTTTCCCCGGCTGTCGTTGTGGCCGCTGCTTCTTCAGATTCTTGCTTCTCCGGGTCCGTCTCCGGTTCCGGTTGACATTCATTCGCTGCCGTTCCCGGCGGCGGAATCACGCTTGATGGTCGCAATGGCTGCTCCGCCGTTGCTGAGGGCCCAGGATCGACGATCAGCGGGATGCTATTCGGCTCTGACTCTCTGTCGGCGGGTGGCGCGGGAGCTGATGATATGCGCATCCCGGCCAGCTTATTGGACAAATCGGCACTGCTGTCGTCCTCGTCTGCTTCGGGTACTGTCGTCACCGCGCTTCCTACCGAGGGGCTGCTCTTAATATGCCTCCTCGTGTTGGTCCTGCTCACGGACGGATAGTCCCCGTCATCGCCGTCACGTTGGCTGGGTGGTTTCGCGATGGAAAGTGGTGCCAGGAGCTGAGGTTGATGCTGCTGCTGCTGCTGCTGGCCCTGTCTCCTATCGGTACCTCTATCCCCGAGATCGCCACCGGCACCCGTGTTGCTGTCCAGCCCTTCGGCCTCGGGAGGTAACTTATAGTTTTCAGCCGGCAGTAGGTCGTAGACGTCGCACACGGTCTTGAAGAAGACGTAGAGGCCACCCTGGCTCTCGACAGACCAGAAGACGCCGCGGTGCTGGAACCAGGCGTGGGCAAAGATGCGGTGGAGGCGGCGGAACACGTTGACCAAGTTCTTCACGGCGGTGCTCTTGTCGTGGGCATCGACGACGAAGCGGCTCGGGAAGATCTTTGGGTTTGTCACCACATTGGCGGCCCAGTCGAGAGTGTGACAGCAGTAGTCGATGGCGCAGCAGCTCTTGGGGGTGTCGTGCACGGCGCACAGGAACTGCCACTCGCCGGCGCGCATCTCGGGGCAGGTGGCAGCGCTGCACGGCGGCGTGTCGAACAGGAAGCCGACGATGAGGGTGTTGCACTGCGCGATCAGGTAGCGGCAGAGCTCGTACAGCCAGAGGGTCCTGTCGATGCCGGGGGGTGGGTTCGCCAGCAGCTTCGCCGTGTCGCGCGTGATGGGCGTCGTGTGACTTGCTGTGTGGTAGTAGTGCAAGGCCGCCAGGTGCTCCTGGAGCTGGAAGGCCGAGTCGAGCTGTGGCGCGCCCGGGTCAGTTCAGTGCTGGCGAACGAAGCATTGCAAGGAAGGGGGACCAGATGCGCTGACCTCCTGCAACGGAACAAGCGGAGGACCGGCAGCCATGTCGGCCGACTTCGTGCCCGGGTGGATGCGCCGTTTGGCGTTCGCATCGATGGCCGTCTGCTCGATCTGGGCAGCCTGGCGAGCCGCATTGGGTCCCATCAGTGGCGATTTGGGTCCTATCTGATACTCGGCTGGAGGCGGCGGGCTGGGCAGCCGAGGCGAGTTCGGCGGCGGCGACATAACGACTTGCGCTGGTGACCGGCGCGCCAATCGAACGCTGTGATAATGCTGCGCCTGCTTTGTCACACCGTATTGTTGGTCGACAGATACGCACGTCTCTGCCTTTCTAGCAAGTCAAAACGGGAACCGCAGTTATGAACGGTTGCGAGTCGCGGGCCAGTGATAATGCGGGGAGAGAAGGGAGACGGGGTTGTTTGAGGTCGAGATGATGCTGGCGCTCATGTAGCAACCTGTCTTAAGCTGAGCTGAGCTGGACCTATCCTTGAAAGATACACTTACCGTATTTATTGAATACCTTATTCAGTATGGTGTTATGGATACCATAAAGCATTACGAAGAATCCGCGATTTCACGTACCATCCCGTATCTTACAGCTGAACCGTCTGTTGCCTCAGCCTGATTCTGGGTCAGGTATTCACGACGTATCGATAATTACGGTACATACCATCGCCAAATGGCCCACCAACACCAACTCCATCTCCTTACCTTTGCCATGTAAATGACGAGCACAGAACGGAGATCCTCACGGGCGTTGGCTGGGGTTCATATATTGGACACTGCATTTGAGCGCAGTTAAGAACTCTCGGTTTATAATATTCGCAGCTACGACCCCTTGAGCAGGTTCCATTCGCGATGGATTGGGACGACGAAGCACCGCCGGATCTGGTGCCGAGTGGCGTTGAACTGGAGTCTGAAGAGAAGCCTGTAAAAGTTCCCATCACGATTGTCACCGGTGCGTGTTCTGTGCCTTCATTGTCTGTGACCACTGACCCTGGACCTGACCCTGAACCTGCTGCAGGATACCTCGGTGCGGGCAAGACTACCCTGCTGAACTACATTCTTACAGCTGAGCATGGCAAGAAGATTGCCGTGATCATGAATGGTGGGCGAAATGGCCGCGTCCCTCACTGCATTCCAGTACGCCACTAATCATGCGAGGTCAGAATTTGGGGACTGTGAGTCAAACGGGCTTGGCTCGAGCTATCACATTGCGTTGCATTGTTTTGCAGGGAGCTGACGTGGCTGGCGACCAGCCCTGGACATTGAGAAGTCGTTGACGATAAATAAGGATGGCGAGTCCGTCGAAGAATGGATGGAGGTCGGGAATGGGTGCATCTGCTGCTCCGTCAAGTGAGTTCCAGGTTGGAACGTGGGGAGGCACGGAAGGGGCGCGTGTTGACAGAAGCCGGCAGAGACACGGGCGTGGCCGCCATCGAGTCGCTGATGGAGAAAAAGGGCAAGTTCGACTACATTCTCCTCGAGACGACCGGCCTTGCGGATCCGGGCAACATCGCCCCTATGTTTTGGATGGACGACGGGCTCGGCAGCACCATCTACCTCGACGGTATCGTGACTCTCGTCGATGCCAAGAACATCCTGCGCAGCCTTGACGATCCTGCGGGAAAGGTCGAGGGGCACGAGGAGAGCGATGACGCCCACGGGCCGGTCATGACGACCGCCCATGTGCAGATTTCGCATGCCGACGTTATCGTCATCAACAAATCCGACCTGGTTGGGGAGCAGGAATTGCAGGCAGTGAAGGCCAGGATCGAATCCATCAACGGACTGGCCAAGATGTTCGTGACCTCACGGGGCGTTGTGCCGCATCTGGAAGGGTTCCTGTTGGATTTACACGCTTATGACCGAGTGGAAGAGCTTGACCGCGCGGGACTGGGCCATAGCCATCTTGACAAGGTAAGGCCGTAATATGCGTATGAATTGAGCGCGGCTTTGCTGACCTGGATAGACGATATCGACCATCTCGATCCCGCTCCCAGAACTGGCAGAGAAGCAGCAGTCGGCGCTGGATGCCTGGCTGCGATCGGTCCTCTGGGAAGGCGTGCTTCCGGGGCACCAGCCGCGTAGCGGTCCGGCGTACGATATCCATCGTCTGAAAGGGCGCTTCTTCGGAGATGACGGCAGCGAGAAGATTATTCAGGGCGTCAGAGAGATCTTCGACATTTTCGACAGTCCATCACAGCCCCCAGCGCCGGAGGGTCCACGTGTGGGCAAGCTTGTCTTGATCGGGCGCCACCTAGATAACTTCGACTTCAGGAAAAGTATAGATGATGCTATCCGAGAGGCTCAACCGGTATAAGGCACGCACGGGAGGTCCTACATAGATAGTAGTTCCGGATTTGGGGCTAGAGATACTCAGTACAGGCGTTGATGGGATCTTCGGGTTGGCGGATACTTAAAAGGATGCGCGGATGCCGAGCTGTCGCCTCGGGTCACATCCAGGGGCCGAAACCGCATCTGTAGGCCATATGTGCGAGGGGTGAGCAAGAGCAATGCCGGAAGTGAGAGGAGCCCCCTGTATGTATGTGCACTGTACCCCTTTGTACATCAGATATAGCTCACATCGACACTGCTGGCCGACCACTTTCCTCCACGCCAGACTCAAGCGATCAGTTGAATTCATGTCGTTTTTAGTCTAATACTGCACTAAACCATACTTCTGTCTGCCGTAGGAATCTCCTCCCGCCAAACCGCCCAGCCGGCCATTGATCAGTTGTTCTCGTACTTCAGCCCGGCCTCTTCCCTGACAACGCCATAAATGCTGGCAATGTCTCCCTTCTCCCCCTGGCGTTCCTTCACCTGGGTCAGGTGAGCCTTAGCCACCTCAACGTTCGCCAGCCGGGCGTTGGAGGCCTCAGCCAAACTAAGGACATGTCTGGCGTCCTTCAGCGCGAGGTCGACCGGGAACAGTGGGTACGCCATCCGATGATACGCCCCAGACTGGATGCGGGTCGAATAAGCCACATACGGACCGGGGAACATGTTCTCGACGAATTGGTGCAGGTAGTCAGTGCCGAGTCCGGACTTCTCGGCAAGGACAAGGGCCTCGGAGAGCTGTTCGACCATGTTCAGGATGAAGGTGTTTCCGATCAGCTTCAGCTGGAGCGGTCTCTCATACGGCGCGTCGCTCATGTCGATGATGCTGCGGGCCATGACACCTGTGAAGTAAGGCTTGACTCTGTCTACCGAGGCCCTTGGGCCTGCGAGAACGCCGACCAGCTGCCCGATCTCGGCCATGGCAGGTGCGCCAAAGACGGGAGCGGCAACGAACTCGGCGCCATGATCATGGAATGTCTTGGCGAGGCGTGTGGTGGTTTCCGGGTGGACGGTGGAGCACTCCACAATGAGCTTCCCCTTGACGTCGCCAGCCTTCAAGATCTCGTCTGCTACAGCCTCGACGACGTCGTCTTTGGCGAGGATGGTGAAGATGATGTCGGCTTTGACGGCTCCTGCGGCAATCGAGTCGATGACTTCAGTTTTCCCGGCGGGACACCTCTCACTGAACTCGAGGGAGCGCTGTTTCGTGCGGTTGTACAGGAGAAGTGTCTGCTCGAAATCTCCCTTTTCAACGACTTGTTTGCACATCCCCTAGCTGGCATGTTAGGTCCTCTCGTTTCAGCGTCGCTGCAAGGTGCACCTACCCGGCCCATGTTCCCCAGGCCAATCCATAGGAGTCGCGGAGCCATGATGCAGGGTGTTGCAGGGTGTTGCAGGGCAGGAGTAAACAGGGTACGTATATGATGTTCCAGATGTATGAATCACACACAAGGTTGTTTTGCTGCTTCGGGATTGCTTGAATTGATTTGTTGAGGTTGGGGTGCGATGCGTTCAGATTAAGGTTAAGGTACTGTCTTGTAAGTTGCAGTGTAAGTCGATCAGTGGCGAAGGACTTGTTAGTCCCACCTCTGCTGGCGGGGAAACACTTTCCCGCTTGTTGAGGTTGTGACTGCTCCTCTACATGGATGGAAGGAGGGGCTTATGACAACAGAAGCCACCTGTGGGATGCCAACCGCTGACGTCGGTTGAACCTTCTCTCTTGCGTCGTAGTTTGTTTATTTAGTATTTACCATCCACCTACTGAATGGTCTTACCTCGGAACCTGGCACTTGTCTTGTATACCTTACTTCACCTAAGCTCTATACTGGAGGTTCTAACTTGTCAAGGAAACGCCCAGACTCCTGTCGCCCAACTGCTTCCATACATCCCATCCCGTCTTCTGCATCCGCTTATAGCCTGGAGCTGTGCCGAGAGAGCTCCGAATGTTGCTTGCTGTGGAGCAGTCCACCAGCACCTGCGGACCTGCGGACACCCAACTCCATCATGATTCATGAGCATGCAATTGCCCAATCATCTAGACGACGGCCAGGAACGCGAAAAGCACGCCGATGAGAGTGAGAGTAGCAACTACGGTAGCAAGCCCATTCCGCTCGGCAAGATAGGGTTCCACCCTTGTCTTATCTGATGATCTGATAAATTTTGCTTCGGGGAACAAGGGTGCTTGTTGGTTCCAGTGTGGATTTTATTTAGCCAGTTGCTTTGACTCACCATCATTCCTCCCGAGGCACCATCCCAAAAGATAGGTGAAAATCCCCGTTGAGAATGAACTCAACCTCTATCTGAGAGCTTACTTCTTGGCCGGGCCACCCCACCAAGGGACCCGGGAAATCTCTCCATCATTTTACAGGATTGCTCGAACCATGTTCGCTAGAGGGGTTAACGCCGTGTGCAAGAAAAGCTTCTCGGTGGCGCAGGTGAGATATATATATCTCGGAGTTGTCTACAGAATCTTTGGGAGTCATTATGTACGAGTTTTTGGAGACCTGACAATGTGAACAGGCTTTTATTCTCAAAGCAAATAGGCCCGGGCATGGCGCGGAGTCGTCGACGATCTGTTGCCGCCGTCTATCAACGGCTGTGTCCGAGAACCACCATCCCTCTTCTACCGAGGCAAAGCAAAAGAGGGAATCCGACAGGGTTAGAGGCTTGTTCTGTACACACTTTAAGCCCTACTGACCTCACCGCAGCAATTCTTGATCTCCGTGCTCGAGTCGTCCGCCACCAAGCGTGACGCCAAAGCCTACCTCCAGACCTTCGGCTCCTCTCCCGACTCTGGGCCAAAGAAATCGCCGGCTTTTACTACTGTCCTGGACGATGGACTCAGGCGCTTTGTCCAAGGCCCAGTAAGGGTCTCTATCGCGGATACCGGTGAGGCGCCGCACATCGCCATCGTGAAGCTTAGGGAGCCGGAGACTTGGGATGAATTTCTCCTCGACGGCGTCGCCAAGACACTCACGCAGCTGCGTGACCTAGGCTTACGAAGCGTCATCGTTCTCGATTGCGACCTGAACGGGGAAAAGGGTCTCCGTTGGCAGGAACTCGTCTCCCAACAGACTGACCGTGTTATCAGGGCCATTGGTCGGTATGGCTCTCCTGGCGCGGAACTAGTGGACTCGGTTGTGTGGAAGAAGAATGGGGCGGCGCGGAATCTCTCCTCCATCGCCTCCACAGACCTGTTTGTCGGTTTCGCGCCAGCCATTACCACACCGCTTAGGCATGGCCATCTTGTCGTGGTGCCACCCCGTGCGCTAGATGAGGAGACGCTCAGGCACACAGCGGCCGATGGCAATCAGATCGTCTTTGCTTTAACCAATTTCTTTACGGGTCTGCAGTTTGACGAAGGGCCGTCTACGCACGAGGCGGCAGAAACGGTCTCGGATCGTCGTCCGTTGCGCAAAGCGCAGGTAGACAGAATCATTGTCATCGATCCCTTTGGAGGTATCCCAGCAACTGGCCACGGGGATGGCGCTCGTGTCTTCGTCAACCTGGAAGAAGAGTTCGACAAGCTCCAAGCAGCTCTCGCGGTCCCAGGGCGACACGGCAGCTCGAGAGCCAAGCACGCAGAGAACCTGAACTTGGTCAAGAGCACGCTAGCTATTCTACCGCCAACGGCGTCGGCAATCATAACCAGTCCGACGGAGGCGGCAAATATCCGGCCCACACCCAGCCAAGGAGACCAGATTGATGCCAAACAGTTCGCGGGGGAGGTGAAGACCAGAAGGTGGCAAAACCCGCTAATCCACAACCTTCTTACCGACAGGCCAATATACTCGGCCTCTCTGCCCATCGGCAGGATTAAACCAGCCGTCCGCGGCACCGAGCTGACGCCGCCGCTTATGCCAACCACGACCCTCGCGAAAAGGGGCCTGCCAGTGACCATTTTCCCAGACCCGCGCACGGGACCTTGGCAGCCCCCTAGACCGGGAGCACGGCGACTCAGACTAACAGACACGTGCATCAACTTGCCGCGGCTAGTCCATCTCATCAACGACTCGTTCAACCGCAAGCTTGACGTCGAGCACTACCTCCGCCGCGTCCAAGACAGTCTTGCAGGCATCATCATCGCAGGAGAGTACGAGGGCGGAGCAATCCTGACCTGGGAACGGCCCTTCGGCATGGACGAGGAGACGGCGTACAACGCCGGCAGACTCGTCCCGTACCTCGATAAGTTTGCCGTGCTGAAAAAGAGTCAAGGCGCCGGCGGCGTGGCGGATATCGTCTTCAACGCCATGGTGCGTGACTGCTTCCCGGGGGGCGTGTGCTGGCGGAGCAGGAAGAACAATCCAGTCAATAAGTGGTACTTTGAGCGGTCATGTGGGGTGAGGAAGCTGCCGGATAGTAACTGGGCTATGTTTTGGACAACTCCGGAGGCGGCGACGAGCGACCAGTTGATGGGTGACTATGAGGATGTGTGTAGGAATGTGGTGCCATCTTGGGAGGATACGAAGCCGGCGGATTAGGAATCCATGCGAGACCCTGATTCAAGTTCAACCTGGAAGTTCAATGGGTGAGTGGATAGATAGCTATGAAAATGAAGCAAAGTGTTGTTCCGCATTCCGCGATCTATCCGTGATTTCGTATGCAACCGTCATCGCCCAGGGAAAATTCCGGTGCAAGCAGTCGAGACACGCGGCTGGGCAGCAACCAGACCAAAGATGAAAGCGGTCAATCGTGGCACTATGCTTGACGTGTCCAATCAACTTGGGTTTCAGCTGAAAGAAGCAGGGGATCACACAGCGTTAACTAACGGTGGGGGTTGCCTTGGCGCCCCTTAGCAATAACGCCCTGCAAGGCTCACTGCATCACAAGGAAAACTTGGGTCACTTATCAAACATCAACGGTTGGCAGGTTCGTCAACGTTGATAGCTTTCTCACTTCAGGTAATTCAACAGCGATACCAGGTTATCCGGTAATATTACCGTCAAGATGGATGCCTTCAAGGGCCTCGGGAAAAGCCTCAGGTAGGAACAAGGCCTGACCAGTCGGGAAAGGGTTCGCAGGACGACGGACGACGGGATGGCTGACACTATGGACTGCAGCTCGCTGGGCGGGCAGATCACCCCTTTTGCGTCGCGCACCTTCCAATACACCAAGGAACAACTGGGCCAGGCCGATGACAAGGTTCGCCAGCATCGGGACAGACTGCTTTCGATGGGAAGAATGACGGCTGACCCAGATGGGAGCACCAGACTCAACTCCCACCTGACTACATCGACCTGGAGAAGCGCGTTGATGCGCTCAAGGCAGTCCACCAAAAGATGCTTGCCGTGACGTAAGTTCTCCAGAACTGGGCCGATTCCCTGCAGCTTACCGACACTATTCGCGAACAGCTCGCAGTACTCACACGAGGCCTACGACTACCCGCCCAATATCAAGGAGACTTTCCAGGACCTCGGCCGCACCGTCAGCGAGAAGGTGCAACTCCTGTCGACCGCCACATCCCCGGCTGAGGCCCAGGCGGCCCTGACTGCACCGCCGACCGCCAAGCCGCAGCCCAAGACCTTCCACCACGCCGTGGCGCGCGCCTCGCTGGCGAGCAGCCAGACACTGCACCAGCAGCACACGGGTGCGGGAGATGACCCGCTGGCGACTGCGCTCGAGAAGTATGCGCTGGCGATGGAGCGCGTGGGCGAGGCGCGCCTGGCTCAGGACGCCCAGATCCAGAGCCGCTTCTTGGCCGGCTGGAACACCACTCTCAACACCAACATCATGTTTGCGACCCGCGCGCGCAAGGCCGTCGAGAAGGCGCGCCTCACGCTCGACGCCGTCAAGGCGCGCGTGAAGGGCACGACGTGGAAGTTGGGCGGGTCGTCGCCCCGCGCTGAGGCGCACGAGGAGCCCGAGCTGAGCCCCGAGGCGCAGGAAGAGATTGAGAAGGCTGAGGACGAGTTCGTCACACAGACGGAGGAGGCCGTGGGCGTCATGAAGAATGTGCGTTTCCCGCTACCCTTCTGCTTCGTCTTCTGGTTCATCTCGTGTGACTACCCTACTGACAAAAGTTACAAGGTCCTTGACACCCCCGAGCCGCTGCGCAACCTGGCCGAGCTGATCGCCGCGCAAATGGAGTTCCACAAGAAGGCCCACGAGATTCTGAGCGAGCTTGCGCCCATCATCGACGGGCTTCAGGTCGAACAGGAGGCAAGTCGCGCTTCGGCTTACTCTTTGCAGTGAGACAGAGAACAAAAGCCCCGTTGCTGACACGAACGCCTGCCTTTTACTTCAGGCGAGCTACCGCAAGAGCCGAGAGAGCGCTTCCTAAGCGGGACCCGATAAGGCTTCAAGGTGGAGGCTGCATTGCCCTTTTGAGTCCTACACTAGGTATACGTAGGATACGACGCTGGGACGAATCGGAACGGCCGGCTATGGTTGAAGGAGAGATTCGACATGCTGGGTTTGTTCTTCCTTGACGTTGAGGCCGGGAAGTTTCGTTTTAGTTGCTATGTCATCCCGCCGTTTGGTTCTTTTCATCTCTGGGGTCCGATATGTTCCTTCCCTGGTGGTCTTGATTGGGATATTTCCACTCACGGATTAAATTCGAACCCATTACCCACGGGACCCGGTTTACGACGAAAGGCTTAGGCTGCTGTAGTATCTCAGGAGCAATTTACTAGACGATCCTCTGCTGAGGCAGACGGCTTCCCCTTATGGGAACTAGCTGCAAGTTTAAATCCATGTTCAAGGGCGTGTGGCTCAGTTGGTAGAGCGTTCGCTTAGCATGCCCTCACGCATGCGAAAGGTCCTGGGTTCGATTCCCAGCTCGTCCACTTTTGCGGGATTACACATCCTAGAATATTCTTTCGCCTTTTTTTACGGTTCTGGTTGCTAGGAGTTCATATGATCGCGCTTGGATTGCGAGTTTTAACGTCAACACATTAATATCTATGTATTCGGAGCTGGTGCCTTGATCAATGCAAGTTATGGATACATCGAACGCATAACTACCCGTGCAGAATTAGTATAGGGTACTGTGCATTTCGTACTCATGTATCAATTTGAGACTGGTAACTCCCACATATAATCTACACGTGTACCGTAATGTAACTGTGTAAAGCGCCATTGCCCCACATCAGCCTTCTGTGCATGTGGCAACCCCTGCAACTTGAGGTCATGGCCATCCTCCTCTGCTTGTTGCATCTGCCGCGCCCAGCCTAATAAGGAACTCAACCAGCATTAACAACCACCGGCGCTGGGTCGCGGATTTCTCCAAGATGGTAAGACACGGAATATTCCAATGCGGTATCGTCGATACACTAACCTCAGCTTCTTTTTCAGCTGCCCCTCGGCCTTCTGAATGCGGCGCAAGGCCAGCCCATGCTTGTCGAGCTCAAAAACGGCGAGACGCTCAACGGACACCTCGTACTATGCGACACGTGGATGAACCTGACGATGCGCGAGGTGGTGCAGACCAGTCCAGTTAGTCTTCCCGCAACACACGATTTTCATGTTACCATTCCTTGGTCGCTGATTACATTTCTAGGAGGGCGATAAGTTCGTGCGGCTACCCGAGGTTTATGTGAAGGGGAACAATGTAGGTCTCACCTTTTTGAGCCGCCCTCCATGGTTGACTGGGAGCGGCTGCTGACGGCGGGGGTAACAGATCAAGTACGTTCGCGTCCCGGACGAGATCATCGATATTGTCAGGGAACAACAGAGCCAGCAAGGTGGCTATCGCGGAGGACGTGGTGGGCAAGGGAGAGGAGACCACGGTGGTAGAGGTGGAGATAGGGCCCGCGGGGGAAGAGGAAGGGGAGGCGGAAGGGGCGGGAGAGGTGGGAGGGGGTCATGAGCGTGGCTTGCGGACTTAGTGACGTTCGAGATCCAAGCGAGCAAGTGAGGTCTACGGGAGGTGTACGGAAGGAAAGCGTTGGAAAAGCATCCAAGCCACCCACAACTAAATGGCAGTCTGGATGCTCTGACAGCTTGGCACAAGCGGCTTCACATCAAAGACAACCAGGGGACTGAGGCGAGTTGAGGCTATGGAACGATGGCGCAGATACGAGTCGGTTGTGAGCTCGGGTTTATTCATGGAGCATGAACTCCGGTACCATGTTGTTAAGGAGTGGCTGGGCAATGACATTCACGCCCGCAGAGTAATTCGGATAAATATGGTATTTGGCGACAATGTTTCGACCACGGTGGGTGGTCCACGTGAGTTGATTGCGGCGTGTGCGATTGTCTGTCTTGGCAGCTCTGACAGGGGTAGGCAGGCGCACCGCTATTCGTAACGTACAATACAACAGTACCTTCGGTTTTCTGCCAGCAGAATCTAACGTTATGTAGGTAACTTTAGACTTACACATTGACAGCGCCTTACTCCATGTGCGCCATCACGAATCACACAGCGGCTTTCAAATATTGGGTGCTGGGGAATGTTAAGCCTCACACAGCCTGTCCCTGCGATTAGTATTAAGAGTGCTCCTGGCCTCCTCACCCCATGTCGGCGAATCGCGTAGCAGTCGATGCGCTCTGGCGGGCTCTATGTCCATCAGCCGATGTCAGACTTCTAACCAAGGCAATTTCCTCATTACCATCCCTGGGCGGTAACAACTTGCGATATCAGCAACATGGCATCGGACCTAGGGGAAGGCGTTGCGTCGCTCAGGCTCGCGCCATTCACATTGACAGCACCACGGGCCGGCAATCCCAGAGCATCCATCCACCACAGCCCACATCCCCGGTACAGGTGAGGCAGAGCCCAAGACCAAAACCTCAACAGAGAGTGACTCCCTTTGTCCTACGCCAACCGACCTCCGGTACCACGCCAGCCATATACGAGGTGTTGCGCCTCCTCCGTGGCCAGCCTGGTCAGGCTGCCGAGCTACGGCATCTGGTCAAGTACCTCATCGAGGAGCGCGGCGAGCGGCCGAATGTGTTTCTGTACGAGGCGCTGCTCGTGGCCAACTGGGACACCACATCCGGCTCGGCTGCCGAGTTGAGAGAGATGTTGCTTGAGATGAGCGAGGCAGGGATAGAGTCGTCGCCGGGGTTTTATCATAGTGCTTTGCAGGTATGTTGGCGGTGCAGGAGTTGATGGGCCCGTCCATGTCATATTCTTCCCCCTCTTCGTCTCCTCATCAAGGGGGGCTTCGTCTTGCTAACCTAGTTACAGTTGCTTGCCATCCACCCAGATTATCTACTCAGGAACACAATCCTGCAGGACATGAAGAAAAATGGCGTGGAGCTAAGCGACGAAGGCAAATGCAGCGTCGCCTTGGGGCTGCTGCGTGACATGCAGGACGAGATGGCCTTGGAGTACTGGGATCAAATGCATCGCGATGGGACGAATATACCCAACTGGGTATTTGAGATCTTCGTTTATGTCCTAGGGATGCGCGGATACGTGGATGAAGCATTCCGACTGTTTCGCAGGGTACAGGAGGGGGCCAATGACAGCCTCAAGGCGGCACCTCTTCGCGTCTGGTTCTACCTACTCGACGAATGCAGCAGGAACTTTCATCATGAAGGGACTACGTTCATATGGGAGAAGATGGTTGAGCCGGGGACGTTGAGTCCACCCGACGGGATTTGCCTCAACGTGTTGAATACCGCCTCCCGCCACGGCGACTCGAGGCTGGCAACCGCAGTCATCCAGGTTCTCTCCGAGAGGCGTGTCAAGTTAGGCCTACACCATTACGAAGCACTACTCGAAAGCTATGTGCACGACGGGCAGCTGGAAAAGGCATTCCGCGTGCTGTGCATCATGACGGGCGCTGGGGTTCGACCAGACCAATCCAGCACCCGTTCCATCTTTCTGATGCTGAAGCGCGCCTCGGAGCGGGCAAAACAAGTCGTCGGCATCCTCCAGAAACTGCGCAAAGAGCATGAGCTCCCCGTGGCGGCTATCAACGTGCTGCTTGAAGCTCTGGCGGAGACCACAACCATCGAGGAAACGCTCGACATGTACCGCCAGGTCTGCGATCTCTGCCAATCTGGGCCCAACCGGGAGACGTTCACCCTCTTACTGCAGAGGTGCAGTACTGCCGAGCCGGCGGTGTTTCTGGTATCCGAGATGGACCGCTTCTCGGTCCGGCCATCGTCGACCATCGTCGACAACCTAATCCGATGTTTCGCCTACGACGGCAACCTCGACATCGCGCTTCTCTATCTGTCGGGGATGCAGCGGTCCGACTCCCCGATGTGGGTCAGCAGGCGCACTCTGTTGACAGTGTTGCAGCGTTGCTACAAGGAAAAGGACCCGAGGGTGTGGAGTGTTGTGGACGAGGCGAAGAAGAGAGGGGTGACGATTGAGAAGAAGGTGATGGACAGGCTAAATGAAATTCTGCCTGTTGCAGGCGAGAGTGGATAGGGCGAGGACCGGAATTGTTTGACAGGCGAAAGGAACAACAACACAATCACCATCCGGCCCGGCCCAGCAAACAGCTTGTTGCTCCCAGCCTGTGAAAGGCTCGTAATGAGTAAGGGCCTTCTTGCCTCTTGATCCTGACCAGCTTCACTCCCGTTTAAGGGATGGCCGAAACCTGACAGACGGCTTTCTGCGGCACCAGGGAACTCGAGGGAAAGCAGGCCGCTCCATCGCATGTCTGCCGAGTGTACAATTTTAGCAGCGCCTAATAAGGTACCTTAGAGAGAGGTACTATTCGTCGAAAGATGGACTTCCAATGCCTTGTCATTCCACTACATGCCAAGACTGCCTCCTGCTGCACAGCCATTTATTTTCATTCCCGCAGGAGCTTGGCAGAGGCTTGACTTGACCTCATACAAGTTCTATGGTGTGACATAGGTACTAGTACCACTACGTACAGCAAAGTTGCCCGTGTGACGCTTTTGATAGCTGGTAAAAAGCTTCATCTTCCGTCCAGCGAGGAGATAGCTACCTATGCATAGTACCATTGATTTGCCGACAGGATGGCATAGATCTAGAAGTGTCGCCTTGAATCCGGCGCAACCGAACAATACAAAACAAAGAGAGCAATATACCTGTAGTAGTATCTCTGACCTGCGGATAATACCTAAGCTGGCCCGCTGTCCGTGTCAAATGGAGTAGATATGCCGGGAGAGAATCCGGAATGGAGGGCTGACGCCGAGTGATTGCCGGTAAGTCAGTGGCGGTGCAACACAGAGGTCTATCGATTGACCCTTATGTACTCTACCTCTGACACCTACCCCTAGTCAAACCTAGATGCTGGTCTCCCACAATGCTCGGACAATTTCCCGTTGCTAAGTCAAATTTCCCATGCACGAAGTTGATCCAGCCGCACTGCAATTTCCAGCATCGCTGCGTTCAAAGCCCAGGAGTCGACAGTTGAAGATGCCCTAGGATACTGTCTGCCCGTAGGAAACTGCCTACCACCTCTAAGTTTTGCGTGCCGCCATCTCTTTAGCACTGTGGTCTCCTGTTGGTGAGCCCTCTGGGAAGCATGTGCCCGTAGGGATCTAGCCGGCTTCTAGCATGGCCTTCGGCGACAGGAGCTCACAGAGTGAGAGGACGGGCCGTTGCCGTAGCCCTGATCCATTCCCGTGACACCGCCACGAGTGACTACAGGCGGAGTGTTGAAAGCTGGCCAATCCGAGTCTATTGCGGATATTGGACATCGACCGTAGTCATAGCTCGGTAGTTGTGGCTGTCGTGCGACCAGCGATGGTAGGATGGCCGCCCCGACGAACCCGGAAGCCCCTGTGAATATAGCACCCCGATAGGCTCTGACAGCCCTAGCAAGAGTGATTGCAGGGCGCCTGGCCACGGTGATTTGGCGCCCGGTATACCCGATCGCATCTGGAGACGATTAGTAGTTGCTACAGGCATGAGCGGAACAGGACTAGTCCTTGCGTTCGTTGCCGCCATTGCCATTGCGCTGCTTTTTCGACAAAGGTACCTAGGCAAAGCAGTCGTGGTTGGTGCCGAGGGTACTTCTAATCAAACGGCATTCCGACTGCTTCAGCGACTCCCCGGCTCCAGACTGCGATGGCATGGTGCCTGGGGCCGCCGGAAACATGCCAACTCGAGGCGTCACTAGGCCAGTCTGAGATTATTCCCGGCGGCTATCAAGATAAGGTGGCAGCACCGGCTGAGGATGCATCATGGCTTGCCTTTGCAGGGCAAATGCTGCAAGACCCTCCCCTCCATTGGCCGGGACAGCTTCCGAGGCCTTGACCGAGGTAGCGTCGTTGGTCGGCAGGGCATAGCGAGTCCGTGTCCGTTAATTGATTTGTAAGAGAAGGTTGCAGGCAGAACGATGCAGGCCGGACGAGGAACTCGAACGCTACTGCTACTGCATCGGTGGTATGTGCAAGCATCCCCGCGGTCGAACGAGACGAGCAAATCCAACTTTCCAGGTTTCCATTGCCAGTCCTCCTCTTCTGCCGCGCGCAAATGACGCTCTTCGCGGCAACCTCCGATCCGGCTACTGGTGTTGGCATATTGCCAGTCTTGAAGTTGGCACCTTTCCGTGGCTTGTGTTTGATATATTCAGTGGCGGAGGCGCGAGGCTTCCTTGTGAAACCTGAAGATCGTTGATGTTATGTGGTTTTGGCGGCTCGGGTCCTTGGCCCGGCTTCAGCTGGGAACCCTGCTCGACGTTACCCCCACGCTGGGTCAGGCCAAGAATGATCCTCCGACGACACCCACTCTTGGCTCTTGGCGTGCCCCCCAGACCTGGAAGCGTGCACGGCCTGGTGACGCTGTGCACCTTATCAGTTGTTTGACCTCCCACACCCGACCGTGAGAAGATATCAGCGGCAGATGCATCATCGGTGCTCATTCAGCCCATTCCTTTTCAGTCCCCGACGCCAGACGGAGCAATCGCCGGAGTAGCTAACCGGAGAAGCAACGTCCCCAGCTTTTGGCCCCAGTCAACCCCAGGGTGTACTCCCTATACGTAATTTACGACACACCGTTAAATACATAGGAGTCCACGAGCCTCGTCGCATCAAAGCACACACGGCCCAGTCCGCCTCCGCCTTATCTCTCCAGCTTATCTATGCATGTTCTCGACTTCTCCCGCCAGCCAGTGAGACTCGACGGTTTTGCAACCATTCTTCCCTTCTGGTCCCGGCGCATGCAGTCTCAGGAACTTGTCTCGTGCAGCACTGCAGATTTGACCGTCTGTGGAGGTCGCCACCCATGCCGCCGTGGCGGAGTGGTATTGTGATGAGGTACTTCCGTATTCCTTACAGCATCCGCACTGAACGCAATATTTGTGGAAAAGCCGCCCTCATCCCCGTCCGCCTTTCTCCCGAGTCGCACCAACCCTGGACACTGCCGGACCCTGCCAGGCCCTGCCAAATCTCAACCTCAAGCCTTACTCGGGCCCTCGATATATGATGCCATTGTCGACACAGATGGATGTCAAAGGGACCAGGTTGGCCGAATCGACAAGGACTGCCGCTTGACCTGTAGCACAGCGTGCCTAGTCACATGCCCAACCCGACAACAGTCGAATGAGCATTGGACGAGCCCCTGTCCTTCCTGGCGTCCGCGTTCGCCTCGTCCGCGTTCGCCCTTCACGCACGAACAGGCCCTCGTGGTCAGCTAACGTTTTTGCGATACTGTCTCTCCTGGCACTACACTAGACCCTGAAGTGGGCCGCTTCAAGTCTCGCCCCATCCGATCTCCAGGCTGTCCCCGCATCCCGACATCTGCAAGGGCAATCGGCTTTTGACCTCGACCGCACCGAAAAGCCTAACAGGGCAGACTTTCCGCTCCAAAGACAGCGTACCCAATTCGTACCATTCCCGGCATCGCGGGGTTCCCGCGCACTACGGCGAACCTGCGCTCAAGCGCCGTATCCACTTCCGTGGTACGATGCCGGACCACGACTCAGTTCCGGTCTCGCTGCCGTCCGGCGGGCAGGACGGCTACGGTGGCACTTTCAATGGTCCTTCGCCGCCGCCGCAGCCATCCAAGAAGAAGCCCAGACGCGGCACCGATCCCGCCAACCAAAAGCGGAGGTGCGTCAGCACAGCGTGTATTGCCTGTCGGAAGAGAAAGTCCAAGTGCGATGGCGCCCTCCCGAGTTGTGCTGCCTGTGCCAGCGTCTACGGAACCGAGTGTGTTTACGATCCCAATTCGGATCATCGCCGGAAAGGTGTGTATCGTGAGAAGACGGACAGTATGAAAGCGAGGAGCTCCACTCTCCAGATCCTGATCGAGGCCATCCTGAACGCCGCCGAGGAGGATGTACCGGCTATTGTGCAGAAGATTCGTACATGTGACAGCCTTGACGCTGTGGCTGAGTCCATCCTCAAGAACGATGCGGTAGACGATGAGGACGAGGATGTGAATGCGGCTGGTCGCATGGACAACGACTATGCCGCAGGCCAGTCGGTCGAGGGCGAGAAGGAACTTGCGCGCAAGATGGGCGAGCTTCGACTAGAGAATGGTTCTGTCCGCTACTACGGCGGCACATCTCACTTGATCTACGTGGGAGACGCCGCAGACGTTGTCGACGAGCCGGAATCCGACACCAGCCCGTCTGGCGAGGACCCGACTACCAGTTGGACCGAGGTCACCAAGGACACGCAATTAATCGTCCACCTGATGAACATGTACTTCAACTGGCACTACCCCTATTTTGCCACCCTCTCAAAATCCCTATTTTACCGAGACTTCCTCAGAGGGAAACCGAAAGGGCAGCCCAGATCTACGGTATACTGCTCGTCGCTGCTGGTAAACGCCATGTTAGCGCTTGGCTGCCATTTCACCAGCGTGGCCGGCGCCTTTGCGGTTCCCGGCGACAGCAAGACAAAAGGCGACCACTTCTTTGCGGAAGCGAAACGTTTGATAGTCGAGAACGATGAGTACGCGAAGCCAAGGCTCACCACGGTGCAGGCGCTTGCGCTCATGTCCGTGCGCGAAGCTGGGTGTGGTCGGGAGGCCAATGGGTGGGTGTACAGCGGGATGAGTTTCCGCATGGCACAGGACATCGGGCTCAACTTGAACCTCGGAGGGATGCACAAGGACTCGCTGGATGAACAAGAAATCGATGCTCGCCGGATTACATTCTGGGGGTGTTTCCTATTTGATAAGTGTTGGTCCAACTACCTCGGCCGCCTGCCCCAGCTGCCCAAGAACACGTACAATGTTCCCAAGTACGATGTCTTCCCAGATGAAGATGCCGAGCCGTGGTCGCCATACACCGACAGCGGATTTGATCGCTCATTCAAGCAGCCGTCTCGCACACGGGCAGCCGGGCTGCACCTCAGCAAGCTCTGCGAAATCAGCAGCGACCTCCTGCTCTTCTTTTACCACCCCAACTATATTGCACGGTCGACTGGCAAGAACGTCGAGCTCAAGAAGCTCAGCGAACTGCATCGCCGCCTGGAAGACTGGAAGAAGGAATTGCCCAGCGAATTCGAGCCTAAAGACGGCCAGCTGCCGCATATCATCTTGATGCAGTGAGTTCTGATGACCCCTCCCAATCGTTGATGCGAGCTGGGAAATTCTGACGCAAAGAAACAGTATGTTTTTCCACCTGCAATACATCCATCTGTTCAAGGCCTTCCTCAAATACACGCCGCAAACATCGCCTTTGCCGCCGCATGTCTCGCCCTGGCGGATGTGTGGTGCCAACGCTGGGGCCATCTCGAAGCTCATGCGCCTGTACAAGAAGATGTACGATCTGAGGCAAATATGTAACATTGCAGTATACATGGAACAAACGGCCTGCACAATACACATCCTGCACTTGCCGGAAAAGACGGCCAAGCGAGACATCATCCACGGGGTCAAGCATCTGGAGGAGATCGCCGAGGACTGGCTGTGCGCGCGGAGGGCGCTGAGCACGCTGAGCGTGTTGGCGCGGAAGTGGAAGATCGAGCTGCCGGAAGAAGCTGCTCTTGTCCTACAACGAACCGACGAAAAGTACGGGACCGTTAACATCTCGGACGTTCCTTCGCCAAATCGGTCGGTGCCCTCTGCTGCGACATCGCCGCAGTCGCCGCAAACAAACGACACGGCCACGCGGCCGATGGAACTCGACATGCCGACAACAACCATGTCCTCTGACACGATAAGCAGCCTCGCCGGATTGGGACCGAACCTGCACAATATACAAACCCCAACACGGCAAATAACACAACCAGTCACCACAACAACGCCCATGAGCCATCCGCTTTCCACGATGGGCTCCTGGACTGTCTCACCCGTAACACGGAGCATGCCCAGCTATGCACAGGCGTTCGCTCCTATCCATGCTCAGGCCAGCATGGGACCGCCGCCGTCGTCTTCTCGCCCGGGACGCCAAACCACCACCAGCTCCCCTTACGCCATCGACGGACAGGACTGGTACCTGAGGGACGGCGTGACCTGGCAGCAAAATTTCCAGACGTGGGGTCTTGGCACAGGCGCCAACGAGCAGTCGAATGCGCGCGGAAGCAACCCAAGCAACGGGATGGCTGATCCTTCCATGTTTGTGTTCCGGGGCGTTAACTTGGACGACGTAGATTCGGGGTTTGAGTCACTAGGAATGGGCAGCTTAGACCACTTACCAGGACTAGACTAGGCGTCTGCCCGGGGTTGCGGTTGCTCTATATATCGAGGAAGGAGGTGCGATGACTCCCGATCATGTGTTCGGTTCTGGGATGCATATATTGGCGCGGCAGACTACAGGCAGGAAAAGCTGGGAGGTTACTATCGCTACTTTCTGTTTGCAGGGACATCGGAACCACTAGATAAATACACCTCGACTGGGCAGCTGGAGCTGCTTACTTGTTCACGGCTATATATCCATCGCGAGAGGATTCTTAAACAATATAAGGTACCTACATTGCAATGTCCTACTACAATTTACCAACCAAAATTACAACACAAACGACAGTCGTCTATTCTAGCATCTAAGTATTAACATGCTCTCTACCGCATCTGTGACGGCCGATTCCGTCCGTCTCCCTCCGCACCCTTCACGTCCTCTTGCCTCCCCTCTCCTTTTCCTCTCGCTCCAAAGCCGCCAGAACGCCGCGATACACCCGTGCCTCTGCCTCCATCTCCTCCATGCTCCTTGCCACCCGGTCCGCGTCCTCTACCCGCGGGAAGGAGCCGCCCGGCTGCGGCCGCTCCCGCATGAGATCCCGGTCCCACAGCGCCCCGCCCACGTTCCCTTCCTCGGCCGCCATCTGCTCGTAGACGGCGTCCGAGGGTGTCGAGGGTGGCTTGGCTGTCGTTCCGCGGATGCGGGGGATCACGTCTTGGTAGTAGCATTGTATGTCAGTCCATAGTTGGGCGGTCTTTCTTTTTTGTAGTAGTAGTAGTAGGAGTAGTAGTAGTAGTAGTAGTAGTAGTAGTAGTAGTAGTAGTAGTAGTAGTGGGGTGTGCTGTTAGTACTTACGGACGTGCACGTGCGGAACGGTTTGCCCTGCTTCGGGCCCGTCTTGGAGGGCCAGGTTGAAGGATCCCAGCTCGGGCTCTGGTTCGAGTCCTCGGTCTCCTGGCCCTGGTAGTGTTGGAGTAGCACTAGTACTAGTAGTCCCATCTGGAGTGGAAGACGAGGAGGGCAGGAAGTAGTGGCGGGCCAGCATCCGCTGGACGCGCTGCACGGCCAGGAAGAGGTCGGTGAGCTCTGGCAGCGAGAGGTCTGTCAGGCGGCGGTGGGGGGCTAGCGGGCAGACGAGGACGTGGCCCGGTAAAAGGGGCTTGAGATTGACCAGGGCGAAGGAATGTGCCGTTGTGAGGAAGACCTGTGGGTATTGTCAGTGGACATGTCCGAGTGCAGAAAGGAGTGAAATTAACCTGGTTTGTGACGTCGAAGGGCCCAAAATAGATGGGCTCTTGCGCTGGAGGTGCGTTACCAATTGATGAAACGCTGCTCATTCTTACTGCTTGCCGTGTAGATTTTGTCAGGCAGAAAAGGTTGAGCAATTTGGTCCGGGATATCCTGGTCGTGGTCATGCTACCTAGTTGTAGTTATAGGATGCGGCGTATATGGTGTGCTTGCTGGGCCATTCAATCTGTTCAGTTCGGTGGGAAACTTGGAAGCCGTTCCATTCCATCCAATGTTCTTCTTGAGGTGATCTAAGTCGCCCCACCAAGCCTCGGCTACACAGTACAGTATCAATTAAGCATCTCGCTTCAATCTCACTTCACACACTCTCTTGAACTTATTTCGAGCCACGAGCTGGATCGCCAAGCTGAAGTAAGGTTGAAGACCAGGTGAACAACGCATACGAGTAGATTCTGCTCCACAAACCAATGTTTACGTAAGTATGCAATAACCGGAGCCATCATGAGCCAGCCTTAACCCGCCTAAACGCCAACAGCGACCTGGAGTCTCTCAAGCGCCCAACTTCTTAGAACCGCAGGCCCTAGTACCATACTGCAAGACGAAGGATCGAGGCTGATCTTCCCCGACATGAGTTGCTATGCTACACCCTAGGCAACAGAAGTTCCTCATCCTCCGTGGCGTCTTGCCGCACACGGTCTGAACTACTGCTCGAGCGAGCAGGGGCTGGCTCATCCTCTTCTCTCAGATAGACTAGTCCGGCTGTCAGCGTGATTCCCATTTCGCAGGCAAGAAACAGGGCAAATAACGTACCATGTGCTTTCAAGAAGAACGAGGCTGCCAGCGCCAATGCATAGGCTGAAGCCAACAGCACGAAAATCGCCTGCGGGAACGACTCAACCGTCGCCGCATACAGCTGATTGAACAATATAGGCGCTATGATCCTTGCGAAGGAGTGCAGCAACCCAATAGCACCCAGCATCTGGCCGACCCGAGCCGGGGGCACATGCTTGCTGACCGCTGCTTGGATCGTGGCCGAGCCCATCCCCCCAAAGGCCGTAACGACGGCGCATGCGACAAACACGGGTCCAGAGCGCGCCAGAATATACCCGACGACGCCCACGACGTCTGAAACCAGCGCGGCCCGCAGGATCCAGAGGTCAACCTCGTCAGCCCCGCTGTTCTTCTCCTCCACCGGCACAGTCGGTTCTTCTCTCGTCCTCCTAGCTGCCGGGCGCGTGCGGAATAGGTAGTTGATGAGAGGCAGGACAGCCACAAGGATGACGACACGAACCATAGACGTCAGGGATATGAAGCGGGAGCTTTCGAAATTGCCCCACTCAAAGATGTACTCGACATACATGACGATTACGGTTCCTGCACTCATCGCTGCGGCGAGCACGACCACGTCTATGAAGGCCAACACGAGAAAGTTCCGCCGTAGAACCCTGGTGCCCGGCCCGGTGGGAAACAGGATGTCGAGCGGCCCAAGGGGGTTCGAGGTCCGCAGTCTGTGGAACAGGCGGCCGAGTTGTTTTCCGAACGGAATCCTCGACAACAGCCCGCTGCATTCCGGCGCTGGCCCGAAGGCTTGCTGCTGCAGGGCGTACTTCTCCCGCGCCAGGAGTTGTTGCTTCCGGGACAGGGATTCCGGGGTGATGAATGCCATAAAGCAGACGAAGAAAAGGTGGCACCCGAGCAGGATGTAAAAGATGGACAGCAGAGAGCCCGTCCACTTGACAAGGTAGCCGGCGATGAGCGGCCCAAACGCGAGGCCGGTGAACAGACACGAGTGCAGGTAGCCGATTGCAACCCCGCGCTTCGAGGGCGGCGTGCAGTCGCTCGTGTACGCATGGCTCAACACGCTGCCGGCGGTGAAGGAGCCCGTGAGCCCGTCGAAGAAGGCGCCAAGCAGCAGGAACTGGTACGGCACGGTTTCGGGATACTTGGCGGCGAGGATGGTGATGATCTCGGCGAGGATGCCGCCAACGGAGCAGACGATCATCATGCGTTTGCGGCCATAGCGGTCCGAGAGCGACCCGAGCTTGGGTGCTGTGAGGGAGCTCAGCGTCCCGGTAAGGACGTTGAGGACGAGGGAGAAAGTAGCGACCTGTTTCTGCACGTCCGGGATGAAGCACTGGCGGTTGCTGCCGCCTGGTACAACGGGCGTGAAGGTGAAATCTGGATCTGCGGCCGACCTATCCGCAAAGTAGTGTCTGCATATAAGGTCAATGATTCTACATCGAGGTCAGCCTTGCAACCGTACTGTAGATGAACGAAAAAAAGGCCCCGTACAGATTCAGCCTTGGGACGATGGCGCCGCCAAAGGCGAGAGTAAATAGTGCGTATGGAGCTAATAGGAACCACACCTGCCTCCGAATGAGCATACGGGATTCTGCGGCATGGGGTTGCGCTGGAACACTTTTACATACGGTTGGTCTCTTCCACCACGGTAGGCCGTCGAAGTCGGCCGTCCCGGCCCAGCTGTCCTCACGAACACGGTGAGCATTCTTGCTTGTCTGGGCGCCTGCGCCCAATAGAACAGAGGTCTCAGTAATGCCCTCGTCAGCAACGCCGCTCGCATCGTCCTCGCGCGCTGTCCGGCGACTCCAGCCTCGAGACGAGTCTAACCCGTCCGACTCATTTGTCGACGTCATGTTCGAGCCAGCGACGGCACACAGCCCAGTGTGTTTGAGACTAGACTAGACCTTCTGAAAAGTGCCGTGTGTTGTGCTCAAGCTCCGAGGCAGAGCATGAGATAAAGGGGCGGAGGAATGGACAGGAGAGCTCCGTTAAATGATTGCGATCTCATCGATGGAGTACCGTTGTTTATTAGTGTGAGGGCCAGTGCACGTTCAGATCGTGCGAACGGACGGAGGCTGTGGGCGCCAACCGGGCGAACTTCGATCCCAGGAAACAAGTGTGAGTTATCTGGCGTGAGATGCAACAAGTATACAGCATCGCCCATGGGTATGAGGAATGACAGATTCGCTAGGTTGAAGCAAGATAGAGAGAGGTAAGAGTGCGCGACTCCGGACTCCGGAGTGTTATCAGAGTCCCGACCCAGACAGCCAGAGAGCCAGATAGGCTCCCTGGTACCTCTGTACACGTGTAGAGCTTTGGGCGTCCCTGTGCAACGGTGCTGGGAGTGTCTCCACACAAGCCACCCTCCTCCCTTAAGTAGCTTCAACTTTCCTGTTTTATCAGACTCACATTACCAGGTAGAGGCCCTGTCACTGACCCCCGCATTGCCTGCAGCTCAAAAGCATTAAAATACTCATACGCAGTAATAAGCGCGTCACTCATAAATGAGAATTATGAGAACGGATAGAGCTTGATTTCTAATGCAGACAAACTACATACCGACTGGATGAACGGCCAATGAGAGCAAATCCAGAGATAGGTGCCAAGCCACCTGGGCATGCTTGATTGGGCAGACCCGATATCGAGCTGGTATTGATGACGCACATTGTCCTCCATTGTCTCCGAGACCCAATTCCTCCGAGACAGGTACGGATAGAAACGAAGGTACCGACTCTGCGCATCCCGAATGACAGACCGCTGTTATGATTCTCCGGCTTTTCGCACCGTTAGGTCTCATGAAAGCCACGTTGACAAAACTCAAGACTACCTTTGTGGGCAAGTATAGATGCATTCTGACCTCTCTGCACGGCAGGTCGGGGGATGATGGATCGGAGAACTTTGAAATACGGCCATACCACGCCAATTTTGCTGATGTTAATGTGTTAGGACCATAATCCCGGAGATACACCGTACCGAGCCCGCTTCGACCTTCTACTATACACAAATCCCAAAACATGCACAGTCCGTGACGTACGACTGGTCCAAGAAGAACCCCCTTATAGCTGTTGTCCTGCAAAGAACTTCTTTGACTCGGCGCACCTGTCGCTCTTGCAGCCCGGACATCTTAGGCCCATCTGTGTCGAACAAGTAATCCCGCTGGCCAGGTGCGACTTCGCCAATTCGACGAGCGCGTTGATGAACACTGGACTGCCGTTCAGACTCTCCACCCGCTTGACCGTGTCGGCGTGTCCTGATCCCCCAATAACCTCCTCGTCGAGCTCATATAGCGTCTCGATGTGATCGGAAGTGAACGCGATTGGAATGAGCAGCAAGTCCTTGAGGCCCTTGGCGATGTAATTCTCCACCGTGTCTGATGTCTGCGGGCCGAGCCAAGGCTGGGGGCCGACCTGGGATTGCCAGCATAGCCGCCACGGATTGACGAAATTGAGCCGTTTCATGACGGCGTGAACTGTGGCAGCCACTTCGGCGGGATAGGGATCTCCTGCTGCTGTGTGAGCATCGTAGCCATACAATTTCAGGGGAAGGAGAGATAGTAGTAGACCTACCCCTGTTTACCACCGTCATCGGCAGGCTGTGGGCCGAGAACAGCAGCACAACCTTATCTCTCCTCTCCTCAGGGTACTCCGCCAACTTGGCCTCGATGTTCTGTGCGAAGGCTTCCACCAGCCCCGGATGTGTCGGCCATCGGTCAATGACACTCCATTTGATCGTCCCATCCGCCCCATCCTCCAGCGGACCCGCCCTTCCCTCCAGCCGCTGCCGCCACTTCCACAGCTCGTTTAGGCTGCTCCCGGTTGTTGAGCACGAGTACTGCGGGTACTGGGTGAACGCAACCGCCCGCCCGCCGCGGCCATTGCCAAACCCATCAGCCAGCATCTGCCGGTATGTCTCCTCGGTGAGCGGGTTCGCGTACCGAAAGGCCACGTACGGCTTGTGTGGCGCCGTCTCGGGCGAAATCTTGTCTAGGATCTTGCACATCTCGGCGCATTGGTACTCAGACCACTTTCGGATGGGCGAGCCGCCGCCGATGGCTGCGTATTGCTTCTGAATCTTTGGCGTGCGCCGGTTTGAGATGAGCGGGCCGAGGTAGCCCTGGAGGCGGCCTAGCGGGATGAGATCGCCATCGGCCTGGTGGGAGAGTTAGATGGCGCATCAACCGATGGTGCCGGAGCACGTAGGGAATACTGACGAATAACCTGCTGAGGAAGTCGCCCACTTCATCAACGGTTGACGGGCCGCCCATGTTGAGGAAGACCATGGCCGTTGGCCCGCGCGAAGAGTCCTGTGTCACAGGGTGAACGGGCGTCGCCAGCCATCGCACTTGCTGCGCAGATGACCTGGCAACACCTAGGGGCCGCAGAGGCCGTATCACGGCCGGTAGCCGGAGGACCATATCGGGGACCGAGACGGACACGGAGATTCGACAAAGAGCAGGAATCCCGGCTCGTAAGGGAAGCGCGGGATTTGCGACAATAAAACAGTCGGGAAAATTTCAATTCACATCCAACACGCTTGAGTTTTGGATGCTCTTCGGATTAGGTAGGTGGTTTACGGAGCGCATGTATTGTACCGGTAACCGGAGACCGGCTGCGGGAACCAGGAGGCCGACTTTTGCCATCTTGGCATGCCATGGATGACGTTGCACATCAGTCGAGGTTTCTTGACCAGTGAAAATCGAGCAATTACTTCCCTTACCGCAGTCACGTCACATGCTCCCGCGTTAGGCAGGCGCGTCAGCCTGGAGCTCGTCGCGCTGCACCATCTTCCCGTGTCTGTCAACACTCCATCACAAAGAAGATCAACTCTCTTGTGACGCGAGTTGGCACATCCATTGACTGGCCCCGAATCTGCACGCAGAAATAAAACAATGGCCTGGGGAGGCGACGATGACAGACATCCGGAGACGGACGAGGGCGAGGAGGAGTTGGATGAGACGGTGTGCTTTCCAACCAAGCCTTCTGAAGCCCGCTAACCTCTCGGTAGGACTACAAAACCCAAAAGGATGCCGTGTTGTTTGCGATTGATGTTAGCGCATCAATGCTCCAGCAGCCCCAGCAGCCGCCAGCTAGCGACAAAAAGACAGACGCGGACTCGGCTATTGCTGCAGCGCTGAAATGCGCTTATCAATTCATGCAACAGCGCATTATTACCCAACCGAAGGATATGATGGGCATTCTCTTCTTCGGAACTGAGAAGTCTAAATTCCGTGATGAAGCCGGGGGCCGCAGCGTATCCGGGTATCCCCACTGCTACCTATTCACCGATCTTGACGTACCGGCCGCCGAAGATGTCAAGAGACTGAAAGCACTAGTAGAGGAGGGAGAGGACGCCGATGAGGTGCTCGTCCCATCCGAAGAGCCCGCCTCCATGGCCAACGTGCTCTTCTGCGCCAACCAAGTCTTTACCACCAATGCGGCGAACTTTGGGTCTCGGCGCCTGTTCATCATCACGGATAGAGATGATCCACATAGCAACGACAAAAATGCGAAGTCGTCCGCAGCTGTGCGTGCCAAAGATCTCTATGATCTCGGCGTCGTCATTGAGCTGTTTCCCATTAGCCACGCGGAGAAGTCCTTCGATGTGTCCAAATTCTACGATGTAAGGCTAGCCTGACTGCTTCTTTGCGTTGGATGCTGAATTCGGGCGCCAGGATATCATTTACCGCGACCCAGCCGCCGAACCGGGTTCTCCGGACGAGGTCAAAACTTCCAAAGCAGGCGACGGTTTCTCCCTCCTGAACTCATTGATCTCCAACGTCAACTCCAGACAAACTCCGAAACGGGCGTATTTTTCCAACCTACATTTCGAGCTTGCCCCAGGCGTTACGATCTCCGTCAATGGTTACATACCTCTTCACAGGCAAGTCCCCGCGCGGACGTGCTGGGTTTGGACCGGCGGCGAGAAAGCCCAACTCGCGCAATCCGAGACCATAAAGGTGGACTCGACCACAAGAACGGTTAACAAATCCGAGGTAAAAAAGGCGTACAAGTTTGGCGGCGAGTACATCTACTTCAAGCCCGAGGAAGCAGCTTCTCTGAGGCATCTTGGGGACAAGGGGCTTCGTCTCATTGGCTCCAAGCCACGGTCCATGCTGCCGATGTGGGCCTCGGTGAAGAAATCCACCTTCATCTTTCCCAGCGAGGAGCACTATGTCGGCTCAAGCCGCGTATTCTCTGCGCTGTGGCAGAAACTGCTCGAGTCGGACAAGGTTGGGATCGCATGGTTCGTCGCTCGTGTGAACGCCAATCCCATGATGGTGGCCATCATCCCCTCGAGAAACCCGGATGACGAGGCGTCGGAGACCCCATATCTCCCGGCAGGGCTCTGGCTGTACCCGCTGCCGTTCGCCGACGACGTCAGAAACGTGGATTTGTCTGCACCACCGCGGCCTGCAGACGAGCTCACGGACAAGATGAGAGAGATTGTGCAGAATCTCCAGCTACCGAAGGCCATGTACAACCCCCTCAAGTATCCCAATCCCTCGTTGCAATGGCATTACAGAATCCTACAGGCGATGGCACTCGAGGAGGATGTCCCAGACAAGCCGGATGACGCAACGATCCCGAAGTACAGGCAGATCCACAAGAGGGTTGACGGATACCTGGCAGAGTGGAAGGAGGTACTTGCCCAGAAGGCCCAAGGTCTCATGGAGAGCAGAGCGGTGAAGCGGGAGCTTGACGAAGAGGACGATGAACGGCCGACCAAGCGTGCCAAGCCGACCACGAAGGCGGCAACTGGAAGTGCGATGAGCAATGCAGAGCTCAAAGCTGCGTATGAGAAGGACACCCTCAAGAAGATGACGGTTGTTGAGCTGAGGGACGTATTGGCTAGCAAGGGGGTCAGTGCGATCGGCAAGAAAGCCGAGCTGGTGGAGAAGCTGGGGCAGTGGATTGAAGAGAATGTGTGATCAGCGTATCTGTAATACTATGAATTTGTGCATGTTTGTAATAATCTTTTGGAGTCTTATTAGGGGCATTTCGTGCTTGGGAAAATTGCTGGCACCACAAATGTGTAATGACCTGGAATATTTGCAAACCTCGCCTGTCACGACTTTACTCAGTCTGGTGAACTGAGTATCTGAATATACCATCGCAGGCGGTGTTCCGAGGCGCCTGATGCGAATAGCTATAGCAACTTGGAAATGCATTTAAGCTAGGGTAACGGACTAACGCCACGTATGATTGATTGTATCTTACAACCTGCCTTACAAATGTGTCATCTATGTGCAGGTAAGCTACTGTACACCAGGTAAGCATAGTTACATGGTACCGTCCAGGACCACACCAGTGGCTCCACCCACTTATCTTGGCATTGAACTCGCGCCTTCATCCTAAACCTCAACAACTCGCGCCAGCGCGGCGACAAGGTCGGTTCACGATACCGTGACATGCGCTCCGCCCGCGAAAACTCATTTATGTGCCGGTCTCCAGTTTAACTGGCGAATCAGGAGCGGCATTTTGACCAGTTTGGATGAGCGGTGACCGCATTCTGAGCAGTAACAGCCGCCGATATGGAGGCGTTACTCGGCGCCAGCCCGTCGAACCCTTCGTGCGGCTCAATTGCCGACCTGCAGGGCCAACTGCGCGATCTACTAAGCAGCCGCGTAACTGAGACGCGGGCCGAACACGTCTCGGTAACCTTTGAAATCCGAGCGACAACGGTTTTCGACCTTCCGGTCACAGAGAACGAGAACGATGCGCTCGAGAACGCGTCGAACATCGATCCGCTGCTGGGTGGGGCCCGGTCCAGCGCCGCACCTGCTGTAGACGGGAACGGAGGACAGCCGAGGCGCCGAATCAATGCCATTGACGCGCTGATCAACCAGCCCGCGGACGACGCCGGCCTGCAGACAACTATCACGAGGCACATCATTGCATCTCTCGGCGAGGTCGACGGGAGCAAGTGGACAGTCCGCCAGGTCTCACGGAATGAACATGGCTGGACCTTCATCTATGTCTGCAATGATTCCTGGGAAGCATGGAATCGCCAAGCGGCAAAGACACCTGCGAAGACAGTCATTGGGGAGTGGAGCAAGGACGGCGGCCAGGACCCAGTTCACTTGGGTAGGCTTTGTCTCTAGTCCCTGGATCCTGCTGGCTTTGGATGCTGACGGCTAGTTTGAAGCTCGTCCGGCCTTCGATTGCCGAGGTTCCGTTAAGATAGCCTTTGTCAAGTCGACAAAGACCATCGATGTGAAATATGAGCATACACCGATGCATAAGACCGTTGGCCAGCTGATTGAACTTCTTGCGCCACCACCGCCGCCACCAGTTGAGCCTCTCGTCAGGACCCCGGCGAGGGGCTTAAGGCAGGTGAAGCCAGCAAAGGGCCCTGGCCAACCGAGAGAACAAAAGCCAAAGACGCCAAGATCCCAGAGGAAGCGGACGGGAGAAAATGGCGTTCCAGATGGCGAGGGTTCGCAGCCAAAGAAGAGGCGCAAGAAGCAAGATGCCACGACCTTACCCGGCGCGGGCGTCATCGTAGTTCCTCCGGAGATGCCCGGAGCTCTATCCGTAGGTGATGCCTCAGCGCGGCAACTGTATAACACCCAAGCAGAGACAGCCGAGGCTGCCCGACCAAGCGGCTCGAGCAGTTATCCCGAAGGTCTTGTGGGCGCCACTGCTCAGAACGGGTCAGCTGCCCCTGATCATGGCGAGGTCCACTCGTCCATCCTCCAACTTCCTCCAGGGGAGGCTGCAAGGCGCAGGGACGTGGCCATCAAACTGCTCAATGACAACAACATCGACCCAAAGACTCTATCATCGGAGCAATTCAACATCTTTGCGAACCAGTCTCCAGAGTTGCAACAAGACTCTTTGGCCATGCTCATTAAGTATGGGGCTGAGCGACTGCGCATAGTGCATCCCAATAGAGCTGGGTCGAGCTCTGCTCAGTCGACGCCTAACAAGCACAGCACCTCGGGTGCGGCAGGAGGGTCGCCACAGTCGGCCAAGCCGAAGAAGTCGCGAAAGTCGGACGTTGGAGCCGACGCGGCAGAAGGGACTAAATGGAAACGCATGTGTGACAACTGTCGCGCCAAGAAGTACAAGGGCAAGGTTTGTAGACGGCTTCTTGCTTCCCGGTTGTGACTAGACTGACATTGTATAGTGTGACAAAGCACGTCCGTCTTGCTCCATGTGTCTCGTCGAGGGGTTCCAGTGCGTCTACTCTGCTGCGCCGCCCAGGCGTAGTAAAGCCGTGGAAGCAGCTCCAATGGTTCCTACGCCAGCAGACACACAGCAGATGCCGAACGATGCAGCGGCGGAGGATTCAGCGTCCCCGGGCCTCCATAGTCATCCGGCAGGTCAGCCGGCTCATGAATCGGTAGACAACTCTGTAAACGACTCTTCGCAATTCCACGAGCAGTTCAGCGAGCACCATCTCCAAGAGACGGTCAATATGCCGGTTTCGGAATCAGCGCCCCATCAAATGGAGCAGCCTTCGGCCGAGTTCAACCGGACCAGTTCGATCTATGAACATTCCTCTGGCCTCAGCTTTCCTCAGGTCAGTGCGGCTACGAGCACAGAACCGCTTCAGCCCAGCCTGCCACCTGCGAACATGGAATCCATTTCGGTGGATTACATGCCGAACTCGATCTCGGAGGCTCCATTGCAAAGCTTCACACACCCCCAACCTTCGTCAACGCATCAAGCGAACCCGGGGTACGGAGAGTAAACGACTTCCGTCGCTGAACAAGGTCAACAACGAAGTTGGGGAGACCAAGCGTCAACGGCGAGACGCGGCCTTCCGGCCAGCCAAGCTTCTCAAGGAACCGGGACGGGCAGCACGCCCATGAACGCTGAAGGCAGCTGGCAAGCCATGTCTGGGGCTGCTAGCCAAGCTGAATCCGCAACCAGGTCATCACCGAGACAATCCAGGGCTAAGAGACCTGCCGCAGTCTCGCAGGCATACGATAATCAGCAGCGGCAAACCCAGACTTGGGCGAATACGAACCAATCTGTTTCCCAGGCCACCCAGCAGCCTGCACAAGAGTCGCCGCGTCAGGCTGCCGCTCAGGTCGCTCGTGCCAGATCACGGCAGAGTAACCGAGCCCAGAGCCGTACGCCAGTCAATAGCATGGCGGCGGCCGGGCAGGCCCAACCTCAAGGTGGTCAGTCTGTGGACAAGGCTAGGTATTCGTCATCCGCCGCAACCCAACAATCTGGCTCGACACAGGGCTATAACAACAACTTTGGCCAATAACAGAGTGAACATACTCAAGCTGAGGTGTCCAGCGACCACATCGCCTACCAGCCATACTCCGGTAAGCAAACACCCACCCAGCCGACGGCCTACCCATCCTTTGGTAGTTATGGTGCCCGTGTTCCGGATGCTGCATCATCTAGTACATCTACGACCGCGTCGCAGAACGTGGCGGCGTCGTACCCCTCAACTTCGGGAATTCCGTCAAGCGCGTCGCAATGGGGAGCCTCGACATCGACCTCCCAGGCCAGAAGTGCCCGCGCCTACAACGCCGCGCAGCCGGCCTCTTCCGGCAACACTTCCTACAATAGGCCGTCCAACACTTCGCAGTCGCAGCCACTGCAGGGTTTCAATGTACGGCCTCAGCAGTCGACTCAAGCTAGGAGCTCATCCAGTATTTATGGCCAACAGGGAGGACAACCACAGTAGCAGAGGCAGCAACAGCAGAGCTACGGTGGCTACCTGAACAATGTCAGCCAGCAGCAGCAGCACAGCCACAGCAACAGCAACCAGCCGAGCTGGTACGGCTTCCCGGTTGGGGCGAGCAACGCCGCATCTGGCTACAACTCGGCGACTACTGCTCCCGGCGGTAATAGTGGGCGGTAATAGTGCCTACTCGGCGGCCACCGCAACATCGCATGGGCATCCGCCGTCGCAGCATCATAGGTCCATGAATCTGCAAGGGCACACATACAGCAGCTTGAACAACGCCCAGTCGCTGCATGATCCGTATAGGACCAACCCGGCTGGGTAGACACTGCGACGGGCTCGGGACAAATCTGTTGCCGTACGCAGGGCGTTTTCGGATGGTATCCCGCTTAACCCCTTGCTACCTTTAGACGAAGTTATAAAATGGCCCCAAGTGCCCTGGGCCCGAAGCATCATGTTTCTTTTTTTGTGGCCAGCGTGGAAGCTTGGGAGGTTCTCAAAGAGGCATCGCAACATTTGCAGTACTAGACATCAAGATGGCTCCCCTTGTTCGCGAGCGGTCCGTTTCCGCGACTTCCATTCCCCACCCATCATGATGGCTAATAGCAGAGGAGGAACCACTCTACCACGTTCCCTAACTTGCCTCAACCACCTCTACCGCTTCCCACCATGCCGATGAGCAGGATTTAAGAGGGACAAGCGAAGTACATGAGCTCGGAGTTACTTTGGGCCGTCGAAGCCTCCCTGATTTGTTTCTTTGCAAGGATGGGACACAGACGGAGGACGGAGAAGGAGGACAAGATCTCGGTTACCACTGTAGTACTGTGCTGTACGTCAAGCGATGATGAGATATCACCGGGATTATATCAAGGCCGATACGAGTCGATAGTATACGGTCTAATCCATTTCTTTATACACAACATGAATGTCACCATCAGAGACATGAGAGCTGTGGTCATAAATCGAGTGCCTTGTAAAGCCGACCCTATCTACGAGAATGACAGAAACTGGAAATAGAATCCATCCGACAACGCCAGCCAGACCAGATATTCGGTAATTTACAGCTCAGTCAGACCCCCAACTGAGCATATAGGAGGCAAAATCCCCCGCTGGATCTCCCTCTTAGATCATTGGATTTCTCGAGCTTGTCTTCCTCGAACATCAAACGATTCCAAACTGGAACGCCACAAGCTTTTATTGCGCCGAAACAGCCTCTGTCTTGGTATCAACCTTCTTCGCCGCGGGTGCCGCAGCGCCGTCATCCTCGCGAGCACGCTTGCCATTGGTTTCTCCGCTCTTTGGGGCGGTGGATTGGATCGTCGGCATCTGGACACTGGCTAAGGTGTTAGTGGGATCCTGTTTGGGCGCCTGGGGCAGAGTGGGATGCGAAACGTACTCGTTGGTGTTCTTCCTCGTCTCCTCGCTCTTCTTCTCGTCACGGTCTCTGAAATTACGTCCGCCACGTCCGCCACGGCCACCCCTGCCCCGTCCGCGGCCCCAGCCGCCCTTGAAACCGTTCTTCTGGTTATTGTCCCTCGAGTCGCCGTTGCCGTTCCTGCCCTTATCGTCGCGACCCCGACCCCTGCCGCGCCCGCCGCGCCCGGCTCCGCGCTCCTTGCCCTCAAAGAAGGTAGTGCGCCTGGTGGAATTGGGTTCAATGAGCCCTTCTTTAATCTGGCGGTTCTTTTCGTCAAGATAGTCCTTCTTTTTCATAATCAGCAGCTCTTTGCCTTTGAAGGTAGGCTTAGGATCGAGCTTGACGAAGGCCTCAGCCTCTTCAGCGGTCGCGAACTCCACAAAGACGGAGCCCTTGAAGAGGTCTTCGTTGGTGCGCCGCAGCCTGACGTTATTGACGTGGCCATAGTTGGCGAAGAATGCTTCGATGTCGAACTGGGTTGACGGTTCCTCCTCGCCAAAGCCCTTGGCGTAGACAGAAGCGTTCAAACGAGCCTTCTGGGCTTCGCTGGATGACACGTATGCCTCCTTTCGCCGAACGACTTCTTGGCCTTCCTCGCCTGAGAGTTCAAGAAAGGTGCTCTCGCGCAGAGCAGCCACAACAGCGCTGTACGGCTGGAATTGGCGCATGCGCTTGAAGCTGCAGATAGTCTTAAGCGACATCGGCTTGTTCTCCACGCCTCCTGTGCTGTCCCACATGAATTTATCCGTCGGAAGGTTGCTGTCGCTGAAATAAAACTCGACCTTAAATCGGATCAGTAGAGGTTCGCAGAAAAGGTGGCTTCTTCGTTAGGCGGGGGTGCATTACCTGAGCGCGGATCTTAACTGGATCATCAGTCACGGGCTGCGTGCTTGGATCGTACTTGCGATTCTTTTTAAAGGTCTTTTGGTCAGAATGGCTTGACGTCTTCACCATGTCGTCAGCCTTGCCGACGCCGCTCTGCGCATCCGCGACAGTGTCCGTCTGGGCTTCGCCCGCTCCGTTCTCCGTCTTCGCGGCGGCATCTGTCTTCTCATCGCTGGTAGCAACAACGGGATTCGTTTCCTGGGCAGGCTGCGCCTGAGACACATCCTCCATGACAGCGTTGCTCATTTTGTTGCCGGGTGGCGATGCGCCAGACCAGGAAAAGTATTGCAAGTATTGCGAGGAGGCCGGGATAAGCAAATGGTCATCCAGCCAGTTCAACCGCAGATTGACTCGATTTGGATGAACGCAGGCGATAGAATATGTCAGTTATGTTCAGGGAAGAGCAAAGGGTTTGTGCAAGGAAAGGAAGTCGAGTGCTTGGAGGAATACCTCACAAAATTGTTTGGTGGGGTATTTAACATGGAAGGTTCAATGCGGCAATCAAGTCACCGGGATGTTTAGTGAATCAACACAACCTGGAAGGGGTCTGGTGTGACTCCATTGGAATGAGATAAGTCAATCTACGAAAATAAAACTTTCTAAGCTGCAAGGCACGGGGATAGGAAACTGAGAAAGGAAGAGATGAATATTATTAATTTTGCAGCGTTCATCTACATAGTTCAATGCCCCGCGACCATTCCCGGAAGCTGTTCCTCAATCAGTTGGCGCGCGACTTGACAGATGCGATGCGATGCGCGTTGCGAAAAAAAAAATAAGAAGGCGGGAAACCCCCCACTTTGGCTTATACGTTACCCTGAATTGGCTATTTCCTGCTCACCGCCCACGCGGCTGCGCGCAAGCGGCGCTAAAAAGGGCTCCCCACAACGGCAGAAGCCGCATGTGGGCCTTACAGCTGGTTACCGGTAATTCATCCATTGCTGTCACACCATGTGTAACGACTGAAGCGAAATACATACTACTACAGCTGCGGGTCGAGCCCGGGGCGGCTCACGTGAGCAGCCGCACCCCGGCGCGGCTTGGAAACTTTTTTGGCCGATGCCAGGTGCAGGTGGACGACGGACAGCGGCTGCCGCCAATGCAGGGCGGAGTGAATTTCTACCTAGCGACGACAACGAGGGCGCACCAATTGGGCGGCAAACAGAACATACTGCTACGCCCACAACACAGACAGTTACCATGAGGCATCGCAGGTTGCTGAGGTTCCATGGCCTGAAGCGCCCAGTGCGTCGCCTTCCCCCGTTGGACTCCTGCTCTTCCCGCTGACCTCACTTTCCCACCCACAGCGTGTCCGTCAAACGTGGAACAAGTACAACCTGTTCAACCTGCTGCGCCTACGAACGCCCCTCCTCCAGGCGAAGACCTTCTTCCAGCAAAAATGGATAGCCAAGTCCTTGACCCGTGGCTACCACGGCGAGCACATCAAGGAGCAGAAGTGGGAGCGCATGTTCAGCCGCCGCCCGCTCTCTGCCGTCAACATGGATCCCACCTATATGGCCAAGCACAATGGCAGCGAGCAAGCTTCGGGCCGGGGCTCTGGCGTTTCCAACTTGCAAATCCGCAACCGGGGTAACTTTCCGGGCATGACCCCTTACATGCAAATGGTGTTTGCGCCGATGGAACGTCGGCTTGATATCGCCATCTTCAGAGCTCTTTTCGCCAGCAGCGCGAGACAAGCGCGGCAGTTCGTCATTCACGGTGCAGTAACGGTCAACGGGAAGAAGGTACTATCGAGGCCCGAAACAAAACACATCTGCTTAACGCGGGAGGGAAGCCGCCGTCAGGACTCGCTGACATGGGTCGATCAAATCTAGATGACACATCCCGGTTACCTCCTCAACCCGGGTGACATGTTCCAAGTCGACATCGAGCGGGTTATGACAGCAACAGGACAACCAAAGAGGCCAAACCAGAGCCAGAAGGCGCTTCCAAGCAGCGAGGGCAGCGAGGAGCCCGCCGAAGACGGGGGCGGAGCCGAGGCCGAAGGGACCGCCGCCGAAGCCACGGAAGGAGCTGCGGAAGGCGTGGACGTAGAAGCCGCCAAAAAGAAGCACCTGAAGACGCTCTCGGAAATCAAAGAGCGCGCCAAGAAGATCCTGGCCGTTGGGGACAAGCGCATCCAGGCCAAGCACAAGAAAGAGCTCCGCAAGTTCCTCCGGCAAGTCAAGGCCTCCATGGACAGCACGCGGAAGCAGTCCATATCCGAGATGAGCGGCGTCGAGGAAGAGCTGAGCAGTCTCCTCTCGGATCTGTCGCTCACGCCCGCCGAGCGCAAGGCCAAGGCCGAGGCCGAGCAAGAACAAGAAGAATCCGCCAAGTCGTCCTCCGACAAGCCTCGGCTCAATGAGAAGCAGCGCGCCGTCCTCGCGGAGCTGATCGCCCGCGAGGCTGAGAACCCTCACGACCCGTCCAAGCCATACGCCACGCCCTGGAGGCCGCGCGACTGGATGTCCCCGTTTGCCTTCATCCCACGCTATCTCGAGGTGAACCAGCGCATTTGTGCCGCCGTCTACCTCCGGCACCCGGTCGCGCGCCCGGGGCGGTCCGAGGTGCCCTCGCCGTTCTCGCCCACCCTTTCCCAGCTGGCGTTTAACTGGTACTTGCGGAGGAGTTAAGGCGTTGGCTAGGTGGTATGGCGTAGTAGTCGGGGCTGTCGCCATGTAGAAGATGCCATGGCTGGGAAGGAGGACTTGATGTTGGCCCATGGAGGAGAGACATACTCGTCTCGAAGACTTAACGAAATGTATAGAGGACATGTATGAATGTGTATACCGTGATGCAAGCTGCTTGCTCGCTAGATTCGGGTGGCACGGCAGGTTAGGCATGCATGTATACTACTTGTAGATGGGGGTTCTTGTACATTATGGTGTCATTTTTCTTCATTCGATTGAGGGAACATCCCGGCTTGATCTGACTCCATGGGTCAACGTATCGTTGCGCCTCCTTAAGATAGTGATACGAATATGAAGTTGGGAAACTAGATCTACTACATTTGAACCTTCTTGTGATCACGAATATGTTCACTACAGTCACTGGTCGTGCAAGTTGCAACTCACCGACTGATAGAGAGCAGAGTCTACGAGACCTTTTAATTCAGACACTAAGCTAAGCAATAACAGGGCAGAAGAAATAGGGCTAGGGTAGGCGAGTGAGAAAAAGGGTAGGAAAAGGTAGAACATGAAAAACGCGTGGCGATAGCCATGTGTTTGTGTGTGCGTGTGTGTGAAAAGCCAACAGCGGTTTGCCGGTGATCGCAGGGTTGGGATATGCGGAACAGAAGCCGAGCCGGGGTATAAATAGGGGACGCATAAACCCTCATCCAAGCAATCCTGCCCTTGTCCTGCTCCCATGTAGTCACATTCCTTCCCATGACGTTCCATCTTTCAGTTCCCGTAATGTTGAAGCAACCGGATGGTTCTATCCGGTTGGATGGGTCGGTGTTGAGCGGGCGAGGTTGTCCGGTGACGCTGGCCCGTTGTCGTGGATCGGCAGTATGGCCAGGGGTATGTCGTGAACTCGGGTCGAGTCTGGCTCGCTTGACATCTCTCGCCATCCATAGAATCCGATCCTCGCTGTCCGACCCAAGACTATCCCTCCTCATTTCCCACCCATACGGAGAACGATGGTAATTTTGAGCAGCACACGGTCCTGGTGCCGATGGTTCCCAATCCTCAAGGTGGCTAATCAGATCGTGCAATTTTCAAGAAGGACCAACCAGGACGTCGCTCAAAACGATGGAAGTCCTGGTTCCCGAAAGTCCGTCTATGCCATGTTGCCGGCAGCAAAGCACCTCCCCAGCGTCCGGAGAACGGCACCTCAGAGGGTACGGCCGCCTTCGGGATGACCGTTCCCACGATATTAGGGTTTGCGATTATAGAAGAGAGTGTAACGACGTAAAACAAACAGGCAAAAGAAAAGGCGCGACGAGCTGGTATTGTTGGGCATCATGATACTGAGACAAGTCGTAGAAACAAGAGAGAAGACAGAGCCGCGGAAAAATTATCGGAGAGAGAACCCCTTCCTCTTGGGTTCCTTCTCGAGAGGTCGTCCGCTCTCGATTCTGGACTTCTTCTCCTCGAGCTCGAGTCGTTGCCGCTCCAGCTGCTCCTTCATCTCGCGGTGGCGGGCATAGAGCTCCTCTTCACTCTGCTTCAGCTTGGATTCCTTCTCGGCCACCTTCTGTTGGAAGACCATCTTCATCTCGGCCTCCATCTTGGCGAGCTTCTGTTCGTGGAGAGCACGCTCTTCCTCCTGCTTCACGGCAGGGTTGACCTCCTTGAAGACGCTGGGGTCTTGCGACACGCCCATAGCGATCAGCTTGTCGGTCCGGTAGTTCTCGTAGAGGACGTTGTTGGTATGCTCCTTGAGCTCCTCCATGTGGGTGCGAATGAGCATCTGGCGCAGCTTGACAAAGTCGCAGTGCTCTTCGTTGTCTACCTCGATGACGCCCCACGGATAGCTACGGCCGCGAACCTTGCGCCCGTCGGCGTTGGTGACTTCGTCGTTGGAACCAACAACGGCGAAGGGCACCTTGGACATAATCTCGTTGTTCTCCGCGATTGTCTCCTCGTCATCAAGCTCGTAACGAGGGCCCTCAAAGATCTGGACCTTATGGTACTTGATATCGGCGAGGATCTAAAACAGGCCGTCAGCACTACCTCAAAGAAGTGACAGCTCAAACGGCAAGGCTTACTCTTGCTTTGAAGGCAGCAACCTCCTCATCGGTGAGGGTGTCAGCCTTGGCAATGACCGGAATCAAGTTGACCTTAGTATGGAGGCGCTTCATAACCTCGATGTCCAGCGGCTTCAGAGAGTGGCCGGTCGGCTGGATGAAGAACACACAGGCGTGAATGCGGTTGTCAACGATGTTCATGCGGTTGACCTTGTTCTCGGCATCGAGATAAGCGTCAAACCGCTGCTCAATGTTGTCGACAATCGGCCGCCAAGACTCATCGTTGTTGACGAAGTCGCCGAAGCCTGGAGTGTCCACTACCGTCAGACGAAGACGTACGCCCGCTTCCTCGATATCTGCGCTGATAGACTGGATTGTAACCGTCTTGGGGATGATGTCAAGGCTGGGGCCCTTGCGCTCCTTCGGCGGGTACAGGGAAGTATTGAAGAGGGTGTTGACGAGAGTCGACTTTCCGAGACCAGATTCACCTGTGAGACGCGTGTCAGAGGGGTATGGCGATTCTCTCGAGCACTGTTCACTCACCGACGACCATGACGTTGAAGTTGAAGCCCTTCCGAACGCTCTTGCGGTGCCATTGGTTGGGCAGGTTGGCGAAACCAACATATCCAGTCAACTTCCTGCGGACAATGTGCGTGTTGTCACTCGTGGCTGGAGGAGCTGCCGCCATAGAGTCAGATGGAGTTCGCTGAGAAACATCCAATCCAGACGACGGAGACTGGACACGAGGGACCGGGACCGTCATGGCAGGGAGTGGGGAAATGTTAGGAATACCGTTTGCAGCTGTGAGAAGAACACGCGTTAGCAAAACTCCGTGTTAGGAAAAGTCTTCGGCTAGCAATGCTGGGAGATCCTGTGTCGGAACTGCGCGGAGCCTAACTGCTATGGGGTGTCGTTAACGCGGGCTTCTCATCCGCGTAACGGTTGGGATCATGAGGATAGAGCGCTCCGTAAGAGAGCTGCCTGGTTTGTGGGAGCCTCGGAGCATCCTCGACACTGCGCATGCTCCGATGGTAGCGAATCGTCGTGTCAGGATAATGTTTGGCAATGGACACAGGCAGGCTGCTGGTCCGGGCTCCTGGGACAGGCGGGCGCGTTCCTGTGTCCCGAGAAGCAGCGCGGCGGCGGGGAGGGACATCCAGGCACAGCGGACTCTTCTCAAACTGCATGCTCTTTGGGCGAACTCTGGCCGTGGCATGTTGGACCATCGTAGCGAAATGCATCTTGGCAGAGGTTTGCGAACCGTATCTGCTGCGTACCAGGATTCTCGTCTGAAAACGGCGGTCCCAAAGAGATGGCAGATGACATATACCGGGTGCTACAAGTGACTTCGAGAGGACAAGCAGCGTTGGATATGAAGAGTCCCGGGTGAGGCCAGGTGAGGGACAAGACAAGTGTCGAACACGCTCGATCGAAAGGAGCGACCCGGTTGGCTTCTCATGATGGTGTTTGTTCCTGCAGTTGCTCTCCAGACACAGGAAACTCCAGCGTAACAGAAAGCAAGTGCTTACCCATTGTGATAGGTGCCGTAGCGAGCGATCAGCGGAAATTTCGAGAAACGGAACGAGGGGAAGGCGCAAGGTCTGTGAATGTGAGAAGAGCGTTAGTCAAGCTCGTGTGCGTCTGCAACCAGGCGGAGCCAGACAGCCCAACGAAGGAAGGCACGTTGCTGCGCCGGGAGCCGGGCACGAGCTATGGGTCTCGGGAATCAAGGATGCAACAGCCGCCGAACGTCCAGGGCCAGGCAGCAAAACAAACAAAAGCTCCTCAAGTTCCGCCAACTAGAAGGATACAAGACTTGTGGTGACGGGTGGTCGCGGAGGATGACCTAGACTTGGGCATTATCACCTACCAGGTCAGGAAGTCGGTTGAACCTCAATGTAGTCGCGTAAGTCTGCGCTACACTTGGAAGGCTTTGGAAGGGTCCAAGGACAACGATGAATGACTCTGAACGGTAACACTGGCCCGCGTAGAAATACGGCAAAGAAAGAGTGTTGAGAAGTACCAAATGTCGAAGAGAGGCTGAGAAGCGTGTAAAGGTGTCGCGTTCAGTCGAAAGGGAAAAATTTAGGGTCGGGTGCGCCAGCCCAGGGAGATTAGCTCTCTGGTTGCTTCGAGCAAAAGGGGTTGCGCTGCTGGGGACGCAAAGCACTGCGGGACGGGAGTCCCAGCGCAGGGGCCTGCTAACGTGTAGATTAACGACAGGGATCCGGGCCACCGAGGCTTATGATTCGCTGGAAAATGCCAATGGGCTTGAGGTCCCCCAGACCAAGGAGATCCAGGCGTGCCAGGATCGCGGCGTGAGGATGCAAATGGATGGCAGTGGCCCTTATTATTAGTGTATGGCTTGGATGCCTTTGGCCTTAACCCAATCGTCCAGTGTGCGGCAGGTTGGGCTGGTTAGATTCCTGCTGGGCCAATTGCACGGTTCGCACACGTTACGAGCAAAACTAGATGGCAACATTGACTGGATACGAGCACCACGTCCACATTCATCATCCCACTTTCATGCACCAACTAAAAAAGTACCTAAGGTATGCACTCCCCCCGCCTTCCAAGTTCCACGACGGAGGTTGTCATACACTCACGACTTCACGCAGTGAAGCCGCCATCCAGAGTGCTGGGCCACGCATGGTGCATTGGTCACGATAGTTATGGCTGTTGTCGCCATTGCAGCTGTTCAAGGCCGTATATAGCCAACAGCTTCGTTCGGGAGAAGATGTCATATGTCTTCAAGGCGGGTGACTACTTAGATCTGTGTGATGGAGGATATACCTAGCTAACGTCTCATACGCCTGTGTCTCGCTCCCGCCGTTGTGTCTCTCTAGCCCAAATCCCCATTGGAGACGATGTTTCAAGTCAGCTAAGTTGCTTTCGTCAACAGTGAAGACAAGACTTCAAGTATTGCCAGCTTGCAAGACTGGCCAGTGCTCATAAGTTCAAGGGTTGTGTGTCCGAATCAGGGGCAAATCCAGCCGATCGAAATTCAACTGTAGTCCTCACTTCCCTACACATATCCATCCGTACTTCAAGTTTCCATGTATGCAGTATCCGTGAAGCACAGTCATACCAGCTGCGGTGGAATAATCTTTGCTTAATAAGTGTCACCCTCCGCATTCCGCCTTGCGAACTTGAACCGAGTCGGTAGGGATCGATGCTCCAGGCTGCATACCATCCCTCGTGTGCTACGGGTTCCTTGGCCTCGGTTGATCCTCAAGGGACCGAGCCCTGGCTGCGTCCTCCCGGTCGGCTCGCAGCGCGACATGCGCATCCAAGAGCTGCAGTGGAGTTTGTCCGGGGAGCAGTGGGTTAGAGCTCAGAGAGGACGGGAACCTCCATTCATCAATGAAGAAGCATCATGCCCACTGTCGAGTGAGAATCGTCAGGGGCAGAATTTGTGGAATCGACGAACGGCAGATCATCGGCAAAAAAGAGATGATGCCACGGATGCCCAGACAACCCTGTCAAAGTTCCAGAAACTCTGACCTTGTCAACCCCTGCTTTCGATGATGTAACATGCGATGTCCTCCGTCCTGCTCAGCGACTCTCGAAATCTTGCGCTTGTTTCCCCAAAACCAACGCCCATTGAATACTGAATACCTGTTCACTGGTACGCCGCGCTCGGGGAAGAACTCTACTGGTTGCTGCAGCATTGGCGGTCGCCGATGTGTCGGCGATGAGGAAAGGCGCAGTTTACCGCACGATTGCGAGGACCATCATAATGCAGCCATTACACGATCAGCTGTAATCACAATGGGACTGTACCCGAGGAACATCATGCAACTCAACCGCCTGAGTCTGTCGATCCAAGCCGGGAGATATGGCAGCTTTACCATGCAGAGGACCAGGCCAGTGATTGCAGCCAATGGCTTGAGGCTCCCGCTCCGCCATCAGGACGCCCGGCGCTGCCTGTTCCTGTCACGCTCACAACCCAGGTCGAAGGTGCACCTCTCCAGGCTGATATCGGTGACCGTCACCAGTGTTCTACTTGCGTTTTGGCTATACCCGACTGATGCATTACAGCATACCGACTCCAGGCCGAAGGACGCCTTCAGTTCTCCGGATCGCGCCGCTGACCCAGACGTGGACCAAAGCGCGTGGGGAAAGTTCAGCCAGAGGTTTGAGGGGATTTCCTTTCTTCCATCGACAGATGGCCTCTCCGAGAGGGTTGTTGGCTTGATCATGCCGGAGTGGGTCAAACTTGTCCCCGGCTACGTCAGAAAGCTGCAGCGAGAGATGAACATGGCGCCGGGTTCATTGGCCGCCGAGATCTGGCAGGAGGCTCAAGATCCATTTACCCATCCTGAGATTCAATGGTCGGCAAAGGTTCGTGTGTCGGACGAGCTATGCGACGAGGAAAAGACGTTCTTGGAGCGGAGAAAGAAGATGATCGTCCCTGCGCTAGCGCGGTACTTGGGGGTTAGAGAGGAGGATATCCATCCAGATGACGTTCCCACCATCGCCATGTGCGGTTCCGGAGGCGGCCTAAGAGCCTTGGTCGCGGGGATGGGATCCTTTCTCGCCACTGCTGAAGATGGTCTCTTCGACTGTGCAACTTACGTCTCAGGGGTCAGTGGATCCTGCTGGCTTCAGTCCCTGTTTTACTCCTCGGTCACAGGAGCGAACTTCCAACACGGCATCGACCACCTCAAGGCGCGCCTGGGAACACACATTGCCTACCCGCCGGTGGCATTCACTTCCTTGACAACGTCACCTACGAATAAGTATCTACTGAGCGGTATGGTGGAAAAGCTCAAAGGCGATCCTGGCGCACAGTTTGGCATCGTCGACGTCTACGGCATGCTCTTGGCGGCGAGACTGCTGATCCCTAAGGGGGAACTAGGTGTCAATGAGAAGGACTTTAAGCTGTCGAACCAGCGGGAATACGTCAAGTACGGGCACAATCCGCTGCCTATTTACACCGCTGTGAGACATGAAATACCAGAGCTGGACTCGCCCGACTACGGCGGTCCGGGCTCCCTCTCGGAAGAGGCCAAGGACAGGGCCAGAAGAGAAGCATGGTTCCAGTGGTTTGAAATCACGCCGTACGAGTTTTTCTGTGAGGAATTCGGGGCCGGCATTCCCACCTGGGCCATGGGCCGCAAGTTCAAGAACGGCTCCGACTTGCCTTCAGCGTCCGGCTCCCGGCTCCCTGAGCTCCGCATGCCCTTGCTTCTGGGCATTTTTGGCAGCGCCTTTTGTGCTACGCTGAGCCATTATTACCGCGAGATCAGACCGCTCATCAAAAGTCTCAATGGCCTCTCGCCGATCGATGAACTGATCTGGGGCCATTACAACAAGGACTTCAGCAAGGTCCATCCTATCGAGCCGGCCAGCATCCCGAACTTTGTACACGGCATGTACGGCCAGCTCCCTGGATCGGTCCCCCAAGCCGTCTACGATAACGAGTACATTCAGCTCATGGACGCGGGCATGTCGAACAATCTTCCCATCTATCCGCTGCTCCGCCCGGGGCGCAACGTCGACATCCTCGTAGCCTTTGATGCCTCAGCCGACATCAAGACGGACAACTGGCTCTCAGTCGCCGAGGGTTATGCTCGCCAGCGAGGTATCAAAGGCTGGCCGGTGGGAATCGGCTGGCCGAAGCCCACCGAATCGCCCTCGCAGGCAGCCACCGAGCTGGAGCAGGCGCAAGCCCACACGGAGCCCGAGATAGAAAGCAAAATAACCAAAGCCAAATCCGACCAAGCAGCCCACCACGCCCGCCCTCAGAACAAGCCCACCGGCCCACTCGAGCTGGGCGACAAACCCGTCAAGCCGGAATCCCAACGCCAGACCGAAGCAGCCGCCGAGCTAGGCTACTGCACCGTCTGGGTCGGCACGACGCAGGAACGCTCTTCGGACCACCCTCCGCCGCCGCCGATCGACGACATGAGCACGTGGCGGCTGTCGGAACCCGACGCGGGCATCACGGTCGTGTACCTGCCGTTCCTGGCCAACGAGAAGGCCGCCCCCGGCGTTGACGTGGCGATCAGCGACTACATGAGCACGTGGAACTTTGTGTACACGCCTGAGCAGATCGACCAAGTGATCGCCCTGGCGCGGGCGAACTACGGCGAGGGGAGGCAGCAGATCCGTGCTACGGTTCGGGCGGTGTATGAGAGGAAGAAGAAGATCAGGTTGGAGCGGGAGAAGAAGGAAGAGGAAGCCGAGTTTAGGCGGATGGTCAGAAGGGGCGTCGTGGGAAGCTTGGGAGAGGGTGATCACTTCAGTTAAGGTATTCACTTAGACAGGGTCCCGAGGGCGTTGTGATGTGTTAGTGCTGGTTTGATACCCTTCGTGGAGATAAACAGGTCATGGTAGGCAGCGAAAAGGCCGGATGGGATGTAGACAGGAGAGGAACAAATCATGTAGAATCCGTAGTTCCAGATCCCTGTCTATGAGTACCAGGTACCTATTCAACGTTGTAGATTTTGTTTCCCTACATGCAGCCTTGGCCCTGGCAAAATACCCGGTAAATAATATACATACACTACACGCACACGACCGAGTTAACCCCCTGCCCGCTCGGCCCATCTCTTCCCAATGACCACCGGCCAGGGACCCGCGCCTCGCTTGCCGTGGGCGATTGATGCTGCCATGTGCTAAAAATGTACAGTACATATCTCGCTTCGTATGTCGAGTATCACGCAAGTGGAATGGTTCCGTCCTTCCTCAAGTGGCGCCAGATATGTATGGCGTCCACGACTCTCAGCTCTCGATTACCTCTCCCGGCCGCTCCTTGAGCCTCGCGTGGAGCCAAGCAATCGAACAATCAATATGCCCCGCAATGCCGGCCTACTTTACCGCCCGATAATCTCACCAATATCGATATACGCAGGGTCCCACGGCTGGGCATCCTCGGACAACATGTCGCTCGGCACGCGGACGTGCTCGCCGGGACTGTACAGATACCAGCTCTTGAGGGCGTTCATGGCGGCCTTGGCGCGTGCGTGCTCGAGACTCGCTGCCGCCGCCTCGCCGAGCTTGTCCTTGCCCGAGAAGATGCCGACGACAAACACGGGCGTGCGCGACATCCGGCCCGTCTCCGACAGCAGGCGCGCCACGGGCGGCTCAAAGTCCTCGCGCGCGCAGAGCAGCGACAGCTCCCGCGTCGGCTTCTTGAAGAAGAAGAGCCGGGACAGGTCCAGCGTGCGCGACAGAATGTGCGCCTTGATGAAGGCCTTGGCGGCCTCGCGGCCCGTGTGGGCGTATATGGCGCCGACGACGGCGCGCGCGCACGTGGCGTAGGCCGCCTCGGCTAGCGTGCGCGTGTACTCGTTGCCGTACTCGGTGTCGGCGCGCGCCCGCATCTGGTCCTTCTCCTCCTCGGACTGCACGATCTCGCCGAAGTCGTCGTCGAACACCACGCGGCTGCTGATGCCGTGCCGCCACTGGTGCTTCCGCAGGCCGTCGTACTCGGCCCGCTTGTACCCGAACACTGTGACCGCCTCGCCCGGCTTATGCATGGAGAACTGCAGCAGGCCCGGGTCGACCTCGCCGCCCGGCGCGGCCGCATGCTCGACACCCCACGATCGTGCTACGTGATGCAGAGCGGTTGGGCCGGCGTAGCCCTTCATGGCGGCGTACAGGACTTCCATGGGCAGGCGCGGGTACCGGCACATGAGCCACTCGCCGACATGGTAGTTGATGAGGGTGTGGCCGACAAAGGCGAGGTTTGTGTTGTTGTACTGCGGGTTGTCGTCGGCGGAGGCGTCGACCAGCGCCCGGCCGAGTGTTTGGAGGGGCACCTTTTCTGGGAGGGATAGACGGGCGTGCAGGGCAGCCAGTTTGGCGGACTGCAGTGCCCGTTCGGGCGGCGGGGACGGTAGGCTTGTCGCTCGGGGAGGGAGTTGCTCGAGGGGCGGGAAGCGGCTGTGATCTGTCCCGTCGTAATAATCGTCCTCTTGTGGTATTTGTGGCGAGGCGGCCGTTGACTGGTTCCGCACGGTCATGCATCTACACATCGCCGGTGACCGCAGAGCGGCCCGGGGAGTCGAAGCCGAAGATGCTCCCGGCCGAGCGACGAGCAACTGGCCGGTCCATCGGTCGAGCCGTAACCTCTTCATGGGTGGATATCTGGGGGGGTATGGGCGAGTTGGGAGGAGTGTCCGGGGCGGCTCGCAGTCTTCTGGTCGTGGTCGCGTGCAGTCCAGCGCTTTCTTTCCTCCAAGGTCGCCTGTCAAACACCGAGATGGAAAAAGTTCTCCAACGTCCAGCTCCGGCCAATTGGCGGACGGGGGGCCCGCGCCGAACGGATCTTGGCGTAACTAAGTAGCCCCACCATATTCTGATCGCAAACCGTAAATTACAGCCTTACACACGGGACTGTCACGACTGTGACGGATTGAACCAATCCCTCATCAAGATCTCCTGGCATGCAGTGAATTGAATTGAACTGAACCTCGTAGCAACCGCGGCGACCTTTTGAGCTTCGGTAGCCTTTTTTAATTCCAACCCACGTCTCCAAAGGCAGCCAGATCAAGATGGTATGAAATCCTTTGCGCAATTGACCTAGATATCCACTGACGCAGACGGTAAACTGTAGGGCGGCGGTCGCAAGATTCCGTGAGTTTCCAAGATTCGAAGCGAACAAAGACACGACGTCGTCGCAGTGCTCCGCGACTTGGCCGAAAGCTAACCTGCGTCGATACACAGCTATCCCAAGCACGTCTGGTCGCCGGCTGGTGGTTGGTATGCGCAGCCGGCCAATTGGAAGGCCAACACCGCCGTGTTCGGCCTTGCTATCTTCGGCATCACGGCTCTGGTGTGGAAGTTGAGCGCCGATAGGGAATACAGACATCACATGCCGGAGCCGGACCGCTTCTACCCAAGCAGGAAGTACGTTATCACTGTGTCTTGTGTGTTGGGGGATGACTCGGCTGACGAAGCGTCTGCACTAGTTGGAGCAAACAGGTCATCGAGTACGAGAGGAAGCAGAAGGAGGCCCAGCAAGCGGAGTCTTCATAATGTCGCATCCCTCAGCTCGTGGGGTTCCCTCTGTCTAGTACTGTACATGAAATCTAGAAGCTATTCTGATGCTCCATTTCGGTCCAGCTCCTGGTGGAAGCATGGCGAACAAAGAGTCCTCTCAAGGATGAGTGGTCATTTGCCGGCTTGTCTCTGCCTAGCGGTCTTTGTCTGTGCTTTGACAAGACAATTGCGTTGTTCCCCCATCCTCCACAGCAACGCAGGTTGCGTCAGGAAGACCATGAACCCATTTATTTCACCCTTTGCCTAGCTCGAATGGAGGTGAAGCTCTCCTCCTTTCCATCCTCATCTGCGCGGGCCCAAGGCATCCTAGACAGAGGCAATATATACAGGTAATTGTCCGTTCCAAATCAAGGCCAAGTCTTGCACCATGGCTAACACAACCGAGATGGGCTGTTACGTACCGGACCCGAAACGCAGCTTCGTCTTCTCTCCAATAGCCCTCTTCTGTGCTATCTGCACTGAATCCAAGCTCGCCTTTCCGTCCAGCGACAAATACATCGGAGACAGCACCCCAAGCCTTCTGCCGTGCGGCCACGTCTTCGGCGAGCAATGCCTCCAGCTTTGGCTCCAAGACCACGACACCTGCCCGGTGTGCCGGTACAAACTACAATACGAACTCTGTGCGCACCCTATTCTGCCTTGTCGGCTGACCTACTACGATATCATGTTCGTGCCTCGAACGATTCCCGATGGCGGCACGGTCGGGACCCAGTGCGCTCCATGCAAGCGGGAGACTGATCGAAGGGTTGCCGCCGAGCTGTGGTTCCCGTTGGCGGAGAGGTATTACCAGCATAAGCTGGCTTGTGAACGGAGAGGCATTTCGCCGGCAGATAACTACCTTGTGGTGAGGGCAAAGGCGGCCTTGGAGAAAATGATGGCGAAGCTCGCGCCCCCGGACGATCAGCAGTGGTGAATCTGGCGCGTAGGTTGCGATCTAAGACAGCAACAATGTAGTAAGTTTGGTATCGGAACAAAGATGAGAGAGCTTAGCTGGCGGCTTACATTCGCCAAACCTAATCTCCTGTTCTCCCTGTGGTGGTTAGGGCAAGCTGAAAAGAATAAGGAAGAGAATGAATAGGATTCAATCACTACTAGTAAACCGGCGGCTACTGGCCCGGTTCCCTAAGACCCGTGCCCATGTATGTTGAGTGGAATGTGAAGGTCGAAAGCGCCGGAATATGGTGAACATGACAAATGTGTGGTACAGACATGGATCAGATCAAACTCCAGTCTTCCGACTGGACGTCCTGACGTTGTTGTCCCGGCTCTCGGAGCTCGTTCCGACACCGAAGTTGCCAAGCCGGAGGCGGCGTAGGCTGCACTTCACCTTCGCTTTCACTGCTTTGATGCATGAAAAACAATTTTTGACCACAACTAAGAGGAAGCCTAATGTGTGGTTTGTCGTGAATGGTCGAAGTAATCTAGCTTGCATTTCGAAGTCGGGCTCTCGTCAATTACTACTAGTAGTAGCCATCATTTCTTCGATGCCTTCATCGGCTGTGCGTCTTGCACTCTCAGTCGTATCCCATTTCAGCCATGGCTGATCGTCCGGCAGGAGCAGAATATCCGCCAGCGGGTCCGAGACAACCAGAGACGCTCGCGCGCCAGGAGAAAGGAGTATCTGCAGGAGCTTGAGCAACGGGTGAGACGAGCAGAACTCCAGGGCGTCCAAGCCTCGGTCGAAGTCCAGGCTGCCGCTCGCCAGGTCGCAGAAGAGAACAGAAAGCTCCGCGTCCTATTGAGGCATCACGGAATTAGCGAGAGCAGCATAGAAACGTACCTGGCTTCGGGTGTAGTCACACCACCCAGTGCGAGCAGCGTTGGGACGCCAGCGCTCGCCGGGAGGAGCTCGATCCCCAGTACCGTCCAGAGACTTGAGCACGTCCTCGGACCCCGGAAGCCCTCTACTTCCGGCTCGAATTGCACGTCATCAAGTGCAAGCCCGTCAGGGGACGATGAGAACCATAACTGCTCAATGGCCGCTGACCTGTAAGCGACGTAGTCCCCCCGAGACGGAAATTGGAACGCAACTCAACTGACTGCTCACCTCTCGACGACGCAAAGCATATCGAGCATGACAGGCGCCAACCCGCACGAGGTGCGAACGTCGCTGGGCTGCGCGCCCGGCACGGATTGCCATGTTGACAACACCAAGATCAGCGACGCCATCGAGCAGCTGACCGAGGCCGCCGTGATGACATAACAAGGCGGATAGCGCTCTCGCTTGGCAAGCCATTTTAAGGGCGGTCACCCTGCTTGAATGCCCCAAATTCGCGGTTGGACAGCATAGGACTAGTCGTCTGTGCCTACGGGCCAGCGCCAGTCTTGACTCCCTTGGCCGAAACGCACCAGCATAGGGCACCTTCAGAAGCCCCGACACCGGAATGATCACCTTTGTCTTTCCTTAACGGAAGCGCCGCAAACACCTTGAGCGTCCCACACCGACGTTAATATACGTAGACGACTGCAGTATTGTACTGTTGTTGTTAAATGGTTGGCCATACAAGTTGGCGGGAATGTCTACCTCCAACAAGACATTTGTTAACAGATGTTGGAGCTATCTTTTCAGCACATGAAAATGGGCTAGGTATGCGGTTGGCAAGGCTGGTACTATATATGTGTAGTATAGGCAAGGCAGGAGGGAGGAAGCCTCATCATGTTGAACGCAGTATATTCGCGGGTATATCATGTCTTGGCAACACACTTAATAGCACAAGAGAACCTTCTCCTGCCTGCCGTTGCCCACGGAGGTCATGTTCTCGCTCGCCAGGCCGACCGTGGTTGTGAACCATCGTCCTGTCCGCCCGTCTCCTTCCAAAAGCCCTTCACGGCCCGATCAGTGCCTTCTTTGATCCCGTCGCGACACATGTATGTCTGAGGTCCCGCGCAGCTCCGCTAACCCACAGGTGGCAGCCCCAATCAGCCCCGCCGTCCATACTTCTGTCCCCATTGCGCCATCGTATCGTATCATATCGCATAATGGTAACCCCATAGAGAAGGGAGGAAGTCACAAAAAGTAGTCGGCCACTGGCTTCTTAGCCGGCATTCCCCTCGAGTCCTGCGGCGCGGCCTGAAAGACGCGGTATTTCCTAGCCGGGCCTGTCCTCGGCGCCAGCAGATCGCCCTCCATCAACATCCCGCCTCTCGGCCCGGCACCCGCGGCACTACCAAACCCCCATCACTCCGATTCACCTCCCCATTACTCCTTGCGAGCACGCCCAAGCCGGACTCGTCCTCAGACAGCTCAAGCAACGCGGCCACGTTGCCACAGCGGTAGCAGTAGTTGGGCGCCGACCACACCGTCACGATGCTCGCATCAAACATTTCCTTGAACCCTTCCATGACGAGCTGGTGCGCGCGCGCGATCAGGCTCAGGTCGTTGCGATGGTTGAACACTTTCACGATGTCGGCGCCGAACAGGAAACCGGCGCCCCGAGGTGACAGCCCCCACCCGTCGATCTCGTCCGGGTCCGACCACAGCAGGTCGCACATCGCCCCTTCGTGCGGCACCTCCTGTTTCCGGTCGAGCAGCCGGATCTTGTCGACCTTATCGATCAGCGGGCTGAGCCCGCCGTGCACGCAGAGGACGGCACCGGCCGGGTTGCCAATCGAACCGGAGCTGGATCCGGAGGCGCCCGACCCTGGCGGCCCGGTGAGAGATGGCGGCGCGGAGGCTGGTGGTGGTGCGCCATTAGCGGTAGCGGCGGTGCCGTTAGGTGTGCCGCCGCCCTTCCCTCCTAGCCTGTTGTTGTCCGCACCTTTCTGACGTAGGAAGCGGGATATGACCTGCCCGTCGGAGTTGTGTATCTCGATCTCGACGTCGTCGGGCTGGCCGCCGACCGTGTTGGAGGCGCCGAGGACGATGGCGCCAAGTGCGAGGTAGTCGAAGACGTCGCAGCAGTAGCGCCAGACGTTGGCGCTGCCGTATTTCCGCAGACACTCGTCGTAGAAGCCATAGACGGTCGTGATCTGGCGCGATTCGTGGTTGCCGCGGATGAGCGTCATGCGGTCGGGGTAGCGGACTTTGAGGCAGAGGAGGAGGAGAAAGGACTCGAGCGAGTAGAAACCGCGGTCGACGAAGTCGCCTGCACCGAGTGTTAGCATGTGCTTCTCGGAGAATGCGAAAAAACACTGCGCAGCGTACCCATGAAGAGGTAATTGGTGTCGGGTACATCACCGCCCACCCGGAACAGTTCCATCAGGTCGTGGAACTGGCCATGGATATCGCCGCATATCTGCGCCGCACAACACGTTAGACGCCATGCAAGTTAGCCACGCCTTGATGCAGAATGACCGCGTACTGTGACCGGCGCGTTGATAGTGACAACGTTCCCCTCCTCGATAAGCAGCTCCCTCGCCTTGTGGCAGAGCTCACGCACTTCGGATTCCGCTATGGGTCGGCATGCTCGCAGTTGGGCGATCCATCTGATGATTGTAATACCATTTTAGTATTCGTATCTCCCGTCTTCTGCGCTGCCGTGCATGCGCGCAATCTGGGTCCTACCTGTCAAGGTCGCTCATGTTGGCGGCGCGCAAGGCTTTGGCCGACCGTAGGAATTCCAGACCCAGGGAATTTGGATAAAAGCTGTTGCAGCCTTCAACGCAACCTCATCGTGTAGGGCCGCAAAGCACCAGCTTCTCGGACGTCGGGGTATCCAAGCCGAAAGCCGAAAATCAAGAACCGGACATCGTTCTGGTCAGCAAGTCTGAGGATGGTTTGTAGCAGATCGCAATCGCAGATGCGGTCTGTGCTTATCAATTCGCTGTGTCCTGCCTGACCCTAACCCTCAATCTGCCTAACAAGCAGACATTGAAGTCCTCACAACGGAACTTAAAGTCACAACATCCCATGTCTCTCCGGAGTACTAGTAGTCCACTTGTCTTCCTCTCTTTGGTTCCTCTCTGGTTTCGCGTTATTTCTTTCTTCAGATCTTGATTGCTGACTTGGCCACTTTACAACGCTACAAAGCAGCGAGTTGAAGAGTTCAGAGCCTATGAATCGAAGGCACTCCGGCGCCCCCGTAGTTCATCAATAGTACTAGCACTAGTACATGCAAAGGTAAGGTACTTCGTACCCACGTGTACCTACCGTACACAGTGGGCACTCAATAGGCTCCTGTCTTGTCACCAAACTCGACGTCTCAACATGGTCAAGGAGGCAGAATTAGATACTATGTATTGGTGCTGTAAACTGCGCATTTGCTTCCGTGTAATAGTACACTCGCTCCGTTGATTCGGAATCAGAAAGTTCTTTTCCGGTGGCCAATTGAGCTGTCCAGAACCCAACGGTCAAAGAGAAACGACGCTCCCACAATCCCATCCGGACGCCGTGCTCCTTTTCCTTGTCCAAGCGCCTTCCTGGTATCGTGTGATGTCGACAGTAAATAAATCCAGAACGCCGTGCCCTAGCGCTGCTTCCATTATCCATGTTGTGTTCGTTCCTATGCAGGTCCTGCTGTCCACCGGAGCAAGTAAATGCGTGTTATCCCGTTGGTCGAAATCGACTCTTGATGTACTAACGCCGGCTCGAGTCCTTCCAGCATGTATAGTCGTCCTTACACAGCTCCGAGCACGTCCCAGACAGCCAGTTTCTCAACTAGCGGTCTGGGGTGTCCTTGTCTTCGGACGCTGGGGCAGCTGCAACATCGAAGAATCCACCGAGACAAACCCCTCGGCTCCGAATGCAACCCCCACAGCTTCACGCACGGGGCTGACAGTTGGCCCATGTTCGGACACTGGCGTTTCTGCCGGTGTCAACGGAATAGAATGACCAGAGAGTGCGACGCCTGAGCTCACGGAGCGCTTGTGTGCCTCCCCATTTCTGGGCTGCGGTACAAACGCCACCTGCCTTGCCGCGCGCTGCATATCATTGACTGCGTCGGCAATGAGCACCGGATGGCAGAGCGGCAAAATCCGGTAACCCAAGCTCTCCATGATGCACCTCTCGGTTACGTTGATTTGGTCGCACGTCCACCTATTCTTGCCCCACGCTGACCGGTAGTAGTGCGTTGACTCCTGGCAGTCGCCCAAGAATTTGAATGCGATGATGAGTGCCCCTAAGATGATCACTTCGGGGCTGACCGAGTCGATGTGGAGCTGCGTGCTTTCCGCCGGCCTGAACTGGATAGTGTGCCGCTTAGTGAATTCGTTAGCGGGCTCATGCTGCGACAGAGGGCACCGCAGTCGCCAGTTCAGCGAGAACTTGGAGTTGAGCGAGTCCAGGATGCACACAGCAAGGGCAATGACGTCCATGGGAAGATCGGAGCGGACAAGCATCTCGTGAACGAGCGTAACAGACGGAACCGAGAGGGATGCGGCGGGAGGGACGAGATTGACCAAATGGATTGCTGGGCCTATTGCAAAACCGGTTGTCAGTGAGACAGAACGCAACGAGGGTGAACGATCTCGACGCACCTAGCAGCGCCGAGTCGAGAAGCACTCCATTTTCCAGGAGGCTCCGGGGACTCTGGCTGGCCAAAGACTCGCGTGACGAGGGAGGTGGGGTCGGAAGGTTCGAGAGGGGTTGGTAAGTGCGGGAAAAGTATTCCTCGTCAAAGTCAAACTCGTCATCCGAGTAATCTGGAGAGCGGGAGGCCATTATTGCGGTTCCGATACGTAGTCACTTCTTGCCGATCAGGGGGTCTGGGTCCAAGGCCGTCGATTGCCAGTCCGTCCTACATGCAATGGTTCAGGAGAGTAGGCCGGCGAGCCGCTCATATCGATGTGACAGCGGCCCACGGGTTTTCGAAAGATGTTCGGCGACTGAGCGCAACGAATTCGGCAGGGCTCCAGAACTATGCGAGACTCCAATTCGTAAAACCAAGTCCAGATCAGGGATAACGAGAACACGAGGTCCTGAGTAGCACAGGAAGCACACCCCAAGACAGTTCAAAGACCGAAATTGCGGTGTAGACGTGTGAGGGGGGGTTGAGAAAAGGCGCACAGGAGCAGACGCCGTTTTCTCGCAAGAGAAGGAAAACGAGCAGGTCAGTCAAGCTAGCTTAGCTTCAAAATATATCTGCATGAGAAGGGAGTGCTTGGGTAGGAGAGGCGATGTCTCGGCGGTGGGTCGTCAGATGCTCGGGTGGAGTGCCGTATGCCAAGCGACTGGGAGATCCGATGGATCTTGCGGTGTCGAGAATGGTGGTGTTGTCGAGCTGGCGTCCAACACAATGCAAACTCTGATGACTCCGCTTTTGCAACTCAACTTGATACTAGGAATGGATCGGGAAAGGCAGTCACGTTCGGATCGAGAGAGCCGAGTAACCTGGGAAGGACGGCTGGAGCGACTCTTGCTAATTTATATACGGCGAGCACGCGATCACCATGGCCAGCATGTAGCTCGCAAAGCACCACCAAAACAGCTGCACAAATGCGGCTGCGGGGACTATGCGGCCCCTGTCATCTTGCTGCACCCTCCCACTCCCATCGGTATGCGCAGCCACAGAACCCGGCTCCTCAGCTGCAAGCCAGTGGGTAGGTTCTGGACGAAGCAGCCGCATTGGCTGCTTGCCTAGGCCCAAACGGGCAATCCTGCTCTTGGGGCGGGGATCGCACATGCCGGACCGTGGCAGGGCCACGTTGGCCGCAGAAGTCGGCCGTCACGAATGAGATCCAGATGGAATTTAGATGCGAGTAGATGCAAGACAACATTACCGGTGACGGCAGCGGTGAGCCAGTGTTGGCTAAAGCTTTGAGCTGACGACTGCACAATCTGGATGAAAGCGAAAGCCCGGAACATTGCGTTCGCTTTACTGCAGTGTGGCTCCCGTCATCGAAAGATCCATTGGCGGGGCCATCCACCTATCCGTCTTTTCCATAGTATGGCCAGGGCAATGGGGGATGGAAGTGCCCGCCACTTCTGCTTTGCTGTCCGAGTCACAAATGATTGTCTAGATTGGCACCAAACTGTGCAATGTCTGAATGCAATTGCATGGACTTGGGGCACACCATTACGCGGATGTCTTGCAACAACCCGGGCTCAGATCTTCGATCTTTGTTCGTATTTCCTCCGAATTGGAAGGCCGGTTTTTCCGCGGCCGGGTCGACCATGTCTTCCGTAGCTAGACGCGAATACGCGATCAATGATCTGCGCTTTTGCAGGACCCCTGGCCGCTGCAAGTGTCATTCAGGTACAAAACAGGCCACACATTGTCGTTGACTCGGACTTTTTATTAATGAACGGTCCGATAATAAGTACCGGCACCCCAACCTATGCCGTCCTCTGCATACATACACGGTAACCTGGATGACGTCTGCTTTGAGCAACCCGGAATTCATTGCTCTAGAATTTTCTCGCCCACCGTTCGATGACATGGTACTTTATCCAGATGAGGTCCGGAAAGACGCTCACTAGCAGTGGCGGAAAGGTAATGTGAGTTATGCATGCCGAGCATCGCATCTACATAGATACGTACATAATAAAGAGCCAACGTTAGTTACTTCAGGCACGGGCTGACATTGGGTGCGCTCTCTTCTTTTCATCCAAACCGGAAAGTTTCTTGGGATGCGCCGGCTTCGTTGACCGTGCCGCATGACCGCATCAATTGCCCTGTGGATGACCTCGGACTCTTGGCAGGGCTGAATGTCTCCTACACTCAACTGCTCCATGAACGCTGCCGGATGCGGCCGGCCAATCGCGAGTCATATGTACCTGTCGGGTCTCTGGGGCTCGGAAGCCAGCCAGAGCGAGCTTGGAATGCAGCACGGAGGCAGTGTTTCGGCTCCCGTCAGCACGGTATCCAAGCGTCTGGAGCGTAATGGCCTGGTATAGTCGCTTTTTACGGTTTTCTACCTGTGCTCAAGTTGTGGCATACAAATGGATACTATATAAACCCGGCACGTACTGTACAATACATCCCTGACTCGGATATGTTGAAAACGCCATATACAAACTACTACTAGTAGTAGTACTCCTTCACCCCGATGGCATAAGCAACGGATCAGCCAGATAGAATTATGTAGATCTCCAAAGGAAGGAAATACTAGCAAGAGGAGTGACTAGCAGAGCGGAGGCTGAATATACAAGATGTCAGTGTTCAAGGAGGGCGCTCGACCTACACCCCTGGTCAGGCTGGTACGCATGCTCTCGATACCGCTCCATTTCGCTCGTAGTGGCGATCCGACATCTGGACTCTCAGAAGTAGTGTAAGCCGCAGACCGTGTTTATGCCATCCCAGAGGCGTCGCTTGCCCCGATCCCAGGGAGGCGGATACTCTTAAGGTACAATGCCTTATGGGAGGAAAAATGACAAGACTGAATCTCACGGGCAGCAAAAGTCTGAGCCGGATACTGTATCCAAGGAAACCAATCCGGTTGATTGTCCACTTCCATGTCCCTTACATCGCGCCATCTCAGATTTTCGGTCAGTCATTCCCACCCCCATGCTCGTTCGTCCTTGCTCGCGCCCTCCTCGGTCCGAAGAAAGAGAGCATAACAGCAGCCCAACCGCACTACTAGTCACCTCTCGTCTCATCCCACACACTCTAACTAGATAGATACACAGACACCGCTGCAGCAGAGAAGGCAATAGCAAGAAAAAGAAAAGGAAACATGACTCTGAAGAGTAGAACACATGGTATAAGCGGAAAGGTAGTGCAAGGCTGGGAGATAGTAGTGGGTATTGGTCATCACGTTGACGGAATCGTGGAGTAGTTAGATAAATGATGACCAGCCAACGTTCGCAACAGCTTTCGAATTCCATCACCGTTTCCTACATTTTTCGATCGTATCCTGCCACGCCCGCTTGTGCTGGAGAAGGGCAGAAGCAAGTGGCCGCGAGTGTCGTGTTTAGGGATCGAGTAACGGGAGATGATTACTGCTTGGGGACGACGACTTAATCGAACAAGAAAAACCAGTATTAGCCAGCCAATTTGAGAGATTGGGATTGTCGGTAAGAAGCGAGCATTGCCGTCAGTGTTTGTGTTGACAGGATCCAGAGGCAGGCTCTAGTCGAGAGAGTCGCGCCCTTCCTGGGCTTCCTGCTCGGCGGCAGTGACGACATTCGAGCTAGCGTTGCTGCTTGGAGCAACAACAGCCGGACTCGAAGGAGTTTCGACACTGGGGGCCGGCGCAGGAAGGCCGACAGGAGCAAAGGCGACCGGGGCTGGGGGTTTGTGTGAATACACACGTTCTCTTTGCAACAACATAGAGCAGAGGAGGTCCAGGCCGGTAGGAAAAAAAGAAGAGCAAAAAAAAAAAGAAAAACAAAGATGACATAACCTGAAGAAAAGGGTCGTTCACACACCTTGGGATGCTACGGTCTGGACCTGGGTGACCACGTTGGGAGAGATGAACTGCTGCAGATCGAGCACGCCGACGTTGTTGAGGAGGCCGAGGTTGAGCTGCGCCAGCCGGAGGGAGGAGAGGTCGAAGCCGCTCAGAACGCCAAGCTGAGAGACCTGCAGAAAGGTGTGCAGCGACTGCAGCTGAAGCAGGGACTGAAGGTCAAAGACCTGCTGGGAGAACAGCGGCTGGAACTGCAGGATGTTGAGGTTGTTGGTGTTGGCCAGGTTGCCGAGCAGTTGGAGCTGGAGGGAGTTGATGTTGAGCAGGTAGTTCAAATTCACCTGCTGGAAGCCCTGGAGATTGTTGAATGCATTGAGATCGAAGGCAAAGGAGCGCTTGTCCAGGTCCGCGGAGGGGGCCGCGGGGGCGGGGGCGGCGACGGTCAGCGTGGCAAGAGCCGAGACGAGGAAGGCGACGGGCTTCATTTTGCTGGATGATGTGGGATGATCGAACGAGTTGATGCGAACAAGATATTAAAGGATTAAACTAAAGAGCACAGCTATAGATACCCAGGTCAACGAGGCTCTTCGACTAGAAGGAGGTGTGGCTCTCGGCATACCTCAAGAATGTTCAGAAAAGGAATGGGAAGGAGTGGGAGGAGAACAGCGAGCACAGCTAGGCGATCAGAGTCAGTGTCGGATATCTCACCCTTTTTGGGCGTCGCCAGAACCTACCTCTGAATGAACGACTGAAGAGGATACTTGACCGGGCTTTGAGGCTGGAATGGTGGGTGGGATCAGGAAACAGAAGAAGTCCAGGAGACCGGCCGTCCGGCAACTTTATATGTCAGCTACAACACACAGAGGCTACACGCCGTGGACGGCTCTAGCCAGGGCATGGCATGAGCGGGAGGCCGGCGCCAAGTTTTCAGGAGGGGATGTGTATTCGGAATGGACAGCGAGAAGTCATCCGGCGCGTGTCATGATGTGTCAAACGCCGCTAGACGACTGCCGGATAAAACAACTTGAACAGGGCTATCATGGATGGGACGGATAGGCTAACGGTGGAAGTGGTGGGACATCGTGAGCATCTAGGCCTCCACGGTGTCGGACTTCGGATGGCAGAACCCCAACTTGGGGTTGGAGCCAAGGGAAACACGACCGCGAGTGGTGACGGATGCTTCGAGGCAAGTCATGGGGTAGGGACGGAAATCACATCGTCCGAGCACATCTGGGGCCAAGAGACCCTGTCACCGCTGATGTGATGAATAGGTAGGGATAGGCATCTGCGCGAGATCCAGAGTATTTTCCCTGATCGACGCCGAGGATGGGCAGTCGTCTCGCGATGTTCCGTTAGAGCAAAGAGAGTCAGGCGAGGGGCGAGCTAAACTCGGAAACCGCGAGGTGACGACGACTGGACCGGACCTGGAATCAGGCAGACTCATTTCAAACGCGAAGACAAAGAGCGATTCAGTCCAGCTATCGGCTCCAGACCTTATGTTGACTGCTCGGGCCATGGCATCTGTAAAGCTGAGCCCCTCGAGATTGAAAAGTACATACCGTAGGAGGAGCATCCCTTACAGTACTTGAGAGGCAGTACCTGCCGTGCCTTGCTCCTTCCGTCCGAGGTGTAATTGCAGGGACGGCACGCTCCATCCCATCTTCCAACATAAGGTAAGGTACGTATACTAGGTTGTTTAAGCTTACTCGGTCATCGTATTTACCGAGTCAACGTCATGTTTCAAGCCTCCAACTCTATGGCTTGGACGGCCATGGGAGCTGGGGGAGATGCCCGTCCGGATTGTGTGACGTTGAAAGAGGCTGAAAGCAACGGGTCCACATCAGATTTGACAGTTTGCCAAGAGAAGCCAAGACACATAGCGGCTTTCTGATTGGTCTGGCTCGCCTCCTGACCGTTGAATCCCGTGCAAGTGCAACACGGATCTGTGCGCTCATGCAGAAGTGAAGCAGTTTGCGGGATGACATTACTCGACTGCAGAGCATCCGGCACCTCGCATGAGGCAAAATTCTGGGTCGGAAGGCTTGGCTGCCGGAATTGTGTTGCTTCCGGGCACAGAAGCAGTTGAGATCCCGTTCCTCGCGATTGCAATGACAGGCGTGTGTCCTTCCATTGCTGCACCCGCCACCCGGTGCCGGTCCCAGAATTCCGGATGGCATCCGGGTTTCCGAATCATCTCAACCTCGACTGTCATCCGATCTCCAACTCAGGCAATAAGGTGTCCTAAGTTAGTTAGCCTTCCACTTCGATTCAAAGATGACTCCTTAATACCTTCTACAGATCGATTTGGGGTCCCCCAGCCCTATACCCGTAGGGAATTGGTAAGGTTTCAAGTAGGCACCTTATATTGTGTATGAGACAATGAATAGAGAACCGAAGAAGGGGTCACAGAAGTCCGTGGCTCGTCAACCTTAATCAAAAAGGGCCGCATAACCCAGACCAGCCGCTACCCCTTTCACGAGTGAAGTCCGACAAGTTGTCAATCCCTCCAACGGCACCAGCCGCCCCCGCCGCCGCGGCGGAAGTCTCAGCAGCCACAGGAAGGGAGGCATCAGGCGTGACAGAAGCGACGACCGAAACAGCACTGGAGATGGCAGCGGCTTCTTGAGCAACGGTAGCAACTGAGGCAGCGACATCTGCGCAGCAGCAGCTACTGAAGTGGCAGCCGAGGCAACAGATGTGGATGATGCCATGGCTCCAACAGCAGACGTCGCAGATGCAGTTATAGCTACCGCAATGGACGCCGAAGTCGCCGCCGCCACGGAACTAGACGCTTCAGTCGCAACCGCGGAATCCTCCGTGGCAGTCATCGCCGTGGCGGCCAGGGGACTGCCAGGGTTCGGAACCGTGGCAATGGTGAAGATGCCTTCCTCAGCAGAGGTCGCCGCGGGTGCACCCATGGTGACACACTGCCGCTTGACCTTCTGACCCCGCCGCAGCTTGGTGCGCTTCATAGTCTTCTTGGCCACCTCGTTCTCTCGCTTGAATACGCCTGTCGGTGCGAAGCGTCAGGATGTCTGTGACAAAGCCTGAAAGAAGTGCAAAGAGTGCAAAGGGGTACAGACCCAGATCGAACCCGCCTAGAACAAGCCCCGAGTTAAGCAGCGAATGGATCTTTCCCAAATCCACAAACCCGAGCTGCTCCAGCTGCATCAACTGTGCGATCTGGAGGAACAGGTCCACATCATTGTTGAACCCAAAGCTCAGATGTTTTGCAGGCTCAGGGCGTTGCCCAAGCAGAGCCTTCCTAGCATAGCCAGGATGGTCTCGGCAACGATGTCCTGGTTTCCGAGGTCGACGCTGCCTAGGTTCAGGACCCCCATCTCCAGACCACTTATGTAGGTCTAGATCGACGAGCTTGAAGCTGCTCAGGTTGAGGCCTTGTGCGTTACCAATGTTTGAGCCGTCACTGAGGTTGAGGTTGATGCCCGCCACGCTATTGATCCCAATTTGATTCGGAAGATTGACCCGCGCCGACACCAGACCGGCTGATAGAAGGAGCGCGAGTGTCTTCATGGTGGACGGCGAGAGGGACCGTCGCTGTGAAAAAAAGAATGGCAGCAAGCGAGCACAACTTTATCGTGTCGGTAAGTTTATGTTAGGAACGGGTAGAATGGTCACCCTGTGTCGGACTGAGCATAGACACTCTCCAAAAGACGGGAAGAACTGAAGAGGGACAGAAAGGAGCGAAGTAGGTGTAAAGCCGGTACAGAGAGGAAGTAGACTTTTCAATATCGACCTACGAGGCCTTAAAAGGTGGCCAAGGGAGACGATACACCCTCCTTCAGATTCATCCCACCCCAATAGTCCGCCATGTCATTCTAGAGGATGGGGAGATGGGATGTCGATGAAACAGGACACGGCACAAGCCGACAGCGCGGGAAAAGCTTCGTCGAAAAGACAGAAATGCAACATACCGGCTCAGTCATCTGGTGTTTGATAATGCTAGGGCCGTCAAACTTTATGCATCGTAAGCCTGTTAACTGCTTGTTCCGATGAGAATTGCATGGTATTCCATGAGGAGGGTTGTTTGGATTGCTCGCCTTGAGATGAATACAGCACGCCAGCATATCTGCTACCTGGTTCTCCCGATCTAGAATCCACCCAGCTTTCTGTCAGCTGGGCTACTGTCATAGGTACCTTATGTGGTTGCGGGGACCGGCGGTTGCTCAGAACTGAAGAACATCCTTTTCATATTCTGGCCCACGGCCATTTGGATGGCCAGATGAGGGTATATGCACCCTATATCCAGCGGCAGCCACCTGAGCCACGACAAAAGTGTCTCGACCGTTTCTTTCCCTCGCCAACCCCCCGACGCAATCTCAGTCACCTCTCCGGCCTGGTTTTCCCCTCCGCATCCTTATCCCGCCCACCACTATTGAACCCCAGCCACTCCCCCAGTATCCCACCCGGCTTTGGCACAGGGCATTCCCTCCCCCGCCCAGCCTTTGCCCTCCTCAGCCCATTCGCATTTTCACGCATGTCATTGGTCCCGGGCCGGAACTCCACAATGCCAATCCCACTATCCAACGCAGCACCGTCGCCCTGATGGACATCCGCGTCCCCTGATTCTGGCCTCGTGGTCCTCCTCCGCCTCCGTCTGCTCGCGGCCTCTGCGTCCCCGGGGGCATGCATCTCCCCATCGGCGTACGTCCTCCGCGGCGCTGGGCACGGCAGGACATGGGGCAGCGCGACGACGAGAAAGCTCGCGAGCACCGTGGTCGCGAACAGCGACGAGGTCATGCGGGACCGCGGGTGTAGATGTGGTGTTGGCATTTTTTTGTTTTTGATTTGTTTTGTTTTGTTTCTCTGTTCGAAGGTAACTTGGCCTGGGGTTTCGTCCTGGGTCTCGAGAGACCAGCTGCGTGGCAGGAGCTCCGCTGCCAAAGACCTGGACGGATTGCCACTGGTGGGAAGGATGCCGCGGTGAAAGGAACGGAACGGAATGAGGAAAGGACGAAGAAGCTGCTGCATGCGAGAATTAGTGACCCTTGCGCCGGTTGAGGTCAATTGGAATGGCACAAACGTACCAATACTTTGCCAAACACGCATTACACCATTATGTGCCCTGAACGAGTCGTCTCGGCCTTGCTCCAGGGCTGGAGGGGGCAGAATTGAGCTGTGGATGGTCACGATGGTGTGGTGTGAGGGTGATGAGCTCCCTCGGAAGCGAGCTTGGAAATTCACGGCACGCGGTTGGGTTTCGGGCCGGATCTCCCACATGCTTGGCATGACGGGGCCGGTAATTCCGGAATCTGTAATATTTCCACTACCCGAAACTCATTGCGGTCACGAAACACTGCGAGCACGATTTGTCAAAGCTCCCTGGAGTTTCAGAACCTCAAAGTGGGGGGGATAGGTGTGAGGTGAAATATGTAGTGAATCGCGGTATAACAGTGTGACCAGTGAAGCAAAGGTTGCTTGCTACCAGCCGCTGAAAACATAGATTTAGAGAGCGATGCGATTGTACCGTACAGTAGTTACATAGAGATTACATACGGTAGTCTTACTGCACTCCAGATGATGATAATGAAAGAGCAAACTGAAGAAACTTTGCAGGAAGATTGATGGTATGTAATTCTCCTGCAGGTCCGACACGTCAATTTCGTTCAAGATAGGTGACTAAGATGGAAATCAAGCATACAGTATATACTACACAGGTGCGTATATATACATATCATGATACAGTAAAGCTACCTTACACACGGCAGCTCAATATATAATACACCCTATACCCGCATTTACACATCATGTGTATCATCATCCTGATCCAGCAGCGCGAGCCGTGACAGTCTACGACAGATCCTTTGATCTAGCTAACAGTCGGGTGTTTTCCGAACCCAAACTAGGTAAAGAAAAGGAAAGCAAAACCAAACCCTGGCACCCATGCATTTTTTTCCCCGTATCCATCTACAAAAACATAGCCAACAAGAGAGAAAAAAAAGGCAAACCATCTTCAAGACCAAGTGAAATCGTGCTCTCAAGACATGACCAGCGCAAGCAGGGCCATGCGACAGTAGAGACCATATCTCATCTATAAGATTGTCAGTCATTAATGATTCCATAATGGTGTGGAGCGAGGAAAAGCCAGAAGAAACTCACCTGTCTGAAATACGCCGCTCGCTGATCGAAGTCCACCTCCTCCGCAACCTCCTCGTTCCTCGGCAGCGGGTGCATCACCACCATGCTGCTCTTGGCATGCTTGAGGGTCCCGTAATCGATCCGGTACGAGTCCTTGACACTCTCGTACTCGGCCAGGCTGGGGAAGCGCTCCTTCTGCACGCGCGTGCAGTACAGTACGTCGGTGCGGCCCAGGATCTCCGGACTCAGCGTTTCCGACTCGCACAGCAGCTGGCCGGCATCGACAAGCTGCTGGCGGACGGACGCGGGCAGGGCCAGCGCCTTGGGCGAGACAAGCTGCACCTTGACCTGGTAGTGGCGCAGCAGGTAGACGAGCGAGTGCACGGGCCGGCCGTACAGCAGGTCGCCCACGAAGGTGATCGTTAGGCCCTGCATGGTGCCGAGCTCCTCGCGGATGGTGAAGAGATCGAGGAAGGCCTGCGTCGGGTGCTCCCTGCTGCCGTTACCGCCGTTGATGACGGGGACCGGGCTGTACTTCTTGGCGATGTCGACACACTTTTCGTCAGGGTGGCGGAGGACGACCGCGTCGCCGTAGCACGCGAGCGTCCGCAATGTGTCCTGCAGGGTCTCACCCTTCTGTACCGAGGAGTGCGAAGTGGAGATGGCGATGGTCCTGCCGCCGAGGCGCTGCATGGCCGCATCAAACGACGCCGAAGTCCGTGTGGAGGGCTCGTAGAACAGAGTGCACAGCAGACGGCCCTTGAGAATATCCAGGACACCTTCCCTCTGAACACCGAGACGCATCTCCTGCGCGATGTTGAAGAGCAGGTGCAGGTCGGCACGCGTATACTGCGTGACGGACAGGACATGGGACTTCTTGAAGGCCGACGGAGCGGAGAGCATCTCCAGCAGCGGCGAGGTCGTTGGCTGCATCGTCAAGGGGAGCATGAGATCGTCCATAGGCGCCCGAGCCAACGAAGCAAGGGGAGATGCGGCGATCTCTGCAGTCTTCGATCTGCCAATCGCGGATCGAACCACAGTCTGGCTCTGGCGGCGGTCATCAGCCGCAGGTGACATGGGGTGATGCAGCGGTCGCACTGCAGGCGATGTCATGGCAGCCATCGCAGGTATGGCCCCGTGGGTGGACATGTCGCTGCCCCTGGGGGGTACCGGCAGCACCGAGCCATCGAGGCAAACCACTTGATCCTGGAAGACGACCCGCTGAACAGTCGCCTTCAGGACCTTGCCCTCGAAAGGCGACCAGGACCCAGCAGTCTTGAAAGTGTACGGGCGGTCGATCTCGACTTCCAGGCCTGCGCCAACTTGGTCGTGCAGCTCGAAGATTTCCTTGGGGTTGTCGTGAAGCCTGGTCTTCACATCCTCGACGGTCAGCTTGCCCTCGGCGACCGAAGTGAGAAGGAGCGGCAGGGCATCCGCGATGCCGACAGCCACATCCGTCGGCTGCTCCAGGAAGTGGGCGAGCTGGTAGGGCAGACTGCCAATGGAGAAGACATCGATCGTCTCCAGATGCTCCCACAGCGCAGCCTGGTCTTCGGCCGTGGGCAGGAACTGGCAGCCAGGGTAGTCCTTTTGCGAGAGGTGCAGCGAGTAGATGCTGACATCGCAGGTCACCTTCATGCCCTTCTCCTTACCCAACGCGATCAGTCTGATGTCCTCCTTGGTCGTCACGGCGGTGACGTGGATCCGGCGGTTGTGCAGGTTGGCTAGCAGAAGGATGGAGGCCAGATCCGTGGTCCTTGCGTCCGTGATGATCGGCTTGTGCGTCGGCCAAGCGTCAAAGTGCGCTTGCACGGCTGCAACCTTGCTGATGTTGTCCGAGAGGTGGTTGAACGGGATGAACAGCGAGCCAACCTCGCCAGCAGCATGGCTGATCTGGTGGGCATTGTCCGAGGTGGCCGTGATGGACAGGTTGAAATCGCAGTACGTGCCCCGCTTGCCGTTCTGCTGGGCGATCTTGAGGGATTTCACGTCCGTAATGGAACCGTCTTTGGCGACGGGCATGACCCGGATCATGCTGAAACCGGCCGCGACTGAAGCTTTGGTCACGCTCTGGAGATCGCTGCCATCCCTAGAAACGAGGCCCGGCACAAACGCCGCAATGTTGACCAGTCCGGGCAGCTGGACAGTGCGGTGGCTCGTTTGGTAGTCGCGGGGACCAATGTTGAGCTCAAAGTGCCTGGCAAGAGCTTCGATCAGGATCTTGGCGTTCTTAACATTGGTGACAAGCGGGATCTGATAGTCAACAGCCATGCGCCGGGTTTGGTACCCCTTGCTCATGTAGTTGGCCGGCCGCCTGTACCGGTTGCTGGAAGGCAGGTTGATGTATAGGTCGATCATGTTCTTAGCCAGGTGCTGCGTGAGCGAATACTCTGACTTCTGAGCGTCCTCCTCCTTGCCGAGGACCTCGAGGTATTGCACCCGAACGCCGTGACTGCCGAGGAAGTCTGCGGTTCCGGCCGTCGCAAAGAGCTTATAGCCCATCTCCTGCAATTTCTTGACCGACGGAAGCATCTCCTCCTTGTCTTTGTAGGAGCCGATGGACAGGAGAACGTTGTTCTTGGGGATCTTGAAACCGGTCGACAACAGCGCCTTCAGGTACGCCTCATACTTGTCGGCACCGAACGAAGCGACTTCACCGGTTGAAGCCATCTCGACACCGAGAACGGGGTCCGCCCCAGACAGACGGGAGAAGCTGAATTGGGGAACCTTGACACCGACGCAGTCCGCAGGACGCTCGATCTTGGGATACTCCTCAAAAGGAACGCTCATGATTGCCTTGGTGGCCATCTCGATCAGGTCGACGCCCATGACCTTGGAGACGAAGGGGAAGGAGCGAGAGGCGCGGACGTTGCACTCGATCACCTTGATATCGTTGTCCTTTGCGATGAACTGGATGTTGAAGGGGCCCGTGACGTTGAGCGCGGCACCGATCTTGCGAGTGGCGTCCTCAATGCGCTGGATGGTCGTCTTCTCCAAGTCCTGCGGGGGGAGGATGAGCGTGGCATCTCCCGAGTGCACACCGGCATTCTCGACGTGCTCCGAGATGAAGTGGCCCACCAGCTTGCCGTCTTTGGCTACCGCGTCCATCTCGATCTCCTTGGCATTTTCGATGTACTTGGTGATGACAACGGGATGTTCGGGGGAGACGTCAGCGGCCTGTTGCAGGTAGGTTTCCAGGTCGCCCTCTGAGTAGACCGTATTCATAGCCGCACCAGACAGCACGTACGACGGCCGTACAAGCACCGGGTATGAGACCTTCTGGCAGAAGGCCTTTGCGTCCTCGAAGCTCGTCAGTTCCTTCCAGGTTGGCTGGTCAACGCCAATCCGGTCAAGCATGCGGGAGAACTTGTATCGGTTCTCGGCTTGGTCTATCATTTCCGGGGATGTTCCAAGGATCTTCACGCCCGCGCGGTGCAGGGGAAGAGCGATGTTATTGGGGGTCTGGCCGCCCATGGCGCCCAGGACTCCGACGGCGGACTCCAAGTCATAAATATCGAGAGCGGTCTCCACGGCCACGTTTTCGAAATACAGTCTGTTGGCTTCATCATAATCTGTGGACACGCTCTCAGGATTGAACTTGACGCAGGTTAGTATATCTATCACTGGTAGTAAGAAGAGGGGGAAAGAAAAAGGAGGGGGCCGGGCGGGGTATGGGAGGAAGAGAAAGGGGGAAGGTGGAGCAAGAAGTGATATGTCAAAACCTGACATGATATAAAGACAAACAAGAGAGACATGAAGCCATGAAAAGGAAAAAAAAGAGCAAAGGATAGGAAAATAGAGGAGGGAAAAAGAGGAAAACGTGGAAAGAAAAGAAGCGGGACAAACAAACATGCGATATTTCAAACTCGAGAATCCATTCCCATCCTCAAGAGTCTTGACACTTACATTAACCATGATAGTCTTGATACCCGTTTCACGAAGAGTTCGGATTGCCCTGACCGAGCACCAGTCGAATTCGACGGAGGAGCCGATCCGGTACACGCCCGAGCCGAGGACCATGACGCCGTGGTCGTCGAACGTGATATCGTGCTCGCTGGCATTGTAGGTGAGGTACAGATAGTTCGTGTAGGCCGGGAACTCGGCAGCGACAGTGTCGATCTGCTTGACGAACGGGGTGATGCCAGCCTCAAGACGCATGCCACGCACGGCGAGCTCGGTAGACCCCCAGAACTTGGCAATCTGACGGTCGCAGAACCCAAGCTGCTTGGCCTGAAGAAGCATGCCTGGCCGGAGGGTGGCGCCGCTGGCCTTGAGGTCCTTCATCCTCTGGGCGAAGTCGTTCAAGCCCTTGAGCCGGTAGAGGAACCACTTGTCGATCTTGGTCAGCTCCCAGATCCTCTCGACCGAATAGCCAGCGGCCATAGCGTTGGCGATGGCAAAGAGGCGCTGGTCAGACGGCGTCTGGAGCTCATCATCGATCGACATGAGAGCCGGCGTCTCGTTGAAACCGAGGTTGTGGTAATCGATAGAGCGGATAGCCTTCTGTATCGCCTCCTCAAAGGTCCTGCCAATGCTCATGACCTCGCCGACGCTCTTCATAGACGACCCGAGCTGGGTGGACACACGGGTGAACTTCTTGAGATCCCAGCGGGGCATCTTGACCACGACGTAGTCGAGAGATGGTTCGAAGCAGGCGCAAGTCACCTTGGTGACGCTGTTCTTGATCTCCTTCAGCGGAATGCCGAGGCCGAGCTTGGCAGCAATGAAGGCGAGGGGATAGCCGGTGGCTTTGGAAGCCAAGGCCGAGGACCGGGACAGTCTGGCGTTGACCTCAATGATGCAATACTCCTTCGAGAAGGGGTTCAGGGCATATTGAATGTTGCACTCGCCGACAACGCCGAGGTGGCGAATCACGTTGACGGCAGTCGTCCGGAGCATGTTGTAGTCTTCGTCGGAGAGCGTCTGAGAGGGAGCGACGACAATCGAATCACCGGTGTGGATGCCGAGGGGATCGAAGTTCTCCATGTTGCAGACCGTGATGCAGTTGTCCTGGCAATCCCTCACCACTTCGTACTCGATCTCCTTCCACCCCTTCATGCTGCGCTCGATCAAGACTTGCGGGCTGGCGGCAAAGGCCTTGTTGCAGAGATTCAGAAGCTCAGTTTCGTTGTTGGCGAAACCGCTGCCAAGACCACCGAGGGCATAAGCGGCACGAACGATGACGGGGAAGCCAATGTCCTTGACAGCCTTCAGGGCCTCCTCGACGTTGTTGGCCGAGGCAGACTTGGCGCACTTCTCACCAATCGATTCCATACTCCGAGCGAAGAGCTCACGGTCCTCGGTGGTGATGATGGTGTCGATCGGAGTGCCCAGGACCTTGACACCGAGCTGCTCGAACTCGTCCTTGAGTTGGATGCCAACCTGCAGGGCCGTCTGGCCGCCGAACGTGCAGTAGATAGCATCGGGCTTTTCGTAGATGATGACCTTGCGAACGAACTCGGCGTTGACGGGAAGGAAGTAGACCTTGTCGGCGAGACCTTTTGATGTCTGGATGGTGGCGATGTTGGGGTTAATGAGGACGGTGTAGATGCCTTCCTCTTTCAGGGCCTTGATGGCTTGACTGCCAGAGTAATCAAACTCGCCAGCCTGGCCAATGCTCAGACCACCGCTGCCGAGAACGAGTACCTTCTTGACCGAGACGCGCGGGTGCAGCCTGTTGTTCTCTTCGACCGTGCCGCCGGGGAAGTGGACGCCCTTCTTCAGTAAGCTGTCATCAGCAGCGCACTTGGAGACCGTCTGGATGAAGACGTCGAAAAGGAACTCGGTGTCCCGCGGGCCCGGCGTGCTCTCGGGATGGAACTGCACGCTGAAATGGGGTCTGTCGATGTGCATGATGCCCTCGTTGCTGCCATCGTTGGCGTTGACGAACAACTCCTGCCACCCGGAGGGCAGAGTGGCGGCGTCAACGGCGTATCCGTGGTTCTGGGAAGTGATGTGGCACTTGCCTGTCACCATGCTGGTGCAGGGAATGTTGTGGCCGCGGTTACCGAACTTGAGCTTGATGGTCTCGGCGCCAGCCGCCCGAGCGAGCAACTGATGACCGAGGCAGATACCAAAGATTGGACTACGATTCTCCGACAACGCCTCGGCGATGCGCTTGATGGTCGGCTCCATGATCGCCGGGTCGCCGGGACCGTTGGAAATGAACAAGCCATCGTAGGTCTCAGCGCGGAAATCATAGTCCCAGGGGCAGACCAGGACTTCAACGCCGCGTTTGAGGAAGCATCTCAGCTGGTTGTATTTCATGCCAACATCGAGACAGAGGATGCGGAGGGGCCGGCCCGAAGGGTGCTTCAGGGCGGAGGCCTGGGGCGGCCGGTACAGCTTTGGCGCCTTGATAGAAACTGAAGCGGGGGTCAGCAGTGCTACAAGCGAAGAAGTCCCGCAGATTCCAAACTCACCCTCTGCTACGAGGTTCTTCTCGTTGGGGTTGACCCAGTCGATCGACTCGAAGCACGCTCTCCAGTCGCCCATCTTGCCAGGGAGCGCGAGGCCCTCAGCGTCGCCATTCGCGCCGTTAGTCAGACCCTTCTTCTCCAGAAGCATCCGACCCAGCATGCTGCCCTTCTCGCGGATACGCTTGGTCAGCGCGCGGGTGTCGACTCCGTATATAGCAGGAATGCCCTGCTCCTTGAGCCATGTCCCGAGGGATGAGGTCGCGAGGAAGTGCGAGAAGTCTTCGCCCGCGTAGGTGGCCGTCACGAGACCAGCGATATGGATTTGTGACGACTCGAAGTGAGCAGGGAGGTCGCCCAGGAGCTCGTCGAGAGCGTCCCTCGGAGGGACGCCGTAGTTCCCGACGAGCGGGAAGGTGATGACGAGGATCTGGCCACGGTAGGAAGGGTCCGTGATGGATTCTGGGTACCCCACCATGCCCGTCTGGAAGACCAGCTCGCCAGCGATGCTCTTCCGCGCACCGAAGCTGTAGCCCTGGTAAGCCGAGCCATCCTCGAGCTCAAGGGTCACCAGGCCTTGGGACTCGGCCTCGGAGATACGCGCAGTGGCGGGCCGGTAGAGTGTAGCGGCCATTATTGCTGGAGCAGCAGTTGTCTCTGCAGCAAGGAGACAAGAAGGTGGTAAAGGGAGAAGTCAGAAAAGGGACGGATGGGAATGTGAGAGAACCGGTCAGGTCTCGGTCGCGTGAGGGAAGTCCGTCGGAGAGCGTAGAGCTCAGAGGGGGCGCTGCAGTGCGGCGGGCGTGAACGATTCGGCTCGGATAGTGCCAGACGAGAGATCTTTCACTCGCGAACTGTCATGATCCAGCTTCACCAGCCAGCCCTTCTGCACAGAGAGAGAAAGTGAGAGAAGAGACAGAAGTAGAGGGAGGCAAAAACGAGTCCGACGTCGAAGAAATTTGTATGAGCTTCAACGTTACCCCGCCACAGGCAAAACAACCTCCCCACCATAAAATGCCAGACCGGCGATGAGTTCTCTTGTTAGTGTATGCAGGACGAGGCATTGAACGCAGGGCGAGCTACCGATTCTGTCGAGAAATTTTGCGAATGCCCAATCAGCATACGCGATGCGAGCTGGCCGGGTGGTTCGCGTGGGGTTCTCGACCATGCCGGACAGGGGTCATGGGCAGAAAGCCTGGCTTGAGTCTGTGACCGCCTCGAAGATCGCGTTTTTCAATTCAGATCTTCCCCACTCTCACCCTCCTGTATCGGATTCGCAGTTCTCTCCTCAACTTTCCCATTCCTCTGTTTGTCTTCAGAGGGAAGAGAAAACAGCACTGAAAAAAGGGAAATTTTCTGCGTCGAACGAACCCGAACTCGCCGTTTCAAGCTGGAAATAAATAAACCAACTGAAAAAACTTCCTCTTTCAGAGCAACTTCGATCCACCCAGGGGTCGAACCTGGAACCTCCTGATTACACTATCGTAGTCAGACGCTCTGCCATTGAGCCAGCGGACCTGCACATTGTTTGTTGGAAGCCTCGCATGATAGTGCCAGACTATAAAGGGAACTGCTAGCGTAGCACCGGAGAACCGTCCAAGTAAATCAGACCTGATCCCCGAGTTCCTCGGCCCCGGGCTAGCCACGGCATCATTAGCCATCCGGGAAACTATAAATCGACCGCAACTTCACCAAGGCAATGATCCAGGGTCTTTAGAAATTGGCTTATGAACACATATGCCATGTCTCATGAGCTTCGCATCATGGCAACTGAAGGCGACCGGACAGTTACAGTTCAAGGCATGCCGAGCGGCTCCTTTCAGGTTTTCTGAAGTCGGACTGCCCTCTTCTTGCCTTTCCATCCCTCGCTGCGCTTCACACTATGGTTCCTACTGATATCCCGCCATTCTCTGATTCTGACTGTTTTCATCCGACTTCAGCTTCCAACATCGACCGTATTGCGACGATTCTTCGGCTATGGCATATCATGAAGTTGCATCGTCTCGCGCGGATTTCCTGTTTCTCTAATCCGTGGCTACCCCGCCATCGCGTCGCTTTGGGAAGACCGGGTCCGGGACGGTGAATTTACTATACCAAAACCCCTCTACGAGCAAACGTGGGGGTCAGAGTGCGAGCAATTCTTCCCAACTCCTATGATCCTTTCGATTCGACTTCTCCTGAGCGACAGAGCAAACCATCACTTCATAAGTTTTCTGGTGGTGTCCGTACTCTCATCAATCTTGTTTCCACCTGCATAGTAGTGACCACGGCCCAATTTTGCCATTCTTGTTTGCTCTGTTATCGTTTCCTGTTTCTCTTCCACCTTCTTGCCCTTCCCGTCCTGGATAGTGGACTGTTCGTATCTCGCACCAGATCACCCTCCAGTGCTATCAGTTTCCTGGTCTCTTCGTCGTTTTTCGGTTTCTGAGGTGTGCGACGCGAAGCATTGTGAACCCGAGGAAATGTGATGGAGGTACATGACAGTAGTACTTCCGTACAGATTCGACACCCTCATGAGCATGGCGCAAGGAGGGCCGGTACGTGGTATGATAGGCGACGCTACTGCATGGAGGTGCAGCTGCCTTGCAGGAGGTGCAACCTACCCTGAAGGCCCCCTGCTGGTGTTTCACCGTCCACCGAACTTACGGTCATGGGGCCACCGAGAGGATCTCGGTTGGCCCTTGCGATTGCGACATATCTCGGTCCTGGGTCAGGCGAGCGTGGTATCGGCAGGTGAGGCATGTGCGCAAAGCAGTCGCCCGCTGCAGCGCTCCATGCCGCGTTCCCGACTGGGGAGAAGTGGACTGAAGTTAGCATTACCAGCTTTTCTTGGCGGTGCCCACCTGATTCGACGATTGGCCGCTGCATCTGCACGCAGCGACTGCCGCATGAAGCTCCCCTGTTCGCCAGAGTAACCACGGCGGGAAGCCCGAGGTCTGGCGGTGTGGCCTGAAGGATGGGATAATAAGGGAGGATAGAATGGGAGCTGAGTCTCAAGGAGACGCTGGTAGCTCTCACAGTCTCTTCCAACGCCGTGACTTTTAAAAGTCCGAGTCGACAGAATGGGAGGGGTAACATTGGTTATCGGAATGTTTTAGCGCGAGCAGGGTTTCCCCAGCTGACCCTCCTCCTTATCACCCCCTGCCCGGGCGACTTTGGGTGATCAGACGAGGCAGCGCGCCCTTATTAGCCCGGTCTTGCTCCCTCGCCGACCTCCGGGCATAGTATCACATCGCGCTCCACGCGCTTCACCCTCTCCTTTTCTGTCTCCGGGAGGGTTATTGTTGGACTGGAAGGGACGGGGACTGGGATATACTCTGTTGGACCACCAATTTGCTGCTGCCAGACGGGACAGCTGTAAGCGGTTGGGTATTTTCTGCGGCGTCGGCTGCTTACTACCGAGGGAAAGGTCAAGAAGACGGAGCGTGTTGGCCAACAGTCCAACTCCGCCACTGGCCGCTTACGGAGCATCGACGCGACCGGACCCCAGTATTCAACCATTTCCATGGCGTCTAAACGCCTTTACTGAGGAGACGGGGCACGCTCAGCCCGACCAGAGGATGTTGTCTGCCCTCGTACGAGCCTTTAAGGGCAGCCGCTCGCAAGGTGAGGAGCATGCAGACCTCGAACAAGACATTTTGTCTCGACCCTCAGTTGCCGAATACCGTAGGCACCTTCATGCCACAGCGGATTTCACCGAGGCGGATGATGATGATGACGACGACGAAGAATCCAACGATGGCGACAGGACTCGCTACCCTCTGGGCAGCCGTCCCGACGAGGAGGACGGCCTGGCTCGGTCTGGCAGCCTCTTGCCTCTATTCTCCGCCAGTCACCTAGGTTGGTGCATTTCGAATGTCCCTGCCTCTTCCGGCTGAGAAGCCCCTGTTGTTGCTTCTAACTTGCAGTGACACAGACTCGCTTTCGGTATATGGTATGACCCATGCGATTCGCATCATTGTGCAAACCAGGACCGAAACCACGTTGTCGTGGGATCAACTTAGATCTCCCCAGGTGTCGCAGTTCCTAGTCAAACCAATGCAGCAGCAGATCCGCGCACAGCACTTCTCGCCTAGCACCTTGTATGCCCTGATGGCCAACTGCCTGCAGTTCGAGAAGGAGGGCCAGCTCTGTCCAGGGAGTGCCGGCACAAGTGCCACCAGGGCAAGGGTGTGCGAGCTGTTAGCTATCAAATTGCTCAAGGAGTACGCCACCCGGGATCTCATCGATGCGCTCTGCTACGACTTCTACCCCCTCCAGGGCATTCCAGGATCACAGACACCTCTTGCGCCAGGAGACAGCCCCATCTCGGCCGTTCCCAGGACATCGACTCTGGAAGTCGCCATCCGGGCCTCTGCAAAGCATTTTCTCTCTCACCCTTTAGTCATGCAGCAGCTTCTGGCCATCTGGAGCGGAGCCATTTGCCTTTACCCCAGCAGACAGGAGGCCCTGCACAAGGGCTCTGCCTCGAGCGCTGCTAAGAGCAACGTATCACGCCGTCAGAGCACTATTCGTACCCCGTTACTTGGCGACCAGGGAGCGAAGGAAGGGCCTGTCAGCTCCCAATATTCATCCGGTCGCCCTTCGGTCGCCCTCTACGACCCTCGGACCGCCTCTGTGTTCAAGCTGTCTCGGCTAAGAGTTCCGCGGTACCGACGAATCCTTTCGAGATGCTCCCTAGTCGTCCTGACATGCCTGTTCTTGGCGGTCCTAGCCCAGAGGTCGAGCAAGATCACGACACTCGAGCTTCTCTTCTGGTTCTGGAGTGCCGGGTTCATGCTCGACGAGATCATTGGCTTCAACGAGCAGGGTTTCTCATTTTATGTCATGAGCTTCTGGAACATCTTCGACCTGGTCATCCTGCTGCTTCTGATTGTCTACTACTGCATGCGCATTTATGGCGTATTCCTGCTGGACCCCCATAAGTGGAATCAAAACGCATACGACGTCCTCGCGGTCAACGGCATCCTCCTCGTGCCGCGGATATTCACGGTGCTGGACAGCTATCCCTACTTCTCCCAGCTGCTGATTGCTCTCCGGCTGGTGGCCGTAGATCTGGCTGCCATCTCCGCCCTCATCATAGCATGCTGTAGCGGCTTCTTTGCGTTCTTTGTCTTCTTCAAGAACCCGGACGATCCATACTCGATGGCTTTCAACCTGTTCCAGATTCTCATGGGGTTCCCGTCCTCTGCTTGGGACATGTAAGCGAAACCTTTGTATCGAATCGGGACATGACGACTGATTGAACGCTCCATCTAGGTGGCCAACCTACGACTGGTTGGGCAAGACGCTTATGGGCGTATTCCTTGTCATTAGTCACTTCTTGATCCTGTAAGCACTCCGGGCAGACCTCTTATGTTTGGCCATACGCGGCGCTAATCCATGACCAGAGCGATGCTCATCGCTTTCTTGACCAACTCCTTCATATCGATCGCCTCGAGAGCGAATCAGGAGTATCAGTGTGTTTGACCGAGCTTCCATTGCCGCTCCGGGACTGACATGTGCTAGGTTCGCCTTTGCCATTAATACCATTTCGATGGCGAGGAGCGACGCGCTATTCTCTTACATCGCCCCTGGCAACATCCTCGCTTGGGCGATCATGCCTCTAAGACACTGCTTGGCCCAAGACCACTATGTCTGGCTCAATCGAGCCGTGATCAAGGCCACTCACTTCCCGGTGCTCTTCTGCATCTATGTCTACGAGAGATGCTTTCTGGCGCCTGACCTGTACGAGGCCACGGATTTGGTCGATAGGCCTCGTCGCGGCCGTCAGAATCGCTTATCGGACCCGGCAATCAGGTCGGCGTTCTTCGACCCTAGCATCCGGGTTCGTGAAGAATCGGCGCTGGGCTACCAGAAGGACCGCGCTCTGGAAGAGGTCTTCCGGCGGGCCCCGGATATGAGGAGCCAAAGGCGGAACGAGCGGCGGAAAACGCAGACTGCGATTCGGACCTGGATGGACCATCAAGAAGGCGGCTACAGCTCGCCCCACAACTACTCGACGATTGACAGCAGAATCGGCAGCGATTGGAACAGGAGGCTGAGCATAAACCGGGAGAGGCCGTCACGAATCGCGCGGAATTATTCAGAGATCAGATCGGCCGCGAGCGACCCTGCTGCTGATTTCATCTCTGATGCGCCTTATCCGCTGAACGTCGGCATGTACAACGACGGGATCGCACGAAGAGACCACGCCGTCGAGGCAAAGGAAAACACCGATCGTGATGCAGATGGAGACGACGAGTTGGTTACCAACGATGAGGATGAGGAGGACAACGCCACCAACACCTTGGATGAAGGAGGCATGCCTGGGCAGGAAGCCGTAGAGGAAGACTATTTCACGACCCCGGTCGCGGGCCGATTCACAAGCGGCGAGCTCTCCATCGATTCCCCTCGTCCGCCGACATCAAGGCGATTACCACTGCACACCCGGACATTGTCCACAAACACGATCCTGTACGCGCCAGAGGACACGCAGCAGTACAGCTCCTCCTCCGCCTCGGCATGGCCAATCTCCCGAGCCCTCTCGCGCCCCGTCAGTAACCGCCACACGCCTGTTTCAACGCCCGTTACACGGGACAACGGCCGCCGTTCCCCTCGCCGCTCGCTCTACCTCCCATCCCACCCTCGACCGGGCGACCTCACCTCGCGCACGGCGCCCAATCGCGCGGGCCTCACCCTAGACATCCCCTCCAACAACACTACGCGCGGCAAGGCGACCTTCGCGCGCCGCCGATCCCTAGCCGACCTCGACGCTTTGGTGGAAGCAGACGATACCGTCAGCGCCCGCAGCATGGACGATGTCAGCAACAACAACCGCGTCAGCAACCTGATGCTGGTCAAGATGAAGTCCCTCGAAGAAAGCCTAGGCGACATGGTCCGCGAGATGAGGACGCTACGGAAGTCGGTGCCTAACACGGCCCACAACTCGGACGAGGCCGTCAGCGGGGGCAGCAACATGATGGATGGTAGTGGAGGTAGGATTGCCGGTTCTAGATCTTGGGCGGGCAAGCAAAGCTCCGTTCCGGGCGGGGTGCCTGCACCGCCGGCGCTGATTGAAGTGGCTGTTGCGCAAGGCAGGGACAGGGACAGGGACAGGACTGTTGGTGGTGCCGGGTCAAGGCGGTCGAGAGCTGCCACCACTGCTGCTGCTACCGTGAGGAGGGTGATACCCGGAAGTAGTCATGGTCATGGCCAAAGCCACGGCCAAACCCACCGGCGACAAGGGGGCGGAGTGTGGAGGAGTCCGAGGGAGGGTACGGGTACTACTAGTACAGACGCTGGGTTTTTCGGAACCAGCGGTACGGGAGGAGATGGCTCCAGGGATGAGGAGCGTAAGAAGCTGGTAGCGAAGGGCAAGGAAAGGGAACGGGTTGGAAGCCGTGGTGAGGGTGTGATGAGTGCAAATAGTCCTGCCATATCCCCTGACGGGGAAGGTGAGTTGACGGCGTCGTATTTGGTTACGACTTCTATGAGGGGAAGCTCGATATGATGAGCGGTTGGTTCCTTTCCTTGGACTACTCTCCCCCCTGGTGGACTCAGTGTTCGTTCCTCGCATGGGCGTTTTGGGCATGGTTGCATTGGGTGGCGTTGTTTGATGCCCTTGCGCTTATCTCGTTGTTGATCATAGGTGTGGATAATGATGGGGTGGCGGTCTAGTATACAAAAAGAAAGGGGTCGGTAGGTAGGTAATCTGCGGGATTGGTAGGAGGTTACTTTAGTTTCGTCTAGCGACCAGTCCGTCTGTGTCCGCCCTGCTGTTAGGGCTATGAAAGAAATGGTTGCCCATGCACTCAACCTCCCGTACGGGTCGCCGCTGTGTAAGATGTCATCCTCAGCCGATATGAGCGTCTGACGGATCGCGGTTATATCCGGCTGTGTTCCGTCTACTAAGCTATATCTAAAGTACCTACCTTATGCCATGGACACTCTGGGAGTAACTCAAAATTATGGGCCAAGCTCACAGCTGTCCTCAGTCAAGACCGCTTCTCATTCGTTATTCCACCAAAACTCCTAGTGTAGGACCAGTGTCCTCTACAAAAAAAAGAATACTTTCAACCCCATTCCTAAGCCTTCATAACAATCTCATTACTCTCCTTTGGGGACCGGCCTACCATGTACTACAGGTACCTAGGTATAGGTTCTAGGTTCCATCTCTCAGGCTTGGCACGCTTTCAACTCGAAGTCGTTCCTCTCTCCAAGTACCAACGGTAGGTATAGGTTCCATCTCTCGGGCAGGGCTTGGCACGCTTTCAACTTGAAGTGGTTCCTTCTCTCTCCAAGTATCAACGCTTAGGATTATGCATGCTTCGCTTTCCCTCTGCCGCTCTTAAGAGGATAGAATACGGCGACCCTAGGGATCCTGAAGAGGGTCACCCGGTTCGTGTGCGGGCCGGGCCGGTGCCGTGGGTTTGGTGTAAATTGACCAGAGATAATCGCCATGGCCTTATACGCCCCCGCCGCTGCGCTCGACAGTGACATATTGTGACCCCTCCCGATTCAGCTGCTTCTGCTCGTTGTTGCGCAGCGTCCTCGCACGATGGCGGATGCCGTACGCTATGCCGAGCAGCATAAAACCGCTGATGGTGAGCCTCGGATGGCGGCTGAGGATTCATGTTAGCAGTGTACTGTCCAGGGAAGGGAAGGTTGGTATTGTTGCGGTTGGCATGCAGAAGAATCAGGAGAGGCTTCCGAGGTCTGGAGACGCTAAGTACGGTATGAGATGGGGCACGTACGCGAATATCCGGACGGCGGATTGTCGTGTTGCAGTCGGAGTCTGATGTGATTTCATGGTGACTGATGGCTATCCGAAGTATTGCGTGAGTGGCTTTGAGATCTTAAAAGATGAAAGCGGTGTTTGTGGTGTTAGATGTAGAAGAGAAGAATGGTTGTTGGAAAGCCGAGGACCAGTGGGGAGTTTATTATGAACTGAGGGACCTGGCGTGTGTGAACTATGGCGGTGAGCAGCAGTGGCAATGACGACCTTGCAGTGAGGTGAGTACCTTAGGTAGGCACACGGTAGGTTGACGGAATTCGGATGAAGGGAGCTAGGACCACCTGTAACTTAATCACCTATGTAAGTAAGACCAGATAGCACAGCACACATACCTTAGCTCGTCATTTAAAATGCCCGCTTCCTGGGAGAAAGTTGCGGGGGCCGTTCAGAACGGTCAGCCGGCGCTCCTCTCATCGTCGAGCTCGTCGAGTCCGCCGCTACATAGCTGAGCTAGCTTGTCCAAATAACTGGGTCGGCAACAGCAAGTGGCACGCGACCATGTCGCACAATCCATTGAGATCGTGGACAGGGGCGGGTCTTTCGCCTGGCCACTCGGGTGCGCTTTGTGGGGCTAGCCTCCGCCATAGCCCATGTGGCTCTTCCCGTCGCGGCCTAGAACACGCTGAAGCGCGGGGCTGGAGAGCTGGAGATGGTGGGTCCGACAGCTGAATACCTAATAAGCGACGCCGTCGCACATCCATCCATGGATGGACACTTCCACAACAGGCACGCAGACCCAATTCCAGGCTGCCAGCGGGATAAATCTGATGGTTCATCCAACAAGCGCTGTAACGTGTCAAGTTTGGCAAAGTACAGATATTGAATCTTCCATCCACATCGACACATGGAAATGTTTTTTCGTCCAACCAGTCCAACTTGATTCACTGGCTGACTGGGTGCCCTGATTAACTCATCATCTCTATTCCAATACCTACCTACCATGGATCTCAAGCTTCTGTGCTAGTTAAGGTGGGTAGTGCATCCTCAACTGGTCCTTCAAGCAACTTCCTCTAGCTAATAAATTCTAATACAGTACGAAGTACAGGTACTCCTACCGCGCGGGCAGTCATTGGGATGCACTTTCTGAGTTCCGTCCGTACTAGAGAATCCGTCATAGGATTCGATCCCTGGGGCATTGTCTAAGTATACCTTATATAGGGGCGTGTCTATCTGCCCGTCGAGGGCACAAATGGGGTCTTTCTGAATCAAAAATCATGGTCACGTATGCTCCCTTACTAAACATATCCTGCTGGTTTTGCCCCCTAAGGTATCCTAAGCTGATACTGTATGTAGTGCTTATGGGACGGGAGTGCCTTGTATTGCGGGTAGCTCGGCCCGCCCAGCACTGTGACTGCAGATCCAGCCAACCTGCCGAACTGACGAGGTTGTTGATTGGATCGCCAACTGCCTTGCCTTGTCCATCAAATCCAAGACATTACCAACCATCTGACCAAGCACTCCAGGCAGCTCCGTGGCGCAGCCTTATGGCGGGCAATAATGAAAGACTCATCAACCCGTCTTGGGCAGTTTGTGACTTGACAGAACAAAAGTGTTGCCGTCGATTGTTTGCGTGCAAAAAGCGTGGCCTCGACAAGCCCGGATCGTTTGCTCTTGTTTCACCTTATCTCACTTCACTTACCGGCACCGGGCATTATTTCATGCAGGCTTATTACTCCCGTCACTCTGCGTGCCAACCCAGCGCCGAACACACTGCTCCGCGGTTGGTGGGTCTAGCAAGGCTCCGGTTCTGCCTTGCTCCTCGGCCGCGTGCCGTTCCGGACGGTGACTACTAGTACTTCCGTCTTAGGGCAGGTCCCTAGCTGCCCCGGTCTCCGCCAGGCCCTCCTCGCCTTGCGCCCCCGCCTTCGCAATCTGTTCTCAGCATCGCGAAGCGGGTCCTTTGGCATAGCTTCTGAGTTTGGAACTTCTTGTTCCCGGATACGGCACCCGCAATCATCACCATGAGTGTCTCGTTCACACCGGATGCATCAGGTACGCCGCTGGCCCCGGACGCCATAACTTCACTGGCCATGCACACCCACTTTGCGGAATTGGCGTCTCTGAGGAGGAACCCGATCGTCGGTGACCACCACGGCTCGGTATTGGCGGTTGTGACCTTTCCTAAGGCCAGCGATTCCGCTCGCGCGTGCGACGGGGGTTTGTGGCAGGACGTCCAAATCCGCATGAGCTACGACAAGCTCATAAAGTTAGGCTCGAAGAAAATCGAGGGCATGTTCAGCCCCAGGGCCCAGGCACGCTTCCGTAGGCGACTCGGCTTCGAGCAGCACCTGCCCGCCGGAGTCGACTATGTCCTCGATTTCACGCCCCCCTCGGAAGGCCCCGAACTGGCCGGCCTCACGGCAGCGCTCTGGCTGCCCAGCTTGGTGAAGATCTGGTTTCTGGCGGGGCAGTACGAGCCTGACTTGACTGTTGAGGCCGGCTGGATCCTAGGCGCGGGACGCCCCTTGGCTGATAAGCCAGTGGGTGCGATGTTGGTCCTCGGCCACGACGATGTCTGCAAGCGTGGTTCATGTAAGAATCGATCTGGACTGGGACTTCTCCATACATACTAGTGGTATAGGTCCGCTGACCGGTCATTTTCATTCCAGGCTACATTGATGTCTCGGAGTGGCAGACAAAGCCTGAGCTACACGGCATCGTCGACGACAGCCACATACCTCCCTGGCGCAAAGTCGAGGATTACTGCCCAGTCCGGCATCGTGTTGCCATTGTCAGAGTTCTCAAGGCTATCAACGGCGACACACTTGTCCTGAATTCGGCTGTGCGTATATGGACGGTCGCCCAAGTTGCCATATCCCTCGAGGTGCCGCAGGTGGTTGTAAGTCGTCCCAAGCCCTCTCAGCTACTGTGTATGTACCTAGAATCTAAAGAAAACGAAAAGAGAAAAAGAAAAAAAAAAGAGAAAAAAGGAGAAGAAAAAATAGCCCACTAACACTACCCAGCGCGATCCAGTTACGCAGTGGCTCATTGCGCCGCCCAACACGAAATTTGTCGAGATCTGTCCGGAGAAGGCATTCCAACTGGCATACGCCCTGAAGATCCCAAGCGTCCTCATCGCTGCCTTCAGGATTCTCGTCAACGAGCTCGCCGTGGACTATGCTTCCTCAGATCCCTGGCCTCGCCGTCCAGAGCTGACTTGGACCCAACGGCGCCGGGACGACTACGGCGACTACCCTTCCGACCCGGTTGAGTATGCAAGTCGCGCATTCGCCGAGCGCATGGCTGGACAGCTTAAGATACTCCAACAGTCTGACGACGTCTTCCGCCGCCTCCCACGCCCCATCCCGGAGTGGGATAAGCTGGAATATTACGGCAGCATCATCCGCTCCTCTGGGCCCAGCGCCCTTCTGGACGCCCACACGAACCTCACCTCGGCTTTGCTCGTCGCCTTCCGTGGCTGGATCGAGCAGGCCCTCAACATGGAGAACTTATCGGGCGAGTCTTCCCGTCTCGTTGCTGTCCAGAGGAAGCACTACATCTCCGATGCTGAGTGTACTCCGATCGAGGACCTCTACCGACGTCTCAACCCGGCCCAGAAGGTGCTCACCCCCTTCTTCTGGGACCACCTCATGCGCGCCGAGCCTCACTCTAGTTTTGTGAACAGGATCTGCGCCGGTCACCAGCTGAGGACCTACGCGCGAAACTTCAACGTAAAGCTCAAGCTCACGAACCTCATGCCCGAGTCTGCATCCTTCCAGAACTCCGCCGATCACAACAACTACTACCCGGCCACAGACGATTCCCACCCCTTCCACCAAAGGACCGACCGAGTATGGAGTCTCCCCGACGAACCAAATCTCGGGTTCAACCTGGACAAGTTCTACAACGAGCTGCATTCCTCGCTCCAGGCGCTCTGCCGTGGCTTCCTGTACCGCGACCGCGACAACGAGAGCGGCATCCCCTTCTTCCTCTCCGACCACCTCCTCCTCTGCCTCGACGAGTCCGAGCTGAACTACCTGCCCATCTGGGCCGACGGACTGGACGACGGATCCGGCGGCGTCTTCCAGGACGCCATCCCGGAAGCCGAGATGGGGCCGAGCGAGCCCGGGCCGGGTTACCACACTGGATACACGGTAGCAGGCGCGCAGACGGACGATGCTGCTGTCTCCGACTCCTCCGAGGCGGATTACGGTACCATCCTGGAGCACGATGTCTCGACGAATAATGCGCCCCGGTCGGACTTTGGTATGGCGGCGGCGGCGGCGGCGCTTGCGCTGGAGTCAGCACACGACGACGGGGACGACGCCCAGAGTGCTACCGTAGGTAGGAGCATCGCCGTCCAGCGGAGCAGCAATAGCCGCAGCGTTGCCACGCCCTCCGGATCGCTTGCCACGGACGAGGATGGCATGTACGCCGACGCGCGGTATGCGCAGCCCGCGGCGCATCAGCCGCAGGGGCAGGCGATCGAGCAGTATGTGAATGGGGTAGAGGCGGATCATGGGGCTGCTGCTGCTGCTACAACAAGCCAAGATAGGGACGGTCACGGGGTGGACCTAGACCTGGAGTCAGATGAGGAGATGGATTGGCGCTCGGACGGGAGCTCGACGCTGGATGGGTTTGAGGAAGTTGATGCTCAGGAGGCGCAGTAAGGGGTTTTGTCTCTTGAGGGTTGATCGGTTGCGCCACTGTTGTTCGCAAACCTTTAGCGACTAAGTGCGGATGGCAAGAAAAGAGAAGAGGCCAGAGGGAGCACCTGGATGATGGCGTTCTGGGCGGCGCAACATGTCAAGGTTTGGTCGGTGCTTTCCCCTATCTTCTTTCGTCCTCTCCTTTCACATGCCAAGTCCTTCCATGTTCCTTTTTGTGTCGTTTCTTGTCTTGTTTCGGGGCCTCAGGAGCGTCAGCAAAAAGGCATGAGGCGGATAGAGACACGCGAATCTTAGGCATGTACTGGAATGCAATGTATGGGTAGGGCTATGTAGCATGACCAAAGCAATGAATCGCTAGAGCGATAAGATCACCAATACAGTTTGTTGTATTACGCAGCGTCGTCTGGTGGTGTAATCTGTATGTATGTACAAGGACGGGAAGGCGGTGCTTCATACTTCGTGTGCACCCACCCCTACCCCCTATTCAGCGTATTCCCGCTGCCCCTGGGATTCGCCTCGACAAACTCATCCCACTCCCTCGCCTTCATCGTCTCGGCGTCCGCCTTCTCAATATCATCCTCGTCCGGCTCGGGTCTGTGCCAGCTCGCCTCGCCGCCACCCTCAATGATGCCACCCCGCCGCCTCTCCTCCTCCAGATACTCGTCGATCGTCATGGTCGGCAGGTTGTGGCCCGGCCGGAACACCCCCTTGGCCAGCTCCTGCCTGGTGTTCACTAAGGTGAACGGCTGCAGCGGCTTCCCTTGCTTGGACAACAGCGGCCCGCCGGGCAGGTTGGTGGCAGCGCGCAGCGGCTGGTCGAGCCGGTCGCTGTAGTCGTTGTTGTCACCTAACCCGCCAGCCGTGGGCCGCTGTCGCCGGCGCGCGTCTTCTAGCTCTTGTGGATTGGGACCCCCTCGTGAGGGCGGCTCGGGTGGTGGTGCGAGCGCCAAGATCTCCCACTCCCGGTTCAGGGCCTCGAGCGCCTGGAAGGCCATGTGCGTGCTGTACTCGGCGTGCGCGAGGTGCACTTCCCGCACGGCGTCCTCGTCCCCGCTCTCGCCTTCGGCTCCGTACTCTGGCCTGCCGCGCAGGAATTCGAGTCTTGAGCGGAGCTCCTTTTCGGCTCGGAAGTTTGCGATCTTGGCATCGCGCCGCGCGGCCGGGTCTGAGGTCGAGGTCATGCTGAAGGTGGTGGGCGAGTCGGTGTACTGCTCGAGGAGCTTCTTGTACTTGGCTGGTAGCAGACCATAGCTGTCGAGTAGGTGAAGGTAGCGCTCATAGGCGTCGCGGGCTGCTGATAGTATGCGCTTGCGCTCCTGCGGCGACGAGGAGGGCAGCTTTTGGGTAAGTTCGGCGAGGTGGAAGTTTGCGAGGAGAAATGGCAGGTCCGCGGTTGCTATGTCCTCGAGGGATTCATTTGGACTAAAGACGGAAAGCGCGCTGATCAGGCCAAGGCAGTCTTGGTACAGTTTCACCGCCGAGGAAACGGTGTCAGTGTACTCTGAAGAGTTGGGGTTGAACGGGGTTTGCTCCAGGGTAACGCGCTTTGATTCCGCATCGGCGAATAGGGCCCTGAGGGAGCGGGGTTCGTCGTCCATAGCTCTATGCTTCGATGAATTGTTCTAGCCGGGGGGAAGTCGCAATTACTAGGATAGTCTGTAATGCGGAACCACAATTCTTCTCCTTTCCATCGATAGCATCTGTTTTCAAACTCGGGCTGAGTTACCACGGCTGCCCCTCATGCCGATCTTATCTAATCGTACCTTAGTCACTTAGAGTATAGCGGGGTTTGTAGAGCAATTCCTATAGTGTAGTACCACCCCCGCTGCATATCACCCCCGACGCTACTGTTCTTATTCATTCAGTCTCCTCTCCACAATGTTGACCGAAGCAGGATGCCAGAGCTCTCACAGCCCTAACTTGACAGAAACATGGCCGGTGATGTCTGGCTGCCGGTGTCACCAAACCGTGGATGACCGTGTAAGCCAATTGGCCCGCCATGATGTTGAGTGGGGCTCCCGACAGGCGAAATTGTTCGACTCATTGGTCGTCCAATGACTGAGTCTCTGGCGATCATAAGTTCATCTCATACGATGCTGCTCGTCCTTCCCAGGTTTCCATGAACACCAGCCTCCGCCGCTTGTTTTTGGTTCCTGCACTCGCCCGAAGAACCAGATTCTTGAGCCCAAGAAGAATGTCGCTTCACCCAACCCAAGACGGCGCTAAGCTGATTTGTAAGTTCACGGTTGAGCGCCAAACAGCTCCCGGTGATTATCACTCAACCTTGCTCACCGCACCAAGTCGCCCCCGCGGGCACATCTAGGCATCTCGAGATTCCTACCGGTCCCAGCCACGTAGATGCAGGACAATTTCTCAAAACGGAGCATCGTGGTGGCCTGAAACGAAGCGACCTAAACCCAGAGGATCCCATTGCCCAGTTCCACGCCTGGTTCAATGAAGCGTCCGAGCCGGGTTCCGGGGTCTCGCATCCGGAGACTTGCACACTGTCCACGGCGCAGTTACCGTCTGGCCGTGTCTCGGCACGCGTGGTGTACATGAAGGAGCTAGACGCCAAGGGGTTCGTCATCTACAGCAACTTTGGCACCAGCGGCAAAGCGAGGGACTTGTTTGGCACCGAGGACGGATCGAGCACGGGCAACCCGTGGGCGTCGCTGGTCTTCTGGTGGGAATCGTTGGAGCGGCAGGTCAGGGTCGAAGGGAAGGCCTCAAGGATTCCGGCTGCTGAGAGCCAGGCGTACTTCGACACCCGTGTTCGCGGAAGCAGGATTGGGGCGTGGTCGAGTCGGCAGAGCGCCGTGTTGCGGCCTGACACGAGTATCGACGGTGACGACGGCCGGGCGACGTTAGATCGCTGGGTGAAGGAAACCGAGGCCATGTTCGAAGGCGCCGAGCAGATCCCAGTACCTGACTTCTGGGGCGGCCTCAGAATCGTGCCGGAGCGTATAGAGTTCTGGCAAGGTCGGCAGAACCGGTTGCATGATCGATTTGTGTATGATCGTGTGGATGGGGAAGATGGAGCTGGCAAATGGTCGCTGGAGAGGTTGAGTCCATGATTTGGCCTTCATCAAAGCTCTTACAGATTCTGGAAGAACAAAAGACCATCCCCATAGCCACTGAGTCCGGTGCCCGAGTGACGGGGTACAGAATTGCATCAAGCAGCCCGAGACTCTGCTCAGGTTCGGATGTTCTCCCTTTTCCTCACTCACCCCTCGAGGTTCTTTACTCGAACTCTTTGCATTCTCCGCCAATCCGCAGCATGACCCAAAGCTCTGAAACGCTCAATGTGAATCTCTTGCAACTAAACAGCAACAGGGCATGCGCGTAAAGTCACCTCCCAACTTTGCTGATCTCTTCATTTCCAACTGACACAAATACACCTGCGGTATTCTGAGCAAGCTCCATTGCTCAACCCAAACAACAGAGAAACAGATCCCACGTTAGGTAAGGTACCTTAGGTTGGCTTGACTTCCGCTACAATCTGCGCACCACCCCACAGCTCCTTCCTCACCCAAACATGGCTGCATTCGTTTGCATTCCCATGCTAGTAGTATTCTGAATCAAAATTCTCAAACTCATCCAGGTGATTCTCAGCCTCTTCAACTTCACTAAGGCTTACCAGGCTTTTCTTTCCTGCGCCATTCTACTTTCACACACTCGAATCACACCATCACAACACAACCCCGGCAACCGCAATGATGGACGCGGAAATGGAAATGGAAGGGCCTTCTATGGTTCACTCACCGTATCAGAACTCACTTCTCGACGGTGACTTGATGGACATCGGCGGCGACGTGATTGACCTCGACCAGCCGGCTCCAATCAAGGATGAGTCGACCGATGCTGACGAAACCGATAAAGAAGAGGAGGAATATGAACCCAAGAAACTGCTTGTCAACCCCCCGTCCAAGCGGCGCAAGATCTCCGAGAGGCGGCGGGCAGACAACGCCGCATTCGACTTGTGGATTGAGGAAAACCAGAAGAACCTCTCAACGGGCTTGAACAAATTCGTCATTGAGGACGACAGGCCGTTCCAGTCTTGGGTCAGGGATTTTGAGAACAAACGCATCATCGCAAACCCCCGCGACTATCAACTCGAACTCTATGAGCGAGCCAAGACACAAAACACGATTGCGGTTCTCGATACTGGCGAGATTTTTCAATGTCCTATTGTTCATGGTTAAGACTCGACTAACCTTTCTGCTGCAGGTTCCGGCAAGACGCTAATCGCTGCCCTTCTCCTCCGATGGACGATCCAGAACGAGTTGGAGGACCGGTCCAAAGGACTTCCCAAGCGCGTCGCCTTCTTCCTCGTTGACAAGGTGGCCCTCGTGTTCCAGCAACATGCAGTGCTGGCCTGTAACCTGGACTACCCCGTGGAGAAGTTCTGCGGTGATATGGTGGAAGAAGTCTCCTCCAAACAGTTCTGGGACGACATCTTTGCCAACAACATGGCCATCGTCTGCACGGCTGAGATCCTCTACCAATGTCTCCACCACTCCTACATCCGGATGGACCAGATCAATCTGCTGGTCTTCGACGAGGCTCACCACACCAAGAAGAACCATCCCTATGCCCGTATCATCAAGGATTTCTACGTCGAGGTCAAGGACGAAAAAAAGAGGCCCCGCATCTTCGGCATGACAGCCTCGCCCGTCGATGCCCAGATCAACCCGAAGATTGCTACGGCGGAGCTTGAAGGCCTCCTTCACAGCCAGATCGCCACCGTTGCTGACACGGCCGCCATGTATCAGAACACAGGGAAGCTGAAGCGCGAGTTGCTGGTCCAGTATGAGAGGAGGTGCCCAGACTGGGAGACAGAGCTCAACCAGGCTCTGAAGGAGCTTGTTGGTGGCTATCCAGTATTCAAAAAGCCGTTCGCCTTCACTGACACTGCGGCTGCGGAGCTTGGCCCCTGGTGCGCTGACCGTTACTGGGAGCTTTTCTTTCGATCAGACGACGTAATAAAGCTGGAGGCCAGGGCTGAGAGGGAACTCCTTCGTGAGTCTGCGTACCACCAGGCCATGGATGAGCACATCGATAAGGTGCGCCAAGCGCATGAGTTGGTGAAGAAGCATAACTTCGCCCGACCAAGTCTTCGCCGGGATATGCTGTCTTCCAAAGTCATCCAACTTTACAGGATCCTACGAGATCAATTCAACAGCGTCGACCACAACCGGCGATGCATCGTGTTTGTGAGGCAGAGGAACGTCGCCACGCTCCTAGCCGACCTGCTGCAACAGCCAGAGATGAAGATCCCGGGTCTTGAGCCCGGTGTACTGGTACGTCGTGAAAGAACACTGGCTCGGAAGAGACAACCACTGACAAGGTACAGGTCGGAGGAGGCCGCCCGGAGGCGAGCTGGGACCACTCCAAGGTCACCTACCGTGAGCAGGTGCTCACCATCATCAAGTTCAAGAAGGGTGAGCTGAACTGCCTCTTCGCCACATCTGTTGCCGAGGAGGGCCTCGACATCCCAGACTGCAACGTCGTCATCAGATACGACCTCAATCACACCCTGATCCAGTACATCCAGTCCCGTGGGAGAGCGCGCCAGGAAAGTTCAGTGTACATCCACCTGGCTGAAAAGGGCAATGTGGACCACTACAGGAAGCTGTATGAGAACATACAGAGCGAAGAAATCCTGCGGCGGTTCTGCGAGGCCGTCCCGGAGGACAGAAAGCTGACGGGGAACCACTTCAACATGGACTACTTCCTACGCAAGGAGAAGGATCAACGGCAGTACACAGTCCCCGAGACCGGGGCAAAGCTCAACTACAAGCAGAGCCTGATATGCTTGGCCGCCTTTGTGGCCTCGCTGCCGCACCCGCTAGAGGTCGTCAACCCGACTCCCGAGTACCTTGTCGTTTCTGTTCCCGGAGGCTTCCAATGCGAGGTGATGCTGCCGGAATCGTCTCCGATCAGGAGTGCAACCGGACGAGTGCACCTGAGCAAGGCAGTCGCCAAATGCTCGGCTGCCTTTGAGATGTGCCTCCAGCTGATCAAGGGCAAGTACCTGGATCAGCATCTGCGGCCCATCTTCACCAAGCAGCTGCCCGCGATGCGCAACGCCCGGCTCGCCGTGAGCTCCAAGAAGAAGGGCCAGTACCACATGAGGATTAAACCCGAGATATGGTCGACGGTGGGCGAGCCCACGGAACTCTACGTCGTGGCTCTGACATTGGCGAACCCGGCCGCACTTAGTCACCGCTCCTCGCCAGTCTTGCTACTAACCCGTCAACCGCTTCCGCAAGTTGCTGCGTTCCCGCTTTTCTTCGGACCAGACCGCTCGTCCATGGTGAACTGCATCCTCGTCCCTGGGTGCATTCGTTCCGACGAGACGTGTCCCATCCAGGCACTGACGGCGTACACATTGACGATCTTCAGGGATGTTTTCAGCAAACAATACGAAGCCACCGCGGCTCAACTGCCCTACTTCCTTGCCCCGACAGTCAAAGGCCATGCCTTCGACTTCACGTCAGTTCCTGACCCGAGTCAGCTTGTGGACTGGGCGGCGGTGAGATCCGTCTTTGAGAACGAGCGCATCACCTACACCTTCAGCGAGCCAGATGACTTTTTCAGAGACAAATATGTTACCGATCCGTACGACGGGTCCCGGAAGTTCTTCCTTCGTGGACGCCGTCCCGAGATGAAGGCGACGGATCCCGTACCTGACGGTGTCGTCGCCCCGGGTCACCGGGCCTGGGTTACAGTATGCGAAGCGCACGACATTCTGGATTACAGTCTTAGCGCGTGGTCGAAGTCACGGGCCTCGATACATCTCCGGGCAGATCAGCCGGTTGTCGAGGCAGAACTACTCCCCATCCGCCGCAACCTCTTGGATGACAACATCAAGGAGCGAGACCTGGAGCCGAAGCAGTGCTTCCTCGTGCTGGAGCCGCTGAGAATTTCACCTGTTAAGTTGGCTGCCGCAAGGATCTGTGAGAACGCAAAGCTGACACAAGGGTAGCTGTCGACGGACGTGGTAGCCATGGCCTACAACTTCCCCGCCATCATTCACCGTATCGATTCGAACCTCGTTGCGGTCGATGCCTGCAGAAAGCTGAGTCTGAACATCCGCCCGGACCTCGCGCTTGAGGCCTTCACCAAAGATAGCGACAACACGGACGAGCATGACGTCGAGCAGATCAACTTTCAGGGGGGCATGGGCAACAACTACGAGCGACTCGAGTTTCTCGGCGACTGCTTCCTCAAGATGGCGACCACGATCTCCATTTTCACACTCATCCCGGACAAGGCCGAGTTCGAGTACCACGTCGAGCGCATGCTGCTGATTTGCAACCGCAACCTCTTCAACAACGCGCTCGAGATCAAGCTAGAAGAGTACATCCGCTCCATGGCCTTTGACCGGCGGAGCTGGTACCCCGAGGGCCTAACGCTCAAAAGGGGCAAGCGCAATGATACTAGTCATCGCCAGCACGTCCTTGCCGACAAGACCATTGCCGACGTCTGCGAGGCGCTCATCGGCGCGGCCTACCTGACTGCGCAGGAGCAGGACAAGAACAGCTTCGATCTGGCCGTCCAAGCTGTCACGATCATGGTCAGGGACAAGAACCATGCCATGACGTCGTATAAGGACTACTACGCTGCCTACGTCAAGCCCGCATGGCAGACATGCCCGTCCAACTCGGCGCAGCTTGACATGGCCTCCCGTTTCCACGCGCGCATGGGCTACTCTTTCAAACACCCGCGGCTTCTCCGCGTGGCCTTCCAGCACCCGACATATCCCACTGTCTACGAAAAGCTGCCGTCATATCAACGCCTCGAGTTCCTGGGTGACGCGCTTCTCGACATGGCCTGCGTCGAATTCCTGTTCTACGGCTTCCCCGGCGCCGACCCGCAGTGGCTGACGGAGCACAAGATGGCCATGGTGTCCAACCAGTTCCTCGGCTGCGTTGCCGTCCAGCTGGGCTTTCACAAGGCTATTAACTACTGCTCCCCGTCGATCCAGAAGGAGATCACCGAGTACGTCGCCGAGATCGAGGAGGCGCTCCAGAGCGCCAAGGAGGACGCGGTGCGGCAGGGCGGAACCGAGGACGACTTCGCGCGCGACTTTTGGGTGCACTGCTCGCGCCCGCCCAAGTGCCTGCCGGACGTGGTCGAGGCCTATGTCGGCGCCGTGTTTGTCGACAGCGAGTACGACTTTGGCCAGGTCCGGCAGTTCTTCACCGCGCACATCCGCCCCTTCTTCGAGGACATGCGGCTCTACGATACCTTTGCCAACAAGCACCCCGTCACCTTCCTCGCGGCTGTTATGCAGCAGCGCCTGCGGTGCGGCGAGTGGCGGCTGCTGGTCAAGGAGCTGCCGGCCGTCGGGGAGGACGGGGACGTGATGATGGGCATCATCAGCGCGCCGCAAGTCGTGTGCGCTGTCCGGGTGCATGGGCGAACGCTTGCCCACGCCGTGTCGGCGAGCAGTCGGTACGGCAAGGTGGCGGCTGCGAAGAAGGCGCTGCAGATTCTGGAGGGGATGGAGGTGGATGAGTTCCGGAGGGAGTATGGGTGCGCTTGCGCGCTGGATGGCGGGCCCCTTGAGGATGTTGATATTGCTGCGCATGCGTCGGCAATTTAGGGGGCCGCCCAGGCATTGGGGAACATGTAGAGAAGGAGTCGTGGGGAGGGGGGCCCGCTGGTTTACAGTGCAGTTACGATGATTTTCGGGATTTTTTCTGTGTTACGCTATGCGGTGCATTGCAGACAAGACACTTACTAGGCCATTATTCTTTGGAGTTGGGTGGTAATTCTCGCGATGGATTCGCATCTAATCAGATCATAATCCTAGTACTAGTCTTTCCCTCGGTGTGCTCCCTTGTGTGAGTGACTTTTGACGGCACGTATCCTCCCAATCTCGCATCTTATTCACACCGTCGGTCTCAAGCACAAGCTCTCAGTATGGTAATGGTTCATCTTCTGGGTGACTTAGTCTTAACATGTATTGTACAGTACACGGGTAGGTTGGCCGGTTGGGTCAAGTTGACATCAGGGCCCCCGAGCTGTGACTCCGATGCAAATGAGCATTTATTAGGGGCCCGTCGGAAGTTCACCAAGATTCCAAGACAGCATATGCGCGTTGTTCATGCAACGTCGGGATGACGGAATGAGTTGGAGGCTTCAAGACCGGCCTCATAGCCGCATCCGGGTTTGCATCCCTCGGTACCGCCATGTCCTCCCACCAGCTCGAAAAGGACCCGACCAACCCGCAGGCCACCCAGTTCACCAAGATGGGGCTACGCTATGCCAGCTCTGCGCTGCTTACCATCTTGGGCTTGGGGTACGCGCTGCGGTTTCTGCCGAGGTATTCGCAACAGAAGAGGAGGGTCTTCCTCGACGGGTCCTTAGCGTGCAGCCTTGTGTGTTGGGCATGCGGCCAGGATCACCAAATCGCCCTCGGATATAGATTGGGGGAGCATGGCGGCACCTGGGCCAACCATGTTAGGCAGAGTCTGTCAGGAAAAGCTCCCACTGTGTACAGTATATATATGCGCTCTCTCCGATGGCGGACCACGAATGAAGAGGTTAGATATTTCCCCGAGTTTGTCTCGAACTTCGCTTGAAGCCTAGGGTGCTCTGTAAGGACTGACCTTGGCGAAATCTGGGATGATGGGAAAAAGGAAGTGCGATGGAACGATTGTCTGTACTGACGCAGCGAGTGTCTGTAGTGATGTAGAGATAATATATACTAACAGGAAGAAGTCTATACCGAGGTAAAGTATGTCTGTCGTGACTGTTGCATTGCTTTATAGTACCGTAGTACATACCGTACTAATATCTTTTCTGGCCTTTCTATCTGCCTTCGCCTTGAAAGTCAGCTTTCGGAAGCACATACCTCAGGTAGCCTCTCTGTCACTAATAATAAAGAGGGACCGGAGGCGGATGGATGAACCGTAGATGTCTGAAATGCTCGAAGACCGAACTCATTAAACACCCCTGTACTTGTAGCACTTGCAGATATGGTGCCGAGGCGGAAGCGATGCAGTCTGCGAACCGCCTTCCTGTGCCGTCATACTGGTAAGATTGAGCTGCAAAAGCCCGACACCGACTCTCCGTTTGCACTCTATTAACGACGGGAGCTGCGTTTGAGTTGTCGGTTCGCCAGGCACTGACTACAGAATCCCAGCCCTCCGAACTCGCTGGTTGCAATCTTGTCTCATTCAGTTGTCTGCAGTGGTAAGAGCTTGAATATCCGAGTGTGTAGTTTCCATTATTGTCTTACACCTCGAGCGATTTCACTCCGGAGCTTATGCAGACAAACGGGGTACTGCGATATCACCACATTGGAGGAGGCGTCGAATTCATCACTTCTAGCGTGGAGAGTTGAAGTCGGAGCACCCTGGAAAGATCTTCCCCCAATGTAACCCTGAGATCTGCCCGATCGCCAGGGGAAAGCCCCTGTGATCGACGGCCAGGGGGAAAGATGCCAAGCGGACACTTGCCCCACCCATGATCGTGGCGCCGGCCTCTTGGCGGTTGCAGAAAGACAAGGACCGCCATGTTGACTGTTGAGGTGCAAACGGTTTTGCTCGGGTTCAATCAGCCAAACAGAAATCTCCGATCGATGCGCATAAAATCAGTCTAACGTTAACGATTTCTTCTTGAACCAGTCCTGAAGCCTCGCCGGCCGCAATGGAAATGCAGTGCAAACGGAGCAGCCGAGACTCCGCGAATGAATGTCTCGGTCTCACTAGCGCTAGGTTGTTCAACAGTCATCCGCAGCTGGCCATCCGCTCCTTCCATGTGCTTCATGCACGCCGCAGACCTGCACACCTGCACACGGGACCTTCAGGAGCGTGCCCAGAACTTGTCAAACATGACTCGACTCAACCCCGCAGACGCACAAACAAACCATGTCTTTGGGACACAAACAGGAGGCCAATTGCCAATCACCGTCTGAAGCCTATGTACACAGTAACTGCAGCAGAAATCGGCAAGGAGATCCGATGTTTGCTTTTGCCCCGTCAAACGGCTCCGTTGCCATGACTCTTCCTGAATCCTGTGACGCCCACACGCCCACCCGCCGTTTGTGCTCCCGTCTCCCGGACCCCGCACGCAGCCTCGGACCTGCAGAAGCAGAGACGAGTTGTGCGGCGGAGTCGAGACTTTCTGATAGGTCCAAAGCGGCTAGGGACCATGCTGTAGCCGGGCTCAGCAAGGCAACATCCCGGCGCAGACGGAGACGGAGGTCCTTCACACGATCTTCACTTATTAGCTGGCTGCTGTGGGAATCCGGCCTCTGGTCGACGGATAGCTACTTGCCCTGTCGGGTACATACGAAGGGCCGGAACAGCCTCCGTCAAAAAATGCCCCCTGCTTGCAGGGTATGCGGTTCCGAAGTTAGGTGTTGGCATGGCAAAAATGGACAGGGGTGGTATGTACAATACACTTCCCGTTCCTGGGCTGTCGTTGCTTGTCCCACCATCTCATTATGCAGCGCCAGCCAGATGCAGCCAGATGGAGATGCCTACCCCAATATGGGGCTTAGGCCCTCGGGTTCCCGTCTCATCTGTCTTTTATATTTCAGTTGAGCCATCCTTGTTCACCTGAAGGGCTCGCCTTGTCCATCTCCATTCCCCCCTAAAAGACCTCATCCCCTTTGACGCCGAGCCTTCTTACAACAGCTGCTATTCCTCAAGTGCAGTTGCTCCGGTGCTCCCGAGCTACAGGACGGCGGATCGGACCTAGGTGGACCCCTTGACTTGAAACGACAAAATCTTGGTTGATTCTCCGAGCCAGCCGATGGCAGCTTGCCCATCACGATGGGCCTGCTCGACTTCTTTTCTCGAAAAGCCGGCAACAAGGGCAAGACGAACGTCGCCCTGAAACCCCCGGTCTGCGACTCTGCCGCCGCGAGATCACTTCCTGCTCCAGGTAAGGGATTTCAGGACGAACTGCATTGGTGAGCTGGTTATGCTTACACCCCCAAGCTGGCGACCACAAGCCCGCCCGCCGCCCATATTATGTTGGCACTCTCCAAGGAGGGCGTCCCGACTTCACTCAGTCGCAGCTCTCCTTTGATACGGTCTCCGAGGACGAGCGGTCAGCACCGGCCCCACGGGTACCAGTCTTTCCAGGGGAAAGTGTTGAGCGGCCAAGCACGGCACCAGGCACTCGCCCACCGAGCACACTGTTCCGACACTGCGACCTGCGGGAGAAGACTGATGGTAGGAGGAGGGGCCCCCCGTTATCTTTGCGCATGGCAAGACCAGAAACTCCCGCTGCAGGGTTTCGGCCGGGCTCACGCGGCTCCATCGCCACGCCCGCGAATGTGTTTCGCCGAGGCTCGGAACAATCCGGCGCTCCTTCCCTCCGGAGCGCTGGCGGCAAGACATTCAAGGACATCCTCGACGCTCAATCCGAAATCAGACCAGCCGACTTCAGGGAGAGGGTGAGGGCAGCTGGGACGAGAGATTACGGCGAGGATGTGGCAGAAAGGAATCTGAGCCGAACCGGGCCTGATATCGCAGCGGATCACGTCCGGACCTTCCAGGCAGACATTGGGATAGAGCCCCTTCGTTCTTCCAGCCAGCAGAACCTCCACGGGCACATGTCTCCAGAGACCTCTCTGCTCCTTAGTTCAGAAACGGGCAGGAGGGAAGCTGTTGAGCGCCGCCGGTCATTCAGCACGTTTATTCATCTTAGCTCAGACCACAGTTGGAAATCACCGAGCGCCCTCCGTCTACCTGAGGTCGCGCCAGCCCCTGCGGTACGTACTGAGAGGCTTCCACGAGACTCCGTGGAACTGGCAAAGAAGAGAGCAGACGCATCCGCGACAGAACATGTCATCGGTTATGGCTCGCCGCCGAAGGCCGCAGCTCTTCACTCGGCCACCCGCTCGCGCCGTTCATCAACCGTCGCTTCTGCCGCTTCTGTCGCTCGCAAGCATCACAGCCTATACACCCTACGCTCGTCGGTTTCGTCGTCTGTCCTCAGTCGCGATACCATGATCCACCCGACCCCTTTATCATATCCACATAGAGCAATTCCTCGGCATCAAGCGGACCAAGAGCTCGCAGAGGATTCGACTGGCAGCGTACATTCCATGCTCTCTGAGGACAATGATGGTTTACAGATAGACCCTCCTTCAGTTGAGACAATGTGTTAGTGGGTGCTTCTCACTTAGGATTCACAACCTTGCTAACATGCTTGCTTCCAGTCACCACGACTCAACGCACAAACTTTACATTTGGAGACGGGGAAGCAGTCCCACCTCCTTCCTCTCAAAACTGTCCCCTGTTCTCAAACCCCAAAGACCCCTACGACACGAGCATCACCTTACCAGACAGAACCATGGGGCGTACCGCATCTCTTCGAACCCGCAGAAACCGCCCCTTGTCCACTTCATCTGACGCGCCCACTGCCACGGACAGCTTCGTCACCGCAGCCTCCCACCCGTTCCACAGCCCTCCTCCATCCCTCGGCACGGCGGATACATTGGTCGACCTCGACGCCAGCGTCGGCGCCGCCTCTCCTCGACCAAAGACCCCCGGTTCCATCCACCACGGTGACATGATCTATGTCTATTCCAACTCAAAATCCCGCCTCGAACGTGGGAAGGGACAGGACCGCGGTAAAAGCCCAGAGACAGTTGATACGTTCAACATAGATGACTACCTCTCCACAGACACAGAAGCCGATTCTGTAGCAACAACCCCGAACCGCCGTCCCACGGCCGAGGGCGAGGAAGACCTCCTATTCAACGATGCAGGCTACGGCGCTAGCGGGATGCAGTTACCCGGTCTGCCCGATCCATTCCCCGTCTCTCCCTCATTTTTTTCAGCGGATGCAAATGAAGAGGGAGTGATAAAGGACGGCGGTGATGATAAGATCAACCTGCTGTATATGGCTCGCTTGTATGGCTTGGAAGCCGGGTACTGGGACTACGGGATTGGAGTCAGGAGCGATGAGTCTCTTGTCGGCACTAGGGAGCACAGGTTGATGGATGAACAGTGTGAGAGGCGGAGGAGGACGAGGAGATTCGTGCTTGATACCGCGGCTGATGACGAGGACGAGTCTCGGTCTGGGCCGGAATGGGATTTAGGTTGGCGAGGGAGAGAACGAAGGGTTGGTTTGGGACTCGGGAGGGAGGTGGATGATGATGACGACGACGGGTATGATGCGGATTTCATTGATGACAACTGGGAGGAGCACGTGGAGGGAGAACAACGGCGATCGCCTCGACAGCACATGAGAAAGCGAACGAGGAGATTGTCTGCTCTATACCGGGTGGATGACGACCAAATGAACGAGGAGCAAAGTCGGATAAATCAATCTTGGTCGCAACAGGATGCCCGACCGGAACAGCAGCAGAGTGACACAGCAGCGGAGGTCGCGGACAAAGTCGATATCGCGGATGCTGCGAGGCTAAGAAAGGAGGCAAAGAGGGCTAGGAGGCTAGCGGGGATGCCATCTTTGGCCAGGCTACGTCGACAGGCGAGGATGTCGATGCCGGAGCTGCGTCTTGAATGAAATGGGTGGAAGAAAGGGGAACGATACTATGTTTAATATGCGTGAGGTAAACCTTTGTTTTGGAAACATGGGGGATAAACTGAGACATCGGTGGCTTTCGACGGCGTTTAGACGGAATACAAGGACCGGGGGTGGGGGTGTGGGGGCGGTCTTCGGCAGGGCGGTCATAAGGAAGCGAGGAGGATAACGGGGTATGGATGAGCCAAAGATATACGGCTCTGATACCTCGATAATGTGAGCTATCTCAAGTGAGTGGCCCTGGAACGGCTAGTTCTGGACACTTGCCCACCCACTACACTGTCCCAAGTTTAATGGGAACAGGTCGACATGTTGTACTGTACTGATCAAATCCACGAGTTGGATTGCACATCACCAAATCTCGTATTTTTACAGCCACTCAAGATGGCTCTTCAATTGCTATGCTCACCTTATTAGGCGAATGTACGCGCACCATCCAGTCCGGTACAGCTCAAGCCATCCTTATATAGGTGATGATCACCCGTCCATGACGTTCGAATCCGGCCTACTCCAGGCTCCCCGCCAACGCAACACAGCTAAACCTCAGATCCGCCGCCTCGCGCTCCAAGAACTTTAGCGGCCCTAACGCCAACGCCTTCTCGCTCAGCACATCCTCCGAGTCCTCGAGCTCCCCCCTCCTCAACGGGCCCTTCCGCCGCCCATCCATCTCCCACAACGCCCCATCCTTCCCTTTGACAAAGCACACATAATGCAGATCCACATCGTCCTGCGCATCCGGCGCGGTGGTGTCCCCCTGCGTGGCGACGCTCTTATGCGCGCTGGCCAGCTCCTCGTTGGTCTCGATAAGCCGCGCCCTCGCGACAGGAGCCAACGGCTCCGCACTCCGGATCAACCTCTCCAGCAACGACCCCCCCTGCACAAAATCCCTCGCCGGCCCGTTGCTCGCGGCATGCAAGAGCCCGATCATCCCGCACGCGTTGCGCACCGTCTGCCGGTACCACACCACGGGCTCCCGGTCCCCGCGCCCGGAGTATTCGGACTGCAGCGAGTCCTCGGCAAGACGGTGTGATTCATATGCGGCCGAGACGGGGAAGACCAGGAGTAGGGCCAGCGCGGGGCGCGGGATGAAGGACAGCAGGGTCGGGTCGGTCAGCGAGTATACGTCGTGCATGGCCAGCGCTGGGGAAAGGCCCAGTTGGTGGAGGAGGTCGGTCAGCAGGACCGGGTTGGCTTCGAGCGGGATGAAGGCTCGTGCTGTGGACGGGGGGTCGGCGGAGGTCGAGGTGGAGGATGTGCTTGTGGTCGTGGTTGCTGCCGGTAGTGATACCGGGTCGTTGCTTGTGGACATCTTGGTAGGTTTCTCTCGTGTTTTCGGTCTGCGTCGGCCGGTTACAGTGCGAAGCAGGTAGCTGCGCGGTAGGTAAAAAGGTTTGCTGTGGTTGAGCAGTGATGTGGGCTTGTCGGCTGGGACTTGGCGGTTATTAGGCCTTTCGAACCTGGTGGACTGGTTGCGTCGTGTTAACGAGGCCAGAGGAATGGAGGGGCGGCTGCCACTTGCTGCCGCGGGGCAATGACTTCATCGATGGCCGAGGGTTGCCATCTGGTTGCTACGGAATAGCAAATATAGGGTTAGGGTCATGATTAAGTCGGCACACGTTGGCAATTCCCCGATTCGGCAAAACGAAAACAACTGAATGGGGCAGAGGGGAAGGGGTAAAGAGAACCGGAAAGGAAAAGGAAAGAAAAAAAAGAAAAAAAAAAAAGGAAGCTTCAGGACAAAAAGGCATCTCGCTCTCACTAACGTTTGGATCAGACGCTGACTACAAGTTCCAAAAGTGATTGTCTAAACCCTGGGGTTTTAGTACCCAACTCCATGATCCCGTGTATACCCACCTTTCGACTTTACCGCTTCCCATATCTATGCAGAGTTTACTAGTATACAAGACACTGTCGCCCTGTCGCTGCCGTGCCCAATGCCGGATGCAAAATGACAGCCGCCGTCCACCCGGGCGTATCATACACACATATACAGCCTTCCTTCCAATCCTAACCTCAGGCACGGGCGTCAACTAATCGTCTAGTGAGTTCATCATCATGTTCAAGGACTCTCTCATTCTCGCCAAGCCAGAACTGCTGCTTCTCCTGAACCCGCGCCGCAGCCTTCCTTCTGCGCTGCCTCTTCAGACGCTGCAGGTCGGGCACAAAGTTCAGCTTCTCCAGATGCTCCGTGATCTTGAGCTCGACCATCTCCTTGACCTTGAAGGCGAGGGCCTGGCTCTGGAACACGCCCTGGTAGCGGTAGCTGAGCCAGAGGTACATGGTGATCTGCTGGTGCAGCGATTCGAGACTGCGCAGGTAGTTGGCCTGCTCGCTGCGCGTTTCTGGGCGGACAGCGTCGAGGACCTCGAGGTCGATGACGTCGAAGTCGAGGAGGTGGCCGTTGCCGAGCTCGGCGACGCACTTGGCGAAGGCTTGCAGCGCCGCGACCTGCCTCTCGTCGCGGAGGTCGATGGGCACGTTGAGGAAGATGCAGTTGTCCGACACCCTGAGTTTGTACTCCTTGAGGACCTCGGCGATCTCCATGGCCGCGGTGAAGTCGCACATGTGGAAGCGGTCTGATATCCTGCTCAACTCGCGCAGCCGGCCGAGGACGAAGCTTATGGGCGTCCGCGGGGGAAAGTAAGAATGGAACCGTTCGATGATGGACGGCGGCGGGAAGAGACCTGCGGTCGGGATTGGGCCGGCCTCCGTCCTGAACGCCTTCTGAATGATGCCTAGGTCCTCGTCATCAAACGCGGTGACCTCTCCAGGGGCCGGCATTGTTGTGATCCCCATCATCTCCTGCGTGGCGGTCCTGAAACGGCCAGCACGCCCACCTATCTGCTTGATCTCGGTCACTTTGAGCGGCCGGAAGGCGCGCCCGTCGAACTTATAGGCCGACTCAAAAATGACACGCTTGATCTCGAGGTTCAGTCCCATACCAATGGCATCGCTGGCTGCCAGGAAGTCGTAGTCGTTGTTCGGATCGTTAAACAGCGCCGCTTGGCTGGCACGCGTCTCAGGGGGCAAGCTGCCGTATACAACGGCGCATCTCCGACCTGTTTGTTGCTCGATACCCGCCTTGAGCTGATGTATGCCGACGCGGGAGAAGGCGACCACGGCATCCCCTTTGCGCAGCTTCGTGAAACCGTTACCCAAGCCCTCCTGAGCTATCTCGAGGCCATTGAGCCGCTGGTACTCATGCACAACGCACTGCTCGCCGATCCTGGCGCACAGTTCCCGGATCAGGGGCACCGCCCTTTCTTCTCCGCAGAGATGCACCTCCTTGGCTTGGACACCGAGGAAGGCCTGGGTCCAAGCCCAGCCCCGGTCCTCGCTCTCAATCATCTGAATCTCGTCGATGACGGCAACGTCGACCCTGGAGTTCAGCGGCGTCATCTCCACGGTACAGCTGTGGAACCAGGTATCGGCGTTTGACGGGATCCTCATCTCCTCGCCCGTGATCAGGGCGCATGCCTTGTTTTTGGCAGTAAAGCGGTTCCAGACCTCGTGGGCCAGGAGGCGTAACGGGCCGGCGTAGATGCCTGTCCGCGCGTTCTCGAGCGCCTTCAGGGCATTGTACGTCTTGCCCGAGTTGGTGGGCCCAACGTGGAGGTGAATGGTGCGCTGAATCATGCGCGTGGCCGGGTACCACTCGTAGGGATTGCGCATGTCGGCCAGGTCCCTGTGCAGCTGGTTGACGGCCTCGGGGAAGCGGTCGCGCATCATGAAGGTTTGAAAGGCGAGCTGGAGTTCGCGGGTCAGGCCCTCGGTTTCTTGGCGGATGAAGGCGTTGCGCAGGTTCCAGAACAGTGGATTTTCCTGCCGGTTGATCTTCTTCTTAGCCATGGCGAGCTCAAAGGCTTCGGTCAGGGTTGCCTTGAACAAGCCGGCCTGTCGTTCCACGTCCAACTGGCTTTTGACGCCGAAGGAGCGCCACTCTTCCTTATTCTCCGCCCAGTTGCCCATCGACTCGAGGATATGTTTAAAGCGCGACTCTGCAAGGGACTGAAAAATCTGGTAGTTCTGCTTCATCACGAAGTGCGGGCGCCTCAGATCTGGACTGTCAGGCTTGAGCAGGTTGAGCAGCTGCCTAGGATTGACGGGCTTCTAAGAACGAGCACAAATAACCGGTCAGCGGCGGCACCTTCCCAAGACACGGATTTTAGAGAGGGAAGTTGTGCGGCTAGCAATGTGCTACCTACTCTAGGGTCTCGCGCAGGCACCCTCCATGGCGCGGTTCTGGCAGAGCGCCATCGCCGTGGAACCAGAACCGCACGTTGGGGCGGTCTCCAGGCGGTCCCAAACAACGATTTCATTGCAGCGTCGGGAGAGTGGTTGAAATCATGCTTGTTCTCTGCTGAGCGAAGATTCGCTTGGATCCTACTCCAGCAGCGCGTCGACTAACGATATGTACTGTGTAATAGTACTAGTACTATCGTTGACGGGGGCGATGAAGAAATCTATTTCCAGGGTTCGGGCTTTCCGCTTTCAGACGGTTAGTTAGTTAGTCGTTATCTTATCAGCTACTGTAGGCCGCCTGGGGCCTTGGGCATTGACCTACCATTCCACCTTTACTCGGTGCCAAGACGAAGTTGGCCCGGCTCCGTCATCGTGGGAGTTTGGTAGTTCAGCCAGTTGCAACACGAAGCATCAGCGATTCATCAGTGCATCGAGCGTCATCTCCACCTCGTAGCGGCACCAATTCCGACAACAATACCATCGACTAGCGTGTTCGTTCAAGATGGCATCGTCCTCCACGCCAGCGACACCGCTGCTCTAGTGTGTCCCCCTGCAAACCTCTAAACCGTCGCCAACCCAAACGCTAACCCACCACTCCAGCGCCTGCATAGCGCACAACACGACCATCCTCGCAGAGTGCACCACATCCGCGTCGTCGCAAACCTCCTCCCTCGCGTCCCTAATCCTCCCCAAGATCGACCACTCCGCCCCGCAAAAGCTCACCTACACCCACGGCAACCATCACATCCACTACATCGCCTCGTCGCCCTCCGAATACCCACCCGCGCAACCCACGGCAGGCGGGCTCACCTACCTGGTCATCTCCGACGCGTCCGCCATTAACCGGCGGCTGGCCTTTGGCTTCCTCACTGAGCTGCGCAAGCGATTCCTCGAGCAGTACCCCGCCGAGACAACCGATTTCTCCGATCTACCCAACTATGGCGCGGCCGGGTTCAACGGCGAGATGAGGGGGCTGATGGTGGAATATGGGCGGGTGAACGAGCAAGGCGACGATGCGATTACCAACGTGCGGAGGGAAATCGATGATGTGCGGGGGATCATGACAAGGAATATCGAGGGGTTGTTGGAGAGGGGGGAGAGGATTGATTTGCTTGTGGACAAGACAGATCGGCTGGGCGGCAATGCGCGGGAGTTCAGGGTCAGGAGTAGGGGACTGAAGAGGAGGATGTGGTGGAAAAACGTGAAGCTGATGGGGTTGTTGGGGTTTGTGGTGGTGCTGATCATTGTGACGATTGTGGTCTCGGTGAAGAGTGTCTGAGGGGAAGGAGGGTTGGATGGGTTCCGGCTTGGTCTCATGGCGTTTCGGATTTACTCAATCTCGTGCTCGTGTACCTATTGTATATGTGATTGCCTGGCAGGAAGCGATGCGCCGTTTGAAGCTGTGGTTTCCTCTCCGATTTCCAATTCAAGTTAACTTTCCGCCGCCTAGTCTATATTATCCTCTAACAAAACGAATAATCGAATACAGACCATATGCTAGCCTCGGTATCTCTCGACGTGCGACGCTTAATGGTGAGTTATGAACGCCAGTGCTGCTGCACACCATCAGAACGAGTTTCTTCAGCCCGCCCCCCAGAAAAGAAACTACAACCTCCTCTTCCACGTTCATAACCGCGGACCAGCCGACTTCGCACTGCCCCGGGGCGCATCCCGGTAGACGTAACCATGCGCAACCGGACTCGAATGTAGACCTGACAAGACGTCCAATGGCGGCCGGCGCAGCTTGTCTGTAAAGAAGACGGGATGGCAGGAGGATGAATTGCGAAGTTGCTGCGTTTGCGTCTGTCTTCCCCATATAGCTTGGCAAGGGGCAACCAAATCTGGCATCGCTGACGGGCGTGGCAGCGCAGACGCTGGTGGTGATGGAGGTTGCAGTGCCGCTGCCATGGCGCAGTGTCGTGTAGGTGGTCGGTAGATGGATGAGATACCGTGAGTACTCTCGGCTAGATAACTTGGTACCGAGGTGGCTGCTTGCTCGGGAGCCGATTGGATTTCGTCGTAAGGGCTTCAAATCGAAGGTGCACCAGGGTTATATAAAGTTTGTTCCAGGTCTAACAGCAATTCCATTTGCCTCGGACTCTTTATCCAAGGCAACGGAAATCACCTCGGGCAGTTGTGTGGCAGGTCTTGGTCCTCACGATGACGTCCCGTCTTAGCGTCTTCACGTGCCGAAGGGGCCCCGCTTGCCGTTCCAGCTGGCGGCAAATTGGATGGTGGGGCCACAGCTGGGTTAGCCTCGGGCTTGTTCTCACCGAGCACCCGAGTCGGGCAGTCAGGGGAGTAAACAAATACTCATCCCGACGATTATGGCGGTTACCTAGCACCATTTCCCGTTGATTTTGCCTTATTGCCGTTTTTCTTCTGGCCTTCCTTGGGTTCCTTGGTCGCCTTGGCCTTGCCCTTCTTGATGGCGCCGACGAGTGCCTCGATTTCCTCGACCTGAGCGGCCTGCTTCGCCTCCTCTTCCCTCTTCTGCTGCTCCTTCTTCGCCTTGGCTCTCTTGATAGCGAGCTCCTTCTCCACCCGCTCAATCAGCTTGTCGCTCGACTCCCACAGCTTCTTAGCGACGTCTTCGTCATCCACGTCCTTCCTCGCGCAGTCCACCTCCATGCACTCCTTGATCAGCCTGCCTCCCGGCCCTCTCCCTAGGCTGCCCTCCATCGTCGCGTAGAGAACTGACTGGGCCGCCATCTGGGGGCTCTTCAAGAGCAACCACGCAAACAGGTAGAGAACCACGTAGAGCAGCAGTCCCCACAGCGCGCCTCTTGTAAGCCATCTTCTCATGCCCGCCGTGCGCGCATAGCCTGGATCGACCAGCACGACCCTGGCATTCATGGGTAGCGTATCCGGCCGCTTATACGCATCCAAATGCTTCTGATAGGCTTTGGCGAACACCATCATGGCGAGCTTGCTCCTCGCATAGGCCCTCCCCGGCGTCCAATCCTTATCGTTCCCACCCTGCATCACATCCTCCAAATCCAGCTTCGGCGACGCGATGTAGCTCGAGCAGGTGGGCACCACAATCCTCACATCCCGATCAAACGGCTGCGCGCGGATCGCCGGGCTGAGGATGCCCAGCAGGTGAAAGTTGGCCAAGAAATTGACCATCCAGGTCATCTCCACGCCCTCGGCCGTCACGGCCCTTTTCCCGCCGGGCGGCGTCAGCGTCGACGCGCACAGAACCACCATGTCCAACCGTCTCGGCGGTGCATTGTCGATCCACCGCGTCGCAAACTGCCGGATGCTGTACAAATCGGCCAGGTCGACCTGCTCGGCGTAGATCAACTGGTTGCCGGTCTTGGCGCGCAGGTCGTCGATGTACTCGACCAGGAAAGGGTCGGACGGCGGCTGGCGCGTGAGCAGGCAGAGCTGGGCGCCGCGCCGCGCCAACTCGTAGGCTGTCTCGGCGCCAATTCCCGAGGTCCCGCCCGTCATCAGCACCACGCGGCCGTGCATGTTGCGCTCGGCCGGGTTGCGGCGTCCGGAGGTGTACCATTTGGTCAGCGCGACGGTGCCGAGCCCCGTGGCCCATTTTAGTAGCAGATACGGGTCGGGAAACCACGACGGGAGGCCTTCGAAGTAGGCGGCGGCAATGAGCTGGAGTGGCATCGCGACGGTGTTATCGGGGCATTTCTGGGTGGTGGTTTGTTGATTGACTCGAGCTTTGAGCTTTGCCGATGGTTTTGAGGTGGACGTGGACGGAAATTTCAGGGAGCAGCACTGACGTATGGCGCCCTGACCCCCAATCTCAGGCCCCATTTGGCGTTGACAGGGGCTCGCTGCAGCGGGCCGTTGCGCCACCTTGGGGCTTCTAGAATGGAATTTCCGAAGGTTCCATCCAGGTTCCATTGGATTAAGGTTCGAGCGCATGTGGTTCACATCCCCACGGCAACTCCCTTCATCAATCTTAGACTTGAATTTCATCCACATCCCTGCGGCGATTCCGTATCTCATCACATTACGGACCAGTCTTCAGAGCGGCCCATAGCTCGGACACCTGGGCGCCGTGTTTGAAAAGGAAATGAGTCTCCAAAAGGACAAGGACATCGAAGACGACGACTATGACGACATTCCCCTACAGCACAAGCGGCCATTTGGGGCTGGACTGCACAGGAAACCAATAGCCTTTGTGTCTGCATCAGATGGCGATGGCCATCTCAAGTCAGTCGACGATGCGGCCGTGGACAAAGGCAAGACGGATGTTGCAGATCTGTATCTCAGCATGGTCCTGCCGGACGATGCCACGAGGTCCAAATCGGCACCGCCCTCTTCAGGCAGCGCCAGGGACAACGAACGTCCGGAAAGCGAACTGTGCGCAGTCTGCAGGCTTCCTCTTGGGACAGACAAGGAGACGCACGAGCAATCGTTCGCCCACCAGGTCTGCCTGCCATATTCACAGCCACCTTCCGCTTTGGACCGCTCGCGCAAGGGCCTCGCCTACCTCTCGGCTTACGGCTGGGATCCTGACGCGAGAAGGGGGCTCGGCGCGGAACAGCAGGGCATCCAGTATCCCATCAAACCCAAAGTGAAGGATGACAACCTCGGCATCGGCATGGAAGTACCGAAAGGCCTGCCGCCACCCAAGAAGAAGGAGCAGCTGCTGGATGCCAAGAAGGTCAGGAAGATGGCTCTCGACGAGAAGAAGAAGGCGGCAAGGATCCACCAAGAGCTGTTTGGCGATAGCAAGCTGGAGAAGTATCTCGGCAAGCGTGGCACTAGGTGATGTCTACAACTCCGTATCACCGAGCCGCAGCGTATTGGTTTCCCAGCTAGGAGCGGTGTGCAACTGTTGGTCGGTCACCGCAGGAATGGCTCCTGCATTGGTCCGTTTCTCTTCACTGTTTGTGCCATTAGCAAGGGCGACACCAGGGATGACAATGGCGTGACCGAGAGAGCCGAGGCGTGTTCCTCTGGGGGCCGTTTCTAGTCACGAGATCTTTACGGGAGCGCCTCTCAACGATGATAGCCTTACGGACCTCAGGACAAGATCGGACATTCTTCCGAACGATCTTGACTCTTTCCAAGGTCATGCTCAACAGGGTAGATGGGATGTATCACCCGAAATGGCCGGCATACTGGAAATCGCCCGCCGGGCAACCTCACCGCTCCGCTGCGAGGTCTACGCCCATCATGAAGCGGAATATGACGATCCAGAATACTTCATTACGCTCACCACCGAACCGATGACGGAAGACGACTACCTGCGGCACTACTATCAGACGCGGCGACGAATCAACGCCCGCACGATGGGGCTGTGTCATTACGGTTGAGCGACTTGACCACGGTTAGACGGGCCTTCACAAATGAATGTCATGCCATCCTCAAGCGGGATCTTTAAGAAGAGCGCATCAGCCAAAGGCTAGTTATTACAAGGGCAATAGGCGCCAAACGGATGCCAGCGATACAGGAATTGCCCAGGAATTGGTGGAGCTGGTCATGGTAAAGACAAAAAGGTCGCTTGATGCCAGTTTTGATCCGTTCCGAAATGGTTGTGGCGCATGGTAGCACGTCACAGTGGAAGAGGCTGCTGGAGGAAGACGATCCTGAGATGCAAAGTTCAAAGCGGTAAAGAGCTTCGGCTTGGGACGCAGTCACTGAATTCGTGTTCAAGGACGTACGTGATGGTAGGGGTAGCCCTGGGGCTAGCAGTAGTACCTTACTTATCGCAGTCTTCACCATGACTGAAGAGACAAGAATCATGACCCTGCGAATCAACAAACTTGACCACAACTTCTCCCGTCCCAACAAGCACCGCCGTCCTGCGCGGTCACACGGTCTCCCTGTCGACAATTTGTCGGAAGTCGGAACCCGTCGCAGTGGCAAAGACAGCGTAAAAAAGGAGGAGTGGAGTCGTCCTCCTCCTCCGTGGACCCAAAAAGTTCCAAAACATACAACACCGAGGATTCCTCAGTCGTCACCGACCTGAGTACTGATTCGGCCCTTGGTAGCTTGACGAGGGCAGAGCGGACGGGATGCCGTATATTCTACCAGGTATGGTCGTATGTGACAGATCGGGCTTGCTGCCGTCCCCTAAGAAGTCGGTTCGAGGACTCGTATTAACTAGGTGGGTAACCTTAGATGCGTTTTCCAGTCAAAGAAGAACTCGACCTGGCGAGAGGGAGTAATGGAGCAAATAACGTGCAAGTAGCTGGAGAGAATCGTATTAGGTCATGGGAAAATGTCTCGCAGATTCAAGAGCTCCGAGGTCGGTATAGGAGAGGGTGTAGGTAGTTGATCGGGAGCTTGGTTTAAGTAAACAACACGTACGAATTATTGGTGTGCCTCGATTGCCTGAACTAAACTTGCTAAATGAGGGATGTGGCATGTCAAGTGATCTCAAGAGTTCAGAGTTCTTTTATGCGATCCTTGAAGGGACGAGGGTTGGATGAAAGGGGGTGGCTGTTGGGTGCATGGATGGATTGTTTGGTATTTTCCCGAAACGGAAACCGGCTCCCGTAGAGCAAAGGCTTGGGAAACTATGGCACTAAATAGGGCCAAGAACGCATTGTTAATTCTCTCCCTCATCTTTGCTTTCCCACTCGCTCCTAGTCTTAGCTTGCGTATAATTCACCCCTAGCGGGCGGTGTCCACACTTGCCACGCGTTAGGAAACCAGATACCTATGTATGCTTCATATAGACAGACGTGACAGGATAGGTATGATATCCAATGACGGATTCACTGCTGCTACCAACTTCCCTTTCTCCTGCATCATGCTTACCAACCCTCTGAGGTCGGGTCTCAAATGGTGATAAGTACTAGGTACCTAGGTACTAGGAGTAGGAGCACCAGCTCCCTCCCTTTCCCTTCGTCCCTCCTCCCCCTCGCCTTGTAACACTAAGCCCTGCCATCCTCACCCACCTTCCACCTCCCGCTCCCATCATGCTTCTTCTCCACCACCCCAGCAGTATCCACCCTCGGCGCCGGCGGCAGCACAACCTTCCCTTCCACGCGCCACTCCATCCCAACATACGCGTCACTGAGCACAAGCACATCCACCTTCCTCTCACCATCCTCTCCGTCTCCATCCAGAGCTGGAACCCTAACCGTCGCCCTAGCCGTAGGCCGTTGCCCAACCTCCAACCCCATCCCTTTCCCCCTCGCATCTTTCCTAGCACCAGCACTCCAGCTAACTCGCTTGATCGCAAGGACCTCGTCCCTTGCGACATCACAAACAACCACAAAATACCCTTCTGTCTGCGGTTTGGGGAAGCGCGGCGCATAGACGCGAGCGTCGCGCTCGACGAGGGGGTTGAGCCGTTTCAGGGAGATGGCGAGGGCGTCTGTTTTGAGCTCGTCGACTGCGACCTGCAAGTGAGGGAGGGTGGATGCTGCTTTCTGGAAGCGCGGGGTTTGGAGTTGCGAAGGAGGGATGGATAGGTCGTGGGCTAGTTTGTTGATTGCCTGCGGCGGCGGGGGTTGTTTAGGAGAGGAGGAGAAGATGCGGGCGATTTCCGCCAGCTCGACCTTCTTCTTCTTCCCACTAGTACTAGTGCTAATTTCGTCCACGCCGGGGAGGATCGACGCCGGACTCTCGTCGGGCCAGCGGGCCGACTTGACGCACTGCAGCAGCGCCATGAACTGCAGCATGGAACTTAGATAGCCCAGCTCGGCCATGACGTCGATGCTGGCCTGGAGGATGCGCACGGCCTGGTCGAGCACGCTGGTCTGGTCGCCGACGTAGTCGGTGATGGGAAGGCTCACGCGGGAGAAGTGCGCCTGCAGGAGCAAGAAGGCCTTCACGTGCGGGTCCCACATGGGCAGGCCGAAGGCGGTGGCCGGGAAGGGCAGGTTGCGCGACAGCTCGGCGTTGATCAGGTCCTCGTTGTGTCGCACGGGCAACTCGTCGTACTCGGTGGCGCGGCACATCCACGAGAGCGCGTCGAGGAAGGAGGCCTGCGGCTTAGCCTGGCGCACCAGGTGGCGGATGGTCTTGTGCGAGAGGTAGTAGTAGCTCATGATCTTTCCCAGTGGGGTCGGGTCGATGTCGCCGTTGGGGTAGACGTCGACGCACTTGGAGTCGACGAGCGCGGCGAGGGAGGCGTCGACCATGGAGATCATGAAGTCGTTGGCGAGCTGCTGCGCGGCGGTCGAGTTGTGCTCCTCGGCCGAGATCTCGAGCCCGTAGTACGACGGGTTCTTGTGCAGGCGGCGGAAGAAGAAGGTCCAGGTGAGGTAGTCGAGCGCGTCCTGCTTCGTCACGACCGTCTCGGCGCAGATCTCGGCGCACAAGTGGTTGTCGAGCACGGTGTGCAGCGACGACTCGACGGGGAAGCCCGTGTGCAGGAAGTGCTTGTAGAAGTCCTTCTTGGCGTCCTGCGTGAAGATGCGCGCGACGCCCGAGTCGTCAAACTGCGGGCGCCCGGCGCGGCCCAGCATCTGCAGCACGTCGGTCAGGTCCATGTCCCGGTAGGCCTCGATCTTGGCGTCGTAGTACTGCGTGCCCTTGACCACGACCAGATGGGCGGGGAGGTTGACGCCCCAGGCGAGCGTGCTGGTGGCGATCAGGATCTGGATCTTGTTGTGCAGGAACAGCTCCTCGGCCAGCTGCCGGTCCGACTCGACCAGGCCGGCGTGGTGCAGCCCGATGCCGAAGCTGAGGGCCTCCCGGAGCGCCTCGTCCTTGACGCGCGCCAGGTTCAGCTGCAGGTCGTCCTCGTCCATGTGGAGGAAGCGCCGCGGGTTGTCTTCCATGCCGCAGAGGTTGATGAGGTCCTTGGCCGTGAGCCGCGTCTGCCGGCGCGACGGCACGAACACGATGACCGGCTTGTCCGGGCTGTGGTTCAGGATGGCCAGGAAGGTCGGCCGGTTCATCGACTGCATCAACGGGCAGAAGCCGCGCACCTCGGGGAAGCCGTCGATGTAGAGCTCCAGCGGCACGGGCCGCACCGAGTGGCGGAAGTTGAACAGGCCCTCCCCGCCCCTGACGCCCAGCCAGTTGGCCAGATCGGCCGCGTTGGCGCAGGCCGTCGACATGCCCAGGAGGCGCACCGCCTTCTTGGTCGACGCGGCGATGTAGTTCATGCGCGACACGATGATCTCCAGGATCGGCCCGCGGTCGCCGGCCAGCAGGTGGATCTCGTCGATGATGACGAGGCTGACCTGGCGGACGTAGCCGCGCGTCTGCCAGCTGCGCGAGATGCCGTCCCATTTCTCGGGCGTCGTGACGATGATGTCGGCGTCCTGGATCGTGCGCGTGTCCGGCGTGTTGTCGCCCGTCAGCTCCACCAGCCGCAGGCCCAGCGGCCGCGCGAGCCGCGCGCCCCAGTCCTTGACGCGCTCGCGCACCAGCGCCTTCATCGGCGCGATGTACACCACCTTGGACCCCGGCCGCTCGCGGAAGGCCCACCACATGGCCAGCTCGGCCGCCACCGTCTTGCCGCTGCCCGTCGGCGAGCCGAGGAGCACGTTCACGGGCCGGTGGTACAGCGTGTGGAACAGCTGCGTCTGCATCGGGTTGAAGAAGCGGAAGCGCTGCGCGTACAGCTCCTCCAGCGCCCGGTTCTGTAGCGCCGACACGGGTAGCGGCTGTAGGCTCAGCAGGTCCGTGTAGACGCTCTCGGTGTCGGGCCGGATGAGGTGCTGGAACGAGACGGCCGTCACCGTCTCGGCGCCGAGCCAGCGGTCCGAGACGGCCCGCACGTAGATCTGGTTGGGCAGCGGGTCGGCCAGCGGGATGGTGAAGTTGAGCTCGTGGTCGTCGTGCAGCTTGCGCCGGTTGAGGATGAAGAACTCGTGGTGGTAGATCTCGGACGTGTCCGAGTTCTCGACCCAAATGTAGTACGACTCGGACGTGCCGTGCAGCTGGTCGTTCCACCGGAAGTCGGGCGTGACGTAGAGCTTGATGCGCAGCACGTCGCGGTTCAGCGGCGCAATCTCGGCCTCGACGCTCAGGGTCGGGAAGTTGTCGAGCAGCCTCGCGATCCGGGCGCCCATGCGATAGTTGTTGACCAGGTTGCCGATCTCGGCGGGCTCCATCTCGCGCATGGCCTCGATCGACAGCGCCTCCTTCGTGTCCAGGTTGTTCAGCACGGGCTTCGGCAAGTCGAACTGGTGGAAGGGGTGCTGGAAGGCCCAGAGCCGCTTCTCGATCGACTTGGCCATGGTCAGCAGCACCAGGCACTGGTAGCCCCAGCGCCGGTTCAGCGCCATCATGAACAGCGCGCGGCAGATGCGCCCGGCCTGCTGCGCGACGTAGTTCAGGTCGTTGGTCAGCGCGAAGTCGTCCGGCTGCGCGCGCGAGATGTACGCCTGCAGCAGGATGTTGGTCTTGGTCTGCGGCTGGTCGATGCCGCCGCCGACCTCGTACGGCACGAAGTGGGTGTTCTTGCGCATGGCCGCCAGCTCGCCGGCCTCGTTGTTGCGCGACTGGATGTTGTCGAACTCGCCGCTCATGGCGATCATCATCAGGATGTCCCGCTCGCCCGCGTCGGGCTTCATCAGCGAGTTGAAGACCTGGATGCTGGTGTGCTGGATGTAGTACTGGCTGGCGATGCGCCCGATGTCCTTGCTGCGCAGCTCCTCGGTCGGCTCGTTGAAGATGATCATCTGGCTCTGCTGCAGCGTGCGCGCCGCCTGCATGGCCAGCTTGCGCCGCCGCTGCACCAGGCTGCGGTCGCTGTCGAACTCGGCCCACTCGATGCCGTACGCCATCGGGTTGCGCTTCATGCGGACAAACAGGTACGAGTAGCCGATCCACTTGACCGCATCCGTGATGGAGTTGACCGTGCCCAGCGCGATCTCGGCGTTCAGGTTGTCGACGAGCTTGGCCGAGAAGCGCGACTCGATCGGCAGCTGGTCCGTCACGGCCGTCAGGTAGTGCGCCAGCTTGTCGTGCGTCGTGCAGATCATGCCGATGCCCACGTCCTCGAACTGCGGACGGCCCGCGCGCCCGAAGATCTGCAGCACGTCGAGGATGCCCAGGTCGACAAACTTGCCGTCCTGCGCGCTGTACACCTGCGTGCCCTTGATCACCACCGCCGCCGCCGGCAGGTTGACGCCCCAGGCCAGCGTGGCCGTGCAGCAGAGCACCTTGATGACGCCCTCGGAGAAGAGCCGCTCCATGAGGTTCCGGTCCGACCGGGCCATGCCGGCGTGGTGGATGCCCAGGCCCTTGGGCACGAGGTCGCGTATCTCGCGCGCCTTGGTGGACCTGACGTCCTTTATGGCCGCCTCGTACCGCTCGTGGCCGCTGGGGTCGAAGAGCCCGACGCAGGCCTGGTCCGTCGCCTTCTCGTACAGCATCTTGGCCGTCGCCTGCGTGTCGCGCCGCGAGTGCACAAAGACCATGACCTGGTGGTCCTGCTCCAGCATCTCGCGCACCTTCTCAAACGCCACCTGGTCGAGGTTCTCGCGCGACTGCTTGCTGTTCGCCTTGCCCTTGACGCCAATGAAGTGCTGCTCCAGCGGTACCGGCCGGAACGACGCATCGAAGTAGAACAGACCCGCCCTCTTGTTGACGCCCAGGAAATCGGCCACGTCCACAAAGTTGGGCAGCGTGGCGCTGAGGCCGACGATGCGGATCAGAGACTGCGTGCTCTCGACCTGCCGCTGCGTCCGGGCCACCAGCGACTCCAGCACGGCGCCCCTCTCGTCGTGGAGCATGTGCACCTCGTCGATGATGAGCAGCCGCACCTTCTGCACCAGCTCCGTGTCGCCGGTCCCCTTCCTCGTCACCACGTCCCACTTCTCGGGCGTCGTGACAATGATCTGCGTCTGCACAATCTCGGATTTGGTCAGGTGCATGTCGCCCGTGTACTCGCGGCAGCGCAGCCCGAGCCAGGCCAGCCGCTTGCCGAGCTTCTCGGTGATCTCGGCCGCCAGCGCCTTCATGGGCGCGACATAGACAATCTTGAAATCCTCCGCCTGCACGGCAAAGTCGGTGGCCGAGTGGTCCTCGAACGGGCTCGGCGTGAGGTACTGGCCGACCGTGTGTAGGATGGTCAGCATGGCCGCGTCCGTCTTGCCAGCGCCCGTCGGGGCGCAAATCAGCATGTTCTCGCTCGTCTTGTACGCCACCGGGTAGACCAGGCTCTGCATGCGGTTGAGCGTCTTGTAGCCCCGAAAAGTGTTCCGGCACAGCCCGTCCAGGTCCGAGATCTTGACGAGCTTCTGCCCGGGCCACAGCGTGCCCGGCTTTCCCGCGGGGATCACGTACTCCTCGTACTTCTCAAACTCCATCCGCTGGCTGCCCACCGGCAGCTTGTACCTCGACCCGTTGGCGCTCAGCGTGTTTCCGGCATTATACCTCTTGTAGACGTGCGGGTAGTCCTCCTCCTTTTCGCGAGCTGCGGCTAGGGGCGTGGCCTTGTGCTCGAGGTCTCTGCGCCGAAGGGCCTCCTGCCTCTGCGCCTTCGTCAACAGCCTCGGCGCCCGACCAGTCTGCTCATCACGGAGCTTCTCCGAGGCCATGGACGCAACAATCTCGGCCCTGTGGGACACCAGGTCGATGACGAAGTCCAGATCGTCAAAGCCCACCAGGTCCGTCAGTTGCGACTGGAGCTCGCCCTCGGGCCGGCTGGTGGCCAGAATATCCATGATCTGGTCCTGCAGATTCCCCGGTGAGAGGCCGGATTTCCGCGACGACACATCGGCGCATCTCGCCGCCAGCCATTGGACGTCGTAGGCGCCCGCAGCTTCGGCTTCGCCATCGACGCCGTCAAACAGATCGCCGCTGTCGAAGTCAATCTCGTCCAGCTCATCGTCCGAGATGAAGTCCCAAACATCCCGCGGGCCATCTCGGGGCGCGTACACTCGGTCAATCTCATCCTCGTCCCAGTCTGACCCGTCTGCACTTTCCATGTTGACCGTGGTTGGCAACGCTGCCACCGCGGCCTTCATAGCCTCTGCTTGGGCGCGCCATTCTGTGATGGTTGAGCAGGTCCCTTGTAACGATGAGCTTGCCATTTTGCTGGACTGTGTTTGGGTGTCTGTCCGGTCAGGTTCCAAGTCCACTTTCCTGAAATAGTAGCGCCTAGTGAATGAGTTGCCTGATTGACCTGCGTTTGCTCAAGTTGCTGCAGGGAACTGCGATAATTGGTAAAATCGCCGGGCCACGGAGTAATAAGGTACTAGTAGGTGGCAGGTAAGCAGTTAGACAGCCAGAACATCAGAGCCTTTGGGTATTTTCATCTTTTTGCCCAGCGGTAGCTGTGAGATAACTGCCCGTTTTGAGTCAGCCCGGTGAGAGGAGTGCCCACAATTCTTGCTGCTACGAACTGAATGGAGCCACCATCGACGGAGAATAATGACCTAATACTACTTTATATAGTTGAGTGGTCGTCACAAACATCAGCGATGAACTAACATGGAAGTGTTCTTGATAACGTGGCCAACTGCTAATATCGCAGAACTAAGCCACCTGATCGCAACCATCAACTCTCCTCTTCGGTCCGTTGTCCTTGTACTGTATTGTATGTATTGTACAGTACGTACATGTACGAGATCTTATCGAAACAACGGGTTATTTACTGTAAGTTACATTTGAAATGTACCGGTATGTACGAAACACTCGTTCCAGAGACGGCTCCGTTGTAATTTCGTATGCACAGCCGCCCCTTTCAGCCTCCCCAAGTCATTTCATTAGCCGATGACACAGGTTGGAGATAAATATGTATTAGTACCAAAGTTCAACACAAGAGAAAGGCCCCGAACTCCATGACCAGATACCTAGATACTGCTCCCCTGATCTCTAACCTGCCTTCCTGAAGTGGTTGCTTGCCTGCTCGTTTGCCCTCTATGCACCGGCCGAACGAGTTCCCATCTAGAAATGACAAGAACGGCTCAAGGAGAATGCCCGATTAAGGAGAACGCAATCAGTATGGCGGGCACCTCACGTTCCCTCCAATCCCCCGCTCCAACCACACAGCCGCTCACCCTCCGTAATCGTGCTGCCTATATCATATCTGCCTCCCCGTCATTTCCTGCTGGCCCACCCTCATCTCCTCCTGCTGCCTGACCCCGCCGTCTGCACCGAGGACCTCCCTCGGCTGTGATCTGGTCCTCCCGATTAACCAATTTTTGAACTGTCGGGGTCGAAACTGTATATGCGTGGCCCGGGTAACGGGTATCCGTAGAAGGGGCGGTGTCAAGATGGCGCTCCAAGCGAGTAAGGTACCTCGCCAGCGCTTTCCGCTCTCGTCATGATGCGCCGTAAGCGTCCCTACGTCTCGCGTCCACCCCTTGCCTCCCTTCCCAAAAGGCCACCTCTTCATCCCATCTTAGCAGCACTTCCCTCCAGCCCCAGCTCCTCCTTGCTCAGCGACGTTCACCGCCGGCCCGGCACCAGCCTGTTCGGGCTTCGACGTGTCGATGATGCGCTTCTTGATGTCGGCCGCGAGGCTATAGAATGCTTTGTCGATGTTGGTGTTGGTCTTGGCTGACACTTCGAGGAACGGAATGCCGAGCTCATCAGCCAATTGCTGCCCCCGTTCCGTCGACACGACCCGCTTCTCCTCCCAGTCGCACTTGTTGCCGATGAGGATCTTGTTCACGCCCTCTGTCGCATGCTGCTCCACATTTGCGAACCACGTCCGGATATCTGCGTAGATGGCTCATGTCAGCATACCGTTCTTTCCCATTACCCTTGCGGTAACAAGGTTCGAGACCGGGCTGAACGTACTGTTAAACGACCTCTCGTCGGTCACGTCGTAGACCAGCAGAATCCCCATTGCGCCTCTGTAGTACGCTGTTGTGATCGTCCGGAACCGCTCCTGCCCGGCTGTATCCCAGATCTGTAGCTTCACCCGCTTGCCATCGAGCTCGATTGTCCGTATCTTGAAGTCGATGCCGATAGTCGTGATGAACGATGGCGTGAACGAGTCCTCGCTGAAGCGTAGCAAGCAGCACGACTTGCCTACGCCCGAGTCACCGATCAACAGCAGCTTGATCTGTCGGAACGGACAGTGTCAGCAAGCATGGCCAGGGGTAGAGCTATCGCATTGCGCGTGTCATGGCAGTGACAGCATCGGCGAAGGGGCCATTACCAGAAAATCGTAGTTTCTATTGTTTGACGACATCGTGAAGGCGAGAAAGGGGTGATGCCCGCTTTGATTCGGCTCGGTTAGATGGTCAAGGCCCGGATCGGTTGAGGGAACGGAGCGGAATGATTTAACTGCAGACAGGGAGTCGTGCAGCCAAAGAGCGGATCTGTTCCAGAGGTTTGCGGCTTCCGATGTGCGACAATGGGCGAACTGGGTAACAGTCAGTACGAAACTATTGCCGTCTTTCTGTGTCCAAAGGAGTGGCTCAACGGCGAATGCGGTCAACGACCAAGGACTCGGTAACTGTTGCAGTACAATAAAAGTAGGTCGCGCAGGCAGCGAGAAACTAGACCAGATAACGTCGGAGCGGGACAGAACTGTTGACGGCGGGAAGGGAGAGGATAGCCGGGATGACGGAAGCTGACGCACTTACGGCAGGAGACGCCTGGCACAAGGAACTGTCCTGATTTCCAAGTGCCTAGAGGCGCTATTACTCGTCACCGGAACGGCGCGTTTGTAGGTTCAACGATCTCGTCTGTACGGTGCCGGCCCAAGATGTCCAAAGTAGCAGAAAATCTAATTGCAGACGTGATCTCTGAGACATGAACGACCCTGAGCGTTTCCCAGGAGGTGAAGTCGTTGGGTTGGACGAGACTGGGAAGTGGCGCATTCTGGCCCCAGCAACGCAATTGATCAGGGGCCCATTGTCAGAAAATGCCCCGCCGCTTCATTGATACATACATGCTCCCGACACACGTTACGCCACCACGTGTTCGTTGTAATAATTACCTACCTATCCTCAAGGTGTAATCCGAAGTGAATTGCGGATGACGAGTAGTGACATAAAATTGCCAGACGAGATGTAAGTATCCGAAATGGAGAGCTCGCTAGGGTCAATCTCGTAGGGCAGAGCAATCGGGGATCGAGGCATTTGTTCTGAAGATAGAAGCCCCGTGTCACTTCCATGGTGGAGCTACTAACTACCTAAGTAGGTAAGGAGCCCCGGCAATAAGTCAACTACAATTTGAATCAAGCCAGTCCTATCTTTTATTGTACACCATGCGCCGCCAGTTTTCCGTATGCTATGCTATGTCGTTGCTATCGTTATGCAGTGTCTTCTTAGAATGCTCCCCCAGATACTCCGCTAGCTAAGATGACACAAACCGGTTCACACCCCTGCTACGCTCAGCTGTCAAGTAACTACTTCATCCTGCTCAACCACTCGGCATACGCCCAACGGATCCTGTCCAGCGCTTTCATCTGTACTTGGATCCCTTTGAGGTTGGCCAGCTCATCGAGGTCTTCGAGGAACTCCTTCTCAATGTCGCCCGGGAGCATGCCATGTGCCAGCTCCCGCAGAACATGGACTTCGCAGACTAAAAGACCGTGGTCGCGGTAGGAGATAACATTGTTCTGCGACGTGGTTGCCTCGGACAAGATTCTGTCGATTTTCCGCAGTACCCGGACGCTGCGTCTGACCCTCTGACTATGGCGCATACCCTTGCGGCTACCAAAGACTGTTCTGAGGTATCGGTAAACGCCGATTGAGACTAACGGCCGGTCAGTGGGTGAAATGAAGGTTCAGGGGCCAAACGCGGAGCTCACCAAGAACACCGGGAGTGAGCCCAACAAAGCCAAAGACCAACTCTTGACTCTTCAGCAAGGCATCGATCCCGCTGAGCGCCACCTCGAGGTCGACCTTGGTCTTCTGCACCTGGATGAGCAACGACCGGACGAGTTCCCCGCTGACGGCGCCCACGATCGGCCGCCGTAGGTCCTTCTCGTATGCTTTCAGAACGGGGGTCACATCGCCTTCCTTTACCTTGGACCGGATTTCCACAATTTGGCCGTCGGTAATGGCTGAGTTCCCAACTGCAATGTCGGGGTTATCGATCGCGAACTCAACCACCATCCGCTCGAGGCTATCGCGGTCGGCTTTCAGACTGTCCCGGCTCATAATTGCAAACTCGCTGTTGTCGTCGTGCCGGATCGTGCCGACGATCTTGCGGACAGGTTCGATGACCCAGTTGAACCAGAAGTCGCGAGCGGTGGCGCCAAAGTCCCGAATCCAGTTGATGATGTCATCTTGCCTATTGATGAGAATGCGCAGAATCGTGGAGGATGACACAAGAAGAGCGGCGGCTGGAAGCCAATACCTCACGATCCTTGATGGCCGTCCATTCTCGCTAGCAACCTCTGAGGCGGCGACTTGGTGGTATGGGAGCGAAGCCTCAAGAAGGCCGAGGAGTCGTCGGGCAAGGACAGCCGGTCTCTCGGCCGGATGCGAATCCTCGATGTGGATCGACAGTTCCGGATCCTCTTCGACACCTGCGAAAACCTTGTCTTCGAATTCCGAGACGCTGATATCCAGGGAAAGGACCGAGTGTAGGATCATGTCCATCAGCGCCACGCTGCGTTCCAGCATGCCCTTCCACTCGTCGCTGTATGTCTCATCGGCAGCCCCAAAATTGAGCCCCTCGTCCAGCAAGACTCCCAATCCCGTAGCCGTCATTTCTCGGAATTTCCGCAGTCTTGCTTGTTTGTGGCGGGCTTCCGAGCGGCCAATATCGACGCGAGAGAGGATCCTGCGCTGGATATTTCCGATAGATCTCTCTGCGATGCTCTGCCTTACGATACCATAGAACTGGCGCCAATGCCTGGATAATTCGGGATACAGAGATGAGAATCTTCCTGGTCTATGCGCAGCAGCACTCCCATCCTCCTGCTTCGACGCAAGGTCATCTCTTTCTGATGTCTGGCCGGCAATTTCATCACGGTACAAACGCTGAAAGCGATCCAAGCTTTCATAGTAGACTTCCCTCGTCCATCTCCACACGCGCAGCGGTGACGTTTGTACGGTGTAGATGAAGCTGTGCGGGTAGGAGGTTAGTACCTCGTCCCAGTACCATATATCGTCGCTCAGTGGAATGATCTGGTCAAGGAGGGTGCTCATCAAAAGGCCGTAGGTCTGCACGGTAGCCTTGCCCACCAACAGCCACTCAACGTCCGTCTGATACTGGCTCTTGGTCTCTAGCAACTCGACCGGCGGCGACTCCCCAGTCAAGCCAGACTGCCGAAGTAATCGCTGGATCCGCGATGCCGGCAGGTGAGCCCCTGAGACAGACCCAGACGACAGGGCCTTCACGATGCGCAGGAGCTCGTTGACGCGGGGTGAGGCGAGCGCAGAGGCCGCGGTGCCGTCAACAGCCTGTGGCTCAGCATCATGATCCGGGTGCGTCAGGGGCACCAGAGAGACCCGGTCAATGCGTGCATCCAGACGGCGAACCTGACTGCAGAGAGCAACAAGGAGGTTAACGATATGGGCTGGTTTGCAGACGGGAAGTCCCGGGTGAGCACTAACTCGGCCACAATCGACATTGTGATGCTCCAATCGAGTTTTGGAACGGTCCGAAGCCAGGGGAAGGGGGCCGGGCTGTGCAGAGACAGCTGCGCCCCTAGAGAATACGCGTGGACGGCAAGTGGCGAGTTTGGACCTCCAGAGCTCCGATAAACCTGACGTGCCGATCAGGCCATCGAGTGGTGTCGGATGCTGAACACTCCGGGACGCGCAAAAGGCTGGGCCGATCCGCAAGTGGAGGTTGGTTTTCTGGAGCCGAGAAATTTGGTTTGTTGTGGGCTAATTGTCGCCAGAGATACACTAGTGGCATGAGATCATGCCGTTGGGTTCGAATTCGGATCCAACCCGAAAGCGGCGAGGTTCACCTTAACATAAAGGTGTAGTTAAGACCAGGCGAGAAATGGCAAGACTCCTACAGACAAGCTTCCAGTCGGATTATGTTCTCGACAAAGAGAATGAAACTAACACAGGCCGATTGTGTGTTGCAACTGTGGGTTAGGCATTCATCATAGGTGCCTTGAAACGGCATTCCAAGCCTTGGAAATTCGGTTTCTGATGTTGTGGGTCTGTGGTATTCACGTACCTTACGTATTCCGTACCATGTATACGGTTGCCGCAGACCGCTTATCTGCATCTTTTGACTGTCTCGCGGAGTCGCGAGAGCGCGAGGGCGGATTCTCAGTAGGCACCTACATATGATATTCCCACGTTTCTGGATGGTGATAGCGACCTAATTCAACACCAAATCAGCCGCCACATGCAATTGAAACACACATAGTGCTTCGTATCGCTTGCCATTCGACCCAATGTAAAAGCGACAGTTTGCTGCATCGACACTATGATGCTTCTAACGGCTGTTTCGTGCTTGGCACTTGGCAGGTACGGATCTTCAGCTGGAGCTCGGGCCCACAGATCGTTCAACTGATTGCTGCGCATCAGCCAATGAGGATGTTCCCACTGCCCCATATACGGGGCTCGGCAGCCGGAAAGCCTTCCTCGACCGTGGGCCGATTCTGGTGCGATTGGCCGGTGGAACATTGCCATGCAGCCTCCAAGTCCAAGCCGATAAAAATCCAATTCCCCCTGATCTCTCTACCGCTCTCCCTCCTTCAAACAACATCACCTCACGACAGAGTATTGACCTTGTGGACGTATTTTCGCTCTCCGGTCCCAGCCTACAGTCCTCGGGTCGTCATTGGCATTTCTGGATTCGTTTCCTTTCATATCTCTTACATCTTCACCGTTGTGCAAGCTCTCGACGTCGGCATCGCCAAGATGGCGTCCGCCATTCTGTAAGACTCCTGACCACTTTGGCGTGGCTGGACCTCAAGCTGACGCGACACGTTCAGGAACTCGACCATCACAGGTCTGGGCTCGACCAACTTGACATCGGCAGCTACTCTCACAACCGTCTTCGAGGAGGTCTCAAAGTACAATGTCCACCTGAACGTCTTCGAGCGCCTCTGGGCCGTATGTGCAGTCCGGCTCCTTCCTCGCCGCTTGGATCACGATGCTGACTCGAGCTATAGTCCTACTATCTCTGGATGCAAAATGACACGATCGCGACGGGCATCTTGAGCTTCGTCATGCACGAGATCGTCTACTTCGGCCGGTCATTCCCATGGATGGTCATCGATGCGATCCCATACTTCAACAAGTACAAGATTCAGAACGTACGTGCCATGCATCCCCTCCTACGCAATGCTATGGACGTCGCTAACAGCATGTAGACCAAAATTCCGACATGGAAAGAGCAGTGGGAGTGCGCTGCGCTCGTCCTGCTCAGCCACTGCACGGTTGAGCTTCCCCAAATCTGGCTGTTCCACCCGATTGCGACCTACTTCGGCATGGACTATGGTGTTCCCTTCCCGTCAGCCTGGAAGATGGCGATGCATATCGCCATCTTCTTCGTCATCGAAGATACATGGCACTACTGGTTCCACCGGGCGCTGCACTACGGCCCGCTCTACAAATCGATCCACAAGCTGCATCACACATACAGCGCACCGTTTGGCCTCGCCGCCGAGTATGCATCACCGATCGAGGTTATGCTTCTGGGTATCGGTGTTGTGGGCTCCCCCATCCTCTGGGTCTCGCTCACGGGCGAGCTGCACCTTGTGACCATGTACGTGTGGATCCTCCTGCGTCTCTTCCAGGCTATCGACGCGCACAGCGGCTACGACTTCCCGTGGAGCCTGCGCCACATCCTGCCGTTCTGGGCTGGCGCGGATCACCACGACCTCCACCACGAGCGCTTCATTGGCAACTACTCGTCGAGCTTCAGGTGGTGGGACTACTTCCTCGACACCGAGGCGGGTGAGGCGGCCAGCAAGAAGCGCCGTGAGAGGAAGCTTGCAGAGATCCGGGCTAAGAAGGCTCAGTAAATGCGTTGCTGCCGTTGACGGTTGGGAGCGATGGCTGTCAGGATGCTGGCACTCCACGAGTGACGGACAATCCTCCCGAGACAGCGGGTCTGCCGCAAGTCAGATTGCCGCATGGTGATACATATCAGCGGGCTTCCACACGGGAAGGCGGATTGAAGAGGGAGTACTACTTCCGATGCAAAGTAGATATGATGTCTGTGATGAAACATAAAAAAGACACGGGATCCAGGAGGGCACTCACTGCGCAGGCAGATGATGTGGGACGACGCGGTCTGGCAGGCGTTGGCTGGGTCCATTAATCATAATACATTACGCTCTGTATATAACGCGTTACTATAGCCAGTCTTTAATACATGATAGAAGAAACAACTTCATTCGGTACAATACATACATGTATAGTTACCTGGCTGTTTTCGGAACACAGCAATCCCCTGCAGAACCAACCGCGCGGTTGGCCAGCCCAGACAAGCCACATGCCTGTTGTGACTGCTCACCTTGCTCAGCCCCTTGTTGCTGTCCCTGGGCCTGCTCAATGGGGATCTCGCCAAAGTCCTTGGCCAGCGCGTCGCATATCGCTGCCAGCTCGATGTCTTTGGCAGAAAGGCCCTTCGGGTGGTGGGTCGTCCAGCGGATAAAGGTTGTGTTGAAGACCTGGTTGAGGTTTTCAGCATTGCGGCAAGTGAAAGTGTAAAATATGGGTAGGGCAGCAGGAGAACGAGAGAGCCGTACGTTCGACCACTCCGGATGGTGGTTCTTGAGTTTGCATTGCAGCGCCACCGCTGTCATGAAGTCCTGGCAAATTCCTCCCGAGTCAGGCCCCACACAAACAAGTCTGGATGCGTGAACAAGCCAACTCACCCACGTCTTGGCGAACGTCTTGAACTTGAACTCCCGCTCAAGCGCCTCTCCCTCGGCGGCGAGCGTCCATCGTCCGCCGCTGGTCGTGAGCAGTGGGGCGAGTGAGGTTTCCAACGCCGCGGGATCCGAGCCAGTAGAGAACCTGGGCGGCAGACTGCTGCTGTTATTCATTTTGCTGTTTCTCGGCGAAAATCGCGTGAGATGCCGGATGATGAAAGTAGAAGACCGGTTTCGATGGTGAGCGGGCCGCAAGCTGGTTCGCGGGGTCAAGTTATAGGTGGCGTGGGCTACTGGGGCTAGAGTTGTCCGTTGCGAGTAGAATTCCGCCGTTGATGATATTCCCCCTTTGAGGAGAAGGAGTGATGGACGCATGGCTTTGAAGCAGAGCGGCTTGATGATGGAACATGAGTGAAGTCCCAGGCGTTGCGGATTCTGATACTGTATTTACACTTCGAAGCTTACCGATGTAGGTGTATGGTAAGGTATGGTACCCTTACGGATATTACAGGCTTGTTCACTCTCGCTGACATTGGCGGTCGAGAACTCGATTGTATGACAATGTACAGATCGAACCGACGGTTGGGTACTGGCATTGCGAATAGGCGGGGCAGGCTACTACCTCGCCTATCTACTACTACCTTACATACCTGTGTTATGATGAAAGGCTAGATCAGCATGAACCCAAGTGTAGGGAAGGCGGCTCACCTTGGATACAGGTAATCCGTGATTCATCCTGTCCAGCCACTAGCCGTCGATATGCCGTCGTCCAGTTGCAAGTGACACGACAGCCCACCATTCATTACGTTCCGATTCTTAGAATGCGATGAGGGCGGGAAATGGTTGACTACCAAATCCGACCCAGCAAAACACTAATCCGCCGCGACGTATATGAGAGCGATTGGAGATGAGATATCGCAACTCGCAAATCATAATCGCTGCGACGTACTAGATCTACGGACGCAGGGCACACCTACACAGTAGCTCGGCTGTACAGATACCTGTTCTCGTGTCACGGTGTGTCCTCGCGTCTGTAGTCCAAAGGGGAAGGTCTGCTGTATTCGGCGGTTTGATGATGCCCGCCTGCGTTGTCCTTCTCGCCCTGTTCATTCGCGTATTACTGATCCTCATTTGGGGTAAGTAGGAAAAGTCAAGCCTGTCTTCCGAACAATGGATCGTAGTGCGGTCGATGAGGTATGTGGTACCTTATCCATAGATGGAATGTACGGAAACTCTAATAATGCGTGCTGTGGTGCCCAATGACATGATACTACACATAGTAATCTGTACGCTCCTACTAAGCCGTGCCTTGTAGAAGTCGTCGAGAATGCAGATCAGGGACTGGATCGAAGCTCGATAGCACTCTCCATGTTGGCTTCAAGCTTGAGTCCATGGAAGTTCAGTGTGGCTGGTAAGTACTAGGTAGTACTGTAAGGAACGCTGCGCGGACAGTGTGGGCCTCGGGTCTCGCTTCTTATTTTATTACATAAGCCAACGCCGTCTCCCTTCCGGCATTCCTTTTCCATTCATCGGACTCGCATCTGCTGACAAAGCAATCATATCACAACCTAATATCTGCTGAGTCCTGGAAGGGCACGTCCAGTAGAGTGCTCAGCCGGTGTACTTGCCCGAGCCTCCGACGCGGCTTTGCTTTTGGGGATCTCTATTTTCATGGTGAACGGGGGAGAGGGTCTAAGCGCCGTGGCTTCACAATCCACCCGCCTTATATACGGCTCAGTCGGGCCAAATTGATAGGTGCCAGATTCGTACAGGAAGTTCAGCCACTCGAAAACCTCAAGCCCATCGAAGAATACTCTTGAAACCAATCCCGGACAGGTTCGTTTTCCCGTTTTGTCGCGTGCGGCTGTGCTCACTCATACTTTGATATAAGTTGCCCATCCACTCATCTCTGCTGACATAACCCTAGTTCTTATTTCTTAAAGACGCGCTTCTCCAGTCTCGGCATTTATTTGCGAGGTGTCGTTGCTGAGTCAGGGCAGTAATCACAAACGATGGCAAGCAACGCCAAGCCAGGTGAGTGTTTTAGCGTTTTTGCTCTGGCCCATTCCCCAGCAGTCTCCCATACAAGTCCAGGTCGAGATACCGCGCACACGACAAAAGGCAGAAATAGTTATGCCATGCAGCGTCTTCCCCGGCACCTTCTGCCGCCGCCTGCCAGGCAATATTACCGCACTGCAGTTCAAGTGTCGCAGTCTGCGAGTTGCATCAGGGTCCCTCCAGTGAGGGTGGCGGGAAAAAATTGGGAACCTATGCTGGGTCGTCTACCCGGAGCCTCCTACCATCATCACCAGACGTCACATCACATTGCTCGCGATTCGCCATGTTTGCCCGGCCAGACGCAGTTCCGTTGCTTCTTGTCTGCTTTCTTCGAGACAGTAAACTCGGGTGACATATATCCTTGTTATCCATGGCACTTGGCCTCTCGAAAGTAGCTCTGAACCTCTGTCAAAACAGCTTACGCCCTATTTTACTTACACCGGTTTTGGGGTGCTCCTGCTGCTTCCCGTCGCTGGAGTACAAGAAGGGCTGCGTCCCATCCGTGACCCCGCCCCCTGATATCCCTCCTTACCTAATTCCCGGTTCCTCCAGTCACCAATAAAACATTACGCACCACGTCGCGGCATCATCTTCTTGTAAGTCGACCGTTTGGGGTGGGACTCAGCCAGTGCCGTCCCTCTCCCTCGCTTTTCTCTTTCTTCTTGCCAGCTGCTGTTTTCTAGCCTTTGATTGGCAACGAAATGACTGCCCTTTCGCCATGGAAGACTAGCTCTGTTGTAGTCTCCGAGACGCTGCTTGGCCTTGGCGGCACCTGGATTTCTAATCGAAGCCCGGTGCCTCAGACCCGTTGTGCTGCATGGCTCCCACCCAGCTTCCTGGCCCTCCTCTTTCTGGTAATCAACTGGGGTGGCAATGGCCACCCTGCGCATTGGGGCTTCGAGCTACGTACATGTACATGCAGCCCGGATTCTGTTATTATTCCACAACTCCTACCTTCCCTCGTTCGAGGCGGTTCGGCCGTTCAGCAGGGGCCCTACCTGCCGGAGGCGCAACCCATATCCTATTAGCCAAGCCCACCACTCGAGTAGCACATACTGTATCTCATTCCCTTCTTCTCATACTAACAGGACTTCTGTTGCTAGAGCACAGTGCTCGAGGGCAACCATCAGTGGCTACTCCAGTTCCTGCGGCTCACTCGCAGCCGCCAGCCGAGGGATCCGGGTTCAACAAAACCGAGTCCGGCCCAGCTTCGCAACAGCTCCCATATGGATATAACAGCCACACGCAAATTCCACAAGGTACGGCGCTTATCGATCCCGAGCTGCGATCGAGCCACGAGCCGCCCGTCACAATCCCGGGCTACGCTCCCGTCCCGGCCATGATTCAACCTGGCGTACCAGTCGCTGATCAAGCAGTCGCCATGTCTGGTCCTCACGCACCAGTTGCTCCGGCCGTGGGGCCGGTACAGTCACCGGAGAGCAGCGCAGACGGACGCAAAGCTAAGCGTGAGCTGTCGCAATCGAAACGTGCCGCACAGAACAGGGCTGCCCAGGTCAGTGAGCCGACATTTGACTTCCCTGTACTGAATGCTGATCGAGTCGTTGGGTATCACAGAGAGCGTTCCGCCAACGCAAGGAGGGGTATATAAAGAGTCTCGAACAGCAAGTCCGCGACTATCAGAAGATGGAGGTCAGCTACAAGGCGCTCCAGTCAGAGCACTATCTCCTGACGGAGTACGTCGGGACGCTGCAGTCCCGGTTGCTAGAGACCCAGGGCGAGTACCCGCCGCCACCCCCGGGCCTCGAATTCACCCAACAGCCGCCTCCTTCTCGGCCCGATTCTGGAGCCACCACAGCCCAAGCCGCTGTCGCCGCCGGCGATCCCGCCGCTCCCGCGCCTAACCCAGTTGAAGTGGCAGCCCAGGCCGTCGCCGGCCTCAGCAGGGGCGAGCATCTTGCCGCCCGCCACCCTTACGCTCAGCCGGTCCGCGCTGATGACGACGCGACAACAGCCGAGGAGATCACGCGCCAGCTGCAAGCCGAAGGCGGCTCTGACCAGTTGCCTGCCGTTCCTGACGGCCTTCCTGCTGCCCCTATGTAGTTCCATATGGAGGAGAATCTTGTCTCGTATCGGGAGGATGTGGAAGGATAGGTGATATCAGCTTGTGATCCCCGTTGGGGGGGAAAGGTCCCCTAGTGCGGGCAGGTGAGTTGCTCTTCAGGATGCTGTTGGGCATTTCCTTCTCATTGGGCGCTCTACTTAATACGATTGGCGGGTGGCGCAGACGAGAGTGGGAGGCTGTTGCTTGCCGTCGTATCCTTCAATTTTCAATGGTGTACTCTTAAGGGATTTAGTTTGATTGGGGAGCAGGAACAGCGATGGCTTCCGAGTTAGCAGTATTCTTGCCCACACTTGTCTTATACCTGATTACGGTATAGGGTCTGTGTTGGGCCAGCGGCATCAGCTTTTCTTTGTGGTTGGACTACGTACCTAGCAGGAGATGATGTGGTGATTGTTGTTCCAAAGAAGACGAGGTGTCCTCCTCGCAAACGCTGCCAGGGTGACAAAGACACTCGTTCTTGAAACATGAAGTCATGGCCAGGAAAGTGAACAAAACAATGGGAGGCACAGCGTCTATTTCGCTCGTTTGCATAAGCCGGAGGACACCCGAGTCACCTCGCGCACTTCCGGTTCGTATCCCCCATTCTGTCTGTCGCCATCCGGAACTCCAACGCCTCAACCTGGTACAACTAGACCTTTAACATTACCGAGAAACATTCTTCTGTGGACGAGCGATCAGATCAAGCAAAGGCGTTTCCCAAATCATGTTCCTACAACTCGAGTCAGTGAAACCGCATCACCGGGATATATCCACGACACACGGAGAAAATGGGGAGGAAGAAGACAGGAATAACTTACCTTGATATACTCGCCGCCCTTCTCCAGATATTCCTCGCGCGTGATCCGCGCCCGTTTCGCCTCTTCGGTGCACGCCCATCCAGCCGCACCGCGCCACGCATCCAGCACCGCGTCCTGCGCCCGCCGGATCACAAGCGGAGCGCCCGCGGGCAGCAACGCGGTGAGGCCTGCGCGCAGGCGCTCATCGAAGTTCTGGAACAGGGTGTTTCCCCCCGTGAGGAAGACGTCGCGCAGGAAATCATCCGAGTTGCCTGGCCCGATGATGGACGGCAGGCGCTGCGTGAGGATGTCGCCCGCAATCTCAATGATGCCGGCCTGGTCGACGCCGGCGATGGCAGTCGGCTGGAAGAGCACCTCCGGCACGCGGATGCGTTCGACGTTGAGATGCAGCCGGTGGGTCTCGGCCGCGGAAGAAGGGTCGAAGGGCCGGGGCCCGTAGCGGAAGGCGTGCAGCAGCGACTTGGACCAGTCCTTTTGCGCGTCGAGCGTCTGTTCGTACGAGAAGTCCTTGTCGTAGGTGAGCAAGTCGGCTTCCAGCGCGCGGACGGCGGCTTCCAGGTCCTCTTCGCCCTCTTCCTCGTCATCGCTGTCGCCCTTATTGGCGCCGATCGCTACGCTACGGTAGACGCCCCAGTCAGCGTCGTCGGCGCCAAAGTCGTCGTCGTCCCCTCCGCGGCGGCGCTTGCGGCTTCCCGAGGCGTTAGTTGGGGCGTCCGACGCGAGGTTGGCGATGTTCTTCATGCGGATTTGACTCGCGAGGGACTTGCGGTTGCCAAGGTCCGCTTTGAGACGTTCTCGCTCTTTGATCTGGGCCAATTTGGCGAGGCGTGCCTGGCGCTTATCCTCGAGCCAGCCTTCCAAGTCATTGATTCGCCGCTCTTCGTCGAGGCGAGCCTCCTCTGCTATCCTAGCCTTTTCGGCCTCCTTCTCGGCCTTGGCTCGTGCGCGTGCATCGTGGTTGGATTTCAAGAGGCGCTGTTGACGCTTCTGTTTCAGCCCGGCCTCGTCTAACTGGTCGTCTGGTACGTCGAGAAGGCTAAAGTCAGGGGCTTCTTGCTCCTCCTCTTGCTCGCCACCGAGGTCTTTTGTCCGCGCCCGCTTGATCGATCGCTCAAGTTCCCGGATCATCCGCTCCAGAGCTGCCTCGTCCTTAACCTCGGCTTCGTCAAGCAGTCGCTTCGTCTCCTTCTTGCTTTGGTCGGCTATTCTCCGCTGCACGTCCTTGTAGTACTCCAGCTCCTGCTCCTTCTTCATCAATCTCTCCAGGCGCATTTTGGCGGCCTGCTCCTGCAGTCTCCGACCGCTTTCCTTCTTCCTTTCAGCGATTCGGGCCAGCTCCTCTTCTGATTTCTGTACAACCACTTCTTCGGTATAGGGGTACTGGACGATACGCTCCCTTTCCTCCAGGCCTGTCCAATCCAGATACCGAGTCACTTCTTGGTCGTAATCTAGCGAGACGTAGCAGAAGTCCCGGACCATCTGTTCCATCTGCGAAGAGTTAAGCTTCCCAGGAAATCCTGAGTAGTATTTGAGCTTGACGAGCTTTAGGAGGTATTCAGCGGCGTGCCAGCCTCCCCAGTTCAGCCTTATTGCCTGCGACAGCATTGCCTTGGCGTTGTAGACGGGGATTAGGTGGGTGGCGCTGTAGGACGACGACACAACTAGTCCGGTCTGGCCTTTGTTGTGGCGATATGAGAAGAGTGAGTCGATTCCATAGACGACGCTAGGGGCGCTGTAGCACTCGAAGACCATCTCGCTCATCGCTTCACCAACGAATCAGCAAGTGGGAGAACAATGCGGAAATATAGGGGTAGGGACCCACTCTTCCTCGAGTATGGAAGGTTGGCAACGGCCTCCGTCATGACAATGGGCATGTCAATGCCACACTCCACCCCGTTCATGCCGAGCTTGATGAACACATGGTCGAGAACGTGCTCCATGGCATCCCAGTTGCTGACGATTCCGGTGCCGGCTTCGAACGCATTGCGGATGTGTCCACGGGCGGTGGTGTCTGCGAAGCAATCCTGGCCGGCGAAGGAAAAGGTTTTGTTTGCTTTCCGGTCACGATACTTAGACATGATGGGAGGTATCGCTAGGCGCGGCTTGGCCTCGAACGACCACCCTGCCCGGACGGCAGATGAGCCTGCGGGGGAGCGATGTCAGCGAGATTCAGCTTCAACAGTGCGCGGCACCTGGGCCTGCCCTACCATTGTCGATGACGATGGCGGCTTCTCCTTCTGGTTGCGCCAAGGCCCGTTCCCTGCCATCTAATTGCGGCGGCAGATATTTCTCAAATCTGGCCTCTTTGACGGGATACAGTGTTGGTGGAGGCAGGTTCTTCCAGTTGTCTCTTCGCCCGACGGGCTCGTCTATCGCAGAGGGTGCCATGGTGTAATGATTGGATGAGCGCGCTCACGACGTTGGTGCAGGCTGCAGGTTTATGCTATGGCATTAATGGGCGCATTTTGTTCGAAAACGGTTCTTGCTGTCTGCTGTACGGAGCCAACACCTCTCCACGTGAGGGAGAACTTGAGAACCGCAGAGGTGCAACCTCGAGTGGCGGCTGGAGCTTACCATGGGTGTTTGGGGCTGCAGCACAGGGATCGCGTCCCGTCGTCACACGCACAGTGCAATCAATACGGAGATTATCGCGGGTCCAACCAGCCTTCGTGAGTTGTACGGTAATTACGTAAACGGCACACCTAGACCCAAAACAAGAAAGCCATGACCACAAACACCACCGTCTTCATGCTGGATCTTTAAGGTTGTCGGTTGCTATAGCGATTTGGTATCGTTAGGCATGTCCTCTCCGAGACCAAGGTATAGGTCTATCAGGCTTACCCTCCAAGTGAAACAACACATTCGATTGGTAGTTTTTGAACATCTGGGCAACAAGCTCTATGTTCATGTTTTGAATGTTGATCTCCTAGGGAGATGTCAACGAAAGCGGCATTCTGTCGGAATTACCTCATGTGCTTACCTGGAGAGTCTTGTTCATCACCACAATAGCTTCGTTAAGTTTCTCCTGTTATGCATGGGGATGAGCATGTTGGTTCAAGCGCCGAGTTAAGGTCAACATACCACATTGGTGATAATACGTGACAGAAGTAGGTTCTGCTGATGTTCGTGCGGGCTCTCCTGATCTAATGAGCGAGCGCTTCTGGCAAAGTAGGATTAGAGGGCTCATACCATCGTCGCGACCCCTAGTGTCGTTATGCTGAGAAGCCTATCGACAAATCTGGAGGTTCGAAGGTTGACTTTCTGGTCAACCTGGAACTTACAGACAGCTGTGGGCCCGCAGAACGGGAGACAGTGCGAGTAAGGCAGGACGGTGAAGTGGGGCAGAAACCGCCAGCCTCAGGTCCAGATCTGGAACACTGTCCCATTCATCACAGCAGCATCAGCACTCCATCCTGAATGTCCTCTGACAACACCGTGAGAACCCATCAGTTTCTCTCGTCCACACCTCAACATGTCGAACCCAGAAGCGCAGGCGGCGCAGGCGGTGCACCAAGCGCTCATGGAGCAACTCGACATTCACTCAATCCCTAAAACCTTCCGGAACCCTCACTGGCGCCCCAACCAACGCCGCAACAAGAACATCAAGACAATTCTGGGCGACGCGTCACGCAAGGAAGCCTCCGTCATTGCAACTCCCCAAGACGAAAGCGGTGCAGCGACCCCCGCTGCGCAAGACAACGACGGCCTCTCCACGAGTGGTACTTCCACGCCAGCAAACCCTTCGACTGGCGGCGCCGCCAACCTCCAACCGAACCTCGCGCAAGCATCGCGTAGCCTGTCCAAGCTTGTGCTGGAGAAGTCGCTAGCCGCACCTTCCAAACCGGCAAGCGGCGTCCCATCAGCGCCAACAGCAACCTATACCAACATCGAAAGCGCCCCCAGCCTGGCGCCGTTGAAGCATTACTGTGATGTAACGGGCCTGCCAGCACCTTACCTGGATCCCAAGACGAGAATGAGATACCACAATCGGGAAGTGTTTGCCACAATTAGGACTCTACCACAGGGCGTTGCAGAGCAGTTCCTGGAGGCGAGAGGCGCGCATACTGTGCTTAAGTAAAGGGCGTGCCTAGGTACTTGTACCTTGGTAATAGAAGAAGACGGAGGTCGAGCCGGGACTGTGAATTGCTGCTGCGTCTATCACCGTACGCACCTACCTCCAGGCACCTTACTACTAGTAGTCTGGGGTAGGAGCACTTCTAACCTGGGCCGCGACTGCTCTCAATGTTTCCAAAACCCGGTTTGAGAATCCAAACACGGATCGCTCCCGCCCCGGTGTTACGCCTTACAACTGAGGTGCCTCGACCGCATTCGCTGCGCCGCGACATACCACAATCAACGATGCATTTGTCTATATCGATGTTCGACCATATTGTATTGTCTAGCGGTCATTAGCCGGGGTACTGCTGCGCTCTCCGAGAATTATCGACCGCTTCGCTGCTCTCACGCGGAACCCGCGCCTACCTCCCACTCCATCTTGCACCGCTGAGCAGATTCAGGCATCATTCGATATTCCACTGCAGTTCAACCTGGCGATCAACAATGGCCACCTCGGCCCCCGAAATCACACCCCGGCAGCCCATGCAAGAAATCCCTGGATCGCCTTTAGTTCGGGATTTCGGGCGGTACAATGTGTATACCCCGACTGGCTCCATCACTCCCACGCCGAGCGCTCAAACGGATGTGCCGTTGCTGCCAACCAGTAACCCAGTTCCGTCTACGCCCAGCGGCATCGATGAAAAGCCTCGGTGAGCCTCACTCCCCCTGATGACTCGCATCGAGTCACTAACCAACACTCGTTAGCAAGCGGGCGAGATGGCGGCGGTTTCTCAAGCAGATCAACGGGTGCATGCTCGGAAAGGAAAAGGCGTCAGTGTACTGGTACGCCAGCCTTCTGTCTGTCATCGCCGCCCTGATCGTCACACTCTCGAGCATTTTCGGCTGGCCGCCGTTGCCGATCTGGGAGTACCTCCGGCACGTGGCGGGCTGAATGGAGAGGGATACGCTAGGTTGCTGCCGGGTATCGAAGGGAGAGGGATGGAACAGTATCGGCTCAGGATCCTGCACGCCGCAAGAGACAACTGGGCGCGCCATTGGGACGAGGTGGTGAGTGAGCTGTTGGGGATATCGCCGCGGGACGGATAACATGCATTTTATCCATACATCTGTACGTGTACGACCAACAAAGTCAAGCCCCAACTACGCACTCGTTGCCTTTCGGCAGCAAGATGACAGTCGACGCTCCGGCTTAATCGTGATCAGGTTGCTCTTTGCCTTATTTTCTGTCGACAGATCACCGAGAAAGGATTGAAAGAACCAAACTCAGTTGCTCCAACAGTTGTTGGAGCCGTCGCGGCAAACTCAAAGTTGGAGAGAGATAATAACCCACCTTGAGCTCCTAACACCGAGCTTTGCAAGTGTCAAGGTCCAAGACCTCCGGTTTGATGGAAGATACCATGTAGGCCATACAACTATACGTCGCCTTAAGTTGTTCAAGAAGCAGTCTTCAGGACGTCTCCAGTTTCTGCCCTGCCGGTGACACCGATCCCATGGTCTCTGGGGTTCAATTGCTTCAGCAACATGTTGGTGTGGAAGCAAAGTCGAAGATGAGCACTGCAGCTCAAAAATCGTGCCGGAGCCAAGAAAAAGGGGCTCGAGCTCTTGGATCAATCGCCCAATCAGAGGGCGAAAGTACTTGAGCTTGCCTGCCGGATCGTGGACAAGGCACCCTGGCGCTCTGACTCGCAGCGTTGGCGGCTTGTTTCGCCCTTTCGTGGCTGAATGCGCGGCGCATTCAATCAATTGATGCAAGCAATGATGGTTATGTTTTCATTACTTGCGCTCACATAGACGCCAACTTCAGAAGAAGTCTCTAGCAGACTGCTCCAATATAGGTCTATATCCCAGACGAGATGCCGACCATGTGGTTATCAGACTCTCAAAGTCAGTTCTCTCACATGCCACTGCATCATCTCCTATCGCCGGGGCGATTTCCGCCCGCGGTCCCAGAACCGGGCAGACACACAGCACTTGGACACGGCCGCTAATGTGCATCTCCTACAGAAATCGGAGTCGCCTTTTGCTCCGGCGGTATGTCTAGCCCTCATTGACCCTCTATCCCTGACGTGCTCGGTGATGACGACGGATCTCTTCCCGACGACGACAATAAGACACCGCAATTCGACACCCTAGAAGCAACAACTAACAATGCTCCCTCGCGAACAGGCGGTTTCTTTCTAATAGGCGGCGTCCTCCTCTTCTTTGACCGCGCAATGCTTGCAATGGGCAATGTACTACTTTCCCCTGCCGGCTCACCCTCTTCCCCCCAATCGCTCCCTCTTCGATTAATCTCTCTGTAGCCTCCTACTAACCACCTCTCCCTCTGTCTTGGGTAGATCCTCTTCCTCATAGGCCTAACGATCATCATCGGTCCACAAAAGACAGCCCTCTTCTTCGCGCGCAAGCAAAAAGCCAAAGGCACGGCGGCCTTCTTCGGAGGGCTGGCGCTTATCCTGCTACGGTGGCCGCTAATCGGGTTCCTGGTGGAGCTGTACGGCATTATGGTCTTATTCGGCGACTTCCTCGGAACGATTGCCGGGTTCGCGCGGAACGTGCCGGTGGTCGGGCCGTATATCGGTATGGCGGTGGACAGGACTGGGTTGGGCGCGCGGAGGAACGCCGAGCTGCCTGTCTAAAACAGCCTTGCGTCACACAGTTGGGTAGGATTCCCGGGAAAAGTATTCATTCAGTTCTGGAACGAGTCTCGACAAGAATCGAGAATCGACTGTATAATGTGGAGGGTTCAATTTCCCCGCACGAAGACAACGCGCTCTAATGACACCACCCTGTTTCGGGCAACATCCGGCGCAGAGGACGAAGACATGGAGAAGGAAAAGAGTTGCACGAGGTTGAGCGATACTATACAGCTTCGTTGGCCGGTCCCTCGGTGAAAGGGGGTTTATCATGACGGCGTTGGCCAATGTTATACCCGTGTTCTAATAAGGGGTATTTGGCACTGGAAGATGAGCGTTGTGTGTACGACAGAGTGGGGAAGCTATAGACATCAGCACAATCAACACGGGGAGAATGGGCAGGCTAGATCGGGAAACACCATGCATGAAGAGACCAGGAGGAACGTGATTTACAAAGGGGATTTTCGAATATCCGGGTCTTGGCTCAGGCAACTACGAAACGGCGTGCGGCATCATGACGCTTCCTCACCCATGGGGTTATTGGGTCATCGACAAGCTCATTGGTGGTCTCCTTGTCCCCTTGCTCGAGTCTATTATGTGCCGACGGCTCCCAAAATAAAATGGTACTGACTCAAAGTGAAAGGTTGGTCCTGCGTCAAAACCCCCCCTGACTATCCAGCCTCAACACCCGAAAGCGCCTCCACACACACGACATAAAGGAGGCACGCTTAGTAGCCATGCTTGATCAGGTAGTCGGCGAGCGATTCAACGGTCTGTGTCGCGTTGCCGGCCTGGGCGTTCTCGCCATAGTGGGTGATAAGGATGGCCTGTCCCGTCTTCACGACGCAGATTCCTGTCTTACCCTGTATGATGCGGTTGTTGTCTCAGCGAGCTGTCGATTTCAAGAGCGGGGTCGGGGGCAAAGGAGAGACGTACATGGCGGCCGTAGACGTGGCGGTCCTCGATTCTTGTGGCCACATAGCGCTCGCCCGCGACATGGATGCCATCCGAGTAGGCCTTGATCACAGCCGGACCATCTTTCTTGTCTTGCTCGTTCAGGATGCTGATAAGGTTCTTGAGCTCATCGGCGCCGACCTGAGACATGGTGTTAGGCCGTGTGCTTCCGTCTTCAGGTGGATTGAGACAAGGGGGATTGTCGATGGTCGACGGAGGGAGGGGGGATCCGATCTTACTGAGAAACCTTCGGTCGCGGCCCAAGTGCTGTCGCCGGCGGCGCTGACGATCACGGCCTTGTCGATGTGGCCGGAGCCAACGAGGCTTAGGAATGCGTTAGTAGACAGACTCGGATCACCTATAACCCTTTTTCGGCTAGCGGATGAGGTTAGAATGTCGTACCTAGTATCGACGTAGGCTACGGCAAGCTCTATGTTAGCTTCCAATCCCAGGTTCCTGAGCAAGAATAAGAGGTGGTTCGGCTGTGACGAGAGCATCGCGTACCTTGCCAGGACATGACGTGCGCAACGGTCTTTGCAAACTGGGAATTTTGGAGTTCAGGGGTTTGGGCTGGAGATTAAAAGTTTACGTAGGGCAGCGACGTTTCGCGGTGAGCTGTTCGGCAGTGTTTGCAGAAGTGTGTTGTCGGTGTGGACAGTCCAGTTTCGGCTTTCATTCCTCCAAGATCCAAAGACCCTCATAGCCCCGCCAGTCCGGGCAGATCACAGGCCAGGGAGGGGTAAGTCTGTGTTATGTAAGCACAACGGTTCCACGAGCAGACCGCCATTATCGCAGAACTCGCCGCCGCTGCTGACTCCAATCACCATGGGACCGCAACTTGGAACCTTTTGGTCGCAAGTGCCCAACGGCGGGAGGAGCCGCAACGGGTTTGGCAGACAATTAACCCTGCGCCAACTCATCGAGACTGCGGTCTCCATCCTCATGGCCAGCGTCAGCAGTTATTCCACAATCGACCATTTCTTACGGACTGTACACACATCACACTGACAGCGAAGACGAAGAAAGTCGGTTCTGTGATCTGCAACCTGCCACGTCCCCAAAATCGCGTTGGCGCCCGGACAACCGCGCCTTGTGTTTACTTACCGCCCACCTCGGCATACTGCAGACAAGATCCGTCTGGCTTAGATTTTACCCGACATTCAAGGGGCTCCCGTGGCCGTTCTCATTTGGTCACAATTTCTTACCTCGCTACCCTCCGTACCGGTGTCGCCGACGTGTTAGCCTGATAGCGCGCAAGTCGAAGAGGCGGCCCAATTCATCATCACTGATGGCGCGAGTCCGGGCAGATCACGCAAATCGCTTGCTCTAACACCGCCAATTCGACACCGCTCAAACAAGGTTCTAGAAGGTCAACAGAACGCCGGATTTACCCGTTCTAGCGCGTACCTAATCGCCTCATGCCGCCGCCAGCACACCAACGCGATCTACCCAACGCCGCAGCCTGCTTCCTGAAGGTTTCACAGGCTTGCCGTCAATTGCCTGCTTATTCCCATCCAGAGGCTCATTCACAACCATTTGTTGATGAGAGCCGAATCCAAAATGCACGCATTCCCTGGCCTGGGGTTTTGTGGAGATCTATATGTTTGAAACCTAGTCCCGCGAGTCCCGTAGTTTGACCCCTGTCCTCGGGACCGGTGATGGATGTCTCGTCTTGGCGTCAGCATCGTGGCCGGCAAGATCAGACGACAACGCACAAGAAGTGTGACACGCGACACATTCAACTTCCTCTAGTTATTGGTATCAACTGGAGCGAGGAATGTACTGTGCATATCCTTCTGCTCCCTCAGCATCCTTTCACATATCAAACGGACAACAGCCTGCTGGTGCATCAGCACATTGCCGGCTTCCTGTGTTTGGGGACGATGTGGCCCTGTCCCGGCAAGACTTGCTCATTTCTGCTCAGCCTCGGATCCTCTCATTTCAACGTCGTCGCAGCTGCAGCGAGGGGTCACCATGCCATCTCAACGTCGATCGATCTTGCTCAGGGTTCGGAACATTCCAGCCCTTGGCGCCCCGCCTAGTCGTGTGCTGCCCCTTGAAGGAGCAGTGTCATTTTACACTAGTAGAGATGGAATTCGCAAGCCCGCCTTCTTCAGGAAAAGGTGATGTTTCGTCAGGACCAGCAAGGAGACAAGACAGACTTGTTGATCAATCTGGCCACGCTGATAACTAGGTACCGTGCTGACCTGCGCCTTCCGGGCTCCTTGTCCGAATAAGGCAGTTTTCGGGAAGATACTATCCGATGGCAGGATATTGAGCCCGTCACAACCCTTGCCGCTTAGAGACGCACGGCGCATCTCTCCGTGCTACATGGACTAGCAGTGCAACTGCGGAATCGGATGCTCTTGATATCTGACTGTTCAGATGTCTGAGACAGCGGTCAAGAGCAAGGGCCTGGTGGTCCCCAGGGGTCCCCCGCAACCCCTGTTGCGGGACCCCTCGGTCGCGGCAGGGGAGCGGGATATGTCGAGACCTTTGTTGATGCGGTTGTTGGACTGGCTAACCGATGACCCTGCTGGCGATCAACCTCGTTCAAAATAACCGCCGTGCTTCTGAGCGCTTCTGAGAAGCAAGGCAATATTGCGTTGAGACGTGGAAAGACTTCAGGCTCAAGTTCTCAGGTTACGCCGTGAGTAAGATGAGCCCATAAGCATATGTAAAGTGCTAATTTCCCGCGCTCTTGCAACTGAAAAAGGTCTCTACCTAGTTCTCTACAACTGTAAAAGTGTCTTGTTCTGTTTGGCTGCGAGTATGGCATCGGGCTGCCATCTCATTTCGATTTTCTTGCGTCTCCCCCTACGAGGGCGGCTCGTGTTCATCCATTCGTCCATCAGGGATCCTTCTGTCATTAGACAATTCAACACCACCCCAGGGCCAGACCTCACAGGCGCACGCTCTGGTGGGCCAGGAAGGGCCAGAAACACTTGCAGGTCGCTGAATGGTTGCAGCCTTGCTGTATGGGCGAAGCTACAGGGCCGTCGTCAGCCGGCGCCATGATGAAAGCGGTTAAGCTCTACGGCCCGCTGTGGGCGGGAACAGGGACCGGTCCAGCGGGCATGGCGGTTATGGGAGCGATGCACGGTCCGGCAGCAGACCCCCTGGACCAGGGACAAGGCCCTGTATCAGATCCTGCCCTGCGTCCAGAGGATGCAAGCAGTGCGGGCAAGCGTTTGCATAATAATGCCGCCTTCCCCCCCGTCGTGTTTCCCGGAGGAAGAAACCCCTACCTTGACCGTCCTCTCCCTTCCCCGCCATCTAAAACCGTTGCTGTCGCCGCCGGTGCCGCCAGCGCTGCAAGTTTCATCATGCATGAGAGACCAAGGACGTCTTCAGGGCCCGGACCCAGCAAAGTGGCCGGCACGAGGCCCAACTTCGACAAACGACTTTCCAAGGACGACATGGCCCTGTCGGGCCGGATGGGCATGGGCAAGGGAAGGGTTCTGCAACCGTATGGGACTGACGTGAACGGTGCCAGAACACTTGCACGCGATATAAGCCCCCACAGGATGCGGATGGCTTCGCCGCCAGACATGTCGCCGGCTCTTGGGTCCTCGGCTTCAGGGGAGATGCCGATTGGGATGGCGCTGGGAAGTCCAACGCGGGACTCGATGTTTGGTGGAAGTCCCTACGGAGGCGGGCCTGCCGGGTGGAATCCGCAGCGGTCGCAGACAGAAGTTCATATCAGCTCCTCTCCGCCACGAGCCCCAGGCCCAGCGCCTGAACTACCAATTCAGAGGACGAAGACGCAGAAGCGGCGGCTCTTCGGGTCACTGTTCGGGAGCAAAAAGCACTCCGAGCCACCCAAGGCGGCGGAAACCGTTAAGCCAAAGGGCAGTGGCTCGTCCGCGGCCGCTCCGGGACCCAGCGCGAATGCTGCCCCAGCCAGGACCAACACTATCAAACGGGCACCAAAGCACAAACCCATAATTATCGCGTCGACTGAGCCTCCCTCAACCTCCACAGCTCGGGAATCAGGCTGGCCAAGTGTCTCGAATTCCCCTGCCGCATCTATTCCCGCAAGCGGCGCCGGATTGCTTAGTGTGGATATCCCAGATATCAGGCTAGAGCGCTACAGCGTCATGTTTAGCGGCGTGTTGAATGAGAAGGAACAGGATACTAAGTCTACACTGCTGGAGAGACGGCAGGCTACCCTGGAGAAACTGAAGAACATCAGCGACAGGATAGAAAGCGAAGAAGGGAAGGATAGAACGAGACCGAGGAGGGCAACATCCCCACAGCCTACAAAGTCGCCTGCCTTCTCACTCTTCCCCCACACGCCAGTTCGGCAATCGATATTGCTCGCCGCCACAGAAGCGGGAATGGTATCGACAACGTCCCTGGCGCCGCCTCGTGGCCTCACGCGGTCCAACACGTCGCCGGGCTACATCCCGTCGCCGTCGAGGGCACGCTTCGAGCCTGAAGCGCAGTCCGACTTGCCAGAGAAAGTCCCGCGGAAGGAGAAGAAAACAGTCACCATTGTCTCGCCACGGAGCATGGAGGAACGTAATAGGGCTGCGCAGCTCGAAAAGCTCCGCGAGCAGCTGCAGGCACAGCACACGCATCAACAGCGATCTCAGCCGCAAGCCGCGGCAGACTCGGCAAGTTTGGGAGTAACAACAACAACTTTCTACTTCAACCAAAACGAATCGAGCCTTATCCTCGACTCCCCACAGAGCACCTCCCCCCCCTCCTTTTCTTCTTCCCTTTCCCTCTCCTCCGACTCCGACAACGACTCCCAACATCGCAGAACCAGAACAACCACATACACGCTCAACCCACCTCTCAAACCCGCCCTCCCGGAACCGCAATGGGAGATCATCACCCCTCCGTCGTCCACCACCTCCTCGACCGACGCCTCCGGTGCGAACACTAGGAAACCCACCAGCAAAGGCAAACACTCCGTCTCTGTCTCCGCCTCGACAGCAACAACGACAGCAACAAGAACCTCCATCACCTCCCGCGCCTCACTAGACAGCCTCCCCACGCCGCTGGCGCCCTCGGCACTAGGCATCTCGGTGGACGAAGAGGACGCGGCGCTGAAAGCGGCGGTCGAGATCTCGATCGCGCGGCAGATCAGCATGTCGCGCCAGCAGCGCATGCTCCTACGGCCTTTTGGCAAGGGCGGCACGGCCATGTCGAGTGGTACTGCCAATAGTAGCAGGAATCTGGGTGGAGGGATGGTGAGGGGAAGGAGTGCTACTGTTGGTGTTGGTGCTGGTGCTGGTGCTGGTGCCGGTGCTGGAAAGGGGGGCCGAGGAGAGGTTACGGTGGGCGTTATCAAGGGGCGGGTGACGCCTGTCCTGGTTGGCACCGAGTACCGCAGGAGTGAGAGGGTTGTGTTGGATGCCGTTGAGTGAGTTGGTCGGGTGGAAACTCTGGGTGTTAGTCATGCCGCACCTTTTTCTTTCCTTTCCTTTGTTTCCTGACTCTCTCTGAGCTGGTGGCCTTTTCTTGGTTCACTTAGTTAGACGGCCTTGATGGCAGTCGCGTGATACCTCTGTTGTTTGTTACTGTTCGAGATACCTCTTTGGAATTGGGTTCGTTTTACCATAGTGTAATGGGTAAGGTATGCTGTCGACCAGAATGCTATCTTCTCTTAAATGGAGATTGATCTTTGAATCCGTCTATGCTTGGTGTGATCTAACCTTGCCAGTGTGTCATACACCTGGCAGATCCGCTTTTATATCCCATCTGCCACCCCTTATCAGTACAATCCTACACATACTAAAGTTCTACAGTAGGTATCCCTACAATTCCCATCGCCGCGACGCCTCAGCTCTACCACAGCGCACGGGCATTCACAACCATGACCCGATCGGTGCGCTCATCCACCACCTCCCGGCGATGCCACGTCCGCGCGAACCGGCGCGCCTCGGCCGCGTCGGCAAACACGACGACAAACCGCGTGTACCCAATCTCCTCCTCCTTCTTTTTGTTGGTCCCCTCGGCAACCAACTCGCGAAGGCCGTCCTCCTCCTCGCCCCACCAGCGAATCGGCCCGCTGCCGGCCCGGATCGTCCGCACCGGCCGCGACGCCGCCAGCCGCCAGGGCAGGTTGCGCTCGGCCCCGTCCGCGCGGATGAACTCCTTCATCGTCTCCCACGTCACCTTGCTGCCCGCCAGCCGCACCAGCACGCGCCGGCCCAGGTCGGCTTCGCTCCGCCCAAGCAGCTCGTCCTGCAGCATACGGGGGAGCACGCTGTCTTGCGCCAGTGCTGCTGCCGTCCCGCCCTGCTGTTGTTGTCGGCTACCGGCGTCGGCCACGTCGGCAAGGTCGTTGAGAGATAGTCGGGCGGCTTGGAATGGCAGGTCCGGCGGGAGGAGGGTGAAGTGGGTGGTGGTGGTGGTGGTTGGGTGCGAGGCCGCCGGGATGGGTTGTGAGGAGCTGGTGGTCGAGGAAGAGGAGGGGACACCGACCTCCTGCGCCTGACGCAGCCGGGTTTGGACGGCGTCGACGTAGGCGGCTGCGGCGCGCTGGCTGTCGAAAACCACATAGTACTGGCCGCGCGGCTCCCCCGTGACAGGGCAGATGGACCGCACGACCTTGGTGATGCCCCCTGTCCAGCCGGCGATGTGCTGGCCCCTGCGAGCGAAGCGGTGGAAGTCGGACTCGACGAGCGAGCGGGACAGGTTCTGCAGGACGAGCACGATCTGGCTGTCGCCTCCCTGGTGATCGCCGTTCTCATTCCCGTCCCGATCATCGGTGCGGTGTTGCTTGTCGGCGGCAGCGAGGCCGGACGGGTTGAGCCAGCCACTTAGCTCATCGCGGGCCTTGGAGAGGTCAATGTCCTCGTCATGCCCACTGTCCTCACTATCCCGGCCACCACTCGCTGGCAGATACTGCCGCTGGTCGCCTAGTTTTGAGAGCGGTTGAGATGCCCGGGGTCTTCTTGCTTGCGCGGAGACCGAGGCCGGTTTGCTAGGAAACACCCTTTCATAGAGCGAACGCGAGGATAGCGGTTCTGCACTCTTGCTCACACGTCCGGGCGAAAAAGCCGCGACTGTGTGTCTTTGAGCGTGCCATTGCCGGGCCAGGGACGGCGGCAATCGTAGACGGCTCGCGAGCATATGTAAGGTGATAGGATGCGTCCTGCCCTGCGAGCTATGAGAGGCGATTAGAGGTGATTAAAATCAGTGATAGCACGCAGCCCCAAAGGTGATGGGGAGGGTGCCGCGCATGACGCGCCTCTGCCGCCTTTTTGAGGTTTCCAAGCAGTGAAGCAGTCCCGTCCCAATCACCGCTTGGAATATTGTATCCCGTCTTCAAAACGTTGATAGCTTCAAGGTTATGATGGGATGTTGTTGGAAGTTTCCGTTAACTGGAAACTGGACTGAACACAGTACCTTCTCGCACTGTGCTCCAACTTTTTGCACCTCTCAAAGTCTTGAACTAATCAACCAAGGTACTTCCTATTCCGGCCATCTCGCACACCAAACCTTTCATCACAACTCGACACCAATTATACGCCAGACCTCTGGATGGGAATATTGCCCCGCAGCATGCACCAGACAGCACAATGAAGTCGCTGGATTTCCGGGTCCGCAAGCTGCACGTCAACACCGACGCCGGCAAGAGGCTGCAGAAAAAGCAGCCGTCCCGGGTCTACGTCAATGAGGAAGCACTCATTGAACTGACGGGCAGCAAGGATGGAGGCAAGGTTGCTTGGATTGAAAAGGTATCGGACTTCCCAGATGGCCCACCAGTCCGCCGCGAGGCCACGCTGTGGCAGGCCCCCGAGAAGCTCGACAAGAGCGCCACGCAAATGTACGATGCCTTCCGGGATGCCTGCAACTACAAACTGGGCGACCAGGTCCGCATCACGGCGGTAGGCGGTCCTCTTCCCGATGCGGACGAGGTCGTCCTCGAGCAGCTTCCTGCACAGGACGGCAAGGACGGGATCGCCCCTGTCGTACCCCTTGAACCAGAAGATGTCCCCGCGTGGGGGTACTTTTTGGCAGGGCGACTGTCTCAGATTGAGCACGTCTATGCCGGCTTGGTGTACAGGAACCTCGTCCTCAGGGGTCCTGAGCGGTCGTTTATCGTGGTATCTGTGAACGGTAGTACTGGAGGCAACGCCCGCTATTTGGACCGGAAAACGTCAGTCAAGATCGCCACGGCTCCTGTCAGCGGCGGCCAAGCAAACCGCGTGGCGTCTCAGAAGCTCGAAGTGACGGGTATCCGGGGGTTGGAATCACAGATTGGCCGGCTCAACGATATCCTAGGCTGTTACGACGCCGACCTGCCCTTTGCACGGAGACGGCCGCTTCCTGGCATCGTCATCCACGGCGGCCATGGCACAGGCAAGACGATGCTCCTAGACAGCATCGCCAAAACCGGCTGGGGCACAGTGTTTCGCATCCAGTACAAAGACAAGCTCTCGGAGATCCAAGAGGCCTTCCAGAAGGCGCGGTTACAGCAACCCAGCCTTGTGCTCATCGACGAGCTGCAACGTCTGATCGACAAAGATCGCAACAACCGCGCCGCCGTCATCCTCGCCCTGTGCGAGGCACTTGACGCCCTTGCCGCAGACGTGGAAACGAAAGGGGAGCAGCCCAAGGTGGCCGTCGTGGTCACTTGCCTTGACTACACTACTGATGTGCCCGAGGACCTGAAGAAGCCCGGCCGTCTGACGAGCGAGATATATCTCCCCTTGCCTGATGTCGACGGCCGGAGGGAGATTCTCGCCTCGCTAGGCCTGCATGTGGCCCCGGACCAGGAGCAGGATCTCCTCCGCCACCTGAGCGAGCGCACCCATGCCTACACGGGAGATGACCTCCGCCGCTTGGTCGACGAGGCCAGTCTGATAGGTTGTATTCGCCACCGCAAGACACCCGCGGCCTTGCGTGGCCAGCACCTGCCCACGCCGCCCCCGGGGGATGACACGGAACAGCAAGAACCGGAAACCGTCCCGCCACCGACACCACTCTACTACTCCCCTGCCGATTATCACGAAGCGCTGCGTGTCGTCCGGCCCTCGGCAATGCACGACATCAACCTGAAGCCGCCACCAATCCGATGGGACGACATCGGCGGCCAAGAAACCGTCAAGCTCTCGCTGCGCCGCGCCGTGCGGCTCTCGCTCGAACCGCCCGAGCTGCTCTCGCGGTACTTCGACCGACCGCCCAAGGGCTTCCTGCTGTACGGCCCGCCGGGCTGCTCCAAGACCATGGCGGCGCAGGCGATGGCGACCGAGTCCGGACTCAACTTCTTCGCCGTCAAGGGCGCCGAACTGCTGAACATGTACGTGGGCGAGTCGGAGCGCGCCGTGCGCCGCCTCTTCCAGCGCGCGCGCGAGGTCAGCCCGAGCCTGATCTTCTTCGACGAGATCGACAGCATCGCGGGGCAGCGGAGCGGCTTCGGCCACAATTCCTCTTCGTCGTCGTCGTCCTCAAGCAGTGGCGGACACGGCGGCATCCACGTGCTGACCACGCTGCTCAACGAGATGGACGGCTTCGAGGCCCTCGCGGGCGTCCTCGTCGTGGGCGCCACCAACCGCCCGCAGGCGGTCGACCCGGCCCTGCTGCGGCCGGGCCGCTTCGACGAGCTGATCTACGTCGGCCCGCCCGACGAGGCCGCGCGCCGCACCATGTTCGCGCAGTTTGCGGCGTCGCGCCGGGTGCATGAGGGCGTGGATATCGATCGCCTCGCGCAGGACACCGAGGGGTACTCGGGCGCCGAGATCCGAGCCATCTGCCGCGCGGCCGGCACCGCGGCGTTTGATCGGTTCTGTGGAGGCGGCGAGCCGGCGATCACGATGGAGGATCTGGAGGGGGCGATCCGGCATCAGAGGAAGCAGATTACCAAGGAGATGCTGAGGGGGTATGAGGACTGGGAGAGGCAGTTTAGGAAGTATTAAGGCAAACCCGGAGAATATGGTAGATGGGAAAATGGGGATTACGCTGGGGTGTTTTGGGCTGAGGGGATGCTGGTTGGATGACTTTAGACATAGGGACGGCATATACAAAAAAGCAACATCGGACAATTTAGGTTTGTGGGAAGGAGATGCGCTGTTCTTCACAAGGCCCGGGCCTATACTAGGTAGTATGGACGATGTACAAATGCTTTTCTGGGCATAGCAGTGCCATCTTCGGACGGTGCGAAGGAGAATTAAAAAAAAAAGCAGATATGAACAACACTCCCCACTGAGATCTGCTGTCTCTCTGGTTTTTGATCAAGCGAGCCGAAGCCGGAAGACCCAACCACCACTTAGCATGAGAAATGCCATATGGCAAAGGCTTCCGTAAGGTTAGGAAAGACTAAGGTAATCAAGCCATATTTATGTGGGTAAGTCAGGAACTGCCAAACTCCTGCAGACCGCGTAGAATACATTCATACATCACCTAGCGAGCGGTTGTGGCAGGACTTGTAAGTTATTCGGCGTGGATAGGTAGTTTCAATATCCACATGAATTATCCTCGGACGGACGGGTGATCACGAATGAGACGCACAATGACTAGGTAGGTATTCCATTGTACAATACATACGCCTACGAAATGGTCAATTTCGGGAAGAATGGTCATCCTCGGGGAGGCCCTGAAGATTAGTGCAAGACTGAATGAGTCTTGTCGTTATCTGTGGCTCCCGATTGTCCCACCAGTGCGGGTGTACTGTACGCCCGGAGCGGTTTAGTCGCCCACGTCATAACGTAACATTACCGGTAAGCAACTCTGATCCACACTCTACAACCCCTCCTAGACCGGACGTCCCTCGGACTTGGACTCCGGAGGCGAAAGGTTCGCCTCTTATATAAGTCGCCATCCTCCCAGGGCTGTTCGCCACGATGACTTCATTTTGACCATGGCTCGCTGTGCTGGCGCCGTACCTCTATCGATTTGCGTTTGCAAAGATTCTTCTTACTACAGATCAAAACGATCTTGAAGAAGAATAAGAAAAAGAAAAAAGAGGGGGGCGTCCGGAGTTTGTTTACGGCAATTCTGTCACGATGAGCGAGTCTGACAAGGCGGGGAAGCCCACTGAGGGATATGAAGCTGAAAGTGCACAGCTAGAGGAGTGGGATGCTGTGGCAGAAGCGAAGCTGGTCCGGAGGATGGATCTGTTCCTCCTGCCGGTCGTGATGCTGCTCTATCTGCTCAGTTTCCTTGACAGGTGAGTCAATTCACTACCCGCCCTTCTCTCTGACTTCCTCTGAGAGGAGAAAGGAAAGGCTGAGCAAGGCAAGGCTGGACCATGGATATCTATCTATCTTTCAACAAAACGCCCACTTCTAAATATTGGTTACCCAACCGCGTCACAGCCTTTGATGCCAAGGATTGCCGCAGGAGCCGCACTGATTAGTACTAACCACATCCCCTCATAGAGTCAACATCGGCAATGCGCGTCTCTACAAGATGGAAGCCGACCTCGGTCTGGTCGGCAACCAGTACCAGGTCGCCGTCTCCATCCTCTTCGTGACGTACATCCTCTCGGAGCTGCCGTCGAACCTGGTGCTCAAGAAGCTGCGTCCGTCGCGGTGGATTGCCTTCATCACGACGGCATGGGGCATCATCGCCACGCTGACCGGCATCGCGCAGAATTACGGCGGGCTGCTCGCCTGCCGACTGCTGCTCGGCGCCGTCGAGGGCGGCTTGTTCCCGGGGATGGCCATTTACCTGACCTTTTTCTACACGAAGCGGGAGCTTGCGTTGCGCATCGGCTATCTCTTCGTGTCGGCGGCGCTGGCCGGCGCCTGCGGCGGCTTGCTTGCCTTTGCCATCGGGCACATGCAGGGCGTGGCGGGCCAGAACGGATGGCGCTGGATCATGATCATCGAGGGCCTGCCGACCGTGTGTCTGGGCATCGCCTCGTGGTGGCTGCTGCCCGACGAGCCGGAGACGGCCTACTTCCTGGACGGCCCGCAGCGCGCCATGGCCGCGGCGCGGCTGAGGCGCCAGACCGGCTACACGGCCAACGCCGCCGAGTTCCACTGGCAAGACGTCCGCGCCGCGCTCGGCGACTGGAAGGTCTGGGCCTTCGCGCTCGCCCAGTTCGGCAGCGACACCATGCTGTACGGCTACTCGACCTTCCTGCCGACCATCATCCGCGGCATCAACCCGGACGCGTCCGCCGCGCTCGTGCAGGTGCTCACCATCCCGTGCTACGCCCTCGGCGCCGTCACCTATCTGGTCGTGGCCAGGATCTCCGATCGCACGCAGAAGCGCGGCATGTACGCCGTCCTCCTGGGCCTGGTCAGCATCGTCGGCTATGCGATGCTGATCAGCGACGTGGGCTCGGGCGCTCACTACGCCGGCTGCTTCCTGGTCGCCATGGGCCTGTATGTCTGCGTGGGCCTGCCGTTGGCGTGGCTGCCGACGAACTGTCCTCGGTACGGCAAGAGGACGACGGCGACGGGGTTGCAGTTGACGATTGGGAACTGCAGCGGGATCATGGCTAGTTACGTAAGTCCCTTTTCATTTTATTTTTTATTTCATTTTATTTTTTATTTCATTTAGTTTTTTATTTATACATTTTTTTTAAATTTTTTTTAATTCTTTTTTTCTTGTTTCTTGCTCATCTCCTTTCATCTGAAACGACCGTCACTGACGCACATCTATCTAGCTCTACCCACTAGAGCAAGGACCCAGATACATCCGAGGCCATGCAGTTACTATGGCTATGGTCGCCTGGGCCTGTCTGGTCTATGTCGTGCTGTGGTTCTCCTATTCCAGGGCCAATGCGAAGAGGCGACGAGGCGACGAGGACCACAAAACGGAGGGCATATCCGACGATGAGATTGCAGAACTGGGAGATGAAAGCCCCAGATTTGTGTACACTATCTGAGAGGGATAGTCGGTAGCGTCACTGTCGAGGGAATCCTCAGCAGAACAGGATTCTGTTTGCTGCGGCTTCAACTTGTCCAGGCATTGCCCATGTTCTAGGCCCAGCGACACTCCATCAGCTGCTTTCGCAATTCACGGTCCGTCCTTTCTTACAGACTCCAGTGTTTGAGTACCGCACAGAAGAGTGGATAAGGGATGTAGGAGGCAAAGCGAAAACAGGGCTTCATTTCCTACGAGAAAGCCGCCGCCGCGGCGAACCCAAGCCAAAATCCACGCCGCAGTTTCCATCGCCCACCGCCCGTCCGACCACCGGCCCCATTCCCGTATAAAAGAAACTTTACACAACCCAAAAAGTCCGAAGAGGAAGATAATCCATGCCCGTGTAGAATGCCGTACCGTCCTATGAAACTGAACACCCCCCACACCGGTGGTAAGGCGGGACATTATCCGTCATGCGAGAAGCCAAACAGGGCCAAAGTAAAAGCAAGGCCTGGCACGGGGGTATTTCCACAGCTGGCAAGGCGGCGGCGAGGAAGTGTGCGGATGTGTCCGCCGAGAGGAAAGGGCTCCCATCATCTACTCTCCTCCGCCTCCAGTACCGCCGCCGCCGCCACCCTCCTCCCCAACCGACTTCAACGCCGCGGCGTTTTTTACCGTGGGTGAGATGCTGATCGCGATCTTCCTTAGCCCTCCGGGGCCAGCAACACCAGTACTACCATTCGGGCTCCCCCCTCTCCCAGCAATACCCCCGCTGTTACCACCAGAAAAGCTCCTGGTTTTCCTGAGCATGGATACAGACGGCGTTACAGCAGCGGCATTCCCCGCCACGCTACTGCTGTTCCTCCTCTTATGCTGCGTCAGCTTCTCGAGCGCATCATCCTCGTCCTCCTCACGCCGCCGTTTCTCTGACAGTCGTTCCGGCGGCGAGCTTGTTGCTGCTGCTGCTGCGGCGGCGGCGGCGGCAGCTAACGCTGGTGTGCTTGTCGGGTCGGCTCTGGCGGTTGCTGGGTCTTCTCGAAAGACGAGATCCTTCCCTGTTGCGGTCGAAGCAGGGGATCGCGTCTCGGCTGGTGTCATGACCGCGTCTCCGCCTGAGTCATCCGTGTCATCCTCCTCGTCCGAGTTGTACTCGACCAGTGGTTTTGAGCCTGTAGCGCTACGGTTCGGTATCCCTAGCGACATCTCCTCGGCGCCGTGTTGGCTGCTTGGCAGGTCGTCTTCGTCGTCCGACATGTTCCAGTAGTCTTCCTGCGCCTGATCGACGACAAGGTGCTCCATCATGCCCCGCGGAGCCCCATTCAGCGCTCGTCTGGGCAGCTCATCTTCGGACTCAAAGTATGGGTCGATGCCCGTCGTAAAGCCCTGTGTCTCGTCGTAGCGGCGGAGCATACCACCGAAGGTGTCGATATAGGCAAGTGCCATCATCTTCTCGCGGTAGTTTTCCACCATCTGCTTGATCAGGTCTTTGAGGTTTTCCTTGTCGATTAGCATGAAGAGTTCTAGACACGCCGAGCAGAGGAGATTGTCCCGCGGCAGCGTCTGCAGCAGGACGTCGAGGATCGGCCCGAGCACCTGCTTGTCGGCCATCTGCTTAAGATAGAACTCGTCTTGCATTATCACAAGGTGCCGGAAGAAGCGCACCGCAACTGCGCCCAGAATTAGCTCCCGGAACAGAACACATAGATACCAAGATGCCATACCGAGCTGCAAATGCTTCTCTTTGCACGCGAGCAACTGAACAAACCGCGAAGGGATATTATGTGTGAGGACGAAGAACTTGCTGCGGTGGTTGTGGCGCTGGATGTAGTAGCAGAGAATGTCGTTCAGGCAGCTGAAGACTCCTTCCTCCGACGGACCGAATTTCATCTCCGTTCGTCCCTCGAGGTCGAGGAGGGGCTTGAACAACCGGACGGCCGAGTTCTCGTAGAAGTGCGTCAAGAACACGTCGTGCTGAGGGTCCATCATCGGCTGCGCCCTGAGCCTGGGCTGCCCAGTTACAAGCTCTCCTCGGGGCTCCTGCTGCTGTTGTTGCTGTTGTTGTTGCTGTTGTTGTTGCTGTTGTTGTTGCTGTTGTTGTTGCTGTTGCTGCTGCTGCTGCATGGGAGACGGACCTGGGTCCAGAAGAACCTTGAGTGCTTCTGAGATCTGCGACTTGACACCCAGGTCAACCTCGACGAGAAGAAGATCAATCAAAGTGTCTGTTAGCGGTAGTGAACGTTTGTGGATCTGTTCGTAGACCGTTTGTCGAACCAGCGACGGGTCGTGGTCAATCATGGAGACTAGGATGTCTGTTGCGCCGACTCTCACCGACACATCCCGGTGGCGCATACCATAGTTGATGGCGGGGAGAAGGCCTTCTTTGAGAAAGTGCACATACAAGCCCTGGCGGGCTGGCGGTTGAAGGTTCTTCGCAATGGCACAACACTGCTGGATAAAGAGCACCGCCTCTTTCTTTCGCAAGGGGGGCTCATGGGGATTTGGAAAGATAGAGAACAGTTCGTGCATGAATCCGGGAGTGGTGTGTAGGTGCTGGACGATATCGACCTGGTTAAAGAAGATGAGCGAGTTGAGCACGGAGAAGGTTGGGTCGTCGAGTATGCGGGCAAGCACGACGTCCTTGAGATACTGCAACCGATATGTCATGTGGATCTTGCGGCGGACCTGCTCGTCCTGAATCTTAACGACCTCCTTGTACCGGCCCTGGTCGTGCAACCACTGCCGGTGATTTGCCTTGTGGGTCGGAAAATCAGGATCGTACTCCAGCGCGCCCACGACCCCCAGGACGCACTCGTCCGACACGGCTTGCTCGATGATCGCGGTGTCGTTCAGTAGCAGAATCGTTTTCATGATGTTGCACAACCGATGAAGGTCGTCCAAGCTCTCAAGGTCCTCAGCCATCTCCACGAGTGGGATCAGCTTGCTGATGTAGTCTTCGTTCATGATCGTTTTCGCTAGGGCGTCGCGGCCGGCAGGGGACTGTGATAGGTTGCGGATCGCCATGTCCAACTCGGGCAACGAGCCCAAGTCGGCGGGCGGGAGCTGGATCGAGGCTGCCATCTCCATGGTCAAATCATCCGAGAGGCTGCTGTCGTCTGGACAGGTCATCCCACCTTGGACCGTTTGCTGAACCCCATCGATAAACCTCCTGCAAACCGGATGGTTAGAAGCCAACCTAGCATGCATTCGACGGCCCAAAATTCCACTAACCAAATTGCGGCGCATCCATCGGCCTCCTGAAAGCTCAGTGCCATGTCGACACCATTGTCGGTCCACACGATTAAAGTATCTGCGAGCGGTATTAGAGCTTCGAAGCAGATTCACCACAACAGCAGCCGGGGCACTGCATGCCTTGCTGTTTTTGGAAGCCATCGTCCTTAACGATCTTCGTGTCAAGTAGTCGTCGGTTGGGGTGATCTTCGGACTCGACAATCACGCGAGGCTCTTTCGGCTGGCCTTCTTCAACCTAAACACGACGGCGGAGATCACATACGTTAGTAAGGGGATGGATGCCGACGAGCAAGCTGTGGTTTGAAAACGGCCGGAACTTGATACCTGCACGAGGCATGCGCAGCAGAAGCCGGTGCCGCGGTCGAACCAGTCATTGTGGCGGAGCTCGTAGACCTTGACGCGCCTCTTATCCGCCGTCTGATGAGGCACCGGTTGTGCCATCATCAACGGTTCGGATGCTTCCTCCGGTATGACGTAGCTCTCTGCGATCAGATCCGGCGGTGCAGCATCAAGCTGATGCGGCGAAAGCGAGAGGTCGGGCTCGGCCGGGCTGAGAAGAGCAAGAGCCGCCACTGTCTCGGACGGTTGCGCTGTCCCGGAGGAAGCGCGTTTCTCTAAGGTGCGCGCTCAGAGACAATGCAATTGGCTGTGGGCTCAGTTGCTTGGAATTTGAACACCTGGGCCACTGTGTGACGCCGTGAGGGAAATGTCCGATGTTGTCGGCCACCGGGCACGAGGTTTCGGGAGGCGCGAAGCGAGCGATAGGACGAGTCGGGCAGGTTGTCGCGCAGCTAACAATCACGTGGGATAAATGGGGTTTTTGTCTGAAAGCAGTAGTTTGGCGCGTGAAGATGGGCCAGCGCGACGTCAATTTTCGTGACGGCTTTTCGGACGACGACTGACGGCGCGACTAAATTCTTACGCCGATGCTGCAGGGCGCAAGGTCGATGGAGAGAGCGGGTGGAGGCGTGATCGCCCGGGCGTTGGAGGGGCCAAAATGAGTTAGCGCCAGGCCACCGCCCGGCTTTTCGCGCTAATCCAGATTAAGCGCGCACTGACATCACAGTTTCCCGACCTCAGGTTGCGGTTCCTTTCCATGGCAGATGGCCAACAGACCCCCACGTCGCTTTGGCTCACCAACTGTCGTTTGCAATCATCGAGATTCATAAAGCAATGCTATGCGCCTGTTCTCTGGCTCGAGAACACAGTGGAAGCACCTTCTTCAAAGTCGTGTTCTATCCCCCCTCACCACGGAGGCACGGACCGGGCCGTTCCCTTGGCCAGCATCCCAGGCTCGAGCCAGGGCCCAGGCACCCAAACATTCGGACGCTATCCCCGACACTTAGCCACCCACTGGTTGAGACGGAGGTCTCCGATTTCCCTCTAACATGGACGGGCCCAAAGATCACCATCGCCAGTCCGGGATGGCCAGCTGTTCTCACTACCTTCGTGCTGCATAGCTGTTACAGCCTCGGATATGATTGTGATGTCATTTATGAGGGCGATCTCTATCTCATCTCCACAGTCAATAGCAGCTCACCCGTTCATAGCGACAACAAGCCGGGGCGCATCCGACAGGCTCCTCGCCGTCACCGTCGGGGCTCGGAATCTCTCGCGGGATGATCGCAGTGATCGGACTAACCGAGCCCAGCGAAACCAGGGAACTATTGTTGGACAGCCCTACGGATCCGACACCTCAACCATGGCTTCTACACGCTCGGAAACGAACCGCGAAATCAGTGGCAGCAGTATCCGATACCAACCACAGTTACACAGCAGCTTGACAGGTTGATTGGAGAAATTATGTGCCGCCAGGCGCGCGGCCTATGCAATGCGAGGTGCGCGCCAGTACCGGGATGACGCGAATAATACGCTTTTCTGCATCTAATACCTACTAGTACTCTACTGTACCGAGCTGCCTTCCGCACCACGCAGCTGGGTCCCCGATTCAATGAGGCGAAAGCCATGCCATGCCGCTTAGGTTGGTTCAACTGTTCAGTAATGATGATGCGCGTAATAACATCATCGTCTAGGGAAGCAATCTTCGTTCGCTTTACTCAATGGTTCCGTGCGGCCACCCGAAACCTCAGCCTGAGACAACAATCCGTTTGACATCTCCCGGTCACTGACGCCAGCAAGCTGCGATCTCCTGTGTGCCTTATCGTCTCGAGCCACACTCGGCACCAACGGCCTCCGTCGGCAACAAAGACGAGCTGAGACAGGAGCCCATTTGTGAAGGCCAAAGTAATATCAAGGGTTCGTCAGCCAACTCATGCTTCGTTATCGCCAATACAATCTCCACTGTTTGACCAGAAATACCAGCGACGCCGCGCATCTCTTCCACACCGCATTCTCTGCCAGCGTGGTCTCGTTGATATGTCGCCCTGATTAGACTGGGTGCCGGCGGAGGTCCAAGATAAGAATCCCTTGTCGACGTGGGATCGTCCGATGGAGACGATTGATCAGACGGAATCCACCCAATCTCATCTGGATCCGGTAGGCAGGGGTGTCAATCAAGCAGAAGAGCCGCATGGGTGATGATGGCCAATCATTGATTGCTGCTTACCCTTTCTACTCGAGGCTTTTTAAGAGATCTTTTTTTATGCTGCGCTGCGCGCTGCATATTATGTGCAAGCACCCGTTGCAGTAAGGTATAGTGGACGGTTTTCCAGATCTGTCTGTTGAGCTGACAGAAGTGCAAGCCGCTCCCATACCCACCAGAGCTTCCAACAAACCCCCACGTTGGGCTTCGGTGTGGCGTTCTGGGCTTCTTCGGAAGACGACGAACGCAGGCACCTTGATTTCCAGCTTCGCTAGTGTAGCGCCCCTTCCGCTTCTCGTCTCGTCCCGTTCCCGGCAGCAATAGGCGCTATGTCGAAGTTCGGCGCTATTGGACCCGCCATGCGAGTCTGACCTGGATAGAAAATCCTATCTGCCGAGTCTGGACCAGTGCCCCGATATGGGCAGGCATGTAGATATGAGGAGGGCGCACCAGATATTGGTCCCGGGCATCAACTGAGCGGCTTCAATCGCGGACGCTGACGCTCCATCTATGATATTATGATAAAGAACAGGCTCGCCAGGCTCAGTCCCGGAGGTTTGGACTTTGGAGATGGCTAGGCCGAGCGGTGATCTCAGGTCTTTTTCGAAATCCACTTGGTGGCCGCGGCACGGTCCTTGGTTCTCCGTTCTCCCTAACGTCAATCCGCCCTTGTCCCTGCCAAGTGGTGCGGCTGGACTTCGGCGGACTGCACTAGCATCCTGAGCTGTTTCGGTGACGATCTGCCAAGAGACGAGCTCGATCCAGTACGTATCGCGTACTTTATCGTCCATCTTTCCAGGTCTTCGGGTTCCGGTCAAGTCGCTGCGTGTCACGTCAAAGATATCACAGCAGCCATCTGCGGCTGATATGGCCCTTTCAGCGCTCCTGGTCGCCGATCGTTTGCCAGGGCCCCGGTCCATTGAGAGCCGCTCCGGCGGTAAGGCGCGTTATCGCATCGGGAGTAGTAATCCGTACCGGGTACATCTCGAGCAATACGAGGACCCACTTTTCTCCTGGCTCTTCTTTCTTTGCATGCGTGGCTCCAAGCAAGCCAAGGGAATGGACATCATGTTCGACCAGATACAGACAAGGCGTTCGTTTGGGATTTGCACGACCCACGGAACATGCTTGTTCTTGTCTTCGATTGCTGCCGAGAGATCCGCTCCGCTTCGCTTGCTTGTTGGTCGCATTGGCGATCCTCCCACTGCCAGCCCAAAATCTTGGTCCATTGCTCCCAGGCTGGTGTAACCCCGCTGGGGAAGTGGTGCCGTCACGATGACAATGCGGCCATGTCCAGGGTGCAGTCACGGAGGTGACTTGAGTTGCCTGGGCTCTTCCATAAAATTGTGGTATCGGCGAATCACTCACTATACACTACAGGATGTACTCTACTGTACAGTACAGAGGCAGTGGCCCCCGCGTGGTTGTTTCTTCCGCGCCCCCTGCTCGAAGTTGCAGGTGCCCATGCATGGTCCAGCGTGGGCTCAACAGAGGAGGGCTGAAAGCTGCATCGGTCTAGTGGACGCTCGCTTGTGTGAGGCGGGCTCTTAAAACCCGGTGGATGCCCACCGAATCCCTCGCTTGGTGAGGTCGAGCGAGCTTCTCGTCAGACTATCATCCCCCGACTCTCACCAACATCGGTCGTTTAGGTTCTCCGCATGTCTCGGTATCCGTAAGGGCACCGGCTTTCACTCTTTTATCCTCTTGCCCTTAGTTTTCCCTGACCGAGTCGGCCAAGCATTATTAGATTGACTGAGTCGCCTGCTTTGAGGTTTCGACGTCGCCATATCCAGGCGGCCTTTCACCCCGAGGTTTCATCCGATCCCACCTCACTGCTTGTCCTCGTGCCCGCCACATCCTCCGGGTCTCGGGCTTCGTACGTCTAGGACAAATATAGCCAAACCCATACCCCTCGCTACCACCTGCCGGTTCATGCAACCCTGGGGCATTTAATATCCATAGGCATCTGCACCCCGCAGGTCGCAGACCTGTCGCCCAGTTAGTTAGGTGCCGTCACGGTCTCCCCGGCAGCCGGACTTAGGTGCGTGACGTCGGAGAGGAGCTCGTCTTCAACTCGCTCGTTTCTCTCACCAGAGACACCCCGCTCGACAGCGTGAGCCTTGTGGCACAACAGGACCAAACTCAGGAGCTATGTCAGTGTTTTCGATGATCAAGCGGGGCCGTCAGGCCGCCAAGGAGCACCGCGCGGAGCAGGCCAAGAAGGAGAGGGAGGAGGCCCAGAAGGCCCCTTACAAGCACATACCGAGACATGCCGCCATTGATGCTCTGTCGGGCGGGCCGGCAGGTTGGAAAGAGAACGACAGGCGCAGGATAGTCGAGCAGAACAAGCGACGCAGCGCGATGACGACGAGCGGCGTGGGTATGAGCGGTTTCATGACGCCGGTCCATGCCGGCATGCCCCGTACACACAGCGCACTTTCCCACGTCTCATACCCGTCCTCCTCCGCGAGCCCCGTCGTTCAGCTGCCGCGGGCCTACAGCTACAGCAGCATGCCGCCGGGCTGGACATCGCACACGAGGGAGATCAGCTACAGTCCCATCGACATGGTAACTTCGCTGAAGGGCAAGGAGGTCGAAAGGGTTATCGACTCGGCCCGCACGAGCCGGTCCTCCAGCAAGATGTCGACCGGTCGGATCCCGCTACCGCCCGGCGCCTCGTTCGGGGCCGGGGATGCGACACCATCGCCCGTCGAAAGCTCCAGCGACTCGGCCAGTTCGCAGGAGGACTTGGAGATGAAGCCGGTTGCTAGATACAGTGCTCCGATCCCTCCGTCCCAGGGCGCCAGCAGGCCGGATAAGCCTGCGAGTGACGCCGAGCGCATCCACAGACTGCACCCTGGCCGCTCGCGTAGGATTTCGGACCCGAACCAGGCCGCAGTGCCTATGCGAAGCTCTCTGGCGCCGCGCACGAGCTCCCTTGGCCCCGGCATCCCTCCCGTTCCTGCGCTGCCCCCCCTCCAGTTGGGCACCGCCGTGACCACCCCAGAGTTGTTCTCTTCGGCAGCCTCCTCGAGTGCTAGCTCAGTCACCATGGTTCCTGTTGCGTCCAGCACATCGCTTGCCGCCAAGGCTGCGCCAACGGTTGTGACACCAAGGGCGCCGACTACAAATGAAGCCGAGTTGGCGCAGCAAGCAGAGTATGGCACGGCAGAATCCTTGGGCGGGGGAGAGGTCGTGGCCATGAAGACAAGCGTTGCCCCGATCGTGTTGGGTGTCCCGCCCGTGGTGGAGGGTACTTCTCCGGCGAAGCACAAGAAGAAGAGGGTATCGAAAGTGGCAAGGTTCAGCGAGCTGGAGCCCATCAAGTCCAACACCACCACCGTTACCGTGGAGCCTGCGGAGCTGGAAAAGCGCCCGATTTCGACGACAACTGCCCTCCCAACGAGCTTCGACGAAACGGCCCTGTCCGGGAGAAATGAGATTGTGCTACCCCCTGTGTCGAAGCCGGGCAAGCTCTCCAAGGCACCCGCGGCAGCGAGTGGGAAGCTGGTCAAGAAGAACCGGTGGTCGCTAAGAAGCAGCAAGAGCACTGCGGTGGCTGGCTGAGTCCTCCGAGAATGAAGAGGACTTTCGCCGCCTCCGTCCTCGTTTTGCAACCGGCATCGGCGTTGTGACATTACGTTTACATATATATCTGCCTGTCTTTTGCATCTCATTTGTGTTCCAGCAAGCGACATCACACGTCATGAGCACACCTTCGCAGGGGCAATTCTCTGCGCTTTAACCAGTAGTATTGGGCGTTGGCAACTTTTCTTTTTGGGTTATGAACCGCTGGTATATATTCAGCTCAGGTTACATCTTTCCTTCTCATGACGACGGTAACAAAAACTGGGTTATTTTGGTGTCTGTGTGCTGTGTGGACTGGCTTCCTGTTGGTAGGAGTTGAGATAGGGCTGAAATATCACACAGCTTGATCTCGCTTGTCTTGAACATGTGTGGGAGCCTATTTGAACACCGCCCGGGCTCAAAATAGCTTCACAGGATGTGCCTAGGTACGTACCTAGGTACCTACCTAGATACCTTGCTGTATTTGTCGATGGTTGACCAGCAACATCGGACATATTTGATATGCCCAAGTCCAGGCTGACGTCTTGGGCCAATGAAACAAAGTGTGATGAACACATGATCGGTGCCTTGGCTGTTATCACGATTGGAGTTACCTGGCACTATCAGCTCTTTTGTTGATCATAACATTACCAGGTACGCGGAAGTGCCATGCATCGGATCCCACACTACTGCATGTCCACGCAACCAGACGACCTTTTTTTGGGACTCACCGCCGCTGGGTATTGTTTGGTTGTATCATTGGCCTCAACGCACGCAGCCTTACAAGGCAGACTGATCTCTTAAATGCTGACATGTAATGTGCGTAAACTATCTCGATGCTCGACCTCACTATCTGCCTTATCCGCACGCCGCTGTCACTCGAGGATCTCCAGCCCACAAGACGATAGCACATGTCAGATGATCCATATCACGATAGTACCTAGGTATGTACTTCTGGGGCAGTCGGCTTCGAACTATCACTGCTAGACGGACGAGAACGGCACGGATGTTGGGGTACCATTGCATGTCCAATATATTCCTACGTAGAATATTCTATTGCAGGCGCCGGATTCAAAAAGATGAACTGGCATGTGGCGGGGTCGATACTCCCGATCGGTCTGGCTTCCGTGGTGTCGGCTTGCTCATAGTTTCAGCTCTAGATCAGCTAGCCATTCGCAAAAGTCTCCCCGAAAGGGACATAAGCGGAGCGCATCGTTGGAACGCTGCGTGGGTCGTGGTACGCGGCTGAAGTTGTAATGTGCTGTATTGTATTGTACATACATGTACTTGTAGGTCCATGAATAAGGTAGGTGGCATGTGTCTGCAAACATAAGTGCATGCAGCCACATGGAAGGGACCACGTGAAGCACTCCAGAGTCGAGCAGACCTCGCTCATCAGAAGTCGTACATACCTACCTCGCCAGCCAGGACCTTGTGAGAGGTATTAGACCTAAGGCGGCTTTCCTCCTTGGCCCTACCGTAGTCTCCGCGTCAGACAGGAGACCTCACCACACGACTGCTCGCAACGAGATCCTTATTAGGGTTCCACACCATGATCTCGCCGAGACCCTTGACTGACCATCCCAACCCGCTCGCGGGACGAGGTCGAAGCGCCACAGAAGGATACCGTGACATTGGGCGAGGCTCAGCTGATCTGTAACTATTTGTGACAAGGCACGCAGGCATACTTCGTCCCTTCGGTTGTAGTCTTGCCTCTCATTCCACCTTGTAAATATGTTCTATTAGACGGCGAGATTTGCGAGGTTCGCTCTGGCCGAGAGAAGGAACCGGTGCGGCGAAGTCTGTGTGAGTATGCCACGCTGTCAAGCGATCCATTAGCTAGACAATGGCCAGGAGAGGTCGTACGCAGAACCCGGAAAGTTGACGGTCGATGTCGCTCAGCGTGCTGTGAGATACGCCCCCGGATTGGGGGCCACTTTTGCTTCGGATGGAACCAAGTCTGATCAGGGGCTCTCCTACTGCCATACCACAAACTGGTCCTTTTTCCGAGACGTAACCGTCATAACCGTATGTTTCCGACTTGGATGCTGAGTAAGTAAAGTCGTCAATCTGTATCCTTTCGTCTTGCCGATTGGCGCTGTCGACGAGATATGTAGGAGCGGACGTGAATGTGTAGTGGTACTGTTGGGTTAAATACATGGTGGGAGCTCCTCTCCGTTTCGGCCGTTTTGGGAAGCAGAAGGTAACCGTTACCCCACCTCTCCCACCTGCAGCGCTCGCTGCAGCATGGAGAAGTGCCAAGATCGACAGGGGTAGCTCCATATGATTCGTCACCCCTCGTAATGCTCTCGTGGCATCATCGCGAGCCGACCGGCCTTGCGAAGTGCCGGCCGAGTTCATGAAGGCCACTGAGAGAGCTGCGATTGCTCGGCGCGGCCCATGACTTTGACGGCGTTCACTTAGAATATTCTCCGTTTCCACGCCGTCGACTTCTAGGCATGGCGACTGACGGGCTGATCGAGTCTCTCGTGCAGCTGGTCTGGCTCCTGTGGGAGAGCGCCTACAACCAGCCGGTCAACTTTGTGCTGACCTTGGCTCTCCCGCTTGCCGGGTTGTCCATCTTTGGCGTAAGAGCTTGCCGCGCTGCACTTTATAGTGACCAATTGGCTGACTGGTCCTATCTCCATGTAGATCTACATCATCCTTCACCTCGTCGCTCCGAAACCTCGGCTCCCGTTCCCGTCGGAGAAGACGTACCTCACCACGAACCCCGATGGCACCGTCAGCGCCCCGCGCCCCCTCCCTTGCTGGTATGACCGCTGGCGCGCTGAGGGTCGCCTCAGCCAGGAGTATCCAACTATCCCAGCAGGCTTTCCCGTCACGGACCAGGCCACCATCGAGCCGGCCGAGGTGGAAGTGAGCGTCGTGGTCCCTGCATACAACGAGGAAGCGCGTATCTGCCCCGCCCTGGAGGACATGGTCGAGTACTTGGATCAGCAGTTCGGCCGGCCGAACGAACAGACACTGCAGCGTGAACAACAGCAGGAGAAGCCTGCCCTGGAGACGGGGAGGAAAGACAAACGCCCTACGACGCCGCACCGCCTGGTATTCAAACCCGACTCTACAAGCCCGCCTCCTCGCTCTGCCACCGGGCGAACAGTGTCGATGGATGCCGCTCCATCAGGCTATGAGATACTCATTGTCGACGACGGCAGCCGAGACCGGACCGTCGAGGTCGTCCTCGACTTCTCCCGCCGCCGCGGGCTCCACGACATTCTCCGGGTCGTCAAGCTGGAAAAGAACCGTGGCAAAGGCGGCGCCGTGACCCACGGCCTGCGCCACGTGCGTGGAAAGTACGCCGTTTTTGCCGACGCCGACGGCGCAAGCCGCTTCAGCGACCTCGGCCGGCTGATCGAAGGGTGCGAGGACGTGGTGGACGGGTCGAACCGGGGCGTGGCCATCGGGAGCAGGGCGCATCTGGTCGCGAGTGAAGCCGTCGTGAAGGTACATACATATGCTATTCCTTCTTTATGCCACCCGCGTCATTTCAGGAACCACACTAATACTAAAACAAATATCAGCGCGCCGCGATCCGCAACTTCCTCATGCGCTCCTTCCACTTTGTGCTGATGATCCTCACCCCGCCGGCCACCTCGCGCATCCGCGACACGCAGTGCGGCTTCAAGCTCTTCTCGCGTGCCGCTCTACCGCACATTGTGCCCTACATGCACACCGAGGGCTGGATCTTCGACATCGAGATGCTGATGCTGGCCGAGTCGGCGCCCGCCACACCCGTGCTGGCCAGCGACGGCTCCGTCATCGGCACTAGCTACGGGATCAAGGTCGCCGAGGTGCCCGTGGGCTGGCACGAGGTGGACGGGAGCAAGATGCACCTTGTACAAGACAGCGTCAGGATGGCGATTGGGCTGGCGGTGCTCAGGGCGAGTTGGATGTTGGGAGTTTATCGGAGAAGGGTGACCGGATGAAATGGATCTTCAACTCTTTAACGTAAAGCTGCGATTCTACGGGGTTAAATTTGGGATAGACAAATGGGATAGACAGGAGCCGCGAGAGTTCTCACCGCTACGTATGGTGGTCTATCATGATCCCGAGCCAAATAAGCAAAAGAGCCATGATCATGTCCAAACCGTCTCTCATTACCATTACCAAATGTCTAAGTGAAAGCCGTCATTACTAACAAAATAATCAAGAAAGCAATCCTCATATACACCTGAATCTAAACAGGGTCATCCCCATGCATCCCACAACCTCGGCCTTCTCTACTACCGCAGCTCGGTGCCGAAAACAGGCAAGAACACCACGCACGCCTTCCACAGAATCAGCACGGCTTGCACCAGCGCTACTGGGAGCATCAGCGGGCCCAATGCGCCGCCGCACACCTCCACCGTGTTCACCCAGATCGCTAGGAAGGCCACGCTGAAGAAATGATACGCCAGTGTCAGCGGCCGTCGCAAAATACCGCCCAGCAGGGCGACCGGCTCGTCGGTGACGCCTTTTTGGAAGTAGCGGAAGCAGCCGCGCTGTAGCGCGCGCAGCTGCCAGTTATCGGCCGCGAACAGGCTGTACAGCGCCTGCGCCAGCACGTTGATGATGGAGGTCAGCGACTTGCGGCGCCAATGGAAGGTGGCCATGGCGCGGCGCACGGCCGCGTGGTCGCCTAGGTTGGGCACCTGCGCCGGGTCGAGTAGAGTCGAGAGGAGATGGGCGTCGTTGAAGGCCACTGTCATGCCGCCTCCCGTCAGCGGGTGCCGCATGTTGTGGGCGTCGCCCAGCACGATGACGCCGTCGTGCGTAGTTTGCTTCTTGGAGGGCAGCCAGCTGTTGGGCATGCTCTTGGGGATCTTGCCGTCGGCGAGGGCGGCGCGGGCGCTGGGCTGGACGTGCGGCGGCAAGGAGGGGATGACGATGTTCTCGATATACCCGCGCACGCCGCCCTTGGCGGGTGAGGCGGCAGGGTGGTCAAGGGGGACGTCGATGAGGGCGCGGGTTTCGTGCGTGCCGATTTGGTAGAGTAGGGCGAGGCATTGGTCGCCGATCACGACGTGGCCGGTATTGGCCGGCGGGAAGGGGCAGTCGATGAGTTCGAGGGCGTAGAACTTGCTGCGTACGACGGGCGCGGTGCCGAGGATCTCTTTGCGGAAGATGGATGCGTAGCCGTCCGCAATGATGGTTAGCTGGCCGAAGAAGGTGTCGGGCTTCTTCTTGCCTGTTTCTGGGTCCTTCGTCCGCGTCTCTACGCCTAATACAGCATCGCCGTACTGTCCTTTGATGGTCGCCGTGACTTCCGTCTCGAATATGCTGATGTTTGGGTGCCCCATGCATGCCTTACGCAGTTGCATGATGAACCTGCCGTGATGGAAGCCCCTTCCCTCGGGCCGCACAGGGGTCTTCTCCCCCTTGCTGTGCCCATTGACATGGCCATTCACCTCCTTCTTGCTCCCCGCTCCAACGATCACTCTCCCCTCGCCGCTGACAGGCGGATAAGGAAACGATACCTCGGACCCTCTGAACAGCACGTGGTATCCATAACACGGCACGGCGTCGATGTCCTCAAGACACCTCTCGAGCCCTAGCTTTTTCAGCGCCTCGACGCCGCCGGGCTGCAGCAGCTCGCCGACGATCCGGTCCGGCTCGTGCATCCACCGCTCCAGCAGGATGACGCTGCGCCCTTGATTGGCAAGTGCGAAGGCAATGGCGCACCCGAAGACTCCGGCGCCGACTACAACGACGTCGGCCTCATGGGCCTTCTCCCGCCGCTCGCGGTTACGGGCCGCTGGGGAATCGGCCACGTCCGTCATGATTGTCCCCACAACCGTATGATCCTTCTTTCCTTTGGCTGTTACCGGCCCACCTCAAGTTGGCCGCGGGTCTTGTCGGCGTTCGGCAGGCGGGAGGGATCAAGTGCTTCGAAGGCAGACGGAGTCGAACGATCTTTACCGGTGTCTAGCAGCTCTCTTAGGGAAAGTAATCGGGAGCTTTGATTCAACTGGCGGTGGGGGAGAGGATAGACGGTTGCTAAACGACAGAAAAGGCCGTCGAGGGGTTGCCGCCCTTTTAAGACGCCAATGCAGTCATCAATCGAGGCGCAGTCGAGTTTGTCCGGCGTAAGATCTCTTCGTTGTTTCCCCCTGCGGAATGACCAGTGAAATTATTCGAGAACCCGATCTTCCAGCGGAATCGTCCCATGCGGCAGGCACCGCTGCCGTCCGAACTACTCCGAACCCTTGGCGGGCCAATCACGGGCGGCTAGCCCCTGGCTGCAAAATTCACATGTCAGTCGATTGCCAAGCACGGGATGGCTGCAGTGGCCTGTTTACTTCTGAGAAACACCAACTGGCACAGCATGTATCACGCTCTATCACATGCAACCAGCACCGAATGTCAACGAAATGTCGATGTCGGAATGATATTCTAACTTCCAACTCGCCTTCTACACGTGTACTTGGAGAATACCTAGTAGAAAGGATCTTAGCCTACGGTAGCGGTCTAGACTTTTTGATGATCTTTATGACGACGAACGATTCTCAAAACTCAGAGACTCGCAGAGCCCCTGAGAATTAGAGTTCTAGAAATCATCAGGATGTGGACCAACCGTTCCGTCTAGCCAAGCGTCACATAATCGAGGCGGATACGGAATCAGGGATGTATAGATATATGAGAGTATCTAAACAGTTTGACCCATGTACAGTAATACAGTGTGCTTTTACACCTTTACAATGGCGAGGATCTAAAGTTACCTATCCAATGCAGATTTCTCCCGTTGTCCATTGCGCAACCTCCTAGAACGCCTCAACAACAGTAACCCTGCCCGGAGCCTCCAACTCCCGTTCCAACGCGCTATAATAGTCCTCGGGCTCTCCCTCCGCCACGTTCCTAGCCTCCGGCCTACCCAGAAAAGGCATGTTCTCGAACTCCACCGGCGGACAGCCGGCATCTAACGCAGCCTGCCTCATGATGCGTATCGCCTCGGCCTCCAGCTTCTCGCCCTCTGCCCTCATCACCTTCCTGGCCTCCACAATTTTCTTGATCCCTTCATCCACAACCGCCCGTGCTCGCATTCGCTGCTCGGGCGTGACAGCCCGTGCCTGTGAATGCGCCACCCGTGCGCGGGCGTGCCTGAGCGCCCTGCGGCAGGCGACGTCCTCTTTGTACGGGCTTGCGAGACACCGGTTAATGGTGTTCCGGATGCCGTTGAGATCGATCAACTCTGCATAGGCAGCGAGCAGGATCTTGAAGTTCTGCAGGTTGAAGCAAGGCCCGCATGAGGCACCGCGCACTTCGGCGGCCTTAAGGGCATAGCTGATGGCGCCTGGGAAGTGACCAGCGGTCAGACAGATCCAGGCGGCGCGATGGAGGAGGTTGTCGGTGATCTGAAACCCTCCCTTCTGGAAGTTAGTTAGGGTCGCTTGGATGGTGTTATAGACATCTGAGTTGTGGGCAGTGGCCGTTGTTTCGCCGAGCTGCTTCGCGACGAGATAGTTGATCACCGGATTTACATCTTCGCCCCTTGACTGGGCGTCCCGTATGAGGCTGTAGGCTCCCTGGTAGTCGTTGGGCGTCGAGATCAGCCACGCCTGCACGGCCAGACGCAGGGCGTATTGAGAGTATGGCATGCCCTCGCGCAGTGCCCGCTTGTAAATCAAGGCGGCGCGCTCCGGACGATTGCAGGCGAGAGCCTCTTTCATTGCTAAGATGACGTCTTCAACCTGCTCACGTTTACCCTGAGAGGAGACCTTGTTCGGGGCGAGCTTCAACGAGAGCAATCGCCCTTGCGCGTACCTTCCGCCGTGTTTGGAGTCCGCTAGCGCTGCGGCCTTCATGAGTTGCTCCGTATGCCCGTCCACATAATTCGGATTCAGGGCTCGCAACTTCCGGAACACGGTGCGGAGGTCTCTGAAAGGGAAATGCCACTGCCTGCGGCATCTCGCTAGTATGGCGTTGGTGAAGGCAGCATCGACAGGGAAATTTGCCCGGCTGCAATAGTCGAGCCATTCGACCAAGGAATCAATGTCCCGAATCGCCGCATACTGCTTCGCCATCAGAGTGACCACATGGCCGCACAAAGGGACCTTGAGCTCATCCACGTAGGACTTGAGGAAAGCCTCGGTCTCGCGAACTGTATGGGTTTCGGAATACGCCTTGAGGATCGGGACGAACACTCGGCTGGGGTTTGGGCCTCCACGCAGCGTCATGGCCTCGAAATCAGCGCGGACCGCTTCCCAATCTCCATCTTTGGCATGGAAGCGAGCGAACACGCCCAGGAGCCGGACATCCGAGGCAAGAGGGGGGTATTCGGCGACCCCAGCCATGAAATAGGACTCAGCCTTGTCCTCCTCCCCTGCTTCTAGAGCCAGCTCAACCATAATGCGGTAGACGTTGTAGGAACGGAATACCGTATCCTTCAGGCTAGGCGTCTGCAATGTCCCAAAGAGAGCCTCGACTGCCTGAAAGCTGTGGTGCTGCTTCCAGTGACATATGAGTAGCTTGATAACCCATTCCGGCTTGAGCTTGGTATTCACAAGCTGGGAACAGACACCATGCAGCGTCTCCAAAACCTGAGCTGCCTTGTAGTTCAGGGCGAGTTCCACGCTGTGGACTATGGTGTCCCCGATGGCATGCACCGATGCTTCCGTAGGGGAGGACTTCGGGTAGGTGGAGCAGAAGATTTTGACGACGGACCTGTAATCGCTTTGCTCGTACAACTTTGCGAGAAACCACGACGTCAAATCACCCGAGTTCTCGCCTGCGACAATGTTACACCGCCGATACAAGCCGAAGATTCTCCCCAGACGGCCCAACGAGAAACATATCTCGAGTAACCGGCGTCCGAGGCTGTACATCTGGTGGTCCGGATCCGTTGGAGGCGCCGGAAAGGTGGGAAGGAACAGATTGATAGCCGTCGAAAGGTTTGTCAGGTAGGCGGCTCGCGTTTGCTTGCTGAATTCCGTGTCTGCCAGCAAGGAGTCAATCACTGCGAAAGGCTTGTGGTTGTAGTAAGCGCCCTCTTCCAGCACGCCCCGAGCCACAACCCGGCAGAGGATATCCACAGCCTCCTTGAGTCGGCCCTCTTCATGACAAACCCGACATAACAGCGCGGTTGCTTCAATCCAAGAGGTATCCAGGTTGCTAGGCGCAGATTTTAGGTTCATGGCCTCGAGGACGGTTCGTACGGCGCTGCCAATCTGGCGAGGGTCTCTGCTGCGGCAGGCCTCGTGCACTTTGACCACGATTTCATCGACCGTCGGGAACGCGTACACCTGTATCGCCGCTGTGTTTGTCCATAACCAACTCGGACCGGGTTTGGCAGCTGTGGTTCGCAGGGTCAGGAGGTTCTGAAGCGGTTTGTGGGGGTTTCTCCTGGCAGGTTCCTCGGGCTGCGCATAGATGCCGGCACTGTTCGTGTTGCTGGCGTCGCTCTGTTCCGACACCATGGCGCGTGCCACGCCCCCCGTAGAATCGATGTCCTCGTAGCTGACCTGCTCCTCAATCTGCTTGATCTCTCTCCTGGGTGGGATCGGCGTTGGGGCCACATCGACCTGATGTAACACGAGCCTCGCACGAGATGACGGGACGAGTGCCGGATCCAATAGTGCCTCCTCTTCTATGGCCAGGGCAAGCGCGGTACCTCCCGGCCGATATCGCTTGGCCGCCTTGATCTTCTCTCCATTCTCAATGATCTGTCTCGCACAGTTGATTTTCCGGCGGCGGTCCTCGGCAATGAAGGCGATAGCGCATGAGGTGCCCACGACGAGCCCTCGCAGCGCCGTCAGGGCTGCCTTGGAGGGGACAGAAGAAAGCGAAGACGACATGGTGGTTCGTCGTGTTGCCGTTCCATGTCGTCAGCGCATCGTGGGGATGCGCAGCGTCTCCGTGGGGTGTGTCAATGGGCCCGCGATGGTCCGATCATTTCGAGTTCAGTTCGTCAAGGTTCAGTAATAAACCGTCCAGTGTAGCTTCCATGGCTCCGCAGCCCATTTTCCCGGGCATGAGGTGATGCAGCTCATCAAACCCCACAATACTAATAACTTTCGGCCTCCCCACCTTCCTACAGGCTACTAGGAGCTTTGGCCAGTCGGGTTAGGGTTGTAAGCCAACTGAGCCAACCGTTGCCGGCACCGATACGGATGACTACAGTACAACTAGTAGTAGTGCATACCACTGTGTCCGGTGTTGGAACTTGAAAAGTTGAGAGGTGTTAGATGTGATTCCGGCCGAGTCAATGGGAAGTTCCAGAACTGCCAACGTGTGGCGGAATCAAGATGGTATAAGTACAGTCACATGTCTATCTCTAATGTGGTATGCTTCTATCCAGTCCACACCAAACGCCTCTCCCATGTGTAGCCTCCCCGAATCGCAAAGTATGAACACAAAATAGTACAAGCAGGCCCCGATCTGCAAATGACTCGCTATCTAGGTACCTTGGGCATGTTTCGCATCGTCAGGCTAGTTCGCGTCGCTCCATGGGCATGTACACTTCCAGCTTGCGCAGAATCGACTGGTAGAGGAACAACATGCATCCGCTTTGGATGCTGGTCCAGGCTGCCCTCGGCCCGACACCTCTAAACCAGCCAGCGACACCTTCTGCCTTGTAGATCAGTCGAAGGCCGGTGATCATGGAGGACGTCTCCAACATGACAGCCCCGGGTTTAGGCGTGTGCGTTGATGGAGATGAGGTTGATATTAAACGTTTTTGGAGTCTTGATGCCGTCTCAGTAGCCGTCTTCATATGCCCGTCCTTGGCCGTTCCGGTTGCCGGTGTATCAGCAGTGGGCGTTGGGCCGAGTCCTCCAGCTTCCGGATGGACCTGGGTCTGGAGTCGAGTTTTGACAACGTCAAGGGGACACGTCATCGTACCAGCGAGACCGCCAGCTGCCGCGCCTGTCAGGAGCTCCAAATGCCAGCCGATGTCACGGCTGCCTTTATACCGATGCGCCCAACTTTGGCCTTGCTCGTAGAACATGAATTGGAGGGCTGAGAAGGGGAGATCGCGCCACAGAGTGGCTCCATAGCCGTGAAAGAGAGCGGAGACGCCTTCTGTTCGAACGATGGTCCTCACAGCATCGACTGTTCCCCTATAATTGTACCCCGACGTGAAAAAGGGGTTGTTATGTCGCCCTTGTAACTGCAGGCGAGTCTTGACCACCTCTGATGGAACGTATACGATGGATGCGGCAAAGTCGCCGATAAAGCCTGGAGCATGGGTCAGCTTGAGATACAGGAAGCCTTCATTACGAACTGACCGGCCAGCAAGTACGCCAGATGCGGCTGAACGCCATAGTCCAGCATCTGCCGCTTGCTCCACTCGTAGCTTCCAAAGAAGAAGCACGTAGCTGGAAACGAACCGGCGAGGGCAGGAATCCAGCCGCCATAGAGCCCACGTCGGAACCCTTCTTGTCGGAATATCTTGAGGTAGGACGACCCTAGCGAAGTGTACTTGGGGGGGATATGGGGATCGCCTTGCTGCCGTGTCTTGACTGTGTCGAGCGAGTGCATGAGCATATCACCGGTGGATCCGCCCAACCCTCCAGCAAGCATGCACTGGGCCTCCGGTCAGCTCGCGACGAGGGGTGCTGAAATGAGGTCCGAACCCACGTGCAAATAAGGCGGGCGCCCTTCCACCTCTCCATCTTGAGACCTCATATTATTATGAATGCGCAAAGATTCGGTTCCAGTGGCGATGGCATGCGACAGGATGTGCGCGTGATCCGTATGTCCATGGTCGAGGGCGGCCGGGTCCAGGTCCGGGACACTCCCCGTGGGCGTCGGGACGGTTGACGGGGTGCGATTGGCCGTCTGAAAGCCAAGCACCATCGCCCCGAGGGAAATGGACAGAGGATTGCGCCGCCCAGGCAGCGGGCGTAACTGTCAAGTTATGTCGGCACAAGTTTCGCAGGTTGGGGCAGCTGGGCGCTGTACCGCAATGTTTCCAAGTTCAAAAATCTCGGCGGACTTGCCGGTCCGATCCCGTTTTTTTGCGGCGGGCAAAGTGATCTGTGCGCCTCCGTCTTATTCAATAAGTCGCCCCCATATTGCGTCCAGTGAGCCCACTTGTCCCTGACGGAGCCGTCCCAACGACCTGAAAATTGTCAATTAGCCTCTGGGCGACACCTTTTATCATCAATATCTCATATAGCTCTCTATACAGGTTGTACACCTATAAAATCAAAATCAATCACCCGGCCTTTGGCATCACGACGCTCTTTGCACGCCTGATCGTAGAGGATGCTCCCACCACCGCACCCGTCCCGCCCGGTCCCACGGCGACAGGATATGCGTGATCTTTCCCGTGATGAGCCTCGCAGATATAGGGCCGTAGTAGTTGCTATCCTTGCTGAGCTCCCCGTCCCCTTCAACCCAGACGTGGCCCTCAGGAACAATAACATGCTGGTACGGATACGGCGGCTTCGTCCTCACCACGTCCCCCTCGAGGCCCACGATCCTCTTGACAGTGACTTTGTTGGGATCGTTCGGGTTTCTATTCACTCCATCAGCCTCATTCCCCCATCGTCATGATCCCCTATTACACTCCTGGCGCGCCCCCCCCAGTACATGGCACGAGGTAGATCGAGAAACGAACCTGAAGGTAACAACCATCCCCCTCCGCAGCCCCTCATGAGCATAAAGCTTCCAAACCAAACACAAATCCTTCTTTAGTGACTCGTTATACTGTGGGTTAAGAAACGGGTACATGGACGGGCCGCGAATAAAGGTGACCTCGGCGACATAGGCGTTGAACCAGATAAGCGGCGGGATCCAGGTCGCATAGCGGATGAGGTAGTGCGAGACTTGCCGGAGGAACTGCAACCGCGCCCCGGCGGCTCCCCATCGCGACATTAGGGATGCGGTGATCCCAACGTCAAAAGTCGGGTCGTTACTGATTTCTAGGAACGAGATGGGACTTATTCAAGTGGTGAATTCATGAGCTCCAGGTGGGTTCAAACGATTCATTGAGGTCCGTAGATAAGGCGTTCGATAAGCATGAAAGTGGTGGGCGCTGCCTCGATTGGCGCATACCATAATACCACGCCAATTCTAGGTAGCAAAACATTTCAGCATCACCTGGGCCATATTGTTGCTCCGTCAACCGTTACATCATTCCCTTTTCTGTACCGCCATCCTAGAAGGTGGCTTCCGGTGTCTACCATGCCTGGAACGCTTTTGGATTCCTAAGACGCCAGCCATACCACCAATGATCCTGAGCAACCTCCGGCCCGCCGCCTCATCACCCTGAAATCAACGGGGTATCAAGCATTCCCCGTGGAACACGTTGGTCTGAACCACCACCGCCTGGCACAAAGCTTGCAATGCGTGGGATTGTTTAGACAGTCTCAGGGATGTTGTCATCGCTCTCGCTGACGCTCTCGTCGCCGCTGACTTCGGCGTTCTCGCGCTCGCGCTTCTCCATGAGAGCCTGGAGCTCGGCATCATCCGACTCGGTGACAGCCTTAGGCGCCATCTTGACCACCAAGTTTCCACCGGCGCTCTCGATACTCGTGCGGACGTCGACGATGGCCTCCTCTAACCGGGCAATACCGGCGTTCTTGTCGAGGCAAGTGTTGGTGAGACTACGAAGCGTCAGTGATGCGCACAGTGGAACTTGGAGTTTGCAACTGAGCATTGAGTATTCATATCACATACACATAAAGGGGAGGAGAAACCAATCTGCACTTGACCTGAGAGTCTTGGGTGTTGCGAGACTCAGCGGTGCGGAGAGCAGTCTTAATGGCGTCGATGCCCTCATAGCCGAAGCAGGTCACCTCGATGTCGGCCCGGACCTTGGTCGGCTGGGGCGTCAACCTCTTGCCGATGTAAGACTTCAGCTCCTCGGCAACAGCGTCGCTCGGGAATTGAATGTCATTCCAGATATCGGGGTTGCTGCGCACGTGGGTCAGCCGAATGTCTCAACCATTGCTTTGACGGGGCGCGGGGCGCATCGTCGAGACATACGTTATTGAGAGCTTGAAGGCGTCAAGGGAGTGACCATATTTCTTGTTCAGCGGCCACCCTATTGTCTCGTAGAGCCTCTCGATCGGGGTCTGGGTCTTCTCTGCGACATGCCTCATAATCGAGTGCACAATCTTGCTCTTGTTGTACCGCTCTTCGCAGCGCACGATATCCTCAGGCGATACACGGCGCTTGGACAGATCAATGTATCCTGCCGCCTCTTTAGCACAGCGCCCACGACAACCGGGGCGATAGGAATCTAACCTTTCTCCTTATCGACACGCAGCACAACGACAACTTCGTTGCGACCGACACGGATCAATTTCTGGATACTTCTGATACGCCGCCTCGAAAGCTCGGAAAGCAGAATCATGCCATCGATGTTGTCGTACTCGAGCAGCTTCACATAGGCTCCCATATCGGCGATCTAGCGAGAGTCAGCCGGGTAGCGGCACAACAATACAGCTGGACACGCCATACCTGTTTTACGTTCACCATCACAAAGGAGTCAATCTCCGGATACTTCTCTTCATAAAATCGGCAGTTTGAGAGTGACATCTTGTCGGTGGGTGCCGTTCCCAGGCGGGGCAAAGGCGGGATATGAGGGTGTGTTGTTGGAGTTGTCCAGGCAGGCGCGCCCCAAAATGGGATGTAGAGAAGGTGTGAGGATCGAATGCTCGATGTTGTTATTGATCGATCGGTGTGCGCTAAATGTGCAAAGGCGGCCGTGAGCGGATATGGGAATCTCTGAACTCGTCGGCCTGTGCGATGCGCAATCAAGTGGGAGCTTCAAAGAACAGTCACTTCATGTTGGTCCCGCAGTATTTTCGGAAAGAACGCCAAAAATTACGTGCACGGCCCCGCGGTGGGGCTGCCCTCCGAGCCTCCCACTTCTGCTTTCCTTGGCGGGGCGAGGGAGCGTTCGGCAAGCAGCGGCACCCCTTGGGCCCTTGCCCGCCGTGATGGCCCACCATGCCTCGATTCCAGAAAGCACTACGTCAACGCAACTGGAGCCCGGTTCCTCGCGGTGCAATATTCAAGGGAGCTTCTCGGCAGGGGCATTCTGACAAATTTATGTAAAGGGCCAGGAATGCTCTCCTGTCGCCGAACCTCCGGGAAATACACTTTGTAGCATCCCTGGGTTTTGTATTTGACCGCCTTCACATCGGTCACCGGCTCACTCGTGGTCCCTGGAGTTCCCGAGTCGGCATACACAGGAAACGTCGAGGGAAACCAAGAGGCGGAAGCCGAGATGTCTCAAGAGCCACCATTGTGCAAAACCACGATTTAAGACCAGTTGTGTTCCGATGACAAGATCCGAATCTAACACGCGCCCGGCTTCAACATGACATCAGTAAACTCAACCGCCCTCGAGGCGGCGACAGCGGCGGTGGTGACGGGCGCTGCCGGAGCGCGTCAATCCAGCGCGTTGTCTTCGGCCGTGGCTGTAGCGAGCGATGTTGCGAATGCTCACGGCTCATCGTCATGGCTGGGCTTCTTCGCGAGGCTCGTGCTCTGGATCCTTCAGCTGATCTCTACGGTGCTCTACTATACCCTCAAGTTGGCCACCATCTCGGTCCCTACCTTGCTGTACACACTCTTCTCGACTAGTCTGACAGTCACCATGAACGCCACCACGTTGTGAGTCTGGGCCCCGCGCATTCATTCGCATGCCGTCTCTAACTACTATCCAGGATGCTCATTGTGGCAGCCATGATAGCCGCGATCAGCTGGGTGGTCAGGTATCGCTATCTCAACATGTACTCGCGACTCCCCCCCGAGCCGCAACGCAAGGAGCCCGACGTCGATCTCTTCCCGGACTCGCACGAGGAGGGTATCAAGCCCGGCCTGTCTAACTACTTCGACGAGTTTCTGAGCGCCATCAAGATCTTTGGTTATCTAGAACGGCCAGTCTTCCATGAGCTTACCCGCAGCATGCAGACGCGGAAGCTCATCGCCGGAGAAACGTTCAACCTGGAGGAGGAAAAGGGGTTCTGCCTCGTCGTCGACGGCTTGGTGGAAATCTTTGTGAAGTCGTCGAGCTATAGTCGCCGCTTCGCACATAGCCCCAATCTCGGTCCCAGCAGCGAGGCGCCCTCGAGCGACGATGAACACTCTGCCCCTGGTCAGCAACCGTACCAGCTGCTGACCGAGGTCCGCAACGGCGCGCCTATGTCATCACTCTTTTCCATCATGTCGCTCTTCACCGAGGACGTCCCACTGCGGCAGACAGGCGATGAGAGCCCCGAACCTGGTGCCGCCACTCAGGGCACACTCTTCCCGAGTTATCCTGCGAGTGCGGATTTCAGACGGTCACACGTGGCATCGGACTCCCTCCCGGGCACCCCTCAACTGGACGGCTCCACAGAGAATCTTCCTGAGCAAGTCACACCCGCAAGCACCGTTCGAGGCCTGCCCCGTGTTCCCCCTATTTCGCTCGACGGCAACGGCTTCGCTAAGCCCCAAAGGCCATCCGTCAAGCGGAACAGCACCACCTCAGTTCACCCCGACATCATCGCGAGAGCAACAATAGACACGACTATAGCGATCATCCCAGCCAGCGCGTTTAGACGCCTGATCAAAATATACCCCAAGGCCACTGCGCATATTGTTCATGTTATTCTGTCCAGATTTCAGCGAGTCACGCTTGCGACGGCATACAACTACCTTGGTTTGACGCCCGAGGTCCTGCAGTTAGAGCGTCAGATGTTGAAGTATACCACCCAGCAGCTCCCCAACCACCTTCGAGGAGATGCCCTGGACAGGCTCAAAGAGAAGTTCAAGCGTGAAAGGGAGAGGATCGGAGAGGAGGATGTCAGCAAGGGGATAGCTCTTCACAACGCTCGTGCGGGCCGTCGGCGGCGCTCAACCGCGACGCTCCGAAAAGAGGCCGCGCTACAGGCTTTATCCAAACAGCGTCACCTGTCCATGTCTGGTTCGTCCCTGGGCTTCCCAAGCGCTGGTGACCTGGCGACACACTTGCAGCAATCGAGAGGCAGCGGCAACAGACCGCAGAGCATGGCGTATACGGATGGTCCCTCCGCTCACCTCGACCTGCGTGGAGAAAGCGTGTCTCCTCTAGCCCAGCGCACCTTCAACCCGTTCGCGACTCAGAGAAAAGCGCATGTTTCGCTGGACAAGAGAGACACGCTGGACGAAGACAACATGTTCCGGGAGTCGATCCTCGAGTGCATGTTCAAATCCATCGGCCTGACAGGCCATGGCGGCTCAAACAAGGACGTAGAGTCAACCCAGGCTTCTCCACGGCTGATCTCATTTGACCAGCGGCGTCAAAAGGCTATGCTGACGACCCATGCTTTCGGATTCATAGATGGGCTTCCTGAAGGTTCTCTTGACGGCGATACGGAATCGATCACCTCGGCAGGGCTGTCCGTGCCGGCCTCGCCGAACCCGCACACGCTCGCGCAGGAGATGAGAGACGAGATGGAGATTGTTTTCTTCCCTAAAGGTTCCGTGCTGGTGGAACAAGGCGAGAGGAACCCCGGGCTATACTACGTGATCGACGGCTTCCTGGATATCTGCACAGAGGACGAGACATCTTCATCATCTTCATCATCATCAGATGTCCTTCACGCTACGGGAAGGACGTCACTGCATGCGATGGATCACGCCCAGTCCCTCTACAGCTCTCAGCGTGTCGCGGCATCCATGCGCACAGGCAACAATGTCAGCGATGTTGAAAAGAAGCCTCAGCCCAGCCGGCGTAGTGTCGCTTTGATCAAGCCGGGTGGGCTCGCTGGCTATGTCGGGACCATCTCGTCGTACCGGTCTTTCATCGAGGTCGTGGCCAAGACGGACGTTTATGTCGGCTTCCTGCCGCTAGCCTCGATCGAGAGGATCGTGGACCGATATCCCATTGTGCTCTTGACCATGGCGAAGCGGCTCACGAATCTGCTTCCCCGCCTGATTCTGCACATTGATTTTGCTCTGGAGTGGCTCCAGGTCAATGCCGGTCAGGTTATATTCCACGAACGGGATGAGAGTGAAGCCATCTACATCGTCCTGAACGGCCGCCTCAGGTTGGTCGAGGACCGGAAGGACGGTGGGATGAATGTCAAAGCCGAGTTTGGCCAAGGCGAGAGCATCGGAGAGCTAGAGGTACTTACCGAGTCTTCTCGCTCCGGCACTCTGCATGCCATCCGGGACACGGAAGTGGTCAAGTTCCCTCGCACGCTGTTCAACAGTCTCGCCCAGGAGCATCCCAACATCACCATCAAGATCTCCAAGATCATCGCATCCCGCATGAGGGCGCTGATCGATGCTCCTTCGCCCATGTTGGGCCTCAAGGAGTCGGCCGGGAGAAGCTCGGTGAACAAGAGCTCAACTACGCTCAACCTGCGGACGGTTGCCGTCTTGCCGGTCTCGGCGGGCGTGCCCGTGGTAGAGTTTGGCAACAGACTGCTTAACGCCCTGACAGAGGTCGGCGCTCCCAACGGCGCCACGTCGCTGAATAGCGCTGCTGTGCTAAATCACCTCGGAAGGCATGCATTCAACAAGATGGGCAAACTGAAGTTGTCGCACTATCTGGCGGACCTGGAGGAGAAGTACGGCCTTGTAATCTATGTGGCTGGTAAGTGCAGAAACCACCAGGCCTGTCTCATGGACGCTCGACCACTGACTCGACGCTGGCAGATACCAATGTCAATGCTCCCTGGACGCAGACCTGCATCGCCCAAGCCGACTGTGTCCTCCTGGTCGGCCTGGCCGATGGCTCTCCCGAGATCGGCGAGTACGAGCGCTTCATGCTCGGCATGAAGTCAACGGCGAGGAAGATTCTCGTGCTTCTCCATCAGGAGCGCTACTCGAGCCCCGGACTGACGAGAAGATGGCTGAAGAACAGGGTGTGGATCAACGGTGGCCACTTCCACGTGCAGATGACATACAGCCCCAACGCCGTGCCGATCCACCCACCAGCGAAGCCCGGGGGCCCAACACTGAGGGAACGGGTGCAGATCCTGCAGGCAGAGATTCAGAAGTACACGTCCCGGAAGGTGCGCCACAGCCCGTTCTACTCTCCAGACGCGCCGTTCAAGGGGGATTTCCACCGTCTGGCCCGCAGGCTCTGCGGCAAGTCGGTCGGCCTCGTGCTCGGTGGAGGCGGAGCAAGGGGCATCTCGCACATCGGCATCATCCGCGCCATGCAGGAAGCAGGCATCCCGATCGACATGGTTGGGGGCACCTCGATTGGCGCCTTCATCGGGGCGCTCTACGCGCGCCACGCCGATTTCGTGCCCATCGTCAACGCAGCCAAGAAGTTCTCGGGCCGCATGGCCAGCATGTGGCGGTTTGCGCTGGACCTGACATACCCGTCAGCCTCGTACACCACGGGCCACGAATTCAACCGCGGCATCTTCAAAGCCTTCGGCAACACGCAGATCGAGGACTTCTGGCTCGACTACTACTGCAACACCACCAACATCTCCAAGAGCCGCGCCGAGTTCCACACGAGCGGCTACGCCTGGCGGTACGTGCGCGCGTCCATGTCGCTGGCCGGCCTGCTCCCGCCGCTCTGCGACGAGGGCAGCATGCTGCTCGACGGCGGCTACATCGACAACCTGACCGTGTCGCACATGAAGTCGCTCGGCTGCGACGTCATCTTCGCCGTCGACGTCGGCGCCCTCGACGACGACACCCCGCAGGCCTTTGGCGACTCGCTCTCGGGCATGTGGGCCTTCTTCAACAGGTGGAATCCCTTCTCGTCGGTGCCGAACCCGCCCACGCTGGCCGAGATCCAGGCGCGCCTGGCCTATGTCTCGAGCGTGGACGCGCTGGAGCGGGCCAAGACCATGCCCGGTTGCATGTACATGCGCCCGCCGATCGACGAGTATGGCACGCTGGATTTTGGAAAGTTTATGGAGATCTATGCGGTGGGGTACAAATACGGGCAGGAGTTCTTGGAGAAGCTGAAGGAGAAGGGCGTGCTGCCCCTGGGGGAGGAAACCGAGGGGAAGAAGGCGCTGCGGAGGACCAGGGCGCCGAGGAGGGCTAGTATTTAGTGGTCGTTGTGTTGTGTAAGGGGGTGTAGCGGGCTTAAGTAGTAGCTACGTATGTGCGAGTGAGATGCCGGCATTTTTGGGGAGTTTTCAGGTTCTGTTGGTGAGAACTATCTCTAGGCTAGATGGCATCGCATTATACCTCCTTATCCTGTTGGTTGCACCCATCGTCCTGAGCTTCTCGTGTTGGTGGGCCATGAATGATATGTGATTTGGGTATATATATACAAGCCTATGCTCTATGCTCTCTACACGCCGTGCCACGGCAGAGTATCAACCCCTCATCACCTCCTGGGCGACTTCGACCAGGGTTTTGAACGCCGTCTCGACATGTTCCTTCTGGGTCGTCCTCACACCCGTCATCAGCCGGATCGCGAACCTCCCATCAAGCTCGGTGCTCGTCAGCCAGATCTTGCCCGTGGCGTTCGCCTTGTCGTACAGTTCCCTGGTCAGCGCATTCCTCTCTTGCAGCGACGCCCCCTCCGACTTTGCCGCCAAGCGGAACACAGTAAGCGCGAAGCTGGGCCCGGTGACAATCTCAAACAGATCCGGCTTGCTCCGCAAAGAGTCCGCAAACTCCTCGCCCAGCTTGATCGTCCTCCTGATGTACGCCTGCAGGCCCTTGACGCCGTACGATCTCAATACGAACCAGATCTTCAAGCTCCGGAACCGCCGGCCTAACGGGATCTGCCACTCACGGTAATCCGTCACCAGGCCCCCGTCCGACGCCTTGTTCCCATACACAGCCTGGTTCACACTGAGCGCCTGCACCAGCCACTCCCGATTCCTCACGAAGAAACACGAGGCGTCGAAGTTGACCAGCAGCCACTTGTGCATGTTCATATCAAAGCTGTGGAAGCGACTGATCAACTCGATGTTCGTCTGGCGCTGCACCTCCGGACACACCAGCGCCGCGCCGGCATACGCCGCATCGACATGCACCCACACCTCGCCCGGCTGTCCCGGCTTGGGGACCGCACCGCACGTCTCCAGCGCCGCGCTGATGCCTGCGAAGTCGTCGACCGAGCACACGTCGGTCGTGCCCAGCGTCGCCGCCAGGAAGAAGGGCTCCAACCCCTGCGCCCGGCACCGGGCGAGCTCCGCCGCCAGCGCGTCCCGGGTCAGCGCGTACCCGTCCTCGGCGCGCACGCGGATCGCGCGGAACCGCACGCCCAGGATCAGCGCCGCCTTCTTTGCCGACGAGTGGGTCAGTGTTGTCGCGAGCGCCACCATCCGCGACCGCTTGAGGGCGATGGCTTCCTCGCGGGCATTTTCGTCGTCTTCTTCTTCTGACCGGTTGCCGGAAGTAGAGCGGGGTAGGGTCTCGCGGAGGTACTTGTCCCGTGCGGCGACCATCGCGGTGAGGATGGCTTCGCTGGCGGAGCCCTGGATCACGCCGCCGCCGCGGGTCGGGCCGGTCGAGAGGAAGCACGGCGGCAAGCCTAGCATCTTGGCTAGCCAGTCCAGCACGACGGTCTCCAGCTCGGTTACCGCCGGCGAGCAGATCCAGTTGAAGCAGGCGCCCGACAGGGCCGAGCTGTACAGCTCGCCTAGGATGGACGGGTACGAGGTGGCGCAGGGGAAGAAGGCGTGGAAGCCGGGGTGGGACCTGGGTGAGGTTCAGTTGGCCTGCGCCAGCGGAGTGATGAGTGGATGGGCAAAGAGAAACTTACCAATGGGTGATGCCTGGCATGATCTTGGCTTCGATGTCCTTGTGGATGTCGGCCCACGGCTCGCCTTCCTGCGGCGCCTCGCTGGGAAGCAGCTTGCGCAGGTAGCCCGGCTCGACTCTCGAGACCACATCGCGCGAGCCGAGGTTGTCAAAGTAGTGGATGACTGGTGCGGCCCATGTCAGTAACTGCTGGTCAGGACAGGGTTTCATTGTATTGTTTTCATGATCCGAGGACTCACTCTCATCGATGGTGGCAGTGGCTGCCTCTCTGAATCCTTGCGAGTCCATCCTGGCGGTTCAACTTTGATATTCCGATACTAAGCTGGACTACTAGTAGTCTGTTGATCGGCATAACAGCAAAATCCCGGGGGTTTGCGGGCTGACGGTCCGTTGTCGGCACCGGATTGCTTATAAGTTCAGGGGAGGCCCGCCTTGCGCACGGCATCCGGTCTCTCGACCGGCGCGAAGCGGCCACGCAGGCGAAAGTTTCTTCCGTATCAGACACACCTCAACCTGGAAGGTGGGTTCTCGGAACTTCGGATAGGGGCAGAAAGTCGTGATGGCACAGTACTCGACCCTAACCCGAACCTGCATGTCTCGCCTTTAATTCGGACCTACTCGGGAAGCGCAGTACTAGTAGTCTCTTGGTTTGTCTATAACCATCCCAGACACTGTTCGACAGGTTTTTCTTTTGTCTCGGCGAACGGACGAAGATTCAAAAGCTGAGAACAAGGGCTCGGAAGAGTGATGTGGTCAGCGGAGAACTGGGAATTACGATAGGAGTGGTATATAACTGTAATATTCAACCCCGTTACCAGATTTACTGTTCGATCTGGAACTCGCTCGATCCGGCAGGCAGTGCACAGACCATGCGCCAGATGCTTGGTTAGGCCCTGCAAGGTGACATGGGCTGCATCGAGTGACGTCGTTTCAGCTCTTTCAAGGTTGCAATAGTTATCCCTTCATTTACGGATTACAGCTCCCTAAGGTGCCGTCAATTCTGTACAGATCTTGCAACACAACCTACATAAGGCCTGAACCTGTGGCTTTTCTTTCTGCAGCATTTATAAACTCAACTGAGCAACTACGCAACCATTGTAGGCTTCTATCGAGCATCCAGCCAGGCTCTCTTCCTGCTGCCATGGCAAGCTCTCGGAGCTTGGAGAGGGAGAAGGACAGACGGTCTCAGTCCAACTTCGAGTGAGATAGCCTCACTGTTTCGTGCCATTGCATGACCACAGATGCTAATAGTTTTTATGTTTACAGCGTCGACTATGTAATTCACTACACGATTCCGCAAAATGGTTCATCCCCCTTTCGGACCCCCCCATCACACCTTCCTTGAGAACCCCCACTAACTCCCTTCACCCTCTCTCCAGAAGCCGCCGAAGCAGAAGCGTCCTTCACGCAGCTCGTAACTGCCCTCTCCCAAGCGGGCTTCGCCACCGAAGTCCGCCCCGGCCGCCAGCACCACAACGGGTCGCACTCGGCCTCGCTGCTCGTCTTCGTCAAGCTCGCCTCGGACCGCCTGCTCAAGTCCCAGGTCTACCGCGCCCGCGTGCAAGACTACCTGTACGGCGTGCGCCCCGCCGCGCCCGCGCCCTCCCCGGAGAACGATGGCGACATGGACAGGTACTTCGCCGAGGAGGAGCCGGTCACGCAGGCCGAGCGGCTGCGCCTAGCCTACCTCTTGATTACGAAACCCAAGAACGAAGGCGGCGCGGGCGTCACGCCGAAGAGGGGCCGGTGGCGGTTCGTGAAGAGCATCTTCCCGCTGCACGACAGGAGGTTCAATAAGGAGTGGATTACCGAGTGGAGTCAGAAATACTACCTGGACGAGGGGGATATCGAAGGGATTAGGGAGCGGTTTGGCGAGCGGGTGGCGTTTTACTTTGCTTTTCTGCAGTCGTACTTCCAGTTCCTGCTTTTCCCGGCCCTGTTCGGGTTTGCTGCGTGGCTGATTCTGGGGCCGTTTTCGTGGTTCTATGCCGTGGTGAACTCCCTGTGGTCCGTCGTCTTCTTCGAGCATTGGAAGATGAAGGAGGTCGATTTGGCGGTGCGCTGGGGGGTGAGGGGCGTGAGTCGGATTCAGTTGTCCCGGCCGCAGTTCCAGTGGGAGCGGGAGACGGTGGACCCCGTGACGGGCGAGATTGTCAAGGTGTACTCGCCCGTCAAAAGGTTGGGAAGGCAGCTGCTGCAGGTGCCGTTTGCTGCCGCCTGTGTGGCGGCCTTGGGCTCGGTGATTGCCGGCTGCTTTGCTATTGAGATCTTCATCACCGAAGTGTACAACGGGCCGTTTAAGCAGTACTTGGTGAGTCTCTGGCAGGACGTGTCCGGGTCTAGGACTCTACTAATACTGATATGATATGTGCCAGACCTTTTTGCCCACGATCATCCTCACCATCTTTAACCCCACGCTGACAACGCTGCTCACTCGTCTCGCTGAGAGGCTCACGGAGCTAGAGAACTACGACAGCCATGACGGTAAGTTGTCTCTCTCGCTCTCTCGCCTTGACGGGGCACAACAGCTACTGACCGAGCCTCCCAGCACACCAAGCTTCTTTCGTCCAGAAGATCTTTGTGATCAACTTCATCACCTCGTACCTCGGCATCTTCCTGACGGCCTTCGTCTATGTGCCCTTCGGAAAGATCCTAGTCCCGTATCTCGATGTGTTCCAGCTCACAGCCCAGAGATTCACGGCCGAAGGCAAGCCTCTGCCAACCAAGAGCTGGCGGATCAACCCGGACAGGCTCACCAAGCAGGTCATCTACTTCACTGTCACTGCGCAGATCGTCAATTTCCTCACCGAGGTGATCGTGCCGTACGCGAAGCGCAGAGTCTTCAAGACTGTCGAGAAGGTGCAGTCTGAGATGTCCGAGAAGACGACGGCCCAGGTTAAGGACTCGGAGGAGGAGGCCGACTTCCTTGAGCGGGTCAGGGACGAGGCTGAGCTGGATGAGTACGACGTCACAATCGATTACAGGGAGATGGTCATCCAGTTCGGTATGTGTCCTCTTTCTGCTCTGCCCTCTCCAGCCCCTTTCATAACCATCAAGCCGCTGACCGATTTTCAGGCTACCTATGCCTCTTCTCTGTGGTCTGGCCCCTGACCGCCTGCTCCTTCCTGGTTAACAACTGGATCGAAGCCCGGTCCGACGCCATGAAGATCGCAGCTAACAGCCAGCGGCCCATCCCCTGGCGCGCCGACTCCATCGGGCCCTGGCTCAACTCGCTCGGCTTCCTGTCCTGGCTGGGCAGCATCACCAGTGCCGCCCTCGTCTACCTCTTCCACAGTAGCTACCAGAACGGTGGGCCCGACGGCTCGCCGTGGGATATCCGCGGCTGGGCACTGCTGCTTTCCATCTTATTCGCCGAGCATGTCTACCTGGTTGTGCAGTTCGTGGTGAGGTACCTCATCCGCAAGCTGGATAATCCGGGTCTGCAGAAGGAGAAGCGCGAGCGGTTCGCCATGCGCAAGAAGCTCCTCGAGAGGATGGTGGAGCGGGATATGAGTAAGGAGACTACTGGATCAGGGGTGGGTTTTGGTGGGGAGAAGATCACCAGAGAATCGCTAGAGGAGGATGCGAGGAGGCTTTCCGTTTCCGGAGAAGGAAGGCCGGAGCAGATGTGAGTAGCTAGATTCCTATGATTTTCCTTTGGACTTTTGTGGACGCGTTTGTTGACAGTTATCGTGCAGCTTCTGGCAGCGGCAGAGGGGCGCCTCCGAGGCTATTCAGGTCGGAAGGACCCTGATTGCTCAGGTAAGGATCGCTTGGAATGATATGTTCTTTAGTTCTACTGCTGACAGCCCCGTAGATGGGCTCGAACCGGACCGAGTCTAGGAAGTAGGCCGTTGCAGTTTTAGAGCCGAACAGCTAGCGTTGGTATTGCCGAATAGCATGGCTGTGGAACGCACCTTGGTTTGTGCCACACGTTAGATATATGCCGGAGAATACCGTGTGTTGTGTTAGGAGAGACAATGCCATCTGAGGTCCCCCAAAGAGTCGGTCAAAGTTGGAAATTAGGGTAAGCTCGTCCACAATGCGCCAATGGTCTAGTGGTTAGGATTCAACCCTTCCAAGGTTGAGGGGGGGGTTCGATTCCCTCTTGGCGCAAAAAAAGATACATCAGAAGGTGGCTTCTCTTTTTTCCTGATTGCGGTTTAGTTTTGTTGCCGAGCGAGCAGAAGGCCAGGATCGCACCATACTGGATCTACTATAACGTTATAGCCTGTGTTGGGTGCCTGGCTCGACAAACCAAACTAGGTCCTGATAAAATGTATACCTGACTCCAGATCAGCCTATACCCGACACCGGTCGGTGTAATGGGGGCCGAGGTGCGCCGAACTTTCGAAACTATGTCCATTGATACGGAAATATACCGACTCTTACACGTAAATTACCGTAAGTTCTCGATGTCAAACAAGCAACAATACCACTTGTGGAGATACTGAGCCAATCCCCGCAAACTTGGCACAGCCTACCCACACAAGGCGAACAAGCTCCGACGGTGGCGACCGTTCGGTTGGAGAAGTCGGCTTCCTTGTTCCCGATCTGCATGTGCCGGGAACGCGATGTAGATCCCCTAGAACGGTTGCTCGTGAGAGGAAAGTGAGATTTTCCTTGTTGGCACTTCGCTTTGCTCAATTCACGCAGAGCCAAGATTGTCAATATCCTCCTCTCCATTGGTCCCAATCCAACCATTAAGACCTGACGCAACTGCTGTCATTGCCTCTCAAGTCACCGCTTCACCTATTTATACCGTCCACTTAGCTGAACAGAAACACCATTGCTTTGCGCGCTGGGTCGTGCCATATTCAGCATACACCACGATGGCGCAGTTAACGGGGGTTGAGGTCGCGAAACATAACAGTGCAAATGACTGCTGGGTTATCGTCCATGTATGTCCGCTCCTGTGTGGGATTTGAACTTGGTCATCTCACTGACTACTTACCTACTCACTTCCAGGGTAGGGCATACGATGTCACAGAGTTCCTTCCTGGTTCGTGCTTACGCCGTTGGCGCTGCTTTCTCTGAGGCCCAAGTCTGACGACCTGCAGAACACCCCGGAGGATCCAAGATCATCCTCAAGTATGCGGTCAGAGCTGTCCCTTTTCCCCGTCTCGAAGTGCGGACACTGACTGCTTCCAGGGCAAAGATGCGACGGAAGAGTTCGATCCGATTCACCCTCCCGATGCCCTCGAGAAGTACCTACCCAAGTCAAAACACCTCGGGCCCGTCGACATGTCGACCGTGATCAAGGAGAAGGCCGAGGAGTCGCCAGAGGAACGGGAGAGGATGAAGCGCATCCAGGAGATGCCCGTTCTCGAGCAGTGCTACAACCTCCTAGACTTCGAGGCCGTTGCCCGCAGAGTCATGAAGAAGACGGCATGGGGTTACTACTCCAGCGCAGCTGACGATGAGATTGTATGCCCCACTTGCCCATCCCCTAGGTCACCTAGCTGACTTCACTAGACCCTGCGCGAAAACCACTCGGCCTTTCACCGAATTTGGTTCCGTCCCCGTGTCCTGGTCGACGTCGAGAAGGTCGACTTCTCCACCACCATGCTAGGGACGCCCTGTTCCATCCCATTCTACGTCACTGCCACAGCCCTCGGCAAGCTGGGGCATGTTGAGGGCGAGGTGGTCCTCACGCGGTCCGCGGGCAAACACAACGTCATTCAGATGATCCCGACCCTTGCCTCATGCGCATTCGACGAGATCATGGACGCCGCGTCGCCGGGCCAGGTCCAGTGGATGCAGCTGTACGTAAACAAGGACCGCACCATCACTCAGCGCATCGTGCAGCACGCCGAGAAGCGCGGGTGCAAGGGTCTATTCATCACAGTGGACGCGCCGCAGTTGGGTCGCCGCGAGAAGGACATGCGCACCAAGTTCACCGAGCAGGGTAGCAACGTGCAGAATGGACAGGCCACGGATAACAGCCAGGGCGCCGCCCGAGCCATCAGCAGCTTCATAGATCCGTCGCTGAGCTGGGACGACATCCCCTGGTTCAAGTCCATCACCAAGATGCCGATTGTGCTGAAGGGCGTGCAGCGGGTGGAGGACGTCATCAAGGCGATCGAGGCCGGCGTGCAAGGCGTGGTCCTCTCCAACCACGGCGGCCGCCAGCTCGAGTTCGCCCGCTCTGCCATCGAAGTTCTCGCCGAGACGATGCCCGTGCTGCGCGAGCTCGGACTCGAGAACAAGATCGAGATCTACATCGACGGCGGCATTCGCCGCGCAACAGACATCCTCAAGGCGCTGTGTTTGGGCGCCCGCGGGGTGGGTATCGGCAGGCCATTCCTGTATGCCATGTCAGCATACGGGCAGGACGGTGTGGACCGCGCCATGCAGCTCCTCAAGGACGAGATGGAGATGAATATGAGGCTGATCGGGGCGAGGAACATTGGCGAGCTGAATGCAAGCATGGTAGACGCGAGGAGTCTGTTCAACCATGGCTCGCCGCCCACGGATAGTCTTTCGCATGCCGTGTATGATCCATTGGCTAGCCCGGCTCAGAGGCTGGCGGTGAAGGGCGAGAAGGCGAAGCTGTGAAGATGCAAGTATTCGTAGACAGAGGATATGTTAGAGGGTTGCATGTATATAGACAGCGATATGCCAGACATCCTTCGCACCGGGCTGCTGCTCCTAAGGAGAGCCGGTTGTATTCTTCTTGACTCGCCAACAGCTATTGCACCCAGCCTTATTTATATGGTCGAAGGAGAGGTTGTTCTACTAGTGTATTGAGAGCTTTAAGTTAGACTTTAGAGATCGTATTCCTCCCGACCTCGTTGTTTACATCTCTCGGACATACATAATGCTACCCCTTATGACATCATTTCCAGCCTATCAACTGACTCAAATCCCCTTATCGGCCACGACCGTTCTGCCGTGCTTGCCGCCTGCTTATCCAGGTGCCTCAGTCTCGGCGCGCTGTGAAACCATCTCATTTCCAGCAGCCGACCGATTGCAGTCTACAACGATCGCGGCAGCAAGCGCAATTCAGCCCAGCACGGGCAGCGGGTTTTGCATGCGAGCATGTCTCTTGCCACAAATTCGATAGGCGACAATCCATAACGCCACGATGTCTTCGTCGCTCGAGGCCAAGATCGTCGTGCTCGGCGCACAGGGCGTAGGCAAGACGTCTCTGGTGATGCGCTATTGCAAGGGCGCCTTCAACCCCTCCCAGATCACATCGACTGTTGGCGCGAGCTTTCTGACCAAGCGTGTTGTCGATACCGATACCGACACGATCGTGCGGCTGCAGATATGGGATACTGGTAATTACTAAACTCCTCCCTCTTCCTAAGTTACTCCTCTTCCCACCACATCCCTAGAACAAACATCGCTATCCCGCCACTGTCACCGCCGAACAATATCTTACTCACGTATGACAACGCATGTCAGCCGGCCAAGAGCGTTTCCGCTCCATCTCCCGCCTCTACTACCGCGGCGCCAACGCGTGCATCCTCTGCTACTCCATCACCGACGCGCAGTCCTTCGCCGAGATGGGCATCTGGTTGACCGAGCTACGGCGCAACCTGCCGCCGGACATTGTGCTGCACGTGGTGGGCACCAAGGCCGACATCGTCGCGCGCGACCCCTCGCAGCGTGAGGTGCCCTTCGAGCGCTGCATCGCCTACGTCGCCGAGAACCTCAACCCGGGCATGGGCTCGACGCCGCCTCCGACCGCGGGTGGCTTTCTCAGCCCATCTTCGTCCTCCGCCGACCACCACCACCAGCACAATTCCACGCCACAACAGTCATCGCAGCATTGGGGGCTGCTGCAGGGATCGGGGGATGGTGCTGAGCTCCGCAGCCCGAGCAGTAAGCGCTCGTCGGGCTTCTGGGGCCAGGAAGTAGGCTGGGACGCGTGCCACGAGATCTCGGCCGAGTCGGGCGAGGGCGTGGAGGAGGTGTTTCGGGTCGTCACGCGCAAGCTGGTCGAGCAGAACCGGAAGATGCAGGCTGCGCTGTTGGCCGCGACGGGGTCGACGCCCGGTGACGGATTCACCCCCGGCTTTGGCCCCAATGAGGCCGACGGCGGATACTTTGATGCTGTGAACGGGCGTGGCAGCTTCCGGGTCGGGAGGGATAGGCGGAGCTGGCTGTTTTCGCCTGGCTTCTCCCCTGTCATCGGAGGCACAGTCCCCGAGGAGGATAGAGAGGGGTGGGAGCAAGACGGCGACAGGAGAGGGAGACCGCGGAGGACATGCTGCTGATCGGCAAGAGGTGAGCTCGAGTCTACATTGGCTCAGCTAGGGGAACGGTGTGGGAGGCCGGTCAAAGGAAGAGGGCAGGATATGACGCATCCGATGATACCCGTGATGAACCGACTCGGTCGATCACCTCTTCATGCAGGGCCTTGGTTTTCTTTTTGGCACATTATGTAGCCACAGAAGGTATGGTCCTGGATTGGTTGTTTGGCGTTTTGTTGGTCTTTTACCTAGCGTTGCATGTCCGTTTGGGTTTCGGGCGCGGGTTCGGGCGTTACTGGACGGCTGCGGTTAGGTTTCTGCGGGATTCTACTTTAGACACATGGCATCACGGCCGCGGGTTTCCTATTGCCGACTAAGGAGCATCATCAATGAGCCATGATGGTATGGGATGTGGTGTAATGTAGGTTAGTCCCTGTCTGCCACAGGGCCGAAGGGGAAGATAAGCAATGGCCACGATCATGATCCTGACAGTGTTGGGTATTACGGCAGGCCGCTAGAGGATGTCTAGGCAAGACCGAGGAGCCCTAAGGGAACAGTCTGTCGTTCTTTTTGTGTTGCGGTCTCGGCTGGATTGTTGACAACATCCTCGCGTCGCAGGCCACCAAGATCATTAGTGCAGACCTTAGGTAAGTAAGTAGGCACCTCTTTGTTCATAGTATGGGAGAATGGACTACCCGATTATGGAAAAGGGATGCCGGTAAACAAGCACATAAAAGCTAGGTGTTGGAAAAGTCGGTAAGTCTAACTTAAAAGATTGAAAAACAGACAAAAAGCGAATCATAAAACATAGTGCCCAGTAACAGGATTGAACTGTTGACCTTCGCATACCATATACAGGTGGAACCAGTATTAGTACGACGCTCTAACCAGCTGAGCTAACCGGGCTGGTGCTGTAACATGACGCTTGCTGTGGTGCAAAGTATTAATTAAGCAACGCTATAGTCAGGATTTCATGGCGCGATACTTCCGCCCAAATCCACCCTCGATGGCTCTCACGACCACTCTGGAGCTGGGCAGGCTATGTAAGGTAGGTAAGAATTAATGTGTTGGTTCTACATCGTTGTACTGTTGGAAAAGGCAGGTAAATGGGAACTAGAAGTCTAAACCATTTCAGAGTGGGATTGTACTCCCCTGAATACGCTACATCTGTTCGTTGAATCCAGCAGCCACCATTACCAGCGTTGAGGTATCAAAAGCAGTCAACAACATCCCCTAACCGTATACATACCCTTGCACTCACCGTCTCCTTACTCTCCGCTCCGCACATACACCCGGCGCAATGCACCGAAGGATAGGTATATATATGTAAGGAAACCAGAAACCAGACCACTACGGCCATCTCATCTACCCCATGGCAAGACCCCATTTCCAACATCCTCCCCCTCATAGCTGGTCCATAGCCATCCCGCCCGTAGCAATGCCCAGGTAATCCTCCATATTCCCAAAATCAAAATCCATCTCCTGCAGCATATCATTGATCTCGCTCTGACTCATACCAACACCGACCCCGGGGCAGTCCATCTCCGTGATTGGGCCCAAGCCCACCGTGGAGGAGGAAAGGTTGGGGTAATCCCTCTCCACTATCGGGCCGAGTCCCATATCCGTTGACACCTGATTCATCTGGCCGCCCTGCTGCAAGGCCCCGGTTGGACTATTTTGAGTCCGGGAAGGAGAGGAAGGCTGACTGAGCCCCAGGCGGACGCGCATCATGTCCCGGAACTTGGCCAGTAACACCTCGTCGTCGGCGGGGGTCCGCTCCTCGCCGGCGTGGGCGGGAATGCAGTTCCAGAAGGCGCGCGCTCGCTGCCGGATCGCGGCGTCGGACGGGAACCCCTCCCGGCCCAGCATGACCACCTGCGCGGTCACGAAGTCGCTGAGGTCCTTCTCCAGCTCGCGTGAACAGAATACCGCCGGGGGCGGCTCGCATGCCAACACCTGACAGACACCATCGCCACCCCCTTGGTTTTCGGACATCACTCCCGACATCGGGGAATGGTCGCTGTTGGCTGCTGATGTTTGCTGTTGCTGGAATGGGGAAGCGGACGAAGAGCTAGCGGGAATCTGTGGTGGCGCCATCTTCTGGGGGTTGGGGAATACGTAAGGTGGCCTAAAGCCTGACCCGCCCTGGCAGATGTTCCAAGTGATCGAGTCAGTCAAGCCCGGGAGGGCAGGGTCGGTAAGGAGGCCGACGTCGCGCTTGAAGCGGCGGAGCCACTCGGCATTGTCGGCCGCTGTTTGGTTCCACGGGTCGTCACTGTGTGAGGGAAAACAAAGTTAGTAATTGCGGTGTTGACTAGGGCAACAGAAAAGAAACAACTTACTCCTCGTAGACAATCCAGCGCGCTTGGTGTTGGAGCTCTTCGTCGCTTGGGACGTGGCAGTTGGGGTTGTTCGGCGACATGGCCGAGGCGACATACTTCTTCAACTCCCGAGCCAGGCGCGTGTAGCAGTTTGCGTCGTTGAGAAAGTAGGCGCCGACTCTGGGAGGGCATGCCCCCAATGCTCCTGTTGCGTTGAGTGAAGCGCCGCTGCCACTGGCTCCTGAACTGAACGGTGATGTGGTTCCGCCAGAGGAGCGACCGCCCATAGCCGAGATGGGCCTGTAACAACCGTCGAGCGTGCCTGGCACCTGGGCACCGCTACACCCGGCCCCGTCACTCACACTCGTCGGAGCATGCCGCTGCCTGAAAGTCGCCAGCCATAGCGGATCGTCGGCGGAAGTCTGATTCCATACGTCGTCGTTTTCGTAGATGATGATCCGAGCCTGCCTTTGGAGATCCGCGTCGGTGGGCTCGATGCCGAGCGCTCTCTGTTCGACAACGTACTCGGCTAAATCGGCCTCCAGCCTTCGAGGGTTGTGGATCGTCGAGTCGATGGTGGAAGGGTCCTTGGATCGTTTCCTCTCGTCCGCCATAACCCCGGGGTGCGGCAGGCCAGCCCTGTCCCGGAAGCCGGCAAGCCAGTCACGCGAGCCCTTCACCAGCCGGATCAGGAAATCGCTGACCTCGTTGGATGGGAAATTAGACATGGCTTCCATGCTGCGGATGATGTTGCACGCCTCGATCTGCAGCTCGCAATCCATGGCGGTCAAGCCGAGCAGACGGCGAGCCTTGACGTAGTCGTGGAGTTTCGCCTCCATCGGGTCGAGTTCAAAGATGTTGCGCTTGCCGTTGATCTTGAGTTGCTGCCAATGCTCAACGCCTCTAACCTTGGTCCACCTCGCCTCTTGTGCGATGCGCTCGGAAGAGAACAGCAAGTCCCGGAACCATGAATCTGACGAGGTCGCCGAGGCTTCGGCAACCTCATAGCTGTCGTATATTAACGCGCATGCTGTGCGTTGAAGGTCGTCATCCGATGGTTCCTTGCCCTCCTTCTCACGCCAGTTGTCCATGTAGAAGGTTAGTTCATGCTTGATGAGCTCGAAGGCGTTGCGGGCCGATGAGACCGATGGCCGGGACGCCTCATACGGATTCGGGGAGTTTCTTTCGTCGTGAATGAGATCTTCATGAGGCATGTCAGCACCATTCCAAGCTGGCTATCAGCGATGGGGTGGAGAAGAACTTACACGGTGGAATGGAGTTCTCGACCATGTCGAGCACGGGGGCGTCGAAACCCCAGCCACCCTTCCAGTCCGCCATGGATTTACCCTTCTTGAAGTGCTCGGCGAGGTGGTCAACACGGACGGACCACGTGTCCAGGATGGCGTCGCAGAACCCGCAGCGGGATCGGATCTCGGGCGTGGTCGCCTTCCACTGTTCCATGGACCAGCTCATGAACTTAGCGTTGTGAACGAGCTTCAGATGCTGGCGCAGATGGTCCTTCCGGTAGAAGGTGCGTTCGCTCATGGTTCGCTCCTGGCAGGCCGAGTGGTTGTGGCTGTCGACGTGCGCCTCGTCCGGATTCGCCTCCCCGCAGAAGACGCACGACATCCGACCGTTCTCCGGGTTGAAAGCCTGCGCGCCGTTGGGGGAGCACACCCACCGCTCGAGAGACAAGTGCAGCGACTTCTCGTGTCTCTGCCAGTCGTGCTTCGTTCTGAACGTTTCGGTACAGAACGTGCATTGATAGGTCTTGGGCGGACCCGACTGGTGAGGTTGGTTGCCGGTAGTCAGAGCCTTTCTCCTCCTCCGCCTCCGACCACGATGGATCGACGACCCAGCGGACCCAAATGAGCCCCGCGAGCCGAACGAGTACACGGACGTGCTCGAGTGTGAGGTATTGGCGCTGCTGATGGCGGAATCGCAGAGCGACCTCCCAGAGCCATCGTCGGTGAAGTTGGCACTGTAGGGGCTGTTGAGGCCCGAAGAGATGCTCGAGGTGGACTTGATGGCGTTGGCAATGGCCGTCACCGACGCGGGTTCGTTCTCCGGCGGAGAGTGCGCCCAACGCTGCAGCGGGTTCATGTTCTCGAAGGATGCGGGCGTTCCCCGTCTCTGCGGGATGTCGATGGGGTTTGCCCAGCTGCGCACGCCGGGCGACGTCGACCGGTGGCTCACGGCATTCTTGTTCCGGCGCCGGGTGTTGGCCAGCCAGTTTGTGATTTGCGTCTTGCTGAGGCCTGTCTGCTTCTGCAGCATCTCCTTTTCCTCCTCGTTCGGATAAGGGTGCTTGCTGTGGGTTGACAGCCAGTTCTTCAGGATCTTGACCGATTCTCTGGAGAAACGAGCACCGGCTTTGCCCTTGGGCCCAGCCGGGTTGGCGCTTGACTTCTCAGCAATAGAAGCCGACCCAGGCAGGTCCGTAGCCGAAGCCGACCGGAGCGGCTCGGAGTGGAAGTCCTCCTGAAGCAGCTCGGGGTGGTCTCCCATCACTGGCCAAGGGTTGGAAGGGAAGACCGGATCGAGACCGAAGCTGCATGCACGGGCAAGGGCGACGCAACTCGTGCAATAGCCCTTGTATTTACCCTCTGGGATCCGCTTGCACTCGAAGCCGCCCAGCTGGCAGTGCTCACAAGGGGCTTCGGGGGTCTCCAGGTGGTCCTCAAACGTTCTGGTGCTCCTATCCGTGGGCATGGGGATCTCCTCGTCTAAATTCCCCATGGTGGGTGAGACGTTGTTCTCGAAGTGCTGCAAAGCCCAGAACGAAAAGTCGTCACCGTCGGCGTTCTCCAGTGCCAGGTCCAGGTCAGCCAGCGACTGGCCCGACGGCAGCATGCATTGAGACGGCATCTCAACCCCGGCGGCCGCAGCCGGCTCGGCTTGGTCCCAGTTGACAAACTCGTCCATCTTCCCGAGACTACGGCGCTGCCGCTATTGGGCAGCAACACGGGCTCACCCTGCCGTCCGTGGAGTTACTATCAAGATGTCAGCCCAAAGGGCGTACGGAGAGGGCCCAGAACGCATTACTATTGCGTCGTTGTCCACGACGAAGGGGATTCTGGTCGCGCGGTAATGCACAGATGGTCTCTCGGATGTGTCACCGAATGCCCCGTGTCAATAAAAGGGGGTTAGCCTCGGAGACTCGGAAGGCGTATGTTGTCGTCGACCGCTTGCAAACACTGAGCTTGGGCCAGATTGAAGGATTGTCAAGAACAACAACGTAAGCGAAAGACGACTAAGCTGGCGGGATCAGATTTTATTTGAGCCCATCTCCCAATCCCATGTACCGGTATGCCATGCCCTGCATTCGTTTTCTTCGCACTTCGGACACCTAGTTCCACTCCCTTCAGCGCGCTTCGTTCGAAGGAGGAGTCATGAGTTGCTGTGTCTGTCCAGGCGGAAGTGCCAGGGTTGGTAAAATGTGGGTCGCGCCTTTCGATTGACAACAGGACCCCGCCATCGAGGTCTGGGCATTCCGCAATGCATCTCTCGTGTGCGAGTCCGACACCATCTCGCCTACCGCGACCTCCCTGGCCGAATTCGGTAACGTTACCGGCACACCAGAGCCCGCCCAGTCTCCGCCTATCGGACTGTTCGGTGGACATTGGTATTTCGTAAGATGAACATGCGGAATCGCCTGACTGGTAGCCGCAGCGAATCGCGCTCGGCCCGGGAAAGATAAAAGAGGCGGGGTTCCCTTCGCTGAATCCTGTGCTTGATCCAGTATCCGTACTGGGCTCCGCGATGACCGTTGATGTGAGGGCCTCATCCGACGGGCCGAACATGTCCACACTCAATGTCGGCACAATACAACGAGCTCACAGCTAAGCCGACTGTGGCCGTGCTTCTTCTTCATCCCCATGGTCCCGTTGCCTATTGCTAAACAACAGCCAAACTCTCGAAGCTTAACGTTAGCGCTTCGCGGACGCTCAGCCGATATCGGACCGCGAAAGACCACCCAATGCCACCGCGCCGGGTTCTGGACCTGATTCCTTGGGAATCTGCATCATGATGACATCGCTGAGATGGCTATATCACGGGGTTGTTTATGGTTCTGATTTATCGAAGGACCTGGCCGTTACACTTGTCAGCTCCATCGGCATTCGAGTTACACCGTCTGATGTGGTTGCAACCCCGTCGGGTGCATGATCGGATGAGTGGGGTAGCCCGGCTCGCTCACTGGTTACCAGGAACGGAAGGTCACGAGTCAGTGGTGGCTCCGGAGCCGGAGGAGATACGGAGTTGAAGCGGAGTTTTCGGTCCTCGTATCGGCGGCCGAGTGAGATCTAAGACTACCAAGGTACCTACCTACTGTCAGGTTCCTGGTGGCTGTCAAAGGGAGGGCTCGGGAGTTGGGCCGATTGGCCAAGGGGAAGATGGTTTGGCGCGCCGAAGGAAGTCGTTTGGGCGATGTGTGGTCGGAGCCAGCAAATAACTGAAAAAGTCTTGTTGACCTTCAATTCGGCCCTGCTAACTCCGCCGGCCGGCTCAAAACCAACGAACACGGAACATAGGATCAGCAGAAGACCTACACCAACTCCGGAGACTGGCGAATGGATTCGGCGCACAACAGGTTAGTCGTCCCAACCGAGGTGAGATACTAGTATGGTAGCGCGCGATCAAGAAGGACCGAGTCGGACCGAGTCACGAACAAGAACCGAGACAGCATCGAGCGGGATTGAGAAGCCGCTCCATCTCAATAGTATGGTATCATTGCTATGAATAGAAGTTTCAGTTACTACTAGTCGTCCCAGACGTAAATGCAAATGCAAACGCAAGACACCAATCTCGCCTGCCAGTCGCCTCCCCAAGCTAGCGCTCCGCCCCCAGGGGAAAAAAAAGCAGAGAACAAAGGAAAAAAAAAGAAAAAGAAAAGAAAAGAAAAACCGGAAGGGAGGAACGCAGAGAAAAGAAAGAAAAAGCGTTCATCCTATAAACCCCCAGTTAAACCGAAGCCGAAGCGTCATCCAGGTATCCCATCCTTCGCTTAAACGTGTCGAGTATTGCTCTCATGATAAAAGCCCAAAAAGAAATATCCCAAAGGCACCCGTCATTCGTTTTCGCCATCTCGCCGACTTCGCCCGACGCCAGCACTAACCGAGTGTCAAGATCGCCGCATGGCAGGCCACCCCGATATTCGGCGTGTTCAGCCCGGTCTCGTTCTGCGGCCCGCCCTTGAGATAGCAGTTGCCCGGCGCCGTGCCCTTAGTCGCGGTCGTCTTGGATGTCCAGGCGGGAATGAAACTGACGCCCGCGCAGGTCGCGTTGGCTGTGTTCTCGAACGAGCCAGGAACGTATTTGGTGTACGCCGCGCATGCGTCCATGCAGGTGTCGAAGTCGGCCGTGAAGAGCGAGAGCAGCGGCGTGTTTGGCGCGTCCTTGTTGCAGTACCGGGTGAATTTAAGGGCGCCGAATACTACGTTGTGAGGTCAGTTATGGAAGGGAAGACGATCGGGTGGCCGAACAGCATACAAGAGAACGAGGTGTAGAGCGTCTTGTCGACGCTGCTGGGGTTCGAGGAGCACCCGTCGTCAATGACGGGGGTGGCCGTGCTGCTGGCGGCGGGCGCTGTGGAGGTTGCTGAACCGCTGATCATGGCGGCCAGGCTGGCTGCGGCATCACTAGCGCGCTGCGACTCGATGCCCGTCGCGGCTGCTAACCCGATCACTGCGGCCGAGAGCAGCGCGATGATGCAGGAGAGGACGAAGACGAGCAGGCTAACACCGCATATTGTCCTGCCGAGTGGCGCCGACTTAGACGGGCCCGCCGCTGCGGCGAACACGGGATGCGCTTCCGAGCCGTAGGGCGAGCCGGTTGCTGTTTGGCTTCCATATGTAGATGGGGGAGGAGCTGGGTGCTCCGGCTTGGGTGATGTCGTCGCCGGTATATCGTAGAGTTGCTGCTGATAGTAGGCTTGTCGCTGATAGGGGTCTTGGTATGGTTGTTGTTGAAAGTCCTGTTGTTGGTGGCCGTACCCTTGTTGGCCCCGAGTCACCTCCGGGAAATCCTGTGGAGCCAGCTCCAGGCCCGGGTCATACTGCTTGAATAGGCAGTCAGCATTGTTAGTCGCGGTGATGGGCGGCCGTCAGCCATCTTCGTTCTCTCACTTACCTTGGCGTCCATTGTACGCAGCTTCAGAAGCACGCCGGCGATTATGAGCACGTCGAAGACGAGAAAACGCAACCTGGAAAGAAGAAGCGGACGCAGGAAGATTGACGCCTGTGTGGACCGGATTCAGCGCCGACGGAAGCCAGGGGTCAGAAACAAGCCCCATAAGGCGACAAGGGGCGAAATCACGATCGAGCCAATCACCAAAACTCACAGCTGCAGCAGAACTCCCCGGGCCCTCGGATCGTGCGCGGATGGTGGTCAGATATGTGCAAACCGGGCACTTTTGATCGACGCTTATTCACGCCGTTCAATAGCTTTCATTGCAATAGCTAGCAACTCACGTTACACGGTTACAGAGAGAACTCCGCTGATGTGTTCAGCTTGTAGAGAAGGTGTCTACCTGACAAAGGCAAGGATCCTAAAGAGACATTGCGTAGCTAGGTAGGTAGGTAGTATTATTTAACCTCTGGAGTGTTGGTAAGCGCTTCACGCACTTGGGATGTTTGATCCTACCAGTACCAAATGGAATCGGCGGGATTTTTAAGATGCATTGTATGGGGAAGAGTTGTCGAATCTGGGGGAGTGTACTCGGCTGAAACAAGCAGCAGCGGGAATGGTGCATCTCCACTCTTAGGCTTTGCTGGCTGATAGGTCCCTGGCAACGCACGTGCACTCAATGTTACGAGTACTGTACATAGTACACTTGGGTCGGGGGGTTTTATCAAAGAACAAACATTGCGCGTTAACCGCACGGATGCCAGAAGATGCGATTATCCCAATTTGCTAACATTTAAAGATTATGATGGCAGTACCAGAAGTAATCCATACAGTTGTACGTAACATCACCATCTGTACAGCTAGCCTTGGTGGACCTTGCAATGCCGCCGAGGACAGGGTGATGGGATGAGCAATTGCAGTTCAAGCGCATCAAGTCTCGGCGCAGGGCCCCTGACAAAGCCAAGATTTCCACCACTCCACAGCCAGGTGATATTTATACTTTCTCTCCTTCCTCATCAGACAAAGGGATAAGGATATATGGACATTAATAATAAGCCAGCAACACATCGCGCGGTGCCAAAAGATTATCAAGACTGGCAGACCCATCATCAAACGAATCGAAATATTTGCCCCCTTCCCTTTCGTTCCCCTCGACTTGGTCTCGCCCTGGGTACTCCGGTTCAAGAGAGGTGTCGCTCTACACCAGCAACCGGGATTTCCAAGTTGTAGTTCCACACAATCAAAACATTCCAATTGTCTCCCGGAGAATCCTGCTCTGCGAAATTCAAAGTAATTATTAAATGTCGGGTGCTTAGCTAAGAGGTTCACGCATAGGTTAAAGGTGACGCCATCTCTGGCTGGTGATCTAACCCTTATTATGCAAGAAATAACAAACTGGAAGATACACCGCGAAAAGACACAGCTTCTATCTGTCCTTCGGCTTGGCAAAAAGCTTTGCTGCCTTATCTCGAGGTCGATGGGTGCTCACAATATTTGTCATAGATGCAGCGGGCCCTCTCGCAAAGAGAATTCTAGGTTGCATAAGACATATCAGAACTATGGTGTTGTATATACGTCTCTGAGCTATCTCCTCAAGAAACTGCCAGGGAGACAGTGACTATATGGATTGGCTGCCTGACTGCGTGGGTTTGGCTGGGTCCGCGTCCAACTTCCCGGGAAATGGGCCGAACTGGCATAAACCCTTTCGTGACGCCAGGTGGTATTCCTGTCGTTGGCAAAGGAATAGCACCACGCCTAGTCGTTTCCCACGATGGACATAGGCCCCACGCTATGGCAACCGACATCCTTCTTCCGGACACAGAAAGCGCCATCGTCATCTTGTCGAATACCGTGTCTCTCACCGACGCCCCGGATTGGGTTGGGCAGATGACCCTGAAAAAGTTCCTCGGTGTCCCAGTCTCAAAACGCAACCACTATCTTTAGCTGACCGACGCCTCAGTTGCAATACCGCCACGTTGTGAAACTGTGAAGGCTATTCGACAAGATCAAAAAAATAGGAAATGCCCACTGGAGCTCCACACTTATGCGGGAAGATACCGGGAGAACCGGCAGCGGGAATTGTGCCGAATTGAACTCGCCGTCGAGGACAATCATCTCCGTTGGGCTTTTTCTTTTTTCTTATTTATTTATTTGTTTATTTATTTGGACGGGGAAGCGTCGTCTCCTACACCGAAAGTATGACGTGTTCGCTCACCTCACCAAAGGACGTGCGACAGAGACCGGAGGCCCAGCTTCTACGTGTTTGAGCTCAAGACGGGACCGGACGGGAACCCTGATCGTTTGTACATGACCGTCAACAGTTTGAAGTGTCGGAGTACAATAAAGAGCGACCAGAGACATGAAGATTGCTGGCTTCATGTCTGGAGAGACAGTAATATGGCCTTGAGCGAGCAGAGTTCAGATGTTTCTCTTACCATTGGCGCCAATCCAGCATTCCAGAGCCCATTTTTCAAACCTGCCAGCCTTTTATATTGACGAGAAACCAGAGCATTGCGTTTTCAGCGCGGTTTCAGCAAGTATTGCCGCTCACTCCTTCAAATGATGCTTCTTCTGCCCTCATATGGCGGATACTTAGAATTACCGACGAGCTTACCGCTTGTGATGCCGTAGCTTTTGTCCTTGATAAGTGTTTTGTAGCCACACTTGAGTTGATGAGAACATCACAACGGCCACGATGTGATTAGCACACGCCGCTAGCCGGGAGCAATCACCTAGGTAGCTAAGTCTACAACACTCCCAACAGTCGAACCAGGAGCAGAATGTTTCTTGCAGTTCCATGTATGGTAATACAGATACACAGTACACACAGCACTGTGTGTCTCCGAGTCGCGACCTAAAGGCGGGGGCGGAGCATACACAGCTGATAAGCATGGAAGTAGTTAGGCCGTTGTCGACGTCGGCGGAGCCCTCAGTCGGGGATGGTCCGGATATCTATATCCCTTCTAGCTGCTAGTATTAAATGCTCAGGCACAGTTCGCTCCCAAGCCTTGATCGTGCCACCATCCCCCTCAGAAAGCAAAATGAGGATCCAACCCGCCCCTTGGGAAGTCCGCGCAGCTGCAAAGCGCGCAAGTACACTCAGCAAGATCCCGGAGGCGTGGCGGTTGTCTCCCGCTGACCTAGACAGAGCCAAGAGCCAACGCGATCTTACCGGGCCTTTCATCCAGCAATTCCTGCAACCTGACGAGATATCCATCGTCTCAAAGGACAGCGTCGAGATCGTCAATGAAATCAAAGAGGGCAATCTGAGCGCCGTCCAAGTCACGACCGCGTTTTGCAAGACGGCCGCCGTCGCCCATCAGATTGTACGAAACCCCCTGTCCAAGAGATGCTCAGCGAAAATGTCACGTCGTTGACCATTGGCTGAAGAACAACTACCTCCATGAAATATTCTTCGACCAGGCACTGGAGCGTGCCAAAGAGCTTGACGCCCTGTATGCCGAGAAGGGAGAAACCATCGGTCCCCTCCACGGCCTGCCCATCAGCGTGAAAGATCAGTTCCACGTCAAGGGCGTGGATACGACGATGGGCTATGTCGGGTGGATTGGTAGCAACCTCGGCATCAAGGATCCGAGCCAGATACACCAAGTTGAAAGCCAAATCACAGCTGAGCTTCTTTCCCTCGGAGCTGTGCTGTTCTGCAAGACCAGCTTGCCACAGACACTGCTGATGGGAGAAACCAAGAACAACATCATCGGCCAGACCATGAACCCCCACAACCAGAACCTGTCGTGCGGTGGTTCGTCGGGCGGTGAAGGGGCGCTCCAGGCCCTGCGTGGCAGCACGCTGGGCCTCGGGACAGACATTGCGGGCTCCGTCCGCATCCCGGCCACTTTCTGCGGCATCTTCGCGCTCAAGCCCACCGCGGAGCGTCTGTCGTACCGGGATGCCGCAAACACCAATCCTGGGCAGAACACGTACCGCTCGACCGTTGGTTTTCTCAGCACTTCGCCTGGAGGGCTGGAACTGGCATTACGCTCCATCCTCTCCACTCGTCCATGGGAGAGAGACCCAGCCGTCGTCCCCATCCCGTTCCGCCAGGAGGTCGTCGATAAGTACCGAAGCCGTGCTGACGGTGACGGGAAAGCAACGCAATCTGAACTTCCCTTGAAGCTCGGTGTCTTATGGTAAGCACATCATGGAAAGCAATACAGGGCGACAAGAGGATGACCGATACAGAGAAAGAGATTAATGAGGCTTCTCTTAGGACTGACGGTGTCCTGGGCCCGCACCCTCCCATCTTGAGGGGCCTTCGCGAACTAGTGGATGCTCTTAGACAGGCCGGCCACAAGGTATGGAAAACCAGCAGTATGACTCCCATATGAGAGCCTGTTACGCTAATCGTCACTGAATACCTAAGTAGATCGTCGACTGGAATCCCCCTTCGCACGCGACTGGGAGAAGGATCCATGTAAGTGGGAGTCCCTTAATCGAACAAATATTCAGTTCTAGTCCGCTGACGGCGAACCCACCTAGATTTCAATGTTGACGGCGGACGGTGCCCAGGATATCCACAGTCATCTCGACCTTTCAGGCGAGCCTTTGATTCCGGATCTCCAGGAGCAATATCCGCTGAAGCCGCCGATGTCTCTTTTGGAGTATCAGAACCTGACCATTGAGGGTCTCGAGTATGAGGCCGCGTATTCCGATTACTGGAACTCGACTGCAGCCGAAGACGGCCAGATCGTCGACGCCGTGATCATGCCGGCTGCGCCACATGCGGCCGTCATCCCCGGAAAGTATCACTCGCCGGCCTATACCGAGGTTATCAACGTGCTGAACTACAGCGCGGTCGCCATCCCCGTCACGAAGGCGGACAAATCGATCGACGTGGTAGACAAGTCTTATGTACCGCTGAGTGACCATGACAAGCTGAACTGGGATGATTGTACGTTGCCCTTCTTGCCACCCCTTGCCCCTTATCTCTTCCCTTGTCACCGCGCGGTCGTTCGGGGGCGGACCGAGGAGTATGACCTGACTCTGGTGTGCCATTTCAGACGATCCCGAGATTTACCATGGTGCGCCGGTCGGCTTGCAGCTCGTCGCACGGAAATTCGAAGAAGAAAAGATTCTCGCCATTGCAGACATTGTCGTAGCTGCTTTGCAAGCCTACCGCAAGAATTGAGGCATCCCGGCGGCCACGACTTGAAAAAAAGAAAATGGACTATATTAGGTATTATTACCTCCCTGGTGCCTGTGATTAGGCAGCTAGATCGGCGAAATGAAGTTATGAAACCCTCTAACCTTTCGCGTGTTGTCGAGTCGGACGTAGAGCTAGGAAGGTGAGATGACGTGACAGGAGTAGTAGTCGAGCGGGGAAGGGGGTACCGTTGTGCTTTGGTTGACGGACTCTCGGAGAGGGGTGTTGATCATCTCGGTAACTGCGGCCCAGATGCAGTGAAGCTGGAAGCACTGGTCTCGGAGCTGGCGGATATAAGACATATTACCTGAAACCCATCACTTTGCTCTTCAAGTTCACAACTCCAAACACAAACCCCCTCATCGACGTTCAGCCATATTGGTCCCCCCGTTCTCCAAACTGAAGCGTGCATTGTGCCAAAAGAGCAGCTGCCTACAGTATGCCGCTTATCCCTAAAACTATGTCAGGGATCCTCATCGAGGAAACCGGCGGCGTCGAGGTGCTGCAGTGGAAAACCGACCTGCCGGTGCCCGAGCTTAAAGAGGGTGAGATACTCGTCCGGAACGAGTTCATCGGGGCCAACTACATTGACATGTGAGCACCCGCACAACCTCACCACCTCCTAGTAATCTTAGCCTCGCCCTCATGCCCAAACTTCTCTTCCCAACTAGAAGTAGAGGAATCACTCAATTCCTAACCCGAGATATACACAGCTATTTCCGCACGGGCCTCTACCCCTCCTCAACCCTCCCGTTCATAACGGGTAAAGAAGCCGCCGGCACGGTCGTAGCCGTGCACCCTTCCCTCCCCACCTCCCTCTCCTCTACCACCTCCTCCAGCACCCCCCATATCAAACCCAAAGAAGGCGACCGCGTAGCCTACACCTCGGACGCGACCTACGCAGAGTTCACCGCCCTCCCGGTCGCACTCGCCCACATCCTGCCACCCTCGCTCTCCACCGAGACGGCGGCGGCCGCCCTGCTGCAGGGGCTGACTGCCCTGACCTTCGTGCGCGAAGCGGCGGGCCTGCCGCGGCCCGGCACAAGTGCCAGCGCCGGCGGCGCGCTGCTGGGCGTGAGCTCGGGCCCCTGGGCGCTGGTGCACGCGGCCGCGGGCGGGACGGGGTCGATGCTGTGCCAGATGCTGGCCGTGCACGGGGCCAGGGTGATTGGCACGTGTGGCGGGCGGGAGAAATGCGAGGCTGCGAAGCGGAACGGGGCGCAGTGGGTTGTGGATCGGAAGGCGGAGGATGTGGTGGCGCGGGTCAAGGAGATTACGGGGGGCAAAGGGGTGGATGTGATCTTCGATGGGGTGGGGAAGGCGACGTTTGAGGCGGACCTGGAGATGGTGGCGCGGAAGGGGACCGTGGTTGTGTTTGGAAACGCCGTAAGTTCTATAATTCCGAGCTCGATGTTCGGTTGTGCGGTGGCTGACAATATCCGTCTAAAAGTCCGGCCCTGTGCCCCCGGTGGATCTCTTCAAACTGGGCGCGAAGAATCTCAAGTTGATGAGGCCTAGGGTCTTCGGGTACATTGAAACTCAGGAGGAGCTGGACTCGTATACCAGGGAGCTGTTTGACCTGCTCCTCGCTGGGAAGGTGAAGGTCAAAATTCACGAGGTCTACCCGCTCAAGGATGTCGCCCGGGCGCACTCAGATCTAGAAGGAAGGAAGACAACCGGGAAGCTGCTGCTCAAGGTCTAAGTGGAGCAGCTCATGTGTTTCTTCTATCGATAAATTAGCGACTCTAGCAAGTGGCTTCATCCCTTTATATCGTAATGTGTCTATCTCGAGCTCCTCCGAGGGGCAGTGAACATTATTTTAGGCGTTTTTGGCCTTCAGAGCCTCCACAAACTCGGCTGGCGGATCTTGCCGGTATCCCTTGGGGTTGTTCTGTACCCAGCGCCAGAGGTCGGCGCAGGCATCCTCCAACGTAAGCTTCGTCTTCCACTGCAGTTCCTTGTTCGCAAGGGCTGGGTTGGCGGTCAGGTCTAGGACGTCTCCGAGTCGCCGCTCAACAACCTCGTAGGGCAGATCCCGGCCGACAACCTTGCTGAAGGCCTTGATCATCTCCAAGACCGTGCTGCCGCGGCCGGACCCCAAGTTCCAGGCCTTGACGCCTGGCTTGTGCTCGCGCAGGTAGTTGAGGGCGGCCAAGTGGCCGCTCGCAAGGTCGAGAACATGAATGTAATCACGAATGGCAGTACCGTCCCTCGAGGCGTAGTCTAGGTCGAGTCAGCTTCTCCATCCCATTACACATCGTTGGTTCTTTCCTTGACTCACCGTCACCAAAGACTAGCAGCTTCTCGCGGTCACCGGTTGCGACCTTGCCGAGAAGAGGAAGAAGGTTGTACGGAACGCCCTGCGGGTCCTCGCCCATGATACCGCTGGGGTGCGCGCCGCAAGGGTTAAAATAACGGAGCAGAGCGCCGTTCCACTGATCGTGCGGCTTTCCTGCCTTCTGGAGGTTGCGCCGTTGCGCCTCCACGTGGTCGGTGATGACAGTCTCGATCATGACCTTCGTCCGGCCGTAGGTGTTGGTTGGCCCAATGGGGCAGTGCTCAGGGATGGGAATCATGTTGGGAACACGCGTGGCATCTCCGTAGACGGTGGCTGACGAAGAGAAGACGATGTTTGTGACATTGTGCTTCTCCATGGAGCGGAGCAGCGAAATGCTGCCGCCGACATTGACTCTGTAGTACTCCAGCGGGATCTCGCCAGACTCGCCAACTGCCTTGAGGGCCGCAAAGTGGATGACGCTGTCAATCTCGGGGTGCTTGGCAAAGACCTCGTCGAGGCCAGCCTCGTCCGTGATATCGACTTGGTAGAAGGCGGCGCGCTTCCCGCAGATCAATTCGATGCGGTCAAGTGCGACTTTGGAGGAATTATAGAGATTGTCGACGACCACTACATCGTATCCATTCTCGAGAAGAGCGAGGGTTGTGAAAGACCCAATGTAGCCGGTGCCACTGCATGCCATTATCAGCATGCCATTGACGGTCGTGGGGGAAATTTTGGCGGGGTAGCGAAGTGCTGGGGTACTGAGGGGCTGAGTCCATACTGAGGGGCCTTACCCAGTGACAAGGACAGTTCCCACAGCCATGTTGCCCTTTTCAATCTTTTTGGCGTCTGACAGTTTCGGTAGGAGTGTTGCTGCTGCGAGACGAATGTGAGGTAGTAGAAAAGGTAGCGTTCCCGGGAGGGAAGCCGCGGTTCTTTAAAGATAATGGGTCTCTGCGCTAGGAGGTGTCGCAAATCGAATCTCGCTAGCCATTGTAACGTGGGGCTCCCAGTCCCTGGGATCTCACGCCCTGCCGGGACAGGGGATGACGCCCTGCAAACCCCTGCATGCACCTGCCCAGCAAGGTGAAGATGAGATGCGAGAACTCTCAATCAGACACAGGAAACTGGATTCAACCCCGGCACTGTGTCGGGGAGCAGTACCTACTGTACTGGCTCAAGGAGACTTGCAGCTGAAGCGATGCAGAACCTCACCGCAACACGGGCATCTTGCTCAATTTGGTTTCTGTTGGCGGACCGATGTTCAAGCAGAGGGTGATCAATACGAAATAGGGAAATACGAGGTTGTGATTCTCATGGGCGCGCCTTTGTCGTCGGCGGTGTTTACGTTACACCCTTAAAGGATTGAATCACGTTTACAAGGGGCTGTGTTTCGCAGCTGAACCTACTAGTTCAACTTTTGCACGAACGAATGTTGTATGGAAACTAAACTACCTCAGGCGTTGGGGAAAGCGATCGCCAAATCAGTGAGATGAGTTCTGGTTATTCAGGTACATACGCACTGATACGGTACATACCTTACACAGCCTCGACAGCTTGCTTGATTACCACTAGCTGCATAACGTCATACCGTACTGGTACATCCGTGTAAGCGCATAGGCCCTCATTGCTGAGTCATCATCCACAATGTCCCACTCGCGAGTCGCAGCCTCAGCCTATCCGTACCGGCCCTACAGGGATAGTGACAACTGTCAACCGGTGGCACAGGCCTCACCTGTCACCGGGCCTCGAAATCGCGCCAACTTCACGGCGCATGCCAGCAGACGGCCGAGACAAAGAGAGGGAAGAGCGGTGCTGCGCAGCCATGAAAGAGACACTGCCTTCGACAGTTCAAAGAAGACGCCGTTTTCAGACCTCGAAACAAGTCCTTTATTTCCGCTTGCGATGCGTAGTTGAGGCTAATAAAGCCGTTTTGCAATTCGGCGCGTCTGCCATTTAGCTGCTTCGCGCCCTGCGCCTAACCCTCCATCCAGCAGCTGTCTCTCCGTCTCTCATCTTGTCCAGTCTCTCAACATGAGCATCGCCATTGCGGTCGAATAAGAAGACGTCCGGACGAAAACTGTCAGAACCAATCCTCTCAGTTCCTGTCAAGGCTGTATCCGGGACCAATTGCACCATACTATCGGACGGTTATAGGCACAGCACTGGTGAAGTGACGTGTCATCTGAGTTGTGCGTCCTGGTTTGTTGGTTGCAGGAACCCCTCCTGACCTGCATTTGAGGTTGTCACGCCGGCCACGCTGTCACTCGAGGTAAATTGTTCAGGTTCCTGCCTTCATACCCAATCCTATTCACTGGCCATTCGCTCCTATTGTGCGCCTCAGCTCAATTCCTTTTGCACAAAAACTCCAACCTTACTTTTTTTTTTCTCTCTCACTCAGTGCCTTTCTTCCACTCATTCATCCTGTTTCATCTGCTCTTATTTACTTTTCATGATTCACTCCCGGTTTACTCGCAATTGGTAACCATGGCTGACTCTACAACCAGCTCGCAGCAGAGCGTTGTCGGCTCACAGCAGACCCTAGTAGCTGAGTCGCAAGAACGAGCTGACGCAGTTACCGCCATGCCTGCGACACGTCGGCTGCGGGAAACTGCGAGCCCTTCGCCATCACTGTCCAGGGGCTCAACGCCTGTACGGGATTCTGTTACTGGACGGCTTATGCCTGACCGTGGAGGCAAGGTCAGGACACCGATCCCGGCAAAGTACAGCACTTCATATGGGTCCCCGATCACCCACCTGCCCGACCGTAGAGCGGTCGGGGGTGGTGGAAACGTTACGAAAGCTGCGGCGGAGATCTTCACCAAAGTCAAGAGGGACAAGATAGCTGCGGAGGCCCGCCGTCGCACCAAGGCTCAAGCGAGGGTGCGAAGGGCAGGTTCGAGAGACGCAACTGCCTCTCCACCACCCCCGACGATACACCCGACCGTGGAGGTGGACAACGAGCACGAGGAAGCGGCGGGATCTGGAGGGCGAGACGAGGCGGTGAATGGGATGAGTGAGGGTAGCGAGTATGAGGATGAGAATGAACCACCGACCGAACGAGCCTCCGTGAGGAGATCTCCGCGGAAAGCTGGCCGGAAGAGGCGTCGGGACGATGGAGATGCCGAGGCTCTTGCGGAGAAGGAACGGAAAGAGAGAGAGGCCCGGTTGAGACGGGAACGCTCAGCAGAAGCCCGAAAGCGTAGCAACCAAAAGCGTGCTGAGGCTCAGGCCGCCGCTCGGGAGGAAGCCGAGCAGGAGCGTCTCGCGCAACAAGCACAGGAAGAAGCGGCAAAGGCAGCGATGCCGCCTCCTCCCCAACCACCCGTGCCTCGACCGCCTTCCGGACACACTATGACCCCGGCAAGCGGGCTCCTGCCGAACGACGCCAGCATCGAGCGACCTGGTTCTGCGCGTAGTTTCCTTGAGGAAGGCACCGTATACCAGGGTGCGGCAGTTCAGACTCCTCCAAGGCCGCAATCGCCTTTGCGTCAAGCACTGCGATCTGCTACAGCCGCTCGTCTGGCTGCTTCAGAGCCTGCGCCAGCCGCGCCAGCTTCGCCTCCCAGTGTCCTGAAACGGCCGCCACGACGTCCCGGAGGGACAACTCCACGGGCTCCGATTGAGCTGCCGCCTCGTCCGGATGACCGGGATGACGTCACCCACCAGCCATCGGTGGACAGGGAGTCACCACAATCCGATGATGAGGAGGGATCGCAAGAGATAAGCCCATCAGCCCAAAGAGCGATGCCAGACTTCGCCCGTCGACTCGGCCGGCACCTCAAGCCTCTACCTGGCCGAGCTGACGCTGAAAGCGAGAAGGATGAAGTTTCCCCAACTGCAGCGACCGACAAGGGCCGCTCACACTGGTCCAAGGCCAAGCATGCGTTTTCCCTTTGGTCCTTTTTCAAGATCTTTGCGGCCGCCTTCCTCGTGTTGCACGCAATGCGGCTTGCTCACATTCACGCCCGGCCAGACCTGTACGAGAGCCCCGTCCTAACTCTTCGGTGGTATGGGTGGAAAGACTGGACAAGCAACGTTGGGCAGTTCTTCCCTTCACCACTCTTGCACCCGCTTGGAGTCCTCACCGATGCCCAGTATGACGATCTCAAGGACTATCTCCAGAGACGGACGTCATCGACTGAGGCGGTGGTGGATAACCTCAAGGCAGTTCTCCCCAAGGTCATCTCGGTGCGCAAAGATAAGAAAGGGAAGGTCGTGATTGCGGATGAGTTTTGGGATGCTCTTAAGGACCGGATCCAAAAGGATAACAGCATCCTTTCTTTGGATGGGAAGTCCCACATCTCTGAGAAGCATTGGAAAGCGATAGAACAACGACTCAGGGACGCTGGTCTCTTGGCTAAGCCGCTCTCAGCCAGTGATGTCGAGCGTATCGTTGAGAAGTCGGCACCGGCGGCCTGGGACAAGTGGTTCCAAAAGAACGAGCGGAAGGTAGCCGAGCTGCTCCGTCAGACCCAGGGCAAAGCCCCGGGCAAAACCCCGACAAAGGAGAGCGACGAAACGGTTATCTCGAGGAAAGAATTCATGCGCGAGTTGATGGACCAGCTGGCGAAGAGCAAGGAGCAAACAAACCGCGACATGGACAGTCTCCGCGTGGAGCTCCACGGCCTCATCCATGAGATCAAAGCAAAAGCCAAGGCAGGCGGCATGAACAAAGCCGATATCAAGACCCTCGTCAAAGAGATTGTCGATAAGGAAGTAACGCGCCGCTATCTCGATAGAGCAACCAAGGGTGGCACTAGTAGCATTGACGCCGCCCTGCGCAGTCGCGTCAACCACTTCAGCCCGGGCAACGCGGCACAGATCGACCTCTCGCTCACCTCACCAACCTACAAGATCGACACACCTCCCGTCCTCTCCAAAGAATGGCTCAAGGCCATGCCCAAGCGCCCGCAGTTTATCCCAGACAAGTCCCAATCCCTCACCGCCTGGTCCGACCCAGGCCACTGCTGGTGTGCGGCCACTCGCGGCGACAAGAACGTCAGCTACCCGGCTACGCTCGCCGTCCGCCTTCCCAACTTCGTCATCCCGCAGTACGTCGTACTGGAGCACATCGACCCGGGCGTAACAAACGACCCGCTCGCCATGCCGCGGGACGTGGAGGTCTGGGCCGTCTTTGACGAGCACGCCCGGCGCGAGCGCGTGTTGGACTGGATGGCGGTGCAGTTCCCCGATGATGTGGGTCATCCGCTGCTGGAGAAGGGGCTGGCGAAGATTGGCAAGTTCATGTATGAGCATCGGGCGCATGACGACGGGGTGTTTGTACACAAGCTGGCAGACGAGTTGGTGGATCAGCTCCGGGCCGCGACGGACTTGGTGATGGTGCGGGCCGTGACGAACTATGGGGCCGACGATCACACATGCTTCTATCGAGTGCGGATGTATGGGGAGCCGGTGGAGCTGGGTGATGAAAAGGAGAGTAAGAAGTGGTGACCAGGGAGCGAGGTGGAAGGGGGAGAAGTTCGGGTTCTCCGGGTGCCGGTGTCTAGGAATTACATACGTGGCGTTTTCGGTGATATACCACCCCCTTCAGCATTTTGAAGTTTAGATTTAGTTCAAATGGTCCAGGCTCGTCGTTGGGTTTTGCTTTGAAGACCAAGAACCAGAGGTATCAATTGACCCATGTACTGACACAATAACGGACACTGGCACTCCAAACACCTCAATCCTCCAACAACCCAGCAGCCAGCGCCTCCAAATCCTGCAGATTATCCGGCTCATGATCCATCTCAATAACCTTCTTCCCACCCTTCTTCTTCTTCCTCTCCCGTCTCTCTTCGTCTGAGTCATCCTGGAACCACTTCCTAGCCTTCTTCCTCGGCCTTTCGTGCTCCACGCCCTCCTCTCCACCAGTCTCACCACCAGAGGAACCATCATCATCCCCGTGCTCGCCAGCAACAGGCAACGACCGCAAAAGCGCAAGCGGATCCTCTCCCTCTCCATCTTCCTCCCCAGTGGCAAGCTGGGGCAAGACAGCTTCCCCGCTTCCCCCTCTAACTTCCTCCCCGCGCTCCCGCGCCTTCTGTCGCTCCCTCTTCTCCTTGCGCCGCTGCTTGGCAAGCTGCTTATCCGTGACATCGGCCTCCTGGACGCGCTGCATCTCGGCCTCGACAAACTCGCGGCGGAGCTGCTCGGCGGGGCCCTCGCGCTCAAAGTCCTCCTCGCCCTGCAGCTCGTAGATGGGGTGGGCGTTGCCGTCGTCGTCGAAGACCAACTTGCTGCCCTTCTCCATGTATTTGGCGAGCTTCTTCTTGGATTTGAGCAGTTTCTCGCGGCGGTGCGAGTCGATGACCAACTCTGACTTGCCGAGATTGACGACCTTGGGTTGTTGTTGTTCAGTGGTGGCCCGGTCACCGCCTGCGGCGGCGTCCAGCTGCGCGTCGCCGTCGAGGACGCGCTTGACGGAAAGGAAGTCGGCTTCCTCGTCGTCGTCGTCGTCGTTGGCGCCGGATTCGTTGCCTTCTTCGCCGACGAGCTTGCGGTAGTGGGCGGAGAGCACGTCCTGGTTTTGGCGCTCCGCCATCTTCTGGTATTTGGTGCGGACTTGATCCTTCTTGACCTTGGCCCCTTCGCCGTCGGAGTCGGTGTCCGAGTCGCTGAGCATGGCGGCGCGAGGGGCGTTCTTGAGGCGCTTGATGTCTTCGCCCTTTTGATACTTGATCTGCGGCGTCCCGGGGAGACCGAGGGACGCGGCAAAGCCGTCGAGGTCGACCTCGTCGAACTTGAAGACTTCCTTGTCTTTTTGGAGGTAGATGGAGCGGGTGTAGGAGATGAAGGCCTTTTGGCCGAGATATTTCAAATCGGGAGACTGGAAGCACTGGCTTTGGAGCTCGTTCTTGATGCTCTTCTTTTTATTTTCCCGGACGTTGACCTTCTTGATCGGCACCTTCTTGTGTTCGAGTCGCTTCAGGAAACCCTCCTCCTCGCTAGGCTCTAGGAAGAGAACGGCTCGGCCCTTGCTCTCGTATCGAGCTGTCCGTCCCACACGGTGGATGTATGTCTCTGCGTCCTCAGGACAGTCGACCTGGATGACCCAGTCGACGGCAGGGAAGTCGACACCTCTCGCCACAACATCGGTAGCGAAGAGGCAGGCGTACTTTGCCGACGCAAACCGCGATGTGATCTCCATCCGCGCGACCTGCTTCTGCCGGCCGTGGAGATGCAGCAGAGGAATACCCGGCTGCATACGCCTGAAGCTCTCATAAACAAACCTCACCTGCTTTCCTGACGAGAGAAACACGATGATCTTGCTCTTGAGATTTGTTCGCAGGAAACCCCACAGCGTGTCGAGCTTCTCGGCAAGCGGTGTCACGATGTAGGACTGCTGCAAAGTTGCCGGTGTCGCGGATGCTGCGGCCTCGTGCACCGACACATACTCGGGGTCCTTCAGACTGAGCCGCGCCAGATCCGAAACCCTCTTGCTCTGCGTGGCGGAGAACAGAAGCGTCTGTCTGGTCTTCGGCAGATGCTCAACCAGCGCATCCACAGCCGACTGGAAGCCCATGTCCATGATCCGATCGGCCTCGTCCAGTACCAGGATCTGAAGGTTGTTCACATCGAACCCGGCTGTTTGGTCCAGGTGCTGCAGCATCCGGCCAGGTGTGCACACCAGGATGTTCATGCGCCCTAACCGCTCGGCCTCCTCCTTCAGACTCTTGCCACCAATCACCAAGCCAGCTGAAAAGTAGTGGTTCCGCCCAATCTTGCGCAGGACCTCAAAGATCTGGACGGCCAGCTCGCGGGTCGGGCTGATGATGAGGGCGCCGAGCCCGTCGTACTCGGTCCATCGCGCATGGTAGAGCTTCTCGAGGACTGGGACGAGGAAGGCAAGCGTCTTGCCGCTGCCAGTCTTGGCGGCGCCGAGGACGTCGTTGCCCTTGAGAGCTAGGGGGATCGCGGCTCGTTGGACATCGGTCAAGACCTCGAAGTGGGATGCGCGCAGGCCGGACGCGGTGGCGTCACAAAGCGGGAGGTCGGTGAACTTCTTGATGTCTGGAGACTTTGGGTCCTAGAAGCGACAATATGGCGTCAGAAAAGCACAGAAAAATCAGGGCAAACGGCTAAACGAGCGACTGAACTCATACTCACAAGCTGCTCGACTGCTTCTCGGAGCTTGCCCAAGTCCTCCTGTTCCCGTTTCCTCTTCAGCGACTTCGACTCGGCCTTCTTGGGCACTGCCTTGTTGCGGTGCGCAATGGTCCCTTTTCCGCTGCCGGCTGCCATGTTGTCTTTGTCATTAAACGAGAGCTATCCGCGATGCGATCTGCGAGGCACCGTTCCGGAATTTTTGGCGGAGAGGAATTCTGCCATATAGCCCCACCAAGCCAAGAGATACGTCGGTGGAGATCGCTGGGGATTCGACGACAACGGGCAGGGGCAGGTTCGAATGGTCCTGATTCCTGGAGTCCTGAGTGGGTAGGGGCGGGTTAGGGTTATCTTACTACCTTAACAATCAAGCTTCTAAAATTGGTATTTACTACCTTAATCAAGGCCTTCTGGATGGAATCGGTATATATGCGTGGATCGGGACGAGGGGAATGAACCTACTAGTAGATTCAGGTACGTAGGTAGCAATGACGGTCAGATACCCCCCTTCCAAGTGAGCCTTTCCCACACTTCGTCTCGAGGTTCTCCACGTTGATAGCTACCAGCTTTTGGTCAAGTAGTATCTTGAGACGGGAAAGACAGAGTCAGGCCGCTGTGAAAGCTTAGTTCGTCGCCACGTTGCTAGGGCGGAGTTGGGAATATGGCTACGCATTATACTATACAGCGGGATGTAGACTCGAAATCATTGTTACGCGCACCATTCGTTCCAGATGAGATTCTAACTTGCAAGGCGCATATCTGGTCCTCACAAGGGAGCAAGGGAGCGCTGAGCTGTTCATGGCTATGCCAAGCGATGGCCGTGGTACATCGCTGCCCGATTCCTATTTCATCAATACGGAAGGTCTCGACAAAGTGTCCTGGTATCATAACAAAAACACATAAACTTTATACCGCCTTCCCAACATCCTTATTATAACTCCCTCCCTCGGCAATGTCATCCCCATCCAAACTCCCGCTCTGGTTGTCATACGCAACCCTAAGATCATCAATCTCATCGCCAACCTCCATCCAGCGATCACTGGTGGCGGGGACCGGGAAGAACTTGCACAACGCCCAATACATGCCCGCGGAGACGGTGAACCCGCAAAAGAAGTTCAGGTTGTAGACGTACGTCGCACCAATCGGCACCGGGGTTCCCACTGCGCCGGCGAAGCCGACCACATTGATGAGAATCCCGCCAATGTAGGCGGCATACGCGCGCCAGTGCACGCCGTAGGTGTAGTAGTACGGCCCGGCCTTCCGCGCATCATACAGCTCCTTCACCTCGAGATAGCCGCGGCGAACAAAGTAGTAGTCCGAGACGATGACGCCGGCGATGGACGAGAGGAACACACTGTACGCGGACAGGTAGGTGGTGAACTGGTTGCTCGACGTGAGGAGGTTATAGGGGCACATGGCGAGGCCGATGGCAGCGCAGATGTACCCGCCGCGGCGGATGCTCAGCCAGCGCGGGAGCAGCGCCGTCATGTCCGTCCCGGCTGAGACCGAGTTGGCGGCAATGTTGGTGCCGAGCTGGGCGAGGGCGAACGCCGCGGCGATCACGAACACGCCGAAGCGCTGCCCCGAGCCTCCCTCATTGACGAAGCGCTCGAGCAAGGCCAGCGGGTCCCAGATGGGATCCTCGTCGTAGATGATGGACGAGGAAGAAGAGACGATGATGCCGATGAAGGAGGTCACGGCGAAGGAGATGGGGATGGTGAAGAGCTGCGACCAGAGAGCATCGCGCGGTTTGACAGCGAAACGGGAAAAGTCGGGATCGTTGACGATAAGGGTCGCGAAATTAGCGATAGAGCTCATGACGCCCTTCACAAACTCCCAGGCAAGCTCGCTGCCATGCTTCCTCGCGGGCTGTCTCACGATCGGACCGACACCGCCGGCGCGGACAACAGCCCAGATGAGAAAGGCGATGCCGGCGCAGGGAACGAAGTACGCTTTGACAGTGAAAAGGTGGCGGATCTTGTGGACGGGAAACCATATCGCAGGGAGCGAGCATAACCAGAAGATAAAAAATGAGGCATAGTCGGCTGTGGACGTGCCAGAGTCTTTGGAGAAGGTGTTGGGGATCGTGTCGCGGTCCTGGTGCGAGGGTCAGGAAAAGGGGCCATCAACAATCTCAGCTGCAATGCTCACCCAGCCCTTCCAGATCGCCCGGATCATGATGTACACACAGTGTCCTCCAATGTACGCCTGCACACCGTACCAGACGCATGCTGTTGCACCGTCAATCAGTTTGGGTGCATTCACTCAGCGTGGTGCAGGCGGGCACATACCCATAGCAGCCCGGTTGAAGACTGGCCATAAGCTGCCCCATATCCCAAAGGACGATCGGCTGGCGACCGGGAAACCGATGTGGTAGGTTGCGCCAATCCGACCCGTCAGGCAGATGAAGCAGCCGGAGATGGCGTAGCCGATCCAGACGCAAAGCCACGACTGCCACCACGATAACCCTCCCACGATCATTGAGGACGATATCATCCAGGTGTTGATGTTAAAAGCGTCCGCAATCCAGAACCCGACAAAGTTCCATGCGCCCCATTGGCGGCGCGCTGGCTCAACCGGCTTCAGATCATGGTTCGTCAACTGAACCGGGGGAGGTAGGTTAGCGGGCCCGAGGGGGGTGACATCATGTACGCCGTAGGATTTCGTACCATTAACTGCGCGTTGGTTAACCCTGGCTCTGCCTCCACGGCCAGCTTGTCGGCAACGCGACGGAAGAAGCTTGGCTCCTCTGCCATGGTGGCGGAGCTGTTGAAGTCGCCGACCGTAACGTTGAACAGGAAAGAGGTGGGAAAGCAGCCCGCGCGACCAAGGTCCCGATCCTTCCAACGCCGGTCCGGAGGGGCTGTTGCCCTGTGAGATGACGCACAGTGAACCCGTATCGATAGCGGGGAGGGCTCGGAATGGCTGTCGCGCTCGAGTGTTCGCGGTGGTACTGGGGACCGTCCGGGTGAAGACTTGACGGGCGTCTAGAACGTCTACAAAGGCATTGGACCCTTCATATAAGGGATCTTGTAGAGAGATAGCTCAGAATTCAGCTGGCTTCCCCCTTTCCAAGACAACGCCATCCAAGGATGTGGTCTCCATCTAGAGTTAACTGTCGTCCGATCTTATTGGAGCCCTTATCAGTTCCCCTCAGTCCCTGCTGCAGCATGGCCGACAATCAGGGCACTTAGGTACCCCACGCCATGCCAGGGCAAGAAGCCCTTGGCATTCGTCAATCCATCTTGTCTTAGGATTTCGCTAGTGGTGTCGTTTGTGGATGTGATGTCCGTGGCAACGCCGTTGCCGCTTCGGTATCCCAAATGTCCTCATCAGGGAACGTCATGCGAGACGATCTGAGCTGGATGCGGCCATTTGCCTTGACCGGGAAAAGTGGGCTTTGGCTGGGGTGGAGCTGATCCAAGTGGTCAATGCGGGGGAACACGCGACGGGCCTTATCTTCAAGTTTTTGCTGTTGCTATCGCGGGGAAGCGCCTATCTCGGCGAACCTGGACCCTGCAGCGCTGATAAGACAAGGATAACATTATCGCCTGAAAGTGTTTACTCGATCTCATCGAGTCAACTCCATGGAGCAGGCGCTCCAGGAGTCCAAATAAGTATTCCCAGGCCTCGTTTGTCCGCTTCTTGGGCCGGGTTTCCCCATTTAACCAACAGGCCAAAAAGCCACAGAAGAGCGGAAAACCACTGTGACGTCGACGGTGGAGTAACCGTTGTAGGCGCCAACGAGGGCGCCCGTGTGGGCGTGCCGATCATCAAAACCATCTGCATGAATGATGCTATTTCCAGGTGCGGCGCAGGAGCGGTAGAACATCCATGGATGCTTAGGTGAGCACGTGAATAGAGATTGGTGCAAAGAGAAATCAAAATGGTTTACCGACAGTGTGGTTGGATTGTACCACACCTTAAACAGTCAATAGCTCCTGCTCGGTTGACCCCCACATGCCTCCTTCACCCAATCTGCTCACACTTTCGCATTCCCTTTTATAGATTCCTGACCAAGATTCAACGACATCCATGTTTTCGGCTGCACCGATAGCATCTTTCCATTTCATGCTGGACCGCCCTGACTGAGAAGCAACCCCGGCGGATGGGATGCTGCCAGTAGGTGCCAGTAGTCCGAGACTTCGAGTTTGTCGAGACTACTTGTAGCAACAGCTCACTGTCTCAATCAAGCAGTTGCATAAGAAAACCGAAAACGCCTTTGATGAGCACATTATCTCACACGAACACAACAGGCAAAGGTACTTGTACCTGGGTAATCTCTCAAGCGGACAACCTATCACCTACGGGATCAAATTATAGATCCCCAAGCACCTATAGGTTATAGGTACTAGTAGGTAGGCAAAAGAATTTACCTTGACCTCGGGGTTGGTCACCACCCTCGACTGCCAGAAGGTCCCCAGTTCATGAACCAAAATCTCGGACGCTCAACTGCTGTCTCGCGAGGTCTCGGATGATATTACTCAACCTCTCCAGACTCAGGGTCCCTCACTCTAGGTACTCTCTGGGACGTTTCAAGCGAACAAGCAGCACACGCTACGGACAGAGCGTTGCTACACGGACCATGATCATGACTGAACATGGATTCGGGCCGGGGGTTCTCATCCTGCACTGGGTGAAATGGTGTAACACGGACAAAGCCTTGCTTGCCGTCTGAGATACTCATTGGCGCGTGACCGACTAGGTAACTTAGCAGATAGGCTAAGCTTTAATACGTTGCCAATCTCCCAATCTTCTAGGTGCTAAGAAGTACTAGTATCAGCTACGAGGCAGCTGAAATACGGTACCTATACACCCAAGAGAACACGCCAATATACCGTACCTACCCAGTGGGTTTAGGAGCCAACTTTGAACTAACGAAGTCTGAAGTGAGCAAAGCAGGATTCTATTCCAATACAGAGTACTATCTGAGTCATCGGTGATAATCCGCCCTTCAGCCTAGATGCGAGCTCCCCCTTTGCAAAGAAGGCTCGTGATAATGTCACGGGCCTCCTGATCATCCACCTTGGCTACGTTGACTGTTTCTTCCTGCCGTTGTCTCTCCTTGAGATCCACGTCATCGCCAGCTATATCTTCATGTGGGATCCTCCCAGTGTACAGCTGCCAAATGCTCAGCCCAAGACCGTACAGGTCATCCTCCATGATAGGCGGCGGTGGGTCACGTCCAAACTGTTGCGCCCTCAGAAGCCGGTTGGGTGACTCGAAGCGTAATGTGGAATTCCCGTCCCAGACATCCCCATCCTCCTCCACGTACCGCCCCTCAGCGAAATCGCAAAGTCGAAGCTTGCCTTGGTTATCGAGAAGCATATTCTCCAGCTTCATATCGCCATGGATGATGCGTTTAGCGTGCAATTTTTGAACGGTCTGAATCATCTGTTGCGTAATCTCCCGCCGTTGCGGCAGCGACAGAGTGTCAGGAACAGGAACCGTCAGGTCCATGATGAAGCCGTAGAAAAATAGCTCGCCGTTTCCCCTCGTGGGCTTACCCAGCACTTTTCCACGGACCGGAATTGCGCAATCCCCAGCCGCCACATGAAGCTGGTATTCCCGATACTCGGCTCTCATCTTGTAGAGGACGGACGGTTGTCCTTTGATCTTGTAGAGCATGCTGTTTATGGTGACCGAAAGTTCAGGTGTCTCGACTTGAATAGCGGAAAAGTCGACGTCGGGTGGGACTGGCGGCCATGGCTCATCCTCGGGCAGGTCCTCGAGTAGGATCCTGCTGGGAGATTGAGACATGGGCGGAGTCGGACTTGTCTAGAAGGAGATCGTGGGCGCGGAAGAACAGACTGATTGCTTAAGCGTCGGGACTCGGGAATTTCAAGACTGCCCTGGAAGCTGGACTTACCTATGTACCTATCAGACTCCAGAGTCACACTCGATGTTAACAGGGTGCAGCGGGGTCGCCTGCAATAGGGGGCCAACTTAGAGCTTCAATAACTATCTTTGTTTGGCGGCTAATTTTAGGTCATGCGGGTTTGGCGCTGTTCAATGTTTGTGTCAGTTTGGGGCCGGACTCCGAAGTCCATAGACTGTGAGAAGGTGCTCCCGTGCCAAGGGTGGCAGACGGAACGATGAGCAGACGCCACACTAATGCACACGACCATGCACCAACCACCAAGTCTCACAGTCTCACTAATAAGAGGTGCAAGCTGATGGGGCACTAGAAGGATAGATTGTGTTGGATTCCCTGGTTTCTCTGTTACATTGAAGTGCGCGTGTGCATTCTGATACTCCAATCACCGTTTTCAAAGGTTGACTATGCGGTTTGTCGGGACAGGGTCGTGTCATGGTGTGACTTGGTCTGCAGGTTCCATTGGGGGCATTGAGTATGACATTTAGAGAACCTAACGGCATGTCAAGAACTGAAACAACAAGTCTCCTTGTTAATTCCACGAAAGTGCGCTTAATGGACGAGGTCTTCATTCATACGCCAAACGCCACCAACGTTCATACCATCCAGCTAAGCACTCAAGGTGCCTCTTAGGCAGAAATACCTTATTGTAATGTAATAACCAACTTCGTCATAGGAGGGAATGAAAAGTGAGCTAGAGTTCTAAAGAGAGAACTTCAAGAAGAGCATCTTAGATGAGACATTTAGATGACTGACTGTGTGACATCTCCACATTCCTTGACACTACCCTACCTGACACCCGAGTGACCTGACCAGCAGGATTCGCACTGAAATCTTCTTCAGACCTCCTCAGCCTCGCACCTCCAACAGCTACATCCTGGAGACCACTCATAAGACCTTGTCTCACATTCCATCTTCCAGAGCCAGATCAAAGGCCCAACTACCAGCCCACGGGCGGCCCCGGAGGCATTGCGATCGAACGGGGCAGCTTCCATTTGTCTTCGGCGGGAACAGAGAGAGACATCTTAGCGACTCCCTTGGCAACTTGAACGGAGCCTGGAGGCCCGGCCACGGCAACTTTGGGCTCGCATGACCCAGCTGTCGAGGCCTTGGCTGATTGAATGCACCCCGTCTTTGGCGGTTTGGCAGGCGTGCAACTGCCAGGAGCTTTGGAAGCAGGTGGCAGGTTGGAAGTAATGACGCGCGGTCCAACTTTCTCCGGCGCACCAGTAGTGGTATTGTGGCCTAGGCCCGAACTAGACATTGTACTGGACCGGAGATGTGCTCTGAGAGGCTTCTCAGGGGGAGTTGTTGAACGGGTGAGGGGGTAGTAAGTGGCGGAAGGGATAATGTAGACGGAAGTGAGGAGGAATTCGAAAGGATGGAAAAGCCTAGGAACTCGCCAGCCGTCAGCCGGTGTTATATCTCTTGGGGCGATGATGGTCTCTGGGATTCAAAACCGTCAATACAACCCTCAATACAACTTCGATGGCTCGGCCAACCGACTGGAAGCCTGAAGATCGTGGCCGTAGCGGCAGGGCAAGAACTTTCTAACTGTCTCAAGTCGCGGTTGAGTTTCACCTTTTTGCTGCTCGTCTGCAGCTTGTCCAGACCAACCGCCCGCTCTCGCTATGCTTTGTTGGTTGGGGTGTTGGGAATACCTCGTCTGCTTAGCCCCCAAGGCTTGGGCCAGATCAAGGATTGGTTCGAGTTGACTGTGGTGTAACGCCTCGTTATTGCATCCGTCGCCACTTTTCGGCTTGGTGTCAAACACCTGGTTGAAGCCAGGCTATGTATGTAACATGTTGGTTTCTCAGGCCGTGGATAAGGCCAGAAACCTCGCCTTCGTCACCGCAGGGGTGGAATGGAAAGGAGTTGCAGACACACGACGCTTTTAGCAGCGATGAATTCTATATTTGGGTTCCCATGTTTTGTTTCTGGCAGAGAACATACTCCATCCTCCCCTTCGATCGACAGTATGGCTCTGGTACCCCCTCCCCAAGGCTCAGTGGCGGCGGAGCGTTGCAACGGCCGCGGTCTGGTACAGCATGGCCACTGTAACCTCAACTCTGGTCCCTTTACCTCATGATCAGGAAGTGAAACTAGCAAGGCTGCAAACAGAGTATTGTGGCAGGGTGTATCGGAAGCCGAGGAAAGAAAATCATACTTAAGGAGTCAAGCCAGGATTGCTTTCTCCATATCCAATACGTCCCGGTCGAGCAAGCTCTCAGAGCTCCTGTCTTTCTGACACTCCGCACATTGTCCAGATTCATTCCTCACAAGTTCCAGTCAGTCCGTCAGCTAAGCTCATTCCCCATTTCCTCTGTTTCAGCCCGAGGAAACATATCGCCATGTGTTCAAGAATCCTTAGCCGCACTACGGAAAGTACAAAGGGAAGTATCTTCAGGAGGGCGAGGGCATTATGATCAACAAGCCCAATCACGTTTTCGCTTCATACTGCATGTGTTGACCAAGGCTCGACGAGTACCACGCCGGCGCGGCGCCAGTGTTCTGCGCCCAACTCTCGGAACACACCAATATGACAACCGGTACTAGGATCGATTGTCCCGTCTGCAAACGCATTAGCCATACTACCTACTGGATCCTCGATTATGTGGTGGCTCCCTAGTGAGGTGCGTGTATCTCGGGGACATCCCTTTTCGCCGTCGTGCTAATATGGTCAGGGTCCAGGATCCGAGGTGCTATCAAAGATTGACGGGGATGGATCGGGGCGACTTAAAGAGAAGGCGGGACTTGTGGTATTAGTATTCGCCCCCGGAGACAGGACGACCCGGTTGGCTAGACGTCGCGGTTACGTCTGTTAGGGAAATGACGTGGTTGCAAAAGATTTAGACTCAGGTGATATCTAAGCTTCTGGGGTTGAGGGTTATGTATGGTCAGGGCAGGGAGGTGGATGAGCAGAATCTTCAGACCAGCAGTTCTATCGATCCTATGGCTGATAGTATGCCCCATGACTCCCGATCTAATTGTTGAACGAAGGATCTTCGCGATCTGTTGCCGGAGCTGGCGCAGAGTGGCGTCACCGTCCCGTTATACCTATCGGGAAGGTGCAACCCGGAGGAAACACCATCTAAGGGTGTAATGCGCTGCCCTCAAATCAGGCTGGAACGGGAATAAAGTGGCGGCATCACCAACAACAGCACGTTCACCGCACTCCCCCGTCCCACGGTCTTCTAAGTGCCACAGTGTTGCTTATTAGTGTGAGACCACCTCCCGACGGGGCATATTCCCTCTTTGAACATCGGAATGTTCAATACCCCCTGACCGCCACGAACTTGTGGCAAACACAAGTTACACAAGTGACAACACGACTCGGGCTTTGAGCCTGCTCTGCGTCTGCACGCACATGCCGCATTGGGAAGGTCGAGTACCATAGACCCGGGCCGCCCCGGTTGTGATGGATCTTGTGGTCCTTATCAGCCAATTTGTGAATCGCGCAATTGGCAAGCTGCGTGGTAACATTAGTCCGGGGTCGGATTGCACCACTCTTCGCCATCGCTGATATTAACGAACTACCTGTTAGGGACGAAGCAACCGAGTGGCTTGGTGTTCTCGAAGAATCATATATTCCGGGTAACTGGCATGGCTGGAACCCAGATCAGATTCCCATCTTCGGGTTGATCCTGTGCCTACTCGTCAGTGTCCACTGTCAACCCGAGCCACTGAGCGCATCCCGAATCAACAGGCATCGCAACATGGCGGTTGCTGATGCACCAACCGCTGTGGTCGAGGTTCCTGACCATAAGGAGCCTCAAGAGACCGGGTCCGCAACCGAGAAGAAGACCGGAGTCCCGGACTCTCCCGAAATCAAGAGTGCTCCTCCGGCCTACGGCGACGGCAGCATCCAGGACAAGGACATCGACAACGAGGACGCCATCATCGTCACCGGCACTGATGCGGCCACTCATCTGCTGCCCCTGAGGGATGATGGCGATCCCGCGTTGACCTTCCGCAGTCTGTTCCTGGCCACTTGCCTTTCGGCGTTTCAGGCCTGCATGTACCAGATCTACACGGTAAGCTAGTCGACAAAAAAGCGCCTCCTCATAGCGTACTACTAGGAGTGCTAAGCATCACCAGTTCAAACCGACCATGATCACTATTCAGGGCACCTTCATCGTCCTCATCGCTTACTTCGCGGGTAACGCATGGGCCAAGGTTCTCCCCCGCGGAGATCGACTGACTGCACGGTGGCGGGAGCGAGGCGGTCAGGGGAAACTTCCCCGCTGGATCTCCGTCATGACCTTCCTCAACCCGGGGCCGTGGGGTCTGAAGGAGCACGCCATCTGTTCGATCACGGCCACGTCGGCGTCCAACGCTGCGGCCAGCGTGCAGGTCTTTGCCGCCCAGGAACTCTTCTATGATTTGCCCATCAGCGCCACCACGGTGATCTTGGCCGTCATCTCCATCGGCCTGTTCGGCTACGGCATCTGCGGCATCATGCGCCCGATTGCCGTCTGGCACGTCGATGCCGTGTACTGGAGCACGCTTCCGACGGTCAAGACGCTCCAGGGCCTGCACTGGCAGGAGGTCAAGAACTCCAAGCCCCTGCGCTGGTTCTGGTACTGCTTTGTCGGCATGTTCTTCTACGAGTTCTTCCCTGCCTACATCTGGCCGTGGCTCAACGCCGTGTCGATCCCGTGTCTGGCCGCCATGCACGCCACCGGCGAGAAGGCTGCCATCCTCACGAACCTGTTTGGTGGCTCTTTGAACAACGAGGGCTTGGGGCTCTTCAGTCTGTCATTTGACTGGCAATACGTAAGGCACAGACTGCACTGTTCTGAAAAATTCTTTATCATCCTCGAGCAAAAGGCGAGTCTGAAGAGAAGCTAACGACGGAATAGATCACTTCGTTCAACACCTCCCTCCCCCTCCCGCTGCAGGCCCACACGGCTCTCGGCTATCTGGTTTGCTACGCCGCAATGCTCGGCATCTACTACACCAATGCATGGGGTGCGAAATCGCAACCGTTCATGTCGACGCGGCTCCGATCCGAGGATGGCAAGGCATATCCGGTCGAGAAGGTCTTTACCGGCGGTGTGCTCGACAAAGAGGCGCTTGCCCGATACGGCCTGCCCCGTCTCAGCGGCAGCTTTGCCTACTCGCTGCTCATGGCGAACGCCGCCATCGGAGCCCTGATCGTCCACTGCGCCCTTTTTTGGGGCAAGGACATCATACGGGCGTACAAGAGCGCCAAGTCCGGCAGACACGACGACCGCCACCACGCCCACATGATAAAACACTACAAGGAGACACCGTGGTGGTGGTACATTGGCCTGCTGGTCATCAGCTTTGTCCTCGGTCTCATTGTCGTCACCACGCAGAACATCACCATGCCGGCGTGGGCGTACGTCGTCTCGCTGCTGCTGGGCATGTTCATCGCACCTTTGGTAATGACATAACCTCTTGCCTCCTCCTCATGTTTTCCCGCCACTTGGCTGTCTGCTGACACTCTACCCTTCTAGAGCACCTTGCTGTACTCACGATACGGCAACGGTATCGCCACGAACAACCTGTCCAAGATGCTGGCAGGCCTCATCCTCCCTGAGCGGCCCATCGGCAACATGTATTTCGCCGCCTGGTCCCACAACGTGATTTCCAACGCAGTCAATCTGTCCAACGACCTGAAGATGGGGGAATATCGTACGTTTATGGCCTCCCTTCCAAAATCATCACCTCTGATTCCCTCTGCTGCCACAGCCTGCGGGCTGCCAGTCTAACTCCGACATGGCTAACCCATACTCCACACTCAGTGAAAATCCCTCCCCGTGTCATGTTCCTCACCCAGGTCTACGGCACCATCCTCGGCGGCTTCATCAACTACGGCGTCATGATTTCCATCGTCGGCAGCAATCGGGACCTGCTTGCCAACACAGATGGCAACAGCTCCTGGAGCGGCGCCACCATGCAGAGCTACAACACCAACGCCACCTCGTGGGCGCTGGCGGGCTACCTGTACAAGACCGGCGGCCGCTACGCAATGGTGCCCATCGGCATGGCCGTCGGCGCCGGGTGTGTGGTCATCCACCGCATCGTAGCCTGGCTCTTCCCGAACTTCAGGGTCAGGTCGTTTACGCTCTACGACATCAACATGCCGCAGTTCTTGCAGTATGCGGGCTATATACCGTATAACGCGAGTCAGACGTGTGTGTTGCTGAGCCAGGTCGTGTCGGGGTTTTTCGTGCAGTTCTATCTGCGGAACCGCCGCCCTAGGATCTTCAGGGACTATTCGTACCTCATTACTGGGGCCTTTGATGGGGCGAGCTTGTTTGCGCTGTTCATCCTCAGCTTTGCCGTCTTTGGTGCTGGAGGGCCGTCCAAGCCGTTTCCCAAGTGGTGGGGGAATAACGTGGATGGGTATTATGACTTGTGTCCGGTGGCCGATTCATAGAAGGGGGAGACGTGGCTGGAGTCGGGTGGAAAGGGGGTGTTGCTGGGGCTTACTGTACTACTACTACTAGTAGCCAGCTCGGATATACTCCACTCCGCATTATGTGGATGTGCTCCCGGAGATTCCCCTTAACGGCATGAATACGAACAAGGACCGACTAGTTTTTAGTAATGGCTAATCAACTTGAGCTCTCCGGGCTCTGCACCAACGGTGACGAAGGGCGTCCTTACACAAGCGCACCCCTCCTCAAGTCACACGCAAACGCTTGTGTTCATGATAGAGTCATAGACTGGTTATTCACCAACCTCATGAACTCCACGACACAAACATACGCCCTACTCATCATAACACCCGCAACAGTCACCAAGCATCCCACTCTAGTTTCTGTCCCTTAATATGACCGATAGCCTCGACCTCCACCGTAGTATAAGCCCATTGCTTCCTTAGAATCCTTACCGTCATTCCCAGCATCGCGGTACGGACATCTCGCAATGTCGCAGCTGCTCTACTGTTATATTAACCTCCATATGCCAATCACCATCGTCACACTCATATTATTGAGCTCGCCCTATCAAGACCACCAGATTATATATTGGCGAAAGAGGGTAAATTCCCTCCGGGCAAGGCTGTGTGTTTTCTTCAATACCTTTGCCTCATGAACCAGAGGGCTGCCACGACTGTATTCGCTCCTCGCGTCCAGCCACGCAACCCGCATGCGCGACGGGAGGTGCTACGGCATAGTGCCACAGGTCTTCCGCTCTATCGTGCCTGAGTTCAGTCTATCAGACGTCCCCAAGGTTTACAAGGAGTTGAACCATACAGCACCTCTCGAAATTTTCCCTGATCTAGAGAAGAAAAGAACTCGAGTGCCTTCGACATGGATTCGGTGAGTCTGTTCATGGATGGCTAAGAACAGGACATCCGGACAGCATGATCCACGAGCGACGCCTCCGGTTCTGCAGATGGCCTTTGCCCTGCACAGGCCGGCTGTGGCTGCCAATCAAGGGACGAAAGTGAGTTCGGATAGAAGCAGAACGGCTGAGCTGTTCAGGTCGCCTTTAATGCTGTTGAAACTCTCCTGGTTTTCCATCGAGAAAAACAACCGACTCGTCCCAGAAAATGCGCGCCTTGTTCACCGACAACTGGCCTTCCCTATTTCTATTTCAACTGCAAATTAGTTTCCATCGTTCCTCGACTCAGGTTCCAAATCCTCAAGTTTACCTCCTTACCTCCACCGCAATCAAATTAATACCTCATCTTCACAAGACCCTCCACCCAAATACCCAATATGGAAGGCAACGCAAACACTTCTTCTCACCTTGAGACACCCGCGCAGGACTGCATCGTAGTCAAGGCCAAGCCCCTTGTCGACCGCCACGAAGAGTACCACAGCGATGGGGACAGCGAGGGCGTGTCCGTGGATCTTGGATCATCCCCTTCATCTGAGGCGGTAAGTCGCCCCTGACTTTCCCGTCCCATAGCACACCGACCCGTTGGTAACAACCTCTTCTCTAACTAAAACCTCGGCTTTCAGGTCGCCGCTACCACCTCGGAATGCCACAGCTGCAGGCACCTTCAGGGAGAACTCACTCGGAAAGACGACCTAATGAAAAGAGCGGCAGACGAAATCCTCTCTCTGAGGGCCCAGCGGAATGCAGCACGGGCCGAGAACGGCCAGCTCGTCTACCAGAACAACCAGCTGCGGCAGGCAGGCCTAAGGCTTGCCGCCGAAGCTGCCGCCGTCGCCGAGGAGAGGCTTCGGCTCGTTGCTCAGCTCGCTGAGCAGACGCTCCGGGTGTCTGAGCTGGAGCGTGGTCGCGACGAGACCAGGAAGAGGGCCGAGAACCTGGAGAAGACGCTCGTGCTCTTGGGAGAGGAGGTCAGCTATGTGGCTGATAAGGTCAAGGACGTCGTGCGTGGACTCTGAGAGTCGGGGCCTTCTTGGGTTGTGACTTGTGAGAGAGGGGGTTTATTTAGGGCTTCCCTCCCTGTAGATCACTTTCCAGCCAGCCAGCTGTGGCTGAGCGTTGAGCCTTTCCTTCACTCTATTCTACTACGGGCTTTGATTTCTTTGCGCGGTCAAGGTGTGTCGGTACTCTTTCTAGGCGGGTAAAATAAGGGTAGGGTCTGCATTATCTGATTCTTAGTCGTCGTTGACACAGAATAATAGTTACCTACAAGGTATACATTACCCGTCTAGGCATCCCCCACATTGCGCCCTGAACCACATGACGAGGGAAATCAACTAGGTAATTCTGTCTCGTTGCTCAGCTTCTACTACCTCCCATACCGACCCCACGACGTTCTCGAAGAGCTAAGGTAGGTACGAAGCTTGCAGAAGACGACAAACCGAAGCGCTGAAGATACGAGTACTTTCCGTGACTCTGAAGCGGCTACACTACGTACATCACGCCTCAAGAAGGGTTGTTTAGGTTCGGTTGGATGTCACACCCGACAGAAGCAGAACGAGAAGCGTGGATGGCCAGGCCCCACTCGTACTTTGTACACCGGTGGCAGATGGAAGGTCGTCGTCCTCAGGCTAGGCTAGACCGTCTTGTTTGGGCCAGGCACGATTCACTCCGTATTTCGAGCACAAAACTGTCATACATTGGCTCTGGGTGGCCATATTCTCCAATGGTCCGGCATTCAGCCCTGGGATCCAAATCGGTCTTGCCGAGTTGAAGAACCCGGATATCACAAATGAAGACATGAAGTAGACAGCGCCGACGCTCGTTCGGGCGGTAGCAAGGCTCGTCAAAGACAAGATGAAAGCTGGCAGGCTAGAGGCGCTCGGTGGCGAGGCTGCGATTAAGGGCTTCTTCGACTGTGTATGGGTAAGAACAGGATAAGAATTCGAGAGACCGATGCTAACCATCGTTAGGAGACAGAGAAGATGGATAGTCGTTTATAACGGAACGACGGTGCCAGACCTAGCGCTCCAAAGCGACGGCGCCCCAAGGCTGGGAGGTAGAAGCGACTTGGCCGCTACACGGATGGGCGGGCGGAATGATCGACTCTGCATCTCTGTAGGCTTGTTTCTAGTCACCCATCGACGTACGGACTGTCCAGCATCCCGCAACGCTATCTATCAGCTACTACTACTTTACTAGCTAGCCTCTCTAAGGATTTCCCTTATTCGGGTATACAATCCGCTGTCCTCATTCTCCCACCTTCTCCCTTTTGGAAACATGACTTTCCGCAACCTGTTGACCCAGGATACCATCGGTTCGTAATACGGCGTGAGTCCAAGGCTAACCGGTCAACTTGGCTCATCCCCATCAAGCCGAGAGACACTGAGCCACCTGCATGGAGGGGAGCGTTGACTGGAGGGGGCGGGCCCGGGGGGTGATGTTTGGAAGGGGCGTGGAGAATACAATTCTCGGTGTGCCGGGTGCCCTCGGGTATTACCCGTGTCCGAACCCTGGTACTTCCGGTACCTTGAAGAAACCCGATGTGTCTGCGGATCAACTCTGTTGCGCTTGTCACTTGCGGTCCCAGACTCGCCCTTGCTCTCAACTCTCCGGAGGGCATGGGTACTCTGTCCGTCACATATGGGACACATTGCGCAAGAAGGCCGGCGACGACGGGGACATGCCCGGATATTTATAACTGTTGGCTCTGATTTCTGTGCATGCGTTCAAGAAGGAAGCTGTCGACGGGGCAATATACGAAGTTCACGCTGGTGGATGGAAAGATGCAACAAACATTTTTGTGCGACCTGTAGCATGCGGCTTCATGACAATAGGTCTAGACCATGCCGACCCCCTTCGGGAATACCATTCAAAGCATCACATGGCACAAGAGCGCCATCATGAAGCGCGGGCAGCCGGCATACTGACTCCTGTTGCTCATCATAGTCTATAGACCTCAAGAGAGATATCGCTCTCGACACTTCCATCAGGTTGTCATCATCTCGACGCGCTTTTCTGCCATTCGGGCTCATAGAAAATCTCGCCCCCAGTCCGCGTCAGAGAGGGCCTCATTGACGGTTATACGAAGCCCGGTGTTGGTGGTCCTATAACCTAGGTCGAGCCCTGGGAACCGTAGCATCTTTCTGATTAGAGATCCAACTAAGCCCGCGTCAGTCACCGCACCGCCTCTTTGATTTCAAGTTGAGAGTTATATGGTACTCGCGACATATATAGCCTTCCTTCGGTGACGCGAGGGCGTGTCGGTGGTCAGCTTCCATTCTCGACATAGCATCTTCGTAATGCTGGATAAAATCAGGTCGTAGTTTTTCGTTCGCCGATCCAACTCGCTAAGGGTTGACCCGGAACCTGAATAGGTTATGTCCATAGGTGAGCTAGTAAGCGATGACCCCTATGGCCCATACGTCGATGGGTAAGCCGTGCTGCTTTAGCTCGCATTCCGGGGCAAGGTAGTGGATACTGTCTCTCCTGCCCGGCGTTGGTGGTAGCAAATCCCCGGGCCGCCTGAGACGACTGGCTATGCTGATACCGAGAAGCGTCACTCGGACCGGTGCTAAATCGATGCCTACATTGCCTGGTGCCAGATCACCATGAATGAACCTGTGATCATGCATAAATTTGACGGCCGAGAGCAATTCACATAACGCAGCCGCTACGTCGTTCGACATACCGTTTCGTCCTCTATGGAAAGAAGAGTCAGTAGTGTATTATAGACAATGCAATGTATGATATATAGCCACCACCATGCTTAGCACGTTGCCAGGTATAGGATTCTATAGAAGGGGCTTGCATGAACGGTGAACTGACCCGCTATGGTGGTTTGCAATGAAGGCGTCAAGCGTCACTCTCGTAACAGGACTTTGAACTAGAACGATCTCGTTGTCGATTTGTGGATTACCGGTAACCTCAACCAGCTATAGGATGCGATGTTCATCGCAGCTTGTGCCTACGAGGCACGTCAATGCTTCGTAGGTGCTGATTTGCAGGTTAACATAGGCTCGGTCTCGGTTATTTGAGATCCTCACGATCTGAAGCGTAGCGACCTCGTCCTTGGTGTTAGTGCCTTCGAAAACACGACCCTCGCCGGCCGCTCCTAGCGGGCGGCCCATTGCCCATGAGCCAATCTAGCTCTGGTTCGGTTAAGGTATAGGTATCTCGGGAAGCTCGACAAACCCATTATCTCCTTTTACACGGCTTATGAAATCGTCCCGAAGCGTAGGATACCCAGGCGTGTTGGCGAATTCGGTATAGCGGAATTCGTACTGGAGGACACCAGAGGAAATCCGGATAGTATATATATTCAAGATATAAAGCCGTTTTGTAACCAGTACACCGCTGGCTATAACTAGCCAGGTAGGACTATTAGAATTAGAAGCGATCCTTAGCTACCTAGTCTACTAAGAAAAGGTGAACCGTACATGGATATGCCGAACAGACAGTTAATATTCGTCGGCAAAGGTAGATATACAAACAAGGACATTAGCAGGCGGGAGGATATACGCTCAAGACCAAGGAGCTTACGCTTCCCTACGGTCCACCCGAATATCAATCTAGATGGATCTGGTCTGAAGCTCAGAATGAAGTGACCGCGCCAGATCAATCCCGGCCCCGAGTCGTTGGAATTATCTTCCGACTTGGATTGCGTATCTGGCAAAGTGTCGCTGACCTGGTCTGCATCTGCATCGGCCTTCTTGGCTGCCCGGCGACGTATGTGTCGTTTGAATGCCTCCACATCTCGATCTGATACGAGTTCCGTGTTTCGACCGATCCGAAAGGCTCGTTCTCTGTCATCGACATCCTGCCGTCCGGCGATGAGGCGACTGTACAAGTCACTAAATGCCATCCGAGCCAATGGGTTGATGGGCGTCAGGGTCGCAAAGGCGGCGTCGACGTCATCTCTGGCCATTTTGCAAGATGGGTTGAGTACTGAGGGCAAGTAGTGATGGCTCCGGAACAGCGTATCTCGAGATTGGACAACAAGCAAGTTGTCGATGGCTTGCCCAGCAGAGTCGGGCAGAGATCGTTTGGAGGAGAGAAAGAGCGGGGTGTGTCTGAGGGCGTTCCCGTCGGGCACACCAAGATACCGTACCCCGGTAGCTCCCTGCTCCGACCTGAGAACGCAGCCGTACAACCTCCGGTCTGTGTCGGCGGCTAATGGTTGGCTGACGTGACGCGTGCCTGTAGGCAGCGAGCTGCGACGTGCTCTAGCCCAATCATTCCAATACCACACACAGCTAGAGGCCCCTGAGTCCTGACCCCAAGCGGGACCTGCCTATCTGTGCTCTTGCGAAGTGCTGGGCAAGCGTGCAGAATCGGAAGAGCCAGGACGAGACGGCCTTCTGCAAGCAAACCCTCCTAATATGGAAAGTCCCCGAAGGGCTGGGCGCCTGAAACACGCCACAAGACGAAAATCACACCGCTATCTCGACCACGGCAGAAAAGCACCAAGCAAACAAACTTTGCGGCCGTATACCCGATGAGAAGATGATGGCTGATATGCTCCTACGAGATCTTTCGGACCACCACATCCAATGCAAATACCATGCCAATAACCCGTCTGCTGCTTCAGGGGATGACCGCGTTCCTGATGCTAAAGTCGTCAGCATCCACCCCGAGGCCGAGGACGCTGATGGCGATGATACTGGCGTTTTTAATGACGACAACGCTGACCGGAAAATCAAGGACCACCACCGACTTACCGCCATCGTCTTTCAGGGATCGCCCGACGCAGCCTCACATATCGTTTCAAGTCACCCTAGCCAGAAGGCTTACAGTACGTGGGACGCATCCTTATCATTTTTCCCTCGCTCACCATTCTTGGGGCTTGAAGTTGTTCCCTGACCGTTGGCCCCTCCCCCCAGAGCGATATAAGGACAATCCCCGAGGTCCCAGCGGAACTCGAGCGTATCTCTAGGCGCTTGGCGCAGACTTCTCCACACGCGTCGCCGAAGGAACACGAGAAATGCCCAACCTCTATGCTACTATCTCGACTACAATAGACGAGTACTAAGCCAAGAAGCACTACGGCGACTTGATTAGTAAGAAGGGGATGGCTGGGAGGGTCCTACAAGATCTCGTGGACGACGTTAGTGAATATCTTAGCAACAGTTTTTAGAGCCAACCTAGGCGTTGCTCCTGAAGAGATATCAAGAGCGGCCTAGCTCAGCATGATAACGTATGACCGAAGGCTGGTTAGAGGCCGAGTAGCGCTAACAGGAGCCGGTACGTCCCATCCGCCCGGGGTATTGACGACTCTTCAAAAGATCCCGGTCATCCGCTTTTCTTTGTTGTTTGATGATGGTTTTTTTTGGTCGGCCGATTGTGCGATGTTATTCCGCCTCGGTTTTCAACCCATCATTCTTGCCAAAGTCCCATGTCCTTCTTACCCTCCGCCATACTCACTCCAATCCTCCTAAAAGTCCGTGAAAACATGATCCTCAAGTGATGTTCTAGCCTAACTGATCCATTAGGTGAGAGAATTCGTAGATCGTGCCGAAACGTATTGGTAGGCGAGACCTTTACCGTACGAGGTGTGGAAGGATCAAGGGGGTCGCAACCGTCTTTGTGACCGAGGGACTCTGTTGGAAGGTGTAACGTACACCTGGGGTTTAAAAGCAAATTCTGGCTACTGGCCGAGTGGTGGAAAAACCAACTCCAAAGTTGGGGGTGACCAACCTTAGGAAGTCTGAGAGGTTTTCTTGAGATTGGGCAGGTTCCGGTACGCGGTCTATCACAGTACGGATACTCCATATGTAATTCTTTACCCACATAAAACGCCACTCTCCCCGGAGTCCCCGCAGCCTATCAGAAGCGGGGCAAATCCGTGACCCAAGTACCCAACAGCCCCGGCTCCGCCAGCCCGCCCTCAGATGGTCCAGGAAATATGCGACCGGTCATTGGTCGAGCTGATCCCGGGATTGACCGAGACCCGTGCTTTGCGAACCTTGAGAGTCGCTCCGGAAAGAAGCGGCCTACACCTTCATAGAGGGGCTTCGACCCTAATTTCAATCCTTCAAACGACGAACCCATATGGTGCCACGTACAGCATAGGGCTAGGGCATCATACAGACACCACAAGTTGACCTTGACTTTGTTTCGGTAACGAGTACGACTATTTCGTCGAATCCAGAGACGCAAAGGCGAGGTGAGAAACTGCTGCCGTTAAGTGGGTGTATGACGACGGTAGAGTCGATATCACGGGCCAAGCTGCGAGAATTTCTTCCAGAGGCGATTCCGTTCCCCGTCCCCCAAACGGCCATTTTCCACGGCAAACCAGGCACCAAAGGAATTCTTAAGGCACAGCGGGGTCCCACTGTGCGACAAACGATCGTGAGCAGAATAGGGAGCCATCGACCACGGCTGCAGACGACGGCGCCGGCTTCGAAGTTCAAGCGAGCAGGATATCGCCCGCGCACATCGAAGAGCACCTCACCCTAACTACCAGTGGCCCCTCAAGGCACATCCCATGAGCGGCAACATGTCCTCGCAGCGCCCCTTCTTCCTCTCCACCTTCTTCGCCGCCTTCCGGCAGCAAACAACACCATCGTCGCTCTCAAACGCAAGTGCCTCGACCCAGCAACCGAACAAACACAACCCACAACCCACCGCCGCCCAACCAGCCTCAGCCGCAACACCGCGCTCGATAACAACGTCTGCCGCCGCGGTAGCAGCTTCCCAAGCCACCTCCCCGTCCACCTCAGCATCACGTTCCGGCGGGGTAATGAGCCAGCTCCCATTACATTCACCCCGACACCCCCACCACCACCATCATCATCACAGCGGCGGCATCCCGATACCTCAATCACAAGGCACCCATGATAACAGCCATGGCCGGAGGAGAGGCAGTGATAGCAGCAGCGAGGGATTTAGGGACGCCCTCGGGACCGAAAAGCTGTACATCGGGGGCCGGACGGCGACGGGCGAAGAGAGATTCTTCAAGTTGGGAGTGGTGCGGAGGGTGAGGAGCGGGGATAGGCTGAGCTTGGATCGACTGAGTCTGTGAGAGACGCGGTACGGCAAAACAGCGGTGGTGTATCATGCTGGGCAGGACAGGGTATCCAGACGGGAACCCGGGAGGGGTGGGTGGGAAGGCGGAACATGCAACAGTGGTTGCGGCCAAGTGAGCCATACAGTGGGGGCGAGGGCGAGGAGGGACTTCGCGAATGACATGCGAAGGACATGACAGGCGTTCTGCGGCATTGGCGTCGGATGGGCTGGGTTGGTCTTAACAACATGGGAAACTAAATGAGATATGACTGGACTGGAAGAGGCCCGAGGATCAGGAAAAGACTTTTACAGACTTCATGCATTAGAAACCAACAAGCGCAAGGACGGAACATGTATTCCACAACGTTCACTCCGCCGGCTCTCACGAAGCACAAAGTTGTCTTGCAAGCTGTAGCAGCCTGACTGCGCAATCCCCCCCTAACCTAAGGTAGACGACACCCCATGCTGCTACACTGGAATTACCGCCTCGCCCAACCAGGCAGGCTACCACATAAACCTCTGCACCCGGCCCCCATCAAGCAGCTCCCCGTCTTCACCCCTCCAATAGAAGGGCTTGAACAGAAACACGTACATCGTCACCGCATTCACAACCAAGAACCAAACTGTCTCCAGCATAAGCCGCCTGTCGACCGTCCTGTCCACCTCTTCCCACCACGACGCACGACCCGAACCGCCGGTCTTCCCACTTCCGCTTGCGCTAGTACCCGAACCACCACCCCAAACCGCAGTTGCGGCTGATGATGACGACGACGATGATGATGATGACCAAGGTGGCACCAAAAGCCGGTAGAATACCCACGGCAAAATGAAGTACCGTGGCTCGACGAGCGGGGCGGTGATGAGTGAGAGCGCGGTGGTGAGGAGCCAGAGGAGGGCGGTGGATGTGGATGTGCATGTGAGGGGCGGGTTAGTTGACATCATTATGTTTACGCCTTCCGCGGGGTGGGAGCCGGGGTTCTTTCCCGCATCTTCATTGCCGTTGGTGTTGTTGAGGTCGGCTTGAGGTGATTCCTCTGCTATGGGCCGAGAGCTTCTTCCCCTGGAGAGGGTGTCCCATGCGAGCCAGCGGCAGAAGGTGTAGGCCGCGACGAGGGAGAGGCGGAGGGACGGGGAGCGCAGGATGGTGTACCGGAAGACGTAGAACATGTAGTGCCGGTTGTCGGCGAGGGTGAAGGGGTGGATGATGGTGTTGTACTTGACCACCTCCAGGGAGAGGAGGATGGCAAGGAGGGTGGAGGATAGGTTGAGGAGGGACGACCATCGGGAGGAGGACCTTCCGTACGATATGAAGAGAAGAGATTGCAGGTATCGTACGGGGTGAAAGGCGGCCGAGATGATGGATGGCAGAAGTAGGGGTGCGGAGAAGAAGGCAAAGAGCGGCCAGATGTACAGCATCTGGGCGAGGTGGATGGTGGCGATGTGGTTGGACTTGTCTCCTGGACAGCTGTTAGAGCTTCTGAAGCAATTGAGTGGTTGGCCAGGATAACAAACCCAAGACCACGCCCCCGTTCCAGGCCACGAAACAGGCAAACAACCCGAGGATGGCGATATGAGGCCAGACCTGCCGCAGAACCTTGGCAGGGTTGCAGAGGGCCGTGATGGCAATGGTAAGCAGGCAGGCCAGCCAGTCTGGATCGTCAGCACTCATTATCACTGAGTCTCGGAACAAGGATGACATACCCTCAGCGCCCGACTGGTTTAAGGGTGGGTCATGAAGCTTGAGCTTCTGTTGGGACGGCTGAGAATCGGACTGCACAGACCGCAGGACATGGACTGCCTCCAAGCCGCCCATGTACACAACGACCCAGAAGACGTTGGTCTGCCGCATGAAGAGCGCAGCGATGCCCAACATCACCGTGCAGAGGTCATTCGCTAGACTTGGACGTTGAGTGCCTATCCGAAGCAGGTGGTTCCGGTACGCAACCAGCACAACCAAGGTTGAGACCACATCGGTGTAGTACAATCCTGAAAAGAAGAAGATGATGGGAAAGAGGGAGACGTTGAGACCCGTATGGTACGCATACCAGGAGATGCCCTGAGGGCCGGGCTTCCCGTCTCGCTCCGCCATCCGAATCTCGATCAGGTGCCGGCATTGCGAGGCGGCGAAGGCGGTTAAGAGCGTAGCGAGTAGGTTGATGAACCTTAGACTGGATGGAGTGCATTGCGGCAATAGCCAGAGCTTGTGATACACCACAGACAGTAGGTAGCTAGGCGTGACGGTGTTAGTGACGTCTTAAGCGAACTAACCTCAAGGGGTAAAGTATGCTCACAGGCCTGGTGGGGTGGTGATCTTGTCGTCCCAGTCGAAGAAGCGGCTCTCGCAGTATGTTTGGGCCTGCGGAATGTGAAACACCTCATCCTGATCTCTTGTTAGTGTATAGTGCAGCTGGTGTAGTCTTATTGTGGAAACAGGTGAGCCACTCACAAGGTACGGCTCAGGGACGTATTTGTCCACAAGTGCTAGCCAAGCGCTAGCTGCCAGGAAAAGGCATAGGAAGCCAACAGTCTGAAGTAATCGCACTCGAATGGATGGCGGGGAAGCTTTGGCCGATGTTGACGTCTTCCCTGAGAGCGGCGCAAGAAAGGAGCCGAGGACGCACGCGATGGCGAGCCCCTTGAGCAGCTCAACAATGGGCAGGCGTTCGCGGACGGCCCAGACGCCTTCCATTGTAGCGAGCGTGATGAGAGAATGACGTAAAGGAAATGGACATTAGAAAACCCTCAAAATTACTGGCAACTCATTGGTACGAATGTTAGATATGGGTCTTGGAATCTCGGTCATAAAAGTTCACTGAGATTCAGTGTGTTGAATCTCACAGGTGTCCACATTGGGAGTGCTTTGGATCTCAGAAGGTCCGTGCACTGGACATCTCGAGGGCTGGCGTTGAGAGATAACCGCGCGCTCGGCCATGGCTCCCACAGTAGAATTCGCACGCAAGGAAAATCGCTGGGGGATCTTGAATATACTGAAGTGGTCACCGTGGCAGTGGGAAGTGGAAGCATCGGCCTTGGAAGGGCAGTCTATAGCACGCTCTCTTTTATACAGGGCTCACATACACCTAACACGGCAAATGCGCAACCCAAACCTCGGGCGCCACAACCGCCGTCTTTGCACGCTGGATGAAGACTGTTTAGAACGGCTATAATTCATAGTTAGCAACCCAATCATCCGTCTGGAATAGACTGCACCCACGTTGTCCGAAGCCGGGATCTCGTGGATGAAGTAGTGGCCAACGAAAGGCACCTTCTGTGGGACAGTTAGCGAGTCACGGATCGAGTGCAGACACCGTAGAGCTGGCATACCTGGAGGATGTCCCTTTGTAGTCTGGGAATGCCCGAGGCGTAGAAGATGACGGCGAACAGTGCGACACCGCCGAACATGCCAGCCTTGACACCCCTTCATCCAGATTAGCCAGGCCCTATGCTTTCCAACATCTTCATGTCTGCATTTGCAGATCCAGAACAGCACTCATGAGTCGTTGCAGCAGAAAGCCAGCCCGATTCCTCGCTGTCCTGTGCGGCGACCATAAGACCCGTATGCGCCAGAGAGGGTTGGACTTAATACCCTGCAATGTGCGGTACGACGTTCGTTGAGGACTTACTCTTTGAGGAGGTGCTTTGTGCTGATGCCGGCGATTTGGGACTGGTAGAAGTACCTAAAACCAACCCAATTAGCAACCTGCTCAGTCCCACTTGGTTCCTGCCATCGGCGACCGCAGAGTTGCTCGTCCTGTAGGAGGGCGACCGTGAACCTCGAAAAATGGGTGAGCGCTTACTTCGGGCCGTAGGGGCTCTTGTACGTCGGGTAGCCGGACGCCGGCCGGCGTGGAGGGCTCTGTGAATGACATCGGTTAGCTGATGGTGCCATTTGTGCATGCGCATTCGCAGCTGGGGAGCAAGGAAAACAGGGCGTAGAAATTGCAGAGCGTCGCTCCACAACATACAGTGAGATTCGTCTTCATGGCTGTGGCGGGAAGAGCGAGTGGCTGCTTCAATGGCTGCGAAACAATCTTATGTGCGACACCTCAAAGTGCTCGATTCTCGCGAGATTCTTGCGGATGAAGCCGGAGGTGATCGGATTGGTGCCTGAGGCATCAATATTCGGGCTAGCCAATTGGTGCCTCAGGCCAGGTTGTCACATGCACGATCGCGCTTCTGGCCTTTTGGGAAGGTGGGGCTGATGTTGCTTTCCCCAGAACGCGTCCGTTTGTTCATCATTCAAACTTCCCCGACTGCTCTTCGTTACCCCACATTCAGCATACGCAATACCAGGAGCTATCATTCGCCTTTCTATCAACATTATCTGTCAATACCTGGTATCGGAACTATTATACGCAACGACAATATATGCGCCGGTCATGGATAAGGAGCTGGACGGCCGCTTTGAGCGGCTCGAGAAGGCGCTCAATAACATGATCGACTCAGTGGTGAAGAACAATCCGTCAGAGCAGCTAGCGGAGGAACTAGTAGCCGCCCAAGACGGTGTTACTGAGGGCTTGAGACTTCTCGAGAAACACCAGAACAACTACGCGCGAATACAACAACTGCGACAGGACGTATCGCGCTACGACGATCAGATCAAGGACATCATCCACTCTCTCTGGCAGATGCGAAAAGAGCTTGTTGCTGTAACCGCCACCCCACCAGGCGGCTCAAAATATCAATTCACAACCGAAGACCTTCTCACCTACGCCCGGCTCATCAGCCGCCAGACCCTCCCTCTGCCGCCTGTGCTCAAGAATCACCTGGAGTCTAACGCAAGCCGGCCTGCCGATCCTGAAAGCCAGACCGCCCAAACACCCAACGCGAGCTTCAACTTCGGCTTCAGCAACGCCTCAATTGGCACCCCAGCCCCCCTGAGCGCGTCTACACCAAACACAGCCGCCAACGAGGCCGCTACAACGCAACACACAAGCCAGCTTCCGCTTTCCCAACCATATACCAAGCCCCCCACCACGGAGGAGAAACTCCCCGCCCACCTCAAACCAGCCGTCAACCCGCTCCTCGACACGGGCTTCCAGCCCTGGCCGACACCAGAACAGATCCGGTCCGGCGCGCTCGCCGACATCCAGCGGCTCGTGGACAAGGGCATCGACCCGAAGAACTACGACCCGGAAGAGGAAGAGCGCAAGCGGGTCGCAGAGGAGCAAGCCAAGAAAGAAGCGGAGGAGCGGGCGCGGCGGGAGCGGGAAGAGGCCGAGCGTCGGATGCGCGAGGAGCGGGAGCGCATGGCACGGGAGCGGGAGCGGGCGAGGCAGATGGAGGCTGCTGCTTCTGGTGCTGCTGGTGGGTCTGACGGGAGGACGGATAGCGTTGCCGTGGGGATGGGAAGGGCGGCGAATAAGCCGAAGCAGTTCACTTTCCTGGGCGCGGATGACGACGACGAAGATGAGGAGGATTAGGCATCTTGTCTTGAGGAGGCCGAGGCCGACGTGCTGGATTCGGAGACGGGAATTCCTCCGGGGTGGAATGATGATGACTGGGAGGCTGAGGCCGAGGTGCTCGATCTGGAGAAGAGTGTTCCTCTGGGGTGGGATGATAACCACCGGCAGGACCACAAGCACGATTACGTGACTATTCTTGAACACAAGGACCAGCCGAGCTTGGAGCAGGCTGATGCCTCGGCTAGGAATGAGGTTAACCACGATGGCAAGAAGCATCAGAAACCCCTGGCCCGGTGGTATCCAATGGTGGGATGGGTCAACGGGGTGCAAGGGAAGACTTTCTATGCACCATGGCGCAGAGGGCATGTACACTACTAATACCCGGAACCAGAAAAGGCGTTGCAAGGGAAGCATCATTACAGCATCATGGGACAGCGGAATGGTTTACAATTGGAACAAGCAGAGCGGTCCGGTTCACGGTTTAGGGAAGAAAGCAGTACTAAGTAAGGTACCGTAATCATCCTAAGGCAAGAATGTGCCTCAGCCGCGCCTCTCTTTCAGCCCGCATTCCGCCTCTCCGTCAGAAACCCTGGCCCAAGTTCAACTCCGTCGCCCATGTTGAGGAAAGACAAGACAACAATCGTCTAGTATGGTATAGTATGCTCCCTGCCCGGGACACAAGCACTAACTTCCCTCGTGTTGATGTTACAAACTTTTCCACATCCTCCGTACCCCTGCGCGATGGTACTGTACATCGATTCGACTACCTAGCCTACCACTAGATGGCAAGCAACCACGGAAACCACGACGACAGGCCCATCCCCTGAATTTTGCGCCCATCTTACACTGTCTAATCGATCTTGATGGATGAGTAGATCTTGCGGACGAACAGCCAACTTGCAAAGAAGCCGATGGAGCCTGCAACGTAAATTGTTAGAAAATAGCTCACACTCCATGCAAGCGGAGGAAGAACACGTACCGGTCAGGATAAAGAACAAGAACGAGATGAGCAAGCTGTACCCGATATACAGCACGCTCCCCGCAAAGCCGCCCAGGGACAGCTTGCTGACCCAGTAGATCAGGGCGTTGAGGAAGATGTAGCCGGCCGTGGTGCCGGCGGCCAGGAAGGAGCGCCACTGCCAGTTGTAATCCTCGGCGCACAGCAGGAAGTACACCATAAGCACCGTAACGGCGGCGCACGTCATGATCATGAGGCCGTAGCACAGGAAGAGGAAGCCGAACATGTAGTAGATCTTGCTGAACCAGATGGAGCTCATGATGAAGTAGAGCTCGACGAAAATGGCGCCGAAAGGGAGGAGGCCCACCAGCAACATGCTCGGCCCCGGTTTGAGGTAGGTGGTGACGGGCGGGATCTGGCGAGGGATCTGGTTGGTGCGGACGGGCGGCTCGATGGTAGGCGCGCGGAAGCCGAGCCATGAGCCGGCGAAGGAGAGCGGGACGCTGATGACGAACCAGATCAGGATTATGACCAGCATGGTGGTGAATGGAACGGCGCCGGAGGATTCCTTCGCCCAGAGGAAGAGGTCGAGCAGGAAGAAGGTGGCGAAGACGATGCCCGGCACCAGGAGAGGGGTCAGGATGATGCAGAGCTTCCATTTGTCGCCCTGCAGCGACTTGTACATGCGAGCCGATGTGTAGCCGCCGACGAAGCCGAGGACGGTGTAGAGGAGGATCATGATCGTGCCGAGGGAACCGCGGTTCGAGGGGGAGAGGAAGCCAAGGAGGGCGAAAGCGATGGTGAAGCCGGCCATCACGAAGAGCTGGGCGCCGTTACCCAGGAAGACGGAGAGCAAGAGCGGGTGAGAGGGCGTGCGGAACACGTCGCCGTGGACCAACTTCCAGCCCGAGTCCTCTTGAACGCCATCCTCCAGGGCTGATGTGCCAGAGAGGTCCTCAAGGTTGAGCTGATCCAGCCTGTTGTAACGGGCTATGTCCTTCTTTAAAGCACGGACGAGGATCGACATGACCGTCAGCACCAGGAAGACGACAATGATGGCCGAGTTGATGAGCGAGAACCAGTGGATCTTGGGGTCGAAAACGTGGAGGTATTTGTCCCAGCGCGTTGCCCAAGCTGTCGCCGACGGCCTCCAATACACACTGTATGTGAACTGAACTTCGGTGTCGCCCGACTCGTCCAGAACTACGGGGGGCAGCGTCTGGTCGTTGCACGTGTCCGGGCCGACCCCGCCGGTGTATCTCCTCGACTCGGGCTGGACAAGCACCCCCACGACACGGTATTGGTCTTTGCTCCCGGCCACTTGGTGGTATTCGACAAGGATGTCATAGTGATTGTTGAACTCAACCTGGTGACCCTCCGCCGTCGTCTGTCCCAAAAGGAATCCTGGATTATAAAACTCCGTGTTGGTCCAGTCATCTACGATCGGCTGCCCTGCTGGAAGCCCGTCCACTAGCCAGTTGAGGCTGATTCCCTCCCGGATTTGCTGGTTCACAAACTGGGCCGGCCCTTTCTCGTATTTCGTCTTGCACAGTGTTTTGCAGGTCTCGTTATGTTTCATCTTAAGCTCGAATGGGGATGTCTTTATCCTGTCCCCGAACAGTATGCTGCCTAAGCTCGCGCCGACATTTTCGACCCCTTGCTCGGGCTTGCAGAACTGGAAAAGGGGGTGATAGTAATCGTAGGACACAACCGAGTGTAACATGGCATCTGACCCTGCGACTGGCCGGATGGTGTTGACATAAAGCGGCACCGGCTCGTCCTGCTTGTATGATGTCGGCGCGACACCGGGGAGGTAGAAGGCCGATGCAAGCTGCGGCGCGGCCAGCAGTGCTGTGAGCAGCGCCCGGCACGGCGCATGGTGACTTAAATGCATCGCGCCGTCGATGAGAATTCGTCTGCTAAAAAAGACAGGTTAGCACGTTGGAGGGATATGCTGTGGTCTGCAGCTTGCATCAATGGTGCGCACTGCGTGGTCCCGGGGACCTGGGAGAAAGAGCCAGTACATACATAGTACCTCAATGGCTTCGGTTCTTTGCTTCAACCCGCCCGAACGATCCGCACTATATCGAAGAAGCGTTCATGAATGATTAGGTACAAACTGAGCACGAGAATGGAACCGGGGCAAGATGCAGGCGGAAAGAGTGCGTAGAAAAATAGTAGAGGTCGCAGCGCGCTGTCTGAGCCTAGGTCTACATGCAAGTTGTCAACGACTTCTTTCAAAACTGCACAAAGCCCCTGGTCGCCCATTATGAAGCTGTTGGCCCGTGCAGCCGATATGTCGCGTTCAGATGGGATCGCCAAGAGCGGATAAAGTCCGGCTAATCAAGACCCACTTAGCTGAGCAAGCCCGTCTCATCTTGGCATGCAGATAATGCAGCCTTGTGAGTCCATAAAAAAGTTCAGCGGGGCCAGAGAGAAATTCCTTCTTGAACCAACAGAGTATTGCACAGCTGAAAATCTCGAGCGTGCCTGTAGGTGACCTCTCTGCGACAATGGCGGCACCAGCGACTCTTCTAGCATTGCTGGACTCCCTTACCAAGTCCCTCACGTCAACACTTGAGGTAGCACCGAAACTCGCCAATCTAGAGCTCCCCAAAGAAGGCATTTCCCTCCTCGATGTGAAGAACGAGCTGCTCCTCACATACCTGCAAAACCTGGTCTTTCTCATTCTCATCAAGTTGCGTCAAGCGAAAAAGGGCGTCTCGGGGGATAAAACAGAAAATGGGAGTCTCGGCGATGTTGTCGTTTCGAAACTGGTCGAACTGAGACTGTACCTCGAGAAGGGCGCACGGCCACTGGAGGACAAGCTTCGGTTCCAGATCGACAAAGTGCTTCGTGCGGCAGACGATGCTGAACGCAACGCAAAGGCCGCTGAAGAAGCGTCGACGGCCAATGGGCACGGGTCCGGCTTCGAGTCCGAGTCCGGCAGCGAGGACGACGAGGAGGGCGACGAGGATGAACGGGAAGAAGCCGTCGATGGCCGGAAGATCGCGGATCTTCAGCACCGCCCCAACCTCGCCGGGTTCCAGCGCCCGACTGCCGCCGCGCAAGCCGGGAAGGAGAAGGACGCGTCGGGTGTTTACCGTCCGCCAAGGATCGCCCCCGTGGTGATGCCCACCACCGAACGGCGCGAGAAGGCTAAGGAGCGACCCCTCAAGTCTGCCACGCTAGATGAGTTCATCGCCGACGAGATGTCGACGGCACCTATTGCGGAACACAGCATCGGCACTACGATTGTGAACGGCGGGCGGAAGATCAAGACGGCTTCTGAACGTCGCAGAGAGGAAGAACTCCGGAATTACGAGGAGACGAACTTTGTCCGGCTGCCCAAGGAGAGCAAGAAGGACAAAGCAAAAAGGTCCAAGCTAGAAGGGCGTAGCGCCCGGATGAGCTTCGGTGGCGAGGAGTGGAGAGAACTTAGCGGAAGCGTGGACAGGATCAGCCGGCTTACAAAGGGCAAGAGTTCCGGCGGTGGCACCAAGGCTCTGCTGGAGAAGAGCCGTAAGAGGGGCATCGATACCGTCGATGGCCCCCGTGGGAATGGCGCTAACATGGGCGAGAGATACCAAAAGCGGCTCAAAGTGCTTGAGAGTGGCCGGGGCTCAAGAGGAAAGGGGCGGTGAAGTACTGCCGCATTTCAAGCCAATATCAAGCTCAATACCGTTCAGCATCCCTTTTTTGGCGGCCATGTTACCCTTGCGATATGTTTACAAACGTCCCATCATGTTCAACGCAAAGCGTTTCTGCAACACACCTTCCCCGTCCCTTGGGCCAACCAATATCTGTTTCGTCTCAGGCTGCTCACTCCTTAAACCCCTTAAAAGCTGGAGCCGACGTCCCGACCATCGACTGCCTTCCATCCCAGCCCGTTACGGATTCGGTCCTCGGCCTTCACTACACGCGACGGCAGCATAAAGCCCAAGCCGAAGAAGACGAAGAATGCCCATTTCCAACGGAAGGGGTTGAATGCGATGCAGAAGGTAAACCACCAGACCAGCTCGAGATAGGTGAAGAAGTCAAACGGCCCGACAGGCGACGCCATCTTGAGCAACCTCGTCATGTCGATCCAGCGCCTCATCCAAAACGGGCTCGGTCTCGTCAAGGGATCTACCAGGAACATGAGCAGGATCCTCGTGTAAATCCCGATGTGCCAGTTCCCGACCGTTCCAATGGCGTTTTTGTACGTGCAGTTGATGCACGAAATCGACGGGTGATTCGGCGGGAATGTCTGAAGATACCAGTTCGGTGGGCTGTACGGCTTCTCGAAGCACTCCTCGGGCAGGAAATCCAACTTGGGTCGGGCAAACCCCGTTGCCATGACCACCACGTCGCCCTCGATCAAGTCCTTCCTCCCCGGGCCGCCAGCCGGAACACCTTTCGCCCGCCGGCTGATCTTGACCCCTTTCTCCGTGAAACCCTCGATATCGCAGCGGATCCACTCCGCCTTCTTCGACCTCAGCTTCTCCATGATGTCGGAATTCACCATCGGCGTGTCCGTGAAGATGCCCTTGTTCGCCGGTGCCAGGTCCTCCAGGTCGCGGTAGAACATCTTGCGCAGCAGCAGCTCGGGGATCCAGCTCAGGAAGGTCTCCTGGCCAAAGATGTTGAGCGCGAGCAGCACGTTCCACACCGGGTTGCGCGGGATGATCCACTTGTCGCTGCGCGCGAGGATGTAGATCTTGCGGGCGCCCTCGTCGTGCGCGAACTCGAGCGCCTCGACCGCGCTGGCGCCGCCGCCGATGATGATCAGCGTCTTGTCGCGCGCCGAGCACCCGCTGCTGGTCAGCTGGCTCGAGTGGCGGATGTCGCCGCGGAACCGGTCCATGCCCGGCATGTGCGGCACCTTGGGCTCGCCGCAGGTCCCCACCGCTGAGATGATGCCGTCGAAGCGGCCCAGTGACGGGTTGCCGTTGATGACCCACCGGCCGTGCTCGTCCTGCTCGATGCGGTCGATCTTGGTGTTGAAGCGCGTGCGGCCGTCGAGCCCGTAGCGGCGCCACAGCTCCCGCACCTGGCTGAGGATCTGTTGCCGGTCCGGGTATCCGTGCTCCCACTTGACCGAGGGGTGAAAGCGGTACATGATGGAGTGGATCTGCAGGCTGGACGTGTTGTTGACGCGGCTCCAGATGCCGCCGAGCGTGTCCCTGTCGCCGGCCTCGAAGATGGTCACGTCGAAGCCGTGGCCGATGCAGTGCGCTGCGCTGGTCACGCCCGTGATGCCCGCGCCGACGACGGCGATTTTAGGCCGGGTGAGCCGCGTGCTGGGCCCGGGCGGGTTGGGCGAGAGGATCTTGTCGGCGAGCCATTGGAAGATCTGGAAGAAGAAGAGGAAGGGGTGGAAGAGGGGGTTATAGACCTGGGACTGGGACGGCATTTTCTTGTTGGGTGGTCGAGGTTTGAGCGCGTAGGTACTCAAAGTGCTCACCAGTGTCCGGTATCGATGAGAGGAATGAAAACTCTAGTCGGATAGTCGTCCACGGTGACATAGAGACTAAGTATAAAACACAATAAGACGATAAAAAAGAGCAATAGTAGGAGTTCTTGGCACTCTGGCATCATGCGCGAATGACGTCACTCAGTGTAACTGGGTTGCAGTGCATGTGAAACCGTTTTGGCCGGTAAACGCACCGCTGACATGTGAAACTGAGAAGGTGGTTCTATAAGCGTGAGGCTTCGAGGCTGCTAGTGAAGTGTGCGGAGGTGTGAAGTGTTTTGGTTCTCGGTCATCAACTAGTGCTACCCTTTTAAACTTGGAGCTGAGGCTGCATGACGTCGGATGACGAGAACTCGGTCGGCCAGATGATCGCGAGAATCGCACGATCATATGCAGAGTACTCGTTGAAACCCCGGGGATATTCACCTTCTACCTTATAGTTATAGATAGGCATCATTCAATATAGCCATCTGGAGTGAGTTTCAGCTTCATTTTCAGGAAGGCGTATTCGGCGGAACTAACATCCACATTATGATTATCTCACTAAATGAGTCGATAGTAGCAACATTCACCGTCCTTTTGCATTGTATTCCTATTTCTCAATGTTTAATTGGCGATTCTGGACCGTCCAGTACCTAGATGAAATGGATATGCGGCCTAATAGCTAGGATATTCTTCTTCTTGAAATGCGGATCCGCATCCGGGTCATCGAGCGACGCCAGTTGCTCCGTATGGGGCTGGCTGTGCGGAATATGCAACATGTCTGGCAACGGCGGTACCTCCTCGGTCCACGCGGGCTCCTTCTCGTACTTTTGCGGGGTGGACGCCCAGTACAATTGCTCCTCCAAGGACAAAATCGCCGACGGTTCCTTCCGGCGGAGCCCATGGTCGATGCGCTGGTTGAAACTTTCAACGATCAGACCGGGAATGCAGGCTAACACGGCATACCGCTCCGGATCGCCCTGTTCTCCAGGGTCGGGTATGCTTGAGACCAGCCAGCGCGTCCACCTGGAATGAGACAGTTAAAACTCCCATAACGAATAACATGAAATCAGTAAAAGCACCTACCAGAACGTCTCCAACTCGTTTCGGATGTTAATGTAATGGTGCGCCATGATCCACTCATACAGCCGGTACAACACAAACAGCGGCGAGTCCTCAAAGACGCGCTCGGGAGCAAGGTACCTCCGGTAGCCCAGCCGCCGTCGGTATGCCTCTCTGTCGGCGAGGATCTGTCTGGGATTTGGGGGAGGCCAGGAAGGAAACCAAAGGTCCTCGTTCTTGCTCTCCTCGTCCACGCTCTCGTGACCCTCCTCGTCCGTTGGATCGTCACCCTCCATGGCTTCATTGGGCCGGTCTTGCCCCCGTGATCGTACGGCCTTCCATTTCAAGTTGCGCCGTGCCCATTGAAGCATCAACTTCATCCTGGCCATTTGCGCAGCGCACCTCAAGCCTCGTGCGATTACTAAATGGCGGCGTTGATACGGGTAAATACTATTGGAGTCTTGAGCTCGATGCCTCCAGTCTCCTGGTACGGCACAGTAAGTTAACTATGCTGCCCGAATTCTTCGGATGATCAATCCTTCGCCGGTGGGAGGTAAGCGCTGAAAGAAGGCAGTTTGTGTCAGGCCAAACGAGGGGCTCGCATGAGCACTGATTGAGCGGTGCATCCCTAGGTAGCCAATGACCGCGAGCAATTCCGGGCTGCCGCCTGGCCGAGGCCAATGCCCGTTGTTGGCAGCAGTTGGTTCCCAGAAGGTTACAACCGAACGATAATGGATGTACTAACAGGGAAAGTCACAAATATAGCCCAACGGCTTCGCGCCGCTCAGTATTTCCTCGCCCCCCAACGATCGCAGCGTTGACAAGACGGGTGGCGGTGCGACCTTGACTTTCGGCTCCAGCTCTTGCAGTTACTTTCGTGATCAAACGCCAGACACGACAGAATACCAGGCAAAATGCCAGCGCTACTACAGACATCCACGGCCGACGTCCGAGGAGTACGTTCTCGTAGTATGCCTGTGCACAGTCGAACCGAAGCTACTCCTCCCCTCTTCCAGCGTGAATGTGCCCGCATACGACGAGTTTGGGCCGTGACCTCCAAAGCTCGGCAAGAAGGCTTGGACAACCCTTGCCGCCGTCGTCGAGATAGCCTTTTGGTGGCCCGTGAGTGAGCAGGATATCTGTACCATCGGGCACCGCATTTGTCCATGTTGCTTCCCCATCCCCGTATTGAAACGCGAAGCTCCCAAATCTGGGCGTCCATGGGCTCCCAGAAATCCGGACCGACCTGTCCTTTCCCTTGATTTCCAAATCTACAGCCTCGTACTCCAAATACAGCACGTCACCCCGATCCAGATCAGACCTGCGTCGCCCCGCCAGGTCGAGTTCGCGGTCCGGGTGGGCGGCGACAAAGGCCGTGTCCAAGATCAGGTCATGGTTTCCAGCGATGACGACTTTGTGCGGATGAGGCTGTGACTGAAGCCACGCAAGTTGCGCCTGGAGCTCTGCAAAGTTGCCGTACTGGGACAGGTCTCCTGCATGGAGCAGTATGTCGCCGTCAGGAACTGAGGTGGGGTTGGTATTGTGCGTGTCCGAAAGACAAACAACAGTGACTGGTCCTGGGTGGAGGCTTTCAGCAGCTTCAGATGCGACGGCATCCAGTTGTTGGCTGTCCTGTTGGAACCGGGAGAGCCAACGAGCGGCTCGCACTGCGGTGCTCTGCCGCTGAGCAGACCCAACAAACGGGCCGCTAATGGTTCCAATCTTCACGGACATGTGCAGTTTTGGAGTCGAATGCGGTGTGCTGAATGTATTGGTGCTATTATCGATTTCCTGCTATCAAACGATGAAAGGGCAAAGGAGAAACGGTCGGAGGAAACGGTGCATACCAGGGGTGTGTCACGTTGGGACACAAAGCATGGAGGTGGCAGGAAATGTGCGTTCTTAATTGGGTTGGGCCGCATAATTCCCGTCCCCCAACCACAGACGGGATAGGCTGTATTATTTACACTCGGCACCTTCCAGTCTCCCTCCATCGCTTCAGCCTCTTGGGCGCATAGAGCGTCAAAGTCCTACGAGGCTCTCTTCAAGGTTCAAACAGAAGAATGAATCAGACTTTCTGAACGCCTGTTACAAGCGATGCGGTTAAAGCTAGACGCGCGCGAAGCAACAGCCCGCGCCAATTTCAAGAGCGTCTCGAGCGACCTGAGTTATGAGCCCGAGATGTCAGTGGTGGGTGATCAAAGACCACGAAGTCTCCGCGGCAGATGAACCATTGTTGGTTGCGTGGGAGCATACCCAAAGCATATGGATTCTGCCAATAAGACCCCGAGCAACGCATATTTCGGTCAACGGTGGTTAAGGTGACTGCAAGTGAAGGTGTACGAGGCCAATCTAGGGATACTGGGTTGTCATACGCTGGAACCAACACGCATCTGGTCATTAGCAGGGCTGTTGCCAGCCCTCTCTCTGCAGAACTGCGAGGTTCCTCAGACGACATTGGCTAGAATTAAAAATGACACGAGGCAAATGTCCTTCAGATATAAACGGAAACACTCTCCAACTCGTCATTCGGATCTTCAAAACCGTACACGAGGTCGTTGTCTCTCCTGCATATCACCCTTTTCATCATCCGTTGAAGGTATTTTGTTTCCCGTTCCACCTGAATTAGGTACCTCTTCCCCGTCAGCATGTGTTTTGGATCCGGTTCCGACCCAGATGCACAAGCCCCTAGACGACCTCGTCAACAACAGAGACGGGGTGGCGGCCCACCAACCATCCCCTTACAAAACATAAGAATCAGCGGCCCCGTGACACCACCGGGCCAGGTTCCAGCGCCACAGCGAGACGAGAGAGGCCTTTGGGTTAAACATGCTCAGTATGAGTTATCCAGGCAAAACATCATCAAGGCGCTGGGTTACGCGGCCCAGTACATCAGCCAGAAAGGCCAAAACGTCACCGTGGTGGCGGTCGGTGGTGCCGTCAACACTGTCCTTCTCCAGACGCGGAACACGACGTACGACGTGGACTTCCTCTGTCCACTTCTGGTTCAGCCAACCCTCGGAATCGTCCGAGAGACCGGCAAATACGCCGTCGAACGGAGCTCCGTTCCACTGGCCGCCGACTGGCTGAACAACGCCACCGCCAGAATGCCGGGAGTGGTGGAGCACGTCGACGCTCTCCAAGAAGAAGCCGTTGCCCAGAACGACGTGCTCTTCTCCCGGCCGGGCTTGACCGTGGTGGCGGCGCCATGGAACTACGCATTCATCAAAAAGGTCAGCCGCATCACGCAGGGAACCGCGCGCCCGTACGATACCTGCATCAGTACATCGCAAAGGCGCACTCCAATAAGCCAGTGCCACTGGTGAAGATCCAGCGCTGGGGCGCCAAGTACAAGGCTCTGTGCCCGGTCGAGACCCTCGGGCCGAACAACGAGCTCTATCGACGGACCTATGGAGTTGATGGGATTTTGTTCCCGGCTTCGGGGGGACCGGGACAGGGCGGCTCAAGCCGTGGTGGCTCCTCGCAGGCACGCGGGTCCGGCGCGAGGGCAAAGCGCGGTCAGGCTGTTCGCCGTGGCCGTGCAGCAGCGCGACGCTAAGTACCTATCTTAGGTATTAGCCGTGATTAGTATCTCTCTGGCGCCATGTAAACCAGTGTTTATAATCTATTACAGCACTGGACAAGGTTGAAGGTGGGATTATGTTGTGAGTCTGTAACATGCAATCAAATTCGGTCGTTTGGTTTTGGTCTGGGGATATGTAGTACTACTTACTATTAATAGGGAATCATCAATTGCGTCGAAAGGGAGACCTCTGGATTCAATTAGTATGGCAGCCACTCAGTGAGTCTTGTTCAGGTGCAACAGAACCGCACCAACTACCTCGGCTGAACCACAGGATGTTTGGAAAGAGACACAACCACGTCAGCTAGGCAGATCGCATGGTCTGTTCATGATTATCACTTGATTAGTTAGCATGCTAAGCCCATACACGAGAATACTGGTAGCTTTCGGATTTCATCAGCGACTATTGAAGATTTGACTGTTCTGACGAGACTCGTCACTCCGTCACCTTCTCAGAGTAAGGTAGTACTACACGACCGACCGACCGAGCCACGATGCCATCCATGCCCTCGCCGAGATTTCATAAGATGCGACCAGACAAAAGCCTCAGGAAGCATACCAGTAGGGCGACGCCGAGCAAGAGCAATGCCTGCGAGAACACGAAGACGAGGAAAGGGCACGGAGCGACATCACAGCAAGCGACCCGGCATAAGTGACGAAAGGTGTAAGTGTTGGGGCATTTGGAGGGGAATAGGGTTGATGAAGATGTTTGGATCTGACAGTGATTTGAATACCTGGTACCTAGGTACCTTAGGTTCTGCTTCTCGATGTGTCTGGTTCCTTAAGGTAGCTTGGGGTCGAATCAATTCTCTCCCATAGGCACGCTTACAGATAGTTCTAAATTTGCATTTCTACCCCTGAATCCTGACGGCTAATATGGAATGTACAGTAGATAATACTAGTATGTACCACTTATAGCCCGCAGGCCTATTGCCTAACGTTACTATTTACGGAGATAAATGTCCCAGATTGCCCTGCAGCGGGAAGGGTCCCGCGTAATACTCGCTGTGCAGAAGTAGGAACGCAACACGTAGATCCAGCAGATGTACGTGCGGGTAAATATCGTCGTGCTGCCCGTCTGTCTAGAAGATGTCGCATTCCGCCAATATTCGAGGCCTGACCTATGTTACGCCGCGTCAGCGCGCGATCGAAGGGACCTACTCCCGGCAGTTATCCACGGCAGCGAGAGGGTGCGCCGAGATCATAAAGTGCTGCCCTTTCGCGTCTTATCCAAGCCCTCCCCCAGTTCATGCCGCCGATCAACACATCACACCCATACAATAACTCATCAACAGGAGAGACGAGTCTGCAACAATGTTCGCCTACTACCTCTCTTCGACCATCCTCCTGCTCCTCCCCTTGGGGTCCCTCTCCGCCGCTCTACCCGAGCTCCTCTCACCGCGCGCCGTGTCGCCTAACAAGACCTGCGGCCCGTCCAACTCGGGCTACACGTGCCCCGCCGACGCGGCCTGCTGCTCGCAGTACGGCTACTGCGGCTCGACCGAGCCCTTCTGCCTGACCACGGCCAACTGCCAGGCGCGCTACTCCAACTCGTCGGCCGCCTGCTACGCGCCCCGGCCCGGCGTCAGTATCTCCATCGACGGCACCTGTGGGAACACGGGGGCCGGCAAGAATGGCTATCGCTGTCCCGGCAATGCGACTGCGCTCAGTTGCTGCTCTGCTGCGTACGTCGTTTTCTTCCTAACCTGAAATTAGTAGTCTGGCTCTCGGGGTTGAGGGATAGTGATACTGATAATGGTATGATTATTCTTATTATTTAGGGGGTACTGCGGGACTACCAGCGATCATTGCGATACCGGGAAGGGATGTCAGTCGGGCTTCGGCAACTGCACTGGGACTAGGACCTCTCGGGACTTGTTTGGGGTAGAGGTTGAGCTGTCGTCTTAGACAGTGCCAGCCTATAACGGGAGGGAAAACATGAATCGGATGGTAGCCATGAACGAAATGAGATAAAGCTGTCCTGAAAAGACCGAGTGTGGCTTTCCAGCAATGACCAGCACGGGAGATACAAGCGTCAACTGCAGTACGAAGAACATATAATATAAGTTATCGCGTTCGCACGTGGGTTGATAGCGCGCTTTGCTGTAGTGGAAAAGGGCAAGAGGCTAAGTTGCAGACCCCGGAGACCAGAATGCCGACTCTGGCATTGGTAGGGCACTTCGGTTAAAGTTCCGTGATTGTTCAGGTTCAGGTGTATTTACTTATGCTATCTTAGGCGCATGTATCCATGGATGTACGAAGTACTGGGCCCGAATCATCCGAGTTACTAATAGAGCAGTTAGCCTAGCAGGCAGCTGCGCTAGTGCGAGTCCTTTGCAGGCTCGGACTTCCACAAAGATTACCTGCCATTGACGTCGCCATCCTTCATTTCTCTTATTTGCTCTGTCTAATCTCTCATTTTCCGAACTGGCCAAACAACAATTGCCGTCAGCTGCTCTCCCGATCCTGTGGATCTTAGCGTGGAAATATCTGAGCTCAGCAGGGTTGCTGTGGTTGCGAGGGGAAGGATTGCTGCGGACGAACCCGAAAATTACCACTACTAACCAACCAACGGGCAAGACGTAGCAGTGGACTTGAAGAACTCAAATCAGTACATGAAGCATGGCCGATAAGCGGCGTACAGATGAGCGTGGGTACTTAAGCGTAAGGATGCCCAGGGGCTACGCCCCCCTGAGCATCCACTTGGAGACACCGCGTTCACAATGGCGTTTAAAGTTGAACAGACGCAGTTCACCGTGCTAGTAACCGGTGGCGGCGGCTTTCTTGGCGGGCACATCGTGCAACAGCTCGTGGAGGATTCGGCCGCCAGAGCCATCGCCATCGTTAGCCGCAACCCGAAGGCGACGTCGAACAACCCGCGAGTGACCTTCCACGCGGCAGACATTGCCAACGATGCCCAGATTAAGGCTGTCTTCGATGTGGTCAAGCCCAACATGGTTATTCACACCGCCTCTCCGCACCACACCGAGCCCGCATCCATGCAGCAGCAAACCAATGTCGAGGGCACTAAGCTGCTGCTCCAGCACGCGAAGGCCTGCTCCGAGACGCACGCCTTCGTCTACACGTCGTCCGACTCGGCTGTCGTGCCCACGCAAGAGCCGCTGACCGAGGACGAAGCCGAACTGTATACGGAAGCCCATTTCCCCGATGCCTATAGCAGAACCAAAGCGGTGGCCGACAAGACGGTACAGGATGCAAACTGCGACGAGCTCCGCACCGCAGTCATCCGCATCCCCGTCATCTACGGCGAGAACGACAACAATCTCATCCCCCAGCTACTCACAAGCGTGCGCAAGAAGCAGCACAAGATGCAGATTGGCCGGAACAACAAGGTCTTCGAGTTCCTGTATATCAAGAAGGCTGCCGAGGCGCACATCCTGGCTGCCCGCGCTCTGCTCGAACCAGAGTCGGCATCCAACATCGCCGGCGAGGCCTTCTTCGTCTCGGACGGGAAGCCACAGCCCTTTTTTGACTTCTCGCGCAAGTGCTACGCCGCGGCCGGCAGTCCCGTAGCCCCGGACGAGGTGACTACCATACCACTACCTGCCATGCAAGCCATGGCGACGTTGGGCGAGTGGGCCTACAAGGTTTTCACCGCGGGCAGGAAGATGCCGCAGACCAGGAGGGAGGCCATCGATCATTTGGATAGGGGCAGCTGCTGGTCCATTGAGAAGGCGAGGCAGAGGTTGGGTTATGAGCCGGTTGTGGACCAGGATGAGGCCATCAAGCGGAGTATGGAATGGGCCATTGCGAATTTGTGAGAGCGGGAATGGAAAACCTCTACCGATTCCTCTGCGCAAATGTTGGAGTTAGGTTTAGAGATTGTCGGGAGAACTGGTGATGCATATGATGGTGTAGTGTGTGGAAGAGAGGAAGCACAACCACAGGTGGCTGGCTGGAACTATCATACAAAGAGGGAAGCCCTGACCCTCACAGAGATAGAGGGGCCTTGCAAGAACCCCACGGGCAGTTGCGTTTCGCCTTCCACAGTCTAGGCAATGGCGCCACAAGAAGAAACGACGGCGGCCAACCAACCGACCACATCGAACCCAATCACATTTTGACCACTCTCCTTAGTGTTACTGCCAGGGCTGAGGATGGTCATTTGTGGCTGGCAAAGCCCATTGACCTTGCCAGGGGCTACTAACATACCAGCGTGACCAGAGACTCATCGACTCGCATAATAGTCTATCATCTATGAACGGCACCAGTGCCTTTTGTCTCACAGATTTGTATATGTACTACTACTAGTAGTAGTAGACTTGCACTTTTGCAGTCCATGTGACCGTGATATGAAGGCTGATGTCTCGGTTCCGAACTTCCGATGCGGCTGAGCTTTGGGCTGAAATGGACCATGACTGTCTTCACCCCGCCTCCCCTCAGGAACTGGGGCGATTCCGCAGAAGCATACAGGTGTGTCTTCATTTGTTGAAAACAACCTAAAATCAGAGACATCAGCACCTTCTAAGTTCTCTCGGCACCCTTTGCATAGCCAATGGCCATATACAATCCTTTACCGGAGGGTAGTGTGCGGTTGCTCCGGCTTCTGCCACATTCGGACGAGAACTCGCCCATAGAATGCCACGTCTTTACCTGCACCTTACTCGACTCCGGGCGCACCCACCCCTACGAGGCGTTGTCGTACGTATGGGAGTCTGCGGACGACCCACAGCCTCTGTCAATAAACGACTCGGAGTTATGGGTCAAGGGGAATCTCCATGCGGCGCTCTCACATCTTCGGGATCCCTTCCTAGACCGGGTCCTATGGATAGATGCTCTCTGCATCAACCAGAAAGACGATGACGAAAAGGGTCATCAGGTTGGGCTCATGGCAAAGATCTACGCCAAAGCGAGTCGCGTAATTGTCTGGCTTGGAAAGGCAGCGGACAACAGCGACCATGCGCTCATAGCGATACGCAAGGCTGCCGAGGAGCAGGACGAGAATGCTGCAATCGTCAAAGCGCATCGCCAGAGGATCCTGAGACTTTCCGATCAACAGTCCACGAGTTCCACCGTCGATGAAACGCAACAGGCGATCCTCAAGCTGCTTGAGCGGCCGTGGTTCCAACGTATCTGGGTAAGCGATCGATCATGGAGCGCATCATGGAAAGAACAGATTGATAGTAGTATCTAACATGGGATCAAGGTTCTTCAAGAGGTCGCCGCCGCTCGAAGTATCCTGATCAAGTGCGGCCCTACAGAAATCGACGGGCATGCCTTCTGCGTATGCCTAGACGCAGTACAGCTGTCTCACGATATGCGCCCAGACCTCCAGGCTTTGATTCCTCAGGTCATCTACCTAATATGGGGCGTAGTGTTTCGGCCTAGGCACGAGATCAGTTCGTCCGGTGGGCTTTCTCTGGGCATATGCCCTCTCGGGGAGCTGGTAGATATGTACCACGCCCGCAAAGCAACCCTTTCTCTCGACAAGGTTTATGCCTTGCTTGGCATGAGCTCGGACAACCCTAGCACGGCAGGGCTGGAAGCCGACTATAAGGCTTTGTGGAAAGATCTGTTCCAAAAACTGATCAGATTCTGCCTCTCTGATCAGGTGTCTGTTAGCACCTGGGATAGCGATGAGGTGGCGATCATCGAGGCCAAGGCCGACATTATCGGCAAGATATCGTCGATCATAAAGGACGCTTCTCGGTACGACAGACAGCATGTGGAGATCACTTGGAAGGGGGAGGGGTTACGATCGGAACAAAGCTCTCACTTCACCTTCCAAACCTCGGCGAAGGTTATCAGGCATTGGGACGTCGTCTGTCTTCTGCCAGGAGCATCAGCGCCCACCATCATTCGTCCCCGCAAAGGATTTTCGAGCATTGTCATGGTTGCAGCTCCCTTGTTGACAGGTCAGCTGCTGAAGCAGATGGGTCCAGTGACGAGGTATCCAAATGATCTGCTGCTCGTCTGGGATTGGGACATGTCTCGGGCCGAGGCGCACGACGAAGACTACGAATCCTTTATAACCAGTCGAGGGGTCCCTAAGAAGTGTTCGGTGGCAGAGTGCGATTGCCTAAGTATCCTGGACAAGGCTATGAGATCATGGAACCTTGGACTGTTGCTGGATAAAGTGGGGAGATATGGAGAGGCAGCAAAAAGTCTCCGGAATGCCGTCGAGTTTCATAGAACTGGGTGGTCACTGAGAAGCGTGGAGAAGACTGGTCCCGGTCACAGCGATTGGAGTGGGACTGAGGCGGATAGGCAGGCGTTCGGGTTCATGGATGATCTAATGACTATGGAGAAAGCTACGGACATGGAGGCAAAGTGTACCGAGGGTGGCCACACACCGTTGTCATGGGCGGCCAAAGAGGGTCAAGAAGCGGTTGTGCTGCGGTTATTAGAGGCGGGCGCCGTCATTGAGGCTAAGGATGGATATGGCCGAACCCCGCTATCAAGGGCCGCCGAGAAGGGCCAAGAAGCGGTTGTGCTACGGTTATTGGAGGCCGGCGCCGTCATTGAGGCTGAGGATGGATATGGCCGAACCCCGCTATCAAGGGCCGCCGAGAAGGGCCAAGAAGCGGTTGTGCTGCGGTTATTGGAGGCCGGCGCCATCATTGAGGCTGAGGATAGAGATGGCCGAACCCCGCTATCATGGGCCGCCGGGGAGGGCCACGAGGCCGTTGTCCAGTTTCTGCTAGCGACAGGGAAGGTCGATCCCGACTCGAGGGATAAATCTCGCCGAACGCCGTTGTCGTACGCTGCTGCGGGTGGGCATAATGCCGTTATCCAGCTGCTTCTGGCGACAGGGAAGGTCGATCCCGACTCGAGGGATATATCTCGCCGAACGCCGTTGTTGTACGCTGCTGCGGGTGGGTATAATGTTATTATCCAGCTGCTTCTGGTGACAGGGAAGGTCGATGCCAACTCAGAGGACTGGTCTATCTGCACGACGCTATCGTATGCTGATAAAGGCGGACACGAGTCCGTTGTCCAGCTGCTTCTAGCGACAGGGAAGGTCGATGCCAACTCGATGGACATGTTTTGCAATACGCCGCTATCGTATGCTATTACAGGCGGACACGACGCCATTGTCCAGCTGCTGCAAAGGACGGTGGAAAAAAATATCATAGAAGAGATGGAAATCAATAGTGGAAGCTCAAGGTATAATAGATGAAGAGCGACTAGGAGGAAATGTGGATTGCGAGGGTGTCCTTAACCCAACCGACCCCCTAAGGACGGTCCCTGCGGTTAATGATTGTTTCCTTTATAACGGTTCACCCTACCTATCTTGACTGTGTTGCTGTTTATACATATAAAGAGCTTCGGGAATTTATCCCATAGACAGAATAAGTGCCTTGACAAACCATAATAATAAAGTCACGTAGAATATTATACCAGAACTAAATTCCAGATAACGTATCTTATAAGCGAGATGAACATATAAGCGAATTGAACACTTGCCACCATACTATAACAATCAACTACAATTACAACACAACAACATTATGAACCTACTATAATTACATCAGAAACGGCTGAATCAGATGCTTCTGCAACCTCCTGACAAGTGCGGGGATTATGACCAGGCTTGCCGCACACACCATAGCACCGAACCTTCGTACGAGCCCCCCCTGCACCACCACCATCCGGCTGCATTTCTTGTGCCACCTCCCCACCTATAGCCCCCTGGCTTACCACCTCCTGTGCCTCCTGCACAGTAAGTGATCCTCCAAGCCGCACACGCGTTCTTTTGGCTCTCCGGCGCTTGCTTAGCGCCTCGTTAGCCTTGCGGAGCGAAGACACCTCTGCCTGAAGGAAGGCCACCTGGTGCATTATAGCCATCGTACCCTTGGTAAGCTGGTCTATAGCAGCCAATATTGAAGTCGGGGAGCTATTTTGATGGTTGGCAATGCGAGTCTTGATAAGCGTTGACTGTGACTCGGCTTCTCGAGGGTTGTGTAGTGTCTGGAAGACCCAAGATTGTGCAATGCCCGGCCGTGAGGTTGGGGGTGTTGGTGTACGAAGCTTGATATCTAGCTTTGAAAGCACCCTCTCTGGATCGTATGGCACAAGGCCAGCCCCTGTAAAACCGCCCTGTATATTCCTCTTGGTGATAGAGGCAAAGAAGGCCGTGCGAAAGGCATAAAGAAACTCGAGCTTGCTTATATGGTTGATATGTGCGCGTACCAAGTCCTCGATCTGGCGACCGTACGCCTGCTTCAACGGCCCAAAGCAGCCAACATCAAGTGGCTGGAGGAGGTGGGAGGAATGTGGAGGTATGTAGAGCGTGATAATGTTGTTCTGCTGGCAGTAGAGCTCGAACTCGGTTGAGTGGTGGCTTTCGTGGCCATCGAGGATTAACAACCGGTATTTGCCCTTTGTCCGAGGCGTTGTATGGTAGTCGAAGTGCTTGATCTAATCAAGGCCTACTGCGTTGGTAGTCCAGCCGTTCTCGGTGGTTGTAATGCGCTAGTCGGCCGGGAGGTTGTACTCGGTGTACTAGTTGACGAGGTGGTATTACGCGGCCAAGATGATGAACGGAGGGATAGCTCAGCCGAGAGCATTGACTCCCTAGATTACTGTTGCCCACTTGCGATTGCCAGGCTAGGCCAGCTTAGCCTTGCTCCGGCCATCTGAGGTTGTAATAACTATACCCGTAAAGATAATGCCTATTATAAACCCGGTCTCGTCAAAGTTATAGACATTGTCATCTATAATACTATACTTGGCCTTAGTGTTCTATACAAGCCTAAACCACTTGCGAATAACGTCTGGATCTTCGCATCTAGCCCTCTGGTAGTCGTATCTATATATATATCGCGTACGGAGCTCTGGCCGGCGTTTGACGAAGTTATAAGCCCAGCGTTTGCCAATAGGGGGCGCGTCGCGTTCGCGCAGTAGTTGGTTGGCCATATCTTCTATACCATACAACCTAGGCGGAAATGCACGTGCAGATAGCTCATTGATATATTGAACTATCGCCTTCTCTTCTAGATCTATGAGCTTGCGCGAGTTGGCTGGAAGATCGTATCGTGCAGGCTTGCCGGCGCGTTGGCGCCCCAGGGTCCTACGGTCAACCCCATAGATCTTAGCTGCGGCTCGTTCGCTTAGATTCTGGTCGTTTTGAAGAGCTTGGAGAGCAAAGATTATCTGGCTTTCTTTTGAAGTAGAGGGCATTTTGGATGGTAGAGGAAATTTTGTTGTTGAGTGCAAAGATGTCGCGTCGTGTAGGAAGTGGGTCATTCGCTTGTCTAGGTCACTCGCTTATCATGTACGTTATATGTTCATCTCGCTTATAAGATACTATGACGGTGGAACGCACCGACTATGATGATGATATCATTTGCATATATAATGATTCATCATACCAAGTGATGATTCATTATGCATGTTCCATTACATCATGCATGCAAGCTCAAACCTACTCGCATCTTGTATTTAAAGCCTACCTTGCAGTCCCGAGGATTTCTTTCCTCCTGCAAGTTCAATATTCTTGCAATGCAGTCAGTTTACCACCAGAGGCTTGACTCTGGTCTTGAACGACGGCCCTCGTGACAGATACGTTATAAGCAAGCTCGAGTTCCTCTATGGCTTCCGCAAGGCCTAGTTCGCCTCGATGACAGAGAAGAATATCTAGAGTGGCTTTATAGGAGCCGGCCAAGTGCCATACGATCTAGAGAGAGTACTTTCTAAGCTGGATATCAAGCTTCGTACGCCAACCCCCCTAAACTCATAGCCTAGCACTATATAGTCTTGGGTCTTCCAGTCACTATATAACCCCTAGGAAGCCAAAGCACAGTCAACGCTCATCAAGACCCGTATTACCAACCATTAAAATAGCTCCCCAACATTAATGTTGACTGCTGTAGACTAGTTAGCCAAGGGTACAATAGCTATAATGCATCAGATGGCTCTTCTTCGCGCAAAGGTCTCTTTGCTCGGTAAGGCCAACGAAGCACTAAGTAAGCGCCGGAGAGCCAAAGAACACGCGTATAGCTTGGAGGATCGCTTGCAGTACAAGATGCAAAGGATCTACTGGACTAGAAAGCCGTAGTTGGGGAGGTAGCACAAGAAACGCAGCCGGATGGTGGTGGTGCAGGGGGAGCTTGTACGAAAGTTCAGTGCTGTGGTGTGTGCGGCAAGTCTGGCCATAATGCCCGTACGTGCCAGGAGGTTGCAGAAGGGTCTGATTCAACTGTTTCTGATGTAATTATAGTTGGTTCCTAGTGTTGATGTGTTGTAATAGAGGATAGTCGTTGTAAGGTGGTGAAAAGTGGCCCACTCACTGATAATGTACGTTACTTAGCTCATTGTACTAGATTGTCTATAATGACAAGAAGAGGATCGTATACTTCTACGACTCGATTATCTCCGGCCTTGGATATCAGATATCACTGCACCTCTACGAAGGATTGAGGCTTTGTTGCCTCGTGCCCCGACTACATTAGCGTCTCGTCACTCCGCGGCTCCGCCCCGTCCCCTTCCCTCCCCAGCGACGAGAACGACGCCGAATGTAATCATATCCGCAAACGAGCTTTTGTTCAGGTCCGTCGACGCGAGTGGCGTCGGCCAGTTCCACGGCATCATCGTCTGGTGTCCCGCGGCGCGCGATTGAGCTAAGGCGGCGACAGGTTCGAGAAAAAGGCCAAAGAGCTTGCTTCCTAGGAAGAGGTCTTCGTCATTAAAGTTTCCCTGAAAACGCATGGTATGTCCAACACAGTCGACTTAATGATTGCTCATTAAAACCCCTGCCTTCTCTTCTATCTTGGTTATCATTCTCCTTTTCTTTTTACAAGCGTTCTATTTCTCTCATCCATCCTTTACATCATTGGTATTCCCGCTTGGAAGAGGACAGAAGAAATTTGTTTCCCATTGGACGACACCGCCGCCACGACCCTTCCGCTGCTACCATCCCCTGTGGTTATATAAAGCTAACCCGTGCTCCAGATGCCCAAGAAGCCGACCATTTGGCGGGCACTATACCGCTATTTTCCCATCATCAATCCAGATACGATTGCCTCCGGTACCATCAACCAGCGGGGAAAGCGCCATCACCCTAGCTGCCGAAGTCCACCCTGCACCCGTCAGATCGGACACAATCACCATCTGCTGAGATGGTGCAGAAGCGGGTTGAAGAAGGGAATGTCTTCACCAATGATACGCTAGGCAAGACCAAAGGAGCTGCGAGTCACGTAAGATGCCAGCCAGAGTGTACCCGTGCTTTCGCTAACATGATATGCTCTAGAAACGTGCTCCGGCATCATCCAGCCACACCATCACTTGCCATAAGAGCAGTGACTCTGAGAAGGAGATCATCGGGGCACTCCTGGGGTATTCTTGACGAGAACAACAAGATCGCAAATATCCAGCCCTCTGGTGCCGCACAACAGAATCAAACCTGCTAAAGACCTCATTTTATTCTATTCGTTCTGAGGACATTCTTTCACATTGTCGAAAAGTTCCAGCGCACCAAGAACAACGTCGTTTAGCAGGAGACATCCGAAGCGGGCCCGAAGCTGCTGAGAGAATGGAGTTGGAGTTGTTTGGTCGGCTAGCCCGCCACTATATGGATCTGTAGATGGTGGTTCCCATCACCCAGACGGGTCGTTGCACATTACGATGCGACAGAACTAGGTGTCATCCTGGAGGTCTCACATTCCCAAAAACGCCAAGATTTGCCGTTCCTCGCAGATGAATGCATCCTGGGTTCAAATGGGTTGACTCAGGCTGTTATTGGGATTCACCTAGAGTACCAGGGAAAGGAAGCAAGAGTCATAGTATGGCGACCAAACAGGGCCGAGGGAAACGGAGAAACGATCCTTACAACAGAAGAGACAGAAGAGACCTTTGGGGGCACCTTTCGGGATACAGATGGGAAATTGATCAATGGCGGATAGAACCTCCGGATTTGGCTGAAGGATTTCGGTAACGACCAGGGGTCCAAGAGGTATAAGCGGTAATGACCATCTCCCTTTGTTTAGTTGTATGAGTTGGTACAGATGAGGCAGTGGAGAATACGGCAAGTCGGGACCTTTGGTGCACTCGCTCCATGGCAGCTGTTGCGCGCGAGACGTATACGTGTAGAGGGCACCTTCCTGTACATAGAGTCCTTTTCCTTTTCAACTTCGATACTGACCTCCTATCATGGCGGGTTAACGCGGTCTTGGATAAACACAGCACAATAGAACTCAAACTAGTACATCTCAGCTTCTGAGACCCTGCACACTGCAACATGAACCCTTCTTCCCATCATGATTCACCACACGAATGCATAGGTACGCTCTTCCTCACGGTGGGGGGTGTTTGGGGTTTTCGTTACCAAGTTTAGTCTAGTACGTACTAGTATCCGTATGTCCGTGACAAATAGCACTGCACGAGATACAATGCCAAGACTATAGAGGAAGACTTATGCAAGACTAAGAATAGATGCTACGCTGTTGTAGAGGAGACTGCCGACGATCACCGTCCTTCCTCATTACCTAGGTTCATTTATTACTCACTCCCATCGTATACAGCGCGAAAAGAATGATCATTACTGGAGCTCGGGATTTTAGACTCCAGCAAGAAAACCAGCTTGGCGTAAGCGGTAGCGTTAACTTTGATAGTCAGCATTAGTTAGGTACCTAAATACCCCGAACGTAAGCTAAAGGTGGGACGCTTATTCAGGGCCAAGCTGTGCCACACTTCAACCCCCGCGCGCATCTTCTTCCACTCATGAAACATCCCCGCGTAAGATCCGGCGTCGTTGCTACGTCAGGTAGGTTACAGGTACTAGTTCGGTAATTGTTGCGGTGTATGGACGGAGTATCCCCCCACATCAACTGGGCTTCCGGTCTAAAATAAAGCGCGATGGCGGCTCTTTGACAAACAAACAAACGACAACGACGGGAAGTCAGCAGGAAATTTGATCTCAGGATGGCGTCCGAATATGACTTTGTGGTGGTTGGAGGTAGGTGACCCCGTCGTTGCCTGTGCTAATATGTCTAACCTTCTCGGGGATGCATCCTGATTCCTGACCAATTCTATGCGAAACAGGCGGGCCGGCTGGCTGTGCACTGGCGTATGGCCTCGTCCACTCCGCCAAAAAGCCCAAGGTTCTGCTGCTCGAGGCCGGCGGGAAGAATACCGACCCAAACCTCCGGGTTGACGGGCAGCGCTGGCTGACCTTCACGAACAAGGACGTGAACTGGGGCTATAAAACAACGCCCCAGACGCACTGCGACGACCGCGTGCTCGACTATTCCCGAGGTTTCGGGCTCGGCGGATCCAGCGCCATCAACTTCGGCGTCTTCACCATCGGCGCCCGCGACGACTACGAGGAGTGGGCCCGCATCGTCGGGGACGATGCCTTCGGCTGGGAGCCCGTCCAGGCCCGCCTCAAGCAGCTGGAGACCTTCCACTCCGCCCTTCCCGGGGGTGTGAGCAGCAAGTATGCGGCGCCCAAGGCGTCGGACCACGGCTCGTCCGGCCCTCTGCATGTTGGATTCCCCAAGGAGTGCGAGGCCGACCTCGTGCCGCTGCTGGACGCCTTCGAGCAGGCCGGATACCCGCTGAATCCGGACCACAACTCGGGCGACCCCCTCGGCATGTCGCTGCTGATCAGCTCGGCATACCAGGGAAAGCGCTCCACGGCGCACGACCTGCTGGTGCCGTGCCCCGACAACCTCACCGTCCTGACCGAGTCGCCTGTGCAGCGCGTCCTATTGGAGGGCAAAAGGGCCGTCGGCGTGGAGTCCAACGGGAAGCGGTACCTGGCGTCCAAGGAGGTCATCCTGACAGCGGGCGCGCTCGACACGCCACGGATCCTGATGCACTCGGGCATTGGACCCAAGGAGCAGCTGGAGAAGTACAACATCCCCGTGATCCACCACTCCCCGGCGATTGGGCAAGGTCTCCGGGACCACGCCTTCTGCCCGCTGGTCTACACCCGCACGGAAACCAGCACGGCGCGGGCCAGCTTCTACGGCGACCAAGCCGCCATGGACGCCGCGCTGGAGGAGTGGAAGACGCACGGCACGGGGCCGTGGACCAAGTTCGCCACCGAGATGGCCATCGGCTTCCTCAAGCTACCCTCGCTCCCTTCCTCCCCGGAGTTCCAGTCCCTCCCCGCGTCCGAGCAGCGGTACCTAACCTCCCCCACAGTCCCGCACACCGAAATCTTCACGCACTTCCCCATCCACTGGTTCCTCCCGGGCTTCCGCAACGAGGACCTCAACTACTCGTGCATACTGGTCTTCCTGTACAACGCGCAGTCGCGCGGCACCGTCACGCTGCAGTCGGCCGATCCCGACGTGCCCCTGCTGTTTGATCCCAAGTTCCTCGCGCACCCCTTCGACCGCCGCGCCGCGGTCGAGTCGCTGCGCGAGGTGCTGAAGTTCACCAGGACGGAGGCGTACGCCAGGGATACCCTCGGCACGGTGGCCGCGCCGCCGGAAGATGCCGATGACGAGGCGCTGCTGGCCTACTGGAAGCAGACTATTGGCTCGAGCTGGCATATGACGGGCACTGTGAAGATGGGTAAGGCTGGGGATGAGGATGCTGCGGTCGATAAGGATTTCAAGGTCATGGGGGTGCAGGGGTTGAGGGTGGCTGATATGAGCGTGGTGCCGGTCCTGGCGAGCTGCCATGTCCAGGCTGTTGCGTGTAAGTTGCGCTCCCTCCCGTCATCACCTCTCTTAAAGACTGTGGTGGTCAGGTAAAACGGGGGGTTACTGACAAGACTTTCTTTTTTGGGTAGATATCACCGGCGCCACGTGTGCGGAGAAGCTGGTGAAGGAGTATGGGCTGGCGTAAAGAGACTTTGTCTTGCAACTGGTGTATCTCGCCTGTTTTGGTTGCAAGGGCGCTTGCAATTGCTTGTGACAGGCCAGCTACCTTTGTAGTTGAATATTATCGAGGTCTTTGATAGCGAGTCGAAATACCATTTTCACTTCCATCTTAAACCACTCTGACGTGACTTTAAAACTTATGCGTTAGGTTAGTTGGTTCTTTTCCTTTCCTCATTTCTTCTTTCTCTTCCGAGGCATTATATGACGATGAAAGCCAGTCCCCGCTGGCTGATGATGCCACAATCTCTCTGGAATCCCACGAAGGTAATACAATCCAACAATAATATAGCAGGCACCGCCGGAGATGTCATGGTCTCACAACTCATGAATGGCGGGGCAACTATGTGCCTGATCTCTCCATCATCGCCATCAACTAGAGGATGCATTCAGTCCGAGAGGCAAGGGAGGTAAACAGATGTATAAGTATCGGAGTCTCGTTCCTTCAATCGACAGTCAGACAGACACAATTCAATCCCAGACACCGCACTCACACCTTCAAACCGCTGGTTCGGTTACAACGATACAACGAGTTCTTTATACTATCAACTTCAGATTCCCTAGCTCACAATCCCGACTTCTTACAAGACAAACACCCAGTTACCCATTCCTACAAGATGTTGTCCCGGGACTTTCACAATTGCTATTGGTGCGGCGCCGTCCTGTCGCGCACTCAGGACAGGATGAAGGGCTGCAGTTGCCAATGGTAAGTTCGATCAGCCTTCTAAGGGATGTTAGAGCATTCTGACGACTTCTATAGGTCCTCGAACATGGCGAGCAAGAACACCCCGGGTACAGGACGCCCCGGCAGCAGCGGCAGCAACAATGGGGGCGGCGGCCGTAATGGTGGTGGCTCGGGGGGTGGCTCGAAGCCGATCCCCATCCCTAAGCCCAAGGGTGGAAAGAAGTGATTTCCAGAGAGATGACGCGTCAAGCCGGGCGTTTGCAAGCAATGAGGAGAGATAGCGAGTAAGCTAGGCCGCTAGTCGACTGCAGTTGAGTGGACTGAACATGCGAGGCGGAAAACAGAATAACATTGCCACTGGCTGGTCCAGCTTGGGTACCAAAAAAATAAAAATAAAAAAAAAACAAAAAAAAATGGGGAGGGACCTCAAGTTTCAGATGCATGACTTGTCTTCTCTATTATCCGCCCATTCTTCCTGAGCATGACTCCACGACATCACCTCCCCAGTTTCCAATCCCAGATTCCTTTTCTACTCATCAATACGTGTTCTGACCTAGGTCGCGACTTGTCGACTCGGCGCCGTCCTCGCTGATCGACGTTGTCTCTCTCCTCTGAGAATCCGGCAAACCATAGGTAAGTCCTCGGTCGTCGCGGATCGGAATCCCAAGCTTTTCGTGCAGAGTCGGCAAGTAGGGCATCACGACCTCGTCACAGTAGCTCACAAGCCAGTCGCGACAACGCTGCGTGTCATCCTCCTCACCCTCGAGGGCACAGCTAGAACCAGGCCGCTGCCAGTAAGGCCGCTCAAACCACTCGGGCCAGAAGCCCCCAAACTCCCAGTCGATGATGGCTTTGATTTTCAGTGTGTCACGGTCCACGATCACGTTGTGCTGCGCGAGGTCGTTGTGGCAGAAGACAAAATCCCCTCTGACACTGCCCCGAGGCTGCCAGCAGCTGTTGGGCTTCCAATGGAGATTGGAAATACGTTCAGGCGCGCAGAGCAGCGACGGGGCCGCTTTGCCGCCGGCTTCGCGCACGCCAGGCACGCCGGGGGTGTCAGACCGCAGAGATTTTAGGGTCGTGACATGCTGCAGCAGCTCCTGTATAACGACCTTTTTGTCCCCCTCGCTCAGGCTGTCCATCGTAACTCCCTCGACGAGCTCGGTGCAGTGGTAAAAGGCTCCGTCGTCCTCGAAGACGCACTGAAGGCGCGGCACCGGGATATTTGTGTGAGTGGCAAGGTACTGGAGGATGGCAGCGTCGTTCTTCCACCGCTGGGGAAAGGTCGAAGGTGGTGATACCCGGCTTGATATCCATTCATGCCGCCGGAGCGTTCGTTTGATGCACGAGTTTCCCACGTGTAAGTACTTTCGGTCAGTGAGAACAGCCAAGCAGCCCGGCTCCCGATGTTCGTTTAGCTCCTGGTTGGTTACTAGTCGCATCTTTTAGAGAGTGTGATTAAACGACGCCCTAGCGTTGGAAAGAGACGAGGAGAGAGTTGCTGGAGGGAAGGAGAACACAGCCAACTGGTGAGCTGAAGTGGGGAAGATAACAGGTTTCTCCGCCGCTGCTATCCAGCCATTGACGGCCTGGTTGGCTGGCGGTTGTTTCGTGATGCAGCGAGATTTGGCCCCCACGATACTGTTGGTATTAGTCTCTGGTTAACAGCCTTGATTCCGTGGGCATTGTGCAGCTCAAGTGGCTAGTCGGGTGGCTAGTGTGGGGATGTATCTGTGGGGCCCCGTGAAATGCCCACGGAATAAAGTCTGTGGACGTTGCGAACATTTTAGGGGACTTTGTCATACGAGACCCATATATAAGAAAAAAGTCACCATCTTCAATCTTGAATTTTAATACCAATTGGAATAGTATAGATATGCACTTAGTATGTGGAAGATGAGTTTTGAAAGGCCTTTCGAGCGGTATATTGATTGAATTGCTTGGACTATTAGTTATAGAAATGCAACTTCGAGGGGGTGATTTGACTTTGTCATACAGCTTCATTTGGCTTGATTACCCCATGTGAAATTTACAACCACGATAGATAGTAAGATGCAACTTGGTAGGAATGTTGGCCTATGTAAGACCTTTCTTCTGGTATATAAATTGAATACGCTAGTGTATAGTGGTGATGTTGGGGGGGGGGGGGGGGTAAGAATATCACCTTCAACGACCTACCTTCTTCAACACCTTTCTCGACCACTACTCGCCGTAACACAATGCAAGCACATTTTCCATAATCCTCTGGATCTCACAATTCCACCAATGTATAGGGTATCATATGCATGCGGTGTACATAGAGAAAGTGGCAAGATAGGTAGGCTACTTAGGATGACAGAATAGACGATTTTGTTCGCAACGTCCTCAGACCAGCTGGCGCTGCTGTTGGTTGTGGGTTCTGATTGGCTGAAAATTCTGGTGGGCCCTGAGGTGCCCCACAAATACATCAATAAGCTCTCTGCGCCAACAGCTGGATCTGAGTCTCTGAGACTAACGCGCGGTTGTCGCATCCTCAACGACCAGCCCGGAACGACCCGCGCCAATATTCTGCCTTGTCTGCACCGACAGGGGCCGGGATTCTGGCGCCAAAATTGCACCTCCATCGCGAATGCGTGGGACGCGTTCTGGAGGGCTCGATGGGTGTGAACAAAGTAGAATGGGCGACGCCTTCCGGCCTCCGTCGCCGGCGCCGTTTGCAGTCGTTACGGAGCCGGCCCCACTCCGGGAAAGCGAATGGGTTCTCGGCCGGCAAAACTTCGGCTGAGGCGTTGGCCTGTTCTTACTGAGTCATCAATTGCACTTGTGCGAAAGTCAAGATTTTGCGTGACTGTTCCTGCTTGTAGATGGTGAGCCCGGGAACGTGATGGATCATTGCAATCAAAATGACAGCGTTACTAGGGAAGAGCACGCCATTAACTTGAGCTTTGCTCAAGACAAACGGACATCCCCCAACAACACATGTTTTGGGAATGGTGCGGGTGGCAGATGATCTGGTGCTGTTCTCTTCGTATCATGTCATATGAGTGGCTCACATTATTTAACACCAATTATGTACTCTACACCCTGGGTGGCGACGGCGCGGATCCGAGCGGACCAGCCCTCATGGGCGTACCAGACCCGAGTCTTGAAAGAAAAGAAGCCCGAAGCCAAGTATCAATGCCCCCGTAGTTACATTGCATAATGCCGGGCTTGTCGTTGTGTCGCGTGGGATCGTGATCTCCTGCTGAAGAACCGGCGTAAGTCCGTGCCACTACTCTATAGCTGCCGGCTCCTCGTCATAGCGCCCTGTACCTGTGGATGGCATTCTTGCTATTACCCCCTCTCCAGCAAGATAGAGCGTCGTCAATGATCAAACTTTGCTAGGATGACGACCTTGACATCGTGCTCCGACGCTGTAAACAACCACGATATATCGTCTCGGAGCCGATTCAATGATTCAGAATCTCTAGCTTCGGTTACCAGCGTTGGCCAATCGTCTATTTCCATACGTTCCCGGTCCGGGCCACCCGTCAAACTGCCTTCTCCACCGTCTCCTTCGGGAGGGTTCTGCAGTCGAAGTGTTGCAGAACCAATCAATCGCTAGGCTTCGTACATACCCCTCCGGACAAGCTGGGAGCGGTATTAAAGGTAACGTGACGCCCGCGGCGAGAACCCCCGACGACGCGGGCGGGACGAGGCTAGCAGCAGGTTGATTGGCAGAGATACGAGCGTAGAGGTCCCAGAGGGTTGCGGTCAGGCATCAAGGCTGTCATTAGTCCTCCGCGGGAGTTAGCATCTGATACTCGGGTCGTACTGATACCAGGTACCTATACAACTTCCAGGGCTCCGCGTCCAACATCCATACCTATGTCTCCCGTGTTGTGTCCACCAAGACCGTCGCAACTACCGTATGATACGCTGGCAGGCTGTGTGAACGACGTCCTCGCCGTCGAGAGTATCTCGTGGAGACGCTCGACATCCCATCCGACCACATCGGGAAGCTGCTAGCGCCGCGGCCAAAAGCCAAGTACATTGGCCTGCCACTTAGGGAATACAGTTGTGCTGTGAAGCTCGTCGCTAGCTGTCCAGACCAGAGCACCAATCGGGAACAGGACCCAGGGCGGCTCATTGCTTGGCGTCATGAGCAGGAGGGTCAGTACGCTCAGTGATAAGCGTAGTGAGCGGCTCATCCAGATCACCAATGAGCCGAATGATCCAGGTACGAAGGTACCTAAGGAGGAAGCTGTATATAGATCTACCATTCTGTCACTCATTCAGATAGCTTCCTCAGTGAGCAATTACAAGCAGTAGCCTTCACCTACTCTGCAGAACATTGCGACTTGCATTGTTGTGAACCTTTTGGCTTCACCGAACCTCACCCCATTATTGCGATACCTTCATATTGTCCCTTTCAGAGGATTGGAGCAAGAGATTCGTCGCACTAGCATGGCGTTCGCAAGCAAGTCGTCATAACAAGCGACTCGTTCAGAAGGTGAACGCTGAGATTGATTCTGGAGACCATCTGTAGTACAGTCTAGATTTGCAGGGATCTATATTGAGATCAGCCTCAACACAGTCTGTCCGTGGAGCATCGCTCTCGGTGTAACCTTTCGGCACCTGTTGCTCCGTGCCGAAGTGAAGACCATTCGTAGGCGCACCAGTCCCAAGCCACATAGTATTGCCGGTGCCGCATGGCCCTGTTTACTATTTCTCATTTTGAGCTCAGGACTCGGAGACGGTCCTTACACGGACGGACTAACCTATCTGCGCGACTCTCCGAGACAGGCAAATGTAACCGCCCGGCTAAAGAGAGATGGCTAAATCTTCTTCACCTATTTCTTCCTATCCGACAAGACACGGAGATTCGTTTACGTTCAAAGCCGTGGTATGGATAACAGATCCTACGGCCGGTTTTCTAACACGCATATCATAAAGCCCATCATGCCACCTTGAGCCTTTCTCGGTGTTTGGTTTCTTGAGACCATCGAGTTTCCCAATGCAGTTACCCAATTCTCCTGCCGATCGCTTCAAACGGAAAACAATCCTGGGCCCACAATGAAGCGTCCACTTGCATCGCTTGCGCTCCTGCTGGCCATCATCGGCCTAACATTCGCTGACAACCCTATTATTCAAACCATTTACACGGCTGACCCAGCTCCATACGTGTACAATGACACTATCTGGCTCTTTGCGGACCACGACGAGGATGCGGCGAGCAGCTTCTTCCTGATGAAAGAATGGCGCCTGTACTCCAGCACCGATGTAGTCAACTGGCAAGATTACGGCGTAATCGCGAGCCTTGCGTCGACCTTCAAGTGGGCCACCGACAGAGCCTGGGCACCGCAGGCGGTCGAGCGCAACGGTATCTTCTACATGTACTGCCCGGTGCAGGTCAATGGTGGTGCAATGGCAATTGGCGTTGCCACCAGCAAGACCATAACCGGCCCGTATGTGGATGCCCTGGGGAAGCCGCTGGTACAGAACAACAACATCGACCCGACTGTCTGGATCGACGACGACGGCCAGGCCTACTTGTACTTTGGAAATCCGGGGTTTTCCTACGTCAAGCTCAACAAGGACATGATCTCGTACAGCGGCTCCGTGATCAACGCCAACAAGCCCAACGGCTTTGTAGAAGCGCCCTGGCTTCACAAGCGTAACGGCAAGTACTACCTCTCATACGCCTCCAACGGCATCCCAGAGAGCATCTCGTACTCGACGTCCACCAGTCCCACCGGCCCATGGAACGGCAGGGGTGGCACTATCATGGCCGCCGCGGGTTCCAGCTTCACCAACCACCAGGGCATTATCGACTACAAGAACCACTCCCTTTTCTTCTACCACAACGGCGCCCTTCCGGGCGGTGGCGGCTACCACCGCTCCATCTGCATCGAAGACTTTACCTACGGCTCCGACGGCTCCATCCCCACCCTCAAGATGACGACGGCTGGTGCTGCGCAGATCGGCAGCCTCGACCCGTACGTCAGGACCTCGGCCACCACCATGGCCTTTTCCTCGGGTGTCAAGACGGAAAAGTACAGCGAGGGCTTCATGGACGTGACCAACACCAACGCCAACGGCGCCTATATCAAGGTCAAGGGCGTCGACTTTGGCACCACCGGTGCCACGTCGCTGTCAGTCCGTGTGGCCAGCCCCGGTGGCAATGGCAGGCTCACGGCTAGCCTGGGCAGCCGGACCGGCACCGTGATTGCGACGTGCACCGTCGCCGCGACGGGCGGCACGCAGAAGTGGGCGACGGTCAACTGCCCCGTCACAGGCGCCAAGGGCAAGAATGACTTGTACTGGACGTTCTCGGGCAGTTTTGGCTTTGCTTGGTGGCAGTTCAGTGCTACAAAAGCGGCCAGTAAGGCTCGCGGTTTCAAGGCGTGAGTGCATGCCTGGTGAAGTGTTGTATATAGTACTCTCGACGACCAACGTGAGAAAGAACTTCGATGCTTGAATTTTATCTCCACAACACCTGCATGAGTCGAAGTTAGCCAGAATCAACACCGATCACGGCAAAACATGCACTAAATCTGTAGGTCCATGTGCAAATGGATCTCCACGGTGCCCGTCCCGGTCACACCGAGGCGATAATGTCAATAGCAGTACAAGTCTCAGTGATATCTCCTTTACGTAGATCTCGGCAGATTCTCGGAGACAGAGAATTGAATGAAGTTGTTGATATGTAACCATCAGCGGCATGTGACGTATGAGATCAGCTTGTGCGGCTCCATCCACTCCATGCCCGCGACATATGTCTGGTCCCCGTTCACACGGCAGTGAGGGAACATCAGTAACCAGCGCCCGACATTCGGTTCTCCCGAAACATGGCCGCAGGGGGTTGCCGCCTTTAACCTTTAAATATAATAGATGGTATCTTCAAGGTGAGGATGTACATCCTTTGGGGTGGATAGCCTAGACAAAGCAACGGGCGCCGTGTCCGACTCGAGCTCGAAGAGTTTCGGGTTGTAGGTTCGGGCGCGTCGGTGCACAATGTCGGCTCAGTAGGCCGGTGGGCATATGCTGACAGATTTGATCGCACGGCCAAAAGAGTTAACACAGCTCGTTGGTTACTCGCTCCTGTAAGCTTGCTGCTAGAGGTCCAACTTTTGGCATAAACACCTCGTCTAGGAGTATGGTTTAGTATAACGGTTGTATGGTTGCTAGCGGAGGCAGAGTTCATCAAGTCAGTATGCCGCCTTGCCGAAACCTTAGAGAGTCAACCTTCGTTCTAGACACCGAGTCTTGGAGAAATATGTCGTGGGGTGCGGCACTAATATACATAATAGCGAACATCACTAACATGTCTGCCTCTCTGAAGTTAGGGCCTTTGGACTTTGCCGTTGCCTCTAGGTCGGCAAAGTCCGTCCGTGAATTCCCTAATGGGTGCCGACAGCGCGTAAACTGTTGAAAGAGAAGGGAGAGTCGTTACTGAGGAGACCCGTCGCAATAGGTGCTAGGCTCTTCAGCACCGACGTCCTACGCTCCAAGGTTCAGTATTTATCTCAAACCAGGGTTTCCGGGTTTAGATCCTTGGATTCCCCACAAATATGTCGGCTCCCACTGGAAGCGGCATGCCCCGGTTAGAGAGTTTCTCTAGCTGTGGCTGAGCTGATGTCGGAGTCGGAGCCTAACGACAACTATCTTCGATTTTGAGGCCCTAGAGGTTGTTGATAAGGACGGAAAGGTTAGCGCTATTGCTTTAATCTTTCGCGCCAGGGCTTAGATGGTTATATTGCAGGCGGAGCAGACCTAGGCCGCTAAGAACGCCTATAGGTAGTCCTGCAAGCTACACACATCGGTTTATGCATCAATAGCACGGCACAACGATGCGGTCTCCTAGCCTTTGCGAACCATAACACAGGATGACAATATTCTTAGCGTACGTGACATGTTTCATACCACCATTAGAGGATAACAGAGCTAAGAGCATGCTATATCATCGAATATTACCCTTAGTTTTGACCTAGCCCGTTCAACTCTATACTGTCAAAGCTATACCACTATGCTCTAGTGTTACGAACCAACCATATAACCCGACCTAGTGGGACCATGCAGGTGACGGGGTTACCAATCAGGAAGCGTAAGGCCGCAGGGTGCCCCACATGGACGCCAGTGGACGACAGCGTCCAAAAGCGACTGTATGGACGCCCAAGGACGCTGGCGAGCACCAGCGACCATGGACGCTCGAGGACGACGGCGAGCACGGGCGTCCACGGGAAAATAGCTAGTATATAGTCATTCGTTAGGGAGGGCTCTGGGAGTCCTCCAGTGAGCAATATAAGCAGTAAGGTAGCCCTACATTACTGTGCGGACATTGCGACTTGCATTGTTGTGAACCTTTTGGCTTCACCGAGACCTATAGTCCGACCAGCAGTTACCTTCGACCGGCGAACCCTTTCAGAGGCAGGACTGCCTGTGGTTTCGTCACATCTAGTAGTGTGCTAGACCTTCTACAACTAATTACAAAGGAAAATTTGCCTAAATAAGCTAGATTAAAAGCTTTTATCTATCTATATAAGTCTAATTATATAATTCCTTCTACTACATTAAAAGGAGAGATATAGTAGCTAGCTAGTTGTCATGAACTAACCTGCAGAGGCTGGTGGGGGCTGACCTGCATGGTTGACAGGCGGCGCCCACGTCTAATCATTATAAGCCGAGGAGGACCAACGAGGATTGAGGAGATTAGGAACAATGCTAAGAACGATTGTTCCTAAGGAACAACGCTAAGGAATATTGTTCCAAATGGAACAACGAGAACAATAATTGTTCCAAATGTTCTAGAGATCTAGGTACGGGGATACTTAGGGGAAGAAGCTATATATAGTTCTACTACTCTGCCACTTATTTAGATAGCTAGCTTCCTTAGTGAGCAATTATAAGCAGTAGCCTCTACCTACTATGCAGACATTGCGACTTGCATTGTTGTGAACATTTTGGCTTTACTGAAACCTATAGTCCGACTAGCAGATACCTTCGACTAGCAAACTCTTTCAGAGATAGGACTGCCTATGGTTTCATTATAATATATTATTCTTCTTAATATTTTAAAGAGACTAACTAATTAGTATTTATTTTTATATCCTAAACTGTGACGAAACCACAGGCAGTTCTGCCTCTGAAAGGGTTCGCCGGTCGAAGGTATCTGCTGGTCGGACTGTAGGTCTCGGTAAAGCCAAAGGGTTCACAACAATGCAAGTCGCAATGTCTGCACAGTAATGTAGGGTTACCTTACTGCTTGTATTGCTCACTGGAGAACTCCCAGAGTCCTCCAGAACGAGTGACTATATACTGGCTATCTTTGGGTGCTCTTATGTGCTCTATAGAGCTCCCTAGAGCTCGGTGCTCTATTGACTCCATTGAGAGCTTCCATTCCCTCGCGTTGATTGGCTTACTCCCGGAGCTCTCGTCTGCTCTCTAGAGCACCTTAGAGCTCCTTCTTATTAGTTCTAAATGACTGGTTCGGGTGCGCCCTGTGCCACCCGTCGGGTTGTCCCCACCTGCAGCTGTCCTGTTGGCTTAATTCGTGACATGCATGCATGTATGATTAGTCGACCTAATCAGTGCCCTACATCCTGTATTTAGCTGGCACCTTGCACTTGTAGAACCTCTTCCTTCTGCAAGTTCTATATTCTTACAATATAGTCAGTTGCCTACTAGAGCCATTAAGCCTGGCTTGTATTGATGGGACCTGTGATATATATCACGCCTATTTTGGTTGCAAGAGCGCTTGCAATTGCTTGTGACAGTCCAGCTACATTTGTAGTTGAATGTTATCGAGGTCTGTGATAACGTATCTTATAAGCGAGATGAACATATAAGCGAATTGAACACTTGCCACCATACTATAACAGTCAACTACAATTACAACACAACAACATTATGAACCTACTATAATTACATCAGAAACGGCTGAATCAGATGCTTCTGTAACCTCCTAACAAGTGCGGGCATTATGACCAGGCTTGCCGCACACACCACAGCATCGAACCTTCGTACGAGCCCCCCCTGCACTACTACCATCCGGCTGCATTTCTTGTGCCACCTCCCTAACCACAGCCTTTTGGTCTAGTAGATCCTTTGCATCTTATACTGCAAGCGATCTTCCAAGCTATACACGCGTTCTTTTGGCTCTTCGGCGCTTGCTTAGCGCCTCGTTGGCCTTGCAGAGCGAAGACACCTCTGCCTAAAGGAGGGCCACCTGGTGCATTATAGCCATTGTACCCTTGGTAAGCTGGTCCATAGCAGCCAACATCGAAGTCGGAGAGCTATTTTGATGGTTGGCAATGCGAGTCTTGATGAGCGTTGACTATGAGTTGGCTTCTTAGGGGTTGTATAGTGTCTGGAAGACCTAAGATTGTATAGTGCCTAGCTGTAAGGTTAGGGGTGTTGGTATACGAAGCTTGATATTTAGCTTCGAAAGTACCCTCTCTAGATCGTATAGTATAAGGCCAGCCCCTATAAAACCGCCCTATATATTTCTCTTGGTAATAGAGGCAAAGAAGGCTGTACGAAAAGCATAAAGGAACTCGAGCTTGCTTACGTGGCTGATATACGCGCGTATTAAGTCCTCGATCTGGCGACCGTATACCTGCTTCAACGGCCTAAAGCAGCCAACATCAAGTGGCTGGAGGAGGTAGGAGGAATATAGAGGTATGTAGAGCGTGATAATATTGTTCTGCTAGCAGTAGAGCTCGAACTCGGTTGAGTGGTGGCTTTTGTGGTTATTGAGGATCAATAACCGGTATTTGCCCTTTATCCGAGGCGCTATATAGTAGTCGAAGTGCTTGATCCAATCAAGGCCTATTGTATTAGTAGTCCAGCCATTGTTGGTGGTTGTAATACGCCAGTCGGCCGGGAGGTTGAACTCGGTATACCAGTTGGCGAGATAGTATTGCGCCGCTAAGATGATGAACGGAGGGATAGCCCAGCTAAGGGCATTGACGTCTTGGATTATAGTCGCCTATTCGCGGTTGCCAGGCTAGGCTAGCTTTGCCTTGCTACGGCCATCTGAGGTTATTACCACTGTGCCTGGGAAGATAATGCCTATTATAAACCCAGTCTCGTCGAAGTTATAGATATCGTCATCTACGATACTGTACTTGGCTTTAACGTTCCGTATAAGGGTAAACTATTCGCCAATGACCTTTGGATCCTTATATTTGGCCCTCTGGTAGTCGTATCTATACGTATAACGCGTCCGGAGCTCTGGCTGGCGTTTGACGAAGTTATATGCCCAGAGCTTGCCGATAGGGGGCGCATCGTGTACGTATAGTAGCTGGTTGGCCATATCTTCTACACCACGTAGTCTCGGGGGAAAGGCTCGCTCAGATAGCTCAATTATATACTGAACAAGAGCCTTCTCTTCAGAATCGGTAAGCCGGCGGGAGTTGGGCGTAGTGTCGCGTCGTGCAGGCTTGCCGTCGCGTCGGTTTCGGATAGTATTAACTGTGACGTTATAGATCTTTGCTGCGGCGCGAAGACTAAGTTTTGGGTTCTTTTGAATAGCTTCAAGGGCTAAGATTACCCTAGATTCTCTTGAAGCCGAAGACATCGTTGGGTGTAGAGGATTTTGGTTGTAGTATAGAGAGAAGACGTGTCGCGGTCAAAGTGTTCAATTCGCTTATATGTTCATCTCGCTTATAAGATACGTTAGCGAGTTTAAATACCATTTTCACTTTCATCTTAAACCACTCTGACGTGACTTTAAAACTTATACCTTAGGTTAGTCGGTTCTTTCCTTTCCTCATTTCTTCTTTCTCTTCCGAGGCATTATATGATGATGAAAGCCACTCCCCGCTGGCTAATGACGCCATAATCCCTCCGGAATCCTATGACGGTAATATAATCCAATAACAATATAGCAGACGGCAGGCACCGCCGGAGATGTCATGGTCTCACCACTCACAAATGGCGGGGCAACTATGTGCCTGATCTCCATCATCGCCATCTACTGCAGGATGCGTTCAGTCCGAGAGGCAAGGGAGGCAAAGAGATGGCCTTCCATCTTAATACCTTACCCAAGAGAGAGCCCTTCAAACTCCTCTTGGTTCGAGACACCATGACCTATATTACTTCAGCTCTAATTGAGCAAGCACTCTCGTCATCAACATTACGGCAATAGAAAAACGCGACAGCAAAGATAATATGACAGTCACTAATATCTACTAGATATCTACCTTGCCTAGCTACGCCCCCCGCCCAGGAAAAGCACAAACCATAGGCGCCTCGAGAAACAGCGTCTGGAAGGTGCCCTCCTCGAGCATTTTCTCGGGCGCCTTGCCACTGATATCGCCCGGCCGGGTATCCACCTGCCAGCCCGTAGCGAAGCTCAGCGCCGCCCAGGTCTTCACAGCCGCCTCGGCCGCGCCGCTTCCCAGCCCGGGCGTGCCACTCCACCGACTCCGTACGTATTCCCACTCGTCGCTGCCGCCCACATCACTCGTACTCGTACTCGTACCAGTAGTACTAGTGGTAGTACCGTGAGCGAGAGGAAGAGCGCGAGGATACCAAGCCGCGTTGCTCGCTTTTGGTGCGGGAAAGGCGACCGGATCGCCCACGGGACGCACGAAGAAGGTCTCGTAGGCAAACGCCGGGATGCAGTCGGTTGCGATGCGCGGCAGCGGGGAGGAGAGGGTAATGCCCATGGTGAGCGGGACGAGGGTGGCAGTGGGTGAGGAGGGGTCGCCGCTGGTATTGGTGGGCTGGAGGAGGTTGCTGTTATGGTTTGGGTCGGGGTTGTTGGGGTCATTTGGGTCATCGGCAGCCGAGTCTGTGCGGGGTGGTTGATCCATGTTAGTAGTGAGACCCTGGGGGAAGCGGAGGTTAAGGGAGGGGATGCTTCAGTGAGAAATATTCCAACAAACGAGGTATAGAACTAATACTAGTAGTAGGCACTCACACAATCCCCACACAGCCTTGGGCACCGGCTTCACAACGGGCACGCCATTGTCCCACACCGGGACCGGTGGAGGAGCATCGCCATGGTCCTGGCCGGTGAGCAGCGGTCCCTTCGTCGGAGAATCGACCGGAGTAATCGTGACTGTCAGAGTGCTGTCCAGCCTCTTGGTGCAATGCATAGGACGCGCATAAATGGGCTGTCCGTTGCCGGGAATGTGCAGTGGCGGAATGGGCGGCGCGTGAGGGTCCGTCTGGGCCGTGACGACGTCTGCCGAGTCGATGGCAAACTTGCAGCCGACGGTAAAGCGGAAGACGGCGCCGCGTACCCGCCAAGGCTCGTCATCCTTGTTGGGCGTCGACTCGGTGCTACCCGTTGGCACAAGTCCCTCGTTGCACGAGTAGACGTGTGGAGGAGGGGAGGCTGACGGCGGGTCATCACGGTCATCACCAGTACCGGTAGATGCGCCCGCGGCCACGGCTTTTGACAGATCAGCCTGCAGCGCAAGATCGTAGAACTGCTCCAGCCCAAGCTTGCCAGCCGGGCCGCCCGAGTCGTCGCCAAAGTCAATATCAAAGCCAAACACCCAGAAGTCGACATGCACGGTCCCGTGCAGCGCCGGGCCGGCCAGGTACAGCGTGGCGCCGATCTCGACGCTGATGTGGATCGTGCAGATCCACAAGTCCAGCGTGAAGCGGACGCCGACCGACACGCCGCCCACAGCGGTGAAGTGAAACGGCTTATAGTTGATCAGCAGGTCGGCCCAGGCGTCGAACCAGGCCGAGAGCGGACCGAGCGAGAGCGAGGCGTCGAGTCGGCCGCCGGCCATGGCCACGTTCGGCGTGATGGCGAAGTAGGCCTCGCCCGTGATGCTGATGGCCGAATCGAAGGACCAGCTGATGCCCAGCCTCGGCACGTTGGATGGATATTGCGCCGGAGGCTGGAAGTTGCGATGATAGCCGCCCACAGTGAACACAAAGTCACCCGCGGGGATGGGCCCGGCGGCCCCGTCGGGTTCGGCGCCCCGGAACCACTGGTAGTAGGCAAAGCCGCCACGCAGATGGCAGAAGGGATCCCAGACATACGACGACGGCGCGAGCTGGCCCTCGATTCGGAGCGCGTCGGTGCCGAAGTCAAAAGTTGCCGTGACGCCAAGCTCGGCGTGCAGCATCTTGAGGCTTTCCTGGTTTCCCGCGGGCATGTCGGCCGTGGCAACCCCGTAAAGGCCGAGCTGCACGTTCGGATTCCACTCGACCACAAGGACGAGGCGCACCTGCAGCATCTGGAGCGCCTTGACGCTGAGCCCTGCGGCCAGCCAGAAGGCTCCGTTCTGCGGGAAGAACCATGCGCCGCCTACCAGGGCAGCCAGTTCCTGGTTTGGGTCTGTCGAGTCTGGGTTGCGCAGGAAGGGGAAGTCGAGCACGTTCGTAGGGTTGGGCAGCTGCAGAAAGGTATTATAGCCAAACCCGCCCATGACCCCGTTGATCTCGGCAAATTCCAGCTCGACGAGCGGCCCGTGGAGGATGAAGTAGACGAACGCGGATATGAATGTCTCGGAGCTGGCGGTGGTGGTGGTGCCATAGTATCCGGCTGCCGTGAAGAGATACGGCTGGAAACTCAGCGTGGCAGCGCCCTGATACCAGTCGCGCTTCACCGGCAGGTCCTCGTGACGGTGTTCGAACATGCCAGCAATCACGACCGGCGGTCTGTCGAACGCGACCCCTAGGCCCGCGATGCGGGGACAAGGCGTCGGCAGCTGGAACAGCGTGACCCCCTTGTCGAAGGAGAGGTCGAGGCCGAAGCCAAGCAGGTCTAGCGCAATTGGGCCCACGGCGATGGAGGCATCCATGATGATGGATAGTACTGGCTTCTCGGCTGGCGTGAATTGGAAGCCCATGTTGCGAATGCTTAGCGGGCCTATCCTTTTCTCGTACGGCGCCTTGGCCGGTCCTGGGCCTGTTCCCGGCGGTGCAGTGACTGCAGTCTCACTGCCACCTGCCCCTGCGCCTGTGAAAACGAACCCACTCGACGGTTTTCGGGGGGTCAGCGTAGGCACGTAAAACACATAGTCAAGCGCCACCGTGGACTGGCCGGCCGGGCCCTTGAGCACCAGGATGAAGTGTGCACCGATCGTGAGGACCACGTCCTCGTCTGCAAACTTCTTCGTAGCGCGATAGGGAAGCTGTCTTCTTCCTACGAGTCGGAGCTCGTCGTTGATTGCCCTCGCCTCGGCGAAGGTGAGGCCTGACTCCGCCGTATCGCCTTGTTCAGGGTGAACATAGAGCAGAAGCATCTCGTCAAACGGTTGCGTGAGGTTACCAACAAGCGGTATATCGACCGCGGGCAGCGAGTTGACAACGAGTTCAAAAATGCGTCGCGGGCGCGGCCTATTACTACCAACACTCCCCCCTGCACCCTCCGGCGTGACCCCTTGGTACTGGACCCCTTGGAACGTCATGTCGAGGAAGCTAAGCCAGGCTGTGAAGAGTAGAGGTCTTTCTTTCGTACTACCAGTACCGGGAGATCCTCCAGGCGCCGGGAGAGCCGCCATGTCAAAGCCCACGGCCTTCTCATCGCGGGGCGGGATAACGGGGATGTCGCGGATGAAAGCGGGCATTTCACTCGTCACCGTGTCGCCAAAGAGGTAGGCCAGAACGTCTGATAGCGTAGCCTTGCCAAGCTCTGTGCGGCTAACATCCAAGTGTGCCTCGAAGCGCCATTGCGTGGGGGGGTCGTGTGTGAAATCGAGCGTCAGCCCCAGCGACCCGATGACCAGGTCGCCGTCGACCGAGAAGCTCGTCGCGCCGCCGCGGGCTGCATAGTGGTACTCGATGCCCAGCGACGTGATGCCGATATTATCCAGGATCTCCCCAATCCCGCTGCCGATATCTGGGTCGAAAAGCTGATACAGGGTCGACCCGTAGATGTTCTGTGCCAGCGCGGTGAGCTTCCACAACCCGGCGTCGTACGAGACCTCGCCCAGAATCATGGCGGGAATCGCGTTCCTGGCGCCCGGGGCGGGCCGGAGCATGGCCCGCATCATCAACGAGCCCCCCAGCGAGTCTTTCTGGCCGAACTTGTACGACACGCTGAGCGCCAGCTCGTTCAGCGAAATGACCGGGATGGCTGGGCCCTCCGGCTCGTCAGCCATGATGGAGCCGGAAAATGCGATGCCGAGGCTGCCGACCGTGAGGGTAGCCTCGGTGACGTGGTGGGGGATCTCCTTGGGCAGCCCGTCAAACCCGCCCATCTTGGAGAGATCGAGGTAAGACGGCCACGCTTCCCCGGGATCCAGCGTCACAGGAGACCCAAGGTCCAAGTAGGCTTCGTAGTCAGGCAGCAGCGCGTTGGCATCGATACTAGTACTAGTACTAGTGCCAGCAGTAGTACTAGCAGTCATCTGTGTTGGGCCGCTCGCCGCCGTCGGACTAGCCCAGAGCCCGGCGCGCAGCATGTTGCTGGGCCCGTCCGACTTGTTCCACGTGTAAGTGAGCAGAAAGATGGCAAACACGCCGTCTGCAAAGTGGGTGCGCGCCTCGAGGTCGATCTGGACGCTCGAGATGCCCGGGGTCTGAGCAGTGGCGCTCACGCCCCGGGAATCGGGAGCGCTATCCAGGACGATGACAATGCGGCGGAGGTAAATGTGCGGGAACGAGGCGCTGCCCGCCGTCCGGCCGAGCCATGCCGAGAAGGGGAAGTTGTCGCCAGAAAGCCCGAGCAGAGGAGCCAAGACCTTAAAGACGGGCTGGACCACGTCGACTCTGCCACTGCGCAGGAGGAGCACCACCTTGGTTTGCGCCGGGTGGATCTCGATGCCGGCGTCGAACAAGATGGGGTTTTCGGTGCCGACCTGAACCTTGGCCACGAAGGTAATTGATCCGTCGAACGAGGCTCGCATGCCCACTTGCCCGTCGGCCGTTGTGGCGGGACTACACGTCGACGTCCTACGCGCGACCACCGAGGCCGATGTGACCTGTATGCCAGCAAGAGCGTGAAGGTACCCGTTCAGCGCCGAGACCGATCCGCTATCGAGGTCCATTTCCAGACGCGTCGTCGTGCGGTAGCCCCTGAGCGGCTCCAACCAGATGGCATTTCTCCGCCCCTTTGTCACGGGTGGGACGGTGAGCTTGATCGCCTGCAACGCCAGAATCGCCGGCGATTCTACTAGATACTCGATGCCGGCAAAGGCGACGAGCTGACCGAGTGTCGCAGTAATCGGACCCAAGGACGCGTCCCCGCCACCTGCAAGACCGAAGATCATGACTTTGGTTGCCGAGAGGATGCCCAGGGGCGGGGCGTCGGCCGGGGACAAGCCGAATGCATCCGCCACGGCGTCGGTGTTGAAGAGAAGTGGAGGAGCGCCCGATGATCCGGGCGTCGACATGGACGGTGCGGGTGTGGCCAAGGCAAAGCTACCCGGCGTTCCAGCAGGGCCGAAGAAGACGGATATCCCCGGCAGCAGCAGAGATAGCGTCGCCGACATGCACAAGCCGAACTCGTCTGTCGCCAGCAGCGCGCGGGTCTCGCCCGGCGAAGGAGGCGTCGACCCCACCACGGAGAGATTTGCGCTGTGCAGCGTGGAGACGAAGGCGTTGAGTGGCGTGCCCGCGTCCAGAATGGCATATTGGGTCGACGCCACGCCTGCGCTTTGGATCGCGGACCCGCTGACCGTGTGCGCAAAGTAATAGTACCCGTCCAGAGCACCAACGGCGCCACGTGAAGGCGCCGTCTCCTTCCTGCTCGTCGCGGCTCGGGGTAGGGGATGGCTAGCAGGAAGAGGAGGGGGCGGAGACGCCGGCCGTGCCAACCGTACGGGTAATGATCCTGCTCGTACACCGGTGCCAGCCACCGCAAGTTCCGAGTCATCATCCTGCTCCTCTGCGTCCGAGTCTTCGTTCGGATCGGAAGGCGGTGGATCGCTGTAGGTTCCTGGGACAACGGCAGCCTCGCTCAAGTAAAAGTACTTGACGTCGTCTGGGTTGGCAGCTGGAACCATCAGCCCCTTCCTCTTCCCCTTAGCCTTCCCCTTATCCTTCCCCTTTGCCTTCGCTCCGGCTAGCGCCGTAGTAAGACTGCGGGATGGACCTGAAGCAAAGTTCGGCTGATGGATATAGCGCACAGAAACGACCCCGTTCGGGCCCGTAACGGCTACCTGGGTCGGGAAGATGGATCCCCGCGCTTCACGGTGGAACTCGAACAAATCATCATGCAAATAGTATTTGTGGTATACCGTGCCGTCGGAGGCGTCATTGCGATTTGCGATGAGCACGGCGTGCACCTGGTTGCTCTCGGTGATGCTGGCGCGGGTTGGGAAGACGAAACCAGCGCCGACAGATGGATGACTCTCCGGGCCGGGATGGCACGTTTCCCTCCAAAGGTATACCAGGTAGTCCAGGGCCCAAGGCTTGAGAGCACTAGATGACTGGGTCGGCCGTTCTTCCCAATACTGGTCCAGGATGGAGTCATACTCGGGCGCTTGTGCTTGCTTCCGGCTGCGATTGATCTTCTCCAGCAAGGTCCCCGTGTATTTCCAGTATTCGGCGTACTCCGAGTCATCCTTGTTCTCGAGGCAGTTGAGGTTGATCCGGGCGGATTTCTTGTAACTGCTCCGGCCATCGAGGCCCATCTCGACGGCGAAGAAATGCGGATACTTTGTCCCCAACACGGCCGGGTTGCTGTTAGAGGCCAGCGACCATAACCGTAAGTGCCAAACTATCTCCAAGCTAGGGTGGATGTGCCTGGCGCTGGGTATGGACAGCACAACATTGCGTGGGGAGCTGATCGCAAGCATATTCAGCGGTGTTGAGGACCGGGACCCGTGGTGGCTGAGCTTGACGCTGGTGATGAGAGGCGAGTGCCCGCTCTGGGTAATCCATCCCATGACATTGTGTTCGGTAACCTGATCGGCGTCTCCGGCGAGATAATGAGAAATCCTTTTACCTTTCTTCCAGTAGATGATGCAGACAATGGATACTCGGTTGGTGATGGTGGGATTCTCCTCGATCACCGTAAACGTTGGCGGGCCGGGGGTCCTCTGCCGGACACCGATGCAGTACATGCTGGGCCAATCCGGCCGAGGAGGCTCGTTGTTGGTGGCGAGGGTATCCAAGTCAGCAACCGTGTCGATATCCACCCGACACTGAGTGTTGTGGAGGAAGTCGACGCCGAGCACGCTATTCCATGAGGACCCCGACACATTGTCGTCGTAAGTGCGGAGGATACAAAACGGGACCCAGTCGAACTGCGTCGTCTTCTTAACACCGATGAACAGCTTGTTGATAGACACAGATCCATCATTATTTATCTTTAGGTAATTCGGCGGGCTTGGGTTGAGCCTGGTGCCGACAGTCCAGTTGGGGCAGTAGAAGTAGGTCAACGGGTTGCCGTTACCATCGTACTTGAAGTAGGGTATGTTGGCACCGTACTGGATCGCGTCCCGCTTGATGGTATCGAGAAGGTTGCCGTAGTGGTCCTCGTCCCAGTGGCTCAGTACTACGGTGTCGATTTTAAAACGGGAGCTGCTGTCGGGCCACGTGTAACGCGCGGCGAGATAGTCCATCATCTCTCTCAGGGGGTTTCGCCCTTGGGTACCCGTGCCCACGTCGATGGGTTGCATTGCAGAACCTCCATCGATCAAGACGCACCTGTGGCCGACCTTTGCAGGATACTCGGCCAACACATGGAAGGAGCAATCGCCATTTCCGATGTTAATGTGGAACGAGTCCACGCCGAAGGTTGACATGACGGAGCCTCGTCAAGAATTCTCCTATAGGGGAGTGTAAAATTGTTAGATCAGACAAACAAAATGCCCCCTGGAATTCTGAGGTGAGGACAGGTATTGATATTCTCTGCTCAACATATTGAAGGTTTAGGGGTGGTAGGAGGGGGGGAGGGGGTGAAGGGGTAACACCCATGCGCTTGGTTTGATCGAATCTGCCCCCGACTTGGATCGACGCCGATGCGCTGATGGCCACCGCGATCTATGTCGTCATCGTTACGTGTGGTCCTGCGGTCGCTGCATCCATTGCTTCCAGAACGCGAGCCGACTTGGTGTCGGGTGGCATTCGCATGACGTCTCTATCCCAACGGAGCTGCAAGCTTTTCGCTCCAAGGCGGAGTTGCCGCCCATTAGTCAGGATCCATTACAATGAGAAACAACGGATGAATCGCAACGGGGTTGAAGAATGGCAACCAGTTGATTGATGAATTGATGTCGGCGAGTGCCCAGGCGCCAGGCCCAGGACCAGGACGAAGAAACTGGTGATCATAAGAGTTGGTTTGGAAAGGTTTCCCAGAGCCCAGAGTTCCAGAGACCCAATCTATCACTGCACCGACGCCCCCCAACGTACCTTCTCAAACTATCGGCTAGTCAAAGGGCCCCATGGTAGTCGGGACATCTCTTCTGTGTAATCGGAGGTTAACTATTAGGCGTTGTTTTTTTTTTTTTTTTTTTTTTTTTTCCCTTTTTTCTGGTCGAGATTTGCTAGGTGATAGATCCGTGATAGCTTCAACTTATTCTCTTCAACAGGCTAATGCATTCCCCAAAAGTTGCCCTCAGCGATTTCCGTTGTTGTGCATTGTCCTGAGCTGCCGCTGCTTTAACCTGAGCAAAGGTGAGCCTGGTAGAGCTGAGCCAGAGTCAGCCTGGTGGAACTAAAGCTAGAGTGAGCACGGCCAAAATTGCCCTTTGAGACTGCGGACCGCTAAAACTAACAGCCAACCATATATATAAGGTTACTGCTCGGACCCTACTGCTAGGACCGCTATTGGACACGCCCCGATCCTTCCTTGTCCCGTATAAACTACCTATAATATATAATCTATCGTCATTCAAGTCCCGGTCCTGTGACGGTGGAACGCACCGACCATGATGATGATATCATTTGTATGTATAATGATTCATCATACCAAGTGATGATTCATTATGCATGTTCCATTACATCATGCATGCAAGCTCAGACCTACCCGCATCCTGTATTTAAAGCCTACCTTGCAGTCTCGAGGATTTCTTTCCTCCTGCAAGTTCAATATTCTTGCAATGCAGTCAGTTTACCACCAGAGGCTTGACCCTGGCCTTGAACGACAGCCCTCGTGACACTTACCAAGGGTACAATGGCTATAATGCACCAGGTAGCCCTCATTCAGGCAGAGGTGTCTTCGCTCCGCAAGGCCAACGAGGCGCTAAGCAAGCGCCGGAGAGCCAAAAAATCACGTGTGCGGCTTGGAGGATCACTTACTGTGCAGGAGGTACAGGAGGTGGTAAGCCAGGGGGCTGTAGGTGGGGAGGCAATGCAAGAAATACAGCTGGATGGTAATGGTGCTGGGGGGGGGTTGTACGAAGGTTCGGTGCTGTGGTATGTGCGGCAAGCCTGGCCATAATGCCCGCACTTGCCAGGAGGGTGTAGAAGGGTCTGATTCATCTGTTTCTGATGTAATTATTGTTAGTTCCTAGTGTTGTTGTTTTGTGATTGAGGATATTGTTGGTAGTGTAGTGGAGAGTGGCCGGCTCGCTTATATGGCCGGCTCGCTTATAAGGCCGGCTCGCTTATAAGATACGTTATAGAGAATACGCAAAGCATAAGTACTACAAGGAAAAAACGCATTAACCTACACACTTGTAGTCTTCTGCGACTGCTCGGCTAAGGAGGAGGGGTAAGTCCGTGCACCCACCAATGGATCAGGCCACCAATGGATCAATTTTCCCCATCTGCCCCCCCTTTTCTGTGTCTACAGGAGTGTCAAAGATCGACCATTCCAGGCACATATCTTCAAATACATATCCATCCACCTCTTCTGAGGGTTCCAGCTGCCTTGCAAGTGTCTTTTTGACCTGGATTATCTGTTCAATTTGCGCAAATCGGGTGTTGGGGTCCATCCTAACTTTCTTCCTTTTCCTAGGCATTAATCTATCTACCTCGGCTTCTAATGCTTGAATCCTCTGTTGCTGACTAGCAAGCTGAATAGCTGTTTGATCAAGGCTTTTGCCAACCTTTGTAAAGAGTGTTCTGGCTACTGGGTCTGTTGCCTTAAGCCTCTTTAGACGGTAGTTAGATGCCACTAGTTTGTGGACTTCCTGACTACGGCTTGGAGTCTTGACCGCCCGGCTGTTCGGCTTGCTGTTCGGCTGGCTGTTTGGCTGGCTGTTTGGCTGTTTGTCTAGCTGGTTAGCCTCCTGGTTGCTTGGCTGGGCTGGCAACAGTAGACGGCTCATCAAAGGCTTGCTCAAGTTGACAGGCTACAACCCTGATAACTTCTAGCTACTACGGACATTCCTTTCTGTAATAGCATCTGCCCTGGCCTTCGAATAACAACGAAGAAAGAGTCTCTTGCCAACGGGGGCACTATCAGTCATCAGAGCCAAGTCGCTGATACCACGGCGGTACGCAGCCTTCAGGGGAGAGAAGACAGAGAGGTCGAGAGGCTGGAGGAGGTAGGAGGCGTATGGTGGTAAGAAAAGGAGGTGGATATTATTGGAATAACATGTCCATATAAAGTCGTCGGTCTCGTGGCTCCCGTGGCCATCAACAACAAGGAGCTTTGTCTTTGTTGTTGGTGTTAATGGGCAGAAGATCTTCGTTAACCACTCGAGGGCAATATCGTTAGACGTCCAGCCGTTTTGGCTTGTCGAGAACCGCCAGTTGCATAACGGATCAAGGTCTTCGTCGTCGTCTAGGAACCATTGATGTTGGATGTCTTTCCCTTTGAAGATAACTAACGGGGGAAGAGCTGCCCCTGCTGCTGAGATACACTCAACGATCGTTGTCCACACCCGAGATTCAGGGTGTTTCGACAGTGCTTCCTTCGTCGCCGATGAACCAACGCATAAGCCGTTAATCCCCATGCCCTCCATTATCCCTGTTTCGTCCATGTTCCAATAGTCTTGCGGGAGGATGGTCTTAATGACCGGGATCGCGAGGAGTCGGAACCAAGCCCTGATAACATCAATAGAAGCTCCAGTCAACCGCTTGATATCCATACGCCTATCTTTCTTTGTCTTCAAGACCGGGTATCTCTTGATGAACTTCTGGAGCCAGTGCTTCCCGACAGTCTGGTCAGATCCAGAGGCACGAAGGATACGGTTGGCGAAGACCTGGATTTGTCGATGTTTTACTGGGAGCCCCAGCGCTTCCTGAGCTAACACCCAGTCGGCTAAGTGTTTTTCTTGATCAGGGCTAAGCTTCTGCATCACCTGGGCCTCGTACTGGCCCTTTGGTTGGGTGTTGAGGACGAGCCGGTTGCGGAGGGTAGAAAAGGGGACCCCCCACATCTGGCTAGCCTTACGGATAGATTGGCCAGCCCGGACGGCCTGTATCGCCAGTTGAATGATGTCTTCGGAAACCATGGTGACTGACGAACTGAACGAGGGTAACAGTGCTCAATTTGAGCTTGTTTTGGTAGAACTGTGGTGGTTGGGAACAGATGGGTGCCGAATCAGGGGGTGGTAAAAAATTGATCCATTGGTGGCCTGATCCATTGGTGGGTGCACGGACTTACAGCCGCCCCAAAGAGTGCAGACCAGCGGATTGCAATGAACGTATACAGTGCTGAAAGTGTTATATCCGGTGGTGATATCAGCGCGGACTGGGGGGGACTGTCTGTGGGAAACGGAGTCAGTATTTGAGTTGACAGTCGCGGCCTTGATATAGAAAGTTGTCCTAGAAGGCGAAGCTGCCCCTAATAAACATTCTTCCGAGCTGGCCTATGATTCACGGCCTCCTTATGCCAACGTCATTTCCGATGCCAGGGGCTAGAGAATGAAGAGCTTGGTTTCTCGTTCGAAGAAATCGTCCCGGAGCCTCCGATCACGATCATTCCGCTCCGTGTATTTTCGGACTGGATGCGAAAAATGCACTGAAAGGTCGAGACCCACAGGGCGACCGGGATGATCTTTGCGCTGCTTTCATTTTTCTTCGGAGTTTTTGAGTAACGTAACTACGTACCTGAGTGGCAGGAAAAGAGTACGAACTCTTAGTGGCAGAAGAGCCACGTTCCTCAGTGGCGGAAATGGTACATGTACATTGCCTATGGCAGAAACAGTTACCTAACCGCTATTGACTAAAGCATTTTAGAGAACAAGCTCCACAGCAAAGAGGGGATCAACGCTGTTCATACTCGTTGGGGTCGCACTGGGAAGAGATGTTCGGCCTGCGTTGATGGCTGGAGGAGATTAAGCCCGGGCCGATTCTCTTCTTCCAATGACCATTACGAGGACCACGAAGAATATCCCGATCGGCTCACAGACATTGCAGGCCATTGGGTAGAAGATCGTGTCCTTGGGAGTGTTGTCATCTTTGATAGAGGCGAGTGTGGCACCGAGGTGAGTAAATGACTACAGGTACCTTACGAATATTGCTGCTTTTGGGAGCCACGCTAATAAAGGGCATACAGCGCAGGGACATCTCGGTGCACTCCGGGCGGAAGCGTGTGATGTCTTACACATGGAGACTTCTGGACAGTCAAATTCGACGCCGTCATTAGCTTTTCTGCGCTCTGAGAGTACCTCGTCGTCCCCGTTTCCCCTCCTCCTTTCCCGCGAAAGCCATCATCGCCTGAAACTGACGGGACACCAGAGCTCTGGGATGGACCAGAAGGCGCTTCCATGGCTGCGAGGCACCACGGTGGATTGGACAGAGCGAAGGGTTATCATGTTACGACGCCAGGCCGGCAGATCAAAGGGGCATGCCACTCGGCGGGTGTTAGTGACAGACGGTCGGTATCAAATCCATTGCGCGTTCGTAGCCCACCGCGGGGAGCCTGCGCACAGGCGTCGGAAAAAGACGAGACCGTGGAGCAGAGGACCGGAAGAAATATGGAGAGCAGGTTGGGCAATAGGTAGATTCTAGGCGAGGCTTAACAGCAAGTCAATAGCACATCCAACATTAGCAATCCCCCCCCCTCTCCCCCCCGGCCCCCAACCAAGAGCCCACCCGTGCGATCCCTTTCTCAGTGACCGATAATGCGCACAATGTGTTTGCAGCTCCCGAGGTGCCTTTTGTATTACAAAGAAAGGTCCACAGCACGCCGGGATATCAGTAATCCACGTCCCCAAACACCGTTTGCTCCACATACGCTATTTCCGCTTCGGGGTCCTTCGCCCACTTGAGCCACTTATAGGTCGTTGGGAGATTTTTGTACTGGCCATAGTCCCCTGCGCAGAAACCGTCGAGGTCTTGGGGAATGACGCTCGACCCTGCACCACTGTTCGCCAACTCGTAGTAATAGTCCAGCAAATCATTTAGCTCGTCCCACATTAGGCTTTTTAGTTCACGGGCGGTGATATGGCCCAACGCCGGATGGTACATAGTACGCGAGCGGCTAAAGTTGACGAGCTTCCCGTCCAGGTAATTGCCGCCGTGGGTATCGTTCACGAGTATACCCAGCGAGTGGAGGGCTTGCAGGTCCTCCCACATGCGCGGTGCCTGCGCGGGATCGGGATCTTTGCAGGGGACGAGCTCCTTGACGATTGCCCGGACGGGTATCCCGCGGTGCTGCTCGTGCCGATGCCAGAAATTGTCGCCATTTAGAGTGGCCGCGTCGGCGGAAGGCGGCGGGGTGGTACACCGACCCTCCACCATCAGGGCCAAGTCAGCCTCCTGCTGAGGCGTGAGAAGCAGGTAGCCGAGGGCCCGGACGGCCACATCCTCCCGCTTCTCCTCCTTGAGTCGGCCATAGGCACGGCACTCATTGTTGAAGGGGTCAAAGTAGTCGACATAGACCTGTGGACTAGCGAGTGGTCCCGGGAGGCCTCGCTGATTTTCGGCGAGAAATTCCCAGTGGTGGAACCAAAACTAGGTAGGGAAGAAACACCAAGTTAGACTTAGGCTCCGAGTTGGTCGGACCAGGGGCGAGCCGGAGTGTCGCGCATTCGCGCATTCACGCACGTACCATCTTGAGGGCAAAGGGCCCAGCTCCATCGACCATGACCTTCCAGACCAGAGAATCCTTGTCGTTTTTGCGACCGAGAGACTCGATGAACTCGATGTTGGCGTGAGCAGTTGGGGTAAACGGAGCCAGTTTGGGGCCCGGGACGCAAGGAAGCGGTACCGGCGGACTGGGAGGGTGAGCCTGGTAAAACTCCGACGAAGCCATGATTGGGAACCGAGCACCGAGACCGAGAGAAATCAGGCTTGCTCGGAGATTGGAAAACCAAATGACCCCGTCACCAAATTTGGAAAGTTGAAATTTCGGCGGCGTTGCGATGGACTGTCGACGTACAAGAGATAAAAGCTCAAGATCGCACTGCTCGTACAGAACTCCAAGAACTTGTGGGTTGTCAAGGAGGACCCTAAGTTGGTCGTTGTGAAGATGGAGTAAATGAAGGATTCAGCCCGCTTGGTAGAACGCAGGATGAGTATTACCAAGGTACTTATATATAATTAAGGTCTTATCAGGGAGATATCAAGGCTAGGATATAAGGTAGCTATATCTTAGTGCGAGAGTCAATAGACGCTGCAGCTCAGCAATCATATAGTACTTGTCCGTAGATGAATTGCTTTTACATGATTGCTCACTAGTATACTATGCTTGTATAAGTGCTTTCCTGTCTAATTCTCTACGTTATTCTTTCCTTTGATCCCTATTCTCTTGTTCGTCTCTTTCTTTTTCTTAGTCTAGTTAACATATATGATAAGCGAGCGACGCAGATAAGCGAGCGACGCAGATAAGCGAGCGACGCAGATAAGCGAGCGACGCACTTTCGACTACCCTACAACAACTATCCTCAATTATAATATAACAATGCTAGCAACCAACTATAATTACATCAGAAATAGATGAATCAGATGATTCTACAGCCTCCTGGCAAGTGCGAACATTATAGCTAGGCCTGCCATATACCCTATAGCATTGAACCTTCGTATGAGCCCCCTTAGACTGCTACCATCCGGCTGCGTTTCCTGCACTACCTCTCTACCTACGGCGTTCTGATCTAGTAGATCCTTTGCATCTTGCATAGTTAGTGAACCTCCACGCTGTATACGTGTTTTCTTGGCACGCTGGCGCTTGCTTAGTGCCTTATTGGCCTTGCGAAGCAAAGAGACCTTTGATCGAAGAAGGGCCACCTGGTGCATTATAGCCATTGTACCCTTGGCAAACTGGTCTATAGCATCTAATATTAAAGTTTGGGAGACTATTTCAATGGTTTTCAATATAAGTCTTAATGAGCGTTGACTATATATCGGCGTCTTGAGGGTTATATAGTGTCTGAAAAACCTAGGATTGTATAATGCTGAGCTGTGAGGTTGGAGATATTAGCGTACGAAGCTTTATATCTAGCTTAGTGTGATGGCAAGTGCGGTCTGCGGAGTGCTTGCCGTCAGAGAAGATATAATCCACTGAGTCGCAAGTCCAAGGGACTTGCGATTCCAACATCCTTTTTGGAAGGTATGCATAGCCGAGTGGGTTAGGGTTATGCTCCACCGTCACACTTAGAAAGCGCCTGCTCTAGGTCGTATGGCATAAGGCCAGCCCTTACAAAGCTACCCTATACGTTCTTCTCTATTATAGAAGCAAAGAAGGCTTCTTAGAAGGCATAGAGGAACTCAAGCTTGCTGATATAGTTGATATATATATGTATTAAGCCCTCGATCTAGCGACTATATGCCTGCTTAAGTAGCCTAAAGCAGCTAACATCGAGAGGCTGGAGCCTATGAGAAGGGTATAGAGGTATATAGAGTATGATAATGTTATTCTCCTTGCAATAAAGCTCAAATTCAGTCGAGTGGTGGCTCTCGTAGCTATTAAGGATCAATAACTGGTATATGCCCTTTATTCGAGGTACTATATAGTAATCAAAGTGCTTAATCTAATTTAGACCTACTATATTGGTAGTCTAGCTATTATGTCACGAACTAACCTGCAGAGGCCAGTAGGGGCCGACCTGCATGGTGTTACGAACCAACCATATAACCCGACCTGGTGGGGCCATGCAGGTGATGAAGTTACCAATCGGAGAGCACGAGGCAGTAGGATGCCCCACATGGACGCCGATGGACGACAGCGTCCAGGAGCGTCCGTATGGACGCCCAGGGACGCTGGCGAGCACCAGCGACCATGGACGCCCGAGGACGACGGCGAGCGTGGGCGTCCACAGAAAAATAGCTAGTATATAGTCATTCGTTACGGAGGGCTCTGAGAGTCCTCCAGTGAGCAATACAAGCAGTAAGGTAGCCCTACATTACTGTGCAGACATTGCGACTTGCATTGTTGTGAACCTTTTGGCTTCACCGAGACCTACAGTCCGACCAGCAGATACCTTCGACCGGCGAACCCTTTCAGAGGCAGGACTGCCTGTGGTTTCGTCACACATGGCTGACGGGCAGCGCTCGTATCCAACCACTACAAGCTAGGAAGGACCAATGAGGATTAGGGAAATCAGGAACAATGCCAAGAACGATTGTTCCTGAGGAACAACGCTAAGGAACGATGTTCCAAATGGAATAACAAGAACAACAATTGTTCCAAATGTTCCAGAGATCTAGGTATGGGATACCTAGGGGAGGAAGCTATATATATGTCACGAATTAACTAACGGTAGGCTGCAGGGCAGACGGCGGTATATGGGGACGCAGGGGCGTCCCGAGCCAATCATTTAGACAATCAGGCGGACCAGTCAGAGACAAGCAAAGATGCTAAGGTGCCAATGTCGCTGAGCACTCTGCAAGACATAAGTGATCAGAGTGATCAGGGGCATATCACGATGAGCACCTCGGTGCTTATCCAAATTGAAGCACTAAGCACTCAAGAAGATAGTTAGTATATAGTCACTCGTTTTAGAGTACTCTAGGAGTTCTTCAGTAAGCAATATAAGCAGTAGAATAGCCCTACCCTACTGTGCAGACATTGCAACTTACATTGTTATAAACCTTTTAGCTTTACCGAGACCTATAGTCTGACTAGCTAATATCTTCGACTGGCGAACTCTTTTAGGAGCAGGACTGCCTACGATTTCATCACACGTTGCTCACTCCCTTTGACTCTATTACAGTTCAAATCAAAGATAACATCGATCATTATAGCGCCTCAAACACCTAGCACCCTAGGCTCTTAGGGCCAGATGGCGACTATATAGCAGATGCAGCAAGTTATCAAAACTCTTAATATAAGGATTGCCTAGCTCGAGGCCTAGAATGATAACACCTAGGTCCTCAAGACTCTTAATGCCAAAATCGCCTAGCTTAAGGCCGAGAATAGTAATATATAGCAACTTATCAATGAGGCCTACAATGGTAAGCCTAAGAATAAGGCTAAACTTAAAGCACCCTCTAAGTATGGAGGTGATAAGGAAGGGCTCACTAATTCCTTATATCTATAAGGGCCTACCTTAAGTACTACCTAGACAAGTTTATAGATAAATCTACTAAGGTTATATATATCTCTTTACGGCTCAAGGGAAATGTACTTTAATAGTTTGAGCCTACCCTTAAGGATTGGCTAACTAATAGTATAAACGCTTAGGACGCCTTCACCATTGAAATTTTCAAGTCGTATAACAAGTTTAAGTAGGAAATCTAGAAGGTATTCAGAGACTATAATAAGAAGCTCTATATATAGAAGCAACTTATACGTCTAAGGCAGATAAAGTCAGCAGCTGCCTATACTATATAGTTCTGCTAGTACTTACTTCGGTATAAGATCAACGATAAAGATTATATAATTGTTCTATAATAGCTTAAAAGAAGAAATTAAGGACAAATTATACTAGAAAGACTAATCTGATACACTTGATAAATATATCACTATAGCTATTTATATCGACGACTGAATTTATACTAGGCGCTAGCAGCGCAAGGGATACGGAATATAGCCTATATTTGTCAAAGCCAATGATAAAAAGAAGCGATAATACCTTAGTATATTATATAGTACCTATACCGGTCCTATAGATATAGATACTATCTAGTATAAAGACAAGAGACGGAAGAACAAGTCCTAAGCTACCTATTTCAACTATAATAAGAAGGGGTACTTTAAATGAGAGTGCTATAGCAAGAAAGATTAGAGGCAGGTACTCAGCAAGAAAAACCCTATGATCGATAAATCAACTTGCATCGTTAAAGTAGCCATAGCAAGCTATACCGAGGACGACTTCGATGATATAGTCGACTAGAGCATAGCCGAAAAAAGCATCGACGATTCCTTATAGTTAGGCAATAGCCCTTAGATTATATTCGAAGAACCTATTACAGGCTATAATATCGCCGCTGCTATAGTATTGCAACTCGTAGAAGATTAGGGGTTTTAATTGACTTAGAATAAAGAAGGTCAATAGAGGATATAATAATCGGGCGATAAACCCATTGGCCCGAACCCTATCTTTCTCATTTAGCGCCTTTAGAAGGCTGAAGAGAAATAAGCTAAGCTTCGAACAGTCATTTGAAGACTTGCAAAAGAAGAGGCTCAGGCCATAAGCCAACTGGAATTCGTTAAGGCCAAGTTAGTTAGAGTCTAGGAAGAGTACCACTTAAACTTATAGGATAGACCGGTATAGGACTAAGGCTAAGATAGGAGAAATAGTAGAATTAAAAACCCTGAATGTCACGAGGGCCGTCGTTCAAGGCTAGAGTCAAGCCTCTAGTGGTAAACTGACTACATTACAAGAATATTGAACTTATAGGAGGAGAGAAATCTTCGAGACTGCAAGATAAGCTTTAAATACAGGATGCGAGTAGGTCTGAGCTTGCATGTATGATGTAATAGAACATGTATAATGAATCATCACTTGGTATAATGAATTATTATACATACAAATGATATCATCATCATGGTCAGTGCGTTCCACTGCCACACCGAAGCTAAATATTAGAAGGCCTAGAACTAACAAAGGCTTAAAGGGTAGGAACTATAAGATTAGGATACTTTTTGGAATAAGAAGCTGTATAATGGTATCAGAGATAGCAACGCGGTATATATTTGGATTAGATTTAGCCTACGCTATAAACCTTACGAATAAAACGCACTTCGACTCTAACTCTAGCGATATAACTATATCTATATCCTATAGTTCTAGTATATCGCATATGAATGCTAATACTAATTTCAATCAAAATTTAATAACGACTTTTAGCCCGATAGGCCTACTGACCGAAACA